TCTATATTAATCTAAATTAAGTATTTATTTAATAAGTAAATCCTTCTTAAATTAGTCTAATTTATAGCTATTAGCATATATAAAAGATCTTTATTAAATGTCTTATAGTTAATTCTAGAAAGTTATATAAAGAATATTATAAATATTAATAAGTTATATAATTTTTAAGATTTTATTATTCTATAAATTAGAAATAGCTAATAAAATTTAGCCTTTTTGCTTAGTTAAATTTTTTAAATTCTTTTTACGAATTAGTGGCATATTGATATGTTAAATTATTTAAAATTAATATCGCGTACAGATTTGGGAAAAAGTGGCGACCCGCTTATAGTGGCGGTTCGCTTACCGATTACGTTATGCCATACGTTCTACTCTAATATCTTTGCTCTGGTGTACTGCGCTCCGCTCCGCTACACTCTAACTTACCTAGAATTTAAGTGTGAGTTATTATCAACACATAAGTTTGTTAAGATAGTATATATCAACAGTGATTTTGTTAAACAGGTACATACCAGATAACTAGGTGGATGTGCGGAAGGACCCATGAATAGCGGTCGATCAAGGCACAGAACCTGAGCAACTTCACCAAGTCAGCACAGAACAGCAACCTACATCGTACCTCTACGTCTTTGGTTTTTCTCTTTTTTTCAAGACACTACGTCATCACAGAGGTACCGGTGCTGAAAGAACAAAGGTCTTGTCAGATAGTTTTTGTTCAATACCGGCCTTGCAGCCTTGTTCATTGTCACTACCGAGGTTAAGAGCGCCGCGGGTCTAGACATATGGGTAGAGCCATTTCAAGCAGATTAAGAATTCAACAACTATTTGTAGAATACAGTGAAAGGCAATTATACCCTTCGCAGTATATCTTCTATATGTAACTTTGCGGCCTCACTCCTCGCTCAATGTGCGTTCTATTAGTATCACGAATTATAGAGTATTTACGAGTCGTTTACTAGGTTCCGACTAGATGACTCAATGGTCTTGAGCTCTATCTTGACGGTTCACTATGGGTAGCTAGCTATGAGAAGGATCCCTGCAAGATGACAGTGCACTGTTATGCGAGGGCAACGAGTATCATAGAATGGGCCCTTTTCCACTTAAAATGGAGGCGGGAATAGATCTTCCGAAGCGGTCCACTCTAGGTTCGATCCAATCGGCGAGTATATTAAAAATAGGACTAAAAAGTAGTTGTCAATTTTCAGCCCGTACTTTGTACCACGTAGTGCCTGAGCGCATGGTGTATCTCGTACGCTGGAGAACCTGCGAATGGAGTCGGTGAATCGTGTACCGAGCTAGCAGCCAATTAATTTTCGGACATTATGACTCCGCATCTACCACGTAGTAAGTCCAAGCACGCCTCTCTGCCTACTTCCTTTGTCAACCGCAACGTTCCCACTATTACTCCGGTTGACTCCGGTGATTTCCATAGCATTTTTTTATCCTGGCGTAAATACAAGCAGTGTAATACTTCGTATGATACTTTACCGGGTGACCGCCTACTTTAATGAGTATAGTCTCTATACTATGTAGCATACCAATGGCCATTTATTGTCTTTAAAAGGTACGGCACTCTATCATGATCCCTGTATGACAGTAAAATAAAAAAACGTACTATGGAAATCACAAGGGTCAACCATAGTATACTATGTATACAAATTTTACGGTCCCCACCTCGCTTAGAGCTCATGATCAATGTAGAAACGATGTCAATAGCCTAGCTGAGCCCAAATTGCAGTATTGCTCTTTACCTACCACAGCGCTAATTTCTGTATCGGAGAATAAACTGCGGTACTGTTGTGTAATGCTTTTCATTAATTTATTGACTGTTATCAACTAGCTCCTTTTGTACGTTTTGATCGAATATTGGGTTATCATTACTTCACCTCATCCTATCATCAATTCAGGGCACATTTAAGGCCACCATATAGGACTACTAATGCATCTCATCTAGCTAATTACAACCTGATTAATGGAGTCGACCACGCCAGCCGTGGCTGTCAGATTAGGGGAGTGTCCCGTGGCGAGCTCAAATGTGCGCACAGGCCGACCAACCTTCTCCATGTCTGCAACAAAGCTCTCCTGGTAGTCCAACGGCACTGTCATATCGGCGGTGCAGTAGATGTAGGCAACAGGGATATCACGCCAAGCAGCGTGGCGGATAGGCAAGTACATTGCCTTGCCATTCCAGCGGACAAGCTTCGCCAGGTACTTGTCCACCTCTTCCTGGGCAAGGTCACTAGGGCCGACCAGCAGGTTGCGCGGATCATTGTTCAGGCAAGTCTGGTCCTCAGCAAAATCAAATGCTATCGGCACCAGGTTCATATGGCCGAATTCGCGAACTTTGTCCATCATACCGACGCCCTCAGCCACTGCGAATGCAGCCATATAGATTAGGTGTGTGACTCCCCCTGAGAGACCTTCCTTCTCTCGGGTTGCTGTTCCAAGGCCAATAAGCGCATCACTGCCTACTTGCCCGCCGTATGAATGTAAGATGGCAACCACCTCGCGCCCAGCCTGCACAAGACTTGAGACGTAGGAGCGCATGAAATCCGAGTCAGTGTAAAGATCAGCATTGGGCGGTCGGCTCTAGGAGGCGGTGTTAGCCAAATAAAATAGCTGCTACGCTCTATAAAGAGGTAGAGAGTTGGCAGGTAGGAGGCAGGGGTTGGCTGACCTGGTTGGTGGTTGGAAGTCGTGGACAATGGACTTCGTAGCCGTCAGCCCTTAGTGCTGAGATGAGCCTCTCGTAGTTCTCGGGAACATGCCAGCCGCCGTGGACGATAAAGAGAGTAGGCTTCATGGTGCACCTATTAGAACCGGTAAAGTTGAGATTGCTCAAGACTTGAAATAGGAGATGACGATGCAGACTAAGCTGGGCCAAGGCTTCTTTATGTCACAACAAGATCCTGCCAGATGGGCGACGACGAAAACATAACCATTGATGCACGTGCAGGTACCCCTCCATTAATTATTTAGTGTCGGAGAACATCGCCTATCCTCGATACGCGATCGGCTAAAATTTGAGGTTGGTGGCTAGTTCCGCTGATTGATAAGCCATTTATATACAGGACTTGACATTTAGGGAGAGCCTGGCTATCCCCTGACCCTAATTACTCAATTTGTAACAAAGAAGAAAGGCGACATTCTGGGGATGACACCAATCAGTGATACGACTAAGAGGTTAGTACGTAATTGCCATCCCCACTTAGGGCTTTTCTCCATTCGCAGACCAACCAGAAGTACTATTTTGAACTTGGGGCCAATGAGTGAGACTCTGTGAGCATGTACGTATTTTTAATGAAAGATCCCGTGTATTAAAGGAGAGTGTTGAAAGAGCTAGGTTGATATTAGCAGAAGGATTACTATCTAATTCTTTGGTTTTTTATACAGCTTGTTGTACCAGCCTTGATGGTTTCCTTCCGCGCCGTAATCTACCTCACCGTTATCTGTCTGCTTTGCAACTCCTCCACCCTTAGACATGTAAGTCACTGGCTTCCCTTTCCCAGATCATCAGCCGTCATTGACATGTAATACTGTAAGATTAGTGGCACCTACAATAAGTTGCATCCGTTTTTGACACTTCTTTTTCTTTTTGCAAATTGCACCGCAATGGTGAAGCTTACGGAGTACCTACTTGATGATAAGAGAAGTCAAACAATCTCGAGACATAGAGAACAGTGGAGATGAACCTATTGCGATTATTGGCTTGGCCTTTGAGTTCCCTCAGGGGGCAACGTCTGATCAAGCTTTTTGGTAGATGATCTTGGATGGAGGTCGGCGAGCACCAAATTCCCTCCGGATTGAATGAATATCGATGCATTCTACCACCCGGACTAGATTCTCCCTAGTTCTATGAGATTGTTACGGTTATTCTTCTCTATCAAATCAGAGGAGGCGGCGTGTATGGAGCCCCAGCACCGGCGGCTTCTTGAGACCGCTTATCATGATCTTGAAGATTGGAGGTTTGGATCCCTGTATTTCTTGTCTCTGGCCTATGATCTCGTCAACATCTCTAACACAGGAAATAGCGGGAGTTCCCATCAACAAGTGCTCTGGTTCTAATACATTTGTCTATACGGGATGCTTCACAAATGATTATCTCGGTATTTTACAATAAGACTATGAGGCCGAGTAAAGACACGGCGCTACGGGCATTGCACCCTCGATGTTAGCCAATCGACTGAGCTAGTTCTACAACTCCAAAGGCACCTCGATCAATCTAGACTCGGCATGCTCCGGCAGTTTGACCGCGCTGCATCTTGCCTGCCAGGACCTTCGTGTGGGAAGCTTTGAAATGGTACTATCAGCTCGTGCAACGCCTTATCATGTCGTTCTTGTGGACTGATAGTTATTATAGGCACTCGTGGGAGGCGCAAATCTCGTTCATTCTCCCAACTTCATGAAAATATTGCCCGACTTCAACTCTCTCTTTCCAGACAGTCACTGCTGGAGCTTCGACAAGTGAGCTACTGGCCACACGCACGGTTAGGGATCGGCAGTTATCTTGCTCAAGCGCTTGGACGACGCCCTCCGCAATGGTAACACGTTCCGTGCTGTGATCCCCAACACAAGATCCAATCAAGATAGGCGTACACTGAGCATCACTCAGCCTAGTGAACAAGCTCAGATCGATCTTATCAAGCAAACGTATCAGTTATTGTCTATTTTGTGAACTGAGCAACAAGATATGACCGTGAGGGAATCATACTTGGCTATAGTTGTGCTCAAAACCCACAGCTAGAGCTACTTGGAGGACTCGCAGAAAGCTTAAATTCCAACCATATCAGAATTCACTCCTTTTGCTGCATGTATATAGCGATATTTCAAAATCAACGTGCACCTGTGTCGTCTACCAAGATAAAGATTATAATATTACAAAATCTCAGTACGACAGTATTCGGGGCTGGATACTCAGCTTGACCCAACCTGTTTTTCCCAGGATTAGGTGATTGAAATGTCCCCACTTGTCTGGCAGGTGAAAGAACAAACCGAGAAGATTTCACATTTAATGAAGCAGGTCGTAATAAGGGTAGATTCAGCATGTTTTGCCTTTAATTGCAGGCCTCAATGCATTATGATATCCTGCGACGAGGACGGGTAATCTCTACAGAAGGAACAATTGTATTTGTTACGATATCGTTCCCCCACCACCAGATATCAATTTAGACCTTCATCATCAGTCATATCATCAGGTTCGACTATGGGCTGGTTTGTATCTGGGTCGTACGCCCCAGCGACAGTCCGATTATTCATTAGTTCAGAGACTTGATCGGTCAAAGTAATACCGGTAGCGAATACTGTTGCTGGGGAATACTTCGCCATCACCTTGCCGGCGTCGAGCTTTTCAATATCTTCTAACAATCTTTTACAACAAGCCGTCGGGGAAGAAGAATCGGCAATTTTTGATTGGGCCTCTAGCTCGATGATGATTGCTTCCGGGTCTTGGGAACGGTCAATTAGCAGTATAAGGAGATTCGCCTTCTGTCTTCGGTCACCATAGACATGTTCCTGTCGGAAAGTTTTAATTGCAGGCTAGTGCGTCGTCAAATAATACGCTAGTTCGATCTGTGCCCAAGCTTTTCATCCCCCGTGATACAAGTATATATTGTTAATCTTGGTATAATTCTCTGTGGCCCACGCATATAGAGTGGATATTACGTCGGTCAATGTTGGCATACGCCAAGGGGGGGGATCAGGAAACCACTATTACGAAACGACTTCCAGGTTGTATCCGAGACGGAACTACCTACCAGTGCAATTTTCACAGCCCAGTCACTGTCGGTCCAGCTGCTGTAAAGCAGGCAATAAACAATGCTGTTTGTAAAGCTATACCAAGTATCGATCCTTCAGTGGCGATACCTTTCAAGCCTGATATCCAGATCTGCAGCAGGAAAACAACTGCTTAAATCTTGACTGACATATATTTCTGCTTTTTTATCCCGTGAATATCGTTTTTAATTGTATGGGGAGAGAGCGGGGACCTTTTCTGCGAGACTTTTTTGTTCTGCCTGCCAGGAATTGGAGAGCCATTGGTCTAAGTTGTATTGAAATGGCATCCACATCAATTTGTGTTGTGATCTCTTCTGTTTTTAGTGGAAATTAATCTAGATTTTCTAAAGCAACGGTCATTCACGACAATTGGTACATTAAGAATTACTCCCACAGCGTTTCCGGAAGAAATGCATTGAGAAACTCGCAACCAAAATTTGATATATCGACAGGGTGAATTGGCAGGCTTTAATGACCTTATGGAATTCATCGATATTCTCATAAACTGAATACGAGGCAAACAGCTGAGAACCCATAGCTCATGCCACCAGTTTGGTGCTCGATTCTCTTTTGTGATTTGTGATTTAGTGCATTGAGAAATCGTACTCATATCAAACCTTGTTCAAATCAGCTAACGCCTGCATCATTCTATCAGTTGACATTTGTGGGAACTAGATATTCCTGGGCATCTTATGATAGTAGTAGTACGTCACGGGGAGGGATGTAAGGCTCGTATATCTGCGTCCTTCGAACCCCATGTCCAGATGTATGTTCATGACAGGCCACAGCCACAAAAGCTTCTGCAAGTATGCAGAAAGAATTCATGTGAAACTTACATGATCATCTGCAGGGAATTAAGTGTTGCAAAGATGACATGCTAGTTTACATTTAGTCCCGCATACCAACGACAATCATAAGATTGTCATATGATGATCGCATATTTGATACATAGTGAAATCAGATCTCGCACTTATAATAGAAGCCGTGCCCTTTTCAGAGAGCCCTAAGAGGCCATAATCAAGTTTGAACAGGTTATAGCACCTACCACAGCTTTTCATACTGTATTCACTCTTCACTCACTTGTCATGTCTCAGCAAACTCAAAGTTCAAATTTATCCAGTCTTCCTAAGAGCGATGCAGCACACAAAGATCTCATGGTCGGCTGCATCAATCCGAAAGCACTAACAGAAGCTCTTCTTGGACGTCGAGTTGGTTGGAAGGACCCAAAGTCTACATCCCTGATGGCCGATACATTGCAAACACCGTACCATGAGCTATTTGATATGAAGAATAACTCCCCTCTCTCTGCTGGGTGAACAAGTGCGCCCTAAAGATGCAGCCAGGGGAAAGGACCGTACTTGAGCAGAACGAACGGACTATACCAGATATTTCCAACGTGCGAAAAATCGCTGACCTCAAAAAAGTTTGAGTTGATAATGTAAACAACTTGGAGGTGAATTCAGTACAACCAGATAATTGGAAGTCACATCTCACGCTTAATGTTCCATCGCTCGACAGAACGATGACAAATTCTTCTTTACCGCACCAGATATTTGATGTTTGCCTCTCAAATCAAGGCTGGCAGTTGCTAAAGATACTGGAGCTGCGCTTGATTGGGTTCCGGCCTCAGGCTCTTGGAAAAGCGCTGGCGATATCTTTAACTTTACCACCGAGTTCAATGACCCGATTCAAGGCTCATTGGGTGATTGTTGGCTCATTGCTGCCCTGTCGGCCATGGCCTGGGTGAATTCACTTTGCGTCATGAGTCAGACTCGTGAAACCGCTGCATCACAGACAGAAGAGGACACCCACGAAATAGGTGTCAACTACATTACTCTCTACTCCAAAATGGGAGGACGCGATGGCCCGACAGCCGGTGTCCAAGTTAGCGAAAAGGTATGTATATACCAATGGGGCAGTATCATGTACTTCTCATCAAGCAACTATGGAGAAATGTGGCCATCCATATACGAAAAGGCCTTTGCGAAGTGGTCAACAAGTGCTACTACAGATTGTCCGGATATGGGTATATTAAATGGTGAAGATCCAGTGCAGGCAATGTGCCAATTAATGAATTGTACTCCGGTATACTATAACACCCAGACCAGAACGCCAGATGATATATACAGTATTATCAAAACCTGTTGCATCAACCAGGAGAGTGTGATTCCGATGACAGCCTGGACATATGCAACCGGAGACTTCAGCGGATCAAGCATCGTAGCCAACCACGCTTACACAGTTCTAGGATACACTTTCCAACAGGATAAGAAATATGTTATCTTAAGAAATTCATGGGGATGGTATGAGCCGCAGGGTACAAACAGTTAACAGGGGATCGTTCAATTTTTGGATTTCAGCTTTTAGAGACCCATCAATACCACCACTCAGGATGGTATCTTTGCGATAGAGGTAACAAGCTTCAAATCGTACTATGCAGGGTTTGGAATTGCCGCTTAGGATTTTAATTACGTTTGGAAGGAAGCGAATTTACCGGGTCGCTCGGGAAAATTCTGGAGTAAATTGCCAATCTGTGGAAATTTAATGCGACTTATATTATGAGTTTGTTATGTTGCACAGGAGAGCTCAGGATCACGGCCGACACAACTGCGGAGGCTAGGTAACCAGAATTATGTTAATTTAACTTATAATCCAAGAGATTTAACTCCCAGGCTTATTTTCAAAATGGAATGGAATGAAGTAGAGAGTTACTAAGTCGTCAGTTGGATAATTGGATGTTGCAAAGTTGGAGGAGGGGCCTCATGGATAGCAAAGTAATAAATATGTTTCTTTTTCTGAAATAATATCCAGAATTATATGTAATATTATATGACAAATTCTCATCTCTTTATTCATTTATATAGCTCTGGTTAGATTATTTTTCTTCCGCAGTCGTTCGGAGTGTGAGCCCGGAAGCAGGTGAGGAAGTTGTCCGATACTCCGATCCATGGTTATCAAGAATGCCATCCCTCTTTTCCCTTTTATTCCCTTTCACATATCAATGATTGGCGTTAAGTGACATCAAGCAGTCCTGCCGGGGACACATAGAGAACAGCTTTCTGGTACATTGGTACATCCATGGTTCGCTGTCAAGTTATACATCTACCTTGAACATAAGCGAGGGCTGGTCAGATATTCGCAGAGCTTACATTACTGAAATTGTTATCCCGCGGCCGAAAGGCAAGGGGGGAAAATTATTCCGAAACCGCGTATGTTCGGTTGTTTATAGCGATCGATGGAAGGCAGATTAAAGATATAAATCCACTTCTGGGTACAGTTAGTGACTGCCAGGGGGTATCTTCACAAGACACGTGGCATCAACTTCCCGCGAATAGTACAGAGTAGTCTAATAACGAATTTTGGTTCGCACAACCTATAATGAAGCATAGCGCATACGATATCTTAGGAACAAAATCAGAGGCGATTGAACTTACTTCATAGGGAGAAAGCGTTAATCTAACCCGAATTCCTTCTGATACAAAGGTCCACCTCAGTCAGATGAAGATGTATATTTATAGTTTTGTACCAATCAAAAGTACTTTTTCACGGCAGACCCAATGATTCCATTGTTTCAAGATATGTCGAAACGCGAGAATCCGCGCTCCTCAATTATAATGATCACTCGCCTCTGCTTTGAATCCTGAAAGACGCAGAACTTTAAACTGAATAAGGACAAAAAAGGATAAATCAAATTAGATTCGACAATAGGATATGGCTATATCAACAGTCAAATTTCCTAAAATGTTGGTGACAAGAAAATCTCAAGTTCCATTACTATTACTTGGACAGCATGACAATCATTTCGAAATTCGCTATCGGCGTGTTGATTGCAGTGGTCAGTAAGGCCACTGCCCAACAGACTGTTTGGGGGCAATGTAAGTTTAAATTTTCCCAAAAGAAACGAATTCGCTTCTAAACTTCATTTTCTATAGGTGGTGGTATCGGCTGGAATGGACCCGTCACTTGTGTTTCTGGCTCCTACTGCGCACCTGGAAATCCCTACTACTCTCAGTGCCTTCCAGGGTCTGGTGGGTGATCTGCTCTCAATAACGTCTGGATATCTCAGTCGCTAACTGGAATTAAGGACCGTCAACAACTACGGCGATTACGACAACTACGCTCATCACGACGACAACCACGAAGAGCAGCATTACAACAAGTGTCAGCACGACGGCAACTCCCACGGGTAAGGTACAGTTTGCCGGAGTGAACATTGCCGGCTTCGACTTTGGCATGGTTACCAGCGGCACACAGGATCTAAGTCAGGTTGTCGACGAGTCCGTCGATGGCGTCACACAAATTAGGCATTTTGTCAATGATGATACCTTCAACATATTTCGCTTGCCTACTGGCTGGCAGTATCTCGTGAACAATAACCTAGGTGGCCAGCTTGACGCGACTAATTTCGGGGAGTACGATAAGCTCGTTCAGGGTTGCCTTTCTGCGGGTGCGCATTGCATCGTTGACATTCACAACTATGCCCGCTGGAATGGAGCCATCATTGGCCAAGGTGGGCCATCTGATGCACAATTCGTGGATTTGTGGACTCAACTTGCGACCAAATATAAGGCACAGAGCAATATAATCTTTGGCATTATGAATGAGCCCCATGATCTGAACATTACCACATGGGCTGCCACTGTACAAAAGGTCGTTACAGCAATTCGTAATGCTGGCGCAACTTCACAGCTAATCTTACTCCCTGGTACCGATTACACAAGTGCCGCCAACTTCATAGAAAATGGATCCGGTGCTGCCCTGGTAGGAGTTGTAAATCCAGATGGATCTACCCACAATTTAATCTTCGATGTTCACAAATATCTGGACTCAGATAATAGCGGCACCCATGCTGAGTGCGTCACTAACAATATCGATGCTTTCACAAGTCTCTCTACCTGGCTGCGATCTGTTGGTCGCCAGGCTCTGCTTTCTGAGACCGGTGGCGGTAATGTTCAGAGCTGTGCAACGTATATGTGCCAACAGCTTGACTTTCTTAAGTAAGTGGACTTTTTGCATTTCTGAAGGATTACAGTAAATATGCCTCAAGTCATATTAATTATGCTGATATTGCCTGTTTAGCGCGAACTCTGATGTCTATCTTGGTTGGACTTCCTGGTCAGCTGGTGGCTTTCAGCCGTCTTGGAACTATATCCTGACGGAAGTGCCGAATGGCAGTACTGATCAGTACTTAGTTCAGCAGTGTTTTGTCCCTAAGTGGAAATCCTAATTAGTTCGTTCAGATCTTGTATTGGGTCGTACGCAACATTCTACAACGTCTCTAGGCTTATACCCTTCTTGAATAAGATGCGGGTGACTTAATGAATTATATGCTTGGCTAAGCTTAAAGCAGCAGGATAATGAAGTCTTTGGTGCTGCATATAAGTAAATGGTCCTAAAGGTGAATAGCATACACCTGTCAAAGTATACTATTGTAGATAGTGTATACGCTTCAATTGGGCTACTTTTTCCCATTTGATGCCGAAACAGACCACATAGAAATATTTTTCACACATTTAGATAGCTCAGTTGGAAAGATAAATATTTACATGTAAACTAGAAATGATGCGATTCTGCTGATAGTGCAATTTCAACACTTATAGGCCTGCTTATTGATAGTAATGATTATATGGGAACAGACAGGCACCTTTACGCGACGTTAGCGATCATTACATCTCCTTTGAGACTTTGGTCGTGTACTAGTACCCTAGGCCCAAGAATCCGACGAAGTCGCTAGCCAATCCCTATTGGAACATCCTCATTTTCATCACACGTCACCGCCTCTGTGGCTGGATCCTTCCTATGTCCCTCATGTGCGTCTTCCGTTCAGCTATGTATTCCTGATCCTTTATGTAGGAAAAAATTAAACCTTCATTCTTTATATCGATCTAACTATGACTCAATTTTGTGCGTGATCTGGTGACTTTCACCCACCTATAGGAGCTGCATTTGTCACGACGGGTACCTTGAATCGTCTCAAGGTAGTCTGAGTAAACAAAGAAGTTTAGAACAAACTTAATATTGAGCCCACAAAATTTCTGTGCTATATAATTTACTGCTCCGCTGTGGCATCTGTATGTTTGAACTGTGAAGGAGACGTTGAGCGTGTTTCCTCTTTTTGCATGCTACGGTTTAGCCTTACTTCCATCTCTAAAGACCTAGATAGTTGTCCAACCCTAAGCCCGACAAATAAATCAATGACGAGGTATCTCAACTTCTCAGCAACAATGCAAAAATGAGCTGACGTGGAACTTAGCAAGATACCGTATTCACTCTGAGTACACCGATTATAGACACATCAATTGATCAGATTTAACACTGCTATTCCTCCAATGTTCAAGAAAATGCTCAGAATGTTATCGCTTGTTTGGGAAGATACGGTTCCTCGAGGAAATCAATCTCATCCGTGTTGAGCTTTACCTGTAGCGCTTCAACAGCTTAATCAATGCGTTCGATCGAATCGAGACCAAGAATGGGCGTTGCATTTTTCTTGGACAGAACCCATGCGGTCGCCACCTGTGCCATTGAGATGCCCCTTTTCTCAGCTACGCTATTGACTCGACCGACGATTTCTTCTGCGGATTTGTCTTCTTGGCTTCGGAAAAGAGCCTTGAGGAAGACGTCCTGCTGTTCACGTTTGTCGGACCTATCTGTCCAGGTATGAGCTAAAACGCCTGCAGCCAGTGGCGACCAGGGGAGAAGCCCCACGCCAGTGGCGTTGCAATATGGAAACATTTCACGTTCTTCTTCCCGATACAAAAGATTGTAGAACCCTTGCATAGAGATGAACTTTTTCCACCCATTTTTCTCCGCGATGTTCTGGAGCATCTGGAACTCCCATGCGGCCATCTAGTGATACCAAGTCAACATCGCTCGAATAGAAAACAGTGGATGGACTTCTGGAGATGTCAAAGTTCACCCAAAAAACATACCGAACTTGCTCCGATATAGCGTACTTTGCCACTTGCAATTACATCATTCAAAGCTTGCATGATCTCCTCCATAGGGGTATCCCGGTCAAGTCGGTGAATTTGCAACACATCGATGTACGTTCCGAGACGCTCTACACTCCGATCGACAGCATCAAAGATGTGTTTGCGGGACAATCCGCATTGATTCACCCTTGGGCCATCATTGATGGCAAACTCGGCAGCATTTAAAGGGCCGCGCGATTCGTCCACTGCATGAAAGCACTTGGTCATGATGACCATTTTTGACCTTGGAATGTTATACTTCTTCAACGCACTTCCTAGGATCTCTTCGGAGCGGCCGTTCGAGTAGGTGTCTGCAACATCCCAGGTATTGATATCTTGATCATAAGCATGCTTAATAAGAGGTAGGGCAGCTGCTTAGTCCAAGATCCATGGCTGCCAATTCGGATCTCCGTATGTCATACAACCTAGCACAACCTTTGAGACTTTCAAACCGGAAGAGCCGAGCCTAGAATAATCACAGTAAGATGAAAAATTCCTTTAGTTCCGTGAATCTGGTCATTACCTAACATATTCCATTTCGGCGGACATCAATAAATTATTGTTCAGGTTTGTTTGAAAAGAAAACGTTGAGAAATGTGAGTGCAGACACGACGAAATAGATGTTTGCACAGGAGGCGAATCCCCATTTATAAGTACCTAGACTGAGCTAGCTCAATTCATCGAAGTCATCGATATCAACAATGTGATAGGAATGCGGCGGTACTTCGGGGAATTTCTGCGTTTGTACTAGCCCCTCCAGCACATTTTGTTTTGGAGGTCCTCAGCTATTAGCTGCATGGGTACCGTACCTTGCGCTATCAACGGCTTTGATGCCGTCTTTGGAAGTCGTTGATATCATTCGTTGCAATTTTTATTTTTTTATGGTGGCAGACCATACGAATAAAACAATACAATGCACTCGCTACTTACAATACAATACGTTCGGACGTACGCTTCCAATCTCGGGTTTAACCTTTAACAGCGGAAGACCGTTTCTACACTCTCAACACCTGCTTAACGCCGAGACCCTTTCAGTTGCTGATAGTGACTGTTACATCATCAGTTCTTCCTAGGATCAATGTCTACAAGAGAACAAATTGCGGTCTGCGTGAAGATTTCAGTGAACGCGTTCATTAAAAGACATGCCAGTCAAAGAAGGTTCAGTCGGCGAGTTTATACATTTGCTCAACGTCCTCGCCCTCAATAGTATTAACCCCATCACGAACAACCTTCTGAATAGCCTCATCAATAGCATCATTCCCCTGTAAAACATCGTACCAGCCATTAGTATCCTCTCTCGAAAGCAGGCTGACTCCCACAGCGGCCACATCCTGAATCGGGATTTGGCCCAGGGCTCGGGTCTTACCCAAATGCACTTTGCCAGTACCTGGGCGAGTCAGAAGCCAACTAGGTCTTAGGCTAATAGCCTGGAAGCCGGCACTGTCCTGGAGATTCCGTTTCCTAGACATAGCAACCAGGTACTCGTCAGACTGCAACTTCGCCTCGGCAATTTCTGGATAGGATCTTTGTTCCTGGGTATAGTCCCTAATATCCTGACGATTCCACCATGGAGCCGGCTTCCGACGAGATGCAGGAAACGAAATCAGCAGAAACTTTTTCACCGAAGGATGCGAAGTCACTGCCTTGATGACGATCTTGGCTGCGTCCCGATCAATTCCATACACGTCCGAGAAAGACCCTGTATTTCCGGGAACATGTCACTTAGCCTGTCTGCTGACATAGTCTTTTGAGACTTTCGAGCTTACCGGCAGCAAATACCACACAATCAGGCCTGTGATTATCCAAGATCCTTCGCTGAACATCACCGGAGTCTTGCAAATCGTTCAGATCAAGGCAAATAACGTTGACTGCTCCCTTCTGGTCGTCGCCGAGGGATTGTATGCTCTTCGTGTGGCTCGGGTTTCTGATGACGCTTATTACCTGCCAGGATCTCGCCAGCATCAAGCTAGTCATGGCTTTGGCAATTCGTCCATTGCCTCCAAAGACAAGCACGCGCATTTTACAGCTCTCTTCCGGTTTGATCCGCCACGAGAAATGAATTATTGTATGTAGTCGGCAGAAATGGGGAGCAATTTTCTAACACGGGCTGAGCAGTGACTGGCGATGCCAGATGACAGTGCCTGAATACAAAAAGATATGTAAGCTTTGAGTATACGTAGTAAATGCTAAACCATTGGCTCTGAGTGCCTCCAAGGCTCGGATATAGGGTTAACAAACTGGCAGAATACTACATCTCACCAACCACAGCCTGCAAATGAAGGGCGGCAAGCTAATCTATCCAATCGGATAATTCACATTCTTTAGTGTACACTAGCTCGCAACGAAGGGAATAAAATAAGTCTATTATAGTAGAGCGGAAATATGGAGTAGACTCAGTGGGGTAGCATGTTAATTTAAATTTGAACTAAACGCAACTTAAAGCTGACACTTGCATCTGTAAGTATCCTAATGTCCTATTCCAGTATCTGATATAAGGGTGATCCATGGTATACGAAGTAGGGTATATATACGATAGCGCAGGAGTCAGAGTTTGATTTCCGGTCATGTCAGTGATAATATTTAAATTCAAACCACAGAGCGTGAGTACGATAAACGATACGTTGTACGAGAGGTATCTGAAAACAGAAAATATAAAAACCTTTCGGATATCTCATGCATTCGGAAAGGTGGGTGTTCAGAGGTAAACCATGATCCGCAGAGACTACTAAATGCTGACACGACCACACTGACACAATTACTTTTTCCAGGGCCAGGTTGCCACCATATAATGCGGAGATAGGACTTAATTTCTGAAAGCTAATCCGTATCACCGGATGCACATGTTCAACGATACATAATACCATAGACTTTGATATAGACGAAAGAAAACTCAATACAGCCTGTGCTGGTATCACCACCACTCGCTAATCTGTTCCGGCTAGTTACCCTGGTGACGGTGACGTCGCCTGTCGAAGACGTTGTGGATGTCCTCGTTACAGTTACCGCACCGCTGTGGCCGGTACTTGACAAAGTGAGGATTCTCAGAAATACTACATGACAGAAATGCTGCGATGGGATAGATACTTAGTTCACCGGTGCACTAACCTGGAAACCATCCACACGATTCATCCACGGCCACTGTACCCACCTTCATACCCTATTTCTTTACGCGCAGGAGCTTTCCCTTTCTATTATAGTAGAGTTTCTTTTTTGGAAAGAATCAGATAATAACAATAGAAACTATCGTTCCTATATACAATATACATTTGACTGGCTACGTGTAGGTAAGCGGTAAGTCTTACCCTCCTAAGACTGTCTATTTTGAAATAGATACTGAGACTTAAATTTTAGTATAATTTCCAGCTGGACAAACCTTTGACTATGCAAGTCATCAGATCCCACAAACTGTTTCCATAGAGTATGGCGTGGTAGGGAATTTACAAACTTTACGGTATAGTTAGCGGCTCCCAAAACTACCCGTGTAATACTTGTTGGCTGTTGCTGATGATTATAATTTTGCGCCCTAGTCAAAGCTGGAGTGACCCCAACGATAGAGCGTACCGAGATTCTGATTTGATCAATGGCAAAGATGTAGCGACCAGGAATTAGGCAATGGGAGTCAGACTCCAGGTTGTCTCTCTTATTTGCGATTCATCTTGTTGTGTCAAGACCTTAGTCAGCAAGTGCCAAGCCGGAAGTCTTGGCACATTGATTATCTTAGATGCGCGTACGGTGGAATGAAAAGTCAATGATTCAATCAATGGTCCCTAATAGTACAGATGGAAAATCTGGCAAGTTCCAAGATGACGCTTCATTTCGTACACGAAACACAACCCTATTTCATCGTTTCCATCGTCCTCTCCAACAACTTCCGAGCCTTCGCTTCTTTCCGATCCAAGTTCTTGTGAAACATCCCCGGAAGAATACGCTTCGAATTCGCATGATCCGGCGAGAACTCAGGGCCCTTCCACCCATTCTTCTTGCACAAAGCAACTGCTTCCTCCAACAGAGCCGTTCCGAAAGTCTTGTTGCGATACCGCTGTTTCACAGTCCATGCACGAATGACCGCCTTGAGTTTGGGGTTTTTCTTGGTCTCGGAGAGGGGTAACAATCTCAAAACCAGTGCGGCGATAATATCATCGCCATATTTGGTGACAATGAGAATGTCTTCTTTGTCAGAATTCGCATCTGGGCGTAGAAATGACCACGTCCCCGTCTTCTCCGCGAGATCCAAGTAGCCATAAGTGAGATAACCCACTCCAGCCATTCCTGCCATCAAACAACCTGCAGTTGTAGTCACAATTGTAGCGAGATCATTGATATAATGAGAAATGACAGCACACAAGGCTAAAACAATAGCTATGGTGACCGGATGAGTAATTATTGCTCGGCTTGCTTCCTGGCGCTGTTGTGCGACGCTGTCGGCAATCAAGCGCAATGCGTTGATGCGATCCGTTTGATGCTCGTCATTATCTGGTTGTGTTTGAAATGTAATCAAAGCTGGAATTTGCTTTTCTGCCGCTGCGATTTCTGGCGCGACAATCGTCGTCGTCGAAGACTCCATTGTTGTTCGTTTTCTTTGTAGCGGAGACTTAATGAGTATTCAAGATCGGCAGGGAAACTTCTCGTCGCAATACAAAAGAATCAAGTGCGGTGTTCTTATCAACGTCGCGACAATGAATCGGAATATAACAGTGGTGAAGTGAAAATTGACTGAAAATTTTGTCAAGTCGAGGGGAGCGAAATGTTTAAATACTCGGCTGCCAGTGGGTGGCAACCAACCAACCCAAAATTCGACAATTGCTTGGTTCTCACCAAAAACGTAGCCCTCTCGTTCTCTGTCCCCTGATTACAATTTATTGCAATGCTTGAAACAATATCGTATCGTGTATTCTATCGGGATGCACTAAGTCAAGTCGATGTTTAGGTTCTTATTGTTTACATCACTACGCCTCGTTGATAGAAAACAACGGAATTATCTATGCGGATAGACGATAAAAGAAAATTTTCAAATTAGTAATTTAATAGCGACTGCCGCATCGAACTGAGAAGACCAGAGGTATAAGGGTATAGGGTATCTTGATTCTGCTTCTCTCCGATCTTTTCAGTCGGGTCAAAGGAATGCCTCTGTATGCGATGCAATCGATAAAAGAGGTATGTAAGACAGTAACGATCGAAAGAAATTAGTAAATCTAAGTGTGCTCAGGGCCGAGCTAGTCTAGTGAGAGGCGTCGTGACCATTGCCAGCGAGACCCTCCTCAGCGGTCTTCTCGTGATTAGCGAGAGTGGGGGTGCTGTCCCAGTAAAGGTTATCACCAGAGAGTTCCTCGAGGGTCTTGCGCTTGGTCTCGGGAATCAAGAGAGTGGTGAAGCAACCGCAAAGCATGAAGAGAGCGAAGATCTGCATGACATGGTTGAGCCAGGGGCTGTCGGAAGAACCAGCAGGCGCACCACGGTGAACGAGAGGTCCGAAGACACACTGAGCAATGATGGCACCGACTTTGCCAGAGGCAGCAGAGAAACCGTGAGAAGTGGAACGGTAACGAGTGGGGAAGCACTCTCCAGGCACGATGAATGTGGTAGCATTGGGACCGAAGTTGAAGAAGAATTGGGCCAACACGTAGAGAGCAAGGAGGCCGTTGTGGGAGTTCTTCAATGGATCATAGGCAAAACCAATGACAATGAAGAGAATGGTAAGCATGATGAAACCACCAAGTTGGATAGGCTTGCGGCCAATGGTATCAACAGTAGCCACGGTAACCCAGTAACCAGGAATGGCACCGGCGCAGATAAGGATCAAGTTACCGACAGCGGTGTTGTAGAAGATATGGTACACGTTAGAGCCGCCAGACCAACCAATTGCAGACAAGATGATGGAGTTGTTGAGACCGAGACCATAGAAAGCAACGTCCAAGAAGAACCAGGACCCAGCTGTTCCGAGAAGGACCCTGCCATTCTTCCATTGGGAATAGTGGGCGATAAAGTCGGACCAGCTAGCCTTGGGAGCAGCGAGACGTTCGCTGTCTTTCTGGATAGCAGCAGCACGTTGAACCTGATCGGGGTGACCTTCACGGGAGCCTTCCAAGTAGGCACTGATGTCTTGGCTGGCCTGAACAATGTCACGGTTGATGTCAAAGGTATAACGAGGCGTCTCGGGAATTGTCAAGCGGTAGTAAAGGGCAAAGACAGCAGGGACGGCACCAAAGCCGATGACCACACGCCACATCTTGTCAACAGCGATATTGCAAACGCCAGTGCACTTGGCGACGGTGCTGGCGGTCTCGAGGGATTCCTTGAAACCAGCGGTCACAATCAGAGCGATGAGGGCACCGACCAACTGGCCAATACCCTGCATGGCGAAGACGGATCCCATCATGGCTCCACGCCACTTGGTCGTCGCGAATCTGCGTCTGTTAGTTCATGTAATTGATCTAAGGAAACCGAAGGTTTGTACGCACTCGGAAGTGATGATGGATGACAATGGGTAGTCACCACCGATACCAATGCCCATGATCACACGCCAGAAGATGAGAACGCCGACAATAGACATGGAAGGAGAATCGGATGAGAGAGACTGGGCGAGGGTGGCGAAGATCATGATGATGAGCTCAAGACCGTACATGCGCTTACGACCGACGTGGTCAGCCAACCAACCGAAAGCGAGCTGACCGATCACAGTACCGCCGGAGGTGGCAACCTTGATGGCAGTATCGGAGTTGGTGGGGATTTTTCCTGATTCATGAGTTTAGCGACCAAAATGGAGGGCACGATGCCATGACAATCATACCTTTGTTGCTGTCAACCCAGAAGACTACACCCAACATGGCGGATGCCATGTTGATAGCGAAGATATCGTAGGCATCGGTGAAGAAACCAACACCAGCAACGATACAAGCACGAACATGGCGCCAGCCGAATTCAGCGTTGTCGATCTGCTCGAGAGCCTGACGACGGCGCTCGTTGGGATCAATGACGGGGGAAGGGTGGGCGGAGTACGTCTCGACGACGGGGTCACTCAATTTGCCTTGCTCAGCCATTGCGAGAGGAAGCAGGTAAAAGAGAGAGGGCAAAGGAGAGGTCGACTGCAGAAAAAGAACGGGAGAACTTCTGGGCGGGAGGATGAGGTGCTGGTATAAATAGTGAGCACACCAAGGCACATGTCTTACACGCCTCTTTCCAAAATTGTGGAAGGATCCGCCGGGCGCTGCAAGAAAAAATACGAAGATTGTTAGATTGCAGCAGCCATGTGAACCCCGGTAGCCTCTGATTCGGTCAATATGACCGACTGATCGAGACGCGCCAATAGATTAATCCTTGGCTGGAACGGGACCAGGAAGCTTACCCGTGCCAATCTTCGCTGGGCAAAGCTTCGTCTATGGCAAATCCAATCGCGTTCTAGATTCGCTGTCTACCTTGGACAATGGCCGCCAACTGTTAAATCTATGATATCGATCTCGAGGGTCATAGATGCCGCAGACTGCCTGCGCCTTCACGATGCAGTCCATTGGGAAAAAAGCCATCGCAGCCAGGCTTCAGCCGTAACGTGAGCATACGACGTTCTCATCCGCATTGCAGCCGTCCATCTTCCATGCATGCGCAAGACCCTTATTCGCCGAACCACCACGTGCATACACGACGCAAAATGCCCAATCCGTATGAGTTGCTTTGGCTGTCCGAGATGGGGGAAGCCCGAAGCGACAACGCCAATGAGAAGCAACGGGCGACATACCCTAGTCGCATTTGCGGAGATGTTGCTGTCTTTGTGCATGTGGTATGAATGGCAGGTTTTTTTTTTTCATTCCAGTTTCAGCACAACCGTCGAAGTTGCGAGGAGGCAATCCAGTGGACGACGAAGAGGGTGCCAAGATGTATATGATATATATGTGAAAGTGTAAAGCGCGGTCCGAGACCCCCGACCCCAAGCTGTCCACTCCGCGTCGCCGCTGCCCACACGTGTCCCCCAGCTCCTTCCTGGGAAAGACCGCCAAGAGCGGAAGATCGAGCGCCGTGGCTTAGCGCCCGGTCTTGGCTCGCCCCAGCCAATCAGCGGCCCGCACGGATCCACGTGTATTCAGGTACTACTACATACTATGGGTATGGATGGGCACGTGCTCCCGACACTCGTGCGCCGATTACATAAAAGTATCCTGTTCGCCGCGAAGTCTGTGTATGTTTCCAATATTTCCAAGCGAGGAAGGCGCGATATGACGGGCACGTGGTGGCAACGACAGCTTTGCGGTCTTTTCTCGGAGTACGGACACGCATTCGACAGGTGGTAGGTACGTAGTAATAGTTGTGTACTATGTACACCGGAAGAGGCAAAGACTGAAGGCGGTGGCAGATCGGGTAGTCTACCCGCAAACAGAACACCCTCATAGATCAACCAATTTTCCGATCGCCTCGTCGTACAAGAGAACCGAAATTACCAGTCGATGCAACCGACTGGCGATTGAAACATTAAGACTTACATAGACAAGGATCTTATTGAGAATGCAGTATCACCTTGGGACAGCTACTACATTCCTTACCCATGGCTAGTCCAACTGCTCAAATGGCCCAGTCTTCCCTCCCCCCCCACTGCCAACACCACATCATAGACCGTTCCTGAGGCCGGTCCATTAGGTCGATCAATTCTAGAAGTTGACAGATTGTGTTGGCACTAGGTACTAGGCACTGAATACTAGTAATATCGTACGGACTACTAACAGTCATGGGTTCTCGGAACCCCGGATCCTCTTGGGCGGGGCTCCTCAAGTCAGCCCTAACTCTTATTTCACGACATTCGTCAAAGGCTTGGTGATAAAACTAGTGGTCAAATGGTTCCTTCATTTTTACCATTTGGAGCTTGCTTTAAGAGCTCAGACGTGCGGAATGAATTGAGCCCACTTCATAGTAACATATACGTCGAATGGGAGACGTCTTAGGCTAACGCAGGATTCGACCGTGAGATAGATCCTTGCTGGAACCAACAGCAGGCATATGAACATTATAGTATAATCAGTGATCTGGCTTCTTCAAGTGTGGCCTGCGCGGTCCTTTGATCGAACCCACACTCCAGCCCAAATGATTAACCAAGAGAATCGCAGGCATTGAGTAAGAGTCTTGGTAGGCTCGACAGTAAAAGCCCACAAGCATGGTATCCACTTGCAGCTTTACAAGTTCGATGCTTTATCCTTTTAGTGAAATGATTGTTCTATCTGTGTAAATGAAACCTGGGGTGTATCATGGCCGACATAACAACCAAAGCCTACATGCCAAGTCGCATCTCACCTGGTATGATCTAATCGTTTGGTTTGTATGAAATTGGACCTTTACCCAAGCCATAAAGTTCTAGCATCGGTCTTCGTTTCCTTTGCTGATAGGATTTGTCGGCATACTCTAATGCTATTCGACGACAAGGTTTTGAAACGATTCCCCTGGTTTCTGAAATATCACAGTAACTAAGCAATGCAGGGGCATCATTACTGGAGGTGATCCAACCTCAATGCACGTGATAGAATCGAAGATTATCTCTTGGGAAATTGCAAGCAATGATTTTCAAGGACGGATTGTGTGTGACTACGCCGAGAAAGGAAGCTCAGCGCGGGTCAGCAAAGATTGTCTCCTGTCTCAAATAGCCGTAAAATACATACGACGCGAGCTATGATGGACAAAGGAAAGCCACATGCGAAGGAGTCTATACAAAATTTGTGGAGGACAAGCAGCACACCATATCGCCAGGGTTGCAGCATCGAGCTCCGCCCAACTATGTTCTCTACTCACCTTGCCATCATCTATCACCTATCGTCTGTCGTTCATCCCCCATCGACTGCCATCTGTCATCTTTAATCTTGTCGCTCTGGCGTCTTGCCGTCTCTTTATTCTTTATTCGTTGTCTAAGAATTTCATTGATCCCACCTGGTTTCAGTAATGATATCGCAGAGTATATGCTTGACGTCAGTTGGCGTTCTCTCACTGCCCAATCTGCACCGGTCTTTTCACGATCGGCCGTTGCACTTATTAGATCTGACCTATCATCTCTCCTTTATTCTCTCAAGCTTACCTATTGTCCTGGACTACTGGACGTTATACAACCTAGTGGGGAACCTTCTATTAAGTGGTTTCAGACACTCCCGAGCCATATACCTACCAAATCCTGGGGTATCTACGTTCTCATCCCTGAAAACATGGAAAATACCGTCCAGGTTTTTAGTCTGGTTCAGGGACTGCGCGGGTTGGTGGAGTTAGAAGTCGGTTGCTTCAGTATCGTCGTCTTTTCCAATCAACAATCTCTCGCTACATCCAGGAGTTTATTGATGATGGGTACTCTATCGTCCATTGCCATCTCTTGGCCGGGTGTCCCATTCACTATCCGAGACGCGCATTCCAAGACATCGCGGGCCTGATTACGAACGGTTTCCTATCTAAAATGCTCACTGGTGGATCATGGAGCCTCGGTGCCAAAAGAGCCTTCATGATTCCAGGTTTTGCAAAATGTATGACTTTGCATGCTTGTATTAAGAGATTCAGGCCACTTTCAACGCTTCGATATGGATATGATGCATATTTCAGCTTATGGGGACGAAAAATCGCAACTTCCGCAATATTTGATTATCTGCTCGAACAATCCCAAATTCATGCTAGAACGACTCCAATGAAGATATTTCACTACACCATACTAATGAGTCCTTCCATCGCGTGTTCCTTCAATTCCCTCCAAATCGCCGTACAGTCTGTATTGATAATCCGCACTTGGGTCATTGAATCGTGCCTTCTTGTCCATAAATTTGATCCGCTCAATATCTTCCTCGTCCATCTCAAAGTCGGCCTCGAGATTTTGCTCAATTTGCCAATCTATTACACTCTTTGGAATGACCGAGCGTCCATTGTTGACTCCCCACGCGAGAGCCATCTGTACCGGGGTCTTGTTATATTTGCGGCCAAGTTCAAGTAACAAGGGACTCTCCGTGATGCGCTCCATAGTGTGCGCAATGTCTTTGCTCCAACCAGTCTCTCGATAAAACGGGTTCATGTTTCCTAATGGGCTGAACTGCATAACATGAATACCCTGTGATCGGAGCCACTGATTGAAATCATTTTGCTGTAGGTATGGGTGTACTTCCATTTGATGTACAGCTGGCGGCTGTATTGATGGTAAGTAACCCTTGCCGAACACCATCCTTGAACGGGAGATTTTAACATACCACTGAGCCTTGGTCAAGCAGAGTCTGGATTTCACCTTTGCTGAAGTTTGACACTCCGAGAGCTTTAACCTTGCCAGTTTTGAGTAATTTCTCCATGGCCTTCCACGTATCCAAATATGTTGTCTTTCCGAGGATCATCTTCCCTTCCGAGTCACGAGGAAACCTCTCTTCTCCACGGGCGAAAACCACTGGGTAGTGCATCATCAACAAGTCAACATAAGAAGTATCCAGCTCTTGTAATGAATACTCAAGAGCGGCTTCGACATCTTCAGGGTGAAAGGTATTGCACCACAGCTTTGTGCCCAAGAAAATCTCCTCGCGAGGAACACCACTCTTCTTTATGCCGCGTCCGACTTCGCGCTCAACATTGTAGACCTGCGCAGTGTCAATCAAACGGAAGCCTGCCTTCAGACATCGATTAACTGCGTCTTCCTGGGCATCGGCATCTTGGAAGGTTCCGAAACCGAGTGCAGGGATGTTATCGCCGGTATTCAACTTGGAAGTTGTCGCCCTTGTTGCTAGTCCTCTCGCATTACGGATCGACGACAACTTTTCCAATCTCCTAAGTGAGCTAGAAAATGGGGAACAGCGACGTAGGCTTCGAAACACGACCATTTTCATTAATCGTTACTGAATGTTTCTGGTCTGTGATTGTTTGAAAAAAAAAAATTAAATAAAATAAAAGCGACTGCTCCTCGGTTCGAGATGAGAAAATTGATGAGAAGCTCGCTCCTCTTGTATCTTGAGTACCCATGATTCTACGAGACGAAACATGTACCTCAGAATGGCTGCAGGGGGGTAGATTTGTCTAGATCTGCATAGCACGACTCGTGTCATTCAAGGTCGGAGATGTAGCCGATCTGCATCATGTACCTCTGCTACGCAAGTTGGGGTTAGTCCGTCCGATTGTGGACAAGTTTCAAAGCAAGCTCAACACATTTCCGCTGGGGGGCGAGGGAGCAGTGGGGCGTGCCCTCGAAGCGGGCCATGCGCCGTGACGAGGGCGTCTCCATGTTTTCTCCGCACATAATGTTATATCATTTATGCATAACTGCGTAGTTGTGCACGTTATGGATTAAACTCAGCAATCCATCCTCTGGGGTAGAAAGACCACTTGATACGTAGTCAGAGTCAGGTCTGAACAGCTGAGGTCTTGCGGGATACTAGTCGTATGGGGAGGTATACCAAATGACATCTTCTAGACCAATGGAAGGCACACTTGCCGCTATTGGCGGTGCATTCAGATATAAATCGGCTTGTATTTTTCGTTCAACATTGATTGCTACTGGTGATTAATCTATTTGGGAATTGGCAGAGTCGTCACCTAGAACTTGTCTTTTAAAGGCTGTCAATTCGCCATACGTTACAACTCTTTGTCCTTGGAAAAGGATGTAAACCAGGTAGCTATTCGACTCCCCAAGACAATGCAGTTCGATGCGAAACATCTCAAGCGGATCTAGCACCGAAGACAACCCTAATAATTTTATACGTGCTGTGAAGGATACCTTTACTGCGAGTAATGGCAGTTTTTAGATTGGCATTGGAATCAACATCGCGGGGGATGATTCACCACCCGGAATAAGGCGAGGACAAAGTGGGAGGCTTTCGGAAGATCTATCGTATCAAGGCTTTTGCACGACCCCTGGCTATGCAAGCTACCATCCCGTTTCAACCGAGAGGTAGAAGCAGTTAGACCGTGAATGTCCGTTTCATCCCATCACAAACGGCTTTGCCGGAGATGCGGACGTCGCAAGTGAACCAAAAACATGTCGCATTTGATCAGCCTATAGTCCATTTACCTTAGGAAAAGATCATCAAAACCAGATATTACCTTCCGGAACGCAGAACAAAAGTTCATATTCTTCTACACACGACTCGTAATACAATAAACAAACAAGATATTATCAAAGAGGCGGGACGAGGACGACAATGACAATACTCATCATCACCATCCCTCCATCTCTGCCACGCCACCACCTCCACCACCACTGTCGATCTGCCAATTCCGCTCCGTATAAAACCCACAATTGCCACTAGCGCACGTAAAGAAATAAATATGCCCCTTGTCAGGCCCCGCCCGATCTAGCCTACTAAACTGACCACATCTACACAGCGGATTCTGTTGGTAAACACCCCAATCATCAGCCCACCCACGGAAATCTCCGCATCGATTGCATCGGAAGTACAGCCGCCCTAAGTGGCCTTTTCGATCTGTTCGCACGGGGAGGCAGCTTAGAGGGAAGTTGCATTCTCGACAAAGGCGTTGAACAGGATGCTGGAATGGGTTTGTGGGTGCTGTGTAGGAGTGGGTGGTTGAGCGATTTGGTGGACTGGTATGTAATGGTCCGGACCGTGAGGGTCCGGTGTATGAAAATGTGAGAGCTGAGGATTGTGATGGGATACTGTGGGATGCGAAAGGGTTGTGGGCGGAAGAGATCGAGCTTCCGCCATGAGGAGCATAAGGATTCACTGCTACCACCAGATCAATGTTCCAAGTCATAAAAACCCCAATTGTCGGTACATACCATCCGGAGCCCACGAAGTGATGTCGGAGGTGGAATGTTTGTGCTTGCTCTTGCCGAAAAGCCTCCTAAGGCCCATGTCAATGGTTTATGGAAGTCAACAGTAAAGGTGTGGTTATCGAACGTCGCTGAGCAGTAATCAAGTTGCAGAATTTATATACTCACCGAAACCCAGATTGCTGGGAGAGGTATTTATCTACCGGAGTGAGATCCGGTTTCCAGCGGCGGTACTCACTTCTTCTCGTATAAGATGGTCGCGCTTACGGCAGAGAGGGTTCGATTTCGAACTCCGCCACGTTTCGGATACGATCACACTTCAAATCGACTGAGAGAGATTGTCTCCGGCGATGCAGGGCTGTAGAACGGGCGGTTAGTCTACCAGCCACATTGGTTTAGTTGCTCGGTAAAGACTTCCAAAACTGCGAAGAAAATTAATTCACAGCTGATCCTACTTCGGAGTGAGATAACTAGCATGGCAGATTTTAGCCCGCTCGTTTCAGTACTTGTCAAATTAGTTGAAGGACTCACGCATGCTCCTTGACGCCACCAGCGGCAAGAGTACGGAAGCCATTACTTTGGATACAGAGCCTTCTTCACGCGTTGGTTATGGAAGTCACCCGGCCTGTGCAGGGGTCAATACGAACAATAAAAAGTAAGAAGTGTGCAGACATCTGGCTGAGGAGCGTGCTCACGCAAATGCGACCACGCCAAATTAAGATGGCCGAAAGATCGTCGACGGTTCAACCGCGATAGCCCGTTTTACCTTGACAAGAACTTACGTCCGTTACATAGACTTGATCGCACATAGAACCTGGCATAACTGTTGAATATGTACTAGGTATCAAAGCTTGCTATATTAGCCGCAGTGAGTCTCCAATCGGGCGCAAGGTCGGAAGCGTACAATAATTGTAGACAAGATTTCTGGCGATAATCGATGTCCAAATCAGGTAAGATAAAGTCTTTTTCTTCTAGATAGTAGTTGTATTCAAGCTTATAATGAGAGACTTCGACCATGATAATTGGAAATGGAAATCCACACGGAGAAGTTGCGAGCCGCCTGAAACTTTGTCCAGGCACGATCGTGTCGTTGATCATAAAAAGGCATCGGGTATCATAAACCATTAAAGACTTTTTGCCATCTTTTACATATGTACCTGGACATACAAGGTCATTGAGTCCGATATAGACCCTCTATGGGGGTATTACATAGTAGGGAACATCACTGTCGTGCTCAACCTGTGCCGAGTATCAATCTAATAGTACAAATCTACGACGGTAATATACTGGTAGAATGCATAGCTTTATGTGGTCAACTCTATTGACTTGTGCGTAATATGTCTACTACATAGTAGATTGAGAAGCAATGCATGCAATGAGTGCTATTAAAATAGCCAATATTCCAACACTGTGAGCTCTATCTCAGCTGTAGAGTGATCTTGACACCAATCCATATATATCAGGATCAGAATAGTTTAGAGTAAATTTATTTATAGATAGGTTACCGTAGTCTCTTTTCTATTTATCTATTTTTTACTAGGAAGGTTAGCGGTGGTTTTCTTAGCGTTATTTACTAGTAATATATGTTATAATAATATATAAAAGGTTTCATATTCTGTAATCTAGTCTATGAAGTTGTACATACTAGCCATAATCTTTCGAGATGATATAACGATAAATCTGTAAAACACACCTTACATATGAAACATACTCCTCCGAAACCAGAGTGTAAATCTCAGTACGGGAGCCTGTAATAGTAATTCGAACAAGAAGTGTTTCTATGAATTCTATCGGATAAATTTGAACGGGATTCGTCTGTAAATACCAACTTCGCTGATGAATATTCCTGCATCCCTTGCCCAAATTTCAACGGAACCGGGGACCTTGCCTCTACTTCTAAAATTCAATAAGCCGCGCCTCTATTATTCCGAAATCCGATTTCGGAGAGKCTGCTGGGCGAGATATCGCCGCAGATTGTCCGCTATAAAATCAGTGCAACCCTCCGGTCTTCCTCCTGCTGCATGTGGGGAGAGGATAAGATTCGGTGCTTTCCACAAGCGACTAGACTCTGGGAGCGGTTCGGTCTTAAAGACATCTAGAGCAGCGCCACCAATTTCGCCATTTTCCAAGGCATCGACTAGCGCGTCCTCGTCAATGGATATTCCACGTCCAACATTGACAACCCACGCATGCTTGGGCAGCAGTTTGAGTCTCTCTGCATTAAGCGCGTCTCGCGTTGATTCGGCGCCCGGTAATATCATGACGAGTGCGTCCGTTTCTGGAAGGAGTTCTGGAAGTTTATCTTCTGTCAAAACCTCGACACCAGAGCGTACACCAGCGTGTCGTGCTACACCGCGTACGTGAGAACCCAGAGCCGTTAAATACGGAGTCAATTTCTTCGCGATGTTGCCAAATCCCCAGATAAGAATGCGAGCATCGCGTAAAGTGGTGAAGTCACTTCGTGGGTAGGACCCGCCAAGGTGCCCTGGCCATTTCCCCTGGAGTTGATAGTCTCGCATTTCGTAGAATCTTCGGGCGCCACTAAGAAGCAAGCCTAGAGTATGCTCGGCAACAGTCCCATCATGGAGACCAGATCCAGTAGTGATAATTATTTTAGAAGTGTCGAAACCGCCTGCGAGGACGTCATTCGGGCCGGCAGCGAGTGATTGAATCCATCGTAGATTTTTCATACGTTTCGCAGCGTCGGTGAGATTCTCCGAGTTATTGGACCAAGTCACCATGATTTCAGCATCAATTAGATCCTCAGGTATGGGTATCTTGACATCGTAAGGATGAAGGGTGACCGCGAAGCCTTTGAGGCTCTGGATGTCAAGTTTGAGAGAGGTGGGGTACAAAAGCTTCATGGTGAAGTTCCTCGCCAGCTAGCAATAATATAAACATGCAAAGTCTAAGATATGGGAGGGATCAATCACCAATCGGTCAAGAATGTATCAAGTTCTTGCTTTTGGGTAAAAAGAAAGATTTGAGCGTTTTGAAAGGCGAGGGAGATTCAATGCTGATGATGTTGTGAACAGCGTGCAGTTTTCACCTTCCCCGCAGTAATGCGGAGTCCCCAAGTCCAGCTGATTCGACAATGAAGGGACACTGGAAAATGGGATCCGACTATAGTTCAATAAAAGATTGTTTGAAAGTTCCGGAAAAAAGTCCGTTACCTACAGTATCCGCAGTTTCTCGAAGCAGTTCTGCATTTTTACCTAATGATAGAGCAAACCTTCGAGATCAGATGTTCTGAAGAAAATTATCAGCACCTATTATATTGTGGCGGATATCTTACTATTGACTATTTTAAATGTTGATGGCTTGGATAATTTCATCCACGAGTATCTGCATGCAAAGGCATCCGGCCACTCTCGGCAGAAGTGCCGATTGAGTAATCGAGCGACTGATCACATAAGACTGAGGAAAGGTGCTAGTCCGACTACTCAGGTCGCTAATTCCTCCGTTCATAACGACCAAACGACATATGGTAACAGGAATTATGGTAGTAACAAAAACCTTAAATGGTACTTTAGAACATGTGCACTCCCTTCTTCATAGTGCTCAAGTGATATGCATTCTGCTGGTAAGTTAAGGACCAAATCATACCAGAAGGTGATATAGGCGCTGATCGATTTACGAAATTCATCTCAACACTTTGTTGCTTACCAGCATTCATCTCTCATCAAAGCTTCAGGTTTTACATGAATACAAAATGTGATTCAGAAAATATAGCAATTAGAAGTAGCGTAAGTCTACTTTGATATCTAGTAATCTTTTGAGGTCATTGATGACAGAGTTTGGATGCATTGTTGTAAACATGACAATAAATGATCCGAGAAAACACATTGAAATTCCCATATGCAATGCACCTCTATGAAAGAACCACTTATGGTCTATAAAATTTCAACAAAGAAGGAAAAAATAGTAAGCCAATGCTCACCTCCGCTAAAGCACAAGTTCATCGCCAAGGTTCCAGATCCTACCCAGTAGGCAAACAAGCATGCATGTTGTAACTTATATTTACCAATAAAGAGATAGTATCGCTAAGTTGCGGTTTAGCTCTTGGACTTATGCACGAGCTTCGTGATGCTTGTGCCATCGTCCAGAACTTCCACCTCCTCCTCTAATGTGTAATTTCCAAATCGGGGAAGTAGGATCGTCCAAATATACCAGTATAGAATGCCGAACAAAATGCTAGAGACGAAAAGTCAGTCTCAAAGGTCAGAGCCAAGCAAACTCCGGACTTACATGCTAACGCCCACAATTGCATACGTCGCGTAGAAAAAGTCGACATCGCCCTTCCAATCTGGCGGAGGGAAGAATGGCGCGGCGAGAAGGGCGACACTAGTCGCGATTTTAAGCCACACGGCAGGTAGCCAGGCTTTGAAAGGCCGCTTCAAGTCTGGTCTTCTACGACGGAGCAGTACAAGTCCCGCTGCAACAGCCAGGCCGAATATCTGCCCGGGATAACCTTCGACGTCCAGGATAAAATTGTACACGGCTCCTTGTGAGGGAAGACCAATCACTAACACAGATGGAATGTAGTGAATTATTAGTCCCCAAAATGGGGAGTTGAACGGCTTTGAGCTGGATATTATCCTCGCAAAAGGTAAAAACCCCTGTCGGGCAACTTCTTGATTCACGCGAGCCTATACAACTGATCAGAATAATGCTCATACCGAAATGAAGGACCGCTTACCAAAGCAAATGTCACAACCATGACATTAGCAGCCGCCGAGACGGCAATCATCAGAGGCAAGAAGGTCCTCCCCCATCTAGGACCGAACGCGCGCTCGAAGAAAAGAGCCGCAACTAGCTCACCGCTCTGTTTGATTTCGTCAAGTGGTACAACCAGAAAGTAGGCCACGTTTGCTAGCATATACAACAGGCACGATGTGAGTAAAGCTGCTAGGCTGACACCACGCAGTGTCCGTACTGGATTCTTGACTTCGTTCAAGACGTTATTGGCGTTACTCAAGCCCGCATAGGAATAAAAAACTTTGAATAATGAAGTCGAGATAGTATTCCAACTCCAATCGGAATCTGCCCACAAATCCTTCCAAAGGTCGCTTTCCTTATTCCTCGTAAGTGCACCAGTAAAATCTTCCCCTTGATGGAAGAGTATTACATAGATCCCGCTAAGTGCCATAAAGACGACTAGGAAAATCTTGACCCATCCAAGTGCATTCTGAATAGCGATACCAGTCCTCATGAAACAACCATGCACAATCGTGATCAAAGTCAACAGGCCAATGGCCAGAATCTTATTCTGAAGGTCGCTCGGCACAACATTGAATGCGAAAAAGGTATATTTGGAGAATATAATGCAATTACTAGCCGTAAACCCTAGCAGAACTGCTTGTACGGCCACCAGCGTCGACGCTAAAAAACGCGGATACCGATATGTGAACTCCAAATATACCTTGTCACCTCCGGAGCGAGGCAACATACAGCCATATTCGAGCGATACAGCCAGACCACAAGCGGAAAGAATGGTTCCTACCACCCAGAGTGATAATGCCAGTCCTATACTGCCGACAGACTTGACGATGGCACCCGGTGTTGCGAAAATTCCSGAGCCGATAACACGAGATATTACCAGGATGTACGCGCTGGACCATGAGATGTTTCTTCCATATGTAGCGGTCTCGGGAATAGTATCATGTTCGACGGATCGGTCTGGGGCGTCGGGGGAAATGACATTGGACGAAGCGGATGATGATGGGGAAAGCAGAGGCGTGTGTTCCGATGATTCAACGTCCGACATTGTGTTCGCCGATGCAAGCCTAAAACATCGAGAATAACTTATTGTAGCGATCTGACGACTGACGGTAGCATGTTTATGGCAGCGAAACCATGGCACACGCAGTTCCTGTATTGCCCGGTAACCTGGATCGTGATTATAGAGATGAGGAACTCGCTGATTAATTGTATTTGCGAAGTCATGTTGTGGCAGCATGGGCGTTCTTGTAGTATTTGTCAACTGTTATCAGCTCTCGCACGCCATTCTCCCGACGGGTGATGCGAAACTCCCTGTGACTCGCGATTATTAATTATCGACGCGCAATACGCGACTTCCTTGCATCACATTGTGGTGACGTTCATTTTCAATTTGTCAAATATTGCGAAAACCTTTACTGATGAGCAAGCGCATGATCAGAGGATATGCCAAGACTATCAAGTAAAAGTAGGACGTGAGAATCGGCCGTGATCATAACCCGAATTAATCGGCGATACTCTGTTCAAAGAATAAATGGCCATCGTAAATCATTCCGGTACTTAGGATTTCGATCTGAGGCTTGTGTTACGAGAAAAATAAGTCTTACATGAAATTTTGGCCATCGAAACCAACCTAGAATTTCTTAAGGCTGCGACATACTATCCTTAAATAGGCAGCATGAGAGACCGCAATGGACCGGTAGCACTTATTTACATAGTAAGAGACTACTAAGGTCAGATAATGGATCTGCACAAGCTGTCAGCCTTGCTCCGCTCGAAAGGTCACGTACCTTACGTGACTGGCGGCCCCTACAGCTGCTTATGTAATTCTGCGAAAAGGACGTTATGTTTTTCTATGGAGAATGTCTCGGTCAGCTCCAAAGTAATGTATTAGGCGGGAAAAAAAAACGTATCACGATTTTCAAATACGACATTAATATTTTCGTTGAGTCGAATGCCGGGATTAAATACTACTACTATCTGCGTAGGATGAATCCCTCGGGTTATATCATTACTTTAATAGCATACATAGCATATCGTAGTGTGGTTCATTCCGGGATATACAATTTTAGAGATGTTAAATCCACGCCTAGTTAGGCGTGTGGTACGAATCGGAGGAGGGCATAGCTGCGATGTGCATTACTTTAGCGTGAGAAGGTCGAATGGATCATTGGAACTTTTCGCACTCTATTTGTACAGAAAATTCGCCATACGGCAACATCAAACTAGTCACCGTTGGCGATCCTGGTCTTCATTAGTGGTAGTAAAATTCCGCACACATCATCCCTTTCCATGAAGACCTCGACCAGCCTAACACCGCTGCCTTTCTGGATGCTTTCATTCGACAATATCCGCTCTAGGTCTGACCAGCTTCTAGCCACAAAATTATTGTTCACGGAGTGGCTTTCATTTGCGCCGAAGAAACTAGTAGCTTGAGTATGCCTCCAAACAGCGACATCATTGTATCGTTGAGTTCGGCCGTGAATGGCTCGCTCGATAGTGTATCCACCGTTGTTGATAACGAAGATGATGACATTCAAGTTCTCCTTGATCATTGTGCTGATTTCTTGCACGGACATCTGCAGACTACCATCCCCAATGAAGAGAAATGAACGCGTTGTATCGTCCTTGGTCCGGTCTCGTTGCGCCAAGGTGGCTCCTAACGTGGCAGGAAGCATGTATCCGATGGACAACCAGGTGACAGCGTTAAAAAGACGTGCATTTTTGGGAACTGAAAAAGCCTGACTCCCATACGAGGAAGTCCCTGTTTCCGCCAGAATCAAATCACCTTCTTGAAAGAGGCCATTCATTTTCTCCCAGAAGTGTTCTTGTGTGATCAGTCCAGATGGATCCAGAGCTTTATTCGTTCTAATCGAATAAGAAGGACCCTCGACCTTTGCAATGCGTGAGGCATCCAGACTGCTGACGAGGCGGTTGAGGAAGCTTTTAGATACGTCTCGGTAGATGTCGTCTCCGATTTGAATAGTGTTTGGTGAGAATGCGACTGTAACTGCTGCGTTAGGCAATGCTGTGAATATCGAAGTGTTGGTATCGCTGTAATGAGGCCCAATGATAATGATGAGGTCGGCAGTATCATGGTACTTTTTCCATGATGGGTCGCCAAATTGGCCAGTGTAAATGCCATACACGTTCTGAAGCTGTTCGTTGATCAGAGCCCTTCCAAACATAGTGGTCCACGTCGGCCAATTAGTCAATTTGACTAAGTTCTCAGCGTCGGTCGATATACCCATTGCCCTAGTTTCCCCATCAACTATGATTAAGGGTTGTTTAGCTCCATATATTCTTTCCGTCACCTGTTCCAAGGCCACTGCATCCGACTCAGTCTGTCGTCCCGGATCAAGTTTGATGACATCTTCGAGATTCTTGGTCTCGACGAGCACATCGGGCATATCGTCTGGCACCTCAATGTAGACTGGTCGACTGTGCAAGATCGCCTGTTTCAACACCCAGTCAATCTGGTCCGGGATAAGTCGTGGATCTATCAAATTCGCTTGTGCAACTGTCACATGTGTGGCCATACTCGCAAAGTGCCGATAATCTCCATCTCCAAAAGTATGATGCACAAAGATTCGAGCTTCCTGTTTCGGACGTGGGACTGAGCCCACTATATGAACTATGGGTGCCTTCTCGGCAAAGGCGCCTGCAATTCCATTGATTGCCGAGAGCTCTCCGACACCATAGGTAGTGACCAACGCCGAAAGACCTTTGATACGAGCATACCCATCCGCGGCATAGGCACCATTTAACTCATTGCAGTTGCCTACCCATCGCAGACCTGAAGGCTCCACGAAATCCAATAAACGAAGGTTGAAGTCGCCAGGCACGCCAAAGACAGTGTCAACACCCAGCTGGCGGAGGCGGGTGAAAAGATAATCTGCTACTTTGATTGACATTTTTCTGTGAAAAGCCTGAAGGGAAACTGGAAATATTATGTACGTGTCTCACATGGTCAGAAATGGGGCTAAAGTTATTAATATATACGAAATAACTAAGGAACCGCGCGGGGAGACGTGGGGTCTGTTGAATCCTTCTGATTGGACTTCCGTTCAATGTGTCATACATGAGGGGATTAAGCCGACAATAGCCGGGAATCTACCTAGGCATGGACAAATAGACAACGCGGTGGTGAAAATGGTTCCTGTGCAATATTTCAATGTGTCGGCCAACCCGATTCGTATTCTGTGTCCCGATCTGGCATCAGAGCTAGGGCTATAGCCTCTCAATTCCGATTAAGCATTCTTCATTGTCTCTTTATATATAAATGACCTATGAAGACTTTTCCATTCAAACATCTCTTTGGCTCGCATGATAATCTTAAAGCTATATTGCCAGACGCGATGGAATGTGATGCTCAACTCCTTTGGCCAATTCCAACAACGCCTGTTCGCGGCAATCCTAGCTGATGAATTCCATTCCAACGGGCAACCCATCTTCCGTGAACCCCGCGGGAATACTGATTGCTGGAACTCTAGCTTGACTTGCAAGTAACGTATTGGTGGGAAAATCCCAGTAGGTGTAAGTCCCATGCGCACTCGTGAGACAAAATCAGTCAAATCTGATTCAAGTGGCGACACAGTTGCAATCAAGGTCTATACATCGTCACTTTCCAGTATCGCCTCCTTGTATGTAGGATATCGGGTGGAAGAGGGCAGCCTCCTCTTATCACGTCGATATGACCCACCCTGTCAACGCCAAAGCCGTGGGCATCTTGATGTAAGTCTAGAATCAGGATGTCTGACGCATTAGAAATATCCAAACCACCCGACTGGGACGATTTCGTCCTCTAGAAACTGGACGATATTTCGGGGTATTGTAGCCTCACCAACACGAGGGTTGGAGCCAGCTCATTCAGCCTTAGCTAACACACATTGCGAACTAGATGGGATCCTTCGATCGCACTAAATTCCAATTGTATCGCACTATAATCGATCAAAAGTAAGCACTGTCTAGGGGGTAGCTGTTGGCCAGAAAATCAACCTTGATTTTGCGCCGTCGACAACGAGCGCATGAGAGTATACTCTTTTGGCACTGACGTTCCCCCATGTTGATCTGTCTTCACATGCAATACCTCCCTAATGAGAGAAGGAATATGATGTACGAATGTAGCTTTTGGAGCTTTTGATTCTTCGAAGTGCAGCGACGCGTGCATTTTGCGGCGTCTTAAGTATGTAGATGAGAATGAAGAGGACTAAATTGCGGCAATCTCCGCGAAAGACCCCGACCTTTTCTTATCATTCGGTACCTACTTATTTGCCGGTAGTGGTTGTTGATTAGCCAACACTAGCTTGATACAGTAAAGAGGGGTCCAGGTTGAAGATAAGGTATTTTCCAACAGAGAATCATATCAAAAAAATATCGCAAAGCAAGAAGAAAATTCTTTGGTCAGTCAAAACAAGAGCTGTCGACTTCATTTTTCGGCAACAATGGCCACACAGTCGTTACAGCCCAACGACGTAGCCGGGTTGTCGCCCGGATACGCAGAACTCACAATCAATGCCGAGCGATTGATAAGTACTCTGGAGAAGTCCTGCTCGTGGGGAAAGTAAGTCTGTCGCAGTTATTCTTGAGTAAAGTCGCTAATGCATTGAACGTATAGCACGCCGGACGGCGGAATGAACCGCCTCGCTGCCAACGACGACGACAAGAAAGTTAGAGACTGGTTTATTGCAGAGACCGCGAAATACGGATGTCACCACAAGATCGACGAAATGGGGAACATATTTGCCATCCGACCGGGAAAAAACAATACTCTACCACCAATCGGGTTGGGGTCGCACTTGGATACTCAACCGACTGGCGGAAAGTATGACGGTATCCTGGGAGTGATCTCAGCGATCGAAGTTGTCAAGGTCCTCCATCAGTATAACATAACCACATATGCACCAGTGGCTGTGGTAAATTGGACAAACGAAGAGGGCGCTCGATTCCCACCTGCCATGTTGTGTTCCGGAGTATGGGGAGGAGAATTTACTGTTGACTGGGCTCATGCAAGAGTGGATCCTGAAGGTCGTACACTCAAGGAAGAATTGCAAAGAATCGAGTATCTTGGACCAGTTCCATGCTCATATGACGCCAACCCGCTCCTTGCTCATTTTGAAGTACACATTGAACAAGGGCCCATACTCGACCGTGCAGAGCAGCCAGTTGCTGTAGTCAAAGGCGTGCAAAGCATCCGATGGTATAATGTTCAAATTACCGGACGAGAAGCGCATACCGGAACAACGCCCATGGACAGTCGGAGCGATGCTCTCCTTGGAGCAGCGAAGATGATCGTTGCTACCAACCAGATCGTCACCGAGGGCGCCATCTTTGAACGTGGCGGTCGTGCTACTTTTGCAGTAATCGATAGCCTGCCGCAAAGTATCAACACCATCGCTGGGAATGTCCGTCTTGGGCTTGATATTCGCGCTCCCACCGACTCTGACGTAAAATTGATTGAATCCTTGTGCAGGAAGCAATTCCAGGAAATTTGTACTAAGCATGGTCTCAAGATGGAGATTGACAACTTTTGGGTTTCGCCAGCTTTGAACTTCAACCCTACCATGGTCCAGTGTGTGAGGGACTCATGCGGCTCTGTAGGTTGTGACAGTATAGAATTGGTCAGTGGAGCAGGCCACGACAGCGTATATACAAGCAGAAAGGTGCCAACAGCTATGATCTTTGTGAGATGTCGCGATGGGGTCAGTCACAACCCCGCTGAATATTCAAGACCAGAGGAGTAAGTGTCCCGCTATTGGAACGCATTTTTTATATACTGACGCTCTGGTATAGTTGTGCGGCTGGTGCTCAAGTGCTTCTCGGAGCATATCTCAGATATGACGAGCTCATTCAAAAATCTGTTAAAGCGAAGGCTTAATTTCTCATTCGTTGTGGTGAAGTTTCTGGTTGGATGTGGCTAGCGTTGATCTACCATCATTGGGTAGAATAATTCACTATAGACAATAGAATTATTCCCCTTCTTATGAAAACTTAGGGTCCTTTTCGTGGATTTTACATAAGCGGCTGTAGGGGCCGCCAGCTACATCATATTTCGCAGACCACGTCTTTGGTGCTGGAAGTTTGAATGGAACATTGTTCAAGGGATATGAGGGATTTGAAGGAATGAGTGATGAAGCAAAAACAGCCGGTGATTTCGACTTATAGAGATAGTTGAATACAATAACGATGACGATACATTCTATCTGCTAAAGCAAAATTTTGTAGGTAGACATATGTCGAGATCGCTGAATAAGGAAGTGCTTTAATACGCACCAAAAGAAGTAATGGCCTGCGACAATAGTGGATACTGAGAACAACTGAATTGCCCAATTCATTCACAAGGATTAACATATAATTTAATGGGCCTTAGTGGTTATCAATCTGGGGGCTCATCCCCACATCATTCATAGACGTGTTGAATGTTGGGTGAGCGGACATTACCGCCAACATCAACTGTTGAGTAGGCGCAACCCTAAGGAGCCCACTGCGAATATTGAGGTTCGCCGTGAGATAGATAACATCTAACATATATGCTGAGAATATTGACGCGTCAGACACACTATAGAAAGTCAAAGAGACTTCAAAATGAATGTCTAAGCACAATCTCGCAGATACACGAGGCCTATCGTGATGGCACTTGGACTTGTGAAGATCTCATTCGAGCATTTCTGAATCGCATGGAATTGGAATAAAATGGGCTCGTGTATCAAATCGACGCTTGCTATTTCTGACGTCGCCGTTCAAGGAGCCACAGCTCTTGATGATTATTTCAGAGCAAAAGGCCAATTCATGGGCCGTCATCACGGTGTTCCAATACTTGCTAAATATCCGATTCCAAATAGAAATGCTTTTGTTGTCGAAAAATAAAAAAGCGAAAGCGCAATGATATTTGGAAAGACTACGATGGGTGACTGGGCAACTAAATGATTCCCAACTTCATCTGCCACCGACTGAGAGCTGGCAAGAGAGCTGCACCGCGAGCGGGATCCATGCTGTGTCCAATGACCTCCTTTCCATCGCAGAAGTTTCGTTTCAGAACCTTGTCAGCTTTATCTAAGTTTTGGGCGTTATCTATGATCCGCAGACTGTCGTTACTGACATCTCTTATGCAGAAAACACTTTAATTTTAGTGTGTTATTGCCATGCCCAAAAATCTTACCGCTTGAGCCGCCGAGATTTTGTTGCTATTGTGCTGGGTTCCTGGCGACATGATTTTGAGCGCGAGATCAGGTAACAAGTGGCGAATGGCATCCTGTACTCTGGTCTCATTTTTGGGACTATTTGCCGGGAAACCTTTTAAATTTATGCATTAATTTCAGCAATATGTAGAGCATTGCAACCTTGTCAGCCACAAGGTAGTAAATCCCATGATGCATGAACGGCGTGTCAACTTGAAAATATCAAGCTTTCGCATGTGATGAGCTCTAGCTGGGCAGAGGCTAGATACTATTAACTCATCAGCATCAATGCTAAACGCCGTCGCAGTGAGCTACCTCGTATTCTGTAGGAAAGCAAAACTCATTTCCTATTCAAAGCACTGTATGACAGACTTCTTAACCAACTAGATTCACTACCTAGCGTATCTTGAAGAAAAGAAAAGAAAAAGAAAGAAAATCGAAACACTTATCGGAACGGGATATACTCGCAGGTTGCTTCTCGCCAAGAAACACTTTGTTCCAGTGTACGGCGATGTATGGCGATGGAAATTCGCAACTTTCGTTGGTTGACTAGGGTCTTTTCGCCATTCAGACCGTGCAGAACCTCAGATACAGATACGTACCCGTGCTCATAGTTCGCTAGTTGATGATTGGCAATCCTGTGAGAGTGATCTGCAGCTAGATTCTGTTAGCTTATCATAGACTCAAATTAGGGCGATGAGCGCGATGTCAGTCGAATCTTATCGCGGCACGGGATACCTCTAGGCCCAAGGGTTCTCGGTCTCTTTTCCAAATGTAGTTAAGCATAGGATGCTAATACTACATACAAAAACCGCAATCGAAGGCCAAAATAACGTCTTCGTGGAGGCATCCGTGGCGTTCACCGAGACTCAAGTGCGACAGAATGAGGAGTAATGATCTCATTTGACAAATCACAGGTGTTTTCTAAGTTAATATACAACAACTAAGGAATCAATCTAGTCTTCATGCTTACTATGTAGGTACCAGTAATTAGATCTGGTGGCTAGGCTCAGTTCCGAATCTTAGTCTAAATCCGAACCTAACCAGTAATAGAAGGTGGTACCTTTCACTCCCATATAACAAGAAAGATAACGACCTTCCACAGAAATCATTGGGCATTTGGGCTAGGAGAGAGTAGCTTGAAATGAATTCTATTGGTTATCAAAGTAAGCTTATATTGACTGATTGGGATGAGATATGGCCTCAAAAGCTTGATTAAAGATGCTCATGTGATTGACCTTCCTAAGTGTAGAAGGTAGCAGTCTGTTAAATGAGTGGCGTCTGACTATACAGAAAAAGATCAGCAATGGCTTCTAAATCAAAGTGCAAACAAGCCAGAATTCAATCCAATTGGTTTAATTCAGGCCTACATGTCACCTTCCCTTTTCGAAACCATGAATATTCACCACCAGTGTTGTGACACTGAATTCTTGAAGCATATTTCATGATGAAAGTTTTTGGGTATATAAGAGGTTTCGTTTCGCTTCGTTAATCGACTTTTGTCACTCTATTCTTCACCCTTCTCTAGACGTTGACATTGACTTCTACCCTTCTCTTTTTCAACCATGATCTCTTTCATCACCCTTCTGGCTGCCAGCGCAGCCTTGGCATCGCCTATTGAGCGCCAGGTTAACACTGCCGTTTTGCCATTGAAGCGTGTTTCAAACTTCACGTCGGTCAAAAACGTCGTTAGCAAAGGCCAAGCTCGCCTCAATAAGGTCAACGGTGTAGCTGCCATCAACGCCGTTTCTGCCGTTAGCTCTGGTTCGGTCACCAATGAAGACGTCAGCTATGTTGCTCCAGTCACAATTGGGGCCACCACCTACTCCCTTATTGTCGACACTGGATGTATGTTACTTTTCTTAAAGATTTTATGATTTTTTACTGACTCGCCATCCTGTCTAGCTTCAAACACCTGGTGTGGTGCTCAAAGCTCTTGCGAACCGAGCTCCACCGGCAAGAGTACTGGTGGTACAGTTTCGGTCAGCTATGGTAGCGGCTCATTCTCCGGCAATGAGTACAAAGATAAAGTCAGCTTCGGGGGCCTTACTGTCTCATCACAGTCAATCGGCGCTGCAACCTCATCCTCGGGATTTAGTGGCGTCGATGGAATCATCGGATTCGGCCCAGTCGATCTGACTGAAGGTACTGTCTCCAATGCCAACACCGTTCCAACCTTCTTGGACAATCTATACAGCCAGGGCTCTATCTCACAGGAGGTTCTTGGTGTTTCATTCAAACCAGAAAGCGGAAGTGACACTGATGACACCAATGGAGAGCTTACCCTTGGTGGAGTCGATAGCTCAAAGTATACCGGCTCACTTACATACTTCTCTAAAACAAGCAGTGGCGATGCTTCGTACTACTGGGGCATCTCAATTGCTAAGTTCACTTATGGCTCAACCACCCYTGCGTCTTCTGCCTCGGGCATTGTCGATACCGGCACCACGCTGATCTACATCCCAACCTCAGCCTACAACAAATTCCTCTCTGCTGCTGGAGGCAAGACCGATAGCTCATCTGGCTTGGCTGTATTTACCACTAAGCCAACTTCAAACTTTGGTATCACCTTTGGTTCGACTACATACACCTTGACACCGTCGCAGTATTTGGTCCCCACCGCCCAGTATAGCTATTACGGCCTGTCCTCCGGCAAGTACTACGCCTGGATTAACGATGGCGGTAGCTCTGGCGTGAATACCATTATTGGTCAGAAGTTCTTGGAGAACTACTACTCTGTCTTTGATACTACCAACTCTCGCATCGGTTTCGCTACCGCGGCTTAATTGGACTTGGAATATGAGTTGTCGGGTACGTACAGAGAAACCTCATAGCTCGTTTTCTCCGTGGAGACAACCACTATGTCGTTTTCAATAAACGCCTGTATATATCCTGAGTAAGCTCACACTTAGATCAATGACATTACATTCACATACCCTAGATATTAGAACCAAGTATAATAGGACAGGTTGTGATATAAGAAGAGACCGCACATTCAGGGATATGTTGTAATTTCTCTCTTGGGACTGTGTCCTGTTATTACGCGTAGGCCGTTGTACCTAACTTCATGATAGCCTAACCATGATCAATTGCTAGTTGTCGTTTGAAGACTTCAGCATCGACATCAAGTGATATTATGTACAACACCAACATCGAAACAGGAATATACGCTGTTATACCAATCGGTGACAGCAATCGGTGACAACACAGACAATTTGATTCTAATCATTATGTAGGGACGTTACAATATTTCCAATCCATTTTGTGAGTTGCTGAAACTATATCAAGAATCAATATTGTCTGTACAGTGACCATAGCAACCGTACTTTTTTTCACGAAGAGCATAATCATTTCCAAGTTCCAAAATGTAGCCGCTATGTTAAATATATGCAATAGACTAGACGTCGAATACCGTCCTCATGAATTATCATTCCTGTGCTGAGCAATATTTCTCTTCATTTTGACTTGGTTGGCAAATTCGCTTCGGCTTCAACAAAAATTATTCGCTTGTTCCTCGAATCCAAGATCTTTGATTGTGGCCTTTTTGCCAGGATAGTTAAAGGGTCTATTTCCTGCTACGACCTTCCAGAAAGTGTAACCAATATGTCGACAATTATTTCAAATGCTGGTGCTGAAACTCTATGATTTGAGATCCTTTAGGTATTATGGTGCATTACTATTTTCTACGGCGGTTCGGCTGTCCATGCCAGATATCTAAGAGAAGGGTATGATACTAATTGCCTTGAGTAACACTTCTTGGATCAATGGCCTATTTCTTGTTGGCAGAAGCCCAATTATCCACCGTTTTCTGGAAATCCGGGTTGTAAAGCCAATTCAGACCAAACCCCTCCCTAACAAAGCCGCTACCAGAATCAGCCACTGCATCATCGGATGGCATTCGATGGGGGTCTGGTGAGCTTATACGAGCCGTCGAGTACTAAGCTTTTCGATTGAAGTCGATTCGCGCTTGAGAAGGCTTGTTTTAATTATTTAATAGCGTACAACCAATCAAAACGAGTGAAAGCAAAAATAAATTGCAACAGGTATGTACTGTCTAGCTATTTTTCATACTGTACAGCCCTCAGGGTTGATTTAGCCTGAAAGGAGACATTGAGGAGTGGATGTCAGGTGATGTCGCACGTACTATCGACAAAGATTTGAGATTTGAATTGAGTACGGCACAAAACTGCAAGTAGAAGGAAACACTTGGAGCCAGATTGATCACATGTATTCGAAATTGCACATTTTTGATACAGTCTTTGTGGGAAGCAAGAGTTTTGTGACATCTGAGCAAGGAATCACATCCTCGGGTCGGATTATACGCTTTAAAAAGGACAAATCCTAAGACTTTTGATATACTCAACCCGATCCTCGGCGTTTCAGAGTTCATGGAATAACGATTTGTAATTCGCTGTGACTGGCAACGTTCTATTCAAACTTCCATGCCTGATGTCTTTTTGTCAGACAATTTGCGTCAGAATTGGTCGTAGGAGTCATACTGTGTTGAGTCCGACCGTGCGTGCTGTCACGACATAAATCCTAGCGGGATGGCGCGTGAGTTGGATGCAGGGAGATTATGCCAGGTCATGACAAGCTAAACTATTGATCTTGTTCGACTTCAATTGACATGACGTCAAGTTTTAACAGCATCGTCAATGTTGTACCATCGTTGATCCATTCCGGCCTGCAGTCGTGCTTCCGTATTGAATGGTCCACGAATAGAACCTCGAAAGTACTTTTGAACGTTACTGCGAAAGACTTGAATAGGGTCCGTTTCTTCTTGATCGCAAATCCAAACCAACCATCTATGACCTGTGGTAACATGGGTGATCTCGTCATGATGAATGATCTCCAGAGCCTTGACACTTTCCAAATCTCCTGATTTGCGAAACTTTTCGATGGTCATCGGATTGATGTCGAGGCCACGGGCTTCGTGAACCAAGGCAATGATGCTGATTCGGGCTCTGATATCATGGGCAGTTCGAGTTGCTGATTCCCAAAGACCATGATGTACCGATAAAGCACCAAAATAGGAGCCTAACTCTTCGATCCTGGTGCGGAGCAGCGAGAAATGCTTCGCCTCATCATTTGCCACTTTCAGCCAGTCTTGGAAAAAGGCTCGTGGTAGCTCATGTATGTTCTGTTCCGTATGAAAAGTTGCAAATCGAACGCAAATATCAATAGCAAGGTCGATCGCCCATAATTCAATGTTCGCTAAAGCGTGTAGCATTGCTATTCTGCTCTTCACCGTACCTCCCCGTCCATGATACTGGGATTGCCAGGGTTTGACTTCTGTTAAGCCCTGTCGAGGTGGCTGATCAGGGGGTACGACTGTCCCCTTTCCTAATGCCATAGGCGAAGAAGATGTCTCTTGGTTGTTGAATATGGTGTATAGTCGATGAGTGAGCTCGATCTTGCGTTCTGGATCTGCAGTTTCAAGAATTTCTACAGCCCAGTCACAGAAGGAGGATGTTTCATCCAAAGAGCGTGAAGTGATTATGCTAGTGTTTGTTGTTGTAAAATTATCCGAATCTTGATGGTGCTTCAGCTTGATGTTTTCGGAAACAGCCTCGAGCTTGATAAGCCTCACATCATGTTCGCCTTGTGTGTAGTTCAGAAACACGGTCTGGTCTTGAATACGAATAGGATAGGTGCATGTCTTGATACCCACGCTAGATTCACCAGTCTCCACATTGAAGTCGTACGCATGCCATGGACATGACACGACATAAGCCGAATCTTCTATATCTACGCTTGACTCTTCCATTGGGCCTCCGGCATGTGGACATTCTGCTTCCATGGCGTAGTATGACCAGCCATCTGAAGATTCGTGGGGCTTCTGATGGGATGAGTCGATTGATGGCAAGCGGAAGAGCACTAGGCGCTTGCCATCAGACAGATGGATCACATAGCGCGCGTTGAGGAGCTCGGATAGCTCCCCTACCTTGATTGGCATTTTCCTGGCTAGAAACCAATGGCAAATGTCGTTGGAAACAAAACAAAGTGTAGTAGGAAGAGTGAAGAAGAAAGAAAGACATAAAACATCGCGGGCCCGGGCCGACGTTTTCCCGGAGTTTCTGGCGCTAGACCCAACTGGGACGGCCAGTGCTTGCTGCTCGATAAAAGACGACAACATCTGCGGATGCTACACACAATCAATAGTCCTGATTCATTATATAGCTGAAAGGTACATCATCGTGCACAATTGATTATCTGTTTTCGAACGTACAATGCAGCACATGGTTGGAGCACGGGGGTGATACCGGCACTGACAAACTTTGTCTTGGGTGCGATAGCGACAGGACTGAGGTTTCAGACTTGGTCTATCAAACCAGAACCTGGGGATGTCTCTTGGACTAGGGGTGCGTTGGATAATTCGAATAGCCATTAAATGTTGGCTGGACGACTGACCAAGGGTCACAATTTTATGGATATGTTGAGATTCCTTCTGGGGCTTTGGGTAATATCAGCATGCCGGTACCCAGTTCGAGCAGCTCGGTATTGCTTGATAGAGGCTTTTGGATGGCGAGGCTATCAATGAATCACACGCCACATTTGGAGACAATTATGTGACAGTGCCAGTATTGGGCGCAACTGTGAATGTCACGGTATCGTGATGATTCAATAGAAATTGGGTACTCTATCTTCATTTCCTGTTTCCCTCTCATCTATGTTGTAAGTCCTATACTGAACTTAAATGAAATAGTGATAACCTTACATAAATGCACAAACCATGGCCGTGCCATTCTTTGGGCTTACTAGTACTAACATTTCACTACTGCCAGGGAGTAGTCTGATTAAATTCCACATAAATTACCTACAATTGCAGAGCAAGCATATGGATACATAAAACATATTGGCCCATTATGACACCATTGCAATTTTTCATTGAGTCTAAAAGTGAAGTACATAATGCGTGATAGTCTATCATAGTATGCAATAAAATATGTACAGATGTAATCTGTGTCCTTCAATCCCTACTGGTGTGCCTTCTCGATATCATTTAAGGCCTCGTCACTTGCACCAGTACCCGCCAACTTAGCTGCAACAATGTTGTCGAGCTTGTCATCGACGGGAATAGTGAAAACGGCTGCGATGATGGCCATACCACCAAAAGCGATACTGGCAAGGAAGACGGTGTGGAAAGAGTTTGAGTATGCTGTCTGGACAGCGTTGGCCACAATTGCGCTGATTTTATCGGTCATCCCGGGGACGGTACTGATGGGAAGAGAACCGGCGATATCCTCCATGAGAGTGGCGACTGATGAGGCGGGAAGACCGGCAGAAATGGCAACCTCTGGAATCTCACCCAAGTTGACGGTGAGACGGTTGGTGAGGATGGCGACATAGATAGCAACTATTTGAGAAGAAGTGTCAGTGACACTGGATGAAACCTCCATGCCTTCATATCAGGTAGACCACTTACCGGCAATGGTACCTGCAACCTGTTTTGCGGAACCGAGGAAGCCACTAGCAAGACCGATGTCCTCAGGCTTGCAGTACAGCGGGCACATGATGAGAGTAATTAGCTCGAGGTAACCGACAAAAAAGCCACCGACGGCAGTGAACTAATTTAGATGGTCTCAGTATAAAATGTAAATTTAATGTACCAATGGAGGCAAGTTTTACCGCAAGACCCATGGCCTGTGTATTTTGGTTGATGGCAGCCAAGGCTCCGGAGAAGGCCGTGATGGCCACGGTGATGAAAATAAGCTGGTACTTGCTATATCCGAGGGGCTTCATCAAGATACCAGCAGCGATTTCGCCGACAATAACACCAGTTCCGGTGGAGACCTGTACAAGGAAACTTATGTTAGAGTCGTTTCTGATGAGACTTCTTGAAAATTGAATATGGGAGCGTACCGAAAGCCAACCAACTTTGATAGTATCGGTGGTGTAGAGAGCGGCAATAGCCTCGGGCCATAGCAGACTACAGGTGTCGTCAGTATCCTAATCATTCAGAATCTAGGGAAATATCCGTACCTCATAGAGAAATACACCATGTTACCGACCAAAGCAGAGCAGACAGTAGCACTGTAGCCACGGTTTTTGAGCAAAGACATGGGTAAAAGGGGTTGCTCCATAGGAACAAAGATTTCTACGAATGGTCAGTGGACAGGTCACTACAATAGCGCAAGTCAAAAAAGGTACCGTAGAGCACAAAAGCGATCAGAGCAACGAAGCCGACGACTAACGAGGCAACGACGTGTCCGGAGCTCCAGGCGTATGACGAACCACCCCAGGCTTCGGTGATGTTAGAGACTGTCTTCATAATGGGGACGTCTTAAAACTTACAAAGACCCAAGAGTACCAAGATCAAACCACCGGCGTACAGCACAAATCCAATATAATCGAACTTCTTGAGACCATCCATTTTCGATACACCCTTGTGCTTGGTATCCCAGCCAGGAGGGAAGTAGCAGAACACCAACAAGACGACGGAAATACCACAAGTAATGATGTTCAAGTAGTAAGACCAGCGCCATGACTTTTCGGTGTTGGCAATAAAGAGCTGGGCAAACAACCCACCGAAAGCAGCAAATGGAAAAGTGGTAAGGAAGATACCAGCGTTCACGGCCGGACGAAATTTGTTGGGAACAAGCTCTGCAATGACGAAGGAAAAAGTCAACTGTACAGCGGCAGCCAGACCACAGAGAGCGCTGCCACCAATGACAGTTGGGACATTTTTGGCTGTAGCGCAGACAATTGCTCCAATCAAACCGAGGAACTGTCCACCGATCAAGAAGTAACGACGACCGAAAATGTCACCAAAACGACCGACGAGAAGGACAGCCACCTTTTGAAGTCAGTATGCAGTAATTTTGCTTTGTCTTGGAAGAAATAGAAAGAACGTACACCCGAGATCAAAGTGAACATAGTCGAAATCAAACTGTAGTTGGGGTCGGGGCCTAGGTCCTTGTTGATGGCTGCCAAACTATTGACCTACAGAGCCTGTCAATTCTTCTGTGCTGGCAAACTGATGATCATTCAACATGATCGAATAGCTTACCGGCATGACATAACCCAAATACAAACTGATAGCCATCAAACAGACAGCAACCAGGGACCCGATGAAGTTCTTGCTACGATAGTAGCCATTTGGCAACTGATCGAAATCCATAGCCTCCTGTGAAGACGACATGGTTGGGGTTGTTGGCACCGAGGTGTCTTCAGCAGTGACGGTTTTGGTGTCAGTCATCCTAGAGATGAAAAGAAGTAGATTGATTTCCTGCCTTATGCTTCAGTTTGCAAGGAGATATGGACTGTACGGTCAGACCCTTGCGTCAACGAACACGTGGGAAACACGACCGAAAAAGCAAAAGTAAACAAAAAAAGGAGCAGTAGAATTTGAAAGAAGACCAAAAGTGAAGATCGCTACCTGAAAAGAAACAACGAGTGACGGTAGTTGGCGTAATATAAATTAAATTTGGCCAAGCCGATAACAAGTGCCTTGACGAGAGGTTTGGTGTAGAATCTTGGATGGAGTCAATCGAATCAGTTTGCTATTTTTTTAGTCTGAGCTAGTGTTTGGAGGCGTTGCAAGTGGGAAACTCTGAAGGGACTTCTACCATTCTGGACCCGGTTCAAAAGACTTACTAGTTGAGCGATTAGGCCGGGTCAGAGTCCTCCAGTTTTTTAAAGAAAGGAAAAAGCGGCGCATGTCCGCTCCGTAGGTGCAGGAAATGGAGTAGATTACTGCCCAGAGGATAGCTGATAAGTCGGAGCGAATGGGTAGTTGGGTACACTGGCCATGCACCCCGTAAAGAAAGAACGTGGCAATCGGAGCAATTTCCAGGAGCGTTTAAGTTCTGCAAAAGTGCGTGGCATATCAGCTCTCTCTGAGCCAGTGGGAGGTGAGAATGTGTGTACTGCGTATCGACTAGCAGGACAATATCACCCAAGAGTTTTGGTCGACCCACCTTGTGTTCTGCCATACGTTGAGGTGCATGGTACTAGAGACGACTAAATGGCTAGGTTATGCACTTGCATCCATGGTGTACTGTACAATGAAGAACTAACGACTCGAGATGTCGTGCTAAGCCGCTTCAGACGGGGTTTTAACTTGGTAATGATTAGTGCAATGCTGAACTACGGGATTTGTGCTTTTCTGGTGTATCGTGCCATCAGTCAATAGTTTCAGCAAGCCCCGGAAAGTTGCCGCGATGCTTTACGATTCTAACAGGAGTATTGTATCCTGAGTAGGTACTATGTCATATCTAACTACTTAAAGCAGTTCCAGAATGAGGGGACTCGATCAAACAGTATCATCGCACGTTGAAACAAAGCCCCAACACATGATCTCACAAGGATCGTTTCATTATAAGACACTCGTCCTTAAGGACCGGGGTTTCGATGCACCGGTTCGGATGTAATTTCGATCTCGGAATGAAGCGCAATTGTGGCGTGCATCGAGAATGATTAATTTACGGAATGCGGAATCCGGAAAACGACCGATTAATCATACAAATGAGATTTCTGCATCGATTTCCTGACTAGGCTAAAATGGTTAGTAGTATGTTTTTAGTCATCTATTTGGTGGCGTTATTCGCCCAAACACAAACCCACCAGGCTTAGGAAGAAGACTTAGGAGGGCGGGATGGCGCCCCAAGACGGTCTAAGCATGGCGGTTGGTGCCGGTGGCTGCAATCCTCTGCCGCACTGGAACCCACTTCATTTTCCTGCCCCGTTTTTGTCTCTCGCTTAGTCCAACCATCTCGGTCAGCCAGCTGGCTGGGACCCAATGGMTTCTAGCCTTCATTATGTACATAACTTGTGTTGGCACTAAGTGAGGTACGAAGCGCTATTAGATCGAATCATACGATTTAGAGAGGAATCTTCGTTTTATGGTCGACTAGCAAAGTAGACTAGAAATTAAAAAAAGAGCAGAAAGAAGCGCACGTGGAAATAATCGGATCGAGTGCACCAATGCAGTCTACTAAGGAGTTTGCTAGGAGGAAAACATGTCGGCTGTATTCTCGTATTCATGAGACAAATCAGCATAAGATTTTGTAGAGATGTTCGGAGTCTCATAGTAAATACAAAGATTTCTAGCGGAAAAGGTTTCAATACTCATGAGACCTGAAGGAGTCATTAATCATACTGTACAGGTGATGTATTATGTACTATTTCTTGTTTTCATTTCCAGTAAGTCTACACAAAATTCCTAAACGCCCTCACGCCAATCCTCCCCTCCAATCCTCAAGATTTTGAGACCCTCCCAGAACAAGACTCAAGTACAAGACCTTAGTCTTCTTGGTTCCATGGATGAAGATGAGGGTCCGTCGGTTTGGTCACTCGGTTCACACTTACATCAGTGGTAACTTGAATACCCACTGGATTATCCGAAATGATGCGCTCCTCAGATGTGTTCCTGCTGGCTTCAACGTTGGTACGGGTGATGGTGCTCATTTTGGTGTGGTTATGGGATTTCCCATTCCATGAGCGAGGGTCTTCTGTACGCCGACCTGATGCCCCATAGAGTTCGTACTGAGGACCGTAGCTGCGGCCACTAGAGAGACCCAAAATGTGTTTGAGAGAGGGGAAGCAGAAGGTGATCAAGGTCTTGAACGATGGGACGCAGGCAATGAACACGCCGACACCAATCTCCACAGATGACCAGTTCAAAGGGTTAACAAGTGTCCCTGGAATTACGTTAGTATTCTTTTCATGGTTCCGTAGACTGCAGACGAACGCACATGTATGATCAATCGAAAAGTTGTTCAAGTAAGTTGCTCGAATTATACTTGTCACCACAATCCTGTCATTCGGTTAGTGTTAAAGACCTTAAGTCCGGCTCAAGATCAAGCACATACATAAGACCCAGGCCAAACATGAAAACCAGGCCAAGACGCTTTCCGAGTGGCATGTTCAATCGAAGCAATTCTGGAAGCGGGAGAGCGAAGATAACCAAATCAGTCGCAAGTCGAACGGCGAACGAAATGTAGTAAAAGCTTAGAAGCGAGAGACATTTGCCCGCCGCACTTCCACTGGCATCCCACGCCTTTTGTACAGGCGAGCACTGGAATATAACCACAAAAGTCTCTTCAATCCATTCGGCGGTAACGAGTACGATCAGACCCCAACAGATAATGCGAAACCATCGGCCGGGGAATACTTTGAGATAGAATAAGCCGAAAGAAACTTTGACTGCCCACAGAGCAATGAGATAGGTAATCTCGGTCACGAAGTCTAGCTAGACATTGAAATGGGAATTAGCGATAAGTTTCGCGGTTAGTACAGGGCTGCGCTATACCTTGAGGAACATGTTCTGTTTGTATAAGTCATTTTGAATAGTTTGATAGTGATGTCCATAGCCGTAATTTGTCACTTTCATCATTGTCAGCGCTTCATATCGTCTGAAAAATGAGTGTACACTTACTTAAAATGCACACCAAACATTCCACAAATGTGAAGATCTAAAGTCGCGCGGCAAAACTTGGTCAGTCGACATCGGTGTGAATGGTATTCCAGGGTAGCCAGTCGTACATATCCAATTAAACAGAAGATATCATCCCAGCCGATACCAGACAGAAACCTTGAGCGCACAAAGAGTCTCACACCAATTCCTACTCCACTGCAGGCGATTAGGATCGCATTGCAGACGATAATGGATTGCACTTTGGATTCAGCCAAGAATTCAGCTGAAGTCTCGTCAACCATCTTGTCCGGTTACCTCCTCTCACGTCCCCAAAATTGGCGTATGTGAAGATCGAAGTCGATGAAAGGGAGGAGTCCCTCTGAAAACAAAAGAAATAAAGATTGTGCTGATGAGCGGGGGGTTTCAGGGTTTAAGTCTACACAGAAACGCAGGAGAATCTCTGCACATCTGTGCAGTGAATGTCGATCGATCTCAAGTCGCCGAAGAACTCTCTAGTTCAATCGTAGTTCCAGATCAAAAGGATGGTTCTATGATTTTTAGGGCATGGTTAGGATGAAATATGAAATTAAACGGGGGTTGTGGTAGTATCAGATGGAGAAACCTTACAGTGTTTGGTATCAAATGTCCTAAACCGATCTAGAAACCTCGCCTGCAGATTTTGCGGTTCGCCTCCAAATATTAGTAGGATTGGAACTTGCATATGCTAGAAGATCGAGTCCTCATTAATAATTTCAATCACAGATCCAATGGAATTACAGCATGGGTTCCGCAAATATACTAGATCGCACCTAATTCCATTGGTCATATGTTGTCGTTTAGCTTCACGTACTAATTTTGGTTGCTTTTTATTCCTATATCCGTTAACAGTAGTGCTCCGTGTTCCATCCTACGGGTTTTGTCTTCCTCAGCTGCCCTGGTCGGCGATATGCGTTTCTTCGCGCTCTTCGCTTAAACAGCTCTAGAGTCTATTAGCACCGACGGAAACATCCCGTAAGTTTGCAGTGGCTTGTCTGCAAGGCTTAAACGCCTTCTATAGTAGATTTAGTAGATTTATTAATATTATTGCTTGTTTTCTCTTAAACCCCTGACTTACGCGTGATTAGACGCCTTCAAGCAGGAAAAACGGCCGGCTCTGATCTTGGGGCCAGGGACGAGATATTGTGGCTTCTCTTGCGCGGCTCGGATCTAGTCGAAAGCTTTTACTCCATTGGAGTTAGTGTAGCCTACTAGGATTTCATCATTATTTCCGCGGCCATAAAAAGATTACATTGATTACTGGCTAGTCGGGGTGGTGAAAAGATAGCACCAGGTAGAATGAAATACGATACGGGAATTAAACCCATGAAACCAAGTACGTAGCGGAAGGCTCCTTCTAGATACCATCTCATTTCTCATCTTGTGTCCTAGAATATCAGGCAAATAATCCGTCCTGATGACGCTTGAGAAGGCCGAATGCCCACGGTAGTCGAGTGGAGACCCTATTAATGGGTCGGGTTCCACACTTTAGCACTAAAGTAACTAAAGTAACTAAACAATCACCTAAGTGGGTTCCAGTTAGCTGAAATCAACCCCGGCCTATAGGCCTACTTCCTCGTGTCTCCATCGAGGGAAATTGGGTTTCTTAGGGCCAAATTCTGGGTCCATTGATCGCTTCTTCAACCAGTGTTCACGCGATCCAACAGGCAGGAAGCAGACCCGAAATTTCTTCGAGATGTAACCTCAAGGTTCCAATTGGAAATACCGTATGAAAGTGAGTGGACTTTAAGCTTTGCCACTGAGGGCTGCCAAGGCCACTTATACTTTCGTGCGTACTCACCATCAAATAGAGAACAGACAGAGTATGGAGTACAACCCTGGAGGGAATGCCCCAAAAAACCCTCAGACTCAAAGCCCACACTGCACGGTGACTCGGCGACTGATACTAGGCTAGGATAGGTAACTTGTAGAAAACTCTCTGCAAACTTTATCCCCGTCTTGCGTACGTAGTCTCCGTGGTGTTTCAAAGTGTAACGAGAAAGAATCTTTGTCTACCCTTATACGAATTGAAAGTTGGGCGTGAAGCTTTGGAAACTTTACGGAGCATTTATGAACCTTATATAGAATTTTTCGGAAGCCAGGCCGGAGTCCTGGGGGTGAGCGTTCTTGGTAAATGACGTCGAGAATTTATCAGTGTAGTTGAAGGATGTAAAATTGCAAGCTGCTGCAAGCAAAAGGACTGCTCGACAAAGATGACACTACACCGAGAAAACCGACTAATACCAATTCGATGAGCACTCCCATTTCAATGACCAATTCATTTCGCTCTGTGAGACTGTGACTGTGGACGCGTACTTACATGCTGCAGTCTAGATGGTTAGCTCAGGTCGATCACAACTGAGCCTACGGAGTTCTCCGTATTGCCGAATTAGGAAAGAAAAATCACGCATCATTCTAATCTGAGGGGAACAGCATTCCATCCTAAAATCCACTATGGTTTTCTCCTTCGTTTTCAATTTGATGAATCCGATATGAGTTTCCCATAGTGAGTTCCAGACTTCAAGTATGCTAACAAGGTGTTGGCCGGCCGGTGTCCACTGTCCACGTCGATATCTCTACGAAGTCTTCGATCGCGGCTGGTGTTCAATTGCCGTAAATTTCTCTAGAAGAACTAAGTGCGAGTTAACAATTGCACTGATATTAGTGAGTATCTAGTCATTTTAGTGTCTGTATCCATTTTCACCACTTTCTATCCCTTCTCTACGTCAAATCATTTTCATTGTTCATTAACGCCTCTCGTAGCCTAGGCGTTTTACACTGTAGAACTCGCAACTTTTCTGTTCTCTTTTGGCCGGCAGTTCCAGCCCGTTCCATATAGATTTGCTGTTCGTTAGCTACAAATTGTAAGTCGTATCGTTTACATAACTGTCGTCTTTATCAACCCATTCAATTTAGACTGTGCACCAAGTAATTGTTGACTTCTCCTGCATGCTAACTAACCTCGATTAACCCCTGGCCCGCGAACGCTTCCTTCAATCAATCAGCTTGTTCTTGAACTAACTCTTTGTGAGAGAAACCGCATAGACTTTTCCAACCATGGCCGAGTCACAAATCAACACTACTGGCCATCACGCCGTGGTCTTTGGTTGCTCTGGTATCAACGGTTGGGCCCTTGTGAACCAGCTGCTATCCGGATATCCATTAGCTGGATCTTTCTCGAAGATTACTGCGATAGCAAATCGCCCCTTCACCGCCCACGAGGCAAGGTGGCCCGACGATGATCGTCTGCAGATCGTGTCTGGGATCGATCTGTTGGCCGGTGATGATGCTCAAATCTCGAAAGCTTTGGCCGACAATGTCTCCTCCGTGGAGACCGTAAGTCATATCTACTATGCAGGTAAGGATTAATACTTTGAGGTCTCTTCTGTTGTCTTTCAATATCGATTGACGCGTGTGCTAATGTCGATCATTTAGCATATCGGGCTAGCGACGTTCCTGCAGAAGAATGCCGCATCAACAAGGAAATGCTTCGTGCGGCCGTGCAAAGTATTGAATCTCTTTCTCCTAAGCTTTCTTCTGTAATCTTGATCACTGGCACCAAGGTATACTTTTTACATTCAACGACTCGAAAATCTTACTCCCTTACCTAACCACTACTTCCGCAGGCTTACGGTGTGCATTTACTCGACAAATTCCCCTTTCGAGGACAGATACCTCTAAAAGAAGATTTACCTCGTATACCCGCTGAGTATGCCAAAGACCTGTTTTACTATCATGAAGTAGACCTACTTCATGAGATCTCCGAAGGCAAATCATGGTCTTGGTGTGAGGTCCGCCCAGACATCATTGTATGTTTCGCATCCTTCCTAATCTTGATGCAGGATGTCATGCTGAAACATCATATAGGTCGGCGTCGCCCCCTTTGGTAATGCCAATTGCATGGCTCAGACAATGGGCATTTACCTCGGATTGTACCGTGCCCTAGAAGGAGAGGGTGCTCGCGTCCCATTCCCCGGCAACGAGACCAGCTGGAAACTTACAAACACCGATTCGAATCAGGACATCATTGCTCGCTTCTGTATCCATGCATCATTACAGCCACGCGAAAAGGTTCACACCCGTGCCTTTAACATCGCAGATGGTGCGACTCCCGTTTCGTGGTTGCAACGATGGCCTATTCTCGCGAAATACTTTGGTCTGGAAGGTGTCGGTCCCGATAGCTCCAGCCTGCATCCAACCGAGTATATGGACCGTCACTGGGGCGAGCTAGAGGCTCTATGTCGCGAACAGGGCCTTAAGGAAGACGTCATTTACAGAAGCATGCATAACACTGGTGCAAGAATGGGAAGTTTGCGATTGATGGATTTCGATCGTCCATTCGATCTAGGACGAGCTAAAGCTTTGGGATTCACAGAGGAGATAGACACGGCGACTTCTTGGTACACTGCCTTTGATAGAGTACGCAAGGCTAATATCATGCTGTAGAAGCACCACACCTACGGTCTCAGTCGTAGTCACGTCGTTATTTGAACCTCATGAAGGATACTCTGGAGGCAATAGATGAGCCACTGTGCATAAAATATAGAATGAATAAGATCTCTTGCATATACATCGTTCTTTGTAATCGGGCCATCAACTGAATATCGTCTCAATGTACATAATCCTTTTCAATTCCTGACCACTCGAACGTAAGCCCTGTTGTAGGTAAGAAATTGTTGGTATCCAGGTATAGATGCTGTACGATTATCCACATACGCGTGATCGCACGTTAGATTCGAAACCACAATTTAATTTCATCTAGGTCTGTTACTACTTATCAGTTTCGAAGGTGATACGAGCGAAGCGCAGATTAATGTGAACTTGAGACTGAATATGTCCGCAATTAGTTTCGGCACGGAGATGAATTGTCCAGGTATGCCCTGCTAACATATGGACATGGAAAGTTTGATTTTTGATGCTTGTCTTGCCTTGTAATATCTAGTAGGGTCACTGTTCATGATAGTCAATATCTTGCATGAGTCATTTGCGTTCCATCGTCGAGGATGACCGAAGTGGTCCCTTGATGTCCCATAATATCTATAATGCAAACCTACCTACATAAATAGGTACTTCCATTGGGTCCAAGGTTGATCCTGGGTACTGTTGAAACCTAGTTTGGGATTTCTATAATGATGTACGGTTAGCTATTCTCGGGGACACATCATGTTACGATTGTGTTGATATTTTGCCTATCAATGACGCTACATAAGCAGCTAGAGATATAAAATCACTTTGCCCGGCGTAAAGTGTATTAAACCCGACCCAACTATCTTACCACTCAAGACTTTGATCATCAGTTGCAACTCATGAATAACACCCTTCAACTCGCACAGACAATCTGAAAATGTCTCCATACTCACCATCCGGTCTAATCATCATTTAAATCAGACAGAAAATATGCCTCTAAGCCAAAGGATGTTATGTGTTTATGGCATGGCGTAGATTGCTCTTTGGCAATAGAATCGTTAAGAGACTTAAAGGGCGAGGCGTCTCCATATCCTTACTTGAGAAACCCCTGGAGTCTGTTGACGTGGAAGCAGCTGTTCTATGGCTTTCAGTCAACAGAAAATTGACCCGTACATTTAATAAGTGATGACTTTTCGACCCTTCCAGATTTAACTTCCAGCGTCGTCAGAAAATCCGGGATAGGAAGCGCTGCTTATGGGTAGTGCGACCTGCGAGCGTTGATTAGAGTTGCTGCTTGATTACTTCCGTGAGCAGACTGTCGCAAGACTTGGTGACGGTGTTTGTAGAGTGTAATGCCAATACAACATATACATGAATAAATTGACATCCAAAGGTGGCCCTGACAGCTATTCAATGCCAGGATACGGTCTGCAGAGTCACCAATAGGCAAATAGTAGTCGAGCCTTTGAAGCTCGTTGATGAATCTATGTACAGTCCATGCGCAATGCAGTGATGACGATATAATCGGAGTTACCAGCTCGAATATAACGCAGGCGGATTGGCGCTTCAAATAAAGACGAAATCTTAGCAATCTCTTCTCGAGCTTGTACTTTGGCAGCTTCTTGGGCGGATAACTGGAAATGATCGATGAAAAGGCCAGAATTATCGTTTAAATTTACTTGCCTTTGTACACCTGGGAAACCCCGGCATTGGGGATGGCAACAAAGCACGTTCTCAGAATAAAATGCCATTCAGGTAGTCTGAACCAAGTCTTCTTCAATCATATTGAATCCAGTTGTTATCCATTGGTGGAATACGCCCGGGCTCCTTCGAACAGCGTTGCGTTGGACTTGAGCCAATTGGCAATATGACATCCTTGAGCATATAAACATGGTAACACAGCTTCCACGTTCTCCTCGGATATTCCCAGCCACTGACTGGCTTTCTGATGTCGACAAAACACCTGCAACGTTTACCATCACTTCTTTAGTCCTATAAGCAGCCGCCGTGCGGATATCTGTAATCCATTCAAGATCGACATTGTAGATATTCGTAGCAGTCTCTATAAAAAAAATAGGAAGCTAGGAAATTCCATCAATACCTCACGTATGATATCTCCACAATAGGGTTTCTCGTCGGAGACTTGGACTTTTGGGAGGCCTTTATCATTCGTCGAGATATCCTGTAGATGTAGAGGAAGTTCTTGCAGGGCTTCGGGTATCCATGTAGCGCATCTTGGTGGGTATTCTATGATGTTTTTGATTGCCAGATCAAATTCGCATATAAAAAAGACTGCAAGCCGGCGTGCGATATGTAATGACCTTTGCATGAAGACCGCATGGTGACTCCGTTGCAGTGGTGCTCTATCTCGATATTTAGTTTATAATCAAGATCAATCTCTCGCGGTACACTCTGGAATGGGCTATATGGTTCCAAAAATTTCCATTATGCGAGTTCTTCATCAACTATTACAATGAAAGATGCATCCGCGGTCTCCGGGATAACAACCAGCGCATCGAACATACAAGATTCCGAAGTCTTGCTATTCTTGCCCCCGCCCCGTTGAACAGCACATTGTACAAGTCGTCGAGGGGGGTGTCGATACCGTTCTGCCAACGCGGTTGCTTCTTGGATATATCTAGTCATATCTTTCTTGCTCGTTAAATCCAAAACAATTTTTCGATGCACCGTATCGAATAGAGGATCGATATCTTGCTCCCGTAGAATATCATTTGCCGCGATCACTGGAAGAAGGTCGGCTTGAGAGCCACGGCGTTTACTGTACTAGACAAGTGGAGAATGTGTGGATGAACGTAAATATTCCCAGACGTCCCAATTGTTTGAGTTGTCATGGCGGACTGTAAGGGTGAATATCGGAAAAGCTTGGATACGGGTAGGAATCAACGAATCGATACCCAGGCCAAGGAAAGAGAGATCCTTGTGAATATCCTCAATTGAAATATTAGTATGTTTAATATGAAGGTCACGCGCACACAAATCAGCGGATATGCGTGGCCCTTTCCAAGAGTTAGTAGCCTCGTGCACTTTTTCATTGTCATGATAGCTTCTAAGTAAAGTTGAAAAGCTTGATGTCTTAATGTTTGAAGATACTGGTCAGCATAGGATACATATCATTTATCAATGAGTCCACGTCGTAGACTCGGGCAAAGGTAGGCTTGTAGTCACCGTTGAGATGTAGTGTGTAGGCTTTCCAATCAAGCTCTGCTTCCACTGCGAATGAGTAATTCGCGGATATTTGCTTCTCAACTTCCGTCCAAATTTCATATGATGGTCGGCTATCAGCTCGAATAAAAGAAAGCAGACAATTAACCAACGGCTTACTTGATCTCAACCAGCGTCGAATATGCGTTGTGGGAGTTTGCCGGAATTTGAGACATTTGGCGTCCCTATCTCGGAGAGAGTCTATATGTCATCTAATTTTCACAAACCGGTAGTATTCCGTCCAGTTGGAAGGTAAGTGAAGCATGAGAACAATATCGTATCACCTTTGAGAATGGGGACAGCTCTTCCGCATATTACTGTACCAAAGGTAACATCGGAACAACCGACCGTGTCCAAAACTAAGCAGACACGGTTGATATTGAGAAACTGTCGTGGTTTGAAGCCTAGGTAAGGGTTCCCGAGTCGGCGAAACTGGGTTTCGCCATTTATCTGGATATTGTCTTTGTTAGTAAGGAAAATGGAGGTTCTCTGTCAATTATCGTTTCCCCGGCAAATCGCAGTCAATGGCACATTGATTGCTTCACCATCATATATAAAATGGTACGGACCAATATTCTTGATGTGAACATTGTGTTGATCATCGTCTTCGTGCAGAACTAGCTCAGCAAGCAAGTAGTACAAACAAGCGTCGAGCATCAGTCAGTGTGAACTGAAAATAAAGGTCCAATACCCTAACCCTAGATCATGTGACCTTCAGACTGCTATTTTTAGTAAGAAAGGAGGGATCGCCGTAACATACGGTGTGATACACACTTAATACGCGAGCGTATTGAACTAGACCCAATACGGCTACCTCCCATCGCATTAGCGCTGTCAAAGAGCACCGGAAGCCAACCATGTCACATAATCCCCCTGCTTCCAATACCATCAATCTGTTTCGTACTGTAACCTTACGACTGGGTGACGCGGCCGAATGGCTCACGCAGTTTCCATTTGTCGCTCAGCCTGAAACCCTCAACTTCAATGCCCCTGGTGGGCTTGATCTCTCTCGTCAATCTTGTCAACATCGTCATCAGCACAGCCCCATTTTTGTATGATGAGTCCCAGGCATTTGCTGCGAGGCCGCGTCCCCGGCTATCCGTGCATCCAGCTCGGGCCTATGTATCAAGGCAGAGATGCCCCTGCCTACGACGTCTTACTGGGATGCCTAAATTAGAGCATCTTCGGTCACCCGTTGAGGTCATGCGTTTCAGACAGCGACAATCCACGGTGAAACCCTTTGTCAGACACTCTGCGTTGCGCTGTACCCAATTCAGATTGGCCCAGACGGATCGAGCCTAGCGAGCGCCCCCCTTCTATCTTCTCCGGCAAACCCACGTTGATCCACCTGCAACTGACCTAGAGCACTGCCCTTTCACTCTTTGACCGTGATCTTTGATCCTTGATATTCTTGCTAGACACTACACTCGCTCAATCTATACTTTACGCCCTGTCGCTATACTCTACGCTCCATCTTGAGCATCCCGTCGTTTGTCGATAGATGCTGTTCACCGTGCATCCGAGACTCATCCGGTAGTGCGACCGCAAAAAGAAGACGAATCCACCACATCGCGCGATAATTGATTTCACATTGGMCATGATGCCGAACACCGGATCATGGCGCAGTCGCTCGTTAATATTGTCACTGCTGCTGGCACCAGTGACACAAGCCATCACCATTGATACCAGCAACCGCCGTACGTGATGAGCTTGGGTAACAACCGATCGGGTAACATTGGCTAACTACTTATTTACGACAGAATCGGTCATCGATGCAGCGAGCGAGGCCGCGTATGGTATGATGACATGGTATGCCGGTAACGAGACCGGTCAGATCCCCGGAAAGTTGGTTGATACTTGGTGGGAAGGTGGTGCGATGTTCATGGCTCTTATTCAATACTGGCATTTCACTGGCGACACAACCTACAACGATGAGGTCACGGTGGGTATGGAATTTCAGGCGGGAAATGGCGATTATATGCCATCGAATTACAGTAATTATATTGTACGTTCAACATTCTTGGGCTTCTTACATATCCGGACTCTTGCATTCCTGGGCATTCTGGGCTTCTTGGCGGTGGATCACATCTTCTAGAAGAAGTCTAATCATTCTTGTCATAGGGTAACGACGATCAAATGTTCTGGGGTCTCGCTGCAATGACGGCTGCCGAGCTGGCATACCCCGAAGCTTCTAGCGGTTATTCTTGGCTCTCGCTCGCACAAGGTGTCTTCAACACTCAAATCGCACGATGGGATACCACGGCTTGCGGAGGAGGAATGAGGTGGCAGATTTGGAACTGGGAGGCCGGTTATACTATGAAGAACAGTATTTCGAATGGCGGTCTTTTCCAGCTGGCCGCGCGATTGGCCCGGTATACTTATAACGAAACGTATGCCGAGTGGGCAGAAAAGATCTGGAATTGGACTATTGCAAGTCCGTTGATCGACACTGCGACTTGGGAAGTTGGCGATTCGGTCAGTATGGGCGACAATTGTACGACGGTGGACTCCACACGATGGACATATAATTACGGCACGTATCTTAGCGGAGCGGCATACATGTACAACTATGTGAGTTTCTCCATTTCCTTTCTATCTATCTCTACTTATGTCTATAGACCAACGGATCTTCCGAATGGTTGACCGCGGTGAATGGACTCTTGACCGCAACCTGGGACACCTTTGCATCGGATACCTACGGCAACATCCTCACCGAATTTGAATGCGAAACGACCGAAATCTGCAACCGTAACGAGGTCCTCTTCAAGGGCCTTACTGCTGGCTGGATGGCCTTCACCGCTTTGATCGTTCCCTCGACGTACAGCACGATCGTGCCGAAACTGCAAACATCCAGCGCGGCCGCCGCTGCATCCTGCTCGGGTGACAGCAACAATACGTGCGGTGTGAAGTGGTACACGAAGAGCTGGGACGGCCAGATCGGGCTGGAAGAACAAATGAGCGCATTGAACATCTTTTGGTCGAATCTGATCATGACTACCAATGCTAGTTCGTATGCCCCCGTGACGTCGCGCACGGGAGGAAACAGTACCAGTGACCCTACCGCTGGAACATCAGATTCGTCTGACACGACTTCGACGTTGAAGGCTATCACGACAGCCGATAAAGCCGGTGCTGGTATCCTGACTGCTCTGTTTGCTGTTGCCATTATTGGAGTCGTCTACTGGACGGTGGCAGGCAGTGAATAGCCTATATTCTCGATTCGTCACTTTTGGATAGCCTTTTTCTAATACTTTCCTTCATCTATAGACTGGACTGTCTAGGGTTTTCTCACTTGGATACACTTCGATTTCATTACCATTCCATACGATTTCGGCGATCTGTTGATTCTGTTTATACTGCAGGTTGTGGGATTTGATGTATATTTTTGATTGGATTCATTGTATCAATAGTAAAACAGGTACAGCTTGATATCATTCTCATTATTCACATAATAATCTGTCCGTTGTGTAGCGATACTCTAGGTATCCTTAGCATCGACATGGTGGAGATAGAAGAGAGACCTCTCTTACCTGCGAATATTGCCAGCGCCGCCAATACCAAACCCGACGTATCGCACCTGCTCAACGACCGGCCTCGACACTAAAAGGCGACGTGCTTGTACATCATCGTCCTTATCACTATCCCCATAATTGCGAGAATTATTATTATTGTGTCGTCTGGTAATTGTCCTGCGCCAAGAAGAGGGCGACATTGGCCAGCGAAGGCCAAGCATTTTCGTCTGTCCGCTAGGTCGCTAGGCTGATGAGTGGAGGGGCTGATGATTCCAGACACGAATGTTATTTAGGTATCTGATGAAAGTGGAACAAAAGGCTTAGCATTGCTTGGCTTCCCCGGATTAATGAGTCATCGATTCAATGATGCTTTTGATACAAGAAAGTGGAAGACATACCTATAAATCGTCAGACCAGCGCGATTAGACATATTTACATCCCGATGTACGATACGGTCATACAACTGATTTTATATTTCGTGGCAACCTGTCTAGGTAGTTACGCAGGCGATCACTTGCGTGGACTACATTTGTACTGTAGTCAGTGCTGCGTGTACAATGTGCCGTACACTGTGACACGAAAGACTCCCAGCGCAATAACACGAAGCACTAGAAGGAAAAGCACGATCTCCATCAATCAAACTCAACACGGCAGGTCAAAGCAAGCTGGTTGATCACGGTATGCAATATATATGGAGCTGATTTGACTGTGTGAGGGTTGACATGGGCAGAGATAACATTCGTGATGGTCATTGGTTGATTGTAAAGGAGGCTTTGGCTAAGCTTCGAGGGGATTGGGTTGGCGTCTTTCGATAGCATGGTACGTATAAGCATCATGTTTGTGGTTCGGCTGATGTCTTATGTTTTTATCCCGGTTTGGTTAAGGATGCGATTGGTAAACCATGCTCGTAATGGAATGCTTGGATCTCATTAACAGTACCAGTTTATCTATCGTCAACACATTCTCTATTGCTTTTGAACGAAGCAGTACTTTGATCAAAGGCCTCTTCTTCACGAAGTGGCTCCGATAAGGGTCCAATCTAGTGAGCTAAGCAATACACTAATCAAGTCTGACTCTATGATATGAACCACTGGCATCAAACAATTAGCCGTGAAAGATAACTATTCAAGCTATGACTGGTTCATTGTTGACTTCCTTACGCTTTAGGCATGCTTGACTTAAGTACCCCATACTCATCCTGGTGTCATGCTCTCTTGCGGAATTGACGTATTCGAGCTTTCAAAGAAAGTGAGCTACGCCTGGGGAATATCCTATCTGAGTCGTCATTGGTCCTCGAACTAAGATGAGATTTCTACTCTTATCTCTGTCGTCTATGACTGCTCGAAATGGAGTAGACCATGCCGTGGGATTTGCTATCATATGGTCAAGCACGAACTCAAATCGACACATGGCTGATAGCGTGCCATGCCATGCGCGCGTTGCATCTGGCTAGCTGAGGAGTGCATATACCGTGATAGAGTATTGGCCTAGGTCGGAGTTCGAACTGGTTAGCTTTGTACCTTGACTGGTGTTGTCATCCTGGGGTATATATTGTTCCTGTATCGCGCTGATAAGAAAAAATAATTTCTCGTTTTCGTCATCCGACTCTAAGCAGTAGACTTCAGTACTTACTGCACTGATTCCAATTGATCAGACATTGAACTGAGCACTTGTGGACAGCAGTCATGTCGTCCTCGGACTTGACCAACCCTGCTCCTGCGTATGTTGCATGCATCCTTATATTTATGAAGTTGGCTGATATGATACTGTTTCCGTAGCTGGCTGGACAAAGGCGATCAGGCATGGCAATTGACTGCAGGTACACTGGTTGCGTTGCAATCCATCCCCGGTCTTGCTATCCTCTATGCCGGTTTTGTGAAGAAGTAAGTCTCTTGGTCTGACGTTTTCCTGAAAATAAACTCATCTCTTTCAAGAAAATGGGCCATCAATTCCGCATTCATGGTGTGTCTCACCACTAGGCCACATCGATCCCATTGCATACGTACTGATATTGCAGGTTTTCTACGCATTTTCCGCAACACTAATCTGCTGGGTAATCTGGGCCTACAAGATGGGCTTCGGCGAACAATGGGGCAATTTTCCTCTCGTGGGGGCCCCTGGCCCCGTATTGACGATGCAACAAAATCTGGGCCAAACCCATCTACCAGCTGCCGGGCTGACGACCAACTTCAATTTGTCGACTATGATATACTTCCAGTTTGTGTTTGCGGCGATCACGGTGATTATTCTGGGTGGGTCTTTGTTGGGTAGAATTAATATTTTGGCTTGGATGGTCTTCGTACCACTCTGGATTACCTTTTCGTACACGGTCGGGGCCTTTAGGTGGGATTTTCTCCCCAGTTTGGTGTGATTAGGTTGCTAACGGGTGAGTTGGGTAGTATCTGGGGAGGAGGTTTTTTGTATCAGTTGGGAGTTCTCGATTATTCAGGCGGCTATGTCATCCATCTTAGCTCCGGCACGGCTGGTGAGTATATCAGTCGATCAAAGGAAGTACCTAGGCTGACTGATCAGGATTCACCGCTGCATACTGGCTCGGCCCTCGTTTACAGCGAGACAGGGACTCATTCTATCCTAACAACATCCTCCTCATGCTAGTCGGCGCAGGTATCCTCTGGGTCTGCTGGAACGGCTTCAACGGCGGKGATCCATACGCCGCGAGTCCCGATGCCGGTGTCGCCGTGCTCAATACAAACATCTGTACTGCCATGAGCCTTTTGGTCTGGACCACGCTAGACTATATCTTTTTCAAGAAGCCTTCCGTCATTGGCGCGGTGCAAGGTGAGATCACTGGCCTTGTGGCTATTACGCCCGCTGCTGGATTTGTGACTGGCTGGGGKGCTATCGTCATTGGTGCTTGTTCTGGCTCTATTCCTTGGATCTCAATGAATGTACTTGGGCGACAGAAGTGGATGAAGCAGGTGGATGACGTTAGTAAGTACTCCCCGTCGATTGAGCTAAATGGTTATGATTAACAATCTGCAGTGGGCACAGTGCACACACACATGGTCGCCGGGTTCACTGGTGGATTTTTAACCGGTATCTTCGCTACAATCGACGGTTGCGCAGCATTCGGCTTGACCAATCCTGGAGGTGCCATTGAAGGCAATGGCAAACAAGTCTGGCTTCAGATCGTGGGCGCACTGTTCATCATCGGATATAACCTTTTCATGACTAGTGTGATTTGTCTCTTTATCAAATACGTCCTGCGCATTCCATTGCGCATGTCTGATGAGCATCTCATGGTTGGGGATGATGCTGTTCATGGTGAGGAGGCGTATGCTCTCTTCTTCGAGGGGGAGAGGAGCCACCTCAGTTTGCATGGTGCTGGCTTGGAGAGTGGACAAATTACTGAAGGGCAATTGCCCCATACTAGCCCTACCAGTGGCCATGTCAGCCCCGCCGAGCATTCATCTTCCCGGGACAAGGATGAGGTGAAGATGGATTAACTCCCCGTTGATAGTGGCGGTTTCGGTGCGATGTGTTTGGCGTATTGATTTAAATGTAGATATCGTTATTCATCCAGTAGATACATAGGGAATCTGACATTAGCTACTAATCTCACATTACACCATCGCTTAAAATCCGATCATGAAATGCGCATGGCGGCCTCGGCCAACCTCACACTCTCCATCGTCTGACTCTTAACCACACTAACAATAAAGTTCTCCCCATTGACACCCACCGCATGCACAATTACATTAGCGCCAAAGCCACAATCCCGCTGATCGAGTCCCGCTTCATCGTATTGTGCATAGCTCTCCGTATCGATGCCGTTCGTAGGGGACAAGAGCACACCCTTGGCATATTCTCGAGCGGCGTTATAGGTAAGGAATGTGCCCTCAATATTAATTTCGCGAAGCTGCTCATCATCAAAGTGTGTTTTGACCTGTACGACGTAGTACAATTCGGTTGAGATGCGTTGGTCGTGCTCTTCAATGTTGTAATTCCATAGCTTCGATGCATCTTGAGGCTCATCATCGTCCAGGACAGAATTCAAAATTTGAACTGAAAACGTAGTTCCATCTGGAGAAGTAGCAGATACTACTATCCCATTGTTGCTGTCGTGGTGTACCGTGTACTCTGTGAACCATTCCTTTTCGTAGCCGGCGTCAAAGAGGCAGCTGTAGGCGGCGGTTTTTGCGGCTGCGAGAGAGGTGTATGAGCCTGTAACGCGGAGTTTTTGGATTACGGCGTTGGGGTCCTTTTGAAGATGGTGCGTTATGAGCAGGACGTGGAAGAGTTGTGGGATGCCGTTGTTCTCGGGGCGGAGGATATCTTGAGCTGAAAGCATTTTGTATAGCTATTCTAATTCAAGTCTTTAGAAGTATAAGTTGGTGATCTCAATTGAGTCTGTGCAAAGTTGCTTGTGTTATTTGATTGTTTACTTATTTCTACCCCTCTCAGATTTATATCTATTATACACAAAATGTCGTGCAGGTCAAATGGTGGTTGCTCGTGTCTGCAACACCATGCGATTTCTCCGTTGCGTGATGTTGTTAAGGAATCCGTCCATCCGAACAGCGACATCCAACAGCTAACAGACCACACACCAAAATGGACTCCGAAACGACTCACGAGACACCACCATTATTATTTATCTCGTCCGAATATTATCGAACAAATACCGGTTTTTTCACTACCTATCGACTTCTGATTCAATAGCCGGGGGCACAAGGGTTCAATGAGCTGGACGACGGCGAGGTCCGGTAGCGTGAATAACGTTTGGGATTCGAGTCTTGTGTCATATCTGGCTTGCAAGCTGCGATACCTGACATGTACGTAAATTTAGCCAGGATGGGGGGGGGGGGGGGGGGGGGGTAAAGCATTAAAGATCTCTTTTCCGTGGACCGTGAGCTCGGGGCCGGCTGCGAATCGCTTTTCGGCCGTGGTTGAATCGGCGATCTCGAGCAGAGGATGAAGAGCGCCGGTCGATGACTATTTGTCGATTACCCCGGATATGATTCGAGCAAGGCTATTTACTACGTAGTAAATCAGGTTGAGGTGAACAAGGGAATGCACCTGGGGCTCTTCGGAGTTGTCGGGCCAAGCTACGTTCTGCATGGGAAATCCTCGCCGAGTTATCACCGGCTAACATATGAAAGCCACACGTCAGTGCTCAATGGCGGCAAAATATTCTGAAACGTGGACAAGCCTACCGATCAAATCAATACAATTATTGGCTGGATGTGCTCTTGGTGATGTGTCAACAGCTTGGTCATCGTGTAGCTAACCAATATTGAATTTAAGTCTCTCGCCGTTTGACACGGCGCCTAGAAGAGGCGCTGGACGATTCAATGATACATCGAAAATGCTTATCCTAGCTCTATATGTTATCGACACGCGGTTTTCGTCTCGGCTTTCTGTCGGGTTGCTCTCGGCAGATAAATTTTATCTTCTGTATATGCTACATATACACATTCATAATTAAACTTCAAGTATAAATAGAAGTGGATAGAACCTGAGAATACAGTGGAGTAAAACCATCATCGGAAGCTTCAAGCTCCATTATAATCTGAACATACATCGCCACAGCTTTCAATTGATCTCTATTACTACACGCCAGTATCATTAACATGACGACATTGTATACTCCTCCGTATAATCTTCAAGAACTTTCGATGGCGAACAACGACTTTCTCCTCTATGACAATTCTGTCGACAATATACTTGGTTCAAGTAACAACGCAACGGTGGATCAGATGGAGGACTTATTGTGGAATTTTGATTACACAAATTTCGCCATCAATGATGACGCCGATTCCAAATTGTTTGATACTGCTTTATATAATGTATCGACTGAGGTACGTTTGTTTAGCTTTCTAATTTTCGAATCACAAGCAATATTAATGCAACGATATAGAATCAATGTGACACCGCCAACGAATGGGACTACGCCATGCAAACTTACCTGTCTAGCCCAGACATGAGCACATCATCTCCCTCCTTAACGCACAGCTCAAGCCGGAGAAGTAGCCGAAGCAGCAGCCAAAGCATCAGCAGAAGCACCAGTCCAGCGTCAGAAAGTCTTCCTACAGTCGTCAAACCAAAAAGGAAGCGAAGCCCCGTTGTCAACAAAGCTGCTCACAACAAAGTCGAGAAACGGTACCGATCAAATATCAATGCAAAATTTGCTGCGCTCAATAATATATTGCCTGTATTCGAGGCTGTGCAGAGTTTACTTAAGAGACAAGACGGAACCGATGAGTCGGTGCAACAGCATCGAAACAAGGGCGAAGTACTGAGTGAAGCTATGAGGTATATCAAGCAGCTCGAGGAAAGGAGTCGTGTTTTGGAGGGCGAGGTTCGGATCCTGAAAGATAATCTTTTACCTCGGAAGAGAAAGAATTAGTCTTCTTGGCGAAGACCTATCGTGCTTGTGAGGATATAAAAGTGGCTTTCTTGCAGGAGGCGGTCTGATTCAGGCGTCTTGGGAAAGTGAATGACCAATAGCTTGATATGGTGTACGATTTATGAATACCCGATATATATTGATTTGACAATAAGTGGCATAATGATATCATTTCAAGGACTTAAGCATGTTTTGAAGGTCCTTGTAATCACCAAAAATATCGACTAACCAGATGCTCCAGACGTGCATGTCACGCCTGGACTAACGTCAAAATTTGCACATAAAACTTCAGCCGTGCCACTGGGTGGCTTGACAGTAAAGTCCTCAACATAGACATCGCAAGTCATATCAGCAGAGCAGTCCAAGTTAGCTACTACAGATCCATATTTACCGCTAGTGGTACCCGAGAAGTCATTAAAATAAACGTCTGTCAGCGACGCAGTGGAGGGATACTCCGCACAGTACGTTGTATTGCCATTGTAGCAACTTTGAATCTGAAGACCGTAGTCACAGTCATTGACAGTTACACCTTGATAAGTGATATTGCTGACTGTGGCAGTTCCGTAATTAGGACCTGAAGCATATAGCTTGATGCCGGCAGCTTTGCTGCAACCGCTCATGCTAAGATTGGTAAGATAGATGTTCTTCACGGTGCTGTCGCCGCTCTCCCCCAAGGAGCCAATGCTGACGCCGTGGTTGGTGCCGGCGCAGGTCAAAGTATCGACGGTAGCGTAGTTTGCGCCGGGTTTGAAGGCAATGCAGTCATCCTGGTTGCTGACATAAACATTGCGGATGGTGGTATAAGTACTTGTACCGACATCAAACCCGTCAGTGTTCTTGGGAGCATTGGTGGACTTTGATGAGGCAGTCATTGTCAAGCTTGCATATTCAACGTTGCTGGAAGATCCGGTGTTACTGAAGAACACATTTGGGGGATTCTTCACATTGAAACCGGACATGTTGATATCCGAGCTACCGGTAATGTACACAAGCGTAGGTCGAGAAAGTGAGCTATCTGCTGCAAATGCATCATAGGCATCCTGACCGTTACCATCTATGACACCAGCTCCAGTCGTAGAGGTGATAGTTGCGCCGGTAATGTCGCTAATGAGGATGATCGCCTTGTAGTCACTCCAGTACTCATAGTCATCGGATGCCTTCAATGTACCTTCTAGTTGCAATTCACAACCGGAGCAACCCGTAAATTCAAGAGTACTTCTGATACTATAAGTTGAGCCGGATGGAATCACAATGGTACCACCTTTACCGCATGATGCGATCGCGGCAGCAATTGCAGGAGTATCGTCCTCTGATGTATTGCCATAACTGCTCGGTGTACAGACAGCACGTTTCTCGATTGTTTTTGATGGTGGGAAAGCTGTGCTGCCGGCAATATGCGTTGCAAGCAAGTACGTCAAAGCAAACAATCGATACATGTCAAAAAACTAAACAAGAGTCGAAGATCAAAATTATGAAATTTGACTTCGATGCACTATCTTCTTTAACTTCAGCTACCACATTGCAACGGATCAAATTTGAATTTAAGTCAACACATCATTCCAATCAGAGAGATCTGTTTGGTGGAACATAAAATATCCGTCAAGGAGAAACATTTCATGCTTCAGAACGGTGACGATGATCCTTTAGGCTAATTGTGTCGTTGAAACAGAAAGTTTATTAAAAACGGCATGGCAATTCTCCGTAGCTCGTGTATACGAAACCAAGTTATAAATCTGATGCCGTATAATGCGGGGAGAGTATGATCGCACATGGGATCTGCCTGGTGGTTATATTGAGATGGAATAAATATGCAGGATGACATTACTTTGATTTCCTGCGATATAAGATATACAATGAAATTCACAATTAGCCGGACATTTCTAATGGTGACAACCGAGGATGAGGGCCCGAGGTTCGTTAAAACGAAAATCAAGAATTTAGTCCTGGATGTGAACAATCTTTGCAGTGTGTTCGAACAATCTCGATTGGTAGCTATCATACTCTCTTCCTATATGGAGACTTGATGCAATAGAATGTGAGACAAGACATGTTCCTAGCCCTAAAGACCAATTCATTGTTCGACTCGGAAACATTTTCCAAGAGAGAGTTAATTCATGCATCATGATTGACGAGAATAATTATGTTTATTCTTATCTGTTCGTCGAAAATATCTCTGACCAAGACTAATGGGAAACGGGCATAGTGACACATAAGTCCGCAAGTCCGCAAGTCCGCAAGTCCGCAGTTAAAAAGGGAATCTCCCACCTCAAAACGATTGGATCGCGTGAATATTTCCTCGAATGACAAGAACGTTCGATCAACTTTATATTCAAGATCAGATGGGATTCAACTTGAATTGTACGATGAACTGCACTGTGTTTCACGGCATTTAATTAAAAACATCTCCGCATAGGAGAACACTTAGTACGATAAGTAGCAATGAGTAATCAAGATCTTGTTGGTAATATTCCTGTCTTCAGCTGCATGGTATATAAGGGCCGGTCCCTCACTGAGGAAGGGACCGGAAGGATATATTGACGGATTTCAATAGACCAAGATTGCATGTTCATTCTGAAATAGTGAGTTAATTGAAAATATAAACGCAAATGGCTTCAAATCATCCAGGACAATGTTGTGTGGCCAATTTCCAACATGACGGAGTTCCCAGAGGCCAGTTAGGAAATATTGATGAGAGTGCGTTACTTTTCCCAAAACACCGCTTTATAAGATCCAACAATATAAACAACCATACTGATACGTTTAAACAGTATCTACATACTTTGCCTCCCCCAACACCGATAATGATGCCGCATCAATCTGGTCGGACACCGCAATAATTTTCATCACCGACGTGTTGGGCATTTACATCAATGCGAAACTACAAGCAGATCTCTTTGCACAGACATTCAAATGCACCGTCGTCATGCCGGATCTCTTCAATGGAGGCGCCATCCCGGCGGACGCGTTCGATAAAGGACCCGTTGATTTGAAATCTTTTTTGGAAAGGCATACTGTGGATACTGTCGATCCTATCATTGAAAAGACAATCAAATATCTGCAAGAAGACAAAAAAATACAGAAGATTGGCGCTGTTGGTTATTGTTTTGGTGGGAAGGTGTGTACAGAAATGATATAATACCTCGTCTAGGCTTGCCCGCTGATTGCTGTTTACTTCGCAGTATGTCGTTCGCTTCTTAGCAGAGGGACGCACTTCTGTTTTCAAGGCAGGATACATTGCCCACCCCTCGTTTGTCACCGAAGATGAACTGGCAGCTATCAAAAAGCCCTTGGCAATAAGTGCTTGTGGTACGTATTTTCAATACTGTGAGCACTGCATTTATTAACAGACTGTAGAAACCGACGCCATCTTCACAAGAGATCTGCGGTACAAATCCGAGCACATCCTGTCCAAGACAGGCCAGCCATACCAGATGAATCTGTTCAGTGGAGTGTCTCACGGCTTCGCTGTAAAGAGTGAATTGACGTCTCGACACGAGAAATGGTGCAAGGAACAGGCATTTGCACAGGCGGTGACCTGGTTCAAGGAATACCTGTAACGAAATAACATAGTAGCTTCACTCACAGTCTAATGACCACTCAATGTATAATTAAATGATATGTGTATCGTCTTAGGTCTATTGATTAGGGCTACGATATGTGATTTGAACGATGGGGAAACTTGGAAGAGAGCGAGATAAGATGGTTGGTCAACGCTAACCCAACCGTGTATTGCGTGTTTATTCCTCTACATCATTCTCTTGTCTAATCTCTCTCTCTTGCACTGCCCATGACATGATACGAGTCTCTTTCTCTCTCACAGCCCATAAGGCAAAGCTTAGACACACCAAGCACCGCACCATGTCGACCAGTTCTCACAATAACCGCCCCGTTAGGATCAATCTCCATCCCAGACTCATCAAAGTTATTCCCGTCTGGCAATGCTCTCGTGCCCCGTCGATTCTACATTCGACAAAGCCATTCAAATTGCAACCGAGTGGCATAACATGCACACCTGGCAGTTCAAATTCAGGACTACACACATGTAGTAACTAAATCTAAGTTTCCCAGGCTTCTGCTCAGGCTCGCTGATCCCAATTGGCTGCCCCCTAACGACTCCAGACAGTTTCCCCCTGTTCTCAGCAGTCGCGCGTTTATTCTTAAAGAGCATTTCCAAGGGCCTTTTATATTGTAAGATATCAGACTTCAGTACACATACCGCTTTGAGAATCATTAGAAGCATGTTGGGTATTCCACTATATATTTACAGAGCCCTGGTCTGGCTACGACTAGAAAAAGAAGCAGGGGAGGAGGAGCAATATGAGGACGACGCTGAAATCAAAGTCGAATACACGTCTCCGTTTCCCCACGCTATCCCTTGTATTGCAAGGGATGGTTGAGAATTATGCAGAAGCGTCTTGCAATAATGTTCAAGACTCTTTCAACTGCCTGCTGCAAACCGGACTTCCATGTCGTGTTGCGGATGTGAGATTTGTCAACTTTGTATTATTGGTGTATGTGTGTAAATTATGTGATGACAATTTGATACATATTTTATCAAGAACAGCCAGACCACACGCCTATGCAGTACAGTACATGAAACATATATTCTCGAGCTATCAATATAGCTCCTAAGTCATATAGAGGCATTCAAAGCCCATTCAACAGCGCCTGAAACTACTGCACTATACAGGATGACCAGCTACCTTCCCGGCCGGCAATACTCCTGTACTTGTTAATTTCGTAAAAGACAACATGATGCTCTTCAATTTGAGCGTCCCATGTTTCTGTGATGGGCCTCCAAAAACCTGCAGTCGCGGCCACCGCATCTTTCTCTTCTTCGAGACTGGCATCTGCAGACGAGTCCTGATTATCAAGGCCTCGAACACCGTTTATTCTTTGCAGCCTTAGGTTGAAATGTCGTTCGCGCCTAGCTTTGAATTCTGCCTCCAGATGCGGCCTTTCCCACTGTATGCATGCAATCCAATCCTTATCGACAGTTGTATTACTATTCTCCTTTTTGGGAAGAAGACAATCAACCCAGGCACTATCCCAGTTGCTTGTGGCGGTACCAATTCCGCGAGCTATAGGGACATCTTCTTCCGAAGGGGGAATATGATGCGATCCATGCCGTGGGTCACCGAGAGCTAGGGCTTGCAATACGTCATGTATCCTCTCTTTGATCTCCGGATCAGCCGCGTAGATGCTGGCAGGAATGCGAAAAGAAGTGATCGAGACATGCGCACCGCCGTCCTTGGTCAAAAACAGTCTTGCAAGAGATGAATCAAGATTCAACAATATCGGAACACAGCCTGGTCGCAGATAAGCGTTCAATGGCGATAGATGTTGAAGTGTTCTCTCAGTGTCGATATCTCCGCGCCATGCTACCCGCTTTTAACATTGATTCTTTGGATAATAACATCAAAAATAAGAACTCACTGATCAAAATGTCAATGCAAGAATTGTCTTCCGTCCAGCGACCCCAAAATAATTGCTGAAACTCGGTCTCCTTAGACAAATTGTGTAATATTTTCCCTTGACGAAAGGTCTGTTCTATGGGCGCGTTTGAGGTCAGTCGATACGTCGCCAACTGTGAAAAAAGTCTTCGTCGTTGATTATTAGGGCTCGACATGTTTTGACTTGTTGTTTGCATCAAGTGAAATTAGACTTTACACAGATTAAGATTAGAATCAGTCGACGATATGATCAAGAACAACTAGGTGGGTAGGCTTGACAGAACAAAGAAAGTCGTGGCCTGACAAGGCACCGAAATACCTAATTGTGGACGTGCGATCAGACAAGGCTGATCCGTGTCAGCAATTGTCCCCATTGTCATATTCGGAAAGGTCAAAAATATATGTTTCCAAAATTATCGATTTTGACCCAGTGGCAATCCCTAGAACTTTATTTAATTATAGTGTCTTGCGATGAAAACCCCTCGTTTCACTTTCTCTATGTTGGCTGGGTGGAAGGCCTATGCAGGAACGATGATTCTTTTAGCCCCCATCGCTGCCAAAGCGGGAAAGTTCAGCTTCACTGGGATTAAGGCCCCTGCATTCTGATATTTTGCCACGAATAAGCATGTTTTCAGATTTCTACTCCACCTCTCCGATATATACGTAAGATTTTCAGTTAGAGATCAGCAGGATTGTTGAAGAGTTTGGGTCCCTTGTTTCGGGGTTGGCTCTATGGTCTACATAGTAGATGCCACATGCCTATGACGTATGCAATCCTTTAGAAGGGACGAGGTTATGCTCACACAGTCCTCTCCTCGAGTAATACTGGTCTAATACACACAACCTTAGACTTTCCACTATGAAACTCAAGCAGATCGCAACTGCACACAAGGACAGATTTCATCGTTATCCGGGAGACTACTATCGTAAACAAAAAGAAACAGACTCCATGTTTATACGTGTATGCATACGGGTGTTGGAACTAATCTTTGCAGCTCTGGTTTAATTCCTACCCTACCCCGGGTTAGACAACGAGCAAACAAAAAAGCACTTTTTTCCGATGAGTGATAGGAACAAATTGTGTAGTATATGCTACTTATAGAGGCAGGTCTGTCAACATGCCTTTTTTCCAGTAATTTCAATTGTATGCATTTTATTTGCGGATCAAGGTCCATAAGACACTGTCTAGGCTGTCCACTATCCAACACTGTGAGTGTGCAAGTATGTTCGTTCTATCACACCACTTGACCTAACACGAGCCTCTTCCAAAGTCAAACTAAGCGCATCTTAAGACTGTTTGGCTCCCGTCTCACTCCAATCAACATCACTAAGAGTCACGGCCATTGCGAAATTCCGGTAATTGTCGGCGTTTGATACAGCTTTTCCAGCATAATCCGGGTTGACAGCCATCATAAGCGAGCCGTCAAACCCGTAAGCTTTGAATTTACTACCATTGTCCATGGTGATGACAACGTCGATGACTAAGAATGTAGGTCAGAAGGCTGAATCTACCTGTATCTAACATTGAAAAAAAGGCTAGCACTCACTGTTTTGACCAATAAAATGCATCATTTCATGTAGAAAAACCCCTCCTGGAATCTGTTGGGAATCAAGCGTGGTTCCTACGGCAAGCGAGGATTGACCTGAAATCCGATCCGAGAGTGTTGCGCCGTTGAATGCGCCGGCACACATCATGATAAGATTTGCTTGCCACCATGTAATACCGTCCGGGCGTGCGAGTTGCTGGCCATTTGCGTTGTAAGGAGTGCAGATGCTTGAGCCGTATTGACCAGCACTGTCATACTCGATGTCGGGAATCAGGACAGAGAAGTATGGGTTCCAGCTGAATCCTGGCTGATTAGTGGCTGATACACATATCGAATCAGTCTTCATGTTCCAAATTATAGGAGCTTAGAAAATCCTTACTGATTCCCGGAAGGGGGTCGTCTGCGGGTTTTTGGCCAACGTCTCCTAATTTGGTTGCATATGTCCATCCAGCATCGGTGCACATCAACCTCGCTCGGGTCGAAGTAGAACCGTCAAGAATATTCAGTACAGTTTGATAGTTGCCTAGAATTAACTCTTGTCAGTGCATAGAACACGATGCATCGAATGAATCGGAATTTACTGACTTAGAGCTGTTTGTAGGGTATCCTGGCCGCTAGTGATCCATATTTTGTTCAGCAGACTAATTTGTCGATAGTTCACTCCCCAAGAAGTAAATGCAGTTTCCACAAGTGTCTTGTCGGTGTTCTTTAGTCCTCCGTTAATCATCTTTTGGATTGCTGTGATGGCATTCTGGGCCAGGGTTTTGGCATCGTTGACCATGGTGTCTACATCATACCCACCACAATTCCCAGACTGCGGTGATGGAATAGTTGTCCATACACCTCCGACTGGACTTGCAGTGGTTGTGGTTGCAGCGGTGGTTGTCGTAGTAGCAGTTACCAATGGTGTATAGGAAACGATTAGGCAAAGTGCCGACAATAGAAAGTAATCATTGAAGAGCCTCATGTTGGCAATATATCGCAAGTGACAACAGATACGTCAAAGAAAAGGTATTTTTTTAAAATGAGAGGATTGAAAACAGAAGAATATTTTCGAAATGATCAGAGGGCCCGGAGGATTTTGAGGCCGACTGCTGGATACTATGAGAGCCGAAAGCGACAATCTTCTCGGATTCTCTCAGGTTCAGGTCTCAGCCTTTTACGTGAATGGTGACCGATATGATGGTTCTGGTAGACCTCAGGTACTGTAATCTCAAGATCGACAGGAGCATCTGAGCGTTATAACACTCTTCGATGATCAATGTCAGAATCGCCATCCTCGAAGAAAAATTACTCTCGATAAGGGGCGGAACAAATAAAATCGCTCATCATCCAGCAAATTAGATAAATAATTAAAATTAAACATCGTAAATAATTTGATGTTAGAAGGTTGAAGCATCGAAGATCTTACGTTTCAGCCCTAAAAATAACTCGATTCGGCCCCCAGCAGAAGGTGGATTTGATGTTGGCTGACTTTATCCCGGCCACTGTCTGAGCGCCTAGTTATACTTGTCAGCAGATATAGGCTCTAATATGTAAGGAACAATCTCTTGCTCCAATCAATCTATTTGATAATTTGTGTTCTGACATTTTAGGAAGTTTCAAATCTTGCAGGCTTCAAATATGGCCCGGTGGATTGTGGGGACGAGTCATAGGGCTCAGGGCCGTTTCAGGGGATGATTATACGTCAATCACCAATTTACGATGGCGATATTGGATATTCGAGACTTCAACAGCTTGGACAGGTATTTTATCTTGGTTTATCTACCACCGTAGAACCAGCATCCTCTTTCATTTCATCCCAACCATTCCTTTGAATTCATTGAACCTGTTTGGCACCAGTTGCCAATTTTCTCAATATGTTGCACGTATCATTCTTTCATGCCTCAATAGTATGGCTTATGGTTACCATCACTTTAACAGCAGCATCGGGCTCTTCTACTTCTAGTGCTGCTGTTTCTACAAGAAGCCCAAGCTCATCAATTGCAGTACCTGCACCGTCACAGTCTGTCGTCTCAAGCTCGAGCACAACATCTACACTCATTTCAAGCACTTCAAGCAGCTCTAGTTCTAGCTCCAGTTCTAGCTCGTCCGCTGTTATTATCCCAAGTTCTAGTTCGACTTCATCTACTTCCTCATCTACATCAACGATCTCATCTTCTGTTTCCGCGGTTGCTTCTGTGACATCTACCATCTCAACTGCTTCAAGCAGCATTAGGTGAGTACATAGCATGTAATATATGCTATATCCAGCTACTTACTCTTAATAAGTTCTTCAAGTACGGCTCAAAGCTCTACAGTTGTGCCTAGCTCATCTTCTCAACCTATTATTCCCTCGTCCGGATCATCATCAAGCTCGTCTACTTCGACGACCGGAATTTCTAGCTCTTCACGGCCCATTATACCAAACCCCAGTCAAACATCCACCATAAGGTAAGTCAGTAACTATACTCTCGTTATCAAAGGTCGTCTATTGACATGTTCATTTGAGCAGCAGCTCTCAGGGTTCCTCCGTAACTACAGGCTCAAGCACTGGCAGCAGCTCATCAGGTGCAGCTAGTGCATCATCCAGTACATCAAGTGGCTCAATAAGCTCATCATCATCCAGTAGTTCAGGAGGTGTGCTAGCAACAACAAGCTATGCCGTTTCGTCCGGGACATCTACTATCACACCCGTATTTCAACAAACAACATATTCGCAGTACTCTACTCTATCCGGTACTGTGACCTCAAGTACCACAGAATCAAATGGTCACATTGTGCCCCTGATCATCTGGCCTAGGGGTCTAGGATGGACTTGTATTCTCTTCTGCGGTGGAGGAGGAGGAGGTGGAGGTGCTGCTTTTGGAGGCGATATTCCATTTCCAACCGATCCCCCGGAAGAACCAAACAGCACCCCAACAAATTCAGACACACAGCCAACATCGACGGGAAAATCTACAGCCTCTAGCTCATCAAGTAGCTCCTCTAGCTCCTCGAGCTCCGGCTCGTCAAGTTCTGCTGTCTCATCAAGCTCATCAAGCTCGTCCTCTGGAACCTTTTCGATTTCTGTCTATCCTTCGGGCATTGCGGATACGTTTGAATATGTAAGTGCGGATGGGTCGATATCTTCATATTTGGCAAAGATACGGAGTGCTATCAGCAGTATGGACAATGGTAGCTCCTCTGTCGCTGTTCAATCTTCAAGTTTTACGACGTCAGCGTCACCAAGTCCGACTGTAACAGTCACCACGCCAACCTCTACAACTATGCCCTTGTCGTCGGCTACGACTGCATCCGGTACGAGCACACGATCAGCATCGAGCACGGCCGTAGTTTCTACATCGGCTTCATCTTCAGCAGCACCGATTTGTAGTGAAGGAAACAACTCGCTTATGGGCATGAATAATAACCCTTCGTCTTGGTGTTTCTGTGGAGGACGTGGACCCTTCTCGACAATTCCGTCGGCGACGACATCGTACTGTGATTTTTCTACCTTGCCTACGCAGACTATTTCTCTGACCTCGATATCGACTTCGATCGCTACCGCATGCTCTATCACTACGTAAGTATTCTTAGTATCTACCCAACATACTTCCTTCAAAATCGATTGCTAACTCATCGAACAGAGGCACATACACCGTTCCAGGGTCTGCCAGCACTACCGTGGACACCTACTGCCAATGCGGTGACACGATTGCTGGCATCGGAACGACGACGAGTGGTAGCGTTGTTCTTGCAGGCTGTGAGATTGCTACCCCCTGGCCAATTGTTTCCACCATCTCCACTATTCCACCACCACCATACCAGACAGGTACCTGTGACTTGCACGTTTTTGAGGCATCCGAAAGCTACGCACACCCTTTATACGTACAGTTGAACATTACCGACGGGGCCAACAATCTACTTGCCAGCCAGGATTTCCAAATGAAGTGGGGTGACAACGCTACCGTCTCAGCCAGTGATTCAAAGCTTCCGTATGATATTGATGTGGACTTTTTGAGATCCACGTCGGAATCGTCAAAGAAAAAGCGAGTGATCGTGCCTCCACCGACCAACACCGTAGACTGGGAGGATTGGATTCTTGCCATATCCGCCGGGGGTACATCGTGGACTGATAAAGAGACTGACTCGTCAAATTTACCGTATTGCAGCGTTGGTGGATGGGACAATGGCAATTTCTGGGACTGGTTGGATAGCGTAGTTACCCTGGGTGGTGATGAGCATTTGCCGGTAAGTTAATAATGTCTTTCTGTGCGGTTTTACTTGACTTTAGGCTGATGATGGAATAGAATCGACAGATGGACTGCCATTGGGCGTGCTAATTGATTTCATATACACCTTCCCATTTCGGTAATTTGGGTATATCGTTTCTTTCCTTGCATGTAACGAGAGAACCACGTGTGTTCCTTGTCAATAAGGAAATTCCAAAGTGACAAGGTCTAGATCATTTTTAGCTCTTCTATCGATCTAATTGACTTTCCTGTTGTCCACGTATGTCTGGTTAAATACATATAGGCAATAGCAAAAGTTCCCAGTTTATATACATTGTACGTAAATGTACGCATTGGCACATGCATTAGACATAAGGTGAGATTTTAGCTTACGGCGTGGCGTTGGCAGGATTCAAAACTCCATTGATCGACGAAACATTCTCCAACTTCAATAATTAGGCTAAAATCCCTTTCATGATCTCGAAAATTGTTGGCTTGCGCTTTGGCTCGGAGCATCTCCGAGATGCCGCTCAACCGAGTAAAACAGCAGCTCATAAGTCAAGGTTATTTTCAATTTTGAATTCGATGACAAAATAAACGGTTGCGAGTAGGAATAAGCTTAAATAAAATATCTCTCATATTCTGAATGGCAAATATAGAGCTCAGCTGCGGGAGTACTCCGACCCCGGATACATGTTCTCTAATTAGGTAACTCTTGTACAGTCTGTGCACATTAAATTGTTCTGTTCAAGGTCATTTCTTCTCCACACTCCCCTCATTGATCTCCGGTTTCTCAATTCTCCAGAATCACCTCATCGCTAGACGGCCGACCCAACTGCCATAATCAAATGCCGCATGTGGGGAGACAGACATGCATGCGTATGTAGTAAGCAGAGCTCTTCAGGCTAAATGCAGCAAAACAGGACAATGACGCAGATCTACAGGCTTACCACATGAAATTATCCGTGATGATCATCGGTTGGGGTTGGAGTGTGGGGAAGTATGCAGCAATTTGGAGTGGTCAGACGTAGCAAGGGCAAGAATAATTTCCAGGAAAGCCGACAAGGTAATAGGAGGAATGTTATAAGTATCATCATGTTCTCACATGTGAAGGTCAATTGAGGAGGCCTTCAAACCATCTTGATTTCTCACTGGTGAAGGCTTAATTTCTTCATGATGGTCTACACCGCACAATTTTTGGCAATGGCTGCGGCCATGCTGCCCAGTGCAGTGTTGGCCCAGAACAACCAGACCTATGCCAATTACTCCTCCCAATCACAGCCGGATCTCTATCCACAAACTCTGGCCACCCTCAACCTGTCCTTCCCAGACTGTGTCAATGGCCCTCTCAAAGACAACATTGTCTGCGACACCTCCGCAAACTACGTCGACCGCGCCGAAGGCCTCATCGCACTCTTCACCCTCGAGGAGTTGATCAACAACACGCAAAATAGCGGCCCCGGAGTTCCACGCTTGGGTCTGCCTCCGTACCAAGTCTGGAGTGAAGGGTTACATGGCCTTGACCGAGCCAATTTTGCGAAATCCGGCGACGAATGGACGTGGGCTACATCGTTCCCTATGCCGATTTTGTCCATGGCTGCACTCAATCGTACGCTCATTAATCAGATTGCTGGCATTATCGCTACCCAGGCTCGTGCGTTCAATAATGTTGGTCGTTATGGACTTGATGCCTATGCGCCGAACATCAATGGCTTCAGGAGTCCACTCTGGGGCCGGGGCCAGGAGACCCCAGGAGAAGATGCTAATTTCCTTTCTTCGTCGTATGCATACGAATACATCACGGGTCTGCAAGGTGGTGTTGATCCGGATCATCTCAAGATAGCAGCAACAGCAAAGCATTTCGCTGGATATGACCTTGAGAATTGGGGCGGTAACTCCCGCTTAGGGTTTGATGCGAGTATCACCCAACAAGATCTAGCTGAATATTATACTCCTCAGTTTCTGGCAGCCTCCCGTTATGCGAAGGCAAGAAGCTTCATGTGCTCATACAACTCTGTCAATGGTGTTCCGAGTTGTTCTAGCAGCTTTTTACTACAGACTTTGCTAAGAGAGAACTGGGATTTCCCAGAATATGGTTATGTTTCATCAGATTGTGATGCGGTTTATAATGTATTCAATCCTCATGGTTATGCTAGCAACCAGTCTGCTGCTGCTGCCGACTCACTCAAAGCTGGAACAGATATCGACTGTGGACAGACGTACCCTTGGCACCTGAATCAATCTTTCATTGAAGGTTCTGTAACTCGGGGGGAGATTGAGCGTTCTATCATTCGTCTGTACTCTAATCTCGTCAAGCTTGGTTACTTTGACGGCGATAAGAGCGAGTATCGCCAGTTGGGCTGGAACGATGTCGTGACGACAGATGCATGGAACATTTCCTACGAGGCAGCTGTCGAGGGTATCGTGCTTCTCAAGAATGATGGCGTGTTACCGCTTGCCAAGAAAGTGAAGAGCATTGCTCTTATCGGGCCCTGGGCGAATGCCACTGAGCAATTGCAAGGCAACTATTTCGGCACTGCTCCGTATCTGATTACTCCCTTGCAAGGTGCTAGTGATGCGGGATACAAAGTCAACTATGCTCTCGGAACTAACATCTCGGGTAACACTACGGAGGGCTTCGCGGATGCAGTAAAAGCAGCTAAAAATTCAGATGTTGTCGTGTATCTCGGGGGAATCGACAATACCATTGAAGCCGAAGGTACCGATCGTTTGAATGTTACATGGCCCGGAAATCAACTCGATCTTATCCAAAAGCTCAGCCAGACCGGAAAACCTTTGGTTGTGTTGCAGATGGGCGGTGGACAGGTTGATTCCTCATCCATCAAATCCAACTCTAAGGTTAATGCTCTTGTCTGGGGCGGATATCCAGGTCAATCGGGTGGTAAGGCCATTTTTGATATCTTGTCTGGCAAGCGTGCTCCAGCCGGTCGTCTTGTATCGACGCAATACCCGGCGGAGTATGCAACTCAATYCCCCGCCACAAACATGAATCTCCGACCAGATGGCGCGTCGAATCCCGGCCAAACTTATAAGTGGTACACGGGCACTCCCGTCTACGATTTCGGGTATGGATTGTTCTACACCACCTTCAAAGAAACCGCGCAGAAACTAGGATCGTCATCCTTCGATATCTCTGAAATCATCTCCTCGCCCCGTTCACCCAGCTACGAATATAGCGAGCTTGTGCCGTTCGTCAACGTCACAGCCACAATCAAAAACACTGGTAAAACCGCATCTCCGTACACAGCCATGCTCTTTGCAAACACCACCAATGCTGGCCCCGCACCCTACCCTAACAAATGGCTTGTGGGATACGACAGACTCGCAAGCATCGAACCCGGAAAATCGGTCGATCTCGTCATTCCCGTGCCTATCGGCGCGATTGCCCGTGTGGACGAGAATGGAAACAGGATCGTGTATCCGGGTGATTATCAGTTGGCGTTGAATGTGGATCGGTCGGTTGTGTGGGATATCAAGTTGACGGGCGACGCGGTGACTATTGAGAATTGGCCGTTGGATGAGCAGGAGATCAAACCCGATTCTACCTAATTAAAGTCGATTTTAATATGTTAATGCCAGGTCTTGGCTAGAGTATCTAATAAGATAATAAGATCGTCAATCTGTTGATTGTGTGCATTGAGCATTTCCTTTCGTTTTTGAAGTAGCTCAAATACGTTCTGAGTTTAAATATTCGACTGCTCGTAAAGTCATTCAGATAGATATAGCAGGCATCTGATCAATTCTCGACCTCTCGAACCTTAAACTCAAACAAGTCATTCGACTCCACTGCATTCCGATCCCTCATCTTCGTCGCCGTCGTCACACCAGCCACGGGCACCTTGATCTCAAGTCTCTTTCCCTCCTTGGCTTCTTGACCTACAAGCGGATACGCAAACGGAAGATACTCTGGCATCAGATCCAGCTGACTTAGAATTGTGCCCTGGTCCCATGCGATATGCTCATGATACAGCCTGTCGCCGCGGATGTTGACTATTGCTGTCATTGGGATTTGGAGTTTTTTGCCTGTTGGAGGAATGCCGGGAACACTGTATTTGGAATGATTAGTATGAAACGAAGCCGGTTAGAAGAAGGGGACGTACAGCCAGTCTACTTCACAGTCATGGGTGATCTTATAGATGAATTCGTCGACGATCCTGTCTATACCGACGGTGCGACTGATAACTTCCATCTCTGCATCTGCCGGATTTTTAAAAATGAAGTGATTGGCGTAGAAATGCGACAATTTCTCTCGGCCAACGCCGCCGGTCATCTATCCAAAAATTCCGACTTAGCTCACTATCATTCAAACGTAGGACACGCTGGAATTGACTTACAGTTGGAATATGATTAACATACGGCTCCTGCACCATCGTACTCATCGTCCACTCAACGGACCGATTCTCAAACTCGAAATAGGTATGCTCATCCCAAATCTGCTCTAGGTCAAAGTAGGGGCCATTAATCAATGGCTTTAAAAAGGTCAGGTTTCGCGTGTGTGATAGTGCTTCAAGAGAGTAAGAAAAGTCATCTTGGAACGGGAGTGCGAAGGAGGACGATTTTGCGCTGGGGTAAGTGTATAGCCGGTTCGTGGGTATGTTGTCGCTTGTAGAAGATGGCTTTCCGGAAAGATGTTTCAGACACAGAATCGGAGATTCTGATAGCGAAGGCTCCTCGGCTGAGTTGGCGTAGATGACTACACCCGAGATCTCGGTTGTGGATGACAGCAACGGAGCTACAAGATTCCACAGATGGCCGCTGTATACTATACTTTTGTCGGTTTATTTTACCAATTTATCGTGTAATGTTTGACTTACCAACTAGGCCGACTTTCTCCTTTGTCACACAACTACCCGACTCGAAAACCGCCTCGATTGCCCGCTGCAGAATGTTCGCAGATAACGCGCTTTCCTGAATCTCGACAACCGTATAGCTTTCCTCGGCCCATTTGATCAGTGGCGAGGGTACGCCATCAATGATCGAAAGGTTTGATTGAGTCGAGTCCGGCACGACAATGATCATGCCAGGTCCTGTTCCTCGACGAGACAGTGGTTGTAGAAGGGAGACTCCAGGACTTATCGTTGTGCAGCGAGGCACGGGGAGCGGGGGAGGCGGCTTGCTGACGTCGACGTACATGTTCTTGTATAATTGGAATTTGTCTGCTTGATTGTTGCCCTCTCAGAATTATTTCGAGTCAATTGAGGTATAAGATTATAAAGAAAAGACTAATCATGCAACGGCTCGTGATCTTAGAGTATACTGATAAAAGTTGCATGAGATAAGGCTCTCGGAACATATCCGATGCTCCTCCGAATAGGTACGGGTAACGGCTGCCTTCCAGCTCGGCAATGTTCCCCAATGGTACATATACCACATAACTCCCAGACTACTGTATAGCACGACGTATCTCAGTCTATTGTATGTTCCAAGGTTGTGATTAAGAAGTCTTTTATATTGGTTTCCTATATACAGTAACGTTTTTCATCCAATCTATCTATCGTCAAAGCCCGAGATATTTCCAAATCATGTTAGACAGTAGACAGCGACGCATTTATATGGGCTCATCTCTAGGTTCAATCAATACTTCGTTGACTGAAACATGTGACGGTTGTGATAACGCGTAGATGATCGAGTTGGCAACGTCACTTGGGTCCAGTATCTGAGCTCCAGTTGGCTCCCCGTATTTCTTGATTGCTTCAGCGTCGGTAGACATGTTGAGGAGATCGGTGGCGGTGTTGCCTGGTTGTACACTGGTAACACGGAGTCCCTTACCGGCGGTTTCGAGACGTAGTGATTGTAGAGTTGCTTCGACGAAGAATTTGCTAGCCGAATACACACCCAGTCCTGGGAACACTTTTCGTCCTGCGTCGGATGAAATAGCGACGATATGTCCACTTCCTCGGGAAAGCATTCCCGGGACAGTACTTGACAAACAATGCAAGAGACCTTTGCAATTGACGTCCACGGTACGTTCCCACTCCTCGGTCTGTACATTCGCCATCATGGTGAAGTACATAACACCGGCACAAGAAACAAGGATGTCAACAGGTCCAAGCTCATCGGTCGCCGCACGAACAAGCTCCTCCACTTGCTTCTTGTCCGTAACATCGGTTGCCCGTATGATACTCTTGCCCTCAGCGACACCAAAGTTGCGCTGAACAGCCTCTAAAGCCTCCAATCGTCTAGCACCAAGTGCGACATGACAACCTTGCTTGACCAATGCCAAAGCAACAGCAGCACCAATGCCAGATGACGCACCGGTGATCACAGCAACACGCCCGTACAATGGCGATCTGTTGGCGGGCTTTGTAGACATGGCGACACCCTTTCGAGGAGCTCGCGGTAACCAGCCTCTAGCGAACCAATGGCGAGTATAGGTGCTTAGCAACGCAGTATCGACCTTGGGTCTTTCTACTGCAATTCGGAAAGGCCTTGTTTTGGCGTTGTTCAAGACGACAATGCCTTTCAAGAAGTCCACGGTCGGCATGCCACTTCGAAGAATATCCACAGTAAACGCACCGTCCCCACCTTTCACAGTACCCCGCTTCTCATTCCATAAAGTTACCCATTCATCCCATCCTAAAGGTTTCGTTGGGTATCCCAGTTGCTCGAGCTGATCAAAAACTGACCTGATGGTGATGGGATCGGGATCACCCAAGTGGAATATAGTTTGTTGAGCAGCCGTTTGGGAAGAAAGGTGTATGATCGACTTGCTGACAAAGTCTACCGGGGTCATCTCGGCTCGCCAGCCATCTACATCCGGCGCATATCCGAGTCTAATTGATTCGACTATAATCGCAGAAAGCAAATCCCATGCATTGGAAGCACCGGTCGTGCTGTGTCCACTAATAGTTCCTGCTCGATGAATTTTGACCGGCAATCCACGGCGCCCGGCTTCCAAAACCAGTTGCTCGGCCACCCATTTTGTTTGCCCATAGCCGTCAGGAAGCTTTTCAGGTACATCCTCAACGGCCAAGATGGTATCTTCTGGCCAGCCATCCTTGCCCGATGGCGGTAACACTCCGTTTGTGGACACGTACTGTAATGTTGCACCGCTCTTGCATGCGAGACGAATGATCTCTCTCGTACCTTCAACATTAGCCTTTTGTAAAGCAGCGTATGGGTATACGAGATTGACGGTCGCCGCCGCATGAACTATAACTTGAACACGGGATGCCAAATCGTCGAATTCCTCGTGAGACAAGCCAAATTTGTCCAAGGACAAGTTGCCGGGGAGGATCTCTACTCTTTCCATGATCGAATCACGCCACAAGCCCAAATCTAGCAGGTTCTTGCGAATTCTTGCAACTGCTTCCGGCTGACCATCCAGTGTCGGGTGGCCGAAACGTACAAGACAAATGATCTGTGCGCTAGTGCATTCTAATAAATCGTTGAGCAGAAAGGCGCCGAGGAAGCCAGTTACTCCGCTCAGGAGCACGGTCTCTGCTGTATCAATGGGTCGGAGGTTGACATTATGAGGCCTGATGTCATCGTCTAACGTAGAGTCTTTTCGTAGGATAGAAGGGAGTTCTGCTTGTACTGCTGCACTGTGACCGTCTCTTGCCGCGCGAACGGCGGTAAGATGACCAGCCAGGGTAGGTACCTCGGCAAGTCGTGCAATAGACACCCGGAAACCGTAATTCTTCGAAAGCCGTGAAGACAAGTCTGCCAACATCAATGACTGTCCGCCTAAAATGAAAAAATCGTCCTCTGCTTTAAGACTCTCTTGTGGTACTTTGAGAATCGCGGCCCAGAACGCAGCAACATCTTTGAAACTGACTGAATCTGACAGGGTTCGTTTATGGTTGCCGTTGGCTTGAGCTGGCTTTGGTGGTGGCGGAAGGTTTTTGATGTCTACTTTGCCGGAGACTTCGTTTGTAGGCAGAGCATCCATCTCAACCCAAAGCGTTGGAATCATGTAATGTGCAAGATAAGGGGCGAGGGCACGACGCGCTTCGGGACTCCGTCCAGATTCATCAATGACGATAGGTGGACGACCTGATGAGGCATCGCGGTCGCGGACGACATACGCAACCAACTGTCTTTCCAGTCCTTCACCGTGGGCGACTACACTGCATGCACAGGCAGCAAAGCGTTTCAGGATTTCACTCTCCACTTTACCTGGTACGACAGAGTAGCCACGCAGCTTGATCATAGTACCCACTCGACCACTGATTTCTAGTATCCCAGAAGGCAAAATTCGCGCTCGATCGCCCGTCTTGTACATGCGAGCACCGGGAGTCGTGTCATATGGATTGGGAGTGAAAGCTTCAGCCGTGGTCTCTGGACGGTTGATATATCCCCAGGCCAACATTGATCCGCCGATAAAGAGCTCTCCGACTTCGTTAGTGGTCATTCGTTTTCCTTGTTCGTCAAGAATATAGGTATGCTCAAGGTCCATAGGGGGTCCAACAGGACAATATAGAGAATTCTCGTCGTACATTTCACGAATGTCTCCGCATGCAATCTCATGAGTCTCGCAAGCACTGTAACAATTTAGTAGACGGGTGTGGGGAAGGGCTTTCATCGACCGGCCGGCAAGATCAGTGGTGACGACTTCACCATTGAACCAGAGAGTGCGGAGTTCTGGTAGGCGAGTTCTAATATCTGGAGCAGAAGCAAGTACAGTAGCAAGAAGAGTTGGCGTCATCAATGTCTCCGTGACATGCTTCGAGGCAAGTAGGTCGACCAATGCAGCAGGATCGTAGCTGACTTCGTCCGGTACTACTACAACGGTAGCTCCTCGTAATAGCGGCCGTATTATCTCCCAAATAAAAAACACATTGCATGCCACTCGGTCGCCGGGCTTGACATCTTGCACGAGAAAGCGTAGATTGTATGAAAGCACGGGAGCTCGGTGTGGGTTTGCGATACCCTTGGGCTTGCCTGTTGTTCCGGAGGAATACGACACAAAGCACAATCGGTCCAAATCGTCGTCTGCAGGTAAGGGACCGGGATCTTTGGCATTTCCATTCGGCTCTAACAGAGGCTGATCGATGCAGATTACGGGTACTTGTTTCACGACCTTGGATTTCTCCGAAGAGTGTGTAATGACTACCACTGGTTTCGCATCTTCAATCACGTCTGAGAGTAGTTCGGGGGGGTAGGCCAACTCGAGCGCGAGAAAAGCACCACCGGCACGCAGAATAGCCAAACAAGCGATCACGTAATGGGCGCATCGCGGTAAAAGTACGCCGGCTTGGATGTTGCGACCAACGCCGTAGCCGCGTAGACGCCTAGCGAGCGTGTCTACCTCGGCATCCAGCTGGGCGTAGGTGTATGTAACGTCGCCATCTTCCAGGGCCACGGCATTGGGACTGACTTCGACTTGCTTAATGAAAAGAGCCGAGAGGTCTTTGGTGGTGTCGATCACGGGCAATCCTTTTGTCATTGTATTGTTTTATTGCATGCACTGTTACAATCGAACAAATGAACCCTGGGCATGGATTGTACTGACAGTCGAGCTCTGGAAAGTTCGATCGATCGTTCGGCCGTCTTGAGTGGATTGGCGAAGGCGTGATTGATATATATATAGGTAACGCTTCTGCAAGAGCCCAGCTGTTTGTCTGCGTGATCGCGAAAAGCGATTCCGGCGGCTACGGTTAAAATTCTATTGCTCTGTGATAGGTTCGATAATTGGCATGGCGGTATATGAAGCCGGTCTGGAAATAGAATCGGAGGGGTGAGTCTGACTAAGAGAAATGCCAGACGACGTATCAGAACAGTGTGAAGACCGGGAGCAAAAGAAACGTGGACGCTTCTCCAGAAACAAGACGGTAGAGACTGAGGGGCACCAACATAGACGAAAACTTTGTGGAACACGATAAGGCGATAAAGCTCGGTGCCTTGATGCCTTGGTGCCTTGATCGGTGATGAAATCTTGCTTTATCGACCACAATATCTGTTCCAGAAGCATCCAGACTGGCCAGTTCAGATGGAACTAGTCTAGAGTTGGTTGGATTTAGATGGAAATTAAAAATGTTGAGCCAATAGTGAGGCTGGAATTGCGCGGTCAGGAACCGACTTTTCCAAAAGAGGGCTAGTCTCCCACACTTTCGTTGAGATCCGGTCATGATTCCATGCACTTATTTGCATGTGTTAACGGCGAACTTTTTTGGGGGGCAAGCTTGTAGTTCTTCAAAAGGGAGTATGTTGGATGACTTGCTTTAGTTTTTAGACTGATACCTGTTATCTTCATACCAAAGATCTACAATGACATCAGTACTATGCAGATTCACACCGCCGCATTTTTTTTCCTGCCATTCCTGGCCAAGTGGAACGTCTGGATGTTTTTTATGTATGTGTCGCGTGACGCGGCTGCTTTATATCTTTGCTTTTTCTTTTACCTGGCCCAGCCTACATAGTATATTGGTCCTGCGGGGTTCCTCCATATGTACAGTACTCGTATTCTTTTGGCGGGCAATAGGCCGAGCCAATCGTAACTATCATGCGGTCATGGCATGTCTAAGAAGCATTCGTTACACTGCGCAACGGTAAATCGTCTGTCGCTCAATTTATTTATTCTTGATAGGCCACCCGGGCAGTAGCCATGTGTAATGGATAGTAAATCTTGGAAGTATCTACCATGTAGTATATGTATGTACATGTGTAGGTAAGCCTCAAAATGAATCTACCCCACAGCATTGACAACTTACCTAGGTATATATATATGTCCCCAACTACGATGACCGACAACATTGAAGTTTAAGCCTAAGCCTCGCGGTTTGCATGATCAATTGGCTGTACATTAATTAAGAGTTAGTGAATATGTTGGGTATATACCTACATTTATACGTGCCCACTAGGTAAGGTCACACAACAAGTCAAGGTTAGAAAAGCATTGCTACTGGACGAGAGTATATGCAGAGTTGCAAGCGAACAATACATGAGGATCATCATGCGCGCTTTATTTGGATTGCAAAGTCAATCTGTCTGGGGCTGCAAAAGAGTTTAACTAATCTATACACTCAAAGGTACATGTGTACGTGGTTTGATATGCAAGTTCGACTCATCCAGGTCGGCTGATGAAGGAGTAGTTGTTGTTTGACGGCGGCCTTTGTTGGATTTTGGGGTGAAAATCTCGCATTATGGCCTTGGTGGCGGAAAGCCTTGTACCATAGTCGCTGAGTGTGCCTGAAAGTCTAATGGCAGTCATCCGTCCGAGCTTGACAAATGCGGAAGGATTCGAGAAAAACTCTAATTCCGCTAAAACTTCTCATCATCGATCGACAAAGCTGATAACAGCGTATCATCCTACGAACTACGACCTCGTATTGCGTCTTTTTATTTCCTGGTCTACCTTGCTATGTGCTGTCTACTCCGCATGTGCTCTCCTACTAGTTAATAGTACTCCATACTCCGGACTCCGCATCATGGAGTAAAACGGCGATCGCACTTTGGAAGCAACTGCCAGGCGGGGAAACTGTTACGTACTCACACGAGGTATGTCTTTAGTAATTGACTGGTGTCAGTATCGCAGCAGGATGTAACTGACTGAAAAAATGACGAGCATGCCACCAATCAGACGGCAGAGATCTGCTCTGTTAGGGCTTAGGGCATGCAAATTTAGACCCCGAGTGTCCGTATTAGGCAAGCGCAATCCTGGATCGGCGCCGGGTGGGTCAATATCCGCTTTTTAATGCGCCGTGACTGGCTGTGTGACATTCAAGAGGATGGGTGGMCCCGCCGCTTCGACGCCACCAGGCCGGACTGGGCAATCGCTCCTTCCCTGTGGATGATGTCCCTGGACTAAGGCCAATCAAGGCACGAACAGTTACGCAATGGATGGAATCTGCTGTTCTGCCGGCAATTCACGGGAGGAAGGCTTTCCTCCGAGGCCGCTCAGCATCTCTTTCCAGCAAGACGTCCCGTGATGGAATACTTATATCGTCCCTCCTGCCTCTCTCCTTCTTCACCACCTCGCAACGCCGCTCCATCCTTCTCGAGGAGACCAGACGATACAAAGACACCATGTCTTCCCAAGACAACATTTCCTCCTCCGACTATGAGGTCAACAAAGCCTCGCTGCCCGGCTCCCACAAGGGCGAGAAAGACATTCAGCCGCATGTTCCCTACGACCACGAACTCGGTGAGATGACAGAGGAGGAACGTCGCGGTCATGCCAAGTTCAATCGTTTGGGCTGGAAGCGTCTCACTGTCGTGCTTCTAGTCGAGGCCATCGCCCTTGGAAGTCTGTCGATTCCGTCTTCGTTTGCCACTCTTGGAATGGTTGCTGGTGTCATCTGCTGCGTCGGTCTCGGCCTGGTCGCCATCTACACTAGTTACGTCGTCGGTCAGGTCAAACTCAAATTCCCCCATGTCGCCCACTATCCTGACGCTGGTCGTCTGATGTTTGGTCGATTTGGATTCGAGTTGATCAATGCCATGTTAATTTGCATTCTGATTTTCCTTGTTGGTTCGCACTGTCTGACGGGCACCATCGCATGGATGAACATCACCAGCAGCGGTGTCTGCTCCATTGTATGGGCGGTTGTCTCGGCCATCATCCTGTTCGCTGTCGCTCTACCTCCCAGCTTCGCCGAGGTTGCCATCCTCGGATACGTTGATTTTGCGTCGATCGTCATCGCCATCGGTATTACCATCATCGGCACCGGTGTCGAAGCCACCAATTCCCCAGGTGGATTATCGGCTGTGAACTGGTCTGCGTGGCCAAAGGAGGGCACTACATTCACCGACGCTTTTATCGCTGTTTCGAACATCATTTTCGCCTACAGTTTCGCCATGTGCCAGTTTTCTTTCATGGATGAAATGCACACGCCAAAGGACTTTGTCAAGTCTATCTGGGCTTTGGGAATCATCGAAATTATCATTTATACCGTTACTGGCGCGCTGGTCTACGCCTTTGTCGGACAAGATGTCTCGAGCCCTGCGCTGACGTCGGCTGGTCACTTGCTGAGCAAGGTCGCATATGGTCTTGCGCTGCCGGTTATTTTTATTAGTGGTTCCATCAACGGCACCGTCGTCGGTCGCCTGATTCACGGCCGCATATATAAGAACTCTCCGATTCGATTTATCAACTCGAAGATGGGCTGGCTTACATGGATAGCGTTGATTGCAGTCATCACCGTACTTGCATTTATCATTGCCGAAGTGATTCCATTCTTTTCCGATTTGCTCTCTATCATGTCTGCACTTTTTATTTCTGGATTCAGCTTCTATTTCCCCGCTTTGATGTGGTTCATCTTGATCCGAGAGGGACCGTGGTACTCTTCCAAGAACTTGCCGTGGGCGATCATCAATGGTATCACCTTCATCATTGGCGCCATTACGTTGGTGGGCGGTACGTATGCAAGTATCACCGACATTGTAAGTTCCTTGTTCCATTGTATTGAATCGAATTGCACTAACTCGTTGTCACAGATCAACAACTACAACAATGGTTCCGTCAGAGGAGTTTTTACATGCGCCAGTCCTGAATAAGCGTTACTGCATATTGATAGACTACATGTACAGCGTCTAATTGTTGCAATAGACTGCTTGCTACGATGCATACATATTTCCATGTTTCATATATTCCAGCACTGTTTTGACTACGTACAAGCGAGTGTGCCATCTGTATATATTATTATCTATGACTGCATTTTCATGAAGATCAAATCGCTCATCATAATACGTATACAGGACTAGCAGTAGTTCTAGGGGAAGATGTTGTAAGTGGCGCCCGCCGTCATACGGTTTCAGCCCCGTTATAGAGTAGCATAGATTAATTTAATTTAATTGGCTTTTGTGGGGAAGAGATAAGCATGCTGCCTGACTCGCTCATGTCCTATGATGCCATACTTTCTATTTCTTTGTCCTAGTCTCGAATCAGTAGGATTCAAGATGATAAGAAAAATGATTACTGGATGGGTAGTTCATGTGATGTCTGCAGTTCTTTTGATTTGATGTTGGGTCTTTCGTATTTCCGGGATGTAGTGTCATATTGGGGTCATTGAACTCACGGAATAAATGCAACCCTACTCAATTCCGAATAGACGTGATTAAACTCCGAACAGTTTGCTTTATTCCGGGCTTGGGTTGCATCCCGATAGAGTGAAACAAACGTGTACATACTACTGCTGAATTGCATTTGATGCTAGTCAAATATTAGGCAAGACTGCAGCTGTCCAGAGCAAAAGGCCCAACCGATTTCTCATAGAGATGAAATGGCGCAAAACACGATCTACCTAGTCTCTCATCTCATGCGATCGCTAGTCTACTACGTGGTAAAAGTCTATCCGAGTCGCGGTCCATGAATCAATCCCGACGCACATAAATACTGACATGTCCGAAATTGTCCTCATGGCCCAGATTGTCGGGATCCTGCGGAAAATCAAAGATGTCGTAGTGATTCCTGATCAAATCTCGAATATGTGGAGTATCCGGGTTAGACATTTTCCTTGTAAAAAAAAAGCGAGCGTTAATCTATGCGATGTTGGTGTATTGTTAGCGAGGGACTGACTTACACCTCCATATCGTTCTTCGGGTTGACAGTGTCACCGATCAGCAAGCATCAATGGCCGACACAGATCCGTCACAATCTGCGTGATTGGTGCCTGTGGGCGCGCATGAAAACACGATTGAGCGGTCGTCGAGTTCGAGAAAGCCGTCTGGATCTTCGAGGATTGTGATTCCCTGCTCTGTGAGAATATCCTTGTCTCTCTGGATATATGCCGGATCTTGGGCTAGGATTTTGGTGTCGTTGGTATCACCGAGGACCTCCCGTAGGAAGTCGCGCAAGGTCAATAGCGATGCATGTTGAAACGTTGAATGGGTCTTCCAGTCGCTTCGGACGTTGGCGGTGAATGTGCCGCTGCCAAAGGAGATGATATTGCTGACGCCTCCGTTTTTGAAATAGTCCTGTTTGGCTTTGAGGATAGATAGGAGAGATTGGCATTGCTGTCCATCCTTCCAGGTGCGAAGATTCTTTTCGAAGAACCTTTTCGCAAACTTCTTGGATGGCGGGATTGCATCGCTTCCGTCTAGTATCTTTCCGGTAAACTTGTTCTTCAGGACTGAGTGATGTGCGATTTGCATGTTGCAATAGGCGCTATGCATGTCGATCAGGGGCTTGGGATAGTCTAGAAGCGCTTGTAGGGTTCGGTAGCGGATGCATGGGTTTGTCCTGATATATCAATATTAGTGCGTAGTCTGACTAAATCTAGCAGAAACTGGAGAATATCATACAAAATATGTTTTACATCGCCGTTCTCGCTGTTCTCGTCGTCCTCATTGTCGTCGTCGTCGCTACTATCATCGACGATGCGTGGACAGATATCACCCGTTGCTAAAATGAAGTCTATCGGCATGTTGTTCAGTCCCCTGACGGTGATTTTGTGACCTGTCTCGGTGGATTGGCGCAGTTGGTCGCGGACATCTCGGATTGCGTCTTTAGAGAAGAATGGTTCCCCATTCTCGAATTTGGTTCGGAGGTCGCGTTGGACTTTTTTGATAGCTCTTTGAGCTTTCTTCCCGGTAAGGATCAAGTCATCTCGACTGAGGCTAGGGTGGTGGAAATGGGCGTAGAAGAGCATTCTGGCTTGATAGCAGAGTGATGGGACCGAGGAAGAGGGACAGATTATGGTTGACCAGGAGATATCTAACTAATTTATAGTTGAGATCTCTGCTAGTCGATAGACATGGTGAATGACATCTGTCCAGAATCAAAGTTGCGAAGCAGTATCTTGTAGTCTTTGTCTCAGCCTGGGGTAATCCCATTCAAAGAGTGAATACTGACATGTCACAGGGCATTGTCGTTTGACGGGATTGCCCGTCTGTAGACGTCGGTTATGAGGCTTATCCTTCGCCGATTGACCTCCCACCACAAAGAGCAATTCAGACAACCACGCTCAAACGACACAACTTCGACTGCATGCAATTCTCATGATAGCTAGGTAGTATATCCCATATCCAATCTACTCTCAAAGAAAACAATGGGCTCGTGCGGAATAAAGAGCAGATGAGTACGCTAAAGACCTGACATGTTCCAAACCTGAAAGAGCATTTGTAACATAGTGGAAAAAACATTTGTTTTCTAGGACTGCGACCTTCCGGCGGGGTTTTTATTTGAATAGAACAAGCTATTGGGCATGTTGAATGAATTTTGGGTGAAGAAGCCAATGTAGCAGCTGTGGACAAGAAAGTAAGTAGATTGATGATCTCAAAAGTCATTTATTTCTGAATTCTACAGATAATTCCAACTCAATATTACGATTCGATTGGATCGCATTGTATGTCAAGTAATCTATCAACGCCATCATGTATCGTGAGTCGTGACTACCACAACTGTAGGGTATGTACAAAAACTTTCAAGTAAGTAGATGGTGAAATATTACCACGCTGTATGTCCTCCATCAATCACGAGCGACGCCCCCGTCATGAAACTGCTCGCATCACTCAATAAAAACAGAGCGGCACCGCGAAACTCTTCCGGCTGCGCCAGACGACCCATCATATTCTCCGCTTGCCATAACTCCTTTGACTCGGGCTCTTTGTCGAAGACTTGCTGGACCATGGGCGTAATGATGTGTCCTGGGCAGAGACAGTTGACGCGGATGCCACCTTCGCCGTTTTCGTTGACTTTACCCCATTCCATCGCAAGACTGCGCGTGAGTTGAATGACAGCCGCTTTGGAAGAGTTGTAGACTGGCGAAAACATGCCCTTGTTCGCAATCATTCCGCTCATACTGGCCACAAGCAAAATCGTGCCTCGGCATTTGTATTTCATCATCTGCTTGGCGGCTTCGGTCGCACAGATAAACACACCGGTGTAGTTGATGCTCATCACTTCATTGACTTCCTCCGGTGTATGCGACATGGCCTTGTCGACATGGTTCACCCCAGCAGCAGCCAATATGCCATCAAATCTGTTGTTTAACTCTGCGATCTCAGCAAACGTCTTGGCCACATTCTCCTTGTCCCTCACGTCGATACGTCGGTAATGCAATGAGCCTTCAAAAGCAGGATTTGCGCGTTTCTGAGCTTTGTAAAATTCGTCGTCGGGTGTCGCGAGACGGTCGACGCAGTGTACTTGAGCTCCTGCTTCGACGAGCGCCTCGGCCATGGCGAGGCCGAGCCCACGGCCACCGCCGGTTACGACGAAGACTTTGCCTTGGAGGTCGAATTCGCGGAAGCGTTGGTGGGTGTTTGTTTGAGATTTCGGGGGAAGGCGTTCTTGGATGTGTGCCTGTGCTGTCCCGGTAGTGGTGTTTGTTCTGCCTGGTGCCATTTTTGATGTTATTTTGATGGATTTGATGGTTGATCAGTCATATAGTAGAAGACGTGTAGATGTTCGATCAGACAAAGGTCGTCTGCGTGAGCACGAAAAAGGCTGTTTATATACATCTCAAACAGCACCTGGATGAGCAAGGCGCTTCATCGTGATTGCTTGCTATTTTCGTCCATGGCTACAAGGCCAAGGAGTAGGATGTCAAACGTCACACGGGTTATCGCGTTAAATACGGTGTATGACATCATTTGTCGTGAGATTGATTAAATGGATGCAGAGAGACACTGATTTAAGTGAAAGAAATATAAGATGAAGCTCGTGTAGAGTGAGCGTTGGATGTAATACCTTTAAGATACCGGCCAATCAGAGCGCGTCTAATGATTCCTGCTTATGTCATGCTTTTTTTGAGGAGCGGTTTCTTGTCCCAGCCAATCAGAACTGCAATTAATTGTGCCTTTGCATCATACTTACGCTGCTTGAATACTATACATAGAAAGTATGCGTACTAGTTAGTATACCAAGTAGTCCGTAGAGGCTGGGGTAACGGCCCAGCCAACTAACGGCCCTGAACGTTCAATGGATTCATGGCATTCATCAGCCAATGCTATGGCCTGTTCAATCAGGCTGATAGATGCAAGAATGCATGGCGGGCGTTCATCCGACATTGCGATTAGGTGGATTCTTCCACTAGCCGGTGATCTGCTATACATAGTACAAGCTGCTTCTTATAAGTGAGTGGCTGATACGCAACCATGATACATTGTGGCTAATTCTCTAAAGTCTCACGTGGCTGGCGTTCTCTTCGAGTAAATCTCATGTCACTCGTGAGTCATCGATATGTCAACTCGCAGAACCAGTCGAGGCAGCAACGTCACGTCGGACCGCAGTGAGCCTGGGACACACGTGACCCATCCCAGGGATCAGGAGGGGCAAAAGGTACAGTTCAGTCCAAGAATGCGGGAGGTAGTCAGAATCCCCCGAGCCCTGGATCGTGTTCATCCTAACTACTCCTTCAGATGAGTTCCAGATTGAGATGTAGATTGAGAACGAGCAAACGCGTACTCAAACGGCCATCTATGAGAGAAACATTGTAGAATTGCCCCGCTATGGAAAAGAAAAGAGAGACGCCTCGTTCCACAAGGTCCTCTTTCACCGGCTATCACGGGAATGCTGGGAAACTGAAGTCTGGTACTGCGCTCAAACTGGAGTCCACGAAAACTTGTCAGTTCCGTAACTCCGGTACAAAGAAGAAAGGTACTTTAATCCATATTTCCCAGATATTGACCCCGCCACGTATGTAGCCAACAATCACCATCACTGCGTATTGTCAAGCCAGTTTGAAATCTACGTGTCAAAACCGACCTCATCTGAACTAGTGCGTACTACAGCAAGATCCAAGCCAAAATCTCAAGCGACCAAGTACCAATAGTGGACCAGCGAAATACTGCCAACTACGTAGGTCCAAGCCATTGGGTGCGGGGATCGCGATCCGGGAGCCACTTTCCGGGCCTAGTTTCGAGTATTTGTGATGCGACAACACAGACCTCGCCGGAAAAGTTGGCAGGATTGAGGGGTGCGTTTTATCTACGGAGAATTCCATTGTATGCAAGGGGCGTACGATTGGTTGGTTGTTGACTATTCATACATCCGCGGACCGAAACGCCATCTATAAATCTATGTCTATGATCATGGATACCTAGGTAGTGAAACGAAGGCGAGTCATTACGCAAATCAGCCACTACTCCCCTTTCAACTAACCAAACCAGACATAACTTCATGACACATACCACCGGAATGCCATCGTGAATGGTAACGCAGAAAAATGAGGACCAGGGCGAGCATCGAACGGGTCCTGGAATGGCTCTCCTCGTCTCCGCCGGACTCTACCTCCATCGTTCCTTGTGACTCCGCGTCGACATCGACGGTATTACTGCATAGTCATTCGCTTCCATCTACCGCTGTCGGCGTGGCGTGCAAAGCTTGCAACGAACATAATACGGCGTGCGACGGGCAGAGACCGCGGTGTTCGCATTGTTTGCATGAGCAGTTGATGTGCTTCTATATCGGACCCGGACGACAGGAGCGACGACGGCAGCAACGGACATAATAGCTATATTTTTAGGGCATGTCGTCTTAACTCGCGGCGATCGAACTATATGCAGGTGGCGGGTATATCGGAATTGTGGATAGTTCCTCAGTCGACAGTGAGCAGGTTGATGTCGGCCGCGAAAAGCGGTCTCCTTCCAAATCCGTTGCAGAGACTTCCGATGAATGTCGAGATAGAGACTCAGAACGGAACGGCGGTGGTAACAGCCGGGAACTGTTGAAATCTCCCGAGTCGACCGCCAGATTATGAGATTCCGAGTATTGGGGAACTGATGAGTCGCACAAATGCGTCTGTGACGAGCGGACACGGAATGGGGTTTCGGCAGTCAGTCGACAAACGGTAGTCTTTTTGCTGTCTTGTGGATTTGGTATGGTGATGTCGATGAGAAACTACAATTGTGTTAGCCATTTGAGCAACGACAAGAGAGAATAAAGAGCGTACGAGTATTGTATGGCTGGCCGTTACTTTTGTAAAATTCACATCCGGATGCAACCTCAACTGCGTACTCGGTTCGTCAAGTAAAGGCACACTGCCCGCAATGATGATCAAATTCGACTCTCGATCCAAATTCAGCGATGGCGTTTCGCTAAACTTGCCCGTCGATAAATCATTGCATTTCGACTTGAGCAACAGCTTCTTCCGTAGTTGTGATTGCCTCCCCGGAATGCCAGGAAATTTTATCTTCTGAGCCAAGTATACTTGCACAGCAAGATACATAATATCTGAGCATCCAATGCGGACAGAAATCGGAATATTCCCACCGATAGCTGCGCCTTTGTCAGCCAATTCGACGTTGTACATGATTTGTCTGTTCCATATCCGTGATAGAGTGACTTGATTCGAATCGTGAAGATAGATATCGTCATGCGGACAGTGAACGACTGTGACTTCTTGTTTCGGCGAGATTTGCTGCCGGAGCCCGGAATTTGCTATAGCTTGAATATGGTAGTTGAGTTTGCATCCGCCGACATTGAATGTTTCCGGCAGAGGTTCGTTGAAAGACAATTCAAAATCGTATACATAATGGCCTGGTTCGAGAATTGGCCATTTTTTGTGGTCGGTCTCGTGTGGGTGGATGGTGTGTACTTGAGATGAAGAGKGGCGAGCCTCGAGGCGGGGAACAAGCCATGTTTGATCTATCACTCGTTCTTTATCATACAAGCCTGCTAGAATTAGCAGACCATCTTCTGCAGTATGATTCATACATACGGCCAAATTTCTGCACGCTATTCACACCGGTAAAATTGATGCACAAATCTCGAAGCTGCACATTTTTCGAAATATCTAAATTGACGCATCCTCGCAGTACCGATGGTGAAGACAACGAGGCATTGACGAAGATGGCCTGTTCTAAGAGTACAATCGATGTCGACAGCCCCGACTGTGAAGACGGCAGCAACAAATTCTTAAAATTCAGCCGTTTTCTATCCTGTTGCATCGGCGCCATCAGACAGAACCAGCTGGCTTGGCAATAATCCTGTACAATCAACAGTCGTGAAGCTGTTCACGGCGAGGATGACAGAGGAGTTGTTGTCAGAGTGATGCATCAGAGGAAGGAACCTGAGTAAGACTCTGTGGCCTCAGGCATAACCGGCGATCCTGATGACTTCATCGGCTTACTATATACAGAGTAGTATTTCGTGGTGGGGTGTCGATCATCTCCGATGTGTTCCCCATTTGGGACAGTACTAACAGACATGTGCAAGAGCAGATTGATGTTTTCTACAGTATGTGCAATATGCAGTAACTATTAGGTATACATATACAGAGTACAACCAGATGAAAATAAGATGTTGGAGAATGAAGATAGAGGGGCAAGTGATAAGCTTTGATGGAGACCCAGGCTGAAAATAGAAACTGACTATTATGTAGAACGTACATGGCAGACATGTATGGGTGATTGTATGCCTGTTTTCCAAGGCCGTCGGCCTGGCTCCACCATTTCTTATGTCATTGGCGCATCTGTCCTCCCTGGCGGCTTGGCCAGTTCTTGGCAAGCCTACGTCAAGCTCCTGCGTAGTCCTGCCTGAGGCCTGGAGCTGGCACTTTGCTGGTCTGGATCCACTCTCTACGTACTTTCAGTAGTAAGAGAATACATCACAAAACATGGCATCACGTGGAGCTCGGTCATGTGATTTCCAAAGAATACATCATCGTCATGTCATTGCGACATGAACCTGAGGCATCGATAACTGTCCAGTCAGAGCTGAGGCTGATGACAGGTACGCCACATTCCAAGCTTGGGTCTCTCCATGTCTTGATTCTCTCCCCAGATACCTCTCCTTGACCAATTGTCTGTCACGCCATGGCTGGATTCGTGATTTGCAGCTCTTATGACAGCTTGCTCCATATCGTTGTTGCACAGCATAAACCAGAATGATGTCACGCTGCTGGAGATGCCTGCAAAAGACGACGTCGTCATAGCTGGAGAAACTTGAATTGAGGGGAGATGGCTATATAAGGACCCAAGCTTTCGCTGCTTCCTACCCTCTATCATCATTAACATCACAATCATCATCAAGCTTCAAAAACAATCTTCTCACAAATAATACACACAACCCCATCAACAATCATGTCGAACATCGTGCACAAGGTCAAGGAGGCGGTGACCCACCACCACGACAAGCCCAGCACCTCCACCAACGCGGGCCCCCACGACTCCAATATTGCCAACAAGGCTGATCCTCGCGTCGACTCTGACCGAGGTAAGTTCATTCTTCATCTCTCTGATGGTATAGTCTAACAGAAGCAGACCACCGCGCTGCATACTCTGCCGCTGGCACTGGCAACACCACCGCTGGCACTGGTATTTCTTCTGGCACTGGCACTGGCACTGGCACCGGCACTGGAGCCTACGGTGCTGGAACCGGTGGTTACACTGGCACAACCACCGCTGGTCCTCACGACTCTAACCTCGCCAACAAGGCCGACCCTCGCGTCGACAGTGACCGAGGTCAGTACGGTACCACCGGCGGCTTGACCTCTGGCGGCGCCTATGACACCAACCCCAACTCCACCAATGCTGGCCCTCACAGCTCCAACCTCGCCAACAAGGTTGATCCCCGCATTGACTCTGACCTCGACAACCGTGCCCGTCACCAGAATCTTGGTGGTGGCGTAGGTGCACCCTCTGGAAGTAGCTACACTACCCCTGGCAGCGGGTCTGCCCAGCAGACTGCAGGTCCTCACGACTCGAACATTGCCAATAAGCTTGATCCTCGTGTCGACTCTGACTTGGACAACAGCCGCACCATCGGTGGCGATGCTACTCGCTACTAAATGTCTCAAGCTAAAGTAATGGTTATGATTTACGATGGATTCCCTTTGTCTTGTTGAATGAGTACTAGATACCAGATTGCGTAATCAATGATTGCACATATGAAGAAATTCTCCACAAATCAAGTAGTACTTATAATATACTATAAATATCTCAAAAAGTAGTAAATGTTTCGCATTTGCCTGTAATATCGAAATGGGGGCTGCAGTAAAGTTCCCCGAATTTGATAGTGTTCATCGCAACCACGGTTCAATGCAGCACGCAACCTAAGCTTATACGCATGCATCTCAAAGTTACTTACCTATGATATCGAATGGGTCGGTATTCCTTACATCTTTGCATACAAATCTGAAGAAAGAAATCGATCAATTGCTTCTTCAATCAGCAGAAACAGGTTTCGCCGGCCATCGTTCTGTTATATCGGCTGTGATTTGATGAAGCTTGGCTGGTCGACGGATCATAGTGTGGCGATATAGCTTAATTGGGTCGCTCTGTTTATGGTCCACATCAGAGATCTCGTGGATAGATTGCTTAAATCTGGGTTAACTCGAAAAAGGAAACTCCTTCGATCGCACTCCCCGTTCTAGAATGGCTGCAGCATGGAGCAGTCCCAGTTCAAAATTTTCTCGTCGTCAAGATCATCATACAAAGTGGTGATCGAACGGTGACAGAATGCATCCCTCATTGCAGAAAGATCAAGTATGCCAAGTACTCACTCAGGTTGATTCCTGAGGCAAGCAAGCACAGGTCCAGCTATAAAGACACCTTCGACCTCCCTCTCTATCTACATTTAAAATTATCCAACTCAACGTCCATATTATACCAACCAAAACCTTTCAATCAAACCATCAAGACACAAAATGACCGACAACTCCAACCCCGGAAATTTCTCCAACCGCCCTCGCGAAGAGGTGCAGAACATCGGCAAGAAGGGCGGCCAGCCCAGCCACTCAGGCGGATTCGCCAGCATGGATCCTGCCAAGCAGGTATGTTCCCCTCGTCCCCACCTTCTTTTGGGATCATGCTGATGAACGTAGCATGATATTGCCTCCAAGGGCGGCAGAGCGTCTAGCGGATCTTTCAAGCCTGGAGACCCCAAGGCTCGTGAAGCCGGCAGGAAGGGCGGTTCTCGCTCTGGTGGTGGATATCAGCAGAGTTTTGATGATCTGGAATACCCTGAGGAGTAATTGCTTTGTTGCTCAGTATGCCTAGGACGTCAAAAGACCTAAATGTATAATGACATGTTTTATGATTTGGTGTTTGATTTTTGTACAATTACGAAACGAGACTTACAATGAAATACAAATTTATCCTGGCATCTGCCCTGGATAATGTTGATTTTGAAATTCCTTGAGTACGATAATAATATGACACAGACGACGAGAAAACAGCACTAAAACGATAGATATGCACAGATCGACAAGACGGGCCTTGGGGTACGAAATAGTTTCCGGTTGATAAGTTCTACCTGCTCGGTCGGGTATATGTAGCATTTCGGCATCGGCGTCCTCGACACATGTCGGCGTCTGTGCCTTGCTAATCGGTCCAATTTTTGCAAAGCTTCCCTGCAAATTGCGACACGACGAGCAAAAGCCGCAGTTGCAGTATGAATTCCGATTCGTAGCAGCCTATCGTAAGTCCCACAAGGTCTAGGCGACGCTCGCGCTATCGCACCACTAAAACGATCTGCAAAGCCAAGCCACGCTCTCGAATCCTCAATTTGGCTACGCCGACAATTGCAACGTTGCTAGCGGCTGAGGAAGATAATGGCCCGATGAACAGGGTTCTTTGTTGGCGGGCGATGAAACGTATTTCATGCACGTTGATAAGGGAGTTTTTCGACCCGGTCCTGAAGTTTTGACTCGATTCTGAAGACTTCATCTCTTTTCACTCGGGATACATTCGGTCTTTCACAACAGTCAGAATGGTTGGGTTTGAATAATGATTCAGCGAAGATAAAAAAAAGAAAGTTTTGTTTTGCGCCATTTTAAATATCGCAAAACAGCCAAAAATGGACGGCAAGAAAACTGCCAAATTTTCCTGGCTACCCACGACTCGACGGTCAAAACTCTTATGGATCATCGTCGGTTTTATTGTCATTCTCGCAGTCGCATTAGGCGTCGGATTAGGGGTCGGTCTCAAAGGGCACCACAATCCCAACCCAGCAGGAAGACGAAACCCGGCGGCATTTTGCTCGAACGCCGCCGGATCTTACAAAGTCGATAACATCACCGCTCCTTCGAAATTCAATGTTGGTAGCAATACAAATATCAACACAGTACCATCATGGCCTACGAACACAAATATAACGGCATGGAATCTGACGGTCGATGACTCGCAATCTGGCTACAAACAAATCGTCGCCGGGTTCGGCGCTACGGTCACAGATGCGACCGTCTCTTCACTCAGCTCTCAATCCAACGAAACACAAAAAGCAATTCTGCAGCAATTAGTGACTGGCGACGGCGCGAATTTTACGCTAATCCGGCATACGATTGGATCAAGTGATTTGTCAACTGAGGCATATACATATGACGACAACAATGGAACGACGGATACCGATTTATCGAATTTCGCTCTAGGAAATCAAGGAACAGCGATGGCGCAGTTGTTGGCGCAAATGAAACAAATGAATGGCAACATCACTATCCTCGGGTCGCCGTGGAGTCCGCCGGGATGGATGAAAATCAATGGACAACTCATAGGTAATACAACTGATAATAACCTCGACGATGGATACGGTACCAGCAAAGGTCTGGGGAGCACCGGCCACAGTCGTGCGTTTGCGCAGTACTTTGTCAAGTATATTCAGGCATATGCCGATCTTGGTGTGAACGTCGATGCAATCACCATCCAGAATGAGCCGTTGAATAGCCAGGCAGGGTATCCGACCATGTATGTTGAGGCTGATGAGTCCGGAAAGCTGATCAATGGGTATGTTGGGCCGGCACTACAAAAGGCGAATTTAAGTACGACCGTGTGGGCTCTGGATGACAATACAGGTATTCCGTTCCCTTCATGAGCGACTATTTTATACTAACAAGATCAGACGACGCCGACTATGCCTCTACTGTCATTGGGTATGCAGCACAATACGTCGACGCAGTAGCCTGGCACTGCTACGCATCGACTCTGAACTGGACCGTCTTGACAGAATTCCACAACCAGTACCCTAACATCAGCCAATACATGACCGAATGCTGGACACCTACCAATCTCAGCTGGACGCACGTTGTGAATTTCACCATGGGTCCGCTCCAGAACTGGGCAAATGGCGTGACGGCGTGGACGTTAGGGACAAACGACGATGCCGGCCCTCATCTCGAGTCGGGCGGTTGTTCGTCGTGCGATGGAATAGTGAGCGTGAATAGTACCGTCAGCGCAGATAGCAGCAGCAGCAACACCACAGACTACACGTTCAACCTGTCGTACTATATCATGTCACAATTCAGCAAATTCATCCCGCCCGGCGCACGCATCCTTCAGACCGACGGGAGCGCAGTTGACGACAACGGCGACGGTATTCAGGCAATCGCAAGTCTGAATCCGGATGGATCGAGGACGGTGGTAATTGAAAACACTTTTGCGAATGATGTTAATGTTACGGTGTATTTGGAGAGTGGTGTGGGTTGGGTTGGGAATGTGCCGAACTCGAGTGTGACGACGTGGGTTTTGCCTTGAAAGATATTGCTAGAGGTATGATAGAATAGACTTGCATATACACACGCGACGAATCATTTTCTGCATCTTTAACGGATTTGAATTGGACGAGTGACGAGCGTGAGAACTTAGTTACCTGGAACTGTGACAAGCCATGTTACTAGACCACCCAGCTCAAGAACCTAATATCGAGACGAATTAGAATTCCTGAAACGTGTATGCGACGGGCTAATTAAGGTTAGTCAAAGCACTGCCAATGTTCAGCTTACCGTATATCGTATGCATTAAGATGGTGAAGAATTAAGCTGCCTTACCATTTAGACGACGCAGCCAATCAGCGGGGCGCATTATGGAGATGCCTGGGGAACATGTTGGTTTAAGCCCTTCTTTTAGGCCTATTGTGGAGGCTGGATTGAGTTTACCTTTGTCCAAAGATCTAAGCTAATCTTCCTTTTAAAAGTATTAGACTTCGGATGGCAGTAGTCTTTATCTAAAAATAGTCGCATATATGGAATTGTTCGTGATGGATGCATTATTTAAAGGCCTCTCCCAGGTCGATTGATGAAATAATTCAATACCCAGCATCAACATCAACGTGCAACTACTATTATCATTCTGCTCTGCATTGAATTTCTAAGGCATTGCGATTATTATCATCAGAAAAATGCATCTCGTCGGTTTCTTGATACCGTTGCTGGCATCCCTCCAAGCCGTCCACGCCATACCACTCGAAACAGCAACTTCAACTGCCATAACCCCCATCAGAACTCCTACGCCAACTGCAATCCCTACAAACCCTCTAGCTCGACGCGACTCATCTACCTCAACTACATCCACCCGCACAGAATTCTCCCTCAGCCTCTCCCTAGACTTACCTACCGATACATGCACTCCCACCATCGCACCCGACAAAAATGGCTACGTCCCTCCAACAGAATGTAATGCCATGTACAACTACTACCCATCCTTTAGCGCCGCACTCGCTTTCACTGTGATCTTCGGAATGCTTCTGCTAGCTCACTCCGTGCAAATGTTTATGTACAAGACCGGCTTCGTTTGGGTTATCATCATGGGTGTTGCGTGGGAGTTTGTTGGTTATTTGACGCGCACATTCAGCACCAGGAACCAGCAGAGTGAGGGACTGGCGACTATTACGCAGATTCTGATTTTGCTCGCGCCTTTGTGTAAGTCCTCTCCCTATTCACTCGGCCACTCATAGCAAGCGCTAACATATGCCAACAGGGGTCAACGCATTCGATTACATGGTCCTCGCACGAATGATATACTTCTTTGTCCCCGAAAAACGCATCTGGCCCTTCAAACCCTCCCATCTAGCAATCATCTTTGTCTGTCTCGATTTCGGCTCGTTCATCGTCCAGGCTGCCGGTGGTACAATGGCGACTCCCGGAGCGAGTGCGTCAACAATAAAGACCGGTCTGGATATTTATATGGGCGGTATCGGTGTTCAGCAGTTTTTCATCTGCTGCTTTTTGGTGTTGACGGTGCAATTTCATCGTCAGATGCTTCGGCTGGAGAGACTCGGTGCGCTGCAGGGCGATAAGACGAGGTGGAGGGGTTTGTTGTATAGTTTGTATTTCAGTTTGATTGCTATCACTGTGCGGATTGTTTATCGGTTGATTGAGTACACTTCCGGTGTTGGACTCAACAATCCCATCACGACGCACGAATGGTTCATGTATGTTTTTGATGCGTTCCCCATGTTGTTGGCTGCTGGTGTTTGGTGTGTCATGCACCCAGGCCGCATTTTGACGGGGCCAGATGCAAAGTTGCCTTCTAGTGGTCTGGGACGGATTTTGTGCTGCGGTTATTGCTGCTGCCGATGCTGTGGAGGCGGTCGTAAGAAGAAGGTTGCGACGGTGGACAGTGAGCGTTCGTCGCAGGAGGAGCTGAGGCCGGTCGAGCGGGACTCTTATGCGAGCTCATCACCGATGTGGAGGGACGATAGGACTGGTTCGTASGAGCCGTATCGATCTCAGATGGTGTGATGTTCTTTTCTTTGTTTTTGCATTTTTCTGTGTCTTTCGGCCTGTTGAAATGCGGGTATGCATAATGCGACGGAGTATTGAGTATTGAGCATCTAGAACTTTCAAATAGAATTGATTTACAAAACATGATAATAGCATGAAAAAGACCCCAAATCTCCTTGCTTACTGTAGTCTTTCCAAGAGCACCATACTGCACTCTACTCTAGCTCATATCTCAAATTGTACCTGAAAACCCTCCAACATACAACCAATAACCACCATCTATCAAAACTCAATCGTATTAGTAAGTCAGCTTTAGTCAGGAACACGAACAGCCCTCCATATGTGGCTTGAGAATTGCCAAATCATCCAACAGCGATTGGGTTGCGATGTTGCGAGTCACTTGCGAGACCCCACTTTTTTCCTCCTAGCCCTAATTCACCAAATGGGAAATTTGTCAACATCTCTATAAAGCATCATAATTAAATTACTCCATCGTCACTTGGAATCTTTGTTTCCCTAGTTTCGAAAGCTTTTGGAACGTCACAATGTCGACGTCTACGTCGTCGTTTGCCGGCGAGACAAAGAATGGCGGCACACGACAGCGTCGACAGGTTGATACCTCCAACAAAATAGAGACGAATGAAAAGTCAGCTGCTAGAAAAAACAAACGCAAGCACCGTCCGACCTGGAAACGGCTCGCCAGATTCTCTCTCAAACACCGCTGGACCATCCCCCTCGTCCCCCTCGTCGCATTCATACTCGCATACCTCCTCAATCCAACAGAATCCAACATCGTCCACCGCTTCCTCTTCCTCTCCTACAAATTCCAGCAACCAGGGACTAAAAACCCGCAATATGGCAAAGGACTATGGGACATTGCCTTCGTCCTCTTCTACACCATTTTCCTTTCATTTACCCGCGAGCTCATAATGCAAGAATTCCTCCGCCCATTATCCGTCCACTACGGCATCAAATCCAAGGCCAAACAACTCCGGTACATGGAACAAATGTATACAGTCATCTATTTTGGAATCATGGGCCCGCTAGGACTATACGTTATGCGTCACAGCGTGCCGGAAGTATGGTACTTCAACACACCGGGGATGTACGCCTCCTTTCCGCACAGATCGCACGACGCAATGTTTAAGTTTTATTATTTGTTTGAAGCGGCATATTGGGCTCAGCAGGCTCTCGTTATGATTCTGGGGCTGGAGAAGCCGAGGAAGGATTACAAGGAGCTGGTGGTGCATCATGTTGTGACGCTGGCGTTGATTGGGTTGAGTTATCGGTTTCATTTTACGTATATGGGCATCGCGGTTTATGTTACGCATGATATTAGTGATTTTTTTCTTGCTGTGAGTCTACTAAGCCCCCCGGTTCTAGAAAGAGAATGGAGTTGGCTAATTGAAGTGGATGAATTTCAGGTTGGCAAATCCCTTCAATACACAGATAGTGACTTCGTCCCACCGGCTTTTGCTGTTTGCGTCTCGGCATGGATCTATCTACGACACTACCTCAATCTCCGCATTCTCGGTTCTCTTCTTCCCGGCGGCGCGTTTCAGACTGTCGGGCCATACGAACTCAATTGGGAGACGCAGCAGTACAAGTGTTGGATTTCGCAGATTATCACGTTTGGCCTGTTGGCGTGTTTGCAGGCGCTCAACTTGTTTTGGTTGTATTGTTTGGGGAGGAGTGTGTATCGATTTTTGGTTTATAGGGTTGCGAAGGATGATAGGTCGGATGATGAGGAGGAGAATGTTACGCCGGGAAATTGAGGGGTAGGATATTGATATTATTTAATGTTTAATGATGATGGATGTATAATACTGTGACTAGAATAATTACAATGTATAACATTACTTACGGCAATACGAGACTTCAGAATAGCGATTGCGATACGGTACAAGAAGACATACTGCTATATTCATCAATCTATCACGTGGTCATACTATCTATAATGCGTCACTGTCTCTTCCGCATATCTGGGGACATTCTATGAACAAGATCAAAGGTTGTACCTACGGTTATAATTACTTGTCCTTTCCGTTGCTCCTGAAACGATCCTCTCCCTCAACAATGCCCAACGGCAGACTTCGGAACAGACCAAAGAAGATGAATGGCGCCCACTTCCACCGGAACGGGTTGATGATGCTCACAAAGCAGTACCAATAAATCAGTTCTGCATAGGTGAAAAAGTCAAAGGCTCCTGTAGGTGCAAATTTCTTGACGACTCGTGTAAAGTCGATCCAGAGTTTCATCAGTCCCTCGCGAGGGCGCGATAGAGGGTCGACGAGGAACATCAATAGAAACCGAGTGTAGATACCAATGTGGTAGTTGCCCACAGTGCCGATGGCATTTAGGTAAGTGCTGTTGGTAGCGCAGATGGTCGGATCTTGAGGAGGAAATACTTGCAAGTACCAGTTAGGCGGCTCGTATTTCTTTTCGAAGACGTAATCCGGAAGGAAAGAAAGGGATGGTCGTTTGTATCCTGTGGCCATGATAATGACGTCTCCGTTCACGATTGATTCATGGCCTGGGCCGCCCTTGGGTACTCCTTGGGCGCGATGATTGAATAGAATGCCTTCTTCTTTGCATGCAATGATGTCTCCTCGGAGCCATCGAGCCTTGCCTGCGCGGATCTGTTCGAAAAGTTCTGAATTGACCATGGGTGTATCAGTGTATAGTCCCTTCTTAGCAGGCGAGATATCTTGCAGATCGCGATAGAAGAATTTTCGCAGGAACCACTCCGGGATCCAGGAGAACGCAGTTTCTCCTCCGAATATGTTCAATGATAGCAAAACATCGACAAAGACATTTCGTGGAATGATCCATTTATCTGATCGAGACAAGACATCAATTTCAGCAGCGTCGTTGCGAACCGCAAACTCCAACGCCTCCACTGCACTTGCTCCACCGCCAATGATGAGTACTTTCTTCCCCTTGACGTCTTTCCCGTCTAATTCCGAAGAGTGGAAAGTTGGACCGCCGAATTGTTCATGGTCTGGGAGATGGGGCATTTGAGGATCTCCACATGAGCCGACTGCTGCAATAATACCGTCGAATGTGCCATGTTCTGCTTCATTGTCGTTGATGATCCATTGTCCGGACGAGTTCTTTTTCACGGAAGTGATGGGAGTGTCAAAGACTGTCTTTTTGTCCAGTCCATAGCGCTTCCACACAGTGGCAATTTGCTCTTTGATCTTTTCTTGGGTGGGGTAAGCTGTATCCCATTTTACAGATGGATGGAAACGAAACATGATTGAATGGATTTGTAAGGCAGATGTCGAATTTACTCGCTATAGATCGTTAGCTCCAGTGTAGGTAAGAAACTAACTCGAGATCTTACACTCCAAATACCACCCAGACCCTTCTCTTTAGATCTTGCCTCAAAAATTTTCACGTCAAATCCATGGCCAACACAGTGTGCTGCAGAGGATACTCCAGTAAGACCAGCTCCGATAACGGCAACTCTGGGTCTATGGAGCTTTTCTGATGGTGGAGGAGGCGCCGGGGCAAAAACCAAATTCAAGACCTGTTGAATTACGAGGTAGATGAAGCTCAATGGCTTTGTGATGGCGAAGGTGAGGATGGATTTTGCATGATTGATGGTCTCCTCCATTGTGACGCAGCTACAGAGAGCAATTGACACAAAAGAGCAATGAAACGAAACAATACGAATTTGGTCCGGCTGAAAAAAAAGCAAGACTATCAGGCTAAGTCTGCCACCACAATTGATGAAAATGAGATAAATTTCCGAAGTGACGATGAAGCTATTTATTGGAGCTGCAAATCGATGACGTAGCCGCATGTGATTGCGGGTATGCTACAAATGTCAGGCATTTAAGCCACGCTATTCTTCTTCCACTATGGAAAAAAAAAATAAAGACAAAACAGMCCCGCCATATGCCTTGTTTGCGTCGACAGGGATCTAGATTATTCTTGGGCCTTTCATGGTGACATGTGCTTGTTGCATTTGCATGTGACGGATTTGCCAGTAGAGTGAGACATGCCCTGTTCTAGATTTGAGCTAATATCGTAATACTAGTATGCTGCTATCAAACTGATACCAGAAATCGAACGCGATATGTGGCTCAGGATAAAATCGACAGATACGAGAAATTGTTGCTATAGTAGACCACTCTTGTTTGACAATACATAGGACAGTCTCGAGATTAAAGGGGATCGAATCACAGACCTTCCCGCATGGGGTCTTTCACGTGGCCGGGCGGTAAAAGTGGCCGCCATGGGTTTGCACCTGCCCGAAAAACAACCAGCGTGAACCACATTAAACATCAACACACGCCGTGGCTCGATGCCCCTTTGCACCTTTGACTTCAAATCAATGGATTAGATCGTCGAAATTGTTGGTAATACGCGATTGACCACAATGTGCCGATACTTGTCTGCTGCCTCGAATCTCCTCCGACTGCCTTCCCATTAGAAAACACCGTCGCGCAATAGTCCACGCACACGACTCCCACCATGGCAACACCGATGCTCGACCAGTTTCTCGCTGGTGTAGCAGACCTGGTTTCCAAGAGACAAGGCGAAAATCTCCAAGACTATCTCCAAGTCGTACCGGAACAGATGCGAGATGGTTACCGACACATGGCTGTGGAATTACAAAACACTTATCCCAAAGGTGCTGGCGACGATGCTTTGTTGAAACGATGCGAAGCATTGGTCCCAAAAAGTGCGGATGGAACTACATGGCCTGCCTTTCCTCTCTTCATTCGATCTTATCTCGCCTACTTGAGGGATGGTAATGTCTCAAATTTGTTGGAGGCCTATAAAGCTCTGAGCGGACTTTTGAAGTAAGTACAACGACCTGAAATGGAATTGAATATACTGACATGAACCGAGTCAATGTCTGCAGGCTCTTGGAGATACCCAAATGGGCGCCATCGTCCTTCGCACCGTCGTCTACTTGTCCCAAATTGTCGCCGGTCTCGCTATGACACTTGAGAGAAACCCACAATTACTGGCACAACTACGACTCGATCGACCACAAGACGCCTTTGAACGCACAAGTCTGGTAGAAGATGCTGCCAACGTCGTCCGAGAAGGTTTCATCAAATGTTTGTCTGACCGCGGTGGTGCAGCGGGCCCAAAGGGGAAACCAGAGGGCAAGCGTGCAGGAATATACTTGATGGCAAACCATTGTCTAAAACTACTTCATAAAGTAAAACCTTCTTTCCTCTCACTCTGTGGAACTTTATGCTAAAAGAGTACAGTGTGGAAAACTTAGAAGCGCCGACACAATCTTCAAAAGTATCTCTGCACAATCACCTCCCCTCGAATATTATCCCGCAGCGCACCGAGTCACTTATCTTTACTACCTTGGCCGTTACCTATTCGCAAACAACAACTTTTACCTCGCTCAAAACGCGCTGCAGGAAGCTTACAACCAGTGTCATATTCAATGTCTGAAGCAAAAAAGACTCATTCTCACCTACCTAATATCATCCAACATCATCATGGGACGCTTTCCCTCACTTCAGCTCTTACAGAAACCTGAAGCGCAAGGTCTGTACGATGTCTTCTATCCAGTGTGCCTTATTATTAGATCTGGCGATTATTTGGCATTTAGGAAACACTTTGATGTTGGCAGCTCGACAGGGCAGTGGTTTCTTCAAAAAGGACTGCTTTATCAGATGCGGAACCGCTGTGAAGTGCTCGTATGGCGATCCTTGATTCGTAAAGTGTTCATCCTTGGTGGCTTTCATGGAGATCCCTCCGCCGCGCGAGGTCCTCCACCAATCTTGCATTTGAGCAAAGTCGAGACAGCAGTACGGTTATTGCAAAGACGCCATGGAATGAGCGCCTCTTCAGATGTCTCTGAAACGAAATCCTCAGAGATTAACTTCATTACGATCCGCTTGCCCGACGACAGCGACTATGACGGCATCGCCGGCTTTGTGTTGAACACATCTGATCCCGAAGTCGATGACTATTTGTTCAGTCAAGAGTACTACGATGAGAACGGGGAAATGATCAAGAATTCCGGTGGTCAGCCTGTTCCAGGACCCGAGTATGGACAATATACCGAGTCTCTGGACGATCTATACCCAGAGATCTACGGAAGGTATACTGAGACTGACAATACACCAAAACTCTTGCAGGAAATTGAATCAATTGTCGCTTCCTTGATCAAACAGAATCTGCTTGGTGGTTACCTGACGCACAATCCGGCACGCTTTGTCATCCCCGGAGCAAAACATGTAGGCGCTATGGCGAAAGGATTTCCTAACATCTGGCAAACGATCAGCAGCCAACAGCACAATTACGGCGAGAATGTGCCAGCTTGGATCATTGCAAAACAACCGCTCCCTACTCAGGCAGCATTCCCTGCGATTGGCGCCCCTGGTGGTGGGCGTGTGATCAATTTGAAGGGTGCGAAAGCAGTTGGTTCGTGATGATGGGCGACTAGCTTGATGTATGACCGGAATATCAGTATGCTCCTATGCAATACATGTAATTTCGGTTTAGCACAGGCGCGCCAAGACCTTTAATCGAACAAAAGATGTCCTAGTCACTGTTGTCCACCGGATTGGGGACTAGGAGGAGTATGACGGCGAGCTTGAGAAGAGTCTAATACGTATGTTGTGGTCTGTAGTACTTCACATGCTGCATTGACCGTTTCGAGATACCGCGACAAAGTGCCGGGTTCTGTCCATGACTGGACTACCGCAAATCATATTCAACGTCCATCCTCTTTATTCCAAGAATGTTGATGAGCCACCATGTCCCAGAACCTGTGCGTTCCAAGCAGTAAATCATGTCAATAAGGGTTCACAGTCGGGGCACGATGTCCATTGGCTGTTCAAGACATGGCTATGGCTCGAGAAATAGCTTCAGGGTCAGCGCGATTCGCGCAAACGACATCAATCGATGTATACGGAAGAATGGGCTAAACGACAACCTACGGCGACTCTGAGGGTTGTTCATCTTCGTCAACGACTCTACAACTCCGTGTTAGCGAATTTGTGTCAATAATACCTAGGTTCATATCTGTAAAACCATCAATATTAACGATATTACCGTACCTGGCATAATTTAAATGATCTCTGCCTTGGGCAGGTACGCATGTGAGATCAGATCACTCCGCATGAATGCCCTACTCGTAAGCGACGACGGAGATCTGGCCTAGATTCTTTTAAAACTGACTGGATCATCTGGCAAGTAAGATGGTAGCTGTGTCGTGTCTTGTCATTGGATTCGGCACGCCGCGGTATTTCTTCCCCACCGAATCCTTGATCCATTCGTTCACTTATGAGTCCGACTTTTCTTGCAACACAACTCTTTGCCACCTTCTTTCGTGGATTATACATTCATTTCGTGGCTATTGCTACTAATTACATCACTTAGTCAATTCTCGAGACATTTCTCCCAGACATCCACCTGCGAACGCTTCGTCCCCTTCCCCGCGCGCAGTGGCTTTTCTCCGCACGGTGCCTACGCGCCCCGCGCCGAAGCTCAAGAAGCTAAGCAACAATGAATTCAGCACCGGAAAATAATGAAGGGCTTACAATCACGTATTCTTCCGGTCGCGACGGAGCTCCAGATTTGCGTCTGATCCATTATAACGATGTGTACCATGTCGAGTGAGTTTACGCTGTCCGTCTGGAAAGTTCTCCATCCATCCTAGCAAGGAGACCGTGATTTAGCAGGAGTGGAATTTTCAATGAGAACAGCTGTTTACTTTTGAGAATGCATGAACTGATATGATACTCGTTATAGACCAGGCTCATCCGATCCCATCGGCGGCGTTGAACGTTTCCAGACCGTCATGAAAGACTACCGTACTGCGCCTCAATACAAAGGTCTTTCGGACCTGATCACCCTGTTTTCCGGCGATGTTTTTAACCCGAGTTTGGAGAGTACGGTCACAAAGGGACAACATATGATACCGTTTCTTAATAAGATTGGGACGGATGTTGCTTGCATAGGGGTATGCCGCATTGTTTATAGTTAGCGGTTTGACCTCGCTGACCTGCGGCAAGAATCATGATCTAGATTTTGGTGTCGCCCAGTTTCGACATTTACGAAGCCAGTGCAAGTTCCCTTGGTTACTGGCTAATGTGCTCGATCCGGCCCTTGGAGATGACGTGCCACTAGCCAACTGCGAGAAAACAGTAATGTTAACTTCGTCTAATGGTATAAAGATCGGTATTATTGGCTTGGGTGAGCGAGAGTGGTGAGTTTGTATCTTTGCTTTAGTATATAGTCGCTAAAAGTTCAATAGGCTAGGCACAATAAACTCCCTACCACCGGACTTGATATACAAGTCTGCTTCCCAGACTGCCATCGAGCTAGTTCCTGAGCTGCGCAAACAAGGCGCCGAGATCGTGATTGCGCTGACCCATCAGCGTGAACCGAATGATATTAAGCTGGCAGAGAAAGTCCCCGCAGGATTGATTGATATTATCCTTGGTGGCCATGACCACTTCTACGCACACTCTTTGATAAACAATACCCACATTCTGCGATCTGGCACAGATTTCAGGCAACTGAGTTACATAGAAGCGTTTCGCAAACCGGACTCAAAGGGTTGGGACTTCAATATTACTCGTCGTGACATTGTCCGGTCTATCCCTGTTGATCCCGATTGCCAGGTTCTAGTCGACAAGCTTACTTCGACCCTCAAGGCCAAGTTGGAGAAACCTGTTGGATATACTGCATCTCCTCTAGATGGACGATTTACGACTGTAAGGACTCGAGAGTCAAATCTTGGCAATTTCATATGCGATCTCATGCGCTTTTATTATGATGCAGATTGTGCTATAATGGCGGGCGGKACTATCCGTGGTGATCAAGTGTATCCACCTGGCCTTTTGAGATTGAAGGATGTCTTGAACTGCTTTCCCTTTGAGGACCCTGTCGTGGTTATCAAAGTGACTGGCCGAGATTTGGTTGAAGCATTGGAGAATGGTGTCAGTCAACTCCCTGCTCTGGAAGGTCGCTTTCCGCAGGTATCGAACATCACATTTGAATATTCTGCATCGTCACCACCAGGGAGTCGTGTCAACTGGGTCAAAGTTGGGAAAAAACCAGTGGATTATAAGAAAAAATATACCCTTGCCACACGAGGATATATGGCGCGAGGAAAAGATGGCTATACATCGTTATTAGTACAATCAGAAGGCGGCGAGGTTGAAGAAGTCGTCAGCGAAGAGAACGGAATGCTGATCTCTGCTATCTTGCGACAATACTTTTTGAGCTTAAAGGTGATGGGTAAATGGAGACGTATGAGCGTGTCTCTGCACAAGCACTGGGATAGTGTTCATTCACGGTTACATGCACAAATTGGAGGAAGTTGGATCAAAACACCTTCTCCGGCTGTTGAAAGGAGGGAGCCGAATATGCTTAATAACGACCCTTTCAACTCGGCTACAACTGCCACACATCCGAAAACCACCACGACAACAACAACAATGTTTGAACGTCGTATTCATCATACACATAAAAAGAATAAACCACGCCCCCATCTCAGGCGATACGGTCGCTACTACGAGCCGCGTCGCCACCATACTCATGCCGGCACGAGTATAAGCAGAACCTCAACGCCTCTATCGATATACTCGTCGGATGATTCATCGATCAGCCGGCAATCAGTAGACTCACACCTAGACTCGGACTCGGACTCTGAGCCCGAAATACTCGTATCCACGCACGAAGAGACAAACTATATCACTACAACAGCAACGTCACCCGCCGAAGAAGAGCAACGAATACGACTAGCGAGAAAGGTCCTGAAGAAATGGATGCGTCTCGCAGGCGTGCAGGGTAAAACGGGGGTTGTCGATGAAGCAGGCGATGAGTTCACGCCGCCTTGGACATTGGGCATTGCGCCGAGATGTGAAGGAAGAATCTTGGTGAGGACAAGGGTTGTGGAAGATGGGGGTGCGGGGCTTGGAGAGGGAAAGAGGACAGAAAATATCAACGGTGGAAGCGTACCTATACATTAGATTTGTCAAGAGAATATAACCAATATGACATATTGGCTCSTCTCSAATTGGGKTTTAAGCCATTGACACGTATTGGAATTCCCTAGCATGGGTAGCGTCTGCTAATGACGAAACTCTTAGTGCTAGTCCGTCGCCAGAATAATATCAATTGATGGTGCAAATGCTTATACCAAGGCACCCAAGTAGGCAAGGTGAACAAGCCCAATCTTGTATTCGCATTTACCAAAACCACCCCACCTAGGTACAAAAAAGGGACTGCTACTGTAGATGTAGCAACTAGTCACCAATACATTTGCAGTTTTATATTCTACGTCTATAATCATCAAAAAAGAAAACTGACACTTTGCCTCAAAAGTTTTAGCCGGCGCAAACATAGGCACAGCATCTTCTTTCAAACTGTTCGTTATCGGCGTCTTGTTGCTACCATCAGCATCCATGAGCATGGTAATAGTATACGACTGTATCGCGTCGTCGTCCACAGGGGCTTCCTGCTGGAATCTGTACATGGCTGTACTGTATGCGATGCGGCCATCATGGGCCAAGTTGGTATGCGCATCACTGGCCACGGATTCAGTGACCTGCGTAAGATCTGTGCCATCCGGGTCTGTAGTGAAGATTTCGTAATTATCGCCAATGTTGGCCAGTTTGGCGAATAGAATCTTAGTACCGGGGAAATGTGGGCATATTGTGCCATTCAGTTGTTAGCTGAGTTACTCAATTGACGGTGGCTACGTCGACGATAGCGAATCCTGTAGTTCCCACAATAGTGCCATTTTCAGCTGTGCCAGACCATTTGCGAAAGACGACTGTTGAGCAATCGTAACTGAACAACAGGAAATCGTAGTTGGTTATGTTGTTGCCTGCGAGAAGCGTCAATGCTATAGATAAATCCGGGAAGGCTGGCACGACCGACAAAGTATGAGTGGTAGCCAGTATACAGCCAATGAAACTATTTCTGTCGGTCAGTCCGTGACAGTTTCTATGTGTCATCTTAGTACATGCGATATCGAGCCGTATACTTTCTCTGCCGGAGTGTACAAAGACCTTGCCGACAACTATGGGTCTACCGTTGGACAGATCCAAATGTTAAGCCCGACTTACAACTACATTTATATCGCCAATGAGGGCCGTTCTTATCCGTCTATCGGTATGACCAAGAGCTGCCTCTTGTTGTCGTCTAACTATAATATACTGAGCTGGTCATATGATATGCTCAACACTGGAAAAACGGGATCCAAGTCTGGTTTGGCTTCATGGGTCACTCTAGAAACAGTATAATAGAAATGAAACTTGAACTTTCATATCCAAAATGTTTCTATGAGGTATTCTATAGCATGTATGATGTTCTAAAGAGTAAAAGATCCCAAACAGAGCTTTGAGACTTAGGGCTATCCCAAATAAGCAGGCAGGATGATTGCTCTAAAGAGGCTAGCGCAGTGTCTAGACAAAGGGGTCTAGCGCGTCGGCCAAATTCAACGTTGATCATCGCTTATCAAACATCGACATCAAAAATATATCGCATTAAGGCCATCAAATTAATTGAAGCAGCAGCCTTGTGTATTCGAAAAGTATTAGTCACTCCAAGATCCATGGATAGCCTCGTTGACTAGTCTGGTGTGTTATGTCTGCCTCAACTACCGCATCAAAACCAAGACATAACCTCCGCCTGAAATCACGGTCGGGTTGCATAACTTGCAAGTTAGTAAATGCGATCTTCTCTGTTATCTGTCTATCTAACTCCTATCTAGAATTCGCCGCGTCAAATGCGGAGAGGAAAAACCGAGATGCCACCGCTGTACAAGCACTGGTCGAGCATGTAGTTATAAGGATGTCCCGTCAGTGTTGATTACGGAACAGAGGACTGCCTTGGAACTGTGTTCAACAGTCCAACCGGATATTTCGACTTATCCAGTTCAACAGCACGAACGCCGTGCTTTTGAATATTATTTCCATCGCGCGGGTCCAGCATTATCCGGTGTATTAGACCTTGATTTCTGGTGTGGGATCGTTCTACAAACATGTCGATCGGAGCCCGCTATCTGGGACGCCATTGTCTCAATGAGCGCATTCTACGAATCACCACCAAAACCAAAACCCCAATTTATGCTAGGAAATTCAGGTCTAATAAACGATGAAACACGCACTGGGCGACACAACGAAGCTCTACGGTGGTATTCGCGGTCTTTGACTAATCTACAACGCAAAATCAATCAAGGTACTGCAGATATTGTTGTGGTACTCGTTAGTTGTGCTATTTTCAGCATCATTGAGGTTTTGCAGGGCAATTTGTGGGCTGCTGTGATGATGCAAAAGCATGCTACGGATCTGATCATCAATACTCTGACAAGGGCAGAAGATACAAAGTCAACCAGATATGCCGCAGTGAATAAAATGGTCGTGCCGTTTTTTATGCGAATGGATGCATTTGGTCTGATACTTAATGATGATCTAGTAGTATCGAAAAATACGACACGAATTTCCAGTGTTCTGAAACTTGAGACCGGGTTTACCACTTTATCAGGAGCTGGGACGGCTCTATATGCTCTCGTCGCTGAGTGGAAAGTTTTCAATCAAGATGCTTTTCGGCACTTTCGGGGTGTCGTAGATGCCCAAACCGCCGAAAAGGCATACCTTACTGCAAGACAAGCAGAGCTTGAGAACCGCCTTTTGTGTTGGCATAGACAATTACTCTCGTTGGAAGCCATGAACCAATTCCAAAATCCGCAGTCGAGGGGGGATTCCTTGACTAGAAAAACAGGTGGCGCAATTGCGCTCTTGTTGATGGTTTATACAAGCACGCTGATTCATACTCAAACCGCCCTCTCGGACAACGAAACAGACTACGACCGCTACCAAGCGGATTTCGCACAGATCATAGATTATGCTCCTATTGCATTAACAGCAACCGCAGTCGACGATGATGGGGATCTACAACCACATTTTGCATTTGAGTTAGGCATTGGATCGCCACTCTTCAACACTGTGCTGAAATGTCGATCACCCTCGTTACGAAGACAGGCGCTGCGGTATCTGGCTCAGACGCCTCCTATTCAGAGTATATATACGGGTATACACGCGGCAGACCTATTAGCTGCTCTTGTCGCGATTGAAGAGGACAAATCACTCTATGAGGCTACTATAACCGAGAGTCATATTAACGGAAAGGTTATTCTAGACACAATACTGGCTACGCCGGGAAGGATTCCCACGCTTACGGAGAGAGTACGAGACTATATGCTTCTGCCACCGGAATCAACTGCAGAGACCCAGATGTATTTTTGGGTACGATATACTCGGAATGAGGCTAATGGGAGAGATCGGAAATGGCAACTTGTAGAGGAAGAATCTCGAATTCTATCTAGACTTCAATCTCGGTACAAATAACTAGTATTCGAATGCAATCTATGAACACAACCCGCCAAAGCAAGATATCTAGGATAATTGAAGTCAAACTTGATGTAACTCATCAAAAATCAAAAAGTGGGGGGTATAGAGAATGGAGACATGATTTTATAATCATGAGTCAATGACCCCGAAGGATAGTCAATTCCACTGACATCACCCGGGTATGGAACACCGTTTTGACAGATTAGAGTCGCCGTGTATACCTTTATCTGTTTCTTCTCTCTTCTCTCCTTTGGCGATTTTGTCTTTCTTGAGTATTATGTGATAGGGCGAACTTTTGATCATCGGCGGCCTTGAGTATCCACTCAACTCGCGAGTCAAGAGCAGACCCTCTAATCCCGCGCCAGACTTGTGGTACATAAATATGTAGTAAACATTCTTCGCACATGTGGTGCAGTTCGACGGGACTCTCATCGAAGACTCTGTTGTATACTTCTTCGAGCTTACGAGCCACTTCATCAATCCCGCCCCCAGGCAAGAGATATAATTGATCGTAACCATATCTCTGCGTCACATCCTTGAAGATAGGGTTATTTTGCACGTCTTCCCAGTTCAATCCGGAACCCAGTGCCTCCTTCAAACGCCAGATCCTTTCGTCGTTCTTGAGAAAAGTAGCGAGATCCGCGTATTTAGGATTTACTTCAGCGTAGGGATCAGAATCAGTATCGGGTAAATTGCAAATAAGAACCCGCGTAGATTCTTTGCGGTCCAGGTATGCCTCAAAAGAGATACTCCCAACGCCAATATTTAGAGAAAAGGATGCCATATAAGCATTGAATAGGTCAGCCTCATCGTTGACATAATCATATCCCAGATACTGCCAAATGTTGAGATACCTGAACCCTTTTGGTTGCGGTTTCACTCTCCATACAATCATGCCAAAGGCCAAATAAGGCAACCGCTTTGTCTTCAATAATGTATCATTGACAGCACCGTCACAATCGGGGCATGAATGACAATCTTTAGCTTGTTCAAACCACTGAGTTTGAACTGGTGAGAAATCGGCTTGGGTTCCGCGATTCACCCTAGTCATCCACTTGCCTTTGTGATGAGTCCGGACAACAGCAATATCCTGTGCTCCAGGTATTCTTTCTATGACTTCAACGCCGAACTTATGGTTCTTACACCATTGGAAAATCGTTTTGGCGTCTATGTGGAGTTTATACCGTAATGTGTAGTGAATTTCAAGTAATTCTTCAATTTCTTTGTGACTGTCACACTTCGAGAAATAATATCGGTCCCAGACTCTGCGATCGTATGGTATCATCCTAAGTTCTATAGCCTCATCGAACATGTCGGCGTATTGATTGAGATCAAGGTCAGGGACATTTATCCTCCGTACGACCGGATCAACGGGACGAGGCATTGTTCAAGTCTAAGACACTTCCAGGTTCAACACAGAGACGAATATGTTCGAAGAGAAAATCAAAGGTGCTTTAGCCTGAGATAAAAGAGCCAGCAGGAAAGAATGATAGATTGTTTGCTGTCAACACCTACTTCTATACGGGTGATTATTTGCTTCTTTATAAGCTTGTGCCAGGCCAATGAAGTAATGTGACTGTCTAGTTATGACTTTATCGTGAGTCAAACAACTGTCATAGCTCAAAAAATGAGATGAACTAAGATACAAAAACGTTAGAAAGTCAATATCAGGCTTGTACTTGTCATATGTCAAAGTTCTGCTCAAAATTAAGTCGAGCTGAATGATTATTGTCAGACATGGACCACATCTACAGGTTCGTCTGCCACAACGGTATACCTATGGAGGAAGAGACTTGGATTCTATCTAGCCATGAATGCAAGAAACAGAATAAATTACACATGAAACGAATATATGAATGCAGCACATGGGATTAAGATATGGATAAAGAACGTCAGAAAAAAGTACAGGGGATTATTAGGAAGGAAATATAGAAAGAAAAGAAATGATGCTATACAGATACGATTCTCAAACAACGGATACCAGAATGACATGACGAGGATCAGAGAAAACGCTATCCTGACATTAGGTTTGCTATATAGTCATCGGCCTAGGGGTTCCCCTCGTGTCTCGTAAGTCCGCTTTGGCTTTGCAGTTCCTTGTTGAAGAAATCGGCAGTTTGTAATAATTCCAGGGCTTTCGGATGAAGGACGAACGAATTATCACTACATACTTTTGATACATGTTTCGCTAAATCATGTTCCTTGCAAGCTCGATGTAGTGCCATTTGGTTGTGATCGATCGCTATAATGTATGCCTTGCGGAGATTGCTCTCCACTGCATTGACATCAACGAATGTGTTTTCATATTGACGGAGAATGGTGTATCCATAATCTTGTGCAGCGTCTTCGAATAAATAAAATCCCAATACCTTTTCCCAATGTATTTTATTCTTCAGGACGTACTTCAAGCACAAGACACTGTCTTTCTTTTGGGGAGGTAAGTTTTGAAAAAAGCGGGTGATTTTTGAAAGGAGAAATCGGTTGCGCGGTATATCAGGATTGATTTGCTCAACAATGCTCTTTGTAGCTGTAATACCGTCATTGAACTCCTCAAAGCTCATACGGCCGACACCACGTTGTTGAGAAAAAGCTGCGTTGTACGCTTGCAGGAGGTCTTCTACTTTCAGGCGCTTAGTTGAAGCGACAATATCCCATCCAAGGACAGCATAAGCATCGAGATTTTCGTGACCCAGATCTATTGCCCAATCTCTCTCTGGTTTTATTTCCCAGATCATGATGCCCATAAGGAAGTAAGTCCATCGCTTCGGGGTCAATTCCGTGATTTGACATTCAGTGGATGCAAGGCAATATCTAGACTGTTCAAGCCATTTCCTCTGTACATTTGAATTTGTACATATCGTGGTATAGGTGTAATCGTTTGTTGGAATACTGAGTTCGTCACGATGTGGTATGAGGAAATTATGTTGTGGTGGTGATTGTATTCTTTGTATAGCCTCATAATAAAATATGCCTCGTTTGCACCAGGTGCCGATCTCTTTAGCTTCAACATGATAGTCATTTAGTAAACTCCAAAAGACATTGACCAGATACCCAATATAATTGGTTTCAATTCTATCAAAAAGGTAGCGACTCCAGACCATGACATCGTATGGGACCATTTTGGCTTGTATAGCTTCCTCGAATAGGAAGGCACAAACCTCATCACCGAGAGGTGGAAGGCTCTGTGCATTTTCATTACCAGCCATGATTGAAATTCTAAACACCAAAAGACCGGGAATAAGATATGGGAAGAGAGGATGATTCTGAATTCCAGAGAAGAAGAAAAGTATGAGCCGTTTGTATGTTGTTCATTTTGGAGTCGAAACAGAGAATCATGGCTCTCCTTTTAAGCCTCCTCCAAGCTGAGGATTCAGTGTGACTCTTAATAATTGTGACTCTGCTCTTGAGTCAAATATACTGTCATAATTAATGGGACGTGGTGGAAAAATATGGTGTATCAGACGATGAATCATGTCGCTGTCATTCGGACGAACTTGTTGATATCAGATGGAGTGTCAACATATAGGGGCACTTGCCTCTTTCAACCTGCTGAATGAAAATTATAAAAAAATCAAATAACTGAACGACTAAGGTGACTGTGTAAGAATGACTCTTTGACCTGGGCCTGTACCCTTCTCTGTATATCGTGTACGAGTTCATTATTCAGGCAACCGGTACTCATGGGTCCATTGAAGGCATCTTAACACGCCATTTAGGCATAAGTTGTAATGATAGACTCAACATTATTCTGCATGCTAGGCTTAGTCCAAGCTTACACTCTTATGGGTTACTTGAAAGTTGTGGAAATCATCATGCAAGCTTGAATATAACCTTGAAGCCGTTGTAGCACTTTGATGCGTCTTAAAGATCACATCCTCTACCTATAGATATATCTACCTCTCTTGCGACATCATTTTTGATCCCCAATCGCCTGGACAACAGATTTTCACTCCTCCTATTATCAACTTTCTCCACGACTAGGTTGACAATAATTGACCTTAGGATACAGCGACGTCAAGTGCATACATCGAACATCAAGCCATCACTCTCGAACCTGGACAAGAATAAACCGTACTATTATTCATTAAAATCGGACCTTGGGATGTGACTTGAGCGATGGACCACAAACTACAACCTCCTCCCCGTTGCCGACTAGGGATACTTGGTCATTGGGTCAAATATCACGGGAAGCAGAAGCTACGAACAACATTTTACTGATGTAACCCTACGAGAACCTACAGAGAGTCTTCGAATATGTCAAGAAAAATCTTAGATATGCGTATATAGAGAGCCGTGAAAGCAGGATATTGGTTACAGGTGTGTATAGGGGTAATTGGAAACAGGGCCACAAGTTTAGCAGACGTCTCAAGGGCATTACGGACAACGACATCTTCAGCCTAACGACTGAATTAGCAGCGACTGATACTACAATACATATTTCTCGGCATTGTTACGGGAATCTGTCTTGCAGTATGCTGGTTGAGATCATCGCTCAATCTTCGCCAACCGATGACGCAGACATTGGCTGCACTTCATATCTTGCACTTTAAGGGGCTCAATACTCTGTTACTTACATCGCCGGATGAACTTCGTTATCAGCAGCCTGAAAGATCGTCGTTGTGATATGAAATATTGATAGTATAAATGAACAAACACGCTAAGTCTGAGCATAACTAGTCAATCAGATCGAAAATATCCATTTTCGGAACGCGCTTCAAAGTTGGGGGACCCTAGGTCCTGTGCCGTCACCAGCCTTAGACCCTTGAGCGGAAGTTGAAAAGCGCCTGAGTAGAAAAGGGAAATAATTTTTTGTGGAATGACTCCTTTGGAATCATAAAAATATGCATAAATGTTAAATTCGTTTCAACGTAACATCTGGGGTATTGAAAGAAAAAGCAAGAGTGGCAAGTTGGACCTGTCCGAGAAGGATCACTGTTCTTGTCGGGAGGTATGCTATTCATGATTACATAAAAGAGATGAGACTTTCAGATGAGAAGAATAGTGTTCTTACAGATAAGTCGACAATAGAGTCATAAATCTTAAAATGAGAAAGCAGGTCAGCTGATTTCATCGCCCGTGCTGTTCAGTTACGGTCCATCGTCTCTTCAAGGCTGGTTCGCGTGCCTGCGAGATGGCGACACTGCCCCATAAACCCAGCTGTGATTTTGGCTGCTCTGCAATACGTTCTTCGTCGTTTTTCTTTTGCTCCTGAAAGCTGGGTAGCATTGACCTCGCATCAGCCACTGGCTGCATGTTCGAGTCTTGCGTTTCGGCGCTGCGCTGCTCGAACTGATACCCTGGAATTTCGTCTATACTATTTTCCTTCTCTTTGGACGCCCATAGGCCGGAAATGCTGCGGGATGTGTAATGATGGTGTGCGGAGTTGGTAGTCGCGGATCGTTGAAGGCCATATGAACGGGCTGCCTTGTTGTCTTGGTTGTCCAAGGTGTTAACTGAGAACCTAAGTGGGCTGGATCCGGTGCGATGTCGGTAGACGGATATCGATCTCGGTCTCTCAAGAGTCGGGCTGGGTAGTTGTGGAAGAGATAGCGGATTTGACGTTACGCGAAGATGCTCGGTTGATGCAATTAGTGAGAGGTCGTAGAGATGATAGAGAGGAAGAGTGGATGGTGAGGGATGATTTTCAGTGTGGTCATTGTTCAAGAGATCATCCGATCGATAGTCCCAGGTTCTGGCTTTGAAAATGTCTTTGCGGACTGCCATTGTCAAGGATGCCATGGCCACATCAATCAGCACCGGCTGATTCGTCAACGCGCCAATAAGAGCATTACAGCCAGCTCCATGTGTAACAAGAACAAGCACTGTATCAGTCTCCTCATCGTCGTCGTGATTATGGCTGTGATGATGGTGGTGGTGATGGTGGTGGTGATGACGATGAGATTTGTGTGGCTTTTCATGACTATACCAGTCTACCATTTTTATAAGCCCGTTTCTGAATCTTTTATGCATTGCACTCCACTCTTCATCATATTCTCCACCATCCCCCCAATTTTGTGGATCCTTCATGCTATCCCATTGGTAGTCCACGTCAACACAAGCATCTCTTGCATGCGAAACATAACCTGTCGGAATCGGATCTGATGTTGAGATGGCATAGGAAGGGATCGGGGGTATATATCCGGCCGAGAGGTCCTCCTGAGAATGTGATGGTGATCGTGAAAGAACGTCTCGGATAGTGATTGCTTTGACTGGACGACTAAAGCGAAGGCCATCCTCTGTCCCGAGTTGCCCTTCCGAAGGTAGAGAATCGGCAAGCGAAGACATTCTGAAACTCGTGTTCTCAGCGGGCGTGTCTGATGAAGTCGTTTGATTACTCTTCCAGCCACCAGGAAAGTTCCCGGAGAAAGAGTTGCTCCCATAATTATTCGCGCGTTGAGGAATCTCCACTCGTCGCAATAGCTCTGCCTTTGCACCTGCAACCATCATAACCGATCCCGGAGGTGGTGTTATTTGATCGAAATAGTCCGGTGATAGCCATTCTCCTAAAAACGCGTCGATACGAAGGCGTGTACGTGGCGCAACCTTGGTGGATTTTCCATGGTTGAGCTTATCCTTCTTATTAAGTTTGTTCCATGGATCTGAAGACGTCGGTGTTGATGATCGCAGCGGTGTACCCATAGGCGATATCTCTTCGGATGCGAGAGGTGATAAAACCGGGGTTTGGTCGTTCGAATGCTCGTTCTTGGCTCGATAGAATTGGCTCATGCCAGCGCTAATCGCAACGGACGTCTGAACGCATCGTAAAAACGGCGATGAATGAATGATGACTTTGTGTTTTCGTACTTTTCTGGGTGGTTTGAGGTGCATTTCTGCGGGTGAGGTGGGCTCACTCGTGGAATTGCTTGCGACAGATGCCGAGCTGTTCGTTGTAGGTATTGTCTCGTCGTGGACTGAGTCTTCTCTCGCTTTCAATAGACTAGCTATACGCGCACCTAGTGCACGTCCTTGGATCCAGCCGCCGTATGTCAAGGGAGGGTCATACGGTGTGGGGGAAGTGAGATGCCATTCCTTGTCAACCGCATCGATCCGCGCGCCGTGCCTGTGCATGTCGATATTAGTGATGGCTCCTGAGCATCATCGCATAATGGTTACCTGGCAATGATGACAACCGCCGGCGGTTTGCCTATTTTTCCGTCCTGTGGCATCTCCATCTTGCAGTCGCAGAGCTGTCGAGGTGGCCTCTTCGTCGTGTATAAAAAACGTGGGGTAGCTCAGCTCGGTCGCATTCAGTGACGTATTAGCTGGACGTGTCAGTCATCTCGGCGTCGTCGATGCAGCGGCTTCAGCAACCTTTTAAGGGTTGCTCTGTGATTCATTTGCAAGGAGGTTGAAGAAAGAGTATGACTTGATGGTCTGTCTCTTCTTTCCTTGTGTCTGTCTGAAAATTTAAGAGACGGAAGCATGAATGACCTCTGAGGCCCCACGGCAGGTAGCTGAGGTAAGCTGTTTTAGGCCTTAGGCCGAATGTAACCTCGCCCGGACTCCGCGTGGCCTCACCACTGCCGCTGTATGGCACAACATGCCATATGTGCAACGCTACTGAGGCAACCATCTGCCAGTACTCAGCTTGGATGCGCTTTTATTCACCGGCCATATCGATTAGCAGATACAGTACTACGTGCAGAGTTCCCGCATTCTAATGACTATGCATTTAATGACTATGTTAACCCTCTATATACTTCCTTCTTTCACTTCTAGGTCGCTACATGTTTATGCGTCAGTGCCAAATGATTCCTGGTCCCATCTTCTACAGAGACGGGAAAGGGACATAGAGAGATTTACGACAAGCCGTGTCCTACCTAGGTAGCCCTAATCCAGTCCTAACTGTTTGCTAATCTTCGGGGGAAAAAATGACACATGGTATAGAGATTCACTACATAAGCATCCCAGCTGTCTTACTATTATGGCAACAATTTATTCGAAGACCCGTTCTACCGATGTGCCTCGATCTGCTTTTCACACCAATCCCACAGTTCCTTGCCCTTGTTTCAGATTACAGCCTTCTTTGGGAGCGCGTGGGTTTATTAGCTAGGAGCTAGACCAAATAACTTAAATTAAAATCTTGTGAGAAGATACAGCAGCTACTCTTAATTTAGAAAGGAGAAGCTAAGTAAAGAGAAGAAGTCGAATAATATTAATGCCTATGTGTGCTTTGATTCTCTACTTAGTCTATAAGCTGATTGGTATAGCACCTATACTAGTATTATTCTATAGAATGTCAAGGCGAAACTCCTGCCTAGAGAAGGTCTGGGCAGCGCTATAAATAATATTTGAATTATTCAGGTCAAGATAAAGGAACTTGATATAAGCAGCACTGGCTGAGTCGGTTGAAGATATATACTTTATAGCTCTTACACTTTATAGCTCTTTTAACGCGGGCATGAGAAAAATTCGCTATGTAAATTACTATATCGGTTAGATAAAGCATCTCAATAAGCTTAAGTCTAACGCCCTACTTTCCGCTTAAAATAAAGAATACCCAGCTGTTCAGGTTTAGAGAGTCGAGGTCTTTCTCTATGAACATCGGTGTAGGCGGCCAGTACTGCGTCATCGTTGATCTGAGCGCCATCTTAATTGATCGAATTGGATCAAATGAGAATTGTTCGAGGTGAGAAGTTCAGTGTTGCAGTTGAGGGAGGTGTACATGCAGTAAATGAAGGAGAGCTCATTCAAACCAACGTGAATTCGGCATAGACCCCAAAGCTGATAGGGTGTACCACGTAGCATGCACTTCAGCTGTGGTGGCCTTATTATGGCCACTTGAATTTGAATTTGAATTTGTTTAAATCCCTGCGTATATCTTGAGTGTGCTGTTTCCTTTCTTATTTTCCCTAAATGATATGTGTTGAATCGAGTATGGTTGTACTCTTCGTAATGTTGTTTTACGTTGTCAATACACACACTACTTGTATGTGCTATGCGTGGGTACATAGACATATGTAGCCCTAAGCCACCTCGCACATGCAGGCTGACGTGCGAAATTTTTATTGCCTGACACGGTTCTGTGTTTTCCTCCCCCAGTAATATTGTAGGTCTGAAACTTGGTGGAAGGTTACTTTGTCCTGGGCGTGACGGAGATTACAACTATGTAACCACATACTTCATCATCTGACGCTTAATATCAATTTGATTTAGTCATTCTGCTTAGCAAATAAAAATTCACTAATTTAACGTCCTTGGAATAAATGAGCTATAGCAAATATTCATGGTCCTGTTTCACCAACTCACTTCAAAAATTATCCGATACAAATCGGAACCATATTTTCCTCAACTCCATCAGCTAACTAACCGCAGATCTTCAACTGGAAAGCTTGAAAGTACGCATCGTCGCTCAAAGGAGTAAAGCAGTCGTTGGAATTTATCCAAGTCATGTTGATAACGTTTCCGTTGCACTGTGTGTTTTCGTATCCTAGAATTGCTTTTGGTCGGCCCTCTTTATCTCATCCATATTCAGGGAAGATCAAAAACTGTACCATCCGTCTCGAGCAAAACACCAGAACTCGCCTTGGCTAACTTGCCACCAGGCAGCCAGTTGAGGCACTTCTCGTTGTCGACGATGGCCATTTCAGTCAATGGAATGACACAGTTCTAGTTATCGTAGAGGTTGATGTCTCCTGGGTTGGTTGACAAGTGATGACTCTCCCGATGAAGTGTTTGTCAAGCAGGGCAAAGCACGCCAGTGCCGAATTTGGAAACCATGAGCAAAGAGAAAGCCTTCCAGATTGCTCCTTCCTTTCTGGCGCGTGGTGCCCTCGTAGGGAGCCTGAGGCAGAAAACAGTTTTACCTGGGCTATCAGACCTATCTCACTTCATTGCGACTGCCACAACACGTTAACATATAACTCAGTCAGATCTAAGGATCTATATGTGTGTATGTGTAATCCTGCAGTTCAGCATAGACTAGACTCAAGATATATTAATCTCTATCATTTCGAAGTGCCGAAGGATGTACCTCGGGATATCTGAGTAAGATTGATTTTGACATAGCATCGCACTGCCATGATGCTGTCTACTATGTATCAAAACGAAGGGCCAATCGCCGTCAAAAAGAGCAGATGCTACGGCACTAAGCGAAATTGAGCTAGCGGGCCGTATGGACTAAAACAGCAGATGCTGATTGGCTATCTGACCGAGAAGCCCCCATGTTTACCCTGGGTGGGTACCCTTGATGAGACATTCTGGCTGTAGCGACATATGATTGGCCAGCTTACGCCCGCTGAGTCTCTCATTCTCGCTGTCTCACAGAAGGGATGGGCTCCTTACTACGGCAGGATAGGATAGGAAGTGATTTCAACGTCCACCTGATCTCGACCTCCCTCCTACATTATTCACGTCATCCTCGGACCACTGCCACATCCTCATCCCTGCCGACTCATTTCGAAACGACTCCTAGGGTCGAAAGATTACTATCGTTCTGCTCCTCGCACTTACGGTCGCTTTCACGTCGTCACTCTCGCTTCCGCTCTTCCCGGATCTTTCGTCGACGCGCTGGTCGTTATACGTCGGAATTCTATCATTACTCTCACATCGAAGCATCCGACTGCCCTTTGCATCTTTGCGATAATTGTCCGCTACCGATCGAGCCGTATCACAAACGAGTCGCATCGCTGGAAATACTGAAGAGCATATAGTCACAACAGTCGGGTTATCTGAATGGCGTGACAGCAGACGCTGTACAAAAAGTCAACACTACAACAGGGCGAAACTGCGACTCGTTTTGTCTACACATAGTAGTCAATATGTGGCTGCGTTCTTCTGCTTCGCTGTTGCTGGCAGCATGCGGCTTGCCATACGTAGTTGCCGACAGCTATCTCTCATCGACATCTCTGGCAACATGCCAAGAAGACTCTCTCATTACCGCAAGCTTGTTCGACGTAACGTTCTTCCCCGGAAATGATACTATTTATTATGATATCAACGCGAATGCATCAGTCACGGGTAACGTCTCACTGACTCTGCAAGTCATTGCGTACGGTTATTATCTGCAGCCGATTGACATTAATCCTTGCGATGGTTCCTCGTTATCGACCAACTTCTGTCCTATTGAGACCGCCGGAGAGCCAATCGATCTGCAAGCCTCTAGTCCAGTACCAGCGGACATTGTGAGCAGAGTTCCAGGTACGAACAGAAGTCACACTCCCCACTTTCGCTGTTACTAACAAGACGAAGGAATCGCCTATACGGTGCCAGATCTCGACGGGAAGGTCCAGATTTTCATTGCTTCGACCGACCAAAACACCACCGTTGCATGTCTACAAGCTGAACTCACAAACGGCAAGACCGTCTATCAAAAAGCCGTAGGGTGGACATTAGCCGTCATTGCTGGTTTAGCATTGACGGCGTCAGCTATCGCGTCCGGTCTTGGTTTCTCGAATACTGCAGCCCACGTTGCCGCAAACGCGCTCTCGCTCTTTTCGTTCTTCCAAGCTCAGGCTATGTACGGAATGACCTCGGTGTCTATGCCGCCGATTGTTGAAGCCTGGACGCAGAATTTCCAGTGGAGCATGGGTATCATTCACGTGGGCTTTCTTCAAACACTGAGCACTTGGTACCAGCAGGCAACAGGCGGTACACCATCGACGTTACTCGCCAGTCTGTCCGTGCAGTCAGTCAGCGTGCAAAAGCGATCTTTGGATCTGGCCAAAAGGGCCTTGAATACTTTGACAGCTCGCGCAGCCGACGATACAATGTACTCGGGTAACACCGTCATCAAAGGCATCTTGCGAGTTGGTTTCCGAGCACAGATTGAACCCAGTAACATTTTCATGACTGGCTTAATCTTCCTTTCCGCCTTCTTCATCATCGTTATTCTTCTGATTTTCGTTTTCAAGTTGTACATCAAAGTTGCGATCAAGTGGGGATGGATGCCTTCCGGAGGGTTTCAAGATTTCCGCAATGGATGGACCAGCGTCGTGCGCGGAATTCTTTTTCGTCTTGTAAGTCACCCCCTTATACCCGCGCGATACATTTCATTGACCAATTTTCGCAGATTCTTATCGCATACCCCCAAATGGTCGTCTTATCTTTGTGGGAACTCACGCGCCGCGACTCGGTCGCTGAAGTCATTCTGGCCATCCTGATGCTGCTTTCCATGACCGCAATCCTCCTGTGGGCTGCCTTTAACGTCCATCGCTTAGCCAAGCGCTCAGTGGTAATGCACCAGAACCCAGCATACATTCTCTACTCCAACCCAAAATTCCTCCACACCTGGGGCTTTTTATACGTCTCCTACCGCGCTACAGCTTACTACTGGGTCTTTCCCACGCTATTCTACATTTTCATCAAAGGCGCATTCATCGGTCTCTCACAATCATCTCCAATCACCCAAACCATTGGTCTCTTGTGCATTGAAACCATCAACCTCATCTTCTCATCGGTTTTTAGACCATGGATGGACAAGAAAACCAACACCTTCAATATTGCAATTTGCGCAGTCCACTTCGTCAATGCCGTGTTCTTGCTCATGTTTACCAGCGTTTTCGATCAACCAGTACGTCCCAATTCAAACCCCTTCTTACCCCATCCCCCCACACTAATTATCGATATAGGCAATCGTAAACTCCGTCATGGGCGTCGTCCTGGTCCTATACAACGCCATCTTCGCCCTTGTCCTTCTTCTCATGGTCCTCGTGTCCGCCTTCTATGCTATTTTCAGCAAGAACCCGGATCTACGTTATGAGCCCGTGCGCGATGACAGAGGATCATTCATTAGATCCCAAACACACCTCGATGTACACAAGGAACTTGATGCGCTTGGTGCCACCGCGAGGGGCGAGGAGAAATCGATATATTGATCTCGCCTACTCAATCGTAGGCTTCCCTTGCGGATGATGTTTTGTAATATTTATCGACTGTTTTGATTTGAGTATAGGATCTCGGAGTTTTGTTTACCTTGGAGAAAATATTGCCTTGGATTTTATTGAATTTTCGAACTTTTTTTGTCAAGGGCGTTTTTGTGTCGGACAGACAGATTCATTTAGTATTACTGTTTATATGTCAAGTTAGTATTGTACATATGTCTCCACATCTCTTTGACTATACAGGTATTCAGCGATCTCAATTACGAAATCTTCCATCTCAGTAGTGAATAGAGGAGGATGTAATTGTATTACTACGTTAATCAATGCTAATTATTATATAGGTACCTACGCACAGACAACCGATAGACCATGATAATAGTCGGTGTCTGTCGTGTAACCATCTGTTCATCCAAGCTCATACATACGTCGATCGAAAGGAATGACTCATTAATCACATAAGTGGTATCGACAAAACTTGTCAAGTTCATAATCATAAGACGTGATAACGCCGTAGGGAAAGCTCATTCGTTGAGGTCGTGAAAATTCAGAAAGTAGTGCTTTTCAATTAAGTCGTGGACTTGATTAGAGAGCGAGAAGTGCAGCGATACCGACTGCACCGGCGAGACCACTGCCGACAGTGGCCATAGCAGCTGCAGCGGCGTGGGATGTTGTGCTGCTGGCACTTGCGCCTGATGCACCAGAGGAGGTTGCTGAGCTGCCGCTGCCAGTTCCAGTGCTAGAGCCGGATCCAGTAGTGGAAGCACTTGTTTCACTAACAGCGGTGTAAAGGGTAGTGCTGCCGACCGTGCTGGTGGCTACCTCAGAGCCAGAGGAGATGGTTGTCTCTACAGCTTCGGTGGTGTAAGCGCTGGATGAAGCGGCAGATTCGCTGGCACCTGTTCCAGAGACGGAGCTATACAAAGTGGTACTTCCGACAGTGCTGGTGATAGTGGTAGAATCGGAGGTGATGGTGGTCAAGACAGCTTCTGTAGAATACGGAGAAGAAGTGGCACTGGTTGCAGAGACGTCGCTGTACAAGGTGGTGCTTCCAACAGTGCTGGTGATAGTGCTAGAATCGGAAGTGATGGTCGTCAAGACAGCTTCTGTAGAGTAAGGAGTAGAAGAGACACCTGTCCCAGTCGCGCTGGTGCCCTGAATGCAAAGTTAGCTTGGCTCAAAACACAGAAGACATAGGACATACAGTGCCTGAAGCGGTACCCGAGGTATCGCTCCCAGTTCCAGTGGTAGTGGCGGGKTGGGTGGTGGATCCAGATCCAGAGGATGCAGCTATAGTCCCAGTCAGCGAAGATCAGTTCTTCAAAAAGACAGCCGACTTACTGGCAGAAGCACAAACGGAAGAAGCGTAAGACTGGACGTCTTGTACATTGTCACCAGGACAGGCCTCGACAGTGCAGTCATGGATACCGTAACCGAAGTCCTTGTCATTGCAAAGACAGGCCAAATCATTGGCTTCGCATCCTAAAGACGAAGCCAGACCGACGACATTGTTGTAACACGTTTGCTGCGACTGTTAGTACACGCATTGTCGAGGTTCAGTCAGTGGGGGGCTTACAGCGCAAGAACTGATGTTGGCGGCAACGACTGAGGTCGCGAGGACAGCTGCGGAGAGAGCGATGGCCTTCATGTTGTCGTTGAAAGCTATGTAAAAGATTAGTGTGGATATGAGCGATTGAAAAATCTAGCTGTATATATCCGCTGGGATTGGATGTCGCTAGTAAGATCGTGGATGGGATGAGAAATAGAGATGGGGTGAAGAGAAAGAGAAGAAAAGGATGTAGAAAATGGCGAGACGATGGAGTCTTTATACAGACGACGCAAGAAGCTCTGATGCTGGCGGGGAAGGAGGCTCCTTCCCTGGAAAGTGCATAGTCAGGGCAGTCCCGTGACTGACGCACGAAGACACGCTCTTCCTGTCCTTCCTTCTCCTTTTACTCCATCCACTATCCACGCTGCTTCAAGAGAGCCACCGTCACCGCCGTATCCATGGTTATTTCTAGCGCTAGCTCTTAGCGTGGGCTTAGCTATATACACTATCGAGCTGATCCAGACCAATTATGATCTATCAGCCACACTCGTCAACAAACAACTTCGATTGTCCGAGTCTAGTCAGCACAAAGACTGGATTTGTGTCTAGCTGCGTGGAATAGGACCAATACCAACCATCGGTGAAGGCTGAAAACTTGGCCAGCAGCTGCACGGCATGAAGCTGCAAGTGCACCACGAGCTCTAAAGCGAGTGATCCAATCGCGACGAGCTCCAGAAGCTCGAGGTCGACACGTCTGGATCCCTCGCCACTTAATACAGATGCTAGCGTCAGATGCGGTACGGACTACGTATTTTGTCCTACATCGGAAGACATGACGACCGTGCACGGAGTATTGGGCTAACAAGTGAGGTAGGTTGCCCAATCCCGAATACACAGTTCATTGAGTTTCTTCGATCCGAAAATTTTTCAAGCTTGCGATCTGCGGATAGCTAATAGTCTACTTTCTCCATAACTAAACTGACCAGTCCTTGGATACTCTCGGCTTGTCTTACATCATTGTGCATGGAGCTAGTCAGGTTGCGGAGCAACAATTGTCTGGATCTCATAGCAGACCCGATAACGTCGTACAGATTACACCGCCACAGATTTTTCGAAGAAGCAGTCATAGTGACTGTCATAAATACTTGAAACTCAAGTTAACATACTGAGATGCGAATGAGGCCGATAAGACGGTTCCGAATACCCCTTGCATGCAACATCCTTACATTTCGCATGACACCGAAGCTGCAACCTACCTTGGGAACTTGTTGAAATAGCTTGCGTGGCCATGTGTATTGATGTGTTAAGCTAAAAGGGCACGATTTTGTGTGTTTACACACGTTGTCCACGAGTTGTTAAGATGATGCAACTTTCTCGTGGAGTCTAGACAAAACTTGGCCCAGCTAGATTTCATGGCTTCGGCGTTGGCTCGCGGGGKGATCCCCGGCGCCACCTCATCACAAAAATCGATGCGCTACCGCGCCACGTACCAGGGACGGCGTCAGAGGCTAAAAAAGGTTAAAAGCATACTACGTAGGTCACTAAGTTACTAGCTTTTGTGGTTGGGACACTTGCATCTGCGCAGATCGAAAGCTCTGAGGTCGAGAACACACTCTATGAACATGCTGTCATCTGAATGTCTACATACAAATTTCCTTCCGTAGATTTGCGAGATGAAAGATCTGATCAACACTCAACTGGCATGTTTCATCCTAGACAGAATGGTCGATAAAGAGAAGCTCTTCTTTACAGGGGTGTCTTTGTCCAATTAATAATCCACTATGGAGAAGGGTGATAATTCGGCTATAATATAGATCAAGAATGGTCCTAGCAAAGGGGCTGAAAGAGTCCGAAGAGCGTACCTCGCTGTCAACAAAGGACTTGACGGAAACTACGTTTGCGCTGGAACGAGGCTCAAAGTCCGTTTCGCTTCAACTCATGACGCTCATAATACTTGTTGCTTGGTGTCTGGCCCTATTAGTAGAGACAATAGCCTTGTTATTCGGCCTTGTCATGCTGTGCATAAAGACCTTGTCATACGTGCGATAAGATCTCAAAAGAACCTAGCTGGCTTTATGATTAAATCATTGTTGTCTAAGAGGGTTGGGAGAAAATGGAGGAGAGTCATACATCTATATAAATCAGGTAGAAGAACGTTAACATCACTCTATCTGCATATTTACCTGACAAAACAAACGACGCACATTTTTCACGAAGTTTACAAAGTACGTCCACAACTGACAACAAAAAACATTTTCATCTGCATCTTGAAATAGCAAGAGGGAAATCATCACAGACATACCTCAATAAGCATGGCAGATGAGATCACGATAGCGTCTGAAGGGCAGGATAACGAGAATGCAGTACCAGAAAGCCCACTACTCACTAATAAGGAAGCTAAATCGAAGCTGAGGGACAAGTATAGCAAAGAGATAGACAAGCTGCATAGAAACTTTAAAAAAGATTATTACCAGAATTACAAGGACCCCGAAGAAAACGACAGTCAAATCATCGATCTATCCCAGCTCCAGGACCCGCCTGATGACTTCAAGATCACGAATCTCGATGCTAGACACCCCGAAATGGCTGACGGGTTTGCCCTGGTCGTACACCATTTCTGGAATATCAATCCGCAGATATTCCCGAGAAATGCGAGGGATAGAATTACACTATTCAGAAAACTAGCCTACAATCAAGATGAGCAATATAGGCCTCGAGATCTTAGGGAGCTTTCTGACTTATCACGCGATGCAGGGCCGCGGTTGTTGAAACCAGAGATTCTTCGCCGACTTGGAAAGCTGCCTATTAGTCGTCATTATCCAGAGTTCAAAGAAGAAGCAGATTGGGAAGAACAACGAACCCGCCCTATACATCTTCTTCAGCATGAAGCTTTGGGAGAAAATGCCGGGGACGGAGGTGGAGATGGGCCTGATGCTCTTGCTTTGGAAGAAACCCCACCTAATTTGGATCTCATTCGAGAATGTCTTGAAAGACTGTTAATTCAATTGAGGTATCGACAGCTGGAAGTGGTAGATGCGAAACGAGGAGAGGAGTTATTCCATGCCTTGATTGATACATCCGAGAGCAGTCGGAGGAAACACTTGCCCCTACGGAAGGTACCGTTGACACTTGACAATAGCCACAACGTGGAAAAGGCTTTCGGTGGGTTCACTCAACCAGAATATCCATCTCGAGAAAGAGGCCCTGCTTGTACCGAATTTGAATCGGCCAGTAACTCGAAATTTGACTGTTTGATGATGGTTGGCAAATTGCTTGATGCTGGAATCACGAAAATAGATGTTGACCACCTCCACTCTCATAGCGGGCAGGAGACTAATGCTCATAGAAATTTTTTGAACATGATACAAGCTGACTGGAAACAAGGAAACGGTACTAGAAGCGACGAGGCAAGACGGTATTTCCACCGCCTGTTAAATGATCTCCATGCCAAAGACTTCAGGGATCTTGTATTCAAATCAACTCTTTTGCGCGCACAATTCAATCACACTGTCTCTCGCACAATCCAGTGTGACAATGATCACGATATGCCAATTTCATCCAATACAGCGGCACCCTCACTAATTATCTTTGATGGGCCATATATCAAAGAAGACGGTACAGGTGTTACCATGCAGGAGGTTTTACAAACGTCCTTCCCGCAACAGGAACCCCCTCAGGGATATGGCAAGATGAAGGATCATGCTTGTACGGTCAAGGCCTGCGAAGGAAACCCCAAGAAGACAATTATCCGCCGTTCCATGCCGTTACGCATGGCAGTCAGCTTGTCTTCTCAGGTATCACCCTTAGAACATACCAGCAATGATATAAGGGTCAAGTTCCATAATGATGCCAGAGGAGGTGCGGAGGACGTTGCAGTCTACCGTTGGATTGGAGGGGTATACGCTAATACGCAAATTGAAGAGTCAATGACACGTTATCGAGTTTATTGGACGGACTCACTGCGAGGAGGCAAACCGAGTGAAACTGTTTCAATTTATGACCCAGTTCAAGCTGGTGGACAGGTGATTGAGGGGGTCTTCCCAGCTTCCCAGAATGAACCTATTCCGGCAGGCTGGTGGCAGGATAAATTCAAGCCAGTTCTATTCTATGAACGTGTATTCAATCCTGACTTGCTGGATATTACCCTGGCAGCCGCTATACTCGGCGATATGAAGCATACGTTGGATAACAGTCAATATATTCTGCAACTTCACGATCCCCAGTGGAACCTTTCTCAGCCACCTGATGACCGGTCTGTGGATTATGGTGCCTCAAATCCCCCTCGTCCCATTACACCTCCTACTTCTGGTAATCCGTCTGGATCTTTAGTTCCTCAAAGTATTGGAGGATACACAGGTGCAGCCTTTGAAACACAGCCGAAAAAGCTGGACTCCAGAGATGTTCAAATGCAGGATGGTAATGATTACAACGAACCATCACAGTCGCGTAGTGATTTCTCTCAGAATATTGGAAAGCTCGGGGTTGGGGTAACTGGATACAATTTAAACCAGAGCGTCCGCTCAATGCCTCCACCAGCCCAACCTCCACCAGACAATCACGGAATGTTTCGTGCATTCAACAGCGACATGAGTCAAGTAGCACCTGATCGACCTAGAACCCTACTTACACAGCACTATAACCAAACAGCAACTACAAATACCTCCATCTCGAACTTTGCTCAACGAGATCTTGGACAACGTCCACAGTTCATTCCTGTGCAATCGTCTAACGTCCAAGGCTCGAATTTTGCTCCTCAAAACATACAGACCAATACTCAATACAAACCCATAGGGTTCGGAAACGCTAATATGGGTCTCTCTCAGCCAATAAACACTTTGAACCGGGCAGGAAACTCGAATATTGGCAACGGATACCTTAGTCCTGCGCTAGACATAGACTACAACGAGTATCTGCGAATGACACCCCAAATGAGTAATATGAACTTACCGTTACCGGATACACAAGAGGACGTCGGAGCACAAGCTCCTACTGTCGAAAAGCCAGATCCTTTATTTGATTTTGATGACATTATGGTGGAAAATCCACAATAGATAGGGAGTATATACCAGGTACGTTACCGAACTATCCTTATAGAACATCGGCCCGTGGATATCATCATTCACATACCTAACAGAGTAGGAGATGTAACAGTAGGAGATGATATATTGGTGAAGAGTTTGCATAGTAATATCGTCTCCACCGTCACTTCTTCCCATCACAACTCATCTTGTTTTCTCTTCACCTTTCCCAGCTACGACTACCTAGATGGCCTCATATTAATGCATGGCATGATCAATTAAACCATGGACGACAGAGCATAGAAGTTTCAATATAAGCCGTAACATTTAATGATCATGAAGCCATTCATGAGTTGGATCATGACTGGGTGGCCTATTTATTGGTTACATCTAACGCACTCGGCAGTTTCCCGCGCGGCCCCTCTTATGCGGATGACATCCGCACGCTGACTCCGCATACAAAGTCGGAATTTAACATGTATTTTGCTAGCGTCATGATACACTGAAGATATATGACAAATGAAGTACTCTACGCTATTTATATAGACATAATCAGCAAAAATGACTGAGCCAAACACCCAGCAAGTCCACCACATCCAGCCAGCCGAGCTTCAGAACTTTGTTCAACGAGTTTTGGTCGGCAACGGCGTACCCGATGACCATGCCACCATAGTTGCGCGTTGTCTCATCCAAGCAGATCTTCGAGGCGTCGACACACACGGCTCAAATCGCATTCCGTCCTATATGAAGCGTATTCGCCAAAAAGTGCTAGATCCATCCGCAATCCCAGAATTGAAGCAAGTCACACCGGCTGCTGCTATAGTCGATGCAAAGAATGGATTCGGCTTTGTCGCAGCTCATATGGGAATGCAAAAGGCGATTGAGATGGCGCAACAGATTGGTATTGGGATGGTATCAATTAAACATTCAAACCATTTTGGCATGTCGGCCTGGTTAGTGCAACAGGCGATTGACGCTGGGATGATGTCGCTCGTATTCACCAATTCGTCGCCTGCATTGCCTGTCTGGGGAGGAAAATCTCAGCTGATGGGTGTCTCGCCTATTGCCTGCGGAGCACCAGCTGGCAAAGAGCGACCGTTCATTCTGGATATGGCTCCATCAGTCGCCGCGCGAGGCAAGATCTACAAAGCGTTACGAAGAGGAGAGAAGATCCCTACTGATTGGGCTCTTGACAAGGATGGAAATGTGACCGATGATCCTGCAAGAGCTCTTGAAGGCGTCATGCTTCCTATGGGTGGACCAAAAGGATCTGCATTATCGATTATGATGGATGTGTTTTCTGGTGTACTGTCCGGATCTGCGTTTGCAGGTCATGTAACGGGGCCATATGATCCATCAAAACCAGCGGACGTTGGACACTTTTTGGTGGCCATCAAGCCTGACTTGTTTATGGACTTGGAGGAGTTCAAATCACGAATGGATTATTTGTATCAGCGTGTCGTTACCTCTGATAAGGCAGCTGGTGTGGACAAGATTTATTATCCTGGAGAAATTGAGCAGATTACACGAGATAGACGGCTGACTGAAGGGATACCTTTTACTGAAGTAGAGATCGCAAATTTGAATGAGGAGGCAGAGTTGGTCGGTGTCGAAAAGTTGAATATCTAAGTCAATCCGCAATCCACCCTACTTTCTTATATCCACCCTCCTGTAATTTATCACACACCAATGTCATGCACCGATCTAGCAACTTAGTGCATTCAAAGATTGTTGTGTAAATGTTAACACTGTCTAGATAGGATCAAATGCTCAGATCTTGCATTCGGGTATTGAAATAAGTCATTAGTGTCGACACGGACTTATGGTACGATGGTATGAAATATGGTATTCTGATTTAAATACAATCAGGGACAAGGTGTTACACCCTTCCTGTCGATGAAGTAATACCTCCATCAACTACTAATTCCTGACCTGTAATGTACTTGGACTCATCAGCAGCAAGAAACACGACTGCGTTAGCCACATCCCAGGCGTCCCCCATACGATTCATCGGTACCTGCTCATCCCGCTTACGCATGTATTCCTTTTCATCTTCACCAGGCGCATACCGTTTCGCCATCTCCCGTGTATACGGGGTGTATATCAGACCCGGCACAACAGTGTTCAACCTCACATTCTTTCCAGCATATATAACTGCCGTAGCCTTTGTAAATTGTATTATTGCTGCCTTGGTAGTCGAGTATGCGATTTGCGGCTTCCCAATATACCGTAATCCGGCAATACTTGAAACATTCACAATTGAACCAGTTGCTTGCTTCTCCATAATGGGTAGTACATGGTGACAGGTCAAATAGACGCTTTTCAGGTTTAGATCGACTTGCGAGTCCCAAACTTCCTCCGCCATGGTCACTGGACAGCCGGGCTCGGATTTTCCGACGTTGTTGACGAGGATGTCAATGCGACCATGTCGTTGCATACAGGCGTCTACCAATGCTTTGACGGAAGCTGAATCGGTGACATTTGTCTCCTGGACATCGCATGTTCCCCCAGCGCTCTCAATGCGGGATTTTGTGCGCTGCGCTGATGCCAATGATCTGTTGCCGCCGAAAATAACTGCGCCTTGTTTTGCAAGATTACAGGCTATTGCGGCGCCAATGCCCCAGCCTTCGTCCGTTGTTTGGCCGAGGCCGGTGATGAGGACGACTTTGTTGTCTAGTCGTAGCATCGTTTCTAATTGAGCAAATTGGTAGTAAATTGCCAGATGAAAAGATTTGCGGTCCCTTCCGGATGTGCTTTTGTTGTGTCGCGATTGCAATCACCTCAACAATCCGATCTTCTGGTACGTATGTTTACGGAGCGGATGCATCCGAATTATCGGAACCTCTCCGCTTTGCACTTTAACAACGGGCCAACAACAACACGAGCCCGGTCTTTTTTCTTGAGCTTTTTATCATCTCATAACAAAATACAATGGTTTCTGTGCTCACCCACGTCCAAAATGTCTGGGAGACCCAACGATCGAACAGCCCTATCTACGCCTTCCTCCTAACCGATGTCACCATCGAGGATGCCTCCGAAGGCACAATCCGCGCCCGTCTCCTGCTGAACCAAAACCACACAAACTCCAAAGGAAGCTTACACGGGACTATGACTGCGTGTCTTATTGACTGGATTGCGGGCATGGTTATTGCTAGTTATGGTTCGACTTATACAGGCGTGAGCACCGATATTCACGTCTCTTACCTTACTGGTGCGAAAGAGGGGGAGGTTCTGGAAATTACTGGACGGTCAATGAAAATGGGAGGGACTCTTGCATTTGTGTCGGCTGAAATTACCAAAATTCAGGGTGGAGAAAAGGTGGTCGTTGCTACGGGATTGCATACTAAATATGTCCGACAAAAGTCTTGATAGAAAAGCTCTCCTGTTGTAGCCTTCATGCTCACTTCACATGTCACGAAGTTTTCTTATGAGGCTCAGTACGTCATATTGCATAAAAACGTCGTATTTGACGATAGAGGGTATTCACCCAGATATCTGTTGAGGTTTATTCCCGTATCAATATGTCAAGTCTTTTACACCAAGCTAACATCTCTGGAAAGGAAATAAGTACCCTTTCCTCCGTCTAAAAATTCGGGCCCTTTGCGGTGAGGAATCTAAAGTCCGCACCATCATGTGCCTGATTTACCTCTCGCTCATAAAGACCGCGGTATCCTCGCCTAGTACCCCTTGCGTTCCATATCGAGTCTGGTTCTTTCTCAATTCTCTTTTGACGCTGTGTTATTCTTTGTTGTAATTCTTCATCACTAATATCCAATTGCAACAGACGATTTGCAATATCACAAATTATAGTGTCACCTGTCTGAATAACTCCGAATGATGAGTTTGGAATTGCAGATTCCGGTGAGACGTGGAGAATAATAGTTCCTCCAGCTGTGCCAGACATGCGTCCATCTGATATTCGAAGCATATCTGTAACTCCTTGAGCGGCCAATTTCCGTGGGATGGGAATCATGCCCGCCTCAGGCATACCAGGATTTCCGATAGGGCCAATGCCTTTCAGGACTAGAATCGATTCCGCAGATACATCTAGATCAGGATCGTCTAGACGCAAAGCAAGTTCGTGGGAGTTTTCAAAGACAATCGCAGGTCCTTTGTGATTGAGAAGTCGTTTGTCTTTGGACGCAGAGGCTTTGCATACAGCTCCGTTGGGTGCGATATTACCCTTTACTACAACCAGGGAGGAACTGGGATGGAGAGGGTTGTTGAGTGTTCGAATGATGTCGCGCGAAAATTCAAAGTCTCTAAATGGACTTTTATCCAGCAATTCACCCAGAGTCTCTCCCGATATTGTCTTTGCTGATTCCCGGAGTAAGGGCCGTAAACGATGCAAAAGACATAACATCCCACCGGCATTGTGGAAATCAGTCATGTAATTGTCTCCACTGGGCTTCAAGTCGACTAAGAGGGGAGTCGTACGACCAATCTCGTCTAATGTGCCCAAATTAATGGAGCCACTAACAGCTGGGTGGCGATTGATGATAGCCATGAGATGTACCATGGCATTTGTCGAGCCACCAATAGCCTGAAGCACGACGGCAGCGTTATAAAATGAGTCGGATGAGAGTACGTCCAGGGGGGTCCGCTGGTTTATGGCGGCAGCAACAGCATTTGCACCAGTCTGCTCCGCAATCCTAAGCCTTCCAGCAGATACAGCGGGAGCAGAAGCACCTTGTAGAGGAATTAGACCCAATGCAGCCGTAATACAAGCCATAGTACTGGCAGTACCCATCACGCCGCAGGTGCCTATTGTTGGTGCTAGCTCTTCGTTGATAGCTCCTATTTCTTCCATATCTATTTTGCCGGCTCGGTAGGACGCCCAGTTGTTTCGGCAATCGGTGCAAGCTCCAAGTCGTTTCCCTCTGTGACTACCAGGCATCATGGGCCCAGTCAAAAGAGGCAACACAGGTTTATTTGCGGAGATACCTCCCATGATCTGAGCCGGAACCGTCTTGTCGCAGCCTAACTGTGCATTAGCGTGGATTGACCCATATCTTAGGGATGGCACAAACCTCCAATCATGATACAAGCGTCAACGGGCTGAGCGCGAATCATTTCCTCTGTGTCCATGCTCATGAGATTCCGCAAAAACATGCTAGTAGGGTAGGAAAAACCCTCGTGTAAGCTTATCGTAGGAAAGTCAATGGCGATACCCCCATGAAGATGGATTCCTCGTTTGGCAGCTTCGATCAGTTGGGGCACATTGCCGTGACAGGGATTAAAGCCCGAGCCAGTATTGATAATTCCGATAATCGGGCGCGACAGAGCATCTTCTGAATAACCCAAGGCTTTGATAAAGACTTTGCGCAAAAACAACGAGAAATGGGCATCTCCGTATGAAGTCAGCCCTCTTCGTAGTCCCGTTGTGGAGATAATTGACTGTTGCAAGTCGTAGTCTTGGTTTGTAGGCTTCGTATTTTCCATGATGGTGTTTACTTACTGCTTGATGGGTTCGTACCAGGGTGAAACAGCGAAAAGAAACCCATCAAATTTGCCTGGGATACTTGGTGAAATGGAAATCATCTTACACAAACCGAGTTTTGGTGAAATAGTTTAATCGGATCAATGTCTGACGGGTCGCGGAAGGCTCCCGTCTTACAGCAAACGGATTCTCGCCGGTTCGCTCGACCACCAATCTCTTGAATCTAACTTTTGGAGAGCGGTCATAGTAAGTTGAGAATCGGCTAATCCGTTGAACTGACCCATCCGGTAGAAAAGGCACATACCATACAGCATTGTCCCGTGTCATTGCAACAAATAAAGCCTTCTCATCACGATTCAAAACTCGCTAATGAGGTGATGGTCCATTAGAGACCAACGAATCGACTTGTCCGTCAAAATATATCTGAAAAACAAATCCTGTGGGATCCTGTAGTCCAGGCATATCCTGGTCAGTGAAGTGTATGACTTCATCTCTGGAGATGACTAGATCATTCGGCCCTTGAAGGCGTTCCCCATGATAAAATGCTGCAAGCTTTCGAAGCTTTCTAGAAACCGGGGTCAAATTGTATTGCCTGAAATCCGGGATCACAATGGTCTTAGTGATACGATTCCAGAAAAGTCTATTTGGTTCGCCATCATATTCGAGGACTAGGGTCCATTTATCTTTCGAGTCGACAGAGAAAATGCAACCGTAAGTTATGTCGGTTACAATAGAAAGTCTAGCTCGGCGACGTAAATGAACACTTTGAGAAAGGGATCAAGAGGTCTGCCTCGTTTTTGGTCTGGAAGTGTTCGTAGACGCCTGTACATCGGAACGCAGCTCTGTCCTTGAATGACGATCGGTCTATCAGGTATCTTGGTGGTCATTTCTCTATTCTGAGATGAAGGGGCTTCTGAAGCTGCTGGTACTAGTAAGGCACCTACATCTTAATCAGAATCTTGATCACAAAGCCTGGTACGCCACGGAAGACATCCGCGGATTGACCGGTTGACATCCGTCATCCTTATGGATCGGGTGTTTCAGTCAATCATAAAATCCTACGTAGCTTAAAGTAAGCCGATGATTTCGCATACGATTTCCATTGTATCATCTGACTTTACCTACATAAATACCTAGACACTATGACGCTGGTACACATTGGTCAGTCGCCTCCTCTGTATCAGATACTGCCGATTCATCTTGCTAATTCGTTTTTCGAACAGTTCTTTTTAAATTCCGTCCCGAAGTCAGCGATGAACACAAGAAAACCTTTGTCACGGAACTCAAGAAATTGAAAAACCTTTCCTGCGTCAAAGACGGACGGCTTATTGTCGGAGGCCCCAGTGTCACCGACCCCATTGATCGCAGCAAGGGATTCCAGATCGCCCTGGTCAGCTACCACGAAGATCTGGCAGCTCTAACAGTATACCAAGCAAGCCAGGAACACCATTGGTATGAATTACTCTTAATCTTATAGTAAGCAGATCGACACTGACCTTCTTCCAGGGTGACCTCTACATACATGTTTCCATACAAAGAGGATTTGGTGCGATTTGATTTTGAGGTCGATCCCGAAGACGAGGAAATGTGTCAATTCCTCCCATTAGTTACTAAATAGGCTATGTGAAGTATAGAATCGCATACTAGAATTGGAATACCCCAATGTTAAAAGTAGCAGAGAGTACATACATCTCGAATTTCGAAATAACCCCAACCATGCTATCGGAACCACATCCGAAAGCGGTTAGACAACTCGCGTTCAACAGGAAACTTTGTATTTTTCAGAGTCGCCTTCGACAAGATCATTCGACATTTTCAATGCTTTTCAACCAGTCGTTGTACATGATATCTGTCAACATTACATATCAATTCTACGGTCCGGAACTGAATGAAAAATGGATTCCTCAAAAAGAGGTCGGAACCGAGCCGCATGCAGACGTTGCCAGCGGCGGAAAATCCGCGTATGTGATCTGGCCATCAAGAGCGCTATTTCGTGTCACCCCTCTAACTTCAAAAATGTCCATACTTGACAGTGTGATGGGACTACACCCTCATGTGGCGCATGCCGAAAGGCAGGCGTTGACTGTGTCAATGATGGAATACAGGAAGTCCATCGCTCGTGAGATTTCGACTATTCCTGCTACTAATCCAATTTTGTGCTGACAATCGGAAGATATATCGCCAACATGGAAAATCGGATTAAATGGCTAGAATCAATCATTCGGGAGAAGTGTTCTACTGTTGACCTAGACACTGGGAACGACCGAGTCCCAGACTTTTCGGATGAACGGCCGGATATATCACCACTAGTCGAAGCTAGAGGCTTGAATAATCCTCAAACACAACCTACACAGGTCATTCAAGACGAAATACAATTTCCGGATCAAATGCGCCAACAATCAAGTATGAATAACGAAGCCCCCCTTGCCCAAGACGAGACCCAACAGGCACACGAGATTGGCCTGGTTTCATTGTTCCGAGGCGAGGACCCTCGGTATATCGGGCCTTCCAGCGGTTACTTTTTTGCTAAACGAATATTTTCAAATACCGGCTGGCGAGGAAGACACAGCTTCCCCSAAATATCAGCCACCGGGAAAGTGTCTCATTTCCCGGTCGAACTGCTGAATACCCCGATATCATTACCCCAGCAAAAAGAAGTAGCAGTGAAGCTATCAATCCAGTACTTTCGAAGTATTCATCTTTTTTACCCATTTCTGCATGAACAGACTCATATGCAAATGATCGACGAGGTTTATCGATCTCAGGAGGATGCCGATCCTATCAGCAGCTTTCAAACATACATGGTTTTGGCGATCGCTTCATTGAATCTGTCTCGTCAATGCAAACAATTTCTACCTGTGGATGGATACTACGCATCTGCAATGAAACACGTTGACTATATCTGTAATCATGGCTCAATGGCAGCACTCCAGTGTCTATTGTTGCTAATGATGTATGCTCTGTACAATCCGTCTTGCAAGATCAATATATGGAACCTTAACTATCAATGTCTTGCCAGTGTGGTTGATCTTGGGCTCCAGCGTGACCTCCGGGCATCGCCAAATTATCCAATGTCCGTATTCAAACAGGAAATGAGGACTCGTGTCTTCTGGGTAGTTTATACCATCGATCGCACGCTTTGCACGATGATGGGCCGTCCAATTGGAGTCAGAGATGAAGCTTGTGAGATGAGAGTTCGTCAAGCCTGGTTTAATTGTGCCGTATAGACCTTATGAGCTGACTCATACATGTTCATAGTTTCCCCTAGATATCTCAGATGCCGAGCTCATCACCGCTACCGCAAACCAATCCGCGTCTGACATTAACCCATCGCACATGTCAATTTCAATCCGTCTCTCTAAACTGGCACAGCTTAATTCAGAGATTAAATATGTTATGCACAGTATCTGTCGAGACGTTCCATCTTACGCTTATCCCCCTGTCAAAGATATCTTCGCCTGGCAGCGAGATATGATGGCGACTCTCGAAGGTTGGTACTATGATGCATTGCAGCATACAGGAAACGACGATAGTGGCACGAAAGAATATTGTATTGCAAAGTATCATGAGCTTATGGTATTATTGTTGCGGCCCAGTCCTGCAATTCCAGATCCAGCAGACGAGATATTTGATACTTGTTCCGAGCATGCATTTGCGCTGCTTCAGTGTTTCGGCGACTTGTACGAAAAGGGAAATCTGCTTTACAGCCGGTTCATAGTGCATTCGGTGTTTCTGGGCACTCTGATTCTACTGCACTGTATCTGGAAATTTCCAAGGACAGCTTCGAAGTTCTCAATAGATCAGCTCATGATCAAGTTCAATATTGCACAAAATGTTCTGAGCAGCATTGGTGAACACTGGGCTGAAGCTCTCAGTGCACGGGACTGCATCGCGCAATTGTCAACTGTTACCATCCAGCGTTTATTAAAAAGTCAGCCGACAACATGTTCGACATTGCAGTCCGGCGGTCGTTTCAGTGCTGTGAGTTCGCGACACGGCAATATGCAACCAACAAACTTGGAACGATCATCTCGAGATTTCGATCAATTCACAGTGACCCCAAGCAGTAATATCCAAGGACAGACATCTGCAGAGAGCATTGGGAACGTATCTATAGGAACCTGGGCCACAATTCAACCATACGTCTCTACTCAGAATCCACCATCAGAGTATCCGAACCTATTTGATGACCTTCTACAAACAGATCTGGGGGGATGGAATGGAATGTCGGACATTGATGGGCTGCTAAATGACTTGTTGCATAGTTCCCACTACTAGCTATAATTCCAGAGATATAGAAGAAGTGGTTTTCAGCTGCATCAATTTGAGCACCAATGTACAAGGAGCTCTCTCATAGTGTCATGTGCTAATATTTTCCGGCTCAATGTTGAGCAAACAAGACGTTACAATTATTTTACCCCTTTTAAAATTGCGGTCTGCCAACAAATATGGGCCCTAATTTGTGGTGACAGGGATGACACGGTCGTCCTCTCCTATCTGGCAGCCTGACTAGTTGACCTGAAGGCTTGCAAAGTGCAAAAATGGCATGAGCCAATAAGATATGCAGGCTGATTGCATCAGTAGAATGGCATTAGCCTATCAAAAACGACACTACAGCGACATTCAGGGACGTGGAAATGCTTGTAGATAAGTTTGATTGGCCATGGCCAAAAATCAGCCCCATTTTCATTTGTTGGTGAGTTTCTTGTATTGCTTTTTTGTAGACAAGGCTGAGAGCAAAATGCTATTTTGCGATTTAGGCAAGAGCCAATAAAAACATTGCATTCCTTTCAGTGAGGATTTTGAAATATTTAAGAACCCTTCCAATACCTAAATCATAATTAAATCGCTAAGCATTGCCCCATTCACTTTTGAAAAAGAAGTCTTCGGTGTCATATTATTGCAAGAGTAGCACCCTAAGCAGCCTTTCATCCAATCGTGGACCATGGCTCGCTCCAAGAAGGAGGACGTAGCGTGGGAAAAGCATCGCTCCGAGCTTAAAGCTTTATACGAACGTCTCACTGTTGACCAAATTCGAGAATACATGTTCGAGCAATACAGTTTTTCTAAAAGGTGAGTCCGCCAGTACGGAGGCATTGTGTGACAAATCAAGCTAATATCTCCTAGCAACGAACAGTATACCAGGCAGTTCACTAAGTGGTCTTTCAAGAAGAATCTCACTAGCGAAGATTGGAAATTTATTGCACACCGTCGCGAGAAACGTAAACGCGAGGGAAAGGATCCCGGTCCGGTGCGGAAAGATGGCAACATGATACCTGAGCCCAAGGTCAGAAAGGCAATAGCTCGTCATGTTCTGCCAACAGCGCAATATCTAGAGACGGTTAACGGTGATATCGGTATGTAATTCCTAGGTTTGGTTTTTTCGACGCGGAAATCAAATCTCAAACCCCCGACTCTATTTTGAAAGGTTGTTAATTCATAGTTCAGGACCGCCTACTCCAGAGGGAATCGTTGTCGGGACTCCAAAACCAGATGTGCAAGGTACAGATTCATCTTCTCTTCGGTGGGATTGGTTTCCTAATCCTCTAGAATCACGTACGTTATAATTACTTCTTATTTAGTCTTTCACTCAAAGGGCTTATCAGAAAAAACAGTCGTCGGTCCAGATGTCGGTAGGCCTAGCTTCGAAGCAGCCACTGACAATATTAACTTTGCATCACCAATCGACGTCTCAGAATTATTTACTTTCCCAACACACCAAACCTTTGATCAAGCAGGTCTGGATATTGTGACAGACACAGACATTGGCCCTGCTTCGACTACGACGCATGTTCCTCCAGGTGCATTCGGTTATTGTGACTTTGAAAATCTCAACAAAGAGATTATGGAAGGGACGGGAGAACTATTTTCTTTTTCTAAGCCGGTTCGAAACCTTAGCGACCTGAGTGAATCTCTCGAGCCTATTACTATGGAATATGTCCATAGTGATCTCATCAGAAAGGCGAAGAATATATTTCAATCCGATCGCTCGAACAATGTCACGCACTACTTGAGTCTCTGTGTTTACTTGTCGTCAAACAATCTATTGTCACCTCTCGCAATGAATAAATTGGTGGCTTTACTGGCAAAAATCAAGTTTCAGGCCATATTAGGAGACTTTTTGCAATCAGCAAATACGACCAATGAAATATTCATGAGCAATTGTCTGGCCAGCGCCGCCGAGCTAGGCGAAATAGAGATCGTTCGAACACTGATCAATTATGGGGTGGATGTGGATGCTACGCGAGGAAATCTTGTGCGACGGACACCACTTTCTTTAGCGATTATACATGGAAATATAGAATGCGTCAGGCTCTTGATAGAGAACGGTTCCGATCTCAATCCAGTCACAGCCGACGAGACGCCACTTCAGCTTGCATGCAACACTTACAAATGCTCAATCGAAATAGTGCAGCTCTTACTTGAGTCCGGAGCTCATGTCAACCCTCCGCAGGACTCTTCTCGGCTCACAGCGCTTCAACTAGCTGTGAGTCAATCCAGAAAGGATATAGTGAGTCTACTTCTTGAATGGAAGGCAGACCCTAACACCTTTACGACTTCTGAAAGTGGTACTGCCTTACAAATTGCTTGCAGACGTTACTCAGGCGCGGAAATTCCAGAGCTTCTGATAGACAAGGGTGCGGGTATCGATACACATGCAGTCAGACATCGCAATGACGATAAATCCGGCCTTACTGGATCAGAATCAGAGTCCGACGTAGATTCTAATGATGAAAATACTCTTTTTAGATTCAAGTCACCTATTCTGATAGCTGCTGATCATGAGAATTGGGAGACAGTCCAAGTCTTACTTGAGGAAGGGGCTGATGTCAATCTGAGTATGAGTGCATTTCCACTTAAAGCTTTGAAAATGGAATTTGAGGAGGCTGACTGGGACGAAATGGTTGTCTTGACCCCCTTACAAGCCGCCGTTCGGGCAGAGAATATTACCATGACACGAATGCTCCTTAGTGCCGGGGCGCATGTCGATGCGAGGCCCAAGGGCAAGTGTGGCCACACGGCCCTCCAAATTGCTGCTATGGTCGGCAACCTGCGGCTTGTTCGAATCCTTCTCCTAAAGAATGCCGACATTGATGCGGGCGCGAGTGTTCTTTCAGGGGGCCTTACGGCGCTTCAAGCAGCTGCGCGCCATTCAGATACAGAGCTGTTGAGCTTTCTGATAGATGAAGGAGCTGACGTTAACGCCCCTGTATCCTCCGACAACGACAAGTCTGCACTTCGGGTTGCAATAGCGAAAGGAAATATTGAAGCAGTCAGAATTTTACTTGATGCAGGTGCATCCGTTAACGTAAATGCGAATTGCAAGGAGGGGCTTTTGGCGATCCAGGAAAGCATTCGAATTTGCAACCTGAAGGTGAGAAACGAAATGGTATCTTTAATTTTGCGTGCTGGTGCCCCATTTGTACCCCCTGCAGGTCTCGAGCATTTTGGAGCTCTTCATGCTGCAGTGTACATGGAAGATTTTGACATGACCGAAAGATTCTTGAAAAGAGGCGCGAAACCGAATATCGGCTACAGTAGAATCTCCCCCAACTATACCCCTCTTCAAAGGGCCTCATCTGAGGGAAACGAACGGTTAGTGAAGCTTTTAATCAGTAATGGAGCAGACGTCAATGCACCACCAAGTTCTTCATATGGTAGAACTGCTCTGCAGGCAGCCACTGAATGTGGCCACTCAAAGATGGTGAAATTTCTACTGGACTCTGGTGCCGATGTCAGAGCACGCGGGGATTACAGAAATGGAACGACAGCAATAGGAGGTGCTATCGAAAAATGCAATCAAGAAATGGTTCAGATGCTTCTTGATATTCATCCGGATCTGATTACTTCAGATCCAAATATGAGGCGCGGGGCTCTCCACCGAGCCCTACGATCTTGGAAATGCAACGCATCGTTTGTCAGGTTCCTAATTGAACATGGTGCTGAGGTGAACGACTCACCAGGGCTGGAATCATCTCTTCAGATAGCAGCCAAGATGGGGGACTTTGAAATGGTACAATGCTTACTTAATGCTGGCGCAGATGTGAATCATCGTTGGGTATCTGAATGGAAAGCTACGAAAGTCACTGCTTTGCAAACCGCTGTTGACTCTCGAAATATCGATATTGCTCGATTGCTGTTAGAACGAGGAGCCGATGCCAGTGCTCCAGCAAATTCCGTTGCTGGAGGAAAGACGGCACTTCAGATAGCAGTGTCAATGAACTACTTTGAGATGGTGACCCTATTGATGGAATATAAAGCGGATATAAACGGCTTACCTAGTCCACGAGGAGGTCGAACAGCCCTTCAACAAGCAGCGAGCTCGGGTTATCTCAAATTGACCCAATACCTTCTTCAGCATAATGCAGACGTCAATGCCCCAGCTGCTCAATTCAACGGCGTAACTGCATTACAAGGTGCTTCCATCAGCGGCAACATTCGAATTGTTATGATGTTGCTTGCTGCCAGAGCTGACATCAACGCACCTCCTGCTTTAGAGAATGGACGGACTGCTATAGAAGGAGCTGCCGAAAATGGCAGATTAGATACATTGCATCTTCTTTTGAACTTCCACCCCTATACTGAAGATTTTGAGATCAAGAAAAAGAGAGTGGTGAAGCTCGCGCTCGCAAACGGCCATCTGGCAATTGGAAGGTTCTTGATGGCATACCGGAAAAATTTTCGAAGTGATGACTTTTCCACACGCGATAGATTGATCTAATCACAAGATAAGAGATTTTTTTTATGTTGTTATATTATTATATGTCATGTTATCTCTACCATTATCATCCATAAAGGTCGACTATAATATAATTTCGTCAAACAGGCTTAAATGTAGCTGAAATAGATTGTGAGACGACCAGTACTAGGCATGAAATCACTAGTAAATATTGCGTCGCCATATTCCGGGTATAACTTTGACAATATCTTCAGGCTCTATTTGTCACTTGGCTCTTTTATATATATTTGGATTTTACATGCTAAAAGCGATCAAAATATACTGACTTACTATTGTAAGTAGTAACGATTTTTAGCAAGTCTTGTCATAGGCAATGGTCTCCTTGTGAAGGACGAACAATATCCGGTCCTTATGAACTTAATGAACTTCAACGGGTAGTCTCAGCAAATGCCACAAAACACAGATTGAGATTCTGGGTTGTGCACGTAATGATGCAGGCAGTTTAAAAACCACAGGCAAAATTATAATATGCAAGGTCTAATGAGAGTCACGGAAGCTTCACTTCTTTTAATTTTCATGCCAAAGGTGACTGCAGTAAATAACACAAGTAGGTAAATATTTCCAAAAACTTTACAATAGCCGCCCCTTTTCCTAAAGCTTGCTCTCCGTTCGTGATGGTAGAAACCAATCCATATATTTTTCCTGCATTTCCGGCGTCACGCCTGTAACAAGATGTGCAGGCTCTTTGCCTTTGTTGATAAGCCTTGCCACAGCAGCATCAGCATGAGCCTCAACGTCATAACCATAGACGTCGAGAACGGTTTCAGGATCACCGTATAAATTGGCACTTCGGACAAAGTACTTCCCCGCGAGCTCTGGTGCCATCGACGAATCACGAGCCTGTTGCTCTGGGCCATCTGGAAGCATCCATATTGCGCCATTAATGTATGAGACCTGTTGCTTGGAATAAGCTTTCGGCATGCGCTCTTTCTCATACAATGACACTGCATCCTTAAGGTCGATTTTGCCTTGCACCACAGCACCAATGCATTTGGCTAGGAATGCTCCGTCCTCCATAGATGTAGCCGCGCCTTGAGCCATATGATTGACCATAGAATGAGCGGCATCACCCATCAACACAACCTTTTTGTTTGCTGAAGACCAGCTTTCCAACGGCCCAGTCACCATGAGCGGCCATCGAGACTACACAAAAGCAGATATTAGGACTCAATTAAAATCAAGATCCATCTAAAAGGAGTACAACTCACCGTTTCTGGGATCATATCGACAATTCGCTGAATACGGGGATCAAAATCCTTGTACTCTTCTCTCATCTCCTCGATAGGCACCTCATTCTGAGTTGCGCGCAGCTTCTCTGGTCGATGATGAGACAGTACCAGGTTGAAGCCCTTGCCAGCGCTAATGGGGTATGTAATGATGTAAGCACCTGGGGCCATCCAGACTTCCATTGTCAGCTTCTCAACAATGGACTTTGCCACTGGGTCCTTGCGAATTTGCTCATAGGGCACAATCGCGCGATATGCGCAATTCGTTGTTGGTGGTTCAGGGGTGACGTGAGGAAACAGTTTCTTTCGTACTATACTATTGATTCCATCTGCACCCAAGATGAGATCAAATTCATATTTGACCCCCTTATCTGTTGTGACTGTGGGTTTGTCGTTGCTGGAGTCAACCTCGGCAATTCGAGACGCAATATGAATAATGGCCCCGTTCCTTTTTGCGATGGTAACTAGGCCTTCATGGAGGTGCGCACGGTGGACAACCCACCATGGGCGCTTCAAGCTACGCTCGATGGTGGCGATATCTGTGTGTCCAACGAGTGTTCCGTCTTTTCGCCGCATATTCAATTCTTCGAACTGGACCAGGTTCTCGCCTATCACATCCGCAACTTTCCAGCGCTGTAGAAGCACAGAGACATTTGGCGTCATTTGAATTCCTGCGCCAATCTTCAAAGCACAAAAGCTATGTTAGGGTCTTACTCTCTAGTTATAGTTGATTGAAGATTTCAGTCACTAGTACTTACTTCTCCGAGCTCATCAGCGGCTTCCAACACTGTCACGCTTGCTCCAGCACGCCGAAGTGCTATGGCTGCCGCTAGGCCACCAATACCAGCACCGACTATACCAACATGAATATTTCGTGTCTTTTTTCACTTTCTAGTTAGCGATATTCAAGGATCTACCTTTGTGAATGAACTTTGATACAGATATCTCTTACCATTTTTCTCACGGTACACTAGGACAGCTCAGATCTAAGGAATTCGTTAACAGAGAAGTACTATCTTTTCTTTGCAGTTTCTATTTCCTACGCATTTACCATGCCGCATTTTAAATAATGCATGGTTACTTGCCCAGTACTGTGGACTCTAGGAATATGTCAGTGTCCGGGGACTTCGGGAGGGGAGATAGGGAAGGGGAAAATAGGTGCACGTCCACGAATTGTACATGCATGCCCCGGCTATTGGTCCTGTATTGTAATTTATAGTATCTGCACCCTCAGTTTCTCAAGTTTGGGTTTGGCACTTATGCGGGGTTTTTTCCATTTTCACTTGTCAAGAATGTCATTTCAGCATTGAGGGTGAGTATGTATACACACGACCTAAATACCTTAAAACAGAATAAACTTTAGAGCGAGTAAGCTATCGTAGATCTTAATTGATTTAAGAAGTTACGAGTGTATACTAAGCGGACTGACTAAGCTGAGTCAGAAGGAGCATGATCGAGAACGATCTCCTCCCAGATTAAGATTATGGGGGCCTTCACCCAACATAATTCGGGGCGGCATGCGCGAAGTGTGACTAACAGATCGCGAAAAGGAGGGGAAGGAGGGGAACTTTCATTTAGGGCAATAGAACTTCAGAATACAGCTAGTGTATATATAACAAGGAGTTGACCCATTCTTCTGGTCTTTCTCCTCGCAGATACAAGGTTGTCGAAAGCCTCTACAATTCACTATTCACTTCCGAGATTCCTGAACGATGGCAACTACCTCAAGACAAACTCTACGGGTCCCTCATCTTGGAGGGACTGCAGTAGGCTATAGAACGTCTACTCCTAATTTTGATTCTACAAAGCCAACTGTAGTGCTGGTGAATCCATTTACCGCCACCGTCGACTATTATAATGCCGAGTTTGAGAGTCATGAATTGACAAAGGCTGTGAATCTCATTGCAATCGAACCACTGGGTCATGGAGCGACAGTCACAAAAAGCGAGACATGGACGTACTGGGACTCCGCATCTGTCAATCTACAGCTCCTGGACGCACTTGGTATTGATCGAGTGTTTGCAGTAGGAACATCTCAAGGCGGATGGATAGTTACGCAGATGGCGCTATTGGCACCAGAGAGAGTTGGTTTTTTTCCCCCTACAATGCTTCAGATTAGCTCGACTGTACTAATTGTTGATCTTCAATCTATCAAGATTCAGGGACTTGTTGTGATTGGGACATCCATGGATTCTGAGTCTCCTCGAAGCCGTGACCTAGGCTGTTGGGATTGCCCGACAGCAACTGCCGGATTTGTCCAGCTTGCGGCTGACTTAACACCCAAAGACGACTTCGAACCCGGACAAGATTATTACGATTATCTCATGGATATCGGGCATGGGAAGGATGCCGATGCTCCCACGAGGGCGTTTTGGGCCGAAATCATCAGAAAAACGTATCAAGGAGATGAGGGTAAGAAGAAAATTTGCATGGCTGCGATCAACCTTGTCTCGCGAGATGGTTTATACGAAAGGCTGCCATACATTAAATGCCCGGTACTTTGGTTGCATGTGAGATTTCATTCATCGCTATATGGCATAATGTGTGTGAACTTTCACTTACTTTTTATCTAGGGCACTGCAGATGTCGTATTTACCGTTGCAAATGCACAGGAAGGAATCTCACATTTTGTCAATTCAACTGACGCCCAACTTGTAATTATAGAAAACGGAGTTCATTTCTTGGGTGCCAGTCACCAAAAGGAAGTGCAGGGACATATTCTCGACTTCACGTCTCGCTGGAAGTAAGGCCGAACCAATTTTTAGACGAGAGGCTTAATCCGACATATTCATCGTTGGAAACTTTTACCGAGTCTGAAATACTTAATGGAATGAAGATTGGCATTTCAAATTTAGTTGTGATAGACGTAATTTCGCATATAAACACCCTAGTAAAACTTGTGAGCATCAAGTACTTCGACTAGCTAGCTAAGCGATCGAAACCTCAAGCTACGAATCATTTCATTAAATTGATATATCTGTTGAAGTTTTGCTTCTTAATTGCATAAGAGATGAATTTTGTGCCTTTTCTAGACAATGTGATGGCAAAACAAAAAAAGTCCCCGAATTCCGAGAGCCATGAAAGTTTCGACTTTGTTACTACAATCAAAGGGCTTGTGGGGTTGGCCTCACGATTTCCTTCGAACCTAAACATTTCGTCTATTTAGCTGTTGAAGACCCATATTTACGTTGACACAGTTTGAGTCAGGCATATAAAGGGGGCAATGATCCCCTTCCCGAAGTCCCCGGGCTTTTCTTGTTTTACCCAACACTCCTCAGACGCTAGTCGGACATTTGTCCGTGTCTTCCATCAATTCCATCACCAAAAAAGAAGACGAGGGCTATTGCTTCTCCACTGGACATGCCCCCCACATCTTCGGAATCCAGCAGGTCTCGTCATAGGCGGCACGAGCACCGAAGTCCCGCCATCCCCGCCAATGCACAACCCGACAAAGTTGTGTCCACTACTAACGGGGACCTATTGACTAACAATATTCTTATCGAGAGCGGGGGTCAAGAAGCGCCAATTAAACGACGACGTATTGCATTGGCCTGTGGCACATGTCGAAGCCGTAAATCAAAAGTAAGTGGCGAATACACCTCAAATTCGAAGATCGGTGCGCAGTGTTCGGCTAGCTGCTTTATTCTATTGTGTTGACCATGCGCTAAGTGTGACGGCTCTCGCCCAAAATGCTCAATGTGCCAAGAGTTAGGCAGTGATTGTGTCTATCAACAAGTTAGAGATTCTCCAAATCTGACTTTAGGCAAGGAGTAAGGAAACCCCATGAACCAAAAATAGTTAAGTTTGTGATGAGTAATGCTGAATGTGAATATTGTGTCATGAAGATATGTTGCACAATTGGAGCATCGAGTCTCCCAGATTGAGGACTTCATACGCTCACTACGTGAGGGTCGTACAGAGATCACCGCAAAAACCATCTTCACGCCGTTTCACGAAGAATCAGATTCATATGGGCGCCATGGGAAATCAGCAAGCAGTACTGAGCATCAATCTAGTCACATGAGGATGGTTTCATCCGTCGTCAACTCGAGTGAAAATGAGACTCGGGGATTGGACAACTCGGAGGACGCTATAGATGGCATGGCGGCTGTTCAATTTCAAAACGAAAAAGATCCCGGTTTTTTTGGTTAGTTTGACCGCTTCTTACGTTTGTCAGTACAGCAACTAAAGTGACACTGTAAGGCCCATCGTCAAATATTGCTTTCATGCGGCATATTTCACAGGCGATCTCTCAAGTTTCGCACAGTAGTACTTCTCTATCATCTGTCCCGGTTAAGACAAGACATGAGAACCGAATGAAGTCTCGGCCGCCTGCCCACGAATCAACAGAAAGAGTGCTTGATGATACACGAGTAGGAAGTTATGAGCTTCCTTCTGATGAGCAATCCTGGGATCTTCTCGATATTTATTTCTCAAAGACGGGTCAATTGCTTCCATTCATTCATGAACCATCATTCCGGGAAACATATCTTCAAATGAAAAGCAACAACTTCAATAACGTAAGGAGAACGTGGCTAGGCCTCCTCAATATCATCTTTGCGATCGCAATGAGTCTATGTAACGATGGCGATATACCCGCGCAACAGCGGATCGAAAGATCAGATATCTTTTTTCAGCGTGCAAATGCCTTGTGTGATCAGGACTCAAGACGGAACACGAGTCTCGAGATGGGTAAGTATATTTACATTACGTCTTACGAAGACATTTCTCCAGTCATTCACACTTTACGGATTGCAACATTTTGATTCCTACTAAGCTTTATTTGTTGTATAAATGCTGACATCATTCTATTTAAGTGCAATATCTGCTCATTCTGGGACAGTACCTTCAAGGTACTCAGAAATCTGCGCAAGCCTTATCCAATCACGGCCTTGCAATCACAGCAGCTTTTCGGCTTGGTATACACTCTCCGGAGTCGAATAGAGGCTTTTCTCCTCTAGAATGCGAGATTCGCAAGAGAACGTGGTTTGGATGTGTGTTGCTGGATAGGTATTACTCTGTAATCACATTTTGTTGGTTGTGGCCTCGAATCTAATTAGAGCTTTTAAATCAGGACACTGAGCATGACTTTCGGTCGACCCTGTGTCATACCCCAGTCATATATTCGGCTTGAAATGCCTCTACTTGGGATGCAGATGATGGGCCAGTTTCCCCAGCCAGCCACTCACGCGCATCTCGATGGTTGCTTTTTTACCGCTGCAATGTGAGTCTAACATAATTTGCTCTAACATCCTTATCACTAACTCGATTAGTCAACTTTATTTCGTGATGTATAACGTGATCGACACTTGTTACGGCCAAAATCTGGGGTTTGACAGCCGTGATACACCCCAGGGTCTTACATCCTCAATTTACGAAGGCAATCGCCAATTAAACAAATGGCAGTACGAACTAGTACCTTCCCTAGGTCTTCATGTTCTCCAAAGCCCCTTGACAGCCACAGATATCGATATTATGAAAAGTGAAAATGTGGTCACTGCACGATTCAATATTGTGCTTTCCATGCGTTTCCACAATCTACGTATTCTACTTCATCGACAGTCCTTGGAAAGATTCTTGAACAGGGAAAATCAGAATTATTGGCATAGTACGAACGCAGAAACCGGAGATAAATCGCAGCTGCAGGTCGAGATAGACAACATTTCTAATTGTGTTGAATCAGCAATCATCATTATTTCAACTGTCCATACCATTGTTACTGCGGATGGGTGGCGTCGCAACCTCTTGGGAGCTTGGAATTATTCTTTGTATTACAGTAAGTCTCATGCCTGTTTTTACTACGCCAGCCATCATGTTCATGGGTAATCTAACCCTAAGTTTCCAGCCTTTAACGCTGGACTGGTTATTTTTAGTTCTCTCTTGGTCTCAGCGACGGAGAGTGCTAAGAATCCTGCTGCGTGGGAGTTTGCCGAAAGATCAAGGCCGTATCTCGAGCTAGCCTTGGATGCACTTCGTCATCTGGATAGTGGCAATAGTGTTATTGAACGGTGCGTCGAATATTTGTCACAGATATTAGCACTGACGGCTCTCAATTCCAATCCCGGTCCAAGGTCACCTCAACAGCAACAACAAGAATTGCTCAATAACCGTGGGAATCCATTTTCTGATAACATAGACTTGGGCGAGTTTATGATCGACAGTGACCTGGATTTCCTCGGTGGGCTTTTCTTTGACATAAACCAACAAGGTGAGGGCATTGACCCTACCATTAGTGATTGAATAGGCAGATGAAATGGAGAAGACAACGTCTCTATATTTGTAATCATATCCGATGCGTGTGTAGTCGTCGGACTTAATACATTCGGCATAAATCAAGATGAAAATGATGACAAAGACTTCGGAGTCATACTCATAGTCGATGGACAATCAATTGATTAATAAAATGCTCTGAAGATTTCACTCAATCCTTCTGAACCCTAACCTGACGTGGAAGTCCGAGCCAACGAGTGTTTAAACCCGATCCCACCGCATGCAGTAATCACGGCCGATGATAATAAATTTAGAGCATAAAAGACATTCGAGGACTATATATCAAAGACGCCCGGGGTAATTACACTATCGAAAGTATTTGCAAGATACATATTAGAATTAGCACCGAAATTTGTTCGTTGAATACAACACAAAAAAAATGGAGTTGGCCGCAGCACAAATTAGAACTCTGGCGCAGACCGCTGATAAAGCTGGTCGTCAGGAGATTTTGAGCACATTGAACAAATTGCAGTCAGAAATTGAAGATCCCATGGAAATGCTGATGCGACTTTCTAATTTTGTACGTATAAAAACCCCATATTGTTGAAAGATCGATGCTGATGTTAGTAGAATATACTTATTGCAATGTTTCGTGTTGCTGTTCATGTGCAACTTTTCCAAGCACTCGATAAGTCTGAATCCTTGGATATTGATGAGATTGCAAAAGCGACAGGCGTAACATCTGAGCTTCTTAGTCAGTGGTCTTAACTCGCTGCGTTTCGATTTAAAGGGTTGATTCTGACTGGCACCGTTTCCTACAGCGAGAATCCTTCGGTATCTAGCATCTATGAACGTTATCAAAGAAAACCCGAACGGCCGATACACGGCCAACAACATCACCCGATTTTTTACTAATTCTCGAGTGCAAGGTCAAGTCCTTCACGGGTAAGAATAAGTGACATCATATTAATACTCAAGAAGCGAAGTCTCGCTAATTGATTCATATCAGATTCGAGACAAATATTCCGGTGGCTCGTGAGCTTTTCGATTTCCTGGCTACCACAAATTATCGAGAGATCACAGATAACAAACATACACCATTCCAGAAAGCGTACAATACCAATTTACATCCTTTTGAGTGGTTTGCTCAGAATAAAAAACGTTTCGAGCACTTTCATGAAGGAATGGCCGCAATGGCCTCGGCAGCGTGGATTGACGTAGTCGAAGTATTTCAGAAGGCGGCCGAGCAAATCCCACACGCGACTCCAAAGGCAGATGAAGTTCCATTTTTCGTGGATGTTGGAGGTGGCTATGGTCATCAAAGTGTCCTGGTTGGGAGATTATACCCCAATCTTTTGCATCGCATTGTGTTTCAAGACTTACCGCAAACCCTGGATCAGGTTTCTGTGATCGAGGGAATCGAAGCACAGGCACATGATTTCTTCACGCCGCAACCGATCAAAGGTGAGCCAGCCATCTTCAATTTTTGACCTCGATATCAAAGCTGCTATTTTGTTCTCATTTTCATGATCTTTATAACTTACTTTGTAACTCTAGGCGCCAAGTTCTATTATCTTCGTCGAGTCATGCATGACTGGCCCGACGCAGACGCACTGAGTATTCTCCAACACCTGACCCCTTCCCTGTCAACAGACTCCCGCATATTAATCGATGAGATCGTAATGCCGGATCAGTCGGCTCACTGGCATTCTACGATGATTGATCTGTCAATGATGATGGCATTTGCAGGCAAGGAACGTTGTGCGCAGCAATGGAAAGACTTGGCGGCACGATCAGGCTTGCGTGTCGAGGGAATACATACTTATGATGCAGCATCTTATGCCTCTGTCATAGTTATGGTTTCAACTCGGCAACTTTAGGAAAGGGTGGTGCAAGAAACGCCCTTAGGGTTGGGGCGGTCACCTGATGAAGGACGAGCATGCCCCGGACGGAGCTTCTTTCCCCGCGTTGTTGCCGTCTCCACCTTCCTTCCCCCGTCGTCCTTCTCTCTCTCTCTTCTATTCTTCTCATCTTCTCTTCTTCATCTACCTCAACCCATCATCTGGCTAATTTACACCCAAGCCGTACCTTCTACAGAGCGACTGTTCGTCGCTTCGGCCTTGTCCAATCAGTATTGTTCCCAATCGCTCTATTGATCTATTGTCTATGTTTAGTCCTCTATTTCTCTATTACTCAAGTAACAAATGCCTTCATACTCCCGTCGTTCTATGTGCCAAACACCAACAAACAATGACAAGAACATCCTACAACCGTGCCTTGGCGACAACTTCCCACCTTTGTTCCTCTGATTTGAGCGGTCCTGTAGGTGCCGAGCTCTTCTTCGGTGCAGAGATGTAACCGCCGAGAACATTGTCGGTATTAGTCACGTTGCCCTTTTCGTCGCGCTTGATGCCAAGCTCCAACAATTTCGCAAACACATCGGCGAAGTGTTGGAAGAACAAATTTCTGTCTTCCGCATACTTCTTGACCCACGGAAGGAACCCTGCGTCGGAAATCAACGCCATATCAGTAGGCAGCATCATCAGCGGCTCTTCCTTTTCGTCCTCAGATGCGTCAGGGTCGCTGTAGCTGAATTGTTTCACTCCGTTCGATAGATTGCGGGGCTTCCACTCGAGGTTCAAGAGCAACCTAAAGAATTGATTAGAGAACCGTGTCGGATTGTTCACCCAAGGACCTTCGAAGCCACTGCGATCGATATGCCCGCGTCCCAAGTTATGTGCGCCCGTCAACGCGACGATTTCCTGATCGTTGAACCCCATACGATAAAAGATGTGTCGCAAGTGATCAGATCCCTGAGCTGCATCTGGTAAGCGACCACGTGGAGGCAGCTTGCTATCGTCAACATAATCCGTTCTTCCAGGCAACCACTTCACGTCTGGTCCGCCCATCTCTTTCAAAGCGACGACACCGGCTAACGTCCAGAGGTCGGCATACGTGATCCACGGATTTCGTTCTTTCACCGGTTCGAGAAATGCGCGCGCAATTTGAAGTCCTGCATTCGCCGGGTCGCCTCCCTCCGCTTCGTATCGCATACCTGCTCCGTTTGAACCGCCCGTGTCTGTCTCTGCATCATACGTGCCGGCCGAATGCCTGGAGTTAAAGCCTGTTAGCGATTTCCGATACACATCAGAAAAGGTGGCTACAAATGCGAATACCTGATAGCAACCAGTCAAAAGAGGTGGAACTTACCATGCCAAACGAACAAATACAGGTCCTGCGCTACCATCGTCATAATCCGGCTTCTCGAGCTGGGCGGCAATATCTTTACGCACCGCAGCGTAGTCGCCAGGTTGGCTAACCATTTTGTTCCTTTCGGCCGAGAACAAAAATAAGGGTTTAAAGAATGAAAGACTCTGTTTTCGTCTCTTTCGCGCGCGTATTTGTCTTTTGCAGTTCAGTAACCTGCAGTTTTGGGATACACAGAACAATGACGGTCAGGAAAGAAGGAAGATGATACGTACATGTGAAGAGTTGATTGGGATGCCACAACATCCAGCGGAACGCCCATCGGGGCCCGCAGCTTGTTCCTATCGCAATCGGGTGGAACGCAGACTCGAATTTGCCAACAAGAACCGCTGAATTGATAAAGAGCCTTTCACCGATTCGCGGTTCGGATCCACACCGATGATTTTTTTTGTTAATTAGACATCGAATCGTCACCCGACGGATGGCTTGCCGAGGTAAATCGCGGTAGTCGCTCCGTTTTCTACATCACGCTGTTTGATGCTGTCGCAATATTAATCTGTGTAATAATTTCCGCAATTTATTCCTTTGAGGTAGGTATCTGCATGTGAGTGGCTGACAGCCGCCCTGACGAAACCTCAAAGCAACCGTCTTCCGTTGCTACATGGACTTCACCGCTCTTGATTTGATGTGTCAAATACAATGCGATGCGTCCAAGACCAGTAGCGATGGTGGACCTTCGCCTCAAGATTGACCTGTGATGAAGACACAGCATCTTCTGCAGTCGATCCCAGGTTTTCTGCAACGCCTTTTCTGCTTGCAGTCAGGAAATCCCCGTACCGTCTGTCATGTTCTACAGCACTAGCTGTGTAGCCAAGGTGGGTTTCTGTGTAGATAGAGGACAGTTTTCGTAAAACATGCACAACTTTCTAAGAATTTCAATCACACTTATAGTCTCAGGCTACTTTAAGGGATGGTTCGACAGGGAACCGCCTGAATGCGCCCATTTGTATCCACAAGAGACAGTAATATAAAAGCAGTCATAGTCATGTTTAAAGTTGTTACACGAGCATCGAGACGGCGAATAAACTATTTTTGAGATCAAGGATCTACTTGAAGTAAACATGATTACCTTCATATGCTTATTCAACGCTTCCGCCCTACAGGGGAAACAAATGAGGTATTACAAGAATATGGCAATCCGAATTTCCAAAAGGCTTCGTCTGAGACTGATCATTCTGATCGCGAGTTCTTTCTTTACCGTCGAAATTGCAGGTAATCAATTTTTCACCTACTCAAATACGGATATGATTGAGATATGTGTAATTATGGCGCCTCAACCAGCAGAAGAACATTGCTTCGGTTCATGCCCTTGTAGATGGACAGACCAGCATCCGCAAATGTTCCAGTATTATGGAATCGATCCGGCAGCGTCTACATGCTCTTGGTTTTCATTACTTTACGATTCAGCCGGAAGTTGTAAGGACATCTTTTGTGCTTGCTGAAGGAGCCGAAGATGATGAAGATGCGGTAATCGAGGCATTAACCGTCGATGATCATATTAGCAGGTTATGGGACGACGTGAGAACCCAGGAAGGTGGCTAGATGATTCCAAGCTGGCGAGGCATTGCCATGTTATTAATCATATTAACGTTCCTCCTCTGTGAGCTTTGTTGCCAACTATTGGCACATGAGTGTTTGAGGAGTGCTCAAAAAGTATTCATCGGCGGTTGATAGTAAGGATGAAGTAGCCGTTGGCTGGTTTATTTATGAAATAGCTAAGTGAAAACTATCAATGCATAGATTTATCGATTTACAAGCATCTTATCCAACCGTCACCCGCGATGATTAAAGTACATTATGGAAAGGAACTCGCAATCTAAGCAAGTACTCACCTACGAACGTAGCCCTGATCAAGGTAGAATACTTTGCCAAGTCTGTTCTTCGTAGGGAAGCTGAAAATGTACAGTCTTCTCATAATCAACCTCCATACTTCTTCGAGGAGGAGATGGAAATGCGGGGGGAGGAGAAGTCATGGGTTCATCGGGAGACTCCACAGACTGAATCGGTGCAGTGCCTTGCAGTGCTTGTCCCGTGCCGTCACCCCCATTGATTGCTGACCGAAATGCCTCGTTGGACTTGCCATCACGTGTCGAAAAAGTAGTTTGCATGGAAGCCATTTCTGAGTAGATGGTCGACGTATCTGAATCATTGGAACCCTCCTCGGTGTGTTTTGCCCTCTCCTTTTGCAATTTGGCCTCTAGTCTTTTGCATCGTTTCTTTTGCGCTTTTGCCCGCTTCTTGTATCGCTCTAATTTGCGAAGTGTTCGCTGTAGCACCTCCTTGTTCTCATGGCGTTCGTCATTATGGATGTCATTGATGACTTGATCAAATCCGAGCGTGTGCGTGGAGTCTAAGACACCAAGCTTGCTATAATGACCGATGGCCCAGATGCAACCTTCTATGTCTTGGGCGATGGAGTTGATCAGTTCGGCTTTTGCTTTGGTGGAGAGGTTCGCGATGTTGTGTGGCTTTTGGCTGCTGTGGATGCGGAGCAAAGAGAAGCCCGGTTTGGGGTTGGCAGGACGAGGCATTTTGATATTGACTTGTTCTGCCTCGATGATGAATTTGTTCATGGACGGTTGTTGTTTTTCGGAAATTGAGAAATGGTCGCGATGGCTGAATGATACTGTCAGAGTTCTCATGGAAGATTCTGAAGATGAGAACGATGGTATGATTTAGACTTTCGATGAGAGTCATACCTGACTTATATGTGTCTCTTCTGGCAAGATCCACAATTCTCTCTTTCACATTGTACTTATTGTTTTCAATTGATATAGAAGAAGGTCTATTCACACCAGACAAACACATAAAGGTTTGCTTTTTCTTCCTCCGCCATGGAAGTTCATTTTGGTAACAATGGAAACTCAAAACCCATTTTGAATATATAAGAAATATTCTTCAAAAGATATCCAAATGGGTTCTCTAAGACAATTTCTGATGGTACTTTGCGTGTAGGAATATTTCAAGAATCCAACCTTCAAATTTTCGCTCATACAACTGTCAGCTGAAAGCAGTGTTTGGATAGGCATGGTTCCTCTACCTTTGAGTGTACAATAATACACATCACAATGCATGCTCAATAAAGGAACGTTTTTATCTTAGATCCTATGGAACGTCTTATCGACTTGAAATATTTAACGTTAACTGTACACAGATAAAAGCTCTCGAACTAATACACGCTATCGGTTCTGGCTCCTGAGCAGTAGCATTGTATCTGTCTACATAGTATCGAATTAGGGCTTATCTCATGACGAGCCTGTGGCTACTAATTTTGGAAACTAGGAAGTGTATGAAAATTAAAAACCTTCAAGATTGTTTTTCCCATTGATGCTTAATGAAACAATCTATAGTATTTGAATATCTGAACAACCTTGATACCATCGATACCTGGGTGTACTTGTTATGAATCGAAAAATGCGTAACCGATTGCGCATCTCTCTGAAATATATACAAATCTCTTGTGGGCCATGTAATTATATGTGTATCGCTGGATCAACATACGAAACATCCCTGGATGTAAATGAGACCTCAGAAGCACCACTATTCAGCAAGACATACCACGGAAATGACTCATTTCTTGTATTCCGAAGCAAACACGTAGAAGTCGCAAGTGCACGTTAGTACAAAATTCGGAGTTCAAATGTTGGTTTCGGAGTTGGAGATAAGGGAATGTGGCTAGACTGATTAATTTTAAGCGATACCACCTTCCGAGTTCCGATTAGAGAGAGCATATGCTAGCTTTAATATAAATGCGGGGACTTCAGCCTTCTTCAACAACTTCATTCTTGATTGCTTACCTACTAGACAGAGAAATACAAACGTACACGTGAACGAGAATTTTGAGATTATTGGCAAAAGAAGTTCTTGCGACATCAATCCTCCAAAGTTACGGCGGAAATCATTCTTTAAAGGAAAACTTGAACATCGACATGCGTGTACGTCTGGATCAAGAGGCCAGCTCTAGGCTACCACTGCGCCCAGCATCAATGACACAGCGCTCAAGTACCTCAGACAAGAAGCTAAAAGGACTGAAGGCTTCGCTTCTGATACCTGGCCGTGGAGAACCCATCAGAAATGGCGCACTTGTGATTGACGGCCCGAAAATCGCTTGGGTCGGTGAACAGTCCGCCATTCCGAACAAGTATCAAGATGTTGAATTCAATGAGGTCCCGGTGCTGATGCCAGGTCTTTGGGATTGCCATACGCATTACTCCGGAATGGAAGACGATAGCGATAATATACAGAATTTCTTCGGCTCTCCTGCATTGCAAGGCGCACGAGCTGCTAAGGAGCTCGAAACAACGTTACTGGCTGGATTTACCACGATACGCGAAGTAGGGGGAATCGCAGGAGAGATTTGGCCTGCTATAAAAAAGGGTACCCTCGTTGGCCCAAATGTCTACTCCAGCATTGGTGTTTTGGGTATAACCGGTGGTCATTCGGATATCCACGATGTACCACTCGATGTGGTTACTGCCAGGCGAAGCACCGGAACTTACGTGGTATGTGATGGTGTTTCAGACTGCGTCAAGACTGTCCGTTTGATGGTACGCAGAGGAGCGACACTAATCAAGATCTGCGCAACTGGCGGTGTGGGCTCTTTGCTAGACGATCCAGAGGATGCCCAATTCTCGCCGGAAGAAATAAAAGCGATGGTTGATGAGGCAGCACGTACGAAGAGGATAGTTGCGGCACACTGCCATGGGAAAGAAGGTATCCTGAATGCTTTGAATAATGGTGTACACACAATTGAACATGGCAGTTACCTAGATGAGGAAGTTGCTGCATTGATGAAGGAAAAGAACGCTATTCTCGTTTCGACTAGATTGATTGTTGAAGAGGGCCTCAAAAACCCCAGTATTTTCCCACCAACGAGCTACCAAAAGCTACTCAAGGTTAGCGAGGCACATAGGAAAGCCTATGCATTGGCCATCAAGTCTGGGGTCAAGGTCGTACTCGGTACAGACTGGACAGCTGGCGAAAATGGAAAGGAACTTGCTTATGCAGTGGAAGCTGGTATGTCTCCACTGGAGGCTATTGAAGCTTCCACAGCACGGTGTCCGGAGACACTAGGCTCCCATTTTGCGCCTTTGTCGGGGCAATTGAAGGAAGGATATGACGCAGATGTGATAGCTGTGGCGAGCAATCCATTGGATGATATCAATATTTTGGGAGAGCCAGAAAGAATCACTCATGTGTGGAAGGGAGGAAAACTATATAAAGGGTCACTTTAAGTTCTTTCCGTGTAACTTACGTCTTTCACAGAGGCTTTGTTTTCTGGTTCTCAAAAAGGGACAATCTATGCTCAATTGAGCCACCAGCCACGGCAGCAGGAATTCATCTGCACAGATAACATTTCCACATTCAATTCTAAAAAAAAAAATGTACAGACTATTGTCCATGAAAAGTCAAGGCCATGTCAATTTCCAAAATAATGAGTCACAAATGGATCATGCGTGGCATTCCCATATGCTTCTCCACCATAAGTGAGATAACCAGCCGCCAGATCAGGCGATGTTCCACGTATTATGTCTGACGCATTACCCATTATCCAAACGGCTTGCATCCCCATGACCATGTGTTGCAAAATGTGGCAGTGTACCATCCAGACACTGCGAACATAAGCAATATTCTAGGAAAAGAACAAGAGAACTAGACTTACCCAGGGTCAGTCACTTTTAACCTCCAAGCTCTCCATCCTTGACTAGTATAATTACGGCCGTCTCCGTAATGCGGGTCACCATACTTGAATAATAGGCTCGTGTCTCGAACGATGGGATTATAGTCCTTCAATCTCTCCTCATTAGCTGTAGCGTTGTATATGCCCGATCCACTTCCCATGTCCCATACGTGAGCTCCATGAAAATGGAATGGATGCGCGTCGTATCCACCAACAACACCAGCGGGCTCATTCACAAGAATTATATCAACTATCTCGCCAATTTCAGCTGCAAATACGTTGAGTTCAGGATCCCATCCGTTATTCTGGATAGCCTTTTGGTAGTCTGGAATGGCTCGCTCGCCCTCCTTATACACATTCACTAGGTATGGAGTATCAGCAGTTGGGGTGGTGTCATTGAATGGAGTGTCCCCTTCGTGCTGATTAGTTTCGGTCCACGTGTGGTTATTGATAGTCCAGTATTGTCCAGAATCAACGTTCAATTGGGCGGCATTCATAATCACTTGGCGACTTACTTGATCAGAGCCTGGAAAGTTGTTTGGCATCAACGGTTCCAGTGTATACTCCAACCAATCTTGCAAGAAATAAGGTATTGATACCGGAGGTTGAGTAGGGGGTGATGATGATATAGTGCTGGCGTTGTTTTGGGCATATGATAGAACTGCGTAAAAAGTATCGTTTAATTCACGATACCTCGTTTCAATCTGGAGCCAGAACTCGGTTTTTCCAATAGCTTGTAGTTCTTCCTCTGTCTTGGTATGAAGTAAAAAGTCATACCGTTGTCCTGCGGCCATTTGTATGACATCTGTTTCGGTCCGTTGCGTATACGAGGAATCGGCGGCGATAATGGTTAAATTGTCATGATCTTCAAAAGCAAAGGCTAATGGGCTCAATGCCACTCCTCCGATGGCTCGGAAACGGTATGTCTTGTTTGCCTCGACTTGGATAATTTCAGGATGACATTTTTCGTCGCTGCTGTTCGACGGTGCATCCTCAGGAGGCATGCTTGCACTCGTTCCGTTTCCGAGGAGTGCTGAAAACCCATTTCCATTGACAAGGATTGATTCGGATTCACCCGGCCTGAATGATAAGACGTAGTCAGTCAAAGAACGAGGACGATTCCAGCAAACGCAAAGCTTGTACTAACCATAAGAAATGTGCCAATGAAGCAGTAAGTCCTTGTTCAATCGTTTTATCGGTATTATTGAACAGTTCCGACAAAAACAACGTCCGCTCCTCGTCATATTTGTAGGGAATGTTTCCATCCGCTTCGTCCACAATCAGTGGCCCGGAGGCAGAAACTGCTTGAAACCCGACATGAGAGTGATAAAAATAAGTGCCGGCTTCACCAATTCGAGGTCGAAGTTCGTAGTCGAAGAAATGTTGTGCCTGGTCAAGGTTGGTGTCATTGTCTTCCCAAGGATGTAAGGATTGGTGTCAACGCACTTTGATGGGCCACTGACTTGCTTGGGGTGTTCCGTCTGCCCACGGTGCGACGGACTGGCTCAAACCATGCCAGTGCTATAGTAGTCAGTAAGGAACAAGGCAAATAGCAAAATCTTGATATCTTCCTGCACGAACTATTGTTGCATTGTCGGAGTGTAAATCGTTATATACCCTAATCCAAGTGGTCTGATTCTCCCTCAAATAAAGAGCAGGTCCAGGGATCGTTCCTTGACTAGATTAGCATTAGAAATATGCTATTAGATTGAAAGTTATACCATTGACGACAGCAGAAAGCCTCGTTCTACACGCGACCGTGATGTTCTCTGCGGTGATTCTCAAGATGTGGTCTGGCTTGAAGTCGCTGTCGTGCCTGATTTGTTTCAAAGCTATGCTCAAAGGCAATATGGCCATGAGACTTTGGAAGAATAAGAACAAAGAAATTGCCATGATTACAGACCTAGCTGTCGCCTGATAGGTGTTATGTGGTAGTTTAATATCGGATGTTGATCAGAATGGGCAACGAAATCGTGTTTTTTTTGGGTGCTTGAAGTGTCTTTATACATGAAATCCATATAAGGAACTTGTTGATGATATAGTGTTGCCTTACACGACCTGAACTTGATTCTAGGAATAGAACTGGGTGGTGGATAAATGATTACAACCACTACGGGATAGAAAGCGATCAGCAGTTCGGAAATCGTGCTCGATTTGGGACGTGTAGATCCCGACCCTCCCTAGCTGCGATTCTGAACTCCTTGGAGAGATTCTTGCTACGTTTTCGTTCCAGTTGAGGCGTTCGGTTCCATTTTTGATGTTGGGTGGGACAACGAGGGCGGTTGTTGGCAATACCATCGACGTAACCAACGCACCTCAACAGCCATCCTATATCGGAGAATACGATTTGCATCTCAGCTGAGGGTTGAAATCGTTCAAAGAGGAAAAAGTCTGTATTCCACATATTCCATACAGGTGTGAGATACTGCGCAAGACTAGCTCTCTTGGGTAAACCAGCCGTTTTCCATTTCGGGTGCTCGGCTGACTGCCCGGCTTGATCGCAGATTAGCGGAGTTTGTAGCCATTCTAGGGCTTTATCGCCGACTTAGGGCTAAATTACCGAAATTCAAGGAACTGACTCGGAGTTGCACGAGCAACTCTTTCAAAGCAGCGTCGTATTTCGCATGACTCACGACATCATCTTAGTCATTATAGGCACTCGAGTTTTTTCTGCATGTTGTCCACAGGCTCCACGCCTTCCTCCCATTTATCCGGAACAATCCTCAGCTTGGCTCGTTCGTCGCCTGAAAAGGCAGTTGGGAGGTCCACACGCATGTTTTCTTCAGTGTCTGCAACTATTTCCGACCCTCCACAATTTCCATCGTGTAACCCGGCACAAGCAGTACGCCTTCGCGAAAAAGTGATCGAACTAGCCCATGGACGCGATTCAAAAGGTGTCTCGACCGCATAACGCATCACTAGTCTTGTGATTCGGCATTGACAATTCACAGAAGTCATACCACTTCTGCGCTAAGTGTAGCTTATGAAAAGTTTCCTGCCTGTAGAGATTCAGCTGGTCAAAGTTCTCTGCAAGCCCGAGCTATACGACTTACTGGAGTAGATTTATCAAAGTCCAGAAGGAAAGGGACGACGCATTTGGAGTACATAGGACCAATATGTACACGTTGCCAACCAATGAGATGCTATGCTTCGCATCACCAAAATGTTTTGTCTTTATAGACGGCCGAGTATCACAATTTCGGACGATGCGTTGGTTTTCGGAAACATGTGTTGGTCTACGTTCATATACGAGTTCAGGTAAAGCTGCTTGTCAAACTTCGCCAGCTGTTCCACAACCTTTGCCATTTTATATCATCTGTTTGACCCCAGACCATAGAAATCTGCACGCCTGGAAACTTCTTCAATAGAGTGTACTTAGCATGCACGGGGTACTTGCTGGTCGGAAACACCCACAACACACGGTGCAGAATTGGAAAATTGTTGAAGGCCGAATTAATCTCATCAAAACATTTGAAGACATAGTATTACATTCATTCCTAATTTTTAATTCAGCGCTCCCTTAGATCTTTCACTTAGACAATTTGGTGCCATGAAAAATTTCGTCCCAAACTAGCAGCTCTCCTTGAGCACCACCTGAGCTTTCTCATCCTCGTGCTCAACAATAGCCGGACCAACACGATGAAAAAGGTCAACCTTAGTTGACTTGAATTTGCGAGCAGAGACCCCCTGCGCAAACAGAATATCTAACTCAGCATATGTCCTTCCTTTCGGTTCTGGAAGACGGAAAAATATCCAAATCAAGCAAAGGAAACAGCAGCCGGCCCAGAAGAAGGCAGCTTTGGCACCCCAGTTCCAGGCTGTGCTGGTCAGTTGGTAGTTTGTCAGGATATTTGCGACGATTCCTGCAATATTGTACAGGTTGCGAGCGAGAACGATGGATTTGGCGCGCAGGCGGGTGGAAGAGATTTCGGAGACAAGTGAATAACACACTGGGCCGACGGTACTGTCGTAAACAGCGGCAAAGACGAGGAGCATCGATCCAATAGCCCAATTCGCTGCTGAATTGGTCTGTGAAGCGAAAGATATAAATCCGATAATCATAAGAAGAGAGAAGAGAGCAAACGTCCCATAAAGGTACAAAGTGCGACGCCCGAAACGGGTCATGAGAAACCAAGATCCAATAGTTCCGAGGGCACCAACAGCATATTGTACTAAGGTCATATCAAACGAACTACTTTCAGAAAGTCCGGCAGCAATGTAAAAAACAGTTGAATAACCCATAAATGTCGATCCACACAGATTCTGGACGAGCCATGCGACGCACACAATTTCAGTTCGACGAAGGTTGGCGCCTTTGAAACAGTCCCAGTAGGTTGTGCCACTTGTGATCTCTTTCTCTAATTCATTGGTGTGCTGCATCATAGAAATGGCCTTGTCAACATCGAATGTTGTATCGGATCGGCTTKTAAGCCGGCGTAGACTGTGTTTTGCGTTTTCGATCTGCCCATGTCGGACGTACCACCAAGGAGACTCCGGAGCAAAAAGACATCCAATGATCAGGGGAGTGGGCCAGAACCATTGAATAGCAAACGGGATACGATACGCCCAGGAGCTAGGTAGCTCTAATAGCCCACGAAGGACCCCTGAAGCAATGAAACCTCCAATGACCCAGCACAGATTGACGTAAGTTGTAAGATATGCTCGAAGCGCGACAGGGCAGACCTCTGAGGCATAAGCAGTTGTAAGAGTCTGAAACACACCCCAGGGAATACCACAGAGAATTTCGCCAGCAAGCAGCATTTGCACATTTTGCGCAAAGAACACAACAAAGATGAAGCAGATAACAAGCACCAAGGCGCCGAGAATAGTCTTACGATAACCAAACCTATCCTGTATGATACCCGTCATGTAAAGACCAAGGATCTCGCCGACAATAACACCATTGGAGAGTGCCGATTTCCATGGAGCAGGAATGACATAGCTGCCGTCCGGTTGCAATTCGCCGTACTTTTGGTTGAATTGAGGCAAGGCATAGAAGTTCGAGAGAAGGGAGACGTCATATCCTTCCATGACAATCGCAGTGGACAGAAGGATCGACCAGCCTACAGCCTTGGGGTACAGCTTGAAAGCCTGCATGATGCTCATATGGCGTTCGGTCTCAGTTGCATCGCGGGCATCTGACTGGCGATATGCGGCATCTTCAGGGCCTACATCGCTGCAGTTGGTCATGGTTTGCTCCATGATAGCCGAATTTATTCTCCTTGATAGAGAATGCCAATAAAATATTAGTGCTAGACTGATGTTAGTCGGCCTAGACCTGGCTAATTCCTTCCACTTTATACCCCATCGGCACTTGAAGTGCTATCCGGGAAACGTGGGGAGGCCGAGTTCGTACTCGCAAGTAAACATCATTCTCGGAATATTCTCAGGCAAAAGCTGTAGCTATTGCAGTGCTTCTCGCCAGCGGGCCCGTGTTTGCTATGCGGAGAAATCTCCTTGCCCCACAGAATGTCGATTTTGCCTCAACGGCGGATTGTCGGGGAAACTCTCAACATATGCATTTGGACTGTATTTGATAGAGCAACTGACTGAGAGATCGTTGATCACACTGGTGAATGTTAATACCGTTAATGGCAACATAACGTAGTTATCAAATTTTGGCGTTTCTGGACTGGCAAAATTCAGAAAATGAATTCGTCTATACTGGCATCGCATTCTACCATCTCACAAGCTAAACTTGTGGGAAATTTGCTGGCTGCGCTTTTCATTCATACATATGGTGCAGATAAGTAAAATGAAGAAGTTGCTACATACGTAGGTACATCAGACAGGGAATCCCAAACAGGAAACAATAGCTTCATAAGGCCGCAGTACAATCATCTCACTAAAACTTGGAGGAGTCGAGTAGTTACCTCGCAAAACCGTCCACCCTGAAAGCCAAGGAATCGTGATTGTACTATTTTCATCTGAAAAATTCAGCAACACCAAGGCTTCTTTATCAGAGCCATAATCCTTTCTCTTGTACGCGACCACTTTCTCGTGGGTAGCAGATTCGAGCAACATCTCAAAAGAGCCATAAATGAAGACGTCGGCGAATTTTTTTCGAAAATCTAAGGACTCTCTCCAGAACGAAAGAACACTATTTGAATCATCTTGTTGTGCCTCAACGTTCCATCCCAACGTGTAATCCGGATTGACAGTCATCCRGGGACGAGCCTCTGGAACTGTGAATCCGGCATTTGGCCCAGCATTCCATTGCATCGGCAATCGTCCATGGTCTCTTGCCTTAAGCTGGAGTTCATACATAACATCTGCCATTTTGCTGTGGTCACCACCTCGAGATTGAAGTATTTGGTTGTAAAAGTTCCGACCTTCGACGTCAATGTACTGTTCGATACCCATGTCCTTGGGCAAATTCGCCATACCGATCTCCTGTCCTGCAAGGAGAAAGAGCGTTCCACTGAGTGTAGTAAGATACGTGGCAAGCATTTTTGCCGCATAGATACGATAACGAGGGTCATCAGAGCCATAACGGCTAACTGACCGACCGCTGTCGTGGTTGTCAAGGTAGAGCGTATTCCATCCATCGAACCGAGGCATGGCAGTTTGCCATTTCTCAGTGAGCATACGAAGCTGTCGTGGATGGAATCCACCACCGGGCGTGTACTTTCCATTCGGCCCAAAGTCCATGTCAATGATATCTCCAGTAAAGAGCATATTTATTTCGTGTCGAGATTTGGCGACGTATTTAGAAACCGATTCTTCGTCCTTTGTAAAACCCAACTCTCCGACTGTGACTGCGTCGTATGCATCGAATACCTTTGTGCGAATTTCTTGTAGATACTCGTGCATTCGAGGTCCTGAGGCGAACCATTTGTCTCCGGATTGATATTCCTCGTCAGGGCAAGTGATTTCACCGTCTGGAAGATCTGGATGTTTGGACATCAGGTTCATTGAATCTATGCGAAATCCATCCACACCACGGTCAAGCCAAAAACGGATGTCATCGTGTACAGCTTGTCGTAGCTCACTGTTCGTCCAGTTCAGATCCGGCTGACTAGGTAGAAAAAGAGAAAGATAATATTGGCCCGTAGCCTCGTCGAAAGTCCACGCACTGCCACCGAACATCCCCTTCCAATTATTTGGGGGCTTCCTGACTCCTTTTTTATCGTACTTGGGGTCCCTCCAAAAATACCAATCTCTTTTCGGGCTGTCGTAAGATCGGCGCGACTCTTTAAACCATGCATGTTCGTCTGAGGTATGGTTGACGACTAGATCCATCCACAGCTTCATGTCACGATCACGTAGCTCAGCTATGAGGTGATCGACATCTTCTAGTGTACCATATGGCGCATGTATAGATCTATAATCGGATATATCATATCCCATGTCATCTTGAGGAGAGGCGTAGATTGGTGATAGCCAGATCGTGTCCGCCCCGACGGATTTGATATAGTCGAGTTTACTGATGATACCGGGTAGATCACCCCAGCCATCGCCGTTTGTATCTTTGAAGCTGGCTGGGTAGATTTGATAGACGACTGCTTCTTTCCATGGTTGTCTCTCTGAATTTTGTGCTGCCATGTTGCATCGAGTTCAAATGCTAAATCTGATTTTTATGATGATAGTACGTACAGATAGTTTTTTGAAAAGTGTTGGCAAGTACACATCCTCCTAATATCACCTTATCAATTGACAGTCAAGGCATGTTGATATGTAAATTGCTTGCATGTTTCATTTTCTAGATCTGCTTTGACCCATAATGCTGCGGAGATGCCCGTGGAGAATTGTCGGAGAAATMCCCCATCTTTCCCCAGCCACTACACTGTGCTCTGGTACAACGAATCATATATTTATTTTAATATTGCCTAGATAATGACTATGATTTTTAGGATCCGCCGGTACTGCTGTAAGAGGGTCAAAGTTACATTGATCAATACTCTGCGAAGATCTTCCCTTGTCGATATATCATAGCTCCGACAATGCTGCGTACCGAATTCATGACCTTGTAGAAGAGCAAATGTAAAAGCACGAGCACCTCTTCTTAGTTGTTCAATACAGGTGTAGACTTTATGATTGACTCCTACACCGACTCATCAACTATTTTTTCAAGGTTTACAGTCATGTCTTTCACCTCCCTCACATCTACACAGCAGGAGCTGGAAGTTCTACATCTGCGAAACAGACTATTCATACATAAAGATCGCAACAACGAATACAGAACACCCATTTCGTCAAATTGGCGACCGACATTTCACGTCACCGCGCCCAACGGATGGCTGAACGACCCATGCGGACCAGGCTACGACCCTTCGACCAAGAAATACCACCTCGGCTTCCAATGGAATCCGAAAGGAAATGACTGGGGAAATGTATCATGGGGAAACGCGACTTCTTATGATTTGGTATCTTGGAACCGATCGGCCGAACCAATGCTCTCCCCGACAACAGAGTATGACCACTCCGGCGTGTTTACGGGCTGTCTCCGGGCAACTGATATCGATGGAAGAAGTTCTGGAGCATTAACGTGCATATATACCTCGGTCAGCCATCTGCCGATTCATTATACGCTTCCATATGTTCGTGGATGCGAGACCCTTAGTTTGGCTGTCTCGCATGACAGCGGAAAGACATGGCAGCGATTGGAGTGTAATCCGATTCTTCCTAGTCCTCCGCAGAACCTTGAAGTCACCGGTTGGAGAGATCCCTTTGTCGGCCCTTGGCGGAGAACAGAGCCGGACCAGCAGTTATATGGTTTCATATCGGGTGGTATTGTTGGACAGACCCCCACTATATTTGCCTACACTGTCAACCCAAAGGATCTGCGGGAATGGATGTTTATTGGTTGTCTGGTTGATGTCGGACTGAATTTTCGACCTTCTCGGTGGTCAGGAGATTTTGGTGTGAACTGGGAGGTAGCCAATGTCTTTGACCTCGTCAGTCAGGAGGAAGAAGTTGTATCTAGGACGTTCATGGTAGTCGGCACAGAAGGATGTCTCCTGGTTAAAGATGATGACAGAGTCATGGCGCGCACGGCTAGAACGCAGCGACAACAATTGTGGATGGCATTGAAGGCTAAACCTACAATCATCTGTGACGAGGAAAACAATGATCCCTCGACCAATACTCAAGCACTAGCCACGTACTCATTTGCCGGCATCTTCGACCATGGCTGCTACTACGCCGCAAACTCGTTCTATGACCCAGTCACTGCTCAGCATGTAGTCTATGGTTGGATCACCGAAGAAGATCTACCAGATGACCTCCGTCATGGGCAAGGATGGAGTGGATTGATCTCTCTTCCGCGAACGGTGCATTTACAAGTCCTACAAAATGTTGTCAGAGCTCGTAACTCAGAGCTCCAAAGTATCACATCCATGGAAACAGAAGTTGACTCCCGAGGAACCCACACAGTCCGAACTTTGGGAATACGGCCGGATGATAGACTCCGAAAGCTTCGAGACAAGGCTCGATGGGTACACACTATGCAGAGTCCGAGTCTTCTTTCTTCTCAATCTTCACAATCTGTTATACCATTACGGACATCAAAATGGGAAGTCGAGGCGGAATTTGCTGTTCAAAAGCAATGTACTCGCGTCGGTATTCAGATTTCGCATAGCGCTGGTATGTCTTTGTTCATCACTTGCAGTCCTATCATTCAAGGATTACGATTATGCTAACATCTTACTTCCGTCAATACACAGACCTGAAATCACAAACCGTCATTTCATGGGACTCGTGCACTGAGACCTTCACCATCGACCGACCGTATCCCACATATCCAGGAATTAATCATGGCGTCGAGAGCGCACCGCATACATTGTTGACGTTTCGCAACGATCAGGGTGACGAGGTCGAAGAGCCACTTCGAATCCACGCAATATTCGACACAAGTGTATTAGAAGTCTTTGTGAACGAGCGTACGGCGATCTCCACACGTATATATCTAGATGAGGATCGTTGTTTCCAGCTCGCTTTCTTCGCTGGAAGGGAATCAAATGATGAGAAATGTGACTCTGGAGCCCATGCCGTGCTATTAAGAGCTCAGGCGTGGGATGGTCTGGAAACATGAATGATTATATATAGATTATAGACACATACAGACGGCGTCCCGGTCGGCGTTCAACTAAAGAATCTATCCATTCCATTCCCCATTAGCCCCTATGTATCCCAGAGACCTCAGATAGGCATTATACTGCTCCATGTATGGGTGATGGCCACCACGGAGAGTCTGCATAAGTTTCAAGTAATTTCTCGCGAGCTTGTATGTCCCTGAGTCTGGTATCATACCACTATCCACGTTGCTCATATTCATGATAGCACTCGTCGCAATGTTGTATAATTTTTCAATCTGCTGTTGTTAATACAACAAGGCCAATGAGAGAATACATCGATTTTAAATACTCACAATACCAACTCCGTGCGCTTCCATCGCACTAATCCTCAAGGACCGACACAACTCTAGTGTCTTCACTCCATTATCGAAGGCAAAGCGGAAGCATAGCTCTGGTTGCTCGGAGTGCTGCCTTAGAAGTCCATGACTAAAGCATAAATTCCACAGTCGATCCAGCACCCATTTCTGTGTGACCAGCACATCTGCGCATTGTGTTTCTGAAAGAAAGTCTCGCATGACTCTGACAACGTTAAGCTCCTCCGAAACAGACTGGGAAGTATTATCGCCACCATTCTGTTTTGGCAGATCGGGGTCGCTATCAACAATGAAATGGTCTTTGTTCTTGCGTTGCATGTATCGATTGACATTGCTGACTTGCGCAAGAATGCGATACATATTAATAGCTTTAGATTCGATAAGTGTTTGGCACTTTCCCGTGGTGATTATGCTGCAACGCGAGTTCCAGCATACAATGATTGCCTCATCAATGGAATCAAATACCTCCATCAGCAAGGTAAGTCCCATCATGGCGGCGGCATCTTTTTCGTTGTGGACGATGATTCCGGATACCAGGCGCCGGGTAGTGTTGTCCATTTCGTCCACGGACCCTATCGGGTTTGACGGAGGGTTGACAAAATTGACTGGGAGTCGACGCTGTAGGGCATAAGCCCTGTTATCATCAGCAGTGATCTTGAGACTGTAGACAGAGAAAAAGCTACCTTTCGGTCACCGATAACACCAAATATATTCTCAACAACTGCCCCTTATACTCAGAAGAGTGATTCGTATAGGTGCTTGGATCATTCAGCCCCAATATCGATGCCAAATCAACGGCCTCGCGAAGTCGGAGCCTTGCAGCATTGTGTTGATTACTACCAAACAAGAAGCCAAATAAGAAGAAACTGGTGAGCACAGATTCGACAGTCGGGTGCTCTCCAAAGTCAGATGAGCTATGCATCTTTGTTGCTTCTGTCATCATCATTCTCGCATGGTCTGCACGGGAGGAAGAAGAGGGCCGTTCGATGATATCGATTGGTTGTGTAAGTGCAAAGGCGCAGAGCGACAGAATCATGGCACCAAATTGAGGATTTTGGCGATGCTCCCGTTGAAATAGCCTAGTGAATAAAGATGATCTATCCAAAACTGGTAACGTTGGATGAAGACGGTCGAAAAACACATCGATCCAGGGAATGAGATTAGTTTCTTGAATATATGGTGGCCAGAATTCTGTTTTTGATGTGCTAGCGTTAGGTGCTCCCATCGAATTTACACTCTGCGTGTCATGCGCATTGATATCTCCACCCATGAATGGCATCGATTCGTCGAAATTGAGATTCACATCATCAATTATCGGAGGGAGTGCCTGCTTTACAAATATATTTGCTCCTGGAAAATCAAAGAGTGAGCCTGTTTGCGAGTTGAAATTGTCTGGAAGCCAAGAGTCGGGGTGAGAAGGACTATTCCAAGTGGCCTCGGTAGCATTCTTGTCGAGAAGCAGGCCAAACCCAAAATCCTGTTCACCTGGAGTCTGTGAATCATCAAAAGTAGGCAAATCAACAGTCGCCGAGACACTCGTGCCATGAAGACTGGCGAGGCTAGCACTATCCGCACTGCCAGATGACCGCCTGGCTTGACCTTGTCGCTCTTTTATCTGTGTTACCCGGCTATGAGGAGTTAGATTACGTGGTATGAAGGTAGTTAATAGATAAGCAAACGTACTGTGCAGGAGGCCCTCGCTTTTTCTGAGGATTGAGGAACGTACATTCGAATCCATTCAAAATGCACGTCTCACATGGTCGAGATAGACTACACTATCAGTCTCGTTATCAGCAATGACCAGTGTATTGGATGTATATTTGGGGCCTTCCAACCCTTGTCTTGCGCAACCTGCATTGATCGCAGGCGCGGGTGGCACATTTTGTCGGTGTCTGGGCCTGACTGTGACCCTTGCGGCTTGAGGATCCTTTTGTGTTCATTATGCATCTAAAATCTTGATCAGTCAATGTATTCGAATGTTGTTGATGCTTAGTTTATGGAACTATACCAGCTTAGCTGCTTGGAGGATGAAAGAAAGAAGTGGAGAGGAGAGGTGAAGCCGGCGCCCCAGCCATTCAGAGGAAAGAACAATCCTGCGCACGGGCCATCTTTAAATAGGGTTAGGGTTAAACTCAGGTCGCGTGGTATCAAATTCCTTTTAATCCTTAGAATAATCAATCTATCGTGAGACAAAGGGTATAGTTAAGTAGAGATGTAAATCTGATTTTTTATAATTTCATAATAGGATATACACTAACAGATGAGAGATATGTGACGATGCTTCTTTTTTGTTGATCGGTGAACAAACCCTGTAGAAATGGCTATCGCTAGTTTATATAGACGTTGAATGGTGACGGTAGTACGAATAAGAGCTATTGCTAGGTCGATCGGCTATTGGCCTGAAAGACAACTCAGCCAATCAAAAGATTCTAGTTCTAAATCTTGTTCATTGGCAAGTGCGAAATCTCCAACCTCAAAAGGCCGCAGGACTTCATTTATGGCAATGGGTTTGGCGGTCGGTGACAAGTGCGCATCTATATCCATAGCAAGCGCATGCTCTAGGCCGCGCAAAACCCCTCCTTCAAGTCGATTGACCGCATATCGTATCGGCTCSCTGGCTTTGCTCTTCATACGCAGATCCCAGAGAAATGAGACTAGAGTCTGTCGCCAATAGTCCCTTTCTGTCGGCGACAAAGAAGTGACAAGTAGAAGTGTATGGTAGGAGCCAACCAGAGAAAACAAATACGGGGATGCTGTAGATAAAGAGGTGATTAGTCAAAGGATAGTTATGGGATGAGTAGTTGTCATTGTGAGTTATTTACAGGCCGTGGATGGGGCGATTGTGAACTTACGGAAGTACCAGAAAGACTGAATCTGGTCGAGCTGAAGAGAGCCGACAAAATTGGTCGCGTCATGGGCAGCTCTATAAGCTAGTTGACGAATATTTGCTAGAACTGAGGTGTCTGAGCATAATGGTGCAAGAGCGGTTGAGCGGACAAGACGTCGCATAATGTTGATGAGAACTCCGAAATAGCATAGATGAACGTACCCTAATCCATTTTGTTAGGATCCCCATATCAGATTGATGTAATCATGTGCATAGTGACTTCAATAATGGTAAATATGAGGAAATTTGCGCACCTGAAGGGCAGAATTGTCCTGGACTTGAACGTGTCATTGGCAATTTCAGAATAGCTGTCTTCCTCCACTCTTCTAGTTCTTGGATAAAGGTCTGAGCCTTTCCTAGAATCAGAACGGTATCGTGGCTCCGGCTAGATTGTATAGAAAAGAAAGTAGATAACACGCGACTGAGAATTTTGGTAAGATTTACCATGAGTAAAAAGATCTGTCCGCTAATATGTTCATAGCTAGTACTCAGTTGCAAAGTGTTATTTGCTTGCTCACCACAAGGTTCGAAGTCAAGCAAGCACGGGTCTTTGACAGTCCAGTTAACTTCTAAGATATGAGATGGCCTTCCATAGGAAATTGCCGTCCACTTCTCTTGCATGTATAAAGCCCATGAGATACGGCGACGCTGTGCTCGTTCCCATTCTGGTATTGTCCATTCGGAAGCATCAACATGGAGTCCAATGGCCTCCGCAACGGCAAGCATCTGCGACGTTAAGCCTCTTGAGAATGTGTGATCCGAAGTAAGGGGCTCATAGTCTGTTCGCTGAAGGTAGAGAAGCATGGCCTCAATGGAGGACAAGTGAGGCCGATGGAATTCATTCATGATCGTATCTAGTGTCAACTTCCGCAACCGCGTAGAATTTGGGGGAGGCTGAAGGGACAATTCAGAATCATAGTTCCACCATTGAATAGCATTCAGGTAGACAGCACCCAATAGAGCGGCGCCAATTTTCCTATATGAAATGTTGTACAGCTCCATGAATCGTCTCTTGTCGAGCAAAGGATACGAAGGCTGCACTACAAGCCAGAACAGGCGGATCAATCGTGGGCCACAAGGTCGAATCATGGATTCAATCGCATCAGCCTCGGTATAATCACCCACGGAACTAACTGCTTTGCTATCAGAGACCATATGGAACACGACAGGGTACTCCATGCCGTGATCTGTTTTTTGCACTCGTCGAATGCTATGCGTATCCAGATGATACTCGTGATCTTGTGGATCATAGGGCCGGTGTCTCTTCACTCACGGCAGCCATTCCGTGTCAGGATTGAAATACTAGAGATGCCAGGGGACTATCAGAGTACGCACCATTAGTATTGGCTCCATGTCACTTGTCAAACCATACAACTCCCCAAACCTATCGTCACTCATTCCCACACTTCTTGATAATGACAGTGAATCACTGAAACGAGCTACGTTCTGATGATTTGGCCATAAATTACTGGGTATCGCTGTTGGTGATAGAAAAGTCGAAGGTTCTTGATGAGGATTAGAATTCTCAAAGGAAGGGTTTGAAGGATTTGTGTTCCCATCGTCGGTAGGATTTGACTGGTTGGTTCGATTGAGAAAGACGCAATCCGACTCGCGAACCTCGCACATCGTACATATCCTGCTATTCTTTCTAGTGATGCATCTCGACTTGCGGTGACGGCATGCCTCGCATGGATTCGAGGCTCGTTTCGCGCGCTTTTTATTTATTTGACTTGAACGATGCCACATAGTGCGTAGATGCGTTTGATTTGTCAAAAGGATGATAGGATAACGGAGGATGTGGTGAGGTACTTAGATGTGATGTGTCGTGCAATTCTCACTGGCGGATTGGTTGGTATGAACTTCCAAGATTGGAACTTACTCAGTTTTAGAAATATATATGGAAGACATCACGTGATGCAAGATGACAGGAAGTTCACAGCTTTTTACATGCAATACAAAAGGCAATGAATTTGCGATTGATATAAAGTATTTGTGTGGAGTGTTTATGATTAAGACGATTTCTTTCTAATATGGTCTATGGTGGCTAGCATCCTTACTACGAGCCAAGAACAGAGAGTTGCTCACCCATACCCCATGACCACTTCTAACACCTCGCTCATAAATCAGGTTTCTAGATACTTAACAACAACTGTTAATCTTATTTTGAGTTCTAAATTGTTGTTATGTCCCAACACTTCGGCATGTTCCAACTTGTCTCTTCTTTCATCCTCCCATCAGTGCCTCTTGTATACTTGTGACGACAATGTCCGGTACCAGAAGCTTTTCGTGAATAGTAACCCCATTGACATAATCGTTACCATCGACCCGTAAAAGAGCATCCTGGTGACATTTTCCAATTCCAGAATCCACATGCCGTCTCGCCAATCGCTCTCGTACTTCTCGTAGATCGACCTGGATGAAGATGCGCAAGTCCACGAACACTGTGATTTCTCGCCATTGGGGCTCATCCAGGAGTAAATAATTACCTTCAATGATAATTATGGAGTAATTATCAGAGATCGTGATTGCATCCGACACGGGGTCTTTATCGGCGTGGGAAAAGCTCGGAGCATAGAGGACTTCTTTGCTCTTTCCATCCCCAATGGGCACCGTGTCCGCGAATACACGAAGTCTCCGCACAAAGTCCACACATCGCGCTGCATCAAATGTCCAAGGAGCTCCGCGACGAGTGTACGCCTCTTCGCGGTTGGGAAATTGATCTAGGACGGACCGAGGAAAGTGAAAGCCATCCATTGAGATCGCCACTGCCTGTACTTTGGGTGACAAGTTCCGTATATGTCTTAACACACCATCAGCCATCGTGCTCTTTCCAGATCCTGGTGCACCAGCAATTGCTACCACATATCTGCCCCTGTGATTGTTTTTCGCATTGGTGTGGATGATATTGGCCACTCGAATGTATTCGGCCTCCATCCGTTCGACTGAAGACGAGGGAAAAAAAAGGCAAACTGCGGAAAGGTGAGTGTACTGCAATAGGATACCTTAGTAGAAAGGGATCGAACAGGAAAACTGATTGCTGGATATTTACATTCTTTACGTGGTTCGACTGATTTACCAGGGCACTGAGTTATCGGAGCACAGTGCTCCTTGGAAAGGTAGGCTAATGGCAGTCCAGGCATGCTTTCTCAATAGTGGGCTCTCCTCATGGCATTTCACTGGCCTATGGAAAAGGGCTTTTTGTAGAAGGTGGCACAAGCGGACTTTGTACTTCTTAGGTCGATTGCCTCCAATGGCGTGAAAGGAGAAGTTGCAGTACGCAGCCTATTCTGGGATTACAATGACTTGATGACAGAATATAGACATTAAATTCTTTTAGCCAATCTTAAGTAGTGGATTTTTGATTCTAGAACGAAGTATTGAAATTAGAAAGCTCGATCGATACAGAGTAAGCCAGGAAGTCATTAGCCTCAATTCTCTCTTTCTAGCTTTGCTCAATTTGGATTTGTCGGGTATTCAGCTATACAGCGAGCAAGAGAACTCAATTTCAAGGACCGTGCTCATTGTCATTTCAAACAACAGTTTGAGCCCCTATAAGTAGCGAACAGGCACACATCGCAGAAGATTAAATTCAATCTCGCCATCTTCCACAAAAAGGCCTACCGAGTTCTTCATCTTGGCAGAAGTTTTACTTCGTTGCGGTAGGCGATAAGTAATGACTTTGCCCCCGACGAAGAACTCTATGATATCTCCGCTTCGAATCAAAGTCATTGGTTGATCTAGACGGACAGCGCCATGCCGAACTAATTCTGGGCCATCCACTAATTTTGGTATAGAGTGACTGGTGAGGTCAGCCCAAAAGTCATCAAAGGGTGGCATGTCGCACACTAGTGTCACTGAATAGTATTGGGATGCTACATGCTGGAAAGAGATGCGATAGCCGCGCATGTCGTCGTCGTAATCCAACATGAGCCCGAATGAATTAGCTTCAGCTTTCGGCAGAGCGAAAGTCAAGTAAAAGTCGCACTGCGGAGTTGATACAGCTTTTGCGACTGTTGTGCCCGGTCCATTGAGAATCAATTGTTTCGAATGGTCATTAAACATTGTGCCTGCTTCTTGTAGACGCTTCTCGATCTCTGGTAGCACACTGCATTGCAAGGTTCCGTCCATACGAGCAGAGTATTCTCGAGGCTGAGTCGTACTACCTCCCCAAAGCCATTTTGAATCGGCTTCAACGTAATCGTGCACCCAACCGAAAGCGATTCTTTTAGATGGGTCCCCCGCTCGAGCACAAGACTTGGCAGCATACCACCGGCGACCATCGATGACACCCCCAGAGCAATCGCGAGGAAGGTGAAAAGGGCCTCGCGGATTGTCTGCAATCATATACAAAGTTCCGGGGTGTGGAGCCGAGAAGCGTGAGTAAAGAAGGTACCATTTTCCATTTCCGAGAGTAAAAAGCTCGGGACATTCAGGGCAAAAAATATTGTTTGGCGAATGCAATGGCTGAGATGCAACAGTCCATGCTTTCAAGTCCTTAGACGTCAGGAGCGCAACGCATCCTCGAGTCCAATAGGGCCCTTTCGCGAGCCGTGTGGCAACCAACATCCAGTATTGACTCTCGGGCTCGTGGAAGAAGACGTAGGGATCTCGGAAATCTGTTGCTTCGTACTGTTCCAAGCTGCCAGATTCGATGCAGATAGGAGCTTCCGGTTTCGTGAACTGGGTGCCTTGGCGATCGGTCGATTTGGCGTGCAAGATAACCTGTTTACCATTTTCTAGAAGGTTGTATCCTGTGTAAAAGATATGCATATGGCCATCCGGTCCTAGAACTGCAGAGCCTGTCCAAGAGCCATCGCTATCAAAGTCGGTCTTGGCCTGACCGGGAGAGATGACAGGCATCTCGTCCCTCTTCCACTGAATCAGATCCTGAGACCGCTGTCTTGTCCAGGTACATCGAACACGTGGAGGGTGGTAAAGTGTGTCCGGTGGCGACGATAATTGAAAGAGGTGGTATGTGTCATCTTGTAAAAATGGGATTGTATCTCCTGCTGCTGCGTACCCGGTTGGGCGTGAGAACGAAGCAGTCAAGGATATAGCAGACATGGCGTTAGAGATGATGAGGACCCTTGCAAAGGATGTTGCGAGATAAAATTCTCAATAAAACAGAATGGAAAAATAAGAAGGGAAATGGCATTTTCCATTCCATTTATCTATCTGTGCCGTGCGAACTAGTATGAACAATCGACTGCCGGTCACTCAATAGTGTGCACGACTTACAATTGTTGGTCCCACCCCTTCCATACTCCATCTGTCTACAGAATCAATTATTTTAGCAAAATAATGATAGTATACCAAGTAAATCTGCAATATGCTGTACGTACCTAGCTTAGGGCTTCGTCGGTCATGTCTCCGATTAAGATGCCGCGCCGCGTGTAAGCTCTCGGTATAGTTGCCGTCGGTAGAAGATGCCGCGGCGCGGCGGCGCAGTCCACCATAGAGAACGATTTGTATCTGATCAAGTTTCCACTTGTGATAGACAAGACTGTCCACTTTTCCCAGATTTGGCCGTTCATCAGTGGACGCGAGATTTCTCCAAGTTACACTAGTGTACCCCGGACTACGTACTCTGAACCTGCCCCGGTTTGACCCCAATATGGATATAAAAGGCATTCAATCCAGGTCACAATATCGAAAACCTCTGGGGTATCATTTCCATCTTGACATCGCCTAATGTACACGTGAAAGGATACCTTCATCAACTCAAAAGTCTGCGTGGTCGGCCAACAAAAGAGATTTTAAGTATACAGCACTGAAAACCGGGAATTTGAGTTCCTGGATCAATGATGTGTCTTCAACATCCCTATGCGTGGCTGTTCTGCGGCTTCGCCGCGCTGGGAGCTTGGTTGTATGGCTATGATGGTGTGTATTTCACCGGTGTTACTGCGTTAGGTAAGTTCTTCACTTCTAAATGGCTTTACGTTTACTGTAGGCACCTCTACTTATGGGAAATGTACTTACAATCAGGGGGCTTCAGATGTGTTTTCTCGTGAGTTCGGAACACAGCTATCCGACGGAACGTATGCTATCTCGCCAGCGTCATTGTCATTGATGACCTCGATGATCAATCTGGGCGAGTTGGTCGGTTCCTTGTCGTCCGCTACTTTCAATGACTACCTAGGCCGCAAAGGCAGCTGGCTGTTGGGTGCTCTTTTTCTCAGCATAGGGGTTGTCTTGCAACTGGTTACCTCCTCGCAAACAAGCTTTATCAGTGGCGGCAGGGCTATCATGGGTTTTGGTGTTGGGATCTTCTGTGCCACTTCCCCGCTGTACATTGCAGTATGTTATCAAACCCACCGTGAAAGAAAGATACAATATTCTGACAGTCATCGACAGGAGGTTGCACCCACAGAAGTCCGCGGTCCTTTACTTATGTTCTGGCAATTGACTCTGTCCGTCTCTCAAATTGTGGCCGCAGGGATCAACCGCGGTGTCTCAATGAACGAGACAAATTTTGCTTGGCGATTCCCAACTGGTTTCCAACTCCTTTTTCCTTTCTTTGTCTTTTGCATGGTCTGGTTCATCCCTGAGTCTCCGCGATGGCTCGTCCGCAAGAACAAAGTGGCCAAAGCAGAACATTCTCTCAGACGAATCCATCGTGAAAAGGAAAATTACGACCCTGCGAGTGATATTCAACAGATCAATGATACTCTGCAGCAAGAAATACATCTTTCAGGTCAAGGGTCCTGGTCCTCATTGATCAAAGACCCTATCGAGCGAAGAAAAGTCTTGTATTCAGCAGGGGCTTTAATTGCCCAGCAGATCAATGGGATACAGTGGTTCTACTACTTTGGAACCGTCTTTTCCAAAGCCATTGGCTTGAGTGATCCCTTTCTGATGACACTGATTGTGTTTATCATTCAGTTGTTCGTCGTACTTGCTGCCTTGCTTTTGTCGAACCGTATTCCAAGACGTCCGCTGATGCTAACCTGTACGTGCATCATGATGCTTTCCATCTTCATTGTTGGATGCATGGGTATTCATAGCGATGGCAACTACGTTGCTCCTATCTACGGCAAGGTCATTATTTGTTTTGTTATAGTTGAGATTGTCGCTGCCAATTTCTCATGGGGGCCACTTGGTTGGGTCATTGTAAGTCACCACATTTCCTTTCCGAGACTCTTCTCAAATTATTATTGATACTGATACTACGTGTTCAGGCGTCTGAAATGGCAGTGGGTCCGAATCGGAACAAGATTTATGCAATTTCGGTTGCTTGTTTCTGGGTATGGTTGGCCTTTTTTGTGTGGTTTCAGGGACATTCAAAATACTAACGAAACAAATGTACTCTTATAGATTTCTATATGGGTAACTGTTTTTACACTGCCTTACCTCTACTATTCGGCCAATCTGGGACCAAAGACGGGATTTATCTACACCGGTCTGTGTGGAATTTCCCTATCCTACGTATATTTCTGCGTTGGTGAAGTGACAGGTCGATCTATGGAAGAAATTGAAGAATTCTTCCAAAAAGTAAGTACACTCAACTGAAATGCTCTTGCTTCAGTAGAATAAACATCACCGCTAACATTGCCGGCTTCCCTTCATCATAGGGTATTCCGGTCACCGAATGGAAGAATCAACCTCGACGCCAGAATCCACAGCTACACTCATCACACGAAGATCCAGAAATGACAGGTGGGGAAAATGGTGCTAGAGAAATGGGGAAGCATGAAAGCGAGGCTAAGGAGATTGAGCTTGCTTAGCTTAGATTTAAGTAACTTGCAGAATTGTATTGAGTAGATACACCTGACAGCTGTATGCAATCAACATTTGCTAGAAAAGGATGTTTGTGGAACAGTGTTACCATTTATATTCAATAGCAGTACTCTACTGCATGTATCTATCAATACATGTAAGTATCCTCTATCTAGTACTTCACTTACTGTCTCATATTCCCAATAAGCTAGGCCTTGGATTTATATGTTTAAAATTTGAATGTGGAGAGCACGGATTTATAGCGGCGTAAAGCAATCAGGAAGATTTTAACTAGCTACTATGTGTTCCATCGGGTCTCTCCCACATTGCAACAGTGCTGTAAGCTTCGGTTAACGGGCATTTGCTGTAAGGCGCGAAGGTTGGTGAATGCATTGCGAAAACTCTTAACGACCGAGCCCAGAGAGACAATAGCGCATCACGAACGCCCTCATTTCCCTGCAGACTGTCAAGTGTATCATCACTCAAGGATAAAATCTTCCCAATTTTCTGCTCCTTCGCCCTTAAGGATAAGACGCTTTCTACCTATTTCAACCAATTCCTTCTACTCAGAATTTTTTAGTGTACTTGGTTTGGTAAAGAAAAGCGGGTTAGTTCTCAGTGAAAAATAGTAAAATTCTACGGTAGATCTAGATTATGATAAATATCCGCCCTTAATACGCAGCAACACATTCCCACGATCATTCTATATCCATTATCGATCTGAGTCTCAAGAATTCTAGGAAATCAATTCATCAGGTCAGTACTATTCCATCGATTGACTGACTCTAGAGCAATTTTTTTTTCTTCTTTTTTTTTTATCCAAGGTTTGAGTCTTACTCGTCCAAAGGCCGGGTGAAGACAGGCCCGATCAATGGAACTAGATATCCACCTGCGAGATTATCAATCTGATAAAAATTTTAGCTTGGCACCTGTGCTAGTCTGCTTTACTTGTGCAAGTGTGGCTTGCAATCCTTAAGCATGGCATGACTCGGTTGTTGTGATCCGGAGTCACAGCATCGTCCTACAAAAGAAACACCTCCGGTCTCGGAGAGCTTGACAATGCTCAATTCATAGGGACTTGATCCCTCAATCCGCATGAATTTCTCAAGTAACGCCATCGAGTATACTCCTCAATCCTGTGTACGTAGCGGCTCACCGTTGAGTGCACAGGATGCCCTAGGTGCATGAAAATCGGATCATAAAACTAGGATAGCCACCGTCACACACAGTCCAATTCAGAGTCACCCTTGGCATGTTTCTTTTCCGGAGTATAGCATTTTATACGTGGTATGTCAGAATGATGTTAGTTAATTGCTTACATCGGAGACGCCGGTCCTGCAATGGATTTAATTTTCTCGCCCGTCAGCTTGGCATCGGATGATGCAGGCCTGGCCTTAGGTTACCTGGGGGGACAGGAGCAACTGCTCGCACATGGAAGAGATCCTTCAGCGAGTGGGGCCTGAGGCTTCTGGCTCGACTGGCCGGGCTAAAGTATTTTTACTTACTACATAGTACTATGTAGTTTGGAGAAGTCACGTAGCTAGGTAATGTCCCTGTACCCCCTATTGACGAATTCATGTCTGTATGATCTTGTCTTGCGCTCTTTCAATCTGCCATTCAAACATTGACTCGGCATGACCATCGAGCTGCTGGAGGAACAACACGAAGCGAACCCTTGCTCCATGTACCTGAAAATCACTCATGTTCGTTTGGCCCTGTGGAGTCGTTGGCGTTTTTGCTTCATATTTTTTTATTTTTATCAGATCAAAAGCTCGTACGATCCACTTGAAGCTCGTTTACATCCTTGTACATTGTTATGACTAGTATTTACAAGAACCAATACATGACGATCAGCAGAAAACACGGTCACAGACAGTATCAACCGTAACAGTACAGTCAGCCGTATCTTATCAACGCGTGGCCGAGCATCGGAATGGATCGTTGGGCGGGCATTAGCGAATCAGCAGCGCAGCTGATTAGATGGTTGCGTTAATTTTTCTTTATCAGATCCGCTTTTGGCACTACGTAGTACTTATCTGATCCGGTCAGCTCTTTCCCTCTGCCCCTCTCGCCGTTCTTGCCTGTTGTCCGTCCTGCCAAGCCGCAGCTTAGGAAATTTCCCTCTTCTCTCTCTCTTCTTTCTTGTATTTTTTTTCCCTTTCTTCTTTTTTTCGCTGTAACGCATGTTCCTGTTACGGAGTAGCGCTGGTGCATAGTTCTGCGTATATATTCTTATCGCATGCCCTCCCGTTACTAGCCGGCCTCGTCTTTTTTCCTCGTGTCGGGCGTTTTCAGTGGTACTTGCACTTCAGATCGGCCTCAGCCTGACTCTCTCGCATTCGTTTATCAATTAAGTATTAAACGGTGGCCAGGCCCAACCAATAATATGGGCGTTCTCGACAACATTCGCGGTCGCGACACTTCTCAGCTCAGCGCTGCGCTGCMCCGCTCGGAACCCGCCGATGTTCCTGACGAGAAATCACCCGGCCAAGCCCAGGATATCTCCTCAAGCGACTCCGACACTCTGAGTCTGGAGGCTCGAAATGAGAAGGAAATCCGACTTCATCCCGATCAAATCACTGCCAATGCAGAGCTTGGTGTTCAAAAGGCCGAAGCTGTTACGCTCGTTTGGGGCAAGAAGACCGTCTATGCGGTTTATGCATGGTGAGTACAGATCTCTTCTTGTCAACTGAAAATACACTAATCTGTGGCAGGATTTGGATCTGCTTCTTCATGCTGGCTTTCCAGTCAGCTGTGGGCAACAACTTGCTTTACACTGCATACTCTGATTTCGCTTTAGCACCCGCCGTATCGACCGCTAGCATCTTAGCCAGCGTCATTGGTGGTGTGCTTAAATTGGCTATTGGTAAGACTCTCAACTTGGTGGGCCGCGCCGAGGGTCTCCTGTTCTTTGTAGGCGTCTACATTTTGGGTATCATATTGCTTGCCTCGTGCAACGGCCCAGATGCCTACGCAGCTGGTTATGTACTGTACTGGATCGGGTACGACGCTATTTACCTGATTCTCGATGTGTTTATGGCCGATACCTCGGGTTTGCGCAATCGTGCTTTCGCTTTTGGATTCGTCAGCACTCCATTTATCTGCACCGCTTTCACTGGTTCACTAGCAGCTCAGTCCTTTATCAACACGAGCGGATGGAGATGGGGCTATGGGGCTTTCGCCATCATCATGCCTTTTGTATTCGTCCCTCTAGCAGTCGTTTTCAAGTACTATGAACGCAAAGCCATCAAGCTAGGTCTCTTCAAACGCCAAGACAGCGGTCGTACAACGATGCAGTCAATTTTGCACTATTTCCATGAGTTTGATAGTATGTTTGCATGTGACTGGTTCTTGACCACTTATGCTAATATTTCCTAGTGATCGGCGCATTCCTTCTCATGGCAGCCTTTGTTCTATTCTTACTCCCATTCAGTCTGCAAACATCCAACCGCATCACATACGACAGCGCTGCATTTATTGCCATGGTTGTTATTGGCATCTTGTTGTTCCCCGTCTTTGCTGTTTGGGAAGCATACTTTGCGCGTACGCAATTCATCCGATGGGAACTTTTCAAAAACCGCACTGTTCTTGGTGCCTGCATCTGCGCCGCGACAGTCAACTTTGCCTTCTACTGCTGGGATCTGTACTACTACTACTTCGTTATGGTAGTGTACGACCTCGATGTTTCCCTAACCGGATACATGACGCAGATCTACAACGTCGGATCCTGCTTTTGGGGCCCTGTTTTCGGCATGTACGTTCGTTACACCCAGGAATTCAAGTGGTTCTGTTTCTTTTTCGGCATCCCACTTTTGTTTTTGGGAGCCGGACTAATGATTCACTTCCGTGGCCAAGATGGATCTATCAACTACATCATCATGTGTCAAATCTTTATCGCTTTCTCTGGTGGTACTTTGGTCATTGGTGAAGACATGGCTGTCATGGCAGCCTCTGATCGCGAGGGTGTGCCCATGATGCTCTCTCTCGTCAGCTTGTTCAGTAGCATTGGCAGTTCCATTGGATCTGCCGTCTCCACTGCCATTTTCTCCAGCACGTTCCCCAGAGGTCTCCTCCAGGCTCTTCCTGAGGATCAAAAGGCCAATGCCACGGCCATCTATCTCGGTGGATACACAACACAGCTTTTGTATCCTGTCGGGAGCCCAACACGCGATGCCATCAATTATGCCTGGGGTTACAGTCAGAAGTACGGCGCCATTGCCGCAACGTGTGTGACTATCTTGTTGATTCCTGCGGTTGGAATGTGGAAGAACTACCGTGTCGACAAGGCGCAGAACAAAGGAACTCTTTTTTAGATCTCCATCTTCTGGGATCTGAGAGAGAAAGGCATACTGTATAGTTTATGCCATTTACCTGCACATATGCACACATACACATACCAATTCTAATTCGACCTATAGTAAATTAATTTTGGACGACAGCAATGTATATCGATTATTTTAATTAATCAAGCATCTTCTTTGCATTGATCACTAATATTGAAAAATCCGACGTAGTTATCTAGAGCAATGTTGAATTAAGATTGGCGTAGTGTGGCACAATTATTTGATATTCACGCATGCTGTCAGGGATGACGTCGGTTGGCCCTGCCAAGGTATGACACCATTATCTCCGCCCACATAACATACACGTATTAGGACTAGGACCCATGCATGTTATTATAGCTAGGAAACTGGAGCAACCCTAACAACAACCTTCCCCCTAGCCCTATTCGTCCTCAACCTCTCAAATGCCTTGACGGCATCGTCAAACTCAAACACTGTATCTATGACAGGCTTCACTTTGCCATCTTGCATCATGTCCGCAATCTCCTTCAGATCCTCGTATCGGTTCTTGAAGAAAACAAGTTGATATGGCCGCTGTCCACCGCCGAGTATGCGTGGTGTGATCAGGCGTCCCGCAGTCGAGAAATGCGATTCGTTCCCTACTTGTAAGTATGGTTTGCCGGGGAGTAGGAAATTGTGGCTTTCGCGATACATGTTATCGGGTTTCCCAATCATGTCTAGCGTTAGACTGAATAAAGGTCCCTGTTTGCGAAGGTAGTCGACCACGTCGACGGCAGTGTAATCGATGACTTCATCGGCGCCGATACTTTTGAGCAAGTCGACATTTCGCGTGGAACATGTGGCTGTTACGTGACATCCGTACGCCTTAGCGATCTGAATCGCAAATGTGCCCACACCCCCCGAACCACCATTGATAAAAACATGATCCCCGGCCTGTACTTTTCCCTTGATAACCTGCAAGGCAGTTTGGCCCGCAATACCCACCGTCGCAGCATCATCAGCACTTACACCTTCGGGCACAGGCACCACAAGCCCGGCGTCAGCAACCGAATATTCCGCCAACGCACCAAACTGACGCGGTAATGGCAGCGATCCAAACACGCGCTGCCCAATCCTCACATTGGTCACCTTTGCGCCAGTGGCGACGACTTGGCCACTGAAGTCCATTCCGGGCGATGCCGGCATGGAGACTACACATTTCCAGAGCAGGCTGGGCGTGTCTTCGGGGACTTTGTAGTCTGCTGGGTTTAGAGAGCTAGACAGGATTTTGATGAGGCATTGATGGGGGCGTAGGGTCTGGCCGGGGCGGTGGGCTGTGTCGGATTTGTGTAGGTTGTTCTGGAGACCGCCGCTTGTGCTGGACCAGAGCCAGGCGGTCATTATGGAGGGGATCTGGGAGCTGTTGTCTGTCATTTTGTCTCTATAATGAGCCAAAATTATCTAATAGCGTGATGAGTTGATGTAGAGTTAAGTCACTACATGATGAGGATACGTTTCTGATACAGAGGTGAGACCCCAAACCTAAAGATGGAGACGGCGCACGGGCCATCGGATCGATCGTATCAAAACGTCCCTCGAACTATTCGTCGGAGGACTGTGTACTATGTTTTTCAATATTTGCACACTTGGGATAGAGCATATCACTATAGCAGTTATCTCACTTGAAACATAAACATCTAGGATAAGGTACCAAGGCACAGAACGATGAACACCTGCCGAAAACAGCCTAGCGCGCGATCCAAGGGGGACCGAGGTACACGATGACATCACATCGCGAACGCAGCAAGAACTTCCGCCGAACTCCTCTTGTTCTTTGTTAGTTATACATTTGTGAATATAATCTACTCCCATAGTACAGCACATATGTGACATTGCTATCTGTCTTCTTTCTTGTATACTTTTCTTGAGAACCACCCAAACCGCGACACTTCTACATGTTCCCTGATCTGGTTCCTAGACAATCCCAATCGCTGATATGCCTCTAAACACAGCCTGTGTTGGAGCAAGCGTTGCTCCGACGGTGCTGTCAACATGGTTCGCTCATGTTAGTAGATGTTTTAATCAATTAAATCAGTCAACCAACTGACCATGCATAGTATATCGACAGAAAACCCCGTCACCAAAAACCCACCGCTCACATATCGTATGACGAGGGCCTCAATATCGTCCGCGCCTTCCTCAAACATGCCGCGCACCACACAGTCGAGGACTTGCAGGCCTTCACAGCCCAAAAGATCCCATCACCGACGTGGGTCAAGGTCCAGGAACAAGTCATTCCCAACGCACACTTGACCGAAGCCGCGGACCATGTTAATGCGCAATTGGGTGAGCGAGGCATTAAGCGCGTTGGTGGAAGGACATGGTGGCAATGGCGCGGTCTACAGGGCGATCTAAAATGTGAATGGATAGAGATGAAGAGCGATTATAAGGCGAGGAAGCAAGCGAATGCGCATTGTAAGCGGGTCATGTTGTACGTGCATGGTGGTGCGTACTTTTTTGGGAGTTTGGAGACGCATCGATATCAGATGCAGCGTCACGCGCGAAAGCTCAAGGCTCGTGTTTTTGCTCGGTATGTTCTTTTTCTTTGTAGACCGCTCATGATTCCTACTAACTTGCGCCTAGTAAGTGTTCGTTCAGCGAGAAATAAATTGTTCTAATCATGTCGTCAGCTGAGTATCGCCTGTCGCCGCAGTTTCCGTTCCCTTGTGGATTGCAGGATTGTCTGGCAGCATATCTATATCTCCTGACACTGCAAGATCCAACCGAGATTATATTGGCAGGCGACTCTGCCGGTGGAGGCATGGTACTGTCGTAAGTATCTCATATCTTCACTACGTCATTTAACTAACGCGATTAGCATGCTGGTCATCCTCCGTGATCAAGGCATTCCACTACCCGCCGGCGCAATTCTCGTCTCTCCATGGGCAGATCTGACGCACTCTTTTCCGTCCATTGCAAGGGCTAGCAACTTCGACTACATCCCCGAACATGGCTTCTTGCATCGTCCATCACGCAGCTGGCCGCCACCAAACTCAGACGATCTGGCGTACATGTATCAAAATGCCAATCAGAAAAAACCTGGCGAGATAGGTAGTCACGTGCAGACCGACGGAATCGGGGAAGCAAATGACAACGACCAGCAAACTGCAGTTCAGGGATTCACCGTGCGCGAAGAGAATACAGCAGGCGTTAATCATACATATCCCGGCCTGCACAGCGGCATCAACCGAGTCGGGACTGCGGATGTAGGAACGGCTCATGCAGACAACATCGTTGTCCCCATGGCGGATAACACTGTCGTTGAGATCAAGGACCAGATTCAGATGTATGCTCCAAACCAGATGCTCTCACACCCACTGGTCTCACCAGTTTTACAACCTACTCTCGGTGGTTTACCGCCATTGTTGATTCTGACAGGTGGAGGCGAATTACTCCGGGATGAGCAGATCTATCTGGCGCACAAAGCCGCGGATCCATTGTCTTACCTTCCCGCGGATATCTTCCTCGACGAGCATGATCCCGATAGAATATTGATACATAAATACGGGCCCACGAATGTGCAGCTGCAGGTTTGGGATGATCTGTGTCATGTTGCTCCCACATTGAGCTGGACAAGACCTGCAAAATTCATGTATCGCTCTATTGCGCAGTTCGGCGCATGGGCCCTGGCGCATGCTCAACATGAAGAAATAGACATTCCCGAAGACGATGCTTCCTCTATCTCAAGCGAATCGTCTTCAACCTCGGAAATTGAAGAGCCGGTAGCATCGGTAGGGAAAGCAGGAGACCCCTTGCCAGCTTTTCGTAAACACATGATCCGTCAGAGAGTAGATAGACATGGTATAGTCTATCATCTCGATTCACCTCAATCTCTACCAGCTCTTCAGCATCCGCGCAACAAAATCGGTGCCTTGAACCCAGATATCGTCAAGAAATGGATGGGTGCAAAGAAGACGTGGGATGAAAAGTTCGCGAAAGAAAAACTTACCGTTCAACGTCGCCGAATCAAGGATTTTGAAATGGGATATTTCAGGTTTGATGGTGAATTACCTCCTGCATGTGCCATGGCTAGTAGACGCACGGAGAAGGACCTGGCTGGAGCCAAAGTTCGCAAGAGTTACGGTATGATGATGTGGTCTCTTCTTGCTAGTAAACATGACAAGGATATCGTCGCGAGAGAGGCAAGAGAAGACGCCATTCCACACATCACCAACAAGCCATTGAAAGGCAAGGAAGGTCAGGGAGATACAGACATCGTTGCGCAAAAGACCAGTTCAGGACGTGAGGAAAGCATATCGGCGCCCGATCGTCGTAAATTGTCTCCCTTTCCTGTGGAGGAAAGATCTCACAGTCGTCCTCGTAGTCGATCACGGATCGTCAGTGATGCCGGCCAAGTCGGCGAATATGGTACCGATCAATCTGAACAACACTCAACAGGCGTCTCAACACCTATCGTACTCATTCCCGGTGTCGATATCAACACCGACACTCAATCTACTGGCAAAACACCAGACAACGTTAGTACAATAGCAGTCTTGAACGCTGACGGCGTCCTCTCTACCACAGACACGACCACAGTCAAATCAGACGACAGCATCGTCCTACGGCCATCATCACTAAGCGATCAGAATGGCACCCTGTCAGATAGTACACCTCATACTCCAAGCATCATCACCACAGACACCGCCACCGAACTCGGGGTCCATGGATCAAATGCCAGTACGGTGGCTGTCCGCAACGTTCCTTACATTCTCAAGGAACATGAGGAAGAAAAGCAAAAAAGACCCAGCACGGTTGACGAAGTCTCGCCACATGCCGAGCGAGATGCGGTTGTCAGCAATGGGGCAGAAACGCCTAAAGCGAACGGTCAAGATAAAGATGCCTTCTCGTTCCATGCGGAGAAAGAGAGACCTGAGATGCCTGATCGGGATGAGTTTGTGACTGCTGAGGAGATTCAGGCTTGAGTTACACAAGATATATACCCTCGTTTATACATGCTTTTTTAAAATTTATGTCTTGCGTGTTTGATATATACACCAGACGATATCCCTTGCTGGCTTTCTCTGTGTTGAGCGATTTTGATATTTGATTTATATTGAAGTTTTGATTAAATATACATGCAACAGCCTCACGGTATAAAATCCTCCGTTTATACATGATCCGCAGCTTTCTTTCACCTCGTAAATTCAATACATACATGGACATATCTCCACACCAGTGATTCATTATAATACAGCATTTCATGGGCTACAGCCAGTCCATCCCCACCCCCCTCACAACCTTCTCCGCTATACTCATAAACGCCTTTCTTCGCACACTATTTGGGTCCCCTTCCTCCGCAACAACAGTCGGCATCCCCCGGTCCGCATCCTCGCACACTCTCGCATCGAGCGGTATATCGCCCAAGAACTCAATTCCAAGTCTCTGACACTGCGCCACAACACCTCCTTCAGCGTCATGCGCATGCGAATGCGAATGCGAGAATATCTTTGTCTCGTGCCCGCAGTTCGGGCATGCAAAGAAAGCCATATTTTGAACCATACCCAGAACGGGGACGTCCATCTTTTGAAACATCCCGAAACCGCGCACTGCATCACGTAGAGCGATGTCTTGTGGTGTTGAGACGATGACCGCGCCGTCGAGGATGATTTCTTGCCCGATTGTGAGTTGTACGTCACCTGTTCCTGGTGGGAGGTCGAGGATGAGGATGTCGAGTGGGCCCCAGGATACGGAGTGAAGGAGTTGTTGCATTGCTTTTGTGACCATTAGGCCGCGCCAGCTGATGGGTGTTGTGTCCATGGGTGGAGGGGAGGAAGTGGTGAGTTCGGTATCAGAGCTGGAAGAAGAGGAGGAGGAGGCTTGAGGGAGGAGATAGCCCATTGACATTGATTTCAATCCGTAATTCGTCAAGGGGATGAGACAATTATTGCTGTCGAGGCGCGGTTCGCCGTGTAAGTTCAAAAGGGTCGGTATGGAAGGTCCGAAGATGTCGGTGTCGAGGATACCGGTGCGAATGCCTCGACGGGCCAGGGCCAGCGCCAAATTCACTAGACAGAAGATATATAAGCATCATATTGCCCACTGCTCGAAGCCCTCGACATACCAGCAATGGTCGATTTTCCAACCCCGCCTTTGGCCGAAGACACTGCGACGACTTTTTGGACATCCCGGATTCTGCGTTTTTGAGGAAGGCCGCGGCGGCTTTTGAATGTGGGAGGTGTTCCTGATTTTGGAAGGCCCTGTAAATACCAATATGGTCAGTAAGATTCAGTAGGGAAGAAAAGGTAATTGGTGATGGACGTACTAGAGGATTGTCATGTTGTAGTATGCGGACAGTCGAAAAGAAACGCCGCAGGCGCATCTTCCCTTGTATGTATTTCTAGAAGATGAATATAGAAAGACAAAAAAAGAGTTGAATATGTCAATAGTCCCGCTATCGACTGGATCCGACAAATCTGTACAATTGATTGTAGTATTCGCAAAGATGAAGCTATCGAGCTTGTCGTATCCGGCAGCACTTTCCTTCTAAGCAAAAAGCGGCCCCACTTTAAAATCTTAGCTCCGCATCTTCAAAAAAGTTTTGATGCAGAAGAATTTTTGACCTGCCATTCACCACGTCTTTTCACCAGCAATACACTATTCGCAATGGCAGTCAAGAAATCCGGTTTCAAAAGTCTTGCGGATCAGCTTGCTGATTTGGAAGACCCTACACCCAAAGGTTCGTTGCGATCGTATGGAAAGGGAAAAGCGGTTTTTGCTAACGATACTTGCTTAGATTTTGATCCCGAAGATGAAGACAACGGAAATCAAGGTAGCGGCGATGAATCTGGATCTGATATGGATGAGGATGCCGGACGTGAACACTATGAGAAAGTTGGGTGAGTGAATACTTGGTATTTTGTGTATTTCTAAAATCGCAGCTAACGGTAATGTACCATTAGCAAGAGCAAACTCAGGAAACCGGAAACCCTTTCCCTGGGAAAACAATATGCGGGATCGCATGTGAGCAGAGATGCATTAGATGATAGCGACGACGAGAATCCCTTCGGGCGAGGTTCTGACGAGGACGAGGACGAAGATGAAGACGACGAAGACCTTGAGGGAGATGAGGACGAAGAACTTAGTGGATCGGAAGATGATGAAGACGAGTTGGAGGAGGAGGAGGATGAGGATGAGGATGAGGATGACATTTCAGATGACGACGACGACGCTGCGGAAGACGGAGACGAAAACCAGGAGTCCTTGTCAGACGAACGTGCAGAGCTGAGACGGTTAATGGCCACGGACCAGAAATCTGTCGCTGCGACTATTTCTCAAGCCGCCAAAGCCGATGCCGCCAAAGGATTTGCCGTCAGGCAACAACGAGTTGCATTCGACGCGTTGCTTAATGCCAGAATAAAGCTACAGAAAGGGTTCACAGCAATCATCAACTCGTCTGAAATATCGTGGGAAGAAGCGCAAGAAAATTCCGACGCTATCAAGTCAGCGGAATCGGCTGCCTTGGCTCTGTGGTCAACGTTGGAAGATTTGCGATTGACTCTTGCGGATGTTCAGACAAAGGAAGGAGCAAAGAAGCGAAAGCGACCAGGTCCGGTGTCTCATATCACCACTACCGAGTCCCTCTGGCAGCGTATGCAGGACTTGGAATCCGACTCTCAGACTCATCGTCGCGCCGTTCTTGAGAAGTGGAACCACAAAGTACGGGGAACGAACGCCAGTCTACCCAATGCCAAAGGCAAACTTATTGCCAATTCTGACAATTCCATCACCGCTGTACTTGATGCACATGTTGCTACGGAGCTCAGCGAACGATCTACCAAGAAACAGCGCACTGCTGAATCATCTGATTCTGTCTACGACGACACTTCTTTCTACCAGACACTTTTGCGCGACCTAGTCGAGCAGCGAATGTCATCCTCGGACGCTGTTACTAACGGACTAGATTCTCTACATTTACAAATCCCTTCACATCCTACATCAGGCATGCGAAAGGACAAGATCCGCAAGGATGTCGACACCAAGGCATCCAAGGGCCGAAAGATGCGCTATAATGTGCATGAGAAGCTTCAAAATTTTATGGCACCTGAAGATCGTGGTACCTGGACCGATCGCGCCCGAGACGAGTTCTTTGCTTCGTTGCTCGGTAAGACTGCTAGTGGGCTGCTCGGCGAAGATGAAGATGAACAGATAAATGGAGCTGTGTCGGACGAGGAGGATCTAGAGGAAGGTGGTTTGAAGCTGTTTAGAAGCTGAACGATGTTAGTTTGCATAAATAGGCGCTAAAGAGAAATATTCCAGTTAAAATTGAACATAGTTTAAAGTGTTTCCATATATACTCCGAGAAATCGTAGCGAAGCTTAGGGATATTCGTTTCATGTAGCTGAGCACGCGGCCACTCCTAGTACCGTACAATAACTGGCGGCTCCAAGGATACACATGCTCAAGCTAATAGTCTTTATTGAAAATCTACCTGGGAGCAAAATAAATATTAAATCATTCGTTCGTGTAAAAGATAAAAGAACTCAAACGACGCGGCAAACAACAAGATTCCGTATTGGGCTAGCGCGGCGTCTCTGGCTGACCATCAAATTCATCAAACTAAGCAAACTTCGTCCATCAACAACAAGATCCAACCTGTCCCTCATCCTTCCCCTTACGGCCTCGCTCATTCATTCCTCCTTCTCATACCCCTCATTCCACCCTGCTCTATCGTACTTTTGGCTGTTGACTACCAAGACCAGCACATAGCTCTCTTTCTTCTTGACCAAAACCTCACTCATGGCTTCGGTAAGTCGTTCTGAGCTCCGCAAAACCCCCTTGGACCTGTGCATGACCGCATTGCGCTGTCCGGGGGAGCACACCTACAGTGCTCTCATGGATTATTGTTTTGACCTAATGGTTTGCTAATGGTTTTTTATTTGTCTACTTATAGCCCCGCCCTCCTCACAGCTTCGGTATTTCGAGTCCTCTTCCCAATGGCGCTGCGCCCAGTGGTCCCGTGCCAGGCGCAACTCCCCTTCTCCCAAATAATGGCAGAGTCATCCAGAACGGCCCTGTGAGGGTTCTCTGTGTGGCGGATGTTAGAGGTATGATTGATTTGTGGATAGCTGTAGCTAGCTGGACCTAGCTAGCCACGGCGATTCTCCTCAATAACGAAAGTGTGCTGACGTCGCCATCATCTCGCTAGGAAACTTGAAATCTCTCAACGAACTCGCCAAACAAGCCAACGCTGATCATATCATTCATACTGGCGATTTTGGATTTTACGATGACTCCTCGCTGGAGAGAATTGCTGACAAGTGAGTAGTAACGTGATGTCAGCTCTATGGTATTTACTAACACTTCTTGCTTCGCATTACAGGACCTTGAAACATGTCGTTCAGTACTCCCCTCTCCTGCCCGACCACGTGAAGCGTTCAATCTCCCAGATTCCTCCACAGCAGCCGGTCAAGGCTCGATTCACCTCCGATCAACTGCCACTTTCTGAACTTCCCCAGCTTTTGGACAAGCGACTCACCCTTGAAGTGCCTGTTTATACTGTATGGGGTGCTTGTGAGGATGTCAGGGTTCTAGAAAAGTTCCGCTCCGGCGAATATAAAGTCGACAACCTTCACATCATCGACGAGGCCAACTCTAGACTTCTCGATATTGGTGGCATTAGGCTTCGTTTGTTGGGTCTTGGGGGTGCTGTCGTCATGCACAAACTATTTGACAACGGTGAGGGGAAGACAACTATCGCTGGTGGCCAGGGTACCATGTGGACTACTTTGCTACAAATGGGCGAACTCGTCGATACCGCTAACCGCGTCTACGATCCCTCCGAAACCCGAGTCTTTGTTACCCACGCTTCCCCCGCCCGTGAGGGTATGTTGAACCAGCTTTCCGTTACCTTGAAGGCCGATTTCTCGATATCCGCCGGTCTCCATTTCCGATATGGTTCTTCTTACAACGAATTCTCCGTCAACCCTACCCTCGATCATTACCGTGGCAAGCTAGCAGCGTCCAAAGCATCCTTTAACGATGTTTGGGATACTGTCCGCAGCGAGGTGGAGTCCGCTATCTCCTCCAACGAAGCCCAGAAAACACTCTTGGAAAATGCACTAGACATTGTCGATAAGATGCCTTCTGTGGCTAATGGTGGAAACCCCTTTGGTGGCCCTGTTGCTGCCGCCAACGCTGGAGGACAAGTGGACGAGAGTGCGTTCAAGAACATGTGGAACTTCAATTTGGCTGATGCTGCTTTTGGTTACCTTGTTCTTGAGATCGACAATGGTAGAATCGGTACTGAAATGCGCGCACAAGGTTTCAACTTTTCTCACAGGACAGGCAAGCCAGGCGTAGCGGCTCCTGCTGCCACTCAACTCGGTGGTGGACCCGGTGGTCCTCAGTTCGGCCAAGCTCCTCCTGCTGGCCGTGCTGCATTCCCGGCTACTCAGGCCAAGCCTCAGGCGCCCCCGGCCACCACAGTCTCACCCGCTCCTGTCATCCCTAAGCCTGCTACTCCTCAACCTACCACCGCGGAGAAGGAGGCCAACGGCAACAAGGACGGCGAAAAGACATCTGAATCCCCAGCGTTCAAGGGAGAGAAGAAGCACAGCAACGGACTATTCATCTCCAACGTCGAAAACGAAGTGGCTGCACGCGACCTTTTCCCCGAAGAGGACCAAGGTAAAATCGTCAAAGTTGAGAAATGGGGCAAGTTCGGCCACGTCGTAACCTTTGGAACGCCTGAAGAGGCAAAGGCAGCACTCGACCGACAGCCCATCGACCACAAGAAGCCCACACCCCAAGGCCAACCCCGCAAGCCCAACATCAAGTTCTTCGAGGACCGAGGCTCTCGTCGTGAAGGAAACGCAGGTACCTGGMAAGCCAGCTCTCGCGGTGGTGCGTCTGCACCTACCCGGGGCGGATACCAGAGCGGTGCCAGCGACAGTGAAACCGGCCGGGGTCGTGGAGGCTTTGGTCGTGGCCGTGGAGGTCGCGGAACTGATCGTGGAGGACGAGGTCGTGGACGCGGTGGATTCAGCAGATCCGGCGATTCACCTGCCACCGACAAGCCCGCTGCAGCAGGTTCTACCGGCGGCGAGTCTTGAACGTAAATCAATGAAAGCCTTTTCTTCCTTCTTGTGACGACCTACCTGCCGCTATTACTTTTTATTTTTTACCCTTCGTGTTGTGTTCATTCCATACCTTTTTACTCTGTCTTCTCTCAGTTTCCATTAGAAAAATGTCCAATAATTTTTTTACTGATTCCCCCCACCTCTCTCTCTCCCACCCTTCTAATTCCTCCGTTTTTGTTGTGAGCGAAACCTCATCCATGTATGTGTCTAACCACATTTACAACCTCTTTCTTCTAAACAGAGACAGAAAACATCGTTGTTTATGTTACTACGTTTCTATGTTTGAGTAAAAAAATTCAAAAGGTCTTTTTTCTTTCTTATTTCCTTCTCGGTGTATTCTTTGTATTAACCTTTTTCTATACTTTTTGGGGGGCCTTTACAGGGAACTGGAGTATTAGCAAGGGGGAGTGAGATTGGCAGCGGGATGTATGTTTAACCGAAGTAATTGGGCAAGAAGACATGTTTTGGAATATTGAATTGAAAGGATATTCGATCGATAAGATACATCGCTGTGACTAGCCTGAGGTCTTTGTATTTCAAGGATACCTATTTCAAGAATCGAGACACGAAGTCTGGTGCAATCATCTAACTAGAGTGAGGTAGAAGATGCTGAATATTATACAGCTGGACGTATCAAATGTACAAATCTCATTGACGAACTCGGATATACATCTTATTATCAAGAAATCTTCCTCCTTCGCGCCATCCTGCTTATTCGTGTGCCGAAGGTAAGCCAAGGTAAAAATCATGAAATACATAAACCTGATACCATAAAGCATGAAGAGAGAAAAAAAAGTAAAATCAGGATCCAATATCTTTTCGCCATTCCATACCATTTCTCCATTTTCGATGCTCCTCTACGTCGAGAGGGGATGAGATATAAAGCGACCAGTCAAGCAACACCGAACGACCGAACACGATAGCATGAGGGGAATAAAAAATTAACAAGTTTCTGGGTCAACTAGTGAGACTGCATTTCGTTGCCGGCACGTCCAACGATGTCATCTACATCCTTCCTAAAGACGACAACACCGCCTTCTGAACAGCGTGCTTTGGTACGCAGCTCCGTACACAGCGAGTCAATATCGATTTCTCCATTGCGGAATTTCTCCATAGATTGAAGACGGTCCCTACGAGAGTCAGTAAGTTGCGACGGGGATCTAAATCTAGATAGTACGTACCATATGTTGGTGCATGACATTATCTGTGCCTTATCCTCCCCAGGGACAACCTCTTCCTCATCGTCTTGCTTCCGACCAGCTTGTGCAGGACCCTTCTTGGCAGCGACGGAATCCTTAGGGCTGGTGGTGACGTCATTGGCGTCGCCAAACGGACTGTCCAGGTCAGGCAATGGGAAAGCATCGTTGAAGAATGCGCCAAAGTCCTGGGACAAAATAGCATCCTGTGGCTCGCGGKAATCGTTGAATAGCACGGGGKCGAAAGAGCCACCATTCTGTTGGGCCAACCAGTCAAATGAGAGAGACTGATCAGCTGCAGCGGGTTGTAATTGGCCTAGTAATTGTGGATTGTCATTATTCTTATTCAACGCCGCCGGCATCGGATTGTTGATATTGCCACAGGCCATGCCCAGCTTCTCACAGAAGGATTTCTCACCATCAATGGTGCCGTAATTGGTAGCAGCTTCATTTCCATAAAATTCAAACGAATTATCACCCATCTTTCCAACATTAGGCGAATTCAGACTCGGCTCGGGCGAAGTACCTATCGACGACGACTGGCCATGCTGAGAATCTGAAGAGGCACTAGGTGAGTCGGTGTTTGATGCTGCCGAACTAGCGCTTGCCCGACTCTGATAAGTTTGTCCGTTAGTCATCCCATTAGCCTTTGCGGCCTTGGACAAGTTCTTGCTGTTGAGTGAGTTGCGGCCATTCTCGGGAACTTGAGCTGTAGGTGAGACGGCCGTCGTCGAGGGAGTAGAAGACTTTTGCTTGTTCTGACCACCGTTGCTGAACATGTGTTTTCCGGGTAAATCTCCAAATTTGGGGAAGTCGAAATAGAAGTCATTGTTGTTGAGGTTGGAAAGATTACGTGAGTTCATGTTGCTCATGGCAGCCATGGTTGATAGGCCGTTCCCTCCACTGAGCCAAGAAATACGTTTGCGATATTCCTTAAGCTCTACTTGCAATCTCTCTACTTGAGCGCGAAGAAGCCCGTTCTCCTGGTTGGCGGTCTGTGATGCTTTCTCAAGTTCGTCTACCTTGGTCTCAAGGTCTTTGAGATGTTTCTCCTTTCGCTCGCGGAAGGCGCGTTGTGCAGCACGATTCTGAGCTTTCCGTTTCTGCACAAATCAGTGATCATCCTAGATCCATGGATAATAATGGTATACGTACGGTAGTAGGCTCAGATGTGAGTGGCTTTCGGCCAGGTTTCTTTGCGGACTTGTCTTTATCATCACTTTCCCGTCTCTTCTTGCCACTGCTAGAATCATCTTCATCGCCGTCGAAAGACTTCCTCTTATCACCTGATTCATGATTCTCGAACTCAGGAAGATCGCCAATCAATTGATCGGTACCCTGAAAGTCGAAATCAACATCGGGGTCAAAATCGAGGAATGGACTTTCGTCGGTGCCAAATCCCAACTGGCCAGAACCGGGAGCATCTTGCAAAAGTGGAGATTCAAAGTAACTTGATGATGCTGGGTCAAAAGCATTGCTATTAGACGGAGATGTATCGTTAGAAGAAGATTGTGTGCGAGAACGATTCTGGGCATCTTTCTTGTTCTCAACCTGGTTCTGAGATGGGTTGTTGGAGTTTAGAGCAGCCATGAGTAAAACCTGCTGCTCAGGCGAAAGGTAGAGACCCTGCTGGTAAAGAGAATTGAAATCAGACATGGTGAATATTATTATATGTGAAGTTTAGACGATGTGTGAGAATGCTGATAAAGTGTCGATGAATGTCGTGCCTCTATGTGGTACTGGTCGGGCTTCCCGCCCGTGCTGGCTTTGGCACGTATTTAACAATCGACTACAGTTGAGTCGATGACTGATTGATAGAATGATCAATCAACGGTGCCAATGTACCGGTTGTTTTGCGGGTTCGTCCTGTAAGATGAATTTGTCAGTTATGGTTAAATCAATGCTGGTAACTTTTGACAGAGGAACGATTGATTTCCATAAGACAATAAGATCTCAAAACATCCCATATACTTCGAGATAAAGTATGGAGATGGGTGGAAGAGAGAATTCTGAAGTAATGATGAAGTCGAGGACAGATAACGATGACATATGTTTGAACGGGTTTCCAATAACGCCTCAGATGTGGCTTACCAGTGGACAGGTCAATAGTCGACGTGCGCAATCACTCGCACTTGCGAAAGCCAAATGCCAGTCGCCAGATATATCTGGCAAGAAGGACTGACGAAAATGTAGTACGTACAGCTGGCAATTGTCGGTGGTAGAGATTTTGGGGCGGGGCGCGGAAGGACGGGTTGAGGTCGGAGATGACTAAGGCAGGAAATTCTAGAAGATACGCAGAGAGATGGGAAGATATAAAAGGCAGGACTGCGCACTCCGAAGAGGTCAAATTAAATTCAACTAGTAGCACAGAATGACACGACTCGCATGGATAATGGTGTCGAGCAGGGAGGGAGGTGTAGTGGAGAGAAAGTTGGCTGGCGATAGAAGGATGGCGAGCGAACGATGGGAGGCGAATGGAGGCGGGCAAGAACGGCTCTCGGCTCTCCGGGCAGTGGGCTGATAGCGCGAGACTCTATGAGCGGCTAGCCTCAAGGAAGGAGCGTTGCAGGCAGCAAGGCCGCAAACTTTACAATAGGACTAAGTCCGTCCGTTAAAAGCGGCGCGAGGAGGGTCTGTAATGCTGAGTTGGCCAATCAGCAGTCTGCGATGTGTCGTGGCTGCTCTGGCGGCTTCCATTCTCGGCCATCTGCTTATAAATCCAGAAATCGGTCGCTGATTGTCTCGCAGCCAATCAACGCATTCCCTGCCGAAAATAGCTCAGTGCTTACTAACATGCACTAGAATTGACCAATGGGGGCCGCCCAATCGCTACGTGCTCTCAGTCTCAGAGCATTTGCTGGAACGGGCATCGTTCGTATTCATATTGGTCAATCTGATTATGATGACTCACAGGCAACCATGTCAACTCCGTTACTCCTTGACCATAACCACATCCCCGGGAATAGCAAATCAAACAAGCTCAAATCCATCTCGTGTTTCTGCAGCCAGGATAATACCCTAGTTGACGACTTCCTGATGACCACACTTGCGAAAGCAGGCGGTGTCAACTACGTACGTAAATGCCCCATGGAAATGCATAGCAAGGTTCGATCAGAAGAAGCCACAGCCGTTGATCTGGGGTTGATCATTGTTTGCATAGTTTGCACTGTTTGCTTGCTGACAGCTACATGATGCATTGCTGATCCAACCCAGATTAAGCCGTAGCGTACCAAGAATTTAGGGCAATGCAAACACAGCCCTACTAACTACCTCACGACTACAGTATTGTTTTTCGCCTTCCCTCATACCCTTTATCAGCTGTATTCTGCCATGCTTATAGATTAAACCTTTAGTTTCAGAGCATTGGTTATACAAGGTAAGCTGTTGAGCGAACCCACCAAGACATATCGTCTGCTACACTGTTCGAACCCAATCGAGTAGGACTTACCTGTTGTAACTCAATTTAACCACTCTGAGTTCACTAGCCAGACCGCCTTGTCTTCATCTCCAAGCCTACATTGGTCCATTGAGCAGTAAACTGAATCTACTATGTATGTAGTATGTACACTTGTTTACAAACCCGGTGCGCGTTGCTACTCACTTCGATTGTTTGTGAACATGCAAGACCACGGTTTGCCGGAACATAAATATCCCGGCCTGACAAGAATGCTTGGCAAAGTTGCCGGAGCTCTGACCTCTTATGACTCCCCCGTATGGAAATTAGGTGTATACAATATCAACATCGTTGTTGAGCTATAATGCAAACCTCCAGTTCTCTGGAAAGTGGCCCGCAGCCATTAGCCAAAAGGGGGAGGCCTACGACAAGCTGTACCGAGTGTTACCGGCGAAAGCAGAAGGTTCTTTGTCCCGGAGTTTCTCTGCGTCCCAAGTCCCCGCTGAGAACTAACAACAGCTAAAATCCAGTGTGATCGGAAAAAACCCTGTAACCATTGTTCTGCTCGCCAAGTCGCCGACAGATGCGTTTACGAAAGATCCCAATCGTAGGTGATTCGAGAATGTTGTCTTTGTGTTTCTGTTTCTAATGATTCTAGTCCACAACCGATGAGCTCTAGTCTCATACCAGACGAGTGGGAATCAGAAAATCATCTCTCCCAGGCTGATGAGCCAGCCAATTTCCTCCCTCATGGTAAGGAAAGTTTTCACCCCTTCAGTCAGCTTGGATACTCGTCAGTTGCTGGAAGCAACTCCGTCGTGGAACTAGAACGGGTCATGCCCTGTACTGGGCTTCCTACGCCACCGTCCCAGCCTTGTACCGAGGCCTTATTACTTATTTCCCATTTACCTCCTAAGAATATAATAGATGAGCTTACTGCCACATTTTTTACGGATGTAAACTGGCATTATTCCATCGTGGAGGCGTTCTACTTCAATGAATTGCTCGTACGCTGGTACGGCACTGAAACAAGCCATATTTCGTATATTAGCTCATATGAGTTCTCTCAAGAGTTGAGATACTTTCCAAGTCTCTTGTTTGAGGTTGTTGCGCTATCTTTACAGTTTCTACCACCAGGCGCGCCTGCGTGGAAGTTTTTGGGAGACGAGACAAATCTCTCGCAAAAATATAGCGACATCGGCGTCAAGCTTTTGGAAGTATTGGGGGGCGAAGGCACAGCCCTGACTGCCATCCAAGCAATTCTCTTAAGGGCATCTTGGTTGAAGAATCTTGGCCGAGGAATTGACGCTTGGCGGTCTTTGGGAAACGCGATTAGGTATGGCATGCGTATCGAGTCCTCTAGATTAAGGATTCTGACACGTTGACAGACTATCTCAAGAACTTGGCCTCCATCGGCAACAGGTCTATCATCAGTCAAGCTCAGATAGTGTTGAGAAGTCATTGGGCTCTTTCTGGTATAATGAGTATAAGAAGCGCGTGTGGATTAACCTATACTCATGGGACAGGTACGGTCTACCTGAGTTTGAGCTGGTCCTGCTTTCTGTCTAACCGAATAGTCTCATGGCTCTGATCCTTGGTCGACCAATGATGATTAGCAATTTTGATTGTGATACGCAACTTCCGATCGACTGTGATATTCCTGATAGCCCTTCCAAGACTGTTCCAATGACAATATCAAATAACTTGAGGAATCGTCCGACCTCTTTTTCAGCATCCCTTTTCAGGTACTTCATATCTACCAACGTTCACCGAATACGTGAATGGAGGCTAGACACCCCACATCCCAAGGATTACTCTATGGTGGGAGTTTTGCATCAGGAAGTTCTATCGATTTTGGATGGTACGAAACCAGTTCTTCGACAACAAAATCCTGACACTTCCTGGGATTCGCAGTACGCATATCTTCCCCAACAGCGTGAGGAACTTTTGACCATTGTGTACACTTTCCTCACGGCATTACATCGCCCCCATATCAGTGCACATGTGCAAAGCCTAAGAGCTGTTTTACAGTCAGGTATCGTTGTGTTGGACTCTCAACAAAGACTTTTCGATCTAACAAGAACACACGATTATATGCTATGCAACCTTTCATTCTACACAGTGGATGCCGCTATTCTGCTTTTAGTGGTCTGTGCACTCTATCCACAGCAATTGCTTGAGGACACGGCCAATATCCACCGTGTGCTCCAACAGGCTATACTGCGATTGTCCAAGATGGCACCAGTGAATCCTACAGCAAATTCGGGCCTGGACGTTATTCAGCGTTGCTATCGAAGACTTCAAGAATCATCTACATCCTCTCTCCCGGCTGATGCGACACCAGCGCATTCTGCTTCCGCAGGAATTCAGCTGCAAGATATCTGGGGAGCACGGAGCCATGAGCAACTGAATTTTCAGGACTGGGTGCCAGCCCAATCATGTTCTTCTCCTGGTAACCTTACCCAGAACTTATCAATAAGGGACGGGTCTGCAACGACACACTACTACGACGAATCATACTGGCTTCACCAAATAGATGACATCTACTCTGCTGCTAATTATCCCTCGGACATTGACGCAATACTGGAGACAGGCCTAGATTGAGCCAGGTGATACAAAGGCTTCAACGTAGTCGTTTATTGGCGCTAAGAAAAATAACAAAACTGCACAATATGCAAATTTGATTACGAAGCTGGCAGTGTATGACAAGCCGGCATATATGGCAATGCAAGTACTCAAATTGGGTCTGACGATGCCCTCCTGTCAGATTCGTTATACGGGAGATGAAGTTAATCTTTTTTCATTAAGCAAATCCAAGGTTTTGGCCCACAATTTTGCTTCCATTTCTGGACTGTTTGCCCATTCCGCATAGCCGGGGCCATGCCGCTGTGAGGGATCGGCCGGTGGTGCGATTTGACAGTCATCCAAGTATTTCCCCCCCCCCAGTGCCTTCCAGTTCCCTTGCCACTGCCCCCCAAACAGTGGTAGCGGCACCTTGTTCGGGGCTCTTCCAATAGTTCGTTAGGAACTCGTTTGTCTCCCAGTCAGCTTTTTCTTCGACCGATATGTGGCGGAGAAGCTCTGTAGCTATGGCACCAGGATGCAAACTGAAAGCATGAAGGCCCTGGGTACCATATCGTCTCTCAATTTCGTTCGCCATCCAGATGTTGGCGGTTTTGCTCTGACCATAGGCTTTCCAAGGCTCATACTCTCCTTTCAGTGTGAGATTGCCAAAGTGAACGGAGGAGATACGGTGAGCACTAGACGCAACGATGATGACTCGGGAATTGAAAGCCGGAGTTGACGAGGACAGGAGGCAAGGTTTTAGAAGATGAAAGAGCTGAAAGTGTGCTAGATGATTTGTTCCAAACTGGGTTTCAATTCCGTCTGTCGTCCGACCTTCCGGACATGCCATCACGCCGGTATTCGCAATCAGGACGTTCAGACTACTAGACGTTGAGTTGAATTCCTCGGCACATGCACGTACAGATGCCAGAGAATTCAAGTCAAGGTACAAAAGATGGACCCGAGTGCTTGCCACTATATCAATTAATGCAGACTTTGCCTTCTCCAAGTCATGAGCAGTAAGATATAGTGTTGCTCCAGCATGATATAATGCTCGCGCGGTCTCTATGCCCAAACAGACGAGCAACCTGTGATTAGAATCACTTTGCCAATCAAGTCATTTTCACGGCCTGTGTCTTTCACGATTTGAAGCGCGGTGGGACGCGTATCTCCAGGGCCCTTTGGCGACTGGTGGACTTTGGCGTACTTGGAATCCATGCTAACAAATGAGAGGTAGTTTGGTGAGATGAGACTTTCGCAGGAGTGCAGCTTGAAGGTATAGAGTAACATGTCACATCGCCGTAATTAATATGGCTTTATATCTTTGCCTCCGCGGGTCAAATTAGCCTCCGATAGAGATTGTGATTTTTTTAGGGGTTCGGAGAGGGTTCATGTCAGCAAAGTCGGCTCTAGGGATTATCACTGGTATTGAGGCCCAATTCGAAAGCTGACAAGTGGCAGCTTCCTACATTATCGCGGCTATAATTTTCCTTTTCATCTGCGACCCAGCTTAACAAGGTAAACTAAATCCTCCTTACATTGATTCTACTTTGTAGACTTTTCATCAAATAATTCCCTTGGCGGCTCTTCGGAAAATGATCTGCAAATTTCGGGAAAAGATGGGGTCGCTGTGGGGAATGCTTCGTTGGGATTGGACCCGTGAAATACCACAGAACTTAGGCTCCAAAAACTTCATAGCAATTTTGATGATTTATAACAATCAAGCCGTTATGTCCGGTGTTTGAAACAGAGTAGACTTTATGGCCGTGGTGTAATCTCTTATTTCCGAAATAGAATACACTGTCAGCCCTGAACAGCTTCAGCTGCGACCGAAAGGGTTTCGGAAAAATCAGTAATTCACTACGTCATGGACTCCTGGGTTTTGTTACTATGTAGCTATACATATTAAAGTCAATTGAAGGATAAAAAGGGCCGATCTCGACCAAACCCGACATCTATTCTACGCAATCTATATCCAAGAACCCGTTACTACTCCTGGTGTTCTTTATCTTCACAATGTCTGCTCCAACGAAAGTCACCTTCCCATCCTTCATGCTGCAGATCAGCGGCGAGCTCTACGCTCCCGTTGCTGGCGCCCCCAACCGCAATGGCGCTGCTGTTGTGATCAGCCACCCCATGACCGGTGTTAAAGAACAAACCGCTGCAGACCATGCCCGGCTTCTATCCAAAGCCGGGTTCTACGCCCTTACGTTTGACGCCGGTTATCAGGGCGAAAGCACTGGACAGCCACGTGGGCTAGAAGATCCACATCAGAGAGTCGAGGATAATAAGGCTGCTGTGAGCTACTTGAGCACGTTGAAGGGCAAAGTCGATCCCGGCCGGATTGGTGTGCTCGGTATCTGCGCCTCAGGTGGTTATACATCCTATGCTGCGCAGTCTGACAGCCGTATCAAGGCACTTGCTACCGTGAGTGCCGCTTGCGTTGGTCGTATGACCCGCAATGGAGGTCTACACAAGGAGAACAACAAGGAAGTCCCTGAAGCCATCGCTGGTGCACTTCAGGCAGCCGGCCAGTGGCGGACGAGTGTGGCCAACAACCCCAACATTGAAGCCCCGCCTATGTTCAGCAGTGATATCTCTCAAATTCCGGAGGACGCAGACTCCTTCTTCAAAGAAGCCGCCTCATATTACGGATCCAAGCGGGGAAACCATCCCCGTTCAGACCAGAAAGTTCCACCATCTAGCTACGATCTCATGATCGGCTATGACTCATTTAACCTCCAACACCTGATCTCCCCACGGCCATTATTGATGGTCGCTGGATCCAAGGCCGAGACTCTTCACTACAGTGAGAACGCTGTTGCTGCAGCCCGTGAACCCAAGGAACTGTTCGTCGTCGAAGGGAAGAACCATTTTGACCTCTATGATGACCTTACAGTGTCTGGTCCGAAACTTGTAGAGTTTTTCGGAAAGAATCTTTAAGGGGGATGCTAAGATTTGAGAAGGCATGAAAGGCAATTTGAATTGTGACTTTTAGATGCCCATAAGTTCGTGATCATGGCTCTGTCTTGACATGTAATCGAGGAGATCGTACTCAATAAATAGGAGGAAATATTGTTATTACTGTGATGGTGCTCTTACTAGTATTCCGGACATTCCCAACCGGGGCCTGTAAATGTAGAACGGCAGAATAGGAATGAGAAAACAGTGAAAAAGTAGCCAGGATGTTGTTGAGTTTGCAATACCTACTAGATACTCTCGCACCTACAAGATCAGACAAGCGATGTGTGTAGAAGAGCGCACTGGTTTTGCAAACAGCTGTACCTCGACAAAGCTTCAAAACGGCTAGTCGCGTTGGGTTAGGGTTAAACTTATCACTATCCATTTAGTTGATGGACCCACATCAGCGCGCGGCCTAACACTGTCCAATTAATTTTCATGCGCTACCTTGCTCCACGTGATCTGCGTTGCTCGTTCTTTGCAGTCGGAGAATCGTCGTCAGCAAAGAAGTAATCCCCGCTTCTACTCTGCATTCTTCACTACGTACACACAGTTATAGCTAGCTTTACATTCGCCGTAAGCCTACGCGACTCTCTCTTTCTGGAAAACCCTCGCGCATCATCTCACAAAATCGTTCACACCAAATGGCTTCCGATGTGGCGGCCCTCGAGGCAGAGGTTAAAGAATTCAAATTACAGGTGAGGTAGCGCGTACCCGTCTTGATAAAACAACAATCTGACTTGGATAGCTCGAAACTGTTCAATCGAGCTTGCAGGTAGATCCCGATAATGCGGAGCTTCAGAGCCTCAAGGCTGAATTAGAAGAATTCATTGGCTTGACAGAAGCATCGATCGCCGAACTCAAACCTGCTACACCTACACCTGCACCACAACCACCCACAAAAGAGAAATGGTCTAGAGAAAGCCATCCCGCCTTTCAGTCTGGTTATCGCAAAGCCACGGATTCTGCCCCGCCCGACGAACCTGCCGCTCCTATCTCATTCTCCGTCAACGATAGCGTACTCGCGCGGTGGAAATCTGGAGATGGGTCATATTACCCTGCACGAATAACTTCAATTACTGGATCTTCCAGTAATCCGGTGTATATCGTTTCATTCAAGTCGTATGGCACGACAGAGACACTATCGGCGAGAGATATCAAGCCTATTTCAAGTGGAGCTGATTCGCGGAAACGCAAAGCTGATGGAACGCCAGGCACACCTTCATCGCAGTCATCCACGCCGCAACATACGGGTATCATCTCAGCGGCTGCTGATATAAATCCCACTCTTGCCGACCAGGCTCGCAATGAGCCTAGCAAAGTTAGCGATGGACCGGCACGGCCGAATAAGGTACCGCGAAAAGTGAAGGCTAACAAAGAGCTTGAGGCGGGGAAATCGAAATGGCAAGATTTTACTAGCAAGTCAAAATTTGGAAAGACAGCGAAGAAGGAGAGCATGTTTCGCACACCAGAAGGTGTCAACGCTAGAGGTATGCATTCGCTCAAGTTTCTCATAGATTTTTGCTGGGGCTGACACTTCACGTATAGTGGGCTTTGTTGGCTCCGGCCAAGCGATGCGAAAGGACCCGACGCGTAGCCGTCATATTTACCAGCAGGGCGAAGAAGAGGGCTACTGAACTTGATGTGCGATGGGCGTGCAGGGATGACTATTTTTACAGTTATCATTACTCCAGAGCGATTCTTTCTTTCATGTTATGTTCTGCTATTTCTGGTTGATCTCATGGCTGACTATGGTGTTAGTGGCGCAGGCGTGTTCATAGTTGATCAATATGAAGTTTGTGCATGATTGGGTGTCATCCGTCTCCAATTTGAACGTTGGGCGATATTGATGAGCATCATGTTGAAGTTCGTTCAGCAATGGTCGATACTCGTAGGTCGGGTGTTTTTTGTATGACGGTTCGTAGTGTGCTTATGCCATAGCATATCGCAGTCGAGTCGGCAAGTCTCTATCCTCAGGCGCTCCATTCCGGACTTGAAATGGGTGACCTGAAAAGAGGCCGACCCTCTCACAGCCAACATCTACTTTTATGTCCCTCAATCAATATCGTTATTCTCCGACAGTATAAATTTATCCCTCGCCTTCCGTCTAGATTCCTGACACATATCTTCCCTGTAATCTGTCTGCGGGCCTCGAACCTTCTCTCCATTCCTGGACCCGACAGCAGTACCCCCATTATTAGCCCCTTTACTCTCCACCTCTTTGCTGGGCTCGAATAGATATCCCAGCTTCAGCTCCCTTATCATCCATCGATAGACAACACCATTGTCATCATTGTAGTGTTGCACCGGGCGCCAAAAGATGGTATTCAGAATCGATTTGGAGTAGGTTTTGAAAAGGGGGAGGAGTTCATCCGGGAAGGCATTGAGGAGGGCATTGAGGGTGTAGATATTGTCGAGTTGGTCCATTACGGTGAGTAGCAGCTCGAGGGGGAGGTTCAGGAGGKGATTTGCTGTGGTTGCGGAGTTTGGTTCGGAGCTCATGGTTGTGCTTTTTTTTTGGTCCGTGAATTTTGTTAGGTAGGTAGGTATACGTTGATGGCCGGTTTGGTGTCTGGCATGGCTGGCCAGACTGGTATTAGATGGCGCTCCATTTGTACGGGATTGGTGTTGAGAATTGGCTGTACATTGTCTGGAAGTGAAAGGGACGAATCTAGGTTGAGGAGGTTTTTAGGGACAAAGTTGATGATCTTCGCCGGCGGGACTGAAGAACAGCCCCAACGCGCGGGCCTCATTGGCCCAAAGCTACTTGCATTGTCTGATCTTTGGACTCGGACTGTTTCACTCCTGTCTGGTTTCAAACACTTTGAAGTGACTTGAGTTTAGACTATGTCTTGGGACTCAAAGAAAGTAAGCATACACAAGAAGCCTGGAAACATTCTTCTCTCAATGGAATAGCGGGTATACATTGAACTCGCGAAACAACAACGAAGTGAAATAAGACACGGAACAATCACAACAAACATTCGATGCAGTCGTAGGTATATTCAATCATCCAGCTTCTCAACAATACAAGCAGTTCCATAAGCACAAATCTGCGAAAACCCGCCCATATCAACAACGTCAAATCTCATCGCCACCAACGCGTTTCCGCCGCGGGACATACACTCCCCCACCATCCGCTCCACGGCCTCGTTGCGAGCTGTGTACAGCAACTTCGTGAAGATACGGATTTCTCCGCCGACTATTGAGCGCGCGACACCGCCTAGACCGGCGCCCCAGTTGCGTGAGCGCACCGTTAGGCCGTAGACTGTGCCGAGGACTTTGGTGACTTTGTAGCCGGGGATGTCGTTCATGGTGCTTGTTATGACGCCGTGGGTGTCGGTGAAGCAGGCGAACATTTCATTTTCGGGAACGGACGCATTGCTGTTGTGCTTGTTGCCGCCGGCCATTTTGTATCAATTGTTTGGAGTTGCAATTGGGGTAATATTGTGTTGAGTCTCTGCGGTATGGAAGATGTGATTTCTTCAGGATGAAGCTTGCAAGTTCTTTGACGGCCGACCTATATACTCTAATGGCCAAGGCAGTGTTGAGGGAATATATACCTCTTCAGTGAACGAAAAATCACTCATTTGCGCCTTGTAAACTTAAACTACGAGATGAGGCTTATAGGGGGGATCGATCAGACATCGTATTTACGCAGCTCTTATTGGAGGCCGTGTCCTCAGAGTGTGCCCCGATTTGCCGGAAACGGTAATTTGGGGACTCGAGCCAAGAATTTTGTACCAGTGATCAGGTGGTGATTAGCAAATTGCGTTGCCTGATATATACTATGTATGGGTAAATCAAATTTCTGAAGTCTCCAAAACACAAAATAATCGATGGAGAGATCCGTGATAAAGTTACATTCACGCTCTTGTAGCTTCCCGACTAGAAATATACTCCTGACGCTCAAGAGCCCACTGAGGACTCACAACAGACAGAGGCGACGGCTGCTCCGTGCCGCGTATCCAAATACCAGGGTCGATTGTGCGAATCTTTGCCCCGCGAGGGAGTTGTAATGTATCTTCCTCTGGGAGATCTTCTGACTCCAATTGCTTCAGTATCTCCAGTTCGTTGGAATCAGCTGAATTACGCAGCAATTCCCAGAACTCCTGATCTGACACAGTCCATAGAACTTCCTCCTTAACAGCCCCTCGTCTGACTACGTCTCCAATCAGCTGGCCAGTCCTCTGGTATAAATTGACATGGGCTCTGTTCGACCAAACATCCCTATCCGTCGCCACATATGCCCTTGACAGGATCAAAGCTAGATGCTTGTCCTCTAGAACGAGCAGCCTGCGTGTAGCCGATGCGTCTGGAAATGCCTTTAAAGTAGCAAAGATCTGTTGCGCATCGTCTAGAGCAAGTTTTCCAAGCGCTGTGGCATCTCGCAGCGCATAGTCAAGCCTATCAGCACAGAGATGAGGTGATGGCATCTCTACCAACGGATAGAGATCCTCGTTGAAAGCCTTCAGATCTCCAAATCCATGCCTCGTAAGAATTTCCGGCAGTGGTGTGGTCTTGATATATCGTTCTTTATGAACTTCGTGGAAGCTCGTTCCACTTTCATCACCCGGCGGGTTTTTAAGTGCCCAGTCAACGACATGGCTAAGCACTGTATGACTGATATCGTGAAGAAGGGCTGCCACTTGCTCTTCGAGGCTAGCACCGACTTTGCGGACCAGAAGGAATGCGCCTACAGAATGCTCGAAACGGGTTACTCTAGGAGTGAAGCCTAATAATGCTGTAACTCCATATTGACAGATACCTGTGAGTCGGAGGACAGTAGGTGAACGGAGTAGCTCGACCAATATGGGCTCGGAAATTATGTGGTCGCCGTACAGTTGGTCTCGAATGAGAATTGTGGTTTCAGACACCGATTCGAGGGTCTGAAAAACCCCCACGTTGAGTGATGTAACCGGCGACAGCATCTTTATGCTGTAAGATATATCAGCTACCATAAACAAATTTCGGATGACATATGAGTAGTATATCGTTAGCTCAGTCACTTCGCTGAAGATATATGAACGAATATTAGTTGATGGTAGATAAAAACCAACGGATGTCATTTGGGACCAATCAATTTAGGCAGCAGTGCATTAGTTGACGCAATTTCAACAACGAAATGATGTTTTCCAACCTGCCTTATTCAAAAGTCTAGCATCTTTTCCGAACTTTATATGAGCACCAAACTTCGCACCCATCATTGAGTCGTTACCTATGATAGCTACGATTGTTTGATTGAGAACCTCATGAGTATCTTGATTACCTATGATCTAAAGTGAATGCAGCTAGTACACAGCCAATCGAGATGATCCTTTAGTTCACTCATACTAGACCAAGGTACATTTGGAGGTTCTGAGGTCTGGTCGACATTTGTTTCGTTTCATCAAGAGAAAACAACCTTCATCAAGTCATACCAGATGGAAGGAAGGAATAGTAGGCATATGGACCAAACATGCTGGCACATCGGATATCGGCACGCTTGCCCCGTGTTTCCCGTACGACAGCTCGAAGAATGCATCACTTGAAGCATGGGAGCAGTAGGGCATTCCTTCCTATGCTCGGATCATACAACCATGTGGTAGTTGTCCATTTTACAATCCATCACATATGCCTTCTCAGCCACGAAATGTCAAACCTCGACGTTGAATTCGATAGTTTGCGAAACTCAGTTTCGGCATGTTGTACCTTGAATGTGGCTGTTTGCACAAATGAAGGGATATCATACGTGAGAGGTCTGAAATTTGGGCTAGATACAATGCCTGTCAGAAATAAGAATTGAGTCGGTGGTAGGTCCACATTCCATGGCCAATATTGCTATGATACGTAGTACCGTGCTGGGTCTGTTGTATTTCTACCTAGGTAGGGCCCGCATTCCACTTAGAACCCTAACTCTATAGACACTTCATCGACGATTGTCCAGTGGAGGGTGGAAGTAAACAATCCCGCTTCCCCGGTCAAAGATATAAACGTGTTGGTAGTTCCACCTGTCTGTCGCCAGAGATCATCTTTGTATTGTCATTGCCATCAACCTTGTTTATTATTCTCCTCCCCATACCGCTCGTGAACCGAATAGAAGTTCCAGTGCTTCAAGTCGTGAGTTATTCCTAATACATCAAATAGTTGACAGAACAGATCTAGGCTATTATCGGAAATTTATCATTCGACATGTACACCAAGGCACCCTCGACTTTGTTGTTGGCGCTGCTCGCGCTTTTGTTGGTTGGTGTCAATGCTTTACCAAGGGTATGTTTGTAACTTCCTTCCTTCGATTACAAGTGCTCAATGAACTATTACACAGGTCTTACACGCAAATGTCACACCTACACCAACTACAACACTACCATCAGCTTCATTCAGCATGCAAGCAAGCAGTCAAGTGCCGAGCTCAATGGCTGTTCAGACCCCTGAGACACAATCAACACTACCTGGCATCCCCGATGCCCCCATGGCCGAATTTGAGGATGGCAGCGAAACAGAGGCGAATTTGACGGCGTCTTCAACGACACCTAGTCCTTCTGCTAGTGCGACGTCGTTAGCCTCGAGCCTGTCTTTGTTGGCGAGTATGACTAGCTGGTTGTCGTCGCTTACGTCGTCGCTTGCGGGATTATATGGATTGGCGTAGGGGCTTTCGAACACTGTGTGAAAAATCCGGATCTGATTTACTCAATACGAAGGCTGTTTAGGGAAATTGAAGTGGCCATAGAGGGTCATACAGAAATATTGGAGGTCATTGTTCTGAAGCGTTTCACCAAATCATGTTTGTTATACCTCCGCCTGTATTTATCACCAATACCCATCGAACACAATGTCTATCAGCGAATCGGAAAAGTTATCACATCTTACCTTCATTTCTTATGTTAATCACTCAATATGAGCTGCCACTTTGCCAGCGGAGGGTTATTCCGAGAGTCAAAATGACATCACGTCACTCTATAAGTAAAAAAATGAGTCAATTTTACTCAAGTAATCTTCTCTTATTCTTAATAGCACAAAAAACCTAGTAAATAGCATCAGGCCTCTTACTTTACTGCAACATGTCGCGAAACATCTGCGTCAGTACAGCCGAGGGCAACACCGGCTTCCTCATCGCAAAACTCCTCCTAACCGACCCCAAGTTCAGAAAGAACGTTGATCGAGTTACAGCGTTGGCCATAAACACACAATCCCCATATGTGCAGGAGCTCGAAAAACTCGGCGCAGTGGTCGCTCAACACAGACCCGGTCGTGTCAGCGATACTACTCAAGCTCTGCGATATACAGAAGCGGATACGCTAATGCTCATCCCGCCAGCACACGTAGACAAGATTGACATTACTTTGGAGATCCTGGAAGCTGCTAAGAGGGTCAACATTGGTAGTGTTTGTCTGCTCAGTGCAGCGGGTTGCGATATGGCGGATAGAGATGCGCAGCCGAGATTGAGGGAGTTCATTGAGTTGGAAGTGGCGCTGATGAAGATGAAGGGTGATCCAAGTACCCGAACGGGATATTCCAACTGTATTATCAGGTCTGTAACCGCGTTTGAGTGAATCCGTTGTATCAAATCTTTTAAAAAATGCATGCTTATGAGAATAGACCAGGTTTCTATGCAGAGAATCTTCTGCTGTATACACCCCAAGCTCAAGCTGAAGGGCTACTTCCCATTCCCATTGGGAGGGATCATCAATTCCCTCCCATTGCTCTAAAAGTAATTTTGACTGTCAACATCGAGATTAGAAGCTAATGTGGTCTAGGATGTTGCCGAGTTGGCTGCTCATGTCCTTACCAGCAAAGGCAAACATGGCTTTAGCGATAGGCATCGCGGCCAACTCATGACCATGACGGGTGAGTTGTCGTCTCTGGAAGCATTAAATTCAAAGGCTGATCAAATTCAATAGGACCCATGTTAGTCACTGGTGATGAATTAGCTGAGATAGCTAGCAAGACACTTGGTGTCAAGTTAGTCTTCGATGATGTTTCAGGGTATGTACCACTGCTTTACCCCCTGACACGATACTAAGCAACATGTCATAAAGCAACGAGGCCCGCCGTCTTCTCCGCTTTCAGACTACCCATGACGAAGCCGAAAGACAGTATCTGCTCGAATATTACTCTCTCGTTCGCGAAGGGAAGACCAACTACATCTCCACTAATTGCTTTCATGATGTTACGGGCTCGCATCCAATTGAGCCGCCCCAATTTTTCGACATTTACAAAGATCAGTTCATGCCGAAGATGGCTTTGCAGAAGGTTGAATCTGACGGTGCATAAGACGGCTCCAGGGATGTCTTCCAAATCGGTTCGACATTCAATTATGTATGTATCCATGGATGGTTGATAATAGGGCCCGTTGGTTACTTCTAAGAAGACTTTAGTAGTGGTAGTATGTGTGCTACTTGATCGCGAGATCATATTCATGATGTAGTCCCTAACCTTAACAAGGTTTTTGGTCAATACATTTGACAGCTAGACTCATGGTAGCAGCAGGAAAGGGCAATTCATAACCGCCTTACACAGATGTGAATTCTTTCCCCTGTAACCTACGTAGTCGATTAGTAAAGCTGTACTCTGAATAAAATTCAGGTTCACAAGAGTATGAATATTTCAGTCTAGTAGAAGAATGATCAAATACTTCAAATTGCATAGATGTCTATGTCTTCTAGATTACCTACAATCCTAACGTAGAGCTATAGAGCTTATTCCTCTGTACACGATCACGAAGCTTTAAGACCGAGATCTCCAAGCTCCCCGTTGTATATCGCGTACTCAAATCTCTCAAAGGCTGCCCTGGAAACACTATCTCCAGGTGGTAGCAACTGACTACCGTAGAAGAAAGCAACGCCCGTCTCACGGTCTATCACCCACATCAAGTTGGGCAGGCCACCCCAGGACATGCTCCCAGATTTTCTGCCATTAAGCCAACCTTTCTCTGAAATCTGGCCACCAACAGAGTAGTTCATTTCATATTGTGGGATGAGTTGCTTTGTTGCTTCGGAGCCTGCTTTGCTTTCCCGAAAGGACTTATAACCTGCAGCTCTGTTCTCACGCAGTGATGCAGTCCCATCAGGAGTCAGGCATGGAGCGAAGAGATCGTCCATTGTAGATGGCTTGAGTAGTGTACCGTCATTCTTCAGGATCGATATCAGAAGCTTCGCATAATCCGCTGGACAGGAAAAGAGCCCACCACCACCCTGGTCATCGCTGGCGTTGTCAGGAAAGAATCGTGTTGGGCTGGGACCAATAGTTCCCTCGGCAGATCTCATTGACATGTCCGCGCGCCTAGATATGATATCTGGTCGTTCTTGGAGCCTAAACGTTGTTGCCTCCATCCCAAGCGGTTTCCAGATGTTTTCTTCCATGAATGAGCCTAGCGTTTTGTTGGTCACACGCTCGATCATCTGACCGGCCCAATCGAGGCCGACCCCATAAGTCCAGGCGCTGCCTGGCTCATGGAGTAGTGGAAAGATATATGACTCAGTCTGTATAAAGATGACTTTTTCTTAGTAAAAATCCTTGAAATGTTGAAAAGTAGAACGAATATACGTCGGATGCATACAATACGCTTTTCGCCAATTGGCGGTATATTTGCATACTTGCAGTAGCGCATCAGTTCAGGCTGTGCAAAGCCATAGCCCAGACCGGTCTGATGCGTGAGTAGCATTCTGAGCGTGAGTTTGTTTTTGGCGTCTTTGAGAATGGGCTTTCCCGAATCATCCTCGAATCCGACAAGGATTTGCGGGTTTTTCCACTCGGGCAAAATACTAGAGACGTCTTCGTCCAAATTGAGAAGCCCTCTCTCTACGCACTGCATAGAGGCAATGGCTGTCATAAGTTTCGTGCATGATGCTATCCACATTGTCGTGTCCGGAGTGAGAGGCTTAGTCGACAGCTCTGAGGCAGGATCCAGCGACATTGAGCCGAAACTCTTGGAATACGTGATTCCTAGACATTTTAAGTGGTTAGCATTCGACTTGTCTACTTGGAAGCAACAGACATTGCATGGTCCGAGTTTGTATGTAGATCACTCTGGAGCAAGTCCGCACGCACCATCCTTATTCGCGACTATCAGGACAGCGCCTGGAATTTTTTGATCGGAGCCCGAGGCTGTGGCCCGCTGCATGTATTCTTCAATAGTATCCATTTTGGTCAACGAATATTCCAAGTCTATCGACCGTTGCTTTTGTATACATGTCTGTGAGCCGCGACTTCTGGCGGCTAACAGGACCATCGCCCCTCATCCCCTCATACCTCGGTTATTAACAAGGAGGAGTCGCATATATGAACGAAACTTGGCCTATTCTCCACTAAAACGATTGCTACCACGCTCAGAAAGACTTTCATGCGGGCTTTGTTCCTTGCCCCACGTTCAAAGACACATCTCTCCAAGCTTTGGGTACTTGATTTTTTAATTGAATTAATATCTCGGGTCCCATGCTCTGTACAGCAGACCTTTCCATGAAGTACATGCTAAAGTAGTTGACAAAATGAAGAATAGCTGTGAATTTTGATGGAAAGAGTACTTGCTTTTATCCGTAAGGTAGGAACTTGGGCCGAATGTCGTGACATCGAGACTGGAGCAATATTTGGCGAAGTGTCATCCGTCACTGTCGAATTCCTTTCATAAAAAGCACACCTCCTTCTCTACATACTATTCCTTGCTTTCTCAACATCACCATCTACTAGAAATACCTTTGGCTCAGTGTTACGAGTAATTCTAAAACTACCACTCTATTTCAATGCATCCATATGTTGTTAAAAAATAGAGACAATGGGCCCAATATCTAGCCATGTCGAGCAACTTGCTGTTGAAGTCGATGTCTTCTTCCCTGTCCTGTGCGGTTTTGCTGCACGTATGGTTTATGCGTTCGATCACCTTAATAATGTTTTAATTACATACTATGGCATTTATTCATCTACGACTGGCACCCTTAGGGTTGGCGGTCTTATTCTACTATGAAAACGATTCGTGCGCTCCATAGCCACCTCACTCTAATAATGAATAATAACATATTACTGTAACTTGTACTTTCCCAAGTAACAGAGTATAATTCATTGGGTTGGTGATATGTGCTAGCTACTTCTTGATGCCTAGGCGTAGGCTTTCTGCTTGGGCAACCTTCGTGAGAACTTCGTCTTGGTCTTTCACCGGCTCGTAGCCTAGCTGTTCCTTTGCCTTGCTGATATCCCATTGGCAACCACCTGCAAGGTGTGCAAGTCGCTGACTGCGCATCTCGGGGAATTTTGTATTGAAGGTGAAAGCCCAGTACAGCCACTCACCAAGCTGCGCAATACCGACGACGAGCCAAAGCGGTATGATTTTGATTTGATCTGGCGGCACCGGATGACCGGCGCCGGCGTGCAATTTACGCACGAAATCAAAGTAGGGGAGACTGACGCCGTCGGAAATAAAGAAAGCTTGGCCGCCGTTGAGACGACCCTCGAGTATTCGTTTGGCTGCCAGAATGTGTGCTTCGCAGGCCTTTTGTACGTAGACAAATTCAAAGACTGGCTTGTTATCCCCAAGTTGCACCTTATGCTCGTCTCTTTTGATTGTGCTCAGTATTGTCCCCACGCAGTTGTCATCGTTCTCCCCATAAAGTCCAGGGATGCGTATGACAGCAGTGGTCAGGGAGGGCGGTGTATTAGCAGCCTGCACCTCGGCATCGGCAATGGCTTTCGTTTTGGCGTATGGGTTAGCGCCTTTGCTGCTTTCGGTATAGAGCTTCGCAGTTTCCTCTGTCTGTTTGACGCCGGGCATCTGTTCAAGCGCAGAATCCGAACCAGTGTAGATGAAGGCCCGCGCGTTTTCTGTTTCGCGAGCAACCTTCAAGAGGTTACGGGTGCCGTCTACATTCGTCTTGTACAGCAGAGGCTCTGGAGCGATGTCTTTTGGCGATGCAACGTGAAACACGACTCGCGGATTGATTTTTGTAAAAAGATCCGCCACCTGCTGAGCATCACTGATATCTCCTGCATGGTAGGTGACGTTTGGATACAAATTCTGGTCCGGCTTGCGACTGATAACGTGGACAGCTGTGCATGTCGATTCTGCCTGTAGTGCTTTGACCAGATTAGAGCCCAGGTAGCCACAGCCGCCGACGACCACAACAATCCCAAGATCGGAATTGGAGGCCATGCTGGAGATTCAATGAACTACGGCGAAGCTCCCTGAAGAGTAGATCAGCGACGATATATTTTCCTCCTTTTCTCCTGTTTTGTTGCAACCTGAGGAGGTATTTGTGACAAGGAAATAGAACGTGGAGAGTCGAGGTACAAATGTACACAATTCAGCCGCACCAGGCTACCTAAGACACGGTCACACCATTCCTAAATAGACACAAAGACGAACAACGGTTTTGGATGTGTGTGTACCTAGCTCGCCATAGTTGATTCATGATGACAATTGCTATGTCTGTCTTGTGAAACAATTGCTCTATCGCTAAACATCGAGTCATCGACAACGCGTCCGTTTTGAGGCAAACAAAGTAGACCAATACAAGGCGTGACAATACGAAACTATGAAGGTACGGAGAAGGTATAATGGTATTATTACAATAATTCCTTTCATATAATTTACATAGAGTCAATATTAGATCATCTTTGAGATAATCTACTGAGGTCGATGTTATGCCCGGCGTAGAATCTGTTAACCCGCACCACTAAAAACCCTAATCCGCCGCTAATCCGCAGTCTCCGCAGCGCTTGCAAGGCTAGTTACTGCTCAACGCTTATCATTGGATGTGAATAATTGACGAGTGAGTTTTATTTTGTATGTTTGTGCTTGTATGGATGTAGTTATAGCATATCGGTCACATCAGCGCTCCTCCTATGGCGGCAGCCAGTGTCTTGTTCCCCTGAGATATACAGTATAAAAAGTCCCTTGGCTATCACAGCTCAGAGTGAGAACTTATCGGACAATAATTTCCCCCAATCTTGTTCTCTTCCTATCTATCTCTATCATGGCAAAGACACAGCAGCCAGAGTTCCCTATCCAAATAAACCTTGGAGCTGCCCTCGGCACCTTCTTCAAATCACAGCTCTTCGTGACTCCACCTTATCCAGAGGCCTCATTCACTGGCAAGACCGTTATTGTCACAGGTGCTAATAGCGGACTAGGGCTCGAGGCAGCTCGCCATTTCTATCGCCTCAATGCAACAAAAGTGATCCTTGCCGTTCGCACTGTGTCCAAGGGCGAAGCCGCCAAGGAGGATATCCTCACCAGTGTCAAGACAAGGAACGATACCAACGCAATTGAAGTTTGGTCACTTGATCAAGCCAAGACGTCTTCGACACTCGCGTTTTCCGAGCGTGCACATACGGAATTGTCCCGCGTGGATGCCGCCGTGCTGAATGCTGGTATCAACACCAAGAATTTCAAACTAGTCGAAGGATATGAGCACGTGACACAAGTCAACGTACTCAGCACGTTTATGTTGGCATTGGCGCTGTTGCCCAAGCTCCTAGACACGAAGACCCGGTTTCTGGAATCAACGCCTCATTTGACCATTGTTAGCTCGGAGGCACATCACTTGACCAAATTCGAGGAAATCAACGCCCCGAACTTATACGAGAAGCTGAATGAGGAGCAATCGTACGCCCAACAACCGAGATATCAAGTCAGCAAGCTACTCGAAATCCTCTTGACACGCGAACTAGTCGCCCGGCTCAAGGCCAATCCCAAATTCGATACGAATCCCGTCATTATCAACCTCGTAAATCCAGGCTTATGCTTGAGCTCCCTCACCCGCGACGACGTCAAGCCTTCACTCTTTTTCCGAATTGCGAATAAACTTATCGCGCGCACAACCGAACAGGGTGGTCGATGTCTGGTGCTCGCTGCGTCTGCGCCGGAGGATTCGCACGGAGAATTTCAGAGTGATGGAAAGAATCAGGATGTAGAGGCCTGGATATATAAAGATTTAGGCGAAAAGGTGCAGAAGAAGGTCTGGGAACAGACTGTGCCCATTTTGGAGGCCAGAAAACCGGGCCTTCTGAGCGCCGTCGGGCTGTGATTATCCTTCAGTTCGGATTGACTCAACAGATCATTCAGAGTAGTTAAAGAAGAAAGGGTGAGCTGATAGCTACTAGTACAATGCACGATGTTCAATTAGTGCTTTCTATGGTTGAGCGGAGAAGAGTATGTTTCCCCGCACTCGGCATTCCTTCCTTATTTGTACAGCAACGATTACCCTAGATAGCTCTGGTAGTGACGCTGGTAGTACTGGAGCAACAAAAAGTCGACTCACAAGGTCTGCTTTTATTGCTTACCGCCAGCCTGACAGAATAGCAAACGCCATACTGTTTGCATCGCTCTTCGAATCCAAACAGATCGTGTGATCAAGCTTCTCCGCATCGGCCTTCTCCAGTCCGACTCTGGATAACCTACTTTCCACTGTAGATTTCTCGTTCCCTTCACTGAATCATCAACTTTCTTGACAGAAAGTAACGGCTGCCTCATACGGAAAAAATGGCAGAGATTCCTCTTCCTCCCATTCCTCATGTCATCTCAAAGATGCCATGGATACAACTAGGGAACTTTGAGACTGCCTCGTCCAAGACGCCGCCACCGAGACCATATCCTGCACAAAGCCAGCCAGCGGAGCGCGCAGCTGCAAGGTTTGGGGTACACGGAAATGCAATTTGTATGGAACCATTGATTTGATTTTGAATACCAATGGGGTAGCGCTTACGGGATATGTATATGCAGTGACTGGAGGCGCTGGCATGCTGGCTCTAACTTCAGCTCGAGCTTTACTTGAACATGGTCTCACTGGGCTCGCGTTATTTGACCTACCGAGCGCTATAGAAAAGAGCGAAAATGCCATCGAAGCACTACAAACCGAGTTTCCGTCAACGAAAATCATCACGCAAGCCTGCGACGTGACGGACGAGAAAGGTATGATAGAGGCGACTCGATCTGCAAAGGCGCAATTGGGTGAAATCAATATTCTATGCTGCTTTGCGGGGATGGTTGGCGTTGTTCCTTCCGCGGAGCAGTCTGTAAATCATTGGAGGAAGATAATCGACGTCAATACGACTGGTTGCTGGATTGCTGCACAAGCGGTTGGGCGGTAAGTATTTGAAGTCACCTGCATAATGCTTTTGAAGGCATAACATTTGTTGGGACATGCAACACATCGCACATAATGCATACTGACGTGGTGGCACAGAGAGATGATTGCTAGCAAACATGGAGGGAAAATCATCTTCATCGCATCGATCTCCGGTCACCGCGTCAATTACCCGCAGCCACAGGCCGCGTATAACACCTCAAAAGCCGCATTGCTACATATGAAAAACAGTCTGGCTGCGGAGTGGACGCGTTATGGGATCCACGTCAATACCATTTCGCCGGGTTATATGGACACGGTTCTCAATGAGGGCGATGACTTGGCGCCTTGGAGGCAGATCTGGGCGGAACGAAATCCGATGCGTCGTATGGGGTCGCCGGAGGAGCTTACGGGGCCTGTCATTCTGTTATGTAGCGATATTGGCGGAAGTTATATCAATGGCGCGGATATCGTGGTTGATGGAGGTGGTTTGGTTTTCTGAACTAGACAATGGACGAGGTGCACGGCAGGCTTGTTAGAGCTCGCTATAGCATGTGACAAGAACACTGAGATCGAAGCCTAAACTTGAATAACCTAGAGCGTTAACTGCATGTAATCGAGTAGCCAATTCTACCTTTAGAGACGGTGAACCTGTTGGGCCCAAACGTCTCATTGGCACCGCTCCTTGCGTCTGCCGCCTGTTGGATGCCTCGTCAACACAATGTAGGTTCGTCGCCTCGAGCCCTCAATAGCCCTGTTATGTGTTCTTCTCGTCCTAGTCTGCCGGAACACGTGGCGCCAATGCGGACCGGAGCCTTTGCGAACGGCATTGTACATTGAGTGGTGGAAGTCGGATGCAGAGGTAGGCTACTAGCGATGGTGTCCGACCAAGACTAAATATCGCAGAGTCAATATCTATTGTAATGAAATGATTATCTGAGCCGAGGCTCGCTGACATTGTTCATTAATGACTTGGTGAAATTATATCAGGGTCGAATCATAACGAAGGCAAATAAGGATGTGGTGCAATGGAACAGGCAATAGTAGTACGGAGAAAGTCCAGATCGCGGAGAGCTGCTGATGTCATTAGCGTGCCTTAGTCGCCAGGCACCCGAGCTTCCTGCCTTGTCTGCTACCTTCATTCCCGTCGTCACCTGCCTGCCCATCAGCGATCGATCGTCAATCCTTTTTCGTACAACTTGCCGGCCACCAGGCTATCCTTTCAGACTAACTGCCTGTTGGACTTCTCAGTCCTACCTCTTATTTACATTCATTATTCGCACTATAAAGCTCCAACATTCGATTATACAGTATCAATCCCGCGATCGGTCCTGTGTGGATCGGCTCTTGCGAAGCTAACGGCTTKCGCGACTCCACAACCAGCACTCGTCACTACCTTTCTTGCGCAGGTCGGATCGTTAAGCCGCCTCGCCACATAATCGCATCTGTCTTGTATGATATCACGCTGAAACGCGCCGTCCGTCCGCTCATAGTGCCAGGCAGGGATAGAAGACCGTTGGGCAATCACCAGTACCAGCTTGGTCTGGTCACGAGCCGCCGGTTGACAGGATGAGAGGCCTGCAAAACCTAGCTGCGGGCTTGCTCTGTAGCACGCTGGTTTCTACAGTTGCAGCACAAGGAATCACTGCTCTACACGAAGCTGGTCGATGTGCTATTCGTGGTCATTGTGGAAAGAAGAGCATTTTTGGTGGAGAGTTGCCTTGTCCGGACAACGGGCTTGCGCGCGAGCCGGATGACGCTGTCAGAGAAAAGCTAGTTTCGCTTTGTGGAAGCAAATGGTCTGAGGGACCTGTGTGTTGCGAAGGCGAACAGGTAAGTATCATATTTCGGGTACTGGGTAGACTAGCTGACAACCTTCGGTCAAACAGGTCGACGCCTTGAAAAAGAACCTGAAGCTTGCGGAGGGTATCATTGCCTCGTGTCCCGCATGCGTCGATAACTTCTTCAACACGTTCTGTACATTCACATGTTCGCCGGATCAGTCTTTGTTCGTCAATGTCACACAAACTGAGCCTAAGGGAGACAAGTTTCTGGTCACGGAAGTAGACAATCTTTGGTCGGAAGAATGGCAGAGCGGATTCTACGACAGTTGCAAAAATGTCAAGAATGGCGCGTCTGGAGGAAAAGCTATTGATTTTATTGGTGGGGGAGCCAAGAATTATACACAATTCATGAAATTTCTAGGCGACAAGAAGCTGCTCGGCAGCCCGTTCCAGATCAATTATGAGACAGAGCCTCGAAACCCGGATCATGGCATGAAAGCTCTGACAATCAGTCCCAAGGCCTGTAATGATTCAGATCCAGCTTATCGTTGCTCTTGTGTGGACTGTCCTGAAGTCTGCCCAACGTTACCAGAAGTCAAGTCACAAGAGTATTGCCACGTCGGACTTATGCCGTGTATGTCCTTCGCAGTCATTATCATCTACTCGGTATTTTTATCTCTCGTTGTATCCATATCAAGTTTTGTGGCCTATCGAGAACACCGATATCGCAAACCCGAAAGGGTTAGATTGTTGCAGGATCCCGTGCAAAGTGATGACGAGGACGACGGCGAGCTCGTCCATGGTGCTGGCTACTTGGAAACACCTCATAAGCACTACAAGCTGAATGGAATCTGTGATAAAGCTTTCAACCGGCTAGGTAGTCTCTGTGCCCGCTTTCCCGCAATAACGATCTCTGCGAGCGTCGTTGTCGTCGGACTTCTCAGCTTAGGGTGGACCCAATTCACTGTAGAGACAGATCCCGTTCGTCTCTGGGTCAGCCCTACTTCGGACGCAGCTCTAGACAAGGAATTCTTTGATGACAACTTTGGTCCATTCTTTCGCGCCGAACAAGCATTTTTGATCAACGATACAGGCCCAGTACTGAGCTATGATACTTTGAGTTGGTGGTTCGATGTTGAGAGTCGTGTTCGTCGCATGATATCCTTGAAGCAAGGCTCAACTCTAGATGACGTGTGCTTCAAACCTGGTGATGCCTGTGTGGTACAATCACTAACAGGATATTATGGTGGGTCATTTGCTGGAGTCACTCCCAGGAACTGGCAAAAGACGCTCGCTCATTGCACCGAATCACCTGGTGATGTTAGCTGTCTCCCGGACTTCAAACAACCTCTTCAACCTACCATGGTTCTTGGTGGCTATGAGGATACTGACAATGTACTCGACGCAAGCGCTATTCTGGTCACTTGGGTCGTAAACAACTTTCTGCCGGGGACAGAAGGTGAAAGCAAAGCCATCGACTGGGAAGAAAGTTTAAAGCAAGTCTTGGGGGTCGTGCAAGAAGAAGCACGCGAGCGCGGTCTACGTCTATCTTTCAATACGGAGATGAGTCTAGAGCAAGAGTTGAATAAATCAACCAATACTGACGCTAAGATTGTGGTCGTCAGTTACGTCATTATGTTCATCTATGCATCTATTGCGTTGGGATCTGGGGCACTAACTCTTCGGTCGCTCTTGACTAATCCATCAAACGCATTGGTCCAGTCCAAATTTACCTTAGCGATTGTCGGAATTGTGATTGTTCTAATGTCTGTTTCCTCGTCGATTGGATTATTCTCTGCGCTTGGAATTAAGGTGACCCTTATTATTGCTGAAGTCATCCCATTCCTGGTGCTTGCCGTTGGAGTCGACAACATCTTCCTTATTGTCCACGAATTCGATCGCGTGAACATCAGCCATCCTGATGAGGAAATTGACGAGCGTGTTGGTCGTGCCCTTGGCCGCATGGGACCTAGTATTCTCCTATCAGCCATTACTGAAACCGTGGCATTCGCTATGGGTATATTCGTCGGCATGCCAGCAGTCAAGAACTTTGCAGCTTACGCCGCTGGTGCCGTTTTTATCAACGCCATTCTCCAAGTTACCATGTTCATTGCTGTACTTGCACTTAACCAAAGACGAGTAGAAAGTCTTCGCGCGGACTGTTTTCCTTGTTTCACCGTTCGCCGAGCAACATCTTCTGGTCTACCGGAGGGCGTGGCGTATGATGACACGGCAGGAGAAAGCTTCCTTCAAAGATTTATTCGCCGCGTATACGCACCAGCTCTGCTAGACCGGAGAGTGAAGGCAGCTATAATAGTCATCTTTCTCGGCTTATTTACAGCAGGTCTGGCCCTCATACCTGAAGTCGAGCTAGGTCTTGACCAACGTATTGCGCTACCAACCGGCTCATATCTTATTCAATATTTTGACGATCTTGCCGATTACTTTCAAACGGGCCCTCCGGTGTATTTCGTCACACGTGGCGTCAACATAACAGCACGATCACATCAACGACAAGTTTGTGGTCGATTTTCCACATGCGAAGAATATTCGCTTCCTTTCGTGTTAGAGCAAGAGTCCAAAAGGCCCAATGTTTCTTATATATCCGGATCTACTGCCAGTTGGTTGGATGACTTCTTTTACTGGCTCAATCCCCAATCAGATTGCTGCAAGGAGGACAAAAAGATCTGCTTTGAGGATCGCACTCCAGCTTGGAACATTACCTTATCAGGCATGCCTGAGGGAGAAGAATTTATCCACTATGTTGAGAAGTGGATCGAGTCGCCCACGGATGCCTCCTGTCCGCTCGGAGGCAAGGCTCCTTATAGCAATGCGGTTGTGATTGACAGCAAACACCTGACCACAAACGCCACTCATTTTCGAACGAGCCACACTCCCTTGAGAACTCAGGCCGATTTCATCAATGCACAAGCCTCAGCTCGACGCATATCAGAATACCTGTCAAAGGAACACGATATTGACATCTTTCCCTACTCGAAGTTTTATATCTTCTTTGATCAATACGCCTCTATCGTTCGCCTGACAGGTACCCTTCTCGGAGCCGCGATCGGCATCATTTTTGTAGTGAGTTCTGTGCTACTGGGATCTCTGGCTACTGGTGCAGTCGTTGCCACGACTGTCGTTATGATCGTCGTAGACATTATAGGAACCATGGCTATTGCGGGTGTATCGCTCAATGCAGTTTCACTCGTTAACCTGGTCATATGTGCGGGAATCGGAGTCGAGTTTTGTGCTCATATTGCTCGTGCTTTCATGTTCCCGTCTCGCAACATGCTTGAGAAAAGCCCCAAGTTGCGCGGCAAGGACGCAAGGGTCTGGGCTGCACTCATCAACGTTGGAGGCAGTGTCTTCAGTGGAATCACTATTACGAAACTTCTTGGTGTCTGTGTACTCGCTTTTACACGCAGCAAGATTTTTGAGATATACTACTTCCGTATCTGGTTGGCCCTCGTGGTCTTTGCCGCGACCCATGCATTGATCTTTTTGCCTGTTGCTTTGAGTTATTTTGGCGGGGAAGGTGAGTTCATATCTTTTATATATTCATTTGTGCATTACTGACGGTCGTGCTTCTCATTAGGCTACGTGGATCCTGAATCAGATGGCGGTTTGGAAGACAACCTTGCAGCTCGCGGCTATCGATCGCTACTCATGAACGACGACTACGACTCTGAAGAAGAGGATTGAAATCGAACATTTGGTCGACATACGTAATCATAAATTTTATAGGTCACAAGAATGACTCCGTCATGTCAAATGGAAGAATCCATCTTATCGCTTTTTGTTGGTGTTTTTATACGGATGGATTTAATTTCTTCAATGTTTCGATGGGCAGGAAAAGTAGATGATATTCCATATGCCCACCATATGAGAGACAGATATGTAAAACCAAATATCTGGAAATCTAAAGCGTTTCTCGAGCAATAGAGAAAGTAACACACCGAAATAGTCGTTCCTGGGAACATTGAGAAATAGTATAATGCCATTCTTCGATGATTAGCTAGAAGTTATTACAAAAGCCCTTCAAGCGTACACTTTGTAGGCATGAGTCTCGACATAGAAACGAACATCCAGTCATATCAGTGACCTGCACCTTGACAGTAGTCCTAGAACAGACAGATCATCTCATCAGAATCATGAACATAACCATCATCACCTCCAGGTGTCATCAACCGTCGCAGTCAACCCTGCACAACCCGTCGGCACAGTATAACTCCTATTCGGATCACTCTCCCACGTAATGCTGCCATCAGTATTGACAATGATAAACTTATACTGAAACGACTCTCCAGCGGGTAGACTAATAGTTACCGTCCACACCGGATCAGACGAGGTGTATTGACTCGCCGACAACAATACAGCGCTGGACGTACTCCAATTGCCGAGCTGGCTGATCGACCCGGAGATATACACTTCCTGGCCGTAGGTGGTGGTGACTACTTCTTCGAATGTGACTGCTACAGTTGACGCAGCTGTGCAGCTTGAACCACTGCCGCTACACAACGAGCTTCCAGACACAGAAGACCAGGGTAGGAATGCCCGCGGGGAACCCGAGGCCATGGGCACGGCGATTGTGCCGCTAGAGCTAACAGTCACGTTTGTGCAGGTGTATAGTTCTGTGACTACAGTGCCGGATGTGTACCCGCTGCCGCTGAGGGTGAGAGTGCTGGAACTACCGCTTGCGCCGAGATTTGAAAGGACAGTGACAAGTTGCAGGCCTGTTGTGCCTTTGCGCATGGCGATGGTGTTGGAGTCTTGATAGATGGGGGTATTCTTTTTCCTGTTAGTCAACAATGACAGCGTGTGTTTGGGTTAGTGGTGAACTCCTACCTTATAAGTCAAGAAGGCGGAGTCTTTAGTAATGGCCAACGAACGGATGGCATTCGAAGTTTTCGTATGAGTATACAACTGTGCAGTAGTCGAGTAATCTGATGTCCAGAGAGCTTCACGGTTGAGAGGAATGTTTCCGCCGTTGTAATGCTGTTCTTGTCCGTAATATAAGATCGGGATCCCGTCAGTCAAGAATATGAAAGAGATGACATTCTTGGCTTCAGAGTAGTCACTTGTGTAGCTGTTTGGTATTTATGTGTGATGAGAAAGATGCTCCCAATCTTTGAGTTGATCGGTGACTTACTAAGCGAATCTTGGATTGTCATGGTTCTCGATGAAGTTTCCGAGGAGAGATGTGTCGGCGCAGTCGGATTTGACGGTATTGATCATATTATATAGATTGCTGATGCTACCGCTGGAGGATTCAAAAGCGTAAAGCAATTGATAGTACCTGCATGGCACCATTAGTGATCTCGATAGTAGTAGATATATGGACGAATGTACTCACATTGGATAATTCAAAACACCACTCAGATAATTCTGGTAGGGGCATACAACCGCTGGGTCGCCATAGTCTACTTCTCCGATACAGTAAACGCCGGACGATTCTTCGAAAGCAGTGAAAAAGTCCTGCTGGATATGCCCTGCGGAGTCGATACGAAGTCCGTCAACTATATCACTATGGTCAGTAAGAATTCCTACCTAGGTAAAGATGATGAACGAGATAGCCGGGAGTATCATACTGGAATAATTAGCTACAAAGGACTCGACCCATGTGCCCCAAGTGTCCTTCACATATGTCTGAGTAGTATCGATATCCGGTAGAGAGACGATGTTGTCTCCTTCCCAGCAAACATTCCAATCAGTCGCATTGTAAGTGCTATAATCTATCAGGCAGTAAGAGTGATAATAGCTTTTCGATGGGAAAGGATTGAAAATGCTATAGTCGACACTGGTGCCGGCTCCATCGTATGCCTGCGGATTTTTAGTCGCCCAGTCTGTCTAGGTTCCGTTGAGGGAATTAGCATACCATATTGTTTACCACGATATCGACCATGAGGTACATTCCTCGCGCGTGCAACGCTTCGGAAAGTTTGAGCAAATCTGAAGAGGCACCATAGTGAGAGTTCGTCGCGTAGCTACCACGTAATCAAAGTCAGGTACTTTGTTCAGAGTCAACATATGAGTTTAGTGGAATGTATTACGCATTTTGCTGCCAGTAGCCATGATAGGCTTCGCCATCAGAAGTGTCGCCTTCGAAGTTTTCGGTGACAGGTGTGATCCATATGGCTGTAAAGCCCATGCCCTGGATGTAATCCAGCTGTGGAGAAGAAGTCAATCGTTAGCCGTTGCACGTACGGTGTGACTGTGAATCACATACGTGGTTGATCACTCCTTGCCAGCTACCACCACAGTACAACTATTATACACATCAGTATCAGGACTTGTGAAGGGTTACCGGACTAAAAGTCGTCTTGACTCACCCCATCGGCAACATCGCAAGAAGCTGTAGTAGAATTACTAGTCAATGCAAACCGATCCGTGAGCAGAAAATAGATTGATTGACTACGCCATTCAGCTGCAGTCAATCCCAGTGCCACACTTGCAAGAGCACTCCAAACTAGAGAAACGTTGGAAAACTTCATTTTGGCGGTTTTCAACTACAACCGAAATGAGCGCCCGAATCCGAGAGGCGATTGCTTCCTGAAAGAAACAACATTCTGAAGGGACGGGTTGATCTCCGTCTTTATATATTGGACGGACGATTCTTGAAGAAGACTATATGCCGGCTGTTCCTTTAGGATTAGTTTCTCCGCAACCTGGACGGGGGGCCTGTCGAGGGCAGGGGTTATGTGGAGAATGGCGCCGGCAGAAAAAAAACCCTAATGTCGGCGGGKTTTATTTGCCAGGGACTTCTCCCACCAGTCAGTTGACTCTCTACTGGCTTTTTCTTTGTGCATATCTAACTAGCTCATAATAGAGTAGCTTATTCCATAGCCCAGTCCTATTCCGTATAGAACGTTTCATTGCCGAAACGCTAACCCCGCGCTATGCACTTGTATGCAAATGATACAGCCAATTCTGACATTGACCAAGCAACGTGGCGTCAAGCCTGTTTGGCCTTTTCTCCTGGCTAACATGATTTTAAATGAGGTTGAGTATGCCCAACCTCGTATAGGTTCTGCGTGACTTGATCTTGTTCGATTCATTTTTGGGCAGTCCGTTCGTGTCCGATCAGATGGGGCGGGCATTGTTCTATTGTTGGCAAAAGAGTTTTTCCGGTGATTTGAAGATCTACGTGAGTTTAAATTAACTAACAAATGAAGTTAATCTACTAGGGCTCTTACCCCAGTCAAGAGTACGTACGTACCCCGATTTTCAAGACCTGAGAAACACATGCCAGGGTATTTTGTATCTGCCGGAGCCGGGGCCTCTCCTCAGTTTCCGTAGAAGAGAAGAGACGGACAGGATCAAGTATAAGAGGCAGTATTATGTATTTTCACTGCCCGAATATCATCACATGTCCAGCGTTTTGGAGAGTCCAACTCTACAATCCGGATTATTTTTCTGCCCATTTTGCTGACTACTGATCCACTGGCCTAGTATTGAAGCTACCCACGGAAAAGGGTTACATTTAGTGAACGCCTCATTTTTTAGACGCCTTTCATAATCCGTCCTCGCTATAGCTAGACATACCTGAAAATATGCTGAATAAAGGTAAACACCCCACAAAACCGATTTGACTCCTCAAAGTCAAATCTCCGCACACGGGCAATTACCGGACCTGAACCATGCCTTTCGTGGTCGGCATATAAATCTGCGCCGCGCCACGCTAAACAGGTTATAGTTCGGTTAATCATATATCCCTTCAAGATCTAGTATAATCATCAGCCTTGTGTATTACAGAACATGTCTAAAGTTATACATATAATCGTGCTATACTATCGTCAGAGGGAGAATTGAAAACTCTGATGCCTTCCCAATCGGGTCCGTACTGCAGCGGAAATAGCCTGGGTACCTCTGGAACAACCGAGCCTAAGAATAAATAAGGAAATAAAGTCGAGTTGAGATATGCACAGTTTTCCGATAAAGCTCCGATCATAGTGAATGTGAGAAGTAATGACTGGCCTTAAAGCAGTCAAAACAATAGAATGTGGGCGGCTGGAGAAGGTCAGTCAAGTCCTTATAGAAAGCAGAGCCCGTCTTATTTGCATCATTGACTCGGGTGGCATCCCTATACATAACACTTTCTTAATTCTTACGCTGGAGAATTTAATTGTAGGGTTTCTGGCGGTAAGCCCTAATCGAGCTATATATATGTAGGGAGCCAGGCAGTACGTCATTGCCCACTATTAACGTAAAGAATACTTGCCAGACGCCCAGCGGACTACTTTCAATCTAATAGACACTCGAATGGAACATGGTACTCATACACGTTCTGACCCGTTAACTGTAGGCAACAACTGCCGCGTTTTGTGTAAACTCAAGCAGTTGAGTGCCTAAGAGGATGGCTGATACATATTTCGTCCTTGTGCACTCCCGAGGTCAAGATAGGCTACCTCAGCCATGAACGAATGTTTCCAATTTCCTCGAGAAGGGAGTCTGCTAGGAATGTCTCTGACTGTCGCAGTCAGAACCAAAGAGAAGAAGAGATAGATACATGGAAAGACGAGAGAAGAGAGAAAAATAGAGGGGCAAAACAAAAGTCCCAAAAGGGAAAAGTGCGGGGTGGAGACGCGTGTGGCCGTCTTATTGGCTATGAGAGCTTCGTCAGAGCAACGCTAGGCCAAATCTGGTATAACAGCTGGTGGGACAACCGCAAAAAAATTTACAACGTTTACTTTTTTTTCTCCTCAACGTCTCCTTTCCCAATAAGCGGGAAATCAAAACACACACTTTTCCTTTTTGCTCTACTTTTGTGTGTTTTCTTGCGTATTCCTATTGCTCTCAGTGGGCTTTGAGGAGACTGCAGAAGTTGTTTGTGTCTTTTCCAAAAGCTTTAGCAGCACGTTTTTGCTTGTGACCCCGCATCTTGCAAGTTTCTTTTCTTTTTCTTGCAACCTCATCACGCTGAACACAGCCTTTTGGGTGAGAAAGAGGGGATCATATTAGATAAAGAGAGAAGATTATCACATAAAAATTGCCCACCATGGATCAACAACGATTCTTGCAGCAACTGCAAATTATTTTGAACCGTGAGAACATGTTGTTTTATTGATCCGTTCGTGCGAGACTAACCACCATATGATATAGCTTCCACCGGGGACTTGAAAGAAGCCACTGGCGTCCTTCAGAAAGAGTACTACAACAAACCCGAGTCCTTCCTTTTTCTCCTCCAGCTAGCCACCTCCCACGACAGTGATGACCTACGCCAGTTGGCTGCCGTCGAAGCCCGCGGTCTTGTAGGCAAATTTTGGCTAAAGGTTCCTGCCAACCAAAAGCCTCAGATCCGGGAACAACTCCTACGTGGTACCATGAGCAGCAATTCCGAGCTTGTTCGTCACGCCATTGCCCGTATAGTTTCTTCCGTTGCCAAAATTGATCTTCAGGACGGCGAGTGGGCCGATTTGCCCAACTTCTTGCTTCAGGCTGCCCAGAGCGGAAACAAGGACGAGAGGGCTATTGGTGTTTATATTTTCTTCACCATCCTCGAGTCTTTGGGAGAAGGATTTGAAGATAAGTTCCAGGACTTGTTCACTCTTTTCAGCAAGACCATCCGTGACCCCGAGAGCGCCGAAGTCCGCATCAACACTCTTCTGGCTTTAAGCAAGCTGGCTATGCACCTCGACTCTGACGAGGATCCCGCCCCTGTCAAGGCATTCCAGCAGGTCTTCCCCGACATGGTACGCGTTCTCAAGGATGCTATTGACACTACCGACGAGGACCGCATCATGCAAGCTTTTGAGGTCTTCCAGACCTTGCTCGGATGTGATCCCGCCTTGATGAACGTCCATCTTAAGGACTTGATCACTTTCATGAACGAAGTATCTGCAAACACACAGCTCGCTGAGGATACCCGCACACAGTCCATCAGCTTTTTGATGCAGTGCGTCAAATATCGCAAGCTCAAGGTTCAGGGTCTTCGTGTCGGTGAACAGCTCACCCGTACCGCTCTTCACATTGCAACTGAGCTTGACGATGACGACGATGAGGACGAGATTACTCCTGCTCGTTCCGCTCTCGGTCTCCTCGACATGCTCGCCCAGAGCTTACCTCCAAGCCAAGTTGTTGTTCCTCTTCTCCAAGCCCTTGGCCAATACTTCAACAGCGAAAATCCCGACTATCGTCGTGCCGGTATCTTAGCTTTGGGTATGTGCGTTGAAGGTGCCCCAGACTTTATCAGCAGCCAGTTCAACGAGATCTTCCCGATTGTTCTTCACCTTCTCAGCGACAAGGAACCCAAGGTCCGCCAGGCCACTTTGCATGGCGTTGCCCGCCTTGCCGACGATCTTGCAGAGGACGTTGGAAAGGAACATGCCAAGCTTATGCCACTTTTGGTCCAGAACCTCGCCAGTGCTATGGAAAGCTATAAGGGTGAGGAGAGCGGCCCCACAGTAAACATCATGAAAGCAGCTGTAAGCTCCATCGACTGTGTCGTTGACGGCCTCGACGAGAAGGATGTTGTCCCTTACCAGGATGAGCTTGTTCCTCTCTTGCACAAACTCTTCCAACACCCCGACTTCAAGATTAAGAGTCTCACTGCTAGCGCTATTGGATCCCTTGCATCTTCTGCCGGAGAGGCTTTCCTCCCATACTTCGAAAAGTCCATGCACCTCATGCAAGAGTACGCCACCAAGAAGGAAAGTGAAGATGAGCTTGACCTCCGTGCTAGCATCATTGATGCCATGGGCGAGATGTCCGCTGCTGCTGGCCCTCAACACTACCAACCTTACGTCGAGCCTCTCATGCGTGCCAGCGAGGAAGCCCTTCACCTCGACCATTCTCGCCTCAAGGAGAGCACCTACATGCTTTGGGGTTCCATTTCCAAGGTCTACGGAGAGGACTTCAAGCCTTTCCTTGATGGCGTCTTTAAGGGCCTGAGCGCCTGTATCGAGCAGGAGGAAGCCGATCTCGAGGTTGAGCTTGGTGATGCTGCTAAGGACCTTGTCGGACAGGAAGTCACCATTGGTGGTCGCAAGGTCAAGGTTGCTGAGGCCTCTGATGACGAGGATGGTGATATTGAGGATATTGACCTCGATGACGAGGAGGACTGGGAGGACTTCACTACCGTCACACCCTTGGCTCTCGAGAAGGAGATTGCCGTTGAGGTCATTGGTGACTTGATCAGCCATACTAAGGGTGCTTATCTTCCCTACTTCGAGAAGACCATTGAATTGGTTCTTCCTCTCACCGAGCATCCCTACGAGGGCGTTCGCAAGAGCACTATCAGCACCCTCCACCGTGCCTATGCTACCTTGTTCGCATTGGCTGAGGAGAACGGCCAGATGCCCAAGTGGCAAGCTGGTCTCCCTCTGAAGGTGCAGCTTCCTGTTGAGGTTCAGAAGTTCGCTGAGATCTTGATGACCGCTACCATTAAATTGTGGGGCGAAGAAAGTGACCCGTACGTATATCATTTTTTCTTTTTTGTTCTACTCTGCACTAGGTTGGCTCAAGGGCCAGTCTTACATGATGACAACACCGTTACCCAGCTCACTCAGACATGCTATAAAGCATGATTGATGTTAACAACGTATTCCAACGTAACCTGATTGTTATATCATCTGCTACATGATTCGCGAAGAAGTGTCTTGATATTTGCTAATAAGTCTCGAATACAGGGCCACCGTTGGCGATCTCTGTGGCAACCTTGCCGAAAACCTCCGTTACACTGGACCTGCACTTGTTGCTGACGAGAGTGTCTTGACTAACGTTGTCCAACAAGTGACCGATCTCATTACCAAGAAGCACCCCTGCCAGCAGGAATTCGCCGAAGACGAAGAACTCCAGGAGGCCGGCGATGAAACCTCTGAGTTTGACTGGATTGTTATTGACCGTGCTCTTGACGTCGTTTCCGGACTTGCCGCAGCGCTCGGCCCCGACTTCCCTCAGCTGTGGAAGATCTTCGAGAAGAGCGTTCTCCGATTCGTCAGCAGCTCTGAGAACATCGAGCGCGCTACTGCGGTGGGAACCCTCGCTGAGGTCATCACCGGAATGAAGGATGCTGTCACTCCTCTGACTGGTCGTTTCCTGCCTCTTCTCTTGAAGCGTCTTGATGACGAGGACCCTCAGACCAAGTCCAACGCTGCCTACGCCACTGGACGCTTGATCGAGGCCACAAATGATGCCTCTATCGTCTCTCAATTTCCCACCATCCTCCAGAAGCTTGAGCCATGCCTCCAGCAGCAGGTGTCTCGTCTTCCAGACAACGCCACTGGTTGCTTGTCTCGCATGATCTTGAAGCAGCACGACAAGGTTCCCATTGCCGATGTTCTCCCTGCCATTGTCAGCATTCTTCCCTTGAAGAACGATTATGAGGAGAACGAACCTTTGTACAAGATGATTGCTCAGCTCTGTAAGTCACTCTTTACTCGCTTAATTTTTATGATGTGCTAATATGCCTTGTAGACAAATGGGAGGACCCTACTGTGCGTCAACTTACTCCTCAGCTTCTTCCTATCTTCCAGGCCGTCTTGTCCGATGACGACCAATTAGAAGACGACCGCCGCAAGGAGGTGATGGAGCTCGTCTCATGGCTCAACAAATAAATGGCGAGTTTAGGCTCGATTTTACGTGGTCATTATCAGGACCACCGAACAAAAACCAAAAAACTCACCCCTTGATGACGAATTGTAATGATGGATAGATGTAATGATCACCAGGAGACGGAAAGAAAGAATCAAATATCAGAGATACCCCGGGAATTTTGATGACGAGCGAAACGATTACAAAAAGTTGGAAACGAAAGGGAAAAAAGGATATGGTCACAACTGGCTATAATTGAACTTGAATGACTCAAAAATGGTGACTCGGAGGACACATCATTTCAGTTGGGCGAGTGGATTATGTTGCGATTTATATATGTGTGTGTGTTTTTTCTCTTTTGTTTCGTCGATACATAAATAGCCCTTCCCCTACCCATACTTGCATCTCGACCAATCTAGTATTGATGTCAGTTAGTAAATAGACAGTTATGCAAATTCTGAACATAGCTTTTGGATTAATTTTCTGAGATCTGTGGAAATCGTGAGAGAGCTACTGCTCAATCTGCCTATAGTCCAATGTACATCGAATATGGTAAATGGTATAAAATGGGTCGAGCACGACTTTTATTTCTTAAATTGCGTTTTCGGTATTCTTTCCGAGAGAGATCTGGTAAAATTCATCGTTAGATCTCTATCCAGGCGATAAAATTTCTGTGGCTGTCCACTAACCACTCTTCAGTTGTCTACCCAATAATCTCCGTGCCTTGGGAAGTGTGCCATTTCATATGTGCCAATTAAGAGGCATTTCTGTCGGAAAGTTATGATGCTACCATAGGTGGGGTACCTAGAGATTCAACAAGCAGAAGATTTCGATTCCTTCCCAGGTATACTATACCCCCCGCCAACTGATTTAGGACAGACGAGCAATGGCAACTTCATTCGAGACCCTCCCAATAATAGATTTCCAAGCTCTTGGAATCCCGGCAACAAAGTCGGAAGCCCTTGAAAAGTTGAAACATGCTCTATTCAACGTTGGCTTTTTGTATCTCGCCAATACGGGGCTGGAGGTAATTATTCCATCAGATCGGTTCCATGTCCAATGTGAGACGCTAAAGCTAAGATTTTATCAACTAGAAACTTATCGAGGAAACACATGAAACGCTGCCGGAATTCTTTGACTTACCGGAAAGTGTCAAGCAAAGTTGCAACATGCTCAATTCTCCTTCGTTCTTGGGATATACTAGCCTAGGTGCCGAGACTACGGCGCGAAAGACAGACTTGAGAGAGGTATGACACTAGGACTTCAATTATGAAGAAGTGTTGTTGACAATATGCATAAAGCAATTTGATTTTGGGACCCCGGTGACGCAGCTATGGAAGGAGAACGATTTACCCTGGCAGCGCCTTGAGGGTCCTTCCCAGGTTTGTGACTAATTTATCCATTTCAACAATCGAAAATCCCAAACTCATATGCTTCTAGTTCCCAAATAAACAGGTTGAAAGGCTCGTCACAAGATACACATCCGCGCTGTCGACACTCTCTGGAGCATTTCTGCGAGCGGTCGCAGAATGCCTCTCTTTACCCCCAAACACATTTGAGACCTTTCTAGGCAACATGCACCGGCTTAAATTCGTCAGATATCCGCGATCTGAGCCTGGATCTCAGGGTGTGGGTCCACATAAGGACTCTACTGGGCTTTTCACTTTTCTGTCTCAGGATCCAGTTGGGGGCCTGGAAGTTCTGAACAAATCTGGACAGTGGATTAGTGCGCCGTACATAGAGGGTACGTTTGTCGTTAATGTGCAGCAGGGTTTCGAGGCTATTACAGGGGGCTTGTGTCCAGCAACGACTCATCGGGTTATTGTAAGTTCTATGAGGTTCTTTCATCTTAGCTGGTGATGATCTCTACTGGGAATGTCCTCGGAACCCTCCGCGGGACGCAGAACTTATCGGACTAAACTGATAGAAGACGTAAGCTAATTGGTACAAGGCACCCACGACATCTACCCGCTATAGCATACCATTTTTCCAAGCTGTAAGACTAGATCTTACCTTGTTCTTCCTGAAGGAAGCAGCGGCAGATATTGTCCGTCGCATTCCTACCCAGAACGTGACAAACATTGAACATATCACAATTCCTAGCGAGTTCTTGTCACCTTTATTCTCATGCGTAAGATACGAAATTGGACCCATTACTGGTCATTTACTAATTGAAGTAGTTCGGTGAAGCTCAATTGAGAAATCGTATTATCAGCCATCCAGATGTTGGCCGGAGATGGTATCCAGATCTATACGAGAAATATTCCCAACAGAGTCTAAGCTAGTGATTGAGCGGAGACAATCATTTAGGAGTTACATATGAGCAAAGCAAAGTAGGAGGTATTTATTTTCTATATTGAAAACCGTAGTAAGAAGGTTCCGGATCTCTACAATACACGGAAATATACTCCCAGAAATCTGTAAAATGGCTTAGCGCCGATTCACCTCGAATCATACGTACGCAATCTCTCGTATAAGCCCGATGGTCCCGGGGTGGCTGCCGGCAATGTTGCGATAGGTACAGATAGAGACTCACGTATACCCAATATGTGAATGGCGTGTTTCGGGGTACCGACTCGACTGGACCCGAAAAACTTGATAATCATTGCACAAACTACGTGGATCTCCGAGGCATCATGAACTGACGTATCATAATAGAATCTATGGAGCAGAAAAGATGTGAAGTCTCCATTGTGGGCACGGAAAGAGTTATATATTCGGAAAACCGGAGTTACGGAAGTACGGATATACGGATATGTTGGGTGTGCCCTAGTTAGTTGACGGGGGTCATCAATATTGAACGAGTGAAAAACCACGACTCGAATAAAGGAGTTGTGACTCACGGATACAAGAAGATATATAGACACAGTGATTATACTCCTGATTCGAAAGCTAAAAGAAGACAGTAAATGCCATACCTCTCACGTGGCAGATAACACTCCTGAGTTGCCCTAGTGTCACTTGACAAGCGAAGCCCTAATTTTCCCCCAACCGGAAGGGAGTGTATGGCAGACTTGAGCCATCAAGCAAGTGCAACAAGATGTACTCATCTAATTCGTCAAGTTTGACGGATGTTGAGTCGGGAGGTTGTCAAGCTCAGAAGCGTCTGACGTTGACGTTTCGCAATATCAATGTTCGTGTCACGGCGCCAGATGCGGCGCTTGGAGATACGCTGCTGTCTGTGGCGGATCCACGGCAGTTCATAAAGGGATTTTACAAAACTCAGCAGCCAAAAAGGGTATGAGAGAATATACTTATAATGGACTCAAATTTTGAAGGGCTAAACAAATACTCGCAGACTATATTAAAAGACATAAGCGGGCAAGTGAGGCCAGGAGAGATGGTAAGCACCTCTTTCTCACTCGTAAAGTCACACGCTTTTCAATAATGTATGACACTAACATTCTGCCTATCGCTAGCTACTTGTATTGGGAAGACCTGGCTCTGGATGTACTTCCCTGCTGAGAGTCCTCTCCAACGACCGCGACTCTTTCGACGAAATCGACGGAGAAACCAGATATGGTAGTATGAACCATCTCGAAGCCAAGCGTTACCGACAACAGATCATGTTCAATAATGAGGATGATGTTCACTTTCCAACACTGACTGTCAATCGTACTTTGAAGTTTGCACTGCGAACCAAAGTTCCAAACGAACGCCCGGAAAATGTGGAGAAGCAGGAATATCTTCAGGAAAAACGGGATAGTATTCTCAACGCACTTGGTATACCACATACGAAGAAAACAAAAGTGGGAAATGAATTTATTCGTGGTGTCTCTGGGGGTGAGCGAAAGCGTGTATCCTTGGCTGAGGTTATGGCTGGACAGGTACGTTTATGCCTCGACAATCAACAGACGTAACTGACGATCCCACTAGAGCCCAATCCAATTCTGGGACAATCCTACTCGAGGATTGGATTCCAAAACTGCTGTCGAGTTTGCTGAGTTGTTGCGCCAAGAAGCCAATGACTTTGGTAAGACGATTGTGACAACAACATACCAGGCTGGAAATGCCATATACGATCAATTCGATAAAGTCCTTGTACTAGCAGAAGGACGCGTAATTTATTACGGACCACGATCATCGGGTCGTTCTTACTTTGAGGACTTAGGATTTGTGTGTCCTAAAGGAGCAAATATTGCGGATTTCTTGACATCAGTGACCGTGCATACCGAACGAGTAGTCCGCGAGGGAATGGAAGGGAAAGTGCCTAGTACGCCCGACGAGTTTGAAGCCGCTTACCACGCGAGTAAAATATATTCGAGCATGATGGAAAGTATTGAGCCGCCTGAAAAGCTGCAAAATGAGAAGGATAATTTGATCATGGCTGTGAATAACGAGAAAAAGAAGAGTCATATTCCTCGAGGTCACAGCCCTTACACCACCAAGTTGATGGATCAGATAATCTCTTGCAGTATCCGGTATGTACCTCTGCTTGAAAATGAGAGGAATAACTAGAACTTAACAAATCGCAGTCAATTTCAAATCATGATGGGCGACAAGTTGTCTCTCACAATCAAGGTCGCATCCGCTATTATTCAGGCCTTGGTATGCGGCAGTCTATTCTATAATCTTCAACCTGATAGCACTTCTATCTTCTTACGACCAGGAGTTCTCTTCTTTCCGGTTCTCTACTTCTTACTAGAGTCCATGGGTGAAACAACTGCTGCTTTTATGGGCCGACCGATCTTATCACGACAAAAGCGATTTGGATTCTATCGTCCAACTGCCTTTTGCATCGCGAACGCCATAACCGACATACCCATCGTTTTAATCCAAGTCACATGCTTCTCATTGATTTTATACTTTATGTCCAACCTACAGAGGGATGCTGGAAAGTTTTTCACGTTCTGGATCATTGTTATTGTCAACACTCTTTGCTCAATGCAATTGTTTCGGGCTATTGGTGCTTTGAGCAGGAAATTTGGAAACGCATCCAAAATCACTGGATTGCTATCAACAGTATTCTTCGTCTATGGAGGTAAATATTAATGATAGCCTATACCTTGGTTTTAGATGCTGACAAAAAAGCTAGGCTACTTGATCCCTTTTGAGAAAATGCATGTTTGGTTCCGGTGGATATTCTACCTGAACCCAGGAGCATATGCCTTTGAGGCCCTCATGGCCAACGAGTTCAGAGGCTTAGAGCTTGAATGTGTCGCCCCTGATTATATTCCTTACGGTAGTGGATACTCAGATACTATATCACAGAATCGTGGCTGCTCTGTCGTTGGCAGCAGCAATGGTATAATCGATGGAGAAGCATACATCGGCCAGCAGTTCCACTACTCCTACCATCATATCTGGCGCAGCTTTGGTGTCATTGTTGGCATGTGGTTCTTCTTTATCTTCCTTACATCTCTCGGTTTTGAATTACGTAACAGTCAGTCCGGTTCATCGGTGCTTCTGTACAAACGAGGCAGTGAAAAGAAGCGTCACTTGGACGAAGAAAAGGGTAGCAGCTCGACAGCCGCTGAGGTTGTCTTAAGTGGATCTGTCAAGCAGTCTACCTTTACATGGAATCATCTTGATTATCACGTTCCATTCCAAGGAGGAAAGAAACAACTGCTGCATCAAGTATTTGGCTACGTTAAACCAGGAAACCTGGTAGCATTGATGGGATCCTCGGGTGCAGGCAAGACAACGTATGACTTTAATGCTCCCACTATATTGTTCATGACTGATCGTATCCACAGTTTGCTAGATGTACTAGCCCAACGCAAAGATAGTGGAGAAATCTACGGCTCTATCTTGATTGATGGTCAACCTCAAGGAATAAGCTTTCAACGTACCACTGGATACTGTGAGCAGATGGATGTTCACGAGGGCACAGCTACTGTTCGAGAGGCTCTTGAGTTCTCGGCACTTTTGCGCCAGCCTTCGCATGTTCCACGAAAGGAGAAAATTGAGTATGTGGATCAGATTATTGAGCTATTGGAATTATCAGATATCCAAGATGCATTGATAGGAGGTGAGTTCTCTTTTTTGACATGGTCGGATGAAATGTTAAATCTAACCTATCAAAAGTGCCTGGTGCCGGCCTCAGCATCGAGCAGCGGAAAAGAGTTACATTGGGAGTTGAACTTGTGGCCAAACCTACATTATTGTTCCTTGACGAACCGACATCGGGTCTTGATGGTCAATCTGCATACAACATTATTCGATTCTTGAGAAAGCTAGTTGATGGCGGACAAGCGGTTCTTGTCAGTTTAACTGCGTTCTGTCTCTGCATTTCCCGATTGACTGACTGTGAATAGTGCACTATCCACCAGCCATCGGCTGTGTTATTTGACGCCTTTGACTCTCTTTTGTTACTTGCCAAAGGAGGCAGAATGGCCTATTTCGGAGAAAGTAAGTGCCACGATTGTTTTTTGTCAATCAGACATCGAAGTCTTAGATAGTATATTAACCCTGCATCCAACGATAGCTGGCCAAGATTCTTCCAAAGTGTTGGAATACTTTTCGAAGAACGGTGCCCGATGTCCTCCAGATACAAATCCGGCCGAGCATATCGTCGAAGTTATCCAAGGTAAAAGCCAGCAGAAAGATGTGGACTGGGTCGATGTATGGAACAAGTCAGAAGAGCGTCGAGTCGCCATTGAACAGCTGGAAACTCTTAACAGAGAAAACATTGCAAAACCACGGACAGATGAAGATGAGTCGGACTACGCAACTTCACACTGGTTCCAGTTTTGTATGGTGAGCAAGCGTCTGATGGTCCAGCTATGGCGTTCACCGGTAAGCCTAGGAAGAGTCCTCCCGAATGAAAACCACTTTCTGACTTTCATTTTTGACAGGATTACATGTGGAATAAAATTATTCTCCACATATTTGCAGCTCTTTTTAGTGGGTTCACGTTTTGGAACATGGGCAATAGCAGCTTCGATTTGCAGCTCCGTCTTTTTGCGATTTTCAATTTTATTTTCGTTGCGCCAGGCTGTATAAATCAGATGCAGCCGTTTTTCTTACACAATCGTGATATTTTCGAGACTCGAGAGAAGAAGGTTGGTGCAATATTTGCTTTTCATTGATGCAAAAAGGTTGTCCGGTCCCGCTAACATCTTACATAGTCCAAAACATACCACTGGATCGCCTTTATTGGAGCCCAAGTTGTTTCCGAGATTCCTTACTTGATACTCTGTGCCACCCTCTACTTTGTATGCTGGTATTATACAGCGGGTTTTCCCAATGTATCCAGCATTGCCGGCCAAGTCTATTTGCAAATGATTTGTACGTTCTTTTCTGCTTCTGTAATGCGTGGCAACGCTAATAGATAATTCGTGAAATCTAGTTTACGAATTTCTCTATACGTCACTCGGCCAAGGTATTGCAGCATATGCACCAAATGAATACTTCGCCGCAGTTTTGAACCCTGTTATTATCGGAGCTGGAATGATCAGTTTCTGTGGCGTCGTTGTGCCTTACTCTCAAATGCAACCTTTCTGGCGATACTGGCTCTACTACTTGGACCCATTCACATATCTCGTGGGAGGTCTTCTTGGTGAAGTCCTCTGGGACGTGAAAGTCGAATGCACGGCATCCGAGTTGGTACACTTCGCCGCTCCTGCAAATCAGACATGTGGAGATTATATGGCAGACTTTTTGTCAACTGCTGCCGGATATATTGTGGATGCAAATTCGACAGACACATGTTCATTCTGTCAGTATTCCACGGGAGCAGATTATGCAAAAACTTTCAATCTTCAAGAAAAATACTATGCATGGAGAGATGTAAGATTTTCTTTCCGTTTGAATTATTTGCATTACTAACTCTTCGTCCTTAGACCGGCATTACTGCACTCTTCTGTATCTCGTCGTACGCTGCGGTATTTCTCATGATGAAGTTGCGAAGCAAAAAAACAAAGAGTGCAAGATCTGAGTAATCAATGAACAACTTTTGACAGCTACTAATAGCGGAAATATATGGATATTTGTAAAGGCCCAAAAAGGCCTTGGTGACCGCTCTGTGATATTATAGCGCACTGTCATTTAGCGAAAGAGTTATTACATGTGTGATCGTTACGGCATTTGATACATGATAGATCTCCATAATATGATAGAGAGACCACAGGGAATGCTATAGTGAATAGAGAAAATATTGATAGACAGGATTACCTCAATTAAATATTTTGAGCCAAAGCATATCGCGAGATGAATCGATTAGGGCTAGGGCTAGATCGATCGGACTAAACCACGGTTCTTCAATGACGTCATATAGCCGCCCAACTGGTTTGTTTACTTCTTTCATGCCTGGGATTTCTATCGAACTTGACTTCCTTGTGTCTGAATGAGATAGGTTAAAAGAGAAAGCAGGGAATTTCGATCACGAAAGGTAGGCGCACGAAGTGGTAGGGAGAAACCTGGACATATAAATTATGAGATCTTTAGCTGACTCGGCGATACACTCTTAAAGCTTAGTACGAACTCGCTTTCATCATCGATCAGCAAATCACCATAAATCCCAAATCATTGCAATGGCCTCCTCACAAATCGAACTCCCCGTAAACGGTACTCTCCCGACATCGTCGTCGTCATCTTCAACTTCAATCAAGGGGGGAGTGAAGGGAATCAAGAAACCTTGCTTTGGCTGTGATTGTGGTGATACGGAATGCGACTGTTGTATACTCCCTTGCAGTGTGATGTGAGAAGAGTATCGGGGCTATTTCGGAACGGTTTCTAAATGGTGTATCGCATTACAATTTACGAGGATGGAAACGACATAGACACAAGACTGTTCGGAAGTCAACGTTCCATGCCGTGTATGAATGTCAAACAGGTTTTTGCTATTATGAATATAATGATACGAGATAGAATGATAACTATTTTTTGAGTCTCATTCGATAGCTCGATGTTTGGCCAGACCAAGGGTCTAAGCTCACCAAATGTTAGGTGGAATTTGAAGAATAAGAAAGACATATGTAAAATAAAACCGACTTCATCTTCTGGTATATTGACGACATCTATTCAATGTTTGACAACATTCTCGACTCATTAATATTTTCAATACAATAGTATTCACACCTAAAGAGGCTCGGGACATGGACAGGCGACATATTGGAGAACTTTTTTGGCTAGCAGAATGCTTGTCACACGCAAAAGACAAGTTCTTAAAAATCTTTCTGCTTTCTAATATTGCCTAACAACCGGTGCAGGTCTGATCCTGGTGTCTTGAGCATCTGATATCATCTTGTGCCATGCATCGATTGTTTTCTCCCAGTCAAACTCGACATCACGCAAGTAGTCATCGAGGCGAGGTGCAGAAGAGCTCGTTTCGGTAAATTTCCTGTAATTTCTGTTGGCGCCTTCTATCACTCGATCAAACTTTACCTCGAAATCGCTTTTCCCATCTCTCTCCTCTCCCAATACGTCTGCATCTGAAGTGGCGACTAGGGAAGGGGGCCAACGCAGGAGAATGACGGCTAGCATAATAGGAATGGTGGTGCCAGGCCAATCGGGCGTAACGTCGAGAACATCGATAATGCCCTCAGCAAGAAACTTTGCACTAACCTGCTCATCATATTGATGCGTGGTATACCTGGTTGCAAATCGAGTCATATTGACTAAATCGGTGTGAATCCGAGTGAGGGTGTTTTTGCGATCCACCACAAATCTCAGTGCTTCTGTGGAAGACGTTTGAACATCTTTCAGACTTTGAATGTGCTTGTTGATATCAGTTCGATGGCTGTTGAGGTCTATGAGAGCGAGTTTTGCTTTCTCTACACGCCCGAACGCTTCATTGTACCGTGTTTGATGGGTAGCTTGAAGAGTCCTTTCTTCACCTAGCTTTGACTCGTTTGATTCGATAGATTTGGACAATGAAGCTCTCTTGCCGGCAGCGACTCCTGCACCAATACCAAGAAAGCCCCAAGCAAGTCCCTCTCCGAAATTCTGTGGCTTCTCTAGCCTCGTTCTCTGATTGAAATCCATCAGTAAGAGTCTGAAACAAATCGGAAATCGAAAGTGAAGTATACCTTGCTTCTAAAATTTTGAGTTTCCTGTGTCAGGCTGCTTATTTCGCTTTTAAGTGTCTCCAGCTCCGCTTTTTCAGAGTCCATCGTCTTTGTATCGGAGGTAAGGTTGCTTCTTTCATGTTCGCTTGAAGTATCAAGATATTTGTTGCCCTTTTCTGCTCTCTTTAGAAGGGAGTGCATTTCCTGCACCTTCTCGGCGATCTAAAATTCTGGGCGATCAGCGACAATTACTGTCACATCAGATATATTATTATTCAAGATCCAACTTACAGTCTCTTGATGATCGTCGAAAAGTATTCCCAGCTCGGAATGACCCTTCTCAACAAGCCCGAACAAATTTGTCGTCATATTTACTGCCTCAGTCAAAGAGGACTCATGCATACTAGACAGCAAATATGATCGTAATCCATCACGAACTTGATTGACCAGCGCCTCCATCTCAGGTGGAAAGGAGGTATATGCATGAGAGGCAGAGTCAATCAATCCCTCGAGCCCGCCTGGGTAGGTTTTGATGATTAATTGCAGTGATAGGTCAAGCAGTGAGTCATATACAGCATGTATCATCAATTCCGAACCGATTTTGATATTCTCGTTTTGTCTCTGTATTGTCGCGGATATGTTGACTCCTTCGGTAACCATTTGCTTCAGGGCCGCGTCAACTTCATCAACATCTTTCAAGCTGGACACATCCTCCACTTCTTTGTATTCAATTGCATAGTGACGGCGAAATACCATACAGCTAGTGGGTTTTTTAGAGTATAGATTCGCAATCGGATATTGCAAGAGGCTTGCTGGAACGAGCTTCTTTGTCCATGAGTTATGGCCTCCGCGAATAAGAGTAGCTCTGCCATAATTTCGTAGTATATGAGGGGTACGGACCTTAACGAAGTTCATTTTGAGCACAATTTAGTGTATATTTGAGACTTATCATAGTCGAAAGATGAGTGAATGAAATCTGGGCAGCATTGTCTTTATTCAATAGCCTTCCCCAGCGCGGATGCCCTTTTCCCCCTCAACACAACGAGGCATTTTTCTTTTTTCACCGTACCTTTCTGAACTCAATTTTGAGACAAAGAATGAGCTGAATATCGTATCAGCATTCGTCTGCCATTGGTCATTCAATGTCACCACTATACGAGACCGAGATCGACCGAGCCAAACAATACAATTGATGATGCCCGATATTATCTAGCAGAAAATTGAGGTCTGATAAATTGGATCTCCGGTCGGTCTAAATCTTATTTCAGCAAGCTGCTTAATCCTGATTTTGTCGTGCATGCAGGGATCGGCATGTCTCTTTCTCGTGGCACTATCTAGACACGATACACGGCAGCGGGCCGTGCGGGTATCGTGCATGAACGGTGGAGGCAATGGAATTCTATTTCGACGAATGGGGACTTATATGCGCACATTTGAGCTCGTATCTTCATCGCCTCTGAGCTCATTGTACGCAAGTCCCGCATTTCAGCCAGCTGAAATGAGGTCGAGGCGTCAGATAGTGGCTTKCGCTTCCTCTACTGCTTGACTTATTTGACTTCTTGTTGTGATATGTTCGAAAACTATTCGAGAAAGTCTGGGATTCAAAATCATGCTAGAGACGGAGATCATTAGGGGTGCCAGGTCATCTTGCAGAACGTGAGCTATTTAGAGAGCAAGGGTGGTCTTTGCTACCAAAGGATGATAGATTGGCACCATTTTCCATTGCTCGTCACGTTGGGTTGACTGCTCAGATGGGTATAAAGGGACTCATTCTCTCTATTCCGATTCATGTGTCTATATTTCCCATTCATAGTCAGGAAACTACCTAGGTAGTCAATCAATTACCCTCGCCGAAAACAAACATGACAAGTTCAACTCCGGGACCGGACACTTTGGGTGTCCTGATCACCAAGAACACTGCGACTATTTCGTCGTATAAAACAGGTTTATGATCTATTTTGAATGCTCATAGATAGTCGGAACTAATTAGGTACAGATCTACAGGCCAAAGCTCATGCCTCGAAACACGGATGGCTTGCTTACCTTGGAATGGCTCCAGTATGTTTGGAGCTTCTAGCATTGTGTACGTTAACAGCGGCACGAGACGATGCTCGGGGCATTCTATTGATACCCAACAAGAAATATGAATATCTCAAGGGGTATGAGCCATCACGATTGTCATGTGTATTGCAGTGTGGCTAACAAAGCATCAATTATTTCAAAAGAAATCTTTATCTGTCCACTTGCTTGATCGAAGTGGCAAATAGAGGTAGCACAGCCTTCGCAAACTGCAACAAGCATATGGAAGAGATTCGAAGCACTTCTCAGGCTGTCAAGGATACGGTACGCATTGAAAATGACATGATCTACTATCCGAACCAAAAGACTAACTCATTCAAAACAAGGTTACTATGATTGTCAAAGCACTGCTGCGAGGAAATCTTCAGCTTAGCAGACAGTTAGAAACACTGATTGATGCAGCCGAGACTTGCAAGAATGCCGCCGTAAAAATGGATGAGGAACTTGAGATTTGGAATAAATATGTCATGGAGCTACACGAGGCGTGTGATGCCACAGATCAATCGACCAAGAGCAAATATCAGATTGCTCTGAGTGATGAAAAGGCTCGTAAAGTTGAGCAAGACCTTATGAACAAAAGCATTGCCGACGCAGAGAAATGGGTCAAAGAGCGCGAAGAGCAAGTCAAGGAAATGAAGGACTTGGTTAAGGAGGAACTCAAAAACTATCCCACAGGGTACGTTTCTGAATTGGAGGCAATCGTCCTGTCGAATTGTGCTGATTAGTTTTACAATTCAGAAATCAATTGATGGTAATGGACCTTGTCCAAACACTTGGCAACGCCGCTGCTAGTGCTAGCAACATCCTTGCCGGTGCAGCAGCAAGCCGCATTGGCCGTGGTGCAGCGTTCAATATCAACACCAAAGATGCAAGCTTTTCCAGTGGCGGAGATCAAGGGAGTGAGGGAGACGAAGCCGCGGATGAGGTTGCTAATGACCCGGCTGCCACTCAGTTGCCCTTTGCTGTCATGGCTATGGAACAGCTTTACGGACTGGTCTGTGACAAGACTGGAGTCCAATGGGACCTCATCACCAACCAAGACTCGACCAGTGGTAAAGGGGGCCAGTTGGATCTCTCTGGAGTGGCAGGCTCTTTGAAGAGACGCCGCACATACTTGGAGAAAAATAAGAATACGAAGAGTTCCAAGGTTGGTAAGGCGCTATTGAAATCGATTGGTGAGGCAGAGACGGTAAGCTAGTTTCTTTCTTGAATTATGGTCTCTTATCTAATCTCATGTATGATTTGTAGGTTATCAGCGAGCTAAAGGTGGAGAGAACCAAAAGCCGCAACATGGGAGACACCTGGAAAAAGCCCGCAAAGGATTCCAAGCAGGTTACTGACTGGCAGGCGGTAGTCAAAAAGACGAAAAAAGACGTGCAGAAACTTGACACCAAGAACAAGGCATTAACCTCAGGAACCAAAAACCCTCCACTACCTGGCGCAAACCTCCAGGCGGCTGCATCCACTGGAAGCAAGACTGCTAGTCAAATGGCTGTCGAAACAGCTTCTTTCAAAGTATCTACGGCACGAGAAATGTACAAGTCCAGTCTCACTAGTGCCGACACTGCGAGAACTCAGCTTCTGTCATTCCAAAGCCAAATGAACAACATTAAGGCGGACCTCGACAGCTTGAAGGAGGACAAATTGACGCTAGTAAGTTTATTTTCGCTTCAAAAATCTACAACTTGCATGTGTTTGGACTTTCAAGATCAACCTAATCACCATTTTAGGAAGCAGTTAAAGTATGCCTCCGAAATTGCTTGACCTTATTGGTCGAGTTGAAAGATTGTATTTTGCAGCTCAGGCTCTTCTTCACCAAACTTTCTGTGCAGATCAAGACGCTAGTATCGAGCAACGTTATCCCATTCAAGGGCACAGTTCAAGATGCTATCTCTTCACCAAATGCTCTTATTGACCGCATGATCCTGCAGCAATATACTGTAGCCATCTGGGCCGGTTTCGACCAGTTCAAGGAGATTGCCGAATTCTATAAGAGTGTTCACGACCCTTATATCATTAACGGACTTAATTTGGTCAATAAGATGACTCTTCAAACCAACGTTGCTGCTGGGTATAAGGAGATCGAGACATACTCTCAAGCAAGCCAAGACGCAGTTAAGAACTTGATCAATGCGGTAAGTCTATCGTGAGATTCCTCACCATTCAAAGGTCAAACTAACGGTCCTTTAGGAAACGGAAAAATTCAAGACCAGGATTGAAAAGACATACAAGGAAATCATGGAACTTGAAAAGACGGCTCTCCCAGCGACAGAAGATGAGCAGAATCTTATCGGCAGTGCAGTCCAAAATGCGGAAGGTGTAATCAAAGATCAGCTAGACGCAAAGTCCGGCCCTGTTCATTACCTAGTACAACCCCGCGAAAAGCGAGATGAGCAAGCAGACAAGCTAGTGAGTTGTCATACTCACAATTTATGAAACAGGAGATCGGAAAAGCTAATAATCACGCAGTCCAATGCACTCAAGCCAGAGATATTGCAGCAGCAAGCCGACGCCTTGGCTGACGAAGGGTTCTTTGAACAGAACAGCCTTGAGTATCTAGGACTAGACGATTGATTGATTTCTAAGCCACACTACAGCGGAGAGGCTCGATTGAATGTTTTGTAGTGCGTAGGTGCGCGCCAAGTTGGCATAATACATATACTTACAAGATATTGAGCGTGGAAGACTCTAAGTTAGTTAATAAGTTCATAAAATAGGGAGGCGCCCATCAAATTAAGCCTTATAAGCCTTCTATAAGACTGCCACAAGATTACTGACTTATAATTTAGCTAAGTCTCGTTGTATATCCGTGCTATGATAACGGGTTGTCATCTTTTTTAATTACTGTAGGGCTTACAGAACGAATGTCTCAATCACTGGGCAATTACCGGCTAAGGGCCCGTCACCACGCTCTTAGAACAAACTACTATTTGCCGCTATTGAAGGAATTAGGTAGTTTTATATTGAAGTTTCAAGATTCTTTACCTAATAAGGCAACTTGCAATTTGCTTCCTTATTGAGCAAGCATTGAGGTCATAGCTACCTGTTTGATTTCTAACCTTGTGACAGCAAGTTTCTGTGGTCCTTAAAAATTCACTTTCAGATTGAGTAGGAGATTATTTCCAAAAATTGTTTGTATTAATGCCTAATAATAATTAGGTCTGCGGAGAATGGACGAAATATTCCTAATAAAAGAAAGAACCGCCATGATTTGAATACATACCCAGATATGAATTTGCTGTGTGCTATCCACCTGGACGGAGACATTTGTAATCATAAATGATTTACACGAGAATTTTCAGCGGCTTTCGATGTTATCCCACACGGCAGTAGTGGATCTGATGATAAATACTGCAAACGACGCCTCAATCCAGATCTATTACCCAGCAGTCTTTACGTAACAACTATACTTAATTGATGGTGAGAATTCAAAAAACACACGAGAGGAGAGGAAAAATCGGTAAGCAGACTGTTGATGATTTAGAGTTCATGGAACATTGCACAAAACAACGTCAACGCCCCTCCCACCCGGCAGTTCAACAAGACAAAACCTTGGAATCATCAAAATCTTTGAAATCATAGCTTAAAAATCAGAGCTATCATGTAATTTCAAATGGAGGACAAGTTTCATCAAAGCACTATAAATATGAACGTTAGGGTGCGTTTTAATGTAAATATCTTCTAGGAATCATTCTCTAATTCTCGTGAGGTATTCAACTTATTTTGTATCAAATTCGATTCTAGAAATTCTTCTCCAACTATAGTTAGATGAAAAATGGCACCAGCAAAGACCGTCAAGCAATGGACCGTCAAGGGAAATGTAAACGGCTTCGACGAGCTCAAGCTGGACACCGCCGCTTTCCCGGAGTGTGGTGAAAATGAAGTGCTGGTTAAGCTTGGTGCAGCATCATTGAATTATCGTGATCTCATGATTCCTAAGGCAGGTCTCAGCTTGCAAAAAGTAATGCAATATGAAGAGAAGTTGACTTACAAAAGTCTAGGGCATCTACCCTTTCCCAATCAATCTTCCAGTAGTCGCATGCTCCGATGGCGCAGGTGAAGTCGTTGAAGTCGGATCCAAAGTGACAAAATGGAAGAAAGGCGATCAAGTCGTGACACTCTTCAATCAGGGTCACCAGTATGGTCCTATGACTGTTGCTGCCGCTTCAACAGGTCTTGGAGGTGCGCTTGATGGTACGCTTCGAGAGCACGCCGTGTTCAATGAGAATGGTCTTGTCCGCAAGCCAGACAATCTAAACACAATTGAGGCCAGTACTCTTTCATGTGCTGCGCTGACGGCTTGGAATGCGCTATACGGCTTGAAACCGTTGAAGCCTGGTCAGACAGTCCTGGTCCTTGGGACCGGAGGGGTGTCCATTTTCGGTCTTCAGGTAGACATACCCTAATGAATCAGTGAAGATACCGAGGATTAAGAATCTCATATCATGCGTTCTATTTAGTTTGCCAAAGCAGCCGGCGCAAAGGTCATTGCAACAACCTCATCCGAAGCAAAAGCCGAGAAAATGAGAAAACTAGGAGCAGACCACGTTGTCAACTACAAGACTGATGCGAACTGGGGAGAAACGGTACGCAAACTTTCCGTGGGTGGTGAAGGTGTCGATCATGTCCTTGAGATTGGAGGGCCTGCTACATTGAAGGACTCACTCCGAGCCGTCAAGTTTGAAGGTGTAATTAGCATTATTGGACAGGTTGGATCTTCCAAGCGCGAAGATGTTCCGCAGATCATCGATGCGTTATCAAATGTGTGCATCTTTAGAGGCGTGTATGTGGGGTCTAGGGAGCAGATGGAAGATATGGTTCAGGCTATTGAGATGAATAATATTCATCCAGTGGTGGATGACGAGGTTTTCGACTTTGAAAAGGCTAGGGAAGCATATCAATACCAGGTGAGTGACCATCCCCTAAAATTTCCCGCGGAGTAATGAATAGCATGTTTGCTAACCGTACTTCAGTGGGATCAAAAACATTTCGGAAACGTTGTCATCAAGATCTAGTAAAGGAGAGCAATCATTGGACCGGCAAACCCGATTTATTGCACTTATTAATGTTTCGAAGCCAGGATGGCAATGATCCTCCTCTGAACGATGTACTGAAAGTCCATTATTGTTTCTATAGATATTCATTGGACGTCCCTAGGCGATTTAAGTTCCATCCGTCCAATTGCAATACAATCATATGCCATCATAACGAAAAAAACTTCTATACAGCCTCGGTATTATTTTTCTTCATACAGGGGAAGTCATTCATTCGAATCTTGAATGACTCGAACCCCGCAATCTATGATAGGTTCGTAGAATAGTACCTCGTTAAAAATCGACGATCTCGTACACCAGAGAAATTGATTCGTTCTACGGAACGTCGGAATCGTTTGCCATTTCCACTAGGAACATCCCTCGGTACGCCACGATCACAAGGATTATTGAAACCAAACTCAATCTAGATAAAGTGTTTGCTGAATATTTAGTTGGCGTTCGTTTTTAGGAAATTCAACGCGGAACTTTCTTTAACTTCTGAGGTTTGAAGAATCTCTGGATATCTACTCATGTCGTAAATGACATAGATTTCTGCCGCCAGCCTTGACTCGAATGAGTTTTAGACAGCATATTGATGAAAAATCATAAAGCCTTATTTCACCAGAATTATAAACCAGCATTGTAGATCTGCATGATGCATCTGACAGCCGTCAAACGTGCATGTCGTGTAACCCAAGCCAGGACTTCTACGAGCATAATGTGCAATGACGATATGGCTTCAAGCCAACAAAATGGGATTCTTAATGGCGTTAATCCGAGTACATCGACATGGATCATTCCTTGATTCTGTGGTGAATGCGGTGCCTTTTATTTTTCAACTGTGTACTAAGACTTCTTTTTAGATTAATATTTCCCATCTTCATCGGAAAATCCGAGTGTTCATAAGTGCAGATACCTAGGTACGAGCAAACTCAATTAAAAGATTTAATTTTGTCCTAAAACTAGAAAAAGATCTGAATGACTCAGGAGGTGTTCATCACTACCCCTCTCCTTTAGGCCTATAACGACAATCTTATCAGTACCCAACAAGCTACAGGCCCAGCCAACCGTGCCGAAATCCACGCCAAGTTTTGACAAGTGGGCAAAGGATTACTGGCGGCTTTTGTGGATGGCGATCTTATCTAGATTTCGGCCCTGATTTGGAGCTAATAGCCTAATGCGGCAATTCGAGGCAGGTGGCTATGGAGCTGTCACAGTTCACGGATTCATTTTCCTCCTTTTTCTCCAATCGGCTGTGGGGAATTGGATGTATCCCCTTGATATTGAGGTATAAGATATCTATTATTATCAAGGTAGAAGTGCGATGAACAGCAAATCAGGCCTCTACAAAGTCTACATTGTAAAAAACAAGGCATCGCTCTAGATCCAACGACTGAAATTCAGGGGGGACAATTGCGAGATTCAGCTCATCCTACCTAGGATTTATAATCGCTGTCTCCCTCGGTTTTTCGGAGTTGAGTGAAGCACTCATTCACCGCCGTCGGATCGCTGTACATCTGGTTATGCGCATGATATAGCGTCATCATGTATACACTAAAAAATCTTCCTAGGGCAGTCGCCCTGTCTGCATTTGCATTCTCAACCTTATCATCGGCGGATATATGTTCCACCGTCCAAACCGAAACAAACGCCGTCCAAGAACCTCTTTCCATCGCCTACGAGTCAGAACTTCAGGATTACTGGTCTGAGGCATGCTCAGCCCTACGGCCAACCTGTATCGTCTTCCCTACTAGCGCCGAAGAAGTATCGGAGATCATTGCCACGCTGCAAGGCACCGATGACCTCTTTCAGATCAAGTCTGGTGGGCATATGCCGAATAATGGGTTCTCGAGCATACAGGGTGGGTTGTTGATTGCGACCAAGAATTTGAATAATGGGGTTGCGTATGACGCGGAGACGCAGACGGCTAAGATTGGGCCTGGACTGACATGGTCGGAGACTCAGGATGGGCTTGCTGGGACGGGTAGGACGGTCGTTGGTGGGAGGTTGGGAGGTGTTGGTGTGGGAGGATACATCCTTGGCTGTATATTCTCCTGCAATTCTTTTATTATACCTAGTATACAACTGACGATCGAAAGGTGGATTGAGTTTCCTGAGTTCTCAATACGGCTGGGCAGCGAATAATGTGGTTGATTTTGAGGTCGTTTTGGCTAATGGAACAATCACTCATGCAAACAATTCGACTAACACAGGTATGTTATGTCTCAATCTATGAATGTATGAAGAGGGGCTCATGGAGTAGACTTGTTTGCTGCTTTGAAAGGAGGCGGAAATAACTTCGGCATCGTCACTCAATACACTCTACAGACACATCCTATCTCAGATCAGGTAAGTCATATATATGTTTCCTTATATGAATCTACTAACTTTTGAGAACAAGGTCTGGGGTGGTGTCCTCACATTCTCATACGATAAATCTTCTCAACTACTGCAAGCTATCCGCGATTTCACCGAATACTACCCCGATGACAAAGCAGCCATCATTCCTACATGCGAACATACTGCTCTCTTCACGGAGTGGTTTGTGTTCGTTTTTTATGATGGTCCTACTCCTCCGGATGGTATTTTCAATAATTTTACGGATATTGGAGCGGACCTAAACACGGCTCAGACGTGGGATTCGTATTATGACTTGGTATTTTCCGTCGATATGTTGTGCATCATTGGAATTGAGACTAACATAAGAAATTTAGCTTCAAGATAATGACAATTACGATTTACAGTGAGTTCTCATTTTCTCCCAGCCGAATTCGGTTCAGGATTACTCGACTAACGTTTCACAGCGGCCAACGCTATGCCATTGCCACAGAGACAACACCTCTACCCAACGCAACCGTGGGCGTTGAAGTAATGACAGCCCTCTTCGAGACATTCTACAACACCACATCCGAAGTGCTTCTAGACACAGGCGTGATCGGCACAATCGCATTCCAGCCTATGCCGCGCACCATCACCAGTAAAGCCATTGCTTTAGGCGGCGTACGTCTCAAACCCATTCCCTCTCAAAATTAAACATTGAAAATTCACCCAAGTCTAACTGGTATCATAGGACCTCCTCTCCTTCCCGGACACAAACGACTACATAATCATGGAACTCGACATCTCGCACTCCCTCGCCAGCGACGACGACACCACTGAAGCTGCCATTCAGCAGCTCTACACCGCGCTAGATAACCATATCCAGAACTTCATTGCTGAAGGCGTATTGCCAGACGTGTATAGGCCATTGTTCATGAACGATGCACACGGAACACAGGATTATTGGGGTCGAATCAGTACTGCGGATGAGGCGAGAACAGTTCGGGAGAAATATGACCCCGAGCTGTTTTGGCAGAAGAGAACTAGTGGTGGATTTAGGCTTGGGTAGGCTGGTTGACATCGGTGTACATATACTTATAGTACAGAAGCTATTACATGTAGGCCTCGCCCCTCGGCAACAGCTAGCTGCGAAAGGTTGTGTATGTGACTGGCGGCCTCTACGGTTGCGTATGTAGAATGCGTGAAAAGGACATAAATTTTTATAAGAAGTGTGGTAATACTTAGATAACTAATGCGAGATAGTTAGATGGTTGTCAGGAAAAGGTTTTGCTCACATGCCATGTCCAACCCTAAGCAATCAACAATTGCCGTGTTTGGATATTCTCCTTAGTTTCCCTTTTCGCACGCATGCTACGTATTAGCGTAAGTAGTTGTTTCGTCTTGAAATGAAGGTAAAAGCGAATTAGGAACTGCACAAGATATCATTGAATTGATGTTGGGCTTCCACCCGTGTCTAAATGTATGAGTATCAGTATAACTGACAATTAAACAATAAAGGTTTTAGATACAAGTAAAATACATATTAAAAGTTGTATCGCGCTGTTGCCACAATAATGATAGATCCACTTTGTTAGCAATTGCAATGCATACACAACGGAAAGTGTATCGCTTAACAAGTGTCATCAGGAGGAGTGGTGTCACTTTCTTTCTTCAACAACCACAGGTAATCTCCAATTGAGCCATCATCACCACGAACGAACTCCCATTTGACGGCAGTCTCGTTGAAAACGGTCATCTTACTGAAACCGTAGTGAGTTTGGTCAAGAAACGCGGTGATATTCTGGACTTTCTGGCTGGAGCTCAATGTGCTGTGGCTCTCAATGTTACCTGCCATGCCGTTGACGACGTGGGTAATGGCTTCACCGGGGCTGGTGTAGTAGGTGTGGTTGTTGACGATGGCAGATTCAAGAACGGTGCCATTGGCGGTCAGAGGGAACATACGTTCATACCAGTGAATATGACTGTGACATGTTAGTCGATTGAAAAATCAAAATGGCGAGGTACTAAAACTTACCCAGAAAGATAAGCATCAACCTGGTGCTCCAAGAGCAGCTCCTGCCAAGCATTCTTGATATTGGTCATGTAGGATGAGAAGGCAGAAGAGTACATAGGACGGTGAGACATGACAAAAACCCAGGGAGTAAGGGAACGGTCAACCTTCTCCAAGTCTGCCTTGAGCCACTGGTACTGCTCGTAGGCCTTGTTGTCGCTATAGTTACTAACACGGCCAAATGGACCACTATCGGTGATGTAAGTTTCATTTTCCTTGGGATGAGTCTCATTGCCCTTGAGGTCGCGAGCAAACGGCCATTCGGGACTGTTGACAAAATCGGTTTCACCATCGAGAGTAATGAAATGAGCCAGACCGTAGTCGAAGGAATACCAGAAGTTGCCAACACCGCCGGTTTCATTGCCGGGATTCCAGAAACGATGCTGGTAAGCAGTGAAGTTTCTACGTCGGTGAGTCAGCAGCTTGAATCAAGATAGTAAAATTTTCTTACCTCTGAGAAGGAGGGCAGCTGTAGTAGGTGAGTTCAGCCGAGGCTGCAGTGCCATTGAGCTCGCCGCTATCCAACAAGGCGGTCAGAGGGTTGCCGGGACCATCAAACTCTGCGCAAGCAGCTTCGTGGTTTCCGACAACGGTCATGTAAGGAACCTTGGTAGTAACGTTCAAGAGCCATTGTTGCCATAAATCCCAGTTAGACTCGTACAGCACACTCATGTCACCACCGTAAGGACCACCTTGGTTAGGAATTTCACCCTCAGGCAAAGGGTCGTTGTAAGAGTCCGGATAGTCACCTGCGGGGAGGCTTGAGCTTGTTCCGTTATAACACACTGGCCAGTCATCCGCACAGGGCAGGATACCAGAGTACCAATCGTCGGCATAACTCAAGTCACCACCGTGCCAAGCAAACGCAGCCCCGTCGTCGACGGCCTTTTGCAATTGTTTAAAGGTGCCGCCGGCATTTGTGTAACCCATGTCATTCAAAACAGCCAGAGAGAATTCACCGGGTGTACCGGCTGGGCGGGATGTAGTGAAGGTGAGGACGTCGGACTCGGTTGTGCCATTGGCCGCTGAGATCTTGTAGTAGTACTTGGTGCTGGGCATCAAGTCACGTAGCTGGACCTCGTGAAAGAACTGACTGCATTGAGTGATAGCAGCGACGGCGGAGCAGGGAGGAGTTCGGTCGTATCTTATCAGCCAAGGGTTAGTCACGATTGTCTATTCGTATTGAAAACCTCTACATACGTGTGAGAGTAACCAGTAGCAACTTGATGCAGCTTCTTTGGATCAGTACCATATTTGATCTTGGGGAGCTCTCCCAATCCGAACGGAGTTTGGTAATGAACGTTGATACCCTTTGGCATAAAGGACAAAGAGATGACATTGATGTTATTGGTAGGGTTCTTGTGCTTGGGTTGCACAGCAGGAGCCTCAACTAGACGCGGGAAGCCCTTTCCATTGCCATTGACGGTTGGGTCGACCCAGTCACCGACGGGAATGGCAGGACCATTGTAGGGATAGGTCTCATCGACATCAGGTTTAGGTGCGGCATTGACAGCAGTGAAAGTCGTGGCCGACAAAGCGGCAAGCAACGCGGAGGCAGTGGTGGCCTTCATGATGTCTGAACGAGTGACTAAGATGCAGCTGCTCGGTGAAATTTCTCCTCGTGAAAATTGAGGAGATATATAGCTGTCCAACGGTCGGCGTCCTCCGTCGAGCGTTAGATTAAATGTTGGACAAGCACTCTAAATGAGTTATTACATCGTCCAGGGCTGGCGCTGTGCCTGGCCAGTTGCAACGTCAACAAAATCCGCATGGTGGCATCTTGCATCAGAGGCTGATCCATCCGATAAACATGTGATAAACAAACAGGCTATGATTGGTGCGAGAGTGTCGAGATTGAGATTCGAGAATTCCAGCTCTTTCCTCTATCCAGCCTAGCGTTACCCCACGCGCGGATCGACTAAGTCTTTTCGGACGCTCTGGTAGCACTCTAAGCGTGCAGGGCAATCTGATAGGCCGGAAGGGCTGGGCTTCATCTGGCTAGACAGGGGGAAATCATTGAGAGGAGAAATCAAGCGACATGGCTTTGAGGAAGTTGCAGCAATACGAGGATAGTTAGAATTAGCAGATGGAAAGTCGAGGGTTGATCAGGAACAAGTTGGGCAAGTACGATGCGGTTAGATTGTACTATGTAGATTGGACGTACATGGTAATCAAGGAAGGTGCGGGCGGCGGCCCGGAAGCCAGCCCAAGAAAGGAAGGAGCCAACTGGGCTCATAAGTCAGCCAATCATGCTCTGCTGATTGATCATTCAAGATGGGTCAGCTTCTAAACATTATGATAGGCCAGCTTCATTAGTCATCCCGCGTGCCAAGCTATMCCTTATTTGTCCTAGGCMCCTGCCACAATCCTCTCGTTGGTTTGCTTCGCTGCAATGTTTACACGTATTACAGTCACCGTACCATAGGCGAGACCTTTGAAGGGTGTCAACAGAAATCAAAAGAAAGAAAAGACGCAAAAAATGCCCGCTCGTAAAGGCGGAAAGATCATCTTGAACCCGCCTACCCAAACAGAAATCGTCGAAGACGAGACGATAGAAGACGACGAGAATATCTGGTCACCACTCCAGGTCGCCTCGCGCGATGGCAACCTCGAAGAAGCGCGCAAATTGATTGAATCATTGACATCAGATGAAAGTAAAAAACATATTATCAACGAGTCACCGCACGGCTGGTACGGCCAGACAGCATTACAATCCGCCTGTGCCAATGGACATTTAGCTATCGTCAATCTACTACTGGATGCCGGTGCCGAAGTTGATGCCCCAGGCGGAAATAATGGTGGGCGTACCGCCTTGACCCTTGCTGCCATCAACGGTCATCTACCCATCGTTGAGCGGCTAGTCGAGGCGGGKGCTAATGTGAATATTCCCCCACACAAATATTATGGCAGGACGCCTTTACAGGGTGCTGCTGAGCATGGACATGTCGAAATTGTCAATTTTCTCATCAGCAAAGGAGCAGATATCAATGCTCCCGTCGCAAATAATGCTGGTGTTACAGTTTTGACGGGTGCAGCTTCAGGCGGACATGTTGCCTTGATTGACATGCTAACCGAGAAGGGAGCCAACGTGAACCCCCCGTTGATGCGATATAAGGGTCTGACTCCTCTTCAGGCAGCTGCTTATCATGGTCATATGAATGCAGTGGAAAGGCTACTCCAGGCCGGCGCTGATGTCAATGCAGAAGGGTGTCGCTACAATGGTTATACAGCGCTTGCGGCGGCTGCTGAGCAGGGACATGCTGATATTGTTGAAAGGCTGCTTGATGCTGGGGCTGATGTCCTGCAGACATCTGGAAATAAGCATTGGACAGCATATCAGTGTGCATACTTTGTTGGCCAGCAGGATATTGCGGAGCGTTTATGGAAATTGGAGAGAAATAAAGCTCCATCCTAAGCATCACTCGATCTACATGACGCCTATGAAATATAATTGCGGCACTTATATCATGATATTTATTTTCTCCACGCCTCACAGCATGTTTCATGTACACATAATATCGCCAACATCACCAACCCCCCTTTCGCCAACATTCAAAGCGACTCAATCAATAACCTAACCGCTCGCAATAGCCTTGAGCTGGGACAAACCACCATTGAAAATATCCGAATCACCACCATACGTATAACTATCTGCATTCTGCCAAATAGTCTCGTAACCCCAGTTACCAGGAATGGTTCCTGCAGAACTACCATACCTGGCCAACACCAAGGGACAAGTGGAACTAAACGCCGTCGAGTCACCAGTACAGGTCGTCCACCAATCATTCGTGGTATAAATTAAAGGATAAACACCCTCCGAGGAATGGTAGGTATTGACAAAGTCACTGATCCAGCTCACCATCGCGCTGGCCGAGAGACCATAACAGGTTGCGCCGCTGGGGTTGTATTCGATATCTAGCATACCGGGCAGAGTGATTCCGTCGCCGGACCAGCCGCCGCCGTGGGCGATGAAGTATTTTGCTTGAGTTGCGCCGGAGCTGCTGTCCGGGTGTGCGAAATGGTAACCGCCGCGGATGAAGCCGGCGTTTGTGGCGCCGGTGTAGTGGCTAGAGAAGGTCGAGTCAATGTAGTCAGTGCCTTCGGTTGCCTAGTTGCCTATCAGTTCGATGGTCCGTTGTGCTAGGAAGATGAGGGATGTACCTTAATGATAACGAATCTGGCACCGGAGCTGTACGCGGCACTGAAGTCGACGCTGGGTTGGTAGCTGCTGATATCGAATCCTTGAACGGTAGCCTTTGCAAGGCCAATAAGGGAGGCCGAAACGGCCAGAGTAGATACAAGCATATTCATGTTGGATGATTTTTCAATTTTGCTTTGAATAACTGAAAACTTGAACGGTTACTAGTGTGATATACAACCTCTAAGTCAAGCCTTTGAAGTGTGACGGGACTCTTATTTATACACGTCTCCAGCCACCCCATGCTATGAATAAACTACTAAAGTCGGTAACCCATTCGCAAATCGAATATCTAAATGATCCCTTGCCTTTGAAAACCCTAGTCCATACCCCAAAAGCAACCCATTCAGCGAGAATTACATCAAGCCATCTACTAATGAACTCCGATCGACAACGCCACTCGCTTATGAAAACTTCACCATGTAACGAAGCCATGGATTTGTTTGGCTGATTGATGTACCTAGCTAGAAAAGTACAAGATGCAAACAACGAGTATCCAATCATTTCGGCATATCAAACACTCCGTAGTAGATTAAAGATGACGATCAATTTGGGGCTCAAAGTTTACCCACTGGTCAACCTAAGGTTCGACGCTCAAGATTGAGGGTTCAAGGGTTGCTCCACTTGAGTTAATTGATCCATGGGCAGGGATATGCTTAAAATATAGTAATACTACAGCCATGAGGTCCATCAATGGATCGTCAAGTTTACGGGGATCTACGAGATAGCATTTCAATACGAGGTGATCATCTATTTGCTGACGAGATACATCTACCTGCATACATATCATTGGCTCGTATTTGATGTCAATAAGTCAATGCATATTGCAGATGATCATATCGGTGATCAATTCGGGACATATTTTTAAATCATTATTAAAAAGAAATTAGAAAGTGACGGTCCTCCAATCTCCTGGGCGAAAATACGATGTCCTGATGTTTCGTCCTGAGAGCGAAGGTAGTTTACAACATTGTGAGCTATACTGTATACGGAAGGTACATAAGAGTCCATCCTAGTTGCCGTATAGGGTAAAGTGATGTAGCATTTGCTTCATATGCTAGAAGCGTTTCAATGCAGATACTCGGGATTCAGTTGGTATTTAGTGCTAATCGAGGTGTTTACCCTTCCTTGTCAGAATCACTCTCGTTTCGAGATTTGAAGAAATGAAAGGGGTCGCGGATAAGCGCTTTACTGAGATCAAAGCAGGCAATATGTTTAGTTTCAAAATTGAATTAATCAAGTACTTGAAATGTAAATCATTGGTGTTTTCCAATACCAAAATTGAAAAGATGTCGATGAAATTCCCATGTTCCTTCCCATACCCAAGTAAATACCATATTAACAAGAAATAATCTATAAATGATAGTAAAATAACAGAAAAGATCGGCTCAAAATGTCTAATCCAAACGAAGAGGATATAAAAAAAAATCAAACGAAAACGCTCGAAAAGCGAAAGTCAAGATGAAATAGAAATCAATGCCATGAGGACGGTCCAAAAGTTTGACCAGGCGCCAATGATTTCCAGGGGGTACCGAGACCATCTGCGGTCTTTGCATAAACAGTGTTTCCCCACCACTGCAGGGTACCGCCGGGGAGAACGATGCAGAGGAAGATGATGACAGTGGAGACTGCGACGCCGCAGTCGAGTGCCGAGGCGAGGATGTAGTCTGTAAGACCCCATTAGTTCTAATGTCTGAGAGTTGGACTGGAAATGGGAAACTCACTATATTTAGACCACCAAGCTCCTCTCCTGCGCTTGATAATACCATTGAAAATGGCATTGAACGCAAACCACGACGAAAAATTGATACCCGTAGCAGGCGGTACTAGACTCATACCACCAAACACTACAGGCCAGGCAATGTAGTTAAAGAACTTCCATTTACGTCCTAGAGCCCATGTCAAAAGGACAACCAGGGGTCCAACGAGGAAGAACCAAAGCAAATTTCCGTAGATCTGGCCCGGGGAGAAATTACGCCCGGGGCCCAGGGCGCCCCAGATAAGAGAGGATGAGTAGGTGACCGTTCCGTGGGGGCAGGTGTACCCGCCAGATTGTTTGGAGGTGCAGACGTTGTCAACGCCTTCGAGGATGCCGATTGTGAGGCCGGATTGGACTAGGGCTCCGACTAGCGTAGCGATGCCTTGGGCGAAAAAGACTGTGCGAGGGGGGATGTGGAAGTAGTGGCCAAGTTTTTGGTCGGCAATGAACCTACAATTATTAATAAAATCCAAAAGATGGATAGAACGAATCCAGACTTACTCTAGTCCTTGCGCAACACCGGCATAACCAAGAAACTTGAACGACATATTGGCAATAGGTGTGCCCAAGAAAGCATATCCTCCAATGAACTCGGTGATCAGGTTGATTTCATTGGTGCTGATATTAGTCAAGGCTTTGATGATGCCAATTGGCAAGAAATACACCAGAGGCAACAAGAAGCCTAGAAGAACAGCCCACACTGGCAAGCCGGTATGCCAGACTTCATTGACAATAATACTCAACACCCACATACCCAAGGTAATACTAGCAAACCACCACCATGGGACTTGTCGATAGCCTTCGTTAATTCGAGCATGTACATCTTTCTTGCCATTGCCTTTCCAAATAGTCCAGATCTCTTTGCCATGGTAAAGGGCAATATGCACAAAGATTCCAGTCAAATTGGCAAAGGCAATACCGTAAGTCAAAGCATAGCCGGCAGGAAGGAACATGGGCGAATATTTTTCGTATTTCTCCACGTTGACAGTGGCATCCGCATTCATAATCCTAGATGTGTTGTACGATTTTCCGGTATTGTCGAATGTGTTCGAGCTCATCATGGGCATGTATGCAGAATACCAGGTATTGGTGTAGTAAATAATAGGGCAAATCAGCCAGTAGAAAAAGACGAACCCGAATATGACGTTGACACCAGCCCAGAAAGGAGTCAACAAAGGGTTGGCATTGGCGTAGACAACCTGAGCCCAATCGAATGTCAAAACGGACATTCCCAATCCGCTGACTTGGCCAAAAAGCTGGTTGACCACGACGTTGTGGGGAACGATCCAGCAGATAAAGCTGAAATAGCTCAATGCCTTGAAGAGAAATCCGGGAAGGAAATACCAAACAAATCCTGCTGAAAATACGATAAGGAAGAATTTCCGGCGCGATATAGTCCATCCATCTGCAAGAGCATTCGTTCTAGAATGAAGCGCCATCAAAAGCGCAGAGTTTGATAGAACACTAGGCCAAATCATGGCGGCTGGCTGAACGAGCCATCTCTGAAATAGACCTGCAAGACCGAAACCGAACAGTTGTGTCGCAATTGTGAACAAGATACCGAAGCCGGGATTGTTGCCGAGGTTGTAGAACTTGACCATGGCTTCGATGACTTGGGTTGCGGAAGCGGACCCAAAAGAGACATTGGCCATGATGGTGATGAGAGCATGCTCTTTAATATTGAAGTGACGATCCGGATTCAAGATGCCGATGGGCATCACGCGAGCCCATGCGACGCCTACAGGATATGCGAGCAATTGACCGACAAATGCCGAGATGGTGACACTCGGTTGGCGCAAACTGAATAACTGATTCAAAACGCTTCCAATCTTTCGAATCATTAGCTAACTTTTTGCTCAGCACAAAAGATTTGATATACTCACGATAGTGAACAAAAGACCAATCACCCACATGCGCACTGTGTTGGTAGGCGTGGTTGGATCATCTTTAGCTGGCACAACAGCGCGGACCTCTGGGTATGGCGAATCGTTCGCATCATAGTCGAGGGTCTTGCGAGCCTCATCATCGTCAATGATCATCTCATCGCTGCTACTGCTACTGTTGGGATTGTTCTTGTCGGTTGGCGAAGTCGCTTCGTGACTCGTTTGTTCCTGAAAATTGGATACAAAGAAACGTGTCAATCAAACGCATTGTTCTTGTTATTTCCGGAGCTGTTCATGCAATGCAAGCAACGAAATTGTTCTCCGTATATGCATCTGCAGATCACACAAAGAAGATAAAGCTTGTCATACCTCGTCTCCATTGTCCCGTATTCCCTTTTCTGGCGGCGGGGACGTCATGATCGACTGCGAAGCGATTTTCTCATCCATGGTTTGTCACACAGCTTGTATTTTGTGCAACATCAGAGTGCGTTCCTCAAACTTTCGTTCCCAACCTCGAGTATTTATACGTTATATCCGTATATATACAACAAGATATTCAAAGCGTGGCCGGAGGGTTACGGCCCATTCACCCGAAAAGCAGGGGAGGAGATAAGAAACAGAAACGAATTGGCGAGCACAAACCACACCACCAGGGCAGGAAGAAGCAATTAAAGCATACACAAAGAACTGCAGTACAGCTCGCTCTTTGAGGATGAGCGGATTAATAGTCAATGGTTTTAAAAGGGTGAAGCTGCAAGTAACAACCAGGATTAGATTATTGTGCATGGTGTTCTAGCTCAAGTACCCCGAACACGCGGATGGCTTGAGTCCAGGTCCTCGGTACTTGCCCACATGAGTACAAGGTAACAGTTGTGGCGTACTGTTTGATACGGTATTGGAACGAAGGAACCAGTCATACGCGTCCAAGACAATACAAACCATTTCAATAATTAACCCACGAGCCGAAGAGAGAGCGGCCAAGTGGGCCTCAACGCATCTAGTCGCGGGTGATTGGAAGGGACGAAAGTCGGACTCGAAGGATCGGTCGATGTTATCAGTGTCATCCAATCATGTCTTGTCCCGACCGCTCTTTCTGCTCCACCACGGTTCAATGCGGGTCATAGCGGGCTGATGCAGATAAAACGCCCCACCGTTACAGAACCGTTTGTTGGCGTCTCAACTCCGTACTACGCCGGATCTGTGTTTAGCGGGACAGACACGTCTTGCCAACAGTCACATGATTTCCCAGTTGAGTTTCCTGCAGAAATTTCTTGTGCCTCAGGCAGAAACCAACCATTTATGAAACAGGCCAAATCCGTCCATTTTGAAACCGACCGGACATATAGAACGGATTGTATAGAAACGGTGGAGCTAGATCACCGATATACCATTTTTATCAATCATTCGACGGAAAGATTTTCGTCAAGGCGTATCTAGTCACGTACGCAACAGCGAGTACAACTCTGCAATTTATCTCAACACCACCATTTTCAAAGCTCTCTCCTCCTACTCGACAGGAAATATAAAATCCCTGCTTCAACGGCAAACTCGGATGGGAATCATTGGAGTAATTAATATGACATGCATCGGTTGTGGCGGCGCCCATACAAGGATTTTTCCCTTCGCTTCCGTCGCTCTCGATCTAGTTGCGTAGTCGGCTTTGTTTTCGCTCCTCGCACCTGCTTATTAGGGTACTTACTCCGCGGATTGACCACGCAGGGCTCTACGCGTATGCATAGATGCTGTACGTCCTTAGTAGATATACGTTTGAAAGTTGCCGTCTAGGGATGTTGGGAGCGGATGTCACCGCTTTTGTGTCATGATCTTCGATTCTCATTTTTAGTTTGAGAAGACCCCGTTTGATTTGTAGCTTATAAATGTCACCGACAGGGATCAAATCGGGGCCTCGGCTCCTATCCCGAGCATGGTAGTAAGTAGCTATGGTCATGCTGCCATATGATGAGTACGTCGTTACGGCTACTCGCCAGAGAGCTATGAAGTACCTTTGGGTGCATTTCTACATAGATTGCATTCAATACGTACTTGAAAATCTTGTTCAGTCTTGAGTCCTCCTGAAAGTCCATATAAGGCCAAGACTCCCTCGCTCAGGCCTAAACCCAGTGCCCACTTGCCCGTATTTGTAGTCGTTCCCGTGTCGCTCATCACCATAAATAAAGAAGGCCGTGCCGACTTGTATACTTCCGATCCAGTCATGATTTGCAGATATTACTACATCCGGTAAAAAATTTTGAAGATACGCGAGGCCATGTGTGACTTTTGCGGCTTGCCTGTGCACATCAGGCGGCCCAAGCCGCTGTCTGTTGTATCCAGTCAGCGTTTACGACGCCTTAGGGCTTGATGAATGATCATTCGACCATTCGGGACTGGCCAATGCCGTGAGTTCCTCCCGGTGAAACAAAGTTGAAGACTGAAATAAAGTTAGGTTTAACGTTGAGGATGGGTTCCATGGCTCTCATCGGCTCGGGTAGAGGCACACTCGCAGATACCGACGAAGATGACAGCATTCTTTGCCAGTCTTGCCATATATTAAACAATAAATGATGAATACTACCGTATATCGTATTTATAGCCAAGTCATAAGCCACCACGGAATGACCGGTAAAAAATTGAAGCGCGGGGTCAATGGAGGAAAGAAAGTGGGTTGAAGGGTTTTGCTTGGTTTTTCTGCAGCCTTTCGTGGAACGGCGGGKAGAGCCGACGGGCTATGGAGTTTATGGCTGGCCATGGGAAAGGGATATATAGGAGTGCATTTTGCAATTAAGTAATTTCGAAGAATTTTCGGATTATTCATACTTGTTTATATATACATACAACTTCTTTGCGGCTGCGTGATCCTTTTGGGAAGTTTGCAGAGGCAGATATAGCATATCGTCATACAGACGACTGGGTGGCCAATTTAGAGATCTTCAAAAAAGTTCTCTATATCAGTAGAAAAACCTAGATTTTCCACGACAAAAGCACCGGAAAATCAGCACCGGAAGGCCAGAAATCAGACTCAAACAGCCTTTGAGTCATTTCATGGCTATTAGGCCTATCATGCCAACCCCGTTTGCGCAACGACCCGTCATAATCCTTGGAGCAGGCATCATCGGCTGCGCCGCAGCTTACCAGCTCCTTCAAAATGGGTTTCAGGTGACCCTGATAGGCGAGTATCTGCCCGGAGACAAGAGCATACTATACGCTTCGGCTTGGGCAGGCGCTGCGTGGCACGCAGCAGCAGGTCTGGATGGAGACCAGAAATATATTCAGGCCGTTACGCATCGACATCTGCTGAAAATGGCATTGGATGATTCTTCATCCGGTGTTTGTGTTGTAAAGGGCAAGGAGTATCTCGATCAGGTACCGGGAAAGAACTCGTCGGCGTGGGGAAAGACCGTGTTGAAGAATGTGAGCCTCTCGCTTCTTGTACCCAATTGATCGATCATCGTTTCTAACAAGTGGACATAGTTCCGCACACTGAAACCAGGCGAATACCCAGACATCTTCGCCACAGCCTGGGAATACGACTGTCTTGTAGTCGATCCCACCCTACACATGCCCTGGATCGGCGCCAAAGTAGAGGCCCTAGGCGGCAAGTTCGTGCGCCAAAGGGTATCCTCTTTGGGTGACCTGTACAACATGTACCCCGAATCGAGCGTGTTTATCAATGCCAGTGGATGGGGTAGTAGGGACCTTACAGATGTCTTGGACTCGAAATGCTTCCCCGACCGAGGACAGAACGTGCGATTGAGAAGCCCGACTTATGATACGATGTATTTCAGGAATGGGAAGGAGTACACGTATATTATTCCGAGACCGATGTCGGGACACATTGTGCTTGGGGGGCACAATTCAAGAGACAACCTGTAAGTTCCCCTGGCATTCACCAGGAAGGAAGGTACTGATAGAAATGATAGGAGCGGCGAACCAGACATGGACGTCGTCCGTGACGAAATCCGACGTGCTCACGACCTCGTCCCGGATCTTGTGCCCGCTGAACCCGCAGAAGAAGATATCAGCTACATAATCGGCATCAGGCCGGCACGCGAAGGTGGATTTAGGCTCGACTCACAAAAGATTGGGAACCGCATCGTGCTCTCGGCGTATGGGTTTGCGGGTGGTGGTTATGCGTTTAGCTACGGCATTGGTGATGCTTTAGTTAAGATGGTACAGCAGGCGGAGTTTGATAATGTCATCATACCGGAATAGGATATTGAAGGTCTAGATGGCAGGATGTTTGATTGCATTTAAATGCGTTTTTGAGTCTGCATAGCACTTTTTATATACACAGTCTTAGAACAATAATAAGTCTAAAGTACAGACTAGCATGAGAATTTAACCCATAGTCTATTGCATTATGCCACTATGTACTATAATAAAGGCCTTATTGACCAGGATAAGCGTCGATCCGGAGTATACTTTTTCCATCACAGGAGCGTTTACTTTAGCTGCGATTCCTATGGACGTGTTGTATGAAGAGAGATTCTAGATATGTTCAATATCAACTCTATATTGTACCTTGGTCAATATAAATTATGCGAAACTCTTCGGCATGTTGTTTTTGTGAGCACATGTCTGCACCTCCTATGGACAGAAAAAATCAAATGTAATTACGGACAGAATGAATGTTTACTAGGAGACGGAAAGAAATAATGACACACATACAGTCTGTTGCCTTGAGTTCCGAAATCGTTGCCTAGGAAGAGGTATTCGAGGAGCAGATTTCCCTGCTTTCCGAGAAACAACCTTGATATTATAGCTACAAAATCTCATGACACACTTATCGATCACAACAACATGTAAGAAGGAGCCGGGTCGTACGTGCCTAATCTATTCTTCCACAATCACACCTTCCTTGGCGCAATTCACGTTCTTCTTATTACCTGGGATTTCGTCATTATACCCTCTTCTTCTTTTCTCTCTTCCTTGTCTTCGTCGACTTCGTTTCTATCTTCATACTGCAAAGTTGAAAGTTTTGTACTTGGTTTTGTCTTCTTTTAGCCGGTCTATTCATTCTTTGGCAAGTTGATTTTTCAATAGGGACATTCTATGAGGAGAGATCCACGCGATTTCTCTTTTTTGCAGCTCTACGTATGTTGCTCGTAGAGTCGAACAGAACAGATTGTGGAGAGTTCTTGAATGTGCTTTGTTTTATGTATCTAGTTACAACTGTATTTATGATATGATGTTCCTGGTTGAGTGTTACTCACAAATTTTACAGTATAACCAGTCTAAGAAACTGGAGGAACTCTAGGACTCGACTTCAAAATTTCTTTCCCTTCCTCAAAGTCATCAATTCTTCCATCTTCATCCCACAACGCTGCCAAAACAGTCCTCTGGCCCGTCCAGGGAGATCGAGAGTGCATAACTGCATAGTTCTATCCACATCGTCAGCAAAAACCATCAAAACACCATGCAATGAACAGAAAGAACATACATCAAGTAACACAATATCACCCTCCTGCCAAGTCAGCAGAAATTGCGATGATTCCGCCAACGAAAGCGCCAAGTCAAGGTATTTATTCTCAATAGGTGTTCCGTCTCCGTATGTTGGTAGGGGATGATATGAGCCATCGTCACCCAGATAGGGAGGCTCTGTAGCACCGTGGTGTTTGCTTCGTCCATAGGCGCTGGTTACGTTGCCAAAGAACGTTGTTAGGCCGGTTGGTTGGTGTTTTCGAATTACTAAATCAGTCGGCAGATAAGATATCAAGATGGATAACAAGAAAGGGGAAGTCATACCAGGAACGATATGGGTAACACTAATCGATCCGTCATCATGCCACTCGAAACGGTTACTATGCCGTCTCACCTCAGCCTCGACTTTCTGACGAGTCGTTTCTGGGCTGTCCGAAGGAAGAACATTTTGTCCATATGCATCGAATAGACTTGTCCCGGTGTTAGACTTGACTTCTTTGACACTGTAGCGATATACGTATTTTACGCCCTTGACGAGCAGTTTTTGGTAGAATTCAGGGGCTTGGTATTGAATTGCGGCTGCAAGGTCGATGCTTGAGTTTATAGGGGTTTGGCCGCCTGGATCAGGTTAAATACTGTAAATCATATAATATGACCCTGAGGCAATACCTGAGTTGGGTGTCTTTAGAGCCGAGAACATGATCCATGCGGGATTGATGGTCGACCATCCATATTCATTATGCGGCCAGATTGGGAGTTCCGGTGGACTTATTATCGTCAGCCATCTTCCATTTGCAGAAATTACAGGAAGCAAAATACCCCTCATTCGCAGTCTTAATATTCGGTGCTAAGGCAGTACGAAGCGGTGGCCTGCCCACTTCTTCATGAGCCTTGAAGCCAAACGCATGCGCTATCTTGCTATAATCATCCGGCGTCTTGATCGGCAGGCCACGAATGAGAATTGCGCCGCCATGTTGTTGGACAAGATCGAGAATTTTGTTTTCTGAGCGAAGCTCTTGTATCGCGATCACTGCTTCTTGGACAGTTGGGCTCCAGTTATCCTTTGTTTTGAGGGCGAGGGGGAAGGGAAGACCGGTATTAGGGCTTTTTTGTTGGCCTTCTAACGTGAAAGGCTCGAACTTGATCGTGGCCATGATTGAAAAAAAACTATGGGACTCGGTCTGAGAGCAAGCGAGGAAAGATGATTGAAATTATATCGAGCCTAATGAAAATAATAAAATTCTGGGCAATTCTGTGCGAATACTCCTCCTTCCAGCATTGGGTGACAGCCTCCGGACCTTCTCCGATATTATCTCAACGATTTCCTATTTTTATATAGCCCTGGGTCCTTTAATTTTGCTGCTATATATTAAAAGTTTCTTTAACCGGAGTTATCACCGAGGAATAGCTTGCATTTGCAGCCCTTCTTTGGCGTTATGCCCTTATACGATGGCGTGCTTCGCTCCCGCCAAGCACAACAACCTGCCCTTGGTGCTTAAGGCACCCGTGTACTGCCATAAAAGACAGCACCACTCATGGACTAGATCAAGAAGACCCAGTAATATAATGTACTATTGCTGCAGTTGTCGTTTTAAGTTTTCATTTATCGCCCAATGGAGTAATATCTGACGGTGTCGTGATCCGAGTCTCGGGTGTCTGCTAAATCCTTATAAAAGCTGAGATGTTTATCAATAGTCTTTTATAATTTCCAACGAGCAATAAAGTTGGATTCGTCGATAGACAGTAACCACATGGCTGAGATTCAAAAGACAGCAAGGAACCCGGTCGCCACTGAAGATGACCATTCTTCTGGCAATGTTGCCGGGTATAAATGGCATCGAGGTGTGTTTTTCCAGGCTACCGTGGTAGGAATTACGGCCTTTGCAGCGCCTGGTCTGTGGAATGCGATGAACTCGGTTGGTGCTGGTGGTCAGCAAAGTCCGTATCTTGTTATGTTAGTATCGTCGTCACATCAGTCACTTGGCGTTTGAGGGCTGACTTGTTTGTATCTAGGGCGGGCAACGCAATTCTGTTTGCTCTCATGGTCATTTCCTGCCTCACCGGCAGTCTCATCGCGAATCGTTTCGGTTTAAAAGCAGCTCTTATCTTCGGTACAACTGGATACGCGCTGTACTCCGCAGCTCTGTACACAAATAACAGATACGGAACAGTATGGTTCATATACTTCGGTTCTGCCGCTTGTGGTATCACCGCCGGAGTCTTTTGGGCGGCTGAAGGCGCCATCATGCTGAGCTACCCTAGTGTTGAGACCAGAGGCCGATATCTATCTTATTGGCTAGCATACCGGAACAGTGGTTCGATTTTGGGTGGTATCATTCAGTTGGCCTTCAACTATTCTGGTGTCAAGACAGGGAAACTTGACTGGCGTACATATATTGTATTTGTCGTTTTGCGTAAGTGGGAGCCTCCTGTTTATCAAAGGTGTTGTATTGAAACTATGACAGAATGCTTTGGTCCGGCAGTGGGATGTCTGCTCTCTCCGCCTGAAAAAGTTCTACGTCGAAACGGAACGCGTGTACAAGCTCCAGAGCGAATCTCTGATATTGCCGAGTTGAAAGCTCTCGGTAAACTCGCCATCCGCAAAGACTTTCTCCTGGTGTTAGTATTTATCGTCATGCCTGGTACTTGTGATTTGTGCTGACAACAGTAGGATCCCCTTCTTCATGTATGTGACATGGGAACTCCCTTACTCGAGCGCATACCTTTCGCTATACTTTAGCGTACGAGCTCGTGCTCTCGCCTCTCTCGTATCCGCCATCTCCCAGGTAGTAACCACACTTGCCTTCGGAGCCTTCCTCGACCAGAAAAGAATTTCCCTGAACAAACGCGCACAAATCGGATACATCTTCATCATGGCGCTCGTCGGTGGATGCTGGATCTGGGGTACCATCGTCCAGACCGGCTACCAAAAACATAAGCCCGCCTTGGACTGGGTCGATAGAGGCTTTGGTCGAGGATGGGCATTGTACATCCTCTGGCAAGTCAATTTTTCGTTATTGTACAATTTCGGTTACTGGTTGGTTGGGTTCATGGCCAAGGAACCCGCTGAAATTGTCCGATACACATCTATTGCTCGGGCCTTGGAGGCTGCTGGGCAATGTATTGCTTCGGGTATAAGTTCGACCTCGGCGCCGTTGATTGCGTCATTGGGTGTCAATTTTGCTGTCTGGGGAATTGCTGTTATTCCGGCTTATTTGGTTGTGCGACAAGTTGGGATTGTTCATGTTGGTATCAACCATGAACAGACAACGACCAGCGAGACGGAGCGGAAGCTATCGTCTACAGATGAAGACATTCATGGCGAGGATTAAGTTAACAGATAAGAGCGTCGTGTGCTGTGTATGGTATCGTATTTGCCGCTTAGTATGATACCCCAATACACGGCACGTGTATCCGCAATCCGGGTGCATGCCGCTATCCCCGGAATAGATAATGTTCGTGTAACAAATCCCACGAGGCGAACGCGGCTTGTAAATACCAGTACAAAATGTGGAGTATTTGTCATCTTATTGTGTCGGTTGTTGACAGAAACTCTGGGCATAAGCCTAGGTATCGAATACTCGGAGCCCATATCGTCCGTCCTGACTACAAGATATGAAGTAGAAAAAACTAGCACGTTAAAAGAGAGCAAGTCAAACAATGGTGTACACTACATATGCAACTACATATGCGGTTTAATTTGGAATTGGATGCTGTAACTTCCAGCTGAAGATCCTTGCCCGATGTCTTGCTAGTGTAGTACTACTAGCAGTAAGAAGTTAGTACCAACTGAGTAGCACCAACGACGTGGTCATTCAAGGGACTCACTCCCGAATAGTCCACTGCATGGCAGGATTAGTACACAAAGTGTCAAAAGCAAGCCCGTTGATGACCAGCCTCACTGGATGTATTTAACATGAAACGGCCGCCGCGTAATCCACTTTACGATAAACAGTTCTCAAATACATGAAGTGCTTCCTCACAATACTTGTATTCGAACCGAAAGGCACGGTAATTTTCCGCTCAATACACAAGTTGGTGTATTTGACCAATCAGATGCTAATCCAACCCGTCGCTGATCTTCGCTAGTCGCGGGTCAGCCTCCCCATGGAAGGAATCGCGGATGCGCCACCATGAACCGCTTTGAGGAAGAGCGAAAGCACTCCTTCTCTTCCCTGCTCCGGACTGCATCTGGATTATACCAAAGTGATCAAGCGACCTCGCAATTTTTCTGTGCATCTCAACGTCCCACAAGTTACGAGTCTCGCCGTACGTCGAGTCGATCATCACAACATCCTACGTACTTATCTTTTGAAACACCGAAACCGGCATATCCGCCAGTCCAACGTCGCAACTCGCCAGGAAACTTGTTCAATCTGCCGGTTGAAGATCCTCCCCTCTCCGTTCCCCACACATTTCCAACAAACCGCTGTTCAAGTCGAGTCTCGACATGATGACTTGGCCCAGATGGTAATCGACTCATCGTGATCCTGTACAACCAACGGCCCGTGATCGAGCTCCATATGCGGAGACAAGATATTGCTGGAGTGGTAGATTGAGGGCGCGGCGATCATCGAACCAAGAAACCGCATCATGACAAATAGCACCGCTGCTGCTAGACGCCTGTCGGATAAGGGCGCCAGTTTTCGTGGTCAGCTCGGCCGATTTCGTCTGAATCCAACAGTCTCTTCTTCACAACCGCCGCCGCCGTCGCAATCGCAATCGCAGTCGCAATCGCAATCACAACCGAGTAATGGCCATCCTACGCCGACCGCTTCGCACCGAACAGAACTGAGTGCGGGTTCGGTATCGTCAACAAGTACCGCGACTATAAGAAGACGGGCGTCCAGGTCGGACAGTCCAGAGACAGGTGCTGCGGGAAATGATCGGGACGGACACGTTTCGAAAAGCAAACGAGTCTCGACCGCGTGCGAGTTTTGCAGGAAAAGGAAGAAGAAATGTGATTTTCGGTACCCGAATTGTTCGGCTTGCACCCGCGCCGGTGTAGTATGCACCGTTTTGACCCTCGGTCAATCCGTTGCGCATCAACCAGTGCCTCGTGATCAAATAGAGAACCTCGAGAAACGAGTCGAATGGTTGGAGGAATTGTTGCGGACGCATGCGAACATAGATGTGAGCAGCAAAGCAACGGGCTCTATAGTTGATGACCATCAAGTCGAATCACCCGTTGCAGAACAGTGGTTCAATGTCCCTATCATGCTGTCCCAGCCTCGAGCCGGGATCGGACTGACAGCTGTGGATGACACAATTGATAGCGCCAACCCAACGAACAGTCCGACAACACTGCCATCTTTAGATAGTGGGCAGCTGCCAAATATTGCAGAGATATTTCGCGATAAATTAGAAAACAGGCGAAGCGTTGTCCCACGACCTGCATCGTCAATCATTCCACCCGTGCGTCGACTATCATCATGGGAGGAAGCAGAACAATTGGTCAGCAAATACTTCGAAGGAATAGGAACACAGTATCCATTTATACACAAAAGCGACTTTATGCGAGGGATGAGAGCGATCTATCAAAACAAATCTGTTCCGCCGGACATGCAGAACTCATATCACATCACCATGGCAGTGGCTCTTCTAACGACTTCCTATGATATTCAACAGGCCACGGCCTTTTATCGGATTGCAAGGGAAACACTGACTCCTACACTGCAGAACGAAGACCGTGTATCCCTTCAAGCACTTTTAAGTCTCGCTTTGTATTCCTGTTCATCCCCTGCAGGACCTAGTATATGGCAAGTACTCGGTACAGCTATGAGACTTGCCACAAGTTTGGGCTTACACAAGGCGCGACCAGCCTCGACGTCAGCAAAGGATATGGTCGATCATGAAATGGATAAACGCACTTTTTGGAGTCTTTACAATCTAGATCGACTAATTTCCGTCACCTTGAGTCGGCCGCTAGGCATTTCAGACGATGACATTACAGTGGATATTCCTATTGAATATGATGAGAACTGGGTCGAAGCACCAAGGAACTGTCAGATGTCGATATCTGTTCAAGTGGTCAGACTACGCCGGATCTATTCGAGGATATATCGATGTTGTCAGTGCCTCTCTCCAAATCTGCTCAAGATCTCACTAACGGTTTGCAGTTTACAATCCGCATGCGAAACCTACCGCGGATGTGGGTCCCCTTTTACAAGGATTCGCCCAAGAGTTACATGATTGGCGCACCTCTGCGCCCGTTATACAGACTTGTCTGCATTATTCAACCGCGTATTACGACTTTCTCTATTACGGAGCTTTGCTAGTTCTCTACCGGCCCTCCGTTCTTAATCCTCATCCAGACAGCAGCTGCATCATAGGATGCGGTGACGCTAGTATACTGGTCATCCAGTCCTACTGGGACAATTACTCGGCGAACAAAATAAAATGGCTCTGGATTACATTATGCCATATCTACTCCGCCGGCATCACAATGCTTTGGTGTCTAGAGCAAGACATTCGTGCTGTTCGACAAGGCATGTCACCCTTATGGGGCAATCCACGGGTGTACTCATCTCTCGAATTTGTCCACACTCTACTCGACGAGTTTTGCGCAAAACGAAAGGGCGCAGATCGACTGGCCATTCAGTTCAAAACTCAAAGTCAAGAAGTTACTCGGCGTATGGCGCTAGCAACTGCAGAGCTGCAACGACAACAGCAGCAGATGGAATCTGCACAGCAACAAATGCAACAGCCTATTTTCATTCCGGCGGCCGTCGATCCGTCGATGATGGTTCATCCAATGTTCTATAACTACGGATGGGCCGGGCAGGAGATTGCGTCCTTCTACGGTTTATAATGTTTTTTCCAATATCTATTTAATGTTTTAGAGCGGAGCGATATCTGGTGCCATGGTACACTGTCGGTTATTTGTTTTATTGTTTCATATCACGATGTCAACGCATATCGGCGAATCAGCGTTTTCAGCTTTTAGGATACCATCACTTCGTGGGCTGGCAAGAGAGTATCATGATATTACGTCTCGCGTTATTTTCTTGTATTGTATATGCTAGAATGTATATACCTACACGGTACATATTAATCATCGATCAATGAACATATACAATGTAAATCTTATGGTCGTAGGGGTAAGAGAAGATCCGCTCGGGTATGAGTTCATCCATGTAGTTGGGTAGACTTCAACCTTGGAGTTCCGACATCACACGTCTATCGATAACAAATCATTATACTTTCAATACTAAAGAAGCGAATCTCCATAATTGATTGCTTTGCGTGATTCTCAAAATATTTTCGTGACTTTCTGCGGTCGTGGAGATTTGTCATCTCGAACACTCTGAAAAGGTCCGTGATACCCCACACTTATCGGAACGAATATCTCCGCATCCATTTTATGTTTTCTTGATCTCAAGTCCTTCATCTGAATTGGCTATTTTTCGTCTAGTGTCAGACAATCACTGGCAGTCTATAAAGCTCTCTGTAGTTGTTGATTAAGACTGACATATGCGACACCTCTCACGCTTCATACCACGACATCCCGATATCGGCCTCAGACCCCATCGCTTCTGTAGCCATTCTACAGCTTCTACAATACCAAGAATCGGCAAAATGTCATCTCCAATCAAAGTCGCCATCCTAGACGACTACCAGGATATCGCAAGCTCCAAATTCGAACATCTAGTCAAATCCAACAAAATCTCCTTGACACTCTTCCCTCAAACCCTCAACATCCGCAATGCCGATGAACGAGAAGCTCAAATCAAGCGGCTGCAGCCGTTTGAAGTAATTTCGACGATGAGGGAACGCAGTATCTTCAATGCGGATCTGCTTGGTTCATTGCCAAACTTGAAGTTGTTATTGACGACTGGCAAGCGCAATTTCTCAATTGATCATGAATTCGCCGCGACAAGGGGTATCGTCGTCGCGGGCACAGATCGAATAGCTCAGGATGGCGCTGCTGGAGGCGGTGCAGGACCTGATCCAACTACCCAACAATGCTGGGCTCTCATTTTGGGATTGTCAAAACATATCGCCCGCGACGATAGTGCGCTCAAGTCCGATAAGAGCTACTGGCAAGGAGATAGTCTTGCGATTCACCTCCCCGGTAAGACCCTGGGGCTCGTCGGGTTAGGGAGATTGGGTACTGCCTCGGCGAAAATTGCGATTTTGGCGTTTGGAATGAAAGTTGTCGCGTGGAGTTCGAGTTTGACGCAGGAACGCGCTGACGAAGCTGCCACGGAGATTGGGTTGCCGGCTGGAAGTATTCAGGTTGCTGCGTCGAAGCTCGATTTATTGAGGCGGGCGGATATAGTTTCGTTGCATTATGTGCTTTCAGACCGGAGTCGGGGGTTGATTGGTCGCGAAGAATTGGCGGCTATGAAACCTACTGCGTTGCTTATAAACACTTCTCGGGGACCATTGATTGATCAAGAAGCGTTGTTGGAGACGCTCAAGGAAGGAAAGATTCGCGGTGCGGCGCTGGACGTGTTTGATGTTGAGCCCTTACCGGCAGACAGTGAATGGAGGACAACGGAGTGGGGGAAGAATGGGCGTAGTGAAGTGCTGCTTTCGCCGCATATGGGATATGGTGTTGAAGAATATATTGGGGGGATGTATGATCAGAATGTGGTTAATTTGGAGCGGTATTTGGAGGGGAAGGAGCTGTTGGTAAGGTATAACTAGATCTCGCATCTCGGCGATGATAATGGTATTGCTCGATATATAATTATGACGATACACATGCCGCCAGGCCTCACAACGCTCGGCCACAGCTTCTCTCGAAAGATCGTGTATGTGACTGGCGGTACCTACAGCTGCTTATGTAAAATCCGCGAAAAAGACCTTAAGATCTGGTAAGAAGTGGGATGCTATCTAGTTGTTTGGTATTAAATTCGAATGTGAGATATGCAACATGCCTAGGTAGCAAGGTGACTAAACTCAATTACGGCTAGCATCTGCTCCAGGCAGCTTTATTAATTGGTGTACATAGGCATTTAAGAATCCCAACTTTTATTTACCATCTTTGGTAGAGATCTTCTCCAAACAAGTTTCGAATCATTCTTCCGTATACAGCCGACCATGGCCGAATTGACAATAAGATCCTACGACAATGACTCCGACGCGGCCAATGTATCGACACTATGGCAAAATACATTCCCACAATACCCTATTTCCCCGCAGCATCTAGAAAAGCTCCTGAGCCTATCAATTGGGTCGCACTTTGTTGCGTTAATTGAGAATAAGCTTATAGGCTTCTGTGCAACGTACCGCGAGCCATTGAAAGATGGAGAAACTGGATATCTAGCAATACTTGCAATTCAGTCTGAATTTCAGAGTAAAGGACATGGGACAAAGCTACTTGAGCATGCAATTGAACACTTGTGCAAATCCTTTAAGCAGGTCAAAGTAGGAAGCTCAATTCCAAGGTTTTGGCCTGGTGTTCCGACGGACTTGAATATCAAGGATCAAGAGTTCTTCGTGAAGAGGGGTAAGTAAATATCACAACCTACTGAATTATAATATATTCGCCTAACTGTAATAAAGGCTTCAGAGAAGGCACAAAATGCAAAGATCTTTATCAACCACTCTCCACCTTCAAAGCACCTCAATACCTCCTCGATCGCGCAACCTCGAGCGGTATCACTTTTGCGCCTCTAAAATCATCTGGTGCTGATGAATGTATCACCGCTCAGGAATTAATCTTTCCTCAATGGGCTGGAGGGTATAAAATGCTCCATTCCGAGAAACTCTACGATGAGATCATGGTTGCATTTGACCAGAACGGTAGCCGGCAGGTAGGATGGACGTTGATGTTATCACCAGGTAAATCAAGGTTGTGGCATGGATTTGCGTTCCTACCAGTTGTTGGTGGCGAGAAGGATGGAGGGACGGGTGGTGATGGGAAGACGGGATTGATTGCTGCGGTTGGCGTGAGAGATGATGTTAGAGGTAAAGGGGTAGGGTTGGGTTTGATATGTGCTGCGATGGAGGAGATGAGGAGGAGAGGAGGGCTCGATGGCGTTTTTATAGACTCGGTGGTGCTGGATAACTTTTACGAGAAGGTAGGATTTAAGATTTGGAGGGAGTATAGGGTGTTTGTGATGGATGGGTGATCACCTGGGCATATTTCACGGCGGGKTAAGGGCTGGACCAGGGATTCTTCCGCGTAGAGTTTTCTGACACTCGGCCTCGTTGATTATTCGTTGCACTAAATCTATTCGTCTTATTTCACGCGAAATTGCGCAAATGTCTGAGCTCCAAGATCTCGAAATTAGGATAGTCAGCGCTTTGACAGCCACCCACAGACTGATGATATTTGCGCAAATTTGCTTCACAGTCCTAATTTCTCCTTGCCGTATAGACTGCAACAGTTGTAAACAAGAGAACCGAGGTCACTTCTCACATGCATGATTTTAGCAAGGTCTTCTCGAATTGTACGGGAGAAAGATGCGCATCTACTTACCTAAAGACAAGCCAAATAATACCTCGATCCTGTGCACAGTAGGAATCCATTCAAGGGCTCTTATGTACCTTTCAAGATCCGTGCCATAGTAGAAATTTGAATCTTCTACTTCTTGTCGATTTTCTTGGAAACGATTTCTCGTTCCACTTTCATCAAAAGGCGCAGTCACGTGTATTATAATTCTTGCTTCGTATAGAGTATCGATTATACTTAGGCTTCTGCTATCGATTTTCTGGGTTTGCTTCTCGGATTTCATGCCCTGCTCTTCGTTGTTGTTGCGTTGGTCGTTCATCTTCTGGAGTATACTAAACCCCGCCTGACATCCGGTCATTTTGGGCCTTGCCATGATAATCAAGAGCCTGTAATTGAATAATCGTCTTGTTTGAGTATCCTGAGATGAGATAAATATTTGCTGATGTTCATTCCAAGTACTGGTGTGAAGATGAAGGCTGGAACAATTGTATTTGTACATAGGAGCCGAATGCTCGAGTATCAATGTTTCAAGTCTTTTACGTATCTCAACCTGGGTACTTGGGATCAAGTCCATAATATCGACGTTTCATACTAGGCTTTGTTGACATTCATTAACGGTCTCATGTCTTTTGAGACAATTGTGTAGGATTTTTGAGACAAGTACGGATGTAAAGGATCAATTCTTGAATGAAACACGGAGCTGCAGTGACTCGTACAGCCCTCATGTCCGGTAATTCTTGCTTTCAACATGATCAGAACATACTCTCACGCCCTCCCGTGAGCTCGTCTACTGTGGGAACCTCATCAACAGCTCTTTCAGCTCCGTCAAAACAACCAAATCCGGGAGCGGGCAATCTGCTATTCTATTCTTACGAATAAGATTGTGAAAGTGCTTCTATAGACTGACAAGAACGTGATGCAATACAAGGACACCTATGATAGAGTGTTCCCGGGAGAGCCTATTAGTGCTGTATAGTGTCGTGTTGGGGACGATAAAGCTTCAAAGAAAGTACATTACTTACACAAACCAGGCGCATTTGCCAAAGATTGTCCGCTTGCTCTTCTTGCATCTTGTAATACCGCTAAGACTTTATCAAAGTCACCTCAGTATGCAGCATCAGCCAACCTGTCTCGAAGCAAACAGTGTCTAGTCTCAAACCAGACCGAGACAAATCTCTGAACAGATCTGAAGTCTCTTAATGATTTACGGTAACCCGAGTAGCTTCGTAACAGTTAAAGTACTCGATTTACTCGACACGTCAATTGTTGCACCGTTGTAGGAGGCTGGATCTGTTTAGTAATAAGTGCAGTTCCGTAAAAGCCAAATGGCGAGGGAAATGTCGAATGTAGAACAAAGGCCACACATTAATTTCGGATATAATGCTCTATTCTGATAGACGATGCTCTAAAATTTGAGTGTCACTCAATGAGCCCCTTTACAACAAACTAACGTTACAATAGATAACATCACCTGTGTGATCTCAAAGTCCTAGCAGTGGAGCTTCTTACAACTTTATCAGTTATTCCAGCCTTGGAGATAACACCAATTTTGAAGAAGAAGTTAGATCCTTGTTGATCAAACTACATGAGCGACTCCAACCTTAAAATATCAACTTAACATCGAGCATGCATTGCTGTATGTACATAGACAAAGCAAAGAGCATAGATTTCATAACCCAAATCTATCCACAAATGAATATTCCCAGCAATTGCGCTTCCATGTCATCGTCAAGGGTCTCTGCAAAGGTTGAACGCTGGCATGATACCATACTGTCTTTCTATGATTTTTTTTTTTGTATCTTCAGCTACGGATTTCATCACCCAGGGGATTCGTAGTTCGTACAGGTTCAGAAGCGTGCCCTAAATTGTAGGGTTGTCCCTGCCGAGACTAGCCGGAGATAGGGTTAGTGACCCCTAGGGACTGGGGCTATTCCGCACTGAAACGCATCCAATGGTTATTCGAGGTCTGCCAAACCTTAAGAGGAAAAAGAGTATTACGAAAGGCCAGATAGGAAACACTATCAGTGGGGCCTAGAAATCCCCGATATTTAGTTGATAGGCCGAAGTTATGTGTGTGAATTGCCACTTCATACGAAGAGTCGGAGACTAAGCCAATGCCAGAAAAGTGGGCTATTGCTATGCAACTAAGAATTCCACTTTTTTTTTTAAAGGTGCATACATATAAAAGGTTTATTATTATTCAAAGGATGCCTGCTAGTTTCGAGTCTTAAATCCCAACACCTGGCTTCTTTCCCAAGCGCCTGGTGTAGTGGATCGTACTTTGGACGTAACTGCGACCTCTGTCTGCTTCAGAATATGCCTCTCGCTTCCCCCGTCCCCGTCGCCATCACCATCGGCAGAGTTGAGTCGCTGAAGAGTATCCATCTTGACGCCTGAACCCAACGGATGGTGTCCGCTCCTGGATCGTCTCTGGTTGTTGCTGTTGGCGTAAGGGGCGTACGGAGTGCTGTTGCTTTCGCCTGCGGAAGAACGGCTGAAGATTGGGAGGGAGAGGAGTGGACGAAGGGCAGGGAGAGAACCGGCGATAATACCAATGCCTTCTTCGATGACAGACCAAAGACCAATCGCGCCGGTACTGAACATGAACTCGGCTGGATTGCTGTAGAGACTGAGATAGCGGAGTCGTACGATTGTTGCGCAGCTTGCACTTGGAGGACGTTAGACAAATTTAGGAATGAGCAAATTCGCACAAGAAAACTCACAAGGCGGCCATTCCGAGAATGATGCTAACTGAAAACTTGACCTTCCTCTTCATCTGAATATTCCACAACAATACCGCAGGCAGGATCGCCAGAGCAAAATCAGTCACAATCTCAATGGCGGAGAAGAAGAAACTGATATCACTGTCGAGTTTGAGATTGCATGATCCAGTTGTAGTCTCACCCCACAGGGTTGTGATCGGGTGACAGATATTGGCAACACCAGCCATGAAGATGATAGCAGCTGCACCACTAGCAAACATAATGGCTATGATGGACCAGGTGAAAACTGGTCGTGAGCCTGCAATGCGTAGTAGAGTGACGGCGATGCTGCATTTAATGACTGCTGCACCGGAAGCATAGAAGAACTCAGCAATGAAGAAGAGCTGTACCAAGAGTTAGATTTCGGAACACCATTTTCTGGTACAGAGGGGACCTCGGGAGACATACCTTGGTGCCTTTCTGTATAATGGCAGGTGTCAAAGCAGCGGCTAGCTGAMCTGAGCCTAAAAAGGAACACACGATACACAGGCTAGCGGTCACAGAGTAAAGAAGCTACATATTATGGCTTTAGCATACGCGATTCGGTAGTAGCAGTGCCATACTCACCAGACCACATAACATCAAGTAGTCATCCAGACCCAGCGCTTTTCTCCATATTCGCACTATCACTCGTGGAACGAAAACGACCCAACTTAGGGTTAACAGGACGATTGCGGTATAGAGGAGCGCTACACCGTCTCCTGCCGGTTTAACCATGATTAAAACGGAGTTGAATGTTCTGATTCATGTCATTTCAGATGAGAGAAATAACGTGAAGAATGTGATGGGCAGAAGTTATATACAGGTCAAACACCCAAGACATTGTCCCTTTCCCATAAAGAAAAGAAATACGAGGGCAGATGGGCATTCGGTTGTTGGATAATGTTGTGGAGAAACTACTAGGTAAAGTCAAACGCCTTCCGGACTGTCAAATCAAGAATTGGGTTAAAAATCATGTTGATCAACCGGTCTCGACTCCACTGACTGGGGCCCAGCCGTTGGGCCGTTTTAATTTGAAACTATTCACACCCGCGTCTCTGCAGATCTTTCCATTTGACAGAGTGGGTTTTGGGAAACCTACCGGAAGTTCCAAATTCGTAAGCACTTAAAAATCAATTTTAACGCATGCAATATCGACGTTGAACCGTTGACAAGCCCTTGGACAGCGGAATACGAATGGTTCCTGAAACGGTTTAATGAACTTTATTTCGACAAGCGGCACGGCACGGCCAACTTTTCGAACTCAGTGGCCACTGGCCAGACTGTTGGGTGACCCGTAGGTATTCACGGAGACAGATCCCGAAATGAATTTCTAGACCGAAAGCAGACTGTACTCCGTCTACGTCGGACGCTAGCAGGGATGCCGCTGTCAGTTGCTTCTTTGGTATCAATCAAGCGCCGAGTTTATTGGGTTTCGTTGTCTAACGTTTGCTGGCAAGTCAAAGCACATAAGAAAGCATGGCTGCTCCTGGATCTGCTGCGTTAGAACCTATGAGTACATAATAAAGAATATTATATGCAGCGATAATTTTGTAGATTTCTCCTTTACATCGGCCCGTATAGTGCTTACGCAAACGAACGACAATGGCGGAATTTGTTATCAAGGATGAGGAGCTGAACAGTGTCAAGGGCAAAGTTGTAATTGTCACAGGTACGCACCTTTGAATTTTTTCGCTGTATGTGCTTGGTGACTTGCGCTAAACAAAAGTTTTCATCAATGCAGGTACCTCATCTGGTATAGGTCTCGCAACCGCCAAGCTACTCCTCTCCTTAGGAGCTTCTGTCGTCGGCGCCGATATCCAACCTTCAACGCTTACCGAGTCGTCTCCTGCATGGTTTTTCGTACAAAGCAATGTGACCGTCTGGTCTGATCTGAGCAATCTTTTTAAGAAAGCAAAGGAACATTTTGGACGAATCGACTATGTTTTTGCCAATGCCGGCATTGGGCCCCGCGCCAACTACCTCGCCCTCGAGATGGATGAAGCTGGAGAGTTGAAGGAGCCATCATATGACGTTTTGGACGTCAATTTGAAGAGTGTGATGAATACGGCAACTCTTGCTGTTCATTACTTGAAGCAGCAGCCTGAGGGTGGCAGCATTGTGCTCATGGGCTCTAGCACTGGATTGCAGCCCCTCCGTGCTCCGGATTACTGTAGGCCTCAATCAACCCTTGCGATGAATTATCGAGCTGACTGTATCATAGCCACCGCCAAACACGGCGTCCTTGGATTTGGCAGAGGCATTGCACGACTTGTGGAGGCAGCAGGACTGCCCATTCGCGTCAACACTCTTATGCCATCATGGACCTCGACAAACATCCTTCCAAACTTGGACGGCCTGATGCAGGGCATCTCCCACGAGGCACAGCCTGGTCTCATTGTTGCTCGCTGTGCTACTTATCTCATGGTCAACCCCTCCAAGCATGGAGAAGTGATTTATGTGTCAGATGGAAAGTACACGGAGATTGAAAAGGCCGTTCTCTGGCCTGCTGCTCAGACTATCATTGGAGAGGGAAACCCCAGTGATGATCAAATTTTGGAGCGTATTTTCGCACTTGCAGCATAGATCTCTCACCTGTGCAGCGTGTATATATCCATAGATACCCGGGTAGCAGTTGTACGTACCTGGTCAGAGTACTTAGGTAACCAGCGTTTCCATAACTTACTGAGCAAGAATTACAATTTTTGAAATGAAAAAAGCAAAAGAAAAATATAACGTCCCCCATGTACTCTTTGGATGAACTAATGTATGATGCTAATTTTCGGGAAGCCACCATGAGCTAAAGCCATCATATCTTAGAGTGCTCGGCCGAGCTCGGGAAAGCCGTAAGCACTTTAAATTCCCTGAGTGACTTCATAGATAAGCGATAAGACGGGGGCTTATCTTCCCCGCGATGGCATGTTTACCTTCAACCTCAGCTTCGACATTTTTCTGTCTCAATTTTCTCAGTCTCTTTTCATTTCAAAGAATTTCTCGGATGCTATTTTAATTTCAGAGGCAAAGTCAACATGTCACTAGAAACCACAATTCCGCAATTGCGCGGTCTCCCAATCGCCTTCCACGGCACCATGATCCACACGCTGGACGTTACTCAGCTCGAAATCTTGCAAAACTGTCTTCTCATAATCGACGACGAAGGCAAAATCGAGAAAATATACAAAGATGTTCCCATCGAGAGAGTGAACGACTTTATTTCTGAAGCTGGTCACACCCCCGACGTGTTTCCCGTCAAATATCTCAAAAGAGGAGAATTTTTGATCCCCGGGTTTATTGATACACACCATCATGCACCGCAATGGGCTCAGCGGGGTATGGGTCGGGACCAGACGTTATTGGACTGGTTGAATAATGTCACATTTGCACATGAGCGGAAATTTGAGAATGTTGAATACGCCAGAAAAATGTACACGGCTTGTGTGCAAGCCGGAATCAAGCAGGGTGTGACTACCGCGTCGTACTATGGAAGCGTGCACGTGGAAGCAACAAAAATCCTGGCAGAAATTTGCCTCGAGCAACATCAGCGAGCTTTGGTGGGAAAGTGTAACATGAATCGTAGCTCGCCAGAGTGGTATCAAGATGCGTCGGCTGAGCAATCGCTCAAACATACCAAGGAATTGGTTGCGCATGTACGCCGGATTGATAGTGAAGGAAAACTGGTTAAACCGATCCTCACACCCAGGTTTGCCATTACCTGCGACGATAAATTACTCTCCGGATTAGGTGAAATAGTGAAACAGGAGGCTCCCCCAAACAGTATCCATATCCAGACACATTTCAACGAAGCGGCTGATGAGATGGAATTTACCCGCCAATTGTATCCACAGTTCAAACATGAAGCAGACCTATACGATGAATTTGGTCTTTTAGGTCCACACACCATTCTGGCGCACAGTATTTTCCTGGAAGAGGAAGAAATGGACAGAATAAAATCCAAGGGATGTGGAATCGCGCATTGCCCTATTTCCACTGCGACACTAGGTGAGTTCATGATGGCACCGATCCGAGAGTACCTGCGGCGAGGAATAAAAGTCGGCTTGGGTACGGATGTTGGCGGTGGATTTTCGAGCAGCATGCTCGAAATAATGAGACATGCCTTTATCATATCCAAGGCACGTGAGACGATGACAAAGGGTGCCGATCCAGCCCTCAAACTGCACGAAGGGTTTTTTCTGGCTACCCTGGGTGGTGCTCAGGTCTGTGGCTTGGAGGATAAAGTTGGTAATTTTGTGGAAGGCAAGGAATTCGATGCACTGGAAATTCATGCCATCGGTCCAGATCCGTATAGCAGTCTCGGTGTGATGAGCCCGATTGAAGATGATGATTCTATCCATGTTATTTTTGAGAAGTTTCTCATGACTGGTGATGATCGTAATATTGCAAAGGTGTATGTTGCTGGGCGGTCGTTGAAGGAGACGGTGCTTTGATTAATTCTCGTGGGAAGCGTTGATCGCATATCTGTTACAAAATAAAAATTGCTGCTTCTTTATGTATCTAGTTTTGAGCACCATACCACGCGCTGATTTCTGATACGTACTAATAAGCGACAGGGAGACTCCCTAGCACATCTTTAAATATCTTTCTGAGTAATAGTCCTTGTTCGCGAATGGAGCTCTCCAAACGATATCCCCTCTTGGACCTCAATCGGTCATAAGGGGTCTCACTTCGGGGGCTCACCAGAGGTTTATATTACGAAAACATGCCATTAATTCTAATTTTACAGAGGCTGTTGGGGCTCTATATAAAGTTTAGATGCGAATAGTTTCACATAACTGGGAGCCACATGGGAATACAATTTGAAAGTTTTCGGTGAAAATACCATGCATAGACAAGCTGCGTAATCTTTTGTGGTTATGGTTGTGTAAGACTTGATTCAGATACGGATGTAAATAATGAATTCGGCACAGGATTCTCGTAGACTATATGGACCCTTTTGACGACTTGACATGATATACAGTGAGATAAGAGCCAATGATACATGAGCTGTGTTACCTTTATGTAATCAGGAAATCATCCCCATATCTTCTTTTTCAAGAAAATTTCAAGAGACTCCGACCGCCGAGCGGCCCACCAGCACTCCTCCTTCGGTAACAAAGAATTAACCATCCGGAAGAAATGGTACAGAAGAATCAAAATTCTCGTGTCACTTTTAAAAAGCATATCTGTAAATTTCGGATGGAACATGATTGGAAATGTGTATACTACCCTCGAAACATCGAGAAGTAGATCAGGACATATCTCCAAGACGGATGGCTCCGACGTCTCTTGTGAGTCGATTGGCAATAATGAAAGAAGCGCCGAAAGACGATTGGTCACATGCGTATAAGCGGAATGTTCGTCCGCAGACTGGTAGTCTAACCATTGTAATATCTGAGCACCCTGCAAAGTGTTTCCATATCCAAAGTTCTGCGGCGGTGGGATCTCATGAAAATCCTTACCAACGACCGGACCACCTTGATCGAGCCACAAACGTTCGAAGAAAGCGTGATATTCACCACAGACTCGTCCGACAAATGAAAGTGTTTCATAAATAGACCATATAGGTCTATATAGCATGACATTCTTCAGCACGGTGGAGTTTTGTGACAAGTCTGACATGGCGTACATGCAAACATGTCTCATGGATTCGCCGAGAGTAAATAGTTGATCTTCAGATACACTATATGCCGAGGTAGAAGTAGTGTTGTCTTTGTTTTCTAAATCACGTTGTGGCGGCAAGAATGCAATGTCAGACCAGGCCTCAAAGTATAGCATGAAAGAGGTACATAGAACGGCATCCCGGTTTGCCTCCGAAATGGTAGACGATAGAGCCTCTCGGAAGAGTCGTAGAGTATGCGAAAGATACCTCCGGGACTGAGTCATTTCTCCTTCTTTATGTTGAAATGAGTACTCAAGATGTCTCGCAGCCAAGCACAAAGCTGCATGCATCAGATACTCATATTCAAATGCTTTGGGAAGAATGCTTTCCCAAATCTGGCCTACCACCGGAAGGGTGTGCTGAGTTGATGATTGAAAGTGATGAAATAATCTTAGCTGTTCCATGTTCAAGATTCCGTGTCCAGATGATATAGGTGTTGATACCGGTGACGGCAGTAGATAAATCAATCGTTTTGTCTTGACTTGACTGTTCCTGTCATCGGTTCTTGATGCTTGTTGCTGCTGCCGTGCCGGGCGTCGACGACATACATCCCCTCTCTTCATGCAGCGATCACATGTTGGAAAGTTCTCATCACACTAAACCCCTTCTATTAGGCAACTAGTTTCTCGGAGCATATGTATTAAGAACATTTTCAGCATCATGTGGTTACCACCAACCTTGACCTTTCGTTGTCTACAAGTAAGACAACCGCTCCGTGATTTAAAATGTGATCTCTTTTGTCTCGCAGCCGATGAATCACTGCGCCATTTTTCAAATCCGGATTCGTTCGTAGCTATGAAAGTGTTTATAAAATATTCCGGGAGAGAGCCCGGGGATGAGGACATATTCGGATCGAAGATTTGAATAGACCAAAGAATAATCGGAATATGCAACCCTGATGATGCGTGTGGCGCTTATTTCGCTTATTCAATTGGAAGCGGCAGATACAGATGAAGCAAGTACTTCTTCGATATGTCTTCAATGATAAGTGTATCTGGAATAAAAGGATGCAGTCGGTCGTCGTTCACTAAAACTGGAAAAAAATGAAGCTAGGCCATCTTCGGTTTAGTTTTCACAGCCTCGCTTTCTCTTTTGGGAAAGCGAGGGTCTATACCTATTTGGGAAGCCAAGTGTATGTATGAAGGTGTAGCCTGTGAGATACGTATAGCTTGTAAGATGTCTCAAGTGAGATATTGCATGCAGGACAGTGGTATAGTCACTAGTACAGAAACATCTAGACTAAACACGTAACTGAGTGTGCCGTACTCAAAATCAAACAGGAGCTATTGTAGTATGTCTCTGCTGACATCTGAGTCTGGATCGCCGTCGCATTTAGATCATCATGTACCCAGGTTTTAAGCAATACGTCTCTCAAAGGGTGCATCAATCCATGCGATTTGGACGCAATGGTTCGATCCAAAACGTCCAAAACGATCGCGCGGTCTCGATCCGTGCGGGCCTCGCAGCCGAATATAACGTATGCAAATGGTTTGTTGCAATGAGAAATGTGAGAAAAAATTTCCAATGCATCATTTATCCATTCGGTCTTTCGCGTCGAGGGGTTGTGGCCAGTGGAAGTTTGTTCGATGTAAAGCACCGCTGCTATGATGAATAATTCCTTAACGAGTATCGATTCCGACTGTGTTGTGATTGTGTGAATTTCTGCTTGTTGTCGCTGAATTTCAGATCGTATATTGAGTAGCTTGTCTTCCATACCACTAACCCACGATAAGTACTCCTCGGAATGGGCATGCATATGACCGGGCGGCGCTCGATTGGCGCAAAATTCATAAAGTAGTTTCAGAACGTCGTGGCCAAAGTTAGAAAAATTCGTGATCTAAAATATTGACTTAATAACTTGGAAGTGATTTGCGATGCGTTCTATTGCTTTAGATAACGTACCTCATCGAGCACAAGACGGTCGAAACCGACCTCTTTCTGTAAGTGTTTCTGAAATGTCGTCTTTCCACGCCAGTGACTGACTCCTATATGAGCCATCGTGTCGTAATAAAAAACCCACTGAAATAACAATGATTTATCCTTATCCTGAAAAGAATTTTCCTCGTAAAATCGAGAGATAATTTCTTTAGCATTTGACAAATGCAAATACCATGTGGATGAATCCAAAGCAAAGAGGTGCATCTACTCTTAGTCAATATAGTTTCAATATATATGAAGAAAGAACTCAGTCGTTACCTCGACAGAGCAAATTAACATGCTAGCAACAATGTGCTGCAAACTCATATCTCGACTCAATCCGGATTGCGCCGAGAGACGGAGGGACTTCAGTGCCGCTACAGTCAATTCTGTACTTTGTTGTCTATCTCCAGTTCGATAAAATATTGCGAGGGCTAAAAGACTCTGAAGTACAGCCTGGGTTGATGGGGAGTCGTCGGAAAATGCCAATCGCGTGATTATACCGCTCAATTGAGAAAGATCGATAGCAAATGCGGGCAAAGCTGATAGGACGGCTGAAAAGACTTCTTGATATTAGCAAATCGCCGCATGCTTCGACTCAAAACTAGGGATATAAAATCAGTCGTGGGAAGTCTTACAGTACGGAACAAGGTTTATGTTCTCCTCTAGTAGCTGAGACTTCACGTGCATGTATTTTGAGGATGGGACTCGAAGTAGGGATGCGAGAGGTGTGATGATATTATGACCGTGGAAAATTATTCCTTTTATTTCAAAATGGTCAGTACTCAGGGCTCTCGATAATATCAGTCCAGACGCTCGGTATGTTAGGCCGACTGATTGAGCACAAAACTCACTGGGATTAATGCGACGCAGGTGAACGTTGACATCCCGGAAGCTCGTATTTATGAACTTCCAATCTTTGCATTTATATGATACATTGGGATGGGCAACACTCAATGCTCTTCTTCTATCGTTGGCCTTGGGCCAAGATAGTCGCAGTCGGTGGTATTTGCAAGAGCGATTTGATCGGATGCAATTCTTGCAGATAGGCTGAGATGCATCACATGCAATTTTGCGATCTATTAGTACAGTCCACGGTAATACTGTTAGACAGAATCTCTTCATGAAATAACAACTTTACGGTTTCAATCTCTCAATATTTCAAGGAAGAAGCCTCTAGAAAGCCAGCTCGAAAGTTTGAAGATGGTTAAAAATATGGCCATACCTTTGCAAGTAGCACAACCGTTCTTTGCCCCTCTCTCCATCTTTAACTCACCAGATTGTCGACTACGGATTAGTAGAATCCAATTCCCAAAGAACGACTTTCTTATGAGATTTTCTGACCTTTTATCCGACAAACAAAAGAAATTTTGAAAAGTAGGCAGGAAATTGTGAGGAGAGATTATGAGGATTAGTACAGCTGTGTCAGACAAGGCTTACGCTATTCCTCATTTGATAGTAGGGCAACTTTCCGCGAAACTCGGACCAATCCGGAAAAAGTGTTAAATTTCCTTTTTGGGACTATCGGCAAGAATCTGCGAATATGCCACAGGAATATTGCTCATGGTCGAAAATGCATTTATCAGCATGTAATAGACTGGAAGAATGGGGAAAGAACATTTGTCTTTAGTCTAGGACAGGAGAAAACATAAATAGGGCATCCTCCCTCTCAATTGAACTCAGCTTTACCGACATAACCATTTCCGGGTTCCCTCTCACATACATATATTCTTCGCACAATAACAAAAACAAGATAGAAAAGCTCTATACTACTTGCCAGAATGCCTTCATATCTCATTACAGGGGCGTCTCGAGGCCTTGGCGTGAGTACCATCTGATAATAAATTATCAACTCATCCTTGTCTTGCTTGAATATATATCGTTTAGGTAGCTCTATTGCTAATTTAGTCATACTTATAGTATGGTTTTCTTCGCCAGATTTCCGCAGACCCAAATAACACTGTTATCGCGCTTGTTCGTGACAAACCCGCTACCGATGCCCGGGTCTCCGCCGAATTGTCTGATAGGAAGAACATTTTCGTTATCCATGGTGACTTGACGGATGTACAATCACTGAAGGTAGGATTAAAAAAAGTTCAAACACCTGGTTATAGAATGAGACTAATAGTTTGGATATAGACTGCTGTTGAAGAGACTAGCAAAATCACTGCAGGCTCTCTCGATGTGTTAATCGCCAACGCTGCCTATGTAGGCAATTACGCTCGTTTTGACGGAATGGGAGACTTGTTAGTCAAATATGTCAAGACATTTAATTCACATTGCAGATTACTAATATGTCACTTACTATACAGGGACGTCGAGCCTCTAGGTGCAGACCTGCGCCAGCATTTTGAATCAAACGTCATAGGCAACATCAACCTATTCAATCTCTTCCTTCCATTGATCCGTAATGGTAATCTCAAGAAGATCGTTGCTATCTCATCTGGACTGTCAGAGCTGGATCTGATTAAAGAACTACGTATTGCCAACGGTGCGCCATACTCGATTACCAAGGCGGCCTTGAATATGGTTGTGACCAAGTTTCATGCTCAGTATGCCGACGAAGGCATACTATTTATGGCTGTTTGTCCAGGTTCTGTGGCTACGGGTAACTTTGATAATCGTAAGTCTTCGGCTTATTTTTTAGACTTTATGACCTATGCTAATGATCTTCCGCTTTTCTTACTTCTTCGAAGTTACACCTGAAGAAGAAGCTAAAGCAGGTGTCATGTTTCAAAAGTTTATGAAATATGCTCCTCATTTCACAGGTCCCGCCCCTGTTGATGATGCAGTGAAGGATGTCCTTCAGGTGGTGGAAAATGCTACTATCGAAACTAATGGCGGAACTTTGGTGTCTCATTTTGGTAATAAACAGTTTTTGTGAGCCTTCGTGTTCTATGTTTGATGCTGCATGTATACGAAGTCCATCCAATGACGAAAACCTGGTCGGTTGGTGATGCACCGTTCTTTATGCAAATCTGGTATGGCTGAGCGGCAAACTGTAGGGTATAACAGCGTTACTCATATAGACAGGGGTCTAGTCACCAGTTAGTAGTGTGGAACGGGTTCAAATTTCTAGTTTTGCTTCCAGATGTCAAATATTGCTATCTATTTCTTTTCTTTTCTTTGTGCTCGACATCATTTCTAACCCTTGAAATGGAAATCAATTTACCATTAGTAATTGCCACCACTGCAGGCTTAATCACAACACTCTATGCAGTGTCAAGGTCAAAAGGGAAGAACAAGAAAAACCTCCTGAAACTACCCCTCATCGGGGATCTTCATAGTTCGCCCATCGAAACACCTCTTAGCAACTGGGATGCCTGGGCACAGGAAAATGGTCCAATCGTCGTCCCAAGACTATTTGGGCTCATTCCAATTGTCGTCCTCAACTCATTCGACGCCGTGACAGAGTTGTTTAGTCGTCGCAGCCAATGGTACAGCAACCGCCCAGGGTCAGTCAGCATGGAAATGATTACAGGCGCCAAACTAGGACAGTGCAAGTTTACCCTGATGCACGATTATGATGATCAGTTAAAACTGCACCACCGTATTCTTTCCCCAAGCCTCGGGGCTCCAGCCGTTGCACGCTATCAGCCATTAATTGAACTGGAGTGCAAGCAATTGTTATTTGACCTTTGTAAAACTGCTGCGGAAGCGCCTCTAGATGGAATCATCAGCACTAAAACAGTCTACCCACTTCTCGAGCGCACTCAGTCCAGTTTGATTCTTGCTCTACATTACGGACTTCGTATTCCAAGCTACGATGAAAAGATACTCCAAGAGGTCTTCGATACCCAAACCCAAGTAACTCATCTCGCAGCCAACCCAAGGCTACCAGACATGATCCCGCCCCTTCGGCACCTACCTGCATTTCTATCACCATGGAAGCGCTCTGCAGACAAGCTTCATGCTACACAAGTTGATTTAAACATGCGCCTTCTTAGACATGGCAAGGACTCGGCGGGTTGGAATGCGACCAAACAAGCACTAGCTACAGCGAAGAAACACGCCACAAACGAGATTCCAGAACTTGATATCGCCTTCACTCTCGCAACTTCAGTACAGGGTGGCATGGAGACATCCCCACGACAGCTTTTGTGGCTCTTTATAGCGGCGCTCCACAAACCTTCTTTCATGGGTAAAGCACACGCTATACTCGATGATGTTGTCGGCCGCGAACGTCTTCCGAGATTCTCGGACAGATCCAACCTTGCGTTTATCGATGCTATTACCCACGAGCTATTTCGGTGGAGACCGATTGCCCCTGGCTCAATTCCGCGTCGAGCGGACAAGGACGATGAGTTGAATGGAGTCAAGATCAGCAAGGGCTGGACTATCATGGCAAATGCTTGGGCGATCGGGAGAGATGAGAAAGTCTTTGTTCCTTCACTGGGCGATCTCCACGACTTCGTGCCAGAAAGATGGCTGCAAAAAGTTGAACAAGATGGAAAAACAAAATTACGTACTGACCTTCCGCTGCCAGTATTTGGGCAGGGTAGGCGAACCTGCCAAGGAAAAAGAGTTGCCACGGATGGAGCTTTTATGCTGATTGCAAGTTTGATATGGGCATTCGATATCGAGCCTGTTAATGGGGTGATCGTGAACCCATGGCAAATGGTTGTAGCCGGATTCATGACAATGCCAGGCGAGGTAAACTTCAAGCTACGCCCAAGGGGTACCTGGGCTGTGGATGTCATCAGACGAGAATGGGAGACGGCAGAAAAGGCTCTAGAGAAGATCATGGGGAGAGCGAACGATGTTGAACAGTGAGATGATTTAGGGAAGTTTTCACTTGTATCTGCCGGTAATAGCCCTACAATTCCGGAATGCGCAGATACCGTGTAGTACTTTCATAATTTTGAGTCCCTAGCCGTGGTAATCGATATCTTCGATCATAAGGCTTGCAATGCTTCGACGACTTGTCTGGTTGGAATATAGTTAATCTTTGCTTGAGCAGTTATCTATCTCGCTTGAAGATCACGAGATTGGTGCCAAAATAGGCTTCAAACTATGTTGAAAATTGCGAAGTTTTAAGAATAATGATATCTCGCTGTCTTGAGTTCTCATTTCTTTTGACCAGCTATCTAATAGCCTTACAAACTGCTTTCGACTGAAACGAATGTTAGGGCTAGATCTAGGGCTAGGTTGTCCTCCAATTACGGACGAAACTCGTCCGATTAAGTGGGGCTAGCATCACGAGCATTCCAACCAATGATTTAGCTTCATGCTTGACCTCATCTCGAGCTTCCACATTTATCTGCGAGCTTCCAGACAGTTGGATTCATATATATTCCTTATTCCTTCTCATACGCCTCGGCTATAGCTGAAATTCCAAATTCCAAGTGGAATACCGAGTAGTCTAAGCTCATTGAGAACTCTACGCGGTTATAACAACCCGAACGCAGCTCGACTTTGTACAAGACAGTCTAGGCTCCAACTTTTCTCAGTCATTTCAAGATGGTCGCAATTTCAGAGATCCGTCAGCAAATCACAAGTGTCAAGAATCTCGGTTCTGGTCTCGTTGCTGTATTCGGTACAGTCACTCCTTCACATTTCACGACGACTTTAGCTAACAGAGGCCAAAAAAGTTGGTGGAACAAGCGGCATCGGCCTCTCAACAGCGCGAGAATTCACGCGTTACGCCGTTGCTCCTCATATCTATCTAGTTGGTCGGAATGAAGCCCAAGCGTCTGATATCATATCTGAATTGAAGACAATCAACGAATCGGCGACAGTGAGCTTCGTGAAGAGTGATGTCTCTCTACTCAAGAATGTGGATGAGGCATGTCAAGAGATTTCCAAGAAGGAATCAAAGGTGAATCTGCTATTTCTAAGTGCGGGTATATTCACTACTAAGGGGCGGACTGGTATGTTAATCTCTTCTTCACTTTCGGAATTTTTACTAATAAGATGAACTAGAAACAAGCGAGGGAGTCGACAAAAAACTCAGTCTACATTACTACTCCCGCATCCGCTTCATCCAAAACCTTCTCCCACAGCTAGGTCAAGCATCCTCCTCCGGCGGCCTGGCACGTGTAGTGTCTGTCCTAGGTCCAAGCACAGAGGGCAAAATGATCGAAGACGACCTCGACCTACAAAGAAACTACAGTCTTCCCAGAGCCGCAACGCACGCGGTCACCATGACTTCTTTATCTATGATTCATCTCGCAGCCTCAAACCCTTCTATTAGTTTCATCCACAGCGCACCCGGAGGCGTAAAGACCAATCTCATGCGAGACTTTAACCCCATCGCTAAAATGCTCGCCAACGGCGCTTTTGCGTTGTTGTCACCTTTCGGATCGAAGATTGGGCTTATAGGTCTTCAGGAGAGTGGGGAGAGACATGTTTATGCCTCCACATACCCGAAATTTGCGCCGAGGGATCAAAAGGTTGAGACGGTGGGAGCGGATGGGGAGAAGGGGAGTGGAGCGTATAGGGTACATTTTGATAGTTCGATTGTGGAGTCGAAGCAAGATGTGATCCAGGAGTATTTGGACAGGGGGGTGGTGAAGACTGTGTGGGAGCATACGACGGGTGTTATTGATAAGGTAGTGGGGAAATAATTGTAAGTATATTGAAGGTTTATTGGAAATTCGTTTATTTGGAGTATAATAATCAACACACATCTCCTCTCTGTTCATCTTTTCCAAACTCTGCCACTATATACAAGCTACAATTACCAAAGCCATGTAACTGTATATACCTAGCATTGGGGCATCTTACATACCACCAACCTATATTCCCAATGCTGTACCAATCAAGCCCTATTGGCTTKCGCCCMAAWATCCCCCSATGCTGCCAACGTACTAACAATCATCACGATACCCACCTGCGTCGATGAAGCCGGGATCCATCCCAACACACTCCCCGGAATCACAATATCGCACGCATCAACAATAAGGTTTTTGACGAGGGGAGTCAAATCCGACTTTTTCTGCTTCTCAGCGGGCTTTGTCTTCTCGTCGGATTGTTTTGCTGCTGGAGGCTCAGAAGCAGGGAAGAAAAGATTGACGGTGGAGCCTATGATGCTCAATGCAAGTCCGAAGAACCACCATTTGTGGCATTCGAGGAATGTTTCCTGGGCCCAGGCGGTTGGCCATATACCCATCGCATCCAACTACATCTTCTTTTTAGCAACGGATTCCCTCCAAAAGGAGTGGGATGAGAACTTACAATAGTTAAATCCTCCATAAAGAAATACACGCCCAGAAAAGACCATTTTCCGACAGCGGCAATCTTCTTAACGGCATCAGCTTCAAGTGGAGCAGGGACAAGCCATGCTTTGTAACCTGCGTCGAAGCAGTCAATGAACTTGAAGAATCTCAGATACCTCCGAGCTACTTCCCAGTTAGCATCATCCACAAGTCAGTAGGATTGGGACGAACCGAGAGCGATCTGATTCTTTGCCAAAGCAGATTTGACGGCGTACACGGAATTCGGTACATATGAGATAAAGATGCTAGAAGATAGGATTGTGCAGACGGCCTGGATAAAGCGGAGAGTCTTTTCAATGCCCAGTGGGTGAGCGTTGGTGAAGTTTGAGAATTGTTTCCATACTGGTGGTGGGGGAGGTGGTGATGGTTTGGCCACTTTGATATTTTTTGTAGTGGTGATGGCTGTTTTTTGTGGTGTTGCCATTTTGGTGCAATGTATTGATTTTCCAGAGATTCTCTCAGGGCTTAGCAGGATGTGGATTGATCCTATTATTCAATGGTCTTACAGGAGAAGAATTGAAATCGACATTCCGAGATTCAGACGGCAGATATGCTTATCAAGAGATCCACCTCACTTTACCTAAATGGTTGCTTAGTTTGTCTGCTCATGGCCAATCATGCGGCTGCATTCTTGAATTTGATTTACAATAGCTTCATGTATGAGTTCGAGTATATGCTATTCTTAGTGCACTGAGGGTAGATATGCACTAACATATTTCGGAATCATATTAATGGGACAGCCTTGGAACCCTTAGGTGGCGGACCGACGATGTACCGCATGAAAGTCCAAGAAAATAGACTGATATGTTCTACTAAGCATCATATACACGCAAGCAACGACAAAACGACCATCCACGATACGCTAGGAGTAAGATTTTACCGCCCCTTCCCTCCAGAAATATCCTGTCCCAACCGATAGCCGCCAACCCTCTCCCACTCCACCTTCTGCCTCGTAATCGGCAACTGTCGTCTTAAACTCTTAAATGCGCCTTCCGCCAGTCGACTAAACGCGCGATTGAGCTCTTCCTGATGATCGCGCTCCGCAGCACCGATTTTTGCCATGATTGTTTCGGCGGATATGTTCGATAGTGATAGCGAGATGGGCTTTGTGGTGCTCAGAGCCACGTTGCCGTCTTCGTAGTAGTGTACATCGACGTGGATGGTGCCAGTAATTGTGGTAGAAGATGAGGAGATGGGGATTTGATAGATGGAGCGGTAGCGACCGTTCCTGTTATTGCCGGCGTTAGCACCAGATTCATTGACTTGTTCGTATTGGAAAGAATTACCAGAAATTATTCGGAGAGTAGCGGTTAGCCACCAGGACAACGGCAATTGCGGAATCGTTCTCGATGGGATAAACGCCATAGGAAGAGCTAGGGTAGTGCTCCTTGGCATGCGTAGAGAGGGATCGAAGGAGAGATTTTCTATTCACCATCAGCACGTCGCAATGCCCAAGAATTCAAATGTAACATACACAAGGTCTGCGTTTTGCGAGTCGAGGGGATATGATTGCGCAGCTGAAGCGGTCTGTCAAGCTTAACATGAGCAACACAAATCCATTTTTCGATTGCAAGACAGTATACCTGTGTAATATGATCAAACTCAAACGACGTCGAGCTTTCAACATCAAAGTACCGATCTCCATCCAACCGATTGAACTCGCTCACAATCACCTGCGCCCCCGGATGTCAATAACTAACCATGACAGCGGCGGGAACGAAAGTGAATCACCTGCTGACTACTACCGGGAAGCTTCACGGTAGCCAATTGCTTCTCATTATAGCTTTTAAAGGCGGGTTCGAGGTCGGGGAGGATGTCGGGGCCTTCTGAGGTGAGAGCTTTGATGTCTGAGATGGTACTGTTAGTACAACATATATCATGGCAGTATCGTAGCCGCAACTTAGGTTTCAAAAGGGATCAGGGTACGCATACCAGCGACGACATCGGACAACTATTAAATTGTTTAAAATCAGCATGCAACCTGCGGAAACTGTCTGGAACGTTGACGTACCTCTCCCGGAGGAGCTCCCTCGATGAACGAGGAAGCAATCTCAACCGCGCTCATTGTGATCGCCCAACGAAGAATTGCGAAATGGTCGTATATAATGCAAAATGAAAGATGCGCATAAACGAAAGTGGTGTTGGCTCGCAAGTTGTGTTGATACTAGTCTTGCGGGGTTGTTGCGGGTGTGTTGACACGTTCATACGGCACCAAGGCGGTCAGCTACTGTATGAAACGTTCATAAAGTCAAAACCCTAACCCTACAGTATTGTTGGCATAGTTTACCGCGCGATTCTATTCAGTTGACGTGCCGTCTAGTCCGGACTAATATTTTTCCTCCTGTTTGTCACGTTTGCATTCGTTTAGCCACGTGATCCGAGCGTCCATATAGTTATTCGCGATCCCATTCGGACGTGGAGGAATAATCCTCTTACACATCATATTTCCACTACGTGCGACCCTGGACGAGCCTTCCCCTACTTGCAATCCAGATCTCTGTCTTCTGGTGTGCTTTTCTTATTTTATCCAAAAATCGGGATCTTTTATAACACTTTATGACATAGTTTGATATATTATTTTGTGGCATTTCTTAATATATAGATAGTCAGAAAAAAAATCAAAGGACATGGTATACTATACATAACCTCACTAATTTCCTTTATCTCTATAGTTTTGGGCGTTAGTTATTATTATAATCAATACCCTCTTAATCTATAAGCAGGCACAACCTATGAGGCAGCTGTACTGTCCTTGCTCACTATCTTACACTTCCTGATACGGAATATAGCTTAATCAACATAATAGAGTACCTATCATACGTCAATGAAATAGCCAGTAACGTGCTATTGGAGGAAATTAGAACACACCCAGTTGCAATAGTATGCCACAGTTCGAGGAGTCTTGTTTTGAAAAGTGGACAGACTAGAATGAAACTTTGAAGCAGAGGAATAATTAATACATTCAGAATTAGCCCTTGTTCTCCCGGGAGTGCAATGCACATCCCTCCAATCAAAGATGGATCACAATGACAAGCATTGCAACCAATGCGGATGCTGTCACGACGGCGAATTGGCCATTCAAGTCAGCTGATGATGCAGAAGAACTGTGATAAGCCGGACAGGTAACATTGGGGTTCTTTAGGGCACAGGCTGTAGTGGTGCCTTCGGCAAGTATACTAGATGCCACTGTGGCATTGATAGTTGCCGAGCACGGGTTTGTAGTTGGAGTAGATCCCAACCATCCGCAGAATTCGAACTCTTCGAAAGAGGTTGCATTGAATGCGAAGGCACTCGCCAAGCCACACGTATCAGAGGATGTAGCCGCCACAACATTAGGTGCCTGGCCAGTCTTGCTGATGGTGAAAACAGTCGAACTATTCACGTAGATGGGTTGGAAGTTTTGGAATGATGAGTTGCCAGGTTGAAGGCAGGTATCGATCTGCAGGCTCCAGTGAAAGGTCCAGTAGCCCTCAGGATAAGTCATGGTGTTGATGAACTCGGTGATGAGGGCAGTATTGTTGGATATGAAATCCATCGAGTTTACATCAAAAGCGCCCTGTTGTATAGAGCCGGGAGACGAGTAATTATCCCCTTCCCATAAGTCCCAAGAAAAAATGGCTCCCAGCGGACGAAGTAAGGACGGATTTTGTACTGCAAGTACGATAGGCATCACCGCCTGAGGACTGTAAGTTTAATTGCGGGGGAAAAGAGCGTCCACTTCGAGAATGCCAGGGGATGCAGGTTGAACAGTTTGGCCCATTGCAGGCATCGAGCTGGCTATCAGTGTCCCCCAAAGTAAAGAACGAACCACGTTGGAAGAGCGCATGATGCCAGAAATGATAGTAGAACAGATAGTCGAGTCAAGTTGAGAGCCTCAACTTGATTAGAAGCAAAGGAGAACGCTCGAGACGAGCGACAACTTGAAGTTGACTGAGTGAGAAGACGGAGAAAAAGTGGGTGCGGAAAGTCTGGCAATGTATTTACAAGACAGAAAATCCTGCAGACACCCTTGTCTGTTGACAGTCCTGAGTCTGGGTCACGAGTAAGCGAGTGAAATCTCCCTACCAAACTAGCGTGCTCTCATCTCTTTCACGGCGCAACAGGTACAATAGTCCCAATATGCTAACGAGCCCGGAGCCAACGCGCAGGGGTCGGTTACACTAACTTAATATACTAACAAATTAAATACATGGCCAGTAGACGACTGAGTACTCCGTATGGTCAATTACAGATATGACTCGGGCAGTATTTTCTCGCCTACCTAGGTAGACCTGCATTGGTTGCACTCGAACTCGTAACGCTCATACATCTTGATACATATCTAGCAGTTTACATATTTGGTGGTCAACCTAATTAACGCTAAATGGATACCAGTTAGGATAATCTTATAGAATAGCGAGAAATTTTTACATACCTCTCTCTCGTGTTGCGGAGGAAAACAATTTTTGTTTGAGAGTGAAGTTGCTCGTAGGTATCTTTTCTTTCGCCGCGCTAAGTAAAGGTAGATGTAGACCGCGACTGAGGACTAATTGTCAACAGGTTTCCACAACTTACTCGGTAATATCCCCGAGATCTCCGTTTCCTGAGCTTGTGCCAAGTTGCCAGCCCTGGACCCTGCGGCTGAATAGTTTCGACTCCTATTGGCGCTGATAGAGATTTTAAATTACACTAGCGCCCAACAAGATATCACCCCCCCCCCCCCCCCCCGGGAGGATATCATCCTCAGCTATAACCCGCGATGAATCCGCTCCCTCGAATGTGAGCGAGGTCTTATTGGCAGGKGACTCACTGTCTAAAATGGCGCAAACAAGCCAGCACTAATGATAGTAGTGAGACTAAGAATGAGACAATAGGGAGGTTCAGCAACTTTTATGCTTGCACCGGGCAAACTCCACCCCGCAACCAATCATAAATCTAGTCACTACTAAGGTTGACCCCGGTAATTTTCATAGTACGGTGGGGCCTTACAGGGGTAGTATCTATGCATCCATATATGGTGTTCAAGATTGCGACTCGCGCTTCAAACCATTGAATGCCTGCCCGCAGTTGGTACACGTGCTTATATATTTACCTAGGTATGATTACCTGGATACGTATTAAAGGATCAACAAACATTTTCCTATTCCAAACTTTCGTTCCACCACCCCAAATTTGCCTTTGAAGTCCGTATCACTGTAACAAGACACAAATACCTTTGATGCATCATGAACGCCTACCATGGCGCCTCAGGCATGGACTGTCGAGATATCGCTCCGGCAGGCTTTTGTTTTAGGTGGAAAATTGTCAGTATTTCGAGGGGTTCGGCGCCGGCGAGGGCGACTCGGGACCTGCAGGCATGGTGATCTGTAACTCCATAGTATCTATCAATTCGGCGAGCTTTGATACCCTTTGCTCGAACGAAATTCTGATGGAAAAAAGAGGGACAAGAACATGTGACTGACAGAAAGCTTCATCCTAGATGTACTCCCAATACTACAACAACATCGTTGCTGCATCAGCTAAGTACGTCGTTTACCGATGCAGGACTTCGAGGACACTTTCGCAACGGTGGCCCCGCCTCCTGACGACTCATGGCTAGTGATCATGATTGATCCCTTGGGGCTAGGTTTTACTGCAGCCGCCGCACCATATTTTGATGGAGGTGAGTTGTCATGTGGAGGGTCCCGGCTCGCTTCCTTAAGAGTGATATTTCGAATGATGAAACCGACAAATGCTAATACTCCACAGTTTTGGGAAACTCCAAGCTCTGGCTACTCTAGGAGAGGCAGGAGCGGACACTATCAAATATATCACCTATGCCAGTATTTCGTTTGGTGCCGCAATCGCTGGCGCTGCACTTCCTGGAGGTTTGCAGTGAGTGACAATCCTCAAGTCTTCTTTGGGGCAAGGACTGGAAGATGCGTTACGAGAATCTGCTGCGAGTTTCCTCATACGCAGTAGCCAAGTTGCAGACTACTTTTGTGAAGGAATCAATGAAACGTACCTGCTCAAGAAAACCTCACAGCTAGTCTAGGTTCGGTAATCAAGGGTTGGGCTGACATGGCTGCAGACCAGCTCTATCTGTTGTTCAATGGATCGGAGTCGGCCGTCGACCTGCTCACAACCTTGGTTGCCAACAGTAATTTTGTTGCGGGTATGGATGGCGCTCCATTAGGAGAGTATAACGCTACAACTCAAGGGACGGATGATTTGGGTGGCTATATTGGTAAAGCCTTTTTCGGCTTTTCAATTCCAGTCGCGTGGACGCTCTCCGGCACTTCGGCATTTGTTCTTGACTCGGGTTACTCGTGCGGTACTCAGAATCCATTGACTGAGTATATGACTGTAGATACCCAACAAGCCACCTATGCATGCTTTAACAATAACCTTTACTATCTGGTCCATCCTGACGGGGATTGGAAGGGCTGCCTAGTGACAGCACGGCGAAAATCGATAGTATCAATTGCGTTGATTGTGATCCGCCACCACCAGAGTGCAACCCGATTTACTTCACTGCGCCCACAGGGCTAGACAGAATTGATGGTGCAAATTGGGGCTACATTACCATATCTGATCTCATCGTAGGCGCCGTCAACACGTACACCGCCAACGGCAATTCTAACGGAGGATCTTTGGCCGATCCGATGAACCAACGATTTCTCTAGCTTGGACTATATATTAGATTATGCATATTATCGTCCACAGAAATATTGATTAGACAGACCAATATGACAAGCGATTTCCACCCTATATCTTTCTCATTGCCGCTTCGTGTTAGTGGTAAAGTCTTCCATTAAGTATATTTTACAAAATTGCTGTTTGCAGCACTTGACAGAAAGCTGATACTGTAGTTCATTTATATCTACTTGTCTACATACCATCTCTACAGGAAAACCTCGTCTCCATTCCCGCCCAATGACACTGCAAATCCTTCTCCAAACTATCAGCGACCGAATAACCACTCGACCTAATCGATTCCACGACAGCCAGCACTCTATCACGTTCCCTATTATCCACCGAGATTTGTTGCGCAACTACGTGCAGAATCGGAGCATAGGCGACGGCCTCCAGCTTATAAGAGTGTATGTTCCTCTCGACATACTCAAAGGCTCGTTCGGCCTGTTGACGGGCGAGAGATTGAGGCATGACGGGTAGTGGGATGGCGAGAGTCTGCCAAGATGGATGCGTGAAAAGGTGAGACAGGCTTGTGAGGAGCCAGTAGTAGTATGGCAATAAGGAGCGGCAGAATATGTCTTCGGAGTAGGAGGTTGAGTAGAGGACGATGGTGGAGATGATTCGTTGTTGCATGTGGGTTGCGCGAGTGACGAGTTCGATGCCATTGAGTCTATGTAGAGCATCTATAGTAGCGTCTGGTGTTGTATGTACAGAGTCTTTGATCCAGAGTAGCAGTCTAGGAAACGTGAGTTCGCGAACCACTGTCTGTAAGTGGAAGACTTACTTGTATTGTAGTTTCCCACTCTCTTCTAGAGCTGATGCCATATCGTCCCACTGTCTATCCACCTTATCCAGCATATTATTTACTGATAAATCCTGCTCCGGCGGTAAAGTGTCAGGCATTTTCTGCTCCGAGGTGCTCCAGAAACAATCATGATCGAAACATATCGCCCAGAGCGCACCACTGGTTCTCAGAAACAGGCGCAATCGACGATTCAGAGACGAGAAGTAGTCGTCACCACCAGGCGCGGAATCATCTTTTGGCGAAACCGTCGACAAAACCTGATACACCAGCGACCCCCACGTACTCCCACTATCATACAACAACAACTCAACAAACTGCAACAAACACGCCGCTACCAACGAACCCGTCGAATCCTGCGGTGTCGTCGACGGCGCTTTGAGAAGTCTGAGCATATTCACTCTCAGCCTCGCAAGTAATTTTCGTGAATCATACTTGAGTCGCGAAGTCGGTTCCCAGGATGTGCTGCCATACGACCCTTGCGAAACATACGCTTTGCCAACGAGGTTGACTGTATCCTGCACCAGTTCATTTGTGTGAAGCAGTTTGCCGATGGACGCAAATGAGAATAGTTGAATAAAAGGAGAAACAGAGGAAGTTACAAGGTCAAAGAAAAAGGAGATGTATTGCGTGTTGGTGTCTATTAGTGGTTGGTCCATGGGCATGAAATGGTGGACTATGGAAGGGTGTTGATAGGAGACTATGTTGAATTTGGAGGGTTGTAGGGAGGAGGTGCATGTCGTGCCTCGCTTGAGGCATGTTGAGCATGGTCGAGCGCCGTCACACTGTCAATTAGTTACTTCATGCTTTTAATGAGTTGCATTCTGTTCATGATGGCTGGCCAGAAAGAAATACCTTTGCATGTTCACGCTGGCAATATACACATCGCCGTCTTCTCAGCCGGCGGTCTGCTTGTCCGATAGGCATAATAAATTGAGTTTCTATCAAATCTTCACATGCATTATTGTTGCTGTCTGAAGAAAATAGAAGTCTACGTCAATTTCGAGTTTCTGGTGGAGGATGGATAAGGTAAGCCTTAGTATGATGGCTGCTAAATCCGAGACCTTAAGCTGAATTAGGAAGTGTTCGTGCGCCTAGCGCGATTTAACGCTCGTATGGTACGTAATGACGTTGCCTACGGTCCATGTTTTGTATGTGTTTTGAAAGTACGATACGGTATTTTGATGGCGGTACGATACAAAAAATACAACACTGAGCCTATCTTGCAATTCATCAAGAAGAAACCGAAATTTAGAATATCATAACTCATCCGTAGCGCTAAACATATAAAAGGGTAAAAGGGTATATGTGCATAGAAAGAAGAAAGGAAGGAAAGCCATACTCCCTGACCAACCGCGTTCGCCCAATAGTCCCAGTTTTGAAAAGAAGAAGTCATTAATTACTCAATACTCATATTCATCAATCCATCATGCGTCTCGTTTATGCCCTGCAGACCAATTCGCTTGATTCCAGTCGGCGTTGAGTTGCTTGAAGAGCTGTGTGTTTGCTCCGTCAACAACGCTGATGCGGCTTTGGAAGGGATGATCCATGATCCGTTGAGGCCGTTACTGTCTTTGGCGGTTGATTGCAGGACAGGGCTACTCTGAACACTCATACCAGGTGACACGGCTCGGCGCTTGAATGATTCAGCATCAAAACCATCGTCGCGACGACGTTTGCGACGGATTTCAGTTGCTAATGCCGATGTGACTGCTTGCGGTGTTGGTGATCGCCAGCGGCCTTCTCGTCCGATATTTGATACTGGTGTGTCCATGTTTGTGTCTTCACTCATGACGGAAGACTGCGTTGATAAGCGACCTGGAGGTGGTGGGGTGCGGTACCGGCCATCGAATGTCTCCCAGAATTTAGTGCCTCCTGAATTCAATGAGGCTTGATTGGAAAAGGCAGTTTCGGGGACACTCCTGCTTGGATTTTCAGATACTGAGGTGGTAGAAGTGAGTTCTTCCAGTTGCTCTAGTGGAAAGCTAGGTGCTTTTGTCTCGCTTGGATCGCTTTCACGAACTTGACGGATGACTTCCGCTTCTTTCTTTGCTTCCGTATCAAGAGGTGCGCTCTCTTCCATCAAAGCCGCACGAATACGAGCGAAGGTCTTAGTTTTGGGCTAGATAAGTCAGTTAAATGCAATAGAAGCTTGGAAAGGTCTGAGCTTACAAGTAGATTTCCTCGTCGAGTAACAGCACGACGAACCACTCCCCGTGGACCAGTTTCTGCATTTGCCCCAGGGCTGTCTGCTCGGAATGCACGAGCTTCGCCATCGTCGCTCAAATCGGACAGCTGGAGATCTCCAGTACCAAGACTCAGGCTTTCCCGACGTGACTGCAAAGCACTTTTGGACATTTCACGCGCAAAATACCCTCCATTCGATACCTCAATACTTTTTAATACTGGCGGAGATAATGGTCCCGGGCTAGGCTTGTTGCTATTCCCGCTAGCACTGCTGGAACTATGACGACTGTTTCGTGACTTGCGAAACCGTGCCCGTTGGAAACTGGCCAGACTGGTAGCTGCGGAAGAATAAGTACCCATCCAGTCATTTCCTGGACTTGGGACTGCGCCTCCAAAAGGATTGGACAAAAACCCATTGTGCATTTTGCTCGCTTGCGGTGTAGTAGTTATCATCATCTCATCACGGTCACCGTTCATTGGCTCGTCATCGTCTTCTTCGCTGCTACTGGTATCAGATTCGAGCATGTTCACGCTAGAGAGTGAGCTGGACATTGTTGTTTGATTTGCTGACCCAATACCTGATGGCTGGGTAAGGCTTGTGCCAGGTGAGCCGAATGCGGATGAAGTACCCCCTCGTCGTTGAGGGATATTGACACCACGGCCACCCACGTTGGGTGATGAATCGGGTGACGATTCAGCGAGAGTAGAATGATGTAGATTCGTACAGGCACGGGCGAAGTCTAGACCTCGTGAGCGGCGAGGAATCGCTGATGCTGGSGAGCCATAAATTGGCGCAGCATCAAGTTTTGGAGAGAGAGGTATTCGGTTCGCAGAAGGTGTAGAGAAGGATGGAGTAGACTGTGGCGGAAGTTGAAGAGAAAGGCCATTCAGAGTCGACAGACGTGGCTGTGATGTCTTTTGTGGTGTTGACGGACTGTTTGTTTTATTGGTGGTGGTGTGTGTAAGTCCTATGTCATCTTTGGAAGAAGGTGGAAAGTCCCGTAATGCTGATGGCTGCAAAGCCCCGTGTTTGGCAGCATCAGACAACGAGCGTGATTTGGGGGATAAACGCGGTATAGGAGGACGTTTGGAGTCGCTGCTTGTCGTTGTTCCACTGCTGTTGTTCTCGTCGCTGTCTGACTGTTCGATGTGTCTTGACATCTGCCTCTGCAGCCAGTACGGTTCTGCCACTCGCATTTCGGTCTTCATGAGTTCGCAGTAGGTGAGGAAAGGCTATCGATCGTAGTTTGATGACGGTATAAAGCCCGGGTGTGATTCAGAGTCTGTTAGAAGTAGTAGGTAGATCTGCCTCTAGGAAGCCATGTTGGCAAAAGCCGTGGTGTAGAAGCGAAGCCCTAGGCAGTACTAAGCATTTGGTCAGTGATGACGGTGGAATTGAGAACAGACAGGTATTGGAGACAGACGTGTGATGGAACGATAAGATTGAAATAGGTCCTGCAGATAGAGCGCTTATAAAATCGACCAGTTGGGATAACTAAAAGGGTGATCCTATTCACATGGAGTTGCTAACGCTGGGATTCTTTGACGTCGTCGTCGACCTTGAGCGCGAAGGTAGATTGACCAATCAGCGTAGCTTTTTTMCCCGCCCCCGCCGTTCCACCTGATTGCCAGCGCTAACAGTGTCTGTCACTTCTTGGCGATGATACAGCATATGACTTATTTGCTATTAAGGACTGATCAACGCTGATATAAATCAAATTGAATGATATATATTGGTATACTACTAATATACACGCAGTACATGCAAAGAGATGATGCCTTTAGCAGAGACGAACCCGCGTCTCAATCACCCGGAAACTCCATGGGAAATCACCTCATTCCGCCCTCTCTCATACTTTGTTATCGCTTGGTCTCCTCACTGAAGCGCCAACACTGCCCTCATGGTATGCTGGTGGCGGCGCCGACATATCTGGGTGGGGTGCATATGTTGACTCGGTCGCGACGGAGGATCTGGAAGGGGAATGGTCTCGTCGGGATTGGGGTGGTGCCAAAGAAAACTCGTTGTAATCGGGGTCGCGACTCAATCCATGCGGATCATTGAAGGGGTCGGCATAGGCGGCGGGGTTGTGGTTGCGGTTGCGATTGTTTGCGGTAGGCTCATAGATTTCAATTTCAAAAGACTCACGTTCTTTTGCTGCTTCGGCCACGAACTGTCTGCGTCGTTTTCTGGCGATGAAGAAGAAGACGATCCCGGCAATAACGAGCATACTAGATTCAATTTAGATTTCCATGCAATCAAATTTTCCCCAAAAAATACTAACGCTCCGACGATGGCCGCTGGGACAGCATTGAGAAGAATCTGGCTGGTGGGTTTGGCGCATGCTGCGGAATTAGGGTCGGACTCGTCGCAGGCCCGTCGGTAGAGATTCGTAATCATATCCATGCTTGCTGTAGAAATGAAGGAATAAAGATGTGTATGGCGGTGATGCGAAAGACGTTCAGAAGTTAGAAGCGCAGTTGAGCGAGTGAGCGTGTTGGAACGAGGGACTACAGTGATTTGGCGACGTGTACTTCCTTGTAAACAGAAGAATCAGAGACAGACAAAGAAGGAGGATATCGTGCAAATAAGTCGCCGGTCAATTGCGTACTACATCAAAAATGAGCGTCAGGTGCGAAGAAGGAGTGTGTCGGGGTATGCTGTGAAATGCCTCGAAAGCATCGCGGCAGGAAGTCCCCCTTATTAAGAAGATGAGACACATTGGCAGGGCTTGCTCCGTACGCCGTGTAAGCAATCGTGGCTGACGCTGGCCTAGGCTGGACGCGGTTAGCGACTGCGGAGAACCCAGCTGTCCCTGGTATGTGTGTGGTATTGACACAATCTGGCCGCCTTTTGCACCAATGAAGGGCTGATAATTCCGTTATTTATGTTTCATAATACAAACTGCGAGGGCCAATGTTGCAGCGGATCAATCAAGCATTCCATTTCCGAGGCAGCATGGGGCATATGCGGATATACGCTGCCCTATACTCATTCTAACACATATTTAGTGCATCAGATTGAGCATTTCCTTCGGAGGATGCTCGAAGTTCTGGATTAAAGTTCTTCAAGTGAGCCTGGAGCCTCACATCAGCCTCTGTATCACTTCACTTTTACCTCAGTCATTTGCAATCTTTCATCGTGCTACTCATACTGATTACGGAAGAGAGAGAGAGAGAGAGAGAGAGAGAGAGACAAACGATATCAGTTTTACACGCTATGCCTCTTCAGGATTAAATGGGATAATTTTTTCGTTGCCAGGGACAGCCATCTCATCCAATCAGAGCAGCGCTAGCCACGATCTCTCGGCGAAAAGATGCCCCACCACCGCGTGGAAGCAGAACCGTGACGTGATAATCTTGGGGCAAAAGGCAAGTCAGACGAGGTTTTTTCCAGACCGGCAGAGTGCGAGGAAGGGCAGGACCGCCAACGACACAAAGGAGACAATATCTATCTGAACTTCCACCGAGCAGCGCCCGCGATTCGACCGCTAACTCCGATCTCGAGCCTCGTCGCATTTTTTACCGGGCTGGTCCTGCCAGCAAGTCTACGCCGCCTCGCCGCTGGAAAACCCATAAAAGCTCGCATCATGGCTTCCTTCTCCGACGACATGTCCATCGAGGACATCATCGACGAGCTTGATCTGAACAAAGCCCTTCTCGAAAGCCTCATCGAAACCCGCCCTGACGAGCTAGAGGAAAGAGAAGAGCTCCAAGCGACAGTGATGGATCTCGAAAGAAAGTTGGCTGAGCGTCGAGGGGTGCCATACAATCCTCCTGGTACACACCCGTCAGACTCCAGATCTCGAGGTACATTTCAATATGATGGGGCAGGATCGCCTCAAGAGTCAGGAGTCCACAAAGGCCACGACGATGATGGTGCCACATTCTCTTTACCGCATCGTGATACCCCTCAGCGCAAGCGCAATCTTAATCCCTCTGATATTGGCGACTATTCTGGTTCTCCAGTTTCCAAGCGAGCTCGCTCCCGCCACTCGAGGTCTCCAGCTCTAACTGGCCCCTCCGGTTCCAGCTCGTCGAGACACGATTACGAACCCCTCAATGACTACTTTCAAGACGATGACATAGACTTCCGGGAGGGACAATACGAGGCGGAAAAATGGCTGGAAGAGCGTCGTCTACAGGAACTTAAGGACGAAGAATTTGCTAGACGTCTTCAAGAATCGTTTGAAGAGGAGCTCTCGTACGTGCCCTCCAAGCAAGCAGAGCCTTTTCAGCCTTCTCAGCCAGAGCCATACAACGCATATTTCTCCAGCAGTACGAATCCTGTCAAGCCAGAGTACAGTGCGAATCCTCTCAAGCCACTGTTGAACACGCAGTCTCCATTCATGCAGAAACCAACGGCACCATCGTCTTCTCGCGATCAGCCAGCCTTTGGTACGACAGGTTTCGGCCATCCCTCCTCTTTCCAGTATCCTTCTAATGGACCTTCATTCGGTTTTCCATCCCAACAACCTCAATACCCAACACTGGGAGCTCCATCTGGCTATCAGGTCATTGATAGCAGTGATGAAGATGAGGATTTTGCTGAAATTGGGGCTGATGATTTCTATGGGAACGGCCGGGTTCCGATTTTGACTAGCAAGAAGACCAAAACAAGCATGGGGACCGGTGTTGGTAGATATGGCTCAGAAATGTTGAACCGGAATTCCGCGCTAGACTACTCGCCCATCGGTCGCTCTCCTAAGACATGGATGCAAAATATGATTGAAATGCCTGCTGTACCGCCATGGATGAACGTTGAGTTAGTAGACACATAATTACAAACCTTTGACCGTGGACTAATATTTGTAGGGACGAAACCGTTGACGGCAAGCAGGCAAACCAGGAACTCAAGTCCTTATTAGAGGGTCTCCGGCCTGATTTCGATATAACCCGAGAGACGACACCTGAACAATTGAACTTTCCGCTCTTTGAACATCAGAAGCTAGGGCTGGCGTGGATGAAAGCCATGGAGGAAGGCCAAAACAAGGGTGGCATTCTGGCTGATGACATGGGTCTCGGAAAAACCGTGCAGGCTTTGTCGTTGGTCGTCGCTCGACCATCCACGGATCCATCACGAAAGACTACACTGATCATTGCGCCTGTAGCCTTGATGCAGCAATGGAAACGAGAAATAGAGAGGCTAATCAAGCCAGAACACAAACTCAGCGTTTTCATTCTTCACGGTGAAAAGCGCAAGACTGGTTTCGATAAGCTGAAACGCTACGATGTGGTCTTGACTACATTTGGTAGCATGGGTACCGAACTAAAGAAGAGGGAGCAGTTCGATGATATGAGGCGATTCGCACAGAACAATAACAATCTGGTTGCAGAAGCCCGCGGTCTTCCACTTCTTGGGCCTGATAGCACATGGTACCGTGTTATTATTGACGAGGCACAGTGTATCAAGAATCGAAACACAAGGGCTGCCCTTGCTTGTTGCTCTCTTAACGCTACTTATAGATGGTGTATGAGTGGCACCCCCATGATGAACGGTGTCCATGAGCTACATTCACTTCTTCGATTCTTGAGGATTGGACCATACAACAGTTTGTCACTGTTCAGCTCGGTGAGTAAATCCTGACGGCGCCTTGTTTAGATCTATCTACTAATTGATCACAGACTTTTACACGACCTCTGAAAGGCTCAAGCAAAGCAGATCGAGAAAAGGCTCTGGTACAACTCCGCGTTGTGCTCAAAGCTATTCTCCTTCGCCGGACGAAATTCTCCAAGTTAGACGGCAAACCTCTTATTCAGCTGCCACCACGCACAACTGAAAAAATTCATGCAGTCTTTAGTGAGGACGAACAGCAGCTGTACGACTCCTTAGAAAGCAAGACGCAGATCCAGTTCAACAAGTATCTCAAGGCGAACTCTATTGGGAAGAACTATTCCAGCATTCTTGTGCTATTGCTTCGCCTGCGCCAAGCTTGTTGCCACCCTCATCTGATCCGAGATTTGAGCGTGGATATCTCCGGCATTACAGAGCAGGCTGACTTTACTGAGAATGCGAAGCACTTCAGTCCTGATGTCGTGCGACGTCTCAGAGAGGATCCGCCTCTTGAATGTCCTGTCTGCATCGATGCCGTCCAGAATGCAGTCGTTTTCTTTCCTTGCGGTCACGCTACTTGTGCTGAATGCTTTGCTAGGATATCAGATCCTGCTCTCGCCGTCCAGCAAGGAGTAGACGGATCGACCGACGCCAAATGTCCCAATTGTCGCGGCAAGGTTGATCCTAAAAAGGTCACGGATTATTCTTCCTTCAGGAAAGTTCATTTCCCCGAACTAGCCATTGATGGCGAAGAGCTTCCAGAAATTGCTGCTAGTCCGGAAGACTCTGACTCTGATTCGAATGACGACAGCGACGATGAAGACGACGATGAAGATGATGATGAGGACTCCGACCTTGACGGTTTCATTGTTCCTGATAATTACGACGAAGATGATAATTGTGACGATGACAACAAGGTCTCAAAGAAGAAGCACGATGACTCTGACTACAAGCCTAAATCGAAGAGCAAGCCGAAGCCGAAAGTGTCCAAAGCCAAGGGCAAAGGCAAGAGCAAGGAAAAGAAGAAAAAGACCCTCGCTGTCCTCCGCCGCGAAGGTCAACGCAACGCATCTGCCAAACGCAAATACTTCAAACGCCTGGAAAAGAACTGGATGACAAGCGCCAAGATCGAAAAGGCCGTCGAAATTTTGGAAGAAATCAAGGGTTCTGGAAAAGGCGAAAAGACTATCATCTTCAGCCAGTTTACGTCGTTGTTGGATCTGCTGGAAGTTCCCATTAATCGTCGCGGATGGAAATATCGCCGTTATGATGGTAGCATGAATCCTCGCGATCGTAATGAGTCCGTCCTCGAGTTTTCGGATAAACCAGACTGCGATATTATGCTCGTCTCCTTGAAGGCTGGTAACGCCGGCCTCAATCTAGTCGCGGCTTCGCAAGTTATCATCTTCGATCCCTTTTGGAATCCCTACATTGAAGAGCAAGCCATCGATCGCGCGCATCGACTCGGCCAAATCCGTCCCGTGCAGGTGCACAGGATCCTAGTTGAGAATACGGTCGAAGATCGCATACTAGAGTTGCAGGATAAGAAGAGGGAGGTCATTGAGGGCGCGCTAGATGAGCATGCGGCGAGTCAGATTAGTAGATTGGGGGTTAGAGAGCTGAAGTTTCTTTTCGTGAGTCCCCTTCCCCTTCCCTATTTTCATTTTGCAAAATCGCCATGTACTGACTGGAGATATAGAATGTGCAATAGAGACTGTATCATCTCGAAGTCTCTCTCCTTCACTTTCTTTCATTTCGATTCTTGTCTAAAATTTTAACACCCTAGGGGAAATTTTGTTTTCTTTTAAATGTCCGGAGGAGCAATTGTCGCACGTCTTGATTTGTTTGATACCCTAGAAGAACTAAAACGAGGCGCATTATGGTATGGTATGGTATGGCTTGCTACGGAATGGTACGGGGGCGGGCTTCTCTCTTTATTCTTTCAAGTTCGTTTCTTATGTTTTATCCCCCTCGGCGCTTCAGTGCATTGCTCTTTCGGGAATATTTAGACCAATGACGTTTTGTTATTATTGTCAGCTGCTCGTAAGCAGATACTAAACAGAATGGGATTCGATTTCGGGGGTCTTTTAATACGTTTCCTAATCTTCCTAACATGTAAAACCAAATATCATGGGATGAGGTAGGTAGGTTAAACAATTATATTCTACTTTGCATTGCAAATTCGATTTCTTGTGCAACTAAGCACTGACTGGCATTCATTTATGGCATAACACAGAGGGGTGGGTAGGAGGGCATTTTTAAGAAAAGAACGAGACCAAAACAATCTGACGATTCAAGGGAAGGAGATTCGCGAAATCAATCCGTCAATAGTCTAAAGGTCGGCGTCCTCTTCATCGGGCAGAGGTTGAGCAGCGGCATCTGTGAGTTCCTGCTGGTACTTGGCCATAACTTCGGGGTCGACCTGGACTTCGGGAGGAGCCAAGGCGGGAGCGGCGACGAATTCCTATATATCTAGTATTAGCATTGATTCAAGTTTTAGAATCCTAAAGCGGGAAGACGGACCAAAGTCTGGTTACCAACAAGCTTACGAGCGAGCCACAAGAAAGGCTTCTCGAAGTTGTAGTTGGACTTCGCAGAAATATCGTAGTATTGGAGGTTCTTCTTGCGGTGGAATGTGATGGTCTTAGCCTTGACCTTGCGCTCCTTGACGTCGACCTTGTTACCGCAGAGAACGATGGGAATGTTCTCGCAGACTCGGACCAAGTCACCTATCAATTCGTTAGTACGTGACGAGCCAGAAGCAAAGAAAGTGAAAGACGTACGGTGCCAGTTGGGGACGTTCTTGTAGGTAATACGGGAGGTCACGTCGAACATGATAATACCGCACTGGCCGTTGATGTAGTATCCATCACGAAGACCGCCGAACTTCTCCTGACCAGCAGTGTCCCAGACATCGAACTGAATAGGTCCCAAGTTCTGCGTGGAGTCAGCCATCTGGTCCTAATAACTTTATTTTTTTAGGGCGAACATACGGTGGTGAACCCAAGAGGGTGAACTTCCACACCCAGAGTCGCGATGTACTTCTTCTCGAATTCTCCAGTCAAGTGGCGCTTGACGAAAGTAGTCTATTCAGCTCGTAGTTAGTAAGGTGTTCGGATACGCAAATAGCGATGATGATGGTGATATCGATATTGACGGAGGATGTCGCTAGGATGTAGATGGGAATCAAGGGAATCGAGCAGAATGCGGGGTCACGCGATTATCGCATCGACAAATCTCGTATGATAGCAACACGATTCGATGGTTCGTGATATGCAGATCGTATCTCCAGATGACTTGCCTTTCCAGTACCACCGTCGCCGACAAGGACAAGCTTAAAGGTGGGAATTTGTTCGGCCATGTTTGATGACGTGAGAGGGGTGAAGAAACTGAAAAAATAAACAACAACACAAGATCTGAGGACCGCAAAATCTTGTGTGCAAAATCAAGCGATGCGGATTAATTCAAGACGATAGGAAAAAATCCGGAGCGTGTCACAGAGCCCGTGGAAGCAAGGGTTGATGATGTTTTTTGGGAAGGGGAGGGAGAAGAGAAAATCGTCGGTATTCCTTTTGGGGATGGAATTTTCGACTTTGCCAGGGCGGTGACCACAACAACAGGCAGAGTCACGTGATGCGTAAACAATTTTTGCCCCTCTGCCATCAGAGCCCCACTAGGCGCACTCATACTATTAAAGAGGCAGTTTTATTACAGTGAAAGAACTCATTGATCTTCATTTTAAGAGGTCGCGGGACATTGCCTGATTCTTTATTACAATCTACAACTTGAATAAGGCCCAATTTTCGACTCTATACAAATCGATTGGCGGGGTCCATTTTGCTAGAGTGGAAATACAGGGCGACCCAACTCCCCGACATAATATCGCATTGATGCCATACAAGGACATGTACTGTTGTACCATATGACGATTTCTATAGCATATTAGTCTTTGCTTGGGCAGCCTTTGCTGTCATCAAGGCGGAACAAAGCCAATGACGTCGGTTAAGGCTGGCCAGGCTTGCCGACAGCACTGACCATTTGGCACCAATATCGCTCTAGCCTGATTGTCATGACAATAATCGATTTTGCGATTCACTGTTTAAGTGTCCAGCATATGCGCCAAAATCCATCCGCATGTCCTTGTATACTATGCCAGATCGCTCCAGAACTCCGACAATGATGTTTCATAAATCGTTTTAATTTCTTGTCTCATAAACCCATCATAAAGGCACCAAGTGACAGCCCAAAAGACCACGACCCCCCCAGTTCCGACGCGGTGTCAGACTGACACTCAATTCGCGAGTACCCTGACCTGATTCATTTGTTCGCGACACCTTCACTACAAGAGGACGCTAGAATCGCTACCTGTCAGCGCAACTTGACCTAGTGGAAGACGAGACATTCTTACCCCTTCATTCTGCTGCACAACCTCTCCAACCTTTGTCAACCGCTCGTGGTTCACCCAGTTGACCGTCCCGAAACTCCGGATGATATCTCCAGCTTTCAAGCCAGCTTGATCGGCGGGGCTGCCAGACGCGACGCTGTTTACTCGTGCGAAAGGTGTTTCGATTATTCCATTTTGTGTGGCGTGTGTACCATTCTGTTGTTGGGCAGGTGTAGATGTGGTGGGTATCGTAGAAGCTTGCGCCTGTTGTAGAGCCTCAAAATGTGCGTGTAGGCCCTTCTCGAGATGTTTCATGACCTCTTTGTGATCGTTTCGGAGGTGGATAATTCGTGCGCGCGTCGTACGGACTATTTATCAAAAAGTCAGGTTATATTCTCGTCGGTTGATCAAGGTAATCATACTTTGTGCCACATCGATATCGTCGCGAGGAAATCCGTCAAACGTTGTCAGACTCGTATCCATAGTAACACCTTGCTAGACATGAAGTTGGATCAGTATGCGACCAAAGATGAGAAATTCAAAGCTAAGCATAAAAATCTTACAGATGTCAACACGCTACTGTAAGCCGATAGTTCTGCTTCGATGCGGTCCTTCTCAGTCATAAGCTCAACCATCGATAACTTGGACAAGTCTCGGAAGCCTGTCCCCGCGGTCGTCGGACCGGAGGGGACAGTTGGCGCATGGATATCTCTGTTCATCGTAACTCCTTTATCAGGAAGGTCTTGTCGATATTTGTGGATGCATTACCGTTGAATCAACGGTGATGATAGCAAGTGGAAGCTCTGATGGGGAAGTGGCGGAGTCCAGACGGCAGGCACAAAACGGTCCCATACAAAATGGAATTGTTAGGTAACCTGCCGCAGCATCACAGGCAAGCAGCACCACGAAGGCGACATTCAACTACTCGGTCTCGATTGGCGGATTGGGAATTCCTTGGGAAACATGATTTTTTTTTTTTTGTTGTTGAGGATGAACTACAGCGACCTGGACTGGAATTTATCAGGAGCGGCCATGGATTTTCAACTACAAACTCAAGATGTGAATATGTATGGTCAACTTTCAACAGAATTCACCTACATTCAGTGAAATACTGAAAGCAAGGTGTAACTCTGGAACAAAGACAGATATATTTAAGAGATTGCTCTTAATGGCAGGAATCAGTCCACAATAATAATTTTAATTCTGTTCGCAGGATTAATGGGTATTTCTACCTAGGTATTGTGCAAGACAAAGGTGAAGCCACCATCGTGCCTTCCCTAGTAGTGCTCTAGCTGCTTCCTTCTGCACATTACCCATGGATGTCATCCTGTTATTTCTCCCTACCTCGTCAAAGAGAACTTGACAATGTTCGCTGAATTGCTGGAAGGATACTCATCTTTTCTTAACCCATGTATCTGAGGTATCTATAGCAAATATCTCCACCTTCGAAAAATGTCTGAATGCACAGAAGATCCAGCCATCACAGATGGGGAGAAAGAGGAACAGACACTCGAAGAGTTCGACTCTGACGCAGAGACAGAGTCTTGCGAATTGCTGCATTCTCCCCCCTCAGGTTATCTTCCGCTTGCCCCCTCGGTTGAGTCCAGTGCAACCTATCCATGGTCAAAATGGGTCGACAGCCTTCGGTTGAAGAAACGAGGCTACCAGCCAGAGACCTACGTCGATGGATGGTTTGATGGACCGTCAGTTGACCGGGAAGATATCGCTTCGACACTTAGCAACAAGAGATTCTGGGATCAGGTATCTGGTGGAACAGCGTCGATCTTGGGAACCATGAAAACGGCCAGCATGAGTGTACCACCCTCCAGCGTCCCTAGGTCGAGAACGAACACGATCACTAGCAACAGTATGGCAGTATCGAGGCAATCGATGGAGAGCACACGGTCCAGTATCTACGATGCGATAACGCAGGTGAGTAAGGTCATGGCCATCAGACGTCGACATGTGCTGCATGAGATATATACCTCGGAGTTAAATTATGTTGATGGATTGCGAACTGTAGTACAGGTGAGTTCCTCGAAACGAAACGTCTGTTCGGGGCGCTGATTGTGTGTTAGATTTTGTCCACTTATCTCACGATGAGACCGGCTATACTGCGCGACTTGCAGCAATTGTATGACATGCACGATGCCTTCAAGAAGCAATTGGAATCCGTTAGCCCACAATCAGCAGAAGCCTGGCTGAATGGCAGCCCACTTCGGAAGTCCACCATTCTGCAAAAGTTTCAGAATCAGTCCCTGTTGGCGAGACGGCGAATAAACTCTCGAATTGGAAAAGAGGGCGCGGATCCATCCGAGGCTTTGTTGGTTGCGAAAGAGATCGACAAATTGGTAATTGTTATCCTTCCTCATGTCTTTTGCCTTTCTGACGGCGATAGACTGCCAAGTTCCACCTCTACGAAGCTTTCATCAGATCGTACGACGTGCTTTCCGAAGACCTCACTCTTCTTCGACAAAGCCACCCAGCCGATGGATTCTGGACCGAAGGTATCGAAGCTTTGCAAAAGTCCGTACACTCAACGCAAAAGAGGAAAGAGAATCAGAAGAAAGCAATGACGCTGGACGACCTCATTGCTAAGGTAAGTATGTCGAGCCTTGTACTTGTAGCGATCATTGACATTCTAAGTAGCCGGTGCAACGAGTCTGCAAGTATCAACTTCTTCTGACCGAGTTGCTGAGAACTGTCCCGGAGACCGCCTATCCCCTGACATACTCGGGGATTAAAAAAGTCTTAGAGAAGAATACGCAGGCAATCGACCGTATCAACACTGTTGTTGGAGACCCTAACCTGCGTATTCGGATCAAAAAGACCATATCTTTACATGAGCGGCTAGACTACGGTGATCAGGTTAGTCAATCGAATCTTCATGGCGTTTACATAGCTGACGTTCGAAGAATGCTCTCGAGAACGTTTACCAAGAATTGGGACCCCTTATTCTCTGTGGAGTTCTTCATGTGGTTTATCAGTTGCCCAGTGGCATCACAGGACAGTACCTAGCGTGTATATTGTTTCCAGGCTACATGATTCTGGCTAAACCCGGAAGCGACTCACGTAGGCTGGCTCTCATTGCATCCATCTACCTATCGGATATGACCGTTGACGGTTCAATGAACGGACAAGGTGAGCTCCTTTGCAACCTCAACATATTCAATGGTTGACATCGTTGCTAGGGCTTGCTTGCTTGGATACCCCATTTACATGGAAAGTTATCTTCCAGTACAATCAGAAGCACTACGAATTTATCTTTAGCGCTTCCTCATCAGCAGAGGAGCGTGGCTGGAAGACTGAAACTCTGAAAGCATCCGTCATGCCGCCTAATGAGGTGCCAAATATATCCTTAGAGCCACGACGGTTTTCTTGTGTATGCATGGCGTTGCAGCCACTGGAATCCGATGGTCAGTCATTACTCCTCAAGCGACGAGGCTCTCTTCGAATTTCGTCGCCACGTCCTGTGCGAATCCAACAGAACCAAGTGACGATTAGAAAGACGCATAATCCTATCTACGATACCGAGGTTAGATTACTCCAAGAAGCAGAACCTTTGCGCTCCCACTCGCTTGCCAAAGAAGCTGCATTTGCACCGACCGTCCTAATACCTGCAAGATCGCATCGGATCAAACTTGAGCGTAACATTTCGAGTATTTACAGCCAGGAGCTGCTTCCATATCCGGGGATGACTCTGGGACGGGGTGAGTATATGAGCCAGACTATGGTGGGAAAAACTGTCATGCGGGGGTTGTCTATTCGAGGTGTTTTTCACAGCAGACGCTCCTCATCTCTCAGTAAAGCTACATCAATATCTCTTGTTGGCAGCCTAGAACAAGGGGACGATGGACAACACGGGGGTATGGGTTCGGAGAAAGCTACCACATCAAAAGTACCTTGTGAAGCGTTATGCAAGTCAAGGGATCTGATGGAGGATGAGAAGCTAATGGCTACAAAGACGGGTTTCGGCTCCAATCGACAGAGGAAGACCAGATCTACTTCTGACAATGGTATCGAGGAAGGTAATGTGGCCAAGACTAGTAACAAGCCTCGGGTGCTGTGGAAGAGATGGCTGCCACCGTCAATAGTCGGCTATTTGGATATAACAAGAGAGGTGACCTGATGAGTATGGAGAGCAAGCTCTAGAAGGGGATGGATGAATGCGAGGAGTGGGTCCTGGCTGATAGACGACGTAATTGATACTGGAGTGAGCTGTTGACTTGGAAACGCTGTACTATATAGTATTAGCTAGGCTCTGCAGTACGCTCGAAACAGAAAAGCCTCATGACAGAGCTGATTATCGTTAGCACCAGGCCAATTGAGTCATTCAACAAAGGAAATAGTTTCAGCGATGATAATAATAATAATTAGTAGTGAATCTAGTGATGAAGGGAGAATGAGCGACGGCGGGTCCCTGGGGAGATCCGCAGCGAGCGGGCCCGATGACGTCGACGTTGGCATACATCATCGCCGTCATCGTCGAGTATATAACCCGTGTCTTTCGTTTCTTCTCAACTACTTTTACACCTACAACATCAACAGTCTCGTGATCCTTTACCACATCCATCTATCTCATACATTATCCGAGAAATAGCTCCAACAACGACTACTTAGACTCCATACACAACTACTACCACACACATACACACAACCCCAAACATCAACATGGCTCSCGGAAACGATCAAGTCACCAAAGTCTTCTACCATGGCAAAGCCGACGACTTTGTCATCTTCATCGACGACGTCGCCGCCGCCCATCAGTGGCGCAAAGACCGCACCGTCCCTCTAGCACAGGTCGTGTCTGGCTGGAAGGTCTTTGTTACTCACAAGTATGTCCTATGTCCCTTTTCAAAATTCAAACACAAGAGAGGATGTGCTAACAAAGGCGAATAGGCAAGGAGCTCAAGGCATCCTCGACGGCGCGAGCAAAGCCATGCTCGAGAACGAATTCGGCACAACTCGGGACGAGGATGTGGTGCAACAGATCTTGGAGAAGGGTGAAATTCAGGAAACTACCGTACGTCATTCCCTTTCTCTTTCTCTTTGAAGAGTTATTTTTCAATTATGCTAACGTTGGCCATGATAGAACCGCGAGCGCCAGGGTGATCGCAACGTAATGAACGGCGGTGGCTTCGTAAACACCTTCCAGGTTTAAATTATTTGACGAAATGATATCATCTGGCTACTGTATTCACCAGATTTGGCGTGCAATGGGTCATGAATTGAAGGGGTTTTGTATTTTTAGTTAGCATGCATTGAACGATTTCTTGTGACATGGAAATGAAAATGAAGATATGACTTCTACTTCTCGTATAGATCGTAACCTCCGCTCAACGTAATTGGGTACTAAGCTATGATTGAGATGCAAAACTACGCTCCTCTCTTCGTCGTCTTACCCACGCCCCCAACTCATTCCAGACCTCCTGCTTCTCCTGCATACTCATCGTAGCCGCCAATCCACTCGTCGTCGTAGCCACAAACACTCTCGCTCCCCTCCACCCTTCACACTTCCCCATATTCTCCTCATCGTCTTGCCATCCATACCTAAACTCCTCCTTTTTGATATTTCGTCCATGCCGAGCCCTCCATACACTTTCCCATATGCTCTTGCCCACGAGCGCAACCGCTTCAGGTCTCGATGTTGCGATTTTGGTCTCGAGAATGGGGACGCCGGCGTCCATCTCCGCTTTGGAGAGCATACTTGCATCTTTAGTGGGACGCTCGACGATATTCGTGTTTCCGACGCTGTATAGTTCTGGAAGTTTGTAGGTGTCGCTGGGTGGGTGTCGGATGCTGGTTATCCCCGAGGAATGGAGGAGTTTCCAGAAGAGATTTGAGGGATGTGCGTAGGCGTAACCCGTTGAGCCAGTCATAAGGCCGGGGTTAACACCGATGAGGAGAAGGATTAGATTTGGGGTAATGGAGTCGCGGAGGCGGGAGGGAGGGGAGTATATTGTTGTTGTCGTCGCGGTGGTTGGATTGGTGACCCTGGATTTCGATTTGCGTTTGCGGATGGGAGAGCGGGCTTGTTCTTGTAGAGTTGGTGTCTTGCTGGGCGACGAGGATGGCGATTTTATTGATTCGCTCTGTGTGATGATAGACGGGGAAAGGGACGAGGATTGCGAACGAGTTATCCTTCGTCGAAGGACCGGTGTTGTTGTTTTTGTCATTGTCGACGTTGTGTCGGCTTTGTGAAGAAACTGGTTTAATCGGCCTTCGAAACTGCGCGCTCTATCCACGTCGTGGTCATATTCATTCTTAATGTCAACGTCTGCACTGGCGTCAGCTTCAAGGTTAGTTACATCCATAGCTGTCATGCGCATCCGACAATCATTCAGCCTCGCACGACTTGTATTTTTTTGCTGTTTGCTGTACGATAATGAATCCTGGTTAGTCAACCAATAAGTTCAGAAAAACATTCGGTAGATTCCACGTAAACCTAGAAGATTGTCACTTGTGCTTCTGCCTGAACAGAGATTTTGTAGGTCAAAAAGTCCGGACGCTCAGGCACGCGCTGGCAATTGGCGGGTCACGGTTGGACACCTTTCAACCAATCATATTGTGTTAGCTGACTTGTCTAGCCCTAATTTCTCAACCTCGAAGGCTTTCAACGCGGATTGCTTGGGTATGTGAACAGGACATAATGCCGAGTCGATGGAGTGAGAAGTCTTGAAATCTTTTCTCTGACAAGATGTTCATGTGAGCTGATATGTCGGTACGGACTCGAAAGCCGAACCCCTACCTTATATCGAATTCGGCCGTCTAATATATGGTTTGTGTATTGAAGAGATCAGGCTAGAAATGGGCTGATAAAGGAAGGGGTAAGAAAGATATCGTATCTGGGTTGGTTTGTAGCCAAAAGTATAACAAAGCTCTTCTGACCATTTCTTGATATCCAGCTTACTACTACACTGCTTTCATATTTGCATTCACTGAAAATGTCGACTGGAAGGTCTCTTTGCAGATTCCCAAACACATGCAGATGAAAGCTATGTAAATGGAGAATTGGATTCTTCCTTACAAGATTTATGTCTAGAGTCAGTCCAATAACCTCCTCCCCCTCCCAAAATTCCTCCTCTCTTCCAAACTCTTATCAATCCTGGGAATAATCCGATCCCTCCACGGCGTATTAGTCGCCTGTTTGAATTCGTCCGTCTTGAACGAAGCCAAACTCTCCCATTCATGGATGGCTAGAAAATTGGACACTTTTTTCTGCCCCTCGTTGCGCTGGTTGGATGATGATGACGCTTCTTTCAACACCCAGCGAGTCGACTTGAGCCACCCTGGCACAATCGATAACAAGGGGATGTGTTCTTGTTCGTACCAGTCGTCGTAGTCTTGCACTGAGAGCTCGGGGCCCGGTTGTAAGGCTAGAGTGCGGAAGATTCTTTCGCCATTATCGCCGGCGACATCATTGGCAAGAGCATATTTGGGTGATGTCTTTTCGCTGAAGAGGTTGTACAGCCTCAGCTCCACCGAATCAAAGTTTTTGGTGCCGGCATCTTGGAGAATGCGCGAGAGATTGATGTTTGAATAGTCTTCTAGTTCGTAGACTGCTAGATACTCGGGTTTTTGCTCGTCGAGTGCTGAGTATGTTGTCGCGGTGAGAAGGCCGGCGATGTTAGACTTGGTGGTGGTGAACCAGGCGTGTACTTGTTCGGTTGAGGCCGTTTGACCGGGGGAGACTAGGGTGTATAGAATGCCTTTAGCCATTTTTCTACTGCTTAATTGATACACGTCTCTTGTGAATTCAATCATGAAGGTTGGAATAAACTATGGTCGGTGGGACTCTCGGACAATTGTCCGGATATGAAGGGTTAGGGTTACAGCTCAAGTAATTCCTTGTAGCCAAGGCTTCATTTTCTATTCATGTAATACTCAACTGTCATCGTGCTATGCTAATCCATACCAATCGCAACGCCACCCGCTAAAATAAATGCAAACAACAAACAGTAAGGTCATCACACCTTCCCGACCACAGCTCTCTTCGGCAGTGTCCACGGAACAGCACATACCACCTGCGATTCGTTAGTACTAATCCTGCAATAATATAAGAAGGAAGACGAACCTCTCCTTCACTGTAAGCCCAGAAATAAGCCCCCATACCAATCAGATAATATATCGCAACGTCGCCCGACTGATACATAAGTGCGCAAGTCAACGCACTCAATGGATATACCAAAAGCCTCAACTCGATGCTGCGATGCGGCAGCGTGCCTGCCAGTGGTTTGAGAGGCCATTCCCATGCCAACGCAGCGATACCCAGGATCAGATTGATGATTTGCAGGATGGGGATGGGTTTGACGGCGGCGTCGAGGTTGTGCGTTATAAAGTCCCAGAAGACTTTGGGCCAGAAGAAGCCTTCTATTGAGGCGCCGACTTGCCCTGAGCAAAGTTAGATTTGCGGAAAGAATCGAAAGTGAAAGAAGACTTACACCCTGCGGCGGATAGAATGATGAGACGGGCCCAGTGATTTTTGATCAGACGACCCATTGTGGATTATTGCATCGACCGGCGACACGAAATATGAACAAAATCGAATCGAAGGAAAGAATACCCTCGGCCAGCGAAGGTCTAACGAAAGAAGAGAGAACGAAAGGAATGGGCGCACGACTTGATTGTTGTCGCCGTCACCGATTCCAATCCTCCTTCAGTATCGAGTCGACCGGGTCGCAGACATGAATGATATATTAGTGAGCCTCGAGTTCGTCGGCGGGTATTGTGAGATGAGATGAGGCTCGAGACGATCGTCAGTTTCGTTATGGCGTCAAGTTGATTATTTGGTATTATGTGTTCCAGAATAGTGGAATGGGATCGAATAGTTTATGCCTCATCAGATAAACCGGATAGAGTATCAAGGGGACGGGTCACACAGAGACGGTTTTATTTGAGCTTCGAGTCGGCGGCACCCCCGCGATAGAATTGCTCGAATTAAGCAAATGCATCTCGCTAGATCATGCAACCTGTGACTTGCTGGGGAGACAACTGCACGACTGAGAAGAGGAAAACCGGGCATTGCCGTGTGAAGTTAGTGCAATGAGCTGTCGGCCAGTCAGACGGTGAAGATGCATAAAATTCAGAGAGTACTACTGCGTACTCAGTCTAGTGGTGACAGTCGGCGCCAGGGTGCAGGCGAGAGGCCAATCAGCATGGCAAGAGGTGCAAAGCGTCCGTGCCGAGGGTGATCCGCCGTGCATGCAGCATAGGCTTGGCGTGATGGTGAGGCCGGCCGTGCATCAGAGTGCTAGACTCAAACACATTCTGCTACAAGATACTCGGATTCGCTCTGCTGAGATTTATTATTATGCTCTTCCATCTGTATCCTGATGAGAGATCAGTCGATTATCTACGAGGTCAATGCTTACTCGAACTGGACTGAGGAATACATCTGACTGAGTTCGTCAGATTAGACCGATAAGATAATACGCACGGATAGCTGTCACATCACTATCACAATGCTCGGGCAGTCACCGGATGTACTTTTATCCAAGCATGTCCAGTATGCTAAAGATAACTCGCTTTTTCTTGCCTTCTAATAACTCGACCGTGGAGATTAAATGCTACACGTGCTTGATTCTTCAGACTTGAGAGTAATTATAGAAACCTACACAAAAAGAGAGCGCTTGATATAGCATTCTGATTGGCCGACCTAAAAATCAGGAAGCAGATCCACAAAAGTGGGCCGGGCCGGATTGGTAGCTCGACGGCCAATAAGAGCTCGTATTCGGGTCTTTTCCATATAGAGTTCGATCGTGGTTGCCCTGATTGCCCGCCCCCGCACTTGATTTGCTCCTTCCGTCTACACAGAAGTATCACCGCTCCTTCCTCTGCTGGCGATACCTCACGGGTACTTCCTCGTAGTACGCAGCTAGGTACCTGATTGACTCGCAAGTCTCCGGTTCATTTCGCTAAGTTCGAGAGAACAGACTCTTTCCAGCCCATCACAAGGTACACAACACTTCGTATACGCCAAGTGTTGGTTGTGGCTAGCCATTGAGCACGGGAACGATGATACAGATGCCCTCGGGATACTTAGAGCTCTGGAATGAACGGGCACTGCGAGAACTTCAACGACTGGACATGCGGTGCTGGAATATATGGCATGCGGTGTTATTCTCGAAGCGAGATCCTTGACACGTACCAAGTATGTATATACGGTTGGCCCACGCCACGCAGAACAGGGATCGTAAAAATAGATCGAGAACTCTTCAGCCATGAAGCCTTGATCGATTGGGTACTTTGTCGTCAGTAAACCCGGAGTATTTACAGAAAACGGCGTAGTGGCCTCTAAGAATAGGCCCACTATACGTACTGCAGTAGTGTGCTGCACCTGCCACTAACACTAACACTCGAACTCAACTTCCATCACCTCACACCACACCACACCACACCACACAACCAACATCTCGTCCCAACATCAACTCTCGACATTGAGCGATATCAGCAACAAAATAGACTTTGCACATACTCCGCTGACTCGATCGAAAATTCCCATCCTCGTCGCATCCTACGGAAATCCCCGCCAAGCCGCCTCATACCCAGCTCATATACTTGCCGCAATCCTAAAACGTCCCCTGTTCGAGCGCACATCCAACCGCCATCGTCTCGTGTTGCAACAGAAAACTCAGTCTATTCTGACACCGTCGCAGTTTGAAGCACCACAGAGCCTCAAGAAGATTAAATCACCACAATACTTTCATCCCGACATAATCTCCGAACCAGCAAATCTGCGGAAATACAACTCAAAATGGCCATGTCTTAGCCAGCAAACTCTGTTTATCTGATCTCGCAACGCACCGGGTCTCGAAAAGGTTGATCAGGGGCCCTACTCCATACGGTTCGTGGAAGGGAAAGAGACCGACCAGAAGCTTGGGTTATCTGTGGTTCTTCATCATCCMCCTGGACACAATCAAAAGAGCCGCAAGCCGCAGTTTCTCTCTTCTCTTTCTCTTCATTTCACCACAGGGTTTGCAGGTCATTCCCAGCCAGTCTTTCTTTCGTTTCTTCGCTTCTACGCGGCCATTTTTTTTATCAATATTCGCTCTTTAATACACTCTCACTATATGTGTTAATCGCTGGTCGGTTTTAGCAAAAAATGGAAATCAATTGGAAATCGCATTTGGCGCCGTCCAAGTTGTTCTTTTATTTCATCTTCTGGGGAGGTCACATCGGTCTGTTCGCCCTCGGATGGTATCTGCAAGCAACGAACCCGAAACTCGCGCCACTGAACACACTGAAATTCTCAGTATGGATCTCACGAGGTGCTGGTTTGTGTCTGAGTGTTGACGGGGCGTTGATTCTGCTGCCCATGTGCAGGACGTTGCTGAGATATATACGCCCGAAGATTAAATGGCTTCCTCTCGATGAGTCGCAATGGTTCCATCGTCAAGTTGCTTACTCTCTACTCATATTTACCATCTTCCACACATCGGCACATTACGTCAATTTCTTCAATGTTGAGAAGGCGCAACTACGACCACAGACCGCCATTCAAATTCACTATACCCAGGCGGGAGGGATCACTGGGCATATCATGCTGCTATGCATGTTGCTCATGTATACAACTGCTCATCACAAAATCAGACAGCAATCTTTCGAAACCTTTTGGTACACACATCATCTCTTCATTCCTTTTTTGCTGGGACTATACACCCACGCAACGGGCTGCTTCGTCCGCGATACAGCCCAACCCTTTTCGCCTCTGGCAGGGAGTATCTTCTGGCAGCACTGCATTGGTTACGAAGGATGGCGATGGGAGCTCTGGGGCGGTGGTTTTTACCTGATTGAACGACTATACCGCGAAGTGCGAGCACGTCGTGAAACAGAAATCACGAAAGTCATCCGTCATCCCTACGACGCGATGGAGATTCAATTCCGCAAGCCCAGTATGAAATACAAAGCTGGTCAATGGCTCTTCCTCCAAGTCCCAGAAGTCTCCACCACGCAATGGCATCCATTTACAATTACTTCCTGCCCATTTGACCCCTATGTCAGTGTTCACGTCCGCCAAGTTGGTGACTTCACTCGTGCCCTTGGTAACGCACTCGGTTGCGGTCCCGCCCAAGCAAAAGACCTTGAAGGCTTGGACCCAATGGGCATGTACGAAATCGCCATGCAAAACGGGCAAACAATGCCCAAACTCCGCATCGATGGACCTTACGGAGCCCCCGCCGAAGACGTCTTTGACAACGAAATCGCTGTTCTGATCGGAACAGGTATCGGCGTCACACCCTGGGCCTCCATCCTCAAAAACATCTGGCACCTCCGCGCCGGCCCCAATCCACCTCAGCGTCTCCGCCGAGTCGAGTTCATTTGGATTTGCAAAGATACCTCTTCCTTTGAATGGTTCCAAGCTCTCCTATCGTCCCTCGAACAACAATCCGCCATCACCGCCGGCGCTCAAGGCGGTCCCGAATTCTTACGCATACACACTTATCTAACCCAACGACTCGACCAAGACACCGCCGCAAACATCTACATCAACTCCGTCGGCACCGAAGTCGACCCCCTCACCGAACTCAAATCACGCACGAATTTCGGCCGCCCGGATTTCAAGCGGCTGTTTGGCGCAATGCGTGATGGGTTGATTGATCAGACATACCTGTCTGGGTTGGAGAGTAGCATTACAACGAAAGTAGGTGTGTACTTTTGTGGACCGAATTCGGCGGCGAGACAGATTCGGCAGGCAGCGCAGGACTCGTCGACGAGGGAGGTCAAGTTCAACTTTTGGAAGGAGCATTTCTGATCTTTTCTCTCTTCTGCGCGTATGTATCAACTTTTTGGAATGGATTTCATTATTTATGTGTGTACGTATTCATGTATGTAGTTCAATTTCAAGAGAAATTGATTCATTCATTCATTCTATACATAATATGCAATTAAATCATACTGAATGATCCGTATCAGCATCATCGGGTAAGTAGACAACTTCCCTCCCTTTACCCGTCTTCTTCACCTTTCCTTTCTGTTTACTGTCTCGGCCTCGAGATTTAATTCGCCTCTGTTCCCTCTCAATCCACATCCTCTCACCGTCTTCAAGCAAGTCATCATCAATCTCAACGTGTATCCTCAACTCCTTATCAAGAAGAACATTGTATATCCTGCGTAGTTCCCACCAATCTTCTTCACCGCTATCATCGACAAACAATCTCCCCTTTGCTTCGTTGTCACTTGATGGGACGGAAGGGAAAGCGAGCATAAGCAAGTCCTTTGACCAGGGACAAGCCCTCATAGCCCTATAGAATAATTTCTGTGCTGCGGAGATGTCCTTGGCGCGATGGAGTTCGAAGAGGATGTATAGTTTCCACAGAGAGGGGGAGGGTGTTGCATTTCCCGATGGAGAAGGTTGCAAGGCACGCTCGAATGCGGCGCGGGCGGAGTGGATAGTCGAGCCGGTGTAGATTGGGCGCGTGAGTTCGGCCAGGATGCTGAGGAGCGATGTCGTTATTGGTCTTTCTGTTGTGGGCGACGATTTCGGTACAATGGCGCTGCGTATACGTTCATCGACGCGGAAACGGGATTCGTTCCATGTGAATAATGAGAGGAGTAGAGTATTGTGTGGAAAGAGGGTCGTGCTTTCGATGAGCAACTCGCGTATAATGGATGGTTTGTAGGTGCGTTTTGTCGTGATGTGATGATACATGAGGCGAGAGCGGGATTGGTGTAGAAGTTCCAAGGCCGTAGATTTGAAATTCTCCGTGACTAGAGAAGATGTTTCCAGGCGGCTGAATGTACTGGAATAAATTTCCAGAGCGGATGATAGATCATACGATCCTATGAGATAGTGTAGTAAGGCCGTTAAATCTATCCAAGCTGTAAAAGATGCCAGATTCTGAAGGGATAGTGAGTGGTCACAAGACTCCATCAAGAACCGCTGCGTCTTCAGGCGCTGTGCTGGACTTATGTCAATCTGCTTGGCCTGTTGCAAAATTTCTAGATTGATAGTAAAGTCTGGAATGGATTTCAACACCTGGATTGCAGATTCGGGTTTACTTTGGACCAGAAATTCCCACACCCAGCTGCGTAGAAGTGTACCAAACTCCAATCTTTGCACCTCGGACAAGATTGCAGCCATGGAAAATGTGGTGGCCCATACGTGCAAAGCCGCCGAGAAATTATCAGAGCAGCTCTCCATCAAAGCGAAGGTATTATACAGCCGCAGACTAGACGATCGCTTTTTCAGCAAAGATTTGGCATACTTCTTGCCTTCAGTTGGGTTTATTGCATACTCAACAGCCAGTGCAAACTCGGCCAATTCGTCATTTTGAAAGAATGCTCCGACCAGAAGTCTCAAACACCGCCGAACCCATTCGGCATCAATTATGGTCTTGTCATGCATTATAATCTCTTTCCATAAAGACATTGACTGAACCCAATTACCGTTCGTAAACAATGTATCAACCGAGTGTATCATATTCTGCAACGGGGCCGTGCTGAAAACTGTGGAAGAGTTGGGCTGTGTCTCTTCTTCAGAACTAGCGTTGACCATAGTAACAATAGAAGAATCAGATATGTGAACTAGCTCGGTGCGCAAAAAAGCGTTGCCTCCTGAAATGGAAGTAGAAGCTTGGCGCAAAGGAGGCAGATAACAGAATTTCAGGAATTCCTGGATCAGCGTGCTTTCGTCTTTCCAGCTGAAAAAGAATGAAAGGAAAGGTTCAATATCTGACCACAGGACTACACGAAACGGGTCATCGTTCTCAACAGTGTCCACGGTTCTTGCAGGTAAGCGGGCACCACAACTCAACCGTCGCTCTTCAGTACTCCATGATGAGAATAACTCTTCAACCTTGAGTTGTGTCTGGGCATGATCCGTAACGAACTCCAGATCGGAGCTTTTGTTACTTTTCCAACCTTTCGAGCCAGGCTCTCCGATACGTGCAACTTCCGACTCCCAAAAGCCAGTGAAGGCGGCCAGAATATCGGCTTTGGCGGCGGTCGAATATGTCTCGGGACGGAACAATGTGAATTCAAGAACAGCCTGCCAGAGGCCAACACTGAGTTCAGAATAGCCTGCTTCGCGCATGAATAACGTCAGGCGCAAGAAGAGATACGCCTGAATGGCTTCTTGCTCAGCGTTATTTTCACTCGATGCGTTCAGATTCATGCATTCCAGATAAACACTCTTGCATCGCTCAAAGCTAAATTCAAGAAACGCCGTCTGTCGAAAGTCTATGTAACGAACCCATAAATTAATGTATCCTGGATTGTGTTTCAGGATAGTATGCCATTGTTCGGTCAGTCTCTTCGATTCCCATAGAGTAGCCCCCTCCTGCAAGTACCCCAAGAGTAAGCGGTCCTTCTCAGAATGTTTTCCAACCTTCTTCAACGCTTTCTCATAGAGTGATATCTTTATGTCGGCAAGACTACGTTTCTCAGCTGCGGTCAGCTGTCGGGTGCTATCCGACCCGGTCAGAAGAATATCTTGATAATCGATCACTTCGAGCCAGGTATCAACGTCCCCAGGTTTATCTTCAGCCCGCCGCAAAAGTTCCGAGTTCTTTTTATTCGCCTCTCGATCCCATTTCAACGCACTACCTTCATCGCCTGTATCCGACTCCAAAGATGCTTCCATGTCGCTCGGAACATCTTCTTCAGGTTTCGCTTTTCCATGGATCGACCGATATCCGTACTTCTCAGCTTCATCATCAGAAACGTCACTAGAAACATATCCACCCGACGTCTTCCGCCTTTTTCGGCTTCCGTCATGACTGAGTGGAATGAAGCCTTTCAAAACGTCATCTTCGTTATCCGGGATGAACTTCTGCCGAACTCGAAAGATGTTTCTCTCTTTTGTGTCTGTCTTTGCAAGTACGCTTTTCGTTTTGTGGCGTGCTCCATCGGGAATCCAACCACCAGTCCGGATTACTATATAGTCCTCTCCGTCGTAGGCGCGATCAATCCTGAATCGCGAAGGCAGGCCGACAATGCTACCGCGTCCTGCACGGCGATATTGAGGTATACTGTATCGATGGATTGTCCCGTAGACCACATTGTGTATGTCGCCCTTCCGGTCGATTGTGTAAATGTCCTGCGATTCATCTTTGGTAGGAAGCGGCGCTGGAGAAACTTTCCGAGTTGGTCTTTCTTCTCTATGTGATCTGCGACTGGAATCTCTATCTCGAGATTGCGAGCGATGGCGATGACTGTTATGTCTCGATCGATGTCGGCTTCTTTCGTCCCGATGTTCGTCCTCCGTGCGACGCGATTTTTTCACATCTTCGATCGGTGGGGCTGGCTTCGCCTTGAAGCTGGCGAACTTCGGGACAGGCTTTGCTTCCTGCATCCGATATGTCAAGACGAGCCTGGAAATTCACTTAGAGATGTCCAGCTACTCTCAGTCCATGTTGTTAAACTCTTGAAGGCGAGCTGCGGCTTCCTTGTGAACGGCTCGGTTAGACTTGCTCTTGCCGCCATTTGGAGCTCCGCGGGCCCGGGAAAAACTTCCTTGCCGAGAAAACAATTTTTTGATTCTTCAATCCGCAGACTTGACAACTCCATTTTCCTACAACAACATCTTGTCTTGCCTAGCGCAATCCCACAACACATCTAAACGCGGGATGGGGAAGTAAGACGATACAGCACACACATTATCCAACGACCATGGCGTCCTCTCTCGCCGCCCAGTTGGCACAGGTTGCCGCCAAGTCGACGAATCCTCTCGACCTCAAGGCGCAACGGATTGCGCATTCGAAATCTCTGATCTTCGAGTACAAAGTCGCCAAATCGCAAGACTTTGACACTTTATACCAAATATGCAATGATGCTTTCCAAGAGCTATGTCGACTCGACGCACGATTCACAGAGTTCGAACGAACAATATTCAGCGTTCACAGTAAGACCGAAGACCGTATGGAAATGACTGCGGCACAAAATAAAGAACTCGATGTTGCATTGGAAGCATTTATGTGCCTAGTAGGAGGGAAATTGCAATTAACTCCAGCAGTCAAAGCATTAGAGTGGCTGATAAGGCGATTTCGGTGCGTTGAACTTCCAAATATTTGCGAAAGTTTTGCTAATATCGATTTAGCGTCCACGAGTTCAACACTGCTCCTCTTATTCTTACCTTCCTTCCATACCACTCGTTACCGATCTTCCTGAACCTTTTGGACATATTACCGGATGATTTGACGCCTACCTTCAATTTTCTCCAACCCTACAAGACAGAGCGGGTCAATCCTCCTATGGCAGCCATAGTTCGCACTGCAGCAAAAACTCCTTCTTTCTCATCAGCTCTCAACAATTACACTCTTCAAGTCTCGAAACAAGGGGCACATTACCATGGATTATTGGCGTTTTGGTCCGGAGTGATGACACAGGCATGCTCGGAGATGCTCGTGGCCGGACGCGCTGGGCGTCGAGACGTCGAAAAGAAGAATCACGAGGATATATTTATCCGACTTTTGCCTGTCCTGAACGATGGTTTGGCAATGAAGAAAATATCCGAGTTGGTTATCGGCTGCTACATGATCATTGTCGTCTTTGTCACGAAAGCGGCTCTTACAGAAGAAGTCCTTGATACTTTGATGACCGCGGTGGCCGGTTCCTGGACTCAAGAGACTGTGAACTCGGCAGTAGTTACCCTGGCAGTTCTTGCCGAGCAGAAAACCAGCCCGACACTACCCAAGAAAGTAATTCGCTCTATCACGAAACTCGATAATCCTATCAATCTCTTGTCGGACGTTGCTTCCCAGCACAGAGCCTCTCGACTCTCTCTTGGCCTGATTAGCGGCTGTCTTGAGCGCTTGCAGAAAGACAGTTCTCAAAAAAGTCTTAAATTGGTATCACAGATCTTTCAACAAGGACTTTTGGACGAAGCCGCTAGCAAGCAGGCTCTGAAGACGATATTCCAATCTACCATGGATGCTCAAAAAAGCGATAATTTATCTTTGGATGTGCAAACTCAAATTTCCGAAATTGTGCAGACACTCAACGCTTCTGAGACTTATCGACCAATCCTACAAGCAATGACTACCGAGATAGACATGGACATGGACACTCTAGAGCACAGTCTACAGACTACCATCAGAACTCAACCTGCTCTTCCGACCAGCGAAGACGTCGTCATGATAGACCTAGAACAAGAGGAAGAAGTGGATTCTTTCACTCCGTTAATAGCTTCTCTAGCGAAGGAGCCTCTTGCAAGCACATCGTTTCTTTCTGGAGAACCTTCATCTCTTTTCGAGCAGATTATTCAAGCTTTTACGATTGCTGGCCAGTCTTCGGACAAGCTGAAACAAATCTCTGACCTGCCATTGATTGGAAAATCTCAATTCTTACAGAAGCCCCAATATCTGTCCTTCCTTGCACGGGTCTTCTCTGGACCGTACGCGATTCGCACCAAAGTTGCTGCTATAGAAATGATGTCTTCCGCTCTCAATGCAGAACAGCCAACAGCAGATTTGCAAGCCTTGCTGCCATACATAATCGCTGCTTTCGCCGACCCATCACAGGCCATCAGGGCTGAGGCTGCAAAGCTTTTCAGCAAACTCATTTGGACTCAACGCAAGGCAAAGAAAGAAAGCGATACTCTCTCCCCATGGGCCAAAGAGAGCCTCTATGACCAACGGAAGGATGTTCAGCCGGTCTGGCTGTCAACTTCCGACACACAAAAGGTCATTGAGCGGATATTACTTGACGGTTTGGAGGGCTTTGTCCACGATTCCCGTCATGTCATCTCAAAAATTCAAAATGCGCTCAAGGGTTCTAGCTCCGATTCCGAAAAAGACACTGGTACCGAATTGAAGAAAAGCTTGCGACAAAATCTTTTGCAATTCCTATGCTATCATATCGTTGCGACTCCACTTTTCCAAGTCAAGCTAAACCTCCTCAAAATTGTCAATGGTGTGGGCAGGGTTGGCTCTGTGACACGAACAAAGCTGCTGGCACCCTTTATTGATTCATGGAGAATTCTTTCTCAAGCGCAAGCTGCTCAGATTTGCGACAGAGAACACATCTCTTTATCGGAGTTGGAGCAAGAAGTTGCTGCCATTATCAGTCCAAAGGATTCAGATGCCGAAAAGGTCTTATTCACCAACCTCGAGAATTCAATCGTACGGCCCACATTCGTTTCTGCTGTGTTCACCCGCGTAGAACAGATTTGGAACAAGCTCGGAGAAGACAGACAAAATGCAACTGCACGTCAAATATTTGAGTTCTCATTTACGGGCCCTGAAGTAGTACAGAGCTACGCAAAGGAAACACTGCGAAATGTGTCTCTCAGTGGACCAGTACTCGTTGGTTTCCTCAACAAGATACCCGAGTCCGTTGCCACTTTGGAAAGCCACAGTCCCTCTCCGAAGAGGCGGCGCACAAATAACAACAATGCCGTTGCTACATTATCCGACTCGCCTGAGTTGGATGAAGTCATGGGCAAGGTGACATTCGTCCTCGAACTTGTGGATAACTCCGCTCCCGAGGATCATCCAGTACTTGCTGCAGGCCTCTTCAAATCTCTAGCAGCTCTTCATCATCTAAAAACCAGAATCCAGTCTAGTCTCGGCTATCTACTCAGTCTAGTGCTCGGCAGCTTATTGGCCATTGTTAACAAAGCCAAGAAATCGTCCAAGCCATCTTTTGACCCTGCTGCTATCCGTACTGACCTAGTCGTTGATTGCGTTAGAAGCTCCGAAAGCCCTCAAGTACAGAATACCGCCCTGCTCTTGGTCTCTGGTCTTGCAGTTATTGCTCCTGAGCAGGTGCTTCATAGTGTCATGCCAATTTTCACATTTATGGGATCCAGTGTGCTGAAGAAAGATGATGACTACTCGGTTATGGTCATTGATCAGACCATCGACCAAGTCGTCCCCGTTCTTGTCCAGTCATTACGCAACCAAAAGCGCGATGTTGTTGCTGGAACTTCCGAACTTCTTCTCAGCTTTACAGCCGCCTTCGAACACATCCCATCTCATCGACGACAGCGTCTGTTCCAGGCGTTGGTTACCAAGCTTGGCGCAAAAGACTTTTTGTTCGCAGTATTGGCCATGCTTGCAAACCTTCATGGTCTAGACAAGAATGTTTCTGTCTTGATGACTTATCTAGCTTCCAATCTTGAACCTCAAGACCAGCTCATCACTTTCCAGAGGTATCTAAGCCTTGTTAGCGATGCTTTGAAACCAAAGCCCGGTATTTCTCAGATATTATTGGGAGTTGGAAACGAGGGTGCAAGGGACAGGCACGTGGTTGCGGAGGGTCTCCTGCGATCTCTTTCATACTGCCTGAAACATTCTAGCCTGAAAGCGCAGATGGCTATAATATTCAATTCTGATGCGGAGGATACTGTCACTCAAGTCGCTGGTCTTTTCTCTCAGATTCTTGAGCAGGTTTTGGTCATGTCCGATGCTGTTCAAGATGTTAAGCCTTTGGGCAACGCGTGCAGCGAAACTCTTGGATCAGTCTTGGGAGTCTTGTCTCTGGTTGATCTTCTCGATACTGTCGAACAGCTTCTGCAAAGACCTAGCGTAGATCTCCGTCGTAAAGTTCTCCGATTACTGGAAACTCGACTCCGTCAACAGCCAGAACGCGATGGCTCAGCTCAGAACAGGGTTCTAGAATTCATCTCCTTCCTCAACCAGGTCGTTGAAACATCGGATGACATCCTTCTCAAACATGCCGCTATCGCCTGCATCGACCGAATTGCCGAGAAGTACGGCCGCAAGAACCCAGACATGATACTACCAGCGGCTATGGTTATTAGCAGCGATTCATGCCTTGGCCAAGAAGATGACAGAGTTCGCATCATGGGCTTGTTGTGCCTTGCATCAATGGCAGAAGTTCTTGGGGAAGGTATTATTCCTGCTCTTCCAGAAATACTCAAAAAATCCGTTGCGTTTTTGGAAAGCAGCATGGAAGGAACCATCAACGAGCAACTTCACAATGCCGTCTACTCCTTGTTGTCTGCTCTGCTCGTACAAGTTCCGTTCATGCTCTCTGGCAAGACACTAGACACGATCCTTCGACTATCCTTCAAATCTGCCGAGCTTGAATTATCTGAAGAAGGTAATGAGACTCGTCGTGATGCCTTGAAACTCATTGCAAAGAAGTTCGATGTCAAAGAATCATATAGTGCTGTCGAGAGAAACTGGACCATTGCAGTCTCATCCGGACCGATTGCTACTAAGGAAATTCTTGACGTTGTCATCCTTGCTATTGATAAGCATCCCAAATCTGCTACATCCAAGAATGTCGGTTTTCTCTCGAAGTTATTATACCGTGCTTTCGACCTACGTCGGGAACAGCAGTCCGAAGAGACAAGTGCTCAATTCGAGGAAACCCAACTTCAAGCAATCGAGGACCTCGTCAACAATGTTGCTATCAAGATGATCTTCAAGTTGAACGATACCATTTTCCGACCTCTCTTTATCGAGATTGTGGAGTGGGCCACGAACGGCGTTTCCAAGAGCGATGCCAAGGGCCGAATTCTTCGATTGACTTCCTTCTATAAATTCTTGCAAAAGTTCTTTGGCACTCTCAAGTCGATTGTCACTAGCTATTCCAGCTATATTATCGAGAATGTCATTGAGGTTTTGAAATTTGCCAGGCCCAATGTCAAGGAGTCGAAGGATCTGTGGTTATCTGCTGTTCGGACGCTTAACGCCGCATTTGAGCATGACCAAGATGGTAAGTCAACACGCCCTCATTTCAATTCCCCGTTAAATAAACGGTATATGAGATAAGCGCTAACAATCATTCATAGCATTCTGGCAATCTCCATCCCACTTCAGCGGAATATCCAAAGCCCTCATCTCTCAACTCCCGCGAGCCACCAACTCAAGCACCGCAACAATCATCATCGACGAGGTGGTCCCAGCCCTTTCCGAACTTGCAGTCGCCACCGACTCGCCCGACAACTACAAGGAAATGAACACCACGCTCATGAAATACCTCCGCCCCTCAACCAGCACAGCCACAGAAGGCGGCGATAGCGCACATACCCGCCTCGCCGCACTTAAAGCCGAGCAGGCTTTGACCGACCGCTTGGGCGAAGAGTGGCTCACCTTGTTGCCGGAGATGTTGCCGTATATTAGCGAGTTGATGGAGGATGAGGATGAGATGGTCGAAAGAGAGACGAGGAAGTGGGTCAAGGGTATTGAGGATATACTTGGAGAAAAGCTTGATGATATGTTGACCTAGATTTGTGTATATTGGGGCTGACATATTGTGGATTTGAGCTGGTAATTGGCATGATTGGCGTTCTCCTTTGAATTGGGTTATTTGGAGATTTGTTACGTTAGCAATCAAAAGTTGATATTCATTGTTCAGGGCAACTAGAGTGGACCTTCTCTTTGTTATATCTGGATTCTGCTTTATGATACAATTCACTAAGCGTGTTTAACAAATTCGTTTACAAAACCTGTAATCTCAATGGTCAGCCGTGTGCCTGCCCGAATGGTCTTGCACAAATTGGCAGGATTGCCTCCTACAGACTCGCTGAACTTTCCACTCGAGAAAATCTCCCTCAATTCACCCTCAATTCAACACCATCATAATAATCCTATCATCTCTAATTGTACCTTTGTTTCTCCAACGTCCGTGCCATTCTATGGCCAATGAGGTGGCGGCGGTGCATCGTGCATGAATAGCTTCGGGCTAGCCCGAAATGGCGTGTCGCGGTTCTATGTCGTAGCAGCTCAGTCTCACTGCCCCGTCGGTGTTTAACTTGACAACACTCAGAAATCGAGCCTGAGGGGTATGAGAGGAGGTGAAGTAATCCTCGATCCGTATTGTTGCGGGATTCTTGATGCGATCATGTAACGAACGAAGAATCCGGGTTATTCTCATCATTTCGACCTAAATATCGCGGGGCAGCTACCACATGTTTCATCATGGCATTGGCGTTGACAGCTGCTTCACGACTGAAGCCAGAAATCCGGCTGGCGMAAGCCGTATCCGAATTTGAGGCCGACCTGACTATGGAACAGAAAATTCGTTTCAACTCATATAAAACACAAGTTCACAAATCGCCGCCGGAGATTCACGATGTCATGCGACTCACGGCTGAGATCGATCAGAAAATCTCGCCCAAGATCGGCCGGGGCCGTTGTTATGGTCCGCGACTTACCAACTTCCTACAAGGTGTTCAGCAATTTGTGGGTTTGGGAGACATTATAGTTGGCGGCTCTCAGAATCTGGTCGCATGCGGCGTGTGGTCGCTCGTGCGAATGTCCTTGATGGTGAGTGATCTATGTCCTTCACATGTATTTGCTCATTTGCCCTAAAGACTAACACGTATCAGTCGCTAGTCAGCTCTGCTTCATATCTCGAGAAAGTATCCCGGCTTCTCATGATTGTAGGTCGAGGGGCGCCTCGATACCAAACTCTAGCAGCTATATATCCCCGTTCGAAGGAATTGCAAGCAAACCTCGGCGAATATTTCATTGTGGTGGTCCGTCTATGCCATCATATCCTCAAATTCACCCAAAAATCAACAGTTATGCAACTTACCTCTACTATGAATACTTCAACTCTGGAATCTTTCCAACCGGAACTTGAGATTTGGGCTACAGCAATCAAAGAAGAAGTGAATTTATTGATGGCCAAGAGGTCTGAAGATGAAGCGGACAAAAATTCAAAATTTAGAGATTGGTCACTCGGCTTCAGGACTCTCGATTCCCACCAAAGACAACTCGCAGCAACTCGACGGGTGCTTGATCTGTGCTCGACATACGACCACCAAGCGAAGTGGAAACAGATTCGCAAGGTCGGAAACGCGACGGTATTTCAGTCGGACGAAAAGTATCAGAATTGGAAAAGCTTCCCAAAATCAGCCACTCTTATGTATACGGGAAGATTAGGGTCTGGCAAATCTGTTTTAATGGCCAACATTGTTGATGATTTAAACATGAACTTGCAAGACAACATCTTGGTGGCATATTTCTTCTGTCGACATGATGAAGCAGAGAGTTTGAAAGCGAAAACGATTCTCGGCTCTTTGGCCCGACAACTTCTCGTCGCCGCCAAAACTTCTGCAGTGGAACTCAAGAGATTCGATGAAAACAAACTGAAAGACGTGGAAGATCTTATGGTGATGCTAGACACAACTTTACCGGCCGAACATAGAGCATTCTTTGTGTTGGACGGTCTTGATGAATGTGGCCATGCCGTGGCAAAGAAAGTGATTCGACATCTTCGAGCTACGCAAGTGAATTGCAATCTGCATCTATGTATTTCGCTGAGATTGGACCCGAATCAGCTACTGCGGTATCCCCCTGAAGATTTCGCTATATGTACCGTGATTTCGGTCCCAGTCGAAAACCCAGATATTGAAGCCTTTATCGAGCGTGAACTGGAAAATCGTATTCAGTTAAATGAGCTGATAATAGGCAATCCGGAGCTCATCCTCGATATCCGAGATAGTCTCATGGCTGGATCACAGGGAATGTTCCTCTGGGTGGCTCTTCAGATTGACATCTTATGTACAATGAAAACAGATGATGGGATTCGCCAAGCGCTGGCTGATCTCCCCAAAGATCTTTCAACTACATTCACCCGTATGTTGAAAAAGCACGAACCAAAAACGAAACCAGAACAGCGAACGATTCTAGAAATTCTCGCAGTGGCTCAGCGCCCCCTCACGAGCGACGAGCTTCGGGAAGTTTTGAGTGTAACACCTAGCGACACCTCGTGGGATCCAGGCAAACTGCTCAATGACGTGAAGTCGGTCTTAGCGAGCTGTGGAAGTCTCGTCATTATCGATGAGGAAGATTCGACGGTCCAATTCATTCATCATAGTGTCAAACAGTTCCTCATTGAAGAATATCGTGACTCGAGTGGCAAAGAGTTTGTTATCGATGATGCCAATCTGAATATGGCAAGATTGATACTCACCTATCTCAGTTACGACCGATTTGATAGACAGCTGTCTACGTCTGTTGTTCCTCGAATGGATGTTGGTTCCGCGCCCTATAAAATAGTCAAATCGACTATCAAATCTCAGAGCGGCGTTCAAGAAGCTGCTTTAAAACTCCTCAGGCTCAAGACGAGACGTGATCAGGACATAGGAAGGACGATACAAGCAATGAATGCGCGACATCATGAAGTCAAAGAGTACGATTTTCACTTTTTGAACTATGCGAAATTATATTGGATACACCACTTGTGTGCAACGTCAGCAAGTGAAATACCAGAACTATCATTGCTGGCTAAAATCCTTGAGAGGCGAGCTGTGTCCATTGATGAAGCCGTTGCGTACTCTGAAACATCCCCTGGTAGCCAGATAATAGAATCACGGTCCAAAACGCCACGGAACTTAGTAGAAGTCGCTCCTGGCGGACAGAACTCTGTATACCGACCAAAGGATCGCCGAGGAATAACCTTACTTTTCTGGGCCTGTGGCCTGGAAGAGCTGTCCCTTTTACGGAGACTGATCCAGATCGATGGTATTGAACCCGATCATAGAAATATGCAAGGACAGACGCCGTTGTTACATGCTGCTCAGTGTGGTTATAAAGTTGCTGTTAGAGAATTGTTACTTACCAAACGCGTCGATCTGGTGGCAAGAGATCTACACGGTTATACACCACTTATATGGGCCGCGCGTCGTGGATACAGAGATATCGTGTATGATTTGCTCACAAGGCATGGGTTGACGGCAGCAGAACATCCAGAAACTCTGATTGCTAATAAAGTCATCAAAGACGGGTCGTGGTCATTAGATGCATCTCGAACCGCCGCTCAGCTCGGCTCCATCGATTTCAGGGATTCAAGGCAGCGCACGGCATTATCATATGCTGCTGGAATAGGTTCTAGCGAATGTGTCTGCGAACTACTTGTATTGGGTGCAGATCGCTCATTAGCTGATGTTCTGAACCGAACACCCTTGATGCACGCTGCCCTTTCTTATCGTGCAAATGCTGTTCAACAATTTTATGACTTCCCCGATCCTGATTACGACCGCGATTTTCCCGACAATAAAGATTTCGAAGGACGGACGGCTCTATCCTACGCTGCTCAATATGGGACCTTACCTATGGTTCAAATATTTCTACGGGATAAGCGCATTGACCCGGACACGAGGGATAATAAAAATCGATCCCCATTATCTTATGCCGCTCAGGAAGGGAATCCAGACATTGTTGAGGCTCTGCTTATGAACTCACAAGTTGATGCAGACTCACGGTGTGCCGTTGGGCTCTCGCCTCTATCATGGGCCATTGAAAAGAAAATACCTTTAGCGAAAGGGGACGGCATCTCTTCAAAAGAAGAAGATACGCAGCGCTCAATTATCCGAGCCTTTCTTGACAGTGGCCGAGTTAACATCAACACAAAGGACAATGCAGGCCGGACGCCGCTGATCAGGGCGGTCTTTCATCAGCGGTATTCATTCGTTGCACTCCTTCTCGACTATGGCTGCGACATTCATATCCAGGACAATGGAGGCAAGACTGCACTCGATTGGGCCCAGTGGAATGGAAACGAGAAAATTATCCAACTGCTACGAGAGCATACCTCGGGTTCGAGTGGAAAGAAGATGTTCACGTCGTATGGCCATTTGACACATCGATTCAATGACTAGGGTAGTTTGCTTGAGGATTTATCGTAACAGGACATTTCCAGAATCCATAGCTACAATTGCCACCTGTATATGTTGGGGTTACAACACTTGCCCTAATCACATGAGAAAAAGAAATAAACTCAAAATTCGTATGTATATATATTCATCAATGTCTCGTAAACAGATTCTAACAAAATTAGATATTATCATATATTCAACCAATTTTTAGCAGGATGCATGTAATCCAAGTCATAACACCGTCTGTGTCTTCCACCACGGCCATTTCTAAGTACCATTTCATATGCAATGCAATAAAACCAAACAACGGACCCCTCAATCAGAACAAAAATTCAAAACAAAATCATTGAAGACTATCAAGCATCCAACCCGGCGACAACGGGTTCGACGTCCGCACCCCAGCCCCCGACTGCGTGACTGTCGAGTACTCCGGAGGCGCATAATCACTACTGCCGGTATGCGACTGCGCATCTTGGAATGAGTCACTCGACGAGCGCTGTGTGTAGTGATCTTGATAATCCTCTTCGGTCGGCGGCGCGACGTTTCGCGGGCGGTAGAATTCTTCCTCGATCTGAGTTTCGGGGAGTAGGAGATCTGACATGTCTTCAAGAGCGGCGAGGCCGTTGCCAGGTGCGGAGGTGATTTGGATGGGAATATGAAGAGATATACTCGGTGCGAGGAGCAACTTTGTGCTGGCTGGTTGATATGATAGGGACAGATCAAGTGTGTACACTCGTGAGACGAGACAGGAGTGGAACGTGGGCACGAAAGCTCGGTTTGCGGTCAGGTTAACGGGAACAAGTATAGATGCGGTGTAGAATGTCTTGCCGGAGTAGGAAGATGATGCCGATGGATGATGGATCAGGCTCTCTGCCAGCGAGGATGACGACTCTGATACCAGCGAACTCCGTCGTGAGTCATCCAATTCTGTACCGTCGTGCTTCTTCCACTGCGCCGATGCCACGCATAGTGAGGACAAATTGATCGTCTCGGAATATACACCGTGTGTTGTATGATTATACGCTTCGGCAACCGCCTGGGACGGAAAGTCCGACCACGGCTGCGTTGCATAGAAAGTTGACACTTTCAGCTTACTTGACGTCGACTTGAGTCGTGGCGGCTGCTCATTTTCCGTCTCCGGATCAAATCTCACATGAAGCTTGACATGACTACTAACGGGCGCTTTGAAGCCCGTGCTGCCCGGCGCAGATAATTGCAAGGGCTTCGGTTGTGCCGCAGAAACCACCAATCGACCCGTCTTCCCACCCAGTAACGCCTTCCGGACATGCTTCTCCCGTCGAACTCGGTATCCATCTGTACTGTAACACCCAACTTCCAGCGGCGGCTGCTCCGTTGTCGCGGGGATAATGCGCACTTTCTTCGCGACTGAAGTAATCGCATAAAACGGCTTGGGGCTTGCGGGCGGATTCTTGGTCATAACGGCGACTTTGAGTTTATAGGAGATTTCACTCATCATTGGTGCCATATCGTTGATCATTGTTTTGCCGTCGTCGGAGAGCATTGCGTCACCTAGTGTTGGAGGTAATTGTGTATGCACTGCTTTTAAATGGGGATTGGTTGTGAAATGGCTACAGGCATGGAGCAGTAGGTGCTCGGGGACGACGAAAGTGAAGGGGAAGATGTATGTCTCCAGAGGCTTGAATTCGCGCGATTCCGGGTATGTGTTTGGGTCAACAGGCTGTCTCAATCTGAGGAAAGGGTGAAAGGCGTTGAGGTCGTTTGTTATATGTGCGACGGGGGATTGTCGTTGAATGATTGTTTTGGATATACCTGCCTTGATTAGCTTTGAGTCCATCTCAGGGTGTGTTGGCGACCAACCTTCGAAAGTAATCTGGACATGATCGAATGCCGTATCTCGTTCTGCTTGAATATGGACCTCGCCCTCGATTTTGTCGAATGTAGTATACGACGGGACAAGGCCCTTGACCTGCCCATTTAGGGCAATGTCAACCTTGAGACGAGAGTTTCGCATTGGCAGAGATGGCATTGCGAACATGTATGTCAAGATGGTCGAACTTGACGATAAGTCACGGTTGATATATGCAATTCGTTGATACTCAGGACAGCTGCAGCTCAAAAGAGATTATGGCGGTGCTATGAGCAGCCTTTTATACAAAACCACTTGGGCAACTGCTTCAAGTAGGCAACGATTCACCAACTGATCCCAAAATGACGAATGAAACTCACAGTATGAATTATAAATCAGAAACGCAATCCGTGGTCTCAATATATACTCATCGGCTAGAGAACTATAGACAAGAACAAATGGATACTCGCTTCCAAAAAGTTTAAGCCTGAGTCATCCCTGCAATAATCTACTAGACTTGGACCACAAGGTTCCAGTCTCGATCATCCATGATCCAACGAACTAGGACTGAACTAACGGGTACGGCGAACTAGCCTTTGGAGGTAACTACTCTTGGAGGTGCGAACTCCATGGATTGTATGACTCGATGGGCAATAACCTGCCTCTAAGCGTTAGCCGCCATTCATGTCTGGTAGACGTGGTCACGAATTAGGATTAGGGCGAGGACTAAGGACTGGTCATGGTTGGGGCTAGTAGTAGTACTCCGGAAACTCAAAGTTTCTCCATGGCATGTGCTTTAGTCTTTGTGGCTTGAGTGTGTACTTAGTTCACTTTTAGGCAGATGACGAAGATTGATTATAAATCCCAGACGTATGTAGCTCAGACGGCAGACCGCTTGGACATGGCATATTAGGCTCTGGCCCTGTGACAAAATTGAATCGATCAACTTCCATTTCGATTAGGCGATGAGCATTGACAATGTCAGTGGTAATGCTCTTGACCTAATCGAATGATCCTGTTGATTTCTAATACGCGAATATAAGCGCATCTCTGGTGTATAGCTCTGAAAAGACCAGACATGAACCCGATGTCGCAGACGGAGTAAACATTAAGCTCGGAATAGAACGTGCTCGTTTCATTCCGTACGTCTAAGTATTGTGGAGTTATTCCGGCGCTACTTTGTACCCACCACCTCTCTCGTATGTACATATTGTAGTGAAAATATACAGTCCCCGAATGACTCACTATGCAGGTTTGTATTCTTTGTCTAGACATATACTACGTAGTACAAGCACGTTCGAGGGTAAGCGAATTAAACGACTTGCGACTGACCCGCTATTCACGTTCGGCACTTTAGCCGTGTTCCCGTTGAGTCACCGCGAATTGACCACTTACAAGCTACCTAGAGTGTTAGGGCTTAACTTAGGGCATGCTTATCCTTAGTTGTTCTACTTACTAGGTAGTGCTCGGAGAATGATCCGGACGGCGAATGATGATTGCCTCTACGTATATTTATTCGAATACAATCAGTACAGAAATAATGAATATCTGTAGAAGAATAGTCAATTCTGTTTCTTGATTTTCTTGAAGACTACTCTCGAGATCTATTTCCACATGGACGCCGGTCTATGGGTCATGTCACAAGGCGGTAAAACTTAATCTTCTTGTGCTTAATATGGACCCATCGCCAAGTTCCAACTCGCGCCTTATGACTACGTCTGCAAGACCAAATCCATAATAAACGGTGGACACTGACCCGAGCGTCATGTCAATCTATTTAAGCTCCGTTCTTGCTGCTGTATAAGTATACAAGAAGCGAGGGCGTACGTAATCCAATTGCTCACCGTCCACCAAGGCCTAAAGGGTACATAGGTATACACCGGTACAAAGGAGCCCGTTTCTCCGCGGTTTTGCTATGCGTTGATGTACACTAACCGTTGGAGGCGAATCATCCGAGAACTTAGTTACAGTATGGATTGAATTGAATTGGATTGGCTTGGATTGAGTCATCCGCATGCCCTAACATAATTCCCTAACCACCCCATTGGAATGGTCATATCCAGGATTGTCGCATTACTAATCCCCTTCCCTCCCTCTCTCTCTCTCTCTCTCGATTCTGTCAATCGGTCAAATGTCGCAATAACTAAGTTAATCAGCCATTTTCCATGTTTATTAATCAGCTACCCCGTAAATCTACTCCGTATTTTCATTCTGAACTCCGAATGGGCCCAGGTAGGACTGCTGCCTAGTTCTTGAGGCATCCAATTGTATCTCATGGCAGATGTGTGGGCCAGGCGGCGAATCGTTTCGTTTTGCGCCTTCTAGCTACAATTTATGGATATCGGATTTAGGTTTGATATAATTTCGTCGTCCGCATTGCGTTAAGCATTCTGTCATACGGTCCGCGACCGCTGAACACACAAAAAGAAATAGCTTTTCACGGCAGTCAATTCCTACTATGGTAAACAGATGAACACGATATGTATTTACAGGATTTTGATTTTATTAAAATCAGCTATAGACATGAACAGACAAATCAAATCTGACTGTGCAATCATCTGAGGTCATCAGACACAAATCCCTGTTTTATCAGACCCGATACCCATTCTCATAGGCTCATGCAGCGCTATACCCGGCAAACTAAAACAAAGTGCATGCTATGCATGATAAGAAGATAGAACAGACATGTGAGGGGCAAATCAGAAGAGAAAAATGAAGGGTATAAAATCACAAATTGCTCGCTAAATCGTGCAACAAAAAAAATCGTGAGTCATGGACTTTATGCGGGCGGTTGGTTATTGATTGGACGCCAGACTTAAAACTGGTTCGTGGGAGCTGGGGCGTTTGCGACACGCGGCCAACGAGAGAGGTATTCGACATTGTCGAGGTTGCCTTTGCTTTGGTTGCGGACGTATTGCGTGCTCGGGTCGATGCGAGGTTCGTAATCCCAGATAGTCGGGACGCCCTTGATCAATGCGGAATACACGATACGACGACGACGCTGTGAACGGACTACGTCCTCGTGGATGGCGCGCAGATTCCAGCGAGAGTGAACTTCGTCAATGAAATGTTCATAGACAGTTTCCGGGTCGTCTTGCTCGGGAAGGACAAGAGGGAAACTGGGACTGGGGGTGCGAGGAGGTGTAGGGACCACTTTAGCTGGGATCTTTGGGAAGAATGACTTCTCCGTGCTCACGAAAGTGACTGCATCCGGTGCCACGCCGTTGGGAGGAGTAGGCAATCCTGTGGCTTTGATCTCAATTTCTTTGGTCTTTGGGGCTGGGATCGGAAGCCCGGCAGCCAGGTTCGTGGTTTCCAGAGGATCGGCTTCTAGATCAAACAGCATGGGCGGGTCGATCAACGAATAAATAAACTTCCACTTTCCGCGACGGATCATAATCACTGGAGTCTGGGATCCTTCGGCCATGTACTCGCCAAAAACGGTGTCGGTCTTGAGTCCTTCGCCGCCGGTCAGATAAGGAACCAGTGAAACTCCGTCCATGGGTAGGCCAGGCTCTAACTGAGCTCCCACCAGCCCTGCGAATGTGGGAAGAATGTCCATGGTCGAGACATTCTCCTTGACGCGCTTGGCAGAGAACCGGTTTGGAGCGTGAACGATGAACGGCACGCGTGCAGAGTTCTCAAACCAGGTCATTTTGTACCACAAGCCGCGCTCGCCAAGCATATCGCCGTGGTCTCCGGTAAACACAATAATGGTATCGTCGGTCAAACCGCAGTTGTCGAGCGCTTTCAAAAGCTTTCCAATGTTGGTGTCGACATATGTGCATGCTCCGTAGTATGCGCGACGAGCGGCCTTGATGCGCTCTTCGGGCATCTCCTTACCCCAGAGATCGATACACTTCAACACACGCTGTGAATGGGGGTCTTGCTCATCATGTGGAATGGCCGCTGTTTTGGGCAGAGGGATTTCGACATCTTCGTACAAATCCCAGAATTCCTTGGTCATGGCATATGGGTCGTGGGGGTGAGTCATGGACACGGTCAAACAAAATGGCTGATCACCGCGGTGTCGGACGTGGTCGTACAGATACTGAGTCGATTTATAGATGACCTCCTCGTCATAGTCGAGCTGGTTGGTGCGAACAACAGGGCCAGCATCCAAGACAGAAGACATGTTGTGATAATAATCAGGGCGAACCTCCTATGCTTTGTTAGCTCTATGCACAGTCTAAGCACGATGGACAACGTACAGGCTCATCCCAGTTCACAGACCAGCCATAGTCTCCAGGATAAATGTCACTGGTCAATCGCTGCTCATACCCATGCAGCTGGTCCGGACCACAAAAGTGCATCTTCCCAGCTAGAGCAGTATGGTAACCCTCACGACGAAGATAGTGTGCATATGTGGGAACATCGGCAGGCAAATCGGCTGCGTTGTCATAGGCGCCAATTTTGGATGGAAGCTGGCCAGTCACCATGACAAAGCGGGAGGGCGCACACAGGGGAGAATTGCAGTAGGCATTGTCGAACGTGACACCTTCCTTTGCCAATCGGTCTAGGTTGGGGGTTTTGATTCGCGAATTGGAGTCGTGGATGGACAGGAGTGGCGCGGCCATCTGGTCAGCCATGATATAGAGGATGTTGGGTCGTTTGGCCGCCATGTTTGCGGTCTGTCGTTGCTCGGTTTGCTTGGATATTTGAAGTCCGGATTATCTATGAACCCCAGCCAACGGTATGGACAAGTCGTTGAGCTGTGTTCGGCTAGGACTCTGCCTAGCTACTGGAATTACAAAGAGATGATGCAGAAAATGTATTGGCTTTTTGCAATTCAATGGTTGACAGCTGAAGAAACAAACAAAGCGCGCTGAAAATGTGGTTGAGGAAAAGAAACAAGCAAGACGACAAAATATAACTGAGGTGGAAGAGGCGGGCTTTTTTAAATGACGCCAGGAAAGTCTCCCTCTTTTTCCTTAACCTTTCCCGGGGCAGCCTGGAACGGAAGGAGGTGGGCTTATCGAAAATTACATACATGTATGGTACGCGTGTGCGTGTACCGTTACGAGGGCTTATCGAGTACTGGATGGTGATAAATTACGGTTAGCAGCGGCCGTTACATGTACCACACGAGTACCGCGGTTACACCGCCGCACCGAAGGAATGGATAGTCATTCTCTGGGGCGATGTCGTGCGATGTCGTGATTGTGGGGTTAGTCAGCTCTGTCTCCCTTTTAAGAGTATTATACACACAGTCGCTTGATTCATGAGGATAAATGCGCCATCCTCGCAGACATGGCGTCGTGGGATTTTCAGGGGCCAGATAAGCAGTTAACTAGTACACAACTCAAAAGTGTCAGAACATGTATTGAAGAAAAGACGATGGGTGACACTCCCTGATTCAGCAAGAATATCCTCCGGCTAACTAAACAGGCCAAACATCGCGTGATCCTCTTTCTGAATGTTGAAGAACGTGTGTATTTGCTGGGTATTTCTGAGTACGTACGAGTATCGACTCAACAATACGCTGCTTATCAGAAAGAAAAAATACACAAACATCTCCCCCACATACGCTAACAAGGCTTGTTGGCAACTCGGCGTACTGGCAGCAAAAGAATCATATGGAATCGAGTCCTGCGATAAGAGACGCCTAAGGCCCACATGTATCTATCCTTTCAAATTTACACACACTTACACACAGCAAATTAAGTATTGTGCAGATGGACCGTCTACTCCGCCAATAGCATCACATCCTTCCCTTACCTACCTTGCATACCTAGTTGCATAGTAAAGGTATAGCGACAAGCCCTCCAATAATGTGCCGCAGTCCAGCTTCCCAGTTCGATGAAGATGCTCATTGGGGCCGCGGATTGCGTGACTGTCGCGGTTATCGAGGATCCACTTATCCGCGATGGTTCTGCAATTTTGGTTGTTTGAGGGAGGATCGTTTCGCACGCAATCTCTTGGGAAGGTGATTGGGCGGGATTTCGGATGAGCTACCGTACTACAGAGTAGTAGTTTCGCCGGGGGGTGTTGCAGGTACGCTAGTCTTAATATGGCATAGCTCAATACATAACTGAGTAATCCAAATTTCGATGTGCTTTGCTGTATTTGACTGAGTGACTTCATGCTGATCGAGATGCCCATCATATCCGCCTTACAGAATCTACCTCGACATCGAGCATCATGAATATAATGGAGACTATCACGCCATACCACTTTTACTGGCATGTGTGTCGTTGCGATCAAGGTATCAAACAAGAATTTTATAAGGATCTACATATATATATATCCTAATGTTACACAAGGATGGCACAATCTTCTAAGGGGTCACTGCTGGATAGGACGGAGTACATACGTGTAGCTTCAATGGTACTATCAACATGAAAAACACACTAGATGTAGATCAAGATCATGGTATTAAAACATTGACCCTGAAGAGTCGCCACCGGACTTCCGTCGCGGACCGATCGACTTGTTTCTGCCTGATGCTTACTTGTACCCACGTGATGATCTGGCCCTAGCCAGGGTACGTGGATGACTGCTGACTGTCAACTGGTAGGTAGTAATTATGTGGAGAGTGTCACTCACCAGCCCTCTTAATCTGTTAGTCAGAATACCTTGTGTAGCTACATGTACTACTACATACGCTAGGCCATGGATATTCTTACCCTTCTTGAACAAGTAATCATGAAAATAGTCAACATATGTCATGTCTAGTTGCGTCCGTCTCGCATTAGTATAATTTGCTAAAGTATGATATGAAAAGAACTAAATATTGGTGTGCGGTAGAAGTACAATTGTATTTTGTCGCCTTGCAAAAATCGTCGGCACAATCAATCCGCTTTAACAGCACTGCATAGAATCAGCATCAGTAGTGTCCGATAGCAAGATGAAAGGGTGCATACCTGTATATCCTCCGGATAAAAGCATACGCTGTCAGGAATCCCACCGTACCAGTCAACAATCCATAGACCGCGCACGCCAGGAAACTATAGCTGAAGAAAAGCAAACTCGACACAAAGCCGGTTATGTGGAGTTTGTATGTATAGTACCAGATGCAGTAGGCGAAAATCCAGAAGGAGCTGCTGCCGCCGGTAAGGAAGCTCTGCCACCACCAGTGGTAGTTCTGGAGATGTTAGTCAAGGATCTGCGTGGATTTTGGGACGATAAAGAAATACCTCTGCACATAATTGGTTGTATGTTGCGATGATCGTCACTTCGCTCACTGTGACAATCAAGATAGTGCTGACCACACTCAAAAAGCCAAAAACGTAGTAGTAGCCACTCTTATCTTGCCACAGATTCTTGAAAACAAACAACAGCTCGATAAAAAGAACGGCAAATGGAATCAACCCCGTCAAGATGACCCCGTTGATGCCACGGAAATACCACGGTTGTCGTGGAATCTGGCGTGGAATAGGTGAGGTTTTGGTTGGGTGTTGCCATGGCTCTGCCCTTACGTATCCGAACCAACTGCCGGCATAGCACAAGGGGACCTGGACTAGAAGCCAAAGAGCGACTAGTCCTACCAATGTGCCAAAGGGAAGTGCTGTACTGGACGCTTGAGCCCAGACAAATAAATTCAACACGAATATCAAGCAAAATGTCAATCCCGGAAATAGGGAGGCCGTCTGTAAGGAAGTTAGCACATGCTGACAACATAGTAGAAGCGGTACGTACGATGATAGTGTTCTTCCGCCAGTTCTGTCCTCCCAATGTTTTGTACAACCTGGCCGAAAAATAGCCAGAAAACAATCCAGCAAATACAAACAAGCCAAATCCAACTGTGACAAACCCGCCCCGGAAGCTAGGATTCAGCACTCCCAATGAACTGAGAATGAGTAGACCGATTGCTACAAAAAGTAATTGCGTTCCTGACCCTACCAACGGTGCGAGCAGTCCACTGTGAGCGGGTAGACGGAAAACATCTGCATGAAGTAGTTTCCATCCAGCGACATCCTCTAGTTCATCGTCAGAAAGTGGATCGCCCTCGCCTTCCTGAGTCAACACGCCTTCACTCGACTTTTTATCCTTGTTTGGCGATTTTGAGCGACGTTTCTTTAGCTTTCCCTCTTCCAAGACACCGTCCTCGCGTCCTTTGGTAGTGCTCTGGACAGTTCGGCTCCAGATGACAATGACAGTCACACCAAGCACACCCGATATCGTCAAAGAATTGATAATCGCAAGCCAATGAGTCATGGAACTGTCAACTTGATCGGTGAAAAACAGATCCCACCGGTTCGACCATTCGATAGACGTATCTTCCCGGAAGTAGACCGAGTACGTGTACGGAATTTTCATCGTAGCACCGTCGTCCGCATCCTCACCACGCTGAGGAATGTACGAAGAATCGCTATACTTCTCCTCGACTTCCTTGTTGTTCGGCGTGATGAAAAGCTCCAAATGCGAGTTGTCTGCATGCACATCGTACGGACATCCGTCCTCGTCTCGATTCTCATATCCTATGCTCTTCGGGTAGACTTCGAAGCCGAGAATCACACTTTTCCCTTCTTCGCCTGCCTTTCCTGGTGCTTTGCGCCAACGCACAACAATTGTGAAGTGATTGTGAATATAGATCCGACCCAAGCCCTCCGCTGGCGAAAAGTCCTGATATCCTAGCTTGAATCCGCTCGAGTAGTACTTTCGGCTGCGATCGACGGTGACGAAGCTGGTTGCCGCAGGGAGATTATCAACAATCCACTCGGCAACATACCCATCCTTGATGAGTTGACGGCCCCATTTGACAGCTTTGCGGTCGACCTCGCGCGTGCAAAGCGCGCGACATCCGACGTCTTGTTTCATCACCAACTCATAGTCCGATGTCATGATTCGATCGCCGCGCAATATCTCGCCCAGATTCAAGGACAAGCTGTGTCCAGATCCGAATGGGGAATTTCCGTGTTTCTGACCAGTCGGTGGGCAAACGAAGGGGAGGTCAAAGTAGGCATATTGTAGTTGGGTATGATCTGAGAAGATCTTGTTGACGAGCAGCGGGATGGGTTCATTGTCTTGGTAGCTAACGACCGAGTAGCCTACGCATAAATACTAATGTCAGCATTGATAACCTGCGATGTGAATCAAGGTAGCGCACCTGGGATGTAGAATGACTGGCAAACAGAGAATAGCATCAGCCATGGCATTAACCGCCAGCTGTAGTTATAAGATATAGTGTTCATCTTTAAGCAGACGTGACCTTCCAACAAGCCCTTCGCTACCGAGCATACGTCAACTTTCAAACGTTCTCAACTGGCAAGTTCAATTAGAGAAATAATCGCGATCTGATCGTCAACGTGTACTAGCGCTCGACAAGGGATAAACCCCGAACGATTCGATAACGAGTGTAAACGGTACAAAGTACCTTCAACTGATACTCGGTCCTTGTGTCGTCAATTCGCTCGACTGATCTACTAATGATCAATACGAACGTCCAGCATCCTCGACTTTGAGAAAGTGATTGATTGATTCAAGGGGAAAACAGTGAGGTATGTTCGGTTTCCCGTAACTCCGCGCTAGGTCCACGGGGCATGCTGGCAATTTTACGCTTTAGGTTTAGCGTGGGAGAGCTTATCCTCGTTTTCACGATAGCTTCAATTTACATACAAGGTACCAAATAGTTGTTATCAGTCACTTAGATCATTGAGGCTGCTTGACAGCCGGGATGATTCATTATACACTCTTAACAGTTATGCACATGAAAGAATCAATGAAGCTGTAATGGTCGCTATGTATCGACCGGATCATGAGTAAAAAGACATCACTGGGAATATCGAAGGAAACAGAACGCTGCTCGCAACTCATCAGTTAACCGCCCAAGAGAAAATTGACAGCGCCTTGCACGCTGCCACCGCTTCTTCGTAGAGCTGCAATATTCTGGTCAAAGTCGTAGAAGCCCATGTCATTCAACTGGCGTAATTGTTCTGCATATCGCTCTTCAGGGGGCCGGTTGTCTACTGGAGAAGGAGCAGCAGGAGGAGCACCAAATAGAGACGCCCAAGGGTTCTCTGCACCTGCACCTGCGCCAGCACCGCCTCCGTTCATAGCTTGCATGACATTTTGTAGCAAAGCGGGGTCTCGCATGAAAGGGTTATTCTGAGGGTTGAACATATTGTTCAAGTTCGGCTGTGCCGCACCACCTGCACCTGCCTGGCCTGAAGGTGCTCCGAATAACGCCGGATTGAAAAGAGCGGCAAACGGATTCTGTGCTTGTTGATTCTGTGCGGCGGAATCTGTCGTAGCTTGCCCACTAGTCGTAGTCGGCTCGGTAGCGGTAGTATTCTGCTGTACGGCCGTTGATGGTGGTTGAGGAGGCATGCCAAAAAGACCGGCGAGAGGATTGGCACCAGCCGCGAACGGGTTGATAGGCGGAGTTGTTTGGGTCGTGTCCTGCTGTTGGCCACGATTTTCCTCTGGAGTAGTGTTTGTGACGCCAGGAGCGGGAAATGCTGTGTTGCCAGCTCCTCCGAAGCCCATACCGCCACCGCCGAAAGCGCGTTGCATCTGTGCCATTTGGCGGATTGCCGCAGGGTCAGTGAGCATTCGTCGGAATTCAGGACTTTGCATCATTTGTCGAACACCAGGGCCCATCTCTCGCAACATCGGGTTTTGTTGAATCATTAAATCGATTAGAGCGGGGTTCTGGAGCGCCTCGTTCATCGTCGCTTGGACTTGAGGATTCTCAAGCATACTAAGCATCTGGTCTGTATCGGGTGGAGGTCCCATCTAAAATCTGTCAGTGAATGATGCTACTGCGCTTCTCGACGCTACTTACGCCACCGTCCGGTCCGAACATTCCAGCTCCAGGGAGTTGCGCAAAACCAGCATATCGTGCTCCAGTCAAGCCAGCCAAAGGATTATTTCCAGTGCCAGCGGCAATATTTGTAGGTACTCCAGGTACGGATGAAGGTGTCGTACCAGCAGCGGTGCTGGCAGGCTGAGGAGGGGGGTTTTGTCGTTGATTACTAGCCGCGCTCTTGACTAGGTGAATGGTGTGCCCATCTTTGATCTTGTAGGAGGCAAGAGTCTCGTTATCTTTGAGGACTCGCCCGGAGTATATCAATCGCTGGCGCTCTGCAGGTGTGTCAGCGTGCTCAGAACTCGACAGTTTTTCTTTCAAGTCCAGAACGATTGTCGAATCGGGTAATGTGAAGGTGTATTTGGCGTCGTTGGATGCCTTGACGCTGAAGGTGATGGAGGTAGGTTCCGCTGCCGAGGCGTCGTCCGCCATGATATCACACGTAAGAGGGGTAGGTTTGTGAGGTTGTTTGATCAATCGCTGGCACTCCGACTTAGAAGTAAGATATTCAGGCAAGTAACAGGCTCTGATGCTTGTGAAAGAATGTGACAAATAATGTCGCAGCCAAATGAGTGATCGTGAAGGTTGGAAGTGTCTCAGCAAGCAGTAGGACAATCAACGGGATAATGTCATCCCGTCCGGAAGCTGGCAGAAACCAATGGACTAAGGCAGAGATTAAGGCGTTCCCGCGTGGCCTTGTTGCCTCGCTGCCTTGTTGCCTTGTTGCCTTACAGGTCTTGGCGCTTGGCACGCTAAAGCCACAGCTTTTCTTTTTTTCGTACAGGTTTTGCAAGCTCACACACGTTCACAGCCTTCCTCTCCCACTTTGACGGCAGGACGCGTTGTCCTTGATCAGCCAAATAATACAATCTCATTCTATCATCAACCGGTCTTGACTTCAAGACTGTCATACTATTTCTTCCTATTGGAGATGGAAACCTGATCTCGACCATTTCTGTCCTCGGCAACGCGACCAACCATCAGTTCACAGCTCGACCAGAGCACAGTAATTGCCCACTATGGCGACTACATCGAATATGTTCATGTATTCCTTGACGCTACAGAACCCAACAGCTGTAACGCAAGCTATACTCGGACAATTCGCAGGTACAAAAGAGCAACAGATTGTGACCGCTTCCGGTTCGAAGCTTACCCTTCATCGCCCGGACGCCGCTCAAGGCAAAGTCACCCCTATATACACGCAAGATGTCTTTGGTATCATAAGGTCTCTCGCGGCTTTCCGGCTGGCCGGAAGTAACAAAGGTATGTTGCGCTCTACTTTTCCCTAAAAGAGTCATTTTAGTGATTCGTGAAGCTCCCGGGAACCAGCCACTATTGTCGGATGTGCCTCGGTCGGAAGCATCGAACCGTTGAAAGCTCTGCAGTGATAGCGTTGATCCGTGCTGAAAATTGTACAGATTACATCATCATTGGGTCAGATTCGGGTCGTATCACCATCATTGAGTACGTGCCGTCACAGAACAGGTTCAACCGCATCCATTTGGAGACATTTGGAAAGTCGGGTGTTCGACGAGTAATTCCTGGCCAGTACCTTGCGGTGGATCCCAAGGGGCGAGCTTGTCTCATATCTTCTGTGGAGAAGAACAAACTTGTCTATGTTCTGAATCGTAACTCGCAAGCAGAATTGACAATCTCTTCACCTCTCGAAGCACACAAGGCACAGACTCTTGTCTTCGCGCTTACTGCTTTAGATGTGGGTTACGACAATCCGATTTTTGCCGCCATTGAGGTTGATTATTCCGAATCAGACCAGGATCCCACAGGCCGAGCATACGAGGAAGTTGAAAAACAACTTGTATACTACGAGCTTGATTTGGGTCTGAACCATGTGATTCGCAGATGGTCAGACGTTATACATCGGACTTCAAACATATTGTTTCAGGTTCCCGGAGGCGCTGATGGTCCCAGTGGTGTTCTTGTCTGCGCTGAAGACAGTATCACGTATCGGCACTCCAACCAGGATGCATTCCGTGTGCCAATACCCCGTCGCAACGGCCCTACCGAGAATCCTGAACGGAAGCGATCCATTATTGCTGGTGTTATGCACAAAATGAGAGGCGCTTTCTTCTTTTTACTGCAGACAGAAGACGGTGATCTCTTCAAGTTGACTATTGACATGGTTGAGGATGAAAATGGTCAACTCACCGGTGAAGTCAAGAGACTGAAGATCAAATATTTTGACACTGTTCCTCCTGCAGCTAATCTGCTCATCTTGAAGAGCGGTTTCTTGTTTGTGGCAAGTGAAACAGGCAACCATCACTTCTATCAATTTGAAAAGCTTGGCGATGACGATGAAGAAACAGAGTTCTTGAGTGATGATGTTTCCGCTGATCCAGCCGACTCTGTCAAACCCGTTTACTTCAACTTGAGAGGCGCCGAGAATTTGAATCTGGTTGAAAGCATCAATTCATTGAATCCTATCATGGATTGCAAAATTACAGACGCTATCGGAGAAGATGCCCCCCAAATTTATACCATCTGTGGCACAGGAGCTCGCAGTTCTTTCCGAACCCTCAAACACGGTCTGGAGGTTTCTGAGATCGTCGAGTCCGAACTCCCTAGTGTTCCGTCCGCCGTATGGACGACGAAACTTACCCGTAATGATGAGTTTGATGCTTATATTGTACTCTCATTCACAAATGGAACATTGGTTCTCAGCATTGGTGAAACGGTCGAAGAAGTTACAGATACTGGCTTTTTATCCACCGCACCAACCTTGGCTGTTCAACAACTTGGCGAAGACTCTTTAATTCAAGTTCATCCAAAGGGTATTCGACACATTCTTGCTGATCACCGAGTCAATGAGTGGCCTGCCCCTCAACATCGAACAATTGTTGCTGCCGCTACCAACGAGCGTCAAGTTGCAGTTGCTTTGAGTTCCGGTGAGATTGTATACTTTGAGATGGACACGGATGGCTCACTGGCCGAGTATGATGAAAAACGTCAGATGTCTGGTACAGTCACTGCTCTGAGCTTGGGCGAGGTGCCTGAAGGCCGTGTCCGAAGCTCTTTTCTCGCTGTTGGGTGTGATGACTCGACTGTCAGAATTTTAAGCTTGGATCCAGACACTACCCTGGAAAACAAGTCCGTCCAGGCCCTGACATCTGCACCATCTGCCTTGAACATAATGTCAATGATTGACTCGACATCCGGTGGCTCGACGTTGTATTTGCATATCGGACTCTATTCCGGTGTCTACCTCCGGACAGTGCTTGACGAAGTTACTGGTGAGCTTTCCGACACTCGAACTCGATTCTTAGGCGCAAAACCAGTGAAGCTGTTTGGAGTATCCGTCAAAGGCCAGCCTGCTGTCCTTGCTCTCAGCTCTCGTCCTTGGCTAGGGTACTCCGATGTGCAGACAAAGAGTTTCATGCTTACATCCTTGGACTATGTTAACCTTGAATGGGGATGGAACTTTTCCAGTGAGCAATGCCTGGAAGGTATGGTTGGAATACAGGGTCAAAACTTACGGTACGTAATTTTTAATCAGTTCTTGCAATTTTTTTCCCTTGTATCATGATGAAAAAGGAATCCGAACTTTCGTGTGGAAGAGAAAAATAAGTTTTTATATCCAATTGTTCCTACTGAGATACTTCTTCTATTCTTTATCATTCTCCATGGCATTGACTGGTCAATTGCTAATTGAATTTAGGATCTTCTCCATCGAGAAATTAGATAACAATGTGTTGCAAGAGTCTATTCCTCTAGCATACACCCCACGACACTTTGTGAAGCATCCAGAGCAGCCTCTATTCTACGTGATTGAATCTGAGAACAATGTTCTCGCTCCGGCTACACAAGCTCGCTTATTGGAAGACTCGAAAGCACAGAATGGTGAAGCCGTGATTCCTCCAGCAGAGACATTCGGCTATCCTCGCGCTACCGGACATTGGGCTTCTTGCATTGAAGTTGTAGATCCTGTCAGTGCTAAAGCTGTTCTTTCGCGTCTTGAACTCGAAGAGAATGAATCTGCTGTTAGCATTGCAGCTGTCTCCTTCGCAAGCCAAGACAATGAGACTTTCCTTGTCGTCGGCACAGGTAAAGATGTCGTGACGTATCCAAGGTCTTTCTCCGCTGGCTTTATTCATATCTACCGTTTCCAAGAAGATGGCAGGGAATTGGAGTTCATTCACAAAACAAAAATTGAAGAGCCCCCGCAAGCCCTACTCGCGTTCCAGGGACGCTTACTTGCCGGTATTGGTAAGAATCTTAGAATTTACGACCTTGGAATGAAGCAAATGCTTCGAAAGTGTCAGGTCGAAGCTGCGCCAAATCTCATCGTGGGCCTACAGACGCAGGGTAGTCGTATCATTGTCAGCGACGTACAAGAGAGTGTGACTTACGTGGTGTACAAATATCAAGAGAACCAGCTCATTCCATTCGTCGATGATGTTATTGCACGCTGGACTACCGCCACGACAATGGTGGATTACGAAACAACGGCGGGAGGKGACAAGTTCGGTAACCTATGGCTTGTTCGTTGCCCGAAAAAGGTATCAGAAGAGTCCGACGAAGACGGTTCTGGTGCCCATCTCATCCACGAGCGTTCGTACCTCCAGGGTACAGCGAATCGATTGAACCTTATGGTTCACTACTATACTCAAGACATTCCTACAAGTCTCCACAAGACCAACCTGGTTGTTGGTGGAAGAGACATCCTGGTGTGGACGGGTTTGCAGGGTACTATCGGTATTATGGTTCCATTCGCCAGTCGTGAGGATGTTGATTTCTTCCAAAATCTAGAGACTCAGCTTGCTTCTCAAAMCCCGCCGTTGGCAGGACGTGATCATCTGATCTACCGAAGCTACTATGTTCCTTCAAAGGGCGTAATTGACGGCGATCTTTGTGAGACCTACTTCCTGCTTCCTACCGACAAGAAGCTCATGATTGCTGGTGAACTTGATCGGAGCGTTCGGGAAATAGAACGCAAGATCTCGGTATGTCTTCTTCCTTCTTGCATGTGATCACTGCTAACTATCTAAATGTAGGATATGAGAACCCGTGTGGCTTACTGAACGTTTCACTTCTTTGCCAACCTGTACATTCAACGGAGTTTCGGCAGGCGTTTTCAGGGATCGTGAGCGTCTGATTATTTAACCTTAATGATATCAATCAATGACCAATCGAAATTATCACTCCTTCCGCTCTACTATAAGCAAACATACAAAAGCCGTCTCTTGCCTCGCTCGATCAGCTGTTATTTCATCAGCTGATTTTGAGCTGGATACACCAGTACTTCCTCTGGAGTATTGGTTGTATGAGACAAGAAGAATCTAATCGATGATCTTTGAGTACGAGTTTATCTGTTATGCCCTACGGATAATCATCGTAATTTATCCATCGATACAGCTTTAGAATTATCTGAATTCATGATTTCTCTTATCTTTGCCCTTTTCTATTCAGTCTAAAAAGGAGGTGGATTCAAATCTAGCCCTTCAACAGTAAGCTTAAAAGCATCATTTCGTGAATAACTTCCCGCCACATCCAGATCCAACCTTCCTCGTGTGCAATCGTCAAAGTCGATTTCGGCAATGACCAGGCCATCACCTACTGCACTTGAATCATCATTGTCATCAGTGCAGACATCCCAGATCGGACCGCCACAGATCTGTCCCAAAGGCCCGATAATGCATGACCCGCCGTGGCAGATGTACTCTTCTGTTGCCGGATCTTTCTTTGAAGCCGAATTGGACAATACAGACCGTTGAGCGAGACCCTTCTTTTTCAGCTCCAGCTCGGATATGGCGCCTGCATCGTCTTCAACAGCCAGACTTGCGTACATCTGATCTCGCTTCTTGTCTGGATGTAGCTGTTCGCCTGCTGATTGTGGCCAGGTGATTTCTTGGGGTTCTTTGGTGTGTTCTTCTGTCGACGTACTATCCGCAGAAGGAGCACCGGTAATCCAACTCGGCAACTCGGTCTTTCGCACGCATTGATTAGCAGAGAGCACCACAGCACGACCCTCAGTGGCCACTGTCCGCATAAGCGGGAGCCATGTATCTCTTCCATCAGCCGTGGGGGCGAGATACAAATTGACGTTTTGCGAGTACAAACTCTGCCGAAGAAGAGGCATGTAATTTTCCCAGCAGATTGCAGAGCCGATGATAAGATTCACGCCGTTTATTTCGGTTGTCACGGCTTTGAGGGTTGAAGGGGAGCCTTGTGCCCAAATCAGACGTTCAGTTGCTGTCTATACTACAGTCAGAGAGGACTTGGCATGAAGAAACTGGGGGACGACTCACTGGCATGACTTTCCGTCTCTTCCCTAACACGCCTCTTTTCGGATCAACGTAGACCACGGAACAATACAAACTCCCACCAGCTCTCTCAATCAATCCCACGCCAATGAACACATTCGTCTCACTCGCCACACGCTCTAAGAATTCCCTCGTACCATCACCGCGATACTCCTTCCCCTTGGCACAGGGTAATTTCCTCTCAACCCAATCATCCCCCGCACCGGATGGCGTGTCACCTAGGTCAACCGCCGAGTTGAAGTATTCCAAGAATTGATCCCGACCCTGAGGGTCACGAGCACCAATTGCTGTTCCAAAAGCGCATGTACGTGGATAGCCGCCGAGGTATGCTTCGGGGAAGAGAAGGACGTGGACGCCGCGGGATGAGGCGTGGCGGGKTGTTCGCTCAAGGGCTGCGAGGGTGGAGCATGTTATGTCGAGGGTGCGGGATTGCGCGACGGCGACGGTGAGATTCTTCATTTTCTGCTCTTTATTCTCCACGAGGTCTTGATTGATCGTGTGTCTGGCGAAGAGGAGGCACGCTGAGTTTTCTCTTCATGAAAAGACAGGAGATGAGCTCATGACTCATGTGCGGAGTGCGGGGAACATTTCCGGTTGATTAGGGTTACCGGTAGGGCTGGGGGAAGAGCCTTGCCATTCTCTTCAACATGTTCAAAATCGGTAACAGCACTTTGATTTTGCTGATGAGCTATTCGAATAATCCATGAATGAAGACAATGGTCTTCATACTGCGAATCAGCTTTAGCTCGTTGTCTGGTGTGGCTATAATCTTGATGTCCGTCTGGTGAAAGTTGTGACGGCTTGGTTATCGTAGCCCTAAATCAGATAGTTTTGTATGTGTGCAGTTTGGTCCAGCACAGTTAGTCTACCGTGAGTGCTGACATCAGTTCTGTCTGTTGCATAGTTCCAGATTCGTTGCCAGAGTAGATCTGAGTCCAACATATAATATGGCATTGAGGGCAATTTCACAGCACTGGAGTTGGCTAGTTGAAGTTTAAAGAGGTGACGAATCTGCGATGACTATCTTATTGTGCTCATCCACATATACTATGTACAATATCCGTCGATGTCCAGCTTCTTTGCTCCTGTGGATATATGGGGGTCAAAATTAGCGTGTTACAGCCAGGGTTGCTCGAGATACAATCAAGGAGATATTGAATACCAATTTCACTTGGAGGGCCATGAAACTATGAGATCTTGGCGGCTAAAGAAGCCCCTCAAGCTTTCACGAGGGATCAATTCCATGTGCAGTAGAGGCTGCGCACTGCAATTGAAGACGATTACCAACTTCTAAACAGAGATCAAATCCTTCAAATCGAGAATCCAGCCACTGCGACCACGTGCGCCCCAAGGGGGGAGCCAGTCATCCTCGCAAGAGCCCCAGAGTAGCCATAGAGGAAACTACCAAGAAGGTGGCCACCCGACCACTACCGAAACCACACGATTATCCAGATTAACTAGGCCAGATCCTGGTTGCCCTGTGTCCCTTTGCAAATGCAGAGGCTTTCTGAAAGAACGTATGAATTTCACCATCGTTGGCAAAAAAATGATATAAATGGACAACAGCCAGTGACATAGAGTTGAATCATTCGGTCGAAAGGCCCCAGTCCTGCTTTATCTTTTGAAGCCAATCCTCCACCGCCATGACTTCCTGCCCGACCATGACATTGCCTTTTCCGATATTTTTCAGTTTATCCTCATCATATTTGGGGACATGGAGCATTTCGTGGTTCTTGCTGCACACCTGAAGACCCAAGGTTCCCTCTTGTAGCTTTCTCAAGCAACTTTCGTCGAATTGCACGTCCGCACATACTCGGCAGACATACATATCGTTTGCGTATGTCCAAATAGTTCCACATTTTCCATCGCATGAGAATTTCAAAGGACCTTCCAATTCTTTGGTTGCCTTGTTAGTTGACTCCAGTCGATTGGTCTCTTTTGTAGCGTGCGTATCCTCATCTTCTTGGTTGGGTATAATGAGGGACCATGCCGCCAGAGAGTTATCATCCTGACCAGCAAACATGAAGTGCGCTGCCAGGCGCATAAATCCCTGCCAATCATTGCTGGGATCGTCATCTGACAAAAGATCTATATTGAGTTTAACAAAGGCCCTGATCACGTTCTTTGCTTTCTCCGTGTTTCCACAAAGTCCATAGTACCGGGCCAGTAACTGCTGCGGATATTTCTCCTTCGTCTGGTCCGTTGGATTTCCGTCCGATTCCAAAGTAGCAAGATGCTCGAGATCATCGATGTATTTGGCTGCTAGTTGGGTACCATGTCCCGCCTGGAGAGCCTTTTCGAAATAGTGGCTGGAGAGTTCCCGGGTGGCAAACAGCTTTGCACGTCCTATGTACGAGTTTCTTTCGGTTTCGTCTAAATGGATAATCCGCACCCACATGGACAATGCCATCTCGTTTTCCTCGGCGCATGTGGAGTGGTTGTAGAAGAACTTGGCACAGTAGTGCATCAGCATGGCCATGATTTCTTCTCTGTAGGTTTCTTCCTCTCGGCCTAGCTGGTCCTGTAATTTTTTTTCTGCMGCGTCGACAGCCATACGATAGCTACCCTTCAGATTCGTGATATCGTTGCCGTTCAAACTGTTTCCGGCAGCGGCGATGGTGCCATGAAAATCGCTATTCCAGAAATACGCGTGGAACATTTGCGTTCGCCGATCGAGACCGGTAATCTCGTCTGTAGAATCTTTCAAGCCTTCGAGGAATTCAACCAGCTGTTTATAGTTCCCTTTACCATGCAGAAGTAAGGTCATAGCATAGGCGGTATCATAGTCATCAGGATGTTCCTGTAAAATGGACTCATAAATGTCCCAGGCCTTCTCTGCATTCCCAACTTTTTCGTTCACCTCGGCCAAATGTTGGGTGATTGGATGCAAATAGTACTTAGGATCAGAGGGTTTAGACTTTCCACATTCGATAGACGCTTTAAGTGCTTCTAGAGTCTCAAGTGCCAGCGCATATTGTCCTTGGTAATCGTAAGCCCGCGCGAGACCCATTCTGGCCCCCCAATTATCTTCTTGAAGCGACGATGCCCGCTTGAATGTTTCGACCGCATCATCCAACTTCCCAAACTCTCTCAAAGTTTTGGCCACGTTTCGTGTTTCCTCATATCCAAGACTGTCTAATCCAAGGCGTTGTCGACCCCAATCGGCTATCTCATAGATCCGAGACGCCGTAATCTTCTTTGATTCCAGATCCTTGGTCTCGCGCTCCACGTTGGGATCTTTGCGATTTGCAATCTACCAAAAGAGATTAATATCCAAACAAAGTAAATACACGAAGGACAGTCAGCCGGACTTACCTTGTTCAAATATGCATTTAGCCAATAAAACAACTCCGTATAATCCCAATCMCCCGCCTGTAGCCATTTATGCGCCATGAACTTGGCGATATGCTCCAGGAGATCTGCATCAGGCTGCGACTTCGAACTAAGACTCTTGACCCATGCCCTGTCCTTTTCCGGGAGCTTCTTAGTGACAGAGGAGTCCTGTAGCCACTTCAACACCACATCAACGCAGTCATCCTCGTATATCCAGGAACGCCGCATCGACAGGCGGCTCTCCGTCCACCGGAGTCTGAATATATTCTCGTCTGTAAACATTTTCACCAATTGTGGACCGACGATGGCCTTGATTTGTGGCTGTATCAATGACAGATCAATGAGGCGAAGATGGTCTTCAAAGTAAAATGTCGCGTAGTCTACCAGCGGAGAAGATTCATCGGTTTTCTCTGAAACGGCTCTGAGACAGGCCATTATAATTCGCATGTGGGCTGTGTCTGTATCAACGCCGAGCCGAGCAGTCTTTTTGGTCAATTTTCGCTCAAAGAAGGCTTCAAACTCGAATTTCTTGAACAATTTAGGCTCGCAGACCAATTCGAGGAATCGTCGGACAATTTTGACCTCCGACTCGAGGACATCCCCGGTGGTGTTCCATTCAAGCTGACCGTCGTCTGCCTCGGTCTCCTCGGTAGCGGCCTTTAGTCGGAAGTATTCCTCTATCGAGTTTGACACTAGAGACACAGTCGCTGTGGGGGGTACGCTCTTTGTTTTCAGGTCTATTTCTCCCTCTATACGTAATAGGGCAGAGAACCGACCGTTGATCTCGTCCACCAACGGGCGAAGTGATGGCTCGCCATTCTTCACATAGAGAACGGCTTCCAATTCGTACAGCCGCAGCGGGCATCGTGCGTTCATAACCCAGAGTAGGAGCTCATTGAGATCCGAAATATTGTCTTCACCCAGAGTCTGATTCAATCTCTCGATCTCGCGGGCAATCGTGTTCGAACGTTTCTCGCCTGACCGAGAAATTACGTCTCGGATTTCTCCGGGACGTTGCTTCTCGCCTATTTCATTCAGTAGAAGACCTATGTTGACGAAGTCGCCATGCGCCTCTTTCAATAAACCTTCGAGAATTTCCTTCTTCAGGGCTTCGACCAGGCTCGAGCCGCTGCTGAGGATATCTATGCTTCCGAGGCGGTCGTTGATGAATAATTCGATATCGTCCTTATTTTTCGAAGAGACGTTAATGGTAGAGATGCCTTCGTTCAATCTGTTTGTGATCTGCTCGACGGTTTCGTCTCGCGCAGAGAAGAGGATGCGAAGGCGGAATCGGCCCATGGTGTCTGATATCTTCTGGAGGTCGGCTAGAACATTCAGGAGCTGTTTGAGGTCTTCCAGTACAATCCGTTCGGCGCCATCCAAAAGTATGTAGAAAGTCGAGTCCCCTCTGTAAGACTTGCCGAAGAGAGCATTCCATAATTGGGTTACTTGGTTGGCTTCCAGCGACTTCGCGGAAGAGGCAAGTTCTTTCCGATAGACCGGGTCATGGCTAGCCAGTTGATAAGCCACAGTCTTCAATACCTTGACTAGAGATGGGGTGTCGTTCGGCGTGAACTGACCGGCTCCTCGACTGGGACTTCCCTGCTCGAAAAAGTAATAGGCGATTGATTTTCGACTCAAGTTGTCCGTCGCATTTGAAATCCTCTCCTGCAGATCCCGAATGACTTCAGTGAAAAGGTAGGATTTACCGCATCCTTCGCTTCCGGATATGCAGAGCACATCTAACGGAGAATCTTCCTCACAGCTCGCCCATTCCGTATACGCCAAATCGTTGCGGAGCCATTGTCCGCTTCCATCGACCTTCCTGCTGCGGAGATCTCTGTACTTCCCTCGCATCTTGGCAAAGCTTTCACTGGGATTGTCAAGATAGGTGTCCACGTCCTGAAGCTGTTTATTCCCCGTAATCCCGTCCTCGGTTTTTTGCTGAAGCTCTAGTAATTTGTCGACGCCCACATTTATCTTCTTTGTCCCATCTCTTGTCTCTATGATGTTCTTCTCACTGTTCTTCTGCGATTCAAACCCCAGAGTCCCTCGCATTTGCGACTCCCGCTCGACGAGCTCCGCCAGCCGATTCAACTGCCCAGTGACCCCTTCATCACTGTTGAAGGCAAAAACCTTGAGTGCAATCAAAATTTTATGTCCTTTTAAAACTTTCATCGAAAGCGCACAGACTTCTACAAAACACACTAGCTCATCATTGATTATCCGTCGTAAAGATCTATCCACATCCTCAGGTGGCATGCGAAGATAGATCTTGCATCGTTCCAAAACATCTGATATGCGTTTAAACAGCTCGGCAAGACTGCTGAAAATTCCCTTGAATTTTGCCCCAGTTTGGATGAGATATGACACAGCATTGAAACAAAGAGCGCTTGGGCCAAATACCTAATATGATCAGACAGACCTCTGTGGTGCGAGTGAGTGAGATACGAACCATACTTGCTCCCTGGGCCGCAATTCCACCAAGAACTTCGATACAGCTCAAAGTCTTGCTGATGACATCCTTTGCGACTTTATATTTGGCATTTCGCTGCTCATCATCATCTTGCTTTTGTCGGATTTGATCAAGGACTTGATCGATGGTGTATTTCGGGGTTGCTGTGAGATCCACCGAGGTTGTTTTGGCGAAGGACCGACACACCGTGTCCCACGCCGCCTGGAGATTGTAGTCGTCGCTTCCTGTGAGATCCGCCATTGAGTTCTGAAAATCGTTGTGTCCCCTGAATGTGGGGATAACATTCTTCTAGAGCTCTTGTGGGGAGATCATCGTTCATATCATGAGGGGAAAATGTCAGCGCGTGCGGCTGAAGACAAAGGAGGCGGCTGATAAGCTTTGATCCCGCCCTTCATGCAGGAGTGGAGGACCGTGCGGATTTCATTGACTCCATTGGCACAGCTTGGTTGCGCTCCGATTTCAGCTGGTGGAAATATGTACTGCTTTCTCGCATATGACATGCGATCCGCCAAAAAACCCCCGAGAATACACCAATCAATATGAGACATGAGATCTGTTGCTCATGAGCCATGATCTGAGAGGTCAGATATTGCTCAAAATTGCTTCGTGTGGCTCCTGGTGGTGTTTACCGTACGCTCTAGAATCACCTATCAATGGTACATGCTGAAATGAACTTGCTTTTCCGCCATGTCTAGTTTTTCGTACTGCAATCTATGAACGCGCCATAGACTTTTACATGAGCAAAGCTGTCCATCAGTGTAAGCATTGGCTCGCCTCACTGACACGAGATTATTGTATACCTTTCATTCTGTGCAATCATGGCCAGAAATTTTGTCTTGTGTTCGGAGGAGAATATGAACTTGTGGACGAACAAGTTGCGAATAATGGCAAATGCTGTTGCTCGACTTGTAGACAGTCCGTAAAGTCGACAAATCCTCGCTCAACGAGTATTCTCCTCTACGTATGTGTCGTGGGTTTATTCTTGGCTACCGTGCTGCAGCCACTGGGCGCGGTCAGTTATATACTAGAACGTCTCATAACTGAAACATGATATGATGGGGCTGTCAGAGACAACAGGCAAGTGCCAAAGAATCTGAAAACTCCAATACGTCAATTTGCAAATTTGATACATTGAGGATTATTTGTGACGAGATTTCCCAGCGACACCAGTTCAGAAGCAATCGAACACATAGGGACTATCAAGGTAATCATGGAAATACGAAAGCATGCCGAGTCTTATCCCTCCATCACGACTTCCTCGCGAGCGAGATTCAAGAGATTATCCATAGCACTTCTGACAGGTTCCATATTTTCTCTAGCCCGAGTAAGTTCTGTTGTAAGGTGTGCTCGATATTCAGGATTTCTTTCACTCTCTAGGACCACATTTTCACTTCTCAAAGTGTCCAGATCGGCTGCGATAAATGAGAGCTGGTGGGTCACTGCATCTTTTAATTCCTGTTGCAGTGTTTCAGAGATGGCGAGGAACTTCTCTTTAAAGAGTCGACGATGGTCAACGAATAAGCTCGACGAGCTGAAGCCGGACTCTATGATATTTTTCTTACGGCGGTCGCTACCTGTACCTACAAAATTGTGAGAACGGAGTTTCATTATGTAAAAGGGCGGGTTCGAAAGATACCGTTTTCCTTGTTGGCAGCGTCGTAAATACCTTCCATACGCTGGCCGACAATTGATGTGCGGATAGGTGAGAAGGCATCAGTCTGGACACTGGACAACTTGATTTGAAAATCTTCGATGACTGTTTCGACGCTACCTAATAGCAACGTCTCGCGATGATGTAGTGTCGCGATGAGAGGGTTAAGTCGATCTTGCAGACAGCGATCTGAATTCGCTATGCTAGGCGTTAATATCTTCAATATAGAGAAGAGACCGCGCTCAACTTACCTATACCGCCTGTGGCCCTAATACCATTTCGGAATACCTCCTCTATTGACATCGAAATTTGATTGAGGAAGGTATCAATATCTGTATCAAACGTCTCCCATAGTCCGAGCATGTCACTTCTCATTGAACGAATGGCCTCTTCGTTCCAGCATCGATGCCCTACTTTACCCGTTGTATGGTCACCATACTTCCGGCAAAAAGCTGCGTATGAGGAGTGATGAAACTGAAAATTCGTGAGTATCTAGCAAGCCATTGAGCGCAAGGAAAAAATACCGAGTCCCAGAGCATACTTGCTTGGCCCGCGCTGGCACTCCATTGCTGTGCTCGTTGTCCTAAAACTTAACAAAAATCCCATAAATATGTAGAAATGGAATGAAACTTACTCATGTACCCCCTCAACTGCTCGTCAAATTTGGAAATTAAGATTCGTGAGACATTATTGATTTGAGACACTGGAGAAGTCAACTATTGGACAATCAGCGAACTATTTCCAGGATTTCACAAAAGTACTCACTCCGTCTAATTCTCGCTGAATGACAGACACCATATCTAAGATTTGCTCTTTCCTCTCTGCATTCACGTCCCCAGATCCTGCCTGAATCCACAATTCAATCGAACCTAAGAGTGCAGGAATCTCATCCTTGATGTACTCGGTTGTTGCTCGAAGATGACTTTCGGCAACGATGCCGATGCAATAACGCCGCAATTCAATGATCCCGCTGAGGGTGAGAAATGGAAGAGCTTTCTGAGCGGGCTTGTCGCGCTCCTTTGAATACATGGTATTACTAATGCAGAAGGTTTGAAGGTGGTCCCCTCCTGGATAGCTTCTGTATATATTCTTCAATTGACTAGACACTTTGCGATTTCGAAAGGTGATGATGTGGTGGCTCAACCTATGCAAGTTAGTCTCTATAAAGGAAATCTCTCATGGTGAAATAATCTCACTCAAATTCAAATTTCTCCAGCAGTTTTCTACAGACATAGTAAGCTTTTGACGCCAAACGAATTCAGTTATTCAACCACCTACTTTGCTCTATCGCGGTGCTGCTGAATTTCCAACAATTCCTGCGCGTCCTCAGTCGAGATAAGAAACTCTTCGGTAAACTCGCGTATATCTTCGTCAAGAGCTGCAATCACATGCCTCTGATCGACGATGTCTTTCTCTAGTTTAGTGATTCTAGTCCGTTCAGAAGGCCAGTCCTCCCTTGCCTCGTTGGGCCTAATGTCCTTTTGAGGTGTAAGTAGCACGGAACAGCTCATTTCTTTTAGGTCACTTACGTCTGACTGTGTACAAATGACTCCAACATTTGACATTGCAGCTCGGCGTGCGAGTTCAAACACTTCCTTTACCCCTGTATCTGTCGTCGCTCTACCGATCCTGGCAACTGCAAATATCTGGTGGCATTGTCTGACATATCGTTCCGTAACGTTCTGTCGTGCAGAGTTGAGGTCCCGAAGTCCTACATTAGTCAGTGTTAGATTTCTTGAATCTTAGATCATATTACTTACCTGGAAGGTCTGCTAATATAAGCCCCCTGCTTAATATATATGCCTTCATGTACACCCTGCTCCGCTTACGTATTAGCCGCGTGGTCCGAACAATTAACTGGGAAGGATCGCACTAAACGAACTTTAATTTACGAATGAAAGGCCAAAGGCATGCTTGATCTCTTTCTTCCATCTCGGATGTCAGGCTTTTCAGTCGATTGGAACATTGATTAATGTCCTCGAACGACTCTCGTGATAGAATGACTGATTCTCCCGTGCCTAGCTCTGGGAGAACCTGCAAAACCCAAGTCATCATTGTGTCAATGGCTTCATCAAAAACCATAACGTCAAGCACCGCAGTATTATTATCCAATCTTTCCCTGAAGCTCGCCCTGAAAGTACTTGTTGCAAGATCTGCTTTTCGCTTCAGGTTCTCGCGGTCCTCGGCTGCCATCGCTGCCAGGGCTGACGCAGTAGTCGACTCGTAGTCTCGCAACGAGCTTAGAAGCTGCTCAAATTGAGTTCGAAGCTCTTGCAAAGAAAAATAGTCAACTTCAATAGAGTAGTCATTTCTGTCATGAAAATGATACTCCGTAACAACACAAGTACAAGCAGCACCGCTATTGCTCTGTTCAGCATCGATATCAGTTTGTGGCCACCAATGACAACTCCGAGGAACTCACAGCTCGTGCAAAATCCATTTTATCTAGTAATGAGTTGATAAGGCTGCTTTTTCCTACACCAGAATCCCCGACGAGTCCAACTATGCGGCAAGAGGACGGTTCAAATCTACTCAATTTGGCTGCTTGTTGGTATATGGCCTGAACGCTTGAACCTTGCTCTTGATGCATATTTGATCTCGATAAAGCTCGAGCAACTCTTCCAGTAATGTTTCTTGCACTATTCAACGCTTCCTGGACTTGCCTTTCGTAAAATAGTGACTCCGGGGGCTCCTCATCTTCTACTCTGTGAGCGGATCGATGAATAGCAGAGCTGGATCGACGACGTCGGGAGGGAGAGGGAGATGAGTGACCTATATTAGGTCTTTCAGATCCTGAGGCTGGACCCAATAGTTTATCAGGTTCTGGGGATTGAGTGGGTTCATGGCTGGAACCAACTTCGAGGGCGCCAATGCGATCAGCTAGACCTTCTATTCCTCTGCTAACCGTAGAATGTCGTGAATTCGCGATCGGTGGCGTTGGAGTAACACGGATAGACGGGGTGGGTGAAGTAGTTGACACTTCTCTTTCAGGTGTGAAACTTCTAGGACTCGAGATTGATCTTTGCGGTGTTACTGAGCCTAGTCGCAAATCGTGGAATCGACGATCCAAGCTCTGATGCTCAGAGCCATGACGCAACGTTGCTCCATCAGACGACACGGAGGGTGTATAGATTGGTGAACCTGGAGTGCTCCCTCTGGCTACGGATGTTGAAGGAGTGGCTCTTTCTATGGAAGGCAGAGGATAGTCGGGATCTAGATTTGGCGACGTAGGCGATGGAGTATGCGGAACAGTAGCCAAGTTTCTAGTAGGAGATGAGATGGTAGACGTATCCGACATTGCTGATGCTGACAACGTGCTACTTCCTTCAGAAGGCAGCTCCATATGCTGTCTTGCGTGTCAGTTAATACAGAAAGCCAGCAAATATTCAACAAACGTACGCGTTTAACCATATCCAAAGCGATTTATTGAAATATAGCCCAGATCCGAATGGATTGTGTATTGTAGCTGTTTGTAAAGAAATGACCGATCGAAATAGACACAAGAGAAACCATACACAGGACAAGCAGTGAAGATATAGGAGGGGAAGTATCGGCCATTTTGTTAGCCACGAGCCGGAAGGAAGACTAAAATGCGGCGCAGCTACTGGAATAATACATACCGTCCAATGAGTGTAAAGAAAAAAGTAATGAAGTGGATGATACGCTAACATGTCCGCTTGTCATCTACCAGGTCAACCCCTCCTTAATGTGCTCCTCGCAGCTTTTCCGATGTCATGCGATCCGCCAAATATGCCCAGAAACACCAAGTAATATGAAATATGTGATCTTTAGTTCATGAGCTATGATCTGTGACGTCTGATGATTTTAGATTAGATAGAATTGAATGGTATACTAAAATGTCGAAACCAAGACTGCCTCGTGGGACTCCTGGTGGTGTTTACCGCCCACCCTCGAAATCGCTTATCCATTGAATGGTACACACCATTAGCTCTCACTTAGCTACTAACCGAATCTTTGAACACCTGCTTTAGAGGGTTTCGAGTTGGATATTGGCCACAATAAACCTCACAAATAGTAGCCGCTCGACAGTCCCATTGCATTCATCCATGGAAATTATGCCGAGGGGTAAGGTTACAATTTTCCCTCCCAGCAAGTCTAGAAGCAACGACTAGTGTGTCTTGCGACAGATTTCGTGAGAGAAACAAGCTGATAGGTGTACATTCGAGTTCATCGTCTTGCGCTATCTGCGGGCCGCGCCGGTGTTACAGATCTATCAGCAACCATGGACGAACCATGGACGGGCTGAGATGTGGCATATATTTAGCCCATAGGTTTTCGGGGAAATTAGGAATTAATGCCGCAGATTTAATGCGAATTATTGTACTATCTGATGAATAAGGCTGCCACAGACCACACTATTTTCTAAAGTGTTCTGTGTATCAGCCTCGGCTGTCCTTTAGTCATTCAAAGACGCTAAGTCAAAAGGCTTCAATTTATCATGCCATTTCAGTCACGAAATTAAAAAGGAACGAATCTTACTACCAAGCTCGCAACCACACGCTGCAGGTTCACCTTGCAGGGCAGTTGGACTGCCTTTCCTACCATCTACGCTCCGTGATACGGCCTGCAGTCAAACCAACACCTGGAAAGATACATCACGAAGTCGTTGTGACGTATGGATCATTTGAATACTTCTCAACTAATAACTTGGTCTATTTATTTAAAAATTGTCTAGATGCAACTTTCACACTAGTAGTCAGTGGCGACACTGAAGTACACTATACTCAAAGCATAGTGTGGTTTTCGGGTGTCGGATATGATGATTGCATATGCCTTATTTAAATTAAAATAGCCTAGAGGAATTTTTTCTTTTGGAAATTTCTCAGTGTTAGGACATAATTTTTCTAAAGCTGTAATTGTGCATTTTGTGCAAAATCAAGTAAAACGTTAGTCTTGACTTAGTTGATAAAGCAGTAACCTAAAGTCCGAGCTAATATCACTCGCTATCTTGAGAACAAACCTAATTTTAACCGCAGCTTATTCACCTTAAACAAGAAAGTTCCTGATGTGTTAGTGAGACCCATGGGTTGATCTCGTCCAGGTGTCGAGAAGATCATCACTCAGGATAGGGCTCAAAGCCCTAGACGGTGTCGTATACGAAAATAGTCTCAAGCGGTGCCTTAATGGAAGGGGTCTTACACAAAAACATATAAATATCCTACGCCGGGGAGGGCTACATAGGCATTCTCCTCTTCCCTTCCTTTTCCCATGCTTGATATTCCTTGCAAACGGGCGCTCGCAGTATCGCTTAAATCCTTAGAAAGATTCATTTTAAGTGAGCTCCCGACCTTCTGAATGTTATCATAAGGCCCTCCCGCCTAATAAACTGGCTCTTAGCTCGGTCGATCTGTATCCCAGGTCCGCTATGATACTAGCACTTCATCTCCCATGGCAAAATTTACTTCTTGACAGTGCTTGTCCGCTTGGGCTTTCCGGCATAAAACTAGAAATCTGATAGAATGTTTCGAGCAAACTACTATATCTTCTGTATACGGCTAGCCCACACGTATTCCTTGCTGATTGATAAGCCAATTCGCGGGTAAGAGACCGTGCGCTTCCCTAGCAGATGTCAAACGATATCTGCCAACTTCCAACACGTGATAATATCCTCCACACTGCTTCTACAGACTACCCTGATATTGTACAATCATTAATACCGGAGAAATAAGCAAATGTTGTCTTTCAAGACTGATGAATATCCTTAGATTCATATATATATACGCAGATAGATGTATAATCAAATGCTTTGCTTACGAACATAACAATCCGGAGATTGACATAACTGTCGTGGCTACCTGGTGGAAAGGCTATATTCAAGCGTCATTCATGTTTTATGTCTCCCCCCGGTACATCCATTTCCCACAGGGTGAGACCAGTTAAGATCGCTCTCACAAACCGCAGAGCCATCTGTCTCTTTCTTAAATACCTTACACTTAAAGACGATTCCCACAGAAAGATCAATTGTTACGCTCCACGCTAGATTTGCGGTGTACTGGCTCGAAGAAAGAGGKATCGCATTCGCTGTGTCACAATTCTCAAGCTAAGAAATGGTTCCCATAATGATGACATTCTCTTCATACGACGTCGTCACTCGTTCATTGAAGGTAATTGGAAGTGATGCGTTCAAGATTGTCCGGTTCCACGGCGTCAGAATCGACCAATCTGCTCAATACAACTCTACTTAACACGTCCTTGCCATCGCCATATTGCAAAACAAGACCGGGCAGGGGGTGCAGCATGATGATTGAGTGTTGGAAAAGTAGACGAGAAGAGAGCCCTCGCCTATTATAAGCGCTCAAGCTAGTCCTAATACGGCCCTGCCGTCCCAAACGGGTAATCGCATGTTACTAGGGGATTCCGTGAGGCTATTCCTGATGTTTCTCTCCAGCTTTAGCCTTTATCATCTTCACTACTAGTGGAAAGATTGATATTACCTAGGTAGTCTGTATTAAATGCCGTGGTAAATGTATGCACGTGATAATCCTATAGATCAGGAGGCAGCAAGAGCCTCTGTTGAAGCTCTAAGTGTGATACCATGTTTGGGAGCCCCGGCCGTTTCGAAAGTCATGAGATGATATTAACGAATAGACGGTTGTTAGATGATCTTCAGTATATTCAAGCTAAAGATGGAATGGTAACCCTACATTTCTATACAGTAGGAAAGTTTTAACATAATTTAACTGTACTATAGTATAGCAGCTGAGATAAGATGCTTAGTGGGGCGGTATTGATGGGACCTTACATGCATTAGTGAGGCACAGACTGGCTCTTGGCAGGGCCATGTCGATCTGCATAGTTATCCAAGATCGGTAAATGGCCTTGACGAACACAGGGGACAGAAGACCTGGCACAAGCGAGGGCCATACAATATTGAAGCTCTGCTGAACATCTACCTAGTAAACATTTGAAGAGAGCGCCATTGGTCGGAAGACACATTTCCATTTCCGGCTTAGTCGTTCCGAGCTGCCGGATTTGACGTCAGTTTTTTTTTCTCCCACACTAAAATAATCTATGATATGACAATATTGATAGTGTAGTAGCTGTACTAGCCATGCAAACACATTTTCTTTTTGAGTAGAGGACAAGAGCTAAGAAAAGTAATAGACAGTGTCTCAAGATCGATCGATCACATTCCCGAGCATTGCTGAACCCGAAACGGATGTGACAGGTCAGCCACGCGTCGGTATGCTGTCGCTGCTTCGGGGACGGAGTACAATCAGCTTGAATACTCCGGACAGAGCCGTGAAATGATTGGCAAGTACAAACAATGACGAGGGCGTGAATAGCAGCTTCTGGAGGAAAAAGGGACAAAAGGAAAAGAGGGGCGAAAACAGCAAGAAAACGCAATGAAAAAAGGGCCGATGAATCTGGGGAAGGAGCTGGCCGGAAACATCGAGGGACAAGAAACGGAACTCAATCAGCCATCAATCAATAAACTTCCCTTGTAATTCTCTACTGTACATTTCTCAGTCAAAACAATTTATTGCTCTTCTAGGGTATTATTGTATTTGTGTGTGGGAGCAGATCGCTGCGAACGTCAGGATCCACTCTTTATCCCTTGTCATTGGCAGAGAGCAAGGTGTCTTAGCTAATAGTCCACTGTTCCAGCCACTTTGCTTTTGCCCACCACAGCTCTCTCCGTAATTTGTTTCACTTGCAAGCTACATCTCTTTCCTACACCAACGATACCCGGAAATACTACCAATTGCGTCGCAATCACGTTTACGACTCAAAAAGAACTCACGTACGACCTCGATTGACCACCATGCCGAAGAAGGGAGGAAAGAAGAACAACAAGAAGAAGGGAGCTGGCGGAGGCGGAGCTAAAGTCCCGGATGTGAAGAACGTCATGTGAGTTGGAGACTTCTTGGAATCAACAACAAATTACCACTAGTGCATCTCTGACAAGTCGATAGAAGCCCCGGTCACAAAGAAGAGGATAAGCTCCTGTACGGCGAGGGAACCGCTGCAGAGACGACAACAGAGACTGGACAAGCAACAGCAAGCGGATCGGCTGCCGCCGAAGATGCTGCCCCAGTTGCGACAGCCCTGGAGACACAAGAGGCTTCGGCGCAAGATATAACTAAGACGGAGCCGACTGCTGCAGTACCGGAGAAGGAGGTAGCGCTACCAGTGCGCGAGAAAGGTATGCATTTATCTGCCTATCCGCATTTCGACCTTTCTAATGGAATTGACGCAGACATCGTTTCGACCGAGGCGACTAATGAGCAACGAGGCGAGCGAACAGAGGCATTGGCCGCTGCTGCACCAATCGGGCCCACCGAGGCTGCTCCAAAGGAAGCTCCAAAGGAGACCACGATCGCCGAACCTGAACTCGAACATCCAGCTACTTCTCGTTCTACAGAGCGCGCGGATCTGGTGGCGGCTACACAAGGCAAAGCAGAGCCAGCCGCTTCTACGACAACTGATGTCTCAGAAGCTATACCGGAGGTGACTAAGAAGGAGCAGGTTCCTATAGAGAAAACCGCCGGTCTTGTCACAGCTGGAGGAGCTGCAGCAGTTGGCGCGACAGCATTAGCAGGAGTAAAGGCTGAAGAGGGTCGAACACAGCCAGGTATGTATCTCGTATATTGCCATGGAGCGTAACTGACTTGGTACAGCTCCATCTGCGGTGGACAAAGCGGAGACGGCAAACAAGACACCCGCTCCGCTTGCTGAAGAAAAAACACAAGGCACCGAGGTTGCTACAGCTGCTCCTCTTGTTGCACCACACATCAAGCGGGCTCACGAGGTACCAGCATTTGTTACTGAAGAGCGAGATCAACCATCAAAGAAGCCGCGTGTCGATGAGCCTGTGGAAGCTCAGCAAAAACTGGCCATTCCCGGACGTTTCCCATCACCATCAGTAGCTGGGTCAACAGCATCTGGAACAGACAGCGCCATTGCTTCAGAGGCACAGAATATCAGCAAAGGGGAGACAGTCGCAGGGAAGCCCGAGACGGCCGGCATTGTAACAGCTGCTCCAAGCACTCAACCAGCCTTCAGAAAGGGACCAACAGAGGCGACCGCTGTTGCACCAGCAGCTGTACCCGTCACTACCAAAGACACCAAGACAGAGCAAATCAGCACAGCCGATACCGGCGCCAGCGCTGGCACTGCAGTTTCTGCTGCATCGCCGGCTGGAGAAATCTCGGCACAGAGAGAACCTGCCTTACCCGCCACTCCTCAGAAAGTCGATACAACAGCGAAGCCGACTAGTCCTGCGGCGGCGGCAGCAGCAGCAGCTTTCCGCGCACAGCCAACACCAGAACAACAACAAAAACAGCAGGAAGCTGCTGCTACCAGGACCGCCGAAGAAGTGACTCATTCCAAGCAAGCGCAACAAGCACCAGCTCAAAAGGAAGCCAAAAAGGGAGGATTCATGGCTTGGATCAAGCGCAAGTTTAAAGGAGAAAAGCCAACCACTGCTACTACAAACGGCAACGGCCATTGATTAGTCGATTAGTGGGGCTATTTTAATGATATTTGGTCTAACTGTATTTTGTTGTACATGAGTACTCCTCGTGCGCGAGTTGAGTGGTTTCGGTTCTTGGGGCGTTCCGTTGGATGGGTGGATTGTATGATAGGGTACGATATATCGTGAACTCCGCACAGGCTCCGTACAGAGGGGAACTGATATCTATGTTAAGCTTCTTTGTTTGAAATAGTTATGCAAAGATAGAAAAAACAATCACATAATAAGGATAATTAATCAGTCGTAGTTGGACGTCTTTCGGAGACCGTAACTGATAATGCTTGAGCTGGCACCGTCGAGGAATAGGATAGTGGTCCGTGTCGGCCATGGTGATTTAAAAAAGAAGGGAATAAGGACGACTTGAGCATAAAATTCTCAACCCACTGAGACCAGAAACGGCTGAGACCGCAGATTGCAAGAATATCTAGTACTAGGAAATATTCTCAGTGAGTCCCTTCATAATATAATATTAAATTGAAACATCTGATGCGACTCCTCAAAGTATACGCCAATTTGTACGCCAGTCGACTACAATCAAGAAACGTATAAGTGAGCGTATAGGAAGTCCAAATCAAGTGATTGATTGAGAAGTTATGCGGATATTAAAGGCCTATAAAACAACAATGAATGAACTTTTATGTGTACTCATATGGAAAGAAAACCGTGAGTTACGTACTGCGCATGGAAAAGAGAAGCAAAAACACCAAGAATCTAAGAAAGAGATATCTATTGAGTATATATTTACTAGCGAAGAAGCTCAAGCTTTTATATAAGATTAGATAGAGGCATCTCAAACTGTTACTACTGCTCTGGGTGAACCAGAGCTCCTAGACTCTTAGCTAGTCGTATGCCGCAAATTTCGCTGCAGTGGTTGTAACGTTATAGGGTATAGAATAAATCAATGTCTTAGTCGTACTAGTAGTCATTTTTAATATATATTTTTGTATGTGGTTTTGAAATTAGGATTTGAAATTAATATAGAACGTATTTCCGGAGAGATGTGGCTAGGCCGCTTACCCACATGTATTTTGTTGGCCGATTAACCTCACACAATATACCATTGTACATTGGAAAGATTTACATCTACACTAGCAATATGTCTTCCCGCCTAATAAACTGAGGCAACAAAACACTTGTATCCCACTCATGCACAAACTGCCACTCCCACTCTTCGAAATCATTCGAACCAGCGATCACCATCAGTGGACCTTTGACTCCTTCCCCTTGATACTGATACGGTCTCGGTCCTCCGTCTGAGCCCTTACCAGTCATCACAGGGAACAAAAGTGCCACATATTGAAAGCCCTTTTTGAATATGGGCGAAACCAGTGAACCGAGTTTGTATATACTCTTCCTATCCATTCGATCGAGTCCACCTTCATTATAGACAAAATAATGAACTTGCAGCGCGCTCAATTTCTCTTGATCGAGGAAGGCGAACCCGCCCAAACGGGTTGGGAGAAGGGATCGATTACGATAGATTCGACATACGAGCCATTCTGCTTTGAGGCCCCTTTCGGTTATCGTACCTATTGAACTACCTTCTCCATTGTAGGCGGGCCATAATTTTTTCTTTTCGCCTTTGCTTGTTATATTACTGGAGAACCAGTGAGTGTCGGCTGTCGGGGGTAAGAGATTAGGCCGTGAAGGTGCCCAACTAAATCCATGCTCGCCCTCGAGCCGTGGAGAGCTGGAGAGGAGGAATCCCGTTGCTAGCGGCTGTCCGACTTGAGACTTCCAAAAGTCCACAGATGCCTTGATGAGTTTGGACCCGCAGACAAGACTCCATATCAGAGTCACGTCGCGGTCCTTGGTAGCGTGTCGGTGGTTCATGAGACAGGTTGCTTGCTCTAGTCCGACGGAAGGGACTTCGCCTTCGATGGGGCGATAGCCAACCTGTGGCATGTAGTGCTGTAGTGCTAAGCATGGCGATACCAGGGAGAGATTACTATACGCTAAGACGTCGTTGAAGACGTCTATAAGGGATATTATATGATTGTTCTTGCCAAGAATGTGCAAGTTCCGGCAGCCTCGCATTCCCTCTAGAAGTGTCCAGGCACGAACATTCCAGTCGCAAACAACGAGAGTCGCCAAGATAGCCTCCTTTGCTTCGAGAGAAGGTGGGTCAATATCAATCTCCATGAGGTCCCGATCAACTAGCAAGGTGACTTTGCTATTGATAAAGTTGTGATTAATATGGCCCATAGCCTCGTATCGCAGTTCCATTTCTGTCGGGATACAAGGAGAGTCCATCCAATATGAATTACAGCCCAACGACCGCGCCAATTTGGTGTATCTGCGATGAAGACAGAGGTTGAATCCAGTCTCGGGTCGTCCTCCCTGACCATGGCTCCAGACGTGAGAAACCGCTAGGGTTTCCGTGGTCACGGGACAGTAGCGAATATACTTGTCGTCAGTATCTTCCAGAGAGACTGCTCTGGCCCCCTTGGCGGATTTGTAGGATTCTTCATCCCAAGTTATGAGAGTGCAAGCGTCTAAGCCTGGGCACTGGACATCATGAGCAGACTGGATCTGGACCCCGTCGGATTCGAATCTTTGGCAGTTTCCAGGCGCTTTTCCATCACAGGCCCTCACTTTACCGCTACTATCAGCAGCAGCAGTGAGATTGCATCGTGGCTCACGGTCACCAAAGTGCACATTATAAACATCGAATAGTTTCCTGAAATCCTGCGTCACCGAACTCAAATCAGACCGGAGAAGCTCAAAGGCCCATTTGCACATATAATTCGGTCGTACTTTCTCGACAACTTCTCGTTTGGGGACTATCATAGGCTGGCGTTGACCCTGCAGACCTGAGAGGCGCCATTTCATGTGATATTTTGCGTCTCTCCATAGTTGAAGTAGCGTGGTTTGATACCAGGTTGCCCACGTAAATGCCTGCAAGACGAATAGAGCTCGTGCCTCGGCCAGAGATTTTGGGGATTGTTGCTGCCGCGTATGGAATAACTCGGTTATTGTGTCTAGAAGGGTGGTGATCGTGTCAAGATATTCGGCAAGGATCCCTACCGGAAGGCTGTCCTGCATTACTAGATATAAAGCTATTCGTATGACATTTGTGGTCGGTCTGGAAAGGACTTGGAGTTTTGACCATTCATATCCATCGTTTGTTGCAGAAGAAGAAACAAAATACTCCTCCGGCCACGGACTTTCTGGCTTCATGCTCGCTTGATACTCAAACTGTAGTTCCGGAGGATACGCAGGAAGACGAGCTAATAAGGCACACGCCATATCAATAATCTCATCCCTACTCCATTTGTGCTGGTGAACCCAAAAATTGCACACAACCAGCGGAGACAGCATATTATCCAGCCTTTCGACATGGGTATGCAGAGTGTTATTCTTGTTATGCTCAGGGCTCAGAATTACCAACGCGATTCGACACCATTGCTCAATTCGCTCTTTGGTTTCTCGACTATTTAGCCAGTAAAAGGTGCTTGCTTCGCGTTCCAAGGTGAATGATCGAATTTGTATTTCGCCTGGTTGTAGTTGTAGTCCGGGCTTGTCGTCACTTGGGGGTGTCCATGTATTCTGGTCGAGGATGGAAGCTACCTGGTCTCTGCTCAGGTTTGGGAAAGCCGATTGTGTCATTTTTTTGCCTCGCTGAAGTTGATCTTGCTGAATCATGTATTTTGCCTCAAGCTTGTTTCTTGGAGCCGTGGAAAGCACCTAGATAATATATGACATTCAAGCACAATATATAGAAGCGGTAGATAAACAATCCAACACTTAGTTAATTAGTTCACAATGTGTATGGCTAAGTACATTTAGGTCTCACTAATCTTCTAAGAGCTTAGTCCACCATGTGGACAATAATCATTGGTTCCTAACTTCGATGCGGCTGAATTTCGGACTGACTTACCACCTAACAATTTCTAGAACGGGAGAGATCTCGATCCAACATTTGAAACACTCCTGGTCTCCTGCTCGCCTCAGCTACGTATCTCAATCAATCATGGCCGGAAGCATAATTTAAATAGCGCACCGGTACGTGTATGGGGTTAATCATGGCTGGGGGAAAGAAAACAGAGTGCGGAAGAAAAAGTCCTAAATCACATTCTACCAAGCAGCAAATTATTAATGCGCACAAATAATACGCTATCAGCTAAGCAACATGACGAGCGCATTGGAATAACTTAGGTACCCCCTGGAAAAAGCCATGTACGTGTACATCCACTTGAACGCGCACGTTGACTTGATAAGTCAACCCACACATATGCCGAGTAATGTAATTTTTGCCCTTGAGTTACCCATACCATCTTTAATAACGATCGATAAGGAAATGAAATTTCTCAGCTAAACTTGAGAAAATACTGTTCATGCTGAGAAAGGCCAGCCTCATGTGGCCATAACAAGCGGTCTATTTGACCCTGATCGTTTTCTCGGAAGATCAACTTGAAATGATGGGCAACCAAGGGATAGGTAGTCATTCTACCTCGTTTGGCCTGCTCTTCACGACTCGCCAAACACTAGAACGTGTCTGATTCATAATGGTTCAAATCCCATGCTTGGCTGTCAAGACCTTTTAAAGCGACTTGGAGCTCACCGTTTTGCTTCTGTCGCACGTCGATAAACCAATCCCAAGTAGGATGCTTGTACCGACCTGTATACTGAATGAGGTTTCTATAGGATGTGTTTGAGCACTTCTGTTGTTCTAACACCCTTTGTAGTCTTAGAACGTTTCCGACATTAGATCTAGCCGCTTCGGTCGCAAGTTTGACAAAATCAGATGGGTTTGGCGTCTCAATCAAGGCTTCAAGCACAGCAAGGCTAACCCAGCCGGAGACATCTCCAAGCGCAATCGAGTTGGTACAAACTACAACGCTGCTATCCAACTCGGGTAGTAGGTCAAAGTTCTTCACACCGTTTTTGAGCAGAACACCAGTGATAGATTACTCCAGGAGCGCATCTAGTCTCTGTTCATCATGTGCTGGTGCATTTATCTGTTGCAACGGATGGAGGAAGCCCCGAACGGTTTGTGCGGCCTCGCTCCCCGTCAAGCGGCGCTGGACGAAGTCGGACCGGGCAACGTAGCCAGATAGTACAGGGAGTACAAACGCAACCCTTATGACGGGATCGGTACTCCTTTCAACGGACTCGGCAAGGAAGGAATTTGGGTCATATGGCTGGCGAAGGCTCTCTTTCCCATCCAAATAAGGCTGATTATCACTCAGCACCAGCGCATGAGGTTCCGAGTTGTTATTTGCGCGCTTCAGGGCCAAAGACAGAAATTTTCCAGTTTCTGGATATGAACCTCCGGGAAAGCCGTAGGATTGCATGGACCACTGGCACTGAAAAACTTCTGTATTCATTCGGTATAGGTATGAGCGACTTGTTTTTCGTGAGGTATGTAGAATTCTAAAGCTTACGGTTGAACCCATGCTGCCTCACCACAATTTCGCTTATTTCAAGTCGAATATCTGCCATGATTAATCTGGGTATTTCTTCTCTCTATCTTCTTTTCTAGTATCTACTTTTAATAGAATATTTGACAAGCCAAGTACACTTGGAATTCAGCAGGTGTGTACTGCAGAGATTGACGACATGAATGTGTTTCACACAGTACTACTACTTGCAGCTTGTAATACCAGCAATCGTCACTTCTTGGTCTTCTAGATTGATCTTTTGTTCAAAGGCATCCAAGTCCTACAATGCATGAAAGTTGATGAAGAGAATATCCTCATTGCATAATGCAATAGAAAGATTCAATAATGGGCTGTAGAGTAATGCCTTCCTAGTGAAAGTTATTGTTCAAACGAGAAGATAGCCTAGTTGCATGCAAATGACAATCTGTAGGACTTTGAGATATTCGCATTTGCATTCGTAATTTGCAAATCTCTACGAATATGTTCATTATTCGTGCCGACCCCTAATGCAGTCCTGTCTACATTGCCTGTGTATGTGTGTCTGTGGTTCCTGACACGTTTTCTACATATTCCCTATTGGGACAAAGGCCGCCAGTGGGTAAGCCCTGTCTACATTGCATATACGTTAGCACCATTCAACGTGATGGAAGATGCCGACATGATGCTAGCTATAACCTCGGCGACAATTTTCTAGCTCCAGATAAGCGCCTCTGATTTGTTGTGTAAAGGGTGGCCCTTGTGGACCGGGTGTCCAAATTAATTTATTAGCGATAAAAAGGAGGTACGTACAGTATTTTACAGCATATGTGAGACATATGCGACAACCTAACACCACACCCCTAAACCTGATCCCATGTGTCTCGTATATGCTGTATAATACATTACAAAATACAGCTAGTTCACCGGGTGAATCAAATTTTAACGCCTGTTCTGAGAGAACCGGTGTCTTCCGCATTTAGTGCTACATAGTGTGTATACTTATTTCGGGCGTCCAATTAGTGGTGACAGGTGTTATTGTGGCTTGCGCTGGTCTAGCGCTTGCGTTATCTGATTAAACTTAGTCGTTATCTGATGAGTCCGACTTCCTTTAGACGAGATGTGTTCGTGTTATGACTGAAAATAGTCTAGACTTTCCTGCTGTTGTGAAGGCGTGCTGGATGTGGAAATCGCGCTTACTAAGGGGAAGTTCTTTATTTTGCTGTCACCACCAAGTCAACTCTCATCAACATTTCTCAGTGCTTTTCTTTCCACTAGTAGGACCAACACAACGCTCTGACTACGCGTATTCCCTCAAAGTCGATTGCATACTCAGCCATGGACAACCCTATATTGCACGATGAGGAGATCGCACCTATCCCCAATTCTCCCGCCGTCGAATTACAGACATCTGCGACCAAAACTGCAAAAGACTCCGACCCCTTCCTCGTGGAATTTCGCCTGCCCTACGACCCTGAAAATCCGCTAGATTGGCCAACGGCGCGCAAATGGAGAGTCACAGATATTCTGTCGGCCACAGGCTTCAATCGGATCATGGTGTCAACGATCATGGCCCCGGCCCTCTCGACCATCGCTCAGGAGCTAGACATGAATTCTACCGAGTCGGCTATGTCCTTATCAATCTACCTCTTAGCCACCGCTTTTGGTCCGCTTTTCATTGGTCCGCTATCAGAGCTCTACGGGAGACAGGTAGTTCTACATGCTTCCAACATCTGGTTCCTCGTTTGGAACCTGGTCTGTGGCTTTGCGCATACCAAAGGTACACTCATCGCCGCGCGTTTCCTGGCAGGATTTGGAGCTAGCGCTATCTATGCGCTTGCAGGCGGTGTTTTGGGGGATATATGGAGGCCGGAACAAAGAGGTCGCTCTTTGGGTACCTATTTGTTAATTCCATTACTGGGTGCGGCTGTTGGTAAGTCACCTTTAACAAACTGTATAGCTTTATGTAAAAGTCAATTAATATGTAATACAGGACCCATTATTGGAGGCTTTATCACGGCACGTACAACCTGGAGATGGATGTTCTGGGCCACGTCGATCTTCCAAACCGTCATGATAGCTGTCTCATTCTTCAGCTTCCACGAGTCGTACGGTGCATTGTTGCTTCGGCGACGTGCGGACAATCTACGTCGGCGTACCGGCAACACCCAATACTACACAGCAGCTGAGCGACTTGATGGTAATCGATCGGCCATTGGAATTCTGTGGAAAGCCTTGACGCGACCACTGCGTCTCCTACTCTTCCATCCTATTATCCAGGTCTCGGCCACCCTCTCGGGTCTCAACTACGGTATAATGTACATCACGCTTTCCACTTTCTCCGATCTCTGGACATCTCAGTATCACGAATCTATCGAGATCAGCGGACTACACTATATCGCCTGTGCCTCAGGCGAGTTAGTTGCATCGCAAATCGGTGGGCCGTTGATGGACTTTCTATACAATCGTCAAAAGAATGAAAACCCATCCCCTGAGTCTCGCCTCCGGCTCATGTACCCCGGTATTCTTGCCGCATGGCTGGGGGTCCTTCTTTACGGATGGGCCGCTGACTATCGGCTATTTTGGCTGGTTGTAGATATTGGAGTAGTGATAATGATGTTCGGGATGCAGTTGGGGGGCATGCCAAGTAAGTGGTCTGCCAATCTGTTTTTTGTTATCCCACTGACAACGAACACAGTGATGGCATACGTGATTGACACGTACGGAGAACACACGAGTAGCGCCCTAGCAGCGACACAATTTGTCAAGAGTCTTACGGCTTTTTTGTTCCCCCTATTTGCCCCGGCCATGTACCAGGCTCTAGGTTTTGGGTGGACAAACACTGTGATGGCCCTGATAGGCTTGTCAATTGCCGCCCCCCTTCCATTCGTTATATGGAAATATGGGCCGAAGCTGCGGGCTAAGGCTATCTCGACTTACTAAAACGAAACAAGGTCCGAAGCTTCCTGCTGGTTGCTCTTCCCTCCTCGTACGAATGAAGAATGAATATTACACTTCAGTGTTTTGAATGCTATCAAGCACTTTACATATTTTCCCAAATCTGAGTCTTTATATACATGTATGGTATCCCGGGATCTGCTCTTCTGAATCGCAGCTGCACGGCATATAGACTTAGTAAATCTATTACTATGCAAGAACTACCCTTTGCTGCTATAATCATCTTAGTCTCCGACTGTGCAGAAGAAATATTTGGACATAATAGATGAGAAATCTGTTAGCTGTAAGGAACGTGTAGTCTAGGCTAGGAATCTGGCTGCTATAGATAAAGATATGAAACTTCAGACTGAGGGTACAGGCTGAGCGCTAATTCCCGGCTGATCCCAGAAGCTTGCCAAAACCTTGCGTTCACCCTCCCAAGCCCATCGGGCATGCTGAGCGGCATAGTTCTGTGTCCGCAGTTAGCCTCTTATGTTTCTATATTTCCTTGTGGGGGAAATGAGAAGGAATGGTCCTCAACGTACATCAATAACTAGAACATCACCAACGTCCCACTTGATGTCAGCTGTTAGTTTATGCTGGTAATAGTCCATTCTCTCCAGCCATTCTTTTGGAATGATAGTATCTTTTTCAATGCCGCTGAACTATTAGGGGAGATTAGCTTTCAAAAATTCTTCCAATGTCAGAGCGTACGTTACTTACATGAGGGGGCACGGCGATGCCCTCTGTGCCATCCGCGTTTTTGAAAGTAAAAGGGGGCTCCCAGGTGTTGTTTACCTTGGCGTTGGTGTAGCGGGTCGACATTGCCTAGGGGGATGAAACATGTGGTAAGCCTAGTAACCACAGCATGACTTAAAAGATATGTGCTACTCACATTGAAAATGGTAGGTATGTGCTGAGTCGGGTACAACCGGACGCCTGCAGGACATGAAGTTAGTACTCTTTTAATCGCAAATAGAAGCACAAAATAAAATAAAGCGGGAAAACCTACCAGGAACTCGGTGAATAACCTCAAGGTCTCCGTTATCCTGCCAGTTCCAGGAAAACCCTCGGCGCTGCCAAGCAGGTATACTCTCATCCGTCTTGTCAATACCAGCATACCATCCCCCGCGTTCAGCGAGCTCAATGACGCGGCTCTCAACAGCCTTCCTCCTCTCCTCCTCGGTGTCTGCAGGGGGTGAGCCATCTGTAGGCCCGAAGGCGGATGCTTTGTATAGTCCGTTGCCTCCAACGATGCCGCCTACTTGCTTAGCAGTGTGCGGGGTCTGGTAGACGAGACCTTTGGAAGTGCAACCTTCGACAAATTCGGGTACTTCTTTCTTGAGTCGGTCATACAGGGCCAAAGAGCTTACCACCGACGTCTGGCCTCCAGACTGCGCTGGAACTTCACAGAAAAGAATCAGGTAACCCGGGTGAACGGGTGACACGGCATACTCATTGTGCCAGCCGATGAAATGAGATGGTGGTCCCCTAAAATGAATGAATTTTTGGTTATTTCTGTTGTACTCAACGACATCTTTTATATTCTTGTTTTGCTTACTCGTTGGTGGTGAGGACATGCTTAGCGCGAGGTCGACGCAACACTTCCATACCCACGTCAGTATGGGGCTTCCAAGCATGATCACCTTTGCCAGCCAAGGAAACCAGAAAGTCCGAAAAATCTTCTGGTGTCTTGAGTGGGAGCCCCTTGAAGTGCACTACGCCACCATTTGCGTCGAGCAATTGGCGTAGCTTACTTTGCTCGTTAGTCTCGGTCGACTGGGCTGCTATGGCGCTAATCCCATGGAGCACTTCGGCCTTGTCTTTGGCTGGCTCGTGGGGTTGCAATACGAGAGGAAACCTGATTATTGGCTCATCAGGACCCTCAACAATCTGAAGCTGTTGCTGGTAGTCCTTTTCTACTGAGGTCCAATTGCTATTAACTGCGTGAGGCATGTTGAAAGAAACTTGAGAAACGGATTTGTTCAAGGTGTAGTTCCTTGTTTGTAGAAAACTAAGAATGTGAAATGAAATTTTTGTAACTTGTCGAAGTAAATAAATGCTGACTATTAAGCTGTGTAGGTATCTGCCTCCCTTGAAAATCGTCGTAGGCAATGGACGCGTCAGGGATTACCTCTTAGGGCTTCTTCCATGCATGACGGGATGCACGGTAGACCTGCCAGGTAGACACGGTATCTGTCTTGCAAAAGTTAGGGTTACTGAAATAGAAATGATTTCTGCTTCAAATTTGACACGTATTTGACACGTGTTTCGACATTGTTTCTGTGCAATGTAGAATACTAAGGAAATTGCACGTGGGCCGACTGATGAATTTTGCAACCGACAGATGCATGGAGTAATTTCGCTTCCCGCCGTCCACGGAATGTCAATGTCCATTGGTCTGATAGGGATTTCTGAGTCCTTGCATGGCGAGACCACAATCCGCTACATGGGTGGATTTGTGTAAGCGCACGCAGATACCTAGGCTACGTACTCGTTAATCCCGCGTCTTCAACATGACTTTTAATAGCTTGCCCTGTATCTCCAAGGAAGCAAATATGTAAATTTATGCAACTCACACCTATGAAGATTGAGCATCGCCATCTCTGTCAAAGAAGCCAGAATGTTGAACGTGAATGATTACAACGCCCAGAGTCTCGCCCAGCCGACAAACCTTCGGGCCATGTTACGCTCTGGCGAGCTTCTCTGGGGCACCTCATGCCGAATAGCAAGTGAGGAGGCTGCCAGAATTGTGGCGACACTTCCGCACCATTTCTGTTTTATCGATTCGGTCAGCATCTCGGGATCAATTAAAGAAAAAGCGGTTTGTTTCAGTCTACTAATTGAACGGACAGGAACACTCTCCTCTTAACGCCACATTGCTCGTCTCCCTCGTCAAAACTATTCAACAATATTCTGAGGGGAGAATGGTTCCAATCGTCCGAATCGCGCCCAATTCTACGGATTTAATAAACTACGTTCTTAACGCTGGTGCTGGCGGCATCGTGATGCCACATGTTCAGAACGCGGTCCAGAACGCGGCTCAGGCCGAGGCCTTTGTACGTCTAGCCAAATTTCCACCTCTTGGAGAACGCAGCTACCCACCCATGGCGCTACTTGGGGCTCAAACTCGGACAAGGGATGGTCAGACTGTATATGATATTTGGAACGAGCATACCGCCATTTTCTGTCAGATAGAGGATGTTGAAGGCATAAAGAATGGTGAAGAGATTGCCAGGGTTCCAGGAGGTGAATCTCGATTATAAGCAAAAGACAAATTCGTTTTTACTGATACTAATGTCCTTATAATACCGATAGTTGACGCAATAATGGTTGGTGCGGGCGATCTGAGGTGCTCTCTCGGCCTTGCGGTTGGCAGTCAGCATGGCAACGAACAAGTCTTCCTTGATGCTCTTGAGAAAGTTCAGCATGCGGCTGATACAAACGGCCTTCCAGTATTGGGGTTCGCTATGACTCCAGAAATCTTACATCATCGTTTGGAACGTGGCTGGAGGGCATTCATGGTGCATTCAGATGGCTATGGTGTTTTCACGTCTGGAACGGAGAGTTTTGTCAAAGGGGTTCAGCTATCAGAGCAAATATTAGCAAGGGAGAAAATAGTAGTCAATGGGTAAATAAATTAGATAATTCTTAATATCTGTATGTTGTGAGTTGAAGGGTTATGGCCAGTTCTTATGGTGTTGCAAACCTCGGATTATGACCGATAAGCTGGCTTTCCAATGAAGCCATCAAATAAGCTCACTATGCTCTGAGGCCCTATATGATATAAATAAGACCTTGTAGGCTAGCTATATTATAAGGCCTTGAACAGCATCGCGGAAGCGGAGGTCTAGAGGTAGACCACTACTGGAGTAACGGGCGATGTGAATAGTTATCGCGCGGTTCATGGAGATAGACCATTGAGTCATTTGAGGTCGATGAAATGTCTTGGTGTTCCAAGTGGGCGTAGACCTCGCCACGACCCGCGGGTCACTCTGACGATCCGGACCGCGAACCGGACCAGGAAGGTTCCTGGGTCATGAGTACTGACCCTGACCCTCCATGAGGGGCAGGCTCTGAGGCAGCACATGCTCTGAGACAAATTGGCTCTAAAGCAGCCTTTGCCCTGGAGCAATCATGCTCTGAGGCTAATATGCCCCTAAGATTGTCTGTGCTCTAGCCTAGATTACTCCAAGGTATTTGTTAATGTAAGATTTCCGGCCCAATTTTTGCACCAATATGTCCTTCACCATCGAAAGGTAAAATGCTGGTTCACGCCGAAAGAGCTCGATATGATACTTGACCTGAAGCTGAGCAAAGTTGTGCATTATTCTTCTAATCTTGAAGGGCCGATGGACTGGCTACATCCACCAAAACTTTTTACGGAGCGAAGTTTATTTATGATTGATATTATTAGGGAGTGAAAATTTATTCGAATGGTGAAATTATTCATCAGGAAACCAATTTATTCCCCATTCGGATTCTCCTGAATGGTCTGCTGCACCGAATCTCGCGCCACCATCTTGGCTATCCAAGCCTTCAAATACGGATAATTGTCCTCATCAAACTGCTCCTTAGTCGCAAAGATGCCGGCAATCATGTGCCAGCGAACAAATGCTAGGTCGGCATAAGACAGTCTATTCCCGACCAGCCAGGGCCCGTTTGCCGTTAGGTCCGCATCAGCAAACTCCTGCTGCTGCTTGGCGAGCCATGAATCCAACACGCCTGACACACGATTGATCTCCCCTACATACCGCTCAATGGCGCTGGGGATCTTCTCGGCATGGAACTTGACAAACCAGCCGAATTGCCCGTAATAGGGGCCCTGGCCACTAACCTGAAAAAAGAGCCACTGCTTCGCGTGGTACGCCTCGGCCGAACCGGGAGCGAAGCTGAGGCGCCGCTCGTCTTTGTCGTACTGCTCGATAAGATATTCAATAATGGCACCGGACTCCCACAGTGTAATGCCCGTGTTGGGATCGTGGATGGCCGGCAGGCGGCCGTTGGGGTTGATGGCGACGAAATAGGGCTTTTTGACGTCGCTGAACGGTATAAGGATGCTTTCGTAGGAGAGGTTGAGTTCTTTGAGGAATATTTCGACTTTGAAGGGATTGGCGCTGGGGCATTTGCCGTAGAATTTGATGGGCTGCATTTCCGAGACCAGTCAAGGATGGATCAATTGAGATAGTGGTTATTTGTTAGATGATTGCTGCACTGGTCAATCTGGGAACACCAGGAGCGGCTTTTATACCTGGAACCATTCTCCCCAATCCTCGAAGCAGGTGTCGCGCAAGTAACGCCTCGCTGACAGCCATTACAAATCAGTTGCTTGCTTCGATGGACTGTCGGTAGCATCGCCATGTACCGACTCGCGGACTTCGGTGCTTGTGGCGGAGAAGACGCCTGATGAGGCTAATCGCCGAACAACCGATTGATAATCCGCAGTTCCACATTTGTCAACTTACTACGCCTACCGATTAGACTAAGTGCGCATAAGGGAAAATATGCTACGCACTATGGGAAACCGTGGTATCCGGTGCAAGATTAACGGCTCCAACGTGCATAAATATACGGCTGTGTTTGCAATCTTATGGAAAGGGCAATGAGTAGGTTTTTCTACCATTGATGATACATGTAGATGTCCAGGTGTGATTGATCTTATTGGACAACTCGAAGTTTCAATCTAAGTCGTAGGTCTATTACCGGTGATAGAATTGAGGTATGATGTCTTTCATAGGACAAGATGCTCAACCCCGATCTGTCGAAATGTAACGGCCAGACGACCATGCTCCGACAGCTGTTTCACATCTTTCTAGAAAGATCATGGATCCTGCGAAGAACACTGTCTGATTATAGCGATTGAACCCGGCGAAGCACAGTCTTCATGTTGAATATAGAATATATCGGTGGATGTATTGTTCCGATCTGGAAGTGCATGTGGGTCTGTGCATAAGTGGTGTATATAACCAGTCCATCAGCCCCTCAGTATTAGAAGAACAATGAACAACTTTACATATCTCAACACCTCACAAATGTACAGCGCTTACAAATGCACAGCGTTACTAATGTACAGTTCTTACAGTTGTATAGTCTTCACACATGTACGGTCTTCATAAATGTACGGCATTAAGATGACCAGAAAGTAGAGATAGACACAGCGATCAAGACAAATGCCGGTGCAGAATCTCGGAATTTTCCGTTGTTAGTGTGCTTATTGTACTCTGTAAATAGTCAGTGTGGGGATAAAAGGCTAAGTGGGCTGGCTTTCAGGCCGTGAGATGCATGAACTCTTATACGAAGAGAAGTTTGTCTTTGAGTGTGGGTAGCCATTAAAGTCATTTTAGGCTTCCTGGCTTCACTTGCAGCCTAATAAATCAGAAAATTGAAGGTTTTCTGGTTGCTCTGCCTAGAGACGTTATAGGTCCTATGATGTATACAATCTATGACTTATCTCTAGGCAACAGCATTCATCAATCACATCCCCTATCAAGTCTTGATGTAAAACATGGTTCTGTTTTGCTAATAAACTATATCAAATAAAACCCATCCATTCGAACGTGACGACCTAGGAGGATAATGGTAGAGACCCGCCGATCATCTAATGCAGGCCCCTCTTACAATGCACTATCGGTGCAAATTCTGTAGACAGAAGTTCCAGGGGATAGACTGGCTCTACTAACAAAGAAACGCGATATTATAGAAATTCAGTCGACCCCGCAACTTGCCGCCCTCGCCTGTGCCTCCTTGACTTGGCACTATTACTTCTCTTTTATCTGATATGTAATTTGTAACACACAAATATTCCCTGTTCTTTCGTCCACCTTCGTTCTCTGTTCAAGATAAATAGGATTCCCACATCAGTTCTCCTCGTATCATAGCTATAAAAGTTGCTGTCCTCCGTCGTGCAGCACAGTTTGGCAGAGACCGCTGGCCGATGCTAGCATGGCATCATTTCCATGGGTATTAAGACTATCGCTTGTACTTATTCTGACGGTTATATTTGCATATGCGACTGGCGGCCAGCGTGGATCCCAAAATGGTTTACGACAGGCTCCAGGGAGGCTACAAAAGTCAGCCTCACCAGCGACGTTTTCATCCACAACAAACTGCAAAAAATGGCTGCGACAAACCCCTGCAAGTATTGTCTATAACTACGGTGTCAATGACACCTTATCTGGCGCTGTTTCTCTCAGGGACTGTCTCAAACGAGAGGAAGCAGCGCAAGCAAGACAGAAGATTCAAGAGATTCTAATCGCCTTTCCACTGTTTAGCGAGCCAAGCGGGGAGCAACAGTCCTTACAGGAGATTGTTCAAATTCTGCCAAACTTGGAGGCCGTCAGGTAAGTGACGGAATATCAAGATGAATGGACGATTCTTATTTACAAACCACCTTTTAGATGTGACAGACATTATTATGCATGCATATCACTTAATCTTCAGGTCCCCAGGAAAAATAACAGTTGGTCTATATACTTTGACCACGACATTGGGGACAAAGTAGATCCCTTAATCGAATGCAGCTCTAACTCCCTAGCGTATGATGGTGGAGAGAATGATGAGAGACTCAGTCAGCTCTACAACGCCCTCGTCTCGTGCTCAAATATACGGTCATTGAGCCTTTCTCTCAGTCAAAGCAGCTGCACGATTGGGGATACACGCCGGTCTTTCGGCTGGAAAAAGGATGACCGTTTTCCCCGCCTGGAGAATTTGACATTATCTGGCTATGACTGGGATTCCAGGGTTAACAGCCGAGAACCATCAAACGCTGAGCAATGGAGAGCATCCATGGACTGGAGTAAGCTGAAACGGTTAGATTCAGTCTCCCATCGAATTCGTTTCTTGAAACCTTCCGCGGTGAGTTGGACGGTCTTGAGTCGCTTGTCCTCCGCCATAAGTCTGGATTTTGGGGCGACGAAGAGACGTTGTGTGCCTTTGATGCAACTGCGGAAGAACTACGACAAAATTATACCTCCTTCATTGCCGCGCTTCCGCCGTTGCACGAATTGAGCATCAGTGGCATGGGTCGACCGCTCAATATGACACCCATCTTGGAGACCCACGGCGCCAGTCTGGAAAAACTAAGTATTCACGAGTTTGAACATGACTGTAGATATGAAACCGGAAACGCTACCTGGGTACGGTCAGTTTTGAGTGTATCAGAGGTAGAGCAAATCGTTCTCTCAGCTCCCAACCTCAAAGAGCTTACACTGGATGTATACCGAAGCTCCAATAAATGGCCCACTTCTATGCTCAAGACACTTTCCAAGTTTCCTCATCTTGCCCGACTCACTATGAACTTTAATCTAGAGGATCCCAGCACGTCCAAATATGCAGAGCTGTGCCTTGTGAACGAACAGGCTCGTGACGAATATTGCACCATTCACGGGCTCATGGAACCACAGCTAAATTACACGACAGCAAGCGAGATATTCCACACCATACGGCAATATCAAGCTGACACCAAACTCCGACACGTTACAATTTCTGCTGGTGACTTTGGAAGGCGGGTAGGGGGCGGCCTGAGATTAACCCCTCACCATGAGTGGAATAAGCCAGTGAAATATCATTGTTGGATAAAGGAGAATATCAGCAAATGTACAGGTCAACACCATAGTCATTTCGATGACGAGGTCTTTCAATGGAGCTAATCAGATCGAGTTGTGCCTGTTATCGGTATATTCTTTGTTCACTTTTAAATGCTACATTGATACTCGGCATAGATTGAGCACCACCGAGATGTCCATTACTAAGTAGTATTTCCACATGTCGGAGACTTCGGTCCAAATACCGTCGAGTAAATCTCGCTAGCTTATAACACTTTGAAGTTATAAGACTTCTAGAGCAAAATCTCAACGGTAAACCGGGATTTTATTGCCCACTCTCTCCCTAAAGCTGCACGCAATGTGCCGAAGGACTGCGGTTTGATTTCCTTAGCACGGAATGCCGCTCGTCATCCTGAATATCCACTTGAACCACTGTTTCGGGCCATATACATGAAGCATCTTTCGTTCGACCTACAATCAGTTGATCTCATAACCGATTGAAATACCATTCGCAAACTCCTGTCATTCGTCAATCCTAATAACAGCAAGAATGGGCTTGAACCTTTCACTATCCAGCTTGAAGTCTTCGAAAACACCGTGATTTTCTGTCGTGCAGAAACTGAAACCAAGAAGTTCGTTCAACCGCATAAATTCTTCCATGAGTCGAGAACATCTACTGTAAAATGAAATTTTTTGGCTTCATGAAATCCTATGTGCGATCTTACAGACGAGGGTTATATATTAGTCTGTATCAATGAAGCGGATCAAATTGCAACGCAGACATTAATTGGATTATTGGAGATGGCGTTTAGTACAAAATTAATGTTGGCGGACCACGGCGTGCGACACACGCTCCACTAGTACGTACTCGTGATCTACAGGGTGTGACTCACCTCCAGGCAACAGCGTCCATTGTCCAATGCTCTCAACATGTCTCAACCCAAAACATAGGACCAAATACTACAGTTCTTTGCACCTTCAGAGTAACAACGAACACTCTCTTGTCTTTCTTCTGAAATATTGCCAAGAGGACACCATAGCAAATATAGAATAGTGTAGGAATAATACTGTTCCAGAAACAATACTGTATCTGTTGATACGAATTTTTATTTACAATACATGTACGGTGATTGAATACAATTCTGGCATATTCGAGTCTACCCGTAAGTCTGAACATGGGTCCTGAAAATGCCTGGTAAACCTGGCAATCTGTCATTAGCAGTATCTTGTGCTTTATAGCTATCACTATATAACCACGTTGACTGTTTGACCAGGATATCCCATCATACGCAGTTGATACTCAAGAACGTGGTTTGCGGGACGAGAGCGGATAATAATATCTAGCATAAACACTGTACATAACGGGTTTAAGAGCAAATGGTTTAGGGGCATCGCAATACGGACGCGGGAACCGCATGGCTTGACATCCAGTACAGAAGGAAAGCCCCAACGTCTGAGAAGCGGATAAAACAGTGCTAGGATCCACTAGAGCAAACATGGATTAAATATTAGCGAACAAGAAATGCGCGGAGCAGTATCATCCTACTTTTCGCGCCACGCCTCTCGCTCGCCCTCTCTCCGTTATGAGGCTCTATATAAGCGCTTATACTATGTAAAATACAGAGACATTTGACTTACGTATGAAATATTCTCTCCGACCACCTCACGCACTAGGAATCATATATTAGCCGTGTCGAACCTGCCAAGTGCATTTCGGGGCATTCCAGATTTCCGTCCAGCTCTAAGGTCGTCCTCTACCACTCCTCTCGCTGCTCTAGTCCCAGACTGTATCAAAAACACAGCTTGGCAGCCTGATTTTTTTTGGGATCGGGATATTTGCGCACATCATGGCATACAGTGGATTGCGCACTCCTCTTGACGACCTCCAGAGTCCCATTCTCGATATTAATGGGGAACGGCTGTACGACCAAGAATACGAGAGCATCTTGCATGCAATAGTTCGCTGCAACGATGTGGCGAATTTAAATTGTTATATAAAGCAAAGACCCTTGGATGGAATTGCTCCGTGCGACTCCTACCCATACGACCCGATCTACGTTGCTGCTCAGTCTGGGAGCACCGATTCTCTGCGAGTGCTTCTTGATCTCTATGAAGCTGAATATTTGCAAATCTATGCTTCCAATAAAAATGGCAGTGAACTCTCACTTTTGAATGCCGCATGTGCAAATGGTGAACTTGAGACAGTGAGATTCTTGCTAGATCGCGATCCCCCGCTTGGAACCGCCTATGCTGGGGACCGCGATGGAGGTCAAGCGTTGGTGTACGCAGGAATGTCACTGGAAGTACCAAGGGCTTTCGATAACGAGAGAGATAATGATACGAGCAAGGGCGATTTCAATCAATGCATTGCGGAGAGCGAGGATATGCTACGCCTGCTTCTTGACAGAGGTGCTTGTGTTCGCAATGCTATTGACATTATCTCTTTGAATCATGGGCACAAAGAAGAACTCCGAAAGCTGCCACAAAGCCAACAGCCAATTGTAACTGTGCTTGGTCAGGCAGTCTCCCGGGCCAGTCATGAACTGATCTCCCGCCTGATTGCTGAAGGGGCAGACGTCCATCAGCGACAGGCAATAGAATCTAACCGGGTTTTTTGCATTATGGACATCACTGCGCTGCATATTGGAAGCGGCTATTGGAATGCAGCTGGAATAAAAGCATTATTCGACAATTGTGGCGGAGAAGTGAGCCCCGCAGAGATGGCATTAGTTCAAGATCAGGCCAAGCGACTCCCTTTACACTGGGTAGCCGAGGGTACTGACTGTGCTCATAAAGACATTTTCTCAGAAGAGGAGATTTCTTCACGCATAGTCGACACTTTTAAGATACTTATAGAGCATAATTCTAGTACAATAAACTGCTGCGACCAGAATTCTGAAACCGCCTTGCACCGTATGGTGGCTTGTCATAGCTGCTGTGGTCACAGACAGCACTTTGAGGATGCTATACAGTTTTTGTGTGAGAATGGGGCAGATCCTAGTTTGAAAAATCGTTCTGGAGAGACTGTTTTACATAAGCTAGGATTCTCTAGCAGCCGTGTTAAGCCAACGGTTATAGAGATATTGATGAAGCATGGGGGAAGAGCTGCTATAAATTATGCTACTGAGTCCGGCCACACTGCGCTGCACCTTATAGCCAAAAATGTCTGGCAGATAGAAGCAGTCCGGTCCCTGCTGAGCTATGGTGCCGACGTTAACGCTATGGATTCGGAAGGAAACACACCTCTTCATGAAGCTGCACTGGGTAGGTTTCTACCGCTCAATGCTACAGAAAATATGACACAAGCCGTCATGGATAATTTCAGAGCACAGGACATGATGATTATGACTTTACAAGAAGGAGGGGGCTCCATTGACCAGGTGAACAAGGAAGGTAAGACTCCTAGACAACTAAAGGAGGAGATTCGGGCCCAGCGGCAAGAAGAAGAGAAAAATCGAGGTAAAAGGCAAGGGAGAGGCCGTGGAAGAGGACTTTTATATCACTAAAACTTCAAATCAAGAATGAAGAATTTTAGCAATGCACTGGAGCATAATAGAACCTGGCCCTGTTTCACTTGTGCCAATACCTCTTATCAGGAGCATACTCTTATCAGGAGCATACGAGGCGATACGTAACTGATTTCATATATTCTCCGTTATTCTAAAGGTCTGTGTAGAAGATAAGAATGACAGGATAAATGAAATATCCCTGAGCTAAAACGGCGATACGTGTAATTTACAGGCGTATTGATTCGGTGAATGCAGAATACAAGCGGAGAAAAATACACAAGCCAAGGGCTATTCCGGATCTAGCCATACATATACTGGGCGAATCCTCGGCGCTGTTTCAGAGGAAAGACAAGAGAGTGTGAGTTATAACCCCGAACCTGCAAACTACTGTACTAGAAACCCTCTGCTACTATTCTCTGTGCCAAATTTTCTCGCCTGGCTAATATTCCCCGCTGTAGTTTCCTCTTGTCTCATTATTCATGACGACTCACCCTTCCGACCCAAAATCTCTCCTCCCTGCAACGATGCCTGCCAACCCCGAGGCTCATCCTGACCAGGAGCAGCACATTCCACTATATCGAGGTTCCTGTCATTGCGGCTTTGTCAGCTATGAAGCGCGCATCAACTTTAAAGAACCCACAGCCGAAGAGCCGGACTATGTGCTCTGCAAGTGCAACTGTAGCTACTGCCACAAAGCCGGATTGTTAATTGCGAATCCGTTAGAAGAGTCATTTCGGCTGCTGACGCCAGTGGAAAGCGGCGACGAGAAGCTGAGCCTTCCTGTGTACAAGTTCGGGTCTGGTGCTGTTTCGCACCCCTTCTGTCCTCGCTGTGGTGTGACATGCTACTATTATGGTTCTTACAAGACAGATGAAGGCAAGATCATCTCATTTACGCGGGTTAATGTGCATACTATTGATGGACGAGTGGATGGGACACAGATGGAGAGCCTAAAAGAAATCAAGACTAAGTACTGGGATGGGAAGACCAATGGCTGGGACAAGGGTGCAAGTGAGGAGCCGTGGGATGGAGGCGTGTGGTAAGGGAGAAGCAGATCGCAGGACTTTTTACATTAGTTAGAATTGTTCAGTCTTTAAGCAGAGTAACAGAACGTCTCAGTCCGGTTAATGCACTATATAACCCTTTTGTCAGTGTCTTCTCTTTTTATTTCATCCCCTCTTCTCTTTTTGGTATTTTGCATCCAGACTGATATATCCCCTAGTAATACAAAGTTCTCTGTGATGGAGTCCGGTTTATAAAATAGTACAATAAAACACAGGAAAGAGATATTCGGGCTTCCTAGTCAATCACGTACCTTCGCCTGCACTCCCTTGCCGAACTATGACATTGCTTCCTGTTGCTGTCGTACAGGAATTAAGTTTCCCAGCATTTAGTGACTGGAGCTACATTCTTTTCACTACGCTATTGAAGATGCAAGGTTTGTGTCCACCACTACCCATATTAGCTACGCGCATTCTAAGCAGCTTGCGCGAGGTGCTCTGTGCTTTGCATATTACAAATGGCCTCTAATTGGTTGTCTCTAGTCCTGTAATACACCACTACTGTCCATCGGATCAACAACCACCTCGTCAAGTTGCTCGAATAATTTTCATTCAGGGAAAGGCACCCAGTCTTTAAAATCGACTCAACACCTGTAATTTTGCTCACGCAAAACTTCTCAACGCTGAGCTGTGACGGCATACGTGGGCACAGAAAAATTCAATAAGCCCTCCTCGCCGCGCGTGTATGGATCCAAATACACCCTCCACTGCGGCTGGTGACTTGCTCCATCTGCCAACGCATCTAAGCCCGAGATGCGCAGAACGGCGTAGACTTCTGACGGCATCGCGGAAGTGATGCGCAGCTTCTCTGCCTGGTTCATAGGTTAACCCCAAGGTCTGCAGGCCTGCTGCGTGAAATGGTATGGCTTACTAATTTGTGCTGATGTCCACTCATATAAAAGGTAGTAGTGGGATCTTGACTGGTCGTGCTCTTGACCTCCAATCGATAAAGAGGCACATTGCCATTGTCGCAAACCGTGAATAGCCACTCTGGCTTTATGTACGGGTGTTGCATACGCTGAAAATGACGGGTTAGGACGCCTTGCGTGTCCTTATAGGTAAAATCCGACACTTCGCGGATGCCGAAGGTCGAGAAACCAGCACGAGAGCGCAGCGAGCTGGTCCAGTTATCCTCGCCCGTGAAATCGGGCAGCTGGAGCGTATCGTGTAGTAAGGTGTATACCTAGCTAAGAGTCAGCTTCCCATCTGGCCAGATATGACAAGCCAGACAGTCTGAGGGCCTTACAAATTGTTCTCCCAAGAAGCCGACCTCAAAGTCACGGGCCACTTCCTCCTCATTACGATTTCTAATCGGATTCGGTCGTCGGCGTGGACTAACATTGGCTTGAATTGGCGTCGACACAGAAGCAGGCTCGTTGACATCCAAGGCCTCCCTCAACGTGCTCATATTAAACATCCCACCTCCGCCACCAAACTGAAAGATTCCACGTCGAGAGTTAGATACAGGGTCTGCATTTTGGGCGAAGCTTTCAATACGCGTCCTGTTCTGGTTGCGATTGATCGAGCTGTATAGACCCGTTGCTGTGGAATGGGGGGTAAATGGTCGATCGCGAGGGCTCTCATCGGAAAGTAAATTCTGATGATTCTGCAAGCGAACCTGGGGCGAGCTAGTTTCCGAGCGAACACCACTTCTGAACGTCATCCACAAATCGTCACCACCATCATCAGAGCTGTTACCCCTTTGGGCCCGTGACTCTTCGTTGACTGGATCTGCTACCAAATGCTCTTCGTTCTCGTCTGCAGCGTCCCCACCAGTGAAACCCTTTTTGACCAGCAACACTTTCAGTGAGGCGAGTGGCACGCTCAGGAGGTAAGAAAGATCTGGGAGATCGGCTGGTTCAAGCTCCATTGCTGCTACGAGCTGCTCTGGTAAGTCTACGAGAAGCGCACAATCGCGCGTCTGCTTATTTGCCGAGACAAATATTTCCAGCTTCTCCGTGTCATCTTCTCCAAGGCTGACTTTTACACTGGAACCTCCCTCATTTCTCGTCACAGTAGTGTCTCCCAATGTATAGTGCGTCTTAATGTCTGCGCTAATCCAGACCGTGGCATTCTCAAAAAGGCGCCGAGGCTCGTAAGGTGACTTGCACTCGACATGCTCAAAATATCTAAGCCAGTATAAGCATGAAAAGTATAGTGTTTGTTGGATGACGAAATTGCGTACTTTACAATTGCATCCGCACGGCCTCGAAACTCGCTAGTAAGGTCATGATCGAAATCAAGCGGTTCACGAGATTCCGTATCTATAACAACTTGGTCGGACAGAAATGAGTCGCAGCCTAGATTACGAAGCAAATCTGCGAGACGTTTTGAGATGTCAAATTCGAAATCTAGAAAGGTATAACTGTTAGAGAAGATGTTAAATAGATCTTGCCGGTCATTGACGTAGAAGCTTCCAATCGAGCAAAGTTCGCGTTGGCGAAGTGGAGCGTGGCAAGGCCAGCAATTTGTGCCGTGCAGTCGTTCTAGATCCTTATTGTCCTTCCACAGGCGGGCAATTTCTTGCAGAAGCTTTTTTACGTACTGGTAATCGTCCTCATCTTCCATGGGGCAGTACATTAGTGACTCCAACAAATCAGTGACCAGCATGTCCACGGATGCATTCGGTACTTTCAATGTAAACCGGAACAGATCACGATAATCATTCAACGAAGGCATCAGGGCATACTTGTTCCGCAGAACCGACCGGGTCCAGATGCAGTCCTCGAGTGATAGCCACCGGCCCCTTTGATTGTTGATACCCCGAAGAAATACGAGGGGAGCCTTCTTGAAAGCTATTCTATTAAAATAGATCAGCCAGTTGTCACGCTATAGGTGTGGACACCTACTTTATAGCAGCTGGCGAGGAGCGACGGCAGCTCTCAATTCTCTCATAAAGCCGATGCACTCGCTTTGGATCATCGCGATTTTCTTTTTGCATTAATGCCAAGTCAGCAAGTAGCTCATTAACTCCAGCATTTGGGAGTTTGAGAATGTCGGTGAAAAAAGCTTTTGCTGCCGGTGCATGCTGCTCTACGATGCGACGGATAGCGGTCTTGCTCTCTAGCTTGAGCTCATTTTGCGAAAACTCCTCGTCGTTCCACACGCACTGACTCGGCGTTTTCCACTCGATGGCAGATCCCGCCATAGATGGCACGGCAATGCAGGGGGTTTGGTTATTAACACTAAATCTGTTCTTGATCAGTAATATGTTATTCAGCGTACTACAAGCCACTCACTTGTCTGCATAGTGGGTTTGTAGAAACACGTAGACTTCAGCGACATCTGTCATGGTCGTTGACTCATTGTGCCTAAGCTGTTCAAGATAGTCTAGAACTTCAGCACTCGTCGCGTTTGGGACTTCCAAGATTTCTCGGAAAAGCCGATCCAATTCATGGCCGTAGATTGGGTTTAAGGCAGGCTTGGACGAGAGGCCCTTGGGTCCTACCCAGATACAGCTATCGAGAGACCTAAAGTTGTGGTTTGGTAGATTAATGACATGATTGCGAAAGGCTATCCTGTTGATGACATCCCAGCATTGTTAGTCGGCCGCAGGCCATATAAGCGCCTAGAACGGAGATCGCTGCACAAGCAGCTGTGTATACTTACTTGACCATCACTTTCTCAATAGGCGAAAAGGCCCGTGACTGAATAGCTAAATAAAGGTTTTTTGACCTGTTGATGTCCATGTGTCGCTTGAAACCGGGCTGGTTAAGTATCCATAAATAGAAGGCGAGCCCTTCATCTTGTCCGACACCCAAATCGCTTAAAAATGTCCAGTCACTTGGATCACCGTTAGGTAACACCAGGAAATTGCAGTATTCGGCGTAAGCAAATTCTTGAGCCTTTTCTAAAAGTTTCGGGAAAGGTAGGTACGTCTTACGCAAAGCAACCTGATCTCCCGACTTACAAACGAATTCATGGCCTGCTAGTGTGTCTTTCGCTATGCTCGTCATGCACTTCTTATAAAGACACCAATGCTGGTGCAAGATATCTAAGACATGCTCGCGTTGATTAGACAACAACCATTCAAAGTCTCTGTGAAGCCCATAGGAAGTGGTTGAGATGAGGCGAGGGGCTAGCGCCACGCTTGCCACATCATTCAGCCATTCTGCAAGCTCGGCTCTTTCAAAAGGTTCGAGTTGTACAAAGTAGTTGCTATTCAAGAAATGCGCGTCGCTGAAGGCGGAGAAAAGCTGTTTCAGCTTGCTATCAACAGTAATATCGGCATATACCTCAGTGCCTCTCTCGAGGGGCTCGCTGGCGGAACACGCAAAGTATACCTTGTCCATGTCGCCGGGCCGCAAATGCTGTCGCATTTTGTAGAGGTATTTTAGCTGGGCGATGACGTGAGCAAGTACTGCAAGATTCAACTTGGAGTGATAGTCGAGGATCTGCTTGACGACATTTGGGACGTTACAGTCCTTTACCCCAAGGAGTCGAAAGAGCTTACGCCTCTCGGAGCAAGCGCAAGCTTCCTCGTCGACCAGAGACAATGGCAGCCCCGGTGGAATGATCGTTCCGGAGCTCGCTGGAAAGTAGATTGGATCATCTGCAGAGGGAGGGCACTTCCAGGTGCCGGTGGCCATGGGGATTAAAGGAATATCTTTCAGGTCTCTTGCATAATTGCTGTCACCCCTAGACTCCTGTGGCTCAAGGATCACTTTAGCAAGGTCCGAGCACCACTCTTTGCTTTGCATTTTGATGGAAAGCATATGTGTATTGTGGAGCTCCTGAATCTTGGAGCACAACCACTTCCAGTCAGGGGCAGTGATACCTAACGACATGAGCGCCTCGCGGACCGACCCTGGATAGTCATCGCAGACATAGTTACACATTGGCCCAAACATCGGTTTACCATTGCGATCGTGTGCCCAGTCCAAAAACATGAGACTTTTAGGCGCCTGGACCATGCCGGTTCGGTCTTTAACGATAAGTGCTCTGCTGAGATGCTCATTTATGTTATCTGCTATATTCCGCCAGTACGGGCTAGAGACATGAAAGTTGTGACTGAGGTAGAGCGGCCATGTTTTTGAAAGCTCCTCCAAGTCTGAGTTGCTGCTACAAAAGTTGAACTCGTCGATAGCTGCCTCAAAAGCGTGCGGAATCGCGGCTGCAATATTTTTGTTCCAGTCTTTATCTTCATTGACTGATTGCCGATTCGACGTGGTAAGAAAATCAGCCTGAATAACAAACTGTGCACAGCATTAGCAGGGGCGTTTGAGCCACAATCAAGTATCGCACCTTAAATCCAAAGTCCCCAAGAGGCAGGTACGCAAAGGCAAAGTTCTGCTTCCGTATCGAGGCTAGATACGTGCCCGATTCCTTTTTCACTGGAAATGCCAAAACAATGTCGGTCTCTGTAATATCTTCTCGTCTGGTTTCTGTGCCTTCATACTTAATGGTGAATTGGTGCTTGTATAAATGCCGCATCGTGTTGGCATTTTCGTCTTTGATGGACACAATTCCAGAACCTGGCGTCCAGTTGACGAGTTGAAAGCTTTTTGAGATGACCGGCTCATCACGCGAGAGGGAGTTGAAGAGTGTAAGATCTAATCGTTCTATACGCCGCAGAAAAAGAACGAACACAGGGTCGATTGCGTCAATGTCGTCTTCTAGCGCAGTTGAAAAGTTTGTGCTTTGGTCACAGATGTGGTCTAGGACGATGGTCGTCTGATATTCTTTCTCATGGTTATCAAAGTAGTCTTCGTCCCACTGCGGCGTAATCATGCCGAGCTCTCTTGTCTGATCCAACTGAAAGTAGTAAGGCGGAGAGCGTATGTGTACCCGGTTGGCGAGCTTGAAGACGGACTTGAAGCCGATGCCCTTTTCGCCCGTGTATCCTTGGCCAGGTCTTTTGGAACTCCGGCCCGATCGACACAGCGCCAGAATGTTCTCTCTGGAGAAGCCCTCCTCATTGCATCCAATCTTGACATGTTGGGGAGTGACAGTAATAGACACCGTTGGCGTCTCACCCTCTGCATATTTGTTATCGTCAGCATTCTGAATAACTTCCATCAGGAATCGCGCGCGACTCGTATACAGGTCGGTTGATATGCTAATATAGCGTCACTTCTATTTCATAAAGGACTTTACAGAAGACATTGCGGGGCGCTCACATTTTCAGTGTCTGTGCCAAGTCTTCTCGAATTTCTTCGCCGCCCTCAATCAACTGCAACATGCTGCTGCGGCCATTTCTGGCTTCTTCCTCTGCTTCTAGTCTGAATGCATGTGTAAAGCTGCCTTTTCGCCGAGCCACCTCTTCAATAACTGCACGTGCATCCTTTGTGGTCGTCACAGAACCTAAATTACTATCCATGTTGTCATAGCTCTAGAAGCAACAAAAGTGCAAATGAAGTGTTGCAAAGACCTAGTAAAGCGTTATGCTAATATGCATCTTTGTATCTAGGCTTAGTGGTTTCCACTGTGGGGGTTCGAAAGGCATTTAAGCAATTGTAAATTCGAAGACTACAAGCTGCAAGGCTGAAACCTACAAGAGCATATGCACCTGGAGTAATTACCACGATGTTAGGTGGATTCGTCATGGGGAAGCTGCATGGAAGAGGTGCGAAATGTCATATCTTATAGTCAACCTGGCTCAAAGCATTTGCAATTGGACCGGAAAAGCCGGCTTTGAGCACGTTATCTCAATAAATTTCCATGGGGGGTTGTCCATGCGGCAAAGCTAGTTGACTTACGTGCTCACATTTCACATTACCCAGTGCCCGCAGTCACTAAAATCTTGAAACAGATAATGAAATGCAAACAATCTATCTAAATTTCGATACATTTTCATTGTTTTACTTCAGTTCCTTGCCGCTTGACGAGGCCAGAATGGATTTGAGACGCGGAGGACGCCATAGTCATTTTCATAACACCAGCAGACCGTCTCATCCACCCAGAATTCAGATCAGATGATGTGTCAATCCTAGCACGCCAGGTCCAATAAGATCTACGAAAGTGAAGTAAGCCCAAGTAAGCAGGGTATACTACGTACGTATGGCTGATTCCACGACACGACGTTGGCTGAATGAGAACGCTAAGATATCACCCCTGCTCTCCGCCATATTCTCGAGCTAATGCATCAAGATTGGATCCCTGAATGCGTAATTTTTCTCAGTTTTAACTGAGGGGTTTCCACGAGATTTATACCCGGTAGCAGACGGTGGCGCCAGCGACTTGGCGAGAATCGGTTAACGAATTACACAAAATATAGAGGTAGATCAGTTGGGTTTCGAGGATTCAGGCCGGCAAAATGCTTCAACCAATGAATGAAGTGAGATGACCAATTGAGCATTATCACCAAATCTAATTCATCCGACAAGGAATCCACCAGATGTACAATATGTTAAGTATACCACTTATAGCAGAGCGAGACTAATACAACATTGAATGACTAAGTGTATATATCTCTATAGCAGGACTCTTTGCATTATTTAGAATTGTTCAGTCTTTAGGAAAAGCAACAGAAAGTCTCAGTCCGGTTAATGCACTACAGGACCTTATTGTAAGTTGTTGTAAGTGTCTTCCCATTTCAATTCATCGCTTCTTTCTTTTTGGTATTTTGCATCCAGACTGAAAAATTCTAAGTTATTTAAACTTCTCTATGATGGAGTGCGGTTTATAAAATAGTTCGATGACTGACAAAAGCTCATCTCCAGCTTTGTACATCTGCACTCATTTTTTCGCCTAAGGAAACTATAGTCTTTTTTTTTTTTTTTTTTTTTTTTTTTTTTTCCTTTTTTAAAAAAARAAAWAAGGTTTGTCCATGTATTAAAGAGTTGCCAGAGATGAAATCAGCCTGGAGTGTGGAATTACAGAGCCTTGAAGACCTCTCCAGGGGGTTTGATGTGACTTCTAAGATTACTCACCTAACGGCCAAGCATTAGGATCATATTCTAGAGATCGAACTATCAGACTCTGGGATACTGCCACAGGAGCCCTGAATCAAGTTCTTAATTGCCACTTAGACCCAGTGAAATATGTTACATTTTCCCCGATGGCAGTGCATTGGCATCAGGCTCGGGAGATAAGATAGTCAGGCTGTGCGATGTTGCTACAGGAATGTCAGAGCTGGCTCTCATTGACCATAAAGAATCCATCCTAGCCGTGATATCCTCAGTAGATGGCCGAGTGTTGGCATCGAGATCTGAAGATAAAAGCGCAAATTTCTGGAATATCACAACTAGGTCTCCTCAGCACGTCCTTGAGGACCACTCAGATTCGTATGGGTCTGTCGCAGATTCACTTGATGGCCTGATTCTGGCATCAGGATCCCAAATAATATTTTATAGCTCTTTGAATACTAATACAAGGGCCTTGGACCAAGTTCTCGATGGCCATACTGCACAGGTTACATCTGCGGCCTTTTCACCCGACAGCAAACTTCTAGCATCAAGCTCTGATGGTACGACTACTAGACTATGGGACAGCACGAAAATAGGCCCACTACTACGACTAAAGCAAAGGCCTGTTATATGGGTCAATTTCTGGCCAAATAGTCAAATCGCATCTTGCCTGTCGTTTAGGTAGTCAAAATCTGGAATACAGCCACAGGCTTTCGGACTTCTTAAAATCATTCATTACCAAAGCACTCTTCGATACTCCCGCCAGCTAGCCAACTTATCGCATCAATCTCAAAGGATGAAACGAGTGAAGATTGGGACACATTCTCAAGTCCCTTAGAACACATTCATAGAACTAATTTGGGGTTGGACATACTTCGAATATTTTCACCGGACGACCGAGTGCTGATTAACATCTCTGAAAATTTCAGAAATAGCACTTTCCACGTTTGGGATACGGCCACAGGAGCCCTTCGGCAGACCCAAATTATACTTGTGGGAAGATTTCAATCCGGAGTATTTTCCCCAGATGCCACAATTCTCACACTGTACCCCGCTGAGATTAAAATGAGGCTTGGAGATTTCACTACCGGCACCCGTAAGACAGACCTGGTTTTCCGGGCTTGGTTTTTCTGCATGATGATGAGGTGCAAGAGATCCTCGAAGGCCATCCGCGCGACGAACAAAATCACACAGTGGGCATATCGCCTCATTACGAAGTTTTCGAGGTGGAAGGTCAATCCAATGCTGCATGTCTCGATAACTACATTGTTCCTATACCAGCAAGTGATATAGTGGAGAAAGAATGGGTGACTCAAGACGGTTAAAGATGATTTTTGCCTGTCGAGTATCGAGCACCATATTCAGCAGTCTACAAGAACATTCTTGCTATGGGACATGCTTCAGGTCGGGTTACTGTCATGAGAATGACCTAGTTTTTGGAAGTGCAGTAGGGCTTGCACCTCTTGTCGTTGCCACAAGACACGCCGCCGGATCAATACGCTCAAAATCCTGAGAGGTAGAGGGACTTGTTTGGATGATGATCTTTCTTTTTTCATTCATGCTCAATATTTTACATGCGTCAAGCACATCGGTCGTGGTATCTGTCTCTAGGCAATCCTCTTCTCAACCTCCTTCTCCGACAACCGACTAATAACATGAAATGAGAAATCTAATTCTCCAACCAAATCCCTCACACTCCTATCTATTCGTTAGCAGTAATTCGTTCTTTATTAGCTAAGAAAATGGGGAACGTACTGAATCAACCTCTCCAAATCCCCCACAATACACCTACTAGCAAGATGCAGCACACTAAAAGCTGCATACCCCGGCTCAGCCGCATGGCATATATTTAATATATCCTTATCGACTTCCTTGAGTCGTTCGCTGAACGCGTCGGGGCCGGGGACTTGTAGATATGGAGGAAGGGGTTGAGCGTTCACGATACTTGCCGATAAGAGGGCAAGGATGGATGTGATTTGGTGGGAGGTTACATGTGTTGTTGTGATGAGTTTTGTGAAGTCGGTGTACCATTCGGTTTGTTTCGAGGGACCGTTGTATGGTGTGTGCACTGACAGGGAGGAGGAGAATGTTTTGGAGGCGTATTCGGCGAGGTTGATGTAGTTCATTATACTGCTGCAAGTTAGTGGTTATCGATATATTCAAAGGTGAGGAGAGACATACTTCTGCATACAATCGATAATACGTTCATATTGATCCCTCGGAAACCGTCCGCCGACCTGAATTTCCCACTTTATGGAATCTGCGTACGAGCGCAGACCGTTGATGGCCATCGATTGATTGGCGTATGCTTTGTGTCTGGCCTTTTCTAATCGTCTTCCCGCAGACGACTTGAGTGTCATATCACCTTCATCACCCCTCGCACGCGCAATCAGTGTCTCATGAGTGAGCGAATAATATTTTGCCAACAGATATAACGAAGCACCCAGATTCTGTCGCAGGACCGAATGATCGGATATCGGATACGGGAAAATAGTCCATATAAATGCAACTACAACACCGCCTAGTACGACCGCTAGACGGTATACCGCCAACAAATAAGTAGGGTAGTATGGCTGACCACCGGCTTCGACAGCCTGTTCACCGAGTTTGACGACTTCCATCTCACTGGCAATGATCACAATTATAGTGAGCAAGCTCACGATACCGGCTTGTTGTAAGACTGCTTTTTTCAGTGGAATCCACCAGATGCCGGTTGTCCAGATGAAGAATAGAACGATGACGCCGGCGATGTGGCCTACTGGGATGTACCAGACTACCATGGCACCGATCATGCCAATTACCGTGCCGCTGGATCGCAGTGCGAAGTTTAATACGGTTTGCCCGGCTGTAGGACCCATGCTGATAGTCTGCATGACCATAGCCCAGACAAGGCGTTGACGCACGAAAAAAGCGTGCGAAGGTTCAATATAAGCGATAATCCCGATCGAAGTAGCAGCGCACGCAACCCGAAAGCCATATAGAGATCGCGAAGAGCGCAGAAAACTTGGTATTACACGTAGCCATTCTCCCATCGACTGCATAAAATTTTCAGGTGGTAAATGCTCTGGATCCTTACGTCGATGATATGCTTCACCTAAGTCAAGGATGACTCTACGACGGTAGACGTCTTCGCCAGTGCTTTCGCTTTGATGGTTTCGATAGAGACTTTCGATCCATTTACGGACTTCTTTGCTGCCGGGGACGATAAGGCGGCTATGTGAATATTTTCCGCTTGCTACGCGTCGGTCGGCGAAGCGGACAAAGTCGAGGATGGCGAGGCTAGACGAGTATAACATGTGCTCGACCTAGTTTATTAGTACCCATGTAGTCCACATGGAAATATTTTCAATGTGGCGACTTACATAGAGTAAAATGTACAACTGCCGCTCCGTCCGATCTCGAGGCAATGCTCCCGGCACATTCTCAGGCAGTTGTATAGGCTGGTCAGCCCTTGGATGATAGAAATAATCCTCCGGAAGCTCAATCCCTTTTTGCTCGCACCATTCCCGCAGGGTCACTAATCTCGCTTTGTAAAAGACCTCGCATTTAGCCTCCAAATACTGCGCAAACCCTTCTTCTCCAGGGCCGGCATGAGACGAAGCAGTCTCAATGTCTTTGTCTACTCCCTGCCTTTTCCTTTTCGCCAATTTCAATTGATATGCTACATGCTCCAGCCCGTCATGCATAACATCAATAATCTGGGCAAAATGGTCATGCGTAGATGCCATGATCGCATTCCAATCACGCACCATCCTTGCATGCACCGCATCATTCTTCGGATCAACCCCGCCTTCTTCAACGGGCTTGATCCAGTTATTCCACTCCATGATGCGATCAAAAATATCCACCACCGTACTGAGGCCCACAATCGGCACCATCGTGGCACGTAGCTGTTTAAAGATCATGCCGAATTCACTTACGCTCGGCTTGCCGTATGCAATTTCCCGTTTCGCATATGGTAGTTCATTCGTGAGCGATGCATGCATCTGGGATACTCGCCTTGCTGCGTTCTTGACTGCGTCTGCTTTTGCTCTATACAGCTTCTTCTCTTCCGTCGGATTGCGCGTCTGCACTCGCACAAACATGTCCAACTGCTCCATGGACTGGAAATACGATTCATGCACCCTGAGTGTATGCTGCATGGCTCGAATATACTCGCCCATAACGTCCAACACGGCGTCGCGACAGGTATCCGGGAAGATAAGTATATGCGTCACAGTCGCCAATGCCATACCCGTCAATATGGCCAATAAAAGCCTCTTGACGAGCGCAAATCCATCCGAAACAGTAACATAATCCGGTGCTTCGGTGACAGCCACGAAGAAGAGCATGCAATGCATCTGCACGGGAATACCGAGTTGCGGGTCTTCGCCGCGCAACGTATTCACAATATACGTCTGAAAAAACAGCCAAACAGCCGCTACGACGGATGCGGCGGTATTATGAGGCACGGAGAGAATCTCCGCCGTCGATATACCAGCAGGCAGTGGGCCACTGGTATGTTCCCGCGCTTTCACGCAGCAATAGACCATCAACAGACTACTCGCAGCACCGAAACAGACTAGCACAAGACCCTGCACTAAGAAATGGAAATATTTGCCGCGAGGAGCGCTGCAGCGACTGAACATTGCGGCAACGGGCATTAGATAGGCCATTGTAGCGTATTCTTGGGCTATGAGGTCGGATTGATACATTGCCAGTGCGATTGTTGCAGGGAGGGCAGCCCTGGCCGATTAGTCTTTTTTCGATTGCTTTGAGAAAGAACAGACGTACTTCATCATCCTTAGTAAAATCGGTACATCGATATCCATCCGCGAGAAGGCTCGCCTGATAGAACTCGAAGTCCACATTTTGTACTGGCGAATCCAAAGGTCGGAAGCTATCCGACCCATCAAACAGCATCCCACCAAGAAAAATGAAAGAAATATAGCTGATTATAACAATTGATGAAAGTCTGCTGCATTTTACTATTTTTCTTTTTATTCCTCCTAGTCGATTATACCATCGAACTATTGATTTGTCGACACGGTTAAGCGGCAGTCAGACGATCAACGACTTGCAGTTGCATTCGTGGATTTGGGATGCGACTGGCTGTCCAGACCAGTATTGATGTATGTATTCGCGACAGTGCTCACCGTATCGAGATGGCTATGTCAATATGCTAGTGAAGTGATAGATCTCGCATATTGATCAAGATGGCCATGTTTGTCGTCATTATATCGATGCTCCAATGCTTGGCGGTGGTTGACGTTGAAGTGTGGAGAACAAGAAAAAAAATCCCGTCGTCTCAAGTCTTGGAAAACTGGGTGGATCAGTGGCTAAATTTTAGTCTATAATCAAGTCCCAATACAAACATATTCATCTACTCCGTATACTAAGCCTGATCATTATAGAATTCATAACAAGTAACTAAGATTGTCGAAGATACTCATCCTTAACCGGATCAACCTGCCTCCTCTTGGCAGCCGGCACACAGTTCAAATATACAGGAAAAACAGCCCCAACACCCAAAAACCCAATAAAAGCACAATATGACTTCGGTTTCCCAATAACTAATTTTACCGCATATCGCACAACTATCCCAATAGCCGCACCACTAAGACCAGCCGTCAAGAACGACGCTGCCGTCTTTGCATGCGTTCCCACGCCACGAATCCAAATCGCGAAAGTGATGGGATAGATGGGGGCAACAGTAGCTCATATTAGGAGCGCAAAAGTGACAGGTGTTGTGCCGGATGTTTTGGCCCAGAGAAAAGTGGCGATAAGGGTGGTGATGTATGCTGCGACAAGCACTCGTCGTGGATTTGAACGCTTTCCATTGAAGGAAGGCGGCGGCGAATTGGGATGCAACTGCTATACTACTGCCGATGGCGATGTAGTCGAGAGGGTCTAGCTTAGTTTTTAGCCGTTAGTTGTATTAAGTCAGATAAAGAACTTGCTGGATCAGACTTATCTTTTAATTAGATTCATCTGAAACTCAACGAGGCATGTGCTTGCTGCTCTGCAGCATAGAAAGATTGCGACAAAAAACAGCCAGTACCAGCGTTCAGTAAAGCACTGAGTACCCCTTAAACCCTACTCTAGCTTCATCTGCCGCACGCCGCTCAGCCAGCATTCTCAAGTCAACATCCGGCGCCTCGGGCACCGGCACATACCAGAACACGACAGCAAGCAATATATTAAAAGGCGTATGAGCGAGACAGGCCCATTGCACCGTAATCGTTTGAGTCTGTTGACTGTCGTAGTGGACCAGGTTGGGTATAGGTCTACAGCTAAATATGACGTTGATAGTCGATCCAGGACCTACTGAATTCACCACGAAGAGGCACGAGACCAGGTACAGGCCTACAAAGACGCTGGCAAAGACGAACAGAAGTATTGATACTACCAGAATCAGTAGTCGACGGTCGTCCATTCTGAACCATTTTCTTGGTTTGTGTCAGTGTAGGTTTAGCAATATAAGTATGTACGTAGTAAGATGGTTCAAGTGGAGGCAATCATTATGATAAAAAAGTAACCTTCGAGCCGCCACTATGAAGACGTCCGCTATAACAGAAATCGGGAGATCATGTGGATGGTCATTGTGTATGTATTTACACCAGAAAAACAGACATGGTCATCAGGGAAAAAGAAAGAAATGAGTATGGGAAGAAAAACTACTCTATGGTATAAACCGGCGCTTGGACAAGGATATTATTCGGCCCGCGGCCCTTGACCTCCACCGTCATGAACGTCGAGAGTCGCACCCGGGATCGCTTGTCTTGCTGCTGTAATTGCTCATCTCGTTCTTTATTACTTGTAGCATTGTCAGGAGATGTAGCCAACCCTTGAGTCTGACCCTGTGATTGTGCAGGTGCGGGATTCGGCGATGCCGCCGATTTCTTGCTCATTAGACTTCCGAATGGATACTTCTTTCGTTGTTCTCGGTTTTGAGGAATATATTTGCCTTGAGTGTCGGGTTGTTGTGGTTGAGTTGGTTGCTCTTTGTTGTCAGTTTCCATTTCTTCGTTGCCCTCGCTTGCAATATCATCTCTGGCTTCAGCAATTGGTCGCGTCAATGCCGGCAAACCCGTTTCAACTTTCATGTTGATCTCCGAAACAAAAGTTCCAGGCTGAATGTAATCGACCACAATGTCTCGCGCTTCTTGTGGAATCTTCTCAGCAATGTTGATTGCATTCTCGACAATCATCCGTGTATAATGAGCAAGTTCCGGTGGAGCGGGTTCCTTTAAATCGCACTGCAGCGTTGCCGAAAGCTTTTCAACCAGATACTCGACCAATTGATCCATATTTTCTTGCGTGGTCTTGGCTTGCAGCACATCCGCCAATCCATCCAGCGTAGTCCGCCTCCAGTTCGAGATACGAGCCACCTGGTTTTCTTTGTCGTCATCATTAAAGACTTGGGTTTGTTGGCGGCGCAGATTCATCTCAATAGCCTTGAGGCGTTCGCTAAAACTGCGTTCCAAGCCAGGATGAAAGTAACGGTTGAATACATCCTCAACTACCCATCGAGTAATCACTGCACGACCGACGCCTGTCATCTCTTTAGTGCCCACCGTCACTGCATCGTCATTAACAAACGGGTGCAACCAGTCAGGAATAGCTCTCCAGTCTTTTCTTATCGAAAAGGCAAGTTCCTTGATAGCACCATCAAGACGCTGAAACCTGGCCGTGTACTCGTTGTCATCCAGAACCGTACGCGAAACAGCCATTCGCTGATGAGCTACCGTATTCTGGAGCGCTGTGACCTGCGCCTCTTTTTCGAAATAATACCTCTTGACTTTTTGATATTTGGCCTCTGCTCACAGTCAGTTCGTAACATCTAACCATATTTCGAAAATAAACGTACGAAGTTCTTCATGCCTCATAATCAATGCACCAACATCCAAATTCTCCAATTCTTCGCGCACCTTAGAATTCAGCTGTGCCGACGGTGGCGTCTCGCGACCCTGCATATCGTTCAGATTCTGCTGTGAAGCATTCTTGAACGATCCCTGTGCTGCATTCTGAAGATACGGTTGTCCACTCGGAGTCGCCAACGAATCCTTACGAGACGGGATCTGGGACTGCGACTCTGTCGGTCGTGTGCCCATTGGTTGCTGTGAAGTCGCCATATCGCTTACCGATGGATCAACGCTCGTGTGAATAGATGGTCGACGAGAGGAGGCCTGAATTATTAGCATATTGCGCAAGAAAAAGAGTCATCTTGCTCACCTGGCTAGGAATCGACTCAAAGCTCTCAGACCGCCTGTGCTGCCACCCCAGATGACTGCGATCGCTAACGTCCACACCTAAGCGTTGCGGCGATTGCGTATTCTCCAACGGCGTATGCGGCTGACTCGGTCTATTCGGACTAGCAGGCGTTTCCGCAGTTGGTGGTCGCAGCGACGCCTCCGACTCAAACGGTTGACTGGCGTTATCCAACGTCGACCGACTCTGGTTTTGGTCTAATGAATGTGTACTCGTCGATAGCGTGGTTACTCTTCTTCCATACTCCGATGACGACTGCGACGGCGGTACGGTGCTGTCTCGTCCGAACGAGTGCTTGATGGAAGCTGACCGACCGAGCGATTTTTCTTTTTTGCCGGATTGTTTTGTAGCTGGGCTGCTGGATGCGACGCTCTGGTTCCGGCTGAAGAATCCCTTTTTCTTCTTTTGTAGCTTGCCGCTGTCTTGGAGTAGGTCCGGGGTTGAAGTGTTGTGTGCGCTGGTGGGCCACTGTTGTTGGTCAATAGATTCTCTGGCACGGTCTGGGCTCTGGTAACCACTATCGTCAATTTGCTGCTGCTGCTGACTAGGCGTCACCACACTGATAGTAGGCCGGTCGATAGAGGGTTGGCTACGATTGTGTGCAGGATGGCGGTATTGTTGTTGTTGTTGATGGTCCTCTTCCCGCCCGTACCTTAAATCAACAGCTGGATATGGACTGTGCGGGGAATGAGGGCGATGGCCGTGAAACTGATGGGTGGGAAACGGCTCGGAGGGACGGCGATTCGCTTCAAATCTTTTGTCGGCAAATTCTTCCAAGGATTGTTGCTGTTGATGAAGCAGCTGGTAGGGGTCGTTGGGTAGCGGTGGTGGAGGAGGTCCTGGAGGGAGAGGTACAGCTGAACCCGACGGAGACTCGCCCGCGGGACCTGCAGAGGAGGCCTGCTGGGAGCGGGTCTTTTTGCTGAAGAACGAGGGCATGGATGGAGAGAGAGCTCTCTCTCCGACGATATGTAAATGGGCAGAAAAGAAATGTTTGATAAACACAGTTTGTTAATAAAAGAGCGTTGTGTAAAGGTTCAGTGTCATCTTGGATGAAGTGAGGGCGACTCAGCCTGGTGCACAAACAGACTAGTGACCTGCAACTAGTTCAGCTCTGTTGGTACTGTCAGCCTCCTGTACCTTACCATCACCAGTAATTAAGGAAGTAGTGGTTACGTATGCTTGAACATACAAAGGTATTACTGAGTTAGTGAATATGAAGCATGTTGTTCTTAGCATTGATGTACTAGTAGTTCCTACGTAGAGAAAAAATGAAGGATGAGAACGGATCTATAAATAGAAGTGCTTGTAGCGCCGACTTCAGCCCTGCTCTCAGAAATGCAAACCCCTTGAAATAATCACCAGAATATACTATCTGTGCTCGTCACACCAACAGAAAAGAAAAGAGGGACACCGCTAAGCGACTTGGATGAGCCTTTGTTTACACTTGTTGACGTTGGGACCTGGGTTCTCCGTGCTTGTCCTACTGCAGACGCCACGGGGCTGTGCTGTGTTGATCACCACCAGAAAAGAATCAATAGCTGGCTGAATTAAGCGAAACATCAGGCTACGTGTCTACATACGTATGCGCCTAATTGGGTTCTTGGTAGCAATCAATCAATTGTTTCATATCCATAATTCATACTAACTTATCATAATTAGCAAACGGCATGGGTCTTGCCATGCTTGCCCTGCAAGGAGTGCTTCTCCTTCTTATACGCAGGGTGATTATGGTGAGACTTGTGCGAGTTGACAACATGATCCTTAACATGTTTCTGGTACTTGTCCATCATCCCCTTGTCCATCTCGCCAAGAGTCTGGAGAGCAAGTTTGATGTCGTTGACGAGAAGGTCGGCGCGGGGGAGAGTGAAGTCTTCACGGACAACAACGCGCATCATCTTCAATCCCTCGCTATGAGGGGCCATCGTGTAAGCAGGGACAACCCAGCCGCGTTCGCGGAGGTGGTGTGCAATGGCAAATTCGTCGTAGAAGTGTTCGCGGTCAGGGTTGAGACGGAATGCGACCAGGGGCAAGCCGTGGCCACGGCCTTGGCTCATGATGATAAAGCCGAGGTCTTGGAGCTTGCTGGAAAGGTAGTCGGCGGTGCGGGTGAGGTTGAGCATGATAGAGCGGTATCCTCGCTTACCGAGACGGATCATCTGGTAGTATTGACCAATAACCTGAGAAGCACCCTTGGAGAAGTTGAGGGTGAAGCTGGCTTGGTCGGCTCCAAGATAGTTGATGTTGAAGACGAGTTCCTGGGGAAGAAACTCGGGCGATCGCCAAACGACCCAGCCAACACCAGGGTAGACCTATGTATGATTAGCAGCCGTAAAAGCTTTATTGTAGTAACAACCTACCAAACCGTATTTGTGACCAGACACGTTGATTGAGACAACCTTCTCCAGTCTGAAATCCCATTCCAAGTTGGGATTGACGAAAGGAGCCACGAAGCCACCACTGGCAGCATCAATGTGAATAGGGATATCAAGGCCCTTCTTAATCAACAAGTCATTGATAGACTTGGCATCTTCATATTCACCAGTGTAGGTGGTTCCCAAAATCACACAAATACCGATGGTATTCTCATCAACCAAGTCCACAGCCTCCTTGGGATCAATGACATATCGCTCATCAGTACAGTAAACGTACTTTTCCTCAACATCAAAGTAGCGAGCAGCCTTTTCCCAGCAGACCTGCACAGCACTGTTCATGATGATGTTGGGACGAGACCAGTCTTTACCTTCGGCCTTGCGCTTGTTTTGCCAGCGCTTCTTCATGGCGAGGGTAGCAAGCATGATGGCCTCGGAGGAGCCGATGGTGGAGGTTCCCATGGCGTTGTCACTGTCGGCGCCAGTGGGAGCGTTGAAGAGGCGGGCAATCATGTTGACGCATCGGTTCTGGATGTCGGCGGATTGAGGGKATTCTTCGTAGTCGATGAAGTTTTTGCTGAAGGCTTCGGTCATGAGCTTCTCCGCTTCGTCTTCCTGGTGACCATTAGATAAGTAATTGTAGCTGGAGCGAGATTATGTACCATATAAGTAGTAACAAAAGACGCCAGACTTTTCGAGTTTATTAGTTCTCTCCTGTTATTTTGTATCAAGGAACATACTTGAGCATAGGGTTCCCATCCAGACTCAAATCATCCTTGATCATGCGGTAGGCGACTTCGCGAGGCATCTCCCTCTCCGGCATCTCCAAAGAGGGGAGCGACTCAGCCGCATAGCGAGTTCCGTAGACGCTGGTGGAGTAATCATCAGCTCCGGGAGCATTGAGATCGAGCGTTTCGATGCGCTGAAGTTGTCTCGGCTCGAATTTAGGAACCTCGTGCTCTTTCTTGACACTTGCTAGGTGGACCATCTTGGACCAAGTATAGATGAGAAGAGATGAAGAGTAGATAAGCGGGGGGAGTAAGATAGTTGGGAAAAGAGAGGAGGAGACGAGTCAAGAGAGCAAGAGCAGAGAGATCTTTTTAAGGGGACAGAGAGTGAGTGCTCTTTTCTTTTTTTTTTCCCTCGACCTACTTACATTGTACTAGTACTCCCCTCTGTTCACGTTCTCATGGCAGCGACATCATTGAGTGGATGCTCCGGGAAAGCTTCGTGTGGCTTGCGGTGGGGAACCTGAATCCACGTCAGTTTCACTATCGGTACGCGTATTTACGAGATAACACGGTACTGGACAGGGGAAGTATGGTCAATGAGGGTAAAAGCTTGTACGAGCCCCTCCATCGACGTAATGCACCGGCCAAAACGAGGAACTAACCAGGCACCCAACCTGGCGCTAAGGCACTCGATCGCAGAGAGTGGCTGGTGGCCTTCCCTGTATCTCCGGCCAACACATCCTGGTTGAGTGAATAATCCCCGGTCATTTTGTGTCGATCGAATGATTTGACTCGACAAGCAAGTCTCCGTTAACTGCTATGTAAGGTATCAGTCAGCAGTTGCTGTGCTGATACGTCCAAACATGGGCTGCGATATGTGCCACGTACATGTGGAAACATAGTCATACATACTTACTACATAAGTAGTAGGTAGTGCAGCGCGAAAAAGCTTAGCCTCGACGATCTCGGCCATAGCGGGGTAATCTACGAAACGGTGCTACGTACCTACAACTTGAAGATGGTCCAAGACACAGTCACTATTCATATAGATTGTCATCTCTGATAAGAGACAAAAAGAAAAGAAAACTATTCGCGGCAATCCATTTACTCCCTAAGAAGAGGAATCAGGGAGCTTAGAAGCTAACTTCCGAAATTTGACGATGGTGGAGTCTGTCTTCCCCTCTCCAATATCCAATTATCCATACCCAGGCCCATGCACTTGACGCAAAGAGTCTCCTGGATAATACGTCCACGCATGCGAAATGTACGTAGTGCCCTGCCGGGCTTGCTGCAAGAAAGACGGTCAATATATTTCCAATTCAACCCCAGACTACTAGTCATAATTAGTTCATGGTCCATCTTTTTCGTTCAATCCAAAAGAATAAAGATATGAAGCAAAATGACGGTCTCCATGAACCTCCATTCAAGCAGTTGCTTTCTTTAATTAGGCAGAGTCTGACTTCCAACCAATCAGAGCCTCAGATCCGATAATGCCACATGTTTGTCCTGTTTGCATCCCGTATCTCCTCCGCGGGGAAAAATATACCCTTATCGAAATATTTTTTATCTGCTCCATCATTTAGCTTCCACTCGCTTCATTTCTAATTCCGTTCTTTTTTGTACAATAATATTCCCGAGATATAGACAACATGGGCCAAATAGAAGAACTCCCCGACGACTACGACGAGTCCCAACCCCCAGCAACCACAACTACACCTCCAGCAGAAACACCATCGATCCCGCCCTCGCTCCTCTCCAACGACAACATCCCCTTCCCCATAATACCAGAAAAAGTGAAAAATGCAGATCCATTGGCGCCTGAGTTGCCGCCTGCAATGGCATCGATTCGGTCGTATACGCCCGATCAACTGGCGGATATGATGAAAAAGACGCCGTTGTTTATGACGGATTTGGATAATGCTGGCGATGAGGGTGATTCCCCTAATTCCTCAAGAATACCAATATGAAATATAAAAGCTGATTAAATGAGTGTAGAAGGAGAAAACGTCATGCTCGAAGCCATCCGCGCGCTGCAATACGAAGGAACTCGAGGCGACGTCACGCTCAGTTTCAGGGAACAAGGCAACGAAGCCGCCAAGCTGAAAAACTGGACGGACGCAAAGGAGTTTTATACAAAGGCCATTGCGGTGCTAAACGTTAAAAAGGAAGATGATAAATGGGAGAAACCGACTGATCTGGAAAAGGAGGAGAAGATGTTGAAGGAGGCGAGGGAGGCGTGTTATGCGAATAGGGCGTTGTGTAATTTGGAACTGAGTAAGTCTTTTCTTTTTTGTGTGGAGGATGGGGAAAGGTGGCTGCTAATGGAAACAGAGAACTATAGATCAACAACCCTAGACTGCGCCCAAGCCCTCAAAGTCAATCCGCGAAACGTCAAGGCGTACTACCGCTCCTCAATGGCCCTACTAGCCCTCGACAAAATCGCCGAAGCCACCGACACCGTCCTGCGCGGCCTTGCAATCGACCCAAACAACAAATCTTTACAACAAATGTCGGAAAGGATAGCCGCCCGCAAAGAAATACTTGATAAAATCGCCGCCCGCAAACAGAAAGAAGAAGAAACGAAACAGAAACAGAAATTATTACTATCCACGGCACTACAAGCTCGCCAGATCCGCGTGCGCAAAACAGACGCAAAGCCGGATATGGAAGATGCGCATATCGCGTTGACGCCGGACCCATTGTCGCCGGAGAGCACGCTTGTGTTCCCCGTGATGTTTTTGTATCCGATGGATGCGCAGACGGATTTCATAAAAGCGTTTTCGGAGATGGATTGCATTAATGATCATTTGGAGTATTTGTTGCCCTTGCCGTGGGACACGAAACAAGAGTATCAGGCTGCGATGCTGGATTGTTACATGGAGACTGTGACGGGAGGACTGATTAAGGTGGGCAAGAAGTTGCCGTTGCTCCAGGTCTTGTCCGGTGGGAAGGTGGAGGTTGTGGATGAGTTGGTGAGGATTATTGTTGTGCCGAGGGGGAAGACGCAGAAATTTGTGGAGGAGTTTAAGGCGAGGAAGGGGAAGGCTTAATTGTAACAGCTTACAAAGACATACAATATCCAAGACGAAATATTCATCATATTAACCTGCCCATTCAGGCGTGCAAAGACACATGGCGAGGAAAACCGAGTGGTTCTTGTGTCAACACTTGGAGTAAACCTCGCCTCAGGTCACTCTAATCTATCAATCGTACATTTTCTCAATCACCAAACATGTCAAGCTGGTTGACGGGGTATCTCTGGGTATCTCTCAAAACGGGTCATTCAATAAACAAAAATTTGATGCGCATCAAATGGGATACAACATTTTTTTGCCAAGTACAGGGATATATGTTCCGGAACATATTGGAAAGAACTCGGAAATGGAAAGTGCTTTCAAGGCATTTATATAGTGTCACAGTCCGCCAGAGATCTATTCGTTCTTCGTTCACTCATCATCAAGTCATTGACTTAATATTTCCCAGTCTTAAAGTCGACGACACCAAGGTATGCGAGAAACTCCAGCTCAGCATTGGTATTGTTGTCGATATTCTCAATTTCCGACTCGTAGCCGGTCATAATAACTTCCGCTGTATCTCCCTTGGTAACACAAACCTGGCCCCAGAAAGTGGGAGCATCAGGTGTTCGTAGCGTAGCGGTAGCCTGCGTCTTTGTGATTGCGGTGGTCGGTTGTTTCTTTGCGTTGTAGGCAGTAAACGCAGATGAATCGTCGTCAAGAAGAAGACCAAAGATAGCGGAGAGCTTGTTTCGTCTGGATTGTTGTTCGAGTTCTTCTGCAGAGGTCGGGGCCGCACCATATGATGCAGTAAAGATCGAGCCGGCTTCGATGCTCTTGTCGTCATCATGGGTGTTGCCCTGGCGGAAGTTGCAGGTCAGGAGTTCGTTGAAATGACACTTATAGGAAGCGCAGAGGCGGCGGGCAGCTTTGAATGCGCCCGCGAAGACGTTTGTGGTGGTCTTGGTGTTGGCCACTGATTCGGTGGAGGTCCTCAGGGCGTTCTTTTCATCGACCAATGTGATTGGGCGTTCAAGGCCGGGGAAGGAAGTGAAGGTAGCATCAAATTCTTCAGTGAATTGAGATACACGAGCCATGTTGATAGAGACAGTGTTAAACAGTTGCGTTGCGTCGCGAGCTGGGTGGTTCAATTCGGAATTGCTCCGTGTTTTGTTTCGGGCGGGTTTTATCCTCGCAATTCGTTTTATTTCTGAATATTGTTTTGTGTTTGTGTTTGGCCTAGGCAAATATAAAGCTACAGGCAGCCAGAAGGTTAAATGGAAACTTGTTCCGAAGATTGGAATTGTATATCAAAGCTCAAGCGGAAACGTGGTGTTTGGTTTTGGTTATCCTCGATATCGCAGGGCTGCGTGGGTAGAAAAAAGAAAGAAGAGGAACCTCTGGGAGGGACGTTTGATTCTCTTCTTATAGACTTCGAGGCTCAGACAGCCGTAGTTGCCTGCCATGATGGTGTTGAACAATCCACGGTTCACGGCGCAGGCAGATGCGTCATTGTGTGTATAGAAGGAGATCCATGGATGGCGGTGATGTTGCCTGAAGCTTTTTCATTCATGGACCGTAGATTTTTTGAGGTCCATAAACTCAATCGAGTCCTTTGACGGGGGGTTTAGTAGTGCAATTGAGTTTCTTCTCGACAGGCAGCATAATGAATCATACTTCCCTTATGCTAATTGATGTGAAACTGATCATAAACAGTCTGGCATCCCCAGGCTGCAGTAGAAGAAGGTTCAGGCAACAAACCCATGATATTAATCTCCAGACAGTCGTCGAGCTGGATTGACTACGCGCCATTGCACAATCCAATCAAAGTATAGAGGAAGATGGAGCGCAGCTCATCTTGTACTCCATACTCAACCTTTAATTTCTGCAATCTACAAGATAGCAGAAGTGTGCTAAGGCATGGATAAGATATGGTGGAGAGCGGAGATTATTAGACGGGTCTTGGCACCTTTCTAGTGACCAATCACAATGATGGCTCATACTCTAGCGTTGCTAAGCGCAGACGCCGCCAAGAGCCGGCGTTGTAGCTTCCCGAAACAGCCTAGCGCTTGCCCGCCCCGAGATTTCTTCCTGTCTGTCTGTCGCCCACTGCATCACAACAAATTTCCCACGCTGTGTCAACGAGCTAGCCCGCGAGATAAAATACTTCTTCCTTGGTACTTACCGGTCAATCCTTGCTCTCTTTTCCTCCGCCAATCACAGTCCTTCTTTTCTATCTTGTCCCCCCTGTTGCTGAGTGTCAACGAGTCAGTCTGCCGTACACCCGACCGTTGACCTGTTCGTGTCTGTCTGCCTGCCTGCCTCGACTCTCGTCTCTCGCTTTGTGTTGGCGCCTTCAAACTCTGATCTATCCTTGTAGCTGTGGTACCGGTACATGGGTGTCTACTGTCTAGCCCAGTACGGAGTCCTGCGCCAAACAGCCATCCCATTCCCGAGCAAAAATAGATAGTCACACGGTTCTCAGATCGTCCCGCTCCATACACTACAGATCCATCATCTGCCACCGCGGCTGCCACAATGAATTCCAACCCCACTGGCTATCCTACGACCATGCAGCAACATGCTAATCCCATGTTGGCGGCCACTGCAGGCTATCCAGTCCAGTCCGGAAGCCCAAGCAATCAGCAGTTCCCCTACTACGCTGCCAACCCGATGGCTGCCTATCCGCCGCAAATGCAACAGCCGTCGCAGGCACGTCCCGGCCAGATGCAACAACATTCCTTTAACCCCATGCAGATCCAGACCTCCGGCCCTGGTGGAGCTATGATGCCGGCTAATATGGTTGGTAAGTTATGATCCTTTTGTCTTTGATTACTCGTTGTTCTAGCGCTCGGCTTCGTCTTCCCTCTTCTCTTGATTCGTCTCTCCGCTGCGGTCATGGCGTTGCGTCAACTTGCATATTTACAGCCACTTCAGTCTCTGCAAGAGGACTGGCTTGGCTTGTCTAACTTTGTCCTACTTGTTTATTGTCTGGCCAATCAATGTATGCGCATGGTGCGTCATCTCAAGTAACCATGCTACCTCAATATCAGCCCGGCTGTATCCACCATCTGTATCCACCAGTGCCTCGTGGCTATAGGACGCGCAAACTAACGTAGGGCCTCCACAGCTCCGCATGCCAACATGGCTTACTCCTCGCCTTCTCCCTACCATCCGACCTCCATTCCGACTACATCTGCCTCACCCGCACACTCCCAGAGTCCTGCCATCGCAGCCAGCGTCTCGATGCAGATGCCATCTCAGAACATGACTGCTGTTTCTAATCCTGCAATGCTGCTTGCGCAACAGCAACAGCAACAGCAACAGCAACAGCAGCAGCAACTTCAACTTCAGATGCAGCAACAACAGCAGCAGCAGCAGCAGCAGCAGCAACAACAACAATTGCAACAGCAACAGCAACAGCAACAGCAACAGCAGAGAGCGACACCGCAGACCAACCAGACCCCACCAGGTCAGCAACCTCAGCAACCTCAGCAACCCCAACAACAGCAAGCAGCTCCTCAATCTCCTGCCGCCGCTGCTCGCGAACGAGCTCGCGTCACTGCTCTTCTTGACATCAATTCTGCTCTTTTGCAGGAGTTACTCAATTTACAAGCAGCAGGCAAGTCTGGTGGCGCCCCACAACAACCTTCCACATCGACCCCCGAGCAGTCATCATCACCAGGGTCGGCGACGGAGCCAGCAAGCGCTTCGAGTGATGCTCCAAGGAAACCCAGTCAGGAATATGTAGAGTGCTTGAAGCGCCTACAAAGCAATCTAGTCTATCTTGCCTCCGTCACGGATCGCAACAAGAAGCCAGTCTCGGTCGCTCCGGCCATTCTCTCTCCTCCGCCCCATATGGGCAATCTGAACGAGCAATATGCGAAGTTGAATGAACTTTTTGCCGGTGCTCCTCGGCCTGCTGCAGCACACCAGCAAAGACCCAGCCAGTCAGGCGCGGCCGCCGAGACCGCTGTGTGACAGGATAGAAATGAATGCTACTTTAAGGTCACCCATCGCTTGCTACACATGCAGCGCGCTTTGCGCGCTATACCTTAACTGCAGCCGGTCGTATTCGATTCTGAGTCCACAAGACTTGAAGGTATTACGACTCCAGAGTCTGGTAAGGCTCCCCTCTGGTTGGACGTCAACGTCCATCAATAACATCGTCTTGGGAAAGAGACGCCTTTCATCTTGTCTTCATTACAAGACGTTGCGCAGTATTGGCATATTGGAAAATGGGCCTGCATGTTGCACATACAGAGCGGGACATAATTATGCTTCCGCTAGCCATTTAAGGGCAGGTTACGCTTCCTTGCTTTTCGTACAGTGTACCATCTCTGACTGACGGGGCTGTCGCCCGGAAGAGTATAGTGTATCATGTGAATATTTAAACCTGCAATCTATTCAATTTTATTCTCTCACCACGTAGGAGTGGTGCGAGTCTCTACCTTTCTACAAATTAGCGCAGATCAGCGAGTCACGTTCTACAATATTATTTATTCCTCATTTACCTATCTAGTTTCATTCTCTTTCTTAAGTATCTCAAGCTAGGAGTTGGTGTAGAGATGAGTGCCTGTTCATCCAATCAGCATGGCAGATCCAAGGCGGGAGATCATCCATCACAAATTTTGCCGTGCACTAGCTCGCGATGGTGGCTCTGCTGACCCTGACTACATCGCTCACGCGCCGCTCTAGTCTCACCCTCCTCCGCAATTTTAGACAAGAAGGCAAATTGATCCGTTCCGTTGATTTTCAATCGAACGGGACTCTTAGTGGTTGCTGTATTGATTGTGGATGTCCCCCGTCTCATTCAGGACGACGCTCGGGACGGCGACGGGCATTCTTTCTTCTGCTTCTTCTGCGTTGACCTTTAGCTCCTCGACTGCTGCAGCTGTACGAACGCCACCCATCAGAGCTTCGAAATCGACAAAACCCCGTTTTACATCCACATCTTTTGTGCGTTGCGCGAGTCACAAGCTCGGTTGTACTCCTCCAAAAGCTCAATTTTGGTCGTGCATAGATTTCTTACCGCCCTGGAAGCTTGCTCGGTTCTCGTCTTATAGACCATCAATATCCGCGCAATCCCTGACTCACAAGTTACTCATCTCGGAGAGTTGGAGACACCTACAATTTCCCAAATTTTACAGTACATCATCTCCTCCCGATAAAGCACCCGATACATCCTCCAAAATGAACGGCGAAGCTCGCCCCAAGCGCAAACACAGCCCAGTCTCAGCATCCGACAGACCAGCGAAACATCTCAAACCCGAATCTACCGTCCTCACTCCCGGCGACGAGACACCCGCAAATGGCACCGTATACGACGTCGAAAATGGCGAGGATATCACACCTATCGTCGCAATGGGCGCAGCTCAGGCAGATTCGCCCGAGTGGCAGGCGACTATTGAGTCAGTGGTGAAGAGTGTTGTGTCGATTCACTTTTGTCAAACGTGCTCGTTTGATACGGATCTTTCGATGTGCAGTCAGGCTACCGGCTTTGTGGTTGATGCGCAGAGGGGCTATATCCTCACGAATAGGCATGTGGTTTGCGCGGGCCCCTTTTGGGGGTATTGTATTTTTGACAATCATGAAGAGGTGAGTAGCAGACCTTGAGGTGAATGGCACCAAACTAATACTCTGCAGTGCGATGTTCGTCCCGTTTATCGAGATCCTGTCCATGATTTCGGTATTCTCAAATTCGATCCCAAGGCTATCAAGTACATGGACATGACGGAGCTAAAATTGAACCCTGACGGAGCACAAGTGGGCGTTGAAATCAGAGTCGTCGGTAACGATGCTGGAGAGAAACTTAGTATTCTGTCAGGTGTCATCAGCCGACTAGACCGAAACGCGCCGGAGTACGGTGAAGGATACAGCGATTTCAATACAAACTACATCCAGGCTGCCGCTGCTGCTAGCGGCGGAAGTTCTGGTAGTCCTGTCGTCAACGTGGCTGGTCACGTTGTTGCACTCCAGGCGGGTGGCCGTGCGGATGGTGCTGCTACAGACTACTTTTTACCACTGGGCCGTCCACTACGAGCGTTGCAGTGTATACAAGACGGCAAACCGGTTACACGTGGAACTATCCAAACACAATGGATGATCAAGCCTTTTGACGAATGTCGACGCCTCGGCTTGACTCCCGAATGGGAAGCCTATGTCCGAAAATCCGCACCCAAAGAGACCGGAATGTTGGTGGCGGAGATTGTTCTCCCAGAAGGCCCCGCTGATGGAAAGCTTCAAGAAGGAGATGTTCTGCTGAAAGTGAATGGAGAGTTACTCACTCAATTCGTGCGACTTGATGATATTTTGGACTCGAATGTCGACCAGTCTATTCGGCTATTGATTCAACGCGGTGGTGAAGACCTTGAGGTAGAATGCACTGTTGGCGACTTGCATGCAATTACGCCGGATCGCTTCGTCAGTGTCGCTGGTGGCACATTCCACGATCTATCTTACCAGCAGGCTCGCCTGTATGCTATCGCCTGTCGTGGTGTATATGTCTGCGAGGCAGCAGGCTCATTCAAGATTGAGAACACTTTATCCGGCTGGATCATCGATTCTGTGGACAAGCGGCCGACACCAAATTTACAAGAGTTTATCGAAGTGATGAAGACAATTCCAGATCGCTCGAAAATCGTCATCTCCTACCGACATATTCGGGATCTCCACACTCGAGGGACTAGCATCATCTACCTTGACCGTCACTGGCATCCAAAGATGTCTCTTGCGGTCCGTAACGACGAGACTGGTCTATGGGACTTTTCTGATATTGCCGGTCCGCTACCTGCTGAACCCCCAGTCCCGATGAAAGCAGACTTTATCCAATTAGATGGAATCAGCCAGACTGCAGCCGCTGAGATTGTGCGCAGCTTTGTCCGCGTGTCATGCACCATGCCCTTGAAGTTGGATGGCTTTCCTCAAGCTAAAAAGACCGGATATGGTTTGGTCATCGATGCGGAGAAGGGACTGGTTGTTGTGTCGCGAGCTATCGTTCCGTATAATCTGTGCGACATCAACATTACTGTAGCGGATTCAATCATTGTCACTGGAAAAGTCATCTTTATGCACCCCTTGCAAAACTACACTATTGTGCAATATGACCCAAGTCTTGTTCAGGCACCTGTCCGAAGTGCGCAATTGAGTACAGAGAACATCAAGCAAGGTCAAGATACGATCTTTGTCGGATTCAACCAGAACCTCCGTATTGTCGTTGCCAAGACGACCGTGACTGATATCACAACGGTCGCCATACCTGCCAACGCCTCGGCTCCACGCTATCGAGCTATCAATCTTGATGCCATTACAGTAGACACGGGGCTCAGTAGCCAATGCACGACTGGCGTTTTACTCCGTGAAGACGGCGTAGTGCAAGCCCTTTGGCTGAATTATCTTGGTGAGCGAACAGGAAACTCACACAAGGACGTTGAATACCATCTTGGCCTGGCAACACCGTCTATACTCCCCATAATCAGCAAGATCCAACAAGACGAAATCCCTAAGCTACGGATTCTGAACATGGAAAGCTATGTCATTCAGATGAGCCAAGCACGCATCATGGGCGTGTCGGAGGAATGGATCAATAAAGTGGCAGAAGCCAACCCATCCAGACATCAGCTGTTCATGGTTAGAAAACTAGACAGCCCACCTCCAAAATTCACGCATAAGGCGGATGCTCTTAAAGAGGGAGACATCATTCTCACTCTTAATGACAAGCTCATTACCCGAGTGTCAGAGTTTGACATCATGTACGATAACGAAGTACTTGACGCATTGATCGTTCGGAACGGCCAGGAAATGCATGTCAAGGTGCATACGGTGCCGACAGAAGATCTTGAGACGGACCGAGCAGTGGTGTTTTGTGGAGCTGTGTTGCAGAAGCCGCACCATGCTGTGCGTCAGCAGATTTCCAAGCTTCATAGCGAGATATATATCAGTGCAAGGGTACGTCCTCTCTTTTTCTTTTGTCCAGATCATTTGACTAATTTGAGCAGAGCCGCGGTTCACCGGCATATCAATACGGATTATCGCCTACGAATTTTATTACCGCAGTCAACGGCGTTCAAACCCATGACCTTGACAGCTTTGTCGAAGAAGTTAAAAAGATTCCCGATAACACATACTTTCGTCTCCGAGCGGTCACATTTGACAATGTGCCATGGGTAGTCACCATGAAAAAGAATGACCATTACGTGAGTCTTTCACTTGCATATCCCTATAAGAATCACATCTAACTAGTTATCCAGTTCGCCATGTCGGAATACGTAAAAGACGCCTCAGCGCCAGCGGGATGGAAAGTGATCAATTACCCAAAGAAGGATGAATCGGCAGATCAGGGTAATCTCACTGCAGATGCCATGGATGAAGGAGGTGAAGGTGGCGGAAGCGACGCTGAGCCTGATTGTTAGACTATTATCTACCACATTGTACCTAGGTAGGATTGGAAAGGAACTTGTACAATAGAGAATTAGTAATCCCGGGCTCGATTGGGAATATATAGCGATTGAGTGGATTGTGTATAAATAAAAGTTATATCTTTCAATGTTATCAGCTCTATCCCAAACGCTCCCACGAGCCCTCAGTAAGTGCTTGATGGACTCTCCCTAAGCGAGCATTCTAATGAGTGTCTATGTAGGTACATAATTCCCATGGTAAGCGATGAGAACTAATGCGCAAATCTAAAATCCAACCTCTTACTCCCCTGCAATTTCGTATCCTTTATGTATCTCGTCCTCTCCTCTTCCGACATCACCTTCCAGACCCTATCTCTGCGCCGATTCACATACACGTAGTAAACCTTTGTGGAGATAAAGACCAGAATCACGACGAGATTGATAATTAGTAAGTTGGTGTTTCCGCGGTGGTATTTGGGTTTGTCGTCTTCGCGGTAGATGAAGAATGCTGCTACGTCGCCTACTTGGACGGACATCTACGTCATGTGTTAGTATGTGTCAATAATAGGGAGAAGCAATCAAAACTGACATTGTATAAGGCAGCTGAAACGGAGCGAGTGCCGACGTTGTTGGAGTTGCGAGATATCCAGCCTACGACGATTGCTATATCGAGTCAGTGACTCGGTCATATGGAAAAGTTAGATGGGCTTACCATGGCAATAGGGATAGCTCAACAGCACAGTAACCAGAGCATACGTCCCCCACGCATTGTCAATAACACCAGGCCAAAACCTCAACGCAACGATACACGGCAAACTCCACAGAGGCTGCAACATCGCCACCAAAGACCTCTCATCAACCCACTCCGACAGCCTCGTAAGCAACAACAACGTGACAATATGAAACACACTCGACGGAATCACCAACAGATTCGTCGTAAATGTACTAAATCCAACCGACCTGAGCGTCAAAGTCAGATACGTACTCGGGGGCGATTGCGGAATATACGCCAAAAACCCGATGATATAAATCGGCCAGAGATGGTAATCTGTAACCGCATTCCAGAGCCTTCGGGGAGTGATGGCTTGACGGTTATGCATATCACCCTTTGAGGGATCATCCCGTAGTACACGGTTTACCACGATGGAGACTTCGCGGTCGTTGAACCACCCGTTGGGGCGGAACCAGGATTTGGTCTGGACAGCGGAGGCGGGCATCATGAAGAATGAGCCGAGGCCAACAGAGAGGGTAATTATACCCTCGATGAGGAACAGCCAGCGCCAGCCGGCCCAGCCGTGGACTCCGTCGAGGTGGAAGATGGCGAAGGCGAGGAGGGAGGTTACGATTCCTGTTAAGGAGAGGGTGGCCCAGAAGAAGCTATCACAGACTGTTAGTTGGGCTATCGTCTTTTGGGCGTGGGGTTGAGCTTGCCTAAGACGAATCGGTAGCTCCTTTGAGGTATAGAAATACGATAACCAGAGAACTATATCCGGAATAAACCCTCCCTTCATCCATATCAGCACCGCATCCTCACATATCATAGACAAAAGAAAGAGAATACCTCAAGAAGCCCAAGCAACGACCTTGTGACAAGAAAGGTTTCCCGACTATGTATAGCGCACTGCGAAATAGCAACAACAGACCACAGGGTGATCTGAATCGGAATCCAGCGGTCCGGCCCAATCTTTTTGGAGATGAGTTGGGACGGGAGTTCGGCGCAAAGGAAGCTGACGCGGAAGGTTATGTTGCCCCAGTTGTAGTCTATATCAATAATTAGTCGTTGATTTTTAATCTGGGAGAAAGCTGCATGTTACCGTTCGTATTCAATTTTAGGTCCTTTAGAAAGGTGCCAGAGACCGCTTGTTGGAGGTTGTTTCGATCAACTTGTAGTCCGAAAAACATGACACACTTACTCAATCAGTCAACTTTCGATTCAACTTATCATTTGATGTTATACGTACAGCCCACAGACAAATCCTCCAATCCAACTTGCGAATCAACCGCTTCTCCTCTTCCTCTGACCACGTCAGACTCGGATCATACACATGCCGACACTCATACTGCGACTTTTCATATGTAAGCCGCCAGTGTTCGGCAACTTCTGGGTCTTGGAATGGATTCTTTCGCTCGGAGAAAGTGGTATGCCCATCTTCGGATTCCGTGGCGCTGGATACGAATGTGTCGTATTTGGGTGGTGGATCAGATTTGCCGGCCATGATGATTAGGGAGTTTTCTACTATTGAATCTGAGTCCGGCGTCTCCAAGAGCGGTGCTATCTCATATACAGAGTCACGCTTGGTACTTCTGAACCACCGCCATAGTAATGATACTCGAGACGCCATATTAGGCTCGCTCTTAAATACTTCAAATTCTGAAAAAGCCAAGCAGCTAAACCCCCTCTTCTGTCTCTTGACTCTAGCAGAATTGTTCAGCTTATATCATTTTATTTTGAGGATCTCCGCGCAGTGTCAAAATATTAATTATACCAGACTTGGCAGTATGGACTCATGGGGTTGTGCAGCCAATAAGCATTTCTTCTGCTGGTGTTCAGGGACGGATTGCGTGCTTTTGGGCCGGGTGAGCGAAGTTTGTATGCAGAGAGACATGTCTGTCGTTGGAGGGGGTGAATGTTGCTCCAATGATGTGGGCGTTAAACAGAACATTTTTGCTTATTTTAGGTGTAAATCATGTTGCCATCAAGAGATGGGATTGCGTTACGAGGTCAGCTGCGCTGATCGACTTAGGGCTTTGTAGGGCTGGGGATATCAAGTGACATAAGGGTTAATATAGCACGTGATATTGAATATAGTCACGTGTAAAATCGGGGTTAAGTGGCTCAAAGCAGCATTATCTCAGCAAGCCGCATTGCTGCCTACCACTAGCGTTGGAGAGGTAAGATAAAGTCGAGATATTTCCAGGGGCATCAGATCAGAGCTTACCTTCGGAATCAAATAACCTACCTTTTGTGTACTCTAACATTTCAAGAATCCTCAAATGGCGGACAAACCTCTCAAATCCACCTGCCATTGCGGCGCCATCACCGTTATCGTGCCTCGTCACCCGGAGGAAATCAATGAATGCCAATGTACAATCTGTCGGCGCTATGCAGCGGCTTGGGGGTACTACAAAGTGGATGAAGTCAAATTCGACATTAAAGAAGGCGCCAAACTCTCCAAGTACGTGTGGGGGGACAAGGAGAAGTCGTTCGATTCCTGTGCGACTTGCGGATGCGTGTAAGTCTCGATAAGGTGTCTGATTGTGGTCAGCTCATGCTAATTATACTTACCTGAACATAGATGCTACTGGTGGCCGTTCGAATTGAAGAACCCAGACGGCACTGCAGCTGAATTCGGCGTCAATACGAGGAATATGGACCCTCTGGAGATTTATCACGTCAACCGCAAGATCGAGAGAGCCTGGCTGTTCGCGCCAATCAACAACAAAACCGCGGCGCATGCGGACGATCAGGCCAAATACTGAACTGTATGAAGTAGGTGTAGAAAATATTGCAAATGTAGTTAAAAATGTGTACGCAAATCGACTTGTTTTCAGGGTCCAGTAGTTGTTGATAGTTTTTGGGCTTAATTACCCCACCATCGCGCGACGCGTCTTCCGTTTGTCGCGTCACTCAACACTTCAATTTATCCTACTTCGGCTTCCAGACCACAAACACAGCAGACTCTTTCTATCAAGCGCTGCATTGGGTTCTATTAAAAATGACTGTACCACACGAGGAAATCCAGTACCTCGATCTTATTCGCGAGATCTTCGATCAGGGCGAGCGACGACCAGATCGGTGGGTTGTCCACCCAACTCACAGCAAGGAAACAACTGACCAAGATCAGAACAGGCACAGGAACACTATCCATCTTCGCGCCACGACCATTCAAGTTCTCTCTTAACGATAACGGACGACCGATCTTACCTCTGCTCACAACAAAACGAGTCTTTCTCCGCGCCGTCATCGCCGAACTCCTCTGGTTCATCGAGGGTAACACATCGTCCATCGCGCTCAATGAAGTCGGCGTAAAAATCTGGGACGGCAATGGGTCCCGTGAATTCCTCGACAATTTGGGTTTGACTCACCGTGAAGTCGGCGACCTGGGCCCCGTTTACGGGTTCCAATGGCGCCATTTCGGCGCGGAATATAAAGATGCAAAAGCCGATTATACAGGAGAGGGCGTTGACCAGATTGCCGATATTATACACAAATTGCGCACTAATCCCTACGATCGTCGGATGATTCTTACGGCGTGGAATCCGAAGGACTTGAAGTTGATGGTCCTGCCGCCTTGTCATATGTTTGCGCAGTTTTATGTCTCGTTTCCCGGACAGGGACTCGCCGATGGTACCTCCGAGAACAAACCAAAAGGTCATCTTCATTGTCAATTATATCAACGATCCTGCGATATGGGTCTGGGGGTGCCGTTCAATATCGCCAGTTATGCGCTACTTACGCACATGCTGGCTCATGTTTGTGATCTTGTCCCCGGCAGTCTTACGCATGTCATGGGAGACGCACACGTCTATCTTGACCATGTCGATGCTCTCAAGGTGCAATTAGAGCGCGAGCCGCGACCATTCCCGGAGCTGGAAATCACACGTGAAAAGGGCGCGAGTATAGATGGTTGGAAGGCAGAGGAGTTTGTGGTCAAGGGCTACGACCCTCACAAAGCCATTGCCATGAATATGTCTGTTTAGCGTGTATGTTTTGTATAGGTCCATTTCGTGTATTTGTATAAATGTTGCATTTACTATAGACCGTTTCCTCATATGGAAGTGCTCCGATGCCTCGAGTATGAAATCCATGAGGTGGGAATAATGACAATTTCGAACTCGTCATCGCCTACATCCCGGCAGATCGCGGAATATCAGACCTTCTTCATCTCGCATAACGTGATTGGGAGCATCTTCGAGCCAACTGCCCAAAAATGCTTCGTCGTATGTCGCCAAATCATCGTAATACAACCTCTTTCTGATGATATGATAGATATTAATTATAAAGACGTTAACTAGCATATCTGCACATTCTTGCATATAAACCTATTATAAGAAGACACTGTCATTCAACGCTTGTATGTTGTAATCTGCCTTTTCGTAGTTGGTCTTAAGGCGAGATCCATCTGTCCTGAACCGCGGCTAGTCGAACATGGCTGGCGCCCACGTTGCATCGGAAGTTTCTTCTGAATTTTAAGCACCTCTGTCGCCTTCTCTCCGAGCTAGGACTTTCTAGTACTAGATGTATACATGCATAAAACAGGATAATCGAGACTTTAACGTGTGGCGGAATCAGAACTGGTAATTATACGACGATCGCTCGATTAAACATCTCAACAATGTACATAGGCAGGTAGCATCAAAAGACCTTGGCGGAGCTACGACGTTTCATTGATCCGGGCGAGTCTAGGTACCTTTGAAGTTATCTCTGCCAGTAATTCCACTGATCCGGCCATTTGCAACCCTATACGAAGTTGATCGAGGCTGAGACTTTCCTGATGTGGTAACTATGTCGTGCTTGCTGTTGCTATAGTTCTGCAGGTTTAAGGGCAAGGCTAGTACGACGTGCTCGCTCGGGAACCAGGTTAGAAATCACAAAATAGTTGATGACTCTGTCGTTATGGAAACTTCTAGTAAAGTGCTTCTATCCTGCAGGGAAATTCTATCATTGAGTAAGGTTCTCGGGCTTTTGGATCATCATCAAATTAGGCAGGTGACTGAGGTGGAAAAAAACTAATGCAAAATGATCAGCATCTGGTGGGTGCCACAGACTAAAGATTCCGAACCTTCAACTCCCTTAGACACCACGAGAGTGGTCAGACAGGTGCCCGCTGTGGAGAGAAGGAAAATTAGGCTATTGTTAAGCATAATAGTGCCAACCGTGCCAACACTGCCAAGTACATTCTGCTCGTTTTTAAGAGCCAGTGTGCCTCTGTTATTAGCCATCATATTATTAAGCTCTTTACCCCATTTAGGCAGGTCCGTCGCTTTATCATGTCGCTATATGCAAACGCTATGGTACAAACTCAATGTTCCAATTCGCAAGCCTTAGTCTATATCGGTAGTGAGCGCTTCGAAATATGCACTGACATAACAAGCAACTAAGGCCAGGAACCGCATGAATGGCGTGTTCTCAAGGACCGTCGAAGTCGAAATTGTCATGTGCTACAAATCAGATGAAACCTCTTGGCTCTGTTCGCGCCCGATGATTGGCGTGCTATGATGGGAAACACAGTGCGTCTGCAAGTAGTTGCGTAGACATGTAGTCCAGGCCTTTGGTGACAGCGAAATGAGATGACCATATTTGCTATCATTTTGGCGCAATCATCCATAATGTCAACTGGTGCCTCGATGTTCAGAAACACCATAAACATGTCGAGGCTATCGAGCTAGATACTAGTCATAGCGCTAATGATGCTACAAGGGGTATGAGATGATAGACAATCAAGATAACGACTTTGACCTCTTGCTAACGACTAGATGAATTCTGGGACGCCTTTAGCGCCATATTCACTCAACTTGTTTGGGCTGGAAGAAAGATTCAAAATACAGATGTAACCTAGGAGAGACGATAGGTTCAGAAAAACTATATAAAGTGCTTGGAATTCCCCCCAAACTCCTTATCAATCATCACATCGCAACTCACTTCTCAGTCCTCTACTAGCTCAAGACAACCAACAGAAACTTTCTGTAAACCTAATTTCAATATGAAGTTCTCAGCAACTATCATTGCCTTCTTCGCCGCTGGCGCTTTGGCTGCTCCCTCGGGCCATGGTCTCGCTGCCCGCACCGAGGCACGCGCCGTTGGACGCAGCCGTCTCAGCAACCCTCGCCGACCTGGCTCTGGCACGCTCAACAATGAGCTCACCGGTGAAGCCACCAATACCACCAACGTCGACTACTCCTCCAACTGGTCTGGAGCTGTCTTGACCTCTCCCCCCGCCGGAGCCACCTTCACCTCCGTCTCTGCTCGATTCACCGTCCCCACCCCCAAGGCTGTTAACGGCAAGGCTGGATCTTCATCTGCCTGGGTCGGTATTGATGGCGACACCTACAGCAATGCTATTCTCCAGACCGGTATTGACTTCAGTGTTACCGCCAGCGGCGCCGTTTCCTACGATGCTTGGTACGAGTGGTATCCCGACTACGCCTACGATTTCTCTGGCATTTCTATCAGCGCCGGTGACGTGATTGCCGTCTCTGTTGTCTCTAGCTCTTCCACTGCCGGAACCGCTGTCATTGAAAACGTTACCAAGGGTCAAACCGTGAGCAAGAAGCTCACTGCCCCCAGCTCCTCTGCAAAGCTTGGTGGCCAGAACGCCGAATGGATTGTTGAGGACTATGAGGAAGGTAGCAGCCTCGTCACTCTTGACAACTTTGGCACCGTTACTTTCACTTCGGCTTCTGCTGGTTTGTCGAATGGAAACTCTGTTGGTACTACCGGTGCCGACATTATTGACCTCGAGCAGAATGGCCAGGTCTTGACCTCCGTGACTATTCCTAGCTCTTCTGAGGTCGTTGTTAAGTACGTTTAAATTCGTATAGGACATCGAAACAACGGTCAGTCAGAGTTTTGGCTGCTGTTGCTATGAGTTAGTGATGGATGGAGAAGATTGTATTGTTCAAGCGAATTAAGTGCCTTGCAAGGGGCTAATAAACAATGCAACTGAGCTTACGAAGGAAACGATGGATCAAGGACTTTATATTTGACTCAATATTGGACATCTCAAATTGATAATTGTCAGCGAGCTAAGCATTTTTGTTACACATGGATATAGTGGCTGTTATTAATGCTATTGAGTCGAACCTAAAAACTGCTCGTTTCTCTCGTCTATCTAAACATGAACTGACTGCCAAGGTGATTCACGGGTAGAACTCAGTAAAACTCAATTGAGACTACAAGGTGATCGAGGACTCCAGAGGTCACTATTTATATATAAGGCTTCTAGATCAGTATAATGCATAATGATGATCAGGCTTGACTGTGGATGGTCTGATGGGTTAATGACTGTCATATTGCATTGAAAACTTCCCACTGGACAATTGTATTAGGCCCAGTTCTTGGTCAGCCACTCCTCTACTGACTCCGTATGTATTCCAAGCCGCTTGTTCCAGGTTGAAGCCAAATCCCACGCCACACCGCGACCTTGACCAAAAACAGCCTGATATTTGAGCAGTCCGTTATCTGGATCCTTTGATAGAGCAGCTAGCACGTTCTCAACTTCAAGAACATTTCTTTTGAAAGGCTTTCCAGTTTTGGCTTCAATCAATTGTGCTAGACGCTCATAACTGACTGTATCGCCACCAATGAAAATTGGCTGATTGTCGAACAAGTCTCTCATCACGATTTCTGCCGTCAAAACTCCGATATCTTCTGGTGTGGTGACGGTGACACGGTTTTCTAAGCTTCCCAAAGCATTGATAACACCATTTTCCTGGTCCACAATGCCAAAGGAGGGTTCAAAAAGGAAGCTTGTAAACATGCCCGTGGAAATAATTGTCCAGCGAGTCTTAGTCTGCCCCGGTGCCCGCAGCAGATCGCGCACATCCAGCTGCTCGTCGAAGAGATCTTGTGGTGAGCCACGCCCGATAGCGTCATAGTCCACGCCAAACTGCCACGGAATATAGCGTGGTGTTTCTGCTGCGATTACTGCGCGCGCCAGCTTGGTCTGGATAGCTTTGCTAGAAACAAAGCCACTGCAACCGATTACAGTGTCGTAAGAAGCAAAGATCGATGACAGTATTTCTTCCGAATTCTCGACAATGTCACCCGGGATGAGCTGCACACCTATCTTGCGTAAGGTGTTGTTCTGTTCTTGCTTTTGTCTTGAAGTACTGTTGATACTGCCGGGACGTAGCAGCACCGCAATTGTGGCGGGKTTGCTTGGATGGGCTGCCAAGGCATGGAGCACCTGGAAACCCAATTCACCGGCTCCAATAACGAGGATCTTTTGAGGGGCCATTTTCATCAGTGAAGTAACAGCACTTGAAATCGATGATATCGGAAGAGAGTAGGTTCATTGGGAAGTGTTCATATACCGTTCCTCCTCCAATCTCCACTAACTCCGCTTGCTTAATAATATAAAATCCAGAAATACACAAAACCGAAGATCTTGAATCGCACCTCGGCATTGAAAGACACAAAAATCAGGAGGCCTCGAGCTCCTATCATGAGGTTTAAATTTCTATTCTTTTCATGACGTACAGTTTCGCTGACAAGTCCGCTCATTATGTGGCTCTCATCACTTATTATGAACGTATGAGTCTAATTGGACACATTTTGGTTTAGCACCTTCAAGGCACAAAGAAACGATAAGCGTAAGGCCTATCCAGCAGGCCTGGGGTGAGCGGTCAATAATATGATATCAAATAGTATTGAGAATTGGTTATCAAGACTATCTATCGAGGGCGATGCCCATATATAAGGGCAAGCACCCCCTTCCCCCTGACGCGTGATCTCGCTAAATAAACCATATTCGGAAGAGACAAGCCTTTTCTCGTAGCAATCGAAACGGTTCGCCAAATATGAAGCTATTCCCAACACGTCATCCTATCGACTAGCAGCAATTGCAGCTTCCTTGTCAGTGGTCAACATCGTCTGTATGGCTGGGCGGTTCACGCAGCGCTTCCACCAAGCATTCACGGCTTTGCGACTAAGGACGATATCCCCATATCCGCACACAAAAAGCCTCTGTATCATCGGAATGTAGTAGATGTCCACGAGAGTAAAGTCGTTTCCAGCCATGTATTTTCTTTCGAGCAAGAGACGTTCCGCAACATCGAAAAACATCTCGAGCGAACGCAGTGCATCTGAGACAATGACTTCATCCGGAGACAGTCCAATAAATTTTTTCACGAATGTCTCAAAGGCGATTTTACCTGCAGGCTCTGAAAAGTAGGACATTTCTGCGCACTGCGCCTGGTCGAACAGTGCCGCAGCTTCGACGTCGGAGTCTGGAGGTAGAAGAGGAAATGAGTACTTTCTTGCGAGATATTTGCAGATTGCGCGACTCTCGTGGAGGGCGAAACCATCGGGGAAGGTCAACACGGGTACTTTGCCCCATGGATGATGTTTCATGTGTTCTTCGGACTGGACTCGACAGCATTAGCTCCCACGAGAACTGATGTTGCGGCAAGGATATCACAATGAGTAAAATCTTTACGATTGATTCAAGAATAATTCACAGCTTCCAAGGGAAAGCCGCATCACTTTGTAGGGAAACTGGTCACTCACTTTCTGCTCTCCTCTTTGAAGGTTGAGAAACACGAGCTCGTAATCCGTAAAGCCGCCTTCGGCAAGAGTTAGACGGACTCGATCAGTGTTTGTTGAGCCGCGAGCGCCATGTAGAATAAAAGCTGGCATTTTAGAGCTGTACAATAGTTTCGATGGGAATCCTGAGTTGTGTGCGAGTCTCGACATAGTGCGAATACTCCATTTTGAGGGGCATGGAGGCAGTCACTCAATATATAAACTTAATGTATCGATCTAGGACATTCCACCGAGCCTGAATGCCTGGCTTTCGTCTAAGAATTAGAATAAGACAAAACTCTTCCCCGTACTCGTATATGCCATAGTTATATTAGAGAGTCATATGATTGGTGGGTTCGCTCCTGCTACCTGATCTAGTTAGCTTCGATGTCTCCACCATTCAAGTATCTTTTAACCTCCTGCTTGACACAGCTTAACTCTTCCTTCTCCTTCTCCTTCCTGCATTCTTTGATTTGCCTCTTCGGATCCTCTTCTAATTGCAGAAATTTGATTATCGAGTCAAATATCAAGCGTGGAGAGTCCAACCCACCCAAGCAACCAGTACGAAGCTGATGGGCTCTCCGGATGACAGCCGGAGATAATTTTATTCTGTAATAAGTGTTCTCAAAGAAGATATTTTCTCACCGGCTACTGAAATGCCCAAGGGCGTCTGCTCTATCCAATAATAAAATATGGCACAAAGCGCCTCCGTCCACAAATGGACCGTGAAAAGTAGAACTAAGGTGAAAAGTGGTTGCCTTACCTGTAGGTCAGTTCACCATGCACAGGCCGGTATGCAATATGAGATCTGGTTGTTAATCTGAAATAGGACTAGGAAAATCAAGGTAGCCGACTGCATTTACTTATGAATACCCTGTTTTCCTTTACTACCATTTCTTTCTATGCCGGCAACTCTCAATGGTCACCGTATCTCACTAACTTGGGTCAAGTGCGACGAGAATAAGCCATTCTGCCGGAAATGTGTCAGCACTGGTCGTACTTGCGACGGTTACGAATCCCCCTTTCGAGCTTTCGCCAGTCAACCCATCAACAACGCCTACGTTGACAGTAGGACATCAGACTCTTGTTTGCAGCCCGCCTTCATTGAAGTAACAGCTCAGGATATCAAGATCCTCAGTCGCCACTTCTCAGTCAAAACCATGTTCGATGTAAAAATAGACTGTGAAGAAGAAGCCCGGCAAGTCCTTCGAGCCAGCTTGACTGATCCGCTTATAAGACACGCACTTTTGTCTCTAAGAACTCTTCGAGAAGATGTTGAGAGGTTCGGAGACGGTCAGCAAACCCCGAGCTATCACCATGGTGTCCAGCAATACACTACAGCTTTGGGGAGTCTTGCTTCTAACTTATCCTTCCCAAATTCACGTGGTTTGAAGTCGGCATTACTTTGCTGCCAGATCTTCATCAGCATTGAGCAAGTACGGAAGAACTTTGGTGCGATGGCCCAGCATATCATTCTAGGACTCAAAATCATGCATGAATACCGGGTGAGACCAAGTTTTGTTGCCCCGAACAAGTTGGTGCCAGCTAATCATGATCAATTACCTCTCCTGGATGTCTTTATCGTCAAGATGTTTGCTGCGCCATGTAAATTCACAGACCCATCAGCAGTAGCCGAGGCAAGTGGAACACTGTCTCATCAACAATCTGCTGGAATTCACGATCCTCGCACTATTGTGCCCGATATGCGGACAGAGCTCAGAAGGATCTCTGTGTTAACGCTTGATTTCCTCGACAGAGTGTCGCGAATTGGAGCTGAGGGAACAGCTCTTCAACTATTATCCGAGAAAGCAGCTCTGCTAAATGCTTTGGAATCGTGGCTCATCAATCTTGAAATCGTTCAGGCGGAGCTTCAGCCTTTGAAATCTGAGCCGATCTCAGTCTCTTTCTTACGCATTTTTCATTCTATACTGAAGCTTGTTCTCTTGGGGGCACTGAACTTTTCACCAAGTATTCATGCCGAACTTCAGACTGAGAATGACCGATTGCAAGCTCTAGCCAATAATGTTGGCGAAAGAGTCAGCGCTTATAGATATAAGATGGAATGATGGACTGAAACTTGCATATATTTTACAGAAACTTGACAACCCTTTTACAAATATCCACCTACACAGCTTCTCAGGATCAACCTCAAATTTCACGCTCTATACCCTGGCTCCAGCGCCAAGTCGACACGTAGGAAATTCGTATTCTGGGAGTCACCCAAAAGAGTATACGCTAGCTTAAGTGACTGGTAGGGGAAAGTACGTAAATCTGAGAGAAATGTGCATTGATATCCTAGCAAGTGGGGGTCTTTTTCAGCCTCGCCTCTAGGCTCTACCTTTTCACAGCCAATGGACGCCAGCAATACCCTCGGGGAAAGACTTGGTCTAGTGTGGTTCAATTATTCATATTACAGAAAAAAAACGAGTGGGTCGACTTCCATTTCCAGTACGCAGACCGAACGGACCAATCAGAAGCTGTTTTTGTCTCTAAATAGGACTCACTCATCATCCATGGTCGTCTATCCTGATGCCTGGTCAAACTCATAAAGCGATGCGCAACCCCATCACACTTTTGTAACAATGTCTCTTCCTCTCTTCAGAAGCTCACAAGCAGATGAATACTTGACGGCATCGCCCATCGTCAACAGCCATGCACTTCCTCCTACTCGGTGCCAGTGGACGAACTGGCCAGCATGTTGTATCTGAACTGCTCTCACAGGGTCATACAGCGGTAGCCCTCGTGCGTACCTCTAGCAGCCTCGGCCCTCGTCCTGGCCTCAATATCGTCATTGGCTCTGTGCTATCGAAATCCGACATACAGAGCGCTCTTTACGCGACCCCTTCTCTATTACCTTCCGCGGCGATCATCACCTTGAACACAGTTCGCAAGTCTGACAGCCCTTTCGCAGCTCAGGTTTCGCCTCCTCGTTTTCTAGCCGATTCATGCGCCAATGTCTGCGAGGTTCTAGAGCAGGCTGGCATTCATCGAGTGGTGATTATGTCGACAGCAGGCGTAGGAGATTCATGGGCTAGACTGCCGTTGTTGAGTAAGGCATTCATGTCGTGGACCAATGTCAAATACGCGCTCGAGGACCACGGCCTCATAGACAAGGAGATCCGGGAAACGAAGATGGATTGGACGCTCGTGAGAGCGGTGAGGCTAGAATTTGACGATCCGAAGCCGACTAAGACGAAGCGGGAAGTAAGGACGCTGGGCAGTAAGGGCGATGGAATGAGCTTGACCGATAGCGTAGGTATTGCTAGTGTAGCGAGTTTCTTGGTCAAGGTTGCGGTTGATGGACTTTTTATTCAAAGCGCAGTTGTCGTGGCTGATTAAAGTGGTTGTGGTGGAGCTTTGTTGATATAATTTAACAATGCTGGAAGACTCGCAGATCGAATCCTTCTGATTGTTCACAGCTAGCTAATAAAATTCGTAATAGCCCGGACTTTAAATCATAGATAAGTTAGTCGTTCAATATGGTCAGGTCGGACCTCCGATATGGCAAGATTTTAGACGAAGACGTTTCCCGACGAAAGCCCCGTAAGATCCTATCAGCGAGGCGAAGATTGCACCTAACATGGAATTCAAAGCATAAAACGCCCCGAGACTCCTTTCAAAGACTATATGGTCCAGTCTCAGAGAATTTATGTTCTCGGCTCATCTTCATGGCATACAGCCTAGATATAACTCTGACTCAATCATGGCCTCAATTATCACATGAGGGGAAGTTCTCGATACGACCACAAGTCAATAACATTTCTCATCGACTGTGGACTGTTCGACAAAAGGGATCCAAAAAATGCTCGGCGGTGAGGGAATTTGAGATCACCAGCTTAGTGAATGTTTTGGTTCCAAAGCCATTGCCTCAACGAGTGAGTTCAGCGATCTACAGTTTTCCACATGACATCAAGGCAGTGACACTTACATCTGGTTCATTCACTCCTTCATTGATCACGATATCTCGACGATGGTGCCACAATCAGTGTTCCACAGTGGCGATGTTCAGACTGACAGGTTTATAGTGAAAAAATAATTTACTAGATATACTGTCACTGACTTCAGTGACTAGGAAGATAGCGGCTCTTGTCCAGCATACGACGCATGCACTATCCAAAGTGTACCTCAAGTCTTGCCGATGAAAAATAATGGTATCTTTTTTGGCAAATAGCATTGCGCCCTCGAATTTTCTACACATTGATTGCTGGATCGACACTGGACGCTTCATTGTAAGACCACGTAGTCAGATAAATATCGAGTCTTTGGAGAAGCATTATACGATGATAAGCATAAGCGTAAAACGAGAAAAATTTATATACGGTGGATTTTATCAATATTTTAGTTCCTTATAGGTCTGCCACCGAGAGCAGTAGTACTTGAATTTTAATACGCGTCCCAAGACAGACAATATCTGATGATACTCTATCGATAACAATGAATGCTTTGATTTTTTTTAATTAGCACCTGAAGTATATAGTCAAGTATAACATGAATTCTCAACCTTTTGGCTGACCACACGCGAAAAAGAAACACTAACTACAAAAATAATTAGAATATTCTCGTGATATGTCGAGTTTGCTAGGCAACTGTTCGGACACCGAATCAGCTATCTTTATACAAGACCAATCAACCGGTGTCCTCGGTCATTGGTCGAATTACACATCATTGGTGTACCGTATCTGGAACTTATTTGGCCAAGTATATCATTTATCTTGTTTTGGGTGGTCAATGCTGGCTTGATGGTCGAAGTGTTGTCTTTCCAGACCCGGAGTTCCTAGTACGTCTTCCGGTCATGTTAGTTTGCTGACATGCATATGTACCAGTGACTTTTCAGCTTGTTATTAAGGTGTCAGTTTGACATCTGACCAGTCATATATTGTATCAATTGTAATCAGTGCCCGTATGCATTTCTATACAACCATACGGGCTTATGGCCTAACTTATAAAGAGCAAATACCTTCGAATACTATCATGTCGCTACCTATAACGGTAGAGAAGATCGTTGTAGGGGTCTTATCTTTTTAAAGTTTAAGGTCAAATCCAGATTTATCGCCATCGGATCTATCTGACTGGGTGACATCAACCAATCCTTTCGTCTGGATTTGGCCCCCAAAGCCGTCGGTGTCTCGATATATTAATACCATGTAGGTCAAAGCCCGTACGTATGCAGTACGTCAAAACGAGTATTGTTTACCCAATTTCCCCGGGAAAGAATTTCAAATACGAACGGCGCGTAATGTACCTCTAGCAGTGAAACGAGACGCTTACCGTATTATTTAGCTTAACTACTCGTTATAGATCATTTTCTACACCATTAACAACAGAATCTTAGCTTGTTGATGAGTTATAACCATTACGTTTTGGGCAATTGGTCAGTCAAGTGGCCAGAGCTGATGCGAGCTACTATACGAACTTAGTTCGTCGCTATCTAAGGTATAACGCGGAGCTACACCACACAATATATCCTTTGCCAGAGAAATAGGTTAGCATGAATGACTGACAAAGTAGGTATAGCATCCTCGAGTATTATTTTAATTTTATCAGTGATATTTTATGAAGGAACTTCTGGCTTAAAAAATTGGGGAAAATCTTGAGTCTTATTGTGGCGTCGTCAACTGGTGTTAGGGCTTTATTTCTCCGTTGACGAGCAGAGCTGAATTCCCGAGTTTCATAACAAGAGCATTCCCTCATACCTAGCACAGGCAATCCACAAGCAGAGAAAAAAACTGACCTGTAGCTTCTGGGTAGTATCGGATTCAATTGGCTGTATTTTATGCGACCTCAAAGTCGAGCACTGGTATCAAAATGCGAGTCTCTGTAAAGGGACATGACCTAGGTAAGATAAGAACAAGTGCGGGGCCCAACATCACTGAATGCAAGAAGAAGAAACAAAGGAATGAGCGGGGTGAGTTGACTTACAGAGTCCGATATTAGAGCTAACTTACCCCAGTTGGTCTATTTATAAGTTAGGTGACAGTAGGCATTTTGTTGAGAGCCAGAGATGGTCGCCGTAGGATTATGTGGTTGTGCGAGGTACACCTAACGAAGGCGGAATCGCTCATGGGTTGAGATCAAGATCGATTGAAAGCAACATTTGTAATGTGACTCTCAACAAGAAAACGCCCGGCATGAGGTGATATACAAATAAAGGCGTGTAAGCTTGCCCTAACTGCCCTAATCGAGCCGTCCCCGGATTTCCTAAACAAGTAATTTTTGGTACAATCATTTTGTCTACGAAATTGCATGAATTGGACTACTTGATAGCAAACTAAGTATTTAGTCACTTCCTAATCAACAATGTTAATTGGATTCATGCGTATTTGTACGTAAAATCGTCCATAAATACAATACGCCAAGGTTACTAGTGATTGGGGCTGATTGCATTGCTAATAGGCTGATGCAAGTCTCCGGTCCCGATTCTGTTCCAGTCTGTAACGGCCAGCTTGTGACCTTACATGTTGATCTCGTCGGATACTCAATTATCGCACTAAGGGAAAACATCTTTAAATAATCACTCGCTGACTATACTTCAAAAATGATTACGCCATTCGAAGGATTCCTACACACGGAAGGATCCGTAGCCTCAGTACGAACTAAAGTAGGGCACCGGAGTTTCCCACAGCCTAGGGCTGCATTGCTTATGTACCTTAATTGATTAATCCGTCAAATATTACCTCTTTAGAAATTTACCAATACACTAACCAGGTTACTGAATGTATGGAAAACATATTGGCAATCAACGCCACAAGTAATTTACCACACTGTCGGGACCAAACACATGCTTTCATTTGCTTCGAAAAGGTGGATATCACAATTGCAGTAGGAATTGACAGATTCTCAAAAAACCAGGATTCAGTAGTACTTCACCCAAACAATGATACTCCGTTCCTAGGTTACGCCCTTGTAAGGTCTCGGCAAACTCGGAGTCCGGATGGACTCTTCCCATCCGAGCGGGATTTGCTCTCCGTTGCTTTCATCTCAGGAATCGTTTTTCCTCCGCTGTTCAGCTCATTTCTTCTTTTGTCGTAAGATTGTCTCTTATCGTGAAGAAGCAGGCAAATGTTCGTTAGTGTAAAGCAATCCTCGAAATTCACCGGGCCTTTGAGTAGGAGATGGAGAACCGCGGCCGAATCTGACGCCGCAGGTCCGCGGCGAAGGATTTTTACCCAGACAGCATACAGGATCAAGAAACCCAATGCTATCAGGAGGCATTTCGTCGGGGATCCTTTTCAGCTTCAACAGATTCAATTGCTCACACTCGACCAACGAAAACCCTGTCGAAGCCTGAGACAGTTGACCCAGCAAACAGTCCGAGAAGTCCAGGTTGTTGATTACCCGATAAGGAAAAAGCCGCGACGCTGTTTCATCATGATATTGACCGCCGAATGCGTCCAAATTCATTTTCAATTTCGCGCGCCTTGTCCATTCTGCCGAGCTGACGATATATCAAAACCAAATTACGTACCATCAGATTCGCCGTCACGGTCCGATCGCCCAATTGGCGACGGCACCAATCCAGAACCTGGTTCTGTAGGGCCTCCGACTCTCTGAACCGGCCATCTAGTCTCGCATATGCAACAGCTAGATAGTATTTGAGCGAAATAGTATCGGTTTCATCAGAGCCGATACTTTCTTCAAGTATCTCAATTGCCTGTTCTAGAATAGCTATCGTCTTAGCGTCGGGTACTTTCCCGTCCCCTTCGGCGGTCATGCGGCCGTGTGCTTCGGCCAGATGGACAATGCAGCGGCGGGKCGTGGGATCTCGAGATCCCAAATGCACCCTGCCAGCCTCCGCGGCATCTTGCAGTAGGCGCACTGCTTCCGGTAGACGGCCTTGAGAGACGTAGTCTCGACCAGTGCTATCCATGACCGCGATCGTGTACGGATGACCTGGTCCAAGAGCGGTGGTGGATAAGCGTAGCACTCTCTCGTGTAGCCTAGCAGCTTGTGCCGGCAGATTCTGCATGAAGAATGTATCGGCTACATGGCACGTGCGAAGCAGGATGTCCATAGCTGGAGAATGCTCGATGCCGGATTTCGAGGGACCTGCAGCAACACTTCCGCTGCTGTTTCTGGTAGGACTATCCTCAAACTCATCTGGCCAGTAGATCTGAGCGGCGGCTTCAAGAACACTTTCTTCGATAGCCAGTCCCTCCAGTAGTCGTTCGGGCTGTAGCTTAATATCAGTTGCCAGGTGATACATAACCAGCAACGTATCCTGAGCATCTGGTCCAAGCAAACGCTGGCGAGTCTCAAGGACTTGTCTGTCTATACTTTCAGCATCCTGGGGTCTTCCAATCTGACGGAATATGTGTGCCAGCATCAGCTTGTTCTTCTGCACCTCAGGGCTATCGTCAAATGGCGTCGTTCTTCTGTTCGATGGCGAGACCTGATCTGCTGCCTCTGCATCTGCATCTGCCAGAATTCGTAGAAGAATGCTCTCTGCGTCTTTCCACTGGCGTCGTTGGACGAGAGCATCTATCTCGTTTTTTCCTGTCACGGGGTCTCGAGACAGAAAGCTCATTCTCGTTAAGCGCGGTGGTCGACATCTCAACAAATGTCCGTCTCGCGTGCTTGCTAGTTCTACGCCTAGAACATACAGATTCATGCGGTCAATGTGTGCGATTTGTAGGTTGATATAGAGAAAGAAGATCTTATCACTGCAAAAATAAGAGAAGAGAGAAACAATCAGAAGACCGTAGAGAAACCGGATCCTTTCATCATATATGAATAGGTCACACGCTAAATTCCCCAATCACGGAAATATCTCTTTGTCCGTACAGCTGTAAATAGAATGGAAGAAGTGGAGAATAAAGGTATGACCAGCTCTCATTCCCCGTGAATGCGTGTTTTCCACGGATAATACTCCGGAAGTAAATCCATCATATCGCTTCCATGTTCATGGCATTAGGTTCTTACCGGGAAGCTTGCTCGTTCGCTTGCTTGAAAGAGGGGAGAGTGGGTAGGGTTCCAAACCCCCATCAGCGTATACAATCCATTCAAATGTTTAGCTTGCCTAGTTCAGTAATTAAGTGGTTGGTTAAGCATCAACTTAGGGGGCCCAAGTGTACAGTTAGTGTAGCGGTAGTGATCTTTCTCGTACATTCGTAGCCCACTCGCCATTCCTTCCGTACGTAAGGAAACCCTGGTATGGTTATTCTTGGCTCTGAAATGCGCGTTGTGGTCAGATTACCGAGCATAACGGTTGGGAGTTACGGAGTACTCTAAACAAGTACGAAAATTACACGTTTAAACACGTCAACCCAGCCCAGTCAGGCAAGCTAGTCAAGGTCAAGTTAGACGGTATACCCCGCGAGCAACAGTGCATTACATATCTGTCTCCCCTCGTACATCATCTGTTGCATTAGGGAGGGCAGATCGGGTCGAAACGGACCTGGTACCCTTGACCGAGTGGCATTACTGCACCTACGTCCTCAGCGACTCAGTGCGCTAGTGATCATGTAGGCTGTAGGGAACACATCCATCTAATCATCGAGTCATTTTTTGTCCAGAGGCGTTTGGGGAAGCCATCTGCACAGCCTGTCTTCATATGCAGGGATAGAGAGATTGCTTGTCCGTTTGTTTTATTCGTAACTTGCCCGACATCCTCTCATTTCCAGTGACTTGGGTATTGTAGCGTGCAGGGTTTTTAAATTTGTATGCCTGTATGTGGACTGAATGCAAGAATCCAAATTTAGAGAGGGTTGATCCAATCCGACGGAATATTTTCTAGTCCGTAGGACTGAAAATCATGCTGACTGCCGGTCAAAGCAAAACTCTCGTGCCCCGGGAAATACCACTCTCAATGTTGACAAAAAGTCAAACCATATATTTTATTTACTTGGTTCTTCGTATAGAGTCAAAGTGGTGGGAAATATCCCGCTAATTGTGGAAAGCCAACTTGTACTCATAAGTCTTCAACCCCCGGGTTAATTAGTTCCGTTTCCAATAAGTCCTGAGTACGTATTGTCGAATCTAGCTAGGTATGCCCGCTATTACTACCGAAGTGCGCAGTAAGGCGTTTCAAAAAGAAAGAAATGCAAATAAGGCTAAGTTTCTAACTGGTCAAGACCTTTACAGAGAATGGGCACATTTGTGTATGCAGGTGCGTATGTATGTATGCAACCGTCTGAGCCCTCGTATGTAATAAACGGATTTGAAATTGAACCACCTAGGTATGCAAGCTCACTACGTATGTCAGGTCATCATCAGCTGCACAGAGTCGGTTTCATGGATGAGAGTAACATCCGACAGATCATAGTCGAGCCCTAAGAGCGATTTGGTATACGGAAAGTAATCTTCCGTTCCGGTACCGGAACAGTACCGTACCGGTACTCCGTCTAAAAACAATGTGAAAGTACCATATCTATGTACTTCGATAAACTCTTCTTTTACTTACACTCGGTCAATCGACACAGGATAGTTCATTACCCAGATATCGATTGAAATACAAAGACGCTGCCAAATTTAGCACCGTATTTTATTCTGCATTTTGTCCCCCGAAAAAAAAAAAAAAAAAAAAGCACATTTGGGGCTGCATCCTGCAGCGTGTATGTAACGTATCAACGCTAACTTGCTGTACAAATCATGTCGATCAAAAGTTGGTGGTGCCTCCCTCGTGGCCGCCATCTGCTCAGCTTTTCTAGACGTTTTCTATGCATTGTTTCAGGTTATGTATGTATCTTTCACGTATTACACTACGTGACTACATACCTAGGTATATACAGATTTAATGAGTCAAGTCGGTACGTGCTCTGGCTCAAGATTGTTGGGTTTGATTTGCAAACTTCTACTTATACGTAGTATATCTCTCTGGTAAGACTCAATACTTAATCAGTGGTAAAGTAAACCACAACAAGGCCATCATAGTGCTAATTTGGAATTGACCAACTCCCAACTTCCAACTGATCGATGTCACTTTCACCCAATAAAAAAGTCCATCCGCCCACACTAACGCCAAACTCCGTTCAGCCCAATAAGCCAAAACGCATGCACCCATGTCAATGCAGATGATAGCTGAACAAAATGTTCAAACAGGGATAATTATAGCAACAAAACCCGTGCAGGTTGAAAACCAACGGCTTGCATAGCCTTCACACATCGTCGGCTGATGTCGTCACGATAAGTTGAATGACCMCCCGCCATTTGCACGCATTACCCGACGTGCTGCCAAGTCACGGTTGATCTCTTCTTGAGTCAAGCCATCCGGTCCACCCCAGTTGGCACTGCTTGTGCGCTCGCGGAATTTTTTAATCTTCTTGTCGTTCTTGAACGCATCTTCCAATGTGAAAATTGGTATGTCTCCAAAGATTCCAGCCGGATCCACATCCTCCTGTGAAGCCAGGGCAGCATGCAGTTCTTCGCCCTGTGCCCAGTTTGGTGCCGGTATCATGTCCTCATCAGAATCCTCTTCTTCACTGTCAGTCGGCGGTTCAGGAAGATGGATACTCTCGCTGGGTGGGTACTGCGGGGATGGTTTTGCAGGCACACGTTGAGCACTAGGGCCAGCCTTAGGTGTCTTATGACTGGGGGTCTTGTGTGCTGTACCCGGCTGTGTAGCGTGAGCTGGTGCGAATGAAATCTTTCCAACGGCAAACTGCGCCATGTCCATCGGGGCTGCATGCTTCAGTGGCTGGCCCGCTGTACCCAGTGGCACGGGCCCAGTCTTATACATTGAGCCTGTGTGATGATGTGCTGCAGGCGGAGGTGCCTGTGGATAAGTAGTATGTCCCAAAAGCGAAAGCTTTCCATTTTCCTAGAAACATTGTCAGTCACGCGGATACCCCCGCGTTTTCGGTGTACAATCTAAGTGTAATTTATGCGTTGTACATACCTTGCGTATAGGTTGCTGCTTCAATGGAGCAGTTTGGTTATACTGTTGCTGGTTGTATTCATCCTCTGTCTTCCTCCTCTTCGGTTCGACGACCTGGCTTTTGGCTTGTGACACAAATGCCTGACTCCGGGGTTCATCTTCTAAAGGCCTCTTTTTGGGTGGCTTTGCTGGATTGGGTGGGGGCTGATTGATTGATCGATTGTAGGCCCGCACCGACGAGCCCAATCGCGAAGGTGGTCGTGCTGGTCCCACATCAGTTCTGTGAGTTGCGTTTTCTTGCTGAGATGTCGATTCCTATACGAAATGCTGTCAATTGTTGGAGTCTACCTGTCTAGATTGAGCGACTTACCAAGTCATTGGCTGGTTTCGGTGGCTGGCTCCCTTGCCTAAGACGAGAATTTTCGAGTCTACGCTGCTCAGCTTGCTGTCGCTGTGCTGCTTTCTTGTTCTCTTCTGCAACAGAGCGCTCCCGTTCCTGACGTCGCGCTTCTTCTTGTTGTTGCTTGAGTAAGGCAGCACGTTTCTTCTGCTCTTCCTTATGGAACATCGCCTCCCGTTCCTCCTAGAGAAAAGCAGTCAGTACATTGATCAAGACATCTGGATTGAACACAACTCGTACCTGTTTCTTGGCTTCCGCTGCTGCTGCCGCATGTGGCCTGCGCTGGGACTGGGTGGAAGTTGAGCTCTTAAGGCTTGTGCTTGATGACGTCGTATGCAGAGAAGAATTACTTGGGTTCTTGGCTAGTGTAGGCTGCTTGGCAGGAACAGATGATGGTGCTGCGCTAGGTTCTTGTGAATTAGGAGCCACGGACGGTATCGGCATACGGGTACCAAGACGAATCGACACGGGTTGCGGTCTCTGCTTCTGCGGCGGTTCTCGGGTGGGTTTGACAGGCCGAGGTCTCGTAGGCTGCGATTGGCTATAATTCGTAGTAGGTGGAAGAGGAAATTTGGGTTCTAAGTCAGCTGCAGTTCCTGGGTCTTTTCGTGCATGAAGTTGTACTGGCTGAGCTATCTTAGCATTGGCGCGGGTCGATGATGCGGGGATATCACGTTCTTTCGACTCCGCTTTCTGTCGACTTTCTATACTAGCACTGGGTACGGTCGCTTTTGCTGTTGGGCGGATTCGTTCTTCTGCCTCGAAGGGATCCTCGAGCCGAATGGGTTTGGTAGCCTGTTTGCCCTTCGACTCGTTTGTGACTTGATCTCGTGCAGGTAACCTCTCCGGACTTGGCGAATAGCGCTCGGGACTAATTTCCACGAGCTGGGGGTTTGGCTTAGAACGGAGAGCGCTTGGAGACGACAACGTCTCCAACTTAGCTGCTGCTGACAAACCAGCACTGCTCGAAAAAAGGCTCTTTGCGGAGTCCATGATTGACTGAAATCGTGATTTTGGCGTGCCATCAATTCGCCTTGGAGATGCAAGCGATGTCGTCGACCCAGCATTTGTGTTAGAAGTTGGTTGAGCAGGTGAATCCATTCGACGAGGTGGGGGCGTAGATACAGATACAGGTTTGTGCTGATCGAAGGCGGAAAAGATTGAACGTTTCGTCGGTGTGCGAGAGCCTTTCTCAGAAAAGTCATGGAAAGTTTCCGTGCGTGTCATCTTGCCCCTTTCCAGATTTACAATTGTCTCATTGTCCGCGACTCCTTCCATGACATCTGCAGTCTGACTCTCCGTTATTACTGGCCTCTGCGGAGACGACAGAGGCTTGATCCAATCCTCTTGAGTGGTTGAAGCCAAGGTAGGAATGCGCTCCAAATCTGCGTTGGTATTTTTAATGTCGGGCAACTCGGGGTACTTGGCTTGTGGTATAGCTGCCTGAGACAAAGGTGCCGTCTTCGTCGTTCTGGGAGCCCGGGTCTCGCCAAGCATACTGATTTTGTCATGAAGACGCTGAGTATTCAACTTGTTATGTAGCACAGACGTATCATATGCTTGTTCGGTCTCACCCTGCTGTGATTGCTTTGTTTTTGTGTTATCTTGTTGCAGCTCCTCCTTTTCTGTGGCGGTATTTTGAGAAGCTGATTTAGATCCTTCCATATGGCCAGTGAAGTAGCTTTGGCGTCCCAGTGTCGTCGACTTTATCATCTCAACATGGCTAGTGCGAGAAACTCGTGGGCCCATGCTCTTCTTGATCAGCGGGTCGCGTGGAGGTAATGATGCAAAGCCAAAACTACTATTCTTCCGCATGGCAGGTCGAGCTGGAGTTGATCCATCGGACGGAGATCCAATGTCATCAAAATTGTCGTCAATAATGACATCACCATCTTTTTCAAGATCATCTTTGACTGGGGACGCTACCTGGTTGTCTTGAGGCTTTTCCGAGAAAGCCGATGGTACGTGGACAGATTTGACGTTGGGACGTGGCGTTTCTTCGTCAGCTATATCTGGCAGGTCCTCTTCGACATCCATGGGCTCCACGGTTTGTCCACGGGAGACAATGTTTTCTTGGGCGGACACGAAAGAGCCTTCGGTCGTGCGTCTATCCACGGATAAACTTTTTCTGTTGCTCATGCCACTGTTAAGCGGCAGCATTGATGGGACTTGCATATCTGTAGTAGTCGAGACTTGGGTTTCGGGCAAAGGCTGTGTGCTCGGCAGGACAAGCTCGTCATCATCACCCAAGCCATGATATCCTGAGTCGGTGTTGAATGTAGAAAATGAATTGAGAGCTTTGTTGAGCGGTACGTCCCGGATAGGTTGTTTGCCTTTGATATCAACAGTCGTGAGTTGTGGATAGGATATTGGCTTTTCAGGAGCTGTATCGATAGGATTCCCGACTGGAGTCTGGATCGGTCCCTGTGGTTGGTCGTTGACAAGCTTGCGCGGTAATGCCGATTCAGCTGCCGGGGCATTTGCTATTCGAGAAGAGGATGGCTTCTCGGGCGACTTGGAATACTTGGAGGGTGATCTGAGGCTCTGGTTTGCGGTTGAGAACAAATTACTGAGAGGCTTTTTCAATATTAGTACGCGTTATCTCCATAGTCATATTGAATGACGTACCACACGCGCTTCATCTGGATTGCGCTTCCGTGCAGTGTAAGGAGTTCTGCCTCGTAATTTTCCAGGTGTTTTGAAAATTTCCATCATATTACTACCAGTCATTTATTAGCAACCAAAGTCAGAGGATCCAGGGTTAGTTGCCACGCACAATTGATTAGTTGAGAAGATCTCAGCCATATGTTCGTTCAACCAGTCCATCTCGTGACGGACTGGGTACTCGACTTCCTCCATCTCCTGTTCCAGCAAACGCGTGACATTCTCCTTTTCCGCCGCAATCCAGGCGGCGGAGCCAATGGCTTTGGTGCCGCCAGCAGCCATGGCTATGAATTCGCGTCAAGTGTTGGGGTTTACGTCGATCGAATGCGCAACGCGTTTCTTCAGTTAAACGCCGAGGTTGTTCATAGAGACCCGAGCATCACGTTGAGAGACTTTTGCAAGAACACATGGTGAGAAGTTGAGGTCGGCGATGGTTGATTGTTGGCGTGGTGGTTGTGGTGGTTGTGTTGGTCGAGGCGGGAAGGTCGCGGTTGTGTTTGGCGGGCGTCAAAACATTCAACCCGGTCGAAGGAAGGAGCGACGCGCTAACACGCTGGATCACGTGCTTTCGGCCATTCAGGCAACAAGGCAGTAAGGCAGCGTTTCCGCCTTCAGGCAGCAAACCAGAGAGCTCATTGCCATAGCTTAGCTTAACGTTAGCTCATGCTCTTATCTCTGACAGTCTCCCTCCATCTTTTCAGTTTCATTTCTGAATGTGATACAAATGGTTCGATAATAAAGGAGGCCAGTCTACAGGTTCTGACATGGTAGTCTTCCGCAAGAAATTTAACTAGGCCGCTACTTTGATGACCATCATGATAAGCTTACTGTTACGAGTCCGATCACATGCCAAAGTTGACGGTGCTTGCAGATAAAAGCATCAAGTATGTCGCGTGATAAAATACTTGTTCGGTATTTCTGATTCCATTGACTGGTGACATCAATTATTTCATAGGAAATCCACAGCAGTAATCCACAATAAATCGGGGGGAAACAGTCAATGAAATGGCCGTGTGTCTCGTAGTAGCTCGTAGTTATGACTGCAGTGGGCTCCCGTGCGTCTCGGCTCGGCGGTTCCAGCCAGAAAAAAATAATAATAAATCGTCCATGATTGCATCGATTGCATCACCTGTCTAGAACCAGCAGGAATCACTCACCCTGCTTTTCCTTCATCCTCTACAACCCACCATCCACCACACAAGCCATTCATCCATCAACTCTCAAATTTTTCGTCAACTTCACTCAATCAGTGTAGCTACTTTTTCTCGTCGGCTTCCTGTTGCTGGTCGCCCCCATAGCTTATTATTGTGTTCCTACACCCCTTTATCACCTGGGACCACATCGCACATCGCACAACATCCAATTTTCGCTCCCAAAAATGGCTTCTTCAGGTGACGTTAAATATCCTGCTGTCAACGGACCTGGTAAGGTAAGTCGAGTTCGTCTCCTTCGCATAGCTATGTCAGATTGCTCACCTTTGGTATGACGTACAGTGATGCTTTTCGCCCTCTTCTCTTGCCGTTTGTTTTGATCTCCGGTGTCCGAATCCACCACGATAGTTGCATCACAAGCGAGGACCAATACAATCAAGCCATCTACTCATACATCGTGTTCAAATGACGATCTTGCAAAACGAACATAATTACTGACAAATCGCGATAGCATCCGTTGCCGACAACGTTGCAGTCGAAGCTTCCAAGACAACCGCTGAGCTTCGCGGGCTCAAGGATGCAAAGGTCACACCTTCCACCAGAACCACAAACGGTCAACAACTGACTCGTACGTATTGATTGGACCATCATACTACATCAAGGAAGCATGGCTAACATCAAAAGACTACCATTCTCTTGTGTACAGCCTTTTGAGCGTGAGTAGCCCGACCACAACCAATTGCACAATCCAGCTAATTCTCGACAGTGGGAGCGTCCCCGGGCTACTGCTATCTCCTTCGCCAGCGTCGTGTTCTTCATTCTTGCTGCTCGCTTCTTGCCTCTTTTGCGATGGGTGTTTAAGTTTTTGTACATTTCACTCGGAGGTGAGTACTGTTTTAACATCTGCGCGTGATTGCCATCCTAATTTGTATTTCATAGTCACCGCCGCCGCTGAAGGAGCCGGCAAGCTCATCTTCAACCAAGGCTTGACAAGCTCTTTCCGTCCTCGCAAATACTACACCCTACCTAAGGAAACCGTCGAGGGAATTTTGGAAGATTTGGAGCAACTCGCAGACTTCTTCCTTATTGAGTTCCAGCGCATTCTGTTCGCCGAAAATGTCTTGCACACTGCTGCTGTAAGTCACTTCTCTACGAAAATTGGAAATTAGCGAATTAAACAACTGACAAAATAGGCTTTCATTGCTGCCTTCCTTTCCTACTGGCTCATCAAGGTTGTTCCTGTCTGGGGCCTCGCCTTGCTCGGCACAACCGTCGCTTACCTTGGACCCTTGATCTACATCAGCAACCGCGAATTCATCGATGAGCAGATTGCCCAGATCCAGCAGCTTGTGAACGCCCAGGCCAACCATGCCAAGGAACTCGCCAACCAACAGACTGCCCGTGCCACCGGATTGGTGAAGCAGTATGCCAACGACTACAGCTCCAAGGCTCACGAGTACATTGGAAACCGCCGCTCTGCATCCCCAGAGGCCGTCAAGGCCCCAGCTCCAGCAATCAAGGTCGAGCCAATCAGCCCTCCCAAGTTCCAGACCACCGACTTCCCCAAAGCTCCCAAGACTGAGCCCGTCGTCGACGCTGCCGAGCCCGAGCCTGCCGCATCTACCGAGAAGCAGGAGCCATTGTTGGCTTTGTAAATAGTTCCACTTTTGTCAAATGAGAGGACTTTTCGAACATCTTCTCATTGCGAACAGATATGGACTCTGGTTTGACACCAAACACTTTCTCGCCGTGTCAAATCGTCTTAATCTTCAATGAACAACGGACAACAAGCTTTGACCGACTCTCGAACGAATTTTCGAATTCCAATCTTGTTGCTCTTCTTTTCTGTAAGTATTCACGTTTGACGACGATGACGACTATGCTACCAAAAATTGAACAAGCTCAATGAAGGGGACGTTATGCAAGAGACTGTTTTGTCGATTGGCTGTGCGATGTTTCAAGTACACCATGATGCTTCTATTCTTTTCTGTTTTCGGTGCCTCTTATTTTTCTAAATGCCTTTCTCTTCTCTTCTTTTTTTTGTTCTTGGAAAGGGCATGTTTCGATTCTACCTTTGTAGTCAGTCGCCTTTTCATTTTTCATCCCGTGTACCTATTGTTAATTTACATGTTCATTATGCAAGTGCTATGTTTAGAGAATCCAGTGATTTATTTTATTAATCGTTTCCGGGCACAACATAGATGTCGAAATTGCAATTACACCGTCGATTGACCTAAGGTATTTAGGTACGTACTAATTATCCGATCACTCTATGCAAAAGAAACCATATGCAAAAATTGCTTTATCATCATTGATCTCAGATATCTTTAGATACATACAAAAGAAATAAACAAAAGAGAGACGTAGAGAAAGAAAAAGTCCAGAATGCTCATATCCATTTCCAGCATCAGAAACTAGCTCTTCGCAACCTCTTAGCCATCCGCTCAATCAAATCCGACTGCGAATTAACCGCAAGACTAAATCTCTCTATCTCTGCTTGAGCACCAGCTTTGTGTCTCCTCTGCCTGTGTTGATGACTGTGGCGACACCGCTTCTTTGCATTCTTTGCGGATACGCGCTCATCCTCGCTCTCGTTTTCGCTAAGTGTACTTGAGCCGCTGCGAAGAGCTAGTAGGGTCTCTGCAGCGGTCAGTTCGTCGCCGCGACTGTGTCTCTTCGTCTTGCTGTGATGATTGTGACGGTGTTTGACTGGCGTTGGCGAGGCCGAGGAAGATGATAACGGTGCCGTTGGCGGCGGTGAGAAAGGGGAAACCACTTGCTTTTGCTGAAGCTGGTGTCGAGATGATCGCTTCGAAGTAGTCTTTCGTTTCCTCTTCTCTTTCCGGATATGTTTCTTGTCGTGTCGTGACTGGGTTGCCTTGCTCAAGATGGAGCATTCCGAGCTGATATCAAGCTCGGATATGGCATCTGAATCAGATTCGGAAGAGTCGGTATTAGACTCGGAGATGTACGAGGATGCACTATTGTCCAGGCTCGCTTCATCAGTGAAACAACCATCCTCATCATCTCCACTCTCTGCACAACGCTTTCGCAACGATATTGGTAATCTGGCCATGTTTATAAGAGGTCTGGAAGTAATCTTCAATTGCTGACCGTCATCGTGAACATGAACATCATTCAATATTCGCCGTTTGAGTGGATTGGCACACAAATACTCAAAGCTCTCAACGCCCAACGCCTCCTTGATTGATGGAAGCGTATCAGACTTTAAGATCTTGGATTGCGGGGAGACTCGCGGAAGGCTAGTCTGGTCTGATGACATATTTATTGGCGTAAATGTATTGTTGGAAGAACATGTATTGCCCTCAGACCATACACCAGCGGCGCCATGCAACCCGGTCGCCACATCGTTAGGCGACATCGGCCGATTCTGTGAGTGCACAATGCTCTTCGCCTCAAATTCCATTTGGCAATAACGCCTGGAAAGCTCTGTGGCTCGCTTGATGATTTTGGCGTCAATGGTCATTTTGCCGAATGCGCGCTCGTGTGGTTGGATGCATTGGGATGGGAAGTCAGTGCCGAATAGGGGTGTAAGTGCGAAGCGAATGTTATAGCAGAAGGTTGCTGCGACCGCTTTAGCAGTCTCAAAAGGCATCCAGTATCCTTTTTCTATTAGTCACGACAGAATTGAAAAGATAGGGGGTCCTTGTAGTGACTCACCTTGTGCGGCTAGTGCACCTCCAGTGATGCTGTGGCAGATGTCTCGAAGGCCTTCGTTGGAATTCAGCATTTTGGCCGGTGTAGTCTAGCTATTTCATTAGCATTGAGCAACTTTGAAAGGAGGAAAATATGGACATACCTTCGGATAATCAAGGCACTTGAACAAATGCGTGATCCGAACAAGCCCAATATTGTAATCCCACATCATCGTCCAGACCTTCTCATCACCAGGCAGCTTGAACGTATATTGAAATACTGCACCAATCCACTCATTAGCCCACTTAACTTCAACAAGGACACTGAGTGAGGGAAAAACATACCCTCAAAACTCTCCCTTCCCGTCTTCTCCATCAAACTCTTCTTCTCACTGCTGTACGGAATATGTCTCGGATAATCCGCAATCTCATCGATGGGCGGATAAATGCTGAATTTCGCATGTTCTTCCATCATCGTTGCTTCAACTTGGTCAGCGCAAGGCCGGTAGCGGACTTCACCCCTGACGCTCCCGGGAATGAAGATGGGTGCATCTTTTGCTACCCTGGGCTTTTTGTTGGACGTAATCTGAGATTGAGATTGGCTGAAGGTGTTGTTGCTCATCCGACGGTCAGGGAGAGATGTTATGCTGGAGCGATGGAAGTATGAGATGTTGGCGTCATCTTCGTGGTGATTTTTTGACCCGGTTCGGTCTGGGAGTGGGTTGAGGAGTGATTCGATGGAGGCCATTTAGTTGATCCTCTTCAAGTTGGAAATGAAAAAAAGCGTGTCTGAATTGAGAAGATGGAGGACTAGGTGCACTCCTGTTGAATGTCGATTTTCAAATGGATAACAATTGAGAACTTTATCAGACTAGGCACACGAGGGTATCTGAGGTCCTTTTATACGCCGTCAGTTCAAATCAAGACATATTGAGAATATTGAGCAACTTACAAAGAATTTTCTGAAATCCACCAAACTTTAAGGGATATGCAAGCAATATAGTAAAATATGGTATACATAAAAGTCGAAAGAAAAACAACAAACCACAACGAAAAAAACAGCCCAAAAGATGAAGAACGTATTGTGTAGTATATCAAATAGGAATATAGTATGCAAACAACAAGGACATAGGCCATGTATACAATAGCAAAGTTCCCTGTCAAACGGTTCATGAAAGAACCTAAAAATGTGCATGTGTATGGATGGATCTCTTCAAACAACGTTGATCCTTCTAGATGGGTGGAGTTGTCATTCTGTTTGTTCTCTGAACGGCAAAAGAATCAGATAAGCGGATAAAAGATCTTAATACAAAGCGTTGGAATATAAAGTCTCAGTTTCAAGATGTTCAACGACTAAGAGTCAATGGAAGTAAAGGAGGTTGATTCAGGGTTGTCATCTCTTGAGCGATCTATACATGGATGTAGGCGTTACGATAAGGGTAGCATTACCGAGCCCACCTGCAGACAGCCTCGATACCAACGACCATCCTGGTGTACCTAGGCACGCAATGAAGTAGATCAGATTTACAGACGGGGCTAGAAGTCCGAGGGAGCGTTAAGGGCATGTCCTACTTCAGAGCTGTTGACAGCGAGTGTGTGAGTGAGCTTGGGCCCACCAGTAGGCGCAAAAGGTTAATTGGGGTAGCCTGAAAAAGGCTATGACTTGCCTCGCGCCCTCGATGTTCTCTTTTTAGGGGACAAGGGTGGAGATTGATGGGCAGACAAGACAGGGGGGGAAGGTGAGTTGAGAGAGAGGCAAATGAAACTGACGCATCAGCCATGATTCGACGAATCATCGAATGGGACCTAATGATACACATAATGCACGTACACAAGAATGCGTCTTGTTTTTGAGTCTCAAAAAATTCGAGAGCAACCTTGTGTTTCATGACCGCTGAGAGCAACATCAGAGGCAGAGAGAGCTTAATCCGGCGGACCTGCTACATCAAAAGCAAGAGGAGGCATGTTCCTTTCTCTAATAAGATATGGAAATTCACCTACAAGTCATAAAACGGAGATCTAGGTACCTGAAATACCAACATGGCAATGTACTCATTCTTCAGTCTCTTCAGTTTCTTCTTCTTCCTTGACAGAAAGGAAGAAAACGGAGGAATCACTCCGTACTGCCCCAATCGCATGTAGATCCTTATSGAGCCATAATAGATAGCTTTCTATCTCTGCATTCAATTCTTGTCCTCGTCTTTCCTGGTCGTACACCTTTGCTCGGTCGGTCGTGGCTACTTTACGTTGCATGCAGATATGAATCCGGGGTACACAGACTCACACAGCGTCGTAGTAGGTAATTTGGAATAAAGTGATAGTAGCCTCGTTTATGGCATTTTTCTAATTGAAAAAGAGAATTACCAATTTATCGAATCTATCCACCGTCAGTGACAGTGTTAGTGTCAGTGTCAATTTTTTGCGTCTATTTTCCTTTGCGCTGTTGACGCTAACCCAAAATTGATTCTTTTCTTTATACATGTAAAGAAAATAATCAGTTTTGGGTTAGTCCAGCCTGATGTTTTGCATATGAGCAAACCATCAATTAGCTGCAATTGCAGCTATTTGTCCTTCAGCGTCATCAGCCCTGTTTTGTAGCTATGACCCATTACAAACCCGTCAATAGAGAAAAGAAAATGTTTAAAGGACCCGACAACCACAAAAGAAAAAAAAAGAAGAAAAAAAACAGTTTATGGGGCACATCGACATATGCAATCACATACACCTGGGCTATCAAGATCCGGCGAGCCGCATAAACCTTTCAGTTTCGTCTGAATTCTTTTTTGAGGCTGCCGCTCTCTCAAGTTCCCCCTGACCTGGCTCTGAACTAGATTGGATTGAACCAGATCGAATCGGAACAATGATTGGCAATCAATTTTCTGGAATGACTAGCATTGGCCCGGATGTAAACATCCTAGAATGGGAAAGAAAAGTCAAAAATTCAATGTATACCTTCGTAGCTAGGAAGTAATATCAAAAGAAACGTTGACATGGGTTATGCATGTCATAATAGGGAAAACAACCGAGCTGCAGTCTGTTGAGCTGTCTGAACAGAGGGTCCTGAAGAAAGAGAGAAATATAAATGAACGGTCACCAAACAACGGCAACGGGCAATAGCTACCCCCGGAGAGCTATTTGTCTCCTCCATTGAGATTATTTCAAGAAGGTGACACAAACCGATGAGGTAGCCAAATTAGCCAACAACTTGAGGCTGGGAATGGGGCTAGGCTGGGTTGGTCTGGGTCTGATCACTTCAAAATTCAGGGTCCTGCCAGATTTGAGTAAGTGCTTTTTTTCTAACTAGATTCACCTATTTCTCCCCTTTGAAATTCTTTGAATCGGTTGAATGTCTGTATTTCTCCTTTCAGTCAGTGGGCCCCGTTGATAGTCCTGTTGCACCTAGCCGTCAAAACCAACGTGGTAACTCTAGAGATATGGAGTTGGTGCAACTTCAGAGACAAGTCTCTTCTCTTGCTAAGCTTCTGTTGTAGAGAGTTCTGGAAGGTATCTAGAGGAGAAGAGGACAAGGAGATGAAAAGAGATGAAAGAGAAGGGATTGTTGATGTATGTCTCATTTGGGCTGATTGTTTGATTCGCCCTGCTCGCCATCTAGGGCCTTGTCCGGCCTGATATGGTTATACACGTTGTCACCATGTTTATGTCACCAGTTACGGTACCTCGGCAGTACTCATTCAAAGAAATCTACAAGTCTTTCAAGTCTTACCATCACCCTCACGTGGTAGGCCATGTGATGTTGCCTCCGATGTATCACCGTGGTACCTTCTATGGTCCTCTAGAAGGCCGCGATAGGAAAGCTGCCCGAGGACTTGAATTGCTGCCGTCGTGTCCTCATGGTGACTCTTGTGGTACCTTTCATCTACGCGAATCATTACCAACAGGGTAGCGTGAGTTACTCGAATCTCATTCCATGACAAGCTAACGAGGCTAGAGCTCCGTACAACAAGAAAGTAACTGCAAAGGAAAAAGTAATATGACTGTAACTTTCGTCATGATCCCTATCTGCGCCCAGTTCCAGTAAAACCATTTCTCACCCGATAATTGTAGAAAAAAGACAAAATGAAGAAAAGTAACGAATGCCATGAAATATACACTGTCAGCTCACTTGAATCGATCACTCGGAATCATCATCAAAAGCATCTGAATCATCGCCGGCAGGGTCATCAATCTCGCTATCGTCGTCCTCGATCACATACTTTTTAGCCTTAGTCGTAGCAGCTCGGCGTGATGGACGTGGTTTGACAGGTTCGTCGTCTAATTCAGCTCCCCCATCGGAATCAAGGATGTCATTTGCCATGGCATCGATGTCATCATCAGAAAGATCGTCTACCACCTTCTTCTTGCCTCTTCCCTTGGCAGCGGGTTGAGCCTTCTTGGCAGCTGGTGCAGCAGCATCTTTCTTAGGTCGTCCGCGAGATTTTGTCGCAGCAGTGCTTGCCGCTGGTTTGGCTTTCGCGGCGGGTTGTGCTTTTGTGGCTGGTTTGGGAGACTCATCAGCATCGTCATCCGTTATGGGCTTCTCTTTTTGTTTGACAAGGAGTGAGCGACGAGGCGACGACTGTGGAACAAGCTTGCTGTAATCCGTCTCGTCAGGGTCGAATTCACTACTGATCTTAGAAAGCCTGGGAGTGGACTTCTTCAAGCCTGCACTAGAGCCAGGTTTGGTGAACTCTGAAATAAGAGCTTTTCCATTAGAGTCACCAATGCCTTTCACCATCTTGCTCACGTCATCCAATAGGTCATCCCCAAACTCGCTTTCTGACTCGCTCGACACGGTGTAGCTGACTGGTTTCTTGCTTGTGGTACGGCTCTTTGGCTCCTTCGGCTCCTTCGCAGCTGCTTTCTTTGCAGCGGGCTTTGAAATAGCGGGTTTCGATGCAGCTTTGGATGCGGCAGTAACCTCAACCAAATCATCGCCCTCATCCTCTTTTTCCTCTACATCCGGGGCTATTGGAGGCTTTGAGGTGGCGCGACTCTTTTTGGGAAGAGCTTCGGCTTCGATTTCAAATTGGTCGTCTTCCTCCTCCTTCGGGACGACTTTAGGTTTGGCAGCTCCCCGACTCTTCTTCGGTATAATCTCTGCTTCAAAGTCGTCATCGAAATCCATATCATCGTCCTCAGCGCCATCGTCTTGAGCGATCTTTTTAGGTTTGGGAGAACTCTTAAGGTAACTCATCAGGCTTCCCTGCGCCACAGCCTTCTTGCTTGTCGCGGCCTTCTTGCTCTTTGGAGCAGCATAGTCGTCGTCATCGTCATTCTTGCGCTTCCTGCCTGCACCCTTGGAGGCTGCAGTCATGAGCTTAGATGACTGGCGCCGACCCATCCCTGCTACCTTTCGTTCACGGCGATGCTCTTCTTCAAGTTGGAAGCGCCATTCGTTGATGAATTCATCAAGATCGCGACGCCAGATGTCTTCCTTGGTGAGTTTGATTAATTCATCAATTTCGGTCTCTTTCTCTCCAATCTGGCGGAGGAGCTTCTCGACACGCTCTTGTGTCAGAGACCAGATAGCCATCTGTATAAATATAGTTAGTTATAATCCATCGATTTTGACTTCGAATAACATACCCCGAGCAAATAATCGTAAGCATTAGAAGCCACTTCAGTGGTTGCTTCTTCCTCCGAGCCTTCTTCCTCAACAACTTGTTCAGTCTCACCAGCTTTGACAGCTTCAGCAACTTTTGGGAAAGCCTTGAAGCCTTTCTCTTTCAACTCGGTGATAAGGATCGACTTCTTCTTCTTAGAAACGACAAGCTTTCCATCGATGATCATTTGCACGAAACGTGCTTGATTGGTAAGTTTGTCCAAATCTTTCTGCAGTTCCGACAGCTGGTGCTGTTTGCGTTTCTCGTAGTATTTGAGGCGAATAGCAAAAAACTCTTTCAAGATGTCGCTGACTGTTGCATACTTGGTAATACGACCCTCGGGATCAAAGGCCACCAAGTTTGTAGTCGCAATGGTTTTGGAAAGCTTGAATTTTTCTTCCAAGCCTTCTTCCACTGCAGATTTCAAATGCTTCTCATCCATCTGAATCACGAAATGAACCTTGGTGTGGGTGTTGTAATCTTTGTAATCCTTGATGAATGACGGTGTCTTTTCTGCTTTGATAATATCCTCCAATTTGTCTTTGAAGTCCTGGGTCCAGGTACGAATGGGAAGCTCGGTGATTTCTACCTCCTTCTCGTTCACTTCCTGGATTCGACCACTGAACTTGTATCGATCAGGACCCTGAGGAGTAACATCACCGTGGAAACCGCGGAACCAGGGATGCATGGGTTCAGGTTCTTCTCCGTCCATCATACGCTTGAGATTGGCAACAATATCTTCGGGATTGTAATTAGGAATGGATGAACTCCATCCAGTACCAATGCCGTCAGCACCGTTGATTAGGATCAAAGGAACCACGGGAACGTAGAGCTCTGGCTCAATCTTTTCTCCGTCATCCTCATTGTAGGTAAGGAGCGGTTCATCCTGCTGGTTGAAGACTCGTCGGGCAAATGGAGACAACCGAGTGTAGATGTAACGAGCACTAGCACAATCGGAACCACCCTGAAGACGACTACCGAAGTTACCACTTGGCTCCAAGCAATTCAAATTGTTAGAGCCGACGAATGTCTGGGCTAAACCAACGATCGTCTGTTGTAAGGATATATCACCGTGTTGATAAGCGGTCATACCAGAGACGTGACCTGCCAACTCCACGACTTTCATATCCTTTTTGACATTTCGTTTGAAGCAAGTGTACAAGACCTTGCGTTGACCAGGCTTGAGGCCGTCAACAACTGAAGGAATAGATCGCTGATTGTCGGCCATACTGAAGAGGATCAGCTCTTTGTTGATAAAGTCTGTGTACGTGATCTGCTTGGTGGAGTGATCCAAGAATGTGCCTGGCTTGTACTGGCGAAGCCATTCCTTTCGCTCGTCTGCCTTCTTCTTGGAGAAAGCCAAATCAATGAGCTGAGCTTCGTGATCTTGCATCGTGTGAAACTCTTTCAAGTGACGATCCAAATCTCGGAAATAGATTTGAGCATCATCGGTAGTGCTGGTACCCAAACCCTTGTAGTATTTGTGTTGCCAATTACGATCATTCTTGTGTTCTTCTTTCCATTGTTCATATTCGGGCATGGTGAAGAAGGACTTTGATTTTGTAGGGTTCTTAGGGTCACCCTTCCACACCTTGATGATCGGAGTGATAAACTCAATCAAAAACTCCGGGATTTTGAGCAAACTAGGGAATTGCACTTGAAGAAAGTTGATCAGCAAACCCTTGATGTGACTTCCATCGTGATCCTGATCAGTCATGATCATGAGATGACCGTAACGTAGACCGCGTGTGTCGGTATATTCTTTCTTGTGCTGCAAACCAATGAAACTCTTGATGTTTTGAATCTCGGTGTTTTTTGAAATCTGGTCAATTGAAGCATCGCGAACATTGAGAAGCTTTCCGCGAAGAGGGAAAACGCCAAACAAGTCAGGACCAACGACGGCACGACCAGCCATAGCAAGACCTTTGGCGGAGTCACCTTCGGTCAAGATCAGGGTACAGTGATGACCATCTTTCGTACCGGCTTTGTTGGCATCGGTAAGCTTGGGATTGTTCATTCGCGATCGTTTACCTCCGTCGGTCTTTTTCAGTAGCTGGTCTGCTTTCTTCTCGGCGAAGTGAAGGATGTTTGTCATCACTTCGGTCTTCAAGACTTTCTTGTAGAAATCGTCGTCCAAGACACATTTGCTGCCGAACTGACTGGGTTTAGTGGTCAATTGTTCCTTCGTCTGGGATGTGAATGCAGGATTCACGATAAGAGCGTTCACAAAAATGAAGATGTGGTTACGAATCTGCGATGCCTTCAGAGTAGCACCTTGCTTGTTCTTCTTCTTCACTGCTTCGGCAAGTCGATTGCAGATTTGATCGGCGATGTAGTTCACATGGCTTCCACCGGACGTAGTTGCAATGGAGTTGACGAATGATACTTGCTGGAACGACCCATCAGACACAGCGAAACCGACCTCCCATCGAGGGTCGGGGCTAGCAGTGACTATCTCGCTCTTGTCATTTGCCGCCTCTTCACCACGTTCCTTCTTGATAGCCTTTGTGTACATCTCCATGTATTTCTTGAAGTTACGGACCGGGATTCGACTACCGTTCAATTTGACTGCAACTTTGGCGGTTCCAGCCAAGTCATAGACTCGACGCTTTACAAGAGCCTCGAAGTCATCGTCCATACCCTCCATGCCGAATTTCGTATAATCGGGCTTGAAGGTAACCTTGGTGTAATCATCGCCTTTGGCTGACGTAATCTTGGCTTTGCCTACCTTGCTCATGTTGTCCGTCCATGTTTGCACATATTTTTTGCCCTGACGAGAATCAACGGTCTCAACGCTAAATTCCTTAGAGAAGACATTACAGAGCTTGGCACCGAAACCGTTACGACCACCCGTCACTTTCATTTGACCGTCATCGTAGTTGGATGAGGTCAGGAGGTGACCGAAAATGAGCTCAGGAACATATATCTTCTCTTTTGAGTGAATCTCTATAGGAATACCACGTCCGTTGTTCCAGACGCTGATTACACCAGATTCCCGATCTATGGTGATTCGAATTTCGTCCATCTTTTCGTCATTCTGTTTGTTATCGGCAGCGTTCACAACGATTTCGTCGAATATCTTGTACAGACCGGGGACGAAAGTGACTTCTCGAAATGTCATCGACTCGGTTGCGGAATCGTAAACCCACATCTGCTGTGTGGCTTTTTCAATGGAACCTATGTACGTATCTGGACGTCTAATAATGTGTTCATATTGCGTGAGCTAGTTTGACCCATTAGTACGATTTTTGACAAATTATCAAGGTTCTGTCAGAGTTCAAGTTACCTTCTGGTACTTATCGCCAGCACCCGTTTGTTTAGGAGCCTCGTCATCCACATCATCAGCGCCATCGCCACCAAAGGACTCATTAGCGACGTCTGCTAACGGCTTGGAGCCGGCTTTTTTGGCAGGGGCTTTCTTTGTTTTGGGTTTGCTTGGAGGTGTTGTAGACATGACCGAGTCTAGGAAATCGTCGATATCATCGCGATCCGAAGCTTCGTTCTCGGAATCGGCCTTTGCCTTTTTCTTCGTGGCCTTTGCGGCAGGATTTGTTTTAATGGTTGTTTGTGTTAATTTCTTAGCTTTGGTCGCAGCTGGTTTTGCCTTGGCCTTTGGCTTCTGATGATAATTAGTCAATCAACTAGTTATTTTCAGAGACAAAGTGGTAGTCGTACAGGAGCTTCGTCTGGCACGAAGTCGGAGACTTCTTCTTCTTCTTCTTCTTCGTTGAAAGAATCGTCCAAGAGGGAGTCCATCTTGTCGGGAGGCCTGCTCGGCCGATATCAATGGTATTTCACAGCAAGACGAAGCAAGAGATACCAGAGCGAGCGACTGTATTTAGGTAGATATGAGGGGGAAATGAGTAGATGATCAGGCAGGAAGAGGGCGATGTGTAAAGAAAGTGGCATGCCATGTGCTGTGTTGACGTGAAAGCGCGCTGAAATTGCAGTCGCGGCTTGCTTTTTTGAGACTAGCGGCGCGGAAATAACTTGTTCCTGTGGCACATGAGACCTGCACTAGGCCCAAAACTGAAATGCCAAAACAAATGCCGTTTGGCCAATCACGTGTCGCCGCGCCGTACTCGAGTTCGATCTCTTCAGACTCCAGTCGTACTGCGCTCTCTTAAATGCTAGTACAATTATATTGATTGTTTGGTTGTATCTAGCAGTGGCTAAGTTGCTTGCTGGTCGTGAGCCTTCTCAAATTGCTTAAGATGACTATTGTTTGGTTGGTTAAGAACATGGAATCTTGAAAGAAATATATATCTGACCGTCGAGGTCCCGAGGTAGGTACAAGAATTCGAGCCATCTGCCTGGCACATCTGATAGACTTTTCTATGCAGTCGAGAATCTTAAAGTTCTGCAGACCTGCAGATTGGCCATAAAGGTTAAAGTATTCGTAGATTGATCGATCATGAATCATACTTGTAGTAAGACCGCAGTTTTGGAGATGGGAGTCATCACTGATCTGGTTGACGCGGCTTTCACGTCGATCCCCTCCAGTATCTACAAATTGTGGCCTGCAATGACAATTAAAATGTAGGTATTTCATAAGTAGCTCTATAGAAAACTTTCTCATATTGGTCTCAGAATGATCCTCGTTATTGCCAAAGTAAGGTTATCAATGTTCTACTGGCAACGCGTACCGAGGGAGGATCAAAAACGTCCGATAATCTACTATGCAGGACGAGCTCTCAGATATCGCCACGAATCTAGGCCGATTTTGACCAGCTACCGTACCTGGATAATCCTCCCTTTGAGGGTAGCATCCAGTTGTCACCATCCCCAGCCCAGTCAGCATAGAGACTACTTAGAGCGGGGAGTCTGGATCGTTGGTCGAATGCCAAAAAGCCACCAGAGGGGCGCCAAGGGGGCTAGCCTTAGTGCCTGTTAGACGCGATGGCACCTCACAGGCTAATGCTGACCGCTCAGATATGAATGAAGTTGAATGAGATTGAACATGGTGGACTTTGGCGATATGACAGAGGCTMCCTGTCGAGCCTAGACAGATATAAATCTTTCTCGATAGAATAGTTAGAGGAGCCAAACCAGAGAGCTGGGAACAGTCATTTCGAAGTCATTCAGGGGAGGAGAGGAAAGAGGGGCAGCAGCGGCCCGCCGGATCAGCGAACCATTGGGAAGGCGCGACGCAGATTGGCTGCGTCTGGTACCTGCGTAACTAATTACTATGTAGTTAGCGCGGTTTCCTCTTTATTGACTAACCTAAGTAACTATTAGTACGCATCGCCAAAATAAGGATGAAACCACCATCCCTTATTCCTTCTCCTCGCTTTGCTTTTGTGTGATTATGCTTGTTATCATTCTTTGAATGATCCAGTCCAAGCATCCCCTACAATCCTTTGGAATGCACTCAGAAGTCGCAGGCGGCAACTGAATGATTGTTTGTGACTCGGCGTTGTATATTTAGCTACTCCTTTATCTGCGTCAACAATACGCTTTGTTATCACTGCCACAGTCGACTTCGGGTTGATCCCACTACCTTACGCAATATATAGTCCGGAGCTCATCGAATATGGCCGTTCCGACGAGTGTTATTGTCAACACGGAGGACATATCCTCTCCCTCTCTTGCCGAGGAGCTTATCTCTCCAGTGACTACAGATTCCATGGTGACAGTGCCGCTGTCAGATCGCCAATCGCTTTCCGAAAGCATCGCAACCGAGTTCGATAGTCCTGCGACTCCGATCGATGAGAAAGCAGACCAAATTTCTTTCATGGGCACCGCGACACAGGTGGATCTGACTCCAAAGAGTGACGTTACCGGGAAAGTGGTTGAGACATCTATGGCGGGAGAAATGAAACGGTCATCGAGTATATCTAACGAAGCAGCGAACAATACACAAGATGGATATGAATCGTCATCATCTACGGAAAGCACCGGTGGAGTTGATTGGGAAAAACTGGACAAATCAGAGGAGCAGGAACCGCGGACACAAGGAACAGACGAGGTTCGTATAAATTTCGATCTCAAAGAAAATCATAACTGACACTTTGAAGTCTACGGCGTTATTGCTGGCCCGCCTAGAGCAAGAGAATAATGCCCTCGCGACGAATCCTAAATCGGGGCTCGCAAAGAAAACGCATCGAAAGTCTCGTCCCCCTTCGATACAACACTTGCAGAAACTCGTCAACGATCCGCACTCATCCCTACGATACTCTCAATTACAGCCGCCACCTATGACCGAACTCGAATTCTGGGCAGCACTTGTCGCGGACTATCCCTCGACGGCTCAGAGGCTGCCTACGTTGACATCGCACAAGATTCGCGCCGGAGTTCCGCCGCCGCTACGTGGAGTAGTCTGGCCTAGTATTGCTGGAGCTAGGGACACACTATTGATAGAGGAATTTGCACGACTATGTAACGAATCGAGCCCTTACGAAGGACTGATTGGCAAAGATATTGGCCGTAGCTTTCCGAATGTTGAGATGTTCCGTGACCCTAACGGGGAGGGCCAGCAGATGCTGGCAAGAGTACTGAAGTGTTTCAGTCTGTACGATACAAAGATTGGATATTGTCAAGGGCTTGGATTTGTCGTCGGCCCTCTGTTGATGCACATGACGGATGCAGAGTCATTTTGTGTATTGATTAGGTTTGCTTTCCTCTTCTCTGGCATTATCTTTTGCTAACCAGTGATATAGGCTCATGGAACATTATGACTTGCGGTCATGCTTTTTGCCAGACCTGTCAGGTCTCCATTTGCGGATCTACCAATTCCAGAMCCTCCTCTCCCGCCATATACCAGCCTTGTTTGCCCACCTTCAGTCTCTGAACATAGAGCCGATCTATGTCTCACAATGGTTCCTTTCATTCTTCGCCGTCACATGCCCGCTACCGATGTTGCTTCGTATATATGATGTTCTGTTGTTGGAGGGAGCTTCCGAGACACTGATGAGAGTCGCGCTGTCACTCATGCAGCGCAACGAGAAGAAGATTATGGGATTTACCGAGTTTGAGGATGTTCTGCAATTCTTGTTGTCTCGAAGTTTATGGGATACCTACGCGTGCAACGCCGACGACTTGGTCAATGATTTCGTTTCATTGACTCCTCTTGTCTCAAGAGAAAGCCTTCAAGCACTGGAGGCGAGTTATAGCCAGTCTCAGGGCGTACCAACGGGAATTTCGTTCCCGCAGATGCAAGCTACAGCATCTCGATTCCTCGGTCGATTGTGGGCTGGCTCTCACAGATCGCTGAACCCTTCGGCTGCACGGCCCGAAAGTACGGTCAGACGCTCGCCGTCCAAACAGAGCATGGCGTCTACACTCAACTCTATGGAGACCTCCGTTTCCGACGCCAGTACTGCTCCTACAGAAGCTTCTTTAGGAGGCGAGCAGAAAGTCCGAGCAAAGTCGGCGATTTCACATAAAGATCGAGATTTGCACGGACAGATTGAAGATCTGCTCACAGCTTTGAGCGATATGCAGCGGGAACAGGCAGAGCTGGCTAGAGATTTACAGAGAGAGCGCGAAGAACGAGAAGAGGACCGAGAAATTTCGAGAGCTCTACTAAGCCATATCAAGCAGTCTGAAATAAATGAGGATACTGAGGAGCTCCTCAGCAAGGCAGAGGAACGATTTTCGTCGGTGAACAAACGAGACTCGATTCTACAGACGAAGCATCAATTGAGAGACGAGGCAGGCAGATGGAAAGAAAAACATGAGATGGAAGTGGCACGATGCGCCGATCTTACACGACAGCTTGATGACCATGAAAGCGAGAACACTCGCCTGAAAGAGGAGTTGCGCGAAGCGCGGTCACGTATTCATGACGGATACAGAGAGAAACAGAAACTGGAGCGAACGGTCCAAGATCTTCGTGCACGCAAAGGCGTAGTCGCTGACAATAGCAGCCAAGACACATCGGGTGCGGCCAGTGACAATGAAGCATGGCCTACTTCGTCTACCGGTCTACGTGAATTCAAGCTTGGCCGATCAAAGACAGAAGTCGGAAGGTTTCCCAAGCGGTCTAGTAGTCTAGGTCTACAAACTCTGCTGAGTCAATCGACAGGTCAATCGACCGAATCCGACAACACTACAACTACGAATGCCGGTTCAGAAGATTCACTATTACTGGAGCTTGTCAATGCCAAGACAGCAGAAGCAGTAGCGAAACAAGAATTGGAAGAAGTAAAAGCCAAGCTGGACTCTCTCCGAAGATTGATGAACGGACATTCTCGAGTGAACACGTCGACCGGTGAGATGCCAACGAATTTTTCCACACCGACGAACAAATTATCGCCCGAATCGATCAAGGCCACTCCGACAGGCGGTGGGTTTTTTGGCTGGGGGAGAAGAAGTGCGTCAACAGTTGGTGTGACGGATTCTAAATGATTTATCACTCTGGTTTTTATATATGTATAACGATTTTGCACAAAGTCTTTTGTCGTTTCAGCAGTTTATATATTTGTGCTTATGATACCTTGCAGTTTGCTATCCTTTCCGAGTCTTTAATGCTGGCGATGTTCTGTACATAGGATGTATTTGGATATACCAGGATCAATTACCATCTCCCATACTTCATTATTGTTTCCGGTACCACAACCTTGTTTTGGTTTGATTGATGTAGGCATGTAACACAAAACTAGAAAAAAAGTCGAAAGTCGTCTCGATTGAGACGAAAATCTAGAAGATCCAATGAAGTAATGAATCGAATCGACCTGCCTGCTCAAGTTACAGATCATTACCTTGTACATACAGAGGTAGGCATGGGTCGACTGAGAGGTCTGCAGATACATAAAGCGAGTTATAGACTCGATCCAAGATCCGACGAGAGGTCCATGCATTATTGTCCTGGCCCGGGTCCGTGTGTGTGTACCTAATGTTATTGCCTTTATGACCGTTTCATCTTCGTGGATGGCAATGTGCCTGGTGGCGAATAGCTACGTGTCTGGCTGCTAAGGGATGGAGGAGTAGAAACAGATAGTGAAGAGAAAAATGCCTCACTACAGCCGAGATTGGTGATGAAATTGGTACCTATCTAGCTATGGGTATATTTGGAGGTTCTTGAGTAACGTTATATCAGGGCAATTAGGTTATTCACCATTGCAATACTTTACCTTGCCTGTTTAAGATAGAACAGATTCACTGTTTACTTTAGCTGGTTCTAGAATTTAAAAACCCGTTTCGTGGGCAGGTAATTCGAAAACACGATCTAGACCTCTACACTTATGGAGGGGAATATAGGTTGAAGCGCAACTGGCGGTACTGGCGGCTGATATACTTTCAGACTCTTCGTTGAACGCATGGTCCTTGTCTGCAATGTCTCCGACTTTCAAGTCGGAGTACGAGTACGCGAGGGAAATAGCTGCATGACCCCGGATCTTTTCAGCGCACTAAGGAAGTGAAAATACGGGGTATATATGTATGTATGTATGTACGAATGTACGTATATGCCTCAGATACGTTACACAAGATAGACAAAAAAAAAATAGAAATGGACTGAGTAGTCGCGTGTCCGGTGAGCAAACACGAGATACTTACGTAGTACACCTTTGAGTTTCAGAGTGAAATCGAGAAAAGAAAAGAAAGAAACGACAGATTGATCCTGATGTAAGAAACGCGGTGTGACGTGGAAAAGCAGACATTGGATCCTGTCAGGACTCAGGATGTAAATACGCATTGCATCCATTCGCTGGTCAGACCTTCTAGAAAGGAAAAATGCCTCATGATGAGCGACAGGAAAAAGCTTGTCACGCACTCTGATCGCTGTACTGTACTCCGAAGAGTCTGTATGGACAAGGCTACGAGCTGAGGTGGATGGAGTTAGGGCTAAGCCCTGCTGGGGGAAGAGACCCCTTGCATGTATCCAGACGTTGATCATCTTCACCGCGACTTGGCACATTTCCAAGACATTGAAAGACCTTTCATGATCTGGAATACACTCATACGGAGTACTGTGGTGACAGTACGACAGCAACTGTCGCGTGCTGGTTTGTCTCAATTGGCCCCTGCAAGACCCTGCAAGCGCTCGGGGCACGATGTGTCCAAGTAACTGACAGCTGTAAGTGCGATGGCTGGCTGCTACGACCTGCTAGTGTTGTATTGCATGAACACCAATCAGACACAGTCAATACTAATCCTCAAGTACGTGTAATATGTGCTATGGACGTATCGTACAGGATTGTAATCATCGTGAGCGAGTAGCACGGATGGACGGATATAGATCGGAACAAAATTGCCGAGTGGAGGCAAGACGTGGCCAATCAAAGCGCCAATCGGCCGAAATATCCCGGGAGTTATCGTGGAATGTATACGTGGATAGGAGACGGAGTACGGAGTTTATCTCTCACCTCAATTCCATCATTCAAATGTGCAATCTATGGGATTGAGAAAGTAAGAGAGAGTGAAGAGGTGGATGAGCGCGGAACATTTCTCCTGAGAAGTGGTGGCGGCAACAACTTCAAGGAATTGATTGAGCGAGGTCGAGTACCATGGAAACAAAGACGCTTGGTATGAAGGATTAAATGAATAAAATACAAACGTTCTGTATATTGTGTACAGAGAGGCTGGTAGCCGCGCGATGCGACAAAATGGTAATAACTGCTCAATTACCTGCTGGGATGGCAGGCCGATTCACGATGCGTCATTTATAGTTTTGCTTTGCTTCCGAAGTTGGTCAGTTGTTTAGTCTTTGTCTTGACTTCTAAGTTCTTGAATTTCTCCATGTACTTTCTTTTCTTTTTCTCCCCGTGGAGATCTCGTCTTGGAGTAAACTGTACGAAGAGAACGGACACCCGGTGAGACCCTTTTGAAACTTGCTCTGATCCACTTGATCCATATCCATGTACCATTGGATGTACCAACTATTGGCCGGGATTAGAGGATCGTTGGGAAAGGTTAGATTTTGGCGTTGATGGCAGTAACACAGACATGGCTAGTGAGATTAAAGTGGATAACTTATGTAGTCTCCTGTATTGAATCTCAAGATCATACCAAGACAGAGACAGAGACTCAGGGAGGTTGCAATTGTACTGTTATAGTCGTCATTCCAGCAGTTGGCGGGCGATGGCACAGTAACATAGCCATACGTATTATGGTGTATGTGCTGTAACGTATGTAGCATGTAGGGCGTACATCTACTAGTACCTCTGCTAGTACTGCCGTAATACCAATACACGATACGCGCATCGGCCATGGTTCCGGCGGCATCGCCGCTTCGAGAGCACCGACTGTCAATCGCGTACGACGTCGTACCAGAACAGAAAATCCACTCGCATCTCCAGAATGGTTGGCTCATGCCGTTTTGCCATCGTCAGAGGAAACCTACATAGTAATTTCCTGGCTGAACTCAATCTGCGATAACTGGCATGCTTGAATCTATTTACTCCCGTCTTCCCCCCTCCTTCCCTTTCCGTTCGTTTCTCTCACTTCTCAGACCACACCTCATACATATGGTTTCGACACTTGCAACACTCTCACCCAGTTCTCAGTACGGCCACAGCAGACAATGATACCACGGTCGACACGCATACAAGGCTCGTTCGCGTTCAATCAAGCCGCCTTCAGCCTCTATCCGCTGTAGTCGATAGAAACCAACCCGCGAGACATACCCCTGCAAACAAAGATTGAATTTTGTTTGATCGATTTGAATCACACGAAATGACGTTCCGCGAAAAAGTCAAAAAGGCCTTCCGCCGCAGTTCAGACAAGGACAAAAACAACGGCAAACCCAAGATCGAATACTACCGTCGAGGCGAATGCCCACGTTCCAAATACCGTGGTCCCGTTGACCCGGAACACAGACGGAGATTGTACGACTGGAATTTCGAGACGGCGACTGCTGATCGGGATCGTACCTTCGAGTTGGATTTGTCGCCCTGTACGAGTTTGCCGGATCAGCCTCGTGATGGCAATGACAGTGACGCTACGACGTTGGAGGATGTGTCGGAGAACGAGCCGGAATTAGTAGGCCCGCAACATATTCAGATTATTGGTATGTTCCCTAGGAGGTCTGGGAGTATGACTTGGACAGCACACTGACTTCTGCATAGGTTCGGGTTCTATCACCGTCGCGCATCACGAAGTTGCGTTTTCTGGATCATTCGACACCAATTCTGACCAGTCCACGGCCGTCGTGTCGAGCTGTCATTCGTCTTTGCTGACATTGAAAGAGAGCTGGGATTGGCCTGTGACCAAGCGAGATGCGCTTGGCTCGTTGAAGGAGACACTTGCTATGACTGCTCCAATGACGCGTCGCACGTCGGCACCGGAGAAGCGTCTACCATTTGACCCTCAGGAATTGAGCATGGCGTTGAACGCCGTCCGAATCGTGTCATAACCTCTCGACATCTGACACTATATATTTCATCGTCCCGACATGACGATTCTCACCCTACCGACCACACCATATGAGTACTTCTACAATGACTCAACTGCATGAAATGACACTGCATCAGGATTCAAGGCGTTTCCTACATCACTTTACCACAACTTGCATACTACATCGCCCACGGGAAAGGGCATGGATTTAGCGCGGCGTTTGCTTTAACCTACAACGGAGGCTGTCTGAACTGTTTACACTTGCAACTAGACTGATAGATTTGACCATTATCAGCTTTTGACTAAGCTTCTTGTACATAGAAATCATAAATCAATCTACTTCATCGACTTGAATATCGAAAGACTCAACAAGCAACACCGACTCAACACACCTCCACGCTAATCCCGCGATAAGCGACTAACCCATGCAAGCCCGCACTATGCCATACATGAACCACCGTCCACTAGTCCCGTTACGTGTGCCACTGCATGGATTTACTTATTTAGCCTGATTAGCGCTGCTCACGTAGGTGCGCGATTTTAATAGAGCAGTGATATAGATGCAGCTAGGCCTAGTTGGATCGGGCGCGGGATGCACAGTACATACGTAGTACATAACTGCGGGAAGGTTTGTGCATCGGTTAGGGTCGGGCATGAGGGGTGGGATTATGGTTTACATAGTAATGGGACTGGATTTTTGTGTTTTGTATAAAATGTTGTTATAAGATTGTGTTTCGGTATAATCAAGCTTGTCACTCAACTGGAAGTCATTCATTGTCATCGTCATAGTCAGTCTGATTGAAGGTGAACGATGATGAGTGAGGCTGGCCGTGTCGGCAATCGGCACAGTATTGATACGAGCAATACAGTCAATACGTGGTCATAAATACTGGAAGATCGGTTAAATTACAATGATGTAATCCCTTCAGCTCCTTCTGAATAGCTTCTTGGTCTGATGTCATTATGTTCCTACTACACAGTGGACTATGTTTTTACGTGAATTAAACAAGATGGACTCTGTCGATGATAATGAGTAGCTTGTCAGTTTTATGGGTATGGATAGAATGGATACCGAATTCGGACCGTATGATCCTCGATATTTACTAGAGTAAGTATTCGTTGCCTCGATGATGAGTACATACGGATGCCGGGCATGTCGCTGCATGGGAGTAACCGTTGCGTAGGACATGATATGGTCTGTATGAAGGGCTAGACCCTTGAGCCGTGTAGGTAGGATTGTCCAACGACGGTTACGATGCATGGAATGTGAGAATGCGACCTTGGATCTCTGTACATGCCGGATAGGGTTGGGCCGAGCACGTGGCTACGATGATCTTCCATCTATCACTATCTAACATCGAGCTATATTAATCGCTCCATCCTATCTTGACCCGATACATAAGCAACTCCATAAACCGCCCCTCGGTGACGTTCGCATCTTCAATGCCGTCGTCAATTTGAGTACCGTTTCCCTCGACAATGGCGTTGGTTGCACTTCTCCCATTGCGATTCTGACTCATCTCCTTGGTGCTGCTACTCAACGATGACCCCGTGGCCGAACCAATGCCGCCAAAGAAATGCTCAAAATTCATAAAGTTTTTCCTGTGCGGAGTGTGGTTTGTAGAGTAAGCAGGTTGACCTGCCGTTGTGGGAGGGGGAGCAGCAGAAACGAGCGGACGGCAGGTATTAATAATCGATCTATAGAGACTGTAAATGCGAGTAGCGAGCGGGTTGTTGTCTGTCGACGTTCCAATGATGCGCACGGATATGAACCTCGCAAAGTCTTCTAGAAGTTTAAGATCTGTTACGTCGCGGGTGCGCATGATGTTGTAGGAGAGGACGCATAACGGAGAAATAGAGTAGAGAAGGGCATCCCTGTATATTGAACCCGTTAGATTTATGGTTCGACGGGCTGAAATGAAAGACTAACCAGCTCAAATCAATCATCTCGAGTTTCTGCTCATTCCTGGTCAAATCTCGCAAAGACTCAAAGCACTTTCGAGCACAATCCACTGCTACTCGTTGTAATAGACTGCTCTTGGCTACGTCGGTTGACGTCTGCAGTAGTATCGTCTGAGTTGCATACCCTCTGAAACGGAGATGGTCTAAATCATGAACGAATACATCAGATACGCTGGCAGGGCTTTCAACTTCCCACTGTTGACGCCACTGTCAGTACGAGAGTTTTGAATTGATGGGAAGAACTTACAGTGTCAAGACGCTCCCATAGTTTGTTCAATTCGTTATGCAAAGGCTCAAGATCCGTCCAGTGCATTTTCTTGCCCGAGTCACTTGTAAGAAATGATATCAACCCCTGGATATGCGTAAGATCTAGACTCAATTGAATGAACTGGAGACTCCAGTCGATCCCATCGTCTAATGGAATTCGAGAAAATTGAGGCGGTATAGCTGATTTCGGTAACAATGGGGGACGACGCAGAAGTAAACTCATTGACCGATCTAGCTGATAACACCACACAATACATGCTTCGCGATCTTCATTTGATATTTGCCCATCAACTTGAAAAGCGTCGTAGCCCAGACCGACGAAGGTCCGTGACGCAGCGATCATCATGCTCCATGCCTCGGGCACATTCCCAAAAAGTTGAAGGATCACTACACCCATACATTGTGCCCGTAGCATATGCAACGACGGCGGAGTACGGAGACTAATCTGATCCAATTTCGATAAGACGTCATGGAACTTCCGTCTCTTGATCAATTCGATATGTTCCCGTATCCCGCCCGGAAGCTCTTCTTGTCGATCAAGTAACATAGCAGCCTGGAAATTTAGGATGATCTTGTATGGTAATGTCTTTGATTCATTCTGCATCTTGCCGTCAAGCAGCTCCATACTTATCGTTTCCGTTGACCGAGACGTCGCAAGCGTCGAGTTGGACCAGTGAAAACTCGATATGAGAGGATGTGGTGCTGCGAGGACATTAATTATGTCGCTGGGCGTCAAGTCGTACGAACTCTTGTCGTACGCTGCATCGGCACGGCTGCCGACGCTCCAGTCTTGGTGTGATCGGGCTTTACTGAACTCGTCCAACGCGGCAAGTATTTTAGTCAAGGCCACGCGTTGCATAACCGGGATACTGAGCTGTAGTTCCCCTACTGAAGATGCTGCATCCGTATGCGTTGGCTCAACACGTGCAGAAGATGACGAGCTCATACCATTTATACTGGCTTGAGCCGAGGTATGAAAGACTGGCGGCTGTGGTACTTGAGTCACGAAATCCTCCCAAATGTCGATGATCTGGTCTAATCTTTTTCTCGCCAGATCATTACCCCTATCGTCTCCTTCATTTGAACGCCCCGTTTCCCGCTCAGGAACAGTAGGAGCATCAGGTAGATCCTCATCCAGCCCCGAGAGATCATGAACCATATTCTCAAGATAATGCATACGTTCTGTCAACATGCGTATTCTCTCGTTCCTTTAAGCACTGTTAGACTGAACAGTTACTTTCCTGAATGACGGAAGTGATGACTTGCGGGTTCGTTTTACGTGATCTGGTCTTGCTTCGTAGACGAGCGCAGACTGTATTGGCCGAAACACAGTTTTTGCAGGGATCTAGTCTGTCGCATCTAATCTGTATAGTAGAAGTGTGCAAGGTTAGTCAATCACTCGTACACTGATTGTAATACTTGGTAAAAGATTTCTACCTTTCTAGAATGGCATCGGTCACACTGTGCAAGACAATCAAGTTAATATATATTCCAGTATTCTTCTGCGCCGACTATACACCACATATGGGCCTATACTAACCGCAGTCTGCACGGACGCCGGAGCTCCTGAGTTCTCAGCCATATTTCAGGCTCAATCTATTAGAATCCTCTTTTCCTTGGGGTGAGGTATACAAGAATAACTTCACTCGGACGAACCTCAGAAGGACGGAAAGTTCGGGTTCCTAGCGCGTAGCTTACAAGCCAATAAGTGGACGGAGTTCAGGCTCACTAAGCCGAGTTGGTCATGATGCACAGACCATCGGATGCGTCGATTTCCGTCGGGACAATTATCACGATAGCTTCAACAAGGCGTCAACAAAAAGAAAAAGGGTATTTGTACATATATAAGCTTAGTTTTTCTATTCTCTAATGTGATGATTACAGCCAGTCTCTTATAATACGTTTGATCAGGAGCAAAACACTCACAAAACCAAATTGCTTATTCTAATTTCAGTAATTTCCTATTCGGGACGAGCCGACAAGCCCTAACTTCGCGAAAATGAGCTCCAACACCAAAACCATTTTGATACTCGGAGGCTCCTACGCCGGTGTGGGTACGGCACACTACATTCTCAAACATGTTCTTCCTTCTCTACCCGAAAAAGACGACTATCGTGTTGCCCTCGTCAGCGATTCCTCGCATTTCCTCTGTCGACCTGCCTCTGTACGCGCACTCGTTTCCGAAGATGCCTTTCCGGGAAACAAACGCCTTTTTGTGCCGCTGAGTGAAGCGTTTGAGCGATATGCAAGTACTTCGATGACTGTGTACCATGGTACTGTGGCCAAGCTTGACCATCTCACCCGCACAGTCACGGCTATCCCAGCGGAGGCAGGCAAAGCTGAGATAAAACTTGAGTATCATGCTCTCATTATCGCCACTGGAGTATCAACCCAGTCTCCTCTAATGGGGCTTTCGGGTGATCACCAGAACACAATCGAGGCATGGACCTCATTTCGAAAGAAGGTCTCGACGGCCAAGAGCATTGTCATTACCGGTGGAGGTGCTACCGGCGTGGAAACAGCTGGCGAATTGGGTCAATATTTAAACGGTAATGTCAGTGGAAAGCCAAAGGTGACAATCAACCTCGTCACAAAAAGCAATCAGTTGCTTTCCTACCTCCCACTTTCACTTGCGCAAAAAGCAGAAGAGCAGTTGTCCAAGCTCGGTGTATCCGTTATCAAGAATCGGGTGGTCGAGAAGGTGGTTTCGGTCGATGCTGATGCAGTCAATGGTGCAGGCCAAAGTCTTGAGCGACTCACTGATGCAGTGATTGTACACCTGGACCATGATCAGACCCTTCAAGCAGACTTATACATCCCAGCGACTGGTGTGTCGCCAAACACCAGTTTCTTGAATGGTCAACTACTTGACGACGAGGGGTATGTCATTGTCCATCCTTCATCACTCAAAGTGGAAAGTGCTGGGCCTCGTGTCTATGCCCTTGGCCATGTGTGCTCGTCGAACCCACGCGCAATCCACGCTATCATGAAACAGGTTCCAGTCGCTGGGGAGAACTTGAAGCGGGACCTTCTTGCTGCCGAAAACTCGAATCAAACTCACGACGCGGCTTACCGCGCGTACGAGCCGGAGTCAAAAGTCACTCAATTGGTGGTCATCGGGAAGAAAGGTGTCGGAATGTTCTCTGGGTGGAGAGTGCCGAGTTTCTTCGTTTGGTTGATCAAGGGCAGAGATTACTGGGTTGATATGACACCGCCTATGTGGAATGGGAAAGCTTTTGCAAAGGCGATCTGACCCAAATTGCTTCCTTTGATATCCGAATTTTAGCTTCAAAATGAAATCGTAATATAACTTTTGTCTATGTACATTCATAAATCGTATGGGTATAACCCATGCTAAATACTAATAAACCATGCCAGTCAAAGAAGACCTGTTCTAATCTTCATGAGTAACAGCCATATCGAGAACTTCCACCCTTCCACGCCCACGCGTCTCACTAGTCACAAACTCACTCAAGCCTTTAAAAGCACCAGGCTCGGCAAAGCCAACGGTTTCCCATTCCTCGCCGACAATCTCTTGCGACTCTACCGACTCGATAAAGCTCAAGATCTTTTCCTTCACGTTGGAAGGCGCCTTTGGGGCCGCTTCCTGATCCTCGGCTTCATCTTCGTCTTCCGAGTCTTGATGTTTCTTGCCTTTGCCTTTTTGACCCTTTTTGTTGCCGCCTTTGGATGGCTTGCCTTCTTCCTTTGGTGCGCCTCCCGCCGACGCAGCGCCTTTGACGGATTGTTTCAACAGCGATACGGGACATGTCACTCGCAAACGCATGCGAGCACGCATCACTGGAATGGGTTGCCAAGCGATAAGAGCCTTCATTGCTTCGAGCGCTTGACTCTTTGCTGACTTGGTTGTCGACACGCCCTTCCACAATGGCTTCCGAGGTTCTCCAGGTGTCGCACCATGTTCCGGTGTTTCCTCGCCGTTTTGTTGCTGCTGCTGTCCACTCGTCGCACTTAACTGATCCAGCGCCTTCTCAATCATCGTCGGGGTATATACTCGCTTCGTGGTAGGATCGACAAGCCGTCCAGACACAATATCCACAACTTCCTTCTGGATTCTCTCAAGTATATCCTTGCGCTCGCGCTCTCCGACTTGCACTTCTCCCTTGCGCAGAATCTCCTGAATGATCTCATCTTGTGAAACACCGGCACCGAACGATTTGGCTAGATCTGCTGATGGAGCGGTTTGGGCTTTTTGCACGGAGAGGAAGACGGTATGGATTTGAAGGACATTGTCGATATCTTTCTCGACGCCGGAGCGGTATTCTAGGAGTTTGTTTTTATAGCATGCTAGTTCGAAGCGCTTTTTGCCTGTGTTGTTCTAGAGTTAGCAATGGCGTTGGCGGAACAAAAGTCGAAATGTTCTTCGTACCTTTTTTTAACTTCACGATAGATACGTTTGTGAACTTGATCTGATTCGAGGGCTGATTAATAGGCATTTTGAAAATTGTTCGACTTCCGTACACCTATGACTGGTATAGTCAGAACTTTGTGAGAATGGTATGGAATACTTATCTAAAAAATGACGCCAGTGGGGTAAAGTTAGGCCACTTGGTGCCTGAGAAAACAGGTGCAGAAAGCCGTATAGTCACGTGTCATGCTGGTCAGGTGCCTGCCAAGTCTTCTCCTGCCTAAAGCAGAATCGGGGTTGCCTGGAGAACGGAGCAGCGACGATAGCGGCAGTTCCTGTGGTTGGCTGCCTTGGTGGACTATCCCCGCCGGGCTTAGCGCCGAACAGGTATCGCATCACCATCGAACCAAGGTACTCCCAGTCGTGTGGTCATCCACCTCCCCATCTTCCCCAACTCCATCTCCTCATCTTCATCCCAACTCAATCCTTACAGAGAGCTGTACAGTATTTGAGATTTATCTCTTGACTTCTGTGAATCTCATACAACCTATATTCTGTAAATCAAACCCGATTTCACTGTCTATCGCTGAGTCACCGCTGATAACGACGTCATTACTCTAGGTTCGAACTGCTCGTGCTGCCAACATGAGAGGTTTGGCTACCACGCTCCTCATAGGAGCTGCAGCAGCTTTTTCTCCTGCTCAGCAAGTTCTCAAAGCCCCGGAGCATGTTGAGAAAACCCACAAGACCTCCTCTCCCTCGCTAGCCGAGTCTATCGCCCAGCCTCTCCATGAGCTCAACGAAGAGCTCAAGTCGTTGACCCACGACGCCGAGGAGGTCTGGGAACAAGTTTCCAATATGTTCCCAGGTGCTCTAGATAATGTTCCTTTCTTTTCTTCACCCAAGAAGCACACTCGTCGCCCTGACTCACACTGGGACCACATCGTTCGCGGTGCCGATGTCCAGAACATCTGGGTTGAGAACGCCAATGGCGAGAAGGAACGTGAAGTCGGCGGTAGACTCGAAGCCTTTGACCTTCGTGTCAAGTCTGTTGACCCCAGCTCGCTCGGAATTGACCCCGACGTCAAGCAGTACAGTGGTTACCTTGACGACAACGAGAACGATAAGCATTTGTTCTACTGTACGTGCACACCATCATACCTTCCAAATCTATCGTACTGACCATATCAGGGTTCTTTGAGTCCCGGAATGACCCCAAGACTGACCCCGTCGTCCTCTGGTTGAACGGCGGTCCAGGATGCTCTTCCTTGACCGGTCTTTTCTTTGAGCTCGGTCCCAGCTCTATCGGCAAGAACATCAAGCCCATCTACAATCCCTACTCCTGGAACTCCAACGCCTCCGTTATCTTCCTTGACCAGCCCGTCAATGTCGGTTTCTCCTACAGCGGCAGTTCTGTCAGCGAAACGAGCGCTGCTGCAAAGGATGTCTATGCTCTTCTTACTCTTTTCTTCAAGCAATTCCCTGAATACGCTACCCAGGACTTCCACATTGCTGGTGAATCCTACGCTGGCCATTACATTCCTTCATTTGCTTCTGAGATTCTCTCCCACAAGAAGCGCAACATCAACTTGAAGTCTGTCTTGATCGGAAACGGTCTCACTGATGGCCTCACTCAGTACGAATACTACCGCCCAATGGCTTGCGGTGATGGTGGCTACCCTGCCGTCCTTGACGAGAGCACTTGCCGATCTATGGACAATGCTCTCGGTCGCTGCCAGTCCATGATTCAATCTTGCTACGACAGCGAAAGTGCTTGGACTTGCGTTCCTGCCTCTATCTACTGCAACAACGCCCTTTTGGCTCCTTACCAGCGCACGGGCCAGAACGTCTACGATGTCCGCAAGCCTTGCGAGGACAGCAGCCTCTGCTACGCTGATCTTGAGTTCGTCAGCACCTACCTCAACCAGGCCGAAGTCTTGAAAGCTGTTGGAGCGGAAGTTGACAGCTTCGACTCTTGCAACTTTGACATCAACCGAAACTTCCTTTTCAAGGGTGATTGGATGAAGCCTTTCCACAAGCTCGTTCCCGGTATCCTCGACGAAATCCCTGTCCTCATCTACGCTGGTGATGCCGACTTCATCTGCAACTGGCTCGGCAACAAGGCCTGGTCTGATGCTCTTGAGTGGAGCGGTCACGAGAAATATGCCGCCACCGAGCTTGAAGACCTCGAGATCGTCGATAATAAGCACAAGGGCAAGAAGATTGGTCAGGTCAAGTCTTCCGGTAACCTCACCTTCATGCGTCTGTTTGGCGGTGGCCACATGGTCCCCTACGACCAGCCTGAGGCCAGTCTCGAGTTCTTCAACCGCTGGATCGGCGGTGAGTGGACTCAGTAAGCGAGCCGTGTCTCGTTTTATCACTCTGGACATTCGTCCTACGATTTATATAGCTAGCATGTTTTCCTTCACGTCTTTGCACTTGGTGAACTGGTTCTGATTTCAAATACGTATATGTTTGCAATCTGTCTTGGAACATAGACTGGATATTGTCAGGTTGCAGTAAACGCAGATTATCGTTCGCGATGTTTCTTTTACCGTGTAAAGACCAAAACAATATATCTCTTCAATGACTTCTTTCTCTTTATCTAGTAATTCTGTTGAAAGATCGTAATAATTGATCAATCGTAAAATTGAGAGGGACAACAATGGCTCAAACGCTATTTGCCAGCAGCACAGTGAACTTGTAACCGTCCAAATCCATCACCTACAATAGGCACCCATGGCCAGTCAAATCAATTCTACGTTTTCGAAGGTAAGTAATTTTAGTTATTTTATTTGTGGTGTTCCAAATCACATGTAAACACCGAGAAGCCTTGGCCTTTTAAAAGTTTTATATCATGATAAATTTGCCATTTGTTTGACCCCCCGCAGAGCAACATACAACCAAGAACAAAACACCGCACATGAAGAGGGAGAAACACGATGCAAAAGTACTGTAAAAAATATGGAATCCTTTTTTGTATTGTAAAACTCCGGGTTTCGTCTCCATAATTCGTTTAGCCCTTCTTCTTGCTGACACCGACGGTGCGGCCACGGCGACCAGTGGTCTTGGTGTGTTGACCACGGACACGGAGACCCCAGTAGTGACGGAGACCACGGTGAGAGCGGATCTTCTTCAGGCGCTCGAGATCCTCACGGAGCTTGGAGTCGACACCGTTGGAGATGACCTGAGAGTCCTTGCCGTCGGTGATGTCGCGCTGTCTGTTGAGGAACCAGGCAGGAATCTTGTACTGGGTGGGGTTCTGGATGATGGTGACGATACGCTCGAGTTCTTCGGAGGTGATATCACCAGCACTGTCCATCAAAACCTATCAGCAAATGTCCCTTTCAACCGCCTAAAAGTTATGAAGTTGTAGCGAAAAAAACGTACCGCTTGCTGAGGTCAACATCGGCCTTCTTGCAGACCAAGTTGGAGTAACGACGACCAACACCCTTGATCTTGGTCAAGGCGTACATGATTTTCTGTTTGCCATCGACGTTGGTGTTGAGCAAACGGATAATGTACTGGAAGTTCGACTTCTCGCCGGATACGAGCGCTGTAATTGAACAAAAGTCAGCACCACATTTTCCCTATATTTTCCACATATCCCATCTTGATATGAGTGCCGATGCTTTGAGATTCTCATCCCCCCCATCTTTTCATGCCTTCATCCTCGCGACAATCAATGAACTGATTTTTTCTCCCCCCTCCTCCCCGACCACCATCCACCATCCATCTCCTCTCAAGCACAACTCTCACATCTCATATCAAGCCGAATATAATAAAGGAAAGGTTGAACACGTACACATGATGGGCAATGGCGCTCCGCGGTGTTGATGCGAAATTGTCGACGGCTAGGTGCGAAGGAGAGGAAAGACAGAGGAACTTAGAGGTGGTGGACTTAGCTTGTGGGATGTAGTGCGGACTAGCCGAGTTAGGTATGGTGCGTGAAAGGGCTTCGCTTGAAAGGCGCTACTGCCTGTTGGAGTTAAGCGATCACGTGTGGGGCCGGATTGAGTTAGTTTGTTGTACTCCATATAGGTTGTGAGTCTCGCTGTTTCTTGGTTTATGAATTAATAGGAGGACAAAACAAGTGGAAGAATATTGAGAAGAACCTAATTTCTCTGATCGTGTGGTAGGACTTCTGTTGCTGATTGAGTTTTGCGGATACGTTTACTGAAGTCTTGCTGACTGCACGTGACCTCCGTTCGGCAAAGAGTAGAGTAAGCTAAAGGCCCAAAGCGGACTAGCTGCATAGCAACCAGAGGTACAAGAGTTCAAACAGCTGCGATATAAGGCTCAAAGAACCCCGGACTCTCGCAAAAGATGCTTGCTATCACTCATACGCGACATTGATTTATCTTGCGAATTCCTGTAATGCATATCCAAACCTCAGAATTGTCAACAAAATGAATGCGCAGCTCTCCTCCGCCCTCGACGGGCTCGAAAACAAACTCAACTCTCTATTGACATCTCTCACCACCCCAGCTGCCACAGGAGCCCCCGCTGCAGCAATCGCACTCCTTGAAGCCGACGATGTCGTCTCTTCCGCTCTAGATACCTTACGAATCCACCAAGCGAACTATGCCAAAATCCTACACTTGCGCACCGAAGCACAAAACCTCGAAGAGCGGATAAAGACTATTGTACGCGATATCTCGGGCGCCGGGAAGGAAATTGCTCAAGCCACAGGGGAGAATGACGACGATGACTACGAGATGGATACGGACGATGAGGATGAAGACAATGAGTCTGACACAGATACAGAGAGTGAGAACGGAGACACAATCGGCCAGCAAAAGAGACCCCAAAAGGGAAGAAAGAAAGAAGTAGATTACAAACTCCTTCTAGAGTTTGCGCGCAGAATCAGCAAATACAACATTCAAGCAGCGGCGGATGCCACAAGTGGAGTTTTGGGGACGACAGGCTCGACGACAAAGAAACTACAAGAGAAGCAACTCGAAGATGCGAAGATGATCGATGCCAACGGTCTAGCTGAGCAGGAACAACAGCAGCAGCAGCCGGGCGGAGAACAGGAAGAAGTTACAGTTGGAACCGTGACAAAGGAAGCTACAAGCTGGCTCGAAGAGTCGGCCGATGCAGATCGGCAGTACTTTATGATTCCGTATCCGAACGAAGATCGTATACGTATGGGATTGATGGGTCAGTTGCAGGTGGCTGCAGTGGATGGAAATGCTGATCCGGAGAAAGAGGCGGAGCGTATGGTGCAGGAGGCTGAGGGTATTGCGGGTGTTGCGAGTGGTCCGGCGGACGTGCAGCCTCGGCCCCAGACGCTTGCTGATGAGGCTGGGATGGCCGCTATGAATGCCGGAGCACATGCTGTCGCGAGACCTGCAGCGAAGCCGGCGGCGCCTGCTCAGCCTAGACCGACGCTGGATTTGGATCTTTATGATCCTGAAGATGATGATTGATGTTTCAATGTATTTCGCGCAAGATGCCTTTTGAATGATACCAATTTATGACCTTTTTAAAGCTAAAAGAAATGATTATTTGCCTAAACATATTTGCATTTATACGTGCATCGGATATATCTGCCTTCAAAGACAGCGACTCTTCCAAGTCTCTACTCCTAAATATCACTCATCTGGTGCACGCTCGACTTTGCAGTCCACTTCCTACACTGCTTTCCCCAGAAATAAAACACAATTCCAAAGGAACACCACAAGACGTGAAGACACATATTCAACATGATTGGTGAGAGAAACCCGCTCATGTCAATCCAATTAGTGATGAATTCACTGAAACCATAACCCCACAGATTCTTGTTAATTGTAATGTTCACGAAGAGAGACCCGGCGACGGGTTTGTAACTGTCGACAGCATATGTGCTAGCAATGGCGGGGAGGGCAGCGACTTGGATACCGGAACAGGTGTAGCCGATGATGACAATGATCTGTATTCCTTATTAGCAAACGAGGCGGGCTCCTGATCACCATAGATGAAGTACTCACCCTCCAATCCCAGCTATGCTGATAACCGAATGCAACGATAAAATTTCCCAAAATCGCTATCAGGACGTATGGAATCATAGCAGGCAAACGCATCTCCGGCTCACGAACTCCGTTATTCTTGCGTGTTGCGCGCATAGATATCCAATCCGACAAAGGTCCATTCGTCGCCAAACCGATAAGAGCACCGATGAAAACCGCAAAGTTGGTAAAGCCGATAGACTGACTGGACCAATTGTACGGTGGTGCAGCGAATACTTGACTTTGAGTCAAATTCACCGTCAAATACACCGAGGCAGACCATGAAACGACAAAGGCTGCGAATTCGACGATGGGGAAGAAATGGAGTTTCCACGGAATCCACAGCGTGATGGCCATTGTCTTAACGGGTTCAGGAGAAAGCTTCCAGAAGTGAAACTGGGATTTGGCTGGGGAGCCACGATGTAGCCATTCATCCACGGGTTCGGCCTCATTCTTGGTGCTTTCGATCTCGGTAGGCTGGGTTATCTCGCCCTTCGGGTTAGGAGGCGTTTGTAGCTCTGTTGATGTGGGAGTCACAGTATCCGCCTCCAGCGGCTGGTCTCGATGCCACTTGGTTTCCGGGAAAAAGAATATCAAAAGGATAATCAGAACTGCAAACAAGGCTACATTGAGCCACCAGAAATTTTGCATTCCAACATGATAAGCCATTGAACCTGAGATGATTGGGCCGACCTAATTTCTTAGCCACGTCCAGAATTCTTTAAAAAAGTTGGGGGTACTCACCATTAGCGAACCGAAGTAAAATGTAAAATAGAGCGTGTTATATGCTCCTCGGTCATGGAGAAATAGAGTGTCCGCAATGACTTGAGGTTGAAGAGACTGTACACACAGTCAGATGCACGGTTGAAGATCACTTATTGCGAAGAATGCTTTCCCACCTCAGAAGGGCCGGCTCCGATACCATTCAGGATACAAGCACCCATGAAGCTCGAGTATGTGGTCGCTTTGGCTCGCCAGATCATCGAAGCTAGACAGATCAGAGATGAAAAGATTGCTACCGGACGTCTTCCGATGGTTTGGGCCATGGGAACCCTGCAATTTCATTAGCTGACTTGCAAAACCCAGGAAGCCAGTGACTTACCAAATAAAGTTACTGAATCCGAGAACTAGGATACACACTCCTGTAAACCGTACAACCGAAGGCAAATCACTATGGAACGCTTCAATGAGCTCCCCAAACATTGGCGCAAGAGCAAGAGGTCCTAGTCCTTGTGCAAAACTAAGGGTGGTCGACAGCGCAATAATGGCGAACTTCCAGCGTCGGTTCCAGTTCTAATCCACATGAGTGTCAGTCGCCTTTGAATATTTATGAAAAGGGAGGCGTACGACATACCAGAGGGTCATGCTTCTCATTGGATGGCTGTGGCACAAGAACCTGCTTGGAGTTGATGGAAGATTTGACGAAATGATGGGACCCAACATCTGTCATAATCTCCGTTCCGGGGTAGATCTTCGTGTGAAGCTCCTCCTCGAGGCTGGAAAGCTTAGTCAATAAAAGCGTCATCTTTGGGTATGATTTCCTGAATAGGACTTACTGGTGAAGCGCCTAAATATGCGAGATCTGGAGTTAGCGGACTTGCAGCATTTCAATGTTGGATGATTTAACAAATGTGTATCTGAGGGGTACTTACACCATCATGATTTGTCCCCATTCTGGAGGGCGAGGTGTGTTTGATACAATCTGAGATCGACAAAGAGCTCAGGGTGTAGTGGTACTCTTCAAATAAAATGCATACAGAGTGATTATAACAGCTAGAGTCCAGCTAGAGGGGGGTCATGTTCGGGAGTGACATGGCGGAGGACGGACGTAGTATTTATCACCTCACAAAGGCGAGCGACAAGAAAAAGCGTAATATATTTGTCGAATATAGGCTATACTGGTACGGACATGCATGTCCGTTCTGTTAGTGATAGGCCTCAATCAGCGGACTACGATTGGTAGTAGTGATAGCCCCCGTAACTATGTGATAGGACTATACCCCAAAATCGGTCCACTTTTTCTCCTCGTTCCCTCATTTCTTCCCCGGACCCGCACTTTTGTTGCGTAGCCCTCACCCCCGCGGTCAATAAGATGGCTGCTCGGTGAAGCTTACATATTTATTTGCTGCCTAAGCGTCAGGGATTCCAGACGGCTTGCCCCAAGCCACGAATCTCGGCTAGAAGAATCGGCATTTCTCGACTCGTAGCCTGTATTTTCAAGCGAGGCTCACCGATGTACCGAGCTTCACTTGTCCAATCATTGTTGCTTTTTTGACCGTTCATCAATGCATCGACCTGTTTCATCCCGAAACCGATCTCGGTCGGCTAAAACAAGAATTACCCTTTATCCAATCGACTCGGAGATGATTCTTCATTGGTAGCTGATTCAGTTAGACCTTTTGCGCATCGTGATGACCCCAGATTTTGATGGTAGATACACCACAGTGCATCTCCCGGTTGAGGTTTTGAACTTTCGGGAAATGCACTGAGAAAACTTATTTCTTCCCTGCTGTCGGAAAATCAAGTTGTTGCTCTTTGTGTGGCGTCGGATAATGGACTTCGGAGAGCTAATTGCATTAAGCAGCTGGAAGTCTTTGTTCTCGCATGAAAAGATGAATCTTAAGAGGTTACAAATCAAAATGAAAATGACCGAGTTTTGTTATCAAAGAGTCATGGCAAGCGACTTCTATTCAGATGGTTCCCCAGGTAGAACCAATTTCCCCGAACATGGCACCTCTGCGGACACAGGAGGCACAGACGAGTTGAAAGTCAAATAAATTGTTTGCGCACTGTATTAAGGAGAAATTTACATATGGTAAGCTCCTTAGGTTTCCTGCAGAGGAGGGCAGGACCTCCCCAAACAGACATCTGTCACGCGCAGTCCCTTACTTCCCTTTTTGGGACATCGCGAAGAACTTCACCTCGAAGTGCAACACAACATGCAGAAGTTCTTATTTTCTTCCGTTCCTCTTCCCTGTATGCTAGCTTTTATGGATTATTCGTCTTGATTGTACGAATTGATTCGGCTCCTACAACGTTTTCGCGCGGCAATAATAATCCACCAGACTTCAAATGGGTGTCCACATTCGCCCACGGCCGTACTTTCCAGCAATCCCCACGATTCCGCCATGCGGTCTTTGACAAAGATTCGCTTCTGAAGTGTGTTACAAGGCCATCCAGTGATGCTTGACAGTCGTCACATTATTGGTCCGGGTTTCACATTCATGAATGTCCATGTCCGAGAGCTCCTGGCCACAATGAAAGAACCTCCCGGAGATGACAATCCAGCAATGGGAAAAGTGGACGGCAAAACCAATTGCATCTGAATAATCATCATCGCCTTTGCCGGAGCTGGTTCCATCCTTTCGAGTCATTCAACAAACTTTCTGTGCTACGGATCTGACGTCAAACCTTGTCGGCTTTACAAAGCGCACAAATCATGACATTGCCCACAATATAATCCCCGGAAAATGGCAAAACGTACACATCCCCAGATCGAGGCATTTGATGCTCGTCGATTACTTTATTATCGACTCACATCCCCAGATGAACTATCCATTTTGCATGCTCGGGACACAGCTTCCATTAAGCATGGTCTTCTTCTCTGGACTTCAGACTCAACCTCAAGACTACGAGAATCTTCGTGATTTAAAACCGCGTTATGCCTCACCCGTCACATGATGGTGTTCCCGACGGAACAACGAGTGCTCATGTCGCTGACGGTGATTTTGAGAAACAGGAATCCGAGGATGGACGAGATGACGCCAGCCGACGAGTGGCTGATGAAAAACGTACATCAGATGGTGGAGTAATTCTTACGGAATCGGATGTGTATGACAAGTTAGGATTTACATTTCCCTTCTGGAAAAAATGGGGCATCCTCAGCGTGATTTTTCTCGTCCAAGTATCAATGAACTGGAATGCTAGCTTTTACGCTGGCGCAATCACTGGATTGTCCAAACACTTCCACATTTCCAAGCAAGCTGCGCGTGTGGGACAAATGATTTTCCTGGTCTGTTATGGATTTGGTAGTGAATTGTGGGCTCCATGGAGTGAAGAGATGGGCAGGTGGCCGATCATGCAGCTCAGTTTGTTTTTCGTCAACATCTGGCAAATACCTTGTGCTCTAGCCCCAAATTTTGGTACAATTATAGTGTGCCGAGCTCTCGGTGGTCTATCTTCTGCTGGTGGTTCGGTCACCCTTGGTATGGTTGCTGATATGTGGGAGCCCGACGATCAGCAATATGCTGTCGCTTTCATCGTGCTTTCGTCCGTCGCTGGATCGGCCTTTGCACCTATTGCAGGAGGCCCAGTCTCGGAATGGCTAAGCTGGCATTGGAATTTTTGGATTCAATTGATTATCGGTGGTGCTGTCCAAGCCATTCATCTCTGGGTTCCTGAGACACGCTGTAGCATTCTGGTGACTCGCGAGGCTCAGAGACGCCGCAAGAGAGGCGAAAATGTCTACAGCTACAGTGAACTCGAGAATACAAAATTCCAATGGAGGCCTATCGTCACGGTCTGGCTTCGACCGTTCCTTATGTTTGCCCGAGAACCAATTGTATTGTGGCTTTCTTTGCTGTCTGGATTTTCCGACTCTCTGATCTTCACTTTCCTTCAAGCGTACCAACCAGTCTACCAGCAATGGGGGTTTGGAGACGTTCGAGTAGGTCTTTGTTTCATTCCGTGAGTATCAGCGAGGTTTTCTCAAAAGATCATGGCTTACTTTGGATAGTATCATCATTGGATACGGGATTGCGTATCTTTCATTCTTACCATGGATCTACAAGCATACAAAGATACGGAAACGAGACCCAGATGCGCTTCAACCGGAGTCTCGGTTATATTGGCTCTTATGGAGTAAGTCGTGCCACAAGCCAGGAAAGAGTTTACTGACACTTAATTGTTAGCTGCACCGTTAGAGACTATAGGTCTGTTCGGCTTCGCCTGGACCAGTTTAGGTCCCCCTCATGTTCACTGGATAGCGCCAATGATATTCTCCACTTGTATTGCAATTGCAAACGTGTGTTATCTAAGGCATCCCAATCCTTTACGAGAACTTACTGACTTTTGTAGTATGCAATCTACATGGCTACAATTGATTACATGGTTGCCTCATATGGACCGTATTCCGCTTCGGCTACCGGTGGAAATGCATTGGCACGAGATTTCCTTGCAGGTATTGCTGCAATGTATTCAACTCCCAGTAAGTAAAAATGATAATTCTTTGGCAAGACAAAAAGACAAATTTAACCAACTATAGTGTATGAGAATATGGGCACTACATTACACTTGGAATGGCCGACCACCCTACTAGGCTGTCTCTGTATCTTCATCACCGCTCCGATCTACATCTTTTATTGGTTTGGTCCAAAGATCAGAGAAAAATCCAAATTTGCCCAAGTTCTTGCAAGCGACCGCCGAGCCAAGGGAGCCAGATCCGTTCGCTGCGGTTCAGAGACCCAAGGTGCGGAGGGTACTTACTTGGGCTCGCAGAATGCTCACACTGGCTCTTTCCGTGGCACTCGTGCGTCCGGGTCGGGGTGCTCTGCATAAGAGGTTAACCTTTCGTTCGAGTCTCCTAGTCCAATGAGACTTTCGTGGTTTAAGAAGAGCTTACCCACCACGGCGTATGAAGAGAATCACGACTTCGGGGGGTGCATTGTTGGTGGTATAAAAACGATTGACCGACCAACTTATATATGGTGAATGCCTTCAGAACGATGCAGGCACCGCATGGCTTGGAAGAAGGAATTACAAATTGTCTACATTATATATCAATTTCTGTCTTACAATACTAAATTGATCTTGTACTAATAGCTACAAACAGGGTCTATAGATGAATGCCAATTTTCTAATTCCTATCTATGTGATCTATTGACATCAAAATCTAAGACTGTGACAGTTTTCAAATAGAAGCCAGTTTTCTTAATTCTTCGATTCGTGACGCTGAAACCCACTACCAGAATGCAACAATGTAGCAAGGGATCCCAAAGAACAAGTCGTCATCAAAATTGGACCCCATATCGCGGGCACAAACCGTCCTTGAATCAGAGTCCTTCGCACAGAGACATATCGAAATATCCCATATCCGAATGAGCCGATGCTGATTGTCCAGCAAAATTGGCTCGCTAAGATGTCGCTCTGTCCGCCTGCAGATGATGATTTTTTATCGTGATTATCCTTGTTGGTCTCAATTGCCGCAGGGTTTAGCTGTTTTGAGATGGTGATAGTGTTGTTGCTCAATTGAGCATTGTATTTGTTGAAAACATGATCAATCATCCCTAAGCGCCCCAGGGCAAGCGCCATGGCGGCAAAAGCGAGGCCCATGCGAGTCCATGATAGGAATGTGCGCTCGTTGGCGAGATGATCGCGTAGTTGGGATCCGTTATTGAGGACGGGTTTGGGGAAGAGAAGTTGGCGGAGGCGAGTTATTATTGCCATGTTCACTTTGAAAGTCTTTTAATGGTTGGCCAATGTGTTGGGCAAAACTCAAGTATCTATCTCAGACGCTTAGAGTATTCCGAAGGGTTGTCGTGATGGATGTGATGGGAGTTGTGATGTTGTCAAGAAAAACAAAAACTACCCAAGTACAAAGAAGCCCGGAAGTGTTCTCGGCCGGGCTGATTAACGGCCAATCGAAGCCTAAAGGCGCTCTCTAAAGCGAACCAATCCTGTCCATTTTTAACTTCGAGAATTTATTGTGACTATCTCGATCTGATTTACCCGGCCGACTCGTAAATTATGATGTACTCGATTGAATCGGTATAAAGATTGTTAATCGGATTGGCGAGCTTTTAGAACTATTCAAGAAGTCGCCGGTCTCGGGATTTTCCACGGAGGTACTCAGGGAGGACCCAATCAACGGCGACTACGCCTATGGACACTTCGTTTTTACTTTGTGATTTGCTTCAAATGGCGATGAGTTTGGATATGTAATTATAAGAGGAGATGGATGCCGTTACAAAACTGCATTGATTGGCAATATTTTGTGGGAACCATCGCGACAAAGTGAGCTGTGGGCATTGCACGAAAAATTTACTCTGCATCGACTTGCCTGGCTGGATCAACGAATCTGAATGATTGGCATTATAGCTTCGACCAACCTGGTTGATCTGAGATCATCATGTCTAAAGCCTCGGAGAGCCCATTCAATTCTTTGCTTGTCTCTCCCACAGAGCTTCATTCGGCTCTTTCCAATGCTTCTTCATCMCCCCGCCGCATCGTCCCAGTGGCAGTGGGGCGCGAATCGGGACTGAAATCTTGTGAAGCCAAACAAATTCCAGGCTCTGTGTATGAAGCTCTTTCCACAAAACTTGAAAGCATATGTCAGTCCAGTGATAAATACAGTAGCTAACGAAAAACAACAGCTTCTTCAACGTAGACCATGTGCGCGACACCACCTCCGCATATCCATTCATGCTACCTTCACCATCCCACTTTGCCGTCTCTATGACCAAACTTGGCATTCGAGCTGACGACATACTTGTAATCTACGACACGCTCGAAACGGGATTCTATTTTTCGCCTCGTGTGGCGTGGATATTTCGTCATTTTGGACATGGCGATGTTCATGTTCTGAATAGTTTCCCGCTGTACGTGGAGCAGTGTTATGAAGTGCTTGAGGGACAGAATCTGGGGGTATTGGCAGCAGGGGAGACTTATCCGGTGCGAGCGCTGCTGGTACCTAATGATGTGGTTGACTTTGACGAGTTGCGTACATACCTTTCCGCCGGTGGAAGAACGGAAAGTAGTCAATTCCAGATCCTTGATTCGAGACCAGAAGGCCAATTCTCTGGATCGGATACTGGGGGTGCTATCGTAGGGCATATGCCTTCAGCAGTGAATGTACCGCTTGGCTCGTTACTAAGTACCGATAAAAGCCTGCTTCCTGCTTCACAACTAAAGGAGTTGTTCGAAGCAAAGGGCGTGAAAGAGACAAAACCTGTGATCTTGACATGTAATTCGGGTACGACAGCCGCTGCATTGGGATTGGCATTAGATGTGAGTGGTTATCAGATGTCGAAGAGGCTTTATGATGGAAGCTGGTTTGAATGGAGGGACAAAGTGACCAAGAATGAAGGACTCATCGTCGTGGATTGATGTATTTCTTCACCTCATATACTTCAAAAATCAAACATAGAACGTTGCATAATCTAAGAACTATAAGTTTCAAGCCCATCCTTGACAGATTGCTCCAATGAGATCCAGCCAGGCTGTCCAAACCACTCCTTGAGTAACTCCTCCGCCCTCTTCGCGGGTGGTACCACACTCAAGTCGTGTCCTTCATTCTCTGGAGGATTGGGAATTTTGTCGCTGTCGGGACGATATTTGCGAAGAAGATTGATAATGTCGGTCCATCGGAAAGGGTGGGCGAATGCGAAGAGGCGTTCGGATTTGACTTCGGGGTCGAGGAGCGCGATGGCGTGGATGCGGGCTACGTCTTCGACGTTGACGTAGTATTCTATCAGCGCGACATAATTAGCATTCATAAGGGCATTTGGAAAGGAAAATCTCGAGATTTACCAGGTGGCACAAGGTCCATTAGCAACCTGTTCCCATCCACAAGTCCCAAGATGTATTTTCCAGAAGACCCGTTAAAATTGGGATGAAGGAAACGTCCAATCTAATGTTCAGAATATGTCAGGAGAAGAGACAGCCAATCCGGAAAGTCGGTACATACATTCATATTCGGGAGAACAGCATTGAAAACGAAAGGAGGGTTGTTCTCCTTGACCCATTTGTGTGCAAATCGTTCTCCTTCAGTCTTGGAAGCACCGTAGACATACATCGGGTTGCGAGTCTCGGGGGTACCTTCCCATGCGATTTTGACTATTTCGTCGTTCCATGAATCTGCATTTGTTTGTCAGCGAGCGACGTTGAATGAGATCGTAGGGGGTTGATATTAGCTGGGAACGAATGCTAAAACTTACCTTCAGTGATGACGATTCCCTCCACGTTGGGCTTTGGAAGAATAGCTGCTGACGAGGATGAAGTAAGGACGACCCTCTTGATAGACTTTTGCTCGGCTGCTGCTTCTAGCATAGATCGAGTGGCAGCGATAACATTATTGATCACCTTGTCTGTCTCTGTACTTAGAGATAGATCTGAGGCCTAGATCAGATGTATTCAGCGAATTAGCATGATAATGTAGGTGTTGTCGCTCGCACCAAACGTGTGGAGCAAAGATCATTTCAAATTAGGGCTACTCCATACCACGTGAATAAGCCCGCTGACACCACCCAACACCTTGACCAGAGACTCTTTCTGGGCAACATCAGGAACAACCACGCTCTCATATTTGCCAGTGCCGTACTTTGTTGTAAAGTACTCATCGAGCCAGGGTTTCTCAGCACGGATGGTGCCTCGTACAATATATCCCAAGGACAGGAGGAGGTCCACAACGTGTGAACCAATGTAGCTGTTGGCGCCGGTGACAAGGACTAGCTCCCCGGGCTGGAGAGCGGTGGATTTCTTCAATAGAGCAGGCATGATGAACTTTAGGACTATCTAGTAGGTACTAGGGATATGTGATATTTTTCTGCGGATCGTTCGTTTCGACGGGTGTGTCTCGAAATATAACCTTGCATATATAAGCGAGGTGCACGAGGTGCATGCATCGCTTTATATACTTAAGCTGCTAGAACCTGACAGGTGATTATCCATCAAGCGAATACATATGCAGCATTTTCGTCCGTCTCTCTGGACACATTCGATGTAATACAATTCGAGAAAAGTGGACCAATTCGACCGAAATTGAGACAGCGGCGTCATGAATCAAGCCGGTTGTATGACCGGAACTCTCAACCCAACCATGATCCCGAGGTCGGAAGTACAATGCAGAATAGCGATTTTGATTATTTGATTTGCTAGTTAACTAGTAATTTGAGTGATTGGTAATTGCTTAATCATTTTACGTGGGGTCTGCGAGATTTTATACATTGTTATGATACATGTGCTAAAAATAACTGCACACGTTGGCAAGGAAACGGTTAAGAATGTGTAGCCGAACACCCTGTAACTTGGCAGAGGCAAAGAATTTAGTGACTTAGGGATACTGTGTCTATGCTTCGCTAAGCTTTTTTATATTCGTTATATTTTTTTCTAGAGACAGAAGCATGAATTCTACTTCGTTGAAGGTCGAAGAATTAACTTAAAGACGAGATTTTCGTGTTATGATTTATAATCACATTACAGGGGCTAGCTATATGCGGCTAGTATGCGACTGCTCTCACCAATTTGTGTGTGATATGACAACCACATCCTTTGGACTGATATGGAGTCATTTGACGATTATTAGGGTCATCTAATCATAGTGTATCGTATGTTGCAAGATAAATATTTTGTCAAAGTGGTTTTCCTATTTAGAATACACTAGTCACATTGTGTCTCTTCCCTTAGTCGTGGAAGATATTATTTTTATTACCACGTGAGTCAATGGCAACTGTTGGCCATATTTTACACTACGCTAGAACAAAATCTAGTCCGTGGATCTGTCTATTTGACATATATTGGTGTGATTGCAACATCATTTAACGTACTATTTAATACGATCTAGAAGAAATTCTGACAGCCTACACTCTCACCGCACCATTGAAGGCAGTAAAGTTGTTGCCTACAAAGTCCAACCCGACTACAAATGAAGTACAACATCATCTCTTCATAAATAAGCATTGACATATAAAAAGAAAAGAATAGAGAGCTGCACGACATCTCTCCTAAGTCATACCTAGGTATCATTGTCCACTTACTTGAAATGTCGAGAAACATTACCTCCCAGCTACTCGACCTTGAGTTACCGACTAGCGTCAAGCTATCTCCAGACGGCCAATCCGTCGTGTATTCGGCAAAATCAAATTGGAAAAAGGACGATCACATTTCGTCCATATGGATTGGCGAGATAAATTCACCAAAATCGGCATATAAGCTTTTAGATGGCACCTTCAACGACTACGAACCGCGATGGGCTCCAGATGGCCAGTCCATTGCATTTCTTTCCGATCGTGGAGCTCGTGGAAAATCGTGTGCTATATATACGCATCACTTGAATAGTTCTCAGGAACCAAAGGCACTCACTGCAGCCACAAATACCCAAACGATCGCGAAATTTGAATTCAGTCCCGACGGAAACTTCATCGCTTTTCTTGTTCCTTCAGAGGAAGAAAAAAACCCTGTTGTCCATGTCTGGAATGAAAATTGGATATACACTAATTTAAAACTACTTGATGTCAGGAGTGGTGACATCAGACTCATCTCGGCGAATTCGTTGCATGTGGTCGATTTCTCTTGGAGTGAAGATGGAAGTCAGATAGCTTACGCCACTCACCGCTCTCCAGATATCGAAAGTGAATGGCTTCATGGAACCAGTATCTGGACAACTGAGATTGTGGATACTGATGTGCAGTCTCGCAAAGTCTGTCATATACCACGCGAAGTAGTTGACATCAACTGGCTCAATTCCGAGCTGTACTTCATAGGTTTTAGTACCTTGACAGATGATAATTCGGCAAGATCTGTTTACTACATTGATATGCAGGATCCAGAAGGTCGGATAATCAAAGCTGCACATGGCGATGATGACTGTGCGGAAGGTCTGCGAAGGGTTGGAAGTAAGCTGCTGGTGTATGTGCAAAAAGGAATGGAGGACCAGCTGAGACTACTCGACTCCGATATCATATACAAGGAAAAGAAGTGTATCTTGGCATTTGACGCGATTATGGACACTGCTGGAAAAATCTGGGTAGCATTCGTGCAGGGTAGCGTTAACCGACCACAAGAGGTTTTCGAATTCTTACCTGCAGGGGAACTGATTCAACTCTCTGACCACGGTAGAGCATGGACGACTGACTTTTGTACCCGAAAGTTCATTGAATGCCCAACACTGGATGGTAGTGAGAAAATTGAGGGCATGTTTATCAGTCCCATTGCCAAAGCTGGCCAGAAGATGCCAACCGTCGTGCTCCTCCACGGAGGTCCCTACTTGCGTGTCACTGATTCCTTCGACTTTTTGAACCATTTTTTCATGCCTCGATTGTTACTCGAGGGATTTGGAATCCTCCTCCCTAATTACCGTGGAAGCTGCGGTCGTGGTGATAAGTTTGCAAGATATACGACGGCCGGTGTGGGTGTTTATGATGCTCCAGACATCATAGCTATGACACAGCACGCCATTAATCTGGATCTTGCGGATCCATCCCGACTGCTCGTGGCTGGAAAGTCTCAAGGTGGATTTTTGTCGTATTTACTGTCCGTACGTAACGGTGCACATGGCCTGGGGTGGCATTTTAAAGCAGCTATTGCCACTGCAGGTGTTACGGACTGGGACGCAATGGCCATGTCATCAGATATAGGGTACATTGAGGCTGGTATGGCAGGRGGAGCACCGTGGAGACTTAGCAAAAGCGATGTAAAAACCCGCTCTGGTTCGGCCTTATGGGAATTCCGCGATGCAGCAGAGAAAGAACGGATACCTCCAATTTTGTTGATACATGGCGAAAACGATATCCGTGTTCCAGTCTCCCAGGCTATAGGTTTCAGACGTGCCTTAGAAGAAGCAGGTTTAGAATTTCAGTGCGCAATATACCGCGGTGAAGGACACTATTTCCAGAAACGAGCGAGTGCTGAGGATCTAGTGGAAAGGATTGTGCGGTTTATTACAAAATATCTTGTCTAAAATATTACAAAGCTTGGTCTGAAGAATAAAAATCGCACGACAATGTGCGAAGTTTGATCGGCAATCAGGAGGTGTGTATGCGATGACCGATTTTATCGGTGCAGATACCAACCGTAATCTTCAATTTGCATATATTACATATCGCTATCTATACCCCCGCTGTGAGGTCAAACTAGCTTCACTGACGTCGGCTGGAATTCTTCGTGAAGCCCATCCTGTACGCAGCTATTACAGTCCGGAGAGTCATAGGAGAGAGCAATCTGACCTGTAATACAAAGTTAAGATCTCCAAAGGTGCTTGTTTTGGACAATATACGAGTTGAATACTCACACCGCATCACAAATTATATATTCAGACTTTGTGTTTTCAGAAAAAAGATATTTCAAGCATCTTCTTAATTGAAGAAGACCGGCGGAAGTTCTGGGATGTGACTCGAGAAATGCCCTGGACATGAAAAATTGAACATAATCGGACAAGTAGAATATGCGAGTATACTAAAAATTGGAAAAACGACCCAGCATGCTTGGTAAAGAGTGGCTTATATCAAATGTTGAGTAGAGTTTTGAAAAGAAAGATGGATGATGAAGAATGATGTTTCTTTGCCAGGAATCAGGAGGCAGAAATCTTGAGCGAGCTCTGATTGGCTGTAAGCTGATACCATCATGTGATACCATATCATGCTTTCTTTGTTTTGTTTCGTTCTTGGATCTTAGCCTGTTCTTTATATCCGATCGATCTCCAAGTATTGGCAATCAGTTACATCCATCGACCGATCACCTGCTTCTACACGCTAATGATAGCATGTCTTGCTGGGAGCTATTCGAATCCACGTCAACATGTTGAACGACATCGAACTCGAGAAGTTGAACAGTGACTTGACATCCCTCACGCAAACGAGTAAAACATACCAGAACAACCTGCAACTTGCCCTTGAAAGTTTTCATGATCTTCTCGAGCGATATAAATCCCTCAAAAGTGACTACGAGGAGGAGAAGGCTGGACGTGAGAGATACAAAAGACAGGCTAAAGCTCGAGTAAGTCTGAGCAACTTGATTCAATTATGATTATTGGACATCGACACTGAGCGGCAAAATTCATCAGTCCCTCATCCAAGAACGCAATCCGTTTGTGCTTGTTCTTATTGATGGTAATGGCTACTTGGTAAGCTCTGCTTTTATACCAAGAGACTCTATAAAGTATATACCTTCTGACAGAATCTAGTTCAAGGAAGATTTGGTCAGAGCTGGTGCAGAAGGCGGATTAAGAGCTGCGCAGTTGTTGAACAATGCGATCAAAGCAGAACTACCCCCTGATATACCAGATAATTGTCGCATTATGGTCCGCATATATGCTAATATTCTTGACTTGAGCGCTGTCCTGGCTCGTGGCGACCTTGTTGGAAAGGAAGCTCGATCCTTGTCAATGTTCACAGCATCTTTTACTCGTGCACAGAACTTATTTGATTTTGTTGATGTGGACGCCAAAAAGGGAGGAGCAAAATCCAAGATCAAAGGTACCCCCAGGAGCAAGTCAATACGTCCCGTTTCACTGTCGACTGATAGTATATAGAAAATTTTCGTCTGTTTATCGATAACCACCAATGCAAACACATATTTCTCGGAGGATGTCACGACAGGGAGTACATGCCGATGTTGGCCCTGTATCGAGATGAGAAAAATCGCGTCACTCTTATAAAATCTGCCAATACGTATCCTGAATATCAGACATTTGGGCTATCCATGAAGGACCTTCCTTCAGTATTTATGTCCACATTTATTGAGGATCGTCCATCGCCACCAATTGACCCTAACAAGCCCGTTTGTACACATTTCTCCAAGGTAATATTAGTAGTTGATGCAGCTATAAACTTAAGCTAATTTGTTTCTAGGGTATCTGTAAATTCGGCGTTTCGTGTACGAAATCACATCTCTCGGAAGAGTTCAAAATCAAATCCAGCGAAGACCCGCTCTTCAAATCACCACCAAAGAATTTGCCAAGCCTCCCCATTCACAAGAAATGCTATGCGATACTTCTCCCTAAAGCGAGCGGGAATACCACGAGCCGCATACCAGTGGATAAAGAGGGAGGTCGGATTGATACATATACACCACGACCCTCTGACGATTCATTCCAGAGATATAAAGACCTATCTCTGCGCCTTTGCAACAAGTATCATCTTTTAGGCAGTTGCAACGATACTAATTGCCCATTTGACCATGGCCATGTGGAACCGGAATTTATTGACATCATAAGATACCAGGCCAAACGGCGTCAATGCCTTCGAGGTCGCAGTTGTCGGACACTAAATTGTATCTACGGACACCACTGCCAAATTGATGGTTGTACGGGTGGAGGCTTTTGTAGAATGACTCATCTCTTGCATAGCTTTGACACGCGTGTGGCTCGCTGGGKCAAGCCAGATGACGATGCAGAGGACGAGAAATTCGAAGAAACACGCACTGATGACACTGGTAGTAGTAATCAGACCAACGCGAAAGATAAAGGGATCGAGGAGTTCGAAGCTATGTGGAATGGTACCGATGTTGCTCAGACCGACAATGAATCCTCCCAATCATTCTCAGTAGCGAATTCCACTAATGAAGATACGAGTCCAGATCTTCTGGAAGTTGAGGAAACAGCATCAAACTTTTCTATAGAGTGGTGAAAGACATGGAACCATTCGGTTCATTGGCAGGCAGGCGTTTACGGGAATGCTCAACTTTGCGGGATTCGAAATCTTGTCTTGTTTGTTTATAGATCAAGTTGGTACCTCTATCTGAGCGCTGTCATAATTCTTTGGATCGCACGTTCTCATATGATATTGATTGTGGGTTTTCGGTATTAATGAACTGTTTATCCTTGCCCCTGCGATACTGAGAGATGCAAATGAGCATTGCATGCCACGAGAAACGATGAAGTTAATGGAAAAGCAATAGATCAGCTTCGTTGCGAATTATTTTTTCTTAGATTGAAAATGAGGACGGTATTCCCTTCTTCGCTGTCTTATTATAGTATTTTGATTGATAGCCCTATACCATAGCCCTAATGGCCAGTAAATAAGATGAGATTAGGGCTGTCGTGGAATATTAGTAATATATTCATGCCGCTTTAACGTCCAGACGTTTGTACGGTACCCGCTTTCAATGACATGCCTGTATATCAATACTTAATAGTCCTTCGTGGCTGAAAGGCATCGTATCCTGAGTGTAAACTCAAAAATACCTCATTAACCAATGATATGTTATGTCCTTGTTGGTCATGCTAATTTACGAGTAGTTGCAATTGCGACTAGTGATCCATTTAGTTCCCTAAATTCCGTTCAAGAACCACCCGGATCTGTCGCTCGTCATCCTCCCTATTACTGGCGGCGACAAGATGTTGACATTCAATCATCTGAACGCAGACGCATTCGAGAATTCCAAAAAACCCAACGGTCGAAAGAGACCCCGTATTCGGGAGCCCGTGGCATGTAATCATTGTCGAAAATTGAAAGTGCGCTGCGATCGCAAGTCACCATGCAAGCAGTGCCGAGATCGTGGAATGGATACAGAGTGCGCTTACTCGCGTTCCAAAAGTCCAGTAGTTTCGGTCTCGGGGTCTGTCAGGCCGTTGGTATCTCCTCCAAGTACAGAGATAGATGTACTGACGGCACCCGCCTCCGATGGCGAGGTACCTCGCAACGTATCTACCGCCAGCCATGGCAATGGTGCCTTCAGAGGGTCTGATTACAAAACAAGACTGATTGGCGGCACCCACTGGCTAGCGGCATGTAATGATTTGCCTGTAGTAGAAGCCATGCTGAAGAAGACCGTCGACTTTCAACCTACGTGGAGCAATTTCGCGGAAGTAAAGTCTCTCCTTCGCGTGGCAAACTCGGTACCAGCAGGAGTGGCTGGAGCTGGTAATACGAAACTATGGCATCTCCTTCCCGATCGACCGACCTGCGAAAAATGGATTCGGCGATTTTACGAGACATATGGTAGAATCTATCATGTGATCGACCAGAACTTCCTGATCGGTCAACTGCAGAGGGTATTGATTTCACCCGTCGATGCCAATGAAGTTTACATTCTCAAGATTCTGTTGGTAATTACGATTGCCAAGCAGACGGACAAATCAGAGCGATTACGAGGGCGACTGATAATGCAAGAAGCAGAATGGCATATATATACATCTCCGCCGTTCCAAAAACCTTGTATAGGCGTCATGCAGGTTTTGTTGCTGCTGATTATTTTGAAGACTATCAATGCCTCAGATACTGACAGTATTCACGGCCTCTTGGGTATTATGGGGCTGACTACGCAAATGGCCTTGAGCATGGGTTTGCAAAGGGATCCGGCTTTGTTTCCAAATGTCACTCCGTACTATGCCGAGTTTCGAAAACGATTATGGGCGTGCTTCTTTCGATTGAACCTTGATTATTGCATCCGGAGCGGATCTCAATTTAGTATTAGATTGGAAGACGTGGATTGCCCTCTCCCGAGTTCTATCGATATTCAGACCCTTGACCAGGGAACCGCTAGAGAGCCAGTTCTCCTGCTGAGCCAGACGCAGCAAGCATCGGACCAAGCTTTCAACATCGCCGCTATGAAACTTGCCATGATGAGAGCTCCATTACAACAGCAGCTTTGCTCCACAACACCACAATTATCGAGCGAGGTACGCGATCAAGTGCGCGCCTCTTGCCGTAAAATTCTACGTGAGCTGCCCCCAAATTTGCAAGAGGGGGCTTCGTCATGCAGTCCAATCGAAAAACTTCAACAAGCCATATTGACCGCGCATGTACATGGCTCTATGATTATCATCACACATAATAATGTTCTCGGAGTTCTACCCCATAAATCACAGCGGGACGATCTCTATGAAGCATGGGACAATTCAGTGCCCATTCTCAACCAGTTACAAGAAGTGTTACAAGGCGACTCGGAGCTGTCTAGTGTGGCTTACCACTTTCTTTGGAGTGACCTTGCCCGCGCCGCATTGACTGCGTGTTTGGTAGTGTTTCGCCTGCGGAGCTTCACTCTGGGGACAATAGTCTCTAATTGTCCTCCTCCTACGCTAGTCATGTTCCAACAGCACTTATCAAAGTATCTTGAGTACTTTTCACATATATTAGCGGGGAGGTACCACCTTGGACCTGTCGTAGCAAAGACGAGACTTATCCTTGCTGTCACAACAAGTATCACCTCAAACCTGTTCCGCGACTTTGGCGACATACAACATGATTCCAAATTCATAAAACTCGGCATCGCAGCTGCTGAGGAGACTGTTACGGAAATGCAACGGTCTCTGAGGCGGGAATATCAAGTCTCGGCACCCTTGTTGCTGGAATTCAGTGATACTGCAAGGATAGAGACTGCCCTAACTGCTCCCCAGCCTTTGATCACTAATTGGATGGACCCTACACAAATTTCTGATCCCTTGACGCGGACTTTGTTTGCAAGCGACTGCGACTTTGGTCTGGGCTCAAAATCTCCGGACTTAGATTTGGAGTCCAGTCTTTACGCTATGGCACCATTTGAACCTACCTTGACAAATCAGTCCACGACCGACAGTCTGTGGGAAGATATATAAGTTTTAGGCTTTTCAGGAAGTCTTTACATGAAGGGTAAAGTCATGCTACTTACCTAGGTAGCCTAATCAATGAAATCAAGCTTGCAGATTCACTCTTCTTTTCCTTTGTTTACCATTTTTACGTTATTCAAGATCCAATCTTGGCTCATAAATGCTGGCATGTCCATTGTGTGCCTATTCTAATTGTAACAAGTTTGTCTCAGGAACAAAGCTGAGTCAAAGTTAGAGACAAGGACAGAAAAATAAGCCGGAATTTGAGTCGCAGGATGAGCCGGAAGGCCAGGATAGGTTTCTTACCTAGGTATAAGATTCAGTTTCATTATTGTGGGCTTGACTAATTAGTAGTAAAATTTTTGAATATAAGAAAACGAAAGATGCTTGAATTCTAAAAAATCTAAAACAGAAAATGGCAGATATGAGATTTATATGTAAGATGAAGCGCGTATTAGACAGCGAAAACGTATAGTGAGAGAATATGATATCTTCCGGAAAATATGCTAGATCTGGAGCGGACCGAAGAGAACCCCGCATACACATAGTGTCAGGCCTTCTTCAAAGCGAATCCCACCTTGAACACGCGAGCAATGGCCAAAAGTACACCACCAGCCAAAATGAAGAGTGCTGAAAAGGTCAATGTACCCCAGAAGACGTCGCCCCCAGAAGTCCGCTGGTGGTCTAGAATCGCMCCTGCCACAGGGCTGCCAATCAACAACCCTAGTCCCGACGCAAAAAGAGTTACACCGATGTTCGTGCCTAGCTTAGATAGATCGGGACAGAGAAAGGCAACTGTTGCGGGAAGGACGGCCTGGATCGAGCCGCTTGTCAAGCCGACAAAGAACGCGATAGCGATTAGACCCGACTGAGATTTCACACTTATCCATGCCAACATTAAGATACCGGTGAGCAGAACGGAAGGAATCATGACTGACAGGTTACCGATCTTGTCGGCGATGATGGATGGCAAAACACGGCCGGGGACCGAGCCCGCGTTCATGATGATCAGCATATAGAAAGATAAATCTTGCGACATGCCGAGGTCAAGACCATATTGTCCGACGTAAAAGAATGGGATGTAGAGGCCTGTGAAGATGAAGAAGGCGGCAAAGAGCCAGAGGACGAAGACCGTGTCCCGAAGAGATTCAACGTTGATAAGGGGGCCTGACTTGCGAGGCGGAAGGCGAGGCTTCATGACCGCGACCGAAATGAGAAGTGTTCCTAGCATGATGAATGCCATGACTCGGACCGCCCACGGTAACCCAATTTGGATGATGAGACGTCTTAACACAACGGGGTAGATGATACCTCCAATACTTGAGCCGGTAGCAGCCAGACCCTGAGCAGTGGTGCGTCGTGTAGAGAAATATGTACCCACGATGGTCACACTGGCTATAAATGACATTCCAGCACCGAGGCCGACACATATGCCCTGGGCCAGAATCACCTGCCAATACTCCTTGCAGAGTGAAGTCACTGTTGGAGAGTTAGCAAGTCTTTCGCTCTACGTGAAAGTGCACCCTGAAAGCTCACTCATCATGCCAAAAACCTCAAGGAAGAGACCCAGAGTAATATCCACATAGAAATATCCAGCGTCAAGAGCGCGTCCACAAAGAACGCCTATTACCAGCATCAGAAACGCCTGCAGCGATCCAATCCAAGCAATCGAAGACTGTGACGAGTCCCTCAGCAAGCCTGTACTATATTCAGACTGAAATGTGCCAAAGGTATTGATGAGACCCCAAGTGTTGAAGTTCAAGAAAAAAGCCCCAAGAACTTGGAGCCATGCTTTCGTGCCTCCATTGGGTGGTGGTGGAGGTCCTGTGGGCTTGGGTGGTTGTGCTGTCACTGCTTCCGTCTTAATGTGATTATTGAGAGTCGCTGCGTCGGATTCGACGTTTTTTCCGAGCGTGGTAGATGGCTGCGATGATGCCATTGGGAGGTAGTTGTATCTTTGACTGAGGGTAGGCCTCGGGTTGAAGTTGGAATGTATCGAAGAGCAGAATCAAGAAGAATGTCTAGGAATCAGTAAAGAAGGTATTCATAATACATTGGGAAAAAAAGAAGAAATAAACCACAACTCACTGGCGATGCGCCGAGTTATACTGTATGAGCGAGCTGCTAATCCACAAGGCCAAACAAATAAACCAAACCGACCAAGTGGCTCTAATAAAAATACGCCCTCAACAAAAAAGCATGATCGAGTCCCAATGCCCAATTATCAGGAGATACCAACACCAAAGTGACCGATTTGGAATTTATCCAGCAGACTACCCCATTGGGAGATGCATGATCCGGAGTTAAATTACCCAAAGCGGAAGTGGATAGGGTTGAGAAGTGACGAAACCCTAAGCTCCTTATTTATATCCGACGGACCGGCCAGTAGTCACCAACTTGAATAGTCAGAAAAAATATATAACAAAAAAGAGATCCCTCTAGTAGGGCTTTCTGGTAATGCTTTGTATAGCTACGAGTTTTGCGATACGTTCTGTATCACGTGCCTCTTTGTCCGATATAACTATCGGCGTAGAGTTAGCTAACAACCCTTTTTTACAATGTATAAGGTTTCTTTGTTGTACACACGATTTACTCTTCATTGAGAACTATCGATATAAGCGATAGCTCGGTTTTCGATTGAAGACTTGAAGTCACAATCTTGTATTAAAATTCCGCTTGAGTACCTATAGGAGCATCTTCTCACATCGTCTTGAACAACAAAATAAAATTGTATAGAAGTTTAGTACTTGCTTTATCTGCCAATTTCTAGACAGAGAGAGCTCTATATACGGAACTGTAAGGCGCCTCTTAGACATACTACTTTGTAGATTCCTTAGATCGCCGGCACCAACACAATTCGTCCAATGGTTGCCCAGGATAATCTGGCGATGGAAATCACTTGCACCATATCTATACAGGGAAGTTCTACTAAGGAAAGTGCTGTTAGGTTTCAGCACGTTCGTTGCCCTTGCCTTACGCAAAGGGAGTGGTGATTATTTTAGTACTACATAAAGTGCGTGGGGTTATTTTGTATACACTGTAGTGTAATCCACAAATTGATTTTCATCACTAAGCTTAGAACTTAGTAGCTTATTAAGCTACTCTTTGAGTTAAATTCATATCAATTCTAGGTACCTAAATGGAAGTATACTTTCTTCCGCGATTATCAAGAACATTCAATTAGAATTTAGAATACCAAGTAAGTTTCAACCCCACAGTTTGAGTTGAACCCTTGTCATGGCGGCAGTCATCATCCGATGCCAGTGAGAATGACAGAAAACCATGCGGCTAGAATGAGACTATGTTACATGCATGAGTTGGGGGCCATTTTCCTTTTATGGCAGCCATCCGCGATGACTACCCCTTGCAAATGTAACTTATGTAAAGTTTCTGAAGTTTGCACGTCGACGTCAATATAAAAGGGGTACTTAAGATGTCGAGGATTCCCATCTGAAAATAAGCACAAATTTACATATTCAGAAGCAACGCATATAAGGATCATTACTCCTTAAGAGACAAAATGGGTTTCAAGAACATACTTGTCATTCTTTCTATCGCGACCTCAGCCCTCGCTGCCCACACAGTGGGAAGTGGACCCTGGACTTCAGTCACTGCCAGTACCACTTTTAACGTCCAAGAATGTGCCGGGGGTGTGGTTGATGGTGACACTTTCTCGCTTCCCACATCACCAGACGGCAGCACAAGCGGCAGTGGCTGTTCAAACGGTCACCTACGGGCTGAGCGCCGCTACTTGAATGACTACACGTCCGGTGTGCACCAGTTCGGAGGAAATTTCCAGATTACATCCCTGACTGGCACCAATATTGCGCTCAAGCAAACATTCAACGGTAACACCGGCCCTTATTTCATCATGGGTGTCAAGAGCAATGGCGATCTTTACGATGTAGAGGGAGGAGGAATCATTGCCAGTGGCGTGGCTACTGTAGGAGCAACTGTTACCATCAATACTATTCACGATGCCAATAACCAGCTATACTATGTGTATGTCAATGGCGAAGAGACATTCAACATTACCGCCCCTGGAGGCAGCTTTTATGACAAGTGTGGAGCCTATACGAGCGACAGTGGCACAGGCGCGATTACCGTTGTCTGGAGCGACATTTCATTTTGGACTCAGTAGAAGCAACGCCTGGCATGGAGCAGGTTTTCTGTACTCATCCACTGGAGCACATGAAAGTTTGCAGGATTCTGTGGTGACGGTAGTGGCCTTTTTGAATGTCTGGTTATACCGTACATGGGTAACGTGCACCCTGAAAAAAATGTACCATACCAACCAGATGGGCTGAATAGCCCGTATGCAAAATCAGTAGGCTTAAGGTCTTGATTTCGATGTCGCTTACAGGCTACTCTTAGATTTATATACACTGCTTTGTACTATGGACATCAAATTCTTATCCACGTTCTAGATATTCATTTTTTTTTTAGCTTCTGTAAAGCCATTGAAGTCCAACACTGTACATACAGGGATAAATTCGTGATTTTTCCTATCCTATGACTGTTTGAATCGAGATAATTGAACGAACCGGCTCCTTGGAGCAATGAGTTTTACCCATAATTTTACACACAATTTTGTTGTAGACTTTATCATCTTTCACTTTACTTTTCCTACTACTTCTGCTTTGACAAATGTACTTCGGTGAGACCATTTAATGATATTACTACCCTGTTTGAGTCTCGTGAATTTCGCCCCATTTCCCCATTTCGGAATATGTCTGGGTATACGTGCCTCATTTGAGTAGAGTTCCGCAGCGTAGCTTGGTCCTGAAAATATTCATACAAGCACATCCTAGATAAGCCAGATTATATTTGAAAAAATTGTAGTGATGTTGCTACGCCATACGTCTGCACCTACGTGTCGTCTACCCCGGACCATAAATTAAATAGCCGGACCGGCACGTATATCACCAATCTGGCTTTGGTGGAAAACAAAAGCGAACTTTGGGAATTTTACACTCATAAATGTATGATAAAAGATAAGTTAAATTCCTCTCATAAATATCCAGATGCGGAAATTGGAACGTCAAATTGCCAGAGCTAATATCTGGGATATCGTGACATGGAAACGCTCAACATCTACGTGTTAGTCTGCAGCGGTGGCATGGTAGGTACATCCTGCGCCTCGTTCGCAGCACACTCCTGGACGAAAGCACTAGTTGCCGAGAAAAAGGCACATATCGAGGCTCATTGAATTACTCAGCAGGCATGTTGTAAGCTACGTTTAATCCTTTGTTTCTAGATTAGCAATCTCAGACAATATTTTAAACGGCAGCTGGGCTCCTCGAAAGCTTACGAGCTTACGATCGTCGGTCTCAGATGGCGAAACAGACTTACAGCGCGCCTTTCTAGATGACTGCCTTCCTGCGGTGGAATGAATGCGGCAGAGTGGTGTCCCAACAGCTAAGCGGTTTGACGATATCATGACAATTGTTACGTTGGGCATTATTCAAAGAAGTTATCTTCTGATTATCTACAAACTTTTCAGACTCATTATCTATGTGATAGGCATTGAATAGCCGATCAACACCCCTCATCTGTACTCCTTCTACTAACGCCAAACCTCGTCCAGCGGAACAGGCTCCGAGGTAAAGAGGCATCGCAATAAACACTCAAGGCCATGCCCTGGCACCGGATAAAATGGCTAACCTTGGTCTCCTCGTAGCCGGGGTTGATAACGGTGGATTTAGCAATCTAGGTTACGCCGGTGACCTAGCTTTGGCCTTTGTCACTGGTCTCTGGGCTGCTCGTTAGGTTGCGAAGAAATCACGTTTCTCGGAGCTAAAGCTACCTGCGGCAAATCCACACGATGTAAAAATTCAAGGCCGGCTGTAATCGGCCTTTTGAACTATAGATCCTGGAATTGAGATAGTTACAAGGTTTTTAAGGATAGATTCAATGTTCTTCAATTTACAAGTTTGGGCAGTACATGAGGGATAGGCTAGGGGAAATCTACTGATCTACTTGAGCACACTCAGCGGAAATAGAAGATCAATTGAATAGTACTACTTGAAGTGCCCTAAAGCTCAGAAAGCTCCATATGTCGTTTAGCATACTTTTTCAACATGATCTGCTCACTCTCACCACTTATCGCGAAGCCCGAACGTTGCGACTGATTTTCTCAACCTTCTGCCCCTGAATAGAGCGTGATTATCCAGCTTGTCAAAGAGCTGTCGTTTCTCTCTAGATATTGTCCTCGTGTTGTGCGCCGCGTGAGTCTTTAGCAAAGCGGTTCCCATTCATGCGTGCTTTTGATACAGACCCGGTATTTATGTGTGCCAGTATCCGAACCGACAGAGGTATTACCACCGACCTGAAGACGGTGGCAAGAGATCTTACCGAGCTGGGCGATATGGCCGCCGCATTTTCCAAAGCTGATGGGGGTCGCATGCTGAAAATCGGATATGAGGGTTTGTCTTGGGCGACGAGAAATAACACTTGGTCTTCATCATGGGAAGTTGTCTGATTCGCGAATCGACCAAACGTGGGCTTGATCGTTGAAGCGTTTAACGTCCTTGCTGTGGAGTTTGCAGATCCGTACAACCCTGCTGGACATGGTCGAATTTACCCTACAATTGAAGAGTCAATTGAAGTCTTGGCTGCGTCGATGGCTAGTCTCGCCGCGACAGTACCAGGTGATCGCATCGATTTCTTTCAGTGCGGCGATGCTGAGTTAATGAATCCACACAATTTCAAGCGACCGGAAGATCTAAAAACACCAGCGCTGTTGCCATGGTCAAGAGGTCATCGATTATATCCATTTGAGCATTCCAAGAGTGCTTATATGCCCGTCGAATTGGTCACTGCTGCAGTACTGGCTATAGGATATACCGGGCCCATTTCGCTAGAAGTATTCAACAACTCCCTCGATAAGCCAGGTGCTGATGTTCCAACCGTACGTGCAAAGCGTGGGATGGTTGGCCTTCAGCAACTAGCTGACCTTATGAGAGCAATACCTGCGTTTTGGAACACGCCTGCGAGGATTTCGAAAGAAACAATGCAGGTAGTCATCGACGGAGTCCGGTCAAGGCATACCGCACGGTTATAGACCATACATAGATGTATATCTATCACTTTATACCACTCGAAATTGATTGAATTTGTATTGGATCGGCATGTCAGCCGATGAATGTAGTTCGATTGCCTGAAAAGAATGCCAGCGATAACAAATCGGCATCACCCCCATAACCACCTACCAAATTACTGCCAGTGCTGGTAGGGCTAATAAGCCCCGCACGCAATTCAGCCCACTAACACTGCCGGCCATTAAATTTAGCAACCGCCACGTCCTATCGTTCAATGTGTAAAAATCCCCATATCATCGACCATGACTGCTCGATCTCGGAATGCAATTCAAGCAACCAATAAGTCCATAGATGACGCACCACTACAGCACGAGACGCCGCAATCAACCGCTGGTGCGGCCTGTGAGGCGTGTCGGAAGATTAAGGTGCAATGTGCACCCGGCTCCGAACGATTTGATATTCGTTATGCATAGAACTAATGGTGATAAAATCTCTAGATGCGATGCATCCGACCACTGGGACAACCTCCCAAGAACCCATGCGAGCGCTGCAGTCGCAATGACCGGACATACACAATCCCACAGCGCAAGCCACAGGGGCGAAAGCCGGGAGCGCGTGGCCGTTATCAAGGCATCGAAAAAGCCTATCGCAAGATGCAATCGGAACTTCAGAAGGCAAAAACCTCATTCGACAGCGCCCGTCAGATGCAAGAATTGACCAGCAATGCAACGCCAGGAGATGATGACACGGAGATCCTTCAGATGCTGCTTGCCGAGAACGCGGTGACATACCGCAGAGGGCATTCGCGGATCGTCACCAAAGTCGGGATGCGGAAGAGAATGTACTTATAACACCAATTGAAGAACCATCAGATATGGAATCTGTAATATATTCTTCTTCGATAGCGATACGGCCGTCTCCGATGTCGACCGAGGACATTAGCGAAAGTCGAGAACCGATCAATAATCCGCTTGCACTATTAGCAGATGCCTCAAGCGCTGCCCAAGCGCTGCACCACAGAGCTGTACAGTCTAATGAATCACCAGTATCGAACATAAGACTTGGCACTTTCACATCAATCTTTGTCAAACTCCTCCGGCTCCTGGCTTGCGCGGCGCTTGCTGTCCCGACCAGGGTACGTCTCGCTAGGCCTACAGACCAACCGAGCAAGTCTGGAGCAAGGACTTGAAGCTCGTTTCACAAGCTACAGAGCACGAATATCGACACTTGAATTATTTTAAGCCACTAGCCTCGGGCCCATCTCGGGATGTGGGACCTGAGCTCGATCCAGTTGATTTGGGCTTGGTAACCATGGAAGAAGCGTATTATTTCTTTTCAATGTAGGTCAACCTCAAACCTCGTCTTTGATTCTCTTTTGTTCCAGCTAGAGGGTTGAAATTGATTAGCTACTTCGCTCGATTACCATCCTTCAATGGGATGCTCGACCCTTTGTTGCACACACCGGAATTTGTAAAAGATCGATCCGCACTTTTATTCACCTAGATCCTGGCAATCACGGCACAGTTCGACCATTCGTGCAGCATGCTTGCTAAAAGGCTGCGTCTACATGGGGAAAAGTCATCCCAGCACGTGCACTCTTCAGGATTCAAATCAGTAGAAATTTTTCAAGGATACTATATCTCCCTGTTGTCAGCCACCCCGGCCAAAAGCATGACCGAAGAACGAGTATGGCTATATACCAGCGGCGCTTTCAGTGTCGCGGTAGAACTGGGCCTAGATCAACGCGCCCCGCTACTTAACCCCGGAAGTAGTGGTAATAGCCTGTCAGCAACAAGAATAACGTCCTCTTTACCAGCGGCCTGTGTGGATCATCAACCCGCTGAAAAAGAGGACGCTTTTCGTGATCCAACTTATGTAACTACCCAAAGGCTCGCCCGAAACCGTGAACGCACATGGCTGAGAATCCCTCTCTGGGAGCGAGCAAACAGCGCGGCATGCGGTCGTGTGAATATGTTCCCAGAAACAGAACTAACTCAGAATATTGAAGACTGGCGGCTACACCCTCTAGCAGATCCCACAGATCGATTCAACTGCGCTTTTATCCCGCTACGTCGACAGCTCTCAGCATTGCATATCAACCTGCGCGTGCAAGCAGCTCTGCCGCATCACTCCAATCCAAGATGAGACTGGTCTAGAGAAGTCGAATTTACAACCACATAATCACTTGCTTACAGATTTTGACCCGTTTCTTATACCAATGCTCACGCTGTCGAATATGGAATGTAACGGCGAGGCGTTTGCGGACATTTCCCGCAAACTGTTTGGACAGGGATTTGGAGGCGTAGTCTGATTCTAAAGTCTATTACCATTATTATTGAATCACACCTGCACATGCTGTGTTGTTATGAGTGTTTCTGGTCTCGTTCCTCATCTCCCTCTTTAAGATCACAGTGCTGCATCTATATGTTGTCACTATTGCTGTGTGCGCGTACCCTTCCTAGGTATATATTATTATTGAATATCTATATTAAAATTATGATCAACAGGTTGAATAAACCACAGCGTTGATTTGTGGGTATTATGATCTCTCTTCCCAGCTGTTTTGAGATTCTGCTTCGCACTTCTGCAGTATTATTATTTCTTGAAAAACAAGAAAAATGATGATATAAAATCAATATCAAGAAGTCAAGCTCGATATAGTCGTTGCCTCAATAATCACGGCCTCAAACGAGGCTGTCTTGTCCTAGAAGCTTTGAGCTCACCTGGGCTATGGCTTCGTTTCTTCAATGTTGAGTTTTGTGAGAACTTTCAGGTTGCTGGAAACTATCAAACGTGTCCCTCGGAGGGAGGAGTGTGGGTTGCCGGCTAATAGATTGACCAGTATTCTTTTTACATGTTGATTGGCCATTGACGCAGTCGACTTCTCATCGAGAGGTATGCATGCATCTTTCATAATTGAAGAGGGCCTCCAGTAGCAGTTCCACTATTGAATAGGGATAATTTTCTTCAATTCTGTTGAGAAAGTGATGTCTCAACTCTTCTTCCAAAGTTCATGTAATTGCGCAATCTTATATTCCGTCTCCCATCCAGCTTCTGCTCGAATGATGCGAAGCAGCTCGACGACTTTTTGACGGGCCTCCGGCCGATCGTCACACAAACCAACCACATATAATGGTTGAACCAGGTGAATCTGCACGGCGGATGCGGTTCTGCCCATTGCAATCCCAGCGATCTCACGAGCACGAATATCGACCTCCTTCGTTATTTCCCTGTACTCAACCAATCTATCACGAGCTACACTTTGACTGTCGTGCGGTTTGTTGAGCAGGAGAATGATGCGCGCAAAGTCGTGAAGTGCCACCGTAGCCGCATGTGTGGCGCTGCTAAATACTATCTCTGGAAACGGTAGAGATGTTGCAGAAGGAGTCGGGGAAACGAGATCATGCGGATTCTCTAGACGAATGTATGGTTCGAACGTATCAGGCAGAGATTTGTGCCAGTTACTGAGCTCCTGGACCAATTGATGCCATGTCACTGCAAGACCGCTCGACTGAGGTACGGAGATATTTGATAAAAAGTCCGGAACTGGTGATGACATGGTAGTAGCTGACTGTTGAATGTCTTTGAATTCAGCGATAAAATTCATGAGTTTGAGAGCGATAAAGGTTATGCCGCGTAAAAAAGTATCATCTCGTCGTGGAGAGGACGGAGGTGTGGGTGACAGGAAAATTCCCGCGTCATCAATGGCAAGGCCAGCAGCACGGAAAAGGTCGAAGTTGTAAGCATCCATACAAGTGCGTCGACGATTGGCATATGATGCGAAACAATCTAAGTATGCAAGGTTCCAGAAGGAAACCTGGAGCGCATACGACAGGCTGGTGCTCTTGCTGGGAGACGTAGTCAGCGCCATAATGGATTGCATGAGATGCCTTAATCCGAGTAGTCGCCTGTACTAAAGTCAGCGGACAAAATTAGAATACGCACCAGAGAGGCATAGCTCACTTTTCCCATTCCGTTCCAGGTTTATCTATGATATCAAAGATGGTCAAGATGACCACACCGGGTAGAATATCATCCATGTAGGATATGAAACTTGGGGGAAGAACAGCCCTTCGAGCCCCTTCGGATGTATGATCGATTTCTAGATCCTGACATAGGATCTGAATTGGTGGTGTCGCAGCATCTAATTGCTGAAAGTCTGCTTGACCAAAGAGTAATTGTTTCAAATGGAATAGTGCTTGGTAGTAGTAATTGGTGGCTTTGAAGAGCCAATCGACTTGGCCTGCATTAGGGTATGTTTCTGTCGTTGTTGTGTTAAGTGCCGTGGTGCGGCAAGATCTGACACCATTAATTCGAGCAAGATGCTTTGCAGCTAGTGCCAATGTGGCGTATTGTATGAACGGAACTTGAAGAGATCTCTTTGGAACATTTAGCATGAAGAATTTCTCCGAGTCATGCAAATCAAGCCTATTTCAGTTAGTACTGTGGCGTAACAGACTAGTCAAAACTCGTACCATGGAGATATAAACTCGACGTAGTGCCTTTTAAGAAATGCAATTTCACGATCGCTATTAATCATTAGCTCTGAGTAAAGATCTCCAAATGCGTTGACGTTACGCGCATCCGGCATGGTATACGCGTAGTTAGAAGTTGACGTGGAGTTCAAATTTTCAGAATTTCCAGAATTATTGCCGAAGAACATAGGAGACTGTAAAGAATTAAAAAGCCCAAATGTGTTGGTGTAAGCCAAGTTCTCCGGATTTGGGAGATCTGAAAGAGGCTGTTGTGCGGTATCGAGAAAGTTTGCTGGAAGGGCAATGTTCGCATAAGGAGCCGTGGTGGCTATATTAGGCTCCACATCCAGAGACATTTGATTCCTGGATAAGCTATCAGGCTGGCCTGAACCAGAGGGATTGATTTGATCTTCTGTTGTGGAGGATCTAGAGCTACCGGGTGCTGGATCTTGACCCGACGCCTCTCTCGTATCTATTTCTTGCTGGACCTTGCCCGGCTGAACATTACTACTTTCTTCTTCAGTACCCGCTCGTGCTGAATGCTGCGATGATGCCTGGCTCCGAGAGTCTTCTCGCTGATACGGAGCATATCTGCGGCGCACAGTAGCACCTTGATCAATGAACTTGCGATCTTGAGAATAGCCCGGACATTTTACGTTGGCAGCAATGCAACGCTGACACTCAGGCCGTCCTTCATCACACTGAACTCGGCGTTAGTGAGGTCGTGATGATATCGCCGGAACGAAAAATTCAAACATACCTTGACGTGGCGCTTCTTGCATCGATCGCATGCTTTGTTTGACGGGACTCCAGGCATGGTGGGAATTTTAAGAGTGATTATATGTGAAGACTTTGTCTGACCGAACTATTGCTCAGCAGACATGAGCCATTCGAAGAGCGCATGTCCAACGGCAACTGGTGGTGACAAGTCCCGTAAAGTGGAACCGGAGACGGCAATCACAAGATGTTTCTTTGAAAACGCTACTCCTGCAATGAGCTGAAAGGGTAGTGGTAGACTGAAACAGGCTTTCACCAAGCAAAATACAAGAGAATTATAGCATATCCGGGGAAGCTGGAAAAGAATGAAGGGAATCAATTGAAGGTGAAGGCGAGAGAGAAGAAAAAGGGAAGAAGTCCCAAAGTCACTCAAAACGTCAAACTCCAAAAGAGGCTAGCGTCTTATCAGTCATCAACTTTTGTGGGTCCGCTATCTTTCCTCCTCCCGAAAAGTCACAACTCTATCAGGGCCGAATTGTTGATGTACCACCTACTCCAATATTTTGCTTCTCTTCCTTCGTCGACTCGCTAGATTGTGCCGAATACCTACCACACCCCATGTCTGAACACTTTTAAATTATAAAGGACCTACGTGGTGTTACGTGGACTGTGTCTCCGTTGTTTGAGCTAAAGAAAGAAAATCAAGGTATTCATCGATTTCGCCAGCTCACCATCTGTCAAACCAAGGCATTGAGTGGCTGACTGATAAGAAACTCCGTCAACTAGATCTCTGATTGGAAGATATCAATCTCGATGCAATAGAGCTACAATGACTTTAAGAGAAGGATACTTCTAAATGCCGGTGATGAAAAGCATTGAGAGTATCATCTCGACGAGCGAAGCCATGTTAAATGAACACACGAAAAGTTTCATTGAAAAAGAATGGATTAGTGAGTCTTTTATCTAAAATTTGGATTAACATGTTCAAGACGTGCCATGACCAGGTCATTCACAGAGCTAATATGACTTTTAATTAAGGTGCTGGGAGACCACACAATATCATCTGTTCCCAATGCCTTAAGCCGGGAAATTTAATTTGGTGCTCAACTTGCTGTCGGTCCTATCATTTTGCCTGTCTGGTATCACCGCCATCCGTAGAGGGCGCCGCATCATGGTCATGTCCTTCGTGTCAAGAACGCCAAGCGGCTCTACATCTTGAATACGATCGGCTCTCTGATCCCACAAATGTACCCATCGTAGATGGAAGTCGTGATACCTCTGCCGGCGACATATTTTCTACTGCTTTTTCCGATCCTGCATACGCCATGGCAAAGAGATTCCTTGCCAATCACGGTCTTGCAAACAACAAAGCCATCACCGCAGATTTTCGTCGCGACTTACAACAACTGATAGCCAAGGCCGAACTTGCATCTCAAAAAGATACGGAACTAGTGAAACTGCGGCGTGAGAACTCGCAGCTCATGACAGAGGTTTTCAGGAACCGAGTCCGCTCAGAGTCCCAACAATCCCAGCAATCCCAGCAATCTCAGCAATCTCAGCAATCTCAGCACAGTCCAGTCTACAGTGCACAGCAAGCTGCTTCCGCTACTCCGAGTTGTCCTCCCAGCAGGACTGAAATCTCGAAATTGGATGTGTCAGACAAATCCTGGGATCGAATCATAAGTGAGGCTTTCTGATATGAGATGATTTGGCGACATTATTTCTGGTCTCCATTGCAGATTGTGCGAAGACCCTACGAGAGAAGGGTACAGCTTCTACCAAGATATTAAATCACCTATGGCTATCCTGTACAGACAATATGATATATAATAACCCCAGGAATGTTGATTTCATGCTCTTCACATTTATGATTTTCGAGGTCAAGGGATTTCTTCATAGGAATACTGCTACGGAATCGAATGAGTGTTCTGAAATTCACCCTGCCGAAATGATATCTAGTCATATTTTTCAGAGCAATCCACATACTGCGCACTCTGTCAACTGGTACTTGCACAGCACTCACAAGTACCTGGAATACTTGAAAAAACACACGATTCTTTCGTCATTGCCAATGGAATTGGAGCATTGGGGATGCAACTGATTCTTTAAACACTGATATGATTGATATGATTGGTTTTGTAACTAGATTCAGACCAATCATTTCATTCTTCGTCCCAGTGCCGCCAAGGCGATGCTTTTCTGCTGCAGCTTCTCCACCAAAGAAATTCAGTTACATGAAAGAACCCCTGTTATTAAGCGCAATTATCACTTGGGCCACAGTCAAGTCTGAAAGACTTAATGCTTTCCCCAATACTAGCACATCCATAACCCACACCACCCATCGGAGTCGGCCCAATATTTTGGGATGTACAAGTATAGGACGAATGATACATCAATACCGAAACGTCATAACATGGGTCGGTACAGTCTAGCCATTCCGCAATAGTGTCATAATCACCCCATGAGATAGACCACATGTCGAGGTTTTGACCATTCTGGTTGTAAGTGACACATCCATCGCCTAGATATGTCCAAGTGGTCCCAGTGACGTCCCCATCTCCTCCACAATTTGGCGAGTATGGATAGGCTTTAACGCCATGCCAACCGCGACTTTCGAGGTCAGTGGCATTGAGAGTAGCGGTACTGCCTCTAGATATGGATATACATTAGTATCAAATACCTACAACTTTAAGGTAGAACTCACTCAGCCAGGTCTGCAGTGACAGCATTTACTGCATATGGCAGGACAATAAGAGACAGAAGTGACTTGATGTAGACTTTCACCATGGTTGCGATATTCAGACTGGACTTGAATAATAGAATTGATCTCTACTTCTTGATTAGTATTCAGCATGTCAGCCCACGCCCTCTTTATATAGTTTTTCGAGATTTAACTGGAGATATATCTTTAGTATTCGGTATCATACTACGTTATTGCTCTAGTCTAATTTCGACGCATCAGTCTCTCTGAGTCTCTACCATTTTGAGCTGCGGGGTGGGGCCGACCATATATTAAGTCTCCTATGCTCATGGGTTGCTGCGGCTGAAACTTAAAGCAAGAGTCTGTAGAAATGAAGGAACGTTATCTGTAGAAGGTGGGTTTAGTTTAGTCATATGATATGCCTAGCTAGGAACGGAGTATTGGATTAGGCTTAAGTCACTGTACGTATTACGAACTTTGACCCACCAGCTCATCTATATTTCTTGTCAGCTCTGAGTAAGTCAATTTGACTTCCACCGCTGCTGTCGGAGGAGTACTAATATCCGGAGGTCGTAACCTCCAACTTGGATGTCTCGGTGATTTCCGCCACCATGTCCTGACCTTCGGGCAGCTGCTGAACCACATCGTCGTCCACCATAATCCTAAGTCCTTCTCGATTGACACATAATATGCGGATAATACGATCGGGATCAATCTTGTATTTATCCGAAACCTTGTTCAAGAGATCTCGGACTGTCCTCTCCGTCAGATGCACAGCTCTGTAGTAATCACCATTTTGCTCGTCAGGAAATCGAATGTAGAAACATGCAACTATGGATTCGCTAGCCTCTAAGTAATGTTGGCTTAGCGAAATGTATGGAGAGCCATGCCAATCTTCCAATAGGAGAGCTTCAGAGATGGAAACAGACAAAGCCATTGGTTGGACAGCTTTGGGACCGTATCTATCAGGTCTTCAACCAGAGGCCCATCCGAGCAGATATGATTCGATACTGTGCTCAGGACGTGACTATACTGCTACAGAAGTAATTAATATATATCTAAAGTATTTTTTATAAAATATAAATATTACCTAATAATGGAATATGTGGCGAAGGAAGCGCCCGCAGCCCGAAGTTATAAGATATATATACATCTCTGCCAGTATCGGGACTGCATGTGATGTGGTTTAGCCGAACCAGGTCATCCAAATGCTCCCACAAAACAGATCCAAATTGTTCTAAAATATTCTTGACTTCGTTCCACTGCAAACCTTTCATTTACCCCTCATAAACAGTACAGTGCGTACGCACTGCTCTAGTCTCTCGATGCCTTCATGAATGATTTTATGCTGAGTTACCATCTTGTTTTTATTTTTGCGAAATGTAGGCATTCGGATCGCAAAAAATGGGAAAACATGGGTCTGTGAACAGTAAGTACAAATTCAGATTTCAATCAGACTAGGGTTTTGATACCTCTTCGATGCTACGGTGCATATCAAGTCCCTGGCAGAAATCAAGACACAAATTTAGATATGATCCAAGGGACATGCCTTGTGGCCGTGCAGACGTCGTAGCGGCTGTGTACATCGTATTCCATTGTATACGAAAGTGATTGTGCTTCAAAATCCTTGTGTCAGAAACCTGATAGCTCTATAAACCAGGAACCAGTTCTTATAAAAGCTTGCATTTTTTCCTGCCATTCGACCGTAAATTCTCAACTCATCCGGACTTAGAGGTGTATTAGCAGTCATAGTTAGTCTGTCTCGGTGTTGTTGATATCAAACATGACATTTTCTTCAGTATAGCTAACTCTATATTGTGACTTGGGAGTCTTACATATTTACAGAAAGTCTTCACTATTTGATAGTGATATAATCCGGTTTATGTCACTTTTTGCCAGCTATCAAATGCTGATTATTCATAATTATCCTTTGGGGGAGTGCGGCACGTGTATCTACCATGGAAGAGTTGCAAGAGAGCCACCACTACCAGTTTTGGCAAGATATGGAGCCCATATGTCGTTATTCCCTTTCGATTATGTAGAATTCATGCAGGCGTACTCCGTAACGTTATACCCCCTATATCCGGGTTATACGGTGCGGGTTATGTAACTCGGGCTGTGACTTGGCTCCCGATAACTAAAAACATATGCCCCCAAACCAGGAGATAAAAGCAGTGGCAGCTGAAAAAGGAAAGCTCCACCTGGCAGGAAGAATCAAGTTCGTACAGCTACCTATGTATAACCTTTACAATACGAATGCACTCTGAGAGACCTTGTCATTCGTAGAGTTATCGGCACTTGAGACACTAAAAGTAGAGACCCGGTGATTCAGTTGTGTAAAGGCAATGAAGGTTTTGTAAGAAGATCAAATATGGATACAATCGCAAATATATCACGGCCTTGAATATCGCCGAAGATGATGACACTGAGCGCGAATTTCCGCTTTGCTTCTAGGAACTCACCCATGGCATTGATTCTTCTTAAGAAGTTGTTTCTTTTGAAAATACGATGAGCTGCAAGAGCAAATGCACTGGCATTGAGATAATCCGAAAAGTCCATGGGTGCAACTGCAAAACCTTATTAGAGACCTTATAAGAACTAAATATGTAGAGAATGGAACTATCTTTGTACAAATGATCCTATATAATTTTATGTCCATGCTCTCTAAGTCAAAGCGATACTTGTAGAAGTTGAAGAGGATCTAGCATCAAGTTCTACACAACCGGCCGTTCTCCAACTCAGTCCATTGGTCCGAGTTGACAGCAGTAATAGCGTAGAACAAGTCTTCAGGGTCGTACTTGGCTTTGACACATTGCAGTTGTTGGTAGTTAGCACCGAAGAAGGCTTCTTGGAAGTCTGGTTGACGGAAGTCGGCCTAAGAAATAAATTATCAGTTATGAGGCTATATCAAGTTCAATATTTTGGGAACAATTACCTCATTCATGTAAGCACCGGAATTGGGCGCCAAGGCTTTCAATCGCGGGATGTAATCGTTGGTCATCTTGAGCTGTTCTGCGACCATATCAGATTTGGGGGCTGTAAAGTTCCATGGTGTGGTGATGACAGTATCAATTAAAGTATCTCTCCAAGCAGGCAAAACGGCATTATAGATATCATTGCCAACAAGAGCCTTGGAAACATTCACACCAACACCGATGAATTGGGCGCCATCTTCGGTAATGTAGCGATAGACGTCAGTCAAGTTGTCGTTATTTGTCTCAACGACGGAGCGTGGGATAAGCCAGCCGCCGTATTGGGCAATACCAACTTCGATGGCGCCCTGCATGCCGTTGTACTCGTCTAGGTAAGTGTCGAATTGTTGAGAATAGGTAGTGTATTTGATGCCAAGTTCGGTCAGTGCATCTGTGAAAGGCTTGACGAGACTGATCAACTTGGCAACGGGGATATTAGGTCCGGTAATTGGGGAGATTGCGAAACTGGTGTTGGTAAAATACCAAACACTCATGGCACCGGCATCAACGATCGATGCGAGATTAGCGTGATAGATACCAACAGCCTTGTAGTAAGTGTCCTGGGAGACTCCCTCATTTGTGAATGTCAGGTTCAGACCAGATACAGGTGTGCTTGCGTGAGCTTTGGATGTCATCGACCACACAACACCGTAGGTGCTACCACCACCGCCGGACAACGCCCAGTACAAATCCGAATTTTGCTCACGATTGGCAACCCGGAACTTTCCCGTGCCGTCAATGACTTCCCACTCGACGACCTGGTCAGCGCCCAATCCGTAGCGGGAAGAGAGAGCGGAATGACCGCCGCCTTGAGAGTAACCGCCGGCAATACCGACAGTAGGGCATTCTCCGCCGACGACCTGGAGGCCGTTTGCATTTGCTAGCTCATAGGCCTCGATGCCTTGAACACCGGCACCGAGTTTGACTGCTTTGCCTTGGTAATAGGTGCCGTTGTAATCAATGACTTCCCGAGTTTTTAAGTGATGGGTCCAGATGGCGATAGCACCAGCACCAGTGGACTTTCCATTGTAGCTATGACATGTTTAGTCACAACACTCCCTCGGTAAGGAGCATACTTACTCGTGACCGGTGTTACGAACGACAACACGGATGTTGTTCTGTTTGGTAAACGCAAGAGTCTTGGAAACATGCTCTGGCTTAGAAACGTTGACCGAGTAGACAACATAATTTCCTAAAGTACAAGGCTGCGAGACTGGATGAAAAGGATCGCAAGTCTCGTTCGTGAACCATGGAGCCATAATGGACGATGAAGACTCATAGCTGCGGAAAGTATCGGGTCAGTACCAGTGAACCAGACCTGTTTTTCTTTTGGAAGGTAAACTTACTGCTCTTCCGGTAGGAGCCATCCATTGCGAAGCACATCGCACTCGGCGGCATTGTATGAGGGGGCATGACAGGGAGTGCCCAAAGGTACAGTTGCGATTAGAGTCCCATCGACAGACTGGTTGAATTTCGCCCATGCAGCAGCTGAAGGCCAACAGGTATCACCAGGAAAACAGCGACATGTAGATGAAGAAGAGGACGAAGCTGCAGCCTTGGCAGGGACAGATGAAAGCAAAAACGAACAGATGACTGCAGACCAATGCATCCTGACGATCCTGTACGAATGCAAAGTGAAACACCCAAGGACAGAAAGTACTTGCAAGTTAAGGCTTTGCTTCGTATTCTCTTTTTTCTTTTCTTTTTTCCTGTTTCTTGCAGATTTCTGCGTTTTGGCCTCTCGTTTAGTCTTCGGAGGAATTTACAATGCAGACTCAATTTAAGTTTCAATGCTGAGAGTTCGTCCGCATAACAAGTTCATAATCAATCATGCCAAGTAATAATAAGACATATTGCTTTCGGGATTTGCTAGTCGAATCATTCGATTGAGTTGTCTGTTTTCCCAGGATTTCCCGAAGAAAATTGGGTATCCCCTGTATGGTGCCACAATGTATATGTCACCATTCAGGAACTATAGGTCTGGTAAATGAGATCCTGCATTAGCGATACAATAGTCAGTGGGAACGTGCGCATAGTATAGAAAACACTATTCGTCGAGTTGAGACGTAGGAGTTCCGTATTTCCAGCAGAGTGGCAATCCTGGAGTACTATCATTTATCGTTAGTTGAGACTTGAGATTGGCTCTCGTTAGGGTCAAATAGTAACATGGCTATTGGAATTTTCTTGGAATATTCCACGATGCAAGAAGAAATTCCCAGGTTCTTACCCCAGCCTGCATACATAATGCATGCTGGCTATGGGTCAATATGCAGAATTCGGCCAATTGGAAATACTGTCTGTATTGATCTGCAAATCAACGCCAGTTATTCATGGATCGCCTGCCGTTTGGGGCTAAGATTTGCACTGCCGATGCAAGGCTACACCATATTGGGACCAGAATCAGCCAATGAGCGATTTTATCGATGCCCAAATGAATGCTTAGTCAGATCTCAGCTTTAGGCCCGCTAGTTAACTTATGCATAATTATTCTTTTGCGCGCTCTCCAAAATGACTCTGCACAATTCTGATAGGCCTCTCTGGATCTGAAAAATGCTGATGTTTCAGATCGGCGCATCCTTCGTCCACGCGAGAACAGGCACATCATTAGCATCGACTACCACATGCAGTCATTACTTCTAAATCGCCCCTGACTAGAGCTGATTCGCAGCCCTCCCGGGATACCTCATCGGCGGTCCATGGGAGTTCATCCGTCGTCAACCCTCCAAACACAAATCCGTACCAAAGAGCGGCGGCAAATGTATGAAAATGGCAAAGTCAATGATGTCGAAAGGTTACTTTATACGATTTGACTCCTGCTTAGTAGAGTACTGGGGGGCTCAAGCGTTGTTACCGTCCATAGATTTTCCTCGACTAGGCTTCATGCTCTCTCGACGAGCGATTTGATCCCTGTGCGTAGCCGTGTAAAGTTTCTTTGCTAGGTGGACGGTGCACGATTAACTCAAAACCCGAAATGTGGCCAAACTTTCAAAATAGGTTTTCAGACCTTTTGCTCTGTTGGGACCAAATATGGAGCAATCGAGAAATCATTCTTTATCAATGGTCCAATCTCGGTAAACCCACTTTGTTTGGAAGAATTTATACTACTGAGGTACCCTCTGCTCATTGATGTGCACCTGGGTCTGCTCATTACGCTCTTTGCACCATGGGCTGGGTATACAACCTCGATACTCCAAATGCGCCAACGAACGCGCCTCGACTGATTGCCATCGTCTCTGTATTTTCGGTTGCGGCGTTGTTGKCGGTGTTGCTCAGATTCTATGCACGTTTCTTTACCAACAGAAAGCCGGGGATTGATGATTATACTGCCCTGGTCAGCGTGGTATGTTTTTAGCCACGAGGTTACTAGATGATTGAACTGACGGAATACATAGCTCTTGTTAATTGTGTACTCTGGCCTGGCTATAGGTCGTAAGTTGCTACTCATTCTATTCCATCAGATACGTGTCATACTCATCATCACGAACAGAAACACGATGGGGTCAAGGTCTCGATCCAGCCGCCTTTCCACCTGAAGACATTATTCCTTTCGGAAAGGTAAATTCCTAAACACACCCAAAACCTCTTCTCAACATCAGTATATGCTAATCAATTCGAGCACAGATTCAATACGCCGGCGGCCCGGTCTACACACTCGCTCTTCTCGGTTTCAAATTAGCCCTCCTAACCTCCTACCTCCGCATCGGCGGCTTTGTGCAATTCTACAAAAAGATCCTTTACGGTCTCGTCATTCTTTGTATATGCAACTCGATTACTTTTACGCTTTTGATTTGTTTGACCTGCATTCCAGTATGTTTCTTGAATGAGGCTACCGTGGAGACGATGACTCGGGCAAGCTGTCTGACATGCGTTATAGGTAGCGAAAATCTGGGATGCAAGTGTTCCTGGACACTGCATTAATGCTATTGCGGCTTACTATGGTAGGTGTATTTTATGCCCGTTTTCTTGTTTCGCTGTACTGACTGTAATTTCTAGCGATTGCCGGTACGCTTTCTTTGAACAAACATGATCTGCTCTCAATCTCGAAAACCGTCCTGACACTCACATAGGATCTAGTCTTGCACTCGATGTACTCATCATCATCCTGCCTATTCCGGTCCTATTAAAGCTGAAGTTGAACACTAGGCAAAAGGTAAGTCGCAGCATCTTCTGTACACACTTCATCCTGACAATCTCCCTTCTAGTTGGTTCTCGTAGGAATGTTTGCTACAGGATTCTTCGTGACCGTCATCCAAATCATCAGAATATTCACCATCAAGAACCTCCAATCATATACCGACAGTGCCGCCATCATCATCTGGTCAGCCATCGAAATCAGCCTCGGTGTAAGCACTCATCCTAACCTCTGCTAAAATCTCATTACTTACCTTTCCCAGATAATTGTCCCCTGTATCCCAACCTGGGCACCCCTTGTCCGCTCAATGGCACTCGCATCGGGCATCGGCTCTAGTTCTGGCCCCTCTCGTCCCTGGCAATCGCACAACACACCTCAACGCAGCGGTGGCGGAACCGGCCTGGGAGGAGGAGGTAAAAGAGATAAATTCTCAGCCATTCACTCGACTGATATGCCATATGACATGAGCGCATTCGCAACAGTTACGACCCATCACAATGACGGGGATGGAGATAGGTCCTCTGAAGAAGCGATTATTCATAGGGCTGCTAATGATGCGGCGCCGCAGCATGCTGATGATGCAAGTAGGGAGGATAGGTTTCAGATTCACACGACGACGACTGTGAAGGTTGAGAGTCATCAATTGGAGGAGGATGTGGATGAAGAGTCGGATTTTTCACGCTGAGTTTAGATATACACCAAGTCTCGAACTAATCGGTGTCTCGTAAACTCATTGATACGGTTTCACATAGATTTCTTTTCTCTTTATACCCTTTTTCATGTGTACATATTCAAAAGTGATTTAAAAATAGCCCTTATATGTCAAAATGAATACTTTCATCTATGTTTTAAGAATCTACATACTAAGACTTTTGCATCGGGCCCACGGGAGACGAATTCGACTTAGGGTTAGAGTGCTGCGGACACAACGTTGGAAATTCCTAGGTAGGCAGCACCCACGTTGAGCTTCAATCTCCCATTCTCTTATTTTGTTGTCTCCAATATTCACATTTTGAATCCACCATAGTGATACAATACATCATTTACGAGAAACAACCACCAGAATCAAGTTTGACAGGCAGGTACGTCATCGCCAGGGCTATACATAGCAAGCAGTCATGTACAATTGACAGTTACCACATACATTAGCACATGTGCAGCTTTCAAGACCCAGTGCTCCAAGTCCTCAAGCACATCTGCTCGGGGAATCCTCCACCGAAGGAATATTGTCACTGTAACAGTGTAACATCACCTAGCGCCCTTTATCACCCATCTCGTCCAATCGAACTCCGCTGATGCGCGTCACCGTTGTGGAATGTTGTACCCATACCGCGATGGATACATATGTATAAGGCGGGGTTCTCCACATAGTATAAAGCCGGGATGTCGATCAATCCTTGCTTTATGGTGAGCAGGGATAGAATGGTGAGGGGCAGGATTGTTTTCTTCGGGGAATAAATAGTTGAGACCAGCGTCGCTTGCATCAAATGTGTTGTGGTCGTGATTGCACATACGGTTCTTTTCTTATTGCGCGTTGGCACGATGAAGTTGTTTCCGTTGACCATTGCGGCGGTCTTGAAAGAATGTGTTGGTGCGCGTATACTCGGTCAGCGGGATGCGAGTACGGATAATTCGTCGTTTAATGTCTTGGATTATGTTGATCCGTTGATTGGGACAGCAAATGGAGGTTTGTCATCGCAAAACACCAGTGTTTCCTGGACACGCGATGCTAATCTCGATATTTGTATACAGGCCATGTATTTGCTGGCGCGTCATTGCCTTTTGGTGAGTTCCATAGTCCATCCATCTTGACGCAGATGTTGATATCAGTCAGGTATGGCAAAAGCAGTTGCAGACTCCTCTGTGGATAATCAGGGCGGGTTCGCCTCAGATAGTAATAGTATAAGCGGCTTCTCGCACATGCATGATTCTGGAACCGGTGGTGTAAGTCCCCATTCCTAAAATTGAAGGCATGTATCAATGCCAATACTACATACAGGGCGCATCATTGGGAAACTTCCCCATCTTTCCCAACCCGGGCTGTCCAGACGACGACCTGAACCAATGCGTATACCGCTACCAAGACCGCTCAGTCGGCTTCAGTAATGCAACCTTGATCGCACAAGCAGGTTACTTCAGCATCGACCTCGACAGTGGCATCAAGGGCGAAATTACAGTCACGAACCATACAGCCTTGTACAGATTCACATTCCCTTCAGACGTGACTACTGCACCTATGATATTTGCCGATTTGATTGATCTGCCGCAGTCGAGATCGAACGGTACTGCCTCTGTCGATGATAAAACTGGACGTATTACTGGTTCAGGAACGTTTAATCCTAGTTTCGGCATTGGGAATTATGATCTCCATTTTTGCGCAGATTTTTCCGGAGCAGATATCTTCGATACAGGCGTGTTTGTGAATGACCGTGCTGGAAATGAGCCCAAAACAGTACAGACATTGTCCGACGGCGTGAATGATGACGAGTCTTATTCAGCCGGTGCATTCACGCGTTTCAAGGCTGGTACGACATCTGTCATCGCTAGAGTTGGCGTTAGTTTTATAAGCGTTGACCAGGCATGCTCCAATGGCGAGAAGGAGATTCCGGATTTTGATTTTGATAGCACGAAACAGGCGGCGCAGAATATCTGGAAGGAGAAGTTGGGCGTGATTAGCGTGGACGCTACAGGTGTTTCGACAGATTTACAGACTGTTTTCTGGAGTGGTGCGTACAGAGCTCTGCTGAGTCCTCAGGATTATACCGGCGAGAATCCGCTATGGGAGAGCACCGAGCCATACTATGACAGTTATTACTGGTGAGTACCTCATCTACGCACACCACTGAAACAGAGATTAACGGGAATAGTATCTGGGACTCATATCGAGCCATCCATCAACTAATCACCCTCGTCGATCCCCTCTCCCAGTCCCGCATGATCCGCAGCTTGATTGACACTTACCGACACGCAGGCTATCTCCCCGACTGCCGCATGTCGCTATGCAAAGGTTATACGCAAGGAGGCTCAAACGCCGATGTCCTGATCGCAGAAGCCTACTTGAAAAATATCACTGACATCGACTGGGCTACCGCTTACGAAGCCGTCATTCAAGACGCTGAAGTCGAGCCGCTGAATTGGGCCGTTGAGGGTCGTGGTGGGTTGACTAGTTGGAAGAATCTTGGATATATTCCGACAGATGACTTTGATCCGTACGGTCAAGGCCCGCTTACGAGAAGTATATCGCGAACTGTCGAATATGCGTACGACGATTATTGTATTGCGTTACTTGCAAAAGCTCTGGGAAAGACGGACGATTATGAAAAGTACATCAAAAGCGCGACAAATTGGCACAACATGTTTGACGCCAATACCACTTCTCTCGGATACACCGGCTTCTTGCAGGTAAAGTACTCGAATGGAACATGGGGATATCAAGATCCGCAGTTCTGTACACCTCTGATGAACTTCACAAGCTGTTATCTGAACCCGGATGGCCACGAGACCTACGAAGGTAGTACATGGCTCTACACTTTCTATGTTCCTCAAGACATGGCCTCCCTAATCAGCGCACTCGGCGGACGTGACACATTCATCGACCGACTGACCTACTTCCACAACTCGGGCTTACTCTACGTCGGCGACGAACAAGCCTTCTTGACCGTATATCTATTCCACTACGGCGGCCGACCAGCGCTATCCACAAAACAGGTTCACGCCTACATCCCCTCGCAATTCAACACCAGCATAAGCGGTATACCGGGTAACGACGACAGCGGCGCAATGGGTTCATTCTCGACGTTGAGTATGATTGGTCTTTGGCCTGTTCATGGACAGGATGTGTATCTAATAAATCCGCCGTTTTTCAAAGAGGTTAATATCACGCATGGTATAACGGGTAATGTTGCGACGATACGCAATGTGAATTTTGATGCGAGTTATGCGGACTTCTACATTCAAAATGTGACGAGAAATGGAGAGGTGTGGACGAAGAATTGGATTCAACATGATTTCTTTGAGAAGGGGGGTGTGTTGGAGATTACGACGGGCGCGAGTGAGAGTGCTTGGGGGACGAAAGCGGAGGATCTGCCTCCTAGTATGGATTCTTATGCTTTTTAGGACTCGAGTACCGAGTTCTTGGTAGTGAAGAATGATTCAATAATGGCTCAATTAACTCCATTGAGTTTTATGCTCATGTTCATGGTTCGCAATGATATATGACTAATGAGAAGTATCTGGCTCGATCAACATAGATCGTGAGCTGTATCAATTCCCTAGGAGAATATAAATTACCCATCATAGATGTCCAGAACGAAACTCCCAGGCCGCAGGCTTGGTCGTCCACAACTCAAAGACCACCCCTTTCAAACGCCACTTTGGCACTTCCTCACCGTCCTTCTTGATTGCTGCTTCCTTGAAGATGTGCACTAACCCTTCTTCAATCTTCTCCCAGTCGTCGCAGATTGTCCCTGGCTGAATGTAGACGAGGATCGCGAAATGAGTGATGCTGCTGATATCGCTGCCATCCACTGATTTAGGTTGCGCGCGATTGCCATCCTTGCCGACTCGTGGATAAGTAATGACGTTGAGACCATGGCACTGCCCCTTTAGATGCGTGAAGAGATAACCGTAAGCATCGTCGACGGCCTTGCTTGTCGCGACTGCGCTCAGAACAGATGTTGGTAGAGTCTTGTGAAAATTGTTGGGCTGCGGGTTGCGATTGATGTAATCCTCGATTGTGATTTGATATGTTCCAGTTGGTGTTCTTTTTCGACGTGCCTCGCGGAAAGAGAGTACGCTCATATTTCCGATTGAGCCTGTCATTTCTGTCGCCTGAATGGAGGTTGTCGTGTCTGACGAGGATAAGGACTGTTGGCGCTTTCGTGGGCGTGGTTTGACAGACGTGCCAACCTTCTTGCGGATGAGGATTGATTGTGGATCGACAGTCATTATGTGATGAGATAGAAAGAGATCTTTCAGATAGGTGAAGCTTTTGACAATGAACGAGTCTGCTAGAGAAAAAAAAAAGCGAGGTAAGTAACATACACAGTCTGAGTAGCAAGATTGAAAGATAAGTCGGAGGGCCCAACAAAACAAGAGGTTCAAATTTCCCCAACAAAGGAGACAGACACTGTACTCAACTATCAACAATCAGAGCAGTGGCCCTGGAATTGCCATCAAAGAGTATAAGTTCTCAGTGATCTCCAGGTGGTGTTACGAATTCTGATGGGCACTGATAGAGGACAGTCAAACGAAATCATAACCTGTGATTATATCTCCCAAATAGGAAGGAGCAGGGCGCAAGCACCCCAAGGCAGCACAGGGAAGGAGGCATCGATAGCACGTCTCTTAGCCTTTGGCGGACTCCAGAGAATGACCACAACTACAATCCACAGTCATTGTCTACCGCACGCCAACCATTACAACCTTATATCTTGGAATCTCTTTATACACAACTCCCTCCTATTGTGCATCAGCCAATAGCCACGATTCAATAGCAACAAACCAATACACACAAGCCAATGCTATTCATAATGGCTCCCCGTCGCCCTCCGTTGCTACCTATTCCCGGAAACAATCAGAAGATCCAAAAGACTCAATCGTTCGAGGAGCGCCTCAAGCAATTTTTCACATCGAGCTATAATACCCTCGTGTCAGATCTGCTCATGGATCTCGACCACCCATTCATTATTCCCATTGAATTATATCTCTCTGTGCGCCAGCCAACTGTATCCCTGGAGGGCCTCGATTACTCAAGGCACGACCCGTTTGACTTCAAAATCAACTTTTACATTGCCACGTTCGTCGATCCCGCGAGCGACGATATTGCCGCATTGCTACAGGCTTCACTGGGAGATACGAGCTCCGTGAGTGTCAGCTTTGAATGGGCATACGTGGGTGCCATAGAGGTTATGCCTACGGTTTACATTGAGGTGCCCCCCGAAACAGTAACGGACTGGGCCGATTTGGAGAGTGGGATTCGTGCAGTGTTGGCGAGGAATGCTTCGAAGATGGGGATCGTGGTTGACGTGCAATTTCGAGTGAAAAGTTCGCAGAACAGGGCCATTGAGATCACTTGAATATGTGCATGAGAAACCTATTGATGAGGTAAGTGGTCTGCTTCTGCGATTTTCCGGGGGGGCTAACAATGTATGTTTGGTGCCTTAGCAGACAAATCGGCTGCCTAGATCTCGCGAACCAGGAATCGCGTTATTGCTACAGGGATGGATACTTCATGGTATATCTTTAAGCTTTGAATTCTAAAAATTATTCACGCCTCTGCTGAATTATTATGGTCAACACAACTCGTTACCAAAAGTTCATCCCTACTGTACTTTCGCCTCTCGGTAGCTCAAATATCACCACCCCTTCGCGGTGTAAGCTTCACTATAAGAGGTCTTTTCAGCCACAATGTGCTGGTAGTTTGATAGGTCCAATTGTAGCTCTTTGGCTGAAGTTCCACGTCAAAATTCCAAAAGAACCTGCAAATTATCAACCTCATCTCGGCGTATGCCAGACGAGAGAGAGGGTGCTATGCAGTCATCTATCTCAAAACCAAGATGAGAGGTGAATATGCTCACTTTTTACCTGAAAATTTTCTAGGCCCATGCGAAAACGGATGAAAAGCGTCCTTACGGTCATCCTTGAACCGCGGGTCTTCCGCCTCAAGCCATCGCTCTGGATGGAATACTTCTGGCTCAAAGAAGTTCTGAGCGGAGTGATAGCAAGAATAATGAGGCAACCCGACAGAGGTACCAGCAGGAAGGAATCTTTCGCAGCTGAAATGACCCGGTTTCGGAACCATGCGAGGTAGAGCAGCGGGCACTGGCGGGTAGAGCGTATTGACCGTTCCAGCACAGCATTCAAGTATCGAAGCGGAGCAGCGCTGATTATACCGATTTGATTCTCGCCTCTGAAGGATGAGTGGATCTAATTCGTTAGACGGGCCAGGCACTAGGACTCCTATAGCAGATAGTACAACGCGCCAGATAACGCCGTGGCTACTGTCTCACTGCCAACAAATATGATAATGTCACTTACAGAGACCGTCTCGTCAAAACCAAGACCGTCAGGGCCCATGGGTTTTTTGGAGCCTTGTAATATATAATTCACTTTATCACTGTAAGCTTCACTGCCAAACTTCCCGAAAACAGGAGACCAAGTACCGAAATCTTTTCTATCGGAGTCAATCAAGACACACTTCTTGAGTTTGCTTTGCGCAAGTTTGCACAAGCTCATACTGACACACCCTGTCAGCCATACCTCGCTTCGGCGTGACTAAATTGGTCACAAAAGATCTCCATTCCAGCGGAAACAAGCGTTTGATCGCAGGGTACCAGGCAGTGAATTGTATCATCACAAAAGTCGTCGAAAGATATCTCGACAATACGCCTTGATGGAAAATGAGTCGAATACAAGGTCGCCAATAAGATCGAAATATATAAAGTTGAACCAATGCATCATGTTGACGATGCCGTCATTTTCCGACCCTCTTTTACGTAGTTGAGATATAAATCTGTTGAAATAGCCCTAGAGAATCGCTTCTTGGGCTTTCAATGCTCGATCGGAAAAGGCTTGAACTAGGAGTCGACGAAGGCGGCGATGTTGTTCGTCAATTGTACCGAACCAGTCCTGTGTTAGTTTTGTTTGCTTCGAGTAAATGAGTAGTATTAGGTACAATGTTATGTTCACCTGTGGGAGACTCGAGGAAGAACTTCTGATCCTTCTCGAACAGAGACTGGTTGTTGATTGTGCGATGACCTGCTCTGTATACTAATTGATTCTATAGCCGTCTCTTTAACTTACCACATATTATCTCCCACGCTCTGCCAGAATTGTATGACAGCTGATTTGGCGCTATGCGTATAACTTCGTCGTATCGATTGTGCTATTGGTTTATCTTCAGGTGAGAGCTGCCTTCTAACTCCCAGAAAGTTGCATAATATTCGGTGGTTGGACAAAGGAATGGGCCGGAATCTGAGCGTAAGGAGTGAAAATAGAGGATTTTGCCAGATATGCCGTTGCGACGATGGCAGAAGTGCCTGATTTTGAATGTAGACCAGTCAATGCCCATTGTGATGGTAGAATAGAGATTGAGACACCAGAAAAAGCTGAAAACCATGAACAAGAAGGAACTTCGTTATGAAAACGACTAATTCGGAAAGAACCACACATGTTGACAAAAGCAGCAAGTGGGCTACTTAGGGTTAAGCTGTCATGGTGAACATAAAAGTTTCCGCCACCATTCTTAAACTTTAATCCTTGTCTACTCCCACAACTTCGTCTCTTCGTCTTAACCTCACTGCAACGTTTCCAACTGCATTGGAATCTCAGTCAAATTATTTTCAACCAGAACCCTACAAATGCCTCTCACCGGTCAAGATGCCTGCTACCGATGGACTTCGTGCGTCTCCTGATCCGTTTTATCAATCTTCTTCGTACAGTTGACTCTCGTTCAGTGCCTCCATTTTCTACGACTGAGCAAGAGATTGTAGAGAGTTACGGCGGCTGGACCCATTTCTGTGCAAGCTTTGGTCTCAAGCCCTGGAATGACGATGATGCTGAGGAAGCTATGCAAATTGTCCGAGATTTTGCCGCACACAGGGTGTGAAGTGATATCCAAAAATTCAATCGCACAAAACAAGGCCTGGAGGAAGCATCTCAGAATTCAGAGGGCGATGAGATGTACCATTCTATTTATCGATTGTGTCCACGACTAAATTCATCCTACTTGATTATGGCTTTACAACTAGCTTACAATATGCATCGATTATCACACGAGGCATGACCTCCCAACACCATCGTCAGTTTGTATGCCTCTTATTTTTTAGTTTATAACGTTGAACAAAGAAAAGAAAGTCCTCAATGTGCGTGGTTCTACTCACAGCCATTCACAACAGTCATCACCATGGTCCTGAGCATACTAAAAATTGTGGCATAGGAAGCTCGCTCGAAACTAAGCATTTGACCAATTATAGCTTGACAGCAGCCTTGCCTCCGAATCATGCCATGGTAATCCTACCAAGCACTTCTTTGTCTCGTGGCTACTTCAGGTTCAGTCTTCTTTCGATGAGCATTGAACTCGTAGTACCATGATGTCATCGTAACCGAAGGTGGGATATGGAGGTTTTACTACCAGGTGAGAATCCACGATGGTGGTGCATGGCACCAATCAGGTTGTTCCTTTAGTAAAACTGGGATCTAGTGATCGCATCCTTATTCAATAGAACAACCAGCAATCAGAATATCAGTCTCAATTAGAAATTACTTTATCCCAAAATTAGCAGTTGTCTATATGCTCCCTAACTCCTTGTTCCCTCTGTCTAATTCAAAAGACCTTAATGCGGATAGTAATACGTGTTGTCCACCGTCGTACCCCTCATATAAGGAGGCTCCGCTCCTCTCACAAAGATATCCTGAAACAACGTATCCTGTGTAGGAGGCGGATTGTCCATTTTCTGTGCCGCCTCCGCCTCAGCATTAACATGTCCCCTGATCTCCTTTTCCATTGCCTTCAGCTCATCCTTCGTGTTGACTTTCAATTCTATCAATAGCTCTTTGAGTACCATCAAGGGGTCTTGTTTCCTTGCATCTTTTAGCTCTTCGCGTGTTCGGTACGCGATGCCGGGGTCTGACATGCTGTGTCCGGCGAATCTGTATGTGACGAATTCATACAACAGGGGTCCTTCGTGGGAGCCTTCTTCGCCAGTGATTAGGCGACGGGCGTATTTGACTGCTGATAGTACGGCAAGGACATCCATGCCATTGACGCGAATGCCGGGGAAATAATTGCCGCGTTTGTAGTAGTCTGTCATGGCAGAGGATCTTTCGGCGGATGTGCCCATTCCATACTGGTTATCTGCTTGTGCTCAGCATATAATTTTCCCTTCTTTGAGATTTAAAAAAACTTACTCTCACAACCATACAGCACAGGCAAATTCCACAACTTCGCCATATTGAACGCCTCATGAACCTGCCCTTGATTCGCCGCACCATCCCCATATATATCAATAGTCATAGTTCTCTTCTCAGAATACTGTTGCGCGAGAGAAATACCCGTACCGACAGGTACATGTGCACCGACGATCCCATTTCCGCCATAAAACCCTCTGGCAAACATATGCATCGACCCACCTTTGCCGTACGAGATTCCCTCCTTTTTACCTAACAATTCACCAATTATCGACCGCAGACTTCCACCTCGCATGTATGTGAAGCCGTGGCTGCGATATGCCGTAATCAAGGGGTCAGATTTGGTAATGGCATGCTCGATGCCAACGGCGACTGCTTCCTGGCCTGTTGAGAGATGGCAAAAGCCTCGGATCTTTTGCTCTTTGTAAAGTTGATCGGAGAGAAGTTCCAACCTCCTATAGCGTGTCGTAAGATGCGGACTATATGCATCCGAAGAGAAATCAGGTGAGGACTTACCGGATAGTGGTCATATCTTTATACAACTGTCGCAGCTCGTTTTTTGAAGTCTCTAAGCTGTATGGAGGTGGATCTATGTTGTAGGTATCAAAGGAGTCTTTGGGAATTGAGACATTGATGATTTGGTCGTCTCCCTGGCACAATTAGATATTAGCTCTGTTTGAAGATCGTAGAAAATGTTTCAGATAAGAACAGACCGAAGACTGAGAACTTCCCCCATCTGCTCTCGCCAAACTACGCCGTTGAGACGAAAATGTCCCCATGGAGCGAACCGGCAATCTGCCGGCTCTCAAGCTCATCGTGTAAAATGACATCCTGACCAAAAGATAGCCTTGAATATGCAACACAGGTCGATATTGAAGGATACGGCACAAAGAAGAAGCTGAGCTGTTGTTGACAATGTCTACATTATGTCATACTGAGGTTAGAAAGTAATGTTTCGTGATTGGTCAATCTATAAGAAGATTTTCGGAACGGAAGATCCTGATTTCCGACGTGTAATCTTATCGCGTTCTCCTTGGCGTCATGCCATTCCCTAACTCAATAATCTTGCGATGACATAGTTTACCGCCAAAGCGATCCTTTGTCGCAAATTCCACCACAGCATATTGTGTATATGTGGATGACAACGGTTATCGCAAGTAGATGACTGTGTATACGGTCTCTGCTGCAACCTTTGAACCATGCTAGGGACATAAATTCTACGGAGTTGAAATAGCTCCAGCTGACGAGACATCACCATGCCGCGAACAACATTACCCCGACGAGGCAGGGTCCGACCTGGAAACTTCCAGAAACCTCGAAACCACCGCGACCGCGAGGAAGAAATTCCCCAAGTCTATCGTGAATTATTAGCCGAAGCAGATGCGCGCGCTGGGGATGAACCACAGTCGGAAAGACCGATTAAACGTCGAAGAGTTGGGGAAAGGGCACAACATACCCATAATGTACAGACAGATACAGACATCCAAGATTCTCCAAGCTCAAACAACGTTATCGATTTGACACAAGCGCAAACTATCTATGACCTTGACGCCGAAGATTCGTCCGAAGATGAATCGGATATGGAGTGGGAGGAGGTTATTGTGCAACAGCCAGCCACAGGTATTCAGAATTCTGTACATACGGGAGGTGACGAATCTTTGGACATCACACTCGAGGAACCCACCGTACGAAGGACGCTTGTCAGAAGACGTAAACCAGTCACTGGATCCGAGAAGAGACTTCGTTTGGATATTCACAAGGCTCATGTTCTTTGCTTGCTGGGCCACGTATATACGCGTAATTTGTGGTGTAACGATGATGACGTTCAAAAGTATCTCAAGCAGATGTTGCCGAAGCAGACTATATCGCTCTTGAACCCGAGGGAATCCATGCCTCAGTTTCAGCGATCTACGACTTTTATCGACGGTTTGAAAGAAGCGAGTGAGGCTTTTGTGCGACGATTCAAGGTTACAGCGCCTGGCCTGAGGCGGCCATATTGGGCGGAAAATGTGCAAGAGTGCAAAGATAGAGCAGCTTCGATCATGCGCGATGGAGAGATCATATCGACCCGGGAAGAATTCCGAGAACAGGCAAAGAAGCTTCACGGTTCGCGTGATTTTGGTGCCCAGTTATTTTGTGCGCTACTACGCTCAGCTGCGGTTGAGGCACGGCTTGTATGCTCTCTGCAGGTGCTACCTTTCTCCGGAGTCGCAAAGGGCATCAGCCCCGAGAAACCAAAACGAGACTATATAGTAATATCCTCCGATGACAATCTGAGTTCAAGCGATGACAAAATTGTCGCGCAAAGTAGTAGTCTACCTGCTAAGGGGCGCAGACTTGGACAGCCGTCTTTCAAAACACAAGTGCGCCCCTCATCCTCCAACAATTTACGTACGTTTATTTCAAGTGGCGAGTGAATACAGACTGATTCTTAATAGACCGTCCACGAAGCTTCACAAGTTCTCCATACCCTGTCTTCTGGGTCGAAGTCTTCAACGAAGCTGTTCAAAAATGGATTCCTGTCGACCCTCTCGTCACGAAAACCGTGGCGAGGCCATCCAAATTTGAGCCCCCTGCAAGCGATAGACATAATAACATGTCGTACGTGGTAGCGTTCGAAGAAGATGCCTCTGCACGAGACGTTACAAGGCGGTACGCCAAAGCGTACAATGCAAAAATGCGGAAAACACGGGTGGAAAGCACCAAGGATGGCGAAACATGGTGGACCAACGTTATGAACTACTTCGAGAAACCTTTCTTAGAAGATCGGGATCAACTGGAGTTTAGTGAGTTTACGGCAAAATCAGCGGCTGAGCCGATGCCCCGGAATATCCAAGACTTTAAAGATCATCCCGTCTATGCGTTAGAAAGACACCTTCGACACAATGAAGTAATTCATCCAAAGAGGAAGATCGGTCAGGTTGAGGCTGGTAAATCAGGCTCCAAGAAGGGTACCGTGGTCGAACCCGTTTATCGCCGTGCGGATGTACATTTGGTTAGAACCGCTGATGGCTGGTATCGACTTGGACGAGATATCAAGATTGGGGAACAACCACTCAAGCGTGTCGCTGCTTCGCAAAGAAGGGATGAGAGTGATGACGATCCAGATGCTATCTCTGGTGCGGAGAGAACGCTGTACGCCCTGTATCAAACCGAGTTGTACAAACCGCCGCCAGTCGTCAACGGCAAAATCCCTAAGAACGCATATGGCAATCTGGATGTTTATGTTCCTACTATGATACCTCCCGGAGGATTTCATCTCAAGCATCCTGAAGCAGCCCGCGCAGCTCGAATTCTCGGAGTCGACTACGCCGCTGCCGTGACGGGATTTGAATTCAAAGGTCGTCATGGTACAGCCGTGGTCAACGGTGTTATTGCAGCATCAGAGCATCGTGAAGCTTTGGAAGAAGTTATCAGGTGCATTGAAGATGAACGGATCCAGGAGGAACTTGACAGGAGAACGGAGGAGGCACTACGTCTATGGAAACATTTCTTGTTGAAATTACGCATTGCACAAAAAGTAAAGAGTTATGTCATTGAAGGAGAAGCTTCTGAAGGGGAAGAGGAAGTTTTAGAAAAGGATGGACATGTGAGTGATGATGCTTCAGATGATCCAGACTTTGCGGATGGAGGTGGATTCATTGCAGACGATGATGTAGGCGAGTCTGCGAGCGGCGGCGGGTTTATTCCGGAAGATAATGAAACCAGCTCTGCGGACGGGGGCGGTTTCATCCCAGAGGATGATGGACACGACCTTTCATTGGAGAATAACGATTTTGGCAATAGTTTGGATTCAGAAAATCATGAAGGTGGTGGTTTCATCATGAATGAAAGCGATGGCCTGAACTCAGAAAGTCGTAATGACGGTGGTTTTATCACAGATGAACATTCGCCGGCTACTGACAGAGATTCGCCTTATAATAAATCTGTCGAGGATACAAATAACGTTCAGCAATCAGCAGTAACTGAGCGCAATGTACCGAGATCGAAGAAAAATATACCACGCTACAAATTAATTGTGATACCCAATACAACGACCATTGAAATCTCGTCCAGCACGTCAGTTCAGTCGGCCAAGAAAGCAGCCGAAGAGAAAGATGTTGCACAAGCCAGCATGAACATATCTGATGGTGTGGTTCCAGCCGACGGCCTCTCTGAAGCTGCGCCCATTCAACTTGATTCATCTAGCGATCAAGCATCGGCCGCGATGAGCGTGGATCTCAATTCGCAAGGCCCAGAAGAGCCCAAGTCACCGGAACAATTTGTGCAACCAGCAGACAGTGAGTCCGACTCAGCCTTGGAGAAAGAATCACTGTTGTCTCATGATCCTGAAGACGAGGATGCCGAACCTGAGTGGCTTCTATCTGATTAATATGTGTAAATGAATAGATATCTCCAGAAATATGAATGAATGACATCAATGTACGATATTCATGTATTCGGCAGCTAATTCGCAACATGTAAAGTTGAACTTTAAGCAATTTAGCCAAAGGAGGAAAGGCGTACCGTTGGGAGTCCAAAGCGGTTAGCGCGGCACGACGCGTCTGGACGCGTCCCCTCGAACAGGAGGCACACAGCGGCAACCTAGACTTTCATCAACGAACCATAACGCTACCAATCATGCACGATATTCCAGTTCAACACTCGTGGAAATGAGTTCGCGAAAGACTCATCAGCACCAACCTCGAGATAACAACGATCTACCGACCACACCCGCCGAAAGCACGACTACAAATGCCACCAACGGACGACGCGCAGCAACGACGTCTAAAGCGAGCCGCAAGGATAGACCGATAGCCTCATCATTTTTGACAAACCCGAAGAGACGCAAATTCCCCAGTTCTCCGGACTGGGATAGTCAAATAACATTAACGCAACTGGTGCCCAAGGCAGAGACAGAAGCACCGGATGGCGGATTGTTCGAATACGATGACGATGGGACGGAAGGCAAATTTGTGGAGGTGATCGATCTGGCCGACGATGCAGATGAAAATGATGCTTCATGGAGACCGTCGACAAATCGACGGCCGCCGGCCAAAAGACGAACCAACGGCGGTTCTCGTTCGCCCAGCAGTATTCCCACGACTACATTCAAGAAGCGAAAGTCTAGCGTGTTGATTAGTGGAGGGCCGAAAATTAGCAAGTCGATAAGGAGAAATAATAAAGGATCTGCGCAGAAGGAAACCAAAAGAAACAAAACCCTTACGCAGATGGACTTTGTGAGGCGGTTTATACCACTTCCTGATTCGGATGAGGAGGATCTGAATTTGTACGAGAATCCACTAGCGGCTAAAGAGGAAGATGATAAGACCAAGGGGCATACTGTTGAGAAAGATGACTTGGAAGATTTGACGCCAAGAAAACGACGCAAATTGAACGATGAAAATATCACTCCGTCGCCTGCAATCAAAAGCAAAGTTTCCCCTGCCGAGAAGAAGCCGACGCTCCTAGGTGTCCCTGGCGTTCAGCCAAAGACGCCCCAGAAAGAGCGGCGATTCGAGATACCGTCGTCACAAACTCCTGAAACTCCTCAGGAGACATATGTGGCTTCTCCGAGCATTCGTCAAGTGTCTCGTTTCTCCATCGAACGATTGTCGAACACAATAGACACAAATATCTCCGGAAGTTCCCTTCGGGAAGCACCCGAAGAAACTCAGGATCAACAGGATGACACAAGACCACCGGATCTGGAAGTTGCCGGAGATGATATAGTAGCCTCTACCATGATATCAAGTTCGCAATTACTACTATCAGGCACCAAGGAACAAACTACGATTCAAGAAACGGATGCCATGAAACAAACATCACAACCACCAGAGCCGCCACCGCTATCGTCACCACCAATGAGGACTGTTGTCTATGATACTGATGCAGAGACAGACTATGGCGAGCTAGAAGACGATAATCTGCCAGAAATCTCCATCGGAGCAAAGGCATTGGAGGAATGGCCCGAACCGATCGACAATTCCAGTAGAGATCACACTTCTCAAAACTGCGATTATTCAGATGACCTTCCTCCTGTCCCGAATTCCGGAACCGATCTGGAGATAATCGGCAATTTCTTGTCCGACACGACGTTGCCATCGGAATCGTCGGTATACTATCGCCGGCCTGCTCGATATACGCAATATCCAAACGAACCTGTACCTATGATGAATACCCAACAGGTAGCAAAACTCTTTCCCGTGATCGAAGATCATGATGATTCAGCTTCGACGATACAGACATCAATCCCCTCTACGAGAGATCCCGCAGCTTCTACATGCCATGAACACTCCAATGTCTTGAGCTCCGAAATGGAGACTCCGACACAAGATGACTCTGTCAACCGATCAATCCAAGTCGTTCCGGAATCTTCACCCATCACACGAAGCTACGACGCAGCCAGATCTGCATCCAACACAATGGCACCACCACCAGCACGCGAGTCAATAGTACTCGTAGAATCGTCCCAGTTAGTGGACAGACTTAATCGGCAACTCGACAGCGTGGATGCTGGTAAATCTTTGAGAAGACTGTTTTCTACACGGGACTTTCTCACGGATAGTGTCATGGAGAGCATTCCGGCTCCTCCGGGGATGGCGAGTCAGGATAGTATTGGAGAGCCCTATCCAGAGAATGACGGGCATGGGTACAGTTGATAGCAGTCATTATAACATAATTTATTGATAGAATAGATTAGAATGTACGCGAGTAAGGTTCCCTAATTATACTGGAGGATATTTATCAGCTCAACTAGCATCTACATTATGCATCACTAAATCACAACACCAAGACCGTCGTCCGGGGTACAGTTTTTTGGTCAATTGCATTTCATAAAGCGACTGATAATAACTGAAAACAGATTCTCCTTTTCTTTGATAAGCGCTGACTTTGGATACCGTAGTGATACACCGAGATCGTTGACCATTGGACGGAATCGCCGATACCGACGATACCCCGTAAATTAGGGCTAATTTCCCAACATGGAAGGTAAAGGGAGACGCTTGCCGTGGCAGATAAGATAAGAGGTTAACCTTACAGCTGCTTTTGAGCCCTCTAAAAACATTTCAGATCGTTAGTTTATGCATATCGTCACATCCAAGTCGATATCATTACTATTTGACTATCATACTACCGTAACGTCTCCATCAAGCTTCCATTTTGGGGAACCCTTTACGATTATGTGACACGGACGATAGCGCGACCTCTTCCAACAAGGGGGTTATTTATACCCCAGCAATTGCCCACGTGCTCGGGACTGGCCACGCCTTCCAGTCCTCTCTCTTCTCTTCAATATTCAAGTCACTCGTACAATTACCAGAAATCAGAGAGAAAAATGACATCCTCAGTCCTCTACTCCAACATCGCCAACCCTCCCCTACAAATAACCAGAGCCGACGGACATTACTTGTTCACTGAAGATGGCCGCAAAATCTTCGACGCCACCAGCGGCGCTGCCGTTGCCGCACTAGGCCACAACAATGCTGAAGTCAAGAATGCGATTGTAGAGCAGTTAGAGACGTTAGATTATGCTTATTTACCGTTCTTCACTTCTGCGGCGGCGGAGAGGATTTGTAAGTTTTTGACGGATTCGACGGGTGGGGAGATGGAGAAGGTGTTTATCGTCAGTTCGGGTTTGTAGAAACTTCTCAAGTGTGTGGTGCATGGATAACCAGTTAATTGATCCCATAGGAACCGAGGCTGTGGAGGCGTCCCTCAAAATGGCTCGGCAGTACTTCGTTGAGCTGGGACAAACCTCGCGAACAAAATTTATAGCTCGGAAGCAATCTTATCATGGTAATACGCTGGGTTCTCTAGCTACTGGTTTCCATAAGGGGCGCAGAGCGATTTATGAGCCTATACTAGCGACGAATGTGTCGCACGTGTCGCCGTGCTATAGCTACAGGGGTAGGAACGAAGAAGAAAGAGACGAGGACTACGTCAAAAGACTTGCTCAGGAGCTTGAGGATGAGTTTCAGGCTCAAGGACCGGGAAATGTGTGCGCGTTTATAGCGGAGACTGTCTCGGGAACTGTGAGTATCAGATTCTGCCCCGATTTCATGAATTAGAACTTGGGAACTGACGAGCACTTAGACTTTAGGCTGCGTGCCGCCTGTCCCCGGGTATTTTAAAGCAATGCGCGAAGTCTGCGATCGCCACGGCGCATTATTGATCCTAGACGAAGTCATGTCCGGCATGGGTCGTACCGGCACACTACACGCCTGGCAACAAGAAGGCGTGGTACCGGATCTTCAAACAGTGGCCAAAGGCCTCGGAGCCGGATATATGCCCATCGGCGCTCTTATGCTCCACAAAAAGGTGGTCGATGTACTGTCCAAGGGCTCCAAGGCTTTTGTGCATAGTCAGACTTATCAGGGACATCCGGTTGCTTGTGCGGCAGCTTTGGCGGTCCAGAACATTGTAGTTAGAGAGAATTTACTTGAGAATGTTAGAGTGCAGGGTGAGTTGTTAGGAAAGTTGTTGCAGGAACGGGTTGGTGGGCATAAACATGTCGGAGATGTGCGTGGTCGTGGATTACTTTGGGGAGTAAGTCTATTTTCTATCATTGGCTTCTCTCCTGATTATCATTCATGTATTGACTGGATTTATTGTGTAGGTGGAATTCGTCAAAGACAAAAAAACAAAAGAACCGTTTCCTGCACACGAACAAATCGGAGCAAAAATCAATGCAAAGGGCTTAGAAGAAAAGTACTCCATCTCGCTTATGCCAGGACCGGGTATTGTAGACGGCAGAGATGGAGATATTATTTTACTCGCACCGCCATATACCATTTCTGCAGCCGAAGTTGAGAATATGGTGAATAACGTAGCGGAGATTGTGAGTGAGGTGTTTGAGGGTTATGCTTGATACTTAGTTTCAAGGCAGCTCTTGATATAGGGAATTTCAATTGAGAGGCTATTGAATTAAAGAAGGGTATATAATTTCATAAGAACCGTAAAGATCATATTTGACGTTGGGTTCATAATCAGCAATGTGATTGGACAAACTATATCGTACTTGTAGTCATGTATCTCCGGCTTATCTCGGTTGTAACCAGCATTGAACATTCACCAATCCTGCTCTATTTTCCTTCATGAATCAAGATCGATCAGAATAACATGGGTCCATCAAATCCTCAATTGCCTATCGGGAAAAAGAGAAAGCGACCAAAAATAAAAGGTAATATCTCGTATATAAAGCCAAAGGCTGTTTGAGACCCCTCCAAGGCTCATCCGTCATTTAGGTTGTTATCAGTGCTCACGACGCAGAATCGACTGTGATCGCCAACAACCGAACTGTACAAAATGCATGACGAACGGGTTGACCTGTAGCGGATTGGGTATTCGATATCGATTCAATGGCAGTCTAGCATCTCGAGGCAAGCTTGTTGGTGAGACTATTCCATCGAGGCTCTCGTATGCTGGGGAGACCGATGCGAACAGTTCAAGCCTGATCATCAGTTCAACAAATGCCTCTCACAAAAATGCTCAACTTCGCCGTTCAGAACGGAAATGTGCTGCTCGCCATGACGAGGAGCTCCGGGGTCTGTCTGACGATCCTCGTATGTCCCCGCAGCCGCCTTTGGGTAGTACGAAAGACGATAAGCGGGCTACACAGGAAGATGAAGATGCAACAGTAACGATAGGGAGGTGTCTCACTCAGGTCGAGGGAAAGACTCAATATTTAATGCAATATTGTACAGGAGCCTTTCTGACTCGAATTGTCGTACTGAGCTGATCATTTTTCATCAGTTGCTACACACATCGCTCCCGCGGCAGCAGTAATAGATAGAGGCTGGAATGGCTTTCGAGACCTACTCCTACCGTACGCTGAGACAGAACCATTCGTCAGGAGCGCGATTGCAGCAGTTTCAAGACAGCACATCATCCTACGTGTTGGAGGTGACTTCACTTCCGATATCCGGGAATATAACAGTCTCATTGCAGAGTTGGTCGCGAGATCGAAAGTGTTTCCTCCCAATCAGGACATTGACAGCTTAGTGGTGCTCCTGCTTCTACATTATAGGGAGACCGTCAGCGGAGGTACTGGATTCAAGTATCTGTATGGCTCGTTGAAGGCATTACCGGATCTGACGATTCAGAATGGCTTGTCGGGKCAGTTGTATGAGCTGGCACGATTTGTAAATATACAAATCTTGAGGTAATCTATCTAATTGAGATGTATTAGATCATACTGATTTCTAATTAGACTCCGCCTTTTCGCCGAGCCACTTTTCGACGAAGCTGCTGGAAAGCAATATCTATCCGTCCATCGCACAAGATGCTTCGAATTCCTACGTTTCTGCCAGACGCTGCACCCCGAATATGAAGAGCTAATGAGACTTTTATTTGCTGCCGTCACCTTAGCATGCGAGGCCTACGTTCGACGAGCATATTTCGATCCTCCATCTTCCGAAGTAGCTCACCTAATCGAAACGTTCCGCCAGCTCGTCCGGCGAGTGAAATGCTACGGTAATGTCGTGGGTCAGAATATGCTTGCATGGCCATATTTTGTCATGGCAGCTGAAAGCTCAACAGAAGAGGATAGAGAGTTCTTTCTTAATGAATTGCAGGCACTGTATCAGGCTACAGGCTATCGGAGTGCTCTTCGAGGCGTGGAGACGATCTTGAATATGCGACAGGCTGGATCGAATATTCGATGGACGAGTTTGCTCGGTGGATACGATCAATTTTTGATTATGTAGTCCAAGTAAGAATATGATTTTTGAGCAGTGGATCAGGTGTTAGGGTTAGAAGTGATCGAAAACAGTAAGCTGCACGATTAGCATGAGCGGAGCCTATGGTAGCCCGTAGCAGCTACAATCAGAGTGATCGGATGTCACCTCATCACTACACCAACTGTCCACGACTCCAGCAAGGTTGCTGTTTGTCTTGATAAGCAACTATATTGCGAAGTTATTAGCACAAATATCATATTTCTAACACCATGGATTTCGCTTACGACCACATCCAAGAGGAGATCCTAGCTTCCAACCAATCCGACAAGCACGAAGACGGAAACCCCTCCACCGACTCAAAGAACATAGACCTCGGCGCCGAATTCGAAGAGACCTTTCGCGCCTTTTCCAACAGTCCCTGGGGCGCCAAGATTGGTGGTCTGTGGAGTAATGTGCGGAAACAAGGCGAGAGCTATTATGAAGGTGCCAGACAGGAGTATGCTGCGGTGAGCGAGGAGGCTACCAAGGGCTTCTCTGGTCTACGCGATAGTATTGTCGATAGAACCAAGGGGATTTCGCTGGGCGGTGCTTTATCGGCGATTTCTCCGGGAAACGAGGAAGCATCGGGTGACTCTACGACCAAAACTGCAGATGACGAAAACAAGGATGAAGGCGAATCGAAGGACCAGACACAACACGAAGAAGCCGAAGGGTTTATTTCAAGGTTCCGTGCCGAAGCCGCGAAGAGACTGAAGGAAATTGAAAAAGCCGAGGACGCAGCCGACGAAGCACTTATCAGATTCGGTACGAATGTTCGCAATTTCCTACGAGATGCCGTGAGTATCGCTCCGCCGGAACAAGGGTCCGACAAAGTACTTTTCGAGAGCAAGGATTCGGAGGGGAAACGCGTGTTTCATGCTACTCGCCTTGAAGCTCAGTTACATGCTATTCATACGAATTTGGAAGGTCTGAAAAAGAACCCGGATACCGAGCAATGGACCGAATTCAACAAAGAGTTCAATGTGGAGAGCAAGACGGATGATATCACCAAGGATTTGGAACAATACCCTGAGCTACGACGTGCTATGGAGAAGCTTGTTCCGGAGACTGTTGATTATAGCGAGTTCTGGTCGCGGTATTATTTCCTCCGTCTGGCTGTTGAGACGGAGGAGCAGAAGCGCAAGGAATTACTAAAGGGTAAGCCTAAGGTTCATTCGGCTTGGTCTTCTTTAATGCTAACACATAACTTAATTTAGGCGCTCATAAAGCCGCCGACGAAGAAGAAGTCGGCTGGGACGAAGACTCCGACTCCGAATCCGAATCTCCATCCACCCCCCACGTGAAATCCAAGCCGAGCGCCGCGTCCTCCCAAAACCTTACCGTTGTCAACGACTCCAACCTCTTGAGCGAACCCCGTCGATCCCACGATCAGCATTCCCAACCCGATAGTGAATCAAGCTACGACGTTGTCAGTGGTGCTACAAGTCAGMCTCCCGCCAGTCCGCGCGAAAAGTCCTCTGCAAAGGTCGAGGAAAGTGATGAAGATTGGGAATAAGTCTGTCCGATTTGAGAATATCGTGTTATGCTTTTTCTCATCCCTGGTCCGAGCGGGAGTTATTGGGAGTTTGGGGCGTATATATTCTAGCACGTGGTGATGCTCTTCCACGATTTCTTTGATATAATACCGCGTATGATTGTCAGGTTCCAGTATTTCACTTTTGATCTGATATCTGGCCTTTGCTTCTTTGATTGATAAGAAAATTACTCTATCTCGAACTACTGTGTTGCAGACTCCTGCCCAACGCTAGGACTTGTCCCCAAACCCTCATCTGTAAGCGCTGTAGTAGGCCGCCTAGACAACGGCGATACTCTAGGCACAATGCCCTTCTTTCCGCCCGCAAGTCCCTGTCTAACGGTCTGCCTGGGCAGACCCGGCGATGACAATGGCGGTGTCTGCTCTCGCGACGACCGTGTCTGATACTGCTCTTCCGAAGCACCAGGCGACGCAGGATCGACACTAGACTCTCGATACGCATATCGAGCCGGTGTCCCTGTCGGCGTCCAATGACCATCGTCATTGTACTGATACTGATAATCCTCCCCGCGACGCTTTAGTGGTGACTCATCGTATGGGTCCCAGCCTACTTTCCGCCTTGCTTCGGCGCGCACGCGCTGGCGATGTTGCTCGTCGCCTCCCGCGCCGGTGCTGGAGGATTCCTCGAGGAAGAAGTTGAGGAGTTCGTCGGTGATTGAGAGATGGGATTGTTGTTGGAATTGTTGGAGTGATGTGAGGCGGAGCAGGGTCTCAAGGAGAGATAGTGAAGTACGGATGTTGTTGAAGAGGGGGTTGGAGGCCGTGGACGCTGATAGATCATGAGATGAGAATGAAATTTGCTGTGTCGAAGAGTCTTTCTGATCGTCAAGTTTCAGGTTCGCCATCTGGGATGCAGCGTCAGTGGCCTCTTCTTCATCATCGACATCAGTCTCATCTTCATCTTTGTCTTCCTCTTGATAGACCTCAAAAGCCACCCATTCCGGATCCAAGCCAGGTGGCAGACGCCAAGGTGCAGGTATATGGCGTTCAGACAAAGATTTAAAATAACCCAACTCCTCTTCCTCCGGTTGTGTGGCGTTCAATTGCGCGTCAAGTTGTTCTTGTAATTCATCTCTTGCCGCCTGTTTCTCATTTGTCTCCTCAACCAGAGCCTCTTCGCTCAGTTCACTGTACATAGTTTCATTCCTATCAATCATTCGACGTGGTGGGATAGCATTGATATCTCGCTTGAGCAGTAGCACCGGGCTGTTGGTTTCACCCTCACTTCCAATGTTGAGCATCTTACCAGTGTCTGCGTAGAAAATCTTGGATATTTGGTGAACAGGAATAATTTCTCGCAGGCCAGCAAGTTTAACTCCTTCGTAGGGTGCAGGGTGCGCTTCATTATCTTCGAAGTTATGCACTCTGTCGTCGTCCAGATCCTCGACAATCAAAATCTGATAGGCAAATTCGTCTACCCTTGCCGTAGCAGGAAGATCAGATTTGTTCGATTTTTGTTCCGATGTATCAGCAAAGACGTCCATGGGAACTCTCCTCAGTTTCACGCGGGCTTTGTGTATGACTTCCTTCCACGTCGTTTCGCGAATGTTCTCTTCATCAAAATGCCTTATGTGCCCGCTAAAAAGCATGTACATTGATAGCGTAAAAGTTGGACCGACTTGTACAGCCCTAAAAGGCTTAATCGAGTATTGTGTATCGCATGCACTCAGAAAAGTGCTGGCCTGTAGCAAGCGAGATGGCGAAACCGTGGATGGTAGAGTCGTGGAAAGTCTAGCGCCAGATGTCGTAATTGCCAGATTCATTAATGGTACTGCGTCCTCAATTCTTTCTAGCACCCTACGAATATCGGTTATAATGAGTTTAATCTCAATCTCGTTCTGGGCTCGTGCTTTGGATGATAATGCTCCTCTGTGGGCTAATTCCTCTGCCGACGCTGCTTTTTCAAGTCGTCGTGCAAGTGATTGTATGTCGTGTCTTATTGCTTTGGTAAGGGAAACGGCAGATTCGAGTGATGTGTTTCCTCTGGCAGCTATCAACTCAATCATGTCTATTGCAGGCGAGATGACCTGAAATTCGGTGTCAGTCTTTGACCCAAACTTATTCCATGGATGACGAACCGTAATCTTGCTTTGAAGCCTCTGTTGCAAAGCCAGCAGTTCTGTTCGTTCGGTGCCTCCAACATTCTATATCCATGTGTCAGCTTGAAGGCATGCTGAAACTGTTTCAAATGCACCATACTTTGAGCAGTCTGGTTGACTGTTGGATTGCATATGTCGCGGTGATACTTATGCCAGACCTATTCGCAATGTTAGTTACAGTCATATGTCGAAGGTTCTGCGTCTTTATTACCGAATAGCATAGTTCATAGCCTGGTTGGTGATCTGTTACGGATATCAGAGACGGCCGACAAACAAACAATAAATAGGAGACCCCACCTTGGACAAAAACACCTCCATTTTGGCATGGAAGAATGATTTTGATGTATGTCACCAGCTTGATTAACAGTTGATCAACAAGAGGTCTGCAGAATTTTGTGGAAGTTGAGAATTAGTGGTTGTATTGAGACTGCAGAAGTGGCGTGTAAACATTGAGGGAATGCCCGCTCTATTTTTACTCCTCAAGGAGAAATGAGAGTCTGGGAGAACGGGCCACTTCTTTTTGTTATCAAAGTCTACCAGTCCCTATTATTGGCTCGAAGATTTTTTTTKGATTTTATTATGTACAACGATGTTCAAGGATTATTGTGCGTGACAAAAGCTGCCTAAGGAATTGCTTATGGTTCCTCGATACCTGAATGCCTCAATGCCTGGAGCTGTTGCCTTGATGCCTTATTGAGCCGCCAGCCCCTGCCTTCACTAGACGCGCGGCTGATAAACCAATCACCATCGCAATGTCCCGCAGGCCCCGCACAGCTGAGTCATCAACTCGGTGCAAAATTGTAGCCCCTCCACTTCTTACTTGTTTTGTCTCGCAAGAAAGAAGGAGAAGAGTCTACACACGACGTACGAGGTGGTCTTTTTTTAAAATAGCCTTGTCCGCAGTCTTGCTTCATTTTTGCTTGTTGTCGCATACTTTTTTTTCGTTTTTTTGCAAAAGCTATCATCATGGCTGACCAAACTCCCGACAACTGGGAGGAGGMCCTCTCCAGACAAGCCGACAACATGAATTTGAACAACGGCAACAACAACTTCCAAGCTCAAGCGGCCTCGTTCCAACCCGGTGCAGCATCTTTTCAGCCTGGTGCCAACACCTTCGTTCCTGGTCAACAGTTCCAGCAATACGGGTACCCTCAATACCAGCAGCAGCAACAAGGCTATTATCCCGCCTACAACCAACAACAGCAAGGATACAACCAGTATGGTGGCTATGGACAGCAACCGGGTAACTACAACCAGATCTACAATAATCAATATAGTGGTGGTGGCTACAATCAATACTCGCAACAACAGCAACCTCAAGCTCGTCAGGCTCCTGCTGCCCAAAGGGCTCCCGAACCCGTCGCCGCGGCTGCGCAAGCCCCCAAACCCGCGACTACAACTGCTCCGAAGGCCAAAGTTCTCTCACTCGGGGATAGCACTGGTGCCCCGAAAGCCAAGGTTCTTTCTCTTGGTACTCCGGCAGCGACAAAACCCACCAAGGACGAAACCGCACCTGGCGATAGCAAGGGCGCAGCTGCTGCGGAGGCTGCTAACAAAGTGACTGCCGCTAAGGCAATCGAAAAGACAGAGAAGAAAGCAGAGGCAAAGGCTGCAAGCAGCGGGAAAGCTTCACCTGCCCCGTCTTCCGGTCGTAATAGTCCCGGACGCAGCAGCCCTTCTCGAAGCGATGGTCCCAAAGCCACTCGTGACGCCGATGCGGTTAGTCGTGAACAAAAGGCCGATGTTGACGAAGCTACGTTGAAGGAAATCTACGGCGAAAAGCGCGAACATGTCAACCTCGTGTTCATTGGTCACGTCGATGCCGGAAAATCGACTCTCGGAGGTTCCATATTGTATGTCACTGGTATGGTCGACGAACGTACACTCGACAAATACAAGCGCGATGCTAAAGAGGCTGGGCGTGAGACATGGTATTTGTCATGGGCACTGGATTTGACAAACGAAGAGCGTGCCAAGGGTAAGACCGTCGAAGTCGGTCGCGCTTTCTTCAAGACTACCTACCAAGGACCTGACGGCGAGGTCGAGCGTCACTTCACTATTCTCGATGCCCCCGGTCACAAGTCTTTTGTGCCACACATGATTGGTGGTGCGTCGCAGGCCGACGTTGGTGTGTTGGTCGTTTCCGCTCGTAAGGGTGAGTACGAGACTGGTTTCGAGAAGGGTGGTCAGACCCGAGAGCATGCCCTCTTGGCCCGAAATACCGGTGTCAAGAAGCTCATCGTTGCTGTGAACAAGATGGATGACCCCACTGTCGAGTGGGCCAAATCTCGTTTCGACGAATGTACCGTCAAGATCGCCAAGTTCTTGGAGAACTTGGGCTACAAGAAGACAGACCTGACCTTTATGCCCATCTCTGCCCAACGCACTCTTGGTATCAAGGACCGCATTCCCAAGGATATCTGCCCTTGGTATGACGGGCCTTCTCTTCTCGAGTATTTGACCGAGATGAAGATGCCTGAGCGCAAGATCAATGCACCTTTCATGATGCCCATTAGTGCCAAGTACCGTGACATGGGTACCATGGTCGAAGGTCGTATTGAATCTGGAGTTTTGAAGAAGACCAATAATTACATCATGATGCCCAACAGAGAAGAAATAGGCATTTCCGCGTTATACGGCGAGACTGAGGATGAAATTGCCACTGCAACCTGTGGTGATCAGGTCCGACTCCGTCTTCGTGGTATCGAAGAAGAAGATATCCTTCCCGGTTTTGTCCTTTGCTCGCCCAAGCGACCAGTCCACTGTGTCTCAGCATTTGAAGCCAAGATCCGTATCTTAGAGTTGAAGAGCATTCTTTCTGCTGGTTATAACTGTGTTTTGCACGTGCATTCTGCTATTGAAGAAGTTACCATTGCTGCATTGCTGCACAAACTCGAGCCCGGCACAGGCCGTAAGAGCAAGCGTCCACCTGCTTTTGCCAGCCGAGGCCAGACTATCATTGCCCGTGTTGAGGTCACTGGTTCCGCAGGTGCAGTCTGCGTGGAGAGATATGAAGATTACGACCAACTGGGTCGTTTCACATTGCGTGACCAGGTAAGACCTTCCTCTATTATACCACTACCAAGTATTCTAACATTTTGATTTCCAGGGACAAACAATCGCCATTGGTATGATCACAAAGCTGCTCCTTAACGAAGATGCCGCTTAAAATGGGTGTGACGTATATGCATCAAGTCTTACAAGATAAGCATTTGGACGGGCTTAGGTTTTCTATTTCCTTTTGTGGATTCTGTGATGATTATGAAAATGTTTATGCTCCAGTTTAGATTTTTGCATTCTTTAAGTCAGTGAAATGTGACTCGAAGTGCTCTCTCTCTATATCTCTAGTGAATTGCAATTGACTCGGATTGTGTCAAATTCCCCTTAAACCCTTTGTAACGTCTCCAAAGCTCTAGACGACAAAGAGAACTCTCTTTTTGCGTCCTGTCAGATGAGACTAGCTCTGCGACGAGCCTCAAGGGAAGTATCATCCTCATATAATTGCATCCATCCCCACAGCTGTCCATATACGAAGCCGCGGACAGGATTGATGAGCAATGTCCTTGTAGTATCGCAGCATAAGTCGTGTTCTGGTTCTCACCATCGTTATCTTTGATGTGAGTGAAACGATTTAGTACAAGGATCCATGCGAGACTGTAGTATGCCACTGTTACCACGGACTCTTCCGAGTCTGAGGTTATAGGACATTGATAGCTTGAGGATAGGAGTGATTCAACTGGGATATGATATTGCCATAGATCAAAGCCATATAACTTATTTTCTCTCGCCTTGTAGTCTCCTTCGCTTTTCGTCATTGTCGTCGTCGTCGCCGGAACAAGTAATTGCTTGATAGAATGCAACTCGATCATCAATGGAAGTAGCGAGGCCATGGAGTCTGTAGTATTAGGATCTAAACATAGTGACTCTGGTAAAAGAGATGTGATTATATCCACGATATTGTCCAAAAGCGTCTTGACCTTGTATTCGAACGGGATTGTTTGCCATTCCTCAGATGCGAGGAGTGGCGGATGCCCTCTGATCAGAGAAACAAATAACTGAATGACACAGCAACATCAGTATCTTTTAACCTATGATAAGATATCTAGAGGATGTAATAGGGCTCTAGACTTACTGTATGAAACCTAACCGTCCTAAATAAATCATGAAGATGGCCCCCTTGACACATCTTCGGCCCTAGCTCCTCCAGAAACCGACCAGCTGCCAGAATATGCTCAACGTACGCATCTGGCGAAGTCAGCGTGAATAATTCGTAGTATGCCAACATTAAAGCCATGGATACGTCTTCGGCAGAAATGTTCATCTTTCCTGCTTGTCCTGTTGTTTTACCTTGTGATCGAGGAGAGGTCACAGGAAGAAGGAAAAGTAATCTCCCTCTCATCCTTCGAAGACTGACCCCATACCACTTTCGTGCCTCGTTTGCATATACTATATCATCATCGTGAATAGCACTATATAAAGCTAGCGATGTGGACAATATGGATGACTTGTGCGCTATATGCGCTCCCTCTGAAATCATGGAAAGTAGATGGATCATCCAATCTGTTGGGCGTGTTTTGGTGATGTTTGGTTTTGCGAAGTACGAGATGAGCTGGGCTACAATTTGGGTTTCGTGGATATTGACTGTATGAATCGATTTGATAAGGAGTTCATCTCTGGGTGAAGTGGTGCCTTTGGAGGTCTTTTCAAGTTCCCGATGTGGTGAATTCTCAAGTCTTGAGTGTTTTCGGGGATTCTTGTCGTCGACGAGAAGATACACATGACTGTTCGATGTAGCTCCGGGGCAGGACACTCCAAGGCGTAGACATTGTGAGCATGATGGCTGTTTTTCATCACACTTGTACACATGTCACTGAAAGTCACTGAGTACATCTCAAGATTATTATATGGCTCACCTTGACTTTTCGCCTCCTGCATACAGCGCATCCTTTGCTTCTACCGATACCTGAACATCGGACCATTTCCCATCTGATATACTAATGTGTCGATAAATTATGGCGCTGATAGATAATATCTATGTTCAGTGGATAGATGGATGTAGGATGGGAAGTTCTTCTGGCTCAAAGCCCTAACCTTTTTATTTTGGGATTAATGGCGCTAAACCCAGTTTGGAGATTATTGCGAGCAATTATTCATCTATCTTCTCAAATGCTTATATGCTCCCAATCCCTCCATATCAGGTGTAGAAAGAGAAAGACATCATGTCATAGTATTGTTCCTTTCTGTCCCCTCAATCGTCGGAAGCCAATTTCCTCTGTTTCTGCAATAATACTCCTTCTTCGGCACCCACGCGTCCTTCCCCTCGAGGTTCATCGTCCCACTAGTCACAATTACCGCCCCCTCCAGCAAAGGATTCATATCATTCGTGATGAACAGAGGTGACCCGCACGTGCCACAAAAAGACCGGTTCACGGTAACTCCAGCATCGGTCTGGCTGTCATGATATGTCCTCAGATTGTGTTCGCCGGTATGGATTCGGAGTTTCTACGGCATGATATGTTAGACGAATACTAGAATGAGCATCGGTTGAAAAAGGCAGAGGGACTGAGTACAATTTTCTTGTAAAAGGCGTTGGCCATGAAAGCTGAACCAGTCGCTTTTCGGCAGTTATTGCAGTGGCAGAGGACATTCACTATGGGAGGGCCGAGGAGTTCGTATTGAACTGTGCCACAGAGGCAATTTCCGGTCATTGTAGATTCAGCCATTTGTCAAAGCATAGGAGGGTAAAGGGATAATAGAGTATAGTAAGCGGAATGAATTGGGGGTTGTTCGTCTTTTAAATCTTTATTGCAGGGGATCCTATTATGGTGGTACAGCATGAAGGTGTAATGAGGATGATGTGCTGGTTTGTCAGATCCTCGCAATAATCGACATATTCGGAAGTGGCTGGCAAATTTGAGACATATCAACCACCAATATGCATGCCGAGTTGGTGATTATCTGGATATTTATTTGATTGAAAAAATTGCTAGACAAATACCGTCAACTGGTGCAGGAGTTGTCCGTCCAGCTGACTATTTATCTGGACATCTTCAATACGTGGGGATCAAATCCAGACGCTATATACACTTCGAATCTCCAATTTTGATGCATGATACATACTGCATGTTTCACATCAATGACCTAAGATCCTAGGACTCTTCAACAATCTTCCCATAGACTATGACAGCAGCCCACCCATCAGTGGTCAGATTGTCTCCACCCTCGATATAAAACCTGGTCTCCAATCCCTTCGTGACATACCAAGCCTGCGCCAACTTGTCCTTTTCGTTCGAGAACTTCCCCCTCAATTTGACAACATTGCGCAAAACTCCATTTTCTTCTCCCGGACCAAAAGTTTCGACTCTCACCGTCACACCAGGAGCTAAGTACGTCGGCAAGAAGATAACTTCTGTCTCCCAAACCTTGGCCAAGACTCGCACATTCTCACTTTCCTCGTCCGGATGCGGTTTAGGGAATTCCAGCCCAAAAACATCCTCATTCGGAGGATAAAACTTCCCCATCCCATACGCAGCATCCAGAAAATTTCCAACGTCATAGAATAGATGATTCCACAACCAGTATATCTCGTTTCTCCAGGGATTATGGAGTGTTTTCGTGTCTGAATTGAGTGGTAACTTTGCTTGCTCTTCTTCCGGTAGATCTTGATATCGTTTCATGACGGGACCGACGTCTTTACAGTCTGGTGTTGGAGGGACGAATGTCCATGCTTGCCGCAAGAAACACGCTACTGTCCACTGCGCGGCGTCCATGCTGAAGTTGATTTTGCGAAAAGTTATTTGGGACACATCGTTCAAGTCCCAGTCACCGTCTAACATTGAGAACATTTTGACTTTTTCTACTATAAGACGCTGGATGGGAAGATGGGCAGAGATGAATCCAAGATGGATTTTACGTGAGTAATAACCACCTTAGCAGACAACAGGCTGCCCTCTCAAGCGCCAAGAACATGACTCACAGAGCTGTATCTATATAGATATGATGCGCCAATGTCACCTAAATTGGTTTAGGGCGGCGCAGTGAGTATTCGCCAAGATGTTGGTGGCTGGTATCTCAAATGGAATAGTCTAATATCTTCTATATTTTGGAGTATTGAAGGGGTATATGCAAACGGCAAAGAAGAAAACTGCCTGAGAGTGTGAATTCCATGAGAATCTCAGCTTCGACCCGTTTTATCTGGCTTGAAATCCGACGAAAAAACGTCATAAGTCATAATATGTAACAGTAAGAGAAGGCCAAAAGCTCATTATTTCATATATGCATGGGTATTTTGTATCAAACACAAAGGGCAACTCAATCACCGCTTCTTCTTACCCACAACCTTGGTAAATCCATCCTCATCGACCTCAGGCTCAACCCTTTCTCTAGGCGGTCGCGACACCAACGCCGGCGCATCGCCCATCTCTTCATCCTCATTCTCATCATCGTCGTCATCATCATCATCCCCATCCGTCTCCTGATCCTCATCCTTCGTCTCAACACGCTTGAATATAGCAGCCTGCTGTTCCGCCCCTTTCCTCTCCGTCCGCTCCTTATATTCGGCCCACATCCTATCCACATCTTCATAATCACCCAACTCAATCTTCCCTTTGAGCGTCATAATCTGATCCGCAACCACMCCCGCCGAACCATCGTCAACCGCAACGTCGAATTCGTCGGTCATCACTTGCACGAGAACATCTTCAATATCGTAGGAATCCGTCTCGGGTCTGGTGGAGATGATGTCGGAGATTGCGCCGCAGAGCCAGTCGCGTTTGTCGGAGGAGTTTTGGCCGCCCCAGGAGGATTGCACGGCCAGGGTTAGCGCGGGCCAGGTGTTGAGGGCGAGGGTGATTGCGAGGTCGAGTTTTTGTTGCTTCTCGTCAGAAGCAACGGGGGTTGCTGTGGATGCCATGTTTGCGATTGTGTGTTTTCTTCTTTCTTGAAAAATACTTGATATGTACCACTGGCCGTTGTTGTTGTTGCAGTCTTCCAGAGTCTGCCCCGCTGCGGTGCCGATGCTTCAATGTCAACGATCTGATCGCCCAGGGATGAGAATGCAAATGATACGGTGAAAATAAGTCTCAGGAATCTAGTTCAACTTTTGGGTAGGTAGATGCGCCAGGAGAACTGCTGAAATAAAGGTAATATAGAATCGGTGAAGTTGGTGACTCGCTGCAATGAAAAATTTCGAATGTGCCGCAGCCAACTCCGCTTATCGTTATCTTATCGCCATCTTATCCGCAATATATTTCTGCCTTTATTTCAAGGCGAAATGACTGGAAAAAATCGCTCCCTGTCGAGGGTTTAGTATTCAACTGCATCGCTTCATTGGACGAGATCGAGCTCTAAGTCCCAGGTGGTTAAAGAATAAAGTCTATAGGGAAGGCTTTGATGATGCAACGCACTGAAAATTTACGACCTTGGCAGCAATCGAATTTGAAATAATGCAATTGTATAAACAATCAAATCTAAATGCAACAAATAGCTATATACCAACCCAACTTAACTCCATACATAGACAAAGAAGACAATGATATCATGAAAACCATCGAGTCCGGCTCGCGTAGGGTATTTACCGGCCAAAAGGATTCCGCGCCGCAATGCTTCGAATGAGACATGCCAAATTTTAATAGTGCTCAAAGCTGAGCCATGTCGTTCAGAATTCTGACTTCCTCGCCAGGCTTGAAGGCAGGCAACCCAATGAAGGGGCAGCCCTCGCAGCGGAACGCATCTCCCAGGGAACAGCTGTTGCAGGAACCTGTCTTTCCCTGCACGGTAAAGTCGACTTCATCGTTGAGTTCGTTGGTGTTGAGTTTGAGAACATTAAGGTTTGCATTGGCTTTTTCGCGACGCTCGGCGTCTTCGGCTTCAAGTTGGGCGGCGAGACCACAGGTGCAGTCTTTGCAGGCGCGTCGTCGCTTTTTAGCGGTCTCTGGTTTGCATTCGGCGGCTACCAAGATTGCATTAGTATTGAGAAGTGATTGTTTAATATGTGAAGAAGAAAACTTACGCTGCTGCACAGGCCTGCCAAGATCCTCCTCTGCCAGCAAATCATCTTCATCAATCAATTCGTCGTCATCGTAATTATCAACAAATCCAACAGTCTCAACCTTGACAGGTTCTGGAGCAACCTTATTTTTCTTCTTATTCAACCCGAACCGGAGGGGTACGGCGGCTTCCTGGTATTGCGGTTTCTCAAAGGCGCCATCCTTCTCCACCAAACCAGCCAGAATTGCCTCACGACCTTCGGTGGATTGAAAAGGGCCGTCTTGTAACTTCAACTGTGCTGAGGGCTTCATTGCAGGCGTCAGGACATTGAAAACATCCCGAGTAAGCAGGCCAAGAGCCTCGTTTCGTCGAGCGCCATTGGTGTCTGTGAGAACGAGTACGAGATCGTAAGTGGACGTAGGGAGCGTGACGAATCCGGCAGAGAGGCGATCCAACATCTGCAAATCGGTGACGGAACGATCGAATGTCGCAAAAATGTCTCTCAATTTCTCCTCATGGGCGGCAATCGAGGGGGGTGCGAGGAGCAGACTGCGCTTCTGAGTTACATTTTGGGCGGGAGAAAAATCAAAGTCGGCGGTATTGTCGATGAGGACGGGCAGGGAAGGCATTTTGTTTGTGTGATTCCCTTCTGATGAGTCTTGCCGTTTATTTTAAACACGCAGAAACAGACACAGAAGCGCTGGACGAGAGTAAAACAGCGATTATGGCTTKTCGCGAGGAGGGAGKCTGATTACCAACCCTCCAAAAGTATCCGAAGTCGGGGGGGAAAAGTCGCAGCCCCGCTGTCTGCCTAAAATTTCAGGCGTCATTTGCCACGGGCCGGACAAATCAGGCTAGCCTTTTTCCGGATCTTATCGCTGATATTTACAAGTGCTCTGATTGGTCAATTTCCGTACAGTATATATGTAATTCTATTTATTATACTTAGAAAGCGTACTTTACACCATACCAACCCAAAGAGAGGATATGTTGGTCTAGCTACGGTCCGTATCACGAAGCGTGATTTCGTGTTTTGGTGCCTCATCCCGAACCAATCCACTTGATTCCAAGCTATTCTGACCTTCTTTCTGAGGCTCACGGAAGTTCGAGGACTCTTCCATACAGCAAATTATATCACTCTGTTTGTGGTAAGTGCCGCAGGGTTGGGTCTGATTTTCAGTCAAATCTTTCAGTATCGCCGAGTAAGGGCGGTATTCAGTTTTAAAACTGAAACTGTTGCGAACTGCACAAACATATTAGCATCGTCCTTGTCCTCTGTGCCTTACGAGGTAATCACAGACTTCGCTATTATCATCCTCCCGGCGCCCCCTCTGACTCGATTACACATACTATGGGAACGGAAGCTGATATTGATCATTACTTTTGGCGTTGGCTTCTCCGTGATCGTGATAGATGTAGCCCGGATCTCACAGCTTCGAACTACTATCATGAATCGCCTACACCCGGTGGGTTCCGCTGTTGTCACGGATATAGCCCATCAAGATTATACTTGTTGTTGACCATCTCTCCGTCTTACTTTTTCCCCCTTCAAATTTTGCGTGACCTGCTGATTCATCGTGCAGTCGGGATTTATTTCCGAGGAGAACTTTGTCGCTTTTCAGGCTAGCTCTAATGAACTCATCAGGCTTCGCGTCACAATTGGCAGAGTACATATATATACTTTCGCAATTGAATTCCGCTATCCTACCAACAATGAGAATACGTATGGTCGTGGATCCACCTACAATGATTGGACACCTTCGAAAATCATCCATAGCGCCAATTAGTAAACTTTCAAGGGTTACGTCGGGAAGTCATTTCCAATCTTCTTCGAAAGACTTAGAGAAGCACCAGCTTTATCTCATAAGGTTATTAGATTACTCTAGATATATAGGTAGAATGATTAGGTAGAAGCAATGGACGTCACGGTTACCTGTGATTAACTCTATTCGAAAATCATGCCCCTCAAGATTACAATTGTATATTCCCAATCAAGTCGGCGGCATATTCCTCTTCTTCTCTTCGTGTTCATGAACAACCTGAGAGCGGCGTCTTCTACATACCATTAATTTTACATTTAACTGGCCAAAACATTTAGCACATTGCCCAAGATGCAGAACCCCCCCAACCTAGGAGAACTCGCTACTCCCGGGAAATGCCTTGCGGATTTTTCTTTGGTCCCGGTAATGCACGCCATAACGACCGTATGAAAACTCACGGTTAACGCTCAATATCTTCTCTATCACAGATTGGAGATAGCTCGACCTCCTATGCTCAGCAGATTGCCGCCATACAGCGATTGTGCGAGAGATCTGGTGTGAAATACTCCATGCATGCTACAGGAACCACGCTTGGTACGTACACCAGGCATTTTCCATAAGATACCCAGTGTTCTAACATATGTTATTTTTATCTCGGTTAATAGAGGGGCCATGGGATCAAGTAAATCAAGTCATAGGTTGTGCTCACTCCCTGGTCCACCGACAAGGAACGGGGAGAATACAGTCAGATGTTAGACTGTCTACAAGGTAATTATACCCTCATACTATGCGTATAGAGCTAAAATATGTGACGCTGATTATAAATAGAACGGACAAGCCACAGAGCATGGAATCAGAAGTTGCCTCGGTCAATAAGGTCTTAGCGGCTTGATGACTAGAGCATGTGCGAGGTTGGCTTCGAATATTCTCTACGCCTTACAAAGAGTTATTTAAATCGGATGGTATGCCTCAGGGATGGCATCTTATAAGTCGTTTCTCTAGGTGGTAATATGATTCATAAAAACTTATAAAATCCAAATTGTAAACCTTCAAAAGCATGCAAACAATAACCAAGTTCACTAGTAAAACAAATAAACATAAGACACCAGGGAACCAGCCCCAGATCTTTGAAAACGAATTGAAATGAAATAAAAATACCAACAGCAATATTCCTACAACAGAATCAACCAAATTCCATGACTGTCTATCTTTTAGAACCTATGCGGGCAACGCATTGCCAACAAAAACGACGAGAACGGCGCAAAATCTGGGCCTATTAGCATAAGAACCATAAAATCGGCTTTTGAGGAAACACACGCAGCGTTCGTTGCAAATATGATTTCTGAACTTTTACCAGCCAGATGCCTCGTCATGAATGCGAATATAATTGCAAACCCCCATAAACATGCCATTCGATCCCAAGTTGAGTGTATGGCATATAGTGCAAACATCGGCGCCACAATTATAGTGGGAACGATAATGACGACAAGTTCAGAGAACCAACTTGATATATCTTCGGTCCCCAAGACATGTTCACCTTTATGTGCGGGGTGTTCGAAATAGTTGCGTATGCAAAATGGCAGTTTCTGAACTACAGTTAGGGATCCGGATCTAAAACGATATATTGGGGACATGGAACTCACGGCGACCGAAGACTTGAACCATTTAGACGTCCCGACTTTGTTGAAAAGACTAACTATGTGCATCGTCATGGGGCTTTTCTGCTGCAGATGATTGGTAAAGGGGTTCATGAGGTCAATCTCCTCAAGCCAGGGCGTCTGCTCAACATCTGTCTGAAGCTCTTTCCGAAGGTTATTTTTGAACTGCTCAAGGACAACTTTATGGGGTGTCCTATAGGATTGAATCTTCGAAAACGAATCGAGAAATACGTCTGTAAATTAATAATAGCGACTATATATTAGTGACTTCACAGTTCTGATTTTTATCAAACACGCACAATAAGTCGCTACTTACAGTAATTGTAAAGCTTGAGTTGCAAATCTCGTAGATACCCTTCTTCCGTCGAGGCTTGTGCGGCCAATTCTACGTCCGATGCACCGTTTGTGTGAAGACGAATACGTGCCCTAAGAGCATCGCTCCTATGTGCCTCTATTGCGGTGATTTCTGACTGGAGTCTAAGAAGTACTGAGTACCCCAGGGACCCAAATTTGCGTAAATGAGCAAGGCTGGGTCTCTCAACTAAGCAAGTTATCATGTCAGATTCACGTGGGATGGCCATTTCCACCTGCGATGTAGATCACTGATATGTATATAAAGCCGAGATAAAAAGGTAATTATCGGGCTTGCGGGAAGGGTTGATGATAGCTGGGGGTTTCTCAACAGATACTGTTCTGTCCATGTTCCTCGTAATCAAAGACGCCCGAGAAAGGTCCTTATTATACCCAATCCCTCGATTATATTTGTTCAGCCTCATCAGAACATCTTCTCGATTCAATTCCATGTTCATGCACAATTCAAAATATCAAGGCAGCGCAAACATGGCATGTGTGTCGATATCCGATGTGGTGTAGTGGAATCACTTTCTGTTGGCTCCCTTCCCATGACTAAAGCCACCATCTTGACAGCGTACCAGACTTACATGCACAAGCGCCTGTGAAACACCAGTCAAGATACAAGCCAGATACGTGCGTAATGGTGTCCAGATGGAAATGAAATTTGCGGCGTAGGTAGATTGATACTACCCTGAAGCATGGCGTGCGTATGTATGTTCAGTAGCAGGATTTCTTCGGCGCATATCTATACTTGCATACGTGTCACTTAGGCCAGTTTCAAAAATTTATAGCGGCAATCTTTTGATGATTGGAGATTTTTCGGCGCTCAGATGAAAAGAGAGCATTTTTTAGACTGGGAGCGAGTCGCTCCCTGCAGATATACTGAAGAATGGTCCATCAACCGTTGGGCCAAAACGAGCTTGATGACCCACGAACATGTCAGAATTAGATAAATAGCCGCTAAGTCTAATCAGCTAAGAATCGTTTTATGTTTCGTGTACTGGAGGGGGGTGAACGAATAGCACCGTGATGATTTCACGGAGAACCCAGCGCTAACTCTCAAATCGAGCATGACATTCGGATTATTAACTTCTTTTCGGGAAATACTTGTCATAAGACTTCAGTGGAAAACGAATGGAGTATTCCCTTTGCCTTTCTGAAATCGGAGGAGTTCCATGAGACTTGACAACGGCAAGGAGCCATTGATGGATTGTTTGCGGTTGGGGTTCTTGGTGCTCATTAAGTCATATTATCTTCCATGACAAAATCTTACTAAACTTAGAGCCTGATCGGCCGCCATTCCATAGAGGCTGTCCATGCAAGAACATGGACTCCAACCTATCAGTTAATTCTCCTTCTAGACAGACTAACCACCGACGGCGTCTCACGAATCATGCGGCCCTAACGCAACGAATTCATTGATTCATGCTTTGGAAAAGATAGGTGAACAACAGTATGGTGAGTAGATCAAAATAAGCTAATAATTCCTTAGAAAGAATAATTTGCATACCTGTCTTTACATACAATCCAAGTTTACTATGCGCAAGTACTATCTTAAGAGGGTTCTGTTTGCAAGAATATAGATTTTTTTTCAATCGATTAATGACTTGACGTAAGCCCACGGTAAACAAATCGGCTCCTGTAACAATATCTGAGCCACTAAATTTTTATTTTTATCAAGGAGAAATCGTTGTCACCAGGAAAATATTGATCGCAAGGCGCTTACGGGTGAGGCATCCCGAGTACCTTCCCTTTTGGGAATCTAGCCCTAATTACACGGCAATTGGTATCAATTATTCCCGCCAATAAAGAAAAATAAATGACACTGATCTGGGCATTAGAAGATTTGAGTCTAACATAGATGTATGTGACCTTCCAAGAAAACGGAAATTTGACCCTCGAAACTGGGGCTGGGTAGTGATCTTGACAACCAAATTATCCGGTGCTGCAATGGGCTCGACTCCGGACGTTCCTCCATACCTTGCCAATACATTCAGACCGTGACTTATTTATTCTCTGCGATGCGAAAACCTACCCATGGTTTTTTTTTTTTTTTTTTTTTTTTTTTTGGCTTGAAAAAATGCGGAGTGAAGCATAACACCTTCCCCACGTTCCGGACTCTCCTCTTCTGCTTAGCAGCACATGTTCTTAGCCGGGACAGGTGCCGGGGTAGCTCCGGATCTCGACATGGAGAACGAGACTGGAAAACGCTCTCATGCTTACAGGACAGTTCTCAGGTAAAGTTTGATATTGTATCAAATTCCGAAGTATGTCTCCTGGGTCCAGAAATTGGTTACCGCGAATGTTCTTGTGCCTTGTTCCGGTTATAGAGAAGGAGTCGTACGAAGAAGATACCAAGTGCATTTTTTCAATCTTTGTTTTCGAAACAATTTAATCCAGGTTTCAGGAAACACCACAAGGGGGGAAAAGACAAAACTTCATCATGGAGGTCAAAAGGCATTTTTCCTGGCGCTCACTAGTCACCATTGCTGCGCTCTGTCTCTTTCATGTCACCGCCGGGGAAACAACGTTGGGTCAAACCCCACAAATGGGCTGGAACTCGTGGAATACCTTCAAGGCCATTATCAATGAATCTGTTATTCACGAAACTGCCCGGCTTTTTGGTACGCTTGGACTACAGAAAGCAGGATACAACTACGTTGTCATTGATGACGGGTGGGCGAACCACTCTCGTACTGCAGACGGATATCTACAAGCAAATGTTACCGGATTCCCATCTGGTATCAAGGCACTGGCAGACAAAGTTCATGCTCAGGGCTTGAAGCTCGGCATTTACAGTGACAGTGGAATTTTGACGTGCGATTTCAAACCGGGTAGTTGGGGTTACGAAGAGCGAGATGCACAAACTTTCGCAAGCTGGGGTGTAGATTATCTAAAATATGATAACTGTGGTGGTTTCGAAGGAATGACGGAGGCGTCTCAAGTCCGATTTGGCACAATGAAAAATGCTCTTGAGCTTTCTGGTCGAAAAATCTTTTACTCGGTGTGTGAATGGGGGTTCCAATTTCCATGGCGCTGGGGAGGAGGTAAGATTTAATGAGACGATTTTAATTATTTTCATTGTGTCTAACCTTTATTTTGCAATAGGAATTGGCCACTCCTACAGAATCTCTGGTGATATTACCGCTTCCTTCACCAATGAGACCGGATGCGCATGCAAAACTGCCTACTGTCTCAACACAGGGTACGCTGGCTGCTCTGTTTTGACTATCATCAACAAGATGCGAGAGATTAGCCAGTATGGCGTTCAAGGGCATTGGCTAGATATGGATATGTTGGAAATCGGAGTCGCCAACATGACTCTTTATCAGCAACAGACCCACTTCACGTTTTGGTCAGCCCTCAAGTCGCCTTTGATTATTGGTGCCGATCTCAGTAGATTGTCGAATGAGAGTCTGGCGATTCTCACGAACAAGAACATCATTGCTCTCAACCAGGACTCTCTTGGAAAACCCGTCAGCTATGTAGAAACATTAAGTGAAGACGGGCTATGGCAGGTCTGGGCTGGAAACATTGAGAGTGGATATGTTGTCCTTCTATTGAATGAGAAGAGCTACCCTCAGACTATCTCTCTTCAATTATCGAACCTGGGACTTGGGACCCCCCGCAAGATTGTTGAACTGTGGTCCGAAAAGACATTGAAGACGAACGCATTTAATGGGACCCTTCAACCTTATCAGACTCTTGTATTCAAGATAGACACTGCCTGAATCCCTATAGCGGCAACAATGCTTTCTGAGGAGAACCGTAAACCTCATTGCTGAATCAAAATTTTCGATATTTTACATTTGTCAGATTTCCTTTTCGCATGGACACAGATAGTAGTGTATTCTTCTTGCTTGCTAAATGAAAGAAAATGTGAGTCACAATGCCTCGAACGGGTTATCGTAAGAAAATATTCAAATCGTCATAGCCGCTTATCGGCTTKCTAGCTAATTGTAAGATGTAAAATTCGAATTAGAACTTCTGGGGGCTTTCAGCGCCGATGATCGGGCACAGTACGATTAAAAGTTTTAAGTGAGCTTTACCGGGGAAGTGACCGGAAGCACCACGGAGCAATTTGCGGACTGGAGGATTTCCTATGTCGATCCGTTAGAGACGCGTCAGAAGGTTATTCGGCCGCATCTGTGCAGTTCACAGGCTGTGCCGAGATTGTAAAATCAAGTACCCCGTAGGTAACGTTGAAATAAGTCGAATGTAGTGCGAGGCATGAACTGTACCTTAAAGTAATCCTGACTTTGAAAGCATATGTTCAAGTAAGGCATTCTTGTTGGTGTAACTCCCCAAGTTCATATCAAATTTCCAAAATCCATTGCTGTTCGAACTCCAACCAAAGCAAGCAAAATGAAAGCTACAAACTCACTACTTCGCATTTCCTGGTTGATATTATTGAGTAATGTCGTTCAGGCTACCAATGATCCTCTTGTCTACCGTGAAATTACCGGCTTTGTACCTGCAGCTTCAGCAAATGTCACCACTTTAATGGAATTCATTGCTGGTCGACCTGACCTTAGCACCTTGGCTAAAAACATCGGGGAAGTGGGAGGCTTTTTAGAAGCTTTCAACACGACTCCTAACTGGTCATTTACCTTCTTTGCACCCAACAACGACGCATTTATGAGCCATACAGGAGAGTATTTCAACACATTTCAAGCAACTCCGTAAGAGAAATATTCAGAATCCTGACTTCATTAACTTACTTCCTGAAACAGAAAAGGCAAATGGCAGCTGGGCAACACTATATTGCATCATTATGTGCCAAATACTAAGCTTGCCTCTACTGTGTTTAACAGCACCTATCAAAGAATTCAGGTGAGTTGGTGATTATCGAGTTTTGAAGAGGTCGCGATATTGACTTCTGGTGTAGACTGCTACCTATCTATATGTCGGCACACAGGCCGAGAATGGAACTGTTGTGCTAAATCAAGTTGCCAATATCGTGGAAAAGGACATATCGGTTACAAATGTGAGATTTTATCCCTCAAAAATCTCTTGGTTGGGTAGAATGTAATTCTCATCATACATAGGGTGTTGTTCACATCATAGATCGAATTTTGGATCCCTCGGCACAAATATTCGAAGCTGAGCTTCCTAAAATCTCCCAGGCCTTCATTCCTGGAAGTTGCTCAAACGCGGCTCTTGCATACTGCTAAATTAAAGAAGCAAATCAATATTCTTTAGCATTATATAGTAAAGTAGTCTGTGGGTACTTAGGGTCTATAATACAAACATGAATCTTGCATAACTAAGATTGTTTATCAAATGATGCGATCAAATACCTAGGCGGCATCGATTTCTTGACAACCTTTGAACGGTCGATACAAGGAACAATATCATTGCAATCTCGACTTAGTAGAAAAGGCTACTTCTAGCCTGCGTTTCTATCGTCCCAATCCGGTTTCTACTAAGCTTACCCTTAACATGCTCATTTGGCCCCCGCGATACATTTCACCTCTTAGAATCATGGAAAAGATAATGTAGAGTTGCAGTAGTAGACTATTGAATGAAATCAGGACCAAACTTTTTTCAATGACGTTAGGCATGTGCCTACGTGTAACATTCCCGCATCGAATATGGGGTACAAATCATGGGGTGCAGCATACAATCAATTTATCCGCCACACGGAGATCCCCCAGCGACATTCCGGGATATAGAGCATCTGACTGATAATTCTTGAGATATTGAACTTGGCCGGACAAGTCTCAGGAGAAAATTGAAGGATGCAAATGAAGTAGACAGAGGGGCGTGGGGAAGGAGCAGAACGATGTTTCATGTCACATGATTACACTTTTGGATTTGTTATAAAATGATCCTCGAACACTCTGAAGGTTATTATGGATTGTGAAATATACCGTTTCCATAAGGAAGTCCTACTGATTCTTTGCGTACTGAATCCTTTTCTGATAGCCAATCATGATATCCAAATCTTTCTTGTTGCTTTTCTCGGCCTTCGTGCCATTCATACAGGCTGCGTTCGTTCATCCTGGTGCCATGCACACTGCTGCTGATTTTACACGTATCAAGAACTATGTAGCTGCGAAATCAACGCCCTGGTATACCGGGTGGGAGCTCCTACTGAACAGCTCATATGCTCAAAGTACCTACACATCACACGCTGTTGCAACAATCTACCGAGGCGACGACGGCATTCATGCTCAGAACTACGCTTTACTCTATGATGACGCTGCTGCTATGTATCAGCTTGCCATTCGCTGGCGAATTTCCGGAGACGCCACATACGCCGATGCTGCCGTGAACCTTCTCAACTCCTGGGGTACAACATTGAAACTCATTTCAGGTAACCCAGATCAGTGGCTTGCAACTGGTCTATATGGTTACCAGCTTGCTAATGCCGCCGAAATTATGCGAGACTATTCTGGATGGTCCTCGACCGATTTCGCGACCTTCCAACATATGATGGAAGACGTCTTCGCAGCCCAGAACGAGTACTTCCTTCTCACACACAATGGTTCCGCGAACATCCCTTATGCCAATTGGGATTTGTGCAATATGGCCTCCATGCTTTCCATTGGTATCCTAAATGACAACGCGACAAAATATGATTGGGTCTTGGACTATTTCTATAACGGATGGGGCCACGGCGCAGTTGGAAATAAAACAAACTTCATCATTGCCAACTTTACCGAATCTGGGTCGTCAAAAATTCTGTCTCAAGGCCAAGAGGCCGGCCGTGACCAGGGCCATGCTACTCTGGATTTTACGCTCGCGGGCGTTCTAGCTCAGCAAGCTTACAATCAAGGCACTGACCTCTTCGCTGCCGTTGGCAATGCTTTTCTAAAAGGGTACTTAGTAGTGGCCTATCAAATAACGTAGTTCTGAACCATTCAGCTAACTAATTTATAGGTCAGAGTATGTCTCCAAGTATAATGTTGGGTATGATGTTCCATATACCACATATGTTAGCTACGAAGGTACACAATCTGTGATCTCTGACAGCGCCCGTGGAGATGTCCGTCCGGGATTTGAGCTCTTATACGCTCATTACAATGACCTTAAGAAGCTCAATGCGTCGTGGACTGGAAGGTATCGTGACTACGTTAACAGCAACATCTCAGCAGGCGTTGAGGGTGGCGGAGGTAACTATGGTACTAATAGCGGTGGTTTCGATGGTCTTGGATTCGGCACTCTGTTATTCAGACTGACAGCATGAACTTGTGTGCGGTTCCGCAGAAAAATTTTCAATGTGGTTCGAGCAACTGATAAGCATTTCTCGTTTTTACGGAGATGGTGACATCTTTGTTGTGTCAAAATCTCTTCGCAATACTATGTCTCGACCTTCATGCCCATTTAAGTGTTTGACTTGCCACGACAGAATCTTGAACAGATACCTTCTTTGAAATATTGTGACACATAAAGTTATGCGAAATGCAAAATGCGACGTTTTGTGTGTGTCATTTCTTGTGGATTCAGATTCCGGGATGCGGGTGAATTCTCGGAGGGTGGCCGTTCTTTAGGCTTCATGCCCTAAGGTAATAGGAGTACGTAGAGGAAATCAAACGATTACTAAACTTTTTTGAAACCTCACGGCTTCTGGATGCAGGACTCTCTTGTTCAGAGGCAATTAATGCGCACTATTTTGTCGCCCTAAGCTCCGGAGGTGCCTCCGGGGATCGAGATCAGAATACAGAGTAGTCGCTCCTTGATTTATCTTCCAACTTTGCATCTCGGATCAATTGATATTAGCACATGAAGGGTTCGCCAGTGGTAAACCAAGCGTGGGGGAACCAGGGGTATCATAGGAAGCATCATGCCGGGCGGGGAAATTAAGCTTTTGAAAAATGAAGTTAGGTTCACCTTGAACATTGATTGATCTCACATTCTCAACTAGTCCTTATTTATGCATGTTGATATAGTATATTATATAGTAGGCATCCCCAGCAAATTGACACAACATAAGCTCTCACGGTTGTCAAATATTTGTCACAAATTTGTCCTACGCTTGATATCATCATCATCTTCTTCTTCTTATGCGCCCCACCAGTAATGATTATCACCAGAAAAAGTGGACTAAGTCCTCTTTCAGTATTGTTTTGCATATGTATCTTCATCCAAGGTGCATTAGCAACGGGGGGTCTGAATGGATTGCCCATTTTGAACGGCCCCATCAATACCGTTCCCAGAACACCAGGAATGAAAACACGTGTTGGTGACTTCATACACCCAGGTCTATGGCACACGCACGATGATCTTGAGAGGATTAGAAATGGGGTGTTGAACAATGAGGAGCCATGGAAATCGGCTTATGCCAACTTCAGCATTAACTCATATTCCCAGGCTAATGTGAGTTCTTTGACGAAACACCAATACACTTTCACTCTCAAAAATGCTAAGTTGGGTTCGGTAGTACACCATGAAAGGGCCGTACAGTGTTCTCTGCAGGGGTTCTTGCAGTAACTACACGAGTTTTAGCCAGGACGTCCGGGCAGCCTACCAGAACGCTTTGATGTGGTACATCACTAAGGAGCAAGGTCATTGGGATCGGGCGACGACGATTCTTGATTCCTGGGGCTCCAACTTGACTAACATTATTGGAACTGACACTTCCCTTTTGGTGGGACTTGAGGGTGACTTTTTTGCCAATGCGGGTGAGATTATGCGATGGGAAGGCAATTGGACCGAGAAAGGTGCCGCGGCCATTGGAACATCTGGCTTTTCCAACCAGCTATACTGGTTGTTTGCCAGACAGTCTGTCGTTATTGGCCAGGCCAACTATGGAATGGTGAGTATCAAAGGATTGCTATCGTTTGGTGTATACCTTGATGACGTGCAGATGGTAAGTGAACCTCCGTTGGTTGCAGCTTAGATTGACGAAGAGATTAAAAATGTCCCAAATTAACTCTTTCCAGTACAACTACGCCCTTCACGCCTGGCAAAATGATCTTTGCGCGGGTATTTATGGGAACTTTGACCCCGCGACAGGTCAGAGCGCCGAAACAGGGCGAGACCAGCAGCATTCTCAGGGGGGCCTTGGATGGACTGCTGAGGCAGCCAGGGTTGTCCAATCCCAGGGTACAGACTTGTATTCATTTGATAATAATATGTTACTCAAAGCAGCAGAATACGCTGCTCAGTACAATCTCGGATATGATGTCCCATACGACGAGAAGTTTTACCGCTGCGAAGCGATACTTGTAAATGGACCGTGGTCGGGCCCTTCTCCTATGGGTCGAGGGTACCAGAGCAGTCCATCAGTTTGGGATGTAAGTACTGGATGATATGCAATTCTGCAAATAATTTGTGGTCACTTACTTACCAATGATGCAGATCCTTTACTATCAATATGTCGTCAAGCGTGGTGTCACCGCGCCTTGGCTGACAAAAATCAAGAAAGCTATAGACTCGATTGGCGGCGAACGTATAGGTGAGTTTGCTGTTTTTTCGGCATGATGATTTTCTACCCGTTCACAAATATTGAGCTGCGGGGACTGACAACACTTTTGGTGGTAGGAACGACCAATATTGACGATCATCCGAGCTGGGGAGACTTGATTTGGTCCTACCCAGGGAAAGGCTCCTTCTTGAATAACGACAGCTATACTATCTGGGGCGGTGGAGAGATTGGACAAAATGGAACAGGAAATTTGAATCTCACTTAGTCTTCCTTTGAGCTTTAATCTAAGGAGTGTTGATGGTATGCTTATATGGAAGTTTTGGCTCGAAGCTCTACCAAACAGGTGATTTGTGGCCGGCGGATCAGTTTTCCAAGCTTGTCTTACTCGTAGACGTTCCAGGCTCTTTTTTATCTCAGCAAGCTCAGCTGCTCTTCGCGGATTATGTAAGCTAGATTCTGCCAATTAAGTTAAGTACCCGTTCTGGATTGGCTCGAGCGCAGCAAAGAGCGTCCGAGAACTTCATGTCACCATTTATTAGTAATTTAGTGATTTTAAATTGATAAATTTCTCAGACCCTTCTGCGGAGGATTCGCTTCGCGATTGGGTAAGCCAATTAGCAGCTCTGCTGCGAAGTCTGTCACGCCGTAATTAGCACGTCCTCCTTGTTGAGATAAGCTCTTTTGAGCTCCACGTGTGTACCGCTAAGATATCCATTGCTATGGAGCTCGGGCACGCTAATTGTTGTACCTACGTACTACTCATAGTACGTACATAGTATGTACATAGTACCTAGGTCCAGTGCTAGTCGCTGTTAGAGCTTATGGCAAATGTAGGATCCAGTGGTCCACTGCTAGGATGATCCATGTTTGGGGGGTTTGCGCCCCGCTGGTCACTTAATTCATCAATATTAACGTTCGTCAATGAGCATGTTGCAGTGCCCCCAAGATGTATGCTACACCGATTGAGAAAACGAGAATAGAAGCAATGAAACATGATTCTCAACATCCTGTAGTCTTTTTAACGTGTCACACACCGAAAATCATGCATCAAGTTGATAATTATTGTTCATACCTTTAAAGTAATCCATCCATCTCTCGTGGGTACTAAGGAGCCGGGTCAGCACCGATAATTAAGGTACCAGAGTCCAGGATTTGGAATGCACCAAGCGTTTAAGCGAGGCTTCTAGTGGCCGGGGAACTGGCTCCCAGCCTCCGCGAAGCCCTGTCTCCGCAAGTTCGTAAGTTAAACCGTCGATCCCTGGGACAAAACCGCTCAGACATGGCCTTAGCAACACATGGCGATCGTCTTTCTGGCTATAGTGCTCCAAAGACTGAGGTTCAATCTGTAGTCCCAACAGCTGTCGATACGGTACAGTTTGATTCCTAAAATCATGACTTAGTTCTCTGGTCTTCAAGCGATTGTGGATAACGTCGTTCTGAGACGCGGTGATTGGTGGTGGTGGCTTCTTGGTCGCGGCCAAACTACTTTGAGATGGATCAGCACGGTTCAACAAACCCCAGATAGGAATATCGACGTCTTTGTCTCCGCGCTTACCTCCGTATAGTCCGTATCTAACTCTGTATGGGATGGTACGCCCTCAAATGTGAGCCACACGAAGTATTCCGTACGGAGAGTAGTCATCGTACTGCTGTGGGTAATTCACGTACTAGTTAGTACATTTGTCCATAACAAGATATGGTTCCACATTAAAATTGAGGCTCCGTCGCTGAAGACCCAAGAATAAACAAACTAAGCACTAGTGTGTCGGGTTTTGGATTTGAAAACAGTGAGTCCATTATGATGATTCCGTCGCTGGAGCAGATAAAAATACTCAGCGCCTGTGCCCCAGGGGTGTGTCGCGTAATTTCACACTAAATTTCCGACGCACACAACAAATGTCTGGCTCTTTTTTTCCCTGATTTTGATAGTAAATGCCATTATCAACAAGGCTGGGGTGACAGGGTGGTCGGTGATTGTGGACTCCCTCGCTAATGAATCCCTAGTAAGATCTTTGCTTGCTCGCTTGGACCTTACTCAATAATGATTATTGAGTCACATACCCGATCGACCAGGTTTTCTTGAACAAAATTGTGCCAGTATTCAATCTTTTACACAGTCCAAAGATTGAATTCGCAATTTCGCGAGGTTCGCTTGCAAAGCTAAACCCAGAAGCGACGCGTCGAGGTCGAACTCGTTCAGTCATTCTAAAGCTGAAGATTTACCCTTGGTAAAGATTATTTTCTTCTTGGTCACCCTCCTTTGTTCAAGGTCTCTTGGAGCCTGAATATTTGATTCCTTCCACTTTCGACCATGGTGTCCTTCGCAGACCTTTGTAAGTCGTTATTCAAGACGCCGACCGGAAGTGAGACGTTACCCACGTCTGTTTCCCCGGGCGAGAGCAGACCTATCGAGGGAGGTAAGTTTCATTCAATGCACCGATTTGTTCAATCCATTTGCTGATGAAAGATTGTGTATCGCCTACAGAACAGCCACCATCCTCTCCAACGACGCCCATACCGCCAACATCGGCCCAGCGAACTCAAAGTAGAAAACTGCGTCCAGACCAGATCCCTATCCTTAAAGATGTGAGAATTGCTTTCCCAAGAAACAAAACCTCAAATAGGTCATTGTGTTGACGTCAAGTTAGGAGGTACCTATATAAGTTGTCCAGGGACGTTGCGGATGTGGGTCCATACAATCACGGCGTACCTTGCCCCAGATTCGATCGCCTGAATCGCTGACGATGAATCCACTTGAAATTGAAAAGTTGCCAGTCGCCCGATACTGTTTCTGAGTGTTGTACGGGACAGTTGTGAGTGAGATAGGCGCATAGCCGTGAATAATAGGTGGAAGCCTTCGAAGCAGAATACAGTCCCCATTATCTTTCTTTCTCGTTGGGTTTCGCTGGGATATTCAGGCCACTTCAAAATCGTGGTAATGAGCTGATACAAAAGAATTTCGGGTTTGCTTTTGGGTTTTGATTATTAATATTGATAGAAATATCAGAAAAGTTGATTTGCTGAGATTATATGAATATTTTTAGTACCAGTACAAGCGATTTAGAAGAGATCATGGATGCTCATGAATGCTGTCGAGTTTTGCTGCATCTCGGTAGGTCAATTCATTGGACTAGCTGCAGGTCACTTTAGCAGGATTACGCTGCAAGGATTCAATGGTTGACACGTGAGATGAACCTACCTTTGCCCATCATCTGGCATTCATTATTTCAATCCATTCTTTAACAACTCCTCGACATAGGGCTAAATGGTCAAGATTTCGAGTTTCTTCCCAAGTGCAACCCACTGACATTGTATGCAGACACATTGCTCTTATCATTTGAGCACTCAAACGTCGAAACTCGTCCATTGATTGTCATTGAGGCTTTGAGTGTATCCTCATCGCCCTTACTTGATGATCCCTTCTTCAGCTCTTCTCTTTCACAAAGATGAAATACAAGTAGATGACAAAGTTTAAAAGAGAGGAATAGAGAAGACTGCGATTTCTTACCAATATTAGCCGAGGCATTAAAAAGCCAATAGGCACCCTTTTCACCCGTCTAGTCTCGTCACATCAGTCGGTGACTCCCATAGGCTAGACTAGACGGAGAACAATGCAACCTGACCTACATCACTTCACACTTCTGCGAGAGCTATACATGTGCTTACATGTACATAACATCAACCAATTGTTACTTTATGGTTTTGGGCTAGGCACGGCCCGTACTCGGGCCGCTGTGCATAATGTTTGGGACTCCATCGCCTGGGAAAGAGGCCAGGAAGGATTAAAGGTGTGGAAATTTTTTGTGGGGTTAAATTATCTCGTCATTGCATTGCATTGATGGAGTACATGTGTATCACTTTGAGTGTTGATTTAGATCTCAACCTAGCATTTTAGTGCCCACCAAGATGACTCGCGAACAAACTTCACGAGTCGTTTCGTCTGTTAACGAGCGTCTGTCTAAACAGCATACCTAAATCGATTAACAGGATATGAATCATATAGCATAAAGCGACATCACCATCTCTCTATGGCATAACTTGTCTTCTCTTGATGACAGGATACTTGTTGCCCAACGTGCCGTCAATTCCTGCCATTAACTGCGGACTTAATTTCTGAAACACGCCCGACGACCTCACACTTTCATAAATTTGATCTGGGTGGCTAGCGCCCGTAATGGTCGATTTCACTTTCGTGTTAGCTAACACCCAAGCCAAAGTCTTGCTTGCCTGGGACAAGTCGAACTTATAACTGTCTTGAGCTTTGATACGACAGCCTTGTTGGCATCCCATTCCTTGCCACCAATTCTGTTTCTCATGCGCTCAAAAGATGTATGTATACTGCTCACCAAAGGGGGTTCCCTAAAATCCTATGGCAATAATTCCCTGTCACCATGCCAACCTTCACAGGATCAACAACAGTAAGAACGAGTCCTACTTCTTCATACAAATGAGCAAACTCTTTCTCAACCTTATTCCATATAAGCAAGTCGTACTGTGGCTGTTCCATCACTAGACCAATTAGTTAATCCGAGTATATATGCGTACCGCCGTGCCATTGCGATTTCTTCGGCATTTCATTCTTAGGTACTCCTGTAGAACGCCTTCCCTGCATTGATGACATAATTAAAAGCATGGAGGATGTTTTCGTGGAAACAATTCTATCCGGTTGACGAGCAACAACTATCGACGTACTCTAGATCTCGACTTTTGAGTGAACTATTGAGTCTTTCGATAATTTTTTGAGCGATAAACCACGATTATTCACCGGGTTTTCGACCAAGACCTTGCCGCGGAGAACCTGGTCGATGATATCTAGCTCAAGATCCTTGATTTGGTAAATAAGCTGACTGCAACTTAGTAGCTACTACAATGTCATTTCATTCTCAACTAAATTTCTTGGTAGTCTGGTCCACGATGCGCTCAGATGAAATAGCATTCAGCCCAGTCGAAGAGTTCGATGCCCACGTTATATGCTGCTTTCGTTTAAGCAGGCGTATTATCTGGAGTAATCTATGGAATCAAAAATATAGATATATACGGGCATTAAATCGTACCAATCTCAACATGTCCTTGATATTCAAGCCAACTCCCAAGAGAAATAGCAGAGACTTGCAGCCCTGACCAACCAAGAAAGCGATACTGTCTGTACCTTTGAAATACCTTACCTTCTGGGATTGGCATTTTTGGCCATAAACTACTGCTCGAAAAAACCCCTCGAAAATCACAGGGATACTTTTGACATTGGTTTAGGTACCTAGATAGACCTAGGTATGCGACAAACAGATGAGAGATACCTAGCTTCTTTCAACGTGAACCGGGAGGTTCATCACAGCCATGATCCAATAGCATGACAATAAAGATGTCATTCCTCATTATTTTCTTCTTACCTTCTTCTCTCGCTAGGAGTTGGCGTATGAGTGGGCTTCTTGTCCTTAAACTCTTAAATCCAGCGTGTCCGGTACCGGCAATCTCCATCCCGGTTCAGGTCACAGTTTGAAGCCATAAATTGCGACTGAAGTTCAATGTCCCTGGTGGGCAATCAGAATGTAATTGATTATCAAAATTTCCTTGTATTATCCAAGCCATTCTCCTCCGATCGGTCCAACCGTCAAAATGAGTAAAACAGCCCTCCTCGTGATGGACTACCAGGCCGGCATTATCTCTCGCTTGCCGTTGCCCACAGACCATCTCCAGCGCCTCGCAAAAACAATCGATACTGCACGTCCTCATGTCAAGGTCATCTACGTCACAGTCGCCTTTCGCCCCGGTCATCCCGAGATTTCAGCTTCAAATGCCACCTTCAGCGCTGCTAAGCAGAACAATTTGTACATAAGCGGCTCCCCCGAGACTCAAATTGATCCGGCTATCGCCCCCAAAGAGGGCGACATTCTCATTGAGAAGAAGCGTGTTAGTGCATTTACCGGCAGTGGCTTGGATCTTGTCCTGAAAGGCCTGGGTGTTGAGACATTGGTGTTGGCGGGKATCAGCACTGGAGGTGTGGTTCTTTCGACCGTTTGTGAAGCGGCGGATAAGGATTTCAAACTTGTTATCCTGAAGGATCTCTGTGCGGATGGTAATGAGGATCTTCATAATACACTGTTGAACAATATTTTCAAGAAGAGAGGAGAGGTCTTGGAAGCTGAGGAGTGGTTGCAGAGATTCGACGCCTGAGATCTCTTCTTGTTGAGATTGGAAATTGCACATTACTAAATTTGGGACTTGTAGATTGCCTATTGTAGATGCATTTAGAATTGAACAATTCTACTCACAAATATACTATCGCCAAGGCCGGCTTTTGTGTCATTAGGACTTTCCTCAATGTATAGGAATCTATCTATTTAGGCACTCGCGTCTGCCACGTTCTTAAAAAGCCTCTGCATATTCTCCATTGCACTCTTTGCAAATTTGCCCACATCGTACTCTTTTCCCGTGCCGTCTGGACCACTATCAAATATCTCCATGGAAAACCAGCCTCTAAATCTTGTCCTGAGTACCGCTTTCGTTACATCTTCGATTGGTAAATATCCACCATTATACGGCATCGGCCGGAAGTCATGACTCCACTGTCCTCGAGGGAGCAAGTCATTTTTAATCTTCCTTTCAATAGGAGTATTTGGCTTATATGCATCTGATATCTGTAGCAGATAGATCTTTTCTGCGGGAATCGAGGAGGCCAATTCTTCCATACTGTCTTTCCATCGCTTCTCCAGTTCAGTCTTGGATACCTCTTCAATCAGTCCCGAGGCTGTTGTAGGATCAGCCCACTCGCTACCCGCTGTTTGGAAAGTGTCGAGACATAACCCGACATTTGGTCTGTCGACCTGTTGCACGATTTCCCATACCGCCTTCCATGTCGGCGCATGTGTGGACCAACACCAGTTCTCGTAGGCCATCCGGAAATTTTCTTTAGCCAGCATATCTGCAAGTTCCTGGAGGTCTTGTACAATTTCGTTGCGATCGGTCGTTATTCTATCTTCATCTGAGCTGTCCGTTGACCCGACCTAGATTTCAATGCTCAATTAGAATGCGATTATCGATAATTATTGCTGGGGAGATCACCTGTAACAAATCCGTCCCACAGGCTTTCATTATTTTAATCCAATTTTTCGCTCTTGAAAATGCTTCCTCTCTTTCTGGAGACCCATTCGGCCATCCCTCAAAATTCGCAAATGGTTGCAGCATCATGATCTCGAGATTCAACTGCTGACACAATTTCCCGATTTCTTGCGCTGCCCTGCACAGATCATCATAATCGTCGGGTCCGACTTTTTTATCCAAGAGCTGCTCTGCATACTGCTTAATATCCGGGAACGATAGTTCAATTCCTACGAAGCCCGCATTTGTGATTGCTTCGAGTCTTTGAGAGAGTGAATCGGTGACTTTCCCAATGGAGCAGCTGGCGTAAGAGAGAGGGATCCTCCGCAGGGAGCTTAGATTTATTTTTGATGATTCGACCATTCTGAATATATGCGCCTCAATTGGATATCAAACATTCAATTAGAATTGAAGATAGCCATAGGAGGACTGAGAATGAGTCAAACATGTTTACCGAGATGATACTTTTCTGCTCCGGATTGTTGATGATAGTGATGTAATCCCCACATCATGCTTTGGTGCTCCATATTTTCCGATCAATACAAGCATTTGCAAGGCCGACTCGTTCTTTTCTTTTATAAGAGCATTCTGACAATGAAATTTCTTCGAAGAAAGACGAGAGATAGATAGCATGAAATGACGTAATGAATTTGTCGCGGTGAGGTATATACCGGACAACAAGCCCGCACACACAAATTTATTAGTCTTGTATAAAGTTGCTTCATATTTATTCTAGGCGCTTCAATATCATCTTCATTTGATCAAGTATTAACTATACTGGAATCGAAATGCCACACGTAGACCCTATTCAAGAATGGAAGGTGATCGGTGTCGTCGGTGCCGGGAGCATGGGCTCCATGATGGCCTTCGCATTCGCTGAATTGGGACTGGATGTTTCGATTTGGGACGTTGCAGGAAAAAATGTCGATAAATTGCTGGAAAATGTCGAGAAATCACGAGAAAAACTCCAGGGAAAAATTAACGGCTTCAAAAAGATCGACGAATTCATGACAAGCCTCGAAGGCAAGGGGACGCGAAACTTATTCCTCTTTTCAATCACACATGGAGAACCTGCAGATTCGGTGTTGCATCAAATGAAAGGAAAATTGAAAAGTGGCGATATCATTCTAGATGGTGGAAATGAGTATTATCGTCGGACAGAGCGACGCCAACAGGAACTCAAGCCCCTTGGAGTAAGCTGGATTGGAATGGGGGTGTCCGGTGGCTACCAGTCTGCTCGCCGGGGACCAAGTCTGTCTCCTGGTGGCGACAAAAAGGCCATTGAGCAGGTGCTGCCATTATTGGAGCTCTATTCTGCCAAAGATAAGAAGACCGGCAAACCATGCGTGACTTATATTGGCCCTGGCGGATCCGGTCATTATGTCAAGATGTGTCACAATGGTATCGAAGGAGGCCTTCTATCCACAACATGTGAAGCATGGGATATAATGCACAAAGGTCTTGGTATGAGCTACGACGAAATCGGCGACATTTTCAAGGCATGGTCAAGCCATGGCGAATTAAGAAACAATTTTCTTCTCAACATCGGAGTTGACATTTGCCATCGAAAGAAATCCGCACAAGGGGATGGCAGGGGTGAAGGCGTTGATCCGGCTGGGGGACATGTATTAGACGATGTCCTTGACAAGGTAGTCCAAGACGATGACAACACAGAAGGGACTCCACTATGGTCAATCATGGAGTCTGCTCTTCGACACGTCTCTAGCCCTAGTCTAGCTACGGCACACTATATGCGTATCGCTAGTGGAAACAGGAACCAACGAGTTCGCGTCGCTAAGAAGCTTGATTTACCCGAGCCAAAGCGGATCGACATTAAAGATAAAAATGACTTTCTAGAGCAATTGCGCCGCGCCGTGTACGCTTCGTTTCTCTGTTCTTACTGTCAAGGTCTAGAACTTATCGCGCGAGCTTCTGCCGACGAACGCTGGGGAGTGGATCTCGGAAAATGTATTCAGATTTGGCGAGCCGGTTGCATCATACAATCTGAAGCTATCGCCGATATGTTGCAGCCAATCTTAGCTCAGGACGTTCAAATCATGAATATCAAATTGATCGATGAAGTTTCACGAGATCTTCGCAATAATTTCGAGTCTTTGAAAGAGGTTGTTCTCCGTGGCACTGAATCGGATGCGTGCATCCCTTCACTGTCCGCGTCGTTGGAGTACTTGAAGTATGAAAGTAGCACAAAGTTGCCTACTCAATTCATGGAAGCGGAGATGGATTACTTCGGGGCTCATGCATACAATAAGCCGTGCAAGCCAGGTGAGGATCCTGGGCCGGTCAAAAAAGGGCCGCATCATTACGAGTGGAAACCAGCATGACGCGCTGCTCATTGTACGTAGCCATCCTGTACCTAGTCTTTCATATTAATTCGTGTTCGAATTTCAATTCCTCATTCGCCTAAAGTACCATCCATGGATAGAATGATAGTTTACCCTTCAAACTTAGATAGGCGGTTATTTAATATCCTTTCCTGCAGGCTGACTTCCCTGTACTGAAATGTTTTTGAGCGATTTGCCGTGTATACCGTGTATGCCGTGTATACCGTGATTATAAGATAGGTGATATAAACACACACTACGTAATTTCATCCTGAGAAGCAAGTATCTGGCTAAATACTTGCATAACCTTATCGCCTATAGCATGAATCCACTATAACAAACCTCCACCAGAAATCGTTCAACCATTGGTGGCAAATCACCCAGATAAAATAGTCTCGGAGATCGCCCCTCGACTTGGCTAGAGTCAAGCAATAAGTGCATTTTTAATGAACTTGTGAAATAAATTAAGCGTTTCTTTTCCGACAAATATGACGAAACACTCGACAACGTGCGCAGATCAGGCGGGCTCTATTATATTGAGTACCGTGAGCTGCAAAGAAAAAATAGTAAGCGTACAAAAATTTTCAATTCTCAATATAAAATATATGCATATCTGAGTTCATCTAATATAAAAAAGTAACCTTAGAGAAGGACTAAAGGCATGGATGAGACGCACGTGTAAGGCATAACCCTAACTATTGATGCAGCGTCGGCGGCTACCTAGGCAAAAGTATAGGGGCACCCCCGCACCTATAGTCGTATCTGAAGTATATAAACCCGAGGAAATGCATGTCTTATCCTTAAATTTTATGAAAAACGTAGTTTAGCTCACGATCAATTATCCATCGACACCATGAACATCGTGTCTTTATTGAGCGCCGGGTCGGTGCTGGCTTTACTCGTCAGCGCTGCAGTGCCCAGCAAGAGAGATACAGCTTCCACGATCTGGTCTGATATCGAAAATGCAACGACATGTACTGGTTGTGAGGTTGGTACTGATACCTAGACTTTTTTGATCAAATATAACTTACACCAAGTATCTAGAGTCTTCTGGTTGTTCTTCAGGCACTGGCACATCTGGGCAACGACGACTTTACCAGTGTCATAACCGAAGTGTGCATTGATGCCGGTGTAAGTAATCGCCAGATTCATTTCTTCCAGGGTACTAGTCTAATATACCGTCCAGGTCGAGGATTCAGACGTCTGTACTGGCGCTATAGGTCTCGATGGGCCCATCTTGGCTCATGATCTTCGACAAATGACCGTTGGCACTCACACCGCCCAGCTATTTTGCAACACCATCTTTGGACTATGTCCCTTCCCTGCAGTTACTGCCTACAATGTAACATTCCCATCAGCCAAACCAGCGACTAGCCGACCAGCTGTTAGCGGCAAGACTCCTATTGAAGTCGTGCATTACAGCGACATTCACGTCGATCTCTCTTACGAGACTGGAAGTAGCTATAACTGCACAAAGAACATTTGCTGCCGGCCTTATACCAGCGCAGATGCTCCAGGAAATACTTCTTATCCTGCCGGCCCCTATGGCAACCATGCATGCGACTCCCCGGTTACCCTTGAAGAGAGCATGTATGCTGCTATTCAAAAGATTGCACCCAATGCGGCTTTTACGCTGTTCACTGGAGATGTCGTCGAGGGTGCTGTGTGGTTGGTAAATGAGACCGAGGTTACCAATGACCTTAAGAATGCATATACAAAGATGACAGCACTAGGTCAAGTCTATGCTACCGTTGGGTAAGTCTGCTCCATCACTTCTTTTGGTGAAAAGTTTGGTCAGACTAACGATCAAAGAAATCACGATGCCGCACCTGTAAATTCCTTTCCTCCTGCAGCCGTGGATACGACTATCAGTAGCCAATGGGTCTACGATACTCTCTCAAGTCTATGGGAAACGTGGATCGGCTCTACGGCATCAACAACAGCCGACACAAATCCCGGAGCATACTCTGTCCTCTACCCCGGAGGTAACCTGCACATCATTTCTATCAACACAAACATGTACTACAAAGAGAACTTCTGGCTTTATGAGGCCACAATGGAGACAGATCCTAGCGGCCAGCTCGCCTGGTTGGTTACTGAGCTTCAAGCTGCTGAAGATGCCGGAGAGCGAGTTTATATCATTGGCCATATGCCGATGGGTGCTGGAGATGCGTTCCATGATGGTTCAAATTATTTCGATCAGATCGTGAATCGTTATGAAGCTACTATTGCTGCGCTCTTCTTTGGTTGGTTTTCCTCTAATTCGGTATTGATTATGGATGCAAACTTACAAACTTCTAGGGCATACTCACAAAGACGAGTTCGAGATTAGTTACAGCGACTATACTGCGCAAACTTACTCCAACGCTGTCGAGCTCTCATACGTCGCCCCAGCCCTGACCCCAACGAGCGGTATGCCAGCCTTCCGCGTGTACTCTGTCGATCCCGAGACTTTCGCTATCCTCGACATGACGACCTACATAGCCGATATGTCAGACTCTACCTACCAGACGGCTGGCCCAACATGGACCAAATACTACAGCGTCAAGGAAGCCTACGGTCCATTGGTGACACCACCTCTCACCTCTGCTTCTGCAGAGCTGACACCAGCTTTCTGGCACAATCTGACAGAAGTCTTGAGCTCTAATCAGACTGCTTTCAATGAGTATTATGCTCGTAAATCTCGTGGCTATGATGTCAGTTCGTGCACGGGCACTTGTGTGACGGATGAGATTTGCCAGTTGCGTGCTGCGCAGTCGCAGTATAACTGTGTCACTGTCTCGCCGGGTATCAACTTCAAGCGGGATGGTACCCAGACCTCTGTTTCGGATGGAGCTCATCGTGACAGTTGTGAGGGTAGTCCTGCTAAGAGTATTCTCAAGGCTTTGTTGACAAAGAAGGACGTAAAAGAAGAGATTGAGAAGAGAACCAGCATATTGGCTAAGAGGAAGGCTAACTAGCCTGTACATAGCCAATATCATAACGAACCGGCTAGCTATGGATATGTAATATCTATCAGTAGTTCATCAATTCCAAGGTCAGCTATTACCTTGTAGATAGTTTTACTAGTTCGGTTGTTTGGGAATGAGCCGAGCTGGACGATTCTCAACATTTGATTCGCAGCCTAAAATTAATTCCCTATGACATCTCTTTTATCAAATCCAACGAGCCTACCTATTTTTATTTACGGCGTAAGTCATAGGCTCTTCTAAGCGCCCATGCATCGCTGACGCACACCCTTCTAACTGAATGATTGGCCGGAAGCCCTAGCTCGATGCATCACCGGCGGTTAAGTCCTACTCGTACGTACCCAGTTGACTAGCAGTTTCATATTAATCAAAAAGAATTATTTCTACCGCTGGTTTCATAATATTCGCCGAGACATATTTACTCCCTGGATTCTATCTTCCTCACCATAGCCAGTTGCTTCTTATTTACGAACCAAACCTATGTCTTGTCCATGAACATAGTCAGCTGAGAAGGACCAAAAAATGTCTTCGACGATTATCCTCGTTCAGTTAATTTCTATATGGGCTTCGATAGCCCGAGGAACAGGAACATGTTATTATCCCAATGGCACTGCAGTTCCGGATGGATCGTTCCAACCGTGTCGCAATACGCAATATTCCATGTGCTGCGCAACCGCACAGCGACCAGCTTACACCACAGATACATGCTTGGACAATGGATTATGTCTCAATCCTTGCGATATCGCTACGGATGAATGTGGTTCTGCATCTGGAGGAACATATTGGAGAGAGTCTTGCAGCGATCCAACATGGGCGAGTCCATTCTGCTTCAATCATTGTATATCGCCGGTGAGTTTGACAGCAAAGCAACTAAGTATCCGCTACAAATCGACTAAATCTTCGGTTTAGAATACAAATAGCAGTGCATATGCCACGACCGGGAATGACAACGCAAATAATGTGCCGATGACTCAGTGCCCGTCCGATGGCAAATGGTGCTGCGGCTACATCTCGCCTCTATCCTGCTGTTCAGATTCCAGTCGGTTTGCAGTCAACCAGACAATTGGTGTTCTGAGCTCAACATCCACTGTAGCAAGCTCTTCAACAACTATCGCTGTTAGAAGTTCGACAACGGCAGCCGCGCAGACTGCGACTACAGTGGCCACCACCACGCCGAGCACGACTCCACAAAGCGCTGGAAGTGGCACCATGAGCAAGGAGACTCAGGTGGGCATTGGCGTTGGTATTGCAGTAGGAGTCCCAATTCTCTTAGCTATCGCCCTTATACCGTGGTGTCTAAGAAGAAGAGGAAGCAAGGAAGACGCGCCCACAGATCCTACTGGTACCGGAAATGCTACTAATTCTGCATTTTATGGCCAAAAGCACGAGGTTGACGCCAGGAATAGTAGGATTAATGCTGTAATTCGGGAGAAATTTGGATATGCACAATTGTCCGAGCTGAATGCGCAACCTGTGATATATGAGATGGGTACTAGCAGATGACAACACTTCTTTCTAACTCAAATTGATTTTGCTCAAGAATCAAATATGGCATCAGAATTTGATTCTTACCAATATATTTACATTGCTATTGAACTTTTCTCCAGAAGGAGCATGTTAAAGCGATCAGACGCCGCTACTGCAAGTGTGAATCGCGTGCCCAGGCAACTATGTATTCGAGCGCGTAATAGATGTATTTATTTAGACATCTTGACTCATTTCTAGTAGAACATTGAAAAATGATGATAGTATAATGTTGGAGCAGATTGATCGACCTCCGTCACAGCAGCAATGGCGCAATCAAGACATAAACATCGCAAAGGTACCTCAGTGTTGTGAGAAGAAATCAATTGTGATTCTTATTTAGGTAATCGTTTTGCTCATGCATTCTGTGGTGATAGCTCAATGTTATCTAGGCATCATGATAGCTCTAAAACATATTAGCATAACCGAGTATGGCTCATGTAGATTTGAAGCTGGTGGACTCCTGAGGTCTAAAATCGGAAACTTATTCCTCTAGAAAGAAAACTAACAAGATAAAAGGTACATGAGAAGAAAATGACAAGGAAACCTAAAATGTACCCAGGTGTTGAAAATGCATGGTGATATCCCTGTACTTAATCAACTTATTATTACATATGTTGCTAAATAACGAAGACAGACAACGCCAAGAAAAGAAAGTCAAAGATTGATGTCGCTCGAAAAATGATAAATGCCGAGCCCCATAGCCTCAGCTTCATTTGCCCAAAGTCCTTTGGCAGAAGAGTCACGAGCGCCTATTTTTTAAATCATGCCATTTCATATGCTTGATGGCTGGAAGGCATTTCATGTACCGCAGACTGTTGAGGTATCGATTGGTAGTTTCCCTTCACGTCTGTCTGCTGATTAGCAGCGGGTGGCAATTCGTGAAGACCCTGGTGCTGATTGTTCGCTGAATATTCCTGTCCGACTGTCGTGTTGCTTCCAGGTGCCGGTGGTTTTGTGAATGATTCCATTGGTTCATCTGGTTGTCCCGCGGCTGCTGCTGCTCTCTGTTTCCTCCGATTCCATAACCATGCACCAACGACCAAGACTGCTAGCAAAACACCCCCCAAAGCGACACCGATACCTATTCCAGCCTTCGCTCCCGACGATAATCCACTCGAACTGTTATTGTTGGAAGCTGGTGTTGTTGTCGCGCTCACTGCTGCTCCTGCCGTTGTTGTTGTTGCAGTCGTTGCGGACGTTGTCGGAGCTGCTGATGTGGTTGTAGTGACATTGTTCCAGACGTTGAAATCAGGTGACCAAGCCAAAAAGCCAGAAAGAGGCACTCCATCTTGGCCAAGAGGAACCGACGAGTTGAAAACACCGAATTGGAAAGTTTGAACATCGTTGGTGGAAACGCCGGCATCGCTCGGGATTGTTAAGTTGAGTTGATCGAGTTCACATGTTGATGAGGAGTTATAGAGGCGATATGTATTGCTATTTCGGCTAAAACCAGCGTTCACTAATATATAATGTGAGCATTTCCTCCTCGGCATTGTTATTTTTTCCTTTGACTTACACACTAGTGATTGTACCAGACTTCCACCGGGTCTCGTGAGGTAGATGTTCAGATTAGTCGTATTATCGAAAGCACCGAATTGGACCTGAACAGTATCGCCGATATTGAGATTGGTTTTGTTGAAGGCGTACCAAGTACCGGAATCACAATTCGTGAAGGTTTGCGACATGGCGACTCTTTTTATTAATCAAGTAGGAATCGTTCCTTTTGTATGTCAACAATACATAACGGTTGCGATGTGTTTTGAGAATTGCAAAGCGTAAATCTATGAAATCGGCGTAGTAATTGATTTTAGAAGAAGAGGATCTTCTGAGGCTCGATCGACGATACTAACATATATACATGACAGTACTCCGTAGCACGCTTGGTAATGCAACCTAGAATCCTACTCATTCTAGTCCATATCATATTTGACCTAGCCATGCCCCATGGAAGCCCATTCGAACTGTCCAGGCAAGAACTTGTAAGGCGCTGACCACTATATTTAAGCTAGTTTGAGGCTAATCCGAAACTTATCATGCTAGCGCATGGCTGAGCTCCACGTCTTGATTTTAGACTGGCATTATCAAGGCTTGGCGTTAAGCAGTGTGCGCTGGTTGGCTCTCGAGCATGGAAACTCCATTGCTCCAGTACGGCTGAAACTGCTCATGGTTTTGATTAAAATATTCCTTTCCCTTCTTCGGCTAGGTTATGGGCCACAGCTAACCAGTAGTGTAGCCTGAAGAAATTTGCTGTTCCCCTATTGATCGGCTAAACTGTTACTAGTCGAACGTTGCAAGGCTTGGACATTCGTTCAGCCGCAAATGCTATTAGTAGACAAAAATAGGGGAAGAAAACTTGAATGCTCGAATGGATTTCCAATGCGAGAAATCAGGCTTGTTCTCTGAGACTTGCATTGAGCTACTAATCGCGTGATTACGACCAATAGAACGAGTTTTCTCTTGGTTCATGGATCGCAGAATTCTTCAACGTCGTTTGAAGTATACCAATTCACTATCATGTCCACTACACGATGAACAGAGTTTCCGGAAGAATTTACACATGAAAACCTCCTTAGTCCGTATCTACGTACGTTCTGTACTATGCTGTGCCCATGAACTCGTTCGTCGAAAAAGGGCACAGTTGGTCGGTCACTGTCAGAAAATGACTGACCTAACCGAATGTCCTTAGCTCAGCTTTGACGTGGCACCAAATGCGCCAGGTTCAAGCTCATAAGTTCATAATAGTCTTATATGAAATAGAGGCCTCCCATGCAAATCTCTGCACTTCCGCCCGCGCAATTCTTCTAGTTCGACAAATCCAAATTACCGTTTGATTACAACGCGTGGTTTGCTGTTCCGGAACTGGTTCATTAATATTGACTTCTCTCTCATATTCCGAGATGAGGCAAGTCCACTTTGTGGTTGGCTTGGGCATTCTCAGATGCGACCAAAAACCGATAATACGTGCTAACATTTCGCTGGTTCTTATTAAAGCTCGCTGGAAGGGTGTACTTGTTTCGTGGGAAAATCTACGTTATTGGCTGGGTGATCTATATCCATCTACACTGCACTCAAGCATTGCCATCCGAGGTATTTGAAAGTGGCCAATTCAAGCCTTGACTAGCTACAGTGGCGAGGGCAGCGACCCTGTCACGAGAGATAGCCCATTCCATGGTGTTCGACATCAAGTTTTCGGTGTCTACAAAAGCCATTTTAAGCTGCTGAGGCATCTTCAGGTAGGATTCAAGTATTAAGAACATGGGCCTAATAATACATAAATGCGACTATAGAGATAGATACGTCCAATCTGACTCAGGTTTAGACCTAGTTCTAATTAGTGTCAAAGGGTGTCTATCAAGAATATCATCATCCGGTTTCATTGAAAACCTACCAAAGGGTACCAATTTGGTCAATAAGAAACAGCTTGTTTAGACCTTACAGTCATACTAATATTTCGTTCTGAATGATTTTGGGACCAGATCACTTATATTTTGTGGTCTACCCTAGGCTCCCGACTTTGAAAATTACATACATATTATCTAGCTATCTGCAAAGCTAAAAGAGTTGTGTGTTGGTATTCTTGAGTTCTGAGATATGCCATTTCTGAAGATTTTGTTAGCATTTCATGCGGCTAAAGAAAACACCGAAATTGTAGGGATCGACATGAAGCTAGAAACCTCCGGACTTTAGGTGCCCGCGCTTATACTAACAATGAAGCGAGCAGAGCTTAAATTCTGTTAATGCGCTTGGTCCAGGTAGCATGCCCATGATTATGAACTGCCGAAGAAGAAGAAAAAGAAAATTAGCAAGTCAAATAGGAATTCGTGTGGTCTTGTGAAGTGATAGTGTGAGAAATGGCTTTCATGGCTTACTTGCTTATATACTTACATGGAATGGGGAACTGACCGCTCCACCACTGGAGAAGAGGGGTCCGTGAATTGGGTATACGTTCTTCCGATATTGACATTAATTGATAAAGCGGGGATCGATCTAGGAGTTTTATGAATCATGTTTGCTATCTACGCAACATCCCGACTCGCGCGGGGCCCCGGATGCTGGTCAACGCTCTGATACCATGTGGAGTTAGCCTCCTCGGAGATTGTTGCGGCATCCCTAAGTGGTGCGAAAATTTGGGCAACATGATCAATTAGGGCTTTCTAGTATGATTTTCACTTGGAGTCGAGTATCTAGGTATGCTTGCGACTACGCGGCACCCCTCGGGCGCTGACAGAAACGCAGGAGAGTCAACTGCTGCCATGTTCTCTTAAGCGTTTACTAAAGATTGATACCTCATTAAACCCTCTCGGCTCTGTGAAAGTATGGATCAAAATCCGGTTCCCCATAAATCTTAGTCTCTTCTCCTCAATCTTGCGGGGAAGAGTATAAGCGAGAGCGGGACAAGGTTCCATGTATGAGTCGCTAGTTGATTTTTGATAAATCTTGCCGTATATAAACTGCCCAGAAGATGTACCAGGATATGTTTTTGGAGCCGTCTTATCATTTGCTGTTAACTTCAGCACAGACGATTGAATATGTTAGCCTCCGTATCTTTGGCTGTAGCTGCTTTGGTTGGTGCTTCCCTGGTTTCGGCTAGCCACCATCATTCAGTTACAGAACCAAAAGCAACCGTCAAAAATGGAAGTTATCATGGGCTTCACAATGACTTTTACAACGTCGATTACTTCCTAGGGATGCCCTACGCCCAGCCACCAACAGGAGACCTTCGTTTAGCTCTGCCAGTTTCGCTAAATTCCTCATTTGACACTCGCAATGCCACGGAACTTGGGCCAGGGTGTATTGAGTTTTCGGTCTGTTTCCGTGACTATTGATTGAATCGGTTTTCGATCAGCTAAGAGATCTGACGGATACCATAGATCGCAGGCTATGATCGGCCCCTTTCGGAGGATTGCCTCAGCGTCAATGTGTACCGACCATCAGGTTACGAGAATGAGAAACTTCCCGTTTTGGTTTGGATTTATGGGTACGTCGACCTAGCAGCTTTTGATACCGTCAATCAATTAAATAGTACACTAGTGGAGGTTTTGTACAGGGTCTTAATGCCGATCCTCGGTATAACTTGACTTTCCTTGTCAAGAACTCTGTGGACATGGGAAAGCCTATCGTTGCTGCAAGCATTAACTACCGACTAAATGGCTTTGGGTTTTTGGATAGCCCCCAGATCCGCGAAGCAGGGCTTTCTAATCTTGGCCTTAGAGATCAACGGCTGGCTCTGCACTGGATACAAGTAAGACCTCGCTTAAAATGTACTGCAAACTTTTGATGCAGATACTAAACGCAGCATAGGAAAACATTGATGCCTTTGGCGGTGATCCGTCTAAAGTTACAATCTGGGGCCAATCTGCTGGTGCAATGAGTGTCGGTTCCCAGATATTGGCCTTTGGAGGTCGTAATGATTCTCTCTTCCGTGCAGCCATCGCGGACAGTGGTGGACCACTTGGTGCCCAGCCTCCTACTGCAAACGCTTCCTTGGCAACATGGAATAGCATTGTGAATCTCACAGGCTGCACTTCGGCACAAGATCGGATCAGTTGTCTTCGTTCTGTGTCTGTTGCCAACTATACAAATGCTGTAAATAACACGTCAGGCTCCTATTTTCCCGTTTACGATGGCGATTTCCTTCCGACCTATAACTCAGTACAGATCAAGTCTGGACAATTCCTCAAGGTGCCTCTCTTAATTGGGAGTAATGCTGACGAAGGAACCGATTTCGTTGGTGGCGCTCCCTATATCGGGGCGCTTCCATCCAAATCTTATCCAGATAAAACGTCGTTTTTGAATGTGGCACAGGGATATGTCAGGAACTCATCTCAATTAGACGCTGCCCTTGCCGCATTATCGGTTCTCTACCCGGATATACCCTCGATCGGTACACCTTCTACATATCATGGTCGTTTGAACGCAACTTTTGGCGCTCAATATGCTCGGGTTGCTTCTCTTGCAGGAGACCTGAATATTCACCGTGGCCGCAGATTGAGCGCTCAATCGTGGATCAAATACGGCCTTCCTATATATTCATACCACTTCGCAGCATGGCCCATTGGAGGTCTACCCGACTATACAGGCACAACACATTTCACTGAAATCCAACTAGTCTTTGATAATGAATATGGCAACGGGTATTTATATCCATGGTATCCTTCGGGCAGCGAGTTTGCAGGCCAAGGCAAATCGCTCATTGCACTAGCTAAACTGATGAGTCAGTATACTCCCATTATGCCGTTTTAGTTACCTGTGACTATATCTAAATCTCTAACAGGTCGCATGTGGATTTCATTTGTCAATGATCTGACACCGAACAATCATGGTTTAAAACATGATAGCAATGGCCATAGTATTCCGGAATGGCCTTTATACGCAGCAAATGTCAGCGATGCCTTAAATGGTTACGGTGTCAACTATAGATTTGATCAGGCGGAAAAGGGCTTAGCGATTATTGAACCAGATACATGGCGCGCTGAAGCACTTGCTTACTTGATTGATAACAGTGACAATATTTTCGGAAGTTAAAAGCGGATTGCTCTACTAAATCTATTCATTAATCTAGTTAGTGGGTGGTAAATTAGTGGCCATATAAGTCTGTCAATTCTTTTACTACTAAGAAAGTTCCAGCCATGGTTTACGTTACCCGGAAACTAAAGGGCACATCCAACCGCTCGGAGGGGGTGATGACACTTTCGAGGCAGAGACACAGTCCAAATGCACAAAGCCGATTGATTTTGCCCGCGGTCACAATTTCTTCAAGGGCCTCGGACAGAGAGCCTCGATTATGGGGAATCGGAGGCCCGTAGATGGGCGTCACTTCTGGTCGCACTTCTCGGGTTCCCTTGCTCGAAAGTTTCGTGCGGAGAGTCTCCATGTTGGATGGTTGCACTAAGTCTAGGAATTCCAACAACTCGAATGCCACCCTTTGGTCCGATTCGCCGCTAGTTTCATCAGCGGTCTGGTCGTTATCCGCCAGTTCAGAGGCAAATATCCTCACGACAAACATCACATTGCGGTCAACATCGTACTGCAAGAACTCCTCAAGACATCGATTTTGTGGCTCACTACTACAACCAGCCATGAAGTAATTCTCGACGAAGCAATACAGCCAGATCAACCACACAGAAATGGTAGCCTGCGGAGCTGGTATTGTTGTGGAACTCTCGAAGTTGGTTCTGTCTAAGGGAAAGATCGGCTCCATAGGCACCATCTCTATGGGGGTCCGCCCTTCACGTAGGAGACCTTGTACGAATCCCAGGTCTTCAGATCGAGTAGCAGCGGTAAGGAGTAGATTTGGACCCGAGGTCGAGTTCTGCTGTTTCAGGCGGATCATTAGATCAGGTGAGAGAAAATTGTGTAGATCGCGCCTAACAACTTCGCATAGGAAATCGGGAGAATGATCTGATCCTCTTTGTGTGAGCCATTCACGACCGGTGCGTTGCAAATTCATCCCCCATATACAACCCTTGGGCTCCAGAATCTCATTTCTGGGGGGAACTTGTGTTCTTGACCCTCCCGTATGGGTGTGATGCTGAATAATGTGGCTGAGCTCCTCGAAGAAACGTGATGGCACGTCGTATCCGCAAAACTTATGGGCAGCATACATCACGGTGAAAAGCACATGGAGAGCCCTTCTCAAAGGGCCGCCTTCTCCCCCAATTGCCCATACTCTTGGTTTGGTATCATGTAGTGTGAATCGTGCAAATTTGAATTCTGCAAGTAATAATCGAATAATCCCGGAGTAAACATCAAAGTCAGGTATACGGGCTCGCATTTGCGCTTCCCTGGTATTCGCAATGTAGTCGCGGGCACTGCGGTGGAGAAATCGCACTTCATAAGTGAAATAATCATGTCCGTCTCTTTCACGGCTGCGCTTTCGGGTCATCTCTAGCAGGCCTCGAGAAAGGTGATCCAACGCATGCGAGACACGCTCAAGTCGCTCATTGATCTCAGTCTCTGTGCATGGTCGCATAGGTAGTTCATAAGGGAAGTGTGGATTATCAAGGTCCTCGAGCCATGAGTATGTTATCGCATTCCGGACTGTTGGCTGCCACCTGCAGAAGTTGGGAGTCGTCAAGAGGAATAATTGGTCCGAGAGCAACTGGTCGTCCGGATCGATGGAGCTAAGGATCTGATCGAACAGGTCATCCAGCCCCTTGGGCATCAAGTGAAGCTTCCTTTTCAAGTCTTTCTCGCTGCCTCGATATCCTATACTCTTCAGGAGGGAGCGCACAACCAGCCGTGCCCAGAGAAATACCCCGTCGGAGGCGTTCACAACCTCAATGACCAAGTCTGCATATGAGTTCTTGATACGATGGAAGTTGGGGTCCTTTTCAAACATGGCCACACTGAACTTGAAAATATCTTCTCGGGTGAGGTCGTGGATACTAATTTGATGATTCAAGTCATTCGCGAAAGACTGGACAAAGGGAACATGAGGGCGACTGCTGACACAAAGCTTGATATTCTCCGCTTGTCCTGTCCAAGACTGAAGATCTCGAGAAAAACGCCAGTGATCGACCTCATCACCCTTAAACTCGTCTAGACCATCAATGAAAAAGCAGAAGTAGCTTTTGGAGGAGCTTGCTTCTTGGATTAGGCGATTGAATGCGTCCCTAACTTCATCAAAACGAATCGGGGCAAACCCGAAGGTTGAACTCCCCCAGAGCTCAGGGAAGAGGCGGGGAATTAAACTAGGCATTTGCCTACAGGTTTCAAACAGCAGACTTCGATATAGACCCTCGAGAGACGTCTGTATCTCATCTCCCGAATTCCAGAAGAAGAATCGAACAAAAATCAAGGGGCGACCCCGGGCCCAACTTTCTAATCCGCTCTTGACTCGAGACGACTTGCAAAGAAATTTCATCAAGGTCGATTTCCCAGAACCTGCCTTGCCTGATATATGGAAAATGTGACGGCCAGAATTGAGCCAGGTGAGAAACTTCTCTCGAGTACACTTTCGCAGGGCTTCCTGCTTTTTCTTTTCCTCTTCATACTGCCTCTTTTCCCTCTGCTCCTCATGGTTTTCTTCGGACACTACAAAAGAGTCGCTCCAATCATCTGCCGGTTGAGATTCCTCGTCGACTATCCACGCGAAGGTCCCACTCTCGGCATTATCAATGCTGTTCTCGCGACTGTATATAGACGGAAAGGCCAGACGCTCCAGGATCTTGTTCTCTTGTGAGATTGTGGTTATCACATTCCGGAATTTGAACAACGAAACGCCCAATTCGGCCAACACTCCCTCTTTGGGTCCGCGTGAATTCTCTTGTGCTGGAGCCGACCTAACGGAATCAACCAGCGTCAAAATGGTCTGGTATAACTCATCCAGCTGGGAGACCGCCTGATTCTGAAGTTCTTTGGCCTCACTTCGAAGGGCTGCGAGCTGACTATTGACTAGAAAGTGCTGCTCATCGGTTTTCTGACTATGCTTATCTTAGCACCTCCTATTTCACTTCGCACGAGGACGTACTTGAACATGACTTGCAATCGGATCAAAATCTGAGATTGATACCCATTCAGTCGTTGCTCAATCGCAATGATCTCCTTCTCCTTCCGCATACTGTCCCACTTCACCATCAGGCCCTGCCATTTCGATTTCCTGTCTCCCACTTTCAAATTTCGGAGAATTTGAGAGAGCTCTCCGGACAACGCGTGACAGTTTGCAGCCAAGGCGCAGAACTGCCTTTCGTTTTCGGTCCGGGCCGGGACGTCCGCGACCAAGTCGTGTGTGACAGCATTCAAATCTTCCACCAAAACACTCAGGCGTTCATTCTCGGGGGTCATACCATTCGGGGTCGAAAGGACCTTATTTACTCCGGAAATTACTTTATAGGAAAAGTCAATGAATGTAATGATGTTGCCGGCCAGGCCGATGGCCGTGAGAGGGTCCATAGCGCCGTCCCGACCCTAGTACGCGAGGCAGGTGGTGGAACAATATACCCTCGACAACCGACAAGAGATTGAATAACACAAGAATTGTCCGGTGCCCGATGGGTCCATTATGCATTATGGAGCGAACGCTGCCCCGCGGTGGGGCCGAATTTAGCAACGATCGGATCAGTCTGAGGTACAGATTCATTGGAGTTCGTCTCTGAGCAGAAATGCGAGTAGCCTTGCATTTTATGCCCCCACAACTCGGGATGCGGGAGATTTTTCCCCTGGTGGGACTCTGTACAGTGTTGCACAGACAGCGCGACCCCCTCATTTTCATCTCAGACACTTGCTTACTTGATTGATAACAGTGACAATGTTTCACGGTTTTTAAAAATACTATTTAACAAGCTTGAATCCAGCACAAGTCAAGGTAGTTCAGTCTTCCTTTGCAATCCTCAAAGAACTCTGTGTATAGCTTCCAGGCCAACGCACAATGACACGTGCCAACCGGCTTATTTAGCTTGTGGTCTTTAGCTGCGTACAAATGCAGTAGAAAAATTGGCAGATTTGCCACTTAATTACATAGACAATTGCCTGACCGACCGGCCTCTTCGCTAATCCTAAAATTCTGTGCGTGTTAGTTAGCGTTGACTGAGTCAGGCAGTCCGAGGCTTGCTATATACTTCTAAGCAAGTGATCAGTATTATCTCACGGGGTGGCATAGCCATACTTATGTTAGATGTGAAGGTTGGTAATTGGTCAGAAAATTGCACAAAAATGTGAGGTGGATAATATTTCTTAATTTGCCAATTTCCCAACATCAATTAGGGCTTTTTAGTATGATATTCACTTGGACTCGGGTAAAGTTTCCATCTATACGCCACGGGGGCCCGACCAGGGGTATGCAACCTAGATGGTCATCTTCTCAAACATCGCGACTGTATCTTCTAATGCCCGCAAAGAGGCACTGACATCCCGCTTCCTGCGGTCGGCTGATCGCAAAGCATCAGCCACATCCTTGTCATGCACCTTGCTCAGCTCGGCTATGATCGATTCGACATCTTCTTGGTCCTTCATTGCGTCGACTAGTTTCCCTTTGAACTTTTCGACCTCTTTCTTTGTATCTTGGATACGGTCCTTGATGTCAAGATAAACGTTTGCATCAGCCGAAACAGAGAAAATGGCACAGGCCTCAGGGCTGATTTCTCCAACTTTGAGTATAAGGATATCCACTGGTACCTTGCCGCTAAGGGATTTGATTGTGGAGAGCTGTGCTGATATAGTGTCATGTGAAAATTGGTTAAGGGGCATGATATAAGCCAAGCCTTTGTCCTTGACAGCATAGTCAGATAAGAGAGAACGAATGCCTTTCGATACACCCAGTATAAGCTCATAGGCCACCTCAGATTTTGGGTCATCAAAAGACGACTCATATTCGGGATAATTGGCGATTGTGATTGAAGGTGTGTTGTCACCCGGTCGGCGTGGGAGCCGTTGCCAAAGCTCTTCGGTCAAGAAGGGCATGAACGGAGAAATCATTCGCAACCCGGATTCAAGTGCGGTGTATAGCGTGTCTTTGGCAGAACGAGCTTCGTCGGGAGTGCCCTCTGAGATGATTGCCTTTGAGTTCTCGATATAGACATCGAATAGCTCATCGTACAGGTACCGATAGCTGATCTGGGTTGATCTTGAAAATTCACGCTCCTCGAGTGCCCGATTGATCTCTTTCGCAGCCGTATTCATCTTCATCAATATCCATTTGTCTGGTAGACTCTCCTTTCCTATCAAAGCACTAGACTCGCGAGGAACGAAATCATCACCCAGCTTACCGAGGACATACTTTGTAGCCTGATAAATCTTGTTGCAGAATTTTCGGTAGCCATGCATCGTCTTGACATCGAAGTTGATATCACCGCCAGAGGACTGAGTATAATTAATAAGCGAGAACCGCAAGGCGTCGGCCCCGATCTCAGGAATTCCGTGGGGGAAAGTCTTCTTCTGGTACTTCTCGGCAGTCTTCACCTCTCTTGGGGCTAGGTTGCCTTGCAGCAGCTTTTGGTGCAGAGCACCGAGGCTGATGCCGTCAACTATGTCGATAGGGTCAACAACATTGCCCAGTGATTTGGACATTTTCCGGCCTTCGCTGTCACGAATCAACCCGTGGCAGTAGACCTCCGTGAAGGGCACCTTCCCAGTCAACTTGAGAGAGAACATGATCATACGGCTGACCCAGAATGGTATAATATCCCATCCTGTCTCAAGCGTCGTGGTTGGGAAATACCTTTCGAAATCTTCCTTTTTTTCTGGCCATCCGAGGGCACTAAACGGCCAAAGACCAGAGCTGAACCAGGTATCCAAGACGTCCTCGTCTCGCTTGAGTGTCACTTTCTTACCGGGGAATTTCTTTTCGGCCTTTTCTTGAGCCTCACTCTCTGTTCTTCCGCATACCCAATAGCTGTCATCGGAATCATCTCCATTGGTTTCACCATCGACAGTGACAAAATACGCTGGGATCTGATGGCCCCACCACAGTTGTCTCGACAGGCACCAGTCCTGGAGATTCCGCATCCATTGCAAGTATGATCGCTTCTGTATCTCTGGTCGAATAACGAGCTCGCCACTTTCAACAACATCTATGGCAGGTTTCGTGAGAGACTCCATCTTCATCCACCATTGGGGCTTCAAAAGTGGCTCCACAATATCCCCTGATCGGCTACATATGGGGACAACCATCTTGTTCGGCTCTTGTCTCGTATAGAGACCGAGTTTCTTAAGTTCTTCAATAACACCGTATCTTGCGTTGAACCTCTTCTCTCCGGCATAAGGACCCGCGTTGCTATTGAACGTGCCATCCTCGTTAAGAATGTTGATGAATGGTAGACCATGTTTCTTTCCCAGGTTGAAATCATTATGATCGTGAGCAGGGGTCAGCTTAACTGCGCCAGTACCAAACTCTGTATCAACATATTCGTCGGCGACGATCCTCAGCTTTCTACCACGAATGATCGGGTGCAGCGCATTTTTGCCGACGAATTCATTATACCGTTCGTCCTCAGGATGAACCGCAATGCCAGTATCGCCTAGCATAGTCTCTGGACGTGTGGTCGCAACTTCGATTGTATGATCAGAGCCCTCGATTTGGTATTTAAAATAAGTGAGAGTTCCGAATTCAATTTTTCTGTCATAGCCCGGCACGTCCAACTTTGTTGTCCCCTCGAGCTCCTTTTGGTCAACTTCTAGCGTTGACAAAGCAGTGGAGAGACGACATGACCAATGCACAAGCCTGTTGGCTCGGTAGATAAGGCCTTCGGAGTGCAGCTGGATGAAGGTCTCATTCACCGCTTTGGACAGCTCCGGACTCATAGTGAAGGCTTCGCGCGACCAGTCGACGGAGACGCCGAGTTTGCGCACCGTATTGTTGATCGACTTATGGTAATCCTCTTTCCAGTCCTGACATAGTTGTATAAACTCAGCCCTAGTGAAGTCTTGGCGTTTAGATTTCCCGTTTTTCGGGGTTTTGGCGAGCTGCTTCTCGACAACAGCCTGGGTCGCAATGCCTGCATGATCGCAGCCAGGTATATAAAGCGTTGAGAATTGTCGCATGCGATGCCATCTGATCAGGGTGTCTTCCAACGCGAGTGCGAGAGCGTGTCCGATATGTAATTTGCCAGTCACCTACAAGTGAATTTTAGCAAATGGTCGGGCACCTTCGATTTGATGTTGCATACATTAGGTGGTGGAATAGCGATGACATATTTACCCTTCGGCTTAAGACTGCCATCCTCCTCTGTTTGTGGCTTKAAAAAMCCATGCTCTTCCCAGTAACTATACCAGGCAGATTCTACAACCTTCGGCAGATAAGCCTTGTGGAAGTCGTCGTCCAATGATTTCAATATCTTTCGATGTCCAGCCGGTGTCACCTCGACCCAATCTTTCGTCTCGGCCGCAGGAGCAACCTGCTCCCTAGGTTTCTTCCCCTTGGATGCGCCAATGCCTTGTTGCTGTTTCAGTCGCGCTTCCTGTTCTTGCTTCTCTTTTTTCTTGGCGAATTTCTCAAGCTTCAGTTGTTGTTTCTCGCTCATAGGCTTCGCCGGAGGCTCGGCCTGTGTGGAGGCCATTCTGCGTGACACACTCCAGATCACAAGACATAGGGGACTGCACAGCGCGTGCCTGATGCGAAGTGTAGCGGCCGGGGTGATAGAAGCCACCGTGATATTATAATGGGTGAGAAGGGAGGAGAAGGGAGAATCGGGGCCAGGGAGGGCTGTAACTCCCAGTCCTGCCTGAGGCGGGAATGAGTCACAGACGCAGCCTTGAAATAGTGGGCGGTGTAGTGGAATACGTGCTCGATCCCCCAAAAGAGCTGATAGCGTCGTGTTAGATGTGCCTTACAATCTGATTATAGCCCTAAAATTAAGCAATATTATTGGGTATAAACGGTGTGTACTTGTATATTGTGGTATGAAGCCGTATGGCTCTTCCGGTCCCTTACGAAGTCTTCTGTAGTCTCATGAGCCCCCTAATCTAGTCTCATCGCTCGACCGCTGAGACCTCCAGACCCGATTGGCTGTATAAACCGTAGAAATCGTAGAAATAATACAAAAAATGAGTCACGGCGGAACAAAGGATTATCCGCAACCATTAGGGCTAAGGTATCATAGGAATCAGAGCAACAGCTATGATTACTATGATGATCGCCGCTTAGGAATAGGATTCTTTGACTTAAGATTCTATAGCTAGTATATTCATTCAATATTACTATTCCTAAGAGATTCCCAGTAAAATATAGATATTCGACGGGCATACTGTAATGACATCGTTGACTGGGTGGTGAAATAATGGGGAACTAAATTTGACAGACTTATATGACCACTAATATACTACCCATTAATGGGTTCTCGTTTTTGGTCGTATGGTAAAGACATGGATTTTACAGAATTATATCAGTAAGATAATTGATCAGAAAATTGCACAAAATGTGAGGTGGATAATATTGATTAATTTGCCGAATTTGCGAACATAATTACCCCTGTCCCGAGGGAGTGCTCTACATGAAACACATTTTTGACGCCCGCCTAAATCCTCAACTAATCTCCCCGAAGTCCGCAAAACGTCAGAGAAAACGGTACACTGTCTAAAGCACCTGATTTCTCTGTACACAGCAGAAGGAACGATATTATATCCTGATATAAGTGGAACTACTCGAAGCTCGGACAAAATTGGAAAGTTGAAACACTCCATCAAATAACAATCAAAGTTCAACTACGTACTTCTCCGGTAGTCTACTCTAATGCCAATGTTTGGCGCAAATAAGAAACAAACAATTACGCAATCCTCTTGACTGGAAAGCAGCCCATTGGTGGAATTGATGCAAATTCGAAACATCGTAAGGGGCATAGTATGTTCTTTGGTTTAGAACGCCATACAGAAATCTTTGCTCAGCACGTTCATGATGTATGTTTACGTCGATGTGGCCAAAGATGTGGATTTGGCCATCAAAAGCTCCTCTATATTGTTTCGTGAGTGGGGTGGGGTAGCTGTGTTTTCAATGGAGAAATTTACATATAAAACCTCTGAGCCATATTCGTTCATGATATTTGCTTGAAGTCCAGACTTCAGAGCACAGATTGACTCCTGTATACTTTTTTCTTTTCCGTCATTCTCTTACACTTTCGTTCTTTTCAACTTCAAACTCACATTCGCTTTTCAAAATGCGCAGCGCGCTAGTCCTTTCCTTTTTGCTCCCCCTGGCTTTGGGGTGCAACAATCCTGCTAATCATCCCTGTGCGGCGGTCTATACTGCATCTCGATCCTCCGCGAGTGAATTCTGTGCCACTTTCACTGCAAGCACCATTACGGCCACGACCGGCTTGCCTACTTGGGCTTCTGCTTGTGCCAATGAAGTTAAGCAATTGTCCAGTGCATGCAGCTGTCTCGACACCACCTGGACTACCACCACCGGTGTAGTGGTAAGCTTCTCTCTCTAGAGATAGTAGATAATATTTTGTCTGACCCATCATAGGCCGCTAGCACTTCGGTAGCTGCCACCACTACCCCCGTCGTCGTCAGCATCAGTACTCCAGTCGCTGAGACTACTAGCACTGCAGTCGCCGTGGTTTCAAGCATTAAAGCTGCCACGTCCGCAACTTCCGTCAGGGCAACTACTCTCGCCACCTCGACCAAAACTACTGCCTCGATTACATCTGCCGTCGACACAGCAGGCGCTTGTGTTGTGACTAGTTATGCTGGCATCTCATCTGCTGTCAAGTCCTGCACAAATATCGTCTTGTCCAACATTTCTGCCCCTCCTTCCAGCACAATTGATCTCCAGAGCCTTCAGACTGGAGCCACTGTCACCTTCGCTGGTACAACCGTTAGTTCAACTCATGCCCCTTGATCCCTATTCCCATATATTTGCCTGGGGTGAATTAATCTAATGACCTGATATAGAGCTTCGGCACCACACTCGACTCCGACTTTGATCCTATTGTAATTTCTGGTACTGATTACACCATCACTGGTGCTGACGGCCATATTATTGATGGCAATGGCGCAAACTACTGGGATGGCGAGGGATCCAACGGTGGACAAGCGAAGTAAGTAGAGTTGAAAGTACCAGCTTGTGACAGAGGCATGTATTGATTATATGCTAACTGATTCTATAAGGCCTGATCACTTCATTGTCGTCAAGGATTCATACAACGCTCAAATTACCAACCTCAATATTCAAAACTGGCCCACTCATTGCTTCTACATCAATGGGGTTCAAGGTCTCACCGTCTCCGGGCTGACTCTTGATAACTCTGCTGGTGACGAGCCCAACAGCCTTAGTGGAAGTGACCCAGCTGCCCACAACACGGACGGCTTCGATATCTCCGGCAGTGACACTGTAACCTTGCAGAACATCAAAGTCTACAACCAGGATGACTGCGTTGCCGTCACCAGTGGTAGCAACATTATTGTTAGCGATACGTATTGCTCTGGCGGTCACGGTCTGTCGATTGGTTCAGTTGGTGGAAAGAGCAACAACACCGTCGCTGGAGTCACTTTCGAGAACTCTCAGGTCGTCAACAGTCAGAACGGTTGCCGAATTAAGAGTAACTCTGGTACTACCGGATCCGTAGGTTGATTCTCTATATACCTTTGCAACAACTTCTAACTTTTCGTCTACAGATCAGCAATGTCATTTACCAGAACATTACCCTCTCCAGCATCTCAGACTACGGTATCGATGTCCAGCAGGACTACCTCAACGGGGGCCCAACTGGTGACCCAACCAACGGTGTTACTATTTCCGGCATCTCTTTCATTGATGTTACCGGCACTTGCACCGACGATGGCACAGACTACTACATTCTCTGCGGCGATGGCAGTTGCTCCGACTTTACTTTCAGTGGCGTCTCTATCACCGGAGGTGGTGAGACTAGCAGCTGCAATTACCCCAGCGACACCTGCCCTTAAACAAATATTGCTTTGCGCTTCCTGGGAGAGTAGAATGCATCTACTTGAAGAGAATTTAGTGCGAGCCATCTGCTATGCCAACCTTATTCTTGAAAAAAAGATTCAACTTTGTATTATATCTATAAAAAAGAACTGCGGTGCAGAATCATGATTTACCTCAACCTAGTAGTAAGAGTAAGCATAATCGAATGAACACGTACTCGGCTACCTAACTCATGAACTATGAACCATTCGTACAAGATAGTATCAGAGGCGTTTATCTCCTCCAAATCGCAGCAACTTCGCAACAAGGAGTGAAATGTACTGACTGATTTGACACCCACTTTCCATGCTGATGCTCAACTACTAGGACCTCATATCGACTAATTTCCCTCCCACTGAAATACCGCTATGTAAATCGAGAACACTGGCTCGTCTGCAGGGTATAGAAGTAGCCAATCAACAATGCAAATTTTGATCCCGCCCATGCATGCACGAACTCCGCTGACTCAGCGGAAGTTTTCTGAATAACTACTTCCGTCAACACCTCAGCTCATTTCTTTTCCAGTTCTACAGGCTAAGAAATATTTCTGAAAGTAAAAGTAAGAAATTCTATTGACTCTTCCATTTGGATGACTGCATTTTGCTCCTAGCGACTGGAAATCGCACTATACCAGGTCGAAAGCCAATGCCGGCTACCTCCAAACCCAAGTGCAGGGGCCCCATGCCACGAGCCTGCGACTCATGTCATAAGAAGAAGGTGAGATCATGTTCATATACTAGTATTGAACGCCTTATCTTGATATTTCTTGTTCTCTCTACATATCTCTTTGATTTAAGCATTCTTCGAGATCATGAAAATGATAACAATCTAAAGATCCATTGCGATAGACGACTGCCAAAGTGCGACTGGTGTCTCCACCATGATTTGTCCTGTACTTTCAACAGAATCCAGACCAATACGAGAAAGAAAAGGTGGGCATATATTCTTTACTCCTTGCTCATGAGTATCATTCATCTAAAGTAATGCACTGTCACAGGTCAAAGCCGATTTCGCACAAAGGATCGAAGGGAGGGAACCATCATATGCGAAGTGGAACAGAATCAGGTATATCATGTCAAAAACACAAATTGCCTGCTTTTTGTGTATCTATCTAACAAAGGCAGAGTCTTCAATCATTTCTGACCGCTTCGAAGTCAATGTTCCAAGGCCCATCTTTACGGACACGAAGTTGTCATCAAGTAGCCCCTATGAACCAAGTGGACTCATATTATCATCACCAGCACTAAGAAAACTAGTCGCCTCTTGTGCAGGTCGAATGGAAATGGACCTCGACAGTCTGGACAAGTTCGGCCTCCCATGGCAATACTCGCGACCTCAGAACCCCCATATGATAAATCAGATATCCAACGGAAACGCGAAACTACCCAGCAGACCAACCATGGAGAGATATGCACGAAGATGGTTCTCCTCAGTACACTTTCTTGTCTTTCCAGTCATTAGCTTAGACCTCTTTGAACGAACTCTTGACCTAGTGTATGGTTCTAGGGATGTCAAAGATTATACTGGATCAGTCAGTGCCAAAGCAGCACTCTATGCATTTCTATCCATTGTTACCATTATTGGCTTTACCAAACAGGGTACTTCACATGGGCCTAGCGGTGAGTTTTATGCGGCCAAGGCCCAGTCTTATCTGGTTGATATTGTTCAAGAGTCGACCATGGACGGCTTACAAGCACTCACATCACTTGTAAGTCTCTATATTTGGCTCGGATTCTCTTCGCTTATTTACAATTCAATTTTTTTTTTTTTAGATTCTAGCTACAAGTTTCTCTGGAGATTACAAAAAGGCGGCAATGTTCGTTGCAATGGCATCTCGCATTGCGTACGCTCTAGGTGGTCATAAGAATCCCTTTGAATCACAGTCCTCGGTATATGATACAAGTCGACCGGAGTGCCACATCCGCAACTTGTTTTGGCTCTGCTATACATTTGACAAAGAACTCGCTCTACGGACCGGCCAACCGCCATCAATAAGTGACGACAACTGCGACCTCACTCTGCCTCCTGGATATGTAGAGTTACAGAACTCCAATATATGCTGTCCCGACGTCGTGATCGATAACACGACGGTGCCACTCTACCCCTGGGACCCTCGACTCTCAGTGTTAAAATCGCGTACCTACATGCTCCTCTACTCCGAAAGTGCACTGAGGAAATCGAAATCCGAAATTTTAAAACACATCCGCGAACTTGACGACACTCTTGAGCAATGGCGACTATCTCTAGACCGGGAATTCAGGCCAACACTTGCATTCTCAGAAGATATGCTTTTCCCATCTGCGTTGGCTACGCAACCGGTCATGCTTCGTCTAGCGTATCATCATTGCGTGATCATCATTCATGGTGCGAGTAATAGATGTCGGGATCCATCCGGAGATTTGGATATGCAGGAGATCGGTGTTGCGTCGAGCTTGGGATTAAGTGTTGAGGCGTCGAGGTCTTCGCTTCTGTATCTTCAGGCCGCTTTACCGAATATTGCGGGAGAGTGTTTCTGGTATGCTTATTCCTTTGACTCGTAATTGATATACAACCTACTGATACAGTACCCGCCATCTAGGCACATTCTATTCTATGTCGTTTCGTCAATCGTCACCATTCTGGGACACATGATCTCCAATCCGAACGATCCTAAGTCAATATCCGATTTCGAGTTACTGTTGCAGGTATCAGACATGGTACAAAGCTTCCCGATAACCGAACTGTCGGCCGCCGAATTGATTCAGATGCAGCTAGTAAAGGACTTTTCGCAGGAGTTGGTTGGCATTACTGGGATGGCAACGTTTGATCGTATTCATACTGTATGAACCACCGAAATTATTATGACGCTAGATAAATGCTTCAATCGCATGTTCTCATGACATCATTATACACATATCCACGGCTGAATCCCTATTGTTGTCGGAATTCCGGTTCAGATTTGCGGCCAAAAACGTCGACATATTCTAATTACTTGATAGATGGAAGGTGGAGCTCGTACATATAGAAATAAGTGCAGGATATTTTTGTAATTTTTCAAACTGATATAAGAACACCTGTATGGCAACACATTGTCTCTTCCATGGCTACTTGCTTACCTATTCATACCAACGATCTTTATGTCAAATGGCTGTACAAGGAAGATTCAAACACAAGGCTAGTGCTAGGGCTAGGGCTTGATGGAATGGCGCAATCAATAGATAAGGATTCAGGCACCGATAAGGCGATAACGGAGGGGAAGAAAAAMCCCCGCCGCCAATAAACAGTGCTCCTTGTCTTCCACGTGCTGGCTGAATATCTTACAAATATATGCGCCTTCCTTTGCGCTTCATTCTCAACTTTGACTACTCCCATCTACAGGTCAATCTTATCCGAACAGAGGTTAACAAGAATGGCTGCTCTTCCAAGCGAATACAAGGGTACATTCCCACACATTCACCATCCTCATCATCTTTGGTACTGACAGCATCAAGACAAGGTCCGCATCGCGGTCATCGGCGGCACCGGCCTCCAGGACCTCCCCGGCTTCACCAAAGTCGCCTCTCTCGACATCGAGACTCCCTGGGGCAAGCCCTCTTCGCCCATCACGATTATCCACCACCAATCCAGCGCGTCTGGCAAGGACGTGCCCGTCGCATTCCTCAGCCGTCACGGCACTCACCACCAAATCGCGCCTCATGAGGTACCCAATCGCGCCAACATTGCTGCCCTGAGAAGCCTCGGTGTCAGGACTGTGATTGCGTTTTCGGCCGTGGGAAGTCTGCAGGAGGTTATCAAGCCGAGGGATTTCGTGGTGCCGGATCAGATTATTGATCGCACCAAGGGTGTGAGACCTTTTACGTTCTTTGAAGGAGGGGTTGTGGGCCATGTGCCATTTGGTGATCCTTTCGATGAGAATGTTGCAAAGATTGTACGCGAGTGCGGACACAGTCTGGAGGGGGACGGTGTTGTCTTACATGACCGCGGAACCTTGATCTGCATGGGTACGTCTCTTTCCCCAAAATTCAATTCTCTTTCTTATTAGTGTACTGACGAAAAAAAAAAAAAAGAGGGCCCTCAATTCTCTACCCGCGCCGAAAGCAATATGTACCGCTCCTTCGGCGGCTCCGTCATCAACATGTCCGCCCTCCCCGAAGCCAAACTTGCTCGCGAAGCCGAGCTTGCATACCAAATGATTTGCATGTCCACAGACTACGACTGCTGGCACGAGTCCACCGCTGACGTTACCGTCGAGATGGTCATGGGACACATGAAGGCCAACGCGGTCAATGCGCGACGATTCGTCGGTGCTGTGCTCGATGCGTTAGCTCTGGATGAGAATGCTGAGACGGTCAATGCCAAGCATCTTGAGGGCGGGATCAAGTTTGGTATGAGTACACCGCACACCGCGTGGAATGAGGATGTGAAGAAGAGAATGGAGTTTTTGTTCCCTGGATATTTTTAGATGTGGTCTGTGGATATGAAATCCGTACATAGCAAGACGATACCTCGACAATATACATAAATATGCTGAGTACATTTTATCAAGGTTATTTACGGCTTAAACCGCGGAGCATCTGCATGTTCTATCACGCCAATAGTAGCAAATTAGCCGATATTCCAAGCTTACCGTAGTTTATACACATAGTAACCTATTTAAATATTAGTAAGTGCACATACAAATCCTGAACAAGCTCGTGGGCTGAATGGTTTAGTTCATCCCCGATAATATGGGCTAGGCTATTTTGGGATTAGTGCTCCCTTATCAGATCACCGATAACGTGCCCATCGTCATTTCGTTTCGCTTCTTCAACTCCAACGCTCATCACCTCACTACTCAGTGTTCAGGCACGTCGAGACTAGGTGCTGGTTCGCCGACCTGCATATATTTATATTTTATATTCTTAACAGTCGACCGCTCAAAGCGCAGTCTCCGACGGACTGAACCGCCACCATGCAAGGCTTCAGTACGTTCTTTCCATCATCTACGCACCTTCCCAAGAAACCTCAACTAACCATGTTTGCTCACAGATATGGGACGCTACATCCCCCCGGACCAAGAAGGTCTCACCACCTCCAACAAACTCGCCAACAAACACCCTCTCGGCAACCGAGCGCGCCACCTCCAAACAAAGGGTGCTCTAATCGTCCGCTTCGAAATGCCCTTTGCAATCTGGTGCACAACCTGCAAACCGCACGAAACCATAATAGGGCAAGGCGTACGCTTCAACGCGGAAAAGAAGAAGGTGGGGCAGTATTTTTCGACGCCCGTGTATAGTTTTAGGATGAAGCATGCGGTTTGTGGGGGGTGGATTGAGATTAGGACTGATCCGAAGAATACGGCATACGTCGTTACGGAGGGTGGGCGGAAGAGGGATACGGGGGAGGATAAAGATGGAGAATTGGGACCGGGGGAAATCAGGATTAAGCTACATGCTGGCGATGAGACGGACGAAAAAAAGGATGCGTTTGCGAGGTTGGAAGGCAAGGTTGAGGATAAAAGACAGTTTGATACGGCTGCGACTAGGATTGGGGAGTTGGTCAAACGGCAAGATCGCGATTGGGATGATCCGTATGAACAGTCGAGACGGTTGCGAAAGTCGTTTCGGACGGAGCGTAAGCGGCTTGAGAAAGTTGGGCAGGCGACGGAAGCTCTCAAGGATAAAATGAGTTTGGGGATTGACTTGTTGGAAGAGACGGAGGAGGATAAGCTGCGGGCTGGACTTGTTGATTTTGGTCCTGCTAATACTCTGCTGGACGGTAGTAATGCTCTGGCGACCATGAGTCAGACTCGACCGATGTTCGATAACGGCACACCCATAAAGCAGTCTTCAGGCTTTCAAAGGAAGGAAGAAAGTAGGAAACACAAAGCAAAGCTCAAAGCGGAACAACTCGCAGCTGAACGAAAGGCTTTGCTGAGCAATGAGCTGCGCGGGAACACGCGCGCCGCGGTGGATCCGTTCTTGAACGAGGGTGCGAAAATATGGCAACCAACGTTATTAAAGACACGGAAGAAGAAATTTACGGACGCTGATACTTCGACGGAGCGTGGTGGCCAGGCGGAAGAAGCAGAGCCAGTGGCATCTACGACAGCGCCTTCAAAGACCCCGGCACCGATCGCTCTGGTTACGTATGGATCGGATTCCGAATGATTGATGCAGATAGAATGCGATTTTGTATCTACTTTTATTATACCCCACAGAGTTTCTCAATTTTTGGCCTCTTAGGCATATTCATCACTTCCTTTCATTATTCATGACACAATCATAAGTACTTGCCCAATTCGTTATGAAGGTTTGGTCCATGGTGCTCTAGTAGGAGTCATTGGCCCAGGAGGATTTCGCGAAGTATCGGGTAATGTAGTTCGAACGGGCATACGAGTGGCTGTAGGAGCACCAGTCACGGAGGGTTGCGGGTTTCGTGCTGTGGATGTTGCCCATGGCGCCGCAGTAGCCCCCGGTATTGAAGTGCCTGGCTGGCTCCAAGGCGCACGAGTTCCTGCCGATTGAGTAGCAGGTGGGACTATGGCTCTGTTTACTTGCTGTGAATGTGTCGTAGGTGGAGGGAAAGTGGCACTAGGGTCTCGATCCCAGCTGAATAGAGAGCCGAACGGGAAATGTTGCACCACGGGGAATTTGGAGAGTACTTCTGCATTGTACATTTTGATCATGCCCTATCGCTCATGTTAGTCTGACATCCAACTTTCGTCATTTGGAAGTACCTTATTGATTTTCCCCCAACCATCCTTCACGCCAGATATATCAAAAAGCATGGGACTGTGCTCCCAGAACGGACCCTTCTTCACATCATATATGAAGCCAATGGCGGAAAAGTACATGTTCACTTTTCGTTCTCTCTGCACGACGTTATCTTTAACTACTGAGGGTGGATCGGGCGTATCAGGTAAAGATCCTTCCGTCGGAGTCTCGTCAGTCTCGGCGATGGCAGGGGAATATTGAGCGGAACCGAATATATAGGGTATGAAAGAATGGTCGTCGAGACCCCATACGCCATGGGATCCTGCGGGTTCGAGGTTGTATGTTTTGATCAGGTTCCGAACGAGTTCCAAGTATCTGTAGACACAATGGTGATATGTTAGTAGGGATGGGAAATTGCATGAGTTGATACGTACGGCTCTATGACCCCAACTACAAGACCCCGTTCTTCCACCCCGGGGCCAGCTTCTGGGAATACGCTCAACTTCCATAGACAGGCCAAGAAAGCCAAAAAGCTCAATTCGTGACCAGTGCCATAGTCAAGTCTCTGTGCGCTACCAAAACTCCCAAGGAAGTATGCTTCCAACTCTTTTCGTGCGGGTACCTGCTCAGAGGAAGAATCCTGCGAGGTGCCCAGAATATCAAATCCAAGAGCTTCATCTAAAAGATCTGAAGCCCGTTGCTCAACAAGCTGATACCATTTTCGAAAGCTGATATTTCCAAAACGTCTGGGACCTGTGTCCGGTGGTGCCTCTTCTATGATGCTTTCCAGTCTCGACAATAATAGCTGTATGCGTCGAACTGGTTCTGAGAATTCGACTTCGTGGGAGTTTAATTGCCATGTTTGCACTGTGTTGTCGATATTTCGAGGAAACATTGCTCGGTTTAGCTGTAGGAGAAATGACATAATGTCTCTGTAGGCTTTTGTCGAAAAGAAGGTCTGCACATCGCCGCCATCGTGGATCTTTTTAGTAGGTACGGCGAAGATATGATGTGTTTTGTCTATACGTTCGAGGACGGAAGCCATGGTGTCACAGAAGGAAATGTTATTTAAGTTGAAGAAAGAGTGAGGAGTTGAATGAAGCTACGCGGGGAAGCTCTCATTTCATAAACGGTTGGTGGGGCCGGCACGGGGAGCTACCGTACATGGAAGTTACGCGCTTTGTCTGATGCAAAACTGATTTCTGAATTAGCCTGACCAGTCGCCCATCCACCGTCGTCTCATATCATTGATTTTATGGCCGCGTCTTCTGTCATGTAATACAGCTTCTTGATTGCATCGCTTTATATTCGACCGCTTTTACCCCACGTGAGTATATCGCCGGAATTTGAGGATGGCGCGCAACACGAGGCGGCGAGCAGCGCGTCAAAAAGGCGAAAAGGCTCTCGATATCATCAATAGTGTGGCGGAAGACCGAGAGGATGGCGACGATTCTCGCGCGACAAACTTTGAACGGCGTATAGATACAGAATTGGTTGATCACGAACACGTCGATGAGCAGCGACAATTAAGGCGATCGGCTCGCAACAAGAGAACAGCACACGGCATGGAAGGCCGATTCAGCCCATTGTTTGTTCCGCAAGATGAGCCCCAAGGCAAAACTAAGGAAGCTGCAGACAAAGATATCAACGGGTCTGAAGAGGCAGACGAACTCGAAAGCGAGGCTGATGATGCTGCAGATGCAGAAATCAGCGAAGCCGAAGAGGCGGGCGAAGACGAAGAGGATAGGGAAGTAGAAGAAGACGGCGACTCAGTCGATTCAGAAGACGACTTTTCGATGTCCGATCAACAACAGCTTTTGCAGGAGCAAGAACAAGCAATTGTCAATAGTCAGCAAGAGCAGCAAGAGGAGGAGCGAGAGCAGGTGTTGGTTAACAGCCCTGTTTTGGTGGTGATAGATAGATCCAAGGAAAGGGTCAGCAAGGAACGAAAAAATGCTGCTACAGCCAAAGCTGCGGCACCTGAGACTGCGCGTGCTAAAGCCGACCATGCCCATTTTCTAGGGGAAGATGGTGAGTTCGAAGACAGTGAATCGGAGCAAGAGGATGAGAATGTCGACGGGGCCGGGTCTGAACTGGACTACGAGGACGACGAGGAAGTTCCATCCGATGATAGCTTTGATATGGATGACACACAGCACGATGCGGGCACTGCTTTAAAAAGCCTCTTTGATTGGGGCGATGAGCAGCCAGCCGAGCCCGTACAAGGATCAAGAACAAATGACCAGCTGGAAACGCAATCTCCACGACCAAGAGAATCGTCAAGCCGCAAAAGAAGACGAGCATCAAATACCAGCACAGACGAGCCTAATAGGTCTCGCAGGCGCATAGATCTACAGAATCAAAATCAGGTCGCAGCTAGAAGGAGCACCCCTTTCGCCCTTCCTGCAGATTTAGAAGCCACAACCAGCCCAGAGATGCATGATCGAACTCGCAGACGTATGGAAACACCAAATCAGGGCATCGAGCGCGCTCCTCGTCGCAGGCCACCGGTAGCCCGAGACTCGCCAGAAGTTGCGGACTGGGAAGCAACTATCCTGGAAAAAGAAAACCAGGACGATGTGATAATAGTTGGCGAAAGCATGAGCTACGATGATGCAACTAAAATCCAGGATCTACAAGTGACATGGAAACGTCTAATAAAATACTGTCAGAAATTGAAAGATAATGGTGTCAGAAGAATGCGACGTTATGTTGGCATCGAGGCGATCGTGGAGCGGATTTCAGATTTGCTCAAAGATTACAAGATGATGCAAAGAAAGCGGTCTCGAGGCCGTCCTATTGATGCTATTACCTGGAAGCGGACAAGGCAAGAGGTGAACTACATCAGTGAAGATGCTGCTAAGATTAGAAATGTTCTTGTACGGCGTGCAAAAGAAGGTAAAGAGAGCAATGACCTTCAAACTCAGGCGGATGCGGTGGAATACGCAGAGTTGATCGTTCAGCACGTGATGACATCCTTGTGCGAGTTAGCCTTGGAGTGTCTCAAAACGTACTATTCTGTGGAAGACAAATGGCTTTTGAACGGGGGCTTCGGGGCGGTCTTGGATATAATCGACATTGTCGGAGAGCTCGATCTGACCTTGACCTCATTACACAATTGTGCGATGGTCATGCTGTCTCCATATCCAGGCCGGCCGATACGGCAGGAACTACGCAGCATTCGAGGCTCGTTGGCCAGAGCCGAAGCAGATGAACAACGGCGAGAGCGATAAAGTTGTCCACACCAACATCTAATGACGATTTACAACCCGCGTTCTGACGACAGCTAGGAGTTCTTTGGTTTCTGATACCTTTTGATACATCTTGATACCACTATGCTATTTGAATTTCATACTTTATCGCATATTCGAATGTCTCCAAATGAAACACGTAGGCATTGACACCAACACTGTTGGTCTCTGAGTTGTCTTAGGGCTAGATGCCTGACTGCGTGGCACCAGTACTCCAGGACTTGTCTTCGGCCCTACCATTGCGGCCAGAAGTACTGTCAATCTTCATGCTGCAGGCACACTATTTCCAGCATGGAAATATCTTATTATTTTACTTCTGGTAGACTCTACGAGGACTAATGAGCAATCGCCTAATATAAAGATACAGCAGGACGGACTCCGATTGGCTCAAGCAGGGGATGGTTCGCGTCGCGTCGAGCTAGTCCCGTGACGGCTTAGCCCAGCTCAGCTTAGCTTAGCTTCGTTGACAGCGAAACATCCCCCTCCTTTGGAGATGACTCGAGATGATCGAGAAATAAGTCATTGCGAGTACGTAGTACTCGTAGGTCTACTTATCATCTGTCTCTTATTAATGTTTTGTTCATTCACACCCAACAATCAACGAAATTGTCCTTTGTTGATCGACTGTTCTCCCGTTGACAGTGGATACATCCTAGCTTGACCCCCTCGGGCCTCCGTCTAAGCCGCGACCCCCCTTAAAACCGCAAGCTAAGCCAGCACTAAGGTCGCTGGTGACTGGACAATCTGTTTTGCCGACCGGGCGTCCGTGCGTATCTGGCTAGAAGGTCAAGGAGGAATTGCTACTCCTAGCTTTTCAACTGTCCTCTGCCATTTGTCGAGATCCAATATCAGCAACTCGAACACTGAATTGATACCTACCAGAGGCTGCGACACGCGCTGCTGCTGGAAGGACAAGCAGAGCAGATTGGGAGCAAATTAAAGGTATGTGGATAGCGTATTGAAAATTGTTTGGAAACGGAAAAGAAAAAACAAGCAGCAAAAAGGAGGGACGGCTTGTTGCACATGGAAGGGAGTCAAGGGACAACCTTGCAATTCCGCAACGAGTTTCACAATGAGATATATCTGGGGTACATAAATGAAAGATTGTCATGTCTCAGCATTAATATTGGTTTTATGCTCTGGGCCAGTGACGTTGTCATAGCACTTTGGGCCCAACTGGGACTGTCTGGCGCAAATGCAAGCTTGCCCTTGCATGCAGTGACACTGAGGCAGCCACGTACTAGACCAATATCATTCAACGTTGGAGTGCATGACATGCCCACCTTTATTTACATGATTGTACAATTTCTCTTCTACGAAACATACTAATTTGTATGCTTGTGTACAGTTACTCATTTGACACACACGTCCGGCGCGCTCATCTACGTGAACCATGTCTACCACTGAGGAACCTATTGCTACAGCTGAAGATGTCGAGCTTCCAGCCACCGAAGCTCCAGCAGTTGAGCCTGTCGCCGAGGAACCTTCCGAGTCTGCGCCAGAGACTGAAATCCCTCCTCCTCAAACACCTGTAGATGCGGCGCTTTTGTCCGGCGAGGAGTCCAAGTCGGAAGCTGTGACAAGCCCTGAGGTTGGAAAGACAAGTGCATCACCGGCAAAGAAGTCGACTATTTCGAGTACGACCAAGCGACCTGTTACAAGCTCGACAGCGACAAAGCGGACCGTTGGTTCAACCACTACCACGGGTACGAAGCCAACATCTCGCACTTCGCCTGGTGGCAGCACATTGAGCAAGCCGCCAACCCGCCCGACCACAATCTCAACTAGTGCAACCCGCAGGCCACCGAGTGTCAGTACGACTGCGACTCATCGATCCCGAGCTTCGATCAGCAGCTCTGCAGATGAAAAATCCTCCAAGGTCGCCAGTTCCGGCGATGAGAAGAAGGGTATTTCCAGCGCCGCGAAGCGCATGTCTCTGGCAGGGACACCCTCTTCACGAGCCCCAACGAAGGCTACTTCTACCGCGGATCGASGAGCCAGTGTGATTGGCTCGGCCGCTGACAAGAAGCCGACCTCAACTACGGCTGCCAGAAGTACTACGAGTAGACCGAGCACTGCTACTACAGCATCTCGCACCCCTACCACGGCAACTACTCGTACCGCTGTCCGTCCTAGTACGACCGCACCTGCCAGACCAACAACCACTGCAACGAAGCGCTTGAGCACCGCCCCGGAAGCTAAGGCTGCTGCCGCTGATGCAGGAAAGCTTGCAGAGCTCCAGGAGAAGCTATCTGAGAGTGAAACAACCATTGCAAGCTTGAAAGCAGAGTTGGAGGCTACTCAAGAAAAGATGACGACCTTCGCCAACTCCGCTGAAGAGGAATCCTCCAAGGTTGATACTGCTGTGGAAGCTATTCGAGCCGAGCATGTGGCCAAGATTGACAAACTTTCTCTGGATCATGCACAGGAGGTTCAAGAGTTGCAAGGAAAGCTGGAAGCTGCCGAAACACGACACAAGGATCTAGAAGCCAAGTCATTGCAGGATTTGGAAGTGGCCAAAAAGTCTGCTCTTGACCAAAACGACTCCCAAACAGCAGCCGTTTTGGAGGATCTCAAAGCAACTCACCTGGCCGAGCTCCAACGTCTTCAGACCGAATTGGAAACCGAAAAGGCTTCCGCAGCGGAGACTGCAGCACAGATTACTCGCTTAACCGAGGAACTTGAGTCACAAAAGTCCGCACTGGAAACAGCATCCAAAGCTGCTGAGGAGAAGGAGGCTGCTTCGAATGAAAAGCACCTTAGCATTGTTGACCAGCTTGAGAGGGAGCTGAAGGGACGGGATCAAGTCGTCGAAAATCTTGAAGTTGAATTGAAAAAGCTCTCTGAGAGCAAGGACAAAGAGATTGCAGCTGAAAAAGAGTCGTCAACTGAAAAATTATCGTCACTGGAGGCCAAGATCTCTGAACTTGAAGGCAAGCTAGCTGAGGCGCAGTCTGCTCATGGCGACTCAGAAAAGGCAGCAAAAATTCTGGTCGAAAAGGAAAACGAAATCGCTGAACAGACCGAGGTTATCAAGGCGTTGAAGGCCGAGATTGATCAATACAAGGCCACAACCGAGTCGTTGACAGTCGAGATTGAAAGTTTAAAAACGGCTTCGGGAGACTCTGAGGCGCAGGCAAAGGAGCTCGGGGCTTCTCACGAACGCAACATTGCCGAACTCAAAGCCGAGCACGAGTCGAACGTTGCAGCGCTAATCGCCGGCCATGAGCAAGCTCTTTCTGAGAAGACCCAATCCGCCGAGACTCTCCAAAGTCAGCATCAACAGGAGCTTGAGGCTTCAAAAGCGCTACAGACTGAACTTGAAGCTAAGCTCGCCGAAGCTAATGCGACAATCGACAACCTCAAGCGAGGTTACGAAGAGGGCATCAGCTCTGCCAACACTGTCGCCGGACAGGAGATTGAGTCTTTGAAGGAGAAGGTGGCTACAATGGAAAAATCCTTGAAACTTGATGCTGAAAAGATCAAGGCCTTGGAAACCGATTTGAGCTCTAAGCAGGAAGAACTCGACTTATTGCAAGAGAAGTTGAAGGAAGAAGCTGCTGCTGCTTCACAATCCGCGGATGCGCTAGCCCAGGAATCCAGCAAGCTTTCTGAGGAACATGCACGTGCTATTGAAGCCTTGAAGGGCGGCCATTCGTCTGAGTTGGAAACATTGTCATCTACTCATGCGGAAGCCCTTCAGACTCTTCAGTCTAGCTATGACGAGCTTCTCAGATCCAAGGAAGCGCTCGAATCCGGCCATGCTGAGAAGTTGCAAGCTCTCGAATCTCAGCTGGCTACGTCTCAGCAAGAGGATTCTTCCAAGCATGCTAGCCAGCTCGAGGCTCACCAGGCCGAACTCTCTGCTACAAAGAAGGAGTATGAGGAGAAGCTTCAAGCACTTGAGAGTCAGTTCGCTGCAATACAACAAGAGACGTCTAGCAAATCTGCCAGTCAACTCGAAGCTCACCAGGCGGAGATTGATGCATTGAAGAAGGAACACGCTGAGACGCTGCAGGCTCTTGAAATCCAACTGGCTGCTGCTCAGCAAGAAACTTCTACCCAATCCGCTAGCCAGTTGGAAGCTCATCAGGCGGAAATTGATGCCTTGAAGAAGGTCCATGAAGAGACACAGGCTAAATTAAAGGAGGAATGGGAGGCTGCCCAGGCTTCAAAAGCTGCTGAGACGGACTCTGACCATAGCCAAGTCATTGAGGAGCTGTTGACCGCCCACGAATCGAAGTTGACGAACTTGCGCAACGAATTAGAAGCATCACACCAGGAAAAGCTTGAATCTCTTCAAAAGACCCATGACACTGTCTTGGCTAATGTCAGCGAGCAGCTCAACAAAGCTAACGAAGCTGCTGCAGATACCTCAATTATTGACGGTCTCAAAGCACAAATTGCGGACTTGACTGCCAAGCTTAACGCTGCTGAACAGAATCTGGCGGCTGCTGAAGAGAAGTCTTCATCTTCCACTCTCGAACTAACTGGCAAGCATGCCAAGGAGCTATCAAAGGTGCAGCAGGAAAAGACTGAGCTCGAGCAAAAGCATCAAGCAGTTTCAACTCAGCTTGAAGAAGCACACAAATCACTTGGAGAACACCAGCAAACTCAGTCACGACTTGAATCCGCCATTCAGCAGCTGACCGCCGTCCAGGATGAGTTGGATGCTCTAAAGAAGGCCCATGAGCAGACCAATGGCGACTTGGAATCGGCTGTTGCCCGCAACAAGACCATCGAAGAGCAAATCGCCAAGGGCGAAAAGGAGCTCAACGAGCAAATCGAGAAGAACATGTCCTTGTTGACACAGCTCACTGATGTCGACTCTAACATCTCCAACAGCCGTAAGCGCATTCGTGAGCTAGAGGCAGAATTGGCTGCTCTCAAGGAGTCCTCGAAAGACACAAAGCCGGCGGAGACTAGCAACACTCTACTCGCAAGCAGATGGGCCACGAGTGAGGAAGAAACGGAAGAGAAGGGGGGCGCGTCTGCGGAAGGTGAGGAACTTGGTTCTTCCATAGAGGGAACGGTGGGGACGCCCCGTTTTGATACCTCTGCATTAGATTGACCGAAGAACGAACGCTGATATAAAACAGATGGCGAGCATACAGGAACAGCTTAAACAGATCCGAGCGGCAAGCGACGACTGGTACGATGAACATCGCAGGTATGTCACACCTTCCCAAAGTCGCTATACTTACTAATGTTGTCGATAGAATCGTTGGCGAACTTGTACAAGCATCTCGCGGAACAACACCAGACCCATCCTCCAAAGAACCCAGCTTGAAATCACCCACATCCATCACCCAGACGATAACAACCACAGTAGGCGGCGCTGAAGACGAAACCGCCTAAAGTTGTTTCCACCATTGCATGCAACAATTCTTTATATTGAATCAAGCTGTATATAACATGTCCAACTCTTAAGTCTTTTTTTACTGTTTTGGATACCCACCGCTGTGTTGTTTCGGGTCGAATGCCATGATGCGTTCTCTGTCGTTTTATGTGTCGTTATCGCTGTTGTCGTTGATATGGTTGATGTAGGGTTTTTGAACCCTTTATTCCCCTTTTCTCTTGTATTCAATATTTCTATTTTAATTATTGTTTATATACCATCTCCTGTCATTGATGTTGAGGATTCGATACGTTTAATAAGGATACTTGTCGAAAAAACACTCCCATGCAGTCTATGTTTTTTTTATCAATAATCTAGGGTTCTATATTTCTGGTCCTACACACCAGACATATACGTACCTAGCTACCTAAAAATATCAGCGTACGATTTCCCTCGGTTAAGAAATTGATACAACCAGACTAGAACTAATCAAAAGTAATCTTTTTCCCCTGAAACGAAGCCTGCGCCTTCTCCTGCTTGGCTTTCCTGGCTGCTTCCCACGACGGATGCAACCCATCATACGCCTTTTTCTTATTCGCGGCTATCGCATTCTCCTTCCTGACATCTTTCTCACCCCCATCACCATTTCGCGACGATGAACCAGTATATTGACGCCTGCCAGCAGCACCACCCCATCTCGGTCCATTGTCGTTATCATCCGTAGCMCCCCGTCTCGCATCCCAGCCACTATTCTTACTATTGTTTCTGCTACCTTTCTTTTGCTGCTCTTCCTGAATGTGTTTCGCTCTGGCGCCGAATTTCTTTTCCCACAGCGCTCGGCGCGCTTGTTGGCCCATTCTGTTTTTGCGTGCGGGTTTACCGCTACCGGTAGCCGCGGCGGCGACTTCGTCGTCTTCCTCGGGCTCAGAGTCGGAGCCGGACCAGTAGCCGCCCATCATTAGGGAGGGAAGAAACGTTGTATCTTTTGGTTTGTCGGCGACATTTGTATCTTGTTTGGAGGGTTTGGATTTTGTGAGAGGTGGTGGAGAGTCAGATTCGGATTCAGGTTCAGGTTCGGAGTATTCGGATATAGAGGATGCTTCTTCTGCGGATGAGATCGATATGTTGTCTGGGAATTTGGGGGTGATTTTGTTTGAATTTAAGGCGGGTTTAATGGGAGAAATGTCGTCGTCGTCGGAATCTGAGCCGTCGGATGCAGATGCAAGACGGGCATCGAAGTAAGAAAGATCCATGCTCTCGCCGTCGGATACGTCGTCCACGTTGATATCATTCAAGTACTCTGCTTTTGATTTTTCATCTTTTGCACTCTTCGAAGATACCTCATCTGGTGTGCTTTCTGGCTCATTTGCCGATTCTTCCATGCTCTCGTCTTTTTGAGTTGCTTTTTGGTCCGCCTTTTTCTGCGGCTGCTTTTTCGTACTCGTCTCGTCGACACCCAATAAAGTTCGAATATCGTTTAAAATCTCAGGCAGCGCATTCTGGACAGGGTTCGATTTGAATAATCGCGCCGTGACATTGGCCTCGGCGGGGTCGCGTGGGCCAGCGTTGATTGAAGCATTGATGCTTTTCTCTAATCGCACGAATTCAGGAGCCTCCGCGATCCGCTTCGTCTTATTCAATTGTTTGAGCAGGTATCGTTGCGCTGTTTCCTCAAGATCAAGAGCCTAATTCGGGTCTCTCAGTCAGTACAACATCATTTCATGCCCTGGCTAAGAAACGAACCTTCAAAACATGCACCTCCTTCTCCAATCGCTCCAAGGTCTTGGCATCCTTCTCACTTTTGGCTGTCTTTTGCCGTCTACCCAGTTTCTGTCTTTCAAAACCGCGAGATGTCTTTAATGCGCGGAAGAGGAGCTGGGTGCCTCGTTCGAATTTGTGGCCGAGACGGGTTGCTTTGACGCGGTTAAAGTTGTCGGAGGCGTCTTCGCCAGAGAGTTCGGAGTGTTTGCGTTTTGGCATGGTGTCGTATGGAGCTGAGTAATCAGCACAGAGCTGTCCTGGTATTTGAATAATTGAAAGTGATGGAGGAGTTATTGATGCTCGGGAAAATTTCAGTGGGGAAATATCCAACTCGGTCTCTGATTGGCGGGAGTCCGCCGTACCTTCTTTAGTTGTCGTCTTCTCCAAGACTCCCAACACTTCTTTTGTGTCACATCATATACTTAGAGGAGTAAATTTGACATGACTGAGCAATCAACAATTTGCACTGGTCTGCCCGCAGTTTGCTCGGAGTGGTCTATGGGTACTAATTTTCACTCTCACCACAGCGTGCAAGATGATTAGATGAGCTAAAACGACGTCTTCAAGAACGATCGGCTAACTTGTCAGTAACAAAGAGCTGACCGACGAATATAAAAATTAATATAATCACCGCATTAACGGTATCCTGTTTCCGGCTGTGCAGTATGGCCTGCTCTCCAAGAGCATCCATATACCCCGATTCTCGAGGTATATGAATGAAAATGATTGGACTTTCGCGCCACAGGCGGCTGCATGTGGCGTCGACTTATGATAGTCTTAAGGGAGCGGGGTGAACCCTCTCTGTTCAGCCTCGCGATTGAGGCCATGCCAGTCCTCGGTGATAGGTATCATGGTGCAGACACAATATGGCCACCGTATCGAAATCATTACTCAAGCCGCACGATTATACAGTAGCATGGATCTGCGCTCTTGCCATAGAAATGGCTGCCGCGGAGGCAATGCTGGATGAGAGACATTCTTTACCTACCATCTCCGGTGACGACAATACCTACGTCGCAGGAAGGGTGGGCTCCCATAATGTTATTATCGCGTGTCTTCCAGCGGGAGTTTATGGGACGACCTCTGCTGCCAACGTAGCGTCTCAGATGCGGCTCACCTTCAAGAGCATTCGGTTTGGGCTCATGGTGGGAATTGCTGGGGGAGTACCTAGTGCAGATCACGATATTCGACTTGGTGATGTCGTAGTCGGCAAACCAACGCGGGATTTTGGGGGAGTAATCCAATACGACTATGGCAAGGCTGTGGCTGGCGGCTATTTGGAACGAACAGGKGTCTTGAATAAGCCTCCAACCATACTCTTGACAGCCATGACGGCGCTACAGTCCGCACACATTGCGAACAAAAGTCGTATTCCTGATCTAATTGCAGACTTGGCCGAGCGACATCCGCGAATGAAGGAGAAGTTTACGTATGACAGCCGCAGAGAAGATTTGTTGTTTGAGTCCCAGTACCATCATAGTGATCGTGCGACGACCTGCGATGAATGTGATAGGCAGCGGCTAGTTACTCGAGCGCCAAGGGACAGGAACGACCCTGTTATACACTACGGTCTGATTGCATCCGGCAACCAGGTCATGAAGGATGCTCAGAATAGAGAGAAGCTCGCCCGAGAATTGGGCATCCTGTGTTTTGAGATGGAAGCAGCTGGTCTGGTGGACACATTTCCATGCCTAGTAATTCGAGGGATTTGTGATTATGCTGATTCTCACAAAAACAAACAATGGCAAGAGTATGCAGCTGCAACGGCGGCAGCTTATGCAAAGGAGCTTGTCACCATGGTCCATGCTCTTCAAGTTGTAGATACACCTTCGGTTATGCCGATCACCGACGGTACGTAGGCTATGTGCAACAGACTGTAAAGTTCTCGGTTCTGACTATAATCCTGCCAGTCGTTCATAAAAGCAAGGCTATGGCCAAACTGCGAGGCTCGTCAACTTGGGTAGCAAAGCCGAATGGTGAGTGGAAATGATTCAATTCTTGCAGCACATGTGCTCATTCATTGCAGGCGAACTCGACGAGACGATGCTTAGGCGGATTTCAACCTATGAGCATGAAAAGATTCATCAGCGACTTGCTCGCAAACGCGTCATGGGGACAGCGCAGTGGTTCCTGGATCATCCCGATTTCCAAGCATGGCTGAAGGAGAAAAGATTCTCGAGGCTGTGGTGCTCTGGGAAAAGTAAGCGTGCCCACTGGGGCTCCTTGCACAACGATCAGCACTAATCATTACTCTTGAATAGTCGGCTCGGGTAAAACAACGATAGCGTCAGCACCCCTTCGCTCGTCGCCTTGTGGTGAGTAGGCTAATCGTGCCATAGGACAGCGGCTATCGATGAAGCCAAATATCGATTATCGAACAACTTGGCTTCGACGGCCTTCTTCTACTGTGAGAGCGACAGACCAGACGAGCTGAATGGGTCTTACATACTTTCCAGTCTGATCAGACAATTATGCAACTATCTTCGAGTGAAAAATAGACGCTGCCCCGGCGATGTGGCAGATGCACTGAATCGCTTTTTTGGGAAGGATCGAGTTTTTCCAGACTTCGAAGATTTGAAGGGTCTTATGTTCCAGTTATTCAAACTTGTCCCAGACACAGTGTACATCATTGATGGACTCGATGCATTGAACCCAAGCCAAAGTAAAGATCTGTTTGAGTTCTTCAGGTCCCTATTCTGCGGTTCTGGATCACCACCAGAGTCAAGAATACTTTTTTTCAGCCGAGAACAATTGCCTGGTTATACAGGCATTCCCCTATTCATGGCCGGCGCTCGTCAAATTTCGACTACGTCCAATGTGATGCCGGACCTTCAAGTGTACATTGATACGAGTGTCACCGATAAATTGATGACCAGGAAGCTCACGGACGATTTAGCCTTGTTGGATGAGGTCAAGCGGGTCCTCCTGGAAGAATCATCTGGAATGTAAGAAGCGTATCTCTCTTTTATATTAGCTGAAGGCTAACAGACCAGGTTTCTTTGGGTCTACCTGCAGTTGGAGATTCTGTGGCAAGAATGTTTCACAGACAATCGTATTCGATCAGCGTTACGAGATCTTCCGACAGATCTGGAGGAGACATACCGTCGCTGTGTCCGAAGAATGACTTTTGCTAATTCTTATGCATTGCGCGTTCTTCAATGGGTCAGTTTCGCTGCGAGACCACTTCATATCGACGAATTAAGAGAGGCCGTCGCGTTTGACTTGGAGGACATGACATGGGACGCCGGAAAGATCCCACAAGCTGATGTGGTGATTGGGTGTGGTGCGAATCTCGTGGCCGTCGACCCATCTGATCAATGTGTGCGCTTTGCGCATCCCTCTGTTAAGACATATCTGCTCAAAGATTCAGACTCAGCCAGTTTGATTCCAAGATACCCAAAATCCGATAGGCAGGGCGAGCTCCAGTGCGGAGAATTCTGTGTTGCGTATTTGTCGTTCTCTAACTTCAACCTCGCACTGGTGAAGCCAGCCAACGAGACTGAAGTGGTAAAAGTCCCGAATGCCCAGCTGCTCGCCGGCGATGCATTGACATCTCCCTTCGTTAGATTTTTCTGGGGACGAGGGAAAAATCCCAAGCCACCCACCCAAGTACAATTTCGACGCATTGGATCAGCCACTATCCCGGATCGTTCACAATATAAATTTCTGGACTACGCAGTCACTCACTGGGCCTTGCAAACCAAAGAGATCACTTTTAAATCTCTAGTCTGGGAAAAGTTCGAGCGACTCTCGCTAAGTTTCAATGAAACCTGGAATTTTCACCCCTGGGTGATCGGCGGCCGCTCACAAATCTCACGTCTGCATGGCCTCTTCGGCTGGGCTGTTGAAAACGAGCACCTTCCGCTATTGGCATTAGCTCTCAATTCTGAGCGAGACATACGATTGATCTGTAACCTTCCATTAATCGATGAACGACTTCCTGCACTTCATCTCGCATCAAAAATGGGGCTTGTGGACGTTGTCAGACTCCTTCTGCCCGTGTGCCAATTGAACTTGCAGGACGAAGAAGGATATACTGCCTTACATCACGCAGCTAGTAAAGGACATGTACGTGTTGTGGTCATACTTCTAAATAAAGCAAACATTAAAATAGGCATCCCGTCAAAAACCCAAGTTACACCCCTTTGGCTGGCTGCTAGTCATGGCCATTGCGACGTTGTGCAGGCTCTAGCTGAGAGGCAGGCGGATTTTGAGGCCGAAGATAGTGAAATGCGACGGACGCCGCTTATAATGGCTGCTAGTAATGGCCATCGAGCTGTTGTCGACTATCTCGTGAGCAACAGAGCGTATTTGGAAGCAAAGGATGCCGGGGGTAGGACGCCATTATCATGGGCCATCACGAATGAGCATGTGGACACGATCGAACTTTTACTTGAGAGAGGCGCCAATCCTGCTTGTAAATTTGCGAACAAGGGACAATTGCTGTTACGGGTGGCGCAGACTGGCCATGCTGCAATTATGCACTTACTAGTCAAAGATCTCACGACGAACCTAAACACTACCGATGACAATGGCTTAACAGGCTTACGGTGGGCTGTACAGAATAAAAACTTGGAAATTGCTAATATCCTTCTTGATGCCGGGGCAGATCGGGAGATCCGAGATGCTCGCGGCCAGACGCCTTTACTGTGGGCAGCGAGAAATAATCACGAAGCACTGACTGACTTACTGCTAAAGAAAGGCGCGGTTGTATATGCTCAAGATAAGGAAAAGAGAACAGCATTATTCTGGGCTGTCAAGAACAGCCGCGAGGGTCTAGTCAAGCTACTGCTCGACCGAATCGGAGACCAACACGCGGGAAGGAAGCGGTTACTGAACGCTATCGCCTTGCGGACTGCACAAATGCGAACTCAGGATACAGTGGAGTCATCACTTGGCGCAAATGGAGATTTTGAGGACAAGACGCCGCTACTGTCGGCTGTAAGAAAAAGCCACGAGTGGTTGACTCAGCAGTTTATGGAAATTGTCCCTAACGTGGACCGAGAGACTATTCTAAAGGAGGCAGCTTCTATGTGGTCCACAGTGAACGGACAAATGTCCCTACTCGAAATGCTCGTTGGGAAAAAAAGTAAAGATGACATCGATGAGTCCTATATGAGGACATCCCTCCTACAAGCTGCGGAGAAGGGTGATGAGCATCGGGCGAAGCTGATGGTTGCTAAAGGCGCTGATATCCACGGAAGAAATCTATACGGGGAGACAGCACTATGGTGGGCTGCAAGAAACGGGCATGCGTCGCTTGTAGAATTTTTCTACGATAAGGGTGCAGATATTGAATCCAAGGATAAATTTGGTCTCACGCCATTAGCTTGGGCGGTTGAGAAGGGATACTGGGATGTTGTTAAGCTATTGGTGGGCTGGGGCGCTGACATCCGGGCTCGCGACAAGTCTGGCCAGACACCACTTACTAGAGCTGATGGCAAAGGAATGCGGAATCTATTGGTTGGAGAATGAAGGCACAAGTGATGCAGGACTTTCGCCTCTGGCTCTATTCCGTTTTGCTTGCCTTGTATAATGCCAAAGACAAACGGATACCCGCTGCGTGCTGGAGATTACGATTTCAATCGAGGAAGGCTTTGACTTTCCTGCTTAGTTCATATGCTAAATCTCATCTTTGGGAACCTGTTCGGCCAAGTCTCATTCCAAACCCAACTTAGGTAAACCATGAATCCGGCCTGTTCATATTTTATTCCATAATCGCCTCGACTTTTCTACATCTTGATAGACCAGGAAATTTGTGTCAATTGACGCAACATAAGGCGGGAGAATGGGCCTCATTTGAGACAAAGTTGAGACAATCCTGGCTAAATCCTGGCTTCGTCTGTGCCGCTGGCACCGCTGGGACCTGTTTATTATGCTTGATCACCATCCCTGCTTTCGCTACATGCGAGCCTGACGTCCGTCCCTTGGAGAGCCGAACGTTCTATCAGCTGTGGAGCGAATGACTTCTGAGTCCAGCAGTCTTCGGCCTGCTTGTCACGGGTTATACCGGCTATTTTTTGCACATCAGAAATGGCGTAAGCATTGGAGTTAACTATCTCTTCTTGCCTTATATCCAAGTCTGCTCTTATCGAAGCGTTACAATATTTGCTTGAAATTTATTTTCTTGACGCTGAACTGTATTCACTAGGTCCTTCGATGTAAAAAGTAGTACTATGGTTAGGGCTGGGCTCGCCAAATCAATGTATTATTGGATATGCAATAGTGAATACCTACCCAGGTACCCAGATAGTGAGGACACATACGCACGACTGGTAGTTCCGAAGTTTCAAATGAGGTGCTGCCTAAACATACCACCTCAATGTTTCGGGCGGGCCAACTGGTTTATATATTTATGGCTAACGCGGCAAGATCTAAGTTTTTCAATTTTGGATTCACGAGATCAATACCCATCAATTTTGGTCCAGTGTCTGGTGAATTAAATGTACAAAGGATCAAACCAAGCAGACTACACATGTAGGTGCGTGGCCATTGGTACTTGTAATCGTGAATAATTGAGCTTGTTTTTCTCTTTTCTATCTGCATCCAACCATATCCTTGAAGTGCAATTCGCGGGTCTCTATATACAAAGTAGACATGACACAAGGGAAACTAATGAAAGAGTAGGTTTACAAAGGCGACTTGCCGCCTATTTCTTTTCTGCTGGTTTCTCCTCTGGCTTGGGAGTGGGAAGTTTGAACTGTTGAACCGTCTGTGTTAGTAAAAATCAACACGGATACGCAAAGGGAAACTTACGGAGTCAGGAGCACGGTCGGTACCGCTGCCAATCTGTTCCCAGGAAGAGCTTCCTCCCTCAAAGTTACGGAATGCCTGCGTAAGCTCGAGAGGCTCGTACACAATGCGCTTCTTCTCCTCGTCGTATCGAATCTCAGTGTAACCGGTCAATGGGAAGTCCTTGCGGAGAGGATGGCCGTCGAATCCATAATCGGTCAACATACGGCGGAGATCGGGATGGCCGGAGAAGAAGACACCAAACATGTCGTACACTTCACGTTCGTACCAAAGAGCGCCATCGAAGAGGCTGGTCATACTGGGCACGGGCTGTGCTTCATCACAGTATGTCTTGACGCGGATACGGGAGTTGTGGCGGACACTGAGCATGTTGTAGACAACCTCGAATCGTTGGTCGCGGGTGGGATAGTCGACCGCAGTTATATCGGAGATTTGGGTGTACTCGGCGGCGGTGTGGTACTTGAGGAAGGTCATGACGGGGACCAAGCCGGAGGGGGGAACGTAGATGGTAAGCTCGTCCTTCCAGACGGAGAACTGTTGGACGTATTTGGGAAGGCAGGACATGATGTATTGTCCGTATTTGTGCATGGCGTCGGCCTGGTCCTTGTATTTGTCGGCAGGGTTGACCACGGGAGCGCGCAACTCTCCTTGAGCTGTACGAATAGCAATCTTTAGCACAAGCACGCATTGAGACCATTAACCGCATTGCTATGGTAGGAATCACTTACGAGGACGTGCGGCGTGTCTCATGTTCGGGACAGGATCTTCCTTATCGAGTTGACGAAAGTGAGTCGAAGAAAAGGTACGGACGCATACTGCGGATCTCGAGGCAGCGCCCAGAGAGCGGCTGCTTCCCAATCGCATCAAAGACCGCGTGGCCGCCATTGTGACAAGGCAATTGCTTGACGAATATGAGGATGAAGCTGGACGACAGCAAGACGGACGGTTTGATGATGTTGAAGCGAGCCGCGGAAAGAGGGTCACATGATAATGCTTATATAAGGGGTCATGTGATTTGAGTCGCCGCCCAAGCGCGACCAAGGCCCGCCAAGCCTAACCAGCCTATCTGGGAAGGAACCACCTGCCAGCGCGGCAAACCAAGATTGACCTTCTGTTCTGTTCCTTTCCTGCTATTCTCCACGAAATCTTCTCTTTCACCACATCCCTTCCCACCTCGATCCCTTTCGAGCTGTTGTATTAACGATTTCCTTCTTTCCTTCTCTTCTCGTAATCTGTTTTCATATACCTATTCCAGTTCCAGTTCGTGCAGACCGGGGTTGTCAGTTTTTCCTTGGGTTTACTAGCGACGGCCTCGTTTCATTTTCAAACGGCGTACGAAATCGATTCTCGTCGTAACTCACAACATATCGCCTATCATGTCGAATCGAAATCAGATAGACTCGGTCATTGACGACGATGACGAGTTCTGGTAAGGACTATGTCTAGATGATTACCGTGAGCCCGGTTAAGCTAACCTTTGACCGTCTTTGACAGCCCACTCTGTATTGAAGAGTTTGATCTTTCAGACAAAAACTTCAAACCTTGTCCTTGCGGCTATCAGGTACGTTCTTTGTCGTCTTTCGCCTCCCGCTCTCCCTCTCATTAAGAGGTTTGCGCTAATACTTTGATACTCTCAGATCTGTCAGTTTTGCTACAACAATATCAAAACTCATAGCGAAGAGGGCCGGTGTCCCAACTGCAGACGTGTTTACGATGAAAGCACTATACAGTACAAGGTGCCTGATGTAGACGAGTATGTTGACCCTCTGATAAACTGTCGAGCGAGCATCATAACTAATCCTTCTCTACCCTTAGGTTCAAAGCCGACTTGGCACTGAAGCATCGGAAAGCGGCCGCCGCGAAGAAAAAGGAAGCAGAGAAACGAGAAATTGAAGCTTCCAGCCGAAAGAACCTTGCTGGTGTGAGAGTCGTTCAAAAAAACCTGGTTTACGTTATTGGGTTAAATCCCACAATACGGGACGAAGGGCAGCTTTTGCAGACGCTGCGTGGCCCGGAGTATTTTGGCCAGTATGGCGAGATTGACAAAATCGTCGTTAGCAAAGCCAAACCAGGTGGCAACCCCAACCAAGGAATTGGCGTCTACGTGACATTTTCGAGAAAAGTCGATGCAGCTAGCTGTATCGCGGCTGTGGATGGTTCGACAAACGGCGATAGACTCCTTAGGTTTGTAATGATTCCGTAGTTCCTATCGTGCAAAATACTGACCCAATTCTAGGGCGCAATACGGAACCACTAAATACTGCTCGTCTTTTCTGCGAAATGAACAGTGCAACAACCGCAATTGCACATTCCTTCATGAAACCGGCGATGATAATGAAAGCTACAGCAGGCAAGATCTGTCTTCGATGAATACTGCGCAAAGACCACATTACACGAACGGCGCGACAAATGCTGGCACTCGACCCTTTACTCAGCCTCTGCAATCCCAACCCATGCGCAGGCAGGGTAGCAAAGATGAAGGCGGAAAGCCTCTACCAGATGGCCCTGCTCTCCCATCCTCTGCAAGTTGGGCGAACAAGGACGCACCTTTTAATCGCGCTAGGCGACTTAGTGCTGGTAGCCGCTCATCACCAAGTCCGAAGCCGGCAAACGTTCCCCTGGCGAAAAGCGAAGAACTCAAAAAGAATTTTCCTACGGCACAAGAATCGCGACGATCCACTCCCGCTCCCGCTCCTGCCCCGGCTCCAGTATCAACACCAGCACCCGCACCGGTACCGGTTGCTGCTCCGACTCCAGCGCCCTCTCAAGGCCTTCCTCCGGCCAAACCAGCAACAGCCCCCGCACCAGTCAAGGATGGCCTATTAGAGTCGCTTCTCAACGCGGTAAACTCTCCAGGATTTCGCTTCGTCTTTTCGACCGATGGCTTGTCCGACGATGATTTGAAGTACATAGAAAATGGTCCCTCCTTGATCGATCCATATGGCGGGGCAAAGCGCCGAGCGATGCGGGAAAAAGTCGAGCAAGAGCGTGCTAAACAAGAGGCCGAAACACAATCGTTGTTGCAATCAGCGGCAGCGGACGACGAGAACCGCGAGAGTGGCAGCTTGCAATTGGGTGGCGAGCCGGATGATGTACATCCATCAAGAAATACAGTCTCTCGTAATCGCGATACACATGGTGCGATCCAGCCTCCCTCCCAACAAACAACAAATGCCAATTCGTTAGTTGGCTCTCCTGTGTCCATATCGCAACAATTTCACAACTTGAACACGAACACTCGGAGCTTGACCCCTCTTCAGCAACAACAACTTATGCTTCTGAAATCCGGTGCTGGTCAGCAAGGCGGACTCGTGGATTCTTTGAATCCTGCATTTGACCAAGTTTCTCAGTCTCGATCAGGCCTGTTTCAAGCAGGAATTTCGCAAGCAGGGGCAAGTGATAGATTCTACTTCCATCTTAATAATCTATTAACTAACTTTGGGTATAGACATCCAACACGAGGCTATTCGGTCAACAAAATCTGATGCAAACTGGAAATCCCGGTCAACTCGCTGCTCCCGCTCCTCAACAAGGTCAATTTTACACCAGCAGCGTTCAAGGGCCCCCTCCGGGTTTGAAGACAGCCGGTACACCCCCCATCAGCGGTGGTGGCATGTTTGCACAGGGTCACGGCTTCACGTCAAACACGAATCTTGGACTGGGTTCGAATGTCGGAAAGCAGGAGTCGAATCCAGACCTTATGCGCGAGTTACTTCGTGGTCGTGGCGTGTCAGCTGGAACTGGTGGATTGCAGGGTCATGAATCTGCTAAGCGTGAGTTCTTACTTCCCTTCATTCAACAGCACCATACCCCCCCTCCCCTGACTCCCGCTACTGGCCTTCTCAACGCGTTCTATGGATCCCAGAACGGTGCTCTCACCGATTTTGGACCACAGAAGCAAAAGAAGAAGGGGAAGAAGCACAGACACGCTAACACTTCCTCCGGTGGAGGCGGTGTAGTAGATCTTGCGGACCCGAGCATTCTACAGGCGAGAATGCATCAAGTCGGTGTTGGTTCGACTGGGCAAGTGCTATACGGAAGTCAGGGGCAAGGTGGGTACAACCCCTCTGTGATGTACGGTGCCGGGTTTAATCGGTGGTGATTTGTATACCGTCTTACTGGCGGAAGCATCGGCTTGCCATCGTGTTTCAGTTTCGAGATGTGATTATCCTTTCCCTTTGCATATTCGAATATCCCTTTTTGTATGATCGTTTTGATTTTTCATGACATGTGTGTTTTTTCCTTGCGAGGCCAGGCTGCTAGGAAGCCTCAAGGTTGCGTGGTTTTCTGGTTTTTTCCCTGTCAATTTTTTCTGCATTATTTTCCCTTTTCCCACAGCAGCCAGCATTTGTGAAAACGGCCATTCAAAAGAAACGGCCTGGGTCTGTTTTTGGCGTTTCAATCGGGTGTACTCTTCTTTCCTCGTCTCAATTCGATTTCTGAATTGGCGTTGCTGCATTCCCCATTGGTGATTTGCATGTTTCCGGCTGTTTTTTTACTCCAGCCACCACAAGCTTCCTGCACTGGCTTGTTCTACATTCAGCATTATGCCGGTGATCAAAGCGGTTATGTACGTTAAGACCTCCCTGTCCTGTCTTGAATACAAGACGAGTCAATATGCTGAAAACAAATTCTCACATATAATGTCCTAGACCTTTTGCTGTTGGTCACTGGCTGAGTATTTGATTTAATTGAGCCCGGAGATCCTTGTAATACCCTATGACTGTATTGTATATATGAATGTTCTTTTGTTTTTGACACCCAGACGATGGCAGCCGATTGCTTTTTGCTGTTCTTTGCCTTTGACTGCTTTTGACATACGACACTGCATCCGAACTTGGACTAACTTTCTATAGTGGACGATGAAGAATTCCCACCTCTGAGTGTTGGACCGAAGAGCAGGCTGGAACATGCTTTTAGGCCGACATTGACTCAAGAGTCGCGAGAGCATTCTCGAGCGGGTACTCCATCTCTTCCTCCTGGTCTTCCCCTCCCACATGGCCATCCACCGGCAGCTTTCTTCTCAGATAAGAAAAGTTTGGACAGTCCAGAGTTCCCTTTTAGTCTACCGACTCATGGTCCTCCCGGTCTTCCAGCGTCTGGACGTGCGACACCATTGCAAAAGTCATTGGACACTGTATCCCGGCAACAGACCCCAATGGTTCCGGATGTCTCGGATGAAAATGCACAGGTCGAGAAGATTCGGAACTTTGGAGATATCTCATTAGGTTCTCCCAAGGCACGATCGGCTAGAAAGCCCAACGCTGCGGCACCAACAGACCTGCCGGCTAGCAACAAATCAACGGTGACAAAGGGTTCACAGAACAAAAAGCACAAGCCTATCAAGCTAGACCTTTCTATGCCGTTGGAAGAGGTGCCGGCCGCATCACCTGTAAAGGAAAGCCCAGCATCTAGCAACGTCACTCCTGCGAACTTGCCACAATCAAACGTTGCGGCTAACTCGCGACCTGGCACGCCGCTGACTGGAATATCACGGAATTCCGATTCTTCTGGACCGCGTCAACCAAGGGTCCTTCGTGTTGTGGACACGCCAAAGGCAGAGACTCCCCCTCCTCCATCGGCAGCGCCGTCGCTATCTTCGGTTGTTCAAGCCAAGATCCGCTCTAGACGCCCAAGTATTTCTTCAGCTGATCGTCCTGAAACGCCTGGCGATATAGGCTCTGAATTTGAGTTTACTTCCGCATCTGCGTCACGAGCCAATTCGCCCCCTCCAAGCAAAATCGGATCTGCCCCTGTCCGTTCCATGACAAAGAATCAAGTGAAGAAAGAGCGAAGAATGAAGGCAAAGCAGGCAGAGGAGGCTATCAAAGAAGAGGTAGCGACAGCCATTCCTGAGGAACCTATTCAAGCTCCAATTATTGGGCGCAAACGCAAAACCAAGAAGCCACCTACTGCGTCCGAGGTTGCTGCTTCTACATCTACCAAGGAGCCTTCCGATGCGGAAAATGTCCCTACGCCAAAAGTCGAGGCGAAAGCCGATGTAAGCACTCAGAAACCGAAACCATCACCAGAGAAAGTCCCGGATGTCAGCAAGCCTGTGTTGGATGCAGAAGTAGTTGAGCCTCCGGCCGACGAACCATGGAGAGCTAACAACACGATTGCGCAGTTGATTGAAGACGCCAAAGCTACGGGTACTTCAATTAAGGATTTGTTCTTGGAACGAACAGCGCCTCTTCATGTTCTATTGGCTCAAATGCAAAGCAAGGGTGATATTGATCTTAATAATCATCCATTGTTCAACCCTCCCCCTCTTAGTCAGCGCACCGACATGAAAAGTGAGGCTGAGGACTACGAGTTTTTCAAGCTGCCATTGTACATTTCGGAAGAGAATAAGAAAATCTTGCTCAGCGGCCAACCACTCCGAATCAACCATGGCGTTGACAACCTGAAAGTGCGATGCATGATAACGCCCAAGGGTCGTGTGTTGCGCCACCTGTCTGACGAAGAAGAAGACCGCTATCTTGAGCTGGAAAGTCACGTGGATGCTGGTACTTGGAATGAATACCCTTCGACTAATGTTCCGGGTCTTGACGTGACCAATATGAACGGGGGGTTGGATGCGCTATTCTTGACGCCTGGAAGATTCGGTGTCGCTCTATCCGAACCACCAAGTCCTAGGATGTCGCTTGCTGCTGGTGGAGCAGTCGTCACTGCCGAAGACCAGTTCGCGCTGGATCCCCCATCAGAGTCCGGTCCTACCATGGGCGAGACCGATCACACTCACAAACTTCCCGAGTCAGCGAGATATCCTCCGATCATCCCCGAAATGGACAATGTTTTTGGTATGTCGAACAAAGAGCTGCGCGCTTTTATCGAGCAGTCGCAGCGGGAGTTGGAGAGTTCCCGAAAGGATTTTGACGCTGTTGACAAGAAACTAGCGGCTTTGGTCAAGCGAAACAAGAAACTTGCGCAACAGGCACTTGGTTCTGTCGTTGAGGTTGGGAAATAGCTCCTTACGGCTTCATGGCTAATTATGAAGTTTTTACTGTATTTTTTATGGGAGACAATTATCCACGGATAGGATAACATCGGGAGTTGTGTATTACTATGCTGTAAGCGATTGGATTTGTGTCTTTTAGCAATGGTTCAATGTTTAGCAACTTCATGGATTTATCAATAAAAGTGTATACTATAGTATAATGTATTCATCAAGCAATGTCTTGAACAGTCTTTCTCCCTTCCACTCGGCAAGCGTCGGCAAACCCGCCCGCCTTTATCAGCTTATCTCAGCGCCGACGCCAACCGAGCCCTCTTCTTGGTTTCACTCATTCATTCACGTTCACTCACCACCTCAATTTTCACACTTCTTCTGTTTGTTTGCCTGTAAAATTCATACAGCAACAAGTTCACACTTCAAGTTCATCGCTGATGTTGTAGTTCGTGGTCAACAAACATCGACCCCTCACAATGGCGTCTCTATTCGCCAGCAGCCGTATCGCTCTCCGCTCCATCAACAGACACACTCGCTTCAGACACGCCCTAGTGCGATGGGAGAGTTCAATTTCGCAGAGACCTGGGTCGGATACGTATGTCTTTCACCCCCATACATTGCAGAAATATCCGCTAATATGTGTTCATTTATTATCTAGAGTCCGCTTCCCAGGCGCCGTCGACAGCAAATTCACATCGGAAATGGGCTTTTCGAGGCCCTCGTCGCTACCTGCCATGCCCACGTATCGAGTGATGGATTCCGATGGCGTTATTGTGGACACGAAGCATGAGCCTTCGGATGTAGCGATCGAGGAGGTCATAACGTGGTACAAGAATATGTTAACTGGTATGTCTTTTGTTTCTCGGGTAGTGGAGATCGACACGCTAATTGGGTCAAGTCAATATCATGGATGTCATCATGTTCGAGGCGCAGAGACAGGGTCGTCTGAGTTTTTACATGGTATGGTCGGTCTTTAATATGTGCACTAAGTACAGTACTGACGAATAGCAAAGGTCTCGGCGGGCGAAGAAGGTATTGCAGTCGGATCTGCATCTGCGCTAAAAGACCATGACGTCGTGTTCTGTCAGTATCGCGAAACTGGCGTTTTCCAGCAGCGAGGCTTCACAATGAAACAGTTCATGGCTCAGTTGTTTGCGAATAAGCATGATTCGGGACGGGGCAGGAATATGCCTGTGCATTATGGGCTTGAGTATCCTCGTATTGTACGTCGAAACCCTTACAAGGCCAGGAATATGTGGGATTAATGAGTCTGTATAGTTCACCATATCCTCCCCCCTAGCGACACAACTCCCACAAGCAACTGGCGCCGCATATGCTATGAAAATCCAGGCCCTTCAAAACCCCAACACCCCAGCTGGCGTTGTCGCCTGTTACTTTGGAGAAGGTGCGGCTAGCGAGGGCGATTTCCACGCCGCATTGAACATGGCGGCGACACGCTCCTGCCCGATTGTGTTCATTTGCCGAAACAACGGTTTCGCGATCTCCACGCCCACATTGGAGCAATACCGCGGTGACGGAATCGCCAGTCGAGGCATTGGTTATGGTATCGACACCATCCGTGTCGACGGAAACGACATTTTTGCAGTCCGCGAAGCCACTAAGGAAGCGCGGCGCATGGCTCTTGAAGATGGCGGGCGACCTATTCTGATTGAAGCAATGAGTTACCGTGTCTCCCACCATAGTACCAGCGACGACAGTTTTGCGTACCGCGCCCGCGTCGAAGTAGAGGATTGGAAGCGCCGCGACAACCCCATTATTCGTCTACGCAAATGGCTTGAAAACAAAGGAGCTTGGAGCGAGGAACTGGAGCAACAGACTCGGGCAGATCTTCGCGCTGCGATTTTGAAGGAGTTCAATGCCGCGGAGCGCGAGAAGAAGCCTCCTCTTAAGGATATGTTTGTGGATGTCTATGAGGAACTGACGGAGGAGCAGGAGGCGCAGCGCGAGGAGTTGCGAAAGCACCTGGAAAAGTATCCCGGTGAGTACAATATTAATGATCATGAGAATGGTCTCAAGGGGCTGTAAATAGATTTTTCCTTGACTTTTTATTTCTCATGTTTACGATGGCGTTCAATGACCTCGGGCGAAACTGGTTCAAATTGTACAGGGAGCGTTTGCATAGAAATGAATTTGTGTAGATGATATCCATTGCGATGGTAGTATGGTACATATGACAATAAACCTAGTAACATCGTGGGTCTCATCTTGCACGATTTTTGCCTATTTAATGCGACTGGAGAGGAAGTCGTCAATAACCCTAACTTTGAACGAATAGCAAATGTCCTACTTAGGTATGCGTATAGCCTAGGATAGATGGTTTTATGTTTTTCAGGTGATATCAACATAAATTGAGATTGAAGAGTGCCTAGGTAGACTCCAATTCGCCGCTTTGCTTGACTCGTTTCAGTGCCACCACCTGATGCTAACGGCAGACAGCTCGGATGAAACTCGGCATTTAATTCTCAGCGAAGTATCGATTTATATCTATGCGCTAATCCCAAGCCTTTGAAAATTGCACGTGCGATTATTTTGGGAAGGTTATTGAGCCACGCACCCCAAACTGAGATGTGATGGGCTGAGGGTTGTGGAATGGAGAGACGTATGATGCTTTCATCTGGAGATGTTCCATGGTTGTATGCCGGGGTATAAAGTCATGCCCAAGTCCGGTTGTCTGGGACTGATTTTTGGAACCCCTAAATTAAACCTCACCTAGAGTAGTTCCACTAAACAAGTAATTAATTACTTCAACACGGAAATAAGTACCAGAGATACCAGAATGAGCGTCGTCACCGAGCCGCGAGGCTTCATCGACTTTTACAACAAACCGGGGTCCTCGAACGGAGCCAAGATCGCAATTATCCTCAACGAGCTTGGGTATGTCCCTTATTATTACCTTCTTTTAACATACTCAAGCTGATAATTCACAGCCTCACCTATCGCTACCACGAAATCCACACCCCAGTCTCTCCCCTCGACAAAGACACCTACCACTCCCTCAGCCCCAACGGCCACTTCCCCGTGCTCACCGACATCCACCCTGACGGCTTCAAAGTCTCTTTGAACCAGACCGGCGCTATTGCGCAGTATCTAGTCAGCGAATACGATCAGATAGACAATGCAATCTCGTTTCCTCGCCGGTCACCGGAAGAGATTGAAGCTATGAATTGGTTCTTTTTTGGCGCATCGAGGGTTGCGCCGGCCCATGGGGAGGCGGTGCATTATACCAAAAAAGAAGAGGGCCCGGGAAGTGAGGCGTATAGCGTTGGTCGGTTCAGGAGTAGCACGACGGGTCTATTTTTTGCGTTGGAGCAGAGGTTGAAGGAGACCGGGGATTATCTTGTGGGGCATAAATTGTGCGTTTCTTCTTCTTCTATCGATCAGTATGGTTGGTGCTTAAAAGTGTGCTAATGGTGATTACAGCTCAATTGCAGATATTGCGCAAATACCGTTTGTGGTTGCTGCTGAAGAGGCTGGGATCGGTATTGAGATATTTCCGAATCTGACAGCGTGGTATAACAGGGTATTATCGCGGGCTGGTGTGAAAAAGGGACTTACAGTTGCTGGGATTGAGTTTTTGGCATAAGTTCATTATCGATATTTGGTATGATCATTTCGTATTGATTGATTGTCGACTATTGTGAGCGCTTTTGCTGTTGTTCACGTGCTTATTGCAGCCCTATGCAGAGTTGTATGTCTATAATCACAAACATTCCGTTCCTTGCATGTTTATCCATAACTTATATCCATGAATACTTCGAACTGTACGTTATCATTCTGTAGCCCTGGAAGGCCTTATCATGTACTAAGAGACCATCAGTGTGCATTCATCAAGAAGTGTGTATTGAGACATACCGTATATGCATGCGTCCCCTCAAACCCAAAGTCCTTCGCATCAAAAACATTTGTCCTAATTGTCTCAAACCCATTCTTCGCATACAGAGGAAATCCTTCCTCCGTCGCCTCGAGATACGCGACCAATCCCGACGCCTCCGCATCCTGAATACATCGCTGCAACAACGCCTTCCCAACACCCTTGCCCTGATGTTCTGGATGCGTAAAGAGTGACTCCAAATCCACCCTTGGCTTCAATTTAAACACTCTCCCGTCCTCCTCTTTAATCCCCATAATCTCGCGTTTCCCCTCGAGCAAACCGCTATAAAATGCCCTCGCTACATCTACTCGCAATTCAGGTACGCCGAAGGCTCCTAACCCTTGTGCAGTCTCTTCCTCCACGGTCTTCTCGATAGTCTCTACTTCTGCATGGATACTCCATCTTGCAGCCCCAATAATAGCGCCGGTCTCACGATCCACGGCCTTGAAGCTTTTTGCGAGTGGGTCTTTATTGAAGGATTCGACCCGACGCTTTGAGAGGATATCCATGGACTCTTCTGATAGCGGGAAAGGGTCGAAGAGAATGCGATTGAATCGTGTGAACGCTTTTCGCGCTGCTGCGAAGACTTCTGCGGCATCGTCTTTCGTTTGGGGCAGGATGTCGAAGGACATGTTGTTTTACTTGTTGACTCTTTTCTTAAAGACTGAGTATTTGCGAAAACAACGTGATGAAACGATATAACAAAGAGTTGAGCAAAGGAATTTTCAGGAGTCGGGTGGACGTGGTCAGACAAAGAAATAAATAAATTGATCTATTCCCGTCAGGCAACCCTATTTTGGTTATGAGTCAGCCTAGACTTCTAACTTATCTTTGTTCCCACCTGAGCCTCGAATGTGGAAATTGTGTCGCATTTTCATGCAAACTATATTAGAGCAATCTAACTAATATATCTTCTTTCTTATTGGATGTGAAGGGTGTCATTAGTTGGTGCTTTGGTGACGTGACGGTCTGTCGCGGGTCAGCTTGCGGCTGTAACATCGTCGCAAGTGCTTTTAGAGCTTGCCCCAGGTATGGAAACGATGAATCAAATTCCCCTTTGTCGATATGATTCATTTCAGCCCTATGCATCATAACCAAAAATAATTCCGAGCATTTATATTGACTGCATGAAGCTAAGTTAACATGATGAATATGTCCCCAATAATTACCCTGAAGTGCCTTTACTCCAGTTGTCACTATGCTTCGCCGTCCGAGTTGATGGGTCCAGATAATTCATCTCCATTCTGATCGGATGATCTGCCTAACTTGAACGCGGGCAATAATACCATATGTATCTCGCAGAACCGAACAAGAATAGATCCTACCGGTAAGAAATCTGCTCATGAAAACACCAAAAGGCAACTTGCAATTCCTTCGGTGGACCATCGAAATATTGCAAAATCCAAGTATTCGACTTGAGTCAAAATAGGAAAAGTGGCGGTTTAAACTACGCCGGAGGATTCAGACTCGTATTCAATTCTTCAGAGTTTTCCATATCAACATTCCGGGGTGCCAATTGTATGTTGCGTGCAGGCTATGAGAGCTACATTTCTATTCTATATTTACCCCATACTCACAAAAGTAAAATTAATATCGGAAAAAATAATTTCAATTCAGTTCTGCACACTAATTGATGCTTTAGATTTATTCCATGGATATCTAGTGGGTCTATACTGCGTTGTCTACAATTTCCATCCCCGTTCCTCTCGCGTGACATCTCAGGTTTCCTAATCGCCTAGGCTGTGCCTGGACTCCTGAGTAAGTACTCAGGGAACTGGCCAGGAATAAAGATTTATAAAAATCAACCTAATTCTTGTAGATTCTCCACTATACGCTACTAGCGGAAAGGTCCCTGAATGTTGAGGCATCGTAGCCGACAAGCGAACTAATGCGCATCTGAGGCTACTTTCAGAGTGGATCTGGCCTTGTTGACTGGAAGATATAATTGCCGACACCATGATGCATATATATTCAGACTTCCGCTGCTACGCATGTTATTTTTTTTAGTAGCCATTTTGTCATTCATTTGTTCAGGCTTCGATAAGCCGTTCATTCGTTTTTGCAACTTTCATAATGCGTTTCTCGGTCCTCCTGGCGTTGGTGGCCAGTACTGCGGCTTTGCCTACCCCTGACACTGTTTATGATGACGACGATGTCTGCTACGTGGAAGATGATCTCGTTGAGCTTATTCTATCATTGCCTGAAGGACCTGAATTTTGCCGAGATCTCATCCATATTCCTACCGATGTGACAACCATCACTAAGCCGGCGACAGTGACCGTTGCTGCTCTAACGAGCACCATAACATCCCTATTTACTACCACCCTGCCGGCGGAGACTGACTACGTGACCATCACCACTACGGACGATAATGGGGCTCCAATCACCATCACCGATGTCCAAACGGCACTTGTCACTGATGTGGTTGCCACTGTTGCATTGACTGATGCAGTCACTCAGACCATCGTCAACGATCTTACTAGCGCAGTCACAGAGACCTCTACTTTCTTGACTACCGGCACGGTCACAGAGTTCGCCACGGAAACCATCACTCAGCCCTTCACCAACACCGTCACTGAGTACGCGACAATCCTCGTGACGGATTCCGTCTACAGCACATGGACCGACGTCTCAACTCAAACGCTTACCAACTCCCACACCGAAACCGTGGTCCTTTCCTACACTGATACCATCTTTGTGACAAACACACTGGATGTCACCGCGACTGAAACATATATCCCTACTTCTGTCCATAGCGACTGGGAGACAGTGACAGATGCTACCACAGCGACATCTACAGACTTACTTACTTCGACAATCACCAGCGTCCTCACTGCAGGAACCACCACAACAATTACAACCACTATTTCTGGGATGTCTGTCCTCAAGCGTGCTCTCACAGAAAGTGCTATTATCCCTACCCCGACCGCCTTGACCACCTACTTGCCTGATGAATTGTCCAGCGCCTGCTCTGAACTGAACCTCCAGCCGGAGACTTCCACCGAAGTCGTTACCTCGACTGAGACAACGACCATCTATTCGACTGCTACTGGAGACTCGCTGTCCTATATAACCCAGTTTGTAACTGTCTGGGAGACTATTACTGCCACCGGCTCTGAACTCATGGTCACCTCGACAGATGTCGTAAACAACCCTTCAACTGTGACGCTAGATGTCTACTCAACTTTTGAAACAGATATCTCGCTGACGCAAACAACTACCGCTACTGCTACCGTCACCGAGGACGATGTCACTACAATCACTGACTCTGCCACCGTCGATATCACTACCTGGGCAACAACTGTTGCAACTGTAGATGTCACAACAGACGAGACTTTGACTGCAACTGTTGAGGCTTCCACAACTTTGACAAACACCAACTCCATCACAGTGACTCTGGAGGAAACTGCTACAGCCACCGCGGATGTCACTGTTTCCACTACGCAGTCGACCACTTTCGACGTCACGGACGTTCTGACTGTCACTTCCACCTCATCCCTGACGCTGACAGTACCTACCAATATCGAAACCACAATCACGAGCACCGTATCCGTAACCGGCACGGCAGTGGTAACAGCAGTGGTTGATGTTACAGCCACACAAACAACCTCAACCACCAGCACCGTGACCGCAACTGCAACGGCAAACTGTGGTGTTAATCTTGTGACTAATCCTACTTTTAACGTCAACAACGCCTTCTCTCTCTCCGGCTGGTCGGCCTCAGGCCGCAGCCTCTCAGTCGGATCTTCTTCTGGCTCAGCAATCGGTACTACTTACGTATTCTATTATGCTGGCACCATCCCGCAAACCTACACGCTCTCTCAGTCGTTGAGCACTTTGCCGACCATTACATACACCGTCTCATTCTGGTGGAGAACGGGCGCTCAAAGTGCATCATTGATTGTTTCGCTTGGATCTGAAACTGTAACTTATCATTCCCCGATCAACAAGCTCGGTGTCTGGATCCAGGAGACATTTACCTATACGGCTACCGCCTCCTCGTCGCAGCTTACATTCGAGTTTGTCCCCTCCACACTCTCGGCAGCGTACGAGTTTGGTTTGATTAGCGTAGAGTGCTGAAGGACTTTTTGATAAATGGTTTATTAATATACACGTAATACTAATGCCCTGTTGTCAAATTGGAATTTCTGTAACTTCGGTACCAGCTGCGTACGTATGTAGATCGAAAGACAATACATCATGATATTATGTATGACTGTATTCCCTTTTGAAGATTATGCAGCTTTTTGTCTACGGAACATTTTCTTCATAACTGCTTCCAAATGTTCCAACATTGATTGTATTCGGTCATACGGTAATAAATGGACAACTCACCGAGACATACCAACATTTTGAACAACAAAAGATATTTGTTTACCTATTTTCCGGGATGCCATGCAAAATCCCCGCATCGTATCCCCAACCCATCCCACATCGATTAAACTCCATCCAGCTTAAGCATTGCTGATCACCACACCAAGTGGGCCGGACCTCAATCAATTGATGTCATTCAATTAACGGATCATCTCTAAAGGCTCCGTGACATAACAGGTAATTCCGTTATAGGAAGGTCGGTTCAAGATCTGTGATCCGTGAATGGACGATTCCACAAACTAATCTGTATAGCATGCAGATTATACTGGTCGTTGAAGGAGATGTAACGTTGCAAAGAATAGCCGGCAAGCCTAGAAAAACTGGTTCATGAGCACGGCGCTGTGGCTGCTGTGTGAAATGTCGATCATTTTGCGGTCTAGAGCTGCTGCATTCCATCCGTGCCGGGGTGGTTATGCTTAAATACCTCGTCAGGTCTTACTCATTATTTCACCTCAAGAAATCTATTTCAATACCGTAGCAAAACTGAAAATCTTGATTACCAAATAAATCTATGGTGGCTAATATGTTGCTGGGAGGTATATTGCTAGCAGCAGGGTTTCCCCTGTTGACTTCAGCACAACACGTTATCGACCTGAGCGGGGACAACTGGACAGTGAAGAATGCACAGGGTAATGTGTCGGCACCGGCTTCCTTGCCTTCCCAGGTTCATTTGGATTTGTATGCTGCTGGAGTGATTCGTAAGTCGTCTTCCAAGGTGTGCATCAATGGTCAATTGATATGTGAGACTAACGAAAGAAAAAAAAAATAGCCGATCCGTAAGTCGAGCATTCGATGATTTGTTTATTCACAGATTGACAGAGTCTTGTGACCAGATACGCCGGCACAAATGAAATCGACCTTCGATGGATCGCCTGGTCCAACTGGACATACACAAGTCATCCAGTCAAGGGATTGTACGATATACATCAACTGCATAGAATCCCAAAAGAGAGCAAGCTAATTTAAAACGTCTTAGACTCGATAATGCTTCAAGTTCCTGGCTCGTATTCAATGGCCTAGACACATTCGCTACAATTGAGCTGTGCAATCAGGTCGTGGGTACCGCAAACAACCAGTTCCGTCAATGGCAATTCGATATTTCGGATGCGTTGAAGTCGTGTAAGGGCGATCCAGTTATTAGTATTAATTTTGGAAGTGCACCGGAAATCGCGAATGCGATTGCTAATGAGACAGGACAAGAAAGTAAGCACCAACCACATATGTACGAGTGGAAGGTGTTCCGTCTGACAGTTTACAGCATGGCCTGTTGGCGTTCAAGGTCTTTTCGAATTCGATAATAGATGGTTTATTCGGAAAGAACAATCGGATTTTGGCTGGGATTGGGGTCCCGCTTTCTCACCGACTGGGCCGTGGCAGCCGGCTTACTTGGTTCAATTCAAGCCTAATGATGGTGTCTATGTGCTGAATACAGATATCGACATTCACCGTGAGGGACAGGTTAATTGGTTGCCTCCAGACCAAAGCAAGCCATGGGTCGTCAATGCGAGCATAGATTATTTGGGTACACTACCAAAGGGGGCCTCATTGACTGTCGAGATCAAAGATTCTCAGAACAAGACGACTATTGCTTCGGGATCATTGAAGAACGTGACAACTGCCGGGAATAGTATTTCTGGAATTACAACTGTTGGTGCCAATATACCGAAATTATGGTGGCCGACTAGCATGGGAGACCAAAATCTCTATTATATCACCATCAACGTCGTCGACAGCAATAACAAAACCTTAGCCAGTGTCACAAAACGCACAGGTTTTAGAACAATTGTTCTCAACCAGACAAATATCACCGATGCCCAACTCGCACTCGGTATAGCGCCTGGAGCGAACTGGCATTTCGAAATCAACGGTCATGAGTTTTATGCAAAAGGTTCCAACTTCATTCCGCCGGACGCTTTCTGGCCGCGGGTTACTGAAGGTCGTATGAAGAGGTTATTTGACTCGATTATTAAGGGTAATCAGAATATGCTCAGAGTATGGGCGTCTGGTGCCTATCTCCCGGACTTTATATACGATATCGCGGATGAAACAGGTGTGCTTTTGTGGAGCGAATTCGAGTTCAGTGATGCACTATACCCTGTTGATCAAGTGTTTCTCGATAACGTTGCGGCAGAAGTCACCTACAACGTTCGCAGAGTTAATCATCACCCTTCACTTGCGCTCTGGGCTGGCGGTAACGAGCTGGAGAGTTTGGAACTGCTTTTAGTAAAAGAAACCGACCCTGAAGAGTATCCCCGATATGTCGGCGAGTACGAGAAACTATTCATCAGCTTGATCTTCCCCTTGGTCTACGATAATAGTCACTCGATAAGCTACACGCCCACCTCAACTGGGAATGGATATACCAAGATCGATTTCTCTCTACCCGTCCCCATGGTAGAGCGATACGAGAACGTGACTCCTGGTGAATACTACGGCGACAGTGATTACTACAACTACAACAGCGCCGAAGCGTTCGATATGAGCCACTACCCCGTCGATCGATTCGCAAACGAGTTTGGATTCCACAGCATGCCCAGTCTGCAAACTTGGCAACAGGCCGTCGCCGACGAGGATTTACAGTTCAATAGCTCAGTGATATTACATAGGAATCATCATTATCCACCAGGAGGATTGTCGACGGATACCACACTCAGCGCAAAAGGGATGGGCGAGATGACTATCGCCGTTGAGCAATATTACCCGATTCCCTCGAAATCGGACCCCATTGAGAATTTCAGTGCCTGGTGTCTAGCGACGCAGCGGTTTCAGGCTGATATGTACAAATCCGAGATTCAGTTCTATCGTCGTGGCAGTGGGCATCCGGAGCGTCAGTTGGGTTCGTTGTATTGGCAATTAGAGGATATTTGGCAAGCACCGACGTGGGCTGGCATTGAGTATGATGGTCGATGGAAAGTGTTGCACTATGTAGCCAAAAATATCTATGAGCATGTCATTGTGGCGCCGTACTGGGATCTGACGACTGGTCAGTTGAATATTACGGTCACTTCGGATTTGTGGGAGTCTGTGTCTGGAAGCGTGAATATGACTTGGTATGATTTGAGTGGGAAGCCGTTGGAGAAGAATGCGGGTATCCCTTCGTCTGCAGCGTTTGAAGTTGGACCGTTGAATATTACTGATATTCTCACGACGAATATCAACGATTTATCAATTCCGGATATCAAGGACGCTGTGCTAGTACTCTCGTTGTCTGCCAAAGGTCATTTACCAAACAGCAGAACGACCACCCAATTCTCACACGAGAACGTCTTTACTCCAGTCTTCACCAACGAAGCAAAACTAGTTGATCCAGGACTCAAACTGTCATACGATAACCGTACTGCCAAGTTCACGGTTGAGGCGACAAAAGGTGTCTCGTTATATACGTGGCTGGATTATCCTGCGGGTATAGTTGGGCATTTTGACGAAAACTCGTTCGTCTTGGTCCCTGGACAGCCGAAGGAGATTGGTTTCACGGTGCAAGAGGGCTCGTTGACCGAGCATGTGGTGAAAAATGTTACGGTGCAGAGTATCTGGGATCAAGCCGAGCGGACTTGATTTGACCATAAACCGGTCTACGGCTTTTTCATAACTGTAAACAGTCACTGAATATACACTTACTACGGAGGTATATACACTGTCTGATAATAGTCAAACCAAATAAAACCCACAAATAAGCCGTTAAAGTAAAAATGAATAGACCTTCCGGGTGCGGATTGCTTTTTGTACCCAGCTCCTCTAGGCGTATAATTCGTAGAACAGTCTCTTCAAAACACTTTCCTCCATTATTAAGCATTGCCGATTCGAATCGATAGATTCGAATCGTCTAAAGTGCTGCGAAAAGGATGATATACATTGACGCATACCCGGATTTATGGATGACTGCTTCATTGAACATGACTCATGTTGATAGTATGTAGAATGAAAATGACTCCAGCCTGGCAGAATGTGATTCATTTATGTCCAAATGAATAATGTTACAGCATACTAGGCCAAAAATCGAATCCGAGATTACCGAGTTTCAACAACTTCATTCCCGTCTCTTTGTGGTGAGTGTTTACGATCCGTCACAAGCAAAAGACATATCTCCCACTTTCGCCAAAATTGTTTTTGTATTTAGTCACGGAATGAAGAATAGAGTATTAAGCCAATAATTTCAACCTCGAGCACAGATGTGCAAAGTCCAAATCTACTTCTACAAGACATGCAAATGTCGTCGCAGTATGATTCATCTATGCGACAAGATACAAGAGTACAAGCCTTGTCCTCACCCTGAGCTGTCATTGAAAGACGTTCAACATGATAATCCACGCTGCCCTTATCATGGGTGTATTTACCAAACTCACGGCGACATAACTGCCCCCAACTTTGTGGGAAAGATTATATCCTCTTCTGGGCGTATGAACGAGTCCGCCGATGCAGAAAGACGGGAGCACGAACAATGTCAAAACTGTGAAACAAAAGACCGCAATATGACCTCTGGTTGTGAGAAGTGTTCGAAGGTGGTGGTTTGGTATTTCTCGCCGATAGAAGAGTGTGCGGGGAGAGTCACTGTTGACAAAGATGGAATCATTAGACGGTATGCAATGGACGGTATTGATGAGGCTGTGAAGAAAGTGCCACTCTCGACGATTTGTCCAAGACCACCACCACCACCACCACCACCCATGTCTTTGTAGCCACGGACAGGACTCTCTAATTATTCAAGTGTCTCTAGCCATGGCCCAGAGTTGCTTAATGGTTGTGGCATGTTTTGGATTCACTCTTCTAGGGGAGAAGATCAAGTGAGAATAGTGTCTTGATAGAAAATATAGAGTAAATACTGTCCTTAAGTTAAAAAAAGCAAAAGCCTATGTAGAACAAAAAGGAAATTGCTTTTCTGCATATCGATATGGAGATAGAATGAAATAATTGCCTCTTCTGGTAATTGGTGACTGACGCCCGAGCGTCTTAGGGCTTCGGGCCTGCAAACCGCAATTTCCTCACCAATGATTCCGTCCAGCAAATAAGCTTTACAGAAATGCACGCCACTTGACGTTGCCATCTGTCATAGCCTTTATGTGGACTTTTATTCACTTCTCTTTTACTATCCCGGACAGCACGGGTATTGTTATGAGGTACCACCTGCAAACTTACAATGAAGCTCGCGCCTAAAGTGCTTATACTGGGCGGCCACTGCAAAGTAGCTTTGCTGCTTACGCCTCTATTGCTCGCTCGAGGATGTGATGTTATTAGTCTTACCAACAGTCCGGAACATCGGCGGGACATACTAGATCTTCGCAAGAGCAGTAGGGGAGGAAGCCTTGAGGTTCTCGTTACAGATTTGAAGCACATCAATACAACTGATTCAGCTCGTGCGCTATTGGATCTTGTTGATCCGAACTACGTTATTTGGATGGCTGGTAAATTTCCCAGGGACTTGAATAGGCGTGGACTAAAATCTCAGGACAAGGCACCGGATGCAGAGGTGGCTCCCAGAGGTCGATAGATTGCGAAGAACTGAGATTCGTCGTCAAACAAATGATAATCGCCGCGTTTGGCTCTTCCAAAATCTCCAAGTTCCTCATGATATCCTACATGAGCAGCCGGCGCGAGCAACGAGAGACAGAAATGACTGACCAAATGTGGAACGACATTGCAAACTCCGAGGAGGGCCAGATACCTATATATGAAGAGGAAAAACTCGAAGCGGAGGAATTTTTAGATGCGATGACAGCATGGCGCAGGAGACAGACGCATTTGCCACCGGATTTTCAATCTATACACGTGACGACAGGTAGCTTGTCGGATTTACCGGGTAGAGGGAGAATAAGTATACATCCAGAGCAAGTATCTCTAGAAGGAGAGATCTCGAGACAGGATGTGGCTTCTGTGATCAGTCAATTATTGGACAGACCAGATACCAATGGGCGATATGGGATCCTGAGTGGTGAAGATGATATCAAGACGGCGATAGTAAAAGCGGTTGACGACCAGCAGACGATGGCTGAAGGACCTGTTTATAAGGACATTCCTGGAGGATTTATTGAATAAATCATAGAATAGCAAAAGGTAGAAATGAATGAAGACAAAATGAACCGATGATAGCCGGTCAGGGGTCCCGTGATGCGCGCTGACCGGGCCGGTTACCGTTGAAGCCTGAAGACCCAGGCATCAGGCAAGCTATGGTGGGGCGATAAGAGCTTATCGGTGCGTCACCTGCCGGCCCAGAGAGCTGCCAATCCCGGTCACTTTTTCTTTTATCATTTCTCACCATGACCTGAATCAATTTCTGTTCTTCTCTCTTCATCATTGATTTAGTGGTTTGAATAGCAATATATCCAACATGCGTTTTGCTACACGACTTTGCGTACGGCCGACGAGCTATAGCAGATTGCCCTCTCTTACACCATCTGGCGTGCGGGGTATCAACAGCTATGCCAACTTCAAGATTCCAACAATCAACAATGAACCTAATGTTCGTTATTCCCTCAATTGATTGCCAGTATTATGATGCTAATGAGGATGGTATTGACCATAGAAACACTACATCCCTGGATCCGCAGACCGTAGAGGGTTGGAATTGGCACTGGCTCAAGTGAATCAATCCAACATTAGAAATATCCCCTTGTTCATTGGAGGAAAAGAGGTATATAAACTGGTAAACTCATCAGAAATACGTGGTATACTGACTTATCCAGATCACTACAACCAAAACTTCAGAACAATTGAACCCGGCAACACACAAGCCGGTCGCCTATTACTCCGAAGCATCCAAAGCCAACGTCGAAGCGGCCATTGAAGCTGCACTGGCTGCCCGAGGAGACTGGGCTGCTATGCCATGGTCGGACCGTGCTAGTATTTTCCTCAAAGCCGCTGATTTAATCTCTACCAAATACCGCTATGACATTATGGCATTGACTATGGCTGGACAGGGAAAGAATGCTTGGCAGGCGGAGATTGACTCGGCGGCAGAGCTTTGCGATTTCTTCAGGTAGGAGATATCCTTCTGTTGCTATCGCTATGTGAATGGGCACTCATGTCAAATTACAGATTCGGTGTCAAATACGCGGAGGAGGTGTACTCACAGCAGCCAGCTCACAACTCGCCTGGAGTGTGGAAGTAAGTTTTACAATCAGTACTTGGATGTTTATCGCTAACAGGTGTTTTACAGTCGACTTGAATACCGCCCCCTCGAAGGCTTTGTATACGCCATCAGCCCATTCAATTTCACAGCCATTGGAGGTAATCTAGCCGGAGCACCGGCTCTGATGGGTAACGTTGTGGTCTGGAAGCCGTCTCCATCCGCTATCGCATCAGGTCACCTTGTACACCAAATTCTGCTCGAAGCCGGTCTACCCAGAGGAGTCATTCAATTCGTACCTGGAGATGCCGAGGAAGTCACCAGCGCCGTGCTCAATCATCCAGACTTTGCAGCTCTCCACTTCACAGGCAGCACAACCGTATTCCGGTCTCTATACGGAAAAATTGCGACTGGTGTTGCTGAGGGCAAGTACAAGGGTTATCCCCGTATTGTCGGTGAAACGGGAGGCAAGAATTTCCATCTTGTGCACCAGACCGCCGATGTTCGGAACGCTGTTGTTCAGACCGTTCGCGGCGCTTTTGAGTATCAGGGTCAGAAGTGCAGTGCCACTTCGAGAGCATATATCGCATCCTCCATTGCAGATGACTTTGTCGCACAGATTGTCGAAGAGGTGAGAGACTTGAAGGTTGGCGACCCAGCTGACTTTACAAACTTCTGCGGACCTGTCATCCACGAGGGATCTTTCAACAAACTCACCAAAGTGATTGATGAGGCCAAAAACGACTCTGAGCTTGAATTACTTGTTGGAGGCAACTACGACTCTTCGAAGGGTTGGTTCATCGAGCCCACCGTGTACTTGACTAAGAACGCAGACCACCCACTTCTGTCCCGCGAGTTATTTGGACCCGTCTTGGTTCTGTACGCTTACGATGACGCCTCACCCTCTTCATTGGCCGATATCTGCGAAAAGATCGAACAAACAAGCGAATACGGCCTCACAGGCTCCGTGTTCGCGCAGGACCGCAGCGCAATCCGTTTTGCCGAAGACGCTCTCCGTAACGCAGCAGGCAACTTTTACATCAACTGCAAGAGCACCGGTGCAGTTGTCGGGCAGCAACCTTTTGGTGGAGCTCGCGCAAGTGGCACAAACGACAAGGCTGGAAGCGCAAACTTGCTGTCGCGATTTGTGAGCCTGAGGTCTATCAAGGAGGAATTTACGCCGACATATCAGGTCGCTTATCCTAGTAACTTCAACTGAGTTTGAAAGGATCGTGCGCTTGACTGTCTTTCGATAAAAACCGTTGTTGCATTATTGGCGTATTTGTTTGTGCTATGTATATATACATTTTCAGCCTGAGTTAAGTTCTATTCAAAGTTTCAATGAATCTACAAAGTTGCTGTCGTATACAAGTAGCCTTCAACATGATCTAATGACAAGTTCTATAAACAATCCGATACTTCGCATCCCTCTATCTTCCATCCCGCAGGAAATCCACCACAACTATTCAAAATAAAATCAGTGACCAGTCAAGTCCTCTAGAATKGAGGTGTCACTCACCACGTCTAAACTCCTCCGGCCGATCCTGAACAATCCAATGGCCACAATCAAAATCCACAACCCTGGACTGCGGAAAAAATGATCTTATGAGCGGCAAAGCATCATCGGGTATATAATGGCTTTTATATGAGCGAAGGAACAACGCTGGTTTGGAGAACTTCACAGCCTCTGACTCTGACCCCGACTCTGATGGTGGTGATGGGTAGGGAAAGTCCCCGAGCGCATCAAGGGCGTTTCTCAGGGTATCTAGCGGTAGCCGAAGCTTTAGATATGGAGCGTGCTGCCGATCTTTGACGAAGTTACTTAGAAGCCATAACCGTACTGCGGCGGACTATTTTCCGTGTCAAATTTCATGCTACATTCGCAGTGAAATGAGCTCAAACCTCTTCATATTGAGCGAGGATCCGCTCACCCTCCGAATGGGTTCTGATCCTGGCTTTGGCTACTTCTGCAAGCGCATCGATGTATTTCTCAAAGTCAGCTGGAATGGGTAGTTGTACAGGACAGTTGTCGACTGCGACGACATTGGAGATTAGGTCTGGGGCGCGGAGGGATAGTGTTAGGGCTGTTTTGGCGCCCCTACAATTAATGTTTAACCCTTTCAGCCATTTGGCTCATTCAAGTAGGATGATGTAAGCTTACATGGAATGACCTATTAGCGACACGTTTTTTAATCCGTGCGTCTTGATAAAAGCTTCAACGTCGTAGGCCATTTGCATATAGTTGTGTATGGGATGGTGAGCCGAGTCTCCATGATTTCGCAGATCCTGTTCCAGTGAATCAATATATTCATTACTGGGCGGAAATATACATCGATAGGACTATCACTTACCAATGCAAAGACGTGTCGCGAGAGATCACGGGCCAACAAACTTTCACGAGACGAAGTTAGTACCACGACCTTGAGTCAAACAGGTGTATAAATTTTTATAGCTACCGGCTGACAGCTCTATTCTCCCGTTTCGATCCGAGGAATCCATGGAGAAATATTATCGGGTCATGATGGCTGGAATGTGAAGCTTTATCGTGCGACTTCGCGCCATGGTGTACCTCATGCACCAACGGGATGACAGATTGACTCAATGACGCCGAGGTGTGAGTCAATCGGATATGTCTCGTACATTGTTTCAATTTGAACACCATGGTCGCCTTCTGATTACGAATTTTCCAGGCTCGAAAATAAGACAGAAAGTTTTGTGAGTCATGATAGACGCGGTCAAGGATAAAAATCCGTTAGCGTCGCGAACGCGGAAGATTAACCCTAATTACTCTAATAGTTTCAGCCCTGATTACAATTCTTTTGGCTGCTGCCTTTCACATCCGACCGGAAACATATGCAACTATAATACAGGAGACATAGATGACGATGAAAATAGTGTACACACAATGGAAGATTGCAGCTGAACGTGCATCGTGCACCTTTACTCAACCTTCACTCAAATGTTCCCTTCCAGTCGGGTAGAGAATGCGCATGGCGCAGCATTCCGGCAAGTCTACAATGAGTCTGAAATCCCACGGCTATGCTCTAAATGCCTCTTTGTCCGGAGCCGAGCCTCCTCCCAAATTCTGTTTATATAAACCGAATTCCAAAAGAGAATAGTCAAGGAGACCAGAAAAATCGGTATGCTCACCGCTATCCACAGCTCAAACCCTTTGCCAATGCTGTCTACTTGCACGAAATTCATCCCAAAAATACTGCACGTAAAAGAAAACGGAACGTAAAAGGCGGCAAAGGCAGCAAACTTCTGGCTATTTCTGCTGAGCACAATACCCCGCCGAGCGTCCTCGAACATGGCTTCGTTCGTCATGATATCTAGTTCATGCCTACATCTCGACATGAGCTCCCGGTTATTGTGCTGTAGATATTCCAGGTCCACACAGAGAGAGCGAACAGCCGATTTGGCGCGTGGTGAAGCATCGGCTGCATCGGTGATAGCAGGGAAACGGAGAAAGTTGAGCATCTCAGCGATGTGACTTTGTCGGCGCTGCAGCATTCTGTGCGAGTGAAGCAGAATTGTGCGAGTATTTGATAGTCCTTCGGGATTGGTACGGTAGTCTTCTGCAATACTGGTCTCAAGAACGGAAGCTATCATGTCTAGGTATTGCTTCTCTGACGCTGAATGAAATCGGAAAAGTTCATCAAGAGCATAGATCGGATTTTGGCACATCTCTACGGGATCGAGACTCGCTCCGTATGCACTGCGCAGCAATGACAGGCTCTGTGGAAGCCCACCCGAGATTCCTGAAGGTGAAAATGCAGTCTCCTTTGCTGCCATAACCTCAGGTCCTGGTCCGTGGAGAATTACTGGGCGAAAGTGAGCATTTTTTGTAGGACCAAGCCAGGGTACAGCTGGACTGTAGCTCAAATCTGCCCCAGCGTCTGACCATATGGCGACTGTGATCTGTTAACCTATGAATAGTTTTGCTCTCGAATGTTACCGACCTGTCCATTTGTCAGAACTTGGCTGATTTCTCGTTATGTGAATTGTCACAAACTGCTCGATGCTGAAGCGAGAGGAGTCATGGATCTCCGACGACCGCACGATAGAATGAAAAGGTCGCCATCCCTTGCCCATGCGCAGGCCGTGCATATAAATATTCATTTCATCAGCATGTATTAGCTGCTGTTTATGCATCTCTTCATTGAGCCATACTCCATGGACGCCACCTATTGATGGTATGGAAATTTGAAGAACTAATTGCTGTTCAGACGGAAGAATGTAATGGGACGGATGTATTTTGCAGTTGGTAGAGCCTTCGGTTACAAAACTCAAGTGTTTGTCGAAGAACTCTGGACTAATTTGATACTTGGAACCAATCTCTGTAAGTGTATGGGCAGAGGGGTAACCCGACAAATAGAGAATGCGATTTCCCCTGTCTGAGCTTGTATCACCGTTGACCATTTGTTCATTTCCATCTGTTCTACTGCTTAGTAGAAACTGACGGGCGAATTCATTCCCTTCTTGATCCTTTGTACCAGAAGCCTCAGCATCGTGGAGAAACTTAGCCAGCCTCTTGCAATTACCAGTGAAGAGTGTTTCTCTTGGAGATAGATAGGAGAGCTGCTTGACCCATTCACGATATTCAGTTGCCGCTTCATAGTTTCATTAGCATAAAATTCTATTTTCCGACACCTAGATCGATGGGCTTACTACTTGGGTACATTGACCGTACATTGTCCATCTTTGTGCCTGCCTGGAATACGGGATTCCCTCGGCGTCACTATCTGCGACCAAAGAGCTTCATCGACTTCGCTTGTCGCATAAAGCGAACATGAATGCCAAAGATATGGACGAACCGCATCTAATTTTACTATCTGTCATCCTGAAAATAGTCAAAGTTGGCGGGGAGATAGCCTAGGAAACGAATGCTACTCAGCCTTGTCCAAGGCGGAATTGATCACCTAACTACACCAAATATAGCTAGTATGTACTGTAAGATAAAGTGTATACTAATTGGCCCTATTGCATCCAATGGCCTTTTAACCTTTGGCATTGTTAACAGCTCAGCCTTGTCCTTGTGTTGGTCATAGAATGCTGGTTAAATGTGTCGATACGATGGGTCAACTTCAGACCAGCCCTGAACAGTGCCTTTAGAGGAATGAAAAAAAGAAAATGACTTGCAAGACTATATCTCCCCCTTTCAAATGCTTCTCTGTCTGTCTAGACGATTATAGACATTTTAGGGAACTAGTTCCAAGAAATCCGGCACATAGGGCTAACATCGGTTGTGACCTGTTGTGAGGGGTAAGTGTCGGGGGCGAACAAATTAGAGCCTCTGATTGACTGCTTCGTTTAACATATCCGGATTATCTGACAAGATATAGCTAGTTAAACCCCCTCCAACCGGTTTAGCGGATGCCGCTTCAGCCATTCCTACTTGACTAGCAACCATCGTGAGGCTGTGATCTATCCCGAAATCAAACAGTCCCAAGATCATGAATCTACAACTCTACTCTCAGAATGGAGGATAGTGATACCAGTATTCGTGGCTCTTTCAACTTTATGAAGCAAGCCGAGCTGTATGACAACGTAAAACCGTACAGCATCGACAACGAGATCAAGAGATGGGTCGGTCACGTACCGCGCAGCAATTATCAAAACTCAGCAGTTGAGAACGTACTTGTCAAGGATCTGAGGGGACGCGAAGCTGAGTTCACATTCGAAAAAAATGGCTTTGCGATCATCGAAATGGAAAGCGCCATGACCTATGAGGATTTCGATGACCCGGAGAAGTTCAGTGGTATTTACCTTCAAGAAGTTGCTGCATGTTTGATTCAGTACTTTGATGCTCGATCTGTCCATATCTTTAATACCGTGGTGAGTATGAAAGTCCCTGAAATTTATAGCTCCGCTTGTTGATACTCTGTGCAAGCGTCGTCGGCGCCATCCCGACTTCCCAAATGTTGCGGTAATTCGTCCTGGAGCAGCGACACAGCCGGCAGCACGGGTTCACATAGGTGAGTGATTTACTGCGAGCTCGCATCTTTACGAATGGCCTCTGATTTCTTTGGCTCACTGGAACTCCTCGACGCCGTGGTTAACTATCGTTTAGATTCTACCCGGCAATCATTGGACCAGCTCGTGAGAGAGCTTCAGGACGACAAGCTTAATATTAACGGTCGTCACTACATTTACCTGAAGTAAGCTGAACCAGATCGAGTCTCATTCCCGACCACCAATTGCTAATTGATCATAGTGTTTGGAAACCCCTGACTGGGCCTGTTCATGACTGGCCTCTAGCATTTTGCGACGCAAGAACTATTCAATCAAAGGACCTAGAGCCTCATGATCAAGTTTTTCACGATGTCGTTCGTGAAAATGTAATGGTCTATCACAACCCAAAACAGGAATGGTACTACCTTAGCGGACAAATGCCATCAGAATTACTTTTATTCAGGCAGGCAGACTCGCAAAACAATCCAGGTATATTGAATCAGCTATTCATAGATATGAGCTATAAATTGACAGATACTTCGTATTCAGGGGTTGCCCACACAGCCTTCGAGATCCCCTCGCCACCGCTCCATCCGGTTATAACGCGAGAGAGCATTGAAGTACGTGTTATTGTCTTCCTCGACTAAATCTCCGTCCATCTCCCCTCGGAAATAGGGTTGGAGAGTTTCCGTAGCTCAATATGCATGTATTTGAGCTTTTCCGGAGACGATTAGCGCAGCGGTGTGCGGATGTTCATTGCAGGCTTCTTGAGGAGGGTTTCCTTGCTATTACTACTTGTTAGATATTAGGTGCAAATATGACGAACAACCAAAGCGCCCAGCTTTACCCACCTGACGATTAAATTCCCCTTGATATGTGCAACAATATGGTAACTCTTTGGGGCAGAGAATTCTGGGGCGTATTGTTCATCATTCCACGTTGCATTCTCGTTCATGGGTTGCGTTGTTGGAGATGGAGATCCAGTAGACGAAGGTTTGTTCATCAGCTTCCACGGCTGAACGCGATTATCCTCAGCTCTATCCAGCATTTTCGATAATCTTTGGTTGAGAGTTATTAAAGAGAAGCCCTATACAGAAATTCACGTTAAAGTTTAGATGTGGATATCGCAGTGATTGAAAGGGGAAAATGTCACAGGGGGAAAGTTAGTAGATAAAGCGGAAGCACCAACAGCCATTTCTTGCAGGAGCATTGACAGAAGCCAATAGACGAAGACTCCAAACAGGGCCCATGTGATTACCCCGCTCAGTTCAATGACGTGGACAGATCAGCAAGCCAATCAATAAGCACTTGCGAGTATGGCTAATAATCCCAGAGTTGCACGCCAGGACGGATGTCTTGTCGACCAACGTGTTCGCCTAACCTGAGTCATTTGAACACTTGAGCCGCATCTATGTCTTGCACCAAAAAAACACTTGACTCCTATTTCGCAATCTCTTCACATAGTGTTTGTATCATAGCAGCACTAATACCATGTCGAACGAGGCCCAAGTGCTCGTGAAGCCAACACGGCCCGAAGAGGCTGGCTTAGAGTATGCTGATCTAAGTTGCCCAAATAGAACCTAGCGTATCCTATATAGACTAACGAGGATACGTCAACTATAGTCTCATTGTTGTACACGGGGTGACAACCCTGGGACTTCCTCGATTACCCCAGGATTGGTATCTTGTGCTTGGGAAGATCTTGCCAGAGAACTCCAGCATCATCAGCTATGATGCTGACCTTCGTGTCGACAACAAATTTCGCTGGCAAGATATCCTGGCGAGGACTGACACGCTGCTGAATAGTATCTGGTTGAAGTGGAACTCGGGAAAGGTGAGCTGCAATTCTTTACCGGTCATCCAATCCGAAAACTTTTCGTTTTTCGTTTCTCAAATAATCTATATTGTAGACATCCGATGGTAGGGCCTTTGTCTTTGTAGGAGTTGGACTAGCAGGATGCATTGTGAAGCAGGTCAGTCCCTTATTTTCTGTTAGTATGTATCAAAGTTTTCCACCAATCTAAATATCTTCTATCCAGACACTATACAGGTTTTCGCAAGAACACCGCTATCTCACCTACTTGGCAGTAATACGGGGGATCATCTTTTTTGCAACTCCCCATTTCACAACTTCGGATGATGGTGCCCTTGTACACCTTGCAGGGATACTACGCCATAAAGCATACACGTCTCCAAAGAAATTATTTACCAAGTACGACTTTTCTTCCATGGTGTATAGCTCATGGGGTTTCGAGGAACTGAAGCTACCTTGCCCTATTTTATGCTGCTACGAGCAGACATCTATTAAGATACGGAACAAGCTTAATATAGGGCGTTTAGTTGCGGTAGGTTGTGACCACCAACCGTATCAAGTATACTGACCGCTAATCGCTGCTCGTACCCGTATTCATGCAGCCTGTTGACGAGAGACTGTCCACAATGACTGCGCATAATCTGAATACTGTGGCTATTGACACAAGCTTAGCAAGCCTCTTCGACTCTGTTGATTGTGTCATCCATCAGCATGTGAGGACCTTTCTTCAAGATATTTTGGGTAACCTACAAAAGGAGCAGCAGGTGAAAGACGATACAGAGAGCAAAATTCTGGATGCTGTCGTTGATATGACCTTATCCCCTCGATCCGAGGCCCAAGGAATCCTCAGCACCCGAGGTTTGTCTCACTATGCAACTTCTGAGGTTGGGCATTAGAGGCTGATGGAACGGCAGATTCATTAGGGCTTTCGTTACCGTTATCCATATCTCCAGAACCCAATCCGTTCACTGCCAATTCACCTCCAGAAAACTCTGTTCAACATCCAAGCTCGTCAGGTGATTTATCCAGCAACCATCTATCAACTCCTCAAGTCATTAGCAAAGAATCGTCTCCATCCCCACATTCAGCGGCTTCTGATAGGAGCTATCTTGTCGTACCTGAACCTAATGACACCAGGGTTCCCGACTCTGTCGAGTATATTCAAGCAAGGTCCTATAGTCAGCCGAACTCTGATTATTGCGGCCATGAAGTTGTCTTCAAAAAAATGCAAAACTCCCTCCTAGATCTGGCAAACATTCCAGATATGGAATCCCCAAATGTATTTGTTCTCTGTGGTCCAGCAGGGTTAGGCAAGACCCAGCTAGCCTTACACTTTTTTCACGCCTGCAAGTCCCAGTTTGATGTCAAAATCTGGATTCAAGCAAATAGTAAAGATAGTCTCTTTGTTGCTTTCAAGGAGATCTCAGCTAGGCTTAAATTGGAGTCCAAGGATGATGCCTCAGACGACATCCTCAGTCGAGAGTTGGTGAAAGGCTGGATGGCAGAGCCTTTCCAGAACTTCAAAAGGGGCACGGGGAAATTGATGAAATGGCTACTAGTCATCGACAATGCGGACAACCCAGATGATGTCCTCGACTTCTGGCCTAATTGTGGTCAAGGTTCGATAGTAGTCACCAGTCGAGATCGTCAGGCTATGACAAAGAATTACTTTGGGGAGTGTGGTACTGAGCTCTCCGTCTTGGAAGAGGACGACGCCATTTCCTTATTGCAAGGGCTCCTGAAAAGGCATCATCGACCAACCGAGTCCGTAGACGTCCTCCGTCAAGTTGTTACGACTTTGGAATGTTGGCCATTATCGATAGCGCAAATGGCCAGTATCATTGGCCGTCGAAAGCTTTCACTTTCTAAGTTTCTGGAGGTTTACAAGAGCGACAAAGATCGTGCCAACTATCATTCGAAACGGTCTGGAAAATTAGACGGCTATCCATTGACCTTGTCTGCGGCATGGGCCTTGAAAGATATGAGCCTTGGGGCTGCCCAACTCCTTTCAGTTATCTCCCTGCTTGCCCCCGCCTCCATACCTGAAGAGATTCTGACCAAAAAACCGGAATTGGCCCAGCTCCCATCGTATCCTCTTGAAAGCGACCGCTATTATCGAGAAATCGAAAAGATTGAGTCCTGTTCCATTATCACGCAGCAGCGGGGACCAACTGCTGAAGACCCTATGGAATTGTCAATTCACCCGCTCATTCAGGAAGTAGTTCGCGGGCAATTGTTGAACAATAATGATCAGATAGTATCTGTTTTCAATGCGACTGTGAGACTTATGACAGCCGTCTGGCCGTTTGAGACCCTTCCATTTTACGGCTTTCATGAATTTAATCGTGTTCAACGCTGGGACCAGTGCGATAAGATCCTGCCGCATGCATCGCAATTGCGTCAACTCTATGAAGCGTTCTCTGATGATATCAGACAACGATGTACCACACGTGACTTTTTGAATATTCTCAACGAGATCAGCTGGTACGTTGAACATATTTACTGAGAAGACCGTACTGACGTAAATCTAGGTATTTATTTCAGCGCTCTAATTATGACGCCTCCCTGGATTGTATTAAGATGATCCTGAAAACGCTCAAAATTGACTCGGAAGACCATTCTCAGATAGAAGCCGGCCTGTATGGAACTTGGAGTGGCATCGCAGTTGAGACCAATCAGCCCCAGGTAGCTCTTGAAAAGCGTCTGGAAAACCTCACCATTCTAGAGAGAATATTCGCCGAGACAGGGGACGTCAACTCACAGATTGCCGCTTGCTACTCCGAGACAGCCCGCTCTCTAATTATGAACGGCATGTTCACGAGGGCCGGAGAGTTCATTGATAAATCAGTTGCTCTTCGAAAGAAAATGCCTCATTTCTCCAGATTACAGCTATATAGTCCCCTATACTACACGGCTCTAATCCATATACATGAAAGGAAGTTTGAGGATGCAGAGTCAGTACTATTAGAAGCCCTGAGAGATCGAGAAGTCAAGTATGGCAAGGATGATTGCGAAAGCAAGCGGTTAGTACGCGCTCTTCCCGGAAGCTCAATGCGGAAATCATGGAATCATGGAGCTGACTCAGGCAGAGCTGGGATATTATTGTTCAGCTTAGGCAATGTCTTGACCAAGCAGGGTCGATACGACGAAAGCTTTGACTATCACCAGCGAGCACTATCCCAATTCCGCGCAACAGGAAATGCGAATGATTTAGACGTTGCCAACGCTTATTACAAGCTCGCGTCGCATTATCTGAGATACAAAAGTCTTGATCTGGCGAAGTTTGTTCCCTTTCATTGCTCCTCCGAAGGCTTGGAGAAGATCAATTGCTAACTGAATAATAACAGGATCACGATCGAGCAAGCAGTTAACATTTTGAAATATTCAATATATCACAAAGGGGAGCATTCAAGAGCCTTGTTTTTGCAGAGTCGGATTTTTCAGAGTGCAGGAGATAATGCCGCTGCACAGGACAGTCTTAAGGAAAGTGTAGCAATTAGAAGGCAGATCGTGGAGAACGATCTGCGTCCAGGTGAAGCGCTGGATGAAGCTGACTTTGATGATATGGTTGTTATTTGGAGGCGGTAATGACCTTGGGAGTATTTAATTACCCTGTATATCAATCGCCTCACCGGATTATGCTACGATTTCGGCTTGATGGGACAGTTCGACGTCTCGAGGCTCCAGCGAGGTGCCGGAGCAGCAAGTCCCATCATAACCCCAGTTCAGGCTACAAACCTAGTCAGTGCTAGAGCCAGCTTTCAGCAGCTAGTACATCTGTTACTTCTGAGAATATGCTTGTCAAGGGGATCTCGTCATTAATGGGTGATTACTACTACGTGGTATCCGGAGACCTAGAGGGTCATGATGATGCTGTAGTTCAATGGTATAATTGCTGGCATAATTCCTAAGCAATTTTTTCGTTTAACTCAAGTAGAAAAAGAAATGTTTAGTGGAGGCTGTATTAAATCACAGAATCATTGGTCCATCGACCTTGGAACTCTCTCCCTGCAGATGGGCTCAGTCCCCGCACCGCCGGAGGCTGAGAACGCACACATATACCATCTCTTTCTCATGACAGTTCTTGCGAGGTCCGATTCAACCTGCAAAAATCACTGATGCTTTCAACTTCATAGATTCTCTGCATCGTCAACGACGGCAAATTCGTCCTCGCCCAATCCGGGCCTTACACACAACGACTACACTGTTGGATGGATCTGTGCGCTGTCTTGCGAACTCACTGCGTCCGGAGCAATGCTGTATGAGTGTCATTTGCCGTTCTACCAAAGCGCGCAAGATGACGATGTATATACTCTGGGCTGAATTGGTTCCCATTGTGTAATAATCTGCCGTCTTCCAGCCAGCCATACGGGAACAAACCGCGCTGCTACAGTAGCAAGTCAAATGCGGTCTACATTCAGCTTTATCCGCTTTGGCTTGATGGTTGGCATTGGAGGTGGCTTCCCAAGCATTGGCTATGACATTCGACTGGGTGATGTCGTGGTTAGTCAACCGGACAAAATGAGTGGAGAAGTCATTCAATTCGACTTTGGACGTACGATTGAGGAATGCCGTTTTGTTCGTAAAGGATCTCTGAATAGCCCGCTTATTGCGTTGCTTAGTGCCGTCAAGAATTCACCGATGAAACGTAACCTGACTGGACATGATTTGGCTTCTCACCTTCCCTTTTTTGAGTTTCATCGACTAGGAGTCAAGTATACCTACCAAGATGAACAGAAAGACATTTGATTCGAAGCAACCTACGACCATAAAGGTGAACTGCCAACCTGTAGTAGCTGCGATAAACCGATAATTGTCGATCATCCCACTCGTTCGAAAAGGAACCACACATTCACTATAGAACCATTGCGTCAAGCAACCAGGTCATGAAACACGGCAGGACTCGAGAGATACTCTGGCAAAAGCCTCAAAGATGCTGTGCCTTGCGATGGAAGACGTGGGATTGATGAATACATTTCCCTGTCTAGCAACCTGTGGCATTTGTGACTATGCTGATTCTCATGAGAACAGAGATTGGCAAGTGTACGCTGCCGCCGTGGCAACTGCCTACGCCATTCCCCTTAGAATACCCCGGAATATGGCTTCACACGGCCCAAGAGAAATGATCATCACCAAGTGACGAGCTGATCAAGTTCTGTCCTGCTTCATATCTATCAAACTTTGAAAATCATGATAGCCACTAGAGCCTTCTATAGTTTTCAACATCTCCACGGCTTCGTGCCGTTTATTTTCATTTAATGTCTCAATCATCTTCTTCCATCTACCTTGTATTACCTGTGGGGCTTCCTGGGCGTATCGGCGAAGGGCTGACACTGTGGTTCGGAAACCTTGCGAAGTATTACTGTCAAACTTACAGATTCCTCTATGATCGGAAGCAATACCAGATCTTTCTGTATTATCCAGTATAGGTGCTGCGCTGGCTTCGTCCACAATATAGTCCTTGGTGTACTTGAGATCAGTCTTTTCCTGTTCCCAGAAAAAGAATATGCGGAAATTGGCCATTAATGGCGCGAACTGATCAGTGATATTCTGAAGTGTCTCAGACTCTTTTTCAAGAGCATTCAATAAACCCGATTCGGAGTCCACTAGAGTCTTTGGTAAAGCGAGAGATGCAAGCTTTTGGAGGCTACCAAGAAGCCGTGCTTTACTCGCACCACTGTGAGGAGTTCCAAAAAAGAGGATTGCAAAAGTGCAGGTGTAAATGGCATGAAGGTGTGCGATTTTCGGAGCGGTTCGACTGGCTGAGTATGCTAAAGCCTAGGATTCGGAAGTTAGAGGTTGTTTAAGCGAGTAGATATTGAGGGTTTCGAAGGGCAAGTGTGGACAGGTGTGAAAATTGCCACCTACCCTCTTCACTATAATCCCGCCTAATGAATGACAGAGGAATATAATGGGTCTGTCAATGGCATCTTCAAGCTGTCAGTTGTCAATGAATGTCTCCAGTATCTTCAGACATTGAAACCTACTTCTCTATCAGCCTGTAACTGCGCCACAAGTGTCTGCGCGTGTTGCAATATTCGGTCCGCGCTCGCAGTTTTCCCCGCCAGGGACGCAATATTAGCATTATAGCCCCATACAAGCACCCTAGCGCATTTCACGTATTTCGGTAGGAAGTCATTATGGCTAAGCCAACAGATATTGTGCGGCTGTGAGGTCCAAGTCTTGATCGAGTCGCCGTTAAGGCCATGCACGGCGACGATACTAATCAAAGGGAATCAAGTCAGTTTGGTCATGTCAGAGACGAAATTGTTCCCACTTACTCAACCTCGATTGGTTCTACCGTTGGACGATATAGCTCCTGTATTCCGAATTGCTGGGGAGAGTCGTAAGTTGTCATTGCTGAAGTAAGAATTACCTGCTGTGGTGTCTACGTATTTGCAAAGGTGGAGGGTGTCATTGTCCTTATAATGTACAAAGGCCTGTATTGCTGGGTTTCATGGCCGTCCGACCTCAGCCTGCGTCAGAAATGCCATGTACTTAATGATACTTTTGCTATGATTATGATTCGCGGATGGCCAAATGGATTCAGCCCAACCAACTTTGAAGCGCAAGACTGAAGACTAGGATGTAGCGCTTAGGGTTGTGAAGCAACTGGACTTTGCAACCGCGCCCATGTGATTATCTTGCACTAGTTGCAGAAATGAGGCAGGGTTGATTGAAACATGGCGAATGATGTGCCGAATCTGGATTAGAGGACACTTTAGTGCGACGTGAAGAAGGGACAACTTCCAGTCGCAAGTTTCAGGAAGGAGATACTATCATTGAATCCAAATTATGGTTCAATCTTAAATGGACGAGCTCGACATGAATTACCAGATTATTTCTTTATGTTAAAGTAGCGGCCACCCTCTCTAATGCTGTCACACTCAAAGGTCACCTAGCGTTGACTCCCTGCGCCTAACAGTCACCCTGCATCCATCTGCACTCGATAGAACAAGTGTCAACCGTTGTCTCTCACTTCCAATAGGCTCATTCCTATCATCTGTAGGCAATTTAATTGATAGAGCCTTTAAGAGTCTCACGATGGTATATGAAACCTCCATCAAGGCAAAATCTTCACCCAAACATTGCCTTGGCCCGCCATTAAAGGGAAAGTATGCCCAGCCGATGTTTGCAAGCTCTGGCCCTTCCCATCTCTCAGGTCTGAAGTCATCTGCATCGGGACCATAAATGTTCTGCTTTCGTGAATTCACGTATTGCGAAAACACAACTAGCTCGCCCTTTCGTACAAGGATGGGACTATTCCCCTCTGGGCCGCCACCAGTGGGAAGCATCGTAGTCTCGATAGCTTGGCGGTTATTCAATGGTACTGGGGGATAAAGACGAAGGCCTAAGATGAAATTTCAGACTGTGTTAAGCAGATAGAGAATATAATACTAACTTTCTCTTATAACAGAAGCCAGATACGGCATCTTTCTGATTTGCTCTCTGCTTGGGTTTTCTGAATCCCCCATAACCGAGTCGATCTCTCTTTGAAGGCGAGTCATTACAACTTCGTGGCGTACAAGAAGACGACTGGTCCCAAATTAGATAGAAGTCAGTATATTATAGAAAAGGGATTGGATGACAGTTGGAAGTGCCTACAGTGTCCAAGATAAACAACACGCTGTTGTGTCCCTGCCAGCTAATAGAACGTTTAAAAGCTGGTCTCGAAGGTCTTCCATGGAAGCAGATTCCTTCGCAATTTGATTGATAAAGCCAAACGATGCTTCTTTCTCAGATTGGATATCTGAGAGGTCTAACTCCTTGATATAACTTTCCACGAACTGATGAACAGTATGACAAGCTTGTCTGAATTCTCGAGGGTTGTAAAGAAAATGCCATGGAGCAATGCGAAACCGCTTTGCTAAACCTTCCTGAGCTAGGTTAAAAGATTCTGAGAATATTTTATTCTCAATAGCCTGATCAATACCTGCTCTTAGACTGTAAACAGACTTTCCAAATAGTAAAGCAGTTGTTGTATCCAATGTAAGACTGAAAAACAGGGGTTGTAGATCAATATCTCCTTGTACCGGTAGATGTGCTATTAGATTGTCCACATGTTCGCGAAATAGGTTGAGATTCTGATACTGAATACGACTGAATTGTTTTCGTAGCAATTCTCTGGAATGTTTCCAGGGTAGCCCTTCTTGTGTAAAAATGCCATTACCTAGTAAAGGAGAAAAAACACTGCGTCGTGCACCAAAGCCGTAGTCTAAGTGGAATCTTAATTGAGTGGCATATTCAACTGCTTTATAGGGACTTACCTTTGAAGTTAGTAGATAGAACAGCTTCGACATTTTTGGGGTGTAGAACGTGGAATGCACGAGGCCCAAACAACAAGTATTGTGTGAGATTGTTGCGCGGTTCATAGTCCTTAGCAACGGTACACAGGAAAGCCAAGAGTCTGCCTTCAGCATTAGATTCCCACAATTCTTTAATCCTATCGATTCCAAGAGGTAATCTCTTGGGGAGTTCGGGGGGTAATTGGCAGCCGTGACGACGCCCAAAAGCGATATCTGTCTGTACGATTGTTAGTGGGTTCGTTTCTGTAACTTCTCAAAAGTCGACAAACCTTATATTCAGAATAGATGCGGGCCAGATGACGGAAAATTTGGAACGAAAGGGCGAAAGCAAACACATAAAAAATGGTCATCTTCCAAGATCCCTCGCGGGGATCAAAATTCAAGAGGGAAACTTGGACGGCCATATCTGCGTGCGTAGACTACTTGATACGGACTGAGTGTCGAGGTTTCCCAGTCACAAGCAATGACGATAAGGATTGGGAACCTTTGTACGGTAGAAACGGCGTGCAACCATCTATATGTGCTCCAAATGCGTATGGTTGGTTTCCAGGCCTAGTTGTGATCTTTGAAACCTCTTTATTACTTCTCTCTCACCGCCTTCGCCAGCATGCTGCGTGGTCGTCCATTCATGGTAATTGTTGATTCGGCGACACAGATTATTTAGGCTAACCAACTGGTCCTTGCGATTGAGCGCCACGGAAAGCGACGATCCGGTCAGTTAGCAGATTTAATTGGGCGACGCAGTGTTCCAGTAGCCATCCTTTTCGAGCAAGTTGTGGGCTTGCAGTGCAGCGCTAACGCTGATGCCCTGCATAGCTGCGACGCGGGCCGTCCCAGTGTCACATCGCATTGTAGCAAATCCAGTCCGCGCGCGGCGCAGTCAGTCCAAAGAGCAGAGCATATTTTGCCTTTCCCTCTTACAAACACTGAAATCTCAAAACTTACACGGAAAATGCTAAGAGTTGTCGTGTAAGATATTTCTGGGCCACTCTGATGTGAAAATGCCGTCGGGTCTCAGTCTACTTCATAGGGCTGAGTTTATTCCAGGTGGAGATCCGGGTGATGGAGCAAGCCGCCTTGTGGAGTGAGAGTCCCGCAATTCGTCTTGATGAACAGATTGGCTGATAGATCTTAGTATAGTTGCTGTTCATGGTTTAAATGAGGATATGATCGAAGCGTGGACGCATTCTGGAACCGGAATTTTGTGGCTTCGAGACCTCCTACCAGAAACAATACCAGTCGCGCGGGTATTGACATTTGGCTATGATTCCTCTCCTTCTTCGTTCTGTGGCCCTGGATGTGCTGACACAATCCAAAAACATGCACAAACTCTTGTGGCTTCTTTGCAGGCTGATAGAAGTATAGAGGGCTGTGACTACCGACCAATTATTTTTATCTGCCATGGACTAGGGGGGGTATTGGTCAAGAAGGCTTTGGCCTACTCTTCAAGTAGTACATCTTCTCAAGTCCAGCATTTATATACTATTTTTGTTTCCACTTACGCGATACTGTTCTTCGGCACACCTCATGACCGTGTGAATTCTGGCAGCTGGCTTGCCCTTGAGACTGCACCAGGACTTGAATCCTCGGCTAATAAAAGTGGGAGCAGCGATGAATCACGCCGAGCTTTTCTAGAAGGTGATTCCACTACCCTACAGGTAATCACGGAACAGTTCGCGCCTCTAATGAAAAAATTTCGAGTTTACTTTTTTTGGGAAGAGCTGCCGACTAAGTTTGGCGATTACACGCGATTCCTTGTCGAAGAAGATTCCGCTGCACCTACCATGGACAACACCGAGCGGTGTGGCATCGACGCAACTCATTCGGACATGGTTAAGTTCTCAAGATCAGATTCATCAAGTTATAGGACAGTCATTGCTGCACTAGGGAGATATTGTAATGATGCACCTGTTGTGATTACCCGTCGATGGAAAAAGGAGCTTGAAACGCTTGCAAGAATACGATCTATCGATGCATCTGAATTGGCCGGCCCAGAGTTTGAAGTCCATCTGGATCGCTTGTTTTCTCAGGGGAGACCTAACTTTAGCGTCCCTCGCAACAAGCACTTTTACCCTCCTCAAGAGACATCTCTGGGTTTTATTGGTCGACAGGAGGTACTTACGATGTTACGGAAAACTTTATTTGAGTTCGGATCAGATTCGTCGGCGAAGAAGCAAAGGCGATTTGTAATTCACGGAATGGGAGGCTGTGGAAAGACTGAACTCTGTTCTAAGTTTGCAGAGGACAACAAAGAGCGGTAAGATTCTTAACCATGACCGTCATGTTTACTCTATGCTAAGAAACTCAACAGTTACTGGGCTATTTTTACCATACATGCAAAAACTATAGAAACAGCAAAAGAATCATTCGCAACGTTGGGCAAATTAGGCGGCTTAGAAGCTACTGAGAGTGCCGGGAAATACTGGCTGTCGCAATTAACGGAACCATGGCTGCTTATCATTGATAACGCCGACAATCCTGATCTCGATATAAAGAGCTTCTTTCCTCGTTGCGATAGAGGCCATGTTCTCGTAACGACGAGAAACCCGGATTTTCGGATTCATGGCAATGCTGGAAGTATAGAACTGAAGGGGCTTAAAGAAGGAGAAGCCATACATCTGCTGCTAGAGTGTGCTAAGATTCCCAGGCCGTGGGATGCAACTACAGAGTACTGCAGCCAAGAAATAAGTAAGGCTCTTGGTTACCTTGCTCTAGCATTGGTTCAAGCAGGTACAGCTGTCTTCAGGAAAATCTGTGATTTGAAAGATTATTTGAACTTTCACAATCTCTATTGGAGCAAACGTCAAGCAAGGTCTCGTTCAACCACAGAGGTCGAAGAAAAAGGAGATGAACACGTTCTTTATTCTGCATTTGACTTCTCGTTCGCATATCTTCAGGCAAAGAATACTACAATGAGTCAGGACGCGGTGGATCTTCTCAACATTGTCGGCTTTTATCACTTTGAGCATATTCGAGTCGACATATTTACGAGAGCTATAGAAAATAGGCGTAAATCAGTGTCCCTCTCAGCTGCCAAATCAACAAGAACTAGGTTGTTGAATGCAGTTCTCACGCGATTTCATCCTCCTACTCTACTTCCCCACTTTCTCAAAGGCGACTCGGAGTCACTTCACCCATATCGTGTTAGAGAAGCACTTCACGAATTATATGCGCTGTCTCTCATCAATTATGATGGGAAAAATGCAAGCTTCTCCTTACATCCTTTGGTACATTTATGGGCCCGGGACCGTCTCGGCTACCGTGAAAAGACTGTATGGGCACAAATTGCGCTCAATACGCTTACTGAATCAGTTATGCTGCCACCAGAGGATATAGGAGATACTCATGCTGAATACAGGAAAGATCTACTGCCTCATCTTGATGAATGCCTTGCGGTATGCCCGGTGGAGATTGGTTATTTTGATAGTAAATTGGGTCGATTTCAACTTTCGTCAGCCAAATTCATTCAACAGACGTTGGCTTTCATTGTTCGTGATCAGGCCATGAATGCTGCAAAATGTGGTTACGTATATGCTGAGCGTGGCCGTTTCAGTGAAGCAGCATTTTACCTTTCGATGGTGAAAGACGTATTGGTGCAAACATTAGGATATGAGCATGAAAAAACGATGATAACAATGCTTGGCCTCGCTGCAGTCTACTGGGGTCTGGGGCGTCTCGAAGAAGCTATTGCATTGCAAAAACGTGTCGTTAAAGCTCGATCAAAAGTGCTAGGCCCGGAACATCATGACACCCTCATTGCCATGGATCAACTTGGCCGGTCATTCTGGCTATACGGGCAGTACCAGGAGGCTCTCCAATTGCAAGAAGTCACTACGACTCGAATGAAAGCGACGCTAGGTGATGAACATCCCGATACACTTGCGGCTCTGGATAACCTGGGTGTGACACTCGGGTCTTGGCACAGGTTCCAGGAGAGCAGAGAAATTCACGAGCAAGTCCTTCGAATAAGAGAAAAGAAACTCGGCCGTACGAACCCCGACACTCTAACGACTTTGAACAATCTTGCGATGGCTTTGCTCGACCTTGGTAAACTCTCCGAGGCAAAAGGAATGATGCAGGAAGTGGTTGAGCAACGGCAACTGAAGCTAGGAAAGGAGCATCCATGGACATTGTGGGCTATTTGCAACTTAGCAAAGGTCAACATTGAAATTGGCTATCTTGACGAAGCAGAGCAAATGTTAATAGACGGAATAGCAGCCGGAAAACGAAGTCTTAGCGACGAACACCTTGGGGTTCTCATGGGATGCGGTCAACTAGCCCGAGTATATGCACGGCAAGGTCGACTAGAGGAAGCCGAAAAGCTTACTCTAGATGTCATTAGTCGAGTTGAAAAATCTCGAGGTGAAGAGCACCCAGACTGTGTTTATGGTATGTTCAAGTTAGCACAGCTCTATGAGCTACAGGGAAAAATTGAGAATGCCATAGATACCTGTGAAACCGCTTTACGGAAGGCTGGCACACGGTTAACGAATCAACACCCGCTATACAAAAAGATTGATACCTATATTCGCACCCTTCGACAGTCTTTTACGCCCAAACAGAACCAAGGTGAACCCGACCCTAGAGATAAAACGCCACTACCACATTATTCGAAGAATACACAACGAACCCAAACTTGGTGAGCTGTAATAGCCGCAAGGAAGATGATTTACTCAGGAAATCATCATTCTCATTGAGAACACATATACCTCAGCAATAACTAAGGGTATCTCTCTGGGTCTTCTCGTGTGATGTCATAGCATTATAAAAAGAGGACTTCTACATTTTTTCATTGTCGCCCGAGTCTTCAATACCTCTGTCGCCTCTTCGAGTGTATCAAGCCGGTCGCTCAAGTTACCGCCTCCATGTCTCGGTGAAGAGTAGACTATAGTGACAGCTTCTCATTTAAGTGCTGTTTCTAAACATTGTGAGTACTTTCGCATGTCGATTTCGCAACAATACGCGTATCCGGGCTTACATGTCGCTTCCAGAATAGTGGTAATTCACACTGTTATAAACTCAATACGCCTGGAAGCATAAAGCATGCAGAGCTTCTCACAGTAGCGTCTGAAATAATTGAAACAGGCCTTCAATTTCAAGCCTATTCACAAGTCTTCTCATCTCATTGTTTACCTACCTGCTACAAATCGATTCCCACGATATTACGAGAACTCACCTCCGGTGCCCGCTCGCATTTCCATGGACTAGTTCTTCTATTATCTAGAGCTGTCATCAGCTTTAAAGTGAATTGGACCTGTCTAATTTAGCTCTATGGCACCAACATTCAAGAACATGTCTGTTTGAACCTAGCGAATCCGGAACCTAAGTTTACGCACCGTAAGCGCGGTGGAACAGTACATATTTCGCAATGACAAAATGCTCATTTATGCGTGTATCACGCCGACAATAGCTTCGATCGTTTATCCTATAAACAGACACCACCCACAAATATACACCCGTGCGAAGGCCATTGCATAGGCTGAAAAACGAACTACATATCCGTTTTGACTGACGGAATACAATCAGGGGACTTGGAAACTAGATCAGTGGGACATGGGAAGGTTTAGCCGGATGCCACGTCAGAAATCCGGCTGACCAGGTGTTCCTGAAAACGCGAGATTTAAAGCGGCAATGGAAAGTGACAACCCTATATGCAAAAATTCAAGTGAAAAAAACATACAACAGTTGGGATTCGCTGGTGGCCACCCAACTACTAACCAACCGGCGTGTGGCTTAAGTACGGCTGAGCGGACGGGAAGCCCTGTTTTCCACACCCTATGGTCGTATGTGCTAGGAAAGGAGAATGAATGGATCATATTGAGACTAGTAGCTCAATGGCCCGCCCCAGTCTGGCGTCCCCAGCGGCCATATCATGAGAGTGTCCCCTGGATACTAAAGAGTCGAAAACACATTGAAGATGGACGAGAAGTCTTAGGAAGTTGACCTCGAAGATCATTCCCAAACAAAGCTGCTTGTGCATAAGAGATTATGTGAGTGCTAGTGTCAACGATTGAGCGCGTGCAACTTCTTGCCAATATATGTAACCAGCAAAGGCGGTTTCCTGGCGTTCGAGACGCAGCCTCCACACTGTCTCTAGCAGGGAGAGAGCGACCTCGACATTCTTGAACGAGCGTGAGAGTATCACGCTCTGCATCTTCTCTTTGATGCACATGATTTGTTCTTGTTGTGTGGCCTCAGCACCGGCGATGAATAGTGGGAATAGAAGGGTGCATTCTGGCAAACATCTCTCGGGCATTTGCCTTATATTTGCGATTGTCTTGTTGACTTGATCACTGATTTTTCCGGGTATATTTATGGCGTGTTGAGGAATGTGACGCTGAATGCACTGGAATAGATATATCAAGGCGGAATTGCGATAGGACTCTGCAAGTAACACTAGGCCGTCATCATCAGACGGACTGCAGACCCATTGCGTCAATCGTTCCTCTAGAGCCGAGGCAAGTAGCAGGCTCTGGTCAACTGAAAATGTTTGTGTCCTTGTTTCGAAAGTGATACTCTGTTCACTTTTAGCCTTTAACTCCACATTTAGTGTAGCAATATCGGCGATTATAGATAGTATATCTGCAGCAAGACCAAAATACGAGTCAGCCACAGTACCCTTTGTAAGAGCTAGGAACTCATCAGATGCTAGTAAGGTAGACGTGTCTAAGGAAACGGCCATCAAAATGTCGTGATAGGCAAAATTGCAAAGGAGCCATTGTCCTGCATCCTTATCTTTGAATTTTCGTAGAACAGCAGTTGCACTGCCATCCGAGTCTTGTTGTAGGCGGCGAATAATCCCAGCAGCTCCTGCAAGATGTGTATACCATGTTCCATCATGACCAGTCATAATGCTTTCCATAGAGCACAAAACAAGGCAAGTCGCAAGTTGGGTATCCAAGGAGACCTCGTTTGACGATAGGGATCCAGCTAGACTTTGTAAAGCACGGCCCTTGTTTCTCGTCGCAACGTCACAGTACGACTGATGTTGAAGAGATAGATGGCCAGATGCCCACGACACCATAGCATCTAGAAGGACCGGTTCAAACATGGACATGGGAAGGAGAACTATTTTCAGGGTCAGTCTATTGATGAAAACTATCCGTTCTCTAAGGGATCATACCAGATAGGAACGAATTATTTTCTAGATTTGTAGTAAGTAGTTTGGTAAATGATTCAATGTAGTAGCGTAATATGACCCGTCGGCTCGTAGTTGAGATGCAATCAGCATCATGATCATCCACCCAGAATGCTAGAGGATCCGGAGACTGCATAAGCGCAACCCCACTTCCACGTTTTAACCTAGGAAGCGAGACAGAGCCGTTTTGACTTGGGCTTTGGCCTCCTTGAGCTGGCTGTGCCAACGGTAGTACCCGGGGCGCTTCCCGCCTGCATTCGTAGTTGAGCCTCACACATTGATGGCAGACAGGGTAGCCAAGATCGCATCGCTTCTTCCTGCAACCTTGGATCAATACCAGTCTCTAAGCTCATACAGAAACGAGTAAGTCATCATACCGTTGTCGGCACGTCAGGCACCCAGTACGTTCTCTCGTCGTGCCCCTCTTTTTCTGTATACGAGGCGGCAAGGTGGGTTGCAAAATGTCTGCCATCCCGATTTCCCAGCGCTACAGATACTCGGCGACAACCGCGGTCGGTCGTTCAAGTGGATTAAAAGAGCAGAGTATTGGCGAGTGAGTGAGAAGGAAGGTAAGGAGATAGAGATGGTCCAGATAAGGAAGTCGGGGGGCATGTGGGGTAGCATAGAGAGCGGGGCCAATCATAACCCAAGCGTCAACAGCGGCCGCCCGAGACCCACTTGGAGACAATTAACCCTAAGCCCTACTCTATTGGACACTTTTGCTGCCAATCATATACAACTCGATCCTCATGGACTGACTTCGGATTCATTCTACGTTATCCTCTATAATCTGTCGGGTCAGCCCATATCTGAAGTATCTAGACTGGGAAATCAACATCACGCAACAATGACTATCGACGAGGCAGTCAGGCGCTCTCACATCCTTCATCGAGCCTTAGACAGGACACCATTGAATGTTGCTTCTGGATCAGGCATATCATTCACCCTCAACTCAGGGAAAGAGATTATTGATGCAGCATCTGGTCCCTCAGTAGCATGTTTAGGCCACAATCAGCCGGAGGTAACCAAGGCCATCCTGGACCACCTGAACAACAACATTGCCTATGCATACTCTGGCTCATTCTTCACAAATGATGCTTCCGAGGAGCTTGCTTCACTCCTTCTAACTCATCAACCAGGAGGTCTATCCAAAGCGATTTTTGTAAACTCCGGCAGTGAGGCTACGGATGCCGCTTTGAAGCTCGCAGTGCAGTATTGGCACGAGAAAGGAGAAAAAAAGAGGACTCATTTCATAGCCCGAAGACAAAGCTATCATGGAAACACAATTGGCGCATTATGTGTTTCTGGCCATGACTCGCGGCGTGAATTCTATAAAGATTTCATGTCCTCGAATGTGTCTTTCGTAGATCCTTGCTATGCATATCGGCTGAAGGAACGCAACGAAAGAGATGAACAGTATGCACAGCGTTTGGCTCAACAGGTTGAAGACGAGATCCTTCGAGTTGGACCTGAACATGTTGCCGGGTTCATTGCGGAGACTGTCAGTGGCACGACCCTTGGTTGCGTACCTGCAGTTCCTGGTTACTTCAGCAAAATCCGTGATATCTGTGACAAATATGGCGTGTTACTAATCTTGGATGAGGTACGTGTACCGTCAGGGCAATATGTTCTTCTCGAAAATTATAATACTAAGGTTGCTACAGATAATGTGCGGCATGGGAAAAACCGGAACCATGCATGCTTGGGAGCAAGAAGCTGGCTTCCGAGGGCCGGATATACAGACAATCGGCAAGGCCCTTGGTGGTGGATTTGTCCCTCTATCGGGTGTGCTTTTACACAAAAAGATATTCGAAGCTCTGAGTAACGGCTCAAAAGTCTTAGTACACGGACATACCTTCCAGGTTCGTTTAATTCTCTAGATCGTTGACCTAGTTCTTTCAAATTAATCCACTGGATTAGGCTCATCCTTTGGCGTGCGCTGCAGCTGTCGCAGTCCAAAAGATAATAAAGAGGGACAATTTGCTTGAAAACGTCAAGCAACAAGGTGTATTGATGGAGCAACTTCTGAAAGACAAAATTGCTCCCTTACCGTTTGTCGGCGACGTCCGCGGACGAGGCTTGTTCTGGGCTGTGGAATTTGTTCGTGATAGAGGAAAACGCGTCCCATTTTCACCGGAAGACAAATTCTGTGAGACTGTTGTCGATAAGGCTCTGGAGCTAGGACTTGCTATCCTAGGAAACCTTGGTCGTACAGGAGAACACTATGTGGATCTGGCCATCCTTTCTCCTCCTTATATTGTCCGAAGCGATGAGATCCATCGTATTGTGGATCTTCTTGCTCAAGCTATAGAATCTACAAGCGCAAATTTTTTGTGAATAATCAATTTCAATGACGCCTAATTTTTGATATTTTGAGCTTGCGAGACGGACACATGACTAGAGCTTGCTTACTTGTTACATGGAGGCGAAAGGCTCTCTACCTTCTTGTGCTTGTACCTAAGTAACTCATAGAACTATATAGATTCTTTAGATATACTATACAGGCCTGATAATAACTTTCAAAAATGATATTTGAACGGTTTCTAAGAGATAAGCCAAAAGAGATTAGTCCCTTTCTTCCATATCCTCCTGGAAATCATATGTTGCAAACTTGTTCGTTGGCACGCGCCGCTGGAACATAAGATCCAGCTCCTCAAAGGTTCGATTCTTAGTTTCTGGTAACGCAAGGAAGCACCAGATAACACAAGGAACAGAGACTCCTAGAAAGATAAGTGCGAGCTTGCCGCGCAGATTGCCCTGATCCGGATTGATAGCATAAGGAATGCCAACAGCACAAGCAACATTGATCAGAGCATTAACCGTTGTTGACAGTGCGATTGTCTTATCGCGCAATTTGGCAGATGATACTTCGGCTAAAAAGACAAAGCATAAAGGTCCAATGGTCAGATCGTAGATGAAATTGTAGACAACCATCATGGAGCACTGTGCCCAGACAACAGCCGTGTTTGTTGTGCCATAACCTGGAACCACGTCAAGGACACCCACAAGCAAGACAAGGATGACTAGAACACATAAGCCCTGGTTGTAGATGGTACGTCGCCCAAATTTATCGAGTAGAACCCAAGAAAAAACGGTACCGACGAACCCGACTCCCAGCAAACCCACGCCTAAATCAAATGAAGCTGACGTGCCTAAACCTGCCAGTTCAAAGAAGTAAACGGCATAGCCAATCACGAGAAAGTTGCCGACAAGCGGTTGAATGGCGTATACCATAATGCAGATAATCGTACGACGGAGATCCGTTTTCTTGAAGCAATCAATAAACCGCGCCTGTTCGGTTTCAATGTCCTCGATAGACGTGGTGAGTTGAATATGCGCGAGGAGAGTGGAGGAATCGATTGATTTATCGACAAGCCGTTGAAGAGACTTTTGTGCTTTCTCAACATCTCCGCGCCGAAGCAGCCACCAAGGACTCTCTGGACAAAAGGGCAGAAGCGCCAAGATTATAACTGGAAATATGATTTGAGTAGCGAACGGGATGTCGTATGCCCATCTATCCCCACGCGATTGACAACCTGCTAACACCCCGCTGGCAACGAGCTGGCCAATAACAAAAGATAGATTGACAAATGCTGCAGCTATTCCTCGAAATACGACGGGGGTCACCTCGGAGATATACGTGGGAGCGATGACAGGGTACGCTCCCAGAACGATACCGTTGATTAATTCGGCGATCAGAATCTGAGGTCGGTTCTGCGCCGAAGTCTGAAGCGCGACTGTAATTAATGTAATTGTGCAGCAGATGGCCAGGGTCCATCGACGACCCAACTTTTCCAACGGCCAACCGATACCAAATGCACCCAGGACTTGTCCAACGGGAACGCCCAGGTTGAAGGCTGACTGCCATTTGGCCTGGACAACAAAAGATCCGTCTGCAAGCTCAACGCCAAAGTCATGCTGGAACTGCGGAATCGCAACAAGGGTGCCAACTAGTTGCGGATCAAAACCGGCCATGACTACGCCCAAACTGAAGAGGAACGACCAGCCTATGGCAGCGCGGTAGTGGATGCATGCTTCTTTGAGGGTGAGGTTGTGTTCTGCGAGACGTGCATCGTTGGCTTGCTTGACTATCGACACGTCTATGGCTTCTCTGTCAAAGGCTACTCCTTCGACCGGTGTAATCTTGTTATCCTCACTCATGTTAAGTAGTTTGATATGAAGTGATTGTTTGTAGTCATGTAATGCTAGAGAGACACAGACGGACACGAGAACCAGGAACCGGGATATGTGCCAATTATTTATGGACCTCACACGACAGTAGTGGCCTAGCTAACTATTCTATGGAGATAATCTGGAAAAATGCAATTAGAGTTACAAGCTACCCCAAGACTGATAAGACATTAGGGCTAGCTTTGTACGAAGGTTGTTGCTGTGTGCCGTCCCCCGCCCTAAGCGCCCAAAGCTTCGGAGTACCGGAGCCAATTGATAGAACTGAGAAGCGACCAATAAATGAGAGAGGTAGGTTGCAAGATAAGGATGGAACATTCAACCAGAAGGGCGAGGAAGTTTAATTCCATTTAGCGGCAATTTTTGTGAGGTCCCAAAGTCAAAATCATCAAGTGAGCTTGTCGTGGACAACTGAAAAATCAGTATCGGGAACCAAATAATTCTACATCTTTTAGATTAGACGTTGCTTAAGTATCCTATTACGTATCATCTCAAATAGAGTAAAGTGGCTTAGGGATATATGCTTTTATTGGGCATCATAAGAACCTTGGGCAGTCCAGACCACATGCCATATCTTTGGAAATGGCTAAAGCTATTTAAACTTCTAAATCAGTGCTGGTTCTTTGCATATATGTACAAACGACCTTCATATGGCTTTAGTTTCATGCCATCGAGCTCTTGTCGATCGCCGTCTGGATAGTTTGCAAGTAGTAAACTCCCAGTCTGGACTGGACAGACCCAAGTGATCTCCTTATCGGAAAAGGAACACACAACCAAATACTGTGCGACTTCATCAGTTCTCGTATATGCATATACACTCTGGTTTTCGTAGTCGATCATTTGAAATTTGCCGCGTACCAGACCAGGGTGCATTTTTCGAATGCTAAGCAACTTTTTCCAGAATCCAAGCACACTGGTGCTCTCATTTTCTAGCTGTGCCGCAACATTCCATTCGAAGTAGTCGGTATTAACCTTAATCCATGGTGAGCCCGTTGTAAATCCAGCGTTAACATCTGCGCTCCATTGCATTGGAGTTCTAGAATTATCTCGTCCAATACGCTGGATCTGTCTCAACGCATCGTTAAGATCTCCATTGCGCTCATTGACCCCGTTATAGTATTCAATCTCTTCCAAGTCACGAAGCTCATCGAATGTCCATGATGGGGGATTGACCATTCCAATTTCCTGGCCCTGATAAACGAAAAGCGTTCCACGGCCTGTTGCATGAAATAAGGCAAGCATTTTGGCCGACGCTTCTCGATAGGTGGTATCGCTACCCCATCGTGAGGTGATTCTCGGCTGATCGTGATTCTCAAGATATAAGCTGTCCCAGCCATTGTGATTTTGATTAAACTCCATGAAATTGCCTAGGATGTCTTTGAGTTCGGTTAATTTCCATGGCCGATAGTTGAAACATTGTTGGCCGGGCTGGTGGTCGATGTACATGTGTTCGAAGTGGAAGAGCATCTGTTTGTATCATAAGCCACAATTAACAGTGTAAAGTTTGAAGCCTTGGATAATTTACCTGCAACGGGGTACCATTTTGGATTAGAGGAAGAGCCTGTTCAGCGTTCTTGATTCCTGGGGCTTCTCCAACAGTAAATGTACCAGGATAGTGCTTGAGAACCCTATGATGCATTTCATGCAGATACTCAGCCACCTTGGGTCCGTTAAAACGATGGACCAGACCATACTGGAAGGCACTTTTTGGATCCGCTACTGGCGCATCAGGAAACCCTGGTGTCTTGGAAATACAATTGATGACATCCATTCGGAAACCATCACAGCCCTTATCAAGCCAGAAACGCATAACATCCCACACAGCCTCTCTTACTTCCGGATTTTGCCAATTCAAGTCTGGTTGTGACACATCGAATACGTGCAAGTAATACTGCTGCAATTGTTCGTTCCACTCCCAGCAAGAGCCGCCGAATATAGCGCCCCAGTTGTTTGGTTCTTTGCCTTCGGGGTTCTTGTCACGCCAGACATACCAATCCTTCTTGTTCCCACCAGATTGAGCATTCTTGAACCATTCGTGCTGGTCAGATGTATGATTGACAACAAGGTCCATGACAATTTTCAGTCCGAGTTTGTGCGCTTCATCGACCAGTCTTTCCCAGTCTTCCATGACACCGAATTCAGTGTGGATGGCTCGATAGTCGGATATGTCGTAACCCATGTCAACCATGGGGGATGCATAAATGGGACTTAGCCAGACTACGTTCACTCCCAGATCCTTGAGATATTGGAGTCTTGAAGTGATGCCGTTCAGGTCACCGCGTCCATTGCCGGTCGTGTCTTGGAATGACACAGGGTAGACCTGGTAGACGACAGCATCACGCCACCAATCCTCCTTTTCCATGTTTGTGTGTGGAGGATGTTCGTCCGTGATAAGACAAGATACGTCCCAGATGTTACAGAAATGTGAAAACTTGTTTCCAAACCCCAAGAAGTATCATGTAAAGGGTAGAATAAGAACAATGAGAGAAAATAGAGTCCAGCGATACGGCATGAACAATGGCTCTAAATCTCCAAAAGGTTATCAAGCCATACAACTCACTGATCTAAGTATTGTGTGCATGACAAGGTCATCTTGCTCTGCTTTTATCGTACCATAAAATAGTGCCCGCCACAAGCGCCGGCCTTGCCGTTCTTGGTAATGAATGCGTATGGGCCTATCAGTACTAAAGCAGATCTAGACTCGTTGATAGTAACGAAGGAAAAGACGCTACCCTAGAACGTAAAGGAACAAGTGGAGTTTATGGATAATGTTGTAAGCTCCTGGGATACCTAGTAATAGATACAATATATAAATCGCAGACAATGATCGGATGCCTAGATAGGCCGGCCACCAGAAGATAAAGTTTGGAGAAGAAGAAAAACAGTTTACGCCGATTCATGGAGCCGCACGTTGTTGCGAGGGAAACCCGAATTCGTCGTGAAACGATAGAGGGGAGGATTTGATAGGCACTCGTGCGGCCTTTGGATTTAATGTAGCATTGCCTTATAACGCAAATCTGGTTTTTTCTTGCTTTAACAATAGTTGGGCCGTCTTCCATAAATTGGGAATAATGGAGATGTGACTTGAAGTGCGGGCTGCGCTTGAAGTGCGGGCTGCGCTTGAAATTCCCATTACTCTCTTTGCTGTTCCTCTCGAGCTATCAACAAGCGCCGTTTGTTCTGCTGCTCAAGTACTAGCAATCGAGCCTCGTAATCATCCTGATCCTCATCCCAGGGCTCGTTTGGCCGCTTTTTTTGTTTTAGCTCGTATTTCTTGAGAAGTACAAGACGTTCGTTGTGAATCTGGTTATGTTGTTTAAGTAGCAATGAGCGCCTCTCGTGCTGGTGCTGGTTTAGCATTTGCTGCAGTTGGTCGGTTTGTAAAGGAAGCTTCCCCTCATTATGGTCTACCACGCCGTCTAGCCCGCCTGTTGACCTTTCATCTATCATCTCCTGCGCATCGACGTTGTCCCAACAAATTTCACACCATACTCTCTTGCAGTAGGCACACCAGAAGAGCTTAAGCGAAGCCCATTCATCTGGAGCAAAGTTTCGGTGGGGGCAGTTTCTTTTCTGGCAATCAAGTGTGATATTCACACCAGGTTCATTTCCTTGAAGCTCCATGCCTGGCCGGGTGTTTTCTTCTTTTCTCTCAGGAGAGGTATTTTGTATTCGAGGTGCATGTACTGATCTGCTAGCACCTAGGTATGGCACATAATAAATGCAGGCTCACGATAAACTCCTATCTCAAGTCATGTTAGACAAATACCCCACTTTAGAAAAAGCAATGTGGCCTGGTTGCCCTCTAGGGCAATTAGCATCCGCCCAAAGCAGAGAGGCCAAAAGGTCGCGAAAAAACATCCGTACATGCGTCGGAAGTGAAGTTTTCGAATATGAATTATTTTATAGGCATTTACTGATTAGTATACAGATCTGGGATGCTATGGCTCTTTTGCAACTTTACTGGTAGTTGCTCACGTAAAGGTGCAGCTCCAAGCACGCCATATCTTCGGCTTATAAATCTGATAAATATAGACAAGCTTATAAATGCAGCTTTGGCGGGGTATAAAAACATCACCGAGACTGAATCCATCATGATGCGAAAGTCTTTTGAATAGTACATTTCAGATTGTATCACTATATCCAACGTCAAAATGACAGAATCAAAGCCGAACCGCCAACTTCACCTGACGGCATTTATGCGGCCAGTCTCACTACACACAGGAGCATGGCGTTACCCCGGTTCATATCCCGACGCAAACTTCAATTTCAAGCACATCAGTCATTTCGCTCAGAAATTAGAAGAAGCCAAATTCGATGCCTTCTTCATGGCCGATCACTTGGCTGTGCTAAACATGCCGATTGAAGCCCTCAAACGCAGCCATACAGTCACCTCATTCGAGCCATTTACGCTTCTCTCTGCTCTGTCTGCAGTGACAGAAAAGATCGGTCTTGCTGCGACGGCGAGTACGACGTACGATGCACCATACCATGTTGCCCGACGATTTGCCAGTTTGGACCACTTGAGTGGTGGACGAGCGGCGTGGAATATTGTGACGACGGGTAATCCGGAATCGAGCAAGAATTTCGGTTTTGATGAGCACATGGCTCATAGTGATAGATATAAACGCGCTCGCGAGTTTTACGATGTGGTAACCGGGCTGTGGGATAGTTTTGCGGACGATGCTTTCACGCGTGATGTGGAGACGGGGCAATATTTCGATCCAGAGAAATTGCATGTACTGGATCATTCTGGTGACGAGTTAAAGGTACGCGGGCCATTGAATATCGCTAGGCCGCCGCAGGGATGGCCGGTCATTGTGCAAGCAGGACAGAGTGAACCGGGACGGCAGTTAGCTGCAGAGACGGCAGAAGTTGTTTTCTGCAGCCCAAAAGATATTGAAGGTGCAAAGGCGCTTTACGCGGATATTAAGGGCCGAGTTGAAAAGGCTGGTCGAAAACGAGAGCATTTGAAAATCTTGCCTGCCGCACTTATCATTGTCGGGGAGAGTAAACAGGACGCTCAGGAAAAGAGGCTCAAATTGGATAGTCTCGTACATTATGACAGTGCCATTTCATCTTTGTCAATCGCTCTTGGAGTCGATGTCAGTCACCTGGACCCAGATGGCCCGTTGCCAGAAGATCTGCCCGAGACAAATGGGAGCAAGACGGGCAGAGAAGGGGTCGAACAATTAGCTAAGAGAGAGGGACTTACCATCAGACAACTTGCTCAACGATATGGTGGATACTCGGGTTTGGCATTCTTGGGCTCTCCAAGCGAGATAGCCGAGGAGATGGAGACATGGCTTCGAGAAGAAGCTTCAGATGGATTTACATGCACATTTCCCTTTTTGCCCCAGGGACTGGAAGAGGTGACGGATAAGCTGATTCCGGAGCTGCAACGAAGAGGTCTGTTTCGCAAGGATTATACTGGCTCGACGTTGCGTGAACACTTTGGGCTACCGAGACCGGATAATCAATTCTTCACTAAGTCTTGAATGATTACACGATTAGATGTGATGTATGGTAAATTGTACGAATGAAATCTCGATCACTACACATATAGATAGGACCGGCCCAGATATGAAATCATTAGTCAATCCTAGTAAAAATACAGTTCATTTCTCACATGGCCGAAGTGCAGTGCGACGCGTGAGTTTTATAGCGACTACGCGGAATTGAGTAGCATGCTTGTCAATCAAAGAACACAGAATAAGTACGCTAACTGTAAAGTCAGCGGGTGAGGCTCATTATCAAATTTCAAGAATATAGAGTAGCCAGCATAAACGGCGCCGATATCATGCGCTCATCGCACAGCAAGTTCAATGACTGGCACATTTAACATGGCGATGACACTTTTCTCACGATCAAAAACTCGCGCAATCTCACTATTCCATGCAGAGTCTTTAAGGAAGGCTAGTAATTGTTTTAGGAAGCCCCCGGCAGTATACAGGCGAGTACGAATATTTCCAACGTGGTAGGTTGAAAATGTCAATTCTGCGATACTTTACTTGATGTTCCTACTTCAGGCTCGGAAGAGGCTTCCAAATTCACAGCGGAAGACAAAAAGGTATTTTGAAAAGTTAGAAAGGCGATGCAAATGGCTCGTCGCCCAACGGAGGAGGGAATAGTATCGGTCATTGTATTTGCCCTAACCTAAACATATCTCTTTACGGATTTTGCTAATCAATGCCTATTTGCCTCCAACTTGAACTTCGAGAACCTCAATGTTATCTTTAAATGGCAATAACTCGACGCACACGATCAAAAGGTGGCAATTGCACATACTCACATTTCCAGTTCCGCGACTTACTTACAATTTGTCTGGATTAACGAAATCCTCCAAAGTAACAGTAAACGCGGTTGCAGATATCACTACCGAAGCTGACCGACGGTTTACTAGCCAGTGAAAACTTGTGCGCAAACATACAAGAGTCTGAGATGAATCAACTATACTGGATCGCCGTACGTGGAAGATATTTAGCGAAGAATGTTACAGGCTTGATCACCGCTTGCAACTTTCCTTAGGATTCATAATAGAGTTTTAGGTTATGGCATACGCGTAATAGCTCTTTATCATATGTTTATTAATATGAGCCTATGGGCTTATATTTCGTTCAAGAGTGTGAATAGACTAATGCGATTAAATGTAGAGACTCGAACATCCATGTTGTCGAGAGACTCGGGCCTTCCCCGCATTCGGGTCATGTTCGTCTTTATTGTTGTTACGTATGATGTCCATAAGTTTATAGTAAGCTATTTGATTTCCGCCACTGACGATTTTTGTTTCAAGGTGGAAAGATGTTTATATGCATACTACCCCGTATCACATCGAGAACCCATGATTTCTGCACATTCTTCGCTCAATGCAGCAACTGACTCCGTAAATCACATGGTTGCGCCACACACTGTCTGTAAATGCGTGAATACAACCCCATCATGTATAGCCTCGTCATTGATCAAAAATCATTTATTTTGGTTCATTATCACTATCTTTCCCCAAGGAGGACAATTATCATTCGACGGAGCCCCTCTCTGATCTTTTATCAATCTGGGAAATGATCCGTGTGCCCAGCTGGATAGTTCAATAAAATTCAAGTGCTAAGCAATTAGGTAGATAGATCCAGTCTTAAATAGGAAAAAGACCGACTGGTTCCCGGGCAGACTAGAGATTTACCCCGGTTCAAATGCAGGTTTATCTCTTGATTATCATCTATAATACGCTGTGATATACGTAAATTTCATCATTGAGCGGCATGAATGAGAATTATTTGCCGACGCCCTGACGATCTATGTGAGCTCTGGAGTTTTATTCCATTTTATTTTTTCTCCTTCCTGGCCATGCAAATTTCATGTTTTTAGCAGTCTATATACTGAAAGATCTGACAAGGTCTCACTTCTGGTCTCATCATGGCGGGAGGAATATTGCCATTTCTCTTAGGGCTTCTTCTCCTCGCGCACTGTGCCAGCGCATCAACACACCGCTCCAATCCCAAACAGAATACCGAAAAACAAAAACGCGACAGTCTTCCAACAAACTACACAACACCAGATTACTATCCCACACCCAATGGCGGCTGGGACTCCAACTGGTCTGCGGCCTACGCAAAAGCGCAAAAGGTCGTCAGTAACATGACACTGGCCGAAAAAGTCAACATCACTTCCGGCACGGGTTACTTGATGGGACCATGTGTCGGCCAAACTGGTAGCGCTTTACGATTCGGTATTCCGCGTATATGTCTTCAAGATGGGCCGTTGGGTATTCGAAATACGGATAACAACACAGCATTTCCTGCCGGCGTAACTGCCGGCGCTACATGGGACAAAGACCTGATATATGCTCGTGGTGTCGCAATAGGCGAAGAAGCCCGCGGTAAAGGAATAAACGTCCAAATGGGCCCCGTCGTTGGCCCGATTGGTCGCAAACCCCGATCTGGTAGGATTTGGGAAGGATTTGGCGCTGATCCCTCGTTGCAAGGGATTGCTGCTGCGCAGACGATTCAGGGTATGCAAAGTACTGGTGTGATTGCAACTCTGAAACATTTTATTTTGAACGAGCAGGAGATGTACCGGATGACAAGTGTTGTGCAAGTGGGTTATTCGTCGGATATTGATGACCGAACGTTGCATGAGATTTACCTTTGGCCGTTTGCTGAAGGGGTGAAAGCTGGTGTTGGTTCGATTATGGCGGCGTATAATCACGTAAGCCATCCTGAATCTGAACAGAAACTGGCTTTCATGATAATAATAGATGAATAGGTCAATGGGTCCTTAAGTACCCAGAACAGCCAAATTCTCAACGGCCTGCTGAAAGACGAGCTTGGCTTCCAGGGCTTTGTCGTATCTGACTGGTATGCTCAATTTGGCGGCGTGTCATCGGCATTAGCTGGCTTGGACATGGCCATGCCAGGAGACGGAGCAATTCCACTGCTGGGAGATAGTTTCTGGAATTATGAGCTGTCAACAGCAATTCTGAACGGCACAGTGCCTCTGGAGAGGTTGAATGATATGGTGCGGCATGATTTGTCTTTTCATCAGTACGAGCAATGTATGCTGACAGCTTCTTCCAGGTTACTCGAATCGTAGCAACATGGTTTCAACTGGGCCAAGATGATGATTACCCCGAGCCAAACTTCTCAACGAACACTGAAGACGCCACAGGGCCCCTGTACCCCGGCGCTCTGTTTTCTCCATCCGGCGTGGTCAATCAATTCGTCAACGTCCAAGGAAACCACAGCATCATCGCCCGAGAAGTCGCTCGAGACGCTATCACTTTGTTGAAGAACGTAAACCAAACCCTGCCTCTAAGTAAGAACGCCTCCTTGAGTGTTTTCGGTACAGACGCAGGTCCCAACTCGGGTGGCTTGAACTCATGCTCCGACATGGGCTGCGATAATGGTATTTTAACAATGGGTTGGGGAAGTGGAACTGCTCGACTACCATATGTTATTACACCGCAACAAGCAATTTTGAACAATTCAGCAAATACGCAGTTCTATGTTTCTGACAGTTTCCCATCAGTCACTGCGGCAGCAGATGATATTGCCATTGTTTTCATCAACGCGGATTCCGGGGAGAATTACATTACTGTTGAAAGTAATCCTGGTGACAGGACTACTGCTGGGCTTAATGCCTGGCATGGTGGTGATGATTTAGTGGTTAAGGCAGCTGCCAAATATAGCACGGTCATTGTTGTTATCCACACAGTAGGACCAATCCTCATGGAAGAATGGATTGATCTGCCGTCCGTAAAAGCAGTCCTCGTCGCGCATCTTCCCGGACAAGAAGCTGGAGACTCTCTGACAGACGTGCTATTCGGCGACTACAGTCCTAGTGGTCATCTGCCGTATACTATCCCACACAACGAGTTCGAGTATCCAGCTAGTGTCGGCCTAATTGATCAGTTGCTTGGCCAGATTCAAGATCAATTCACAGAACGCATCTATATCGATTATCGCCACTTCCTTCAAGCCAATATTACTCCAAGATTTCCATTCGGATATGGTCTATCATATACCACGTTCAATTTCTCCGATGCGACGCTGACAACAGGTACATCGCTGACAGAGTACCCTCCTGCTAGACCAGCGAAGAGCCCCACGCCAACGTATGCGACAACCATCCCACCAGCATCGGAAGTCGCGTGGCCAACTGGTTTCAATTCTATTTGGCGGTACTTGTATCCATATCTCGATGATCCAGCGGCAGCTACCTCGACAGCTCCATATCCCTATCCGACAGGTTACAAGACTACACCGCAACCGGCACCGCGTGCCGGGGGAGCACAGGGAGGTAACCCTGCTCTTTGGGATACAGTCTTCACAGTCGATTTAAAAGTTACTAATACCGGAACGACATCTGGTCGGGCTGTTGCGCAGTTGTATGTCGAGTTGCCGGGAGATACTCTAGGTGTAGATCTTCCTCCGAGACAGTTGCGACAGTTTGAGAAGACGTCAATTCTGGCTCCTGGTGATTCAGAGACGCTATCATTGCCAGTGACCAGGAAGGATTTGAGTGTGTGGGATGTCGTTGTGCAGGATTGGAAAGCGCCGGTTAATGGAGAGGACGTCAAGTTCTGGATTGGGGAGAGCGTGGCTTTGGAGGATATGCAGATAGTTTGTACAGTTGGTCAGGGGTGCGAGAGTGCCTAATGATTGGAATCTCTGGACGGCAAGTGTCAGTTCTATTACCCGTTAATGTGAGTAATCTCATAAGTTGTACATACCTACTTTGGGAGATTTTTTTGAGAACTTAATAATACGGTCGTGAAATAAAATCGGTCATATCGCGTATCATTCATTATATTAAATCGGTAAAAAGCGAGAAATTAATATACAGTGCACTGTGCCCAAAAACTAGATTTGAAAATTAGGTAGCATGGTGTCGAATAAACCCGTTATATCAAACCCTGAGCCAAGATCACCAGTTATGAATGGTTGCAGATCATCAGTGGGATAAAATAGCTGATCAACATAACCCATAGAGTCCTCGGTCACGACTTGTTGTGCTGCAGCCGGCATTTGCTCTATCTGTGGCTGGAATGACAACGTAAGATAATGATAAATTTGACATATAGGATAGAGAGCTCACTCACCATTTGGGACTGTTGATAGATCAAGGGTTGGCTTACCGCACGTACCTGATCATAGGGCCTGATAGGTTCGTCGTATTGCTTGTCCCTAGCGGGCAGTTGGTACTGAGTGTTGGCAATCGCGCTTCCATTCCTATTGCTGTTCCCTAATTGGATGTCACGGATGAATTGCCGCGCGATGAGAGCAAATTCTGCCACCAGAGAGCTAGGGAGTGAACCGCCAGTAGAATACTCCAGGCGAGTGAAATATGCGCCCACAACATCCAAAAATGTAAGGTTTGTGCTGCTTTCCGGGTGGTATGGGTTATGGACCACGAAGTCGAACAGAACAAATAGAGCCGAGAGAGGCATCACGCCGAGTATCCTAAATATCCAGAGGGTTAGTAAGGGAACATGACAAAGGCCTGGTTTTTGCCTTACCAGATTGAAGTATGGGGTTGCAAGTCAATGTAATGCGTCAGACCGATAATGTGCCTTGCTGTATACATTAGTCTCTTCTTGGCTTCTTCCATTCGAGGGGACTCTGTCCCAGCCCCAAGATGCAACGTAAGTCGACAGAGGGACATGACCAAGGAGGCGTAAAAGAAGTGAGCTTTTAAGGAAACGGTGACTGTCCAGGGAGATTTACAACTTTCGGGTCGAAAGGGGTCCCCGGGCCTAAGGTCCTTGGGTACCGATAGTCGCCAATTTTCCAGATCTTGATATACCATATCGATCGCTTCATAGAACTCCTCGGGTGTCTTGGTCGTAGCAGAAACCGTGTAGAGCATTTCATAAGCCCGGGATATCAACCTAGCAAAGCGCGCAAATAGATAAAACCAGTCGACACCTCCATGTACTGCTTCCGGTATCTCTGGAATAGGGCAGCCTATATCACTATCGCTGATGATCTATTGACTCAGTTTGTTTAGTCAACCTTGTCAAAATAGAACGGGGAAAGGACTACCAACCGAACTGACACTGCCGAAAAATGAAAATGTCTTTTCAAGAACGTAGACAACCCAAAAATTTCTGTGTGCTGAATCATTCATTGAAGCTCTGTTAAAGCCAAGAGCTCCGGCCATTCTTGCGGCCTCTGAGATCAAAGTCTGCTCTATCTGTATGCATGAGAGATTTTGGGCGAAGATGCACTGGGAAAGGTGAGTGATCGGAGTACAAGGATAGGGCCATTGTTAATCGTACCATAGCAGTCAATGCCTTCAATTTGTTAGCACAATTCTTACATTTATTCAAGTGAGAATTCACACCTGCAAGTTCACTAGAGATTCTCTGGGAAGGAGAATGTCTGAAAAAAGCCCCAAGGCAACTTGATACAGTTTCCATGGTTTGCCTTGACCAGCCTCAAAAGATCCACCTTCTGTGTATTGAGCTCCCATCGCAAGCACTGTGTGATAAAGAGCGGAAAAAGCGGCATTCGAAGACAGATGGTGAAGCAGGTCATAACTCAAGGCTTTCTGCTCGAATTCCACACGGTCAAGAAAAGGATGAATCGGGTGGACATGCTTGAAATATGCTGTTTGAGTGTCAGAGTAGTTCGCGTTGAGCATAATGATATTGTTGTGCTGTGCTAAGATGATGCTGACCTTCGATATATGCTCTTGCAGCTTCTGGGGCCACTTCCACTGGCGTAGAGGGTCCCTTGAAAGTAATCGGAGAAAAACGAAACATTGTTTTTGTATCTTCGTCTTTGCGATTCATTCTAGCATTGATTAGTGAGCCAATGGCCTCAACAATCTCTCGCAGCCTGTCATGGCCGATGCGTGAAGTCAATGACCGGATTCTGCTTTCGGAGAAAAACGCGAGACTAGAACTGGTTGCTGCACAGAAACAGTCAGATAGAGTGATACCGAACTCGAAGGGAAGATATTTCACCGAAACTTTCTCCTGCCTGTAGGCAACATTAATGAACCTTCTCGAGACTACAGGCATGGTACTACTCACCTTGATGACGCATGCTTCAAACCTCAGCTCGCCGATTCCATGAGTATCACGATTTTCCAAAAGCCGATCAACATATAGCTTTGGGGGTTGATTTTTCGAATTTGGCGGTGTATCATGTTGTTCTGCTTCAACTGGCGATTGTGGCGCTGTCATATCAAATTATCAGCACCAGTCGAAAGATCTTTTGTGTACCAATTGCTAAGTGACGCACTCGATCTAGAATACGGATCTTCGGTGTCTTTGACTTTCAATTTCCGCTTTGTATGGCTGAAATGGCATGTCTGGTCTCGCCGCTGTATGCAATCAATCAATTTCACAATCCAACAAATTTAGGACATAAATGAAGGAGACAGCGATATAACTAACAAGACAATTATTACACTGCAAAGAATCCGGGCGCGCACCTAGACTAGTTGTTAGCTCAAATATCGAAGACCGAGCATGAGTGCCGAAGTACAGCAGTATTACTTACGGATGCATCGGACCTTGCGGGCTTTACATTCATCGCAAGACTTGGATATCCGCGAACGCAACACAACTGGAGCATCGCTCATATTGGAGTAGTGGGTCGTAAAGGCTAAAATCGGTCAAATTCTTCTCATTAATGCATCCATAGTGATGGTAGAATCAAGTTCAAATTTTCGGCTTCGGACGCGACGAGCCTCGGCTTATATAAGGTCAGGTGACTAGCGGTAGATGATTGGCTGTCGGCTCGAACCGTCACTTTGTCTGTTGACAGCATGTAGATAAGTTAAAAACAATATGAAAAACAAATTCAAGTGACAAAAACCCATCAGAGCTACTATTGACTCAGAATGCTGTAGCCTAACGCTTCTTGTGGAGGCATTCGGGCACGTTCCGAGGCTTTCTATAGCCTCCGGATACATCCCTTATCTTAGGGCTTGGCTAAACAGGAGCCCTAATTTTCAAGGTGTATATCCCAAGTCTCTCGATAAATAATAAACGCTGAATGATTATTTACTGAGTAGGCTTATAGATTAAATAATCATAATCCTAAGGAGACATATTTATCGACTCAATACATAATAGCTCATCTCAGAGGGCAAATCACATTCGAAGACATGAAGCAGAGCTCTTGTACATAGACAACCTGCGTACCAAAGGATAGTAATTTTTGGTAGATATACCAGCCTACCGTAGAATTGCTATCACTATAGAACGAATCCTTTGTCGAGAGTTTCAATAAGATCGTAACAGAAGGTTTTTAGAAGTTTCGATACTGAAGGCACCAACTTCTCTATTTAATAGCCTCGGATCGTTGGAGGGCTTCGAAAGTATTACGATATTATGTGCTAGAAATGAGGACAATCAATGATTTTCAATAAAAAAAGACACATTCGTCAAGTAACTAGTGCCCTAAAAGCTCATGGAATGAAGTGTAGACTGTGAATAGAAACGCCGAGATTAACAGATCCCGATCACTGCCTAGGTCCTTTTTCCGGAGTCTTCTGTAGAACATTGATAACCATATCAATAAAGTCTTCCAAAAGCTTTTATTAAACACACAATAACATAATAACAATAATATATTGTTTCAAGCTACGTAGTTGTGCAAAAATGTGAATACATCAATAGAGTGAGTCAAAGAGACAATACTTTGTTGGCACAACACGAAGCCCATGAGCCTCAATCAATACAACAATATCTTATTCAACGATAACTTCAATCAGTCTCTCTAGGCCGCAGAGTAGATGTCCTGGGTATAAATTCATCCTTCTTCTCTGCTCCTTTGCAACTTCTCTACTCTCCTCCCTCATCTTCATCAACATCGTCTCCCATCTCCAAATCCATCAAAGCTTCAACATATCGAAAAACAGTTCATTCAACGACGACATCTTAGCCAAAATATCATGATTTCAGGCGGAAACCAGAATCCAACAGGTGTGCTTAATCCCAGACAATCAGAGGGATTCGCTCATGCTAACAAAGGCAGAATATGGCTATGAGGAAAGCATCCGGGATGGATATACTCCATCGATGGCCGACGCCGATACTCTGCACAGCTCCCAAGATCGTCTCGTTCCTTCTGCGCCGCTGGTCGGCACACCCTCCGACGTTCCTCACTTAGTGTCGAGTCTGCCTAATACCGAGCAGCATCTCATCTACTCCCTGCGTCAGCTGAAACTTACAGGATGGAATAGCGGTGACAAATCTGTGTTCTCAATGAACAAAACTGAGCAAGATATTGTCAACCTTGCCTTCAATATGGCCCCAACTGAGCAGTTGACAGAGTTTGAGCGCTCTGTTCTTGCAAAAGTTCGCGGTTGGCAGAGTGCTACCCTCCCTCCGTTGTCCCTTGCAACGCATGCACAACGAACCTTCATTAACGCCATTCGCGAATGGCGTCGTACTCAGCGGCCCCAGCCATTCATCAAGCGCATCTTCCGCAGGTAGGAAATTCGATGGTCGGGGGGTCTTCCGGTCGTTATCTTTTTCCTCTTTTCCTGTTTGTTACTTGCTTTTAGAGAACAATATCAATTCCGGGAGGCCGCTGTGCGGCAATTCTTGCTTTTCTGCGGATTTTAGTACCGAATTGGTTAATACAAGATTCTAACCTGGCTTGATAAATGTTCATAATAAACAATCGTAGACTACTCATACACTACGGGAGTCCTTCACAGACACTAATCATCAAGAACACCATGGGCCTAGGATTTAGGGCTTGATGGTTTCCGGCGGGATCCTGATACAGCTAAAACTTGGCTATAGGTAATGAACAGAAGGCCCCTTCAAACCGAGATTTTGTACCCGAAACTTTCACTTGATATATAAACACAGGGCCCCGAGTACACCGTTTATTACATATATTCATGAACAACTACTTTGACTCGATGCCAGCTGCTGTTGCTTTAAATCGGAAGAGGCCGTCGGATCGCTTTGTAGATAAAAGTCGCCATCTCGATTCGTTTCTGGACTCTCTGTGCATCCTGATTTGCGACTCCTTGAATTTATTGAGGCATAGCTTCTGCAAGCTTTTTATTACTAAACCATACTCGATATCTCTTGCTTTTTTTGGTCGTTAGCTACCCAGTACATTTCTCGATGACCCCCACGCTATTGAAATCTCCCCTGAGCCCCCGCATGAATGTATCGGCTTCAACCGCCCATCACCCCATACCGAGATTCCATACATGGTAGGTACAGTCATTCAACGAAATAAATACTTTTACTTTGCCATCGTCCTTTGCATGGTGGAAGTAAAAGTGTAATGAGTTGAGTGTTTCACCGATGCAGTCATCTTCATCCAAACATCTGTCTCATCACAGCTGCCTGCGTCCAACATTAAAGCATGAAGATCAAATCGATCAGATCCCACATTTTCATCAATATCCTTGGGGATAAAACCTTCTGACACAGAGGCCCGGTCGAGATCCTTTTTAATGATCATGTTTGACGGAATTCGAAAGGGAATGTATCTGACTGCCAACCAACTTTCAGTACTAAGACTCTTATTGATTTTGCGTAGTATAAACGGACCATATAGAATTGAAATGACAGTCGAGAATTGGTTGGCGTTCATGTTTAGATCGGCCATTATACATTCCAACTTGGCCGCAGAAACGTTTTGACGTCAATATTAATGGAAGCGAGAAAAAGCTTCATGAAAATAGGGTCTCATTTCATGCATTGAAGGATATAGTGAAACATAATGATTGGACTGTAAAATGCCAATCCAATGTTAGCAAGTACTAGTAATCCATTTATATCTGAATGGTTCACCCAGAGCATAATGAGGTCAACCTTGCGACATTTGGAGAAGAAGCGAGCTTTCCTGATAATTTTACAAATATTGACCCCATGGGGAAGCTTGGTCACCTCAATATCCCACGCTTAGTTGAAGATATTGACCGGATGCAAACGCCACACGGAGAGAATGGCATGACATCGGGTCCAATCAAACTGCGATTCGAAGGGAAGTAATATCTCTTAGCAGGCCGCGTGGGGGACAATTGCTCGTTCCAGGATACATTCTCTCCCGCGTCGGCGTTAGCCTACGTTGACTTGCACGACTGTCTCTTCCGGCAAGATGCCGAACTAGGAAGCCGAACTAGGAAAGGGATGAAGCTTTGCACCCGGTTAGCGGTGGCTAACTAGCAGACATCTCGCAGGGGCGATTGACGCTATACAGAACACGAGGAGCAACAGTATTATGGCATTTGGACGAGCATGCTACGAACAGTAGAGCGTCGTTTGATTGAAGTTATCGAGTTAGGGCAAGGCTGATCTAAGCATACCAATGAGGAAGGAACCCAGCCATTCCTCCTGCGAGACAAAGAGCTGTCACCACAACTTCAAAATTCGTCCATCAGCATCTCTCCTTTTAACTTATTTCTGTCGTCGGCTTCAATATCACAAGGTCAGTCTTACATTGACTACCTACATCCGTTCGATCTGTATGCATTACGTACAAACACAAACATCAACAGAAGTACATTGATGACAAAAAAAAGAATAATCCTATTCCATGCAGAACTTGTCGCTTTTGAAAACATTCAAGAAATATTCAGACAGCCACCCAAACTTTTGTTGTCGTCAATGGCATTACGCAGTAAAATTCACAGTGAATCATGACCAGAAACAATCGAAAACAAAGCTGAAACATCAAAAACTAGGAAAAATAAGATGCAAAAGAAGGCAGCATGACTCAGGCAGGTACAATGCTTCGTTGAATGCAATAGTCCAACACAAGTTGGCCCCAGATGTCGCGTCCCTTGTACTTCGCCATATCCTCAGGCCAGCTGCGGATTTCCGTGGCGAGAGCCTGTAGTTGTTCCACGGGCAGTTCGTCGAATGTGTTTAGTGTTGTCTTGACACTAAAAATGAGGGCTCCAGTGCGTGGCAGTCTGCGAAAGGTCTGACGCTCCTGACGAAGAAGAATGTTGTCGATCGAAAGACCGGGCTGATCCTCGTTCAGCGCCATTGGTCGAAAAAGTGTATCACCCAAGTCTTCACCTGGCTCCTTGGTTTCCAGAAAGTAGTTGGACCGTTCCATTGGAGATTCAGGGGTAAGTCGGCAGAAGAACCTAACAAAGTCAGGCGTGCCTCCTGACAACATCAGTCGGGAGAAAGTCTTACTTGTTGACAGAGTGACCGATTTTATCCTTCCAATCCGGCACCGGGCCATGCATTTGAGAAATTGTCCATCCGATGCGGTCTTGAACCGTCCACCCAACTGGAAAGAGCGTCGCACTGGCTGCACTAAAAAGGTGTTAGTCGTGAACTGAAGTCGAATGGTGAAGAACATACAGGTAGTATTCTCCTTCTTCGTTCATCAGAAGAATACTCAAGTCTTCCATGGCGAGACGCACCGCGGTCTCAAGAGGGTCTGTTGCGCTGTTTTCATCGCCGATCACAAAGCTTTCGCCCGTCTTGCTGTTAAGGATTTTCCTCATGTCCTGTTCCTCTTCCATATGAAACATATCCGGGTACCTTTCACAGAGAAATTCGGCCACGACCTCCAGGCCTTCGGCACAAGCGGCCTTTGACTCCGGGAGGCTCTGAATAACCTGACTTCGTTGGTTTTGAAGCAGAGATGCTCTGACATCGTGCTCCTTCAAGTAATTTTTATCAACAGTGAGCCAATTCCACTCGTCTAGTCTCCGTAATCCCATAGTGATACGGAATTTTTGATTGCCCTTAATTGCCTTGCATGGATACGGCGCTTTGCGAGTGGCATCCTGAACTTTCGACTTCTCGGGTACTTTCCCCTGTGACGGATGAAAGAGTTTGAGCAGCCATTGAAAGAGGACGCCGACGACTGTGAAAACAACAAATGATAAGGAATACACCATGCTTGAAAAGGACAAAAGGAAATCACAAATATCACGCAAATTATCTCGAATTGGTTGAATTGGCTGTACGAGATCAATGCATCAGGAAGGATACGAAAGGGAATAGATATTAGGATTGGGGGTATCAGGAGAAGTGACCGTCGGGACGTGCTCTGCCGAATAAAATTTTTTGTCTTTTCTAAAACGAAGCGAAAAAAGCAAAATTTATACCAAACAGTTGGGCCTCACATCAATCCGTCCATGCTTACATACGTGTACCTGGAAGCGCTCTATTTCAGCAATCACACGTGCCATTGAGCAGCACATAGCATATAAAGGCATCATTTAAGGCGGTGCCTGGCAATGCTCCCCACAAAATGCAACAGCAGCCACATGATCGATCGCGTTTTGCTTCAACAGGAGACCCGCCTGTCGTCACTTGCAAAACCTGGATAGCAAAGCGGAAAGGTAATTAAATAAAGCGTACTATCAGCTCAGGGCTGGGCGTTCAGTTTGGAGGTCAGTGGATCTGCTCCGCGGGCAAATTATAGGCTCTGATCTGTCTTGCCGAAGTTACTTACTGACTAATAGTTGACTCAGATTGAATCACCATCGTGCCAGTAGTAATGTAATTTTGTGGATTTTGTGCTCGGGCTTAGCTTGAAGTCTGGATACGGCCTATTCTACTACAAGAATTGCGACTCACTTCCTTTTCTTGCGCGTGATGGTGTCCGTGCATTGGTCTGCAGTGACGCTACTGGCTAGCCTTGATTGGGGTCGATCCGGTAGCGATCGACTTTGCAAGATATCTCCTGGCTATACAGACGAGTGCAGCAGCCTCGGATCTCTTACTCGAAGGGCTTGCTGCTGTGCTCTGGGCACGAGACCTGGTAACGATGCATCAACATGTACTTCGTCGCTTTCCGTCTGTTCCGCGCTTTACATGTCAAATTCAATATAGTGAGAGCCTCCGCCCGTTTGCCTTCTAGTACTACTACGTAGTGCACGTACATGCTACCCAGCCGAGCGGGTCTGTCCTACTCCGCAAATGCGTCGCCCCTCCCAAATTATTCTCGAGTCAGTAACTTGACAGCCTTCCGTATTTGTCTGTAACCCTCTAGACCTTTGGACCGAACCCCATACGTACCAGGCCAGCTCCATTTTCTTGCCCCAGCAAAGCAGGATGAATTTTCGGGCTTCCCGCGCAAAGCGCGCTTGCCGCTGATTGTCAGCCGTGTCGGCCGCACAATACTTTGAATCTAGAACCTGTGATCTCGGACAAAAGAACGGCCATTTTTCAGGCTCCATCGTTCCAGCAGCAGTATTTGTCTCCAAAATGGCCAATGAGGCTGGTATTTCGATTTAGACTGATACTTCAGCTGGCTTTACATTGCAGAGAGAACAGCTCATAACTGAGTACGCACTCATCCCTTTATCAGGTAAAATCACTGAGGTCAGGTGAGCATGGTCGCCTAAAAGGGCCAACACCTATTTGCCCACTCAAGCGGATCTTGGGGTCGTGATCAATAGTTCTTGGTCCTATGCGGGATAGCGCACAAACTAGTTATTAGGCAGCGTGAACTGCGCTCGCTGTCTTCTCTCCTAGCCTAGCGAGGCCGCTAGAGCACTGACTGTAGGATAGACGCAACGCCAATTGACAGCTATTTTGGCGGGGTGGGACTTGCACCACCCCGTTTAGGGTAAAATATGCAGAGTCTTGCATCTTTTTCGGAGATTTGATTTTTGTTATGTCAAAAAGGTCTCGTGCCTGTGCATCGAGGCAAGTTGACAACTCCGAGGAGTAAGCAATCTATGCTACGTAGTATTGGCTGATCAATGTCTGAGCCACAATTCCATGGCAAAGACTAGGTAGAGAGGCTGTGTTCGACCGCCGGAGTTGTGTCAATGAGTTTATTTCAAGCCACCAAAATCGTCATGAGAGATCTCGATATGGAGAAAGCAAGATGATTGGGCACAATATTGTTCAGCTACTACTCAAGAGACTTGGACAAATGTCAATCTCCAACAAGGACGATAATAGGCTCGAATTGAGGCCCCTATCCAACTTTGAAGCACTGGATTTACGTCACAGTCGGTGCATTCCGACAGCCCAGATCATGACTTAAGACTGAAGACAGACATGCTCGTATTGATCTCAACAGCTGTTAAAAATGCCTCATACGATCGCTATTGTAACACGAACAGCTTATGAAGACCTTATACCAGTCATGCCAAAAATTTAGTCATCAATGTCACCTATGGAACAAACATCCGACTGATTGATTAAATAATATACTCCGAACTTTCAGGGTTCCAGCCAGTCGACGTTTTTAACCCACCACCTGCATCTTGACATCTTCCACATGCGATCCAGACAATTTACCACTACCCACCTCTACTGGGTCCTCGCCCATCAAACCAAAGGGCTATATCGCATGATGAATATGGTCAATTCCTTTATCTTCTGATTATCGCCCGACGAATATATTCATATAAATCAATACCGCGCTTCCCGCAACGAAAGTCTCCACTGTGCCCACCGTCAGTTCTGGGGTTTCAGCCAGCACCCGACTGACCGACTATTCATCGCTACAACATCGGGGAATTTTTGACGGAATCGGTCAACGCAAGAATGGCAAATATTTTGCTTATCCGGGAATGATTGTCGTGTCGGGCATTATGTTTCGGACGTCGCACTCCGATACGCTATAAAATTCTATCAGAAGGCTGGATTTACCCGGGTTAGAAGGAAGAAGCGATAAGGAAATGCGAAAGATCGGTTACGTGCTTGAAGTAACAGGCGTCAGACCATTATCACGATGTGATTTTATTATCTCTATTTCTCGTCGGATTCTGCGGCTTTTCCGTCATTGTCGGTTCATTGCACGCGACAGACACGGCCCATTTAATCGACTAATTCAACTACTTGCTATTCAAAACAGCCTCTCCGGCACCAACATGCACCGTTCCATCAATGACCTTATCAAACGACTTTTCACCAACAATGCGACCTTCTGAGTCGACATATTGACCGGCAAAAGTGATGTTAGCAGCCGTGTCAACACCAGGATTCGTTAAGCGCGATACCCTCGCCTCATTCCAAGCCCCAGGCAGCGACAAGGCGGTATAGGGGCGGTCCGCGGCATCCATGGTTGAGTTCCACATGTTCAGATTCACGGCAACGATTGACTCCGGTTTGCCCTTGTTGTACACGGCATATGCACCGAAATTGGTCTCGTTGGCCAATACTTCAGTCTGTTTGTCGCCGCCTGCAAAGACGGCGGCGTTGAACATGTTACCGTAGTAGATAGGCTTGACGTGTGCCTCTGTATCGTTGTAGTAGATGGGTTGCCAAGGAGAGTAGCGGTAGCGCGTGCCCATATGGAAATGGACGCGAGAGACCTTGAGTGATGAAAGGTAGAGCACATAGTCCACAGCCCAGACAGCAGAGGCCATCACATCGGAGATATTGAAGGCCCCTTGGCACGATATCGAGTTGGTTTCTCCTAGTACGTACTCGATGCCGGAGTTCTCAGTTGCGTTGCCAAGGTAGTCGTGATACCGGACGCGAGAGAGCATGTTTGTTCTGTCGAACAGACTCGTCTCAATCGTTGGACCGGCACCAGTGTAGTCACAGTTTGCCCCCATATACTGTTTCTGTCAGTTTTCAAAGCTCATATCCTGTCCTTACTGAGTCTGGATCTTACATCATGGTCCGACACCGTCTTTGCCTTATTCGAGCGCATACCGTCTTCCTCGGCATGTTCAATGTTCCAAATCGTCATGTTATCGCCAACGTTTCTCGGCGCGGTGTAGGCGCATCCCTGGAATAGCTGCATAGACTCTCTGCCTGTGAGGTTTTGACTGGTGGCTGTAGCGTATTGATTCCATTGATCGACGTAGTCTTGCTGAGTCCAGTTGGCAGGTCGACGAGACCCTCCTGCCCATGCTGCTCGAATAAGTTGTGTACCCTTACCCACTTTCAGATCTGACTTGAAACTTACAATTAACTTCATTCCCAATCTCAAACGCATACAACGATTCGCCCAACGCCGTATACGCCGCATGCGCTTCCAGCACGCATTGCCCTAACCCATCACCGACATCAAACAACGTCTCATTCTCGGGTTTAAAAAAATTCAGCCCTGTTTCGACCCATCAGCCCAACCCTTTTTTAACCTCCTTATTTAGAGGTGATATCGCACATACCGTAAATATACCTCGTCCCCTCCGGAAACTGCCCAAAACTCTCCATGAACCTTGGCCCAATATACGAATGCGACGGCTGATCCGAAGCCTCTGAATCAAACGGATCGATAATCGCTATATCCGTTTGGTTGGGAAAATATACGGCTGAGTTTTGAGTGCTGCCACCGATACGGAAGATGGGGTATGCGCCGGAGATGTCGTGGAGGTTTTGGATGACTTGTCTTGAGAATTTATTTGAGTTGCTACTTGGTCATTAGTGGGTGGGTTTGTAGATGAAAGGAAGAGAGAGAGAGGGAAAGGACGGACGTGTTATCTCCAGCGTAGTCAGCCATGTAACAGAATTCAATGGAGAAGGATTGATATGCTGCATCGACGACTTGTCTGCCAGGTGCCGGGGTTGAGGGGAGTGAGAGGTCGATTGTGCGGATGATGTTTCTGTGGTTTGGGGATGTCCAGGCCAGTTGGGCAAGGAGGGCAGTTGAAGTGAGGGAGATGAAGCGGTTCATCATGATAGCCTAGGTGAATGGTAATATGCAGATTTTGTCGGTTGAAAGAATAATTCTATAGAGCCGACTGTGTGGCATGCATCCTTTCTCTTATACACACGATCATACTGAGCTTCAATTTGCTTTCGGTCATAAATCTCCCGAGTCTCGCTGATCACTATCTGTCTATTCTTTCATCTTCACACCCCAATCAAAACGGCAATTGACACAAATATCAAGATCCCTTCACAACCTGACGTTCTGCCGTCATTGAGGGGAACCAATCCATGTAGAACTACTCAGCTGCATGTTATCGGCTCATGCCGCCCTATAAGCTCTTAGTCGTCAGATATCATAGGTGGACAAACTATCCCTCCAACAACTAGCCTACCGTCCACCAGTTCAGACATACTTCCCAGCTTTTGAAGATACATATGCGCGTAGATGATCTACATTCATTTTCAGGCAGTCGGTTATTGAAACCTGTAATCAGGAGCGGCAAGTAATATAGAGTGGTAGTATAGGCCAAGGGAATTACTACTTCGACGTTGTATTCATCATATTAATACATCCAGAATCTTGGAGATATACCTGTTCTCCACTTCCCCCGGATTCCCCGCAAATCTGAGAGCAGCAACCATGGAACAGATTTTGAATATAGCAAGTAACAGTATCCAAGTTATGCGAAGGACTAGAATGGCGAGTAAATGACACACTTCGAGATTCTGTTGAGTCTTGCGTCTGCAATGCGAGAGCAATATGCCTCGGGAATATGAATTAATACATCTCCATGTATGTCTTCTGAAAGCATCTCATTTCAATCCGGCTATGTAGCGAAGAGAGATTGAGTACTGTGCGGAAGTCAACGTGATAACAATCCTCAACTCTCAAAACGCAGAATGACCACAAGGACCGAGAAACACTAGGATACTAAAAACAAAACGAAATACAAGACATCAATCAAGCATCATATAAAAAGGGCCAAATTCCTTTCCCTAGGGAAAAACCGCATATCCCAGGTTGTCTAAAACCAGACGCACATACCCTTGACATCGCTCCGTCTTCTGCAAGAAGTAAGAAACATCATGCAGGAACCGGCGCCTTCCCGCCTTCTTTATGCCCCGAATGCCCAATATTCCCAAAAGCATCCAATACCGGGAGTAGACGTTCGAGGGATGGCATGATGTTTGTCCTGGCCTCGAGGATTCGTTTTTCTGGTGCTTGATTCTGAGGTGCGTTGATGTGTTGTATGTTCTTCTGTCTGCGTTAGCTCAGGCAACATTGAAGTTATCTAGGTATTCCAATGAGGGGGGAGACATACATTCTCTTTCAAGTCTTCTGTGGGTGCCGCGTTGCTAAGGTGTGTGTAACAAACGAGCAAGCTGACGATCAAGAGAAAGATATTATTGATTAAAATCATCGTGGGTTTCGTGGCTCCCGGCGGTTCGAGATGAGCGTATACAAACAAGGACGATGAACCAAATCCCTAAGTCCCGAAAAACTGGATACAACTTGAGCTCAGAGACGGCTTCAAATACAACGCGAACTCACCGGAGAAAAACGCCTGTTTCGTTCTATGCAGATCCAATTGTCGTTCCAGACCAAACGGGACATACACGTCGCGTATATACGCGCAGTCTAACGAACATTAATCTCCCCGACGTAATCCCCCCTTCCCCCTCATTAAGATGATCAAATCGATCAAATCACCCGAAACGCTTTGAAAATCAGGAAAGAGCATTCCGACCAGAGTCCAGACGCGAATCCTTTGTTGTGTCTCCTTGCCCTTTCGGGTACTAGACTGGTATGTTCGCGGATAAGGGGCTTACATACCACCCAACCTGGAAGTTATACACCACCAACCAAGATGAGGTACACGGAATCAGTCTCGACCTTCAAGTATAATAGACCCTTCAGGTGGCAAACTCCATATGATATGTTACGAACCTGAGGACCTTGATTGAGTCCAGCGAGTTTGATGTGCCCAGACCTACGTCCAGGACTTTTAACCTGTATACCACCAAATCGACATTAAGTAATGTTAAGTAATTAGGCACAACAAGAAACAACCGGTAAATATAGTTAAAGGTAATAAGTATATCCTAGCCTAGCGCCCAAATTATGACGAACACTCAGTAGCTACAATTCAACCATTCAGATCATAATCATTCGATCCTTGACCGAGTGATGTAATGTGCCCTGGATTCTATGTATGAAATAAGTAAGAAATCGGAGAAAACGGTACAAAAAGGGAATATAAACGGAGATTGAGAAAGTAACAGCTCTGCTCTCTGGCAAGAAAACAAAGGATATGGATAGTGAAAAAAAGATGAATGTCGTGGACTTCGTAATATAGAAGGAATATTCGCTTTTTGTCTTGTATGTCTCAGCATGAGGCGCGTTTGTCTACTTAAATCGAGCTGTGCAGCGACCCATGACTTCACCTTGGCACACCAATTCGGCGTTAAATTCGGATCCGTCAAGGGTTAGGTAGATGTCGAAGTATACTCGGTAGAATGTACCGTTTGGTGTGTCCATGCGCTCAAAGTCTTTTTCGAGGTTTTTGCGAGAGAGGTCTGATGTGAGTGTGACGACTTCTTTAATGCCTGCAGTTTGTTAGTAAGGGTCATTGTCAATCAGAAGGCAAGGAACGTACGAGGATCTTTGACATATTCTGGACAGACGTCCTCGTCGCAAGCATAAAGAATATCTTCATACATCAACGTAGCTCCAGGAGCGACCTGACGGAAGAAGCTGACTTTGACGGGCTCGCCGATCTTGACTCGCTCGCCTTTTTGTACAAAGATCTGCCGGGTGTATTTGCATCGATCCTTGCCATCTAAACTGGGAACACGGTATTGTTCGGGATGATATCCCTCTTTGAAGGGTTGCAATGTAGCCATGAGGTAATGTCGACGGGCAACACGGTGAGTGACCACACGTTCGGCGATACCGGCCGTGACGGCTCCTTTGACGATGGCAGCGACAGAGTCCATTGGACGGACGACCTTGGATTGGAACTGAGGCGGGACATGTAATTTGATTTGTTGGAAGAGATACTCGGAAGCACCGAAACCACCAACGACAAGGACATTCTATTATCGTCAGCAAAATGAGCGAGTGAAAAAATGGAAGGAACATACTTGTAACAGCCTATTCTGAGCCTGGATAGCAATAATTTGATTCCTCACCAACTCCAAAATACGATTAACGACTGGCTCGAAACATTGCAGGATCTCCTCATTGGTAAAAGTCATATAACCTTCTTCGATACCTGCATCAGGGTAATCCGCTTCAATACCGACATCCACGGCCCATTTCTGACCGTTGTTGCGGAAATCGGCCTTGATTCTGTTTTCGAAGTCCATGATACATTTGGCGTAGACTCTTCCAGCTGTACGCGATCCATCTGGAAGGTTCATCTTGCGAATCCGAGCCCGTAATATATTACTGAAATTGCGGTTCAGAGCTGTAGAACCGCAAGAATCACCGGATCCAGCTGTGCATTCAGCAACAGTGAAGGGATTCTCCTCTTCGACCTCGTATGCGATCAAATCGACGGTACCACCACCACAATCCACAATCAAAATAGCGTCACCGACCTTGAGGTTGAGCAGACCAGTCTTCGCACAGAACATAGCGGCAGCTTCTGGCTCAGTAATCAAGGTCAATCGATTGTCATTTTCATCGCGCAAGAAACCAGCCTGGATAGCGGCTGCTCGAGTAGCTGCCTTGGCGGCCTCATTCCAGATAGCAGGCACGGTCAAAAAGTAGCGAATGTTGCGCTCTTCACGGTTAAACACCTCGCCCAAAGTCTTTTGCAGCTGTGCGCGCATTGCCTGTCGGACCTTAAACAAATAATCGGCAGCGACATCAATCTCCGATTTGCCGGGAGGAAGAGGTGGCAGGTTGATAGGATCAATATAAGTATTTCCGGACAACATCAACTGCAGCTTGAACCATTCGACCTTTTGCACTCCTTGTTTCGGGTAGCCGGTATGAGCCAGAGCGTCTGCGATATCTGGACCCCATCCTACAACTTTCTGGTACTGGTCGTAGTAGAGGACAGTGGGAATCTTTTGTTTCGTGTGTGTACCGGCGCCGGGCCATTCGGTGATTATGTCTTCTCGAGCTTCGTTGTTGGTCGCAAAGGCATAGGCGACACCGGAGAAAGTAGTTCCAAAGTCAATACCCACGATCAACTGCGATTTATTCCTGTTTGTTCCGTCGACTTCGGCGGCCGGGTTACGCAGGCCCTGTGCAGGGCCTAGCGCAGACGGGATACCATGCTGATGGAGTGGTTGCGACGGTTGTGATTGTTGCGACGGCGGCCCTGGCTGTTGTTGATAGCCATATCCCGGAGGATTTGCTGCGGCAGGCGGTTGTTGTGCATACTGGCCGGGCTGGACGGCGGTGTTCAAAGGTGGAGGTGGCATGGGACTCGTCCGGCCGGCGTATGTATAACTAGGAGGTCTGCCTTGCGGGTTTTGGGCGTTCATGGGAAGACTGGTGGTGGAAGCACTCGACGGCGGCGGGGGGCTGGTGGAGGCGGAACTGGCAGGCGGGGGRACGAACGTGTTCCCAGCGGGCGGAGTGGTCTGAGACAGGGTCGAATTGTTGCTGTTCTTGCGCTTCGACGAGAACGTGAAGTTTTTTAGCCTCGACGTCATGGGGAGCGAGGATGTTTATTAGAAGGTGTTATTAGGAGGACGAAAGGTAAAAAGGTGAGGAGAGAGAAAGGATGAGGATGCGAGACGAGAAGGAAGATGTGGGCCGCGGGAATTCAGCCCTAGGCGGATTCTGTTCGGCTGAGCTGTTATTTGTTGATGCCTGGCTGAAAAGTGTTCTATTCGATAAATTATGTAGAAGTTCTCACGGGAAGTCTGATGAATTGGCTTCGCTGAGTAAGAAGTAAATGGACGGAAGAAAAGAAGAAAGAGAATGCCCAAGCTGTGGTTGTTGATGGAGATGTTGGTGCTAGCTTCCTAGGAATCCACTAGCAGTAGTCAGCACTCAGCTTGACGGTCGATTAGTCGCATTAATAATCTTGCTAATATTTTATTTATAATTGAAGTCCAAGAGTGAGAATGAAGTTGAGAAATGGATACTTACTTACTCTAACAGAACGTTGTGTGCCTTGAAAGCGGGGAGGTCCAACTTCGTGCAACGTCGGGCTATTTGCAGCTCATCCCACGATGCCAATCAATGAAACAGAGCAGAACTGAGTTGAGTAGTAGGAAAAGCAGAAGGAGTCTGCTGATAAATACGAGTACTAAACAGTCTAAACTTCGAGTGGTCAGTGGGAAGCCTGAGGCCCAACGGCTCAGCCGCGTCGTAATTTTATTTGGCCTATTTTTACAGTCGATCGTCCATGAGGCTGAGTTCGTTATTGGGACCTACCAGCCAGACACCCGTTGTACTCGTCATGAAGAGCATTTGTTTGGACATGTAACACATATTGTATATACTGTTCGTCTTGTGGTGTGTATTTAATGGGGTGAGGGACTGGATCAGGTACATATCTATGAACACTCTAACATGATTGGCCGATGCGTATCATCTCACTCTACCAGTCTATCACAGCCTTACCGTAATTACGATATGACATTCCTATGAGAGCTGGAAAAGATGTAATAGAAGATACCTAATATTCTGTTCTATTGGCGAGAACTTCATGCTATTCTGATCCCAGCGTGTATTCAGTGTATTCAAACGGACGAACGAAATATGCTATGTACACACCGTTTGGTTTTTCAACATAGCACATAACCAACACTCTATTCTATTCTGTCATGTCATGGGATAATAATAGAATAACCTCTACTAGCACTTAAATATGTAGAGTGCTATTTGATAATATCAATCAATCGAAGGTGAATATCTGATGGTGGAGCTTCTATTTTTAGCACGTTTCAAAAGGGTTGGCTGTCGAGCGCTCTGATTGGTCAACGCAGTTGCTTCTATCGATCCTCCCCAGAATTATGTTCCTTTAATTTCATCTTCGTGGTGAATTCAATTCTAGTGCGAGTAGGATGTGGCAATGATATGTGACAGGTGTACTACGTACAGAGTAGTACTATCACTCAGTGTTATTCTTCCTAGCAACCCAAAACGAAGGCCGATACAGATTCTGCAACATGCTCTCCGGATCCTGGATATACCCGCAATATGGCCTTTCTTCGGGGTGCTGTTGTGCCTCAATCGTGAATCCCATACGTCGAACGAGATGAAAAACTTCTTCCTCTGATAGTTCCACATTTCCCGGTTCTCCAATTCCATCATGATGGCCTGAAAGAGTCAATGCGTTCTCTTCGTTCATTGCATCTTCAGTCCCATTCTGATCGGCAGCCGTAGTCCGTCGTTTTTCATTCTCAAAATGCCAGAGCAAAGGTCCAACATTAATCCATAATCCGCCAGGCTTGAGGCAGTTCTTGATTGTCTCAATGTATCGAATCAAGTTCGGACTTGTGTCGATAAAGAACACCGTTGCAACAGCATCGAATGCATGTCGTTGCGATTCCCCGCTATAAAGTGGAATGAAGTCCGCGGCCGACATGCTCATACTCCCAAACGAGGTAGAGCCATCCTCATTCTGGGCTTGAGCCATCGACGAGGCAGGATGGACATCCGGAATCATGATTTTCTGTAGCTGCTGTTTTCGCGATATGATGTTCGAGAAATGCAGCGCAAATGGGTAGAGAGCATGCTGTTTCGCACCGCGGCTGTGATTGAGGACCCAACTACTAGCCAGTAATTGATGATATGAAATCTCATTACCCTCAGCCGCATACCCAGCAGCACAGATATCAAACACCAGCCGTCCAAGGCCAGCACCTGGGACAAGCACGCGATAATCAGATCGAGGCCGTGAAGAAGAGTCTCCACCAAATGACTGATTCAACACAGCAAGAACGGGGTCATAACAAACCTCCCTCTCGCGTCTACCTTCTTCACTCCAGTCGCGATAAAACTGACGAATAGTCGAATGCGCTTTTCCGACATCTGTGCTGTTAGCTGTGCCATGCCAACTACTTTGCTGAGAGTCATGATTTGGGTCTAGGTCTGGGTCTGGCGATAGACCGAATGATTGCAGACCTGTGGCGAGGATTTCATCTGCTATGTCGGCATTGGCGTCGATGGCGTCGTCGACCTGGTTGAATGTGTCGAGGAGAGAAAAGGGGGGCTCCGAGAGCAGTTGCCAGTGTGCTGAGGGGAGGGCGTAGAATGATTGGCGTCTGTGGTGGGTTGTGTTGAGATGGGCTGTTCGTCGGTAGAGTCTGTCACCATAATTAATACATGAAATGACTTTCTTATTAGTTGAAAAATTACCTGAAAGAATCAAAAGCAGCGAAGAGAACCCGTCTCTCTTCCTCGTCCGCGAATGGGTCAAAGTCTCCCTGCCAGCTTTGGGCGTCCTCGGGCTGAGGGGCCTCTGGTTGTTCGAGATCAGCCATGCGGCAGTGTCAATCGCAAAAGTGATTTATTTAGTGATTATTCTCGAATCTATCATGCATCATGAATTATTTGGAAGGATGCATAAATCATGTCGAGATATTGTGATGGTGGCATGGTGCGATAGAGCGATAAGAGTGGGATGAAAAGTAAATTACATGAACGGCTGATAGAATACGCAATTACAGTACAATACGAGACGCTATCCTCTACCTGGATTAGCCGGTCATTTTAGTGGGGAATAGCTTCAACTTCATCACCTTTCATATAAAAGTCAACACTCAACACAAGCTAGAGACAGCTTTTAATCAACGAACCTCGTCAATCATAACCAAGTGAATTGAATCGGGCAGCTAGGCAGCTTCGACATAGCTTCCATTGACAATCACAACCAAGAAACACCCACATCCTCCATCTACATAATATACACCTACACAAAATGACGACAACATTATCAACCCAACCTCCTCCCCTATCAGATCCAGCCGATCCATCCATAAAACCAATTGAGTTATCTTTCCCACTCCCCAAAACACCACATACAACCGTACACATTCACCTCACCCCCATGAAAACATCAACAATGGTCTTTCTCTCCACCACAACCCCCGGCGACAGCGGCTCAACCATGAAACCAATGGGCAGTTTTGTGTATGCCATGCCAGACGTAAGTCTTTCTTGAACAGATCCCGGATACCTCAACTCATCATCCGATTTATACTAACATCCACAAGCGCACAAACCCGAAATCGACAATATCAACAATCCTCTGCAACTCAGCCGGCAGCATTGAATACGCGACGCGAACAGCCAAGGTACTCGCTCGTAGGACAGCACTCCCTGTATATGTGGGGTGCAACGTTGATCCTGTTTCTACGGGGACGACAGTGGAGGAAGAGATGGAGGGGTTTAAGAAGATTATTGATGCGGTTATGGCGAGGTGGGAGGAGAGTCGATGATTTTGCTTTTGATGCTGGGGAGGGTGTTGGGAAGGATGGGCGTTTCTTTCTTCTTCTTTTGGACGAGCTTCGAGGTGAATTTGTGTATCTGGTTACATCTTTATGACCCTGCTAAATAGATTTGCTTCGAGTCAACAAGGCAGAAACTGTTCCAGGGTTGGTATTTCGTCGTTGCCGAGTCTATCCCGACGTCTTGCCATCTTCTTCGTCTTTGCAATTCCCACTTCTATCGTTTCATTCATATTTTGAGGATTTGCAAGCTGATGCTTCTTATCTACAAGCCCCGCTCGCATATCAAGATGCAAGACGGCGAAAATTTCAACCAGCCACAAACAGTGATACGTTGACACACTGCAACTAACAGAATACGCCTTTTCGCTCATGACACAAGGAATTATTCAAACATTGATATTTGGAGGCATAACCCGACATCGCAGAATGATGACACAGTGAGCAGCTCATAGACAGATAAAGGTCTGAGGCTAGATGCGGCATCAACGCCGATTGTTGAACATGAGAGCTTGTGATAGGCTGGCTGGTGATAATCTTCCAATTCAATTACAGAATTTCACAAATATAAAAAATATATGCCCCGGGCAACACCGGCGACATGATCTGTTTGGGACATATTGTTCAGTTATATGACTAGGTTAGCGAAAGGTACAATGATTGCCTTCTCTTTGTCACCAATGAGAGAAACCGTCCAATCTTTTTGCACAAAGGACAACAAACAAGAGTCCCCTTCCAACGCGCCCAAAATAAAATTTCCTCCTTATTCTCAAACTCGCGCCGCTCTTCTCTCTGTTAATCTTCTCCCTCTTCTCAAATTGCATATCAAATCCAAAACCTACAAAAAAGCTCGAAGCACGATGAGTTCGATATTGAAAAGTCTGGGAGTTCGCTTCAGTCGGTCTTTGAGACTACCGTCTCCCTCGACTACGAACAAATCAGACGCGACTTTCTTCAGTCCCGTCTGGCAAAGCGCGCTTCTCAAGGAAGACATCATCCACGATTGGAAGCAAAGGAGAGTGGGGAACAAGGAAGGTCTTGGTTTGATCGAGCGCCTGGATCGCATTGAAAGCATTCTTGACCAGCTAGCGAGAGACTTAAAGATGCAAAAGACTGTCAACGATCAGCTTGCAAAGGAACGCAAAGCTGAAAACGAGTCTCAGTCTCTCTACCTTACCGCTCACTCCGGGATTTTCAGCAGGCGTAGAGAAAATGTGATCCATGGAGGAGACATTCTCGGTGATCTTGAAGTCCTCGAGTGGGCAAAGGATAAGCTTCCGTGGCGGTACGATGGTGGACGCGAAGGATTTGAGTCCAAGTACTGTATTTCGATGCAATACAAAGATCAAATCTTGGTTGCCCCGGAGCCCATCATCAAAGCTTTCAACATACTCGGTGATATGACGACTCATATTGGTTGGTGCACTTCATCTTTGGAAGGAATGGCATATGCAAGCTGTCGGATCATCATTGACAAGTGGCTTGAGCACATCAACACAGCTGGAAGAGAGTATCTCGAGGATGTAATCAAGCGCGAATTTGAAATTCTTGATAGAATCAAGAATGGTAAAAATAAGACTTGAGGAGGTTTTGGCTGATGGATTACCTAAATCTGTTGCTCAGTATGTTGGCGGCTTCGGAGGATGGATGGCAGCTCTCGATATTGTTTGTGGTCTGGAAGAAGGCTGTAAAGGAAGGATAGGCATCTGTTGTTGAGCTGCAGTTGTATTTATGTTGCTGGACACGTCTTCATGTAATTGCTCCGTTGTATGACCGTGTTCAATTCAACAAGGTAGAAAGTGCGCCATATGACAACTTCATTTTGCTGGTGGTAGCTTTATTTTATGAATGCGGTTAATTTCGTCTACGGGTCAAAGATGATTCAACCATGTGAGCCTAAGGTGCTCCTCCGATACTTCCAGGTTATCAATGCTATTGCCTACAAATAATCAAAGGTCCTTTCAGAGCATACGTTTGTTGATACCGTGATATACACTCATCAACAATGACAACTACTTAACATGCACATTCTTTGGCTTTGTGTCAAAGAGAGGGAAAATCCGTCTGATATCGCTACCAACAAACAACATGCCCCTTTCTATAAGCTATTTCAAAATATTAAAAGCTAGCTTCTGTTATCAATTTTCAGAGAACTTCTAGGTTCCAAAATTTCCAGCAAACAGCAACTCTTCAATTCGTGGTTTTTGACAACGCAGCCCGCCCGAACACATTATTGTGAGATCTCGTACAACTGACAAGAAACGATGATTTGGCTACTGAGGGCATTGGGAGGCCGCCCCAAGAAACCTTTGAAATCAGTTACTGTAAGTCCATGCTTATATTTGACAGCCCCCCAGGTGTCGTTACTGGATGAGACATTTGTATTGGAGGGCCATCAGCAATTTGATATAGCCGCTCACCCACAAAAGGAAGCATGCGCGTACTAACCTGGGGTATAATTGATAGTACGATGCCATTCTCTTCAAACGATTCACGACTACGAGCGCGACACGTCCCCATTCCGCCCTGATAAACTATGTCTGGCAAAACGTATTTGCAAAAGATGACATGTTTGTCGACTCGGAGGCTATGAGAGTTGGCAACCGCGAAGGCCTTGGCTTGATGGAGCAAATGGCCAAAATTAGCAGCGATTTGAGAGCCCAAAAGAAGATTAACAAGGAACAAAAATTGACCAACGAGCGACTAGACATGGTCAACGGACAACAAAAACTGACCAATGAGGAACAAAAACTGGTCAACGAACAACAAAAATTGACCAACGAGGAACAAAAACTGAGATGGTGCATGGTGGTTTACACAGAAATCGAGCAGAAGGCTCATCCTCAAACAGAGGAGGCGATTTTAGCTCGCAGAGAAAGAAATCAGATCATTCATGGAGGAAACATCATTGACCATCTTGAGTATATTGGATTCGGGAAGAACAAAATCCCCCCCGGGCGACATGATTCCGTACGAAAAGCATTCGAAATTTGGTACGAGGTACCGTTTCGATATAAAGAACGGATCGACCATGCCCCGGAGCTCGTCGTTAGGACCTTCAACCGTCTCGCCGACACGAAATCTCTACGGGTATGGTCAAATGCTCCAACTGTCCACGAAGTACAGAAGATTTGCCGTGGTATTATCAGCCGGTGGCTTGAATGGGTTGATGCAGGTGAAGGCGAATATCCCGATGCCTATATTAGGCGCGAGTTTGAGAAGCTTGAGAGTCTCAAGTCAGGCTAGGGTGAGACAAGGTTTTTGTTCGGTTGCAATCTTGGAGATATTTAATCTCCACAATCATGTTTATTCGTGTGACATTCAGTGATGCTGAGAAGGGACATATCTATCGGCGTCATTTCCGAGTTTGATTTCTTTACTTTCTTCTCTATTCTATCTGGACATCGTCCTTATCAGTCTGCCTGTATCTTTACAGTATCTGGAGTAAGGCCAGAGACTTAGGGTTGTTAGGGTTATTTTTTCAATTTGGCACTATTTTTAGATGCTTCCATCATTTTGTAGTAACTTCCCTAAATAACCTTCTTTTCATAAGTAGCATAGTATCCTCATTCATCTTGTAGTGCGATGCTCAAAGTCAGGTCGACAACCGATCAGCCACAATCGCACATCTCAGCGCCAAATCCCACGCTAAGACGTCAATGGCTCAACCATCTACATGCGAGCAAGACTAAATAGTATGGAGATATGGAAATTAGGGCTTGGAGGGGTCAAAGGGTATACGTAAGCTCCCCCAATTTAATCTACATGACGCCTCTCGCGTCGCGACCAATTTGGATCAAGCCGGGAAGTAGACAGCGCTAAAAGCCATGATCAGCCAGCTAAGCCTTGCTAGTGCTGCAGCAAAGCATCATCGCGCGATAGAGCTGTGGCCACTCGGATGGCTCGATTGACATTTCTGTGTCTTGATACAGGCACGTGTGGGATACAAGCTTTTCTATTCCTGGTTGGAGGGGCTACACCATGTTTGAGCTCTCCGGTCTAGACAGCGACGTATCTTTATCGATGTTACCCCGCTACGGGGCTGGCTGGCTGATGAGCAGGGGAAGTGAGGATGAGTGAGATTATAAAAGGTCTGTCGTAGATCTGAAGAACTGCATTCATAAATCTTTAGCCATAGACACTAAAACAATTCGTTTCTTCAAAATGACTGGAGGCATCCCTCACTACGGCGTCTGGGTCGGTCAACCCACCCGCTACACAGCCCAAACCCTAGAACAAGACCCCAAATCGCCTCATATCTATCTCTACTTCACCGACTCCTCTGACACTTCCTCAAGCAGCAAGGAGATCGAAGCCGCCATCAACGTTCGCTCCACCGACAAGGACTCCAGACTCGTTTACTGGCTGACGCGCAACTTCTCAAACGCCATCACCCAGCAGCTGGACAGCTTGAGCCAAAGCTTTCATCTGCTGAGCGACTACGCTCACGTCTCGAATCGTACTCGCAACAACACTCGTCACGGCCACAGCCACAATAACAGCCATCACCACGATAGCAGACACAACAACGATGCCGCGACAAACCTGCAGGGATTGGACTTCATCCGCACCCAGGGTCTCGTAGATATCAAATCCGGCTCCGTGCTACCGACTGAAGCAGCTGGTCCCAACAACGACATTCTAGACGAGCTCGAGCCCGTTTTAACAGATGCCATCAACCAAAAGGCCACCATCTACATCTTCGGCTCTTCCTATGGCACGGGCATTCATGACGTTCACATGAACCAGGGAAGTCAGCCGTCCTATGAGAACGGAATCTATGAGGATGGAGCATTGCTGTTCAAGTTTGCGGATGGGCATTGGGAGGCGGTGTTTTTGGCATTTGCATCCCAAAGAATTCCGACGGATGATAAGGGCGAGTACGAGAGTAATAGTCAGTCGTTGGCTGCTATTCTTGGGCAGGCTGATAGCAGTGATCAGTAATACCTCAGACGAAGATGGTTGTGAAAGAATGGTCATTGGTCATTAGTAATTAAATTAGGTATAAATGGTTATCATGATAATGATCTGTAATGCAATGCACATGTCGTTATGATCGCCTGGCCCCGAAATGCAAATGGGTATCCTTATGCAAGTAAAATGCAAGAGACTTCCCTCTATCAGTAGACGATGGATGTCTTCAACTTTTGTTCCTCCTCCTCCCTCTCATCGACTGTGATAAAACAGTCGATTTCATTCAAACAGAATCAACACTCGCATGCACCCTCTTCTCCACATCCACCTCAACCCCCTGTTGCTGTCCCTCCAGCGCTTCCGCCGCCCAAACCCTCAACTCCTCTTCCCTCAGCGCCTGCAAATGCTGCTGCAACTTACTTCCTCTCCTAATACTCTCTCCAAAATAGATAAACGCAAACGGGATAACTGAAACCCCCAAGCTAGCAAACGCGATGATACTACATCCCCAATCGATCCCGACAGCAGAGAACATGGGCTGCGCAGCAAGCGGTAACACAGCACCAAAAATACTCCGGCAGCAACTAGACGCTGACTGCGCGCTTGCGGCGAATTGTTGGTATGCGTCGGACAAATAATTCAGCATGGCCATGAAAATCAATTCATATGCTAGGCCGAATATGACGCCAGAAGACATGGGTACGGCCCAATGAATGTCCGGAGATGCAGTCCAGCCGAGCCAGAAGAGAGAAACGACGTAGAGCGGACCGCCGACGCAGGCCAGTGGCAAGCGGCGATAGTCTTCGTTTTGAGCCCAAGAGGCGCCGCGCGCTTTGGCGCGGGCGAGGAAGCCGTCATACCAGATGAAGATTCCGCAGGCGAGAAAGCAGCCGAGTGCGACTGTTGAACGCTGTTAGCTTCTGCTTTAAAGCTTGTCGATGAGGATGGACTTACTTGGTAGGTAGGTTAGACCTGCGATGCCGGTGCTCATGCCATAGATTCCTGGTTTGAAAGTCAGTACTTGCAGTCATCAGATAAATTTCAGATTACAGAACTTACCCTCAAAAATCAACGGATATGCCTGGAAATACAAATAGAAAATCGCATATGCCAAAGCACAATACAAACAAGTCAAAGACACCATCAACTCCTGCGCAATCATCCGAATGGGTCTCGTCAATGTGACGGTCAACACAGCCCGGAGATCATGAGGCGTGAGATCCATCGGCGCAACGATGCTCTTATTTCCTGTTTCTTTGCGCAGTTTGCGAGCACGACGCTTGAGTAAGACTGGGCCATAGGTTTCTGGATAGAAAATGACGAGTGGGAACGAGGCGCCGGCGATGATCAGAGCGAGCCAGAAGGACCAGCGCCAGCTAACGGTTGAGATGAAACCTGACATGAAAGGTGAGATGATTGGGCCGACGGCGGTGCACTACGAACGTTAGCAAGGAAGTTCTTCTTGAAATGTAAATAAACCAGAGGGGGAAAAAAACATACAGACATGTACCAAGCCATCGTCCTCCCTCTCACAGTCGGGTTATCAAAGACATCCGAGAACGTGCCCGTGATAATCGCAATTGGCGCACTTGCGGCCATACCATTCAACAGTCTGAATACCAACAAGGCATTAAACGTAGGTGCCAAGGCGCATGCCATGACGAAGATATTAAACAGCCCATAACCAATAAGCAAGGGTGTTCGACGGCCGTATTGTTCAGACAAAGGCCCGTACAGGAGCGGACCAAGGACGTAGCCAACCAGAAACAACGAAATGGGAAGGACGAGCTTTGTTTTGTCGGTGACGTTGAAATCGGCAGCGATGTATTTGGTGGCTCCGCTGGGGATGGAAGAGCCGATTGTGCTGTTGAGGACTTGCATCATGCCGGAGATGACGACGAAGATTTTCTTGCCCTGCAGAAGTCAGTCAATCAGCGCTATTGTTGCATAGCATGGAGGAAAGAAAGTGGAGTTACATACATTGCTCCAGTTATGTGGATTCTCAGGATCATCAGGTCCGAACGATACAATGGTTTTGGACGCCAAACGACGGAATCGATATGATGACGGATTGGCATATCGTTGCTGTACTGCATTGTTCTCTTCATGGTGTTCACATTCATCCGCAGTAGAGCCTTGGAGTGTTGTTGTCTCCGACCCAGAATGGGAAGCAATGATCTCCAGCTCCGGTAACATTGATGTCCTCGTTACCGTTTGTGAGAGCTCCGAGAGCTGTGGCTCGTCGGCATGTATGTGATCGTTTGAAGCCATATTAAGAAAGTAGAAACAAGAAAAACAAACTAATATTCTTCTATTGAAGATAATGTGTATGTGTACACCATTCAATTTGAATGTTCAATGTGCATTTATATCCTTAGATACCCCTTAATCCTTCGTATTGCCTGTTCCAAACTTTTTCATAGCTGACACTGGCCACTCTATATATACCTAACATCATCGATGCGTGCCCAAAGCAAGCGTCAAAAATCGCAGCTAGAAATTTCCATGTGGGCCTCTTCGTAGACCCAGATGTGGAAGTTCCCGCAATTTTCTTCGCAAACAGGATCACACTTACTATATCAAGTATAGCAAAGGCAAAAAAATATATATTGAAAGCGTCCCCGAGGTCCGCCCTGTGCCAGTCTTTTTACTTCTGACAGCGTAAACTCATAGAGACCAGATGGGTCCAGACTCTAGACTCTCCAAGCTCGGAATGATCTGCGATGTTTTTTGATGATTTTTGCCCGTAAACGGCAAATCGGAGTTCGTTGCGAGGTTAACAATCCAACAAATTTTTCGGCTGTCCTTGGTCTGGCTCAACTTTACCCCGGCTAAGACGGCCGCTTCGCAATATGAGTTCATTATTTCATCGAATTCGATGACTCGATGATGCATTTGTGGGATTGAGAACTTAAAGGAGAGTGGGTTTGTGAGTCACGGAAATTGACTTCCTCGCTTTGTCGCGGTACAAAATTTTCAACGTGGATTATTGCCGCCACCACAGTGGAGTGCGACGTTTGCCGTTGCCTTCAATGTCTTGTACCTGGACCGCTAGAAAAGCATGTACACAGTATATGAAGTTTTCACGAAGTATAGAAAGACATACATTGACTGAATTTGGTAATTGAATCGACATGCTTTCCCCGCGCTGCCTCGCAGAATCATTCAATGAACAACCAATCAAGCCTCATTCATGCTTGGCAACTAATGCAAACTGATCAAGTAGCAGCATGCGATGCCACGTCGTACATCCATAATCACCACTTCGTCGACTGATATGAGTTATAATGCAACACTGGCCTCGGATTCCATCATTTGACTCGATTCAGTCGGAGTATACAAAACATCGCAGCGAAGTCCGATCGATTTTTTCTCTAGACGGGGACGCTTTACCGCATCTGGGTTGGCGGCGGAACTCTTCGCCGGTTCCGTGCTGCCAAGACTCGTCTCATTGGTTTGTCTAAAACTAAATATGATTGGCTGTTTAAGGTAGTTTATTAGGGTATCAAAGTCCAAGCCCTAGTTACGTGAATATGAAGACTGTTCAACTGAATACAATATTTAATTGCACCAAAAAAGTGATATATACAATAGCGAATACGATTGACACAAGCGGTGTGTAAACTTGTAAATATACATCAGAAATCAAAGTCTTTCAACCTACATTCTGGAAGACTAAGCGCAGTAAGGGTTGTCAGTACCATGGCAGCTCAATCCAGAAGAGCATACAGCCCGGATGACCCATTCACTGTTAATGCACTGCTCAAGAGATGTACCATCTGGCGTGCATTGCCATGCATTATCAGAGCACGGCGCACTCGTAGTGCTGGTAGGAGTAGCGGTCGTGGTCACCAATGTGGTGGTAGGAGTAGTGGTAGTTCCCGTAGGGGAAGTAGTTGAAGTGGCAGTGGTAGAAGTCGTAGTGCCGGTAGGAGTAGTGCTCACGAACCCCTGAGAGCCGCCTGTACCATCGTAGTCGAACTGGTAGATCAACTCATCGACAATCTCCCATGTAATCTCGATATGACCGGCATCGCATGCCTCAGAAGACAACTGCTCAGCAACAGTGTAGCTAAAATCCAGTCCGGGAGCACCACCAGGTGCCCATGTAGTCGATGTAGACGATCCCGTAGCACAACGTTCGCATCCATCACCGATAAAGAGTGGCAGATCAGATGGGACACCGTTCACAGAGACAATAACCCGTTTACCGCAGTATGTCCCCATATCTTCGATAAGTTGAGTGTGGTTCATGGCAACCAAGTAGTCCGAGTTGACGTTCTCTAAGGTCCAGACTTGAGTTAAGCTGCACTCGACCTGGCCCAAGTTGGCGTTTGAGAAGTCGGTGTAGCATTGATTGGCGTTGGCGATGTCGTAATAGTATGTTCCGAATCCGCTGCCGCTGTAGATTTCGTCTTGGGCGAGCGCGGAGGTAAAGAGCAGACCAGCTGCGGCGAGAATTTGGTTCTTCATTTTAAAGATCGGTTAATATACGTATATATGTATATGTGGATATAATGAATGATAGATTCTTCGAAGGATCGACGTCTGGATAAATAAATGTGTAGACAATTGAAGGAATGTGTATAGAAAAGGAACGACAGTTCTCGTCAAGAGACAGCGGCGATGCGAAATTCGACTGAGTCACGACCGAATAGACTCACCAAAAGAATCGAAGGGAACAAGTCATATCTTATATCTATTTCAGAGACCAGCCCAGATCCAGTGCAGGATCCACGTCACCTGCTTGCTCAGTTCATCCGTTCTTCGCGTATGGTCAGATGGATCCATTGCTGACTAGCTGTTTGTAACTTCAAGGACGTAGTCAAGTGCAAGAGCCCAAATGCGACATGACTTTTCCTGTCATAATAATTGGCTAGTTACCGCTAAAAAGTGCCATGCTTACCAAAAGTGTACGTATGGTTGCTTGTTTCAACTGTGTTTCGCTAACAAATTTAGACTACGCCGTACGTACTGACGCAGGAACATAAAGCTAAACATAGGCACATAACCAATCAGAACTCCAATTACGGAAAATAAAATAGATTGTTCCTAGCACTAAAATATGACCGTGATGACCACTCAGCTTGTTCGTGCACTTTAGCCGATATTCAAGTTTTGGCCATTGACGAATGGCAGCCCGTTGTTTCGGTACGTTGCGTAAACTGGATTCGCAAGCCCTAAGTCAACATCAGATGGCGAAACAATCAATATCTTTTGTTGATTCAAGACTTCAAAGTCATCCGTACAACGATTTTTGGAAGAACATTACTCCCTTCGTTGACTGAATAAATTTACGTACCTGCATGATACTATCCAACGATCGGTGTTTCCGTACCCATTGTGGCGGCCCCCATGTAACATTATCCATGTCGTAGTAAAAGTAACCCATGTCAACTACCATAGGGGAAAAAGTTGCACGTGGAGGGAATTACTCTTCCAAAGCCATATCCATCCTTGATTTAAAGCGCGTTGCTTTCTGTTCAAAAGCCAAGGCCAAGATGACTGCGTCCACTCTCCAAGAACAGAATATGCTCTCGAAATTGGGCGCCATGAAAGGAACTCTGTGGCTTGAATACGAGATATTTATTACCGTGGTCCCTTCAAATTAAATATTATAGCAGTTCACACGTTGTCGGATATCTAATTAATGTGCAGAGTAAGATACCTGTAACTCTAACATACAACTCAAGCCAAATCTCTTGCCCACTCATGTTACATGCGATGTAAAAAGCAGTTTCATTCACCAAACTACACTACAAATTACTTGAGAACCCCAGATAGTAAGTCAGACCTCGGCATGCCGCTACTCAAAGTTCTTTGCTTATAGTCTCTCCAGAACTGTAAGTATCAATGGTGGAACCATGGAAATAGTTCTAGACTACTACATGCCAATGCAATGCGTGCTATAAAATACGATAGTTAATCCAAATTGTTAGAGACATCTTAGGCCAGTAAAATGGTTTCTGTGAGCAGAATATCGCGCGACGACTTTCCAATCGACACCGTGTACAACCCAGGAATGAATCTCCAATCTTTTGACTTCTCGTCCCAAATCTGAAGGTCTTCCTTCGCAAGAGAAAAGCTAAGCTCTACCTCTGCATTTGGCTCAAGGCTTTCTGTCTTTCGGAATCCTTTCAGAACTTTGGGAGGCTCATTGGCCCGTGCAGGGAACGTCACGTATAATTGCGCGACCTCTTTTCCAAATACCTCTCCTACATTCTGGACTTTGAAAGTGGCATTTAGCGAGAGATTGGCTTTCTTAGCATGAGCTACGTTGAGCCTCAAATCAGAAAATTCAAAGTCTGTATACGACAGGCCATGGCCGAAAGGAAACAGAGGCTCGATCTCATGCTCATCAAACCACCTGTAACCCACAAGCAGCCCCTCTGAGTATGTAGCTTTCAAGTCCACGCCTGGGAAACGCTCTTCCGGTGACGTTGGAACGTCAGCATACTGTCGCGGAAACGTGACAGGCAACTTCCCCGAAAAGTTCACATCACCGTATAATAGTGCGGCCATCGCAGAGCCAACTTGTTGTCCAGGATAAAAAGCCTCGATAACAGCATCGACCTCGTTCAGCCAAGGCATCAATATCGCACTGTTCGTGTTTAATACTACAATAGTCTTTTTGCTATGCGCTGCAATCAGAGAGATGACGTCGTCTTGATCTCCTGGAAGCTCAAGGAATAGCTTGCTATCAAGCCCCTCGGTATGTTCATCATTGACGAAGATAATGCTTACGTCTGCTTTTTCAGCTACTGTGATAGCTCCTGAATACCGATTAGAATCAGCGACATTGACGCCTAGACTAACACCATAAATACCAGGGTCGACTGATGTCGCCATGGAATAATCGAGACGAATACTGACGGGTGTGTCTGCATACAAATTGGCGATTCCTTGAACGACCATGCCGAAGTTGCTACCGTTGAGATTGGCGACGACATCGTCGTTCAAATAGAGAATTGCGCCTCCATTGCCATAAATGGAGAAATGATAGAGTCCAGTGGTGTTGGGATAGAATGTTCCCTCGTAACGCGCAGAGAAAACCCCAGGCCACACTGCACCTAAGTCTGAAGGGTAGGTGGAACCCGTGATATTTTCGACGTGAAGGGTTCTGTTGATCGGACCGGAGAAGTCGCGCGTTGTCCAGTAGCTGACATTGAGTCCGGCAGCACCAAACATCTCCGAGGGAATTGTTGGGAATATACCAGTTCCAGGGTACGCTTCCGAGTACGAGGTTGATATGTTCTCCTGCTGTCCACGATTCTTGATATACTCCACGGAAGACTGCACGACCATAGTTGTATCAAGCACAAAGCCACCGTGCAGTTCAGTGACTTGGCTCTGATTGGTAGCATCCGCTCCAAACACAGCAACCGACTTATACTTGCTACCGGTCAATGGAAGAGTCTCATTATCATTCTTCAAAAGAACTGCCCCTTCTTCCACCAACTTCTGAGCAAGATCCAGATGCGCCGATGTCCTAGCAACGCTATTTTCGTCGCCGAGAACAGGCCTATCGATCACACCACTTTCGAACATGGGACGCCAAAGTCGTGCTACCATATCTTCGATTCGAGAAAACGGAACAGAACCATTGTCCACGGCTTCGACCAACAAATCTCCAAAGAAGTCAGGAAGTCCATAGTAGTCCACCCATGAACCMCCCGGTTGACTGTTATCGAGTCCCGCCAATGCCGCCGAAACGGTCGTGCGTTGAGCAAAATAGTAGTCCGTAACAACAAACCCCGAAAACCCCCAGTCATCTTTGAGCCGTTCGTATAGCCAAGGGTTCTCGCAAGAATGAATGCCATTCAACTTATTGTACGAGCACATGACCGAACCCGCATTACCTTCCTGGACAGCAGCCTTGAAGGCCGGAAGATAGACTTCATGAAGCGTACGTTCATCAACAATGGCATCAATGGCGTCAAATTCCGGCGCAAGACCAAATCGATTAGTTTCCTGATTATAAGCAGCAAAGTGCTTGGGGCATGCAACCATTTGCTGTGACTGAATACCCTGAACAACAGCCACCGTCATACGGCTGGTTAGATAGGGGTCTTCGGACATTGACTCTGCAGCCCGACCCCAAAGCGGACTGCGGACGATGTTGATTGTGGGCGCGAAAATGACATTGCGGCCTTTGGAGCGGTGTTCTTGGGCTAGAGCTTCGCCAAATTCTTTGTTGAGGTCTTCGTCCCAGGTTGCGGTTATGAGGACTGGAGCTGGAAATGTTGTGACGTTGTTGAGGTTGTTGCCCACGCCTTCTGGGCCGTCGCCCATGCATATGGACGGAATACCCAGTGTGTCATTTCCGGACACATATCCGATACACCCGTCGGTTTCAAGCTTTGAGGCTGTTAGTCAATTGTCCGAATGAAATGGTACTATACGCACCGCAGTGTTTCCTTGGGTCATGTTGAGCTTTTGCGAGTCATTGAGCTGAGACAAGAACGACTGCAGCCGTATCTCCGTCGGCAACGAAGTATCAAGCCATGTATACGATACGTTTGTAGCATTTGTTCCTATCCCTACAAAAAGTAGGGAAAGAATCAAGGAATTTAGTAAGCCCATGGTTGGTTATCAACGACGATTTTGCTCTACTTGACATTGTGTGATAGTTCTGGGAGGTTTCTGACCGAATTGTGCGATTTATACGTATGGACTTTGATGATCATCGTCGGCGCCTTGTCCGACATGATTGAGGAGTTTGCTTCATCTTTGAGTAGCTTGTAAGCTAATTTCTTATCCGTGAAGATTGCTGATCTTGCCAGCAGGTCGGCGTTCAAGTATACCTGGCTTATACCGGCAACCAAAGGTGGGTAAAAGGCAACGAGAGAATCAATTGATAGCTAAGAAACTTTAAATTTGATGAGTGGACGGTGTATCTAGACAGCTATCTCTGCAATACCAGCTCATATTGTCACTAATGTCTTAGATCTAGCCACTCTTACGATGACGAGGCTTGAAAGTAAAGCAAAAACAGATGGGAATCAAGTAACCTTTGAAAGCACAAAGAACCCTCATTCTGAAGGACTTTTAAACGATAAGAAACTGTTCTAAATTTACCAAAATTCGCTCAATTAATAGCGAAATCTAGCCTTAATCCGTAGATAAAGATGTGTATTGATTTCCGTGAGACAGGCCGCAGAAGTCGCCAGCCTTCAGGAACTGTCATGGCAATGGCCAACTCTTGCTCCCTGGCACCTTTTAGAGTCTAGGAAATCGTAAGTAAAAGCAACAGGTGGCTTTTATAATGTCGTTGAGGGTGTGTCCAACGATGACTTGATCACTTCCGGCCTTTGCCGAATATTATTGAAATCTTTGTGTCAACTACATGGCGCATCTCAACTATTCCCCTTCTCATTAAGCGGCACGACTGTCGTCTCGGCATGGCTAAAAGTACGAATGCCCTCTCTGGTAATCTTGAGCTGCGACGGGCAATTCGGATCTGGACAAGCGATCAACGCATCTGTGGTCATCCAGTCGTTCGCATGAGTAACTCGTTGCTTGGCTGCTAGAAGGGGAAGTACTGCAGCTATTACAAACCCCGATTGTTAGCACAGGACTATGTCAATAAGTTTCTGGGCTCAAGATCATTATTGACTCGCCCAAGCTGTATATGCTAATTCCCTGACCTGGCGGCAGGTGCATCATTTCACCTTGAAGAGTGAAATAGTCACCGGCTTTAGCTCCGCATAATATTCTTTTTCCCAGCGGGCACACAACTTCGACTCGGAGGTCATAGAGCTGGAAACTATCGTCTTGCGGCATTGCACTTGGGGTTTGAAGTTTTCAGTGATTTCGACGAGCTCGAACAACGACTGCAGTAACAATAACAATCATCATTGATGGATTGAGAAAAGATTAAATCAACCACGGAGAAGAACGCCCTCTCCGCAACACCGGCATCTAACTCCTCACCGGCAACTAAAACTTGCTTATCTTTATTTTCGAAATTCGCCGGCGGAGAACCGTCCGACAAGCCACCACAAAACTAAGGAAACACGATCAACAAATAATTTCACTTCTCAGACTCGAATGCCGCGGCCAGGCTTCCTAGCTATCTGTTCAAGCAACGCTCGAACAACAATCGGCTGATAGCAAGTGTGGAGAAGACCCGTCGTTATCATTAAGTCTATGCGGAAGAGATTACTGAGGACTAACGCACTATAAGATTCGACAGTATAGCTACTTTATGGATCTATTACCTTGAATCCTCGTGCGTCTATCCTCATTTTTTATCACAACTATGGCAATGACCCAGGATACAATAACGAAACCGAAGGGTTTCAATACCAGCTATGATAATTCTCCCGACATGGAGCCTGGCATTCAAGCTGCCGGGGAGATGGAAGAAATCCGTCGGGACATGAAATCTCGTCACATTAATATGATTGCAATTGCAGGAATGATTGTTCGTTGAATTCCCTTCACAAATATGAAGAATTAGGTCAACTAATTGTTACTACTCTAGGGAACTGGCTTGTTCTTAAGTTCCGGATCTGTAATTGCGACTGCAGGACCGGCAGGKGCATTTATCGCTTATATTATAATGGGCTTCGTCACTGCTGGTGTCTCGTATACTACCGGCGAGATTACTTCTTTCATGCCGTCGACAGGAGGCTTTGTTCGTCATGCAACGAAGTTTGTTGAGCCCGCTCTGGGTGCAGCAACTGGATGGAATTTTTGTGAGTCATACCTCCCGAAATTGCCTTGAGCCGTTCTGACCCGACTATCATGTTGTTAGGGTATACTATGGCCATTTCGGTGCCAGCAGAAATCAGCGCCGCTGCTACAGTTATACAGTTTTGGAATGCATCCATCAACTCGGCCGTCTGGATTTCCGTGTTTCTTGTCCTCATCATATTGCTCAACTTGTGCGGAGTCAAGCTTTATGGAGAGGTATGTCATGTCGATGACCGTTATCATACCTGACTAACATAAAACAGTCCGAAGTCGTCTTCGCATCTCTCAAAATCATGTTAATCATCGGACTCATCATTGGTGGACTCGTCATTGACCTAGGCGGTGCCCCAAATCATGACCGTATAGGTTTTCGATACTGGAACGATCCGGGCGCTTTTAACACGTACATCGACACTGGCTCAACGGGTCGATTCCTAGCAATCTGGAGCGTGCTGATTTCGGCTGCTTTCAGCTATGGCAACATCCAGGTCGTCGCCATCTCCGGCTCAGAAACTCAGAATCCGCGTAAGATTATTCCTGCCGCGACGAAGAAGACATTCTTCCGCGTGTTCTTCTTTTATGTGCTTAGTATATTCATTGTCGGTTTGATTGTGTAAGTCACTCTCATCTTAGACTTCATCTCTAAACGTACATCTGGCTAACGGTGGGATTAGACCTTATAACGATAGACAACTACAAATCTCCACAGGAACCGCACAACAGTCCCCCTTCGTAATCGCCTTCCAACGCTCCGGAGTTTCCGTCGTTCCATCCATCATTAACGCCATCGTCTGCACATCAGCATTTAGCAGCGGCTCAGCCTGTATCTTCATCGCCTCCCGAACTCTCTACGGCCTAAGCCAGGATGGTCACGCACCCAAAATTTTTCAAAAGTGCAACCGTTTCGGCGTGCCGCATTATGCCGTGGGCTTGACGTGCGTTTTGCTTCCGCTCGTGTATTTGAATGTAGGCAGCAATACATCCGTTGTGTTTGGGTGGTTCGTAAATATCACGACTGTGGCTGGGTTGATTGGCTGGATTGTGATTGAGGTTACGTATTTGAGGTTTTATTATGGACTGAAAGCGCAGGGTATTTCACGGAATGGTATGTTTTCGACTAATATCAAACTCAGTCTCTTACTAACGGTGAGATATAGATCTTCCGTATCGTGGTCCGCTTCAACCCTACACGGCGTGGGCGACATTACTCATGGTGTTCCTGATCGTATTCTTCTCTGGTATGTATAGTCCAGATGTTTGATTTGCCTATCTTGGGATTCTTGCTCACTTCCCACAGGATTCAGCGTTTTCGTCAAAGGCAACTTTACGGCCTCCGGGTTCCTGACTTGCTATCTCAACGTTTTCATATTCATAGGTAAGTAAACCACTCCAAGCCCTGAATGGCTCAAGCGGCAACCTGACAATTCTTCTAGCACTATACGCCTTCTTCAAAATCTTCATGAGGTCCAAGATAATACCCTTGTCAGTCCTAGACTTTCAGACCGAGTTTCAGTCCATCAGGGAAGAAGAGCAGTTTCGGTCGCAAACTGCGAAAATTGAGGAAGATGAAAAGTCGTCGACTATTCTTGGTCGTTTCACACGGATAATGCATTCTGTATAAAGTGTACCTATTTACTCCGATACCTAGGTAGCTTTGCAACTTTGTCGAAATAGTCTAGGATCAAGGAGAATATAAGAGATAAAATACTAATATTAAGTTATTGCATATGACGGGATACCGTGCTCAATTGATACTCGATAATAAGTAGTGGTACTCGACATAAATTAACAGCTCACCTTAACTAAATCAATTGCTGACCAATGAGTTGCAGCAAAACAAGGAGTCTTGAAGCACCGATTTTCTACTCAGAATACCCGAACAACAACAATTAAAGTCGCACGGGGTGCCGCTCCCCTGCATAGAACTTATCACATTTTCTTTCTTCCTACCCCTTTTCCTTCCCGGCTTTCACGACGTATTTAGGTACCGTACTGAAGACACGAAGGTTTTCTGAAAAGTATATCCCCGAAGATTATTCGTCTGTCATTCTTTTCCAACACCTGCATCTCATGCAGCATGAGTCAAGCTGACTCGACGCAAGCATAGAATTACTAGAAACAGGATTCCATTAGCAAATAGTAATTGGGTAGTCTGGTCTGGATTACAACGGGTACATGAATATTACGCGAGTTTGGAGCTGGTGTTGCACAATTAGACCGCAAGGGGAATAAGAGAGGAGGTTGCTGTTTATTATCCCTTGTCCGACATGAAGGTGTCTGTTGATCGATCTTGATTTAAATAGGTGAGTTGCCTTCCATTTTGATATCATATATCTTTCATATTTACAACTGGATTGAGCTGACTATACACCAGCAAAATGGATACGCTACTCGGCTGCTTCTCAATATTCTCAACACAGAAGCAAAAGGACTGGAAAGAAATAGAAGGTTCATACACTCTCCCACCTCCGAAACCGTCACTAATTCTTTTTTGCTGCTATAGACAAAGCAAAAGACATCGAAAACCAAACATCATGGACCTCGCCCAACGAAAACACCTGCATGCTTGAAGCCTTCGAATGGTACACTCCCCCGGACGGCCGACACTACCAACGCCTCCAAAGCGCACTATCAGACCTAAAAGAAATTGGAGTCGACAATCTTCTGCTCCCGCCGGGCTGTAAAGCGATGCAGCCTACAGGCAACGGGTATGATATATATGACTTGTACGATCTGGGAGAATTCGATCAAAAGGGCAGCGTCGCGACGAAATGGGGCTCCAAACAGGATTTGATAGCACTGGCGCAGGCGGCGGAGGAGTTGGGCATGGGGATGTATTGGGATGCGGTGCTGAATCATAAGGCTGGCGCGGATAGGAAGGAGAAATGTTTGGCTGTTACAGTTGATCCGAAGGGTACGTACCTTACCCCCCTTTTTTTTCTCCTGCCTTCTGAGTTCCGGATTTCTTGGGAGATGTGGAAATATTGATGGCAGCTAGATCGGAACATCGACCTCACAAAACCGCAAGAAATAGAAGCATGGGTAGGCTTCGATTTCGCCTCACGCGGCGACGCATACAGCAAACTCAAATATGGCTGGGAACACTTCAACGGCATCGATTACAACGATCTGGACAGCACCAAAACCGCAATATACAAAATATTTGCTCCGGGCAAAGACTGGGCGAGAGATGTATGTACCAGCGAAAACGGGAATTATGATTACTTGATGTTTGCGAATTTGGATCATTCGAATCCGGAGGTTCGGAGCGATATAATGGGATGGGCGGAGTGGATTGGTGGGCAGCTACCCCTGAAGGGGATGAGGTTGGATGCGGTGAAGCATTACTCGGCTGAGTTTCAGAAGAACTTGGTTGAACATATTAGACAGAGCGGGAAGGAGTGGTTTTTTGTGAGTGAGTATTGGTCTGGGAATGTGCTAGAGATTCAGGATTACTTGAAAAAGGTGGATTATAAAGTGCATGCGTTTGATGCGCCGTTGTGTCAGAGGTTGTCTGCTGTTTCACAGACGAAAGGGGCGGATTTAAGGTTGGTTTTTGAGAAGACATTGGTGAAGTTTGAGCCTGAGCATGCTGTGGTATGTTATCCTCCGTTGTGATTGAGAGGAGAGTGACTTATGTCTAGGAAGACATTTGTGATGAATCATGATACGGTGAGTTACTTCTCCCTCTGATATGGACCTCTTGCTAATAGTATACAAGCAACCGCACCAGGCATTAGAAGTGAGTCCCCACCAACTCTCCACAACACAACTAATGAATATAGGCCCCAATATCACCCACCTTTAAGCCACTCGCCTACGCCCTCATCCTCCTCCGCAAGGACGGGTATCCCTGCATATTCTACGGCGACCTATACGGAATCTGCAGCAGCACCCCCACGAAAACCGGAACCCTCAAGAACAGAAAATTCCGCCATCCACACGTCCCCAAGGAACTTGAACGAAGCCTCCCAGCAATAATTTTGGCAAGAAAGTTATATGCCTACGGCGAACAGCAAGATTATCTGCCGTCACGGAATTGTATCGGCTTTGTGCGTTATGGCAATGCGAGACATCCTTGGGGAATGGCGTGTGTAATGAATAATGGATTGACGCCGGTGAAATTGAGGATGTTTGTTGGGAAGAGGCATGCTGGTCAACGGTGGAGTGATGTTCTTGACTTTGACCAGGCTTTGGATGAGAGTGGGGATTTGAATGGTAAAAGTGAGCAGACAAAAAGGGGTGGGAAGATGAAAAAGAAGAGGATAGTCCGGATTAGTGCAAAGGGTTATGCGGAATTTCCGGTTGCGAGTATGGGTGTAGGTGTTTGGGTTAATGAGAGTGCCGAGGGGAGGGAGAGGTTTGGGACTTGTTTGTGAGTTTCCCTTCCACCTAGGTTTGTTTGGGCTGGAGATTGATATGCTGACGAGAAATGTCTACAGTAATAGCGATATATACTCATATTAGGGCGGATGAAAGTTGGCGAGTTAATCAATCAAAAGCGGATTCATGAACAGGTATTGACCTTTGTTCTGGGCAATTTCAGATATCTAACTAATACTCAATATAAAGTCATTCTAATCACAATGTACTCCAATCATCATTCTTCATTATCCAATCCATAATCGCCGTATCGCCAAGTAAGTGCATTTATCAAGGACAGATAGTAAAAACAAACAAAGATCGCTGTGCTGAGCATGCTAAAAGTTTCAATTGAAAGCCCGGCCCGGCGGGGATACATGATGCTGAAAATTTACATAAAATGTGAAGAGCGGCAGGTCGTTTCGTCGTCGATTTAAGCAGTGGATTCATTCGGTAGATCGTTGGTGACATGTCGAGGGGCAGATAGATCGGTCTCGATAATGGCATGATTGTCATGTTGAGCGACGACAGTGTCTTGAGCGGTGACGGGTCTATCATTAATGATGATAGCATCGTCGATTTGGGTGTTTGGGGCCCTCATCTTCGGAAATGGCAGAGTCGTTGTCTCCGGTGGTGAGATGCTTATTATCTGCGATGGCAGGAGGTTCGATTTTGTTCATGGTAGCTTCATCGTCTCCAGTAACAGCAGAGTCCTCGGTTTTGATAATAGGAGCGTCATCTTCTTGAGTGGTAGTAGAGTCATCTCCTTGAGCAGCGATAGCGCTAATGTCTCGAGGGCTGTCAGGCCCATCGGTTTGACTGAAAGCATCATCGTCGTTGTGAGTGATACTAGAGTCGTTCTCTTCAGTCATAGCGAGGTCATTTGCCTGAGCGGGGACCTGGTCATTGTTAAAAATTATGGCAGAGGCCTCCGGATCGACAGTCGAGTCATCGATTTGAGCCATAGCGGAGTCGTCAACTTCTTTGGATGCACTATCATCTTCTTGGGTGTCCAATGATGCAACAGGAAGGTCGACTTCAGCAGCAGATTTGTATTTCGGCTCATCTGGTTGTGTGATAGGAGGGAGAGCGGTCTCTAATCCCTCGAACATCGGGTCGAACACGATCTCGACCGTCTTCTGTTCAACCGGCTGTGCGACTTTTGGCTTAGCCTCGCCTAATAGCCCTTCAGCCACTCGTTGAATCTCACCAGCCCCCTCCACGCGGCTCTCACTTTCACAAATAGGGACTTCTGTCGAGGTTTGAGTCAGGACTGATGTAGAAGCGGTGTGGTAGACCTGAGTACTAACTGCTGGGAAATCCCCGAATTGAGCCATTTCGTATCCATATTGCGATCGTTTGGTTGAGCGGCCACCAAAGACGACTGCAAGGACGGCGATTAGCATGCTGATGACGGTGATGATATTTCTTTTATCGCTTGCGAGAACGCGGATGGAGTTGATGATGAGGGTTTGTAGGTCGGGGTCTGTATTGCGATTTTTTGTTCTTGGGCGCTCGTGGACTGGGGTTTCATGTTGTAGTGTCTGCTTCTCCTGCCTTGTGAAACTTTTTGTTGTGTCAGGTCTATCATCCAAACCATCAATCTCATCTTGCGAGACTATGTTCTGGCGACTGGGTTGTGGCTCTTGCATGATCGACTCTGCTGCTCTAATTTTTTCCATCTCGGCTGCCACGGCAATCTCTTCTTTGATTTTCTTTTCAACCTCGGACTTGACCTCGTATGGCAGCCACAAACTGATTTGCACGTCCACACGCTCAATCTCCTTCCACGCAGCTGTCCAGGCCCCTTCTTTCATCAACCCATTTGCTGCGTAAAATTTAACATCCCACTTTCTCCGATGATCTTGATGAGTAGTATGACAGCCGCAATCTAGACATGTGCTTTTGTCGTCCGCAATTGAGTGCTCTAATTTCTCCTCGCCGCTTTCATTTTCCGAGTCACTCGCCTCGTGGTTAATATAGTGGCCATTTTCTAATCTCGGTTTTTGCAATTCCAAGCTTTCGAGAAGCCGTTCCTCTAACAATCCATAATCTTCTTGAGGATGTTGAATAAGTAATCCGCGATCCCGTAACAGACCGGAACCGGAAATTTTTTCTTCCAACAACTTCCATCGTCGCGCATACTGCGGTGGTAGAACTTTTGCAAGAATCTGCCTATCCGGTAAAGTCACACCAGGACCAAGGATCACAGTCGGCTGAAGAACAGTGCAATGCAACAGCACAAGCGGGTTCTCCCTCTTGATAGGTGACGCCCTTTTCGGCGTATTCCCCGCGGAGTGATATCCATGCCGTCTGAGTAATGGTGAACCAAGGGATCGTACCGAAGCAGGTGAACCACGAAACATCGCTTTACGTCTTGATGGCGACATGATCTCCTCGTCCTCTTCATCCTCTGTCTGCATCTGTATCGCTTTGACCGAGCTCGGGTGTCGAAAGGGCGAATTTCGATCGCGAATTTTTTGATATACCGGGTTTCCATACGACGCGAGTTCTTCTTCGTCGTTGTAAATCTCACCTATGCTGTCTCTGCCATATACGGATTGGTCTTTTGGATGTACTAGCACGGAGTCGGGAATTGACGAAAGCGAGGATCGACTGGACGCAGACTTGGCGCCTGTTGGACCATCTTCGATTTGTAGGTATCCTTCGACTTCTGATTGTCGGCGCGATGAGGATGTGGAAGACTCAGAATGCTCTGCCATTGCATCGTCAGGATCGTTTCTTCGCGTCTCGTGATGAGGGGCGTCGGAAACGTCGGGGGGGATTTCGGCCATCGCGAAGGCAGACATTAGATCCTCGCCATTGTTGGAGATATTTTCGAGGCTCTCGACGATTGTCTCAGGATCGATTCGAGGTTCCATGTTTCATTGAAGCTGTGTCCAAGTCTGGTGGTAGTCTTCCGCGTGTTGTGATGTTTTTGCTCTGCACGTGCTGTGATAGTGATGATTCTGCCTTTGTGACAATGCTTAAAGAACACCAAACAAACAACGACTCTAACAGAGGATGATCAATAATAATAACAGCAATACTGCAACAAAAGATGTGAATCGCGGTGAACAAGCTGGCATTGACGTGTTGAACGTGTTGAACGTGTTGACGTCTGGCCGTTGTGCCGGGCAACCACCAATCAGAGGGCGAGAAGACGCCGTTATCTGCCGCCCTTCTGATTGGGCCTCGATTACCACGACATCAAATCTCTACAATTTCAAGATAAACGAGTGATTGCTCGAGGTACCAGAAATTTGATGCAATTAATGTCAATATGGGAATATGATACAGTCGATATGTTGTTCAGTATGCCAGGCAACTCTTAAGTTACCTCTAGATATGCCTGAGTCATGATTACGCCCTCTTCACCGCCTTCAAGCTTGACATTAAAGTTGCGGATCGGACTCCACGGACATGGCGCCGACAATCATCAATGTAGTCTGGCTCCGATTATAGAGCATCATGTTCGCAATGTTCCATCGCAGCCATACGTGGTAATCATCGTTCCTTATTCAAATAGATAGCCACTGCTTCCATTTCATTTTATCTGATACTATGTATGTATGCGAAAGGATTGACGACATCGACGGAGTTTGCGGTGGATTTAAGCTAGAGGTCCGATTTAGCCGGATGGCGGTTAGTACGTAGCATTATGGCAGTTGTCTTGTGAGTTTGTACGGAGTATTTCGGCATGTCTCGAGTAATCACTCGACAAGTAAAGAGATACGGCGTGTCGAACTGTTGATTGAGAGTATGTATGTAGTTGGTCGGTCGTAGAAAGGAGAAGATATAAATCCCTGCCAGGGCGAGCGATAGAAAGAATATACATAGTAATAGACAAAAGCAGAGCGACGTCACATCACGTGACAGTGGGTAACCAACCATAGCCTCCCGGCGGACCCCGTGACGGCGATTGGCCGGCGAAAAGTTTTCGGGTTGTTTGGCCCTGGTTGAAGTTGCTGTCCTTCCAGCCATCCCTTTGAAAATCTTCTTCTTTCCTCAGTCTCCATCCTTGGTGTTGCTGCTTATCTTCCATCCAATCCACTCCCCTCTTGTTTTTTTTTCTTGTCTCTTGTACATTTCACACAGTCGCAATGGCTTCTTCTGCTCCCGTCCAGGCTGTCAAGAGCGCCGTCGAGCCCGAGAAGCTCAGCGGTGTCGGCCTCTACTCTCGATTCGCCTTTGCCGGTGCTGTCTGCTGCTCCGTCACCCACGGTGCTTTGACTCCTGTCGATGTGTAAGTCCTGCCGCGAGCGCGAGCGATTACGTTGAAAATGCGTCTTTCAGCAAGGCTGGAGATTGTTTTTCCGCGTATCCGGCGCGCATCGCGAAGCAACTATTCAMCCTGCCGTAAGACAGCGCTAACATTATCCGCATCCAGCGTCAAGACCCGTATTCAGCTTGACCCCGTCACCTACAACCGCGGTCTCTTCGGTGGTATCCGTCAAGTCGTTGCCAACGAGGGTGCCGGCGCCCTCTTGACTGGATTCGGTCCCACCGCCGCTGGTTACTTCCTCCAGGGTGCCTTCAAGTTTGGAGGTTACGAATTCTTCAAGCAGCAGTGGATCAACCAGCTTGGTCTCGAGACTGCCTCCAACAACCGCACTGCCATCTACCTCGCCTCCTCTGCCACCGCCGAGTTCTTTGCTGATATTGCTCTCTGCCCTCTTGAGGCCACCCGTATTCGTCTCGTCTCTGACCCCAAGTTCGCCAGCGGTCTTCTTGATGGTTTCGCCAAGATCTTGAAGAACGAAGGTGTCGGTGCTTTCTACTCTGGATTCGGACCTATCCTCTTCAAGCAGTACGTCGACATTACCCTTTTTGGATGTTTGTTCTGACCTTTCTAGGGTTCCCTACACCATGGCCAAGTTCGTCGTCTACGAAAAGGTCGCCGAGGCCATCTACGGCGTCGTCGACAAGAACACCCTCTCCGACGGTGGTAAGACTGCTGTCAACCTTGGATCTGGTCTCATTGCTGGTTTCGCTGCCGCCCTTGTTTCCCAGCCCGCCGACACTATGCTTTCCAAGATCAACAAGACCAAGGGTCTCCCTGGTGAGGGAACCATGACCCGTCTCTTCAAGATTGGAAAAGAGCTCGGTCTCCGTGGTTCTTACTCTGGTATTGGTGCTCGTTTGTTCATGGTTGGTACATTGACCGCCGGTCAATTCGCCATCTACGGAGGTACGTCTTCGGTTTCCATTAGCTCAATTTTTGACAGTACTGACATGATCACCTACAGACATTAAGCGTTTGATCGGTGCCACCGGTGGTGTTGAGATTGCCCCCAAATAAGCGACCAAACCATGCAGGGTGCAAGAAGCGAACATGACACGAAAGGAAATGGATCGCTCATTATAAAAGACAGMTACGTTTTCTAGACAATGGGTCTAGACCAACGTAGCGCACAATATTTTCGAATCATTTTCCATGTTTCATCAGATACCCATAGATGGGTAGATGGACTTGTAAAACGAGTTTACCCATATTTTTTTTTATCTTCTTGATTTGCTGTCTTTTTTCCTTTGTCACGTTTATCTGTAGATCATGATGCACTCCATAGTTAATAGAGCATTCCATTTTGTACCACCAAATTTGAGCAAGTGTTTGTCCATGGATCTAAATGAAAGGTAATCCGGGGTCGGGGACCTTTAAAAGTTGCCGAGGCAATCCACGTTTATCCGTTTGTTGGGTACTTCTCCCATGGTCATCTTCTCAATAACCCAACTTTATACATAAATCTGATAATTCTCCAGAAGCTATAAACATACGATGTCAGAACCACCAGCCTACATCTCCATCTCAACCCGCAAATGGGAGCAAGTCAGCAACCTGATCCCGGCCGAATGGCGTCTAGACGGTAAATATGTTCCCCGCGCAATGCGCGTGTCGCCGCTGGAATCGGTACATCAACTTGACACATTTGAGCATGAGTATGAGACGAATCTATTAGACGTTCCGCGGGAATGTGGCATATTGAGTGCAAAGGAAGTAAATATAACGGAGGGATATGATGTCAAGGGACTGCTGAGAGAGATTGCGGAGAAGGGGTTCAGTGCGGAGGAGGTTGCATTGGCGTTTTGCAAGGTCCGTCATCTACCTCCAGGGCTTCCTTCGTACTCCTATACTGAATTTTCAATTTGAACATGGTGTTGACATCAATGTAGAGAGCAGCTATCGCGCAGCAATTGACCCGCTGCCTAACAGAGCCCTTATTCACATCCGCCCTCCAACAAGCCCGCAACCTAGACACCCATCTTGCGCGCACAGGTCAGCCCATCGGTCCTCTGCACGGACTCCCCATCTCCATCAAGGACAGCTTCAACATCGCCGGCGTTGACTCATCCCTCGGCGTCGCGGCACTATGCTCCAAGCCCGCTTCTGGTAGCGATGCCTCCCTCGTGCAACTTCTGCGCTCTTTGGGGGCAGTCATAATCGCCAAAACGAACATTCCGCAGACGCTGGGATTGCTGGATAGCGTAAACCATGTCTTTGGGCGCACGCTGAACCCATTGAACCAAAGACTCACGCCCGGCGGGAGTTCGGGCGGTGAAGGTGTCCTCGTCGCTATGCGCGGGTCAATGATAGGGTTTGGCACGGATGTGGGTGGGAGTATACGTATTCCGGCAATGTGTAACTATATCTATGGCTTGAAGCCAAGTGTAGGGCGAGTGTCGTATGAAGGTCAGACGGGGTTTGGGCTCAACGGAACTAGGGCTGTGGCACTCAAAGCTGTGGCGGGGCCGATTGCGAGGKCAGTAGCTGATATTGACTATGTAATGAGGGAGATTGTGCCAAGGGGGGAGCGGATTGCGAATGATTGTATTCCTGGCACTTGGCCGGCTGCTTCTACGCAGTTTTTGGGGAAGAGGGGGAAGTTGAGAGTTGGTATATTGCGCAATGACGGGCTCGTTACGCCTCTACCGCCAATTTCCAAGCTGTTGGAAGAAGTGTCTCGAATCCTTGCGGGCAGCAAAATCGCTGATATTGAGGTAATCGATATCCCCACTCCGCCAATTATGAAGCAATGCTTCGCGAACGCAGGCAGATTAATGAGCGTCGACGGCGGTGTGCCCATGCTCGACCTCATCTCATCAACGGATGAGCCACTCGTGCCATCACTCAAACATACAAAGCGTCGAAAACCGTACACAGTCGAGAAACTATGTGCACTCAATGCAGAACGCGAAGATATCGAGATTGCTATGCGGAAGGCGTTGTGGTCGTCAGGAAATGTCGATGCAATAATATTGCCTGTAGCAGCCCATCCAGTGCCCAGACATGATCAGTACGGATGTGTCTCGTACACGAGCGCCTTTAATTTGCTTGATTATCCCGCCGGTATTATACCAGTGCGGAAAATGACCCAGGCAGATCTCGAGCTTGAGATTGGTGGTGAAAAGGTTCTGTCGAGGTGGGATGCGGATAATAAGAAGCTTTGTACGTTTCCAACCTCCTTAGAAAATGAATGATGTATACTGATTGATACGGGGCAAGGGGATAGATCGGTATATCTGGATTCGCCGCTGAGCGTGCAGGTCATTACGCCAAAGCTGCATGACTATGAGCTTTGTCAGGCTATGGGGATTATTGATGAAACCTTGAAAGATTATTATGCTCGAAATCGGGCTGAGAGGGCTATGCTTTGAGGTTGGCTAGTGTGAATTTATGGACATGTCTTGTCAAGCTCTTGTCGGAAGAGCCTCCTCGATATGGCTAGACCTACTTGCGGAGGTTGTGTAACCTGAATGACCCTTGTATCTAGCTCCTGAATACAAAGGTCCGTATTCTGTAAGGATAGAAAATCTTGGTACTCGCTATCGCCGGTGAACCGGTCAGTATGAGGGCAGACAGCCATTTGCGTCGTGGCAACGCGTCATGATTAAATGTAAAACTCTCTTTTTATATGCTTTACAATATCCAGACCATGTATCCCGTCTTCCGTTGCATTGGTTGTAGATCACCCCGTATGTATATATATGCATGAAATGAAGATCTAGGCAGGGGTTACATCACTGCTTATCAAACTCCAGCCCAATCTCATTGAGCAGATCCTCATAATCCACACCATACGTATCACCATCACGACCAACAATTTCACTCACCCAGGGCCCTCTCGGCACAAACCTTGCCTTGAACGGCAAAGCCCTCATTACAAGCCCATAGGTACACGCAATCGGATCAACATCAACCGACTCACCAGTCTCATCCGACAAACCAGCCTTGATATCAAACGCCCATAACAACTGCGCAACCACGATCCAGATACCATTACGCGCAAAATATCGTCCAGGACAAGTCCGTCTTCCGTATCCGAACGCCGCGGCGGGTAAGGCCTTGAACGTAGTACCATCAGCTTCAAGCCAGCGATCAGGCACGAACTCGTCCGGATCATGAGGGCCAAAAAGGGATTCTTCACGGGATATTGTCCACACATTTGGCACAATTACGGATTCCTTGGGGATTCTGTAGCCTTTGTAGATTGTTTCCTCCTTGTTCAGATGAGGAACGCCCTCGGGACCAGCGGGTCGCCAACGGAAGATTTCCTCGACAATGGCAGTGATGTATGGTAGGTTGGGCTTGTCGTCTGGGCCTGGAAGACGATCACGGCCAACGACAGCGTCTAGCTGCTTGCGCGCTTTTGTGATGAAGTTTTGATCTTGAGTAATGCATGCAACGACGAACCAGATTAGGCTATCCGTCGTACCGTCCAATGCAGCATCGATCATGGTCCCAAGCTCAAACGCGAGTTCGTGCAGAGGCATATCAAGCGCATCATCTTTCTCAACGACCTTTTTCAGATGTTTCGATATGTTCCAAGCATCCGACTCGAGGCCTTCTTTGAAGTTCTTGTCGCGCAGCTCGTATTTGGTCTTGTAGTGATTCTCAGCCTTCACTTTCCATGGCGCTAGGAAGCCAGGCAGATGGTTCAATACTGGGAACTGATCCACAATATGCGCACCCACTTGGATGAAATCAGAAAACTCATCGTTAAGCCTTACGATGGCGCGGAGAACAGGGTCGTTGAGTTCTCTGATGCGGAAGCCATATAGTAAGGAATGGATTGTACTAGCCACTGCACGCAAGAAGATTCCTCGGACATCAGCGCCGGAGCCGCCTGCCTGCGTCAGAAGGTCGTGCATCAATTGCCGCGATTCCAAAGCCTGAAAAGGAAAATAGGCTGCCGCCGGAGTGGCATTCAAGACGGAAACTTGGAGTCTCTGATGTTGCTGGAATTGCTTGGTGTAGTTCATCATGAGGACGTTGAGTCCTTTCAACGCTAGTTCTGTCGCCAACTACAATCACCATTAGCTTTTCATGATACCGGAAAGCACGAGGCAGACATACGAAAAGCCGCGGTCGATCCGAGAATATTGCTCCACGCTTCGCTAGGAGTTCATGCGCTACTTCAGATGTAGATACAATAATGACCGACTGTCCCATCATGTTGACATGAACAATGGATCCGTACTTCTTGCTCCATTCACGATATGTCTTCCATGCATGAGACTTGGGCGCTTGGTGGACATTGCCGATCAAGGGTAGTGGTTTGGGACCGGGTGGTAGAGGTAGAGATGGAGTTCGTGTACGCTGTCTGAGTATATACACGGCGATTAGTAGCCCGATAAAGGCTGCGTATATCGCTGGTTGCATGGTGGCCGGTGGATCGGAAGAGCAGTGCAAACAACTACGTGTAGTTAAAGAACATGCCAACTCTACCCAGGTACCTAGTGTCCTTGTACGTGGGAGTTGTGAATGACCTCATAAAACAGCGATCTTCAGCTGAGGCTGAGCTAATCCTGCATAGCCAACCAACACCAACGCCAACAATACAATCAAGGGCACTTCATTCGTCTGTCGATTCTAATGTTGTGGAGACGAAAGGGGACTCTTGCTGAGCCGTCAGGTGCTCGGCAACTTAGATATGAAATTTTTGGATATTTTCTTTACCAATGTATCTAGAAAGTCAGGATATAACTTTGCAATCCTCCTCGGGGCTTGTTTTACCCAAAAATTCAATCTTGAGGCGTTGTGTGACAGCTCCTTGAGTCCTAAAGGCCTGTATGACCACCCCGGAACCTTAAAATAATTTCTCTCCGCGATATAGGTCAGCGGTCGGCGTCCAGATTCACGTTCCGATTCAAGAAAACGATGCGAACATTTTGTGCTCGTTACCACCGCATTCCTGGACAAATTCATTCCTGAAAAATACCATCGTCAGATTCTGCCATGTTCTGCGGGGTGATCTGGATCAATCATTCCACCATCCTACTCTAAGTCATATCGTCTATTTAAATTCTGATACAGATGCACAAGAGTCCGAATCAAAAAGCATCTTCGTTAAACATTAAAAGTATTTTTTAGTAAAACCCTTTTTACAAGCCATCCACCTTTCGACATGAGATTCGTGGGTAGAGAATTTAGGTAACAAGATTGTTGTTTGAGTCGTGTGGTAACATTGCTGGTAAGTTGTTCATGATGGTTCACGATGGTTCACGATCGATAAGAACAACTGTGCAAAAATCGCTTTCATGACGGCTGTGTATGTCAGTGGTAGACTGTTACCCTCCTATATGTGGTTCAGGTAAAGGTCCTGGGTTCGACCCCCAGCATGGTCGTAATTTTTTTGGAACCCCTTCCAAAGGCTTCCCGGTAGCTGAACCGCTGAACGTAAGGTGTTTCCACCTGTTGATTTTGGACTTTTTTAACCACAACGTGCAAAGCCTCTACACACAAGTAAAGATGTTAGTGTATTGCCAACACAATATGTGGTATATTTTAGGTTGTCTGAACTGACCCGTGGACGGTAGATGGCGTGCATCCTGCTCAAGATGAGAAAGAAAGAGCGAAAAATCCAAGGCTAGGCCCAACCCTAACACTAAGTTGCGACCAGAGACGAGGTTGTATTCTTCATCATCTTCATTGTCTTCGTCATCTTCGTCGTCCAGCATGTCACCAGTTCCTTCGACGCCTTCTTCGATTTGCTGACGATTTTCAGGTTGAATTCGAGATAATGGCACTTGATCAGGTTCAGTGTTTGCCTCTAGTTGTTCTCGAGTCGGTATGTCCAACTATATGTTATGGCTTTGAGGACACCCTTGAGCCGGTTCCAAAGAGGTCTGTCTAAGCTCCGTTTCGAGTGCCTTCGCACCTGGGGGTTCTGTGAATTGTCGAGATTCCAGCAAATGAGTGGCAAGTAACCACATACTGACGAGGAATTCGTGATCATGAGCAGAGTGGTTCTTGTCACGACTACCACGATGAAACCGCCGTATTGATCAAACCAGGCATGAAATATTTCCTGAAGACATTTTCCTTTCGACAATGCTTGCTGGTCGGGACTGAAGTGTGATATAATCAGTACAGATTTCCATCCGTTGTAATTGACGGCGGAGGTACTTGAGCTCTGTCGTTGTGTATGTGAGAAGCTTTGCGAAGGACTTGAGTCTAGGACGTAGTTTTTTAGTCGATGTCGAAGCTTTGAAAAATGCAATGGTGTCTTGTACCACGCATTTGCGTTCCGTGACAAACTCGTCTGCTACAGGCAGACCACAGACTTTCAGCATATCTGGCGAACACGATTCATTCAAGCGCGCAATATCCGTATATGGAAACTGTGAAAGGTGCTCAGGGCAATATGATCTTATTGGGTAGCGGTCAACGAGAAAAGTAAGCATGGAGGGGAAAATACGGAACTAGGTGTCAAGGTGGGCGTTGAGCTTTATATAAAGAGTCCAAACACGTGAGTTGTACAACCATGCTCCGGATATCCCCTTCCCATACTGTCTGGTACAACTAGATACAAAGATTCTTCAGGTATGACTCGTAAACAAAGGAGTTGACGGGAGACATCCAACACAAACCCTAATACGCCATGACCCGGTAACGGCTGTCACAGAGACGCCATTTCAGTAACCTTTTGATTGATGCAGGAGAGGGGAAATAAAGCTGTTGTATGGTGTGGATCTAGGATAAGGCAGGACCAGTTCATATTGAAGGGAATTCTCTTCCTCTCCTCCAGCACCGCTGTCCCAATGTAGTAAGCACCACATGGGGGTATATATCCTATCGCTACCTAGGTATGTGTTGCTTAGCGAGGAATTTCTCCTTCCCCACAAAAATTATCTGGGTTAATCCCAGCATTGTCATTTGCTACTTTTTGGTACTGTCCTCTGTTAGCTATATCTATATATACATACCTAGGTAATGGAGAAAGAGAAGATGAAAACACCTCAAATGCTATGTTATAGGCTGGAACACTAATAGACAACATGCAAACAATTTCAATTATTGCCAGCCTTAGAACATTTTACGCCAAAATTCCTGTCACCAACGCCTCCAAACCATCTAATGGGTGGACCTCAAGACGCTCTTTGGATTCTATCTCGTGAGACTTCTCAGAGCGTTTACTCTTGCAAGAACACCCCCGACTCTTTAACAGAAACATCCATAGATGTATTATAATTTACTGAGCTTTAGCAACTCTTTATTGGTAGACTAAGTATCACCACCATTATCTAACTAGAATAGATTGATAAATTCTTTACGCCTAGCTGAGATAGTAATACTATCGTCTCTTTCAGCTAATATTTATTCCTTTGTTTTTTATTTCTCCTTCTTCTCTCCTTTGTTTTATATTTGTGCCTTGGGGTAGGGTTATGCTGACAGATGTTGCACGTACAGCAATAGTACTCGACGTCCGACATCATCCCTCGCCCATGATAATTTCCAACCTACAGCATCCTCATCTCTCCGGTATTTTCAATATACCTGGTACTCTCAAGAATCTTGTATCGGCCATGCAAGTGAAGACGTCTGGTCAAGAAAGGGTCGGCGCAAGTTTGCGCGGGAGCAACTCGATGGCAAGATATTAAGCCATTTCTTTGTCACTGAGCTCAACCGGCAGGTAGCTCAGATGATTACTTTGCAGGAATGTAATGATCTAGAACTTTCCAGCCTGAACCTATTTTCCTAATTAGTTGACCGTACATAGCAGAACAGGCTCTGCCTTGCGAACAATCATCACACAAGGACAATTCCGAGACAAGCGAGATTAGTGTGGATGTTGTTGAAACTGATATATGAGCGAATACGGAACGTTCGCACCGATACATACCAATACCAGAAAAACCCCCTAAGCCTAGCGCTCAACATCTACCCCAGCCTAGATAGAATTGCTTGCAATTATTTGTCCTTCATATATCGCCTCTACTTAGACATTTTAAAAGTGATTTAATGAAGAGCTAATTCGTGACGGGAAAAAAGGAGAATACAGGCTTGCTTTAGCTAATAAGTCAAGTCATGCCCCGTCATTCATGGATCTTACCCACAATCTGTTCAATTATACTTGTGACCGTCTTTCTGTAGTATGGATTCTGTTCACATTTCAGGAAGGGCACTGGACTCTTCCCGGCCGAGATATGAGTTAGACCTTGAGTTGAGCGCGCTCTACATATATCATATTGAATCTATGGATCAAAAATTCGGCGCAAATTTGGCTAATTTAGTATGGTTTTCAACCAGCCCTCCAACCACCAAAGTATCATATACAGTAGACAGTCAAGAATCCACCGCATTATGCAAGGCAACCTTGACACCATTTTGGCTGGCAGTTACAAGTTTGTACAAAGGCACAAACTCTGCCACCGGGTCGCGATTGTCAATTTTATCAAAAGTCTGCACTATCCTAGCTACCGTAAACGCGACTCGGTTCATCGCCAAATTCTGGCCGGGGCAGACATGTGCGCCTCCTCCGAAGGGAATGAATTTCCACGTAAGAGTGGAGAGCTTGAGTTCTTCCCATCTTTCCGGCCGCCATATATCTGCATCGGAGCCGTATATATCCTTGCGATGGTGAAGATTGTAAAAACTACTGGCGACAACGGTGCCCTTGGGGACGAATAATGGGGAAAGTCCGTCTGATCCCCCTCCCAAGGGAAGGGTTGTGTCCTTGACAGCAATGCGTGTCATATTACTTACTGGTGGAGTTACGCGAAGAGTCTCGTTAATAATATGATGAATGTAGTCCAGCCGTCTCAAATTGACGGTAGTGATCTTTGAAAGGCTAAGCAGTTGTTTGCGAAGTTTCTGCCACACGTGAGGGTTCCGAGCAAGGTGGAAAAATATATTAGATAAGAGAATAGCAATAGTATCATGTCCTGTTGAGGTGTCAGCGAATTGACTGGAGACATTTTCTTGGCCTCTTGTAAATAGGAAGGAATTTTACCCACCAGGAAGAAATACATTCATCAAAGTGTCTTGAATCTCTGTCTTGTCTGAAGTCTCCTGGACAACATTATCGACAAGGATATAACTCTTAGCAGTTTGTTCCTTGGGTTTCTGACGCCGAGCCACGGCCTTTTCCACCGATTCTGCGACAAATTGACGAATAGTACTGCAAGCCCCCCAGAACTTCTCATCTCGATGCAGAAAGTTGAATGGTAGCATTCGAAATCGCGCCCCCATGCCCTGCTGTGCCACATCAAAGGCAGCAGGAAACTTGTGCGGGGAAGTCAATGAATCATCCTCATGCAAAGACTGCACAGACTCCCCAAAGATGAATTCAGTCGACGAGTCAAGATCCAATCGCTCAAAAAGAGGCTGCAGGTCAACAGTGGACCCATCGGTCGGCAATAGCTTTATCAGGTTTTGTACATGCAAGTCATACGCCTCCTCATTCTCGATATGTGTCTTTGAGAAGGTTGGACGGATCAGAGCCCGGGCTCGTTCATGTCTAGCGCCATCCAGAGTCATGACCCCATCCCCAACAAGGGGCGAAAACGCAAAATGGCGCAAGGGTCGATTGCCGAAGCTGTCGGCGTCCAAGGAGAATACTGCCTGCATGTTTTGAGGTTCCATGGTGCGAATGACTGGCTTGATGGCCATCTGTGTCCGAAAAGTGGAACCAAGGACCTCGAATTGTTTCTCCAGGGGGAGTTTCTCAAGGCCGCTACTCGATCGCTTAAGGAACAGAAATTGTAAGTCAAGACCGAAGAAAAGCTTATTCCCCGTCAGGGAGGGTGCTTCTTTGCATCCATGTTTTCTGATGAACCGGGATTGTGTGATGCGGCGCCGTAATGTGAGAATAGCAACTCCCAGCAGGAGAAGATACAAAATCTGTGAAAGAAACGCCATGTCACCTTAGGAATTTGGTTATCCTTGTCAAAAAGACAGAATGGCGAGCCATGTAGAGAAAGAGAAGCGTAGACCGATTTAAATCGGGGCGCGTAACACAGGGGCTAGGCCGGAAGAGGAAGGCATGATGCAGAACGAAGACCATGACCGATTCTGCTTAGCGCACTGCTAAGTAGGCCACAGCGAGCATGACTTAGGGCTAGGGGATATCAGTCAATATGACTTTTGCATGTAAATAGAATTAATAGTAAGAAATACAGACTAACCTAACTAGACAGTATAGGAACTCTATTCAGGCTCGGTAGTTTCAAAAAAAAAAAAAAACACCTCGAGCGGTATTTGGTAATGTGCTCATTGCACTTCTCATTCAGGCATTACGATAGAGCATAGTAGCTGTACGACCAGATTAAGACATGCACGAAGTAGCGTTCTAGAAGGTAAAGGGTTTTACATAACAGCCTGACCGGGGAGTGGAATGGGTGATCGCAGGACTCGGGCCGGCTGATCTGTACGACGACGATCACAGCTGAAACCTGCAATATCCCAGAAAGAGTACTATAAAGGAGATGACACGCATAGGGTAGACGCAGCAGGTTAACATGACTGTCAGAATCTATTCCAGCCGTCATGTCTTCCTACGCCGTTTTACCAGCTGCTGCCAAGGATGAGGAAGAACTTTACAAAAAAATGGCGTCGACAAATTCTACAACAAGTCCTTCTCGCGGCTATTTTCTTGTGTTTTTCTTGTCTATAATTACTTCGCTTGTCTTTGGTGTTGATATGGGCTGGCAATTGAGTGCTCATTACGCTGCCAAGGAGCAGATACTATCTCGATCTTCGGGCCTTCTGTCAGGTAGCATGAATACCCGCCTTCCATATCTGGAATTTCACCCCTTGCTTGTAAACTGACACATCATTGCAGATCTCGGTGGAGTCAAGACGGTTTTTAAATATGACCGGATATATGCCGAAATGCCAACCAATGAATCCGATGCCGCATGGAAAGAGATCTTCCCTGCACGAGGTGGATTCTTTAAACACCCCCAGCTGGCACCCGGTGGCTCGGGGCTGGCTGTTTTTCATCAATTACATTGCTTGGTAAGCATCCAACTGTCATTCTTCAACTTCGGGATGTTCATCAACGTTCACCAAACTAGGACAATATTCGAAGAGGATACTGGTCCCTTACAGACGACGGGCGTCACGTTCATCACATCAGCCCCGCTCATATCCGGCACTGCATTGATTATCTGCGACAGTCACTCATGTGTCATGCAGACACGAATGTCGAGACCCTTGACGAAATGCTTCATGGTGTTCATGGTTTTGGTGTTGAGCACAAATGCCGCGATTTTGAAGGTGTGCGTAAGTGGATTTCTAAGTGGGAAGATGGAATCGTACAGCAAATCAGTAAATAAAATCGAAAAAATCTTGTTTTGAACCATCTAATCCCCTAGTCATTGAGTAGAGGGTTTTTCAGTCGTCTCATCTCTTCATGAGATACTACCCGCTGTGCAATTGATTCCTTGAAATAATCTAGGTCTACACATGTTCGTGCCAGATGGTAATTAGAAGTAACAACGGGCTTGATACGCTCTGTCTCCCATTCAAAAAACTTGGGAGTAGTATCACTGCGACACATGACATTCTGCACCATATCGTTCAAACAGTGATCTTAATAGATTTGAACTACATCAGCTATGGATCTGTACTCATATCCACTGGATATAGACTCAGACATACCAATATGAGGTTTGATATATTTCTGCCACTCTGATTCAGGTAGACCTGCATAGTAGTGATTGCGATTGATTGCTTTCCGGATGTAATCCTGACTGAATATGAGAATTTTAATGTAAACCGAGCTTGTTCTAACAACATTCTTTACTTACAACACAATGTATCTGATGCGAGACTTCGAGCCAGACCAACTTCCCGCGACTATCTTGCAAGTTAATCGATGAGGAATTGAAAATTGATAGTTCTGCTTCACTAAGACGAAGGCTTGCGTCGTCAATAAGTCTGTCCCAAGCGGCATCTGTTGGTGGACCAGGGGCTCCAAAAAGAGGACTCGTTTCAGCAGGTGTAAATTTGATCTGCTTGTATCGAATAGCTTCTTTGAGAAACACTGCGTAGATGAGTTATAGGTAGATGGTTCAGAGTATGCAGCTAGTCAACGTACTAAGTGAGGTTCCAAGCCCTGTAGAATAGGCTTGTATCTGCCAAAGCAAGATGACAGCTAAAATCAAGTTGACGGTTATCGCCAAAGCATGATACATGTACAAATTGCAGCTCCACAATCTTTGTAAATCTCCTGATAATTCAGATCGTGGACGCAATGAAGACTGTGATTCTTCTTCCGAAATCTTGCCTGAAGGTGACAGAAATGGCTCCGTATCGAACGGTTTCTGCTTCTTCGAAGATTTCCAGGTCGGCATCATTTTGAGATACTTCTCTCAGTGATTGAAAGTGCTGGACGCCGGAGAGAAAAACTTGACAACATTTACTGAATTGTAACCCTGGTAATTAGCGTCTGCTCATTCTAACAAATTTGATGGTGGATTGATGAATCAAGCGAACCCTCCAAACGCGCACATTGTGTTTTCAGCCACTTCCACATTTGGTTTCTCTCATGCCAATCAGTTCCCATCGTCTAGAATCTGATGAAAATGTGTTTATTAATGGTTCTTCGCTAACGCCAAATGCCGTGCAGCCAACGATGCATTTAGGATGTTAGTCTTAGCGCTAGGATGATATGTAAGTGAACCTGACTGATGAGACCCAACTCCGGCTCTCATTCCGGAACATGCAGTGTGGTTGCAGCGTCACCTGAGCCGATCAGATAGCAAGGAGCTAGGATAGTGAGCGGAGACTATGTATGGGCATATTAGGTGCTGCCTGCATGTCACGGATGAAACAAACTACTCGAAGGCCTCGGGAGCCGTTACAAAACCAATAAAACACTCGAATCCATATCAAATTATAGACAATGCACTAGCCCGGGGCGCTCTGTCGCATTGATAGGCGCCAGTTCCATGCATTAAGGGTCTTAGCCAAGTGGTCCGAGGTGGCACATACAGAATTTCGAGAGCTCGAAGGAAAATGTAGATTAAAAAATCTTGTGGAATATACCAATCACGATCTGAGATTATTTGCCTCCAGGCCCCCCGTCGACGTAGTGGTCTGCATTTCGAGCAACATAGTATTTCTGATTTGCATATAATCTACATTCTTAGGTATGCGCCGAGTATCTCAAAACATGTCGAGTTGTATGAGTCAATCTTCTGGAAGTTGAGTATCGATGTGTTGCCATTGTTTTCGTCATTTCAATTTCAAAAATGGTATTGAATACATCCCGGTCGGTATATAAGTACCTACGTAGAACACAATGACCTTGTCAACATGCGTTACTAAGGATCACACAGAGCAGTCAATCGTAAAGCGACTTAGCGAACCACTTTGCGGAAATTTCGATTTAATCGGTTATCATCGAATTCAATATGAGATCCGCAACATTGATCCTTGGTCTCTTTTTCGCGGCAATCAGTGCTGCGATACCAATGCCTCGAGCAGCTGCCGTAGCAGGTTAGTCTAAAAATCCGCTTATACCACTTCCTCTTTTCCTATAAGATACAAGATAGCATCTGACATACACTCGCTCTCTTGTGTGAACAGAGTCCAAACTCGTTCGCCATGGCACGACCAGTGCACGAGGTGAAGAAGCTACAGCGGATGAAGACGTTACCTGGAACGTTGACCTCTACCAACCGGGAACAGGTATGTGTCACCCTCGAATTATAAAAATTGGTCTTTAGACTGACAATGATGGATCTGGCGGCCCAGGAGAGCGAAGATCGATCGTTGATGCTAGGGGTGAAGAGGAGACTGCAGACGAAGATGTCACGTGGAACGTTAACGACTATACAGGTGGCTCAGGTATGTAGAATTGCGAATAGGGCTAAGATCGCTCAATCTGAGACACTCATTCTTGGCCCCATAGGAAGTCGTTCTGTTCTTGATGCTAGGAGTGAAGAGAAAACTGCAGGTGAGGATGTCACATGGAGCGCCAATGTCTAGAAGAGAGTTCGTGTAAGTGTTCTGCCCTCTGCAATGGGAAGGATCTTCAATGCTAACCGTTGCAAGTTACACAAAAGAGACTTCGACACTTAATTTTCACACCGACAGTCTCGCTAAATGGTGCAATTGATGATGCATACTGCAGCTGGATGTCAGCGAAGTTTCCAGCGAAAACTAAGGGACGGACTTTTATTCTAAGATCCATATCTATGGATAATGATATCGTAAACTGTATGTACAAGGGAGGGCTAGGAAATTTCTATGTTCGCGGCAAACTTTGGTCTGTGTAACCTGTAACCAAAACAGTCCATGCTGTATAATCCTGATTCTAGGCTAGTAGATTGACTGCGGTGTAACAAGGAGTGTGCATGAACCCGTCGAATCTTTGATAGCCAAGAGATAACTGCATTATACTATGTTGCAAAATGAATACCTGAAGTCCTCCAATAAACTAATGTCTAATTCTTAGCCCTCAGCGAATGAAGCTCCAGTCCGATTTGAGATTGTCCTTACTCCCTCACTTCCCTGGAATGCTACTTCGATCCGGACCTGCAAGTCCACCAATCTTACCGTGATTCGCTTGCTAACATAACAATCCGGGGTTGATTGTCTTTGTGGGAGTCCCCTCGCAGACGATTTCTAGAAGCGATGAAAATTGGGCCAAGTTTTACATTCCTCCGATCATGAGGGCTGGCCTCGGCGTTCCCCAAACATTTGATAGAAGACCGTCAAGAATAATGCTCATCTATGGATCGAACATATCTCATCAGACAACGAAATACTGCCATTTACTTTGCTACTAATGAAAAAAGATGTATTCATCACGCTCAGCCACTGTAATTGTCGTCAGTGTGGTCCTGCCTGTGTTAGCCATAATTGCAACAAGCCTTCGCTTTATTGCACAGCGTCACATTTCTGTTTTGAGGACAGCCGACGATATCCTAGTGGCTTTGAATTGCGTGAGTCAGAAATTCGCCTCTTAGACCGGGAAACAGGATACTAAATCGAGCTTCTGTATCAGATGATTCTCGTAGGGTCCGGATGTCTGACCATAGTTGGAGCGACAATTGGGGGCATTGGTGCAAATTTGGCTGGAGTTGATGCCGATACCATAGTACGATTCAGGAAGGTCTGGCACTGATCTTCTTTTAATATGCTTACCAACTGCCGATTTGACTCTTGGATGGGACAGATCGCATTCGCGTCCGAATTCTTCTACATTTTCACAGTTGGCATCGTGAAACTGTCGCTTCTGCTCTACTATCGCCGCATTTTCGTACTCAGTCTAGTTTCACCTGGGTTTCGACGAATGAACGATATTCTGATAGGGGTAGTTGGCCTCTGGATGCTCGCCTTCTTCATCACAACTATTTTCCAGGCACGCCCAATATCGTGGAATTGGACAGAGATCGGGTCGGTCAGCAATCTGCATGACTTCTTCATCTCTGAAGCTATCACAAACATTGCTCTCGACCTAATTGTGCTTTGTATGCCGATGCTGATTGTGTATCGAATGCACATGTCTCTGCGTCAGAAAATTCTTGTGGTTGGTATTTTTGGTCTGGGATTCTTGTAAGTTTCTTATTGACTATTGTGGTATATCCTCAAGTTCTCGATCTTTACTCAAACCAACTCAAGCTGCGTAATCGCCTCTGCCATTCGGCTTTACTATGTTACAAAGTTTTTCGCCGTCTCAATACAGGCCCATCCTAAACAATTCGAAGGTATGTCTTTCATCATATAGAATGGTACCAGACATGAGAGCTGAGAGAAGAATAGAAACCGTGGCCAACCTTGATTTATGGTCACTCATTGAACCATGCTCATCGACCGTTTGTATTTGCCTACCATGTATGGGTCCATTGTTCCGCGGCGGTCACAGTCCATCGTCAATAGTCAACAGTTTTCGAGCCATCTTCTCCCTACGAAGTGACTCGAGTTCGCAAGACCAAGTTAATGGGAATCGGCCGCCTAATGTGCAGGACAGTGTCAAATTGAACACTTTACAGGCAGCTGAACAGCTTAGTCGGAATGATAGTCACTCACAAGACGATGCCTACCACCCGAAAGCGGATCAGATGTTGGATTACGAGGAACGAGGTGTGTCGCTTGTCTCAAATAGATGAACAGATTTCACCGGCCCTATTTGGCATTGTTGTCACGCAGCTGTTTTGATGTGTTCATGCCATATTCCATTTTTAGTCTTCTTTATTTGACTCGCATTGAATCGAAGTTTCATTCGCACATCTACAGGGATTTCTATCTTGTCACTCGACAATACTAGTGGTAACCGTTTGGGATCTACAGACCGGCCATGAATAAGTAACTTCAGGGTTACGAAACCACACGGGTATTACCCGGACATCCTCCCCGGACTCTATTATCCTCCGGATATTCACCCCTCTTGACCCTATCCCTGAGTTGCGGGGGATCATCCTAGATAATACCCCGCAGAAACTGTGAGTTGTTTAGAGGAAATCGAAGGAGAAAAACTCAGCAATATAGAACCCGCACAACAGCTCATGACCAACAATTTCTCTGTCAGAAAAGGGTATCAAGACATCCAACTGACCACCACCATGCTGTACCTATACCTTATCATATTTTGCGTCGGAGCAACCGCGCTGTGGAAAAGTAAACAGAATCTCAAGATAAAGCACGGCAAGCCCATACCCGGACCAAGAGGTCAGTATTTGCTGTTTTTAACTTGACCATTCAAAAAATCAATATGGTGATAGGGAAGCCGATTGTCGGCAATTTGCCGGATATACCAAAGATCCATTCGTGGCTGAAATTTAAAGAATGGAGCGATGAATATGGTCCCATTTTCCAGCTAAATATCGCCGGTCGGAAGCACGTTGTTGTGTCACAAGAGAAGATTGCCAACGATCTTCTAAGGGAGCGAGGATCTCTCTACTCGTCCCGAGAATACTTGCCTTTTGCGTCCGGTCTTCTTTCGAATAACCTTCGCCCCTTGTTGCTTCCCTATAATGGTTTGTATCCGTTGTTTCAGCTGATTTTACATTGTCAACTAATGTTGTTGATTATAGATCTATGGCGCCGTGGACGGAAGCTGATGCACCAACTCACAACGAGTACTGTTGTGAATAGCTACCAGCCAGTTCAGGACTACGAGTCGAAAAGGCTACTCGCTTCTTTGCTAGAAGCGCCCCGTGCCTACGAGCAATGGTTTGAGCGTTACGCCTCCGGAGTAGTTTATCGTCTAGGATTTGGCCGTTGGATTGAGACTGGAGAAGAGACCGATTTTAAACGCATTGTCTGTGTGGGAAAAGAACTCGAGAGAGTCGCTTCTCCCGGCCAGTATTTAGTAGATTCATTTCCCTTTCTGGTGTTTCTACCTTCATGTATCGCCCCCTTCAAACGTGAGGCTGCTCGTCTGCAGGCAGAAGAGCTGGGCCTGTTCAGAAAACTGCAACAGGACGTCCGCGATGGAATTCAAAGCGGAAACACTGCCAAGTCATTTACGAGAACTTTCCTCGAGAACCAAGGAGCTTTCCGGCTCACCAACGATGAAGCAGCTTATGTCATAGGGACCCTGTTTGAAGCCGGTACGGGCACAACCGCCGCAGCGATGATGTCCTTCTGCCTTGCCATGTGCCATCACCCAGAGTGGCAGACGAAAATACAAACCGAGCTTGATCGCGAAGTTGGTGACCGCATGCCTGAATTCTACGATATTCCCAAGCTGCCAACAGTCCGTGCGGTCATCAAGGAAGTAATGAGATGGAGGCCTGTGACGGCTGGCAATGTGCCCCACCAACTCATTCAAGACGATACATATGAAGGCTATCTCTTCCCAAAAGGCACTGTTTTCCATGCAAATCAATGGGCAATACACCGAGACCCCGAGCTCTATCCTGACCCTGAGAATTTCCATCCAGAGCGATGGCTTGACGCCAGCTTTCCAACCTATCGGGAACCATTGACCCAGTTCCCAAATATGCAAAACTATTCATGCTTCGGCTTTGGTCGTCGCATTTGTCCCGGGCAGAGTATCGCAGAGCGTTCATTGAATATTCTCACTGCTCGCATAGCTTGGGCAGCTACACTCAGTCGCAAGAAAGACGCACAAGGGAATCTGATGCCGCTACCTCTGTACGACTATTGTCCTGGCTTCAATGTCCAGCCTAATTTCTTTGAATTTGATGTCACCGCACGCTCACCTCAGCGAGCCGAGCAAATAGCCATGGCGTACGAGGAGGCGCGCTTGACAAGGGATCAGATTCTGACCTAGGGATCGTGTTTCAGTCTAGGTATTGAAGCTTCCTGGGTTTATTTCGATTGGTCCTGTTTGGAAGTCAATATAAAGGCTTTGCGCAATCATACGGAGCTTTTAGTATTGTAAAAATAATCTCATGATGATTGTAGATGTAATTGATAAAGTTGACCATTGTACGGTTGTTGAGACTCGAGAAGATGGAATGCACTTAGATAAGAGCTTATCTTATCTTATCGGGACCGAGGCATCGCTTCGGCTAGGAGTCCTGACTTAATCCTGGAGTCTTTCTACCCCAGCTTTGTTTCATCGCATTACACTTGTGCTTATAAATCTTCTCGAGATTTATATACTCCCTTAAGCTGCTACTCCTGTGACAAAAACTTCCAAACGTTCTATACCCACTTGATATTCTTTGTACGTCGCATCCTCTGCGAGGGCCCCGACATCTCCGCATTTTCCAGACTTGACTAATTAACTCGACTTGGCAGATTGCCTTTTGCTTCCCTATAGCTATATACAGCCCTAAAGCAAAACCTAGACGCAATGGCCAAAGAAGCTGAAGCCCAAGTCCAACTCCAGGACTTTCAAAACATCTTCTCCCTCGAAGGCAAAGTCGCGGTTGTAACGGGCGGTTCCCGTGGTTTGGGCCTCCACGCCGCCAGCGGACTCTTACAAGCCGGCTGCTCAAAAGTATACATCTCATCGCGCAAAGCTGCTGCATGCGACGAGGCGGTGGCCGCACTCAATGCGCTTCCAAACAAGAGGCCCGGTGCGCAGGCTATCGCTGTCCCGGCTGACGGCTCCAAGATAGCGGACTTGGATCGCCTCGTTGCTGAGGTATCCAAAACCACGGATCATGTTGATATCTTGTTTGCCAACGCCGGCGCAACTTGGGGTGCGCCTTATGATGAGTATCCTGAGAATGCGTTCAGTAAGGTGATGGATTTGAACGTCAAGGGCGTTTTTTATACCATTCAAAAGTAGCCTCATTCCTTTGCGCTTTACTTCAGAAGGATATGGTACAATACTAACACAGTCACAGATTCACTCCTCTCCTTGAAAAGAGAGCTACACTTGAAGACCCCTCGCGAGTCATCATCACCGCCTCCGTAGCCGGCATCGGCATCGGCACCGTCGGCCCTCATGGCACATATGCCTACTCCGCCTCCAAAGCAGCAGCCATCAGTTTGGCAAAGACTCTGGCCGTGGAATTGGGCCCTCGACACATTCTTACCAATGCAGTTGCTCCAGGCTTCTATCCTTCCAAGATGGCCAATGGGTTGATGGAGTTGGCTGGTGGAGTCAAGACGTTGGCGGCGCAGTCTCCCAATGGACGTGTTGGTCATCCGGAAGATATTGCGGGATTGGTGGTTTTCTTGTCTAGTCGTGCTGCGCTGCATATCAATGGGTCTATTATTACAACGGATGGTGGGAGATTATTGGGGGACAATAAGTTGTAATCAATATTGACAGATGTTGTGGCTGCTAATATATATGTAGTGACATGTTTGATTCGCTATTCATGATCATGTCAAAGGAGGCAACTTAGGTACAAAATACGAAGTATTATCTTCTCAGTCATTTGAACCATCCAACTGACTTGAACGTATCAATTCGTAGGTTTGGGCTGCCTTATCATCAACTATGGACCGCGTTAGCTCTGAACACACTATGTGCAATGATATCAGAAAAACTCACCCGTATAGGCAGATCCCCCTTTGCACCAAACGGTCTCAAATTCATGAACACATCCTTCAACTTCTCGAACCCAGCTGATTCATACAATCTGACCCCATCCGTCGACGCCTCAAGATAGGTGACCAGCCCTAATCTATCAGCCTCATCAAGCCCCCACTGAAGCAACTGGCGTCCTATGCCTCTCTTTTGATGATTTGGATGAACAACCAAGACACCTAAATACACCCTTTTGCGTAATTTGATAGGTGCACCGGGATCCGCCGTCGTCTCTCCAGTCTCAGACGGGACAGCAAGGGTTTCGCGTTTAGTAGTGGCTAGGATTCGCCCAAATTCGGCCGTAGGTTGCACCTGCATCTGAGGTATCGGCGGATTGATGCGATCCTCGACTTCGTCCTCGATGGATTTGGTGAGTTCTTCATCCTCGTAGTATATCATCCAGTGAGCTTCGCCGACGATTTCGCCGGTGGAGTCATCAACTGCTTTGAAGTCGAAAGACTTGTTGGCGGGATGTTCTTGGCCTTGACTTCCGCTCTTTTCGTCTTGTTCGTGGAGTGCTTTGATGCGTTTCTCGGCTATAGCATCGATTGTGGATTCTTTAAGGGGACCATCGAAGAGGAGGGAGTACGTCCATGAGAAGGCGGCTTCATTGAGGCGGATGAGGGCTTTGATGTCGTCGGCTTCCACGGGGGAGATGGTGATGGTCATGTTGATGATGATCTTATGGGGTTAAGGTAAAATGATGGTGTTCCTGCTTCTCCTTTCAAGAATCGTCTCTTTAATAGAATTTGATATCTCTAAATTTGTACCCCTCTTATAGTCGGAATCGGAGCCGAGCTGACACTACAGCCGCGAAAGACAATATCGCAGAATAGATGCTTCTAACTCAAGTTAGTACTTATAGATGTTGATATTAAAAGCTGATCTCGTTCGGAAGTTGCTTGATCCGTTGCAAGAACTTCAAGGCAGCAGCGAGGCATCAAGTGGATCCCTAGGAATCCGCGTTAGCACCTGCCTCCTTCGGCATGGGTGACTCATCGTGATAGCGCTGACTACAATTCATAGGTTTCAATGGTAGTATCTTGACTATAAGGAGAGTCCGAGGAATAAAAATTATTGCAAAGATCAATGAATGCGCTGAAGGGTGCATAGGTATCGTCTCTTCGATAGAAATCTAGCATATCAATCATCTCATACAAACCAACATCTGATATTAGCTTTGATGATTTGATTTTGGTCTCAAATTTCTCAATTTTTTGAAGTGCTTCCCGACTATCCAATACCGTGGGTAATGGCTGAACAGCCCGTGGAATAGGTTAATACAAGATTATAGGGTCTAATGTCACGTAACATTCATCAACCAACGACAGCAATGTTCTCCCAAGCGCCGTGCTGCAAACTACAACAATGGCTCCTTTCAGATTATGTACTTGCAGATGTGGTTTCTGTGATCAATGTGACGGATCATCTCTCGTTGGGACAAGCCTCAACCCTCGGCATGGGGGTGAGTACCGCTGCTCAGGCGCTATATCTATCAGCTGCCTCCTCTGCTGTTGATTAAGTCTGGTGTGCTGTTACCTTATTGGATTTTCTTGACATATGGTGGAAGCACTACCTAGGTACGACGGGGAGCATTGCTATACAATTCACGAGGCTGTGACTCGACCTGTATTCTCCCCTGTGCTTGATGTGCTGTACCAATTTTTGACCAAAGCTCAGGATCAAGAGTTATTGCAGCATGCTCACAAGGACACGTCTCTTGGCTCCCATTGCTGGGAGCTGCTTATCGCAGAACAAGCCCAGTTGAAACTATCAGGACGCTCTATACATAATTTTAGTCTCTATTGCAAGGTGCTTTGAGCTGCTTGAAATTCGGGGGGTGGGGGGCTTCAATGAATTTGTTGAGGAGAAGAGAAGGGAGAGGCTGGTTAAATAGTGGCTGCGTGCACGTGACTTCCACAGGCCAATCACATGCGCAGCTCTGGCTTGCTCCTTCCTCGTCCAAATACTCCAAATGAACTCGTCCTCAACTTCTTCCTCTTAACATCGAAGACTTGTTTCCTTTCTCCATGTAATAATTATCACAGCTCATTCCATTTCTTGCTATTCTCTATTGCACTTTCGTTCCTTCGTTTCGTCACACCTATCTCTAATTCCATCATTCGCCTCTTTTGTCCCTGCCCTGTCGGGTTCCGTACTTGCGTCGCGACGACATACTTTCACTTTTGGTCTTAATACGTATTTCTCAACGCACACATGGCTGCTCAGTCAACGCGACAATGGGGCGTTACGCCTCCGATCTCCGTGGCCCTGCCGACCCCCGAAGAACTCGCTGCCAACGACGACTTGATCGCTGAATTGAAGGCACAAAACAACTTTGAACTACCTTCGGAGACGGAAAGGAGACAGCAGACTCTTCAACTCATCCAAAAAGTCGTCATAGAATTTGTTAAGAAAGTTGGTCAGCGAAAGGGTCTGTCGCCAGCAGCGCTTGAAGCGGCAGGTGGAAAGATCTTTACGTACGGTAGTTATCGTCTTGGTGTCTATGGTCCAGGTATGTGTAGCGAAAGAGACAACCAGAGGACATCATGCAGGATATTCTGATATTTATAGGATCTGATATCGATACCTTGATCGTCGCGCCAAAGCACGTCATGATTGATGACTTTTTCTCCGACTTCCCCCCAATCCTCGAACGAATGTCCCCACCCGGTGCGATCGAGAAGATGACCCCAGTCCCCGACGCGTTCGTGCCTATCATCAAGTTGGAATTTTCTGGTATCAGTATCGATCTTATATTTGCACGCTTGATACTACCATCTGTCCCGCTCAATCTCGATCTCAAGAATAATGACTATCTACGGGGCTTGGATGATAAGGAAGTGCGGTCGCTCAATGGAACTCGTGTGACCGATCAGATTTTGGAGCTCGTCCCGCAGCAGAAGACGTTTCGAATTGCTCTGAGGGCTATTAAACTTTGGGCACAGCGTATGTTGGCTGTTTTGAAATATCCTCAGACTACTAACAAAGGCATCAGGTCGCGCTATCTACTCGAACATCGTTGGATTCCCAGGAGGTGTCGCATGGGCAATGCTGGTTGCACGGGTATGTCAGTTGTATCCTCAAGCTACGGGATCCGTCATAGTCGGCAAATTCTTTCGAATCATGACCAAATGGGCATGGCCACAACCAGTCTTGTTGAAGCCAATTGAGGACGGCCCTTTGCAAATCAAAGTGTGGAATCCAAAGGTGAGATCGATTTCCCGAAACGGACCAGGCGCTTGATTTAACAGCGTGATAGATCTACCACGGCGATCGATTCCACTTGATGCCCATCATCACGCCTGCTTATCCATCCATGTGCGCTACACACAATATTTCATTATCCACCAAAGCAGTCATTCTGCGCGAACTGCAGCGTGGAGGAGACATTGTCGACAAGATTTTCGCCAAACATCTCACCTGGAACGACCTCTTCACTCGACATACATTCTTTTCCAAGGACTACAAGTACTACCTCCAAATAACTGCCTCTAGCAAAACCAAGGAAGCAGAATCAGTATGGTCAGGTCTGGTAGAATCTAAACTTAGACATCTGGTTGGTGCATTGGATCGGAAGAATATTATTGCTGTTGCGCATCCCTTCCCTAAAGGCTTTGAAAGAATACATGTGGTGAAAGATGACGCAGAAGCAGAACAGGTCAAGAACGGATCAACCAAGTACCAAGCGCAAGGGACGAAGACCGAAACAACGGACGAGATCAAGGATCCAGCTCACACGGCCGCTGCTGAAAATGGTGCTCAGGACGTTCAAGTTCCCGATCCTGATACTAACGGCACAGTCGACAACCGCACAATTTACACCACGACATACTACATCGGTCTAGAGCTCAAGCCGCTAGAGCCGGGTGCTTCACGATCGCTCGACATTTCGGTTGATGCCAACATATTCAAGTCGACATGCACCTCGTGGCAGGGATTCCAGGAGGGAATCAACGATCTCAGTGTCACACATGTTAGGAGGTATTTATTCTGGATTCACTTTTGATCCTAATGTCTTCTAACATACTCAAGCTTTGATCTACCTGATGATGTCTTCGAACCTGGGGAAGCGCGACCTATTCGACCAAAGAAGAAAGTTGCCAAGCCGACGACTGCAGCGGCTCCTCCAAAACGAAGCATTGACGCCGTGGACGTAAGTCGCTTAGAGCCGAATAACTTCATTGCAGCCAAAAGACTGAAGCGCTACTTCGACAAGGTCTGGCTATGGGCGTTGGCTAATATTTTGATAGGGCACCATTCACCCCGAAGCGAAGCGTCAAGTGTCGGCGAACGGATTCAACCACACAGCCACACCGGCCTGATTCGACTATTTCGTGTCGTTTCTACATGTTGCAACGGAAACATGGAGGGATGATATTTGATACTTACACGATATACCCCTACCACGAGGTTTATTTCGATTACATTTGCCTATTTCATATGGTCTTGTAGCCGGATGATCTACATGATGAGACTTTCCATGTGAATGGCTACATTGTCGCTTACTATCTACAGTGTCCGGTAACCAGCTTGACTGATCCATGTGATGATATGATCGAGCTCGATTACTAGGTTGGTGATACTTCCCTTCTAACACTTGTTTCAGGTTCTCAGAGTTGGCCCAACTCGCAATCTGCAAGAGGCCAATGAGTTCAAAACGTGGCCCGGGTTTCACATACCTGGTTTGAAAGAAACGGGAAAGTTGTTACCTAGTCAGCTATCGGTATTTGTCTGTATAATACGAGAGAGAAACTAGACGACTCACTCGGACATACAGCTCTTCCCAATCGGGTGTGTCTATCCGATTGGAGTATGTTAAATATTCGAGCCTATCTTAGCTAGAGATTTAAATCAAATCAGTCGTAAGTGATCTGGTGATTTGAAAAGTACATACATAGCATCCGTTCAAGCAGTGATGGTAGACAAGAGGAGATAGAACTATCAAGTATCGCGACGACTAAGGATTATCCAAGTACAAAGATCGATAGGCGCCTGCTTCTCCTGCTCGAATCTATAAAGCTTTTCCAAATCTTCAAGCGATTCTTGACCATGTAAGCGTAAAAGAACCGACCACGCTGGGGTCCAACATGAGATATCAAAATGACGGGGGGGGGGATTCTGCTCATGTTGGTACTCAAAGCTGTATTCCCCTTCCACACTGAGCTCCATACAATCATCCCGGAGAGCCCTCTGTTCCTCCTAGTCGGAGACTCTGGGTTGGTTTGCTGTGTTTCGTATGGCACAAACCAAGATGTAAGATTCTGCGAGTAAGATCGAGTTTACATTGCCATTCGCGTGAATGGTAGGCATGCATTGCTAGTAATGGATTTGCATTTTTTCATTAACCAACATAGTGGTTTCCATGGTGGAAAGAGCATTCCAGGAGTGAAAGTCGGGGTAAACGCTGCCTAGGCTAGGGTCAAGGCCGAACGGACTAGGGTGTCTAGGTAGCTCGATCGTCATCAATGACTAGATTCAATATGCCTGACAGGAACTGCTTGATTGTCGAGTGTAGACATCTTGAGAATGATGGTGACTCGGGGCAGAAGCCAATTCATCTATATGCATAGAAGGAAAGAAAAAAAAAAAAAAAGGCAAAATGTGGTTCTGTCTTGTGTGACAAAAGWATCCCCGTTCTTCCAACCATGATGGCTGAAACCTTGACTACTACGTTTATAAATTCGTTGTCATGTGTATTCATTTTTTTAATCAACAACGCATTGCGGAAGACGAAAACCTGAGTGGGTAGAGTGGGTATGCAATACCAAAGGGGGCCAGTCGCTGGATTAGGGCAAAACTGAAGAAGTCCTGGTTTCAGGTGGAAGGACCGTTTGAAGATAGTACTGTTTTCCCATACTTTTTTATTCATTTCAGGATATCCCTTTTACTTTGAAGTCCTTAAACTACAATAAGTATTCACAGTCTCTTCAAAACGATCAAGCCTTATCTCGATTATCAGAATTTTATGGTATGGACTTCTAGCATGCAACGTAATTGTTTGAAGCAATATAAAAGCACTCAATGAGGCTCTGTACCTATTTTTAGATAATTAGTCTAGAGATCAACCTTTACATGTTGCTCTACGGTGGCTTGGCTATCATACTAAAAGTTAGTTCCAACATTAAACTCCTTCTCGGACTAGATCGTCAACGCACTCTTCTGAGGTGGAAACAGCCCCGTATTTCTCTGCCAAACAAAGACTGCACATTTGAGAAAACCAACATCAAATTTCGGGAAAGAAACCAAGCTGGTAGAGGATAAGCGGTCTTGTCCGTGCTCCACTCCTGTGCGAACTTCATAGCAACATGACAGTCTGTGAAAATGTCCAGCTGTGGAGGACAGAGAAAAGATGTTTAAAAGAGGAGTGAATTGTAAATGAAAAGTGTCCTACATATGACTACGGATTGCATCGCATCAATATCAAAATGCGCTGGGGCGGACACTATTCGGCCATAAACAGCGATCCAGATGGTGACCATTCAGAGCCTCTGGAAATGGACAATATAATGAGGGAGGAAGCCCGGGGATTTGAGTCAATACCGCAATCCGAAGAGCTAAGCACCAAAGGACCGAACGACTCGACTGCTGCCACTAAACCATCTCCGCTAAGGAAGCGCTGGTCTGACCCAGTATGGTGGTGTGTTTCTGGAAATAGCATCATTCTTATTTTCAACGTTATTTTCATCATCGTTGCAACAGCACGGGCAGGGTCTAGATATGGAGGTGTAGCCTTTGGTTCCAACATCCTCTACGAAGGATCGTGCACAACGGCGAGGGATATGAAGATTGGAATCCATCTGATAATCAACGTGTTCAGTGTCATCTTGACGGCAACGAGCAGTTTTTCGAGTAACATTCTGATGTCTCCGTCGCGAGCGGACGTTGACCGCGCGCATTCTGAGCGTAATTGGCTCACCATTGGTGTTTTCTCGATACGGAATATCAAAAGCTTACGGTGGCCCCATCGAACGATGTGGGTTGTTTTGACTGTGACGTCTCTCGTAGTGCAATTCATGTAAGCTCGAATTACCTTAACCAAAATTCCAGACTAACATGGATGTTTCAGTTACAACTCCGTGATTTATTCCTCTCTCAACGCAAATACTTACGCCGCGCTTGTTGCGTCACACGACTTTGTTTCGAACAGCAGCATTCCGGACTCGGAATTCGAAGCGCAGTCTTGTTTTGCAGAGTCTGATCTTGCATGGAACGTGTCGGCTTTACGGACGAGCGTCCTCAATGGGGAGTTTGAAGTGCTGGATCCTCAAGCATGCATTGATGCTTACGCAGTGGAATTTCTTTCAGACCGCCGAACTGTGATTGCAGTTACTTCCGACCCCATGACGGACAACAGTACGAGGCTATACATAAGTGGCTATGGCTGGCCTGCCAGGATCTATGATGCCATTCCTAATAACACCATCGAGAAAAGCGGGTTGTTGACTGAGCAATACGCTGATGAGACCGTAGACTCTTCAAGCTATAACACAGGTGACCCTTTCAAATGGATATGCAGTGGGAATGATTGGAATGGCACGTATAAATACCAGTCTTGCACGAAATCACAGGCGCAAGATATGAGTCCATGGACGATATCTGGTATGGCATGGGCACCTTTCACTGCCATACAACAGCCCCCGAATACCATGCTGGATTGGATGACAGTGGCTTGGGAGACCGATACTGATCTGGATTCTATCTGGACGGGACTGAGCGATACTGAGCGTACGGATCTCAGGGCCAAACTCGAGGCGAATCCAACACTGGAACAGATGCAGTCGTTCGTGCAGGGCCGGACATGGAGTAACGACACGTTTGGAGATGCCTTGGTCATCAACGCTTCCTGCTCAGATAAAGAGTGGCTACCGTCAGACGATTTCCTTGTAACGGCTCCACAACGCAAGATGGCATTTCCTATTGACCATTGTCTTAGCCAGTATGTGGACGAGCAATGTCAGTTATTGTACAACATGCCCATCGGAATCGTCATCATCATATGCATTTTGCTGAAAGTGATATGTCTGTCATTTCTGGTGAACATCGACAGACGAAACCTCTTCCTCACCGTGGGGGATGCCATTTCCTCCTATCTTCAAAGCCCAGACCCGTTGACAAAGGGGTGGTGCATGCTTTCCAAAAAGACAGTCAAACGAAACAAGGAATGCCCCTGGAACCCCAAATGCGAACAGGAAGTAAGAAACGCGCCCCTAGCAGGCCATCCTCACCCCGAAAATCCACCCACGAAGCGACGAATATGGTCAAATGCGTGTAAACCCATCGTCACATTGATCCTCCTCCCCATCCTCGTGATCTACATCGCCATGACCCAAATCCTGCCCCAGTTCGCCGCTGCAGCAGCCCAGGGTATAGCATACGGCGACATCAGCGTCTCCCAGATCTGGGACATCAAGGGCTTCGGTGCCGTGCAATCGAACGCGCTGCTCACGAACCTCGCCAGGACTTACGTAGGCATGCAACTCCTAGCAAACACGCCACAACTCCTCGTCTCCTTACTCTATTTCCTGTTTAACGACCATCTCACCCGCATGCTCCACGCAGCAGACTACAATCAATACGCCCTGACCCGTCGACCGCTACGCGTCTCGTTTCCTCAGGGCTCGCAACGATCAACATTCTACCTCTCCATCCCCTACCGCTATTCCTTGCCTCTCCTATTCACATTCACACTAATCCACTGGCTCATTTCCGAAGGCATCTTTTACGTTCAACTACTTCCTTACGATCTCGCCGGAAACCCGATCTTGACATCCAAGCTGATGACGTGCGGCATCTCAACGATTCCGTTGGAAATTGCCATGTTTCTGACTATTGCGTGTTTGGTGGTCGTCTGGGGGTTGTCGGCGAGGGAGTTTGGGTGTGCTAAGATGCCGTTTGCGTTGGGGTGTAGTGTTGCGATTAGTGCTGCGTGTCATCCGCCGAAGGATGATAGGCATGCTGCGTTTGGGCCGGTTATGTGGGGGGCTGCCAATGCTGATACAGATGAGGTGGCTCATTGCTGCTTTACGTCTTTCGAAGTGACGGAGCCTCTGAAAGATCGGTTATATGCTTAGGTATACAGGGGGTTCTATCAACAATTCTAGCAGGTGGGATTAGATTTAAATTCGGGTTTCAGAAGATAGTTGATGAGTAGATTCCAAGATAATATGAATATATACGCATATGCTGATACGTAGATGATAAATACATATAAAGATACAGTATGAGCCACTCCCATCCATAAACAGGTTGAACGCTACACTACAAAACACCACACGCTCAAAACAAGAAAAAAATGTCATCATCTCATCATAAGTATGTATAATCAAAGCCGTTGCTGTCCAGAAGCACGCTGCTCCTCATCCGGACTCAACAATGCCGCCGCCGCCCCGAATTGTTGCGCCGCCGCAGCCGCCGAGGAGGACGAATCTCCGAAATAGTTGATAACGTCCGGCGGTAGATATTCCAGATAGGGATTAAAATCATTCGAAAATATGAATGGGAATTCGGCTTGGTTGTGGAAGGCGGCCATATCGATGTCTTGGCTCTCAATTAGAGTATCGGATAGATGGGAGGGCGCGTATTGGTTGTGAGTGGTGTAGGGTTGGGGAGGCTGTTGATGCTGGTGGTAAGAGGTTGAGCTAAAGGTGTATGGGGATTCGATTTGGGAGGGTGTTAAGGCTGAGCTGAAGACCGCATGGGACGGTGCGGTGGTGGCATAGGGATTGGAGGCGATGATGTTGTTGTTGCCGGGTCCAGAGAATTTCGGGACGGGGGGGCTGAGGATGTTGGATGAGTTGGTCGGACCAGAGTGGTAGGTTGGTATTGATTGCGGATATGAGTGACCAGCCCGGTGTGTTTCGACTGTTGGAAGGTCTTTGACTGGTACCTGTCCCCCTGATGCCTCGTCTAGTTGAGGCGCTGGCAGTTGGTATAATAGACTCAGGTTTGGCTGTGCAGAGTTGGTTTCTCCGGTCAGTGCCCACCCAATAGCTATTAAAAACTTTGTCAGTCTACATTAGATAGCGTTCTTATTTGGCTAGCTCACCTTGACCAGGGTCTATCTTCGGAGAACCCATCTCAGACTGCGCTGCCTGGCTCTCCGACTCCTTTCCAGCAAGCTCCCCAGTGTTCGGCTGAAGCGTTGGCTGCCAATTCGGTGACGCCAGCGATTGCGCATATGCCACTTCAGTTGTGCTCTCCATCTCTTCCGTAGTATACAGCAACGGGTCACCTATACCCTTTGCTTTTTGATCCAGCACCGTAAGAATATACTTTGTCCCCTCCCAATATGTCTGCAAGGTCCTGAGTGCACGGTAGCATCGCTGATAGTTTTCTTTTGCGGCTGATGCGAGCAGACTGTGTTTTGTGTTGGGTTTGCGCTCGCTGGTGTGCGCCGAGTCCATGTTGGGGATGGTGAATGCGCTGGACTGGTCGGTCACCAGAACGGGAGGGGATCCGGAACGTGAAGAAGGTGATGAATAGTATGCACTTTCCATGAGAAAAGCGCATGCTGCAATATACATTGGCTGGCTCGTAAAAGGATTGCCAATGAAGCTTTTTGCGTCGATGAGTTCAGAGAATGAGAGAATATCAGCTATCGTCTTGGCGGATGACATGGACAGTTCTCGACTATTGGGATACAGCTGTTGAATGCGGCCGCCAAACGAATTGAGAAGAGTCGGTTGGTGCAGCAAGACAATCAAAGTATGGAACCAGAAATGTAGCAGAATGAAGTTGGTTCCTTCTTGAGCTTTGACATAGGTCTGAAAGTTCATTGTGTTGAAATGTAGCTTTGGCGAAAGGCGTTGATATATGCTCGTGAGGTCGTTTTCCATGCCTGCCAATCGCTTCAGTGTCTCTGCATCGATGTGATTGTCTTCTTGGATCGCATTAATCAGATCCGTAACGCGGCCGTACAAGTGTATGATCCGAATCAAGGGTGGAAAAGGTGCCGGCCAGCCATTCGGTAGTATAGACTCTGATTGAAGCGGGAAATATAGCTCAATATCTTCATCCCGCAAAGTAACGGGTCTTCCGGTTCCAGACGAAATTACTCGGTCTAGAAAGAATACACTCCAAAATGTGTCGACCTGTTCCCGTTCCATCGCCCGTTGACTATCCTCACCCCGTCCCTCCCCACCTTCGCGTCGTTTGGCCGGTATTTGAGGGCCCTCGGATTGTTCCACATTGAGTTTCCCAGCTTGACCTGTAATGATGGCCTTCGGCCTAAGACCGGTACGGCCGTAACGATGCTTGAGTCCTTGAAGCTTCTGCATACCTAGATCCTGAGCCATGCGGATGGCTATTCCCAGATACATCCACAATCCGCTGTCGTGATTGGAACCAAACTCCTCGTATGCCAGCAGTAAGCAAGCTTGAACAACAGACAACGTAGGACACGACAAGGCATTAACAACAGCAGTCATAGCTCGATGTGCAAATGGTTGGCCATGGTCTGATCGTTTCAGGTCTGGCTGCAACTCTTCGCCATCGATAGGGCGAGCTTGCGCTGGGCTCAACAACGGATGCGGAGAGAATCTAGCTGCCAAGGCGCAAACAGCGTCTACCAGTATGGAGTCAATCTTCTTCTCTTTTAAATCTGCCATGAAGCGGTTCCGCTGTAGAAATGGAAAGCTGCAGCCGAGATGGACAAAGAACAGTTCACACAAATGAGTCACGACGTTGCTTGTCGGTAAAGAGTCCTCTCGGTCGTAGAAAGGTATGCTGTTTGACTCTCCTTCGGCTAGTGTGCTGACCAACGAAGGTCCTGTTGCAGCAATTGGAGGGCTTTTTAACGACCGTATCGAGTCTACTTGCATTAGACTAGGCAATGAATTATGTCGAACATAAGCCTACCTGACGATTGTGATTGATTTCCCCTCTTCCCGTCCCGGACTCGCACAACCTATTCATGTAAGCTTTGCTCCTTCCCTCAATGTTCTCATGTATATCGTACCATTTGTTTGAACCCTGGGACAATAGCCGTGGGTCCAAAATATCTAAAATAAGGCACATGTGTTCGATGACCTGAACTTAGAGACGTTCGACCTGTAAACTCATAAGCATTTGAAGCTACCCCAATACGATGGACAGACGCACTGCTCTCCGGACTAGCGACAGCAGCCAATTTGTCCTGGTCTCTCGTTGCCTTATTCAACGTATCTTTGGTCAAAGGAAGGGGCGATTCCAACTTGATCGTCTTTGGCTGCGGCGACTTAGATGTCTTCGGTACTGGCGCAGCGGGCACAGCGAGAGTGACTCGCGGCGTAGTCGGAGATCGCGAAAGAGACCGGTCGTCGCCGCCGTTGTCGGTGTATGTGGTATCGGATAGTCCATTCTTCATCAATCCAGGGACGGACGACCTTTCCGGTTTATCGGGGTCATTGTATCCCAGACACTTGTGCCCGCAGTCACTGCAAGTTTTACAGACTGCCCTACGTCAGACACAATCATTCCAAAGAGTATAAGCAAGGCGCATTACGTACCGGGTTGTTCACCCGAACATCGAATCTTTCGCTTGCGACAAGTGCGACACCTGTAAATACCAGCAGTCAGCACAGAATCAGCACAAATCCAGCCTCATAGCACCCAAAATACAAACGTACGCAGCAGTCACACGCCGCCGTTTAGTCTGCGGCTGACCATCCGACGACACGAAGCGGATTTGGCGTGGTGGCGGAGGCGCATTCTTGTTGATGTTTATGTTGACGTTGTTGGTGGTGGTGGTAGTGGTAGTATTAGGAGTTGCTCTGAAGATGTCACTGCTTGCGCCGATCTTTTTCGAGCCAGGGGAAGGATTGCTCATGGCGAGCAGCGAGCGAGGCGCCGGACAACGGAACGAGAAGACGAAATGGGTGTTGAAACTACAGCATTTGAGGCTGTTTCAAAACCACTCTCGGACGAGAGCTCTCTTTCGTGTCGCTGTATCGATTTGTGGGGATCCCGTGGGGATGAGTAGAGCCGCGCGCAAAAACGAAGGGCGAAGATTGTGTCGCGCCAAGTGCGAGAGGAGAGAATCGCTTCAAGAATAACAAATCGATCCCCATGAACTGAAGTCCGTCCTGCAATTCATGACCGCCCTGCCGTTCGTTCGTTGGATGTAAACTGTTCCGATATTTTGATAACTTTGCCGTCGTACAACCGAAGACGAATCCGCTAGATAACTTGGAAGGCGCAAACGTTGTAAGAGGGGGAACTCGAGGCGTTGAATGATTGACTCCAAAGACAACCTGGAATTATTGACTGGCGATGTGAACTGGGGAAGGTCTGGCCCGCGCGGGTGTTGGTTTGGCGCCCGCAATTTTCGGCGTGGTCACTTGACCCCAACGGACGCATCGTGGCTTACCCTAGCAATACAGCAACACAGCGTTCATGGCGCAATTGCTTTGCCTGACCAGGATAGTGCATGTACATTTGAGGGGTATTTAGTCCATCCATTAATATCACGACTCGGACATTGGTCTGCTAACTATATGATTATATGATCTAGGGATATCATAACCATCTGCGTTGAATGATATCGATATAAGTATTAGTCGCTATGTATTATATATTACAGTATTAGTAGAACCGCTCTTTCATCCAAGCAGTATATATCTTCTCAGAGTCAGAGATCCAGGGCAAAAGTAGGAGCTTAGTCATAGCCATCTGTTCATGGCTCTCCCCCTGCAGGCCGTAGACAGTCGTTTGCGGATGCACGGACTGTAGGGGTATTTAGCACAATGTCCGAGTCAAAGAAGGGTAGCACATACCTGTACTCTTTTGCAAAGAATCTCCGTATCATCTTTCATTATCTCATCCTCTCCGTAGATCATCAGCAATTCACCTACTTTCAAATCCGTCCACCACTCTGCGGGTGCCTGCAGAGGTGAATTCCAAGGATCCAAAGGACGACCCCCGAGAAAGTTTCCTCCCCAATATTCCAACGCCGAAGCGGCAAGAACATCTCTATTCGCGTTTGTAGTCATGGATTCGGCAGATGTATCCATATTACACCAAGGTGAGATTGCGACTGCGGCGGTGAATTGTTCGTCGTCTTTCATATTCAGAGGCGGTACATCTGGGTTGGGGTGGGAGAGATGCAGTAGTACGGAAAGGAGGAGGTTTGCGCCAGCAGAGTTGCCCATAAGAGTAATATTTGAGGGGGCGATATTCTCTGTGTTGATGATGTGATCAAGGAGAGAGATGGCTTGTCGGAGTTGAGTTGGGTAGTGGTTGGCGTGTTCATCTACTAGGCCTGTAAAAGTCAGTACCTAGAACTTTCGGAAAAAATGTATAACATACTATATGCCAAAACATAAACCACCACTCCGTCCCTATAACGAGGCTTATCCTCAAAACTGTAGATAAGATGAAGATGCTGTGGCAGAATAGGTGCTACGTATCCACCACCATGGAAATATACAATGGCTTTGTTGGCCTTTTGTTTTGCGACAATCATCTCTTCCATCAAAGCCGCGGCTTTTTTGCTTCCCCGGGTAAAGGGATTGAGGCCGAGGGCATGTTTTGTAGATGACGATGATCCATTGAGCATGAATGCGAGGGTGCCATCTTGAAGAGTGAGTCTTTCGTAAGGTAGATTATTTCTGTGCGCGAAGCTGGTGCATTGCCAGGCGGTCGACGGGAGAACGGCGTGTTTTTCGACGGAGGAAAGGCCGGACTGGAAATCGATCATGCCCTCATAAGCGATGTAGTGATGGAACGACCGTTTCGTCTTTAATTTCTTGGATAGGAGGGGATATTTGACGGCTTTGAAAATTAATCCGGCCACTATACATCCAGATGCACGTTAATTATAATTCACCCCTGAGATTCAGAGACAAACCTATTCTCCCAACCTTGGCCAACAGACAGAGCCATCCCCACAGAGTCAGCGACTCGGGGGCCGACTGTTGCGAGGCCGTCATAGATTCGACGTGCGCAATTGCGAGGATGTCAATTCATGGCGTCGACAGTGACAGGCTACCGCGTTCTGTAGCGGTGAGACTGCAAAGGCAGAGGATGGAAAGAGTTAGCCGTTCCTGGCGGCCTCTCGATAAGGGCTTATCGCGCTCGGGATCCTGGGGTTCCGGCCGCGCCACTTTATAGGTACGTATGTATATACTATGGTGCGTAATACGTATCTTAGGCTGAATACACGTTTCAAATTACGCCGTTAATTGCATTAGCTTCAAATTCTTCGGGATGGCGTCACTTGATACACCATAAAGATAGTAGCTACTCTGTAAAGGCAGAAACTGGATGACATTTCCCACATACAAGGCTAAGCACAATCGAGTCGTGGCATGCTCAGCTCCCATAATCAACCAGCCCAGTCCAACTCATAGATTTGGAATTGGTACAATCACTAGGATGCAAAAGGACTGGTGGTGCATGGATCTAGCTTGAAGGAACACAAGCTTAAATCTCACTCCAACGTACTCCAAATAGAGTCACCAATAGCACGATCMCCCGAGCCGAGCTGATGGAGCCACGGATTTCGACAGTCAATCAAGTCACAGCGATACAGCACCTCGATGGGTCCATCGTTCAGCTCTCAGCCCCGTCGAAAGTCTAAAGCTTACCGGGATGGCCCACGTTTATTCGTACCTCCCATAGTAAAATACGAGTGGTGGTACACTTTCGTCAGGGTCCCCCCATCAAGTAGGTCGCAGCTGGACCGTTGGACATGGTATAAATCGGCCGCCCCTCCATTCAATATTGCTTTACCTGTTTCTCTATTATAGTTAATTTCAAAACTCATCTTCCCTGCATTCTTCACACCCAAAAAAACAACACACAATGGCAGCCCCCCAGTTGCCCCCCATCCCTCCCCTTGTCCCAGCCGAACACGACTGGCAAACCTCCTCCACCGACTCTACAATCCACCAACGCCGCGCGATAGGCGCCGAAAACATCGTCGGTCTGGAAAAGAGCAATGCCGCCGGCGCCAACGACCTGTATCTGATTTCCAGCGTGCAATTCGCCGACTCAAATCTCACACTTTCCAAGCTGAAAGGAAAAGTTGAGCGTGCACTTGTGAAACATCGCTATGAACATCCTGAGATCGCTCAGACCGGTCTGTGGGAAGAAGGGCAGCTCTCGGCGCTGATTCAGTACAAGCCTCTCACAAGTAATGAAGAGGCTCTTACCTGGGCCAAGGGCATTGTGCACGTTAGAGCTGGAAAGGAGACGGGTCTCGAAATCAGAACGGAGCATGAAATCAAGCGGTTCCAGGAGAAGACTGGCTCCGCCAAAGCTGTCGTTGTCGACATCGTTGCACCAGTTGATGGGCTTGACGCACCGCTCGGATCGACCAATGTTGAATTCGTGTTCCACTCTAATCATCTTTATTTTGATGGTATTAGCAAACGTATCTTTGTGGGCGACTTTTTCCGTTATTTGGCGGATACAGATGACGAGTTGCCAGACCTCAAATGGGGAGAGGAAGTGAAGAATCTGGGTGCGCCGGTGTTGAGTTTGTTGAAGGATGGGACTCCGACGTCTGGACCGGAGTTTGATGGCACTTTTGGACAGTACGCTGGCGGTGCTATGAGAGCTATGGTTCGTCCCCTCTTATCCACACATCTATTAAACAGGGATCTAACTTGTTGAAGAACAACTACGGCCTCGACCCCAAGGTTGGCTACGGTCTTCCACGAGTCATTTTCCACACTTTCACAACAGCCGAAAGCGACGCAATTTATAAGTCTGTCAAATCCAAGGTTGACCCCAAAGCATCTCCAGCACACCTCGGTCACGCAGCCGTGCTACTTGCTCTACTCAAGGCGAAACCTACCACAGCAGAGACACCAGACAGCCAGGTGTACATGTCCTCGTCGCCCGTAAACGGACGCCGGTTCTTGCAAGACGCAAAACTCGGCAAGACCTATTATCCGCTCGTACAGGCCAGTTGCCCAGTCACTTTTGAGAATATCAAGCAATACAACCTCGTCGATGCGGACAAGGAGACTATCAAGAAGTATTTGACGCAAGCTAGCAAAGTGGCGCAGGATAGTTATGATGTCTGGCTCAAGAATCCCTTGACTCTGCCGGTTGCTATATCGTTTCACGCACTTGTGACTATGTTGATTGCTTCGTGAGTTTGTGTTTGATCGGAGGTACTATACATACTAATAGCTGAATAGGGGACAAGTTCCTGAGACCGGTCTCACTGCTCCGGTATGTTATCTCTTTCAGCTAAACGAGCCATGCTAATTGAAATAGCTGTACACAAGCGACGGCGTAAACGAGACGTATATCGACCGCGAAATCAGCGACAAGAGCGGCAACGTCGCCATCACTGTCAACACCGTCCGGTTCTTCTTAAACCAGTACATGCCATTCTTGTAAGTCTAGTTTCCTCCTGTTCTATCATGCTCCACCTAACAAAATGCAGGTCCATCCGCCTCGACAGCTTCCGCGGCCGCTCCGAGCTCTCGCTCAGCTACAACGACGGCCAATACACCGAGGAAGAAGCGTCCGCCTTTTTGAAGGATATCGCCTTTTTCATGCTCCAATTCATCGAATAAACATCTATCCAGATAGATAATAGACATATACAGTATATACACAAGAACAAGATTATGATCTTTTAATAGGCCGCTCAATCTCCACAACCTCCGTAGTCCGCCCATACGCATCCCCACCAAGCCTACTCACCGGCCTCAACACTTGCAGGTCCACGGCCGCCAGTTCAGTGGCATCAATCGCATCTTCCCGGACCCAGAACCGCGTCCCTTCAATAATCGCCAACGTCGTTCTCCCTTTCTTCTTCTTTGGATCTGACGGGGCCACGCGACTCTCGAATTCCTTCGTTTCTATGAGATGCCCTTCTATCGAGACGATAGACTCCAGCACCCGCGGCACACCATTGACCGTCTCCGTATCATATGCCGGCGTAAGTCCCGAGTAATCAAACTCCGAGTCGCCATATTCGGCATTTATGGTCGTCGCATTGGCGGCTTGTAGCATATGCTCTGACACAACATTGATCACACATTCCCCCGTTTCGGTTAGATTCCGTAGCGTATCCTTTTGAGATTTCGGACTGCGACTACCCGGCGGCGTAAAACTGACCACGAACATGGGCGGGTCGTGGTTTATGACCTGGAAGTAGCTGAAGGGTGCTAGATTTAGTTTTGCTTTGCCATCGTTCGGGTTTTTGCCAGTGGGGGATAATGTGCTGATCAAGGCGATTGGGCGCGGCACAATACTGGATATGAGGAATTTGTAGTTTTTGCTGGGTGCGCGTGCTGGGTCGGAGGGGTTAATGGGGATGTGTTTCTTCGTCTTATTTTCATTATTATCGATGGCGCCATCGCCCAGTTTCCAGGTTGGATTTGGTGTTTGGGTGTATTTTATGGGCTGATTGGGGTTGAAGGGTGGTTTTTCGGTATTTGTTGTTGATATATGTCTGCGGCCGTGGATAGGTGTGTATATTGCCAACGGACGAGTCAAAGATTTCCTACAATTGTCAGCAGTAGATCTGACTGAGGCAATAGTCGGACTTACGATGTGCAATTGGAAGCTCTTGAGGCTCCTCTTCTTAGAAGAGCCATGTTGTGCAATGCACGAATAAGATGTAGATGTTGGGATCATCTCGGTAACTGCCAAGAAAGAGGTCAATTTGGAAGCGGCTGCTATTACCACGCACTTTATCTAGTTATGACATCATTTCGTCCCCCTTTTACTGCTCAATGTGCGTTTACATAACAGTTGCTTCGTGGCTACAATGATGATAGATATTGGCCAATCAATATACCTCTAATGAATGAATGTCCTGTCAGTTTGACAGTCCACTTGATGTCATCTTCATTCTATATATATCCATTCCCCTTTCTCCTCTCCATCTCCCCCCTACATACCAACTAAACACATACCTTAAAACAACTCCTACAAATCAAACAAACAACAAGCATTTCCTCTAAAGAGACTGGAAGACGAAGACAATGCCATTCTCATCCTTCACATCCGTCAGCTTTTCCGCCTCCGCCAGCGCAACCCGCAACGGTGAGACGCGGAACTGGGGCCATCGCAGCGCGCGCGAAGTATACCGCGACGAAGACAATACGCGGCACGAGCGATCATTGTCGCACACGTTGGGCCAAGAGCCGGTGTATGAGGAGAGACATTATGACGCGCAGGGACGGCAGGTGATTGAAGGTCGACCGCAACAGCAGCAGCAACAACAGGGGAGGATTGAGGATGTTAGTGAGCGGGAGAAATGATTTGTTAGTCTGTGATGTAAATTCATGTATAGTTATTGTATTCTTGTTTTGGTAAATTGCATTATTACTTTTTCTTGACATACGTATCTTGACATACGTAGTTTGTTAATGTTCTATGTAGACATCAGCGATAAGCCAAGAAAGCTATGATGTCACACCCCGCACTTTGATCCATCGCCTTTATTAGACTTCATCCGTCACAAGCCACACAGATCACCACAACTGACACTGACAGCTTGGCGCTATGTCACTTTTAGCTCGCTATGGAGATGATAGCCACAATATCAACGCCGCTGTCGTCGCTAATGATGCCATATGCCGATCTTGCTGTTTGCGATGCTCATGATATCTATATAAGACTCATTCAACGCTCTCCATTGCTTCCAACAAGAACATTCATACCAAAGACACAATTACAAACATCTTTCTACAAACATCTACCTACAATCATCTTTGTACAAACATCTTTCTTCAAACATCTATCTACAAACATCTACATACAATCAAAACCAATCAAAATGTTCGGCCGTCGCACTCGCACAACCCGCACCACAAAACCAACCCTCATGACGCGCCTCAAGGGCCCCAACGCGCGCCACAAGACCTACAAGACAGAAGTTACTCGACACGGTGGTCACGGCCACACTACCACTACTGGAACTACTACAACCCGTCGCGGATACGGCACTCGCTCTACTCGAGCAGCCGCGCCCGTACACCATCATCGCCGCAAGCCGAGTATTGGCGATAAAATCTCCGGCGCGATGATGAAGATGAAGGGTAGTTTGACGGGAAGGCCTGGTGAGAAGGTATGACATTCGTCTTTTTCCCAGTTTTATTGTCTTCTTGACGAGACTAATGCTGATTATTTAGGCTGCTGGTACACGCCGTATGCGCGGAACTGATGGACGCGGAAGTCGTCGTGTCTACTAAACGATGTTTAATGACGATGAATGAGTGTATGATATAATGATTCCGGATTGATTGATTCCTGTACACTATAGTCTTTTTATTTGCTATGATACCATAATGTCAATACATTATCTTTATTCTTCTGTGCTCAAGTAGAATGTACCTAGTTTAAAATCTAGAAACATCACTCCCAAAAACCCGGTTAATCATCCACCGAAACAATATCCGTAACCTATTCCTCCAACTGATACTCATACTCAAATACGCAACTTTCCACACCAACCACGCCATTCTACCTGTTAATCCTTCCGGCAAATACGGATTCCGCCTCTTTTCATCCCCTCCGCCAGGAGCGGCAGTCTTCTCATGCGGAATCTGCATTAACGCGTTTGAGCTGCCGATGTACGCCAATGTGCCCATGTTGCGGAATGAGAAGCCCGGCACAGAATCGAAATCGTCACGGTTTAAGCGCTCCGCCAGCCATTTGGCTTCTTGTGAGGCGGCTTGCGCTGTTGCTGGTGGTGCGCCGGTTTCGGGCATGGCGTTGTCGCCGATTGCGAAGACGTCCTGGAGCACTGCGACTTGACCAGTCCCAGGATTCTCGAGCTGGACGCGGAAATGGCTGTCGACGAGTAAGGCGCCGACTTTGGGCGCTTTTTTGATTTTCCAGCCTTTTGCTTCGATTATTTGGCTGTCTGAAGCAGAAGAAGAAGAGGAGGCGGAAGGGAGTTTGAGGAGTGCGCTGTCGGTCGGAAATTCGTCAATCTCGTTCAGGGAATATTTGACGAATTTATTCATTGTATTCCCCGTCGCCCATACGCACATTCCAACGCCAACATCGCCCTGCTCTTTCGTCTTCAGAGTCAAACACCCCTTTGGATCCATCTCGTGCGGCCCTTCGGTGTTAGGCATCCCCCATCTCAATTCCTGGATATGATGCGACGTCCTTATATCAATCCCTTCCTTGGACATCGTCTCAATCGCATACTGCGACAGCGATTTATCAAACATACTCAACACCGTCGGCGCAACATCATATAACGAAATTTTCGTCTTGTCCTTCAGGGCGGGATACAATTCCGCCATATTCTTCGACACGAAATCGCGCAGAGTAGCCGCCAGCTCCGTGCCGGTTGGCCCAGCACCCACAATCGCAAAATGCAGTAGATTGCGCTGCATTTCGGCCGTCGTAGTCGGCAGTGCGGCTAGCTCAAAACACTCTCTTACTCTGCGTTTTACGCGTCGCGAATCGCCAATGTCCTTGAAAAACATTGCATTTTCCCTTACTCCCGGCGTACCAAAAGTCTGACTGGTGCATCCAACCGCGATAACAAGCTTATCGTACGGAATTTCAAATAACTGACCCCTTTCCCATCCACGCAAATGCTCCTTTCCGCGCATGGATCCCGTTTCAGGTCCTTCCTCAAATTGGCGTTCCGTCTCTTCGACGCGCGGGGATTCGGTGACACCGGATTTGACGATGCTTGCTTCGCAGAGGACTCGTTTCCGTGTAAAGTCGATTTTGCGAGCGGCAGCCTGGATGAAATCGACGCTGCTTTTCAGTTCGCGCATCGGTTCGACAATAGACGAAAAGTCGAGGTTGCCGGCGGCGGTGTCGGTGAGTAAAGGGGTGAAGACGAAGTAGGAGCGAGGGGAGATTACGGTGCAGTTGTTGTGCGCTGGGTTGATTTTGCGAGAGAAGATGTAGCCGCCCCAGCCAGACCCCAGGACGAGGATTTTGGGGTTTGTGGAGGGATGAGAGCTTGGATGGGTGGCTTGGGAGTAGGTGGTTTGGGTGGGCGTGAGACATATTTCGGGTGAAGAGACTGGGCTTGCGGCTGTTAGAGGACTTGTAGAGAATGATTGGGCTTTGGTTGTTGCGTTAAACGTGTTGTTTCTTGCTTGGAAGGGGGTTGTAGAAATGAAGCTGAGATATCTCCGTCCACATCTCCCTATCCAGGCTGAGGGGCTGATAACAGCCTTCATGACAGCAGCTTAACTGTGTAGAATGAACACCCAGGATTATGATGCCGTGAAATATTCCTCAAATGAGTAGGTATGTACATATGGAAAAGTCGAAGTGTAGTGGAAGTGTTTATAACCCACACCAGACGCCATAGCAGACCTCACAATGATATCATTCACATGGCTCCCTCATCCTAGATCTAGATCCATATCCCCGAACTACACAAACACCCACGTGAACCTCCAAATTTTCTATCAACATATCCACATGTAAAAAAAACCATGAAAACCGAAATAGTGGTAGTTACCATGTGAAGTATGTGAGTCAACGCCTCAGATAGGGCTATCCGCGCTTAGCCGATATGCTCCGCTGTCGAGAAAGCGCGTATCGAAGCCGATTTCTCCCGATCGTCTGCGTTCGGGGAGACGAGGGTGAGGCAGCGGCAAGAGACGGTGAAGGAGATAGGTTAGAATGCTTTGAGAAGATAATAGGAGGAGAAATCTGAAATATGAGTATGCGATAGAGGGGAATGCTATGTATGCTCTTAGGGCTGTTCGGAGTTCGTGGCGGCTGATAAGATAAGATGGATTAGATAAGCAAACAGCGTCATCCATGGAGATTTATCCCTCTCTAATAACGAGAAGCTGAATGTACAATGGGCTCTCATTTATTTTGCTACCACTTGTCACTCAAATAACAATAATGTAGGCAGCACTTGGCATGGCAAAGAAACAAAGGATGGAGTGGTCAGGTGGTACCTGCTTTAGCTCTGTCTGTTTGTTAGCTTCTGACGGTGTGGATTGCCCGGGCGTCAGGATGCTGGGAAAATCAACGTTGTACTTAGCCAACGGAGTTTATTCGTTAAAGAAAGGAAAGCAGGGCAATTTCATCGATACTCAAACATTGTGGTACTCAATAGGGCACCGGGCGCCGGGCAATGCGGTGACATGTCACACAGAGAATACAAACAAGCAGAAATCTTACCTGTACGGTCTCTGCTAGACGTAGATATAAATACAGCTGCCTTCACCTCTTTTCCTTCTTTTATTTTCTCTCCTCATATCACTTAGATTGCTGCTCCAGAAACAATTTATAGGAATATTCTCCAACATTTCTTACAAGATTAGGGCTATTCATCCTTGTTGCATGTTGTGTACTTCAGCCCTCTACAGCCTCATTCTTCTCTCTTTTGAAGACCTGGAAACACGATTTTCAACTCGAAACAAATACAATACGCCTAGCAGCAGGTCAAACTGCTCACGATTCATCCTGTCGGCTGGCATCCCCGACTTTTAGGGCAAGAGGGAGTCGTTATGTCACGAAGATCCCGACCTAGATCTCTAGCAGCAATTCGTGGTAAGTGGAGCCTGACAGTCATCTAGACGACTGCCATCAATCAAATCATGAACGAAATCACTAATTATCAATTCAGAATTCACAAAAACCGCTTTAACTACCTGAAATCAATCGCACATGGCAAATCGCGCGTCAAGACAGCTGTTGACCCGGAACAACCATAGAAAGCTAATGGAATTTCACAACCGTCCCAAGCACATCCAGACGCCCCTTGTGTCCGTAACCAACCGCTGTAATACACGGGAACGAAAGCAAAAAAAAGCGAAAGGAACCACGATGGTGTCGTTCTCTGTGACATCCTCCGCATTCTGCGCCTCTAACTACCGTATAAAAAGACCCGGATCGCCTTTATCAGCACCTGGTCCAACAACACTATCACCAACCCCAATTGGAACAACTACTGTTGACCTAACGTCTTCAAAAGATTTGTCTAAGTTCTAGACGACGATAACACAATGATAGTGTCTATTCAATCTCAAGATTCCACCTCCAAATGCACTTGCCGAAATCTTCACCGATGCACTCGGATTTGAGTGGGCCGAAGAGAAGGTCTGCGCATGCGTTCCGACAAATACCCCTGGCATGCCAAATATTCATTCAGCAGAACGACTATACTGAGCGCTCTATAAGACTGATCTCGCTGTTCCACCGAAGTCGGCATTCTCCTCACGGGATGAATACATCACCACCATTGGATTTAGTTTGATTTACGAACACAGGACACATAAGAAAATGGTAGATGCAATTATCACTGCTAAGCTCTATTCATTAGAGATTCTATTTACTGGCAACCGACGATACTTCGCTGTATTGAAGATTAACAACAAGAATAACACACAAACACTTTCACACAAGACTACGGTTCAAATATCCTACGACACTAAGGTCGTTGACCTTGATGCTTGCTGGCAAGAAGCTGGCCTTTGAAAAGCCAGAAGGACTGGTCAGTTCGTATCATTTGCATTCAGATGGATGAAGCTAATGTATGCTCTTCATATGGTAGAGGGCTGAAGCGGTTCGCCTCCGAGAGGCCGCTGCCCGCGAAGAGGAGGCGGCAAAGAAGAAGAAGGAGAGGGCCGACCAGTTATGCAAGGAGGCCGACGAGCTTGAGAAGAAGCTCACAAAGGAGTTGGAGGGGAAGGGGAAATAGGGGAGGATGTGATCGATGTGGAGGGGGGTGAACACAGTATAATTATACAGCAGGTTACCACAATTCCTAACAATATAATTACCATGCTCATAAACCAGCGTTACGACAAGGACTCACAGGATTTTGTCGACTTTAACCTACCAAATATTACCGCAAGCGACGATGATACACTCCAATCAGTGCAGGGTCGCTTGGGTGAAGGAAAGTGTGTGACGGTGGCAATCAATATGGCTGCGTCTGGACAGGGCTTTGGACGTCAAATCAATGCCATCGACCGACTACTGGGTCAAGATAGCGAATCACGACCACAGCAATCCGATCCATACAGCGTTGGAATACGATTTGGCCAGCTCGCTCCCAAGACCCCAACCACACATACATACACAACTCATATCACACCAGACCGCATATTTTGAAAATCACCATGGTCGCTCTAACGCCATGTTCATCCCCGCTTCCAACAAACCCCTGCGGAGTGACCGGCTCAAAGAACGGGCCCGCGCTGCCGTGCAATATCGGAGACATGGATATTGGGACTCTCGGTTGGAGTATGAGGCAACCGACCCGCTTAACACTTTCTTGGGAAGACTACCTTGGCAAAGAGGAGGCTTATGCCGACGCTCATCCGTACATCCAGACACCCGGAGAAATCCACGAAAAGTCAGAGGACCGCCCGAGTACCCATTGGTTGGTCATGCGACGTTTTGAGATCTATGCAGAAGAGCTCGCTTCTGGGCGACTTTACTAGGCTCAGACCGCGAGAGTCTACGCCTATACAATGTGTACGATACGCTCTCCGCAAGCGTCTCACTTCCAGCACTGTGGAATCGCAGAGTCGCACTGATCTCACCCGCAAGTGAAGACTGGTAAACATCTCACCATTCAAAATTGCGACCCCGGGCACGACACCAAACGGCTGTGTGCATTCCTCCCATCGACCGAACTCACCTTTTGCAAGCCGGCAAACAAACAGACAGTATGCTCCGTCAAGGCTTGTATTCGCCCATTGTGGTATGATTCGAAATTCTGCAAATATCATTATGAAGTATGGGTTGTGGGAAAAGAAAACATGATCTATATTGACCTCGAGTACATTATATGGAGGGACCGAGATATATGAGGTTGCGGTTTAGAATGTCCTAGGATAAAGAGGAATCACGCAATTGCATTCCTTGGTAATAAGTCTTTAACCCTGATAGCGGCATATCAGAACCTATGAAAAACGCAAGGAGCAGTTTCCTCTGCCGCCAAATTACAACGATGACCAGGATTTTCCCAAGCTCACCTAGCCCGTCACCGGTAATGATGGCCTGGAATATTGGAACCGTCGTCCAGATTTCTTAAGCCGCTACAGCGACGATGAATACTGCGCGATCTATCACCAGCTGCTGGAGGGGGAACCGATCGAGTGTCCTAAATGGTACGTACTCCAATGACTCATGGGCCAATGGCAACGCTGATCGAGAATGATAGGAGTGATCTGACAGAACCTAAGAAGAGCAAGATATGCAAGTGTTTCAACAATTCAAAGCACCATGGGTCTGCTGTCAATATACTTATAGATTTGCTGCGAAAGCTGGACAAGGGACTTGTCATCAATTTCTTGGTTGGGTTTCAATTTTTTTTTTCAGCGACAAATCCGAAAACAAAGAGCCAAATATTTGCCATCGATGCGCTGCCTACAGATACTGCAAGTTGGCTCGCAGTATCAATCAAGGGATTAGGAACCAAAGGGCCGAGTGACGAAGACATCCTCAGGCAGCTACAACGATTCTAATCACTCTCGCCAAATGTCCATTCCAGCTATTGTCCTATCGATAATACCTTGGGATCAATATGACCAAAAAGAAGCACGCGTAACAGATGATATGGTGTCCCGAATTTGATACATCAAGCGGGGCACTCGGTCTTCATACCCAGAATTTGCATAGATAATTACATTATATATGTGACTTTTTGTATGCTAGACTCTATCCACTCTTTGATAAACCAGACTTCCGAGCCTGAATCTCTTTCCGAAGCTGTTCTTCTCTGTCTTCTAGCATCTGCAAGTGCTGTAATCTTTCTCTCTGTTCTCTGACACGTACTATCTCCGCCTCAAGGTCGAGGAGATCCGTATCTATGTTTTTCTCTGGCTTTGCAGGCGATAATTGGGTTTGTTCTTGATTGTTGTCTGAGGATTGATGGTGCAAATGTGCTGGAGCAGAGGTAGTTTTGCCTGGCATGGCGGCGTCTACTTCTCGAGATGTCGCTGGTTTGGGGTCATTCACGAAAACGGGAGAGCTCAGCGAGGCCTTAGATAGGGTTTCATTAGTAGACAGATCTTCGGTAAAAGCCGCGTCGTGTATTGATTCGCCCCATTTATTTGAAGCTAGAACCGCAGGTGGAGGAGCCCTGACCGAGGGCTGCGCATTCAACTCGTAGACAATGGGCGAAGGGGTATCACTGCTGCGTAAGTGCCGTGACGAGGACACGGGATTACCGTCGAATTCGTGGATAGCATTACTGTCAGGTTCATGAATAGGATTGCTATCTGCTTCGGCGGGCAGTGGCCTAGAGGCTGTCGAAGAGAGATTCCTGGGCCAAAATTGCTTACTCATGTCAGGAATATCATCACTACCAGTCCCCTGATGAACTTTCTTGTCCCGTGCTTGTTTGCGTCGAAACCAGAATATTCCGAGCAATATCGAAATGACGACGAGTGGCACTGCCACTCCGATTCCAGTTTTTGCGCCTGTTGAAAGACCTCCTGTTGGAGGAGGGGCAGACGACGATGCTGAACTGGAAGATGTTGTCGTTGCTGATGTGATGGCTACTCCGGTCGATATTGTTGTTGTTGGCTCTAACGTAGTAATGAAGCTGGTTGCTGACGTGATGACTGAGCCCGTCGCTGCTGCTAATGGCTGTGCTGACGTCGAAATCGTCGAAATCGTCGAAATGAAGGGAAATGAAGGGTAATAGGTACCGCCCTTCTGAGATTCTGTAACGGGGATCGCCTGTCGTCGATGTACGCCAGCATACTGGTTCATGTAGTTGGGCAGCTGGATATCGTCGCCGGTCACTAGCTGACAGAAGTCGAGGATACGGTCCGGTCCCCCTAAACATGATGAAGTATTAGCTTTATGAATTGCGTTTTTACTTTAGAAGGAACGAGCAGTAACCTACAACGGCCATCTTCATTATGAGGACATGCTGTAATGCAATTCTTGATTTCAGCATTACCTGCGATCTCACTGAAAGCTCTGCAGAAGCAGTCAAAGTCCGAGTAGGCGCAGCCACAAGCAAGAGCTGGTCCATACAGACATCGAAGCTATGTCGTAGAAGTGTTAACATAAGTGTTAATTTGTAGTTAAAGAGTTTCACTAGACGGTAGATGTCAATTATTTACATACAGTGCAGTGAGGAATATCTTCAAACCAGAGCTCTGGAAGTCGCGCATCGACCATTAGTCCCTGCCCGTCTGCCGGCGTTCCTTCGTCTGCATTCGACCATGAAAAGAGGCCCGAGAGAAACTCAACGGTAGTCGAGACTAGGAGCAACATCCTGAGCTTCAAAATTTCGAGCTGATGTAGGGCACGTAGGGGCTGGAAAGCAAGAACGGCGACGCTTCAACCGCCCAGTAGCGAGGCAGCCGAAGAGGGGAATATGATCCAGAACTTTACTTTAACTTGCGCATTGTGAGCTAGGATAACAACAACGCCATCCTAGTTTCAGAACTTCTAGGCTTCCACGTCGATTCGTTGTTGGAAGAATTTCCCTGCATGTGACCAAGGTATTATGCTGTACTATATATACCCATGTAATGTTGACCAGTAATGCAGGCCTTGCGGGATGTTGAAGATCTCCTCAAGCACGAATGATTGGGAAGATTAGCTAAGTTGCGACAAGGGTTAGTCTTTGGCTTGCATTGGGTTCTATAGTGGCCGCCAGCGTTATGCTAGATATCGGCTATACATGCCGTGCCAGTTTGTGGAATCCGAGTCTATGGTCTCTGACCTCGGGTCGCATCCGGTTAATCACTGCCAATGCAGACTACGGGGTGCACTAGGATAGGACTTGCATTACATAACAGCCTTGCAGTGACTCTGATTTTCTTCAAAAATAAGCTATGCTTGAAACGGAGTACCTAATCTGAAAATGCTGATGTGAAATACCATAAAAACACCAAAAGGTTTCTGTGAAGTTAACTCCCTCAAAGTATACGCCATGATCGTGCCAAAATGATCATATAGAGCGACATGATATAATTTAGCGTGATAATAGCTGCTGGGCTATTCATTCATACTATTTAGAAGTAGTATATGTCGAGTGACATGAAGTTTGGAGGCCGGAAAAGATTTTACTTGAGGCTAGGTGTCTAGAGCACTGATATCGAGCTATAGTTACTATTAGCCCTAAAGATCTATGAAGAGGTATTGGAACACCATCCCCGTCAAATGACAGAAAGTATTGAACTAAATGAATATCCATTCTTTTGAACGGTGACTTGAAATAGGGTTATCGGGATCAAGCAGCTCTGAACACACGGAGAGATCTTAATGTGCAATTTGAGTAAGATCATTGACTAGCTAGGTTTCCTTGGCTATGTTCTCCTACTTTGATGCATCTTCCTCTCCGGCTCTCTCATCAACATCCAAAGCAACAAGAAACCTGCTCACGCAATTATATGCCGAGACCGTGGCTGTTATTTCCACGATTTCGCGCGTGTTGTAGTACTGCTTGAGCCTCTCAAAAACATCATCACTGACTTTGACCGAAAGTGTCATTTGGTCGGCGTACGCCAGTGCAGCTACCTGCGAAGGTGATAACAACTGATTGGCTTGTAGCTCTGGGCCACTATTCTCAAAGCTATCCAGCTTGAGCACATGGAGCGAATCTGACGGAAACCCCGCATCGACAAGTATTGGAGCATGGTGATCCCATTCAAAGGACGCTTTATTCAGAATGGCAACTCGACAGATGAGAAGCTCGCTGAGGATTGGATGTAGACTTGTCTTTGTGCGTATGGATCCGAGAAAAGTGTTCCATCCGTCGGCGACAAATACAGAGTGGAGAAGAGCTCGGTCAAGAGGGAGCAAGCCATGAGACCCTCGACGCTCGACGATTCGAGCCAGGATCTCGGATTCGGTTTGGTTTTGGACCGGTACATCTTCAGGAACGTAGGGCACCCGCATGGCTTGTGAATGCGTTGATGGTATGCGACTATTGTATGTAATTGATCAGACAGGGTGGGATTGCCGATAAGTTGCGGGGTAGGTTTCTTAGCCCTAATACCGGTACCGAAACTCAATCATTGGGGCTGTTCACGGATTGTTTACGAATCAATGACAAGTCGAGATCTATCATCGAGCTTTCATGACCTGGAAATGAAAGCCAACGCGAAGTAGCAATGGCAGAAGATAACCTGAAGTGTATGTCACGTTAGTGATATGGAGGGGTATCGTGTAGTCATTTTACTTAATAGAACTGACCGGGAAAGATTACTCCTGGCGTGTTCGCTAGAATTTAGGAGACTATTTCTACCACGGTCATGATAGAGTTCCTGGTTTGTGATTTTATGCCGTTTAGTGACGGGAAAGACAAACTGAAAAGCGTCGGTGCCAAAAACGAATTAGGATCCCGTCACGATCTTACACTGAAGCATCTTATGCTAGGGCAGTCTTCCAGTCCAAGTCCTCAAGGCGCTGCTCTAACAGTCTCAATTCTTCCTTTAATCCAAGCTCAGCAGGTGTCAATAGAGACTTAGATCGGCCATCCGAACCGTAACTTTCAGCAATACTCGGAAAGTCATTTATAAATTTAAACATAAGCCCCGTTTCTAATCCCACAGAGCCCCAGAGCGCCTCATAAGACTCCAACGTCGTGTCGATATAAGCAACCTGCGTGGACTGAATTGCGCCGGGATGCTGAGACGCAATTTTCTTTAGCGCGTTGGATATTGCCAAAGCTATTTCTGGGCCTGTCAAGTACTCGATTGCTCCTGAGACGGTTTGGCCTAGTGTTTTCTCTGGTTGCATGAAGATGGAATGCGCGATGAGGCCGATGTTCAACGTTTCATCACCGACAAATGGGATCTTGGTCTGGGTGGCACAAGGTAGGGTTATGATATACTTCTGGGCCTCTTTCTGAAGGACCGGATATTGGCATGTCAGTGAGTATCCATGACATTGGATTACAGAAACAAGAGAGATTGGGATTAACTGACCACAAAAATCGGAGTATATGGCATCCGTTGGAAAACAGACGCATACAACCCAACATGCAAAAACGTCGTTCGGTCAGCCATCCCATTCTCCGGGTTCCTCAAATACTTTTCCGCAGGGATCTTGGATTGAAAATGCGGTGTCACAATCTTCCCATCCGTGATGCTATCGGTATCAACCAACGTTGACCATATCAAATGTTTCAGCGAGGGGATCTGAGCTGCAGCGCGTGCAATATTCAGCCCCTGGGTTTCTTCGCGTGTCTGTGCAGCGGTGGGACCGCTTGCAATAAAGGTTTGGGGATCGAAGGCTGTATTTGCAAAGATGAGCGTCGCATTCTCGAATGCTTGAGTGACGCTCTTGAGGGAGTTAAGGTCGGTGCCATGGATTGTGATCCGGGAGTTGCTGGCTGCTAAGCTGGTAGCGGCTTCGCAGGTTGGATTTGATGTCAGAGCTCGGATTTTGTAGTTTGAGAGGACAGGGGAAGAGAGGCAGGCTGAGATGACGCTAGCGCCTTGAGTTCCTAGGGCACTGACTACGACGATAATGTTATTCATTGTTGGAGGAATGACCCGAGTGTTTTATTGATAGAAATAGACTAGATAGAGTGTTCTTAGTTGAATTTGGGAATATATGACTATAGCTACTGACTTGATCATGTACCTACCTAGGTATATATCAATCCGACTTCCAACTAAAGTTGATTATTAATTGTACCATTAAGTCTCCGGGTCGTCGACTAGTTAGCAGGCTCCGGATCCTGCTTAGCCAAATAAATTAGTCCATTCGATCCACTCCATTGGATCTGTGAAATGTACTAACCATGAAATGTGTAATTATCATGCTGATCATTGCTTGAACGATATCATTCTATCAGAGGTGTTTTCAGGTTAGGGCTACGTGTAACAAATATATCCATTTTCGGCACGGTGACCTGAATCTTCGGATGATGAAAGTGAACGGACATTTATATTACCGAAACCACCACGGAGAAAAACAAGGAGGCTTTTTTGAAAAATCTAACATCGGTATACATTACCCGCTTGCAGATTGACTCTTAACGTAGCTGCAGTTGAGCCGAGTAATACATACGTAGGAACAGCCGTCCGAAACTCTTGTACTAATTCTTCAAAAAATCCAAGATCTTCCTGCCCCAAGTTCGATTATCAACCTCAAAAGTGCTCTCGTCATAAATCCTCCTGTCTACAAAGCTGATCTCATCCAACCGGACCCTAAACACCAGTCAGCATTAGGCTATTCTTTGATAATCGTTCGATTTATGGATTCACTCACCATCTTGTTTTGAACCACCATTTGTACCCAAAAAACATGACAAAGAACAACGGGATACTAATGTAACACGCGATAAAAGTCTTGTAGTTAAATGGTGTTTCAAATACCGTAAAACCCTGAATCAACAGAATGAAGATGTTGAAGACAAAATTTGCCCAATATATCCAGGATCTGCCAGGAGCGACGAAAGGGAATGTCTTCCGATCAATGCCTTGCAGTTTGGCGGCTGCTCTGACACGCAACTGGGTAAATGTGATTGCGGCCCAGGCAATGTATGCTGCTGTACCACCGAAGTCGGTAATGTAAACAAAAACTTCGCCGGCAGATGTGCTGAGAGACATGAGAGATAGAAAACCCCAGAGGTTGGAAAAGAGGATTGCTCGGTATGGCACTATTGATCGTATTAGACAAGTCTTGGTCTTGAGAGTAACCTATGGAAATAACTTACCACCCCGGGAAGTCGTGGCTGCGAAAAATTTGGGAGCTTTGTTTTTCAGTGCGAGCGAGTACAGTGTTCGAGACTGAATGTATACTACACCGTTTGCAGCAGAGATGAAACAGATCAGGATAATAGTATTAACGAATTGGCCGGCAGACTTCCATCCTGCAAGGACGAAACCGATGGTAAATGGAGAAGAAGCAACGGTGGAATCAGCACTAAGCAAGTCTGGGGAGTTAGAGGGGCAGATGAGTCCCTGAAAGAAGGCAAGACCGATGAACACGAATAAAATACGCCAGACGATGGAGTTTGTTGCCTGTTTTGCAAGTATCAGTACATGATCGACAAATACAATGGGAAATGGCTCGCACTCGAGGGACATCGCGGCGAGGGTTTCTCGACTCTCCGGCGGCGACAGACACGATCTCTGTACCAACGTAGAAGGCTGCTGCTAGGACAAATACCTGGCCGAAGCCATTAATGCCGTTTTTGATAGGACCTAAAATAGCTGTTTCAGCAGACGTTAAATATAAATCACCAAGAAATAGACAAACCATAGGGTTCTCCCCAGTACCGAAACCCAACATATCCATTTCCAAAAGCTCCAACGTTAGACAAGATGGATATGAAGAATAGGACAGCCAAAGCGATGAATTTGAACATTCCAAAGAAATACTCAACTTCACCGTAAAAGCCTACACCCAATGTCGTGATGGTAGAGAACAGTGCCCAGAATATGAGATACCATGCCCAGATGGGAACTGCTGTGGTAGGGACCCAATATTGAAGAATAACTGCTGCATTATTCCAGTCTGTAAAGCAATTAGCAAAGATCCTCCTAGAGTTATAGTCGTTTTCTCTAGCTCACCTGCAGCTAGAAAAACGCTCCACATAAAATAGTACATCCACGCCATGGAGAAACTGAGTGCCGGATCAACGAAACGGCCACAATGCTAAATAAGTCCATTGAATTAACGGAACGAACGATCATCGTGTCCCGGGTAGGGGGTATACGCACCTCAACAAAGCCTCCGTGAACAGGAAACAGCGTCGCGATTTCACCCACACTCTGCATGAGAATCCACATCGAGATACCCGTTATCACAAACCCGATCAGAACACCCAATGGGCCTGTCTCGGAGAATCCCAAACCCAGGCCATACAGACAACCCGGTCCGATGATACTTCCCAAAGCAATGATGACAAACTGTCTGCCCTTGAGACCCCTTCGCAAGCCATCTTCGATGATGTCTCCGGATACATCTCGGATGGTTTCAGCGGCAGAATCTCCGAGACTGTCGGCAGAAGAGGTCGTTACAGTGGCCGGTAAGCTTTTGGAGACGCTTGGGTCGGTCATTGTGCAAGATATATCTACACTTTTTTTGCATGAATGATAATTTAAAAGTTCGAATCAATGTAGTATAGACATTATTATATTAAATACTCGGCACTTATCTTTCTCCTCCATTGATATTTGTCGTTTCGTGAAAAGTATGAAATGCACGCAATGGCGCCCACTTCAATCACGCAGCACGCCATTTTAACTTAAAATATAGTCACAGTGGAGAGAAACGCATACCAGCAATATCTAGACGGGGTATATGTACAACGCGCAGGAGTATTCAAGCGACAAAAGAGACCTAACCGAACCACTTATCTTCTTTCTCGTCATGGCGTCAGTGCTAACAACTACAGGCGGAGACGAATACGTCGGGCGAGTCGCCGAAGTTATTGCCGCGGCATTCTCCAACTCCATCTTCACGGCTTATCTTCATCGAACGTCGGAGTCAACATGGCCGTCGACACAAGTTCCAATCGAGATTCTCAGACCTTATTTTGAGAAGAGTATTGCTCATCGAGTGTTGCACGGTGCAGAATTGGTGGAGGCCGGAAATTGGGCAGCCGTTGCAGTGTGGTAAGTTCTTTAAATGTTCATGACTACCATTAATGCCCATTGAAATTGAGTTTTTAAGTATGTACAAAATGAATCTGATTAATCTACCTAGGGTGCCTCCAGGAATTAGCATCCCTGCAAGCGGTGCTCTCGATCCGAGAATCCATGAATATCGAGATCGGTTTGCAGAAGTCAAGAAAGAGTACATGCAAGACCGGCAGTATTGGTATCTCAATCTAATCGGCAGACATCCGGATCGTACTGAGCCAGGTTGGTCTTAACTTAATTACAAGCTCAAAAAATCTCACTACGAATTTGGAGTTCTGCACTAATGATCAGTACAGGTGTTGTTCGCGCTTTGATCGATCCTTATCTACACAGAGCCAGAGCGGCCGGTATTCCGGTCTGGCTCGAAGCGATTAGCGAGCATGGACGGCAGGTGTATGAGCATCTTTCGTTTCGGACTGTGGCCGAGGTTCGATTGGGAGTGGGAAAGGTCAATGGGAATGGCGAGCTGGATAAGAAGGGGGAGGGACTGGTGGTTTTCGGCATGATGGCCGAGTAGGTGGAGCAGTTGTAATTGCATCTTTACCACGTGCGATTTGGAAATTCAGAAGGTTGAAGAATAGCTTGATTTGATATCAACTCAGCAATTATATGGAGAATGCATGGCGTCAGTGCCGCTTAACCAACGCAATTGCGGATTCGGATGTAAGGTTACCTACCAAGAAAGTACAAGCTCAAAGCTTAAGCTAGTGCCTGCTTGTACTTACGTACTTCAATTTAAAGTGGAATTCATAAAAGAGGCCAAGAAACCTCCCATTGCCATGCCTGCACAGCTTGAATGTATCCGCTGATTCAACATTTATGGTGTTCAGGATCTAGAAGTTGCGTTTCTTGTATGATGTCCTGAAAATTCAATAACAAGCTTGGTTTGAAAACAATCCATCATGGTTATCGTGGTAATTATGTACGCTGTTACCACAGACCCATGACTGAGATTTCGAATGGATTGAAGCCGAGGAACACTTTCTTCTCGTCCTGTCTTGCATTCTACACCCCTGCTCTGTGGTGTAGAACGTGAAATATTCTCTGGAGGGCAAGTTGACTCTATATCCGCCTATTGAACATGTCGCGGTTTGAACTTTGGTATCAAAATCCCGGACCAGGCATACGATTAAATCTTGCCGTCTCGTTCCAGATATGCTCTCTGGTCAAATTATGACGGTGCTGTTTCGCCTCCTCCCTTCCCATCGGCCAGTCTTCTGTTCCACGGAAGATCTCATCCACCAGTTCATAGGGCAGTCCCGCCGAAGTAAGTTCCTTACCCGCTTCCTGCGTCCACCAGTGATGCTGCTGTGGTGGTACATTTCGAGTTGAACACACTCGGTAGTGTGGATCAATGAGAAACATCTTGATTGAGCGATAATGCCCGGGGAGAGTCGCATCTAGCAGCTGGAACGGTTCGGCTTTGTACTCTAACACGCTCGGAAACGTGATTAATCGACCCTGCGGAGTTGCGACGGACCCGATATCTTGGTACGACAACATCCCGTTATAATCGATCGAGAGGTGCCAAGGATTTTCGTATCCCAGAATGCTCCCTACTGCCCAGAGGTCTTGCCCGTAACCTTTGCCACACCGATGGGCTCGTAAAGTCCGGGCATCGTAATTACCTGTAGTATACAGTTCTTCGAGAATCTGGTAAAAGTCGCCATAGAGGGTAGTGTTCTGTCGGAATGAGATCTTAGGGGAGGTGATGTTTGAGACGTCGTAGGCGAAGATAGCGACAGCAGCGATGTGTTCGTTAAGTTGGCCGTCGAGCTGCCAAGAGTCGTTGGTGTATGTGGGATTTTGCGGGGTGAGTTCAATATTCTCCATCTTCACAATAATTTGCAGGCCTTGCTTGCGGAAGGTGTCTTGGAGAGAGATGGTATATGGGCTGTGGGGGGGAATGATGGGCTTAAAGGGCTGCCGGTCAGGAGCCCAGTTATTCCGGTGACGGACGATGTCAATGATGGCTTTATCGTTGTGTCGGTTAGTCTTCCACTCCTCGTACGAAAACGCGGTTCCCGGTTCTGGATGTTTGAAGCGTAGCAGACGCTCTAATTTCCGTTCAATGCTCCACCACGGCTTAGAGTCGCCCTCCATCCAGCCGTCTGGGGCTGCGACAGGGGTGTTTGAGCCGTTCTCTGGGAGTTCTAAATATTCCTTGGCTCTTTTCCAGAGGTCAGACTCCGGCGGAGGCAGCTTTTTGTCGAGGTTGTCCGACACGTCTCGTAGCCGACGGAGCTGCCCTTGTGCGTGGCGGTACTTTCTTCTACCATTCCTCGTTTGGTCATCCTTGTTGCTCTGTAACATTTCTTGGAATTTGTGGTACTTTTTTATCCTGTGTTCTGTGGGTACTCTGAATGTGAGCGCCCATTCAGGAAGCTCATTCTCCCATTCGGCCCCGTAGGTGATGATTCGTAAGGGAACCGGCCCCAACTGCCCTTGATTGGAGTCATCATCCCAGCCAATCTGTCCTTTCACGAGACAGTCATTCCATGGCTTGATTGTGATGGAGATGAGTTTCTCAATGGCCTGGTATAGACCCTCATGGGCTGGGTGCAAGTTGTTGATGTAAGAGGTAATCTGCACCTCCGTTCCGGAGTCGTGGAGAAATTTGACTTCACATGGAAGGCATTGATAGTTAGCACTCCAGTGGTAGAACTCGAACTTGTCACCATCGGGATCGCCAATGCCCCAACATGGAGTGCCCAGTCTGTCAATTTTCATCTGCAAGGACTCGGAATTGGTCCGTCGATCGTAAGGCTTGGGCGCGACCGTTGCATCTCGATAGGAACCCAGCACATTGTCGAAGTCCACTTGTCCTCCATCCACCAAGACGAGGCTTCGTCCATAGACTAACGGAAATAGCAACGGATCAACCACAATCAACACGGTTTCGGACTGCCAATCCAAAATCCGTTGTTCCTGCTGCTCCTCCAACAAAGCCGGCATGGACTCTCTGAACGCCGCACTGAGAGAGTCTAGAGTCTCTGCATCCGCTTTGCACACGCATGATCCAGTATCAAGAACCCGGATATGGATCTGGCGACTCTCGCGGAGATCAACCGCTTTATCGCGCAGCTCCCTTACGCACCATTCCCACGCTTTTTCGCTCATGAGTGGGGTCGTGTCAAAGGTCTCTTGTTTCCAGTTTGCAACAACTTCATCGTCGGAAATCTCCAAATACCAAGAAGGCCTATCGGTGAGATGGTTCATCACGGCGACCATGGTTAGCTCGCGGGCCGTGACTGCGGGGGCCTGTCGCCACTCCACCACTCCGTGCGCAAAACGGGCGTTGGAAGGGAGTTCATAGTGGATCGGGATGTTTGCGAACCCTGGGACACGGAGCGGACCGTCGCCAGTATTGTCGAGGGCGATGTGAATCTGCTTTGTCGCTTCAGTCATGAGAGAGGGAGACTAAGTCACGTTGGAGCATTCGTGGATACTTCCAAGGGGGGAATATAAATGATAACTGGTGGTAACCTCAGTAGAAACAGGTGAGTCGACGGGCTGTCTAGTCCGGACTTATATCTTTTCTCCTGTTTGTCTAGTTTGAATTAGTCTTACCACATGATCTTAGCGCCCATATAGTTATTCTCTTACACCTCACATTTTTCTGCATAAACGACCCTGGACTCGCTTTCCCATACTTGCAATCTTCGCCGTATCCAGATTTTTGTCTTCTGGTGTGCTTTTCTAGGTGGATGCAGCTAATTGCTGAATCAGGATTAGTAACAATAGATATACTTAGTTGAGTCAACTAGTTAACCAATGTGCCGTGATTCCCGCCCAATTTGTTGTTAGTATTGAATCTGATTTTCAATTCAAGCAACTCGTAAACTCACTATATACATGTACATAAATATAGTAAAGACCAGTTAGAGAGTAGATATCCCGTGTTTTGTCCGCCATTTTGCCGGCCGACAGAACGCCGTAGCAGATCCCAAGCCCACAGCCGTGCGAGAGTCGGGAAGTACACCGTGTCCCTACAATGTATTAGGTATTCTAACAAGTTCACATACAAAGGCGGTCATGAGGGCGGCGAATGCCCTGAGTCTATTATTCTGTCTTGCGCGATAGCCTTGCCCTCGCTTCATCATGCCAGGGATTTTTTCCACCATCTCAGCCAGCGACGTTGGAGTGATTTCGCTCGTTAAACTCATAGGGTATCATCGTGAGCTTTTGGTGGAGTGCCAGACTTGTAGACTGAGCAAGGCATGGACACGCTTGCGGTTATTGTCGTGCATTGTTTCGTAGATGTCGCCCACGCGCCAGAAGTCGAGTTGTGGGTAGCTGCCGTCTAGAACGGGGACGAGGTGGAATGGGCTAGGTGGTCTGCCCAGCTGAGAAAGGATCAGTATATGTATTCACATTTAATTAATGTGTTGTGTTATGTTGAGTGACGCACCGCACGACACGAATATTCAAAAATTCAACAACGACTTCTCAACCCCCAACGTCGACAATCTCGATCCCTCCCTCAACTTCACGCACTCATTCACATACATATAAATCGCCCAACGATATCCTCAGCTAGAGGCTTAAATCATATAGGCGCCCTATTCCTATCCTCAATTGAAGGGCCCTCTGTCTCGGGAAGCTCAACGTCGAATTGAGAGTGGAAATCAATCTGCAAGTCGCTGACATCCTCGATGTGGTCGTCCGATGGAGTGCGTTCGGTGGCGACGCCTCAGACGAGTTTTTCTCAGAGGACGTTGAGTCTCTCGCAGGCTACTTGGCTTCCATGTCGAGGAATTGTGCATTTTTCTCTGTGTTAAAGTATGAAAATGGTTCAGGGAAGATCGTGGCGAAGAGATGAAGTTTACGGGGCGGAGTGGAATGGCAGGAGTGACGTATCATTTGCTTAGCCCAGATCATGGTTTGGCTTCCACCAGTTGAAAATCACATATATATTCTGCTAGATTTATGAAGAACAGAAATATCGGCAGTCTTTGGCAGACCTTCCACAACTTGAATGACCGTATGGCACCAGGTTAGAGCAGAAMCCCGCCGTGAGGCTCGGAACCAACCTAAGCGTTTAGCATCACCAAATCTCCTCTGTAAGAGCCAAGTTGATGATTTGAGAAGGAAATAATATCTTTATTTTATAGATATATTGCTTGTTTAACAAAGACAAGACACAGCATGTAGTCATAGCTCATAAACAATAACATCATCCAACCTCAGAGTCCTCACACGTATACTCATACTCATCTAATCAAGATGAATAGCCGGCAAAGGCAACCTGATCGCATACACACTAACCGCCGTGATCGTCAACAACACACCTGTAGCCACAAACGGTAAGCCCAACAACAATCCACCAACTCGCATGCCAAGCTCAAAACTTCCAGTGAGTAGAGGTTCGTTGGCGATTTTGCCAATTGTCTCGCCGATCGTCATGGCTGTGTAGAGCATGCCGACATGGCCTGGTTCAATGAATGGAGTTGCTAGACTCAGGACAGCGGGGACGAAGCCGTGGCCGAGGGCGAATATTGTGAGACCTGAATCATAGGTGAGTTTGCTTTCAATGAAAAATGGATAGAAGGTGCTTACCAGTGACCATAATCGTCAGCGTTGGCGCTAGACCAATAACAAAAGCGCCTAGTGCCAAACACACAATGCTCGCACGGGAAATCCAAAGGTCTTTCTTTCCTGCATCGAATCCACGCTTGAGAAGCAGCGCGCTCACACCGGGTAGAATTGTACTAAGAAGTACCAGATTGACAACATTGCGATACGTCAACCAGAAACTGGCCTGCGAAATGCGCCATCCGTACCGTTTTGAGACGTAATTCAGAAAAAAACCAGCTGACTGATCGTACAACTGGCCCACGGAAAGTAATGGTACTAGTAGGAGTACCTGCCGCGATGCAATCAAGTATCTGAGATCGCGCAGACTCGAGACTACTTTGCGTACGCGCCGCCAGGGTGTATGCTTTGGCGCGTCGGCATATAGAACTGGGTCATCCTCTTCATCTTCAGGATCCTCTTCCTCAACTGGAGTAGTCTGTGCTAGATTGGTCGAGGATAGGGCTTCTGGCTTGACGAATGTCTCGGGAAGGACTAGTACGGTCGTAAGAATAGCCATAATGAATGCGATCAGCCCAAAACGGGCTGGCCACCAGGGTTGGATGCTTGCAAGGGCTCCGCTGGCTGGTGATAGGACCATGTCAGAGAGAAGAGCAACTCCGTATAAGCGGAAGAATTTTGACGCCCTGACACGATCAGTATTCGTAGAATTTTGGCTGATAAGATATTTGTTACCTCTTTTCCTCTGGCGTAATGTCGGACACCATTGCGAAAATCATGGCGTTCGCAACTAGGGTGCCGCCTCCGGCTAGTTGAAAAACAACTGACAGCCAAGTCAATCGAGTCGGGAAGACCGTCGGCCAGAACACTAAACTGTCAGTCAAGGGCTAAACCTTTGCTGAAGAATATACATACAGACAACCTGCGTCCAAACAGCGGCCAACAGAATCCCCACAAGCGAAAGGCCCAGCACAGGCCTCCGCCCGAACCGATCCGCCGCCATACCATAAAACACGCCAAACAATATCCCGGGAGCAGTATCTAGTAGCTGCTGCCATTTGATCAATGTCTCCAACTCATTTTGTACATATTCGACTCTGCAGTCTCTTCCCAGCGACCATCCAGGGCCGTAATAGGACATGCAGCTTGATAACTCTTTGAGTTGAACGAGGGGCGGTTGGAGGACGACATTGCCGGCTTGCACGAGGGCGAAGATGGTGAAACAGAGGCGCCAGATGTGTTTGATGCGTGCCTGCTCGGCTTTTTCGAGGAATTCGGCCGCGAGGGCGGCTTCATGTTGTTCGTTGTATTCTTCTTGTTCGTGACGGATGTCGTCGGGCTCGGCCGAGGATGGAGTGGCTTCTGGTCGGCCGGTTGTGGACGAAGGGGTTGGAGACATGGCGGATGACGGTCGTGGCGAGATGGATGTTGAAGAACCTGCTTCAAGCGACATGATGCTGAGCCATACAATCTAGCCGATAGCGAGAGACGAGAGCGATGGACGAGAGACGAAAAAGGATAGATAGATGAAGGTACGGATGGTCGATTAGAGACGAATTATCGATAAGATTAGGACCACGCCGGGTCTGCCGGATCATGGGGACGCCTAATCCGGATATGGACTAGTATTGTCATGTGGCTGTTCTGTCCGGACAAACATAACAACCATCTTCAATAGAAAGCAAATGTTCGCATCTCTTACAATGAAGTGCATTCCACAGTACTCCTTGAGATTACGTACATTTCCACGTGTACTTACAAGACAAACGAAGTCTACTTGGAGGACAAAAAGTCCAGACAAGATGCACCGCCACACATCTCGGCTTTAACCATTAATGCGCCACAGTTTAACCACAAAGAGCAACTAAATCCATGAGGTGACTCAACTAATCCCGCTAAGATAAGATAAAGCCGACATGACGCGTCTCCCCTCAAAAGCTTCGTCTCATCAGGAAAAGCATGGGGAAGCCTCCAATCATATCTATGAAAATGTGCATCGATCCTGTTTAGCTTCAGAAGGCTCAAGAAGCTTCTCTCTAGCTTCGTAAGCGCCTGTTGAGTGTCGGGGTGGCGGTTTGCCACTTTGCATGTGCCAGCTAGTGGTTGCTGCCTATCGGAGATATCTGTCTGTAACCTCCCTGTAGACAGTGTATACTCTTCTATAAGAAGGAGCATGTTTCCTAAGACATTCGACCTTTGTCACTATCATCAACACTCATCATCAATAATCACCACTTTCCTCTTTATCAACCTATTCTATGAAAATATACAAACACTTTACGACATTTTGATATAGCAACATGTCTATCTTTTTTGAACCCCGATCACACTGGGGGCATCCTGCCTCGTTCATGCAGCAGCCCACTCCAGCAAATGCGGAAGACCAGCCAAGCGACGACAATGCCGAACGTCCTGGACCCCGTTGTGGTGGACCTCACCACCACCGTGGACACCGCGGTGGTCCTCACGGTGGTCCCCGTGGTCATCGAGGCGATCCATTCGGTATGAGAGGAGGTTACTCTCATCACCACGGCCAACGCGGATTTGAGCACGGACATGGACCAGGTCCTCGCGAAGAGGAGCCCTTCGGACCTATGCGCTGGGGACGTGGAGGTTTGTTTGGACACCGCGGAGGCCACCATCACCCTTACCACGGCTTCCATCATCGCCGTGGTGGTCGTGGAGGAGTACGCGTTGTTCCCATTCCTCTCGGCGGACCTGCAACTGGTTTCGATTTCCTGAATCGGTTTGCCTCTGAAATGGGCAACGGATTCCAAGATTTCCTGGCTGGCAACCGTGAAGCCAACGATGATAACAAGACCCAAGTTGACTTTGAGCCTCACGCTGACGTTTTCAATACTGCAAACGAATACGTCATCCATGTATCCCTACCTGGCGCACAGAAACCTGATATCAGCGTGGAGTACGATGCGCAGAAATCAACTGTGCGAATTGCGGGTGTTGTGCATCGACCGGAATTTAGTGAGGAGTTGAATGCCGCCATGGTCTGGAACGAGAGGCGTCGGGAAGTTGGCGTGTTTGAGCGCAGCTTCAAATTTATTCCGTCTGGTTCAGAGACCGTGGACGTTGATGGGGAGAATATTACGGCCAAGATGGTCGATGGAGTACTTGTTGTTCGATTGCCAAAGACGCAGCAGGAACAGGAGGAGAAGCAGAATAAGAAGATTGTCATCAATGAGGACGATGATCTCTACGACGCAGATCCTGTCGAGAAGGAAACAAACGTCGAACGCAACACTGAAGATGTTCCCACAGATGAAAAACATGCATCAGTGGTCGAAGTACAAGACGAAATGGACTCTATGCACATTACCAGCGATACAGAGGCGGGKGATTTGTTGGAGGAAGCAGATCACATAATCTATACACCGTCTCATCTGTCTGAAGAAGATGCCGAAGAAGCTGCAGAGTATGTCAAGGTCGATGCCAAATAAAGGGCTGAGTGTTGGAGTTTGGAATTGTCTTTATGAATAACCTCACGGGATACGGCGTTGGTTTGATCAACTTGGTTTAATTCTCTTTGTTCTCAAATAATAAATAGGTAGTAGATAGTACTAATGACACTGCTACCGCAAATTCTTAACAAATACACTTTCCATCAATTCGCAATGTAGATATTACCTTAAAGTTTACCTTAAGACAGATAAGCAAGCATGTGGGTTTTCAATCAAGTAGACTTGAATATAGTAGCATCTTAATTTGTTCGCTGTTACTTGCTGATGTTTGACGTCTTGCTTACAGTGTCTGGTGTAGTGTGCACTTTAAGAATAGGGTATATGAGGTTATATATTAGTGTATAACACCTCGATTAATTGCTTGAGTATTTATGAATAGGAATAAGGGAATGAGGAAAGTGACTCCTATCTATCTAGATAGACCCATCCATTGTCTGGGCACGAGATACGGTATAAGATGGTTAATGTTGCTCTGATTCTCTGTTACATGTTCAATCATCTTTTGTTTTAGGTAGTAGATCAGATTCTCGTTGGATATCTATTGCAAAAAAAAAGTCGCGCTCAACTTTTCGTAGCCAAGTAACAAACAATCGTGTACAATCATCACTCATAATCTCATAATATATATACACCCCAAATACTCTCAATTTACACGAACCTACCCAAACCGAAACCCCTTCTCCCCATCCCTCCCAATTCCATTGCTACGCCCCATAGACCGATACGTATGAATTGAACTCCTCGGCCTCCCTGTCGCCGCAACACTGCTACTAGCATGCGTATTCCTCGTGGCGACAGGCAACAAGCCTGTCCCAAAGTAGTTGTCCAACTCCTCTTCACTGAGCCGTCTCGTAGAAGACGCCTTTGAGCGGCACAGAATGCGCTGGATTTCGAGTTCTTGGCTTATCATTCTCTGCTGGTTGGCTGTACTGTGGGAAACATCTCTATTGTGTTGAGCGTTGTGCTTAGAGGAGGAGGAGGAGTGGGTAGAACGCCATTCACGAATCCGCCTCATCACCACTCTACTTACGAGACGAATATCATCAACTGACAACGCGAACAAGATCAGTGGGATAGAGATCGAAAACCCAATCCCAAATATATACCGAGCCACATACGAAATCGGCAGGCTTGTATTTCCGGATTGATTATCGTGCGGAAACTCGGCGACATTTATGGCGAAGAACGATGCAATGAACGACAGCGGAAGAAACACAATTGTCACGATCGTGAACATCATGATCGTTTTTCCCTGCCTAGCTGTTCCCGCGGCTTGGTCGCGCGCGAAGCGGGCTTCGAAGGCGTTTGCGTGTTTTTGCTTGAGGTCTAACAGATCCGTAATGGAGTTGTAGATGCGTTCGGTCTGTTTGTCCATTCGATCTACGTCCTTGTTGTGCATGTCGATATTGCGTTGTTGTTCGCGGAACTTTTTCTTGATATCGTTTTGTGATCGGTTCTCGTCGTAGTAGATTTCGCAAATCGCATCTTGGAGGTCCTGGAGGACTTGTTTCTGGTATTCGAGCACGGTGCGGATCATGTTTAGTTCGTCGCGGATGTCTTTTGCTTCGGCTAGGAGGTCTGTTTCTTGGCCTATGTCGAGGAGTTTGTCGACGAATAAAGGCTGGGAATCTTCTTTGTCGTTGTTGCCGTCACCGTCACCTTTACCTTTCGGCGAATCGTCTTCTTTGGCAGATATATTTTCTACAATGGACCGTCTCATGCGCCGGTGGTGTTTGAGCCATTCGGAGGCTTGCGCAGAAGCAACGTTGAATTCGCGGAAGAGGACCGTCTCACGGTCTGTGGCTGTACCGATGCACGACTCGAACATGTCGAGGAATTGGTAGTCTTCGTCGCCCATGCGGTGTCGATCAAACATGCCTGAACAGCGAGCAGTGATGACTGTCGCGAGCTCATAGACCGACCGCACCGGTTCACGGGTTTTGGAGTTGATATCCTCGATGATCCCATCTAGGACATTCAAAGGGTCGTTCTTGGGCTGCTCCCATCGCTGCGGAAAGCTAGTTACGATCAGATTCTTGCCCAGCACCCACATCCAGAGTTGATCGACCATGAAGATTTTGGGATCTTTGGCTTTGTGTTCGGTCCAGCGCGTTTGGTACCGATATACAACCTGGTCGCCGTCGCGTGTCTCGGTGTCGATGTTTGGATAAAAGAACTGATCCAGCGTTCTGCGCACATGTAGCGACGCAGTTGACGAATTGATATGCGCGCGAATCAGCATTTCATCCCTCGTCGACGCTCTCGTCAATCCCGGCTGTGGCGCAGATACGAATGTCTCTGCCTGTTTGATGGTTTGTTGCATCTTTTGCTGACTCTGCGCGGTCTCGAAATGAAGGTATGGCATGAATACGCAAATATTGCATTTGGCCGCGAAACTCATGTCTCTCGCTAAGTGAGGCGTCGCTGAACGCGCGTGTTTGTCCGGACCATGGCCGCTGGATTTGGTTTTGTCGTTTTTGGAATTGTCTTTTCCGCTTTTGTTGTTGGTGCTGTTTTTGTGTTTGGCTTTTGGTTTGCGGCCGGAAACGCTGTCGTCGTCTTGGGAGTATGAGTCTTTGCTTAGACCTGTCTCGCGTTTTCTGAGAGGTGTAGGACTGAATTCGGCTGGCTTTGTGACCACAGGACCGTTGATGACGACCTGCGGTAACGGGCTTTTCTCTGGAGGTGCATGCTCTTCTTTCTTTTCGACTTCGTCGTTTCCTCTCAGCGAGCGAGGTGTACTCTGGCATAGTGGTCTCATGAAATGCGAATGTGGCCGTTGGCCACGATGCTGATGCCCAAAGGACTTTTCCAGGCCCTTGAATCCTTCCACGTCACTTGCGCCTTCTTCGATGAATGATTTCGTCATCAATGCTTCCACCCAGGCCATGTTGTTTGCAGGCAGATGTATCCAGCGGAATTCACTTGCCTTTACATTCGTCGGTAATGTCGTAATAGCCTGTTTTCGTGGGTTTTTCGGGTCCCGGCCATATAGCAATTCGTACACAGATACCTTCTTCACTCGATTCTCATTATGAAAGTTTCCAAAATCGACGATTGTCGCATCGAATCCTTTGCAAGCACCCTCTGCATCTGCAGACAGCGCCTCGACGTGGTTGAATGGGGCAAGTAATTGTACAATATCCTTTCGTTTGAACTGAGCAGCTCGTAAGAACGGCGTACTGCCAAAAGTATCTCGCGTTCTTCTGCGTAAGCTTGGTTGCTCGAGAAGACACTGAACTACATCTGTATGACCGGCTTGTGCGGCCAAATGCAGCGGTGTCATTCCGTTGAGTAATTGGCTATTGAAGTCTGCACCAGCCTCAAGAAGTATACGCACAATCTTCTCACAGCCCTTGTCGCAGGCATTATGGAACGGGGTCCAGCCTCCATCACTTCGCGCATTGACGTCTGCTCCATATTCCAGTAGCAATTCTACCACGTCCTCACGATCATGGGCAGTCGCAAGATGCAGAGCCGTCTTGTTGCGAAGCTCCGTCGCATGAATATAATCAGTCGGGCAACCCTGTGGCCTGGAAAGAAGCAACTTCGCGAAATGTGTTTTGCCAGTAGTACAAGCCCAATGCAGCGGCGTTCTACCGAGGTCGTCCCTCGCATCTATTTCGCACGACGTCCGCAACAACAAATTAACCACGTCGTCACCCCAATCGCATTGCTTATCCGCCGCAAGATTGTGCAATATATTCCGCTTCCTATTGTCCCGCGCATTGACATCCGCGCCTCGCGTAATCAGAAGCTGCAGAACATGCCACTGATTCTTCCATGCCGCCATCATCAACGCCGTCCGACCTTCCCTATCCCTGAACTCGGGCGATGCACCCGCATCAAGCAATAACTTCACAATCTGCACATAGTTCCTCTCCACCGCTCGAAAGATAGGCGGCGCTCGATTTCCGCCAACTTCCACACTCGCGCCTTCTTTTAATAAATATTGCGTCGCTTCTACGCATCCTCGTTCGCACGATTTCACCAGTCCGATTCCGAGGAAAGTGGGATTTAATTGGCCCTTTTGACGTGCGAGATGGGTGATTTGTTCGAGTGCTGTGAGGTCGTTGTTTGTGGCGGCGCGGAGGAGTTGCGGTTCGAGGCGGTCGCCGTGTTCACTGCCAGCGCTGGACCGGGAGCGTGAGCGCGACATTGTGCAGTTCTTTGGTTGTTGAGTGCCTTTCGGCGTGGTGCGTTAGGTTGCCATTTCGATGCGACAAACAATTCGACCAGGGGATATTAATTTCGACTGATTGTCAAATATATTGCTGAACGCTGTCGCAGATGTCACACGCTATATTAAAATTATATTAAAACAGCAACGAAATTGAAAAAAACATCAAGGTGATATGCTCAGCGCATCAAGATGCATGAGAGAAAAAAAAAGAACAAAAGATGAACAGAAGATGAAGATCCCCGACTTATCCCCAAACTGGATAAATGATAAAGATACCGTGCTAAAACATGAAAATACGCAAATCTGCACGTCGCATAGACGAAAGTTTGTTTTATTCACGTAAGTACGAAAAACGGCTCSTATATTATACCGGACGGCCTATGGGGGGCCGAGCCAAGCGGAAGACGTCCGTGCCATGAATCTTAGAGGCTTTGATTGGTTGAGAGGGACTTTCAGCCGCAAGGAAAGTTTGGTGCTTCCCGAGATTTCTTGGCGTTCGTATCACGGGATTTGTTTGCTTGCTTCTTTCCTTTTGTACCTGTACCACCTACCACATACCTACAAAAATCCTATCCGCTAACTGCTGACAGCGAACTCTTCCAGCTCTTTCAGAATCTCCTGCTTGACCTCATCTTCCGCCCAACTCATCTCCACAGCGTTTCGCACTAATTGAATCATATCACCCTCCGAAAACCGACAGTATTCGTACACCTTCATCATATTCCCATCAATCCACACATTATGCATATACGTCGGATCATCGCTGTTGATACAGATCTTCACTCCCTCGTCCCATAACTTCCTGATTTTAGGAAATAGTGTTTCGGTCGCTTGGCGACGATGGTACGCATGCGGACAGAGCGTTAGACCGATATTGCGCTCTTTCAATCCTTGCATCAGGTCTGGTCTATCAATCGCGTTCAGACCGTGATCAATTCGTTCTGTGCCTTGGCCAGCGCAGACCTGGAAGATGGCCTCATGCACATGGTCAACGGCATCTTTCTGATCCACGTCGCAGTGCATAGTGACATGTAAACCATCCTCTTTCGCTAGTCGGAATCCTTCTTCGAACAGTAAAGGCGGGCGGTCATATTCATTGCTCGCCAACCCCACCGCATGGAAAAGTCCCTTTCCCTTTCCATCTTTGGTCGTTGCCCACGGCCTTGCGGTGCGGTATGCCTCCAACCCACTTTCCACTGACTCATCGCGCAAAAAGCAGAATATCCAATTACTCCGCACATCGCACCGCTCCGCACCATCACGCTGTGCCCTCAAAAACCCATCCAAAACCGCCTCCGCAGCAACCCCTCTCTTCGTATGCGCCTGAATATCAAAAAACGGCTCTACATATCTCACATTCATCTCGGCCGCTTTCCGGAAATAGTCCATGGCCAATTCATAGAAATCGTCCTCCGTGCAGAGAACCTGACAGCCTGCAAAGTATGTTTCGAGGAAAGTGGGTGCACCATTGTCGCCGTTGAGTTCGCGGCGGTGGTTGTAGGTTACTTTGTAGCTGTCGACGAGCTCGGAGTAGGTTTCGTAGGGTAAGGGGATGTTGTTCCGATGGGCGAGTTTCCAGCGCAAGGCAGGTGTGAGGGTTCCTTCGATGTGGATGTGAAGCTCGACTTTGGGGAGGGCTGCGATAAATGGGGAGATTTCGAGGCCGTTCATTCTGCCTATCTATATTTTTCAATGTTGTCAACGATTTGCAAATATTTTACCGTTATCTTCTGCAAAGTTATAAGTAGCCATGTTAAGTCATAATTCAAGCTAAGTCGGAGTATCCGACAACGACGCCCCTCTCTCGGCACTTCACCCGCTGTAAAGATAATTAATTTTGAAATCATCCCACCATTAGCCGTGTCCCATTCCAGATAAGCATCTCGACTAGGATCAATTTAACCAAATGCAGGCAATTCCAATCGGGACTCGCCGACTTGCTTCTGCGATAAACCTATCTAGGTAAGTTAACTGATTAAGCGCCGAGTTAGATCGCGTGGGGACGTGAAATGACTTCCAATTCAGGCGATTTCTTATCTCTATACTTACGCACTTCTCCCCAGAGCTAAAAGTTATATCATGAACCATGCTCCCCTCTCCAACTACCTCCGGAGAAAATACTCCTTTGCTACATGCCCCCTCCCCAGAACCAACCATGCCGTCGCCACAGACAGAGACTGCCCTTGAGGGTGGCACTCCAAGCGATGCAACGCGCATCCGTCGCATCGTCCGCAAAATCGACTGGCGACTCATCCCCCTTTTGTTCTTTACGTACATGCTGAATTTCATGGATAAGACTATCTTGTCGAGCGCGTCTGTTTTCGGGTTAATTGATGATACCGTCTGTCCCCGAATTCATAAATCCCAATGATCAATTCATGTTTTATGTTAATAGTTTTGAATAGCACCTCGTCGGCCAACAATACAGCTGGGTCTCCAGCATCTTCTACTTCGGCTACTTCTTCTGGGAATACCCGACAAATATCCTCATTGCGCGGCTACCAGTAGCCAAATATCTGGCATATACGACTTTCTTCTGGGGCGCCGTCGTCGCGCTGACGGCTGCATGCGTGAATTACGGCGGTTTGCTGGCTGTTCGGTTCTTGCTCGGTGTTGCCGAAGCCACTATTACGCCTGCATTCATGTTCATTACCACGACATGGTATACGCGCGACGAGATTCCCGTGAGGACGGGAATATGGTTCTCCGGAAACTCTATTGGCGGTCTTGTAGCCAGTTTGCTGGCATATGGAGTAGGACATATTGAGCATCCGCTGCATCCGTGGATGTGGATGTTCATCATTCTCGGCGTGTTGACGTTTCTTTGGGGGTTTGTGTTGCTTGCGTTTTTACCGGATAGTATCTCCAACGCCCGCTTCCTAGACGCAGAGGAGAAAGAAATCATCACCAAACGCGCTATAATAAAAGGCACAGGACGCACGGAACAAGTCTCCTGGCGCTGGGATCAGACACGCGAGTGTCTCCTCGACCCCAAAACATGGCACATCTTCTGCATCACGATCCTGACCCAAATCCCGAACGGAGGGACACAAAATTTCGCCAATCTGGTCATCAAGTCGTTTGGTTTCACGTCGTTGCAATCTACGCTCATCAACATACCCGCTAGCGTGGTCAGCGCGGCATCGATTGCGTTGACGGGTTGGTTGGCGGGACGATACGCGCACCTCAATAACATTCTCATAATAGTCGTGGTCGCGCTGGCTGTCACGGGCAGCGCCATAATCTACTCGCGGGCTCACATCCCGCACAAGGGCGCGCCTCTATTCGGGTATTTCCTTCTCGAAACGGGGCCTGCTATTCTGCCCCTCGTAATGTCGCTCGTACAGGCAAATTATAAGGGCGTCACAAAGAAGCAAACCATGACGGCGATGATGTTCATCGCTTACTGCGCGGGAAACATTGCTGGACCGCAGTTTTTCAAGACGAAGGAGGCGCCGGTTTATGCCACGGCATTTAGGGCGATTTTGATTTGTTATGTGCTTGCGGCTGTATTAGCGGGGTCGTTGCGGTTTTATTTGGCTTGGGTGAATAAGAGGAGGGATAGGGAGGAAGGTGTTGTTGTGGAGGATACTGAAGGCGGGGAGATGAGGGTGCAAGGAAAGGATGTTGATGCGGTTGTCGTTACGGATGTTACGTTGCAGGCGGAGGATTATGATGATGTTACGGATTGGAATACTGTTGGGTTTAGATATCGTCTATAAATCTTACAGTTGTACTTGAGAAACGACTTTAGAATCAATTCGATAACCAGGAGCCGAGAAGTCGCCCCATCCATTGTATGCATATTAAATAATAGGTTAATAAGGTAAGTAATATATAAAACCATGGATCCTCCATTTTTTAGGGGTTACTCCCGAACTCAAACACCGCTCAGAAACAAAGCCGCTATGTCTAGTATTAGTTTTCAGGGATAAATATATCCGCATGGTCGGGACCAAACCATGCATGCATGCAACTCATTAAGCCATTCAGTTCCATCCAGCACAGGAAGGAACTATTTTTTTTGTCTTTGAAAGAATATCAAAGAAGGTGAAGTTAAAAACAGTCAAAAAGAAAAGTGGTGTATATACGACGACGGATCACTTCTTTTTGCCCCCCTTCGTGGCAGTGGCGGGAATGTCCTTGAGGATATCGTCGAAACTCATGGTGGGATTCATGCGTGCAAATGGTTTGGCAGGCGGTTCCACGGGGATTACACCGGCTGGTAAGGGTAGGGCCTCCAATGTGTTATATATGGATCCACGATGGCCGTGGGACGCGAACCCGGGCGAGTTTGTGCGTGGTACAGTGTGCGGCGAGTTAGTGCCCGGACTTAGCATAGACTGTACGTCAGAAATCGACCCGATCGACGATTGCGGTGCAGGAGGCGCAGAAAATAGTGAAGAAGCGTCTTCAGTAGTGATGGGCGAGTTGAGGTTCCTTTCTGCCCATTGACTGGCAACTTGCCAGCAGTGGCTGCGACGGTAGACTGCATCGGTCGCGTTGTTGACCACATCTGACGGAAGACTGACGACTCCCTGTCCACCAGCGACACCAAACCAGCTACGTCCACTCTTGCCATCGTTCTGAATCCAGGGTGCTCCTCCGCGAGGAGCAACGCAGAGGAAGTATTCGACGCCGTCTGTGAAGCGCAAGTCTAGTACATCAATGACCAATAACGGGAGCGACTGGAGCACTGCATATATAAACAGCCATTGGCCAATCCGATTATCCATGAGATCATCCAAACTCTTGCCATGGGCACTTCGGCGTTCGAATTGCATGAAGCTTTCAACGAAAGGCGTGGGTTTCAGAGCTTCTCTGGTATAAGATCGCATCAACACTTCATTAATTTCTGAATCGTGTAGCTTCTTTTGCCGTTCTTTCGCTATATTCTTAGCATCCACTGGTTTCCGTCGTAGCGCCTGTAAGCTAGGGAGTTGTGGAATGTCGAATGGAATAGGAGGTTGTACAGGAGGAGTACTCCGGTCATACTCGCTCATCATGCGTCGCATCGCTCGTGTGACAGCTTCTATCGGATCCGGTACATCTAAGTCCTCGGTTGCCATATCCGTCGTGCGAGTAGTAAGAGACGTCCGGTCTACTAGCATGTCGTACAGATCGGTGAAATCTTCATATACCTCCTTCAACAACAACCGATTTAGACCGCTCTCCTCAAACTCGTTCTTTTTCGAGTTAGCTTTTGGCGGCCATGATCCATACTTTTGACGGTAGAAGCTCAAAACGTGCTTTCGCAGCGCAAGGTGCGCTAGTTTCCACTGTTTGAAGCGGACAATCTTGCTCTCCGCGGCTGAGTTTGAGTTGGCGATCCCAGAAAATAAGGCAGGGAAGTCGAATTCGTCCAGTTTAATTCGCATGATCGTGAGACGATTTTGCAAGTCGATCGCTCCACGTTCTAGACGTTTTTGGGTCAACGGGTTGATCAGATTGAATTTCGGACTTTGCAGGCTGCGAAGCTCTTCCATTTTACCAACACCATGAACAAATCCTTCCACATACAGCGGGTAATAGCGCAAGCTCTCGCCTAGAATGACGGCCTCAATAGTCTTTTCGCGACTCTTCCGGACATCGGCCAGATGAAGCTCATCGCAATAGTTGGCAAAACTCGACGTCGCAATCTCACCAAAATTGGACCCGTCAAAGTTTGAAAACTCAAACCGGCGTAGTAGATTGGAGATTTCTAGCAATACAGCAAATAAACTTGGGTATCGGGGTGTAGCAATCAAGGCTTGACCAAGCAAGAAAGCAAACAGATTGCGGAAGAGAATTAAAGTGTCGCTATCTTCGATTGAGAGCGGGCTATCCACACTCGAGACATCGCCATGAAGGGGAACAGGCAGATAAAGATGTAGCTCTTGAACTTCCTCCGGCTGGTCTTCAACCAGTGCCATTCGGTTGCTGCCGTTGCTGACATCATCGTTTACCCATTGGTCTTCCTGAGCGGTAGCGCCGTCTGGATCGGTGATGGTTAGAGTTCGAGCCGAGTGTCGTAACGCTTCCATCTTTGCATCGGTTCCGCGGGCCAAAAAATTCAAAGACGGCGAATCCGAGAATAGCGTAGAGTCAATTCGGAATGATGGCGGTCGCTGCGTCCCTTGCGGGAAGAGGTATACAAAAGTGTCGCCTTGTTCGTTCCACAATTCAGGTATCTTCAAATTAAGCAATTAGTCGCTATTGAGCCACTTGTGAAGAACAGCTTACCTGCTCGCCTTGCATCAGTCGCGTAAGATCATACGGGATCTTCTGATCCAATCCTGCAACCCAAGCATCAAACGCATTGAGATCGTATTGATCGCTCGCAATGGGAGCATCAATCACGATCGAGTTCGATTTCCCTGGCATCCAGCTTCTTCTTCTTTGATGGCTATGGGGGTCTGGTGTTCTTGAGCGCGCTCCAGCTCCTCGTGTTGCACTTGCACTTCTACTATGGGATCGTTGTGATGGCCCCGAATCACCTAAATCCTGGTTTATCGCATACAACGACGGAGGCGGCGGGAGGGGTGTATTGAGGTCCAAGTGATCAGGGTCAAAGCCGTGGCTTGTTGTGGGAAGAGCCTCTGTGGATTGAGGTTGGGGTGAGGACGCATGTCGCACAGCCGGCCGAGAATGGCTTCGGGCGCGTCGATGGTCAACGGACAGATGCGTACTGCTAGGCAACTGCTTAGGAGAACCCGAAGAGGTCGACGATGATGCCGAATCTCTGTTCGTCTTCATATTGAAGAGCGACGAGATGCGCCGAGCAGATTTAACTGGGGCGGACAACATCTTGACGGTGGACGCGGACACTCACAGCAACCCGGTTGGCGGGGTTGAATATGACTGACGACGTTCGGAGAGGTATGACGAGGAGGGAGGAGAAAATAAGCTCGATTACGGGGACGAGGAGAATCGAATTCCCGGAGACGACACGTCGGTTTCACGCTGGGGATTGTTTTGGGTGGTGCTGGTCGAGTTTGCCAAGGGGAATGGATCGGCGGTGATTGTTTGCTGGTGAAGTCGAGGAAAATGTGAGGGCAGGGAAGAATGGAGAGGATTGGTTCGGCGAGTCAGTCTTTCATCGGAGGTGCCGTGCGTTTGGTCTTTCTTTCTTTGGTCGATTTTCCGTGAGTGGTGGTCAACCATGAGCGACGGAGCAAAGTCAAAGTCGAGTCATATACGAAAACAAAGGTCAACAAAAGATGAACTGACAATGAGGACAAGAGAGAGTTTAGCTGAGGGGAGAATCCGAGAAAAAAGATGGTATGTTATGCCATGCCGCTCTGCACACTAGAGGCCTTAGCGGGAGCGGCGGTTGCGCTAGGCCGCGTCGGGCTAGTTGTATGCTATTGCTTTGTATTTGCAGTGTATCGTATTGCATAAAATCTCAATCTTACACTGCAAATATATTGAGCCACGCCTCAATTCAGCGTTGTGGTGAAAGTCTTGAGTATACTTTAGCCAAGCGAGTATACGAACCAATACTCGTTATACTTGGCCGCCCCTGAACCAGCCTGAGTCGCCTATATAGTTTCACCATGTACCGTGGTATCGGAATCGACGGGAGCTAAGTATACGTACGCGTAATACGTGTGCTCTACATAAAACGAGCACAAACCGCGCTTTATCTTACGAAAACCCACGAACCAAACCAGGTAAAAGCAAGTACTGATAATCCAACCAATCTGATCTGCTATACGAAGCCTCAAGAACAGAAACACAGAATACTTCGCTGTGGCTATGTGCGCTGTCGTGGTCGGAATGGCTGTATTGCGAATAATGTGGGGATTGTTGTTGGTCTCTTTTTGTGGAATTGAGCCCCATAAATGACGTGCGACACTGAGACAGGAGTGAAGCTGAGCTGAACAGCCACACTCGCCTGAAATATCTGTCGTCTTGTACAAACTCTACAGAGTCAGCATGCTCTTCAAGGGTATGAACATGCATTTTTATGAAGAGATATAATTACAATTTAGCCCGTTTACTATATGATCTAGAAAGGGTAAGAAAGAAAATTTCTCCGGACTTATTGAAGATCAATCTAATCGATCAGTGGAGGCGGATCCATCCCTACCACTGCGCTAGTGAATCATTGAAAGTGACTGATCTGCTTACACGTCTGATGTGTGTGGCCATGAGATCCAAAGGTTGTGCGATCCATGAGTCTATATGACTTGTGTGACTCGTCCTGGGCGGAGATTCATAACACTTGGGATGGTACGATAATCAACATAACCCTAACCCTAACGCACATTGCGATACCAGGCATGTGATCGAGTGAGCCCTAACAAGCCTATTCATTTCCGATTAAGGTAAGTAGTAGCTGCCATCGTGCTGCCCCCCGAGCACAAAGCAATGAAGCGAAGCAGCGTGCAACACTTACCAAACTGGGCTAGGCCTCCAACTCTTTCGTCATGCTGCGTCTCGACTCCTGTTGCTTTCCGCCAGCTCTTTGTTCTTTTTCGGCGTGCTACGATTTACACGCACATTTGTACGCTAACCATGTACCTAGAAGGCTTAAGTCATATCAATGTCTTGGTTAGTGGGCCGTCGAGCTCATTAAATCCCTGTCTTTCTGTATCCATGACCAATGAGCAAACAGGTCTAAATAGACTCGTCCTGTGCGTACATGTGGCACAGCACATATTACAACTACGCACCGTTGCCAACAAGTGTATTAATAAACAATAATAATAAATCACGCTTCCAGTACCAGGAAGAGCAAGTCKTATTCCGCCACAAAGATTGATACATATATGCAACCAGATAGACCGTGGGAGCATCGTGAATTACACGAGGGTGTCTTCCCTGCTCCATCTACAACAGCATTGTGAGGAGCTCGAGGTCGAGCAGCACCCTGGAAGGGACTAAAGAACGCTAATATCATGCCGGCTGGGAAGCGACTCAATTAGCGTCCCGCCAATGTGACAGTAACAGACATCTCGCAGCCTTGCACTCGTCGAGAAAAAGGAGATGTCGCATCCAGGATCAATCCAGACATTTCTTTCTTCTTGCATATATGCACTCATCATAGCCAACGTCATAATGGCAACCTCGGCAGGCAAGACAAATACAATCTATCAGACATCAACCATTCGTCCTACTATCACAGCAACGCCTCCACCAGAAACGACCAGTGGCATTGTCACGGCATGGATACCACTTACTACAGTCGCACCCCCGCCGTTTGATGCTTGTTGGAATATGTCATTCACAAACGACTATGATACCGCATTCGATTCTGTTCCTGTCGCGTTTGATCCGGATTTCGCATTTCAAATCGGAACAGAAGTTGTAGGATGTCAGCCCACCGAAGTAACCATGTGGTTTAATCATGCGACACCTGCATCGGGAACAAACACCTTGTCGACTGTGACGAGTATTCAGCCGGTTGTGTGTCCGAGTATGTGGTTCACGGCGCATACCTCGACTGTTCGGAATAGTGTGCAGGTGACTTGTTGTCCCAGGTTAGTAGCCCAATTCTTCTACAGAAGTTTTCAAAAAGTTATTTTGTATTGACCACCGTCTTTCGCTTCTTGTAGTGGTTACACGGCAGACCCAAATGACGACCACGGCGTTCAAGCAAATTGCGCTTCATCAATGACCCCAGGCCAAACATTCGCCTATTTTAATTCTAATAAGAGTACGATAACGACGTATTTCTCGACCTCGATCACCGTTGCAGCGGTGGCAGTGAAAGGGTGGAACTCAATCGTCGAGGCGTCGGCTACTACAACAACTACTACCGCGGGATATACATCATCTTCCTTGACTTCCTCTTCTTTTACGGAACCATCGTCATCAACAATAGACTCGCAAACCTCTACTGGCAGCACCACAGGACCATCCAACGTCTCGAATTCTTCTGGCCTTCACGGCGGAGCTGCCGCCGGCATTTTCGTGGGTTGTTTTGCTGCTGTGGCCTTGATCGGCGCCGGAGTTTTCATATTTCTACGATGGCGGCGCCAAAGTCTAGCTACGGGGGACGTAAGTGGAGAAAACTCGAACAGATTCGACCTGAAGTCTGGGCAATACGTGAATGTTCCTCAGAACGCTAGTCATCGGTTGAGTGAATTGCCGACGGCAAGCAACACGCCTGAATTGTATACAGACTATGATCCATATAGTCCACGGTGGAATTCTGCGGAGATACATGAAATGCAGTAGTTTTTGTGAATTGGATACCCTCAATATAATTACTTATTTTCTTATTACATAGTGTTCTATCTTCGTCGTGATTTTGTGCTGAGGGACTAATAGATTGGCTCGGCAACCATCTGCTTGTGATCCGCACAGTCAACATCCATCGCATTTTCCATCCAAAACCTTAAAAAAACCAACAACAAAAGTTCAAGGGGATTATCACGAATATGCCTTCTCTCGACAAATTGCCGACGGAGGTAGTCAATTTGATCTGCGAAAACATATCTTCCAGTATCCAATGTCAGCTCATTTCTACATGCCGCCGATTAAAAACACAAGTTGTGCCAATACTATATCGCGATGTGACACTGGATGTTCGCGAAGAGGATCAAAAGAGTGTCGACTCGCAAATTGCGTGTTTCTTCCGCACTATTCGAGATAATCTAAGTCTAGCGCTTTGTGTGCGCGATCTCAGTGTCAAAGGTCATAGACCTGCTAGCATTGAGGTTGGATATATTCCTATTTTCGAGAATGATGAGAAGGATACCACAGATCAACAAACTCATCAACCCGATACAAGAAAGCTGGTGTATGAAACTTGCGACACGAATTCGGTGATTGCTGCGATGCTTCATAAACTCGAGAACCTCGAGACACTTCACCTGGAGTATCAATTCTGGTCGGAAAATGGGTTCCTGCCTGTTATTTATCAGAATTGCCTGAAGAAGTTGAGGAAGATAAATTTGGGTATGATGTTCCACCCATATTATACGGGACGGGAAGGCGAGCTTTGGGAGCGGATGCAAGGTTCGGATCAGATGGATATGAGTCGATTACGAAGTCTGATGAGTCTTCCACTTATCGAGAGTATCACTTGTGTCGCTGCGAATGATGAGAAAGACGAGGAAATTGAGTTCGCATCCATGCTGCCCGCTCAAAATCTTACTTATCTCAAGCTCCTCAGAAGTAAAATGACGCCACGTGGACTGGGCAAGATACTCAGTGCTACACCCAACCTCCGGCAACTCGAGTACGAGTTTTGGATCGATATGAAAATCAACGAGGATCCCACAGTATACTATGACGGCACAGTACTCGACAACGCGCTGAAACCAGTGCGCAATGTGCTTGAACGACTACGCCTAAACATTCGTCACAATGGCGACTATAAGTTCAACGGCTGTAGCTGGCGCACTGAAGTGCGAGGTATACTACGATCTCTCGCCTCTTTCACACAATTGACTCATCTCCACCTACCGCATTTACTCCTCCTTGGACGATCCATTGAAGAGGCGAATGCAGTCAAATTCGTCAACATGCTACCGCGCTCGCTCAAATTCTTGTCTGTATTTGCCGACTCTCTGCCTCCGCTGAGACCGTTTCTCCCTGTCGACTTTACAAATGAAAAGCTGCTTGATCGATTGTATGAGTATCATAGGATGGAATCATAGCATATATTCGTCATGAATTGTGTTATTAGGTTGTGACAAGTCTATTTGATGGACAGGGTTAATTGTATGAGGGCTGGGCCAGTTGCCCAGGGATCGCCCACTAGTAAATTTTGGGCTTAGCCAGGGGGAAACCTTTAACTTCACGCGTATATTCATGATGCGTCATTGTCCAAAAAGAATGTGAAACCTCCAGTAAATACTGTCGTGACCATAGCCTTAAAGCAGACCGCGCTTCAAGAAAACACGAAAGTTCCGACCCTTTCCTGATTATGCACCGTATTTTGAACATATTCAAGTGCATTCGTACCATGGTGTTGATGATAAAGATTGAGATGATGCAAGTCGCCTCCTTCAGAAAATTTGTACTGATGCTGGTGTTCACTTGACAGTGTATGAGAGAGGCCAAATCGCTCGTTTTACTTTGATGACACGAAAATTGCTTTGTCTTAGCATTGCGGTCTACATATATCCCACCATATATTACGATGAAGCACAGATTGTTAATCAGTGACGGCTAGAATTCCATTCCTTCAATTATGGCTATCTAAAACGACAGCAAACGCGCACATCGCGAAACGAAACGAAACTCCACGATGAGACCAAGTTACAATAGTAACGCATTCTGATCTCTATCAAGAACTCTCATGATTGCCGAGCCCCTAGAGACAATGAAATATGGCGACCCCCTCTGGCTCAGGAAATGAAAATTGGATACACTGAACCCAATCTTGGTCGTCGATCAATCTTTTCCAAAGAACAACTGTCTAGCCTCCACCACGGCCGGAATACCTAGCTCATCCAGTCGGTAGCGGGCTGAGACCATGTGATAAGCCAGATATCCATGCATCCACTGATGAACCTTGCGACGGAGATCTTCATTCGGGGCAAGAATAGCGTCGATAGTGTGGAATACCTCAATTGTCCTCTTGCAAAGCATCTCCAACGACTCAAAACGCGAGATGTTGTGAGCGGCCGCTTGATTACTGATGTAATTGGCCTTTTCCTCCGCCCCGGATTCTTTGTAGAAAGACAAGACGTCGTTGGCATAGTTGAAAAACTTTACCATGTAAGTGATGGCGGGGAGGTAGGTGTGCAGCCACTCGTCTTCACGGGCGAGGTGTTCTGGAAATGCGAAAAAGGCGTATGGTTCCGACACGCCGGTTTTGATACGGAAATACTCGGCGAATTCTGGTGCAGTGACTGTATGATGATGATCCCCGTTGACATTGGCATTGCCTTTGCGCTGCTCGAGCTCTAACTCCACATAGCAGCTACAAACAAAGTCGACAGTAGCTTTGGCTATCATGTCGCTGCCGAACTGGCCGAACTGGGAGCCATGGTCTCTCATAAGATCAAAATAGCCACGAAGGATGGTGTTCTCGATGGTGTGTCCGTTCAAGAGGCTCGAGACAATTCCCTTCATGTCATCAGGAAACTCGTGGCCTAGATCGTCGACGGTGATTGCATATGATGTGTAGATTGCCACAAATTCTCGAACTTCAGGAGAAGTGTGTGCATAGCATGTCAGGGAAATGTTGACGCTGCTATCAATGTACGGCTGAATTCGAGCCAGAGTCTCTGACGAAAGACCTGCTTTCAGCATGGAGTTTTCGACCTTCTTCTTCAGGGTCTGGTCAAAGCAGACTTTTGCTGGATATTGATATGAAGTTCCATGGAGGAGCTTGTTGACCGCGATAGCGCATTTTTCCTTCAATGACACGCGGTTTGTTGGAGATAGCTTGCTTTTGGAAATGGCATCATGAGCTGTCAGTAAGAGGGTAGATATCAAGGCCATTGGTTTCACCATAGAGGCTCGAGAAGCGATAAATTTAACACTTTCGAACATCTCTATGGTTCACAAATGTGCTTTCTGTTGGTTGCGTGTTCGGTTGGCTGTACGTAAAGTTCGCTGTGCGTTCAGTTGGTTGTAGGTTGCGATTATTGTTTCATGAGGGCTCATGAAGTGCTGGATCGAAAGTCTCTGGACCATACTATGTGTGGCCCTCTGGGCGAGAGACATCAACCATCGCCTGTAACCGCACTGCGCTTAAGGGGGCACCATCTACGACTCGGGGATCTTGTTCATTTTCGTGAAAGAAATTTGCTATACAATGAATATACTAGTCATTTCAATCTTTTTATCTCCACTGACTAGATTATTCTTCGATATTCCTGCTCTTTCCGTCACCAATCGTTCTTACATCCTCGTTCTCGGATTACGCCGGACTACTTAGTTCGGTCTAGAAATTCCCATGCTTTCTCTTCGAAAGGCGCCGATCTATGCAGCTTAGTCTGGTTATAGAGTTTGACTCCTTACTTTCCCATGCTAGCCACGCAGCTTCGTCCGGACCCATCCTTTCTCTGGGTTATCTCATGGTAAGCCATGTGGACAGGGCCAGAAATTTATATATATCATGTTTAAGGTAGGTTTCTTTCTTCCTCTGTTTTCAAGCACCGCCCTCTATGCATATTCAGCACTGTGGGAGAAGGAGACACTTGATGTGCTATTTTTTCTCACTGTCATATTTATACTAGCATCTAGTGGAATATTAGAAGATTCACCTGGTATTTTCATTGATACTTATCTAGGTAGGTATATAATATTATCTGATAGAGAGGAATTGCAATTCATGATCGAAGAATGTCTGAAAGACCTCAGATTCAGCATTCTGATCAGTCACTTTTGGCAGGATTGACCTCACCGGGGAATTAATTACCGGAAGCTTACTCCCAATAACCTACGAAATGCCCCGTGAGCATTGCATCAGGTGAACATTTTATACGAACTACAGTTCCCTCCAGTTGCAAATTCTTCTGCATCCATATTGTTTATCCTTCTATATGGTTCTTCTCAAAGTCGATATGTCATTTCCCGGAATGACGAACATCAGGGTGAAGAAGTCTGAGCGCAACCACTACGCATGTTCTTGTGGGCGCACTAGGTGGGCGCACTAGGTTAATCTTGTGATACTTCACAAGAAGCTAATATGAAGATGATTGTGTGCCAGCGAAGCCATTTTTCTCTCCAATCGCGCTAACCAAATACGGAACGCAATGCCAGACGACGAAGGAGGGAACTTCCCTTCATTATGTCCTATAAGGACAATAGTAGTTCCTTCTCCCGTTACCACTTCTAACATCACTGAAAAGAGTCCTTTCTCTTGCCGCTTACCTGTCATTTTCTTTTTCCCGAGGACCGACGATTTCCACCATGCTCGAGATTTCCAAGGCCATGGCTTTCTCGTTGACAGGGATCAGCCCTGGCAGTACTTCTATTCTCTACGTTGCAGTCCTGATATGCTCAGCTCTTGTTCTTGTCTTTTACAAATCCTGCTACAACGGCCACACTCTCCCCCTACCACCTGGTCCTGCTCCACTTCCAATAATCGGCAATTTGCATCAATTGACTGGCAATCCCTATGAGAAGTTTGAGAAATGGCACAAAAAGTATGGACCCTTCATCAGCCTTCGTGCTGGACAGCGAACCGTCATTGTTATCGGTTCCTATGAGACTGCACACGCCCTGCTAGACAAACAAAGTGCCGTGTACAGCTCCCGTCCCGAATTGCATATCGCGTCGAAGCACCTTGCGAAAAACATGTCGATGGCTTTGTTACCCTTCAGCAAAAAATGGCAGGTTCATCGCCGTATTGTTGTATCACTGCTTAACTCGGCTGTGAACAAACGCTACCAATACGTTCAAGACATCGAGAGCAAGCAAGTGGTCCATGACCTTTTGACTTCTCAGGACTTTTCGTCGAGCTTTGAAAGATACTCCACGAGCTTGGTATTTACTCTGGCATATGGCATTCGTTTGGAGAGCATCATACGGCCGGAGATCTCGGAGATGAGATTCGTCATTCACTGTTTGTTAGAAGGCTTGAAGAATATCACCATGGCAGTGGTTGAGTTGTTCCCGGTACTTGATTACCTGCCTGGATTCATCGCCCCTTGGAAGCAATTCTGGCAAGAAAGACACAATCGAACGATTCAATTCCTACGCAAGAATTTGCACTACGCGCTGTCAACACAAAAGTCGTCTTGGACATGGGCACGTGAAGTGCAACAGGCACTACATAACGCAGGAGAAACTGATGATGCACAGGTTGCCTATTTGGTGGGCACTATGAACGAAGCTGCCGTCGAGACCACGTTAGGCACCTTGCGCACAGCAATCAAGGCCCTTCTTTCAAATCCCGCCGTCGCCAAAAAGGCCCAACAAGAGATCGACAGCATAGTAGGCTCCGATCGTCTTCCTCAATTCGAAGACTTGCCTAAAATGCCGTATATGGAGGCTTTGATGAAGGAGGTTTTACGTTGGCAGCCAGTCACGCCGTTAGGCGCTCCTCATTCTACCGATACGGATCAGGAGTACATGGGATACCGGATTCCACAAGGCTCAATAATCATGCAGAATTTTTATACAATGGTTCACGACAGCAATGTTTGCCCCGAACCGTACCAATTTAAGCCAGAAAGATGGCTCGAAACCCCTGACTTACAAGTCTTTAGTCCATTTGGCTATGGTCGCCGAAAGTGCCCTGGAGAATACATGGGAAAAAATAGCCTGTTCATTGTGGTTTCTCGCATATTATGGGCATACAACATCAACCATATGATTCGCGATGGTCAAACCGTCGAGGTTGATGAGTGGGATATTGAACATCACTTTACATCGGCTCCGGCTCCATTTGAAGTGTCATTTGAGGTACGAGATGAGCGCCGACGCGAAATAATTGAGCGAGAATTCCAGGGTATCGAAAAGGATGCATCTCGAATCCTTCACGAAATTGCACCAGAATGTAACGATTGACTATTTCGGCTTGCTCTACAAGTAGAAATCTTCGCTCTAGGTATAGAAACCAAAAAACCAAAAATTGAAATCAAAATTTTATCAGTATATCAGTAGTCAGGTGCGCAGTGTATTCAGGAATCCTTAGATACTACTGTAATCAGAATGGATCAGCCGGTTTTCAACAACAACCTGCTATGTAGGCACCCTTATGTCATCCCATCATATGTAATTTTTGAGACCTTTAGCGTTCTTTACATGACTGTATCGTCTCGAAATTTCTCGCGCATGCCTGCTCGGTAAAAGCCCTTATGATAAGATTCAACTCGCCAGTATATTGCCGTGCTCACTACGATTCCTGTATCTGATTTTTGGCGAGCCTCACTCAAACTTACGCGACCTTGAATGAGATCATGCCTCAATATTCGACGTAATATTCACGTATGTCACTAGCTTGAATATATTTGGACCAAAGCTAGTGGGGATCGGGGTATATGATCTAGCCGCCTACTGAACCTGGGTTGGCCGCTTACTACGGGTTAATTGAGCTTTGTACGAGGGCTGAGGTTGAGTTGAGGGTTCCTATTTATGAACTCTTAATCGGTAGTGATAGTCGACTCAGGAATCCGGAACTGTAGCTGTAGGATAGAGTTGGTTTATGGTACATGGAAATTGTCAAAAGTAACATTACCTACCTCTTAAAGACTAAAATGACTGTGGTGTTAAAACACCACAAAAGAACCTTCAATCTGAATCGATTCTTTGTACTTCCAGTACTGTTTCATCATTTATTTTTCTATGTAATAATAGTAACATCACATTATATAGTTGACAACCAACTTCAACAGCATCTACTTACACTTCCTAAATGTTCTTAGATCCTAATCGGGGTCGAAAAAGAAGATCGAGTGAAAGGGCAGTTTGATGTAGTTCAACCCCCCTTATGCGCTCGATGCAGCATGTATTTATTTCAATTGTTATGATATATGTCATTGTCTTCCTTGTATATTACATTTTGGGTAACAAAGCTAGCCGGTTTACTTAAAGCATTATAAAGTCAGTAAAGTACTGCCGGCTATCTTCCAGTTCATGTATGGGGTACTCCTTGGAAAGAACAGCAGGTGATCCAGGTTGAAGCAAATTGATGTTGAATCTCTTCATAGATACGTGAAGGTGACATGTTCTTGTGTTAGTTTCTGCTTTATCCCCTGTCTTATTCATAATATGCGACGAAGTAGGTGTAATCAAGTAAATTTACTGTTATAGAATGGGCTATACCAAAGATTGAATTCTAGAGAGCTCTTGATAGGGAGAATATGCAAAATCAACCCTGTAAGTTCTATGTGGTATCAGCTTGGGTATGACTACTTAAGAGTATGATATCAACAACACATTGAGTAATATCAATACAAATCATCATCGTTCACAACATAATAGAATTGCCTACAACAATTACATATCTAACGATGGATTCCCTCCCACGAGAGCTGGTCATAGAAATCTTCTATTCAATGTATCCAAAAGACCGATTGGCGCTGGTATCTACCTGTCGCGGTTTCTACCAACTGCTCAACCCTCTGTTATACAACCACGTCAAAATGTATATGCCTCCCCCGTACTGCCGGGATCCATTCATATTGCCACGCTTCTTCAGCGCTGTCCAACGAAACATTCATTTGGCAAATGCTGTTCGGAAGCTGAGTCTATGCGGCTGTAGAACAGCCAACGTCTGGATCGAAGACAGCGACGAGACTTGCGGTGGCATATGGATTGGGGAGGAGTGGTTGACAGACGCGCTTCTGTCCTCTAGAAGCAAACAAGAAACACGTGACGGGAGATTGCTAAAATTTCATGAATGGGACACACGTGCAATAGTCTCTCTACTCATCATTAGGCTCAAGAGCCTCCGCAGCCTCACTTTGGGGTACGCATACTGGTACAACCATCTATATCTATCCAGGATCTTCAAGATGAAAGGAGTCATGGAAAACTTGAAGGAAATTGAATTTCATACACATCCACCCGGCACGGGTGTAGACAGCATGGATCGTCCATCAAATGCGAAAGGTTGGACACTTGCCATTGATACGGAAATGTTACGACACTTGTTACAGCTTCCGTCCATAGAAAGCCTTTTCTGCCCTGTTTGGCAAGACCGGACGGAAAACGACTACTGGGAACTGCTATCCGCTTTTAAGCCACTTGAGCTCCCTTGCAGCAATCTCACATGTTTGCGCCTACCACAGAGTTCTCTGCATCACACGACAATTAACAGGATCCTTACAGCTGCGCCGAAGCTTCGAGAGTTCGAATATCATCAGTGGATAGAGATTGACCATAACGGAGAAAACGCACCTATCCTGTGCAAGGAATTGGATGCGGCCTGGAAACCGGTACAAAATACTCTTAGAAAACTAACTCTAGGGGTTAAATGTCAACTGGACGCGAATGAGGACAACGTACTCCCGGATATACGGGGTACTGTGCAATCTCTGCCTGAATTCACACAATTGACTCATGTCAGTATCTATCATCGATTCCTGATTGACACCGTTCTTGAAGACTAGACTCGTATAATCGAACGATTACCGCCAACACTCAGAGAACTTAGGATCTTGGGTACCGAATCATCCGTATTTGGTGTTGATCCATATGAGCAGCTTCAATTCGATATTCTTTACAATCAATTGCGTGAATATGTCAACAAGAAAATCACACACGCACCACACCTGCGGTACCTTGACGTGATTGTCGGTACTGAGGTGCACCGGCGGCCTGCACTGAGGCACACATATACTCTACTGCAAAAGGCTTGTGTTTCGGCTGGTGTTGCATTCGATGAAAATCAAATATGGTGGGAGATCATGTCTTAGGTTCTAAGTTGATAATTTTCTACAAACCAGTCAATTAATGCTCAAATCTCACTCAACTTCCATTTGCTACTCGGTTCGGTACTTGGTCTCTAGTTTCTACTTGTCAATACACTTTTCGATTGCCTCAAAAAATGCAATATTAGTAAAATCAGGTCGTATTATATAAGAAATAACAATAACGCTAACCATGAGTCTATCAATCTATCGGTATATTAGTAATCATAGTGCAGTCTATAACAATGCCAGTCGTAAAGAAGTCGTAAAATATGAACCAGGGCACCATGTCGTAATGCAATCAACTAAACACTTAACCACCCGCAGTCATTTCCATGTACAATCTCTCACGAGGAAGCAAAAATGCCGCCACTGTMCCCAAYCCGCCAGCCGCAATAGCCATAATATAAACATCCCGAATAGCATTGACAATGCCCTCAACAACAGCTGCCCTGACCTCAGCCGTAGTATCACTGAAAATGACACTCTTTGCGCCAGCAATCGCAGCCTCGATATCGGCCGATGAAAAGCCCAACCCAGCTGTGGCATCTGCAATATTCTGATATGCGACGTTCTGGAAAACCGTACCGGAGATGGCCAACGCGATTGTGATCGAACCGATTTGAGCCGAGTTGATGAATCCCACGGCATCGGAAGTGCGGTGTGCATCGACCTTGGCCGTGGCGATGGAGTATGCTGCTTGACAAGCACTTCCGACACCAAGCGCCAGGAATACACTGTATCCGTATATGGCGCTGTTGCTAGTTTGGCTGTCGACAAGGGCGTACATCAACGAGGCACCGATGGTGATGAAAATACCACTGAAGATGAACCAGGGCAAATACCAACCAGTGCGCGGCATAACGATCGAGTTGAGCATCACAAACAACACAAACAAGATGATGAACGGCAGCAACCTCACAGCGGAAGTAATTCCATTCTCACCATGCGCAAACTGGAAATAGACGGGGATGTAATAAATTGACAACGACAGCGCCGTCGCGGAACAAGCAGTCACAACATACAACAAAATCATGACAGGCTTGCGCAACAAATCGACGGGGAAAATGCGGTTCTCTGGTGTGGTGAAAATTGAGAATGTCTGTTGTACGGAAAACGCGATTAGACTGACTCCAAAGGCGACGAAGAGACCGATAGTGCCGCCAGCTCCCCAGCGCCAGGTTGCACCACCGAAGGTGAGGGCGAGCACGAATGTGACATATACTATGGCGTTGAGGACTGTGCCGACCCAATCCAAGTCGCGGAGTTTGTCGCGGAGGGACTTGGTGGGTTGTGGGTCGTGGGAGGGCATAAAGTAGTATGTTGGTGCGAAGACGCCGCAGATGACTAGGTTGATGTAGAAAGCCTTTTCACGTTAGTATCTTTGCACATTTCTCGGTCAATTTCGATAGGGTAGTACGCACCCATCGCCATGTTGCTGCACTATCGGCAAAGGCACCTCCAATAATTGGTCCTAGGATACATCCCAAGCCCCAGAAAAGCGCAATCAAGCCAATGTAAATAGACCGTTCGGCATTGGTAGTAAAGATTGCAACGGTGTTAAGTGCTCTATTTGTTTATTAGCCACTTTTGTTATTTCAAATGAGCTGATGAGACATACCCAAGGTAGATACCAGCACCACCCATACCAGCCCAGATACGGCCAACGATCAAGGCATTCATACTAGGTGCTCCTCCACACAGCGCACTGCCCGCCTCGAACATGACCAGACATGTAAGATATAATGTGCGAAGGTTGAAGATACCGAACGCTTTACCCCTGCAGAGTCAAGTTCTATTAGTATATGGAGTTTTCAGGAACAACCGTGTATATACTTACACAAACATGATAACCGCAATTGATCCCAGCGAAAAGCCTGTACCGAGCCAAGCCAGCTTCTCAACTGCGCCGTATGTCTCTACCACATTTGACTGAATGTTTGCTGCGATTGTAGTATCAAGGCCGTATAGGAGACATGTACTGTAGACCGAGATACAGACTGCGAGCCATCGCCAGCCTTGGATACTTCTGACCTCATCTTTGCTTTCTTTTGAATGACTGCTCTCGGTGTCTCCGATCTGTTTTTCTGAGAGATCTAGGTCTTGGACGGTCCGTGTGACGTTGGTGGTTGATGATGAGACCGAAAGGGTCTCGGACGTTGATGTCCCTGCCATTGGGTTTGTGCTGCGTTATGTTGTGTTGGTATCAAAATAGGTTTTGTTCAAATACAACTCTTTTAAACCCTTGCTTGTTCAAATCGTATAATTCAGATTTGATGCTTTGTATTTTGTGTTTTGTGTTTTGTGACATGACCAAAAGACCGAAACACAAGCCCTAAATATACCCATCTCACCAACATCCCCCAACATCGCGATCGTCACGTTTGTAATCGAACAGTCTTCCATATTTTTCTCCAACATGCTTTTTCTTTTTTCGTAATTTTCTATTACTCATATTCAAATTTTTCGTCCGTCTCTATCTCCGGAAATCATTTCCAAGCCGTGCCCTCAATGTCAAGTTTAGGACTGACCCAACGAGAACATTCCCCCGATTTGCGCCAATCACAATCTTCAATAACTGTGAAGTAAACAATTCGATTTCCAATCATGGCTTGGCTCTGGGATTGTGGAGATTGGGGCTTTAGTTTGACGATATGATTGGCCTAGAGCGTACATAGTGTTAGTACGATTTGTAATGATCACGCCGAGCATGAATCGCCGGAGACATTTGTAAGCTACACATTTTGTTTTCAAGGCACGTTTTTGCATCTGGCGCAAGTAAAGCTCATTATCTCCGATCCTGAAGTCAATCATTTTTGATATCTCCCTTGTTCGTAGTTTACCCATGTGCTTTTAAATCCATGGCAAGTGACGTAGTGGCAGCTTACGAGCAGCCCAGTAGTACAAGCCACAGTCAAATCTCCACACGCCGTAGAACTACGATTTGAGAAATAATCAATTGTTAGTAACCGCGTCCAATCGACTAGCATCCATTGTAATTCTAAGTCGGGAGGAAGTGCATTTCCGGAGCAGTGAAAGATAGGGCTAGGGCTGATGATTGATAAAGCTGATCGGACATAACACCGTGACCATTATCTCCGCAACCCCGCGTCATCCTGGCGGTCCTGAAGGAAACAAGCTTCATTCCATTTGCCTGTAGATCAACCATGACCATCCGACGTCTGACACCGCAGACTAACATGTCCAATTCTCCTCCCGGCAAAACCAAAGACAACCATAACAGCGACCAAACACAAGCAAAATACCCAATTGACCTGTTCCGCGGCTGGCCCAACCCCGCCCTTTTACCCGTTGACTCGCTCGCCCGCAGTGCCGCAACAGTTTTCTCGTCACCGTCCATCTACGAGCCCGGTCTCCAATACGGTCCTGATGAGGGCTACGCTCCCTTGAGAGAGCATATAGCCTCGTGGCTTACATCATTCTATCGCGCCGACTCTGGCGACTCATCTACGCCAAATGACTCAACGCCGATTACAGCCGAGCGCATATGCATCACGGGCGGCGCAAGTCAGAATTTAGCATGCGTGCTACAGGTGTATACGGACGCGTCATATACAAGGAATATATGGATGGTGACACCGACATATTATCTTGCATGCAGAATATTTCATGATGCCGGGTTTATGGAGAGGTTGAGAGGCGTGCCGGAGGATGAGGAAGGGATTGATTTGGAATTCTTGGAAAGGGGGCTAATAGAGGCCGAGGACAAGGCTGCTAAGGAGGGGAACATTTGGCCGGTAGGTTAAAACTGCTCAATTAGGTGATATGAAATGGACCTGACGGTTTGGCGATAGAAATATACTTTTCCTCGATCGTGGAGCAACATATACAAACACATTATATATCTCACGCCAACGTTCGCGAATCCGTCGATGAAAGTGGTCTCTTTACGGCGACGCGAAGGTTTAGTTCGACTAGCGCGACGGTTCGATGCACTCATTATAGCAGATGATGTGTACGATTTTCTGCAGTGGCCTGCGGATCCGAATTCTCCACACATAAGAGAGACAGCCTCGATTCCGCGTATAGTTGATGTTGATGGATATCTCGACGGCGGTCCCAAAAATCGATTCGGAAATGCGATGAGCAACGGCAGTTTTAGCAAATTGATCGGACCCGGGATGCGCGTTGGATGGGCCGAGGGAACGGAAAAGTTTGCATATGGGCTTTCACAGGCGTATGATTTTTCTCTCCCAAGTAGATCTCGTGACTTCCGTGTGCTGTGCTGATAGACATAGAGGATCATCCCGCTCTGGCGGTGCTCCTTCACAGTTATCATCCACATTCGTCGACCAACTCCTTTTGTCAGGTATACTGCAACGACATATCAAACAAGAACTCATCCCTGCATACAGGGCACGCTACAATCGACTCATGAGCGCGATAAAAGAGCATCTATTGCCTCTAGGATTCCATGTGCCCGTGGACCATCAACCCATTTCCGGCGGGTTTTTCATCTGGCTGAATTTACCGTTACCATTCAAGGGTGATTTACTAGCGCAAAGAGCGCTAGAGGAAGAAAAGCTGATAGTTGGGAGCGGGACGTTGTTTCAGGTGCAGGGTGATTGTAGTGAGGACTTTAGGACGTTTGAGCATAGTATTAGGCTGTGTTTTGCATATGAGCGGTACGAGTTGTTGTATGAGGGCGTCGAGCGGTTGGCGGCTGCTGCTAAGAGGATGTTGAGCTCGGAGGATGTATAGACGTGTGAACTAATTACTTTGTACAGTGTAATGAATACACAGAACATTATTAAAATACTCGCTTATGGCATATATCATAAGTACAGTCATCATTATTCGTATTTTGCTATATAAGTCCATACCTAATAAGATAACAATAGTTCCGTCCAAAGCAGCAAGCACTACCTTACAAAAAAACGTATACATATACACACAATCTGTCGACATGTCGCTCAAGGAGGCAATTCACTCTTCGACTCAGCCGGAAACTTCCTAAACAAATCCGACAAATGATCCAACGGCGCCGCCATCAGACCGGCCACCGTCTCAAATGGCGGCTTGTCAGGCGCATCTGGATGACTGCGCGTCGGGATGAACTTCTTCGTTCGTGTAAACGACTTGGTCAATTTCTCTGATTCAGATTGTTGTAACGCACTCTCCAGTTTGACGAGATCTTCCTCTTCTTCTTCCTTGATGTGTTGCGACAGATCGGACCAGAGCGATTGTAGGGTTGTTGTGAATTCGTGATCGGAAGGTTTGAGGCCTTGGAATTTGTAGAGAAGTTCTTTGACCTATTTTATCTTCTACTTAGCATAAAAACAAATAAACAGAGTGAAAGAAAGGGGGCGGACCTTTTGGTGCTCAGCCCGATCCTTATCAGCCATCTGCTTCCCATCGGCAAGGTTCTTTTCAAAGGCCGGGTAGACGAGCAGCTCTTCACCGATGGAGTGACGCGCAAGTTCCCATGTGAACTGATTCTGCCATCTCACCTTTTCGTCGTCTGTGGTGGCGCTGAGGATTTTGTTGTACGCGTTTTCGAGCTCGCGGTGGTCGTGCGTGATGGTTTGCGAGATGAGAGTCATGGCTGGGACGGTGGCGCTGAAATAGCGATATTGTTGTTTGACAAGTAATGAGGTGGCGTAGGGTGTCGTCTTTTGAATGAAGCGAGATAGAAGCATGTTCTTGAGATTTATAGAATGGAGAGGTATTCAGCACTGTTCAATGTGAGCTGTTAGCCGGGCAGAGACTACGATTTTATAACGAGATTCATGTAATACCTGAAAACAGGATAATCAAGCCAGATAGCAGAAACCAAACACAAATACGAGTCATTGTATAGCAAACTTGACATAATTGTTCGTAACTGCCGTATTGCTATAGGACCAAAGCAACTGTTGTCGCTCAGCGGTTCGGGTGTCATCTCCACGTCAGAAACATGACCCCAGATATATTATATCAACATTGTTTCGGCTGGATTCCGCCAATGAACATCGTCGCATTACCAAAATTACTTGAATTTTATATCTTTATTCTTGATTTAATTTCTAACCCGGTTTGGAGTTGTTGCAAAATACCGTCTGGGTCTCAATAATCAGATGGATCCGGGCAATTGTCATCATGATGAGGGAGAAATTAGGGTTAAGTTACGTACTGGATGTGAATGTAGACATGTAGCGGTAGGATCACGATTCAATGATGAGCATCCCCGCAAGCGGGACTTGTATATATATTCAAACGTGGCAATTTTATTCGCTTCTTGTTCGAGACGATCTGAACATAGATGCACTGAGTGTTATGAAGTATCGTGCTTTGATGATGAGAGATGAGCACATATGTGGTAAAAACTGAAAAACCGAGGATCAAGATACTCAAAGCTGTATTTTGGGTCTAAACGATATGCATAAATCTGATTACAAACATAAAAAGGAAGATAACAAAATGAATCACTATAATAATACACAATCAAATCCTCCATTGTGAAAATTACCTCCGCATTTCCAATTTAGCCTCCTTCTCGATACTAGCTTCATGAGACATCATGAAGTACTCAAAGCCAGCCCTTTTGATAACTCCAGTCCACTTAAGCAACGGGATGCGTGTAAGATCGTCTCGTCCACTCATCTGATTCTCAAGATGCGGCATCAGTTCGTCCACCGAGACGCTGACTTTGCCCGGGTAATGTGTAAAATTGATGCCGTTATTCGTGACATTGGCAACGGTCGACTCGCACAGCCAGCTTGCAACATTCGCGGCTGGAATCATGTCCATACGCCCAGCCCAGCCGCTTGCGTCGGGCATTGCCTTGGTAATTTCCACGAAGTGAGCGAACAAGTCTAGAAGCTCTTTGGGCGCAGCCTCATGTGTTGTCGCAGGACAGAATCGGTAGATGGAGGAAGGAATTCCGAGCGTTGCACCAGCGCGCTCGAGGATTCGCTCGCTAGCCCATTTCGTTGCTGAGTATCCATCCGTTCCGTCAAGAGGGGGCACGCTGTCGGCGGCTGAGACGGTGTCAATGTCATTGCCGCCAAACACGCTTGCAGTTGACATGAAATGAATTGGTACTTTGCCTGGAGCAGCCAGTTTGAGAAGCTCTTTGATAGGATGCACGTTGCTAGGCCGCAGAACGTTGTAATTGTCCCAGAAGGAGCGTGCGGCGCCCATATGAAGTATGACATCTACCTGGGTTGCAATATCGATAAAGTCCTCCGTACTGAGACCGAGTAGCGGTGCCGAAAGATTACCAGCGTGAAATCTCACCTTGGGAGATGTCAAGGTGAGTTTGGCGGGATCTCGAACTGCGACGCAGTGGATTGTCTCGACGTCGGATCTGGCTGCAAGCTGTGGCATGACGTGCTGAGCTAGGAAACCCGTCGCTCCTGTGACGACGACCGTCTTACCAGTTATTCTCTCTTTAGCTGTGGCGCGGGTTTTGGAAACCCCGTTGAGAAACGCAGGGATAATGGGAGGAGCAGTCTCGGCCTCCCAGTCGAGGGGAGCCACGCTCGCCGACTCGTCAATCTTGTGCGCCATTTCACTAAGCGTATTGGCACTAAGAAGATCAATCAGGGACAACGCAGTGTTGAACGTAATGCGAATCTGTGACTGAAGACGAATAATCAGGAGTGAGTTGCCGCCAACAAAGAAGAAGCTGGTTGAGGGACCAATCTCCAGTCCAAGATCTTTGATGCTTTTGCCAAGTACCTCGCGCCAGACACCGCGCAACTGTACCATTGTCTCTGTGAGTTCTATATCATCTTCTTGCACTGCCTGCGCCTTCTTGGGCAACGGCAACTCCTTGATCGCTTTCCGGTCGACTTTCGAGTGATTGGAAAGCGGGAACTTGTCCAAAGGAATGGCCACCACAGGGACCATATACTGCGGCACGTCCAAATTACTTAGCAGTCGCTCCAAGAAGGTCTCCTGGTCGGCGACACCATGGTTCGGCGCAAATACCACATGCGCGACCAAGAACTCGGGGTCGCCTTCCCTCAAGGTTACTACTGCCTCGTTGATTGCACCACCAGATGCTGCTATGATGTTAGTTTCAATGTCGCTAAGTTCAATGCGTAGACCGCGAATCTTGACTTGCGAGTCGCCTGCAATACGGCTATGGAACACCATGGCGCCGTCTTCGCGCAAGTGGGCAATATCMCCCGTCCGGTACATGCGTGTCCAGCCATTGGCGATATCCTCAGGCGTTGCGAAGGGATTCTGCACAAAATGCTTTTCTGTGAGCTCCAGATTTTTGAAATAACCCAGCGACACACCAGCGCCGCCAATACAAATTTCTCCAGGGGCTCCAATGGGCACCGGTCTCATTTCCTCGTCTACGATGTAGGTATCGTAGTTTGGCAGAGAATAACCGCACGGAATGCGTCCCATGCTCTCCAACTCTTGCTTCTCGCGGTATGCAATCTCCATCTTCGTAGATGAAATTGAAATCTCTGTAGGGCCGTATGAATTGTAGAAACGCAAGTCTGGAAGATCGAGTTTGGCGAATTCGTTGGTGACGGTGGTGGTCAAACTTTCACCACCACCAAAGGCGGAACGCCATTTTGACGCAAGCCGGAGCTGATCACCACCGTACTGCATCCAGAGCATATACTCGGAAGGTGTTGCCTTGGTATACGTAATTGACTGTTCATGCATGATCTTGGTGATTTCAAGAGGATTACCACGTGCGCTCCATGGGACGATATAGACGCTGCCGCCATTAGTGAGACCTGTGTATATCCTACAATGTAGATAATTAGTGATTGTATCTTTGATTGCAGAAATCCACTAATAAGTTCGGGATAAAGAGAGATTTTCGAGACTTACTGATCCGAAGAATGATTGAAAGTGAATGCACTCTGCTGCAGGGTTCGCTCGGCGCCTAATTTCCACATCTTTGTATAGCCCTCAATCTCGTTCCGGAGACCCGAGTGTTTGACCACAATACCCTTTGGTGTTCCTGTAGAGCCACTAGTATAGAGTATTGCAGCTGGAGAGTCTGGCTGTGCAGAGTTCGTAATAGGACCCGAAGCCTTGGAACTGACAGTAGTTACATCGATGACATGGGCGTCAACGACACCGAGCTGGGGAACATCGTGCACTGTAGTTGCATCTGCGAGGATCGCTGCTGGTTCACAGTTCTTTGCAACTGAAGCAAGACGAGGAAGAGGATTTCGGAGGTCTAGTGGTACATAGATAGCGCCCACACGCATGATGGCGAGCATGGAACAAACCCAATCCGAAGCTGCTTGTTGAAAGACAGGCACTCGAGAGCCAGTGCCTACCCCCTTGGTTATCAGCACCTCAGCAATCGCTTCGATACGATCTGTCATTTTTTTGTACGTGAGTTCATTGCCAAATCCATCCGTGAGGGCGACTTTATTTCCGTTATCCTGGGCAACTTGATCAATTCGATGGGGCAGTGTTGCTGGCCAGTCGGAGATCAGACGGGGACCACAGCCAACGTGGATGGCATTGTTGCGCTGCTTTTTGCCATAGAGAGGGGTATTCTTCAGAGTCAAAGACGGATCACTGGTCAGAATCTCGAGGAAATGAGTAAAGGTCTCAGAAAATAGAACCGTAGCCATCTTGTCATACAGACTCTTTTGTGCCCGGATCATGACAATCGTATCCACGGCGCTATCAGTCACATCTAGGGTAATGTCATATGCACTTTGTCCATGATTAACTGTCTTGATTTCGAACTCAGTATTGCCAAATGGATGCTTTGTCGGGAAGCCCTGGCGGTAGTCAAGAAAAGCCTGGAAGATTGGACTATACGATGAGGAACGAGCCACGTTCAACTCGGCCAAGAGAACATCAAACGGTACCCGAGAATTCTCAAGCGCCGCATAGTGGACGTTTCGAGCCTCAATCATCGCATCGGTAAATTGCTGATTCTCTTGACGTCGGAATCTCAGGGGAAGCAGATTGAGGAAGAACCCAATACTACCCTGCAGATTGGGCTCGGAGCGGCCCGCATCAGCAACGCCAATTGTCAAATCTGGTGCATCCATGAAGCTAAAGAGCATAGCTTTGAAGGCGGCCAGATAAAGATGGAATGGGGAAGCTCCATTGGCCTTTGAGAAAGACTTTACTTGCGCTAACAAGTCTGGCTCCAGTCGGAACTCTACTTGATGGGTATCGTATATCTTCATGGATTTTCTGGCACTGACACGAGACATTGGCAACAGTGGCAAAACCGTTGGCGGGTCATTGGTAGGGAACATCTGTCGCCAGTAATTGAGCTGCTCATCCATCGCTCCACTCTCCAAAGCCTTGCGCTGAGTCACAGAGAATTCTGGGTATTGCCGTGGAGGTGCTCCGAGGGATTCGCCGTTGTAAGCCTTTTGTAGGTCGGCAAGGAAGACTTGCCAGCTAATACCATCCATGATGATGTGATGGTAGTTCATGAGAAGGAAATGAACTGACGGTGAGAGGGTCAGGAGAACCAGTTTCAACAAATCACCGGTCTCCAAGTTAAGTTCGTAAGTTCTTATCTTTGCATACTCAGTCGCAACATCTTCTTCAGAATTGATTTTCTTAACCTCAAGGCGTAGCGGGGAACTAGGCATGATCTTCTGACTAGCTTCGCCTTCCGCAGTCTGATCTGCTACAAAACAGGTGCGTAGAGATTCGTGTCTTGAGCAAACGAGCCGTATGGCTCGAGTTAAATCATTTACACGAAGCTCACCCGTGATGCGGTAATATGTGGCGACATTGTGCGTGCTTTGGTCGGCGAGTAGATGTTGAAGGAACCAGTATCGAGATTGCGCGAGGGAAATGGGAACGCTCTTCAAGAACTTTTGTGGTCGACGTTCAGGAGGGAATGCGTCTGCTTTCGCATTAGCCTTCTGAGACTCTGCAACGGTAGGGACCTCATCGCCCGCTTCGGAACCTACAAATGACTGCGCTGTGGACGGCGTTGTGATAGTAGGAGACATAGATCCGGGAGTCGAGTTGGCTTTAGATGTGTTGGAGCTTGAACCCGAATCTAAAACCTGCTGCTGGGAAGGCACTTTCAGGTCCAACTTTGCAGCGGATTTCGGGACCTCAGCCTTTGATGCCCCGATGCCAGATAAGACTGCATCCGGTAGGAGTTCCAGTGCTTTTTGGCAAAGCTCTGTGGGTGAGGCTCCTCCAATAATCTTGAGCACCGGAATGTCAACCTTTAGTTCTTTCAAGAACCACGCTCGCACTTCAACCGCCACCAAGGAATCGATTCCAAGCTCGTTTAGTGGCGCATCACGGTCGATTGCTTGATCCCCAAGCTGTAATATGACACCTAATTTCTCCGAGAAACAATCTGAAAAGTTTTTAGCTTATGATTAGGAGCGTTGGACAATTTTCATCTTACCAATTATGACTTCCAAAGCTTCCTTCTTCGACTCTACTTGGGCGAGTTGCTGGCTCAAAGGAAGGGATGTCTTCTTTCGTTGATCCCCGGAGCTTGATTGACTGCTTGGTTTCTCAATGATGCAGTGCGAGAAGAGGGGATTGGTGAACCACGGCCCTTTTACATCCTCGTCTTCCCGGAAGTGACGAACGCCCATGGTTACAACTGCTTCAGGAAGTGTGTCTTTGTCCTCGGGTTGTGGGAAACCGGCTCGGATAGTTTCTGCGAATGCATTGCGTAGATCTGCTTCAGAAATGGGCTTGAGTCCCAGTCCGATTAATTGATCCCGGACAACTTGGGCCGCCGACTCGACATAACCTATACCAACGACACGGCCAATATCGAAAGTGGAGCCCGCAAGACCTCGCTTGCGTCTCTCCCTGGCCAAACCATTCAAGTAACCACATCCGGCAGCGTACAATGATTGACCCGCGTTTCCACAAACCATCGAAACTGAGGAGAACATGACAAAAAAGTCAAGGTCGTCTTCACTGAACGCAGTTTCGAGGTTGATCGCACCGTCGACCTTGGGTCCAATAATCTGTTGCATCTTGTCTGCTGACATTCTTGCAAAGAGCGAATCGTGGAGGACCATGGCTCCGTGCGCCACACCAGCGATTGGGGGGCAGGTATCCCTAATGATTTTAACGGCACTCTCTACACTATCAATGTCCGTAACATCCATTGGGAGTACTTTGACTGTTGCACCTGATTCTTTGAAGGAATCAATCCATCTTGGATCAATATCAGGACGCCTACTCGTCAAAACAACGCAGCCCGCGCCGTTAGAGACCATCCACTCAGCAAGCGATTGTCCAATTGCACCGCTCAATCCGATAAGTGCATAGGTCTTGTCTTTAGAGAAGAAGCCTGAGACATCAAGGGGACGCACTTTTGTCTTCACCAGCCCGTCCGAAGGCCAGCGAACCGCACTAGTTGCATAGTACTGTGTCGATGGCTCCTCGACCTGGCTAAGTTCAACGACCAAACTTTGAAATTCCTTCTCCGTAGCTGAATTGGTAATTGCCTTTGTGACGGCGCCCTCAAGATGACCAACCAAGGTTGATTCATTGTAAGAAACAGGCAGCGATGACTCGGGGTGGAATAGAGTGGATGCATCAATTTTCTTGCAACCAGCAGGCAGGTCCTGAGCAATACGAGCTCCAAGGTGTCCTCCAGATTGACCAGAAGAAGACGTAGCCGTCAAGTCAAGATAGTGTGAAGGCTTTGCAACGCGAAGTGCTTTGCGTAAGAAATGGCGAGGTGTACGTTCACCGATCTTGATCCAGGTTGGACCTTGCAGACTGCTAACTTTTTCTGCGGAGTCATATGTGATGCTGAGACGGACATTTTGGTTTGCAATTCGTCGAGACAATGCCTCTACCAGGAATCTATCTTCCTTAGAACAGTGCAGCAGTAAATGATTACCCGAAGACAAGTTGTTAGTTAAACTTTCCGCCAGCAATTCGCTTGCGACAAGAATTAGGAGTTTCTCTGATGACATGCTACTAAATTCGGGAACAGTCGTTTGCACAACTGGAGATTGCTTGTTAGTATTGGTGGTTGAAAGGAGCACAGTTGTACTCTCTGTGGATCCGTGCTCCCTGCCAATAGCAATGAACAACGTAGTGCTCAAGTCAACCTTGATTGCCATTGCACTCGAAGTCTCAACTTTGATAGAGCTTTCATGTTCGTCTAGAGATGCTATGTTGACTAGAGACGCCGGGGTTGTGTCGCTTGATGGCAAGAACGAAACTTTGTCACTGTCCTCGATCTTTTGTTTTGTGACTAATCGTCTGCTAGAATTCAATCTAGCATTTAGATTGTTATTGGCAACGATTCGTGGAATTTTCAGCTTTCCATCTTCTATGAAAGACTCGCGTTCTTTGGACCACAAAAGCGGCTGGGGTTCTTGCTCCCACTCTTCAAGAGCATACAGCTGCAGCAGATGCTCTGCGATAGATTTCGAGATGTTATCCTGCTGTATGTCTGAGATATCGAGGTTGTTCAAGCTAACATGCGGCGCCTCTGTGCGCAAAGCGCGGCAGAAAGCAATACTTGCCATGTGATATGGCTCSTTTGCTAAGGCACCTTGGGTGATCCATAATATGTTCTTCGCCAATTCAGACATACGTTTAACACCCTCCATGTTGTCTTCGGTTATATCTTTGAAAATCGGCGAGTCAAGGTCCACCAGGTTGATGAATGTGCTCATCGGATTCAGACTGAACGCATCTTCCTCAGTTGGCAAGCTGTCAAGAAGGGTGATCTCACCACAAAAACGTTGTAGATGATCTTGTAATTCTTCGGCCACTCGCGCAGTCTCTAGCGTACCGTTTCCAAGGATAACAAGCGACTCAATATAGATAGGGGCCGAAGTGGCCGGCGCAGACAATGGCCGGCGCAAAAATTGCACTCGGTCGTCGACTGCTTGAGAAACGACGACCGAAGCCGGCCAGGTAATAGGACTAACATCAGTATTGATTGTGTCGATGCCGGAGAAACCTGTTTTGCGCAGTATCGAGTGCCAACCGCCACGGGAGATGGTTGGTGACAATTTCCTACCATCGTCCACACCGAGCCACCAACCGGGAAGTACACCGAAGATCATGTTGGTGCGAATGACCTCAATGGGCATGGTCAGTTCCAAGATCAAGAGATACCCACCAGGCTTCAAGAGTTGTCGAGTGTGTTCTAATGTCGTTTGCAGTGAACGAGTTGCATGCAAACAATTGGAAGCGATCACGATATCGTATGAATTGGGTTCGTAACCCTGAGATTTCGGCAGTTTCTCCACATCGAAGGTCTTGAATTCCATCTTGTCGCTGTAAGCTTCGAACATCTTTTCTGCAAGCCCAAAGAAACCGACACTCAAGTCGGTGTACGTGTAAGATGAAAAGGCACCCTCAATGGTGTCAAGGACTGCCTTGGTGGCTCCACCAGTACCAGCACCGATTTCGAGAATTTTTGCGTGTGGATAGCGATGGATGATTTGCTTCATCATATTGGCCAAGAATTCATTGGCCACTTCCGCTCCTAAACTCTTCTTGTAGTGCTGCTCGAGCATGTCGTCTTTGATCATGTGCTCTAAGATGGTCGTTTCGCCGCGGACAGAGGCGGGCAGATTGTCACCCACAGCACGAATTATCTTGACGTTGCCATCTTTCTCGTACGGACTGACCAATTTCTCGATGAATTCGGGAGTATCCTTTGACCATTCTCGCTTGATATGTGGGTTTTTACCCTTGGCAACATTGAGGAGAACTACATTAAAGGCAAGCATCAGCACCATGGTGAAAGATTCCGAAGGAAACATGGCTAAGCAGTTAAATAGTGTAGGAACAATGCAGAGAGACTTACTATGCTTGACCCAGTTGCGAAGGTGCAGGAAGTGCGCCGGGCCGTTCTTCCAATCTTCATCAGTGAGTTCGGAGGCCCATTTCGAAATATAGAAATAACAGAGCCTTTCGCAAATAAGACTCAGATCAAGTTCGTAGGAGGAAGGCTGTTGGCCATCTGAGGCAATAGCACCATCTGCCACGGCTGGAGCAAACTTTGTATGAGTGAACATGACGCGATCGTCTGATTCTGCAGCCGGAGCCAAAGGCTTGATCACCAAATCTTCGACCTGGACCATGCTATGTTGGCCATCCTCACTCAATAGTTCGATGAACCCAGAGAAAGCTTCTGAGTCCTCGAGGACAGAGTAAACAGGTACGCGGGAACCATTAGGGAGTGGTAAAGCACACGTTGCTGCATTAACCCTAATGGTTCCAATTACCGTTGGGACGTGCAGAGACCAAAGTCGCTCATCCTATCAAATATGTCAGAACAGGGATTACTCTTAATAAAATCAAATAGGTGGAGATAAATTTTCAAGACGGCATCGTTTAAGAACTCTCATGATGCATGAGATATTCTAAAATCGCCAGAAAATGTTCGGAGAAAGGCACAATGAGTGTTACCTACCGTTGGAGATGTGTACGCGAGTATCGAGGCTTGGAACGCAACATCGAGGGTACTGGGATGAATAAGGTATCTAGAAGGCTCAGAATCAGCATAAGCGTAAGTGTCAATCAGACCACTGGAGTGGCCAAGTCGACGTTTGGTAGATGTCAACGCTCTAAATGGACCTGTATAGCCATATCCAAGCTTGGAAAGGAATTCATAGAATTCATCGCTGTCAACTGCGCGCAGGTTGTAGTCTTCCAGGGGTGTAGAAGATATTGCGTCAACATCTGGTTCTCCGAAAATTATCTTGACGGTACCTGTAGCATTGATCGCCATTTCTTGTTTCGATCCGGTGCTGGTGACGGCTAGTGCGTAACAGGAGAAGTCAGCAGTTGCTGTTTGATCCTGGTGATACTGAATCTTCGTCAAAGTGACAAGAGTTTCAACACTAGCATTGTCTGCATCATCAATAACAGTCGCTCTGGGGATGGACAAATTATAAAGCTCATATGTCTTGACACTTCTATCAGCCGCAAGAATCTTGGACGACTCGATTGCCATAGCGACATATCCGGCGGCAGGGAAAATCATTTGCCCTTGGATTTGATGCCCGCTTAGCCATGGCATCTCTGACACTTTGAGTATGTTCGACCATCGCATATCTTGTGGGGTAGACTCGGGTGATAGACTTCCTAGAATTTCGTGGTTTGGCTCCGCTCGAGAACGAATCTTTCTAGATCGACGTGATTCACTCCAATACGATTTGCTATGATTCCATTGATAAAGTGGTAGTCCTGTGACCAACTTTGGCTGGGTATATTTTGAGTCTTTTGAACCTGTCACGGCTTTTTCGTACGACTGGAAATCGACACCGCCGGCGCCCAGTTGCGTCCACACAAAGCCAAGACCGTCCGCAAATGCCTCGATGTCGTTTTGGCCACGGCTCAGAACACCAGTGTAAGTGAATGGGGTAGAACGGTCATCGTTGACATTCTGTGCCACGGGGCCCTTGAGTGCCGGGTGTGGACCAACTTCGAGACCGAGATGCATTTGGTCATCAGAAGCGAATGCATTCTGCACAGCCTCAGAAAACAAGACTGACTTTGTCATATTGTCCCTCCAGTACTCATCTTGGAGTTCATCGACTGCAGTCATCGGCTTGTCACTCCCAGTCACGCTAGAGAACCAAGAGCAAGTGCTAGTGCGATCCTTTATGACTCGGACACCACAAGCTTTCATAGCCGCGACATACCGGTCACCACATGGAAGCATATGGTGGGAGTGATAGGCGGTGTCTACTTGAAGTAGTCTTGCAAATTTCTTTTCCTCGTCAAAGACCCGCTTAGCATGAGCGATCGCATCAGCATCTCCTGACAGAGTCACACTTGCTGGAGAATTGTGGGCAGCGACAGCAAGACGACCTTTGAACCTCCTTAGGTTGATGAGCTCATGAGCATCCTCCCAAGAAGTTCCTACCGCAAGCATGGCACCCTTCTGACCACTCCCACCATCTGCCATATATGCGTATAATCCCCTGTAGTAGGCAACACGAATAGCGTCTCCAGCTGAAAGGAAGCCTGCCGCATACTAGGAAAACGAAAAGTCAGCATTGTCACGTCAGGATATTGCATGGGATTTGAGCTTCTCTTGAGATAATAATGCTAGTGAAAAAAAGAGGTATACATACAGCAGCACCAATTTCGCCTGATGAATGCCCTACTACGGTGGTGAAATTGATTCCAGCAGTACGTAGGAGATCTACTAGAACAACCTGAATTGCGGTACAAAGAGGCTGTGATAACGCGGCCTCAGCAATGCGTGAAGTTTCTTTTCCAGCAAGTATTTGTTCTGTGAGGTTCCATTTGGGCTGATCATCTGCGGGCAAAGACGCCAACGACTTCTCAAGGTCCCGAAGTCTGTTGCGCACGAACTCAGAGGAGCGAATCAATTGCGCTCCCATGGATGCCCATTGAGCTCCTTGGCCTTTGATTTTGAAGTCAGTCTTTATTTGTTCAGGAATTCCATAATCCTAGCCATAAAGGTGAAGAGAGAAATGAACAACATTTTACATACCGGTGAAGACGCCAAGTATGTGAGGAGCACCATTGGTCTGTCTGGAACTTGCACGAACTCCCAGAGCAGTGCCCGGTTTTGTCTGAAGTGTTTCAAGTTTGGCATCAATTTTCGATGCCAACTGTTCGATTGTAAGTGCAGAGAAAGCTATCTTAAGTGGAAAGTGACTCCTTCGTGCTTGCAATGTCCATGCAAGATCGTGTGGGCTGATGTCACTGTGAGTTTTCAGATGGTCGGAGTAGGCTTGCAATTGTGCTACCAAAGAGTTCTCAGACATTGCTGAAAACACGAATGGTGTGAACGTTGTGGCATCGGAAGAAGTGGGCGTTTCTGCGCCACTAGATCCGGTGTACTGTTCTAAGATTGCGTGCGCGTTACTACCACCAAATCCTATTTAAGATCAAAGATATTAACAACCTGCATCCTCTTTCGAGGCTGGTAGGAACACAGCGGCAAATCGGGGTAACGTACCAAAACTATTGACACTAACACGTCGAGGCACGCCTTCAGGGACTGCTGGCCAGGGAGTCAATTCTGTCGGTACTTGTAGACTCTTGTAGTAGGGCTCAAGCTTTGGGTTCAGGTTCTTGAAGAGGAGATTTGGTGCGATGTATCCCTTCTGAATGCTAGCTGAGCCTTTGAGAAGACCAGCAAGACCCGCGGCACCCTCAAGATGACCTACAATACACAGAGTGGTCAGTAACAGGATAATATAAAATTGTCTAAAGATGAATATCGAGAGTCTTAGGCGATATCAGATCTCGAGACCTGCGCAATGGTGCAGCTCGGGAACATCAGAAGTAAAGATGATCACTCACCAATTACTGTCTTAATGGAACCCACATACAACGGAGTTTCGTATGCGGAAATATGACGACCGAACGACTCGTAAATAGCGGCAGCTTCTCTTGGGTCGCCTGCTTGAGTTCCAGTGCCTATATATCTCGATATTAGCATTCCCAGGAAAAAGAAAAGGGGATCCAAAGCTCAGCGGGAAGAAATATCACTCACCGTGGGCCTCGAAATATTGAGGTCTATCACGGGGATTGTTGACGGGATCCAGGCCAGCTTTCTTATAAGTTGTATGTATCAATGCAGACTGCGCTTCTGAACTTGGCATTGTGAGACCAGGGGTTCGGCCGTCTTGGTTAGTTCCTGTCTCGCGAATGATACTCTCAATGTAATCTCCGTCTGCGATCGCATCGCTAAGTTTCTTCATAATAATAGCAGCCGTACCCTCACCACTGTTACAGACCATAGTCAGTATCTTTCAATTAAATTCAAGAGTAGTCTTCGCTCATCTTAAAGGTTTCGAAACGTCGAAAAGACTTTGGAAAATGCACATACCGAGCGTACCCATCAGCATCTTTGTCCCACATACGTGACCGACCTGTTGGTGAAAGCATCTGCAGCTTACTTTCCGCAATAAACTGTTCTGGGTTAAGGATCACTTGAGTACCGCATGCCACGGCAACACGCGATTCTCCTGAACGTAAGGCCGTCACTCCCTGGTGTACGGCAATTAAACTAGAAGAGCATGCTGTATCAATCGTCATACTAGGTCCCCTCCAGTCAAACACATATGAAATACGGTTGGATATGATGGCCCGATTAGAACCCGTGGCGAAATATTGTGGCATGGTGTCAAAGTCCCTAACACCTTGATCCATCCAATCGACACTCATTGTACCAGTATAAACGGCAGTATCAGAACCTCGAAGTCCTTCGATCGTATGMCCGCCACTCTCCATGGCTTGAAGAAGATCAGCCACATTTCGTGTCCGTTCACGAACTAAACTTACCTTCATAGACCGTTTCCAGGAGTAACCGCTGTTGCGGATCGATCGAGTCTGCTTCCTTTGAATGAATATTGAAAAATGAAGCATCAAACACACGGATGTCTTCTTCTAGCAGGTATGCATGTTGTACATTGGTGGTTCCATGATGGGCACCGTTAGGGTGATAGAACCCTTTTCCGAACCGATCTGCGGGGATCTCGAAGCCAAGATCACGAGGCTGTGAAAGTAGTGTCCATAGTTTGGAAGGAGAGCTTGCGGATCCAGGAAAGCGACAAGCGCTTCCTACGATTGCAATAGGCTCTGCTCTTACGCTGGGGTGAGCCATTTCGAAGCGGTTGTTGAAAGTAACGTGAGGTAGTTAGGGCAGCTAAAATTCGAATGATAGACAGCTGGAAACTTTCAACGGCTGATGCTTCTGTTATACTGAGCTACATTACGATTGTGCTAGCTATATGTCTATTTGCTATCTATTCCACAATCTAATTTTGTCACCGTAGCTCCACACAATAGCTCAGATACAAATTATGCTATGTTAACTCCGCCGATCGGTCCGTTGAGCTAACGTCGCCGGCTCATCGGCGACTAGAACACCAAATCAAATCTTCTGGAACGACATTAGCGTTTTCGGAGGGTTTCTACACAAGGTGAAAAAGATTTCGGGAACCGGACTGACATATGTTTTGTGGGTCTTTGTAGTCTTAGTAAGTTCTATTCAAACCCTTTTAATTATAGTGCTGCCCACACTTTACAGCCCCGTGGTTGATAGTGAGTTGTGTACCTCTTATTCGATTTTGTTATCTTGTAAAGGTTTATTGCAAACGATTACCAATATGTCTGGGAAGGCTGTCCAGTTTCCACTCATTGATATCAGCGGATACATCAATCCGTCTTCACCTGAAGAAAGGGCCCAAGTCGTTGCACAGATTCGAGATGCATTCAAGACCTATGGTTTTTTCCAGTGCACAGGTCATGGCGTGCCCGTGAGCCTACAACGTGAAATGTTTAAGAGCCTAGAGCGGTTCTACAATCTGCCCAAGGAAGAGAAAATGGAGATTTCTGTTCACAAAAGTCCTTGCCGCCGAGGATACGAAGCTTCCGGTGTCCACAGCCGAGACGGTAAGGCTATACCGGACGCAAAAGAGGTAACTCAAAGGATGCCTGTTGATGGTCGTGTAAGCCATAGCTAATCAACAAATATGAAGTCATACTATTTCTGCGAGGATGACCCCAAGGTCGAGATGGGCGGTATTTACGGCCCCAACCAGTGGCCCTCCCTTCCTGAAGACGAGTTCCGCAAGCCAATCTGGGAGTATTACAGAAAGACATCTGCTATGGGAAAGTTGCTCTGGGAGATTCTCATTGAAGGCCTTGATCGTTCCCCAAGCACAATGGAGCGCTTTTCCAAACGCCCCTTGATAGGTATGAACTTGCTCCGCTATCCGGCTCCAGCAGATACTTTGGAGGGACAGTTTGGTCTCGGCGCGCATAACGACTGGGGCGGTATCACTGTGTTGCTCCAGGAGCCTGGCAAAGAGGCTCTCGAAATCTGGCTCGACGATGAGAAGGAATGGGTTAGTGTTCCTGCCGTGGAAGACAGATTTGTTATCAACTGTGGGGATATGCTTTCCGGATGGTCTGGAAATGTGTACAAGGCCGTACATCACCGAGTGGTCAACAAAGCTCCAGTGGAGAGATACTCGGCCGTTACGGCCTGGCATGGCGACATTTTTGCCACCAATCCGTTTGAGGAAGCTGGCACAAGCAAGGAGACTGTTGGTCACCTCTTTGTCAAGCGTTTCCAGAAGCAGATGAAGCCTAGCAAGCAACTCTTGGCAGCTATTGGAGTCGAGGCCTAGAAGAGTACTTATGTATTTGACTTTTCGATGAATATACATTTGTATCTACGGATTGTGGCTAGCCGAATGGTTATATTGTTTGCTCAAAATTTCTACGTTCTTGTAAATTAAGGAATTCAGTCTCTCATAATAAGAATGAATTAAGGTTGTTTAAGATATTCTCGATCGTGATACTTATAATATTATAAAAGAGGAAGGTTCTTAGATTATATGCAGATAGCTAGATTATAGTTGTTAAAATTGCAATGTGGAGAGAATTCAATTACATAATATCTTCAGATCCAAGATTTTATATCTGCCAAGTACAGGTCTTTAGCTGTTATCTCTGACATTTCCCGGCCTTTCCACTACTTCGCTGGTTGTATGATGTTCCTTATAATATATCTTCACAAATACGATCTCAAACCGGGCTTGAGGGACCAATCATCGTGCTTTTAACCCTAAGAGCTGTAATTGTGAAGCTATACTTTATTCCCGCGAGCCGAGGTGGATAGTATGCCGCCCGGATCATTATTGATGGCTCATATTGGCAGCTAGTTGGCGCCGACGGACGATTCTTGCCCAATCAAGCTTGACGCTGTTTCTAGACAATGCTTAATAGCAGTAATTGAACGGCTTTCAGCCCGATGTTGACCGGGTCCCATGACGGGCACCGAGATACTATAGCTTCATGGGGTACATGTGAAAGCTCCAGCTTACTCGGTATTCGGCGCTAAGAATAGCTATGAGGGAGAATCATAACGTTTATAGTTTTAAACGTCGAGAGAAGATCTCGCCTAAAATGTGTTAACACATTGCCATCGTTGTTCCAATATTTGCAGTTCAACAACGAAAAGACAAAACGACATTTCAACATGGGCATACGATTATTAGCAGAGCCTCCGATTCCAGAGCGCCGCAAGGCCATTATCTGCGAAGATGTTGGAAAGCTGACCATACAAAATGACCGCCCAATGCCTGTACTGAAACCCGACACCGTAATTGTGAAAGTACATGCCGTCGGTCTCAATCCTCACGACATCAAGGGGCTAGATTACAGCGCGGCGCCGGGAACTGTACATGGGGGAGACTTTTGCGGCACCATTGTCGCATTAGGGGAGAAAGCAGCTGCGGAAGCGCGATTTGTAGTGGGTGATCGTGTCGCAGGGCTTGTTMAGGGAGAGAACAAGCTAGCGCCAGAGAAGGGCTCCTTTGCGGACTATATCGAGGCGACACCACACACCATGGTGAAGGTCCCAGAAGATATGAGCGACGAAGACGCTTCTACCCTAGGTGTCGGAATTGCAACTGCAACTTTTGGCCTCTATAACGAGCTAAAAATCCCAGGAGGTTTTGAGCGACTTCTCAGCGGCGGCGGCAATCTCAACGAGGAAGATCGCGAATTCGTTCTGGTGGCCGGTGGCAGTACAGCTACAGGAACCCGTACTTTACAACTGCTTAAGATGTAAGCCTGTTTTCCTACATAACCTTTGGCTTGCCATTCGCTAATGATTGTATGTCTTCTTTTCAGTGCTGGATTCCGCCCAATCGCGACCAGCTCTCCCGCTAATTTCGACCTATGTCTTCGATATGGTGCAGAGAAGGTATTTGATTATCGTAGCCCGACATGCGCAGCCGATATTCGTGCGTACACAGGCAATGAGTTAGAGTACGCCTTTGATTGTATTGCAGAAGCAGAAACTACACAGTTGTGCTACGGTGCCATGGGCCGCGCTGGAGGTCGCTACGTTACCGTGGAACCCTTCCGTGATACTGTGGTCAAGGTCCGAAGCTTGACTATTCAGCCTTCTTGGTTCATGGCGACGCAGATCTTTGGGGAAGATATTGCTATGGATGGTGTGTATGGTCGCAAAGCTAATCTCGACGATCGAGAGTTTGGTACTGAGGCGTTCCTGGTATTCCAGTCTCTTTTAAATCGCGGACTTGTTCATGCGCATCCTGTAAAGTCAATGCCTGGGGGTTGGGAGGGTGTTATGAAAGGTGTTACGAGCATGCGCAGCTCGCCACCTTCTGGCTATAAGTTGGCTTACAAGGTATGAAAAGATACGCTTTAATAATAAATGGACGTAACAACTTGTCTATACATCTTCCAAACTATGTACGCAGAAGCGCATGTCTCTAACATCCTTCCAAGGCTGAGGATGCACATAAAAATCCACGTAATAGAGCTTTTCTTAATATACATCTAGACGTGTGGTAATTACACAAAATTTATCTGTATAACGATAGATCAAATAATGTTAAACAATGCTTGCGGTGATAAAGTATGACATTGAACACTACTCCAGCTATACAGGCGGTACCATACAGAAACACAATTTCTCCACGAGCTTCCAATGTACGTACGCCGATCTTCAATTCGGACAGTTTGTGATCAACGAGGCTGATGTCCAACAGATTGGAATCCCATTACGGTCTAGTTCATCCTGCATAACATTTTCATAAAGAGTGTCAAAATGCCAAACTGCACAATGCCCCCCGGCTCCACCAGCCGGCCGCCGGATGCGGGCCGAGTCCGGGACCCGAATTTTCTTGCGTGTGTATCTGTATGAATGGCCATGAAATAAATCTTACATGGTAGGAACGACCTTCCCTAGCGAGTATATACTATAGCAAGAATTATTATATGTGATTAATAAGTAATATATGTTCAAGGAAGCCAAAAATTGACTGATAGTAAGAAATCTGCCTATTTTTATAATCAGTATCTAAATTTTCAGAGGGCGAAGTCCTAAGATCGCTACTATCAAGAAGGTGATCCCGCCTTTAACGCCACGACGCAGCGTTCCGTTGTAAGAACTTTAAACACGCAAAGTAAAGTTAAACAAATAAGCTCCCGACGCCTCCCGAAGCCATTAAACTTTAGCATGTGACCTGTGCACTCCGATGCAACTCCCACTGTGATCCCAGCTCTGGAAGGGAGCCCGAAGACCCTAAGATCCCTGAAACCGACCCCCCAATCCCCTCGGGAGAGCCGAAAGACAAGATATCATGTATCCTCTCCCGAGCTTGGGCCCGTGACAGATGCTACGTACATCGTATAGGTTGAAGAAAATGATCACAAGCTTTGCACCGCCGTAGTCAGTCATAGACCACGAAAGGAAAATCTGTCAACTGTCATATGTCTAATTTATCTAATATATAACTGCGTCACTACGTCTATTAAGACTCGTAATCATCGCCCCTCCAGCTCCTTCCCTCCTTTTCTTCACCTTCTCCACAAGCGTTTTTAAACGGCTGTCTCTGTCATGATAACAATTATCTTTGTCTAACCCCGCCTTCGTCGAAATAAAGAACACCTTTTGTATTATTTTGAATACCAGGCGAATCACTTCCAGGATGACCTGCGACTGGAAGCGCTCCTGATCCTTGAAGCCTATGCCCAGGCCGCCAAAGTCAAATTCGTGGAAACCAGCTTCCAAAATATCCGAAGAGATAGACCCTGGAGTATTGGCAGCTTCAGCAAGGAAGTTGGCGCAGCCGACTTCTAGGATCTCCACGAGTTGGTACAATATAATACCAAAGAGAGATATGCATTTGGTGTTGGGAAACTCAAACTGCCCGTTGACAAGAGGATCAAGTCTCTCAGTCACCCGTTTGACAATACCAAGTATAAGATCTAGGACTTTGAGCTTGTCGGCTTGATATTTTTCTAAGCTGGATATGATTTGAGAGCAGACAATAATGCACTGACTATTACGCCCGCTGTCCGGAACCATTGTCTGTGGTGGAGTAATGGTAGGAGGACTTTGTAGTGGAAACTGCTTGTTGTGATGTGTACGGGAACGGGGTGAAAGCGATCGTTCGTGATAGCCAGACTCAATATCAGAGGCGTTCAAGCTATTTGTGGTATTTGTGGTATTTGAAAAACGAGGAAGGGGTGTTATTTGGGGATAACCTTGACTGATTGGTGAAAGCTGCTGCCGCGGTTGCTGCTGATGAGATAGCTCCTGCTGCGTATCCTGTAGAGTGCCCAATATGTCTGCCGCATATCTCTCATCAAACCCATAGTTATCATTMAAGCCACTATCCAATACAGAAGACCAGCCAAGAAGGGCATCACCAAATAGCCCTGTATCTTCTCCGCCAGGTGGCTGGGAACCGGGGGTGCTCGAAAAGGGATAATCAAGATCGATGGTTTCGCCGCCAGTACTTAAGTCCTCGGACGAGCGGGGTGAAAGACGTGGGTGCGGCCTTGCATTGGCGATCTCTCCCAAGACTGAATCTGTGATGTTACCCATCATTCTCGCATCTGTGGGGCTTCCCATCGTTCTAGGATCTGCGATCTCTGCCAGCGCTCTTGCGTCTGCATTTTCAGGTTTTCTTCTCCTTCGCATGCCTGGAACTCGACCGACTCTCGACTCGGAGTAGACGCACTCAATGCCTAGATTGTCGCATCGACTGCAACCAGTCTTTTCACCGCTGCATTTGACCTGATCTGTATTTTAGTGACTGAAATATTTTGTAGTGAGTTCAACAAAAATAACCTTTGTTGTGTGGCATTGGTTACACGCCGCTCGTAGCTTGATTGGTTTCGTTTTGATCATTGCATGTGTGATCTTAGCTGAGACCTCCGTCACACGTTAGCAAAAGGATGTGGATGCCCAAGAAATTGAAGAGTCAATCCGGGAACTTTTGAGTTTCAGTTGATATATAATTTCTTCTCACTCAATGATTGACCCATGTATAGGATTGCTCGCGTTCTCAAATACTTATCGATCTCGGAAAGATAAGAGAGATGCTCTTCATAGCACCCTCATCTAGGAAGTGGGGGCAGTACATCATTTTCTGGTTAACGCTGCCGCCGAGTTGAGGTTGGCGCCAGCCCCCAAATAATTTCCCAACACCACAATTCTTAGCGCGACAAGGCTGASGAGCCAATCTGCAGCGGAGAACTATCCGTGCAAATCTTGCCACGCTATCGTAGATTTTCGGCAGGGGGATAGATAAGTAAACGTGCTGAGGTGGTGGTTGTTGTTGTTGTTGTCATTCGAGAGCTGCTTGCTTGGGATCCTAGAATTTTAGGAGACTCTTCAACACTCCGAGAAGGGCAAAATCAGACGCATTTCGAGTAGGATTCTCTCCACATACCACGTGGGGCCCCTGGGCTACCGCAACTGAAAGACTTGGTTACACGACGATCAGAGCTTGTTTAGATACAAAATTGTGAAATGCTGATATCGTATTATCGTATAAATGTGCTTGAAAACTGATTGGAAGGCCGAGAACGTTCCAATCAATTGCGACTTGGCGCCTGAAGGAAGCCAAAAATGACGATAAAGCTATTTTGCTCAACAAACTTATGTACGTACATTGACTGATTCCTTGGCAAACTTGCACGCATAGCTCGAGATAAGACAAGCCAAGAAAAATTGACTCAGATGAGGAGGAGGAGGAAGTTGGTGTATCTGCATGCAGAAAAAGGCTACACATAATGCTACATCACAACACTAGGCGTCTTGGCTAGTACGTGGATCGACCAATACTTTATTTACAAAATCTGGGTCTTGGCTGCACATCACCCTCAAAGCAATCCCATTTGCAGTGTCTGCACCAGTTTCCTAATCAAACGAGTTCAAGAGTGCGTTTCCCCTCGGGCAGATAGACATCAACCCACATTTGCTGACTGAGCCTGACTCAGGTTACTCCACACTCCACGACAGGGGCCACCAAGTGTCTTTTAAATGAGATCACTAATCATATTCTTCACGAATCCTTCAGTAGTCTCATTATAAGAGGGACCGCAGCTTATAGACAGCAGATCTTGGCAGCCTGGGCAGTTGAGCATAAGGCTCAATTTACTACCGACATGCTGGGGATGCATAAATTGCATAATTTATTGCTTCTGGATTTTTGAATGTATAAGAATTTGTTCTGAACATTCGGCCGCCGAGCTCGAAACGCCGACACGCCGAGATATAAGGCCTCGGAGAATCTTGCTGCAGAAACGTTCCTAGTTTTAATGACACAAAGGCGCCATTCGTTGTAAGATGGAGCTACCGGAGCAGGGTTTAGTGAAGGATCATACAAGCGTTGCAGAAGGAGTGACCGGCGAGTATATTTAGAGGAAGAGAGATTATATAAATCTAAAGTCAGTGTCAAGAAGACTACCATCATAAAGCATCAACCTTGGAAAAAGTCGAGGGAACACTAAATATTTCTCGAGGCATCTTCAAACATGGCTGCTGCTGTCCAGACTGCTCCTGGCCTTGCCACAAATCAAGGCATTGAAGCTCTTTCTCAGCCTTCAAAGCCTGCAAAGCACGATGTTGCGTACGACATGATGTACTTTGCGCTTGAAAAAACACCGCCCCCTTACTATATGGGGTAAGTTGCTCTTTAGCCGTAGCAGAAAATGAAGCTAAGAAATAGAAAGTCGCCCAGGCACTGTTCTCGGACCCATGACGACTATGCCTGTTATTGTTCATGATATTTCCGGTGAAACGGAGAAATATACTCTTGACACTCATGGCTTCCAGTTTGTCAAGCATGAAAGCAAGGAGAAGGATTTCTTCGACGTAGAGAAGATCAAGGCGGAATACTATCCTGAAACTGAAGAGCTAGTAAAGAAGGTTACGGGGGCGACCCGTACGTTTGTTTTCAATCACGCGATTCGCCGTCAACCCGTTGAGGCGGCCGATGGAAGTGTGCCTGGGCGTGGTCCAACATACAACGCTCACATCGATCAGTCTTACGCCGACGCTCCGAATCGAGTTAGAAGATATTTCCCGGAAGAGGCGGAAGAGCTTATCAAAAAGCGGTACCAGATCATCAATGTAAGAATTCCAGAGCGCCTCTAAAATTATTCAAAGAAAACGATTGCTTACTGTCTTTACTACAGGTATGGCGTCCCATCAAGACCATCCTGAGAGACCCTTTTGCTGTCTGCGATGCCCGTTCCGTGGATGACAAGGATCTCATCCCGGTTACCATGATCTATCCCAACGCTATCGACGAGAAAGTCGCCTGCAAGAAGAACCCAAACCACATGTGGTACTATAAGTATGCCCAACGCCCTGACGAGCCGATGCTGTTCAAGAACTTTGATTCTGTTACCGATGGCCGCGCCAGGAGGAACCCTCACTCTGCATTTCAGGACCCTGCTCATAAGGATGACTACATGCGAGAGAGTATCGAAGTGCGCGTGTTGGCGTTCTTCGACGAGTAGGTAGTTACATCTATGTCTTTGTAGAAAGTGGAGTTGGCTTTTCGAACAAGACCATTCTGTACTACAACCGGCTTAGAGTATTCGGCCAAACTTGAAAGCTCTTAGTCCTAAGTTTATCACGGTTCAATTGTTTGTCATTGTCTAAGGTAAACACCTACGTAATAAACGTGCGCCCGCAATCCTTCGCCCCCGAGATTAAATCATAAGTTTGGGGATAAGTCGACGGCGGCTTCATAATTGCGTACTCTGATCGACTCAAAAACTCGAAATGGCGGGGCTATTTTCTGGAACTCGAACTGGCACTCGCTTGTAGAGATAAATGGATCTCTTGGTGGGAGGCCCGACTCGTGATAGTGGAACTAAAGTAATAAAGATAAGTGGGCCGGCCGGGGAATTGAGTTTGATCTGATTACGACCCCCCGTTTATCTCGGCTCCGAACATCAATACTCTTCCGACTGGCTTGCGGAGGCCACGCTAAGTGGGGGTTCACGGTATATCCGCTGCAGCTCGCGCGGACTTACACCCTATCATTCTGCATGCATATTGAACTGTAAACGAAGCCTTGGCGCCACAGCCGGCTTGCACTCGCACTCATGCAGGTCTAGCTTAGTGCATCCCACGAATTTACCTGATTGGCAGATCTAGGCTGCTGGAGCCGGAGATTACTCAGAGATGATGAAGGAGATAGAATGAGGTCGTTCAGTGGGGCCCCGGCGTGTGCCAAGATCCATCGCAAAAAAGTTTCTCGATTGGGCGTAGCGCCACCCAGGGCTTTCCGACCCCTGACGCCTGAGGCAGCAGACCGCGAACAGAAAATCCCTATTACTATCTACTAGTAAATAGTACGTATGCGATTGTGTTCAATTCATCTGATGTGGCTGAAAGCCCCTGCCCAATCACATATGCCGGCCAATAGGGTTAGGATCAATCAACCAAAAAATAAATAAACTACGTATGGGATCGCGCTAACCCAATATAGCTGAGTCAGTTTCGAATGTTGTAGCCTGTTGTATGATCTTTTTTTTTTTTKTCAGTTTTAAGGGTAAAAGTTGCATCTTTGTGATGGCAAAGGTCTCTGCTGTCTTAGCAGCAGATTCATGTCTACACTCGGGGCAATTACAAGTTGTGGATCATTTCACGATCAGCAAACCGAATCAAGAGAGAATGTCAAGCTCTTTGACATCTCTAGGGAGCACCATACAGGTGAGGTTACAGAATCCTGCGTAGATAAGGAATGAATCTAATGATAATTGAACTCTAGCTCTCATCTTTTTCTCGTCGAAGCTCAGATGCTTCGTCCGACATTCAACTGCCATTGCTACAAAATGAAGCTCAGCATAGCTCCCCATTCTCCTACGTCCCGAACCTACCCAGTAGCTCCGACTCATTATCGGTTTTGAGAAAATTCTGGTCGCAAGTCAACATCCCAACCTACTCAAGTAGAAGTCCAAATCGCACTAAAGGCCTTAGACATGTCGAAGTCAACGCCTTTCGAACGACGCCGCTAGTTGATAGACGGACCGGTAGACCATACGTCAAGAACTGGATACGATCTAACAGATATACTCCATTGACATTTTTGCCCAGGCAACTTTTTGCGCAATTCTCAAAACTTGCGAATTTCTACTTTTTGTGTTTTGCGCTCATGCAACTTATTCCCGGGCTAAGCACGATCGGAAACAAGACGAATATCGTACCCTTGATGATTTTTGTTACCATCTCAATGGCAAAGGAAGGATTCGATGATTACAGAAGACATCGATTGGACAATCAAGAGAATAGACAGATGGTTTTGTCGCTCGACAACAAGACCCCGGTAATATGTGGGAACTTAAATTGGCGGAAAACAAAATGGCGATCACTGGTAGTAGGGGATATTATCAAACTCCGCCGTAATGAGTCAGTGCCGGCAGATATCGTGCTATTAAGTTCAATGAGTCGTGAGGGAAGCAATGTCGCCCACGTCGAGACCATAGCTTTGGATGGAGAAACGAACCTCAAGATAAAGAAGGTAGACAAGAACGTTGCTGAAACGTGCTCTACACCTGCCAAACTTGCCAATTGTTCAGTCAATTTTAACATCGAAGATCCCCATTCAGACCTCTCCAGTTTCAGAGGCAGGGTAATTGTCAATGGCCAAGATTCCCCCTTGAACAATGACAATGTTGTATATCGAGGCAGCGTTCTGCGCAACACTTCGGAAGCCATCGCCATGGTCGTGTATTCCGGTCAAGAATGCAAGATTCGGCTAAATGCAAATGCCGATGGGCAGGCTCACATCAAAGCTCCTCGCCTACAATACATGGTTAACAAGGTTGTTTTTGTCGTGGCATTATTTGTGCTTGGATTGTCATTGTTCAATACCCTTGCATATCAAATCTGGAAATCCGACATCGAAAAAAAATTATTTTATCTTTCGGGCGCAACTGTTCCAAATCATGAGTCGATTTTCGGTTTTCTTATTATGTTTGCTACAATGGTTCCCCTTTCATTATACATCAGCCTGGAAATGATCAAGCTTGGCCAGATCTTCTTCCTCACGTCAGACCTCGACATGTATGATGAGGCGTCAAACATGCGTTGCGAAGCCAGAACATCAACCATTAATGAAGAGCTGGGACAGATTACGCATATATTTTCCGATAAAACGGGAACCTTGACCGATAACGAGATGATCTTCAAGAAGATGTACGTCGGTGGAAGCATTTGGTCGGACGAAGATATGGGATATCTCGATAAAGAAGTCCACAATCAGGCGGCAGAACAGCCAAAACGGTTCCATCCAATTTCGGAACAGCGAATGGAATCCGAAAGAAGCACAAAAGAATTGATCGGACAATTGTCAGAAAACCCAGATTCTACATTGGGACGAAAAGCAATGTTGATGCTGCTGTGTATGGCCCTTTGTCATAGCTGTGTTCCGGAGATTTCACAAGATGGCGTTACTATAGACTTTCAGTCATCATCCCCGGATGAGCTAGCATTAATCAGAGCCGCTCAGGCTATGGGTGTTTATATGCGTGTTCGAGATCATGACTCTATCGTTCTATCGCTCTCAACTTCCAATGACGCATCCGTCAGAAACCAGACTTACAAGGTTTTGAACGTTATCGACTTTTCGAATGATAGGAGACGTATGTCAGTTATCGTGAAATTCCCCGATGGCAGAACCTGTATTATATGCAAAGGCGCCGAATCTGTTGTCATGGAGCGACTGAGATTATCGATACAAAGAACAGGGGAGCAAGTCGACCATGCTAATGTAGGGGCACTAATGGATGGAGATGGCCGTTCTGATCTTGAGAAATGCGGTCTCAGTGTCACTAGATTCGCGAATGAAAGTCTCCGCACTCTTTTATATGCTTACCGTTTTCTGGACGATACAGAATATGAAGAGTGGAAAATTAAATGGGATGCAGCTACCGCCAGCCTTGACGAAAATAAAGATATGAAGGAACAAGTGGCAGAGCTTATTGAGACCAACTTCGAGCTTGCTGGCGCAACTGCCGTTGAGGATAAACTGCAATGCGGTGTACCGGATTCAATTGATAAGCTTGTTCGCGCCAATATCAAAGTCTGGATGCTGACTGGCGATAAGCGAGAAACCGCAATTAACATCGGTCATTCTTGTGGTCTAATAAAAGAGATTTCTACTATACTGGATCTTTCCAACGACAAGGAATCTAGGGATACAACAGACGCCATTGAATCTCACATTTTAGCTCTCAAATCAGCTCAACACAGCGTAGTTGTCATTGATGGTCGTACTCTGACAACAATTTTCAACAATTCTATCGGATCAGCCGAAGAAAGATTCCTTGACTTGGCGGTCTTAGCAGACTCTGTTATCTGCTGTCGTACTCAACCCAGCCAAAAAGCGCAGGTTGTGCGCGGCGTGAAAGCTCGAATGCCCAATGCAGTCACTTTGGCCGTAGGTGACGGCGCAAACGACATTGCAATGATCCAGGAAGCCCACGTCGGTATTGGCATCACGGGCAAAGAGGGGTTTCAGGCAGCCCGCAATTCCGATTATTCCATTGCGCAATTCAGATTCTTGCCAAAGCTTCTTTTGGTGCACGGAAGATGGAATTATGTGCGGACTTGCAAATACATTCTGGGCACGCTATGGAAAGAGGTCGTCTTTTATTTGAGTCAGTCTCTGTTCCAACGGTGGGTTGGATACACTGGAACAAGTCTGTTCGAACCTATGAGTGCGACGCAGTTCAATACCCTTTTTACATCGCTATCCGTCATGTGCATCGGGGTTTTCGACAAGGATCTCGCGGCCTCCACGCTCCTAGCTGTGCCCGAGCTATACATATCCATGGGCCAGAGGAACGGTGGCTTCAACATATGGATTTATCTCGGATGGACTGCTATGGCGGTCTCTGAGGCGTTTATTGTATTTTTTTCCATGCTTTTACTCTTCGGACGCGCGGAAACCACAAAGGATAACACCCTGTTTTCAATGGGTGATCTTAACTTCGTCGCAGTCGTCATCATTGTCAGTCTCAAGCTACTGGTACTCGAGATGCACAACAAATCCGTCGTTGCGGGCATCACCCTGTTTCTGAGTGTTGGCGCCCCCTTTCTCTGGAATCTCATATTTGCTGCCGCCTACCCTCTCACAACGGCTTACCACGTACGAGGGGGATTTTTTATTGGCTTTGGACAGAATCCGACCTGGTGGTTGACCTTAATTTTCATTATCGTGTGTGTGTACATGTACGAACTTAGCATCAGCGCATTGCGAAAGGCGTTTTTCCCAACGAATACTGATATCTTTCAGGAATTGGAGCAGGACAAGACTTTTATGGCGCGGTACAATGGGGCTGAGGCTGGGGCTACAGTTACGGCGTTGGAAGAGGAGTGGTTTTCGGATAGGTATAGTGATGATGTAACTATAGTCTGTGAGAACGAGGAGATATCCTGAGCTAAGATGGTAAATGACTGATACACATGTACAACTATCTAACTATGTAACAATAAACAACATACCTACATTTAAAAGCATCTTACGCGGAGCAGAGACGGACCCTTCCCCAACGTGTCGTTTTCCGTGACTCGTCCATTGGCTCGACTACAATGATATCGCGCTGGTCCATCAGCATTAATGCTGCCTCTCTGCTTCGTGACGTTATCAGGATATACCTATTCGGGCTTTGTGGAAGATACTTTTGCAGCGGGTGATCCGTTCGCCTATCTTGATTGCAAAGTATGGAGTTTATGCGATTAAAAAGAATCGATATCCCTTGATAGTGCCATGAAAAAAGTTCACCAACCATACTTCAAAGCCAGCTGCTTCGAATAAATCTGGGAACCACATAAGATGTTTAATACCTTTCCCTCTGATTTACAATGTTGAGGTCTTTCAACAAGGAGTAACTGGTATCGGAACCGAAGCGACACGCCAAGATCTAGAAGATTTGACCCAAACCTCCTTAACTTGTAATCAGCCGTGCTTTGCTATATTATATTGCTCTTCTGAAATACAGTGTTTAGAACAAAATCCTTATCTTCACTCTTTTCAACAAAATCACGAAACAGCCCTTTGGCCCTCAGCAGCTCTGCCGGCGTCCCGAATTCACCTATACAGCCATCATCAATCACAATCACCTTATCAAACGACGCAATTGTCCTGAGCCGATGCGCAACCACAATCAAAGTACAATTAAACTCATTGCGGATCGTATCCTGAATCAATGAATCTGACTCATTATCCATAGCAGACGTCGCCTCATCGAGAATGATAATCCTCGGGTTCTTGATCATCATTCTCGCAAGACAGAGAAGCTGTCTTTGACCCTGCGACATGTTTGTGCCACCTGGACTGACTGGAGACTCCAGAGTGAATAAGCCTGCATGCTTACTATCTTCAGCGGAAAGAAGTTTGACGCGACGCAAGATATCATTTAGCTTATGTGTTGGAACTTGCTTGAAATAATCTAGATTAGATCGGACCGTGCCTGAGAACAAAACTGGATCTTGGGGGACAAAGGCAATCTTAGATCGAAGGGACTGTAGCTTTATCGTCGAAATATCAATTCCGTCGATCCAGATCGATCCAGATTGATAGTGAACTAAACGCAGAAGAGCCAAAGTAAGTGATGATTTCCCTGCTCCGGTTCGACCAACGATGCCAATTCTCTGACCAGCTTCCACGCAGAAAGAGATGTTTTTCAGGACAAGAGGAAGGTCTGCCGAGTATGCAACATTTAATCCTTTGATTTTAATCTCGCCTTTAGATGGCCAGTCAGCCGGGACATCGTTGCCGCTTTGCTCTTCGGGTTTCAGCTGGGTATAAGAAATTATCCCAGCGGCTGCGTTCATGTAACTCTCCAGCATCCCAAAATTGTTCACAGCGGCAAAACCAGCGTGCGCAAATCCCATTGAGAATGTAAGCGAGAATCCCATTAGCGACGCATCAACGACGGATTTTGAAAATAAAAGAATGATACCTGTGCCAGTACTGAAAATAATGCCCATGAGACACATTTGGAGACCAAGCCACCGGTTAAAAATCCAAAAGTACCTCCGAGCGATTGATAATTTATCAACATGAAGGTGCATCTGATCCGTAAACCTATCTCCAGCTCGAAAAGCTCTTATGGTCGACAGCCCAGCGGTGACTGCAGTGAAGTATTCCAAGATTTCAGCGTTGCTCTCCGATTCAGCACGCTTCACAGGCTTTCTGGCCATAGCATAGCCCTTTCCCACTTCCCAACACCAAAACAAGAGAGCTAGGGTTAGACAAGCTGTGTAAATTGAATTGTTCATTCTAAATGAAATTAGTGATTTGCTCAAGTTGGTCAGAGAACAAGTTTTACCCAATGCACCCAACAACTACCAGTCTTATAAGACAGTCAGCAAATTCACGCATGACCTCTAGCAAAAGATCGTCAACTTGTCTCGCATCTCCGCTGAATCGTTTCAGCATCACTCCAAGAGGCGTAGTATCGATCCAAAGGAGAGGCATTCGGATAACCTTTGCTGTCATGGTGCGAAATAATTCCTTCGACGCACAGAGTGAACCTGCAAATATGTGCATATTTAGGAGAAACTCTAGGACAATTGTAGATAGAGATCCTAGGAGATACAGGTAGAGATAAAACCATAGGTTGGTTTCAGTATCAGCATTTGTTAGGCCATCGTTTGATATTTCGCGGCGTTTTGAATTGATACAGCCGAGAATCCATGTCGTCAGTGCAATCATGAGCTGCTTGCCAAGCAGACCGAGAACAAATATCGTCGTGAACAACAAACCACCAGCAGCTACGAAGTAGCTTTTGTAAAATCCGAAGTCGGATCCTGTTTTTGTAGCTGTGATCTTCGGCTTGCCCTTTGGTTCTTTCTCTGCTACTCGGTTTAGCTCAATAGCGATGCTTGACTCCCTATTTTCCAGCCGCGATTTAACTAAATCAACATCATGCAAATTTTCTATCGTATTATTTCGAACATGAACAAAACACTTCGCCTTGGGTAAGCATAAGGATACATGATGTGTGGCCAGAATCCGCGTGCGGCCAATACAGAGTTCGCCAGTCAGTGCTTGGAAGATTTCGTTGGAAACATGAGAATCAAGCGCAGCGAAAATATCATCCAAGACTAGTAGCTTAGCACTTGAATAGAGAGCTCTGCCTAACGAGACTCTTGCGCGTTGTCCACCACTCAGCCTAACACCACGAAGACCAACATAGGTTTCGTCACTTTTAGGTAAAGCGGCAAGATCAATATCTAGTGCACACGCTCTCAGAACCTTTTGGTATCTTATATCATCCAAAGGACTTCCGAATAATATGTTGTTTTTTATGGTATCATTCTGAAGCCACGGGGTCTGGGATACGAATGCAACCGGCTGCCCAATTGATTGTGTCTCTATGCGACCATTGAGAAGATCCACCTCCCCGATGATAGCGGCGAGCATCAAACTCTTTCCCGATCCGGTTTCTCCATGTATAACACTGAGTTCACCGGCGGGAAACTCAACATTAAGACTATGAAGAATAAACGGTGGTGGTAACTCCCTTTGCTTCTCTTTGAGATCCTGGCCTTCGTCCGACGGCCACGTAATGGAGGCATTTCGGAAAGAAACGCCGCCATTAGGACTCTCAGACAGAATTTGTCGAACTTCTGGCATTTTCAAGAAAACTTCCATCCGTTTTGCATTTGCCCGAGCGCCAAAATAATCCTGCAGGACCCTCGGAACCATACCCAACGCACCTTGAATGTGCGGCAGCAACTCGATAGTGGTAAATAAAATAGATGACGACACTTCATCGTGAATGTAGACATAACTACATACCGCTGCTGCCGTCACGATAAAGGGGGATGCGACTTTCCATGCTGATCGGATACTAATAGCAAGAAACCGCTTTCGCATCTCCATTATCTCCGCCCGGCGACACAATTCAATTCGTTCTTCCCACTCTGTTTCTATAGCTGAAAATTTAATTTGCCGAAGGGCCTGAAGCGCTTCCGTAATGGCCTTTGTCTTTCTATCTCGTGCCACTGTCAGCCTCTTATTTGCGGCACGCTCATTCCTGATGACTCTAGTTTGTACTGGCACGGTTATCATCGTGGCTACTACTGCCATTAATGTGCTCTGCCATCCTAGTAAACGTAGGAGAAACAACACCGCAAATAAGAATTTGATTAATGAAAAAGGAAGAATATAGTTGACGGCAGTGAACATGCTGAAGGAAGCCGTGTCTGAGGATATCAGGTTGATCGCTTCAGGCTTGTCACCTGCAGCCTTGAAATCTTTGACTCTTAATGCTTTGGAAAAGATTGCCATGATGAGTTGTGCACGAATGGGAATCCCCATCTCTGACCATTGGATCCAAGCAAGGTGATGGTGGAGAACGGTTTCGGATACAGAGGAGACTGTAACMCCGATTAACCACAGCCAAGCCGTATTCGTCATATTAACATTATCCTCTTCCAGGCACTTCAGAAATCCCATAATGCAATATGGAGAGCCAAAGGTGACGACCGAGCGTAATAATGTCAGAGTCCATTGTTTAGCAAATCCACGATAGCGCTCAGCCAGAACATGATTCCATAATGAAATTTCTGAGAGCGTTATCGGTAGCTGAGTGGTCGACCGAGTTCGATAATTCAAGATCGGCATTTGACTTAACGCAAGATCTCGACCGACAACGGGCTTTCCAGCAAGATCAAGGGCCTTAGAGCACCACTGCATAGAGTATCGTTGTAGAGCTGAACAGTTATTCTCGAAGTCCACGGCTTTCCCTTCCGGTGAAAACACGTCGGGTCGACGTGGAATCGAAATTAGTAGTATTGCTTGGATGGTCGCCGCCCACAGCTCCAAAGAAGTCATTGAAATATCGAATAATGGCTTTTCTTTATCCTGAGCCTTTTCAAGAATTCGGCACACCACAACGACGCCGGACAATAGTGCCTCTTGGAGACCAGCAGTATATAATCTGACCGGCCTATCACTCCAATGTAAACAAAGGCTTCGGAGTAATAAAAGAGGCTAACTTTTATTTAGCTACGATTCTTCAAATGATGGAGAGTTTTTTTGTGGAAGAACTTACCCACAGAAGCCTGGACCCAAATATTTGCAGGCCCCAAAGCATGCTTTCTCCTCTATATCCGCCTCTTAGGGCCGCCAAGATGCACCCGACCAGCGACAATATAGAATACAAAAAGAGAAGAGTTCGTACACGGTACCAGTATATTGTCTCAGACTCTTTCGATGCAGTGCCATCTTCGTCTGAATACATTACTGTTTAAGGTCGGTATTTTGCCGATCAGAAAGAAGAAACAAGATTTTCGAGACGGAAATGAAGGCTTGTTGGTGAGAACGCGTAGAATTTAGGATGAGCTGGTGCGACGAATATTTGCGCATCGAGTTTGGAAAGAGAGGGGATGGAATATTAAGTAGGCCAACCTGTTCCCCACTCGCCTATCTTTCCTAAGATGGGCGGGCACGTTGTATTATATAACTTTCGGGGGTTAAGTTACGGAACGGCGGCGCATCGCGAAAGACACCAGTGTATGGAATCGTCATGTGTTCCGCTCTCTCAAATATGCCTTGCAGTTTTTATTTAGGCTAGAGGAGGAAGATGGCCATTGACTGAGCATGGTTCTAGACAAGATTATATCCAATTGATCAGTATCCGTGCTTGGATTGATGGTGAACGGCCSGAGCCGTAAGGTGCGGTGAGGGTCGTCAATCTATGAAATTTGGATGTATTTCACAACATTACGTCAGCCATGTACAAGATTCTGCTGAAACAGTGTTTAAATTGTAAGTACTGAAAGCTTTGGAGATTATACACCTGCGTACAAACCAACAACGAAGAGAAGAGAGAGATAGGCACATCCAGCTTGAAGTTGAGCGTGAACCATCAACATGCCCGCGTCTATTACATTGGATGCCCGGCTCGCATTATTTTTGCCTAATTGATAAATTTAGGGCCCTACCTTATCGACTGCAATATGTAATAGTCATACTACTATCCTAGGTACTCATCTTAGCAAGCTCAGCCGATTTTCTGCTTTCAATGCGAACCCTGACCTACTACAGAGTATAGAGTTTATTGGAGCAATTTTAGCCGAGCACCGAAGAGGCAAAGAGGAAATATAGGGCGGAAATCGCTTGTAATATTAGTCTGTCTGTATATCTAATATCTCCGTGGTCGGTTCTTGTCTCTTTTATATATGAGAACATTGTATGAGCCTCTAACTGTGATTCTTTTCATCTACATGTTAATAATTGCTAACAAATTAAGTTGAAACGTTAGTAAATAAGCTTGCTAATAGCCTTAAGCAATGCGTCAAGTGTATTTATTCGTTTATTCCGTGTCGGGTTTAATTTTAATGACAATCGTCTTCATTGGTTAGCCACGAATAAGCTATACTGTAGATCGAGTGGACTCTTCGTGTATGGAGTATGTTGAGTTGACGTGCCAGTGGGGGTTTGAGCCACGAACCGCGTGGCGTGAGGTGGGTCTCATGTTATGGCATCTAGAGCTCATACACTACATAGTACATACTCAGCAGTAAGCGAAATACAATTCCGACCCGCCTTTTGATTACCCAGTTCCTCAGGAGAAAGGGAGGTGATTGATCGACTCCGAGGCAACCCTGCTCGTTGTTACCCCACGTTCACAGTTGCTGCCTCATAGAATCAATTGTGTTCGGAGATCTTTTTAAGAACCAGGCTATCTTGCAAACAAGAATTTTTCTCACTACACAAAAACAGACACAGTCATAATCTACCATAGATTTTTGGCTGACGTGGAACGGCTAACATAATAATGAATCCAGCGGCTTATACTACCGTCTATGACATTCTCAACTTTCTCATTAATCGCACCAGAAACGAATATGAACCACGTATTTTGTTGAACGACCTTGAGGGCGCGCTCAGTATGCTTGCAAAACTCGTTCGTGATGTGCGCACAATGGATCGAGGCTATAGCGAGGCAGATCTTCAGCATTGTTTAGAGGAAATGCAACGCCGGCATGAATGGGCAGAGTGTTAGTTATCTCCCAACTAACATTACAGTTGAAAACCCCTCTAAGAATAGATTTCTAGTCAACTCTTATATGGAAGGTCGTTCAGCACCGCCTCCCCTGATTCTCTGGCGTGCACATAACTTCGATACACCTTACGAAGTCATTGACGAGAATACATCCAACCTTGTCCGGAACTTCGCTTCGGACTTGCACAAATGGAACGAAATGGAGAGTGCCTCTGAGATTACCGTAACTCTACCTTCATTTCATGAGTTAGACTTCACCCTAGGTGACCTGGCAAATGAACTATCATCGCATTTGAAGAAAACCCAGATAAATCAGCAAAGATCAGACAGAGGAAAAGATAGACTTCATACGAATCTGGTTTCGCTGAGTGGGGATTTGAGGTGGACCATGCATTATACTAGCCAGAAAGCCAAGGCTGCGCTGAATCACGATGAGGTCGGAATCGCTGCTTTTGATACTAAAGCCCTCCGTTCGATGGGAATAGAGATTTGGAGAGTCAAAGACATTATTGAATTCCTAGAAAGCAAGCCAGGGCTTCTCCCAGGAGGCTTATTTGATAAGTATGCGAAACAATGGGCAAAAAATGCCGACGAATATGTCATCTGGGATTACATTGGGAGAGATTGTCTTATTAATTTCTGTAGCTGGGTCTCACTCTTCCAGCAGCCAGGAATCGACAAAGAAAAATTCTTACTGGAGCAATTTGTGGACTCAAAGAATCTGGGTTATTTTGCAAAAGATTATGGTTGGAGACCTATGACGTTAAAACTGGAGGAGTACGTGGATCGAGCGGCTGACTTTGCCCAGGCTTTACTGGGTGGCGACAGAATAATAACCCCCGACACGATAAGGATCACGGCTTCTCCCCTCTCAAGGCCCAGCGACTGGGGATATCGCATTCGTGATAGCTGTCAAATTACCGAAGATCTAATAATGCAAAAAATTATGGCTGAGATTATGAAAAACTTCGTTCCTGAGGACGCAACAACACCGGCTGAAGACAGAACGGTTTCAGGTGCCGAAGACCATGATGATATTGTTAGCAATGCTGATCATCACCGCATACCGTACATCATCGAAAAGGCTCAGAACCTGACAATAGATGATGCTGATAGTGGTCTTGAGAGATGAAGTATCATTCATGGTAGCTAGTAGGCCATGCGCTACGGTAGAGGTCGATCACACCGATACTATACGTCATTCTCTGCGTGGTACATTACAGTTTTTGCAAAAACGGTGCACGATTTTACAGACTTCAATTGTTTCTTATGTTTCACCCCAATATCGATCAGGGAGAGGATCGGATTAACAATATCTTTCGAGTTTCACGTACTCTTGTTTACTGCTCAGTATAACTATAACTACTTCAGTAAATTCCGTGTAAAGCTTGAACTGATGGGACTAATACAGTAAACCCAATACTAATTGTCCCAAAAAGGAGCTCTCCTCCGTGGGGATTCTTGTAGCGTGCTTACTTGGTGTTCGGATTCTTCAAATAGAGATTCAAGGAATTCCCCGGGTTTTGGCTAGTAGATGATCTTAAAGGTTATCTTCTCCCCAAATGTGCGTTGTCCTATCTTCGGTGGCTGCAGCAAGATTTACCTGAGGGGAGGGAGGGGGGTAGGGGGGTAGGGGGCAGTCAAGTACGTGTTGTTTCACTTTTCATTGTGTTGATGGAAGTTCATTTTCGGGTTCCTGTCTCAGTCTTCTATTGCGTACTTGATGACTGCCCGGACGGCCTTGATATCCGGTAGCCATTGATCAGAATCACAACGTGATTTTCCACCATGAAAGAAGGAAAGATTTCCTCGTCTTGACTCCGTGCATTGGTTCATGCCATCTCTAATCCCTGTCCATTGTGTGCAAGGGAATAAAAAGTGTTCCGCTGTCTCGCTTGGTTGACCACGGGCACAGAGATCAGAATTTACTTCGACTTGTTTGTTTACAAGTTCATTGAACGGGTATAGATATACAATTAGAACCTTGGAGCTATTTATAGGAGATATGATCTAGGTTGGATGGAGAAAACTGCTATAACTATTGCATATCCTCTTACTTAGTAATCTTACTTATATAGAAATTAAAATGTCGATTCCTCACACAGTTGGAGTAATCTTGCTATGTAACTTCTCACCTGCATCCTTGGCATTGAAGGTACTCATCGTAGACCGCGAGACGAAGTCGCCCGCGTCGGCTGACCGCACGTAATAAGCAATGTCGGCATGCGGATTCAACTCAATCTGAGAGAAACCGTTGCCCAGATACGCGAAGCGATTGCGGTTGTGGTAGCGGATATCGTAGTCGTCAAAGCGCGGCACGGACAGCGTTTCCATGAAGTGTAGATGGCTTCCAGGCCACACTGCAGTGACCTTGTTGGTGACGCGGTCCTTGTACCAGCTGGGACAGTTGTCACCCCAGACGCTCAGCTTCTCCATGAACAAGTCCTTGTGCTCCATAAAGTCATCCTGCGCATCCTGCTTCGGATCGAAAGATGCAACGCCTTCCTTCTGCCATCGGTTGAAGAACTTGGCCATGTATTCGGCCTCGACCTCAATGGCAAACAGCACGGGGCCGTTGCTGATGGTGCAGTTGGGTCCGAGGACTGCAGGCCACAAATTAATTAACCAAATCGGCACTGAGCTAGACAAAAATGTAGACAAAAAGAAAGATAGAGGCGTACACATGAAATAATTCGGATAGCCGGCAACAGCCACACTGCAGTAGTTCCGAGGCTCGGTCTTCCAGAAGTCGGCGAGGTTGCCACGTCGGCCAACGATTGGAAACCGTGGTCGGAAAGTCGTGTCAAAGCCTGTAGCGCAGATGAGAACATCCAACTCGGTCGCTGTGCCTGTCTCAGATATAACGCTTGAGGGAGTCACCTCGCGGATACCACCAAACTCTACCGTGACGTTGGGCTGCACGAGCGCTTCCGTATAACCTGGGCTTGGCTAGAGCAATACCCCAAATATTCACATCAGCATCAGACCACTTCTGGATGAATGTGAAATTTACCGTGCCTCGACGACATCCGTAGGCAAATTGCGGCACCATCTTGTCTGCCAATCGGTCGTCATTAAGGGATTTGCGGATCTCCGCGCTGAGCTGCTCCCTGATGGCCTGCTGCGCGACGGATTTTCTATGCAAGACAGCGAATTCGCCACCCCACTCCTGCTCGACCTTCTTGCGAGTAGCGAGATGATAAGCAGGGTCCGCCTTGAAACGAGCAATGTCGTCGTCGGAGAAATGGTGATACTCGCCATCATGCGTAGGGATAATCCATCCAGGAGACCGAATGTAGGTAGTTATATGCGCTGCATTTCTGCACATGACAAGAATTTAGCTACTCCAGCCGAGCATAAAAGTGGAGGTGGCGAGTTTACTCTTGGAGCCAGGGAAGTATCTGGACTCCCGAAGACCTGGCAGGTAGTTAGCTCAATGGCTATCCCATCTTTACTAAGGGTTGATCTCACCCGCTCCCAATGAGGCCCACTCGTTTCCCGATGATATCTAAGACACAAACACACAAAAATAAATCAGCGGTCCAATTACACAAATGGAATCAAAGAACTTACCTAATCGATCGTCCCAGGCGGCCGTGTGGATCAGATCCCCGTGGAAATCATGAAGGCCTGGGATATCCGGCCACTTCCAATTGTTCAGAATGCCCCCGGCGTTGACCAGAAAGTCACATCGGATCTCACGGGAAAAGGCCGAAGAGGTGTTGAGTACCTTGACCACCCACTCGCTGGCAACCTCATCCCATTCTGCGCGGTGCACTTCCCGGTTGCAGTGGATGAACTGCTTCAAGTCGTACTTCTCTACGAAGTCACTGAAATATTGGTAGATTTCAGGAGCGCCCGCGTAGGAGGCAGACCAGTCCGGTTTTCCCTCGAAGGAATATACATAGTTGTGTGCGGGCATATCACATCTGCAGCCGGGGTCTAAGGAATTGATACATAGGATTAGCTTCTCAAGGGGAATGACAGCTGTTAGAATAATTCTCGTAAAATTACTCACATCGATTCTCAAACCACGTTCCTCCTACATCGCTATTCTTCTCAAAGATATGGAGCGTGAAGTCGGTGAAGTGTCGCTTCAATTTGTACGCCAACATAATACCGGACGCACCCGCACCGATGCACACCACACGGAGATGCCGGTTGGCATGAAGCGGCCTCTCCAACTGTGGCTCGGAAGAGGGATTGATACCTGTAACACCGGTTGACAAACCATTTCCGTGATGGCCTTCAGACCCAGTAGCGACGACAGTTTCTGTAGTCATAGTGGCTCSTTCGATGTGAAATGCAAAATAAAAGAATGCGAAACGCAGAGCGGGATGCCTCTGAGTATCTGAATGGGCTACTTAAAATAAATCCAAAGTTAGCTGCCTCCCTTGATCTGTCTGGCATCAGCTGGTGTCGAGGTTGTCGATATACTTCGTTATCAGGTAACGATGTTGGTAATCGGCATACCAATGCGTTTCTAAACTAGCGCGTTACTGGTAATTTACTACCCCATACCGATATTAGATACGGAGCAAAAAGCCCAAAAATAATCCGAGCAAAAAGCCAACAGAAAAGGACTACCATAGCCTGTACTCCAACGAATCTATACGTTTGTGAAAGAAAGGGTCGCCGCTGGTGCAAGTGTTGAGTCCCTGCAAATAATATCGAAGACACAATGTTCGGCTAGCCTCGCAAATAACGCGCGTTGGTTCATATTGCATGTCTCGCTCATTCCCACTGCCAGAAAAAATATCCTGCTCCCAGAATTATACAGCGATTCCCTCTTTCTTCTTGAATATCACCCCTTGTTTTACCCAGCAAACTGATCAACGGAAGAGCCTCACAATGGCAACGGAAACCTCAGAGCAACCGCCAGAGATGGTAAAGACAACGGAGCAGTCTGACAGTAGCGAGAACGTGACGATATCGGAGAGCTCGTTGGAGATCAAGTTAAAACTTTTCCAGGAGCGCGTTGAGAGAATGTCCGCCTGGGAGGTGTTCCTCGTCTGGTTCGCCCTCGCGCTCTCAAACCTGTGTGTGTTCTTGGACGAAGGTATCATTTCAACTGCTATCCCACGTATTACGGACAAGTTTCAATCTTTGGGCGATGTCGGTGTAAGTCAATATTCAAGCCGTCTGCGTGTTCTTTCTAATGATAACGTACACAGTGGTACGGCTCCGCGTATAATATCACACTCAGCTCCTTCCAGCTGGTGTATGGACGGCTTTTCAACGAATTCCCGCTCAAAGTCACCTTCCTGGCGGCTTTGGCCATTTTCGAAATCGGTTCGCTCGTCTGTGCGACCAGCCCCAACTCTGTTGCCTTCATCATCGGCCGTGCCATCGCCGGCCTGGGAGCGGCAGGCTTGCAGAGCGGCAATTTTGCACTGCTCGCCGCCGCTCTCCCTCCAAAGAAGCTGCCTTTGTACATGGGCGCTCTGGGGATGGTGTACGGCATCGGCGCCGTCCTAGGCCCAGTGATGGGTGGTATTATCACCAACAGCTACTTGACCTGGAGATGGTTCGTCACTCCATCCTTGCCTTCCTCTTAACATTTGGTGAGGACATTTGTGTGTATGAGGGGCTGACAGATCAACTCTAGGTGTTTTTACATCAACCTGCCTATTGCGGCACCCACGGCTGTGGCGACCATCTTCCTGATCAAGGTCCCACCAACCGACAAAGGCAACAAGCCTCTTCTAAAGAAAATCTATAATTTGGACCCGCTGGCGGTCGTGATCCTGCTGCCATGCATCATCTCCCTAATACTGGCGCTGCAATTCGGTGGCGCACTGTATAGCTGGAATGATGGCCGCACCATTGGCTGCTTCGTGGCGTTTGGCGTGTTGCTTCTAGTCTTCCTAGTTGAACAGTGGTGGATGGGTGATGGAGCGCTAGTTCCTCCCCGGCTGGTGAGAAATCCCGTCGTGCTCTTTGGAGCCCTGTATGCCTTCTGTTTCGACAGCGCCTTTTACTCACTTGTCTACTATGTAAGTGTACCATAACCATTTTCGACATATCTGCTAATTTCAGTTTTTCTCAAAAGATGCCTCTCTGGTTTCAAGCTGTGGAAGGTGTCAGTGCCGAGGACTCCGGCATCCGCTATCTCCCACTGGTCCTCTCTCT